TTACTCTTGCACGCATGCTTTGAAAAGGTGGCTATCAATAACTGGTCAATACCTCGTTCAATACGTGCTTCCTCACTAAAACGGGTTTCGCCATGATACTTCTTCACACAGTTTATTCAGCCCACAGCAGTCTAATGGGTTACCCATGGCGTTTAAATGCCTTGACGAGTCGGTTCGTGCCGAAATATCGTATGATTTTTTTTTACCAATATTTTCAATGTCTCAATCTTAAAAGTGGGAGCCAAGTGGCAGCCGGTTCAAGCTGATTATCTACCCGAGCTATATAGATTACATGTTGTAAATAGATGCAAGTGGTAAGAATTTCGTGCATTCTTACTTTAGACTCTCGCAAATGCTTGTTCACTTTTCTATTGAGATGATGTCTCAAGAGAACATGATATATATGTATATATATAGATTTACCCCAACGTTTCCCGATGATCCCTTCTAGTATTCTAGTATCGAAATTAAGATCAGCGCCATCAAACTCAAAAGAAAAACACCCCCCAAAAATACCAAAAATACCAATGTCGAATTCTGTCTAAATTTGTCTGAAATCCTACACGCATGCACAAAATAGTAACATTGTTCCGCAACATACAAAGTAAACCCACGTCCATGCCAAAACAAGAACAGAAACAAGAATCCCATGACCCAAATACGGAAAGTGACGTCTTACGCGTCACTGCTGCGTCGTTTGTCTTGTCTAATTCGTGTTAATCTATGCCTGCTAGCTATAGCATAGCCATGGTTTCGGGATTTTTCTTTATCTTTTTTTTTGGTCCCCTCTGAAGAACCCATCCATCTTTCAAAATAGATTTATTATTATTATGATTATTATCGTACGATGTTGCACTTGACTTGCAATTGAAGAAGATTTCCGAATCTCCGAGGAATGTTCTCGAAAGTTGAGATTGCTTTGATTTGGTTTGGTTTTTTATACTTGGGATGATGGTTTGTGAATCAGAGTCTGTGAATCATAATCTGGAAATAATACCTCTCAATCAAAACTATGAATCAATAACTATGAATCATGACTAATTATGAGAGGTACGGATTCCCGGATGAGCGCCAAATCTCCTACGAACACCAGGTATATGGAATGCGAGAATGTTAGTCTGTCTTATGTATCTACATCCCACGAGTAAATACGTGAAGATAAATCCGTATCCACAATCACCGCTTAGGATCATACGCAGAAGAAGACAATAGATACCTAGAGGGCAATATTTATAAACCCCAGACAGGAACCAGAAAATAGAAAAAGAAAAAGAAAAGAAGGAGAAGAAGTAAAAGAAAGAACAAGCGGAGCAAATCCCACATCCATCTAAAAGAGAACCACATAGATTATGCAGCGAGATAAGTTTACGAAAAACCCCCTCAATCCAATTGCAGGCTTGACTTTGACTCTAAGACTGAGACTCACACTAGAACTGAGACTCCTCCCTTCTCGCGGATGCTTCCAGAATATATACCTAGTAGGCATTTAATCAATAAAGGTTTTTTGTAAACCCATGTTTTTCTCGGTACCAGAAAATCGATGCTTGGGTTTTAGGTTTTAGGTTTTAGGTTGAAGGTTTGGTTTGGTTCGGTTTGGTTTGGTTTGGGGTGGTCATTGCTTATTGGTTGGATGGGTTTGCGTAATGATGTTTTTTTGGGGGGGAGGGTTTCTTTTTTCTGGGTTTTTTTGTCTTGGGTTTAGATTTGGTAGATTTGGTGGATTTGGGTTTTGTGGTCTTTTTTTTATTGGGGTGGGTGGATGGTCGGATGATGAATGGATGGATGGATGGATGGATGGATGGATGGATGGATGGATGGATAACGGTGCGGTGGGATATTAGGGCATAGGGCGTAAGGCTGGTAAGGGGGAATTTTGGATCTTGAGATAACAGAAGGGAAAGAGAAGTAATGAAGGAGAGAACAGAAGGAAAAGGAAGGTTTGGATTTTTGGTACGAGGTGTTGTGCGTGGGGGTTATATGTATGTAGGATTCTTTATGTTTTATGGTATCACAATATGTCTGTATGTATGTATGTATGTATGTATGTAATACACAATTACCAGCCATAATTGTATTGACAAGAAAGAAAGAAACTCGAGGAGAAACTTTTAATTTTTGTGTAACTTTTTGATCAAAGGTTTGTGGAAGGGGGAGGAGAGGGGACGTGAGATTTTGTCATCGTGTCTGCGCTATGGCTTTGAAGTGAATGGAAGGGGATAGAGGTTAGAGGATGAAGAATTCTTGAGGGGGAGAATATCGAGTATTGTCTGAATATATGCACAAGAATACCCAAAAGATTCAGCTAGGAAAACGAGGTAGGAATTTCAGAAGCTTGAGGTAAGTAGGGTGCTACTTCTTTCTTCATAACTTGATCCTCGACACTCAACCCAATATCTTTCTTGGAAGAGGCTCATAGATATATCTCTGTATTTATATTAAGCTTACAATAACTGTGATGTGAACACCTCAGTATTTATATTCGTCGATGTTTTGATCCGGCATCTTTTGGACCTACTTTGCGGGGTTGGGTCGATGTGTTGGTATGTCTATGTGTATGGTGGTTTCTATATCTGAATCTATTTTATGATGATGATGTGATGATGTGATGATGTGATGGGTATGAGTGAGAGATATGAGTGAGAGATATGAGTGAGATATACTTGAGAAGGGGAGAGGGGAAGGGATGAGCTTTATTTATAAGAAGGTTCGGAATGTTGAATGTCCAGAGTGGAATATATATATATACATATATATAGATTGTTATCTATGTAAATGCTCATTTGTTATGACTGCTCGTATTACCATCATTACAATCACTTGACTTGACATTGCGCTTCCACTTCCACTTCCGCTTCCACTTCCACTTCCACTTCGCTGCCTCACTCACTCGATCAATCAATCGCCACATATCCTCCTCACTACTTGCTCCAACCTAACATCCAATATCTCACCTCCCAAAACAAGTAACAAGCTACTCCAAACATAAAAGCACACCTTCCAATTGCAGGTTTCTTATTAACAATATCCAGCTCTTCCTCAACTTCTTGAACATATAAACTTCAAAATGTTTTATGCCGTAACCTTTAACCTTAACATTCGAGTTTAGATGAGATGAGATGAGATCATGAGATATGAATATACCCACCTACACTTTTATCCATAAGCTGACGATAATGAAGAGGGAAAAGGTGATAGATAGATCATAAGCGGTGCTGAGATGGAATGGGGGAATAGATATAGAGTGTAAGTTCTGTGATATTGAGATTGTTGAATCTGGTTTCTTCTCTTAATGGTAAGATGGTGCGATGTTAAGATGTTATGATACTCGAACTTAGCTTCCTCATAGAGGAGTATTCAAGATGCAAGGCTGGGTTGAGGGGTGTATATTGTGATAGGTTTTCTATTCATTCCATTCGTGTCGTTCTTTTTGATAGATGGCTTGTAGACTAGATAGGTACTTCACTCTCCCCGGGCTTTTTGTTTCGTTGCCGTTGCTCTTATTGCATCTCATTCTAATCCTAAATCTACCCTAACAATTTCGTTTACAATCCCTCCCTCAAATCATTCATCGAGTCCCGTTTACCCTGACACTTCATGAGCCATTCATACTTTTTGAAAACAGAGTACACCTACTTGCCAACTAGCAAACACCTACCACACATATATAAACCCCATGCCGCGACAATATCCATCCTAACGTGCATCAATCATATAACAAAGACAGCACATTTACCATTTTACCATTGCCCATCCTTAAACTCGTCAAGCATCTATCCTCTCCTCTACTCTCCTACTCGACCAAACTCTCCCCACAACAAGAAACTACTTAATCCGCATCAACATTGCTGTTGCAGCTGTTGCAGCTGATACAGATGTTAATATTTGAAATTAAATAAAATTCTAATTGTTACTTCTCCGACTTCCATTAGAATAATAAGGAAATGAGATAGCCCTCCGTAGATAGATATAGATGCGAAAAAAAAAAAGGAAGCAGGAATACCACAAATACGAATACGAATATCACCACAAAAACAAGATTCGATTTCGACAACCTGGGGAATATATACCTAGTAAATAAATTACTCTTCGGGGGGTTATTAAAACAAGTGCTTAAGCTCGGGGCAAAAGTCAAGAAGCTGGATTGATATAATAATTATACCATGATTTATCTGGGGAAGATTTCTCGTTGAGATGAACGGAAAATGGGGGAATGAGATTGTTCTTCATCTGCTTATGCTGGAGTTGAGGGTAGGTAACTTCATATGTTAACTCCTTTCTCTTTTCCCGTTTCCCATTTTCCCCATCATCTTCCCCTTCTCGTAGCCCTATACCATAGTACAGTAATTATCTCATCAAAAGACCACAACCACGATTCTATTCATACCCAGAGATCTCTTGATCAACAATTTGAAGCTTTTGCATATCCAACTTCCTCCTCCTCCTCCCCAACTAAAACACCCCAAGACGAGCAAATGTTCACATATACAAACAAAACAACACAGAAACCAAATAAGATAACCTTTTGACTACAATCTATTCAATCCACACCATCACACCATCACTCGATGGCATCTACTACACACATTCACCACCATTTACACCACTCACCTCCACTCCAGTAAATAAAAAACTTGAGTTTCTTTCCCAACCTTCCAGTCCCCCAATCCCTCTCCCTCCTCTCCCTCTCCCTCTCCCTCCTCTCCCTCTCCCTCCTCCTCCTCCTCCTTCTCAAACATCCAAACCCAAACCCAAACCATAACCATCAGCCCCAAAACCGTCAACCTCCAATCCAATCCAATCCAAGAAAAGTACTCACCCCTCACTCCTCGCCCACAACTCACTCCTCAACTCACTCAACTCACTCCTCAACTCACTCAACTCACTCCTCAACTCACTCAACTCACTCCTCAACTCACAACTCACAACTCACAACCCCCAACAAACCCAACACACATGATAAATTTTCAAATCAACTTTTTATTTTTCAAGAGATAGATTGAGAGGAGACATCATTCAAATGCATGCATGCATACATATTACGGTAGGTATATTGTATCGTATGAATCACCCAGTCAGCATGCATGCATGCATCCATCGATACAGAGACAAACACAAACACAAACAATAACACACATAAACGCACATAATACCAACCAACACATACACCATAGCCCATTAGGAAAAAAAAAAATAAAGAAGCACCAGCGAAACAGTATGAAAATAGGATGTTCATCTCTAAAGTTTCTTTGAAAAAAAGAAAAAGAAAATGCATGCATGCATCCATAAAAACATGTAATGCGTGACCCTTTTATCCCCAAAGCAAAAGCCAAAGCCCGAAGCGAATAAGATAAGATAGAGAAACGGCGAAAAAACGGCCAGGTAATGAAGTCCATCCATGAATTACTTTACTCCTTCCTTCCTTCCCTCTTCCGTCAGTCCATTGTTTTTCATCCAAAAAGCACCGTGAACCATTTTGATTTCACTCCACATTTGCTATTCCACCTATTCATTCCCTCTACATGATAATAGCCGGAACATCAACATTAGCCTTGATGCTCTTATGTGGGAGAATGCTTCCTCCATTTACGTAAATCTCATCACCGATCGTAACATCATCACCCAATACACTAACATTCTCCAAACGTGCCCATTTACCGATAGTAGAGTTCCAGCCAACGATGGTGCTCTTAACCCAAGCGTGATCCTTGACTTTAGAGCCTTCGAGGAGGACACAACGTTGTAAACGAACACCATCACCGACAACAACATTAGGACCAATTGTTACGTTGGGACCAATGCGACAGTTCTTGCCGATTTTGGCGGAAGGGTCGATCAAGACATTACCGCCGTGTACATATGGGGTATTTGGTGGAGTAAGGAGTTTGGAACCCTTTTTGGTAAGGGAAGAGAGGTAGAGACAGGTTCCAGAGAGGAAATCTTTGGGTTGCCCAACATCCATCCAGAATCCTTCCAAGTCGAAAGAGTGTAATTGACCATCTGCGCAAATAGCAGGGAAAGTCTCTTGTTCGATGGAGGTAGGGCGGAGGTCGATGCGCTTGAGGACACTTGGGTTTAAAATGTAGATACCGGCATTAATGCGGTTTCCGACGAACTCGACTGGCTTCTCTACGAATCGATCGATTCTGGATGGGTGGTTTGGTTTATGAACAACGACACCATATTTGGATGGTTCTTCAACCTTAGTTACGACGATGGTACCTTCATCACCGTGCTTCTTGTGGAAAGCAGCCAAGTCTGCGAAGGGGTATTCGCAGATGACATCTGAGTTAAGGACGAAGAAAGGCGCGTCATCTTTGCCGAGAATTTCTTCTGCGAGTTTAAGAGGACCGGCTGTACCTAATGGTTCGGATTCGATGGAAAATGTGATTTTAACGTTGAATCTTTCTTCGTACTATATTGCCTGCATTAACTTCTGCGGTGTAACCCATCTTTTTTTTTATGGTGGTAGTGAATCATACCTCAGCCAAATACTTTTCCATAACCTCCGGGCGATAGTTTACAGCCAAAACAATATCTGTTACTCCAGCTTCTGCCAAAGCTTCAACTTGATGTAAAATCATGCGCTTGTTACCGAACTCGACTAAAGGTTTTGGGAGGGTAAGAGTCTAGGGATCATTGTCAGTCGATGAATGTCTTGGGGAACTCTGTAGCTTGCGCGCAGGGCGCCATATAGACTTCGAATATGGTATCATGACAATGGGGAACGTACGAGTGGGCGTAGACGGGTGCCAAAGCCACCGACAAGAATGAGAGCTATTTGAATATGTTAGAGATACATTGGAGGAAGGTCTGCGGATGCGGAAGTGCCTACCCTTCATTTTGATAGTTTGTGAGATTTGGAATGTGTAGAAAAGTGTCAAGTATTTCTCGTTCTACCCCACAATTGAAGAGGACAGGAACAAGTGTCAAGAAGATCTGGATCGAGTGGGATTCTGATCTCAACTATAGGTCGGTAATGAAGATAGTGAATGTCGAGCTGTCCTCGTGAATTGGATATACTCAAGCACAATTGGAACAGAGAAAGGAAGAGATTGTACAATTAAAATGAAGTTTTTAGATAGAAGTCAAAGAATGTCTTGCTATTAAAAGATTTAGCAAAGAAGTCCGAGTTGAATACAAAGCTCAAAGTTCTTGTGTTTGTTCGTTGTAGTTGCAGTTGTAGTTGTAGTTAGTTGTCGTAGTAGGTAGTTGTCTTTTTATATTGAGTCGATGTTAAATGTTGTTGTGCGTACAAAGTAAAATAAACAAAGTAAAATAAGGGTTTTTGGGGTAGCAGCAGAAGGCCACTGTGTCAACGGTGCTAAAGCTATTTTGGGGGGGCTCGGTTTCCAATTTCTCGATTAGCGTTTATAGTGCTGGAACTTGGAACTTGCGAGGGAGGGAGGGCAAGGGCAAGTTGTAATTATTAAATTAATAAAGATGAAATTGAACTTGAACTTGGAAGGATGCAACAGATGAGTTGAAAGGAATCAATCGGATTAACAAGTATATGTATATCCATATGTCCAATCGAAGGAACACGTTCTCCACCCATCTGCTCGCTCTCGTCTTTCTCTAGAGTTTAGACTGAAGGCATAATCAAGCCATCGAAGTTGGTGATGACGACGGTGGGTGGTGTGTGTATGTGGCTTGGCCAAATCTCGCAATGTGTATTCCTCTACCTTCTATCGTCGATGCTACCAGGTATATGAGGAGCTGAACGACACAACTACTCATGATCATGTATAGGTGAAGTTAGAAAGAGGAGTATCTAGCAAGATGCTGGGATTAACAAAGGCTTGGCTTGTAAGGGAACCTAGTCGACATCATTTAATTTCACACCATAACCTCCTTCATCCCCCCTTTTCGCGAAATCAAGACTGGATATCTATCTGGATTCTGTACTCTTTCCTTCCATTGCATACAATCATGAGTAGTACCACCACCATACCACCACCATACCACCACCATACCACCAACCTACAAAGTCTAGCCCTACCTACAAACCCCACGCAGACTTCCCTTTCTGTATTCAAGCAGGAAATATCGTATCAAAACCAGAGCCACTTCATCCACCAACCTCGTGTCCTTCAATGGCATGGAAATACATAATGTGAAGTCGTAAGATGAACTGGTACGTGCTTCTGACATTCATACATGATACGAGGTGGTGGAAGTCGCCGATCCAAGCTTTCATCGATCTTCGTATCAGAAAACATCACGAGATGTGAAATGTAGTGTGGCAGAAGACGCCACAATCTTGAATCATCGGTGGTTTGATGAGCTTGGTGCCGATCAGACATCAACAATTACATTGTGCTAATGCTGGCACCAAGGTAGTCTGATGGCATATATATATACTCAACATTACCTATTGTCAGCAGAAACCTCAAATATGATTGACTTTGCGATGGTTGTTTCAAAGGAAAGTCATAAAGGTCATATCCCAGCTTGACTATTATTCGCAAGGAAGTTTCCACAAATGATTCGGGTTACCACAGTTGGTAATCCATCAATCTTTGACCTGTGCGCTCAACCAATTAATGTCTACCCACAATTGCAGACAGCATAGGCACGAAGTATATGTATGACTTTGAGACGATGCGTACTGAGCAAGTTGGATCGATGGGCGAGATTTACTCTCTGGCGAAGCTGGTTTTGATCTGGTTGGGTGAAGGTTTTGAAGGAGTGATTAGGCTCTTATCTTGATGTCTAAAATTGATGACGCGGGTGAGAGTGAAGTTGAAATTACAGACGAGATGTCAGAGATGTCCCAAGCTATGCTTTCATTTTTTATACCGCCCGTTGAGAGGAAATGGTTTGCTTGTCTTTGGACGATACAAGAATTGGTGCTAGCGAATTAGGATCCTCTTGTTGGTTGTGAATTTACTCGGACAACGTGGAGTTCATTGCTGAAGTTATGAGAAAACGTGGTGACGATCAAATCCACAAAGATTATAGAGGAAGCAGGCCTCGAGAACAAGAATGAAAATAGTACCACTGATGCTTCGAGTATCCTCATAGTACTATCAGAATCTATATTCTCAATAATTTACGCATCCAGTTGCCAATAAACAAGGTGAAAAGCTCCAGGATTTATCACTCAACACCATTCATCCAAGGCGACAGACCCAAAGACAGAATATACGCCTTACTAGGCATGATGCGTCCCATAGACCGACAAATCCTCACTATAGATTGCGACCGACCTTTAGGAAAGGTTTACCCAGAAGTCATATCCCCCATCTTTCACAAAATGCAAGGTGAATTTCTTCTCTTGGGCATAGAAATAACAGGTCCAACAACAAATATCTCACCAACTCTTCCACGTCGAAAACCTAGTCCACAAACCACAGCGCCTCCCAACCCTCCACTCAAACCATCGCCCCTATCCCCATCTTCAAAACCAAGAATCTGTATGGAGAACCAGCAGCGCCGCACGCGAAGTAGCACCAAATCCTCCAGCGAGATGTACGAAATTCTACCGAGTAAAAATAAGCAGAACCATGATCTCCACGCCAATACCTCCCCGGCCCATAAGCCCTCCGGTCCCCAAGAAATAACCTAAGCCCCTCTACCCTCCACCCTCCTAACCAACCCCAAACACCACCTTCCCTATAACCAGCATCTGTTTCCACAGCCTAGCACCTAGCACCTAGCACCTAGCACCTAGCACCTAACACCATCAAACCCAAAGCATAAGCAACTAACTCTCTATTCTAGCTTACCTGCTCCTTTCATTTTACACCGAGGAAGAAAAAAGGAAAAGGAGAAGCAGGTAGAAAGAAGCAGATGTAGATATACAAAAAAGAAAACAAGGAAATATCCAATATACTCTCTATTGTACACCTAGGTATACATCTAGTCTTATACGGGGAATGGGGGAGAATTAGTATCTAGGTAGTTAATGAAGTTTATTGCGAGGATTGATGATCCGAGGATGGTATTTTTAAATTATCTTTTGCTACCTTTCGCCTAGGTACTTAGACACAGGAAGTTTTATAATTAGTTGAATTGAAGTTTAATTGTATCTAGAATCACTAAATAGATATATTTACGCACACACGAGTAATCTTACCATACGTAACCATGAACAACGCAACATCCCGTTAAACTACCTAATAACTAATAACTACCTACCACCAAATTACTCTCATATCACGTCACATCATATCATATACAATCACCACATAAGTAAGTCGTCCACTAAACAACTAACATTACTCTTCACATAAATCATAAGTCATAAGTCACAGAAAAAAATATCCATATTCAAAGTAAGCATTCATTGATACTATATCTCCCTCGTTCATCCAGCCAGCCAAACTAAGAAGAAACAAAACAAGTAAATTCGTAAAATAAGGTACTAGGTAGCCCAAAGAGACTTCTCTCTCTCTCTCTCTCTCTCTCCCTCTGTCTCTTTATCATATCATATCACCCGTCGTCATAAATCATGACAAAAAAGATGTGACATGATAAAAACAAAAATAAAAAGCAAAAAAATGTATCCATTCATCAATCATCAATCATCCATCATGTCGAAGAATCCATGTCTTCAAGAAAGAAGCGCGAGCCCCTCATCATTCATCATGATGTTCATCTCTCGGACGCTCAATAGGAAAAAATAAAACAAAACAGATTTTCCTCCATGTAATGCAGCGCTATTCCTCTCAGAGAGTGTAACCTAACCTCCGCCTTTCATCCTGTATAAGAATCATGCATGCATGCTATACCGCACCATAACATAAACATAAACATAAACATAAAAATCATCATCTCTCCTCACCCGCTCACCCGCTCACTTGCTTTTCTCCTCACGATAAACTAGCACGCAAAAACATCAAAACTAGGCCACCCACCGATCCAATCTTCAAACGCACAAAAGATAGCTGCCTCTCCGTAATGACCGTGTATGGGATTCGAGTCGCCTCGTTTTTCCCTACGATTCCGGTGCTGTGATACCCATGAATCATGGGCCGTTCGTCATGCATGATAGTATTTTGCAATAGTATTTGTACTTGTAGTGGTGTAGATTCTTGATGGCCCCAAACAGAAAAGAGAGAAAGAAAATGTAAGACGAGTTAAGAAAATTCGTAAAATTCGTTAATCTCATCATTTTTAAAACGAATAAAATGAATATATGGAAAATTCGTGAGAAATTCATCAATTGCAATGTGCCAGTGGAATATCCTTTCCTTTTGATAATATACCGCCCTTAATGATCCGTCTTTGTCATGGATGGTCGTAAATCGTAATTTTTTTTGGCCTCGGGGTCCCTACTGTATATCGTTCGTGTATTATTGGATGGTACGCCATTATACCAATATGGGTGTACACGCAGTCACTTCTTAACTGCCGACCGTCATTGGGTATCTGATTTCTCTAATTTCCGGTTCGGAAGATGTGCTCGATGAGCTGCTGCTGAGCGTCACGGAATGTTGCCGCTGACGATCATTTCTTTTCTTTTGGCGGCCACCTGTCTCGTTGGCAGGCAATCCTTGGATAACACCATTACGAGCCAGCATCCCTCCATTGACTGATGACTGACGGCAAACCATAAAGGCCTGTGTGGCGGCATTCTCCTGAGCTAGGGCATCGGTTTGGTAGGCTAGATCCGTTTGGTACTCCTGTCCGTTGACGAGCACGAGACAAGTGTAGCCTTGTGCGTCGCGGTACGTCTTGTACTGGGGACCTTGCCAACCTCGTCGACGGCACAAATCTGTCTACATGTCAGCGGCTAGACCAGGGACTTTGTTGCACAAATTGTATTTTGGGGATGAATGTAACGCTGGCGTTCATAATATTGACCCATCAGGAATAGCATATCCATTGGGATGTCTTGGGTAGCGCAGCGGGATTATGCATCCCATGAGAACGGTAATATATGACATAGTGAGGCGATCGATTCAGCCTTCTTTTGATGCAACACCCGCCAGGGCAGGATTATATTTGAAGAGCCGGATCGAATGAAAACTTCTAGTGAGGTGGTAAAGAGGAAAGCTCCGAACTCATGAATCGACGTACTCTCTAGATATGCCATGTAGAATCCCATCGTAGTGTTCTTGAGATGTCAGAGTATGACTAGATCTCTCAAAAGAGGAGTTATGCCCGTCGTCTGAAGTGTGGTGAGACACTCCTTCCTCGATCGATACAAGGTAGTGAGTATGCCTTGAGCTTAGGTAGTGCCTGAACGCTATAGATCTGACGATATCGATGCAACTGAGCCCAGTGTTTGAGGTATACAGGGAATATGCACACACTCAGTGCCGTGTATGTGAATACAATGATGTATGGACAGTGTCGTGGTGTTGAAGAATAAGGCTGACTGTGATTGAGTGGATGTTCTAGGGGTTCTGTGCAGGACTTTCTTTCATTAATAGCGAGACATGTGTGATTTATCGCAGAGTCTAGTTGTTAGCGTTGAACAAGGATCATGGAGTTATTTATCGGAGTAGAATTGAGGGGATGTTTAGATAGGACAATGGCTTGAACCATCTGCAAGTCATGAATGCGGCTCTTTGGATATGATGGCGAGCGATGTGTTGGCGTGTGCCGTTGCCAGTGATAACAAATCAACATAATTAGGCAAACTCCACCACAGCATTAGAACGTATAGAAACGATGATCTTGAATAGCTCAAACGTACCAAATCTCCGTTCTGAGAAACGTCTGCAGGTAGTGAAATTGTCGATGCAGCGGGGTGGCAAACGGGCTCATCAAGATACCTTGTCCCACTGATCCGGACAAAACCATGGGAACATTCCATTGCCATGGGGGGGATGAAAAGTTTGCGGACCGCAGGCAGAGAAAAGAGCCAAGACTCAATGGATACTGTAGCATTTTGGATGAATGGCAAAATATGAGTAAATCTTCAGCAATTACGGACGTTTTTCCAGAGAGATCCGCTGGGTTGGCCGCTAATGCAAAGAAATCGATGGCAATACAAAAGAACCATGGGTTCAAATGCAAGAAAAACGTCAATATCGCTCGCTAGGCCAGGGACATAATCCTCCAGTAATTCGTCTACGGTATTGTACCTACCGTCTGCCGATACATTGAATTCGAAAACTCTGGCCCAAAATGGCTTGTGCTTTCTTTGCAATGGTGCCACTGAGTGGTTGTTATTAACACACATGGAAATATTAAGGCGTTTTCTGTCCTCGGGACATGCCCCACTGCCCCGCACCACCGCGGTACATTGAGGTCGTGAAGGGAGACGAGGAAGGAGAAAGAGAAAGAGAAAAAGAGATCGCAACAAGCAGCGCGATTGACGCGGAATGACTGGAGTACGACTTGACACGAAGTCGGTGAGCCTTCAGTGCATGAACATTGGCTGGGAATTGGAATTGACCGGCGTCCATCGAGTATTGTGCTTCAATATTCATCGTAGTTGATTCGTGAAGGGATCAAAAAGGTGCGAGGCAAAAATCAGCCAGGCCTAATACTAACCGTAAACAAGGTTGTCGTGCGTTATGCTTGATGAGTTGGCAGTGCGCTTGACTTCTCAATAGTAATGTTTATATGCCGTTGAAATTGAAAATGGAATAACGGTAGAGTATATTCAGCAAAGCGTAAAGATTCCGTAGATCTAGAAGTTAAGAGGTCGCCGCCCAGATGTACTCTAGATGAAATTATGTATGAGTTGAATGAAATTTGGATACAGAGTAGAGCATAAGGATGATGAAGGGTGAAGGATGAAGGATGAAGGTTGAAGGATGAAGGATGAAGCTGGAAAGAAAAAGCTGGAAACATTATTCACTGATGGTTCGTGATTAAAGAATTCCTTCACAGAACATCAAACAGGAACACCTCGTGCAGCACAAAGCATAATAATGCTATTAATTTTCCATCTTTCCTTTACAAATTCCCAGTACATATTGTCAACTTCCTTTTTGGTTTTGGTCTTGGTCTTCGTTTTCTATTTTCCATTCATTCATTTAGAACCGTCGTACCGTCCCGTAGTTCTACTGAGGATCCAACCGCTACATTGACCAGGTGCCTGGCTGGCATCACAAATGGGCCATTGGCAGAGTAGCTTCCCTTCCATTGCCATTGAGCGAGCATATGAGCCAAAAAGAATCCCGCAAATTATCAACTGCCATTGATCATGGTATCATACCGAGTATTCTGCCGTCTGGTACAAATGTAATGTAAGCTTGGTGACATTTGGAATACGACGGTAAAAAGTTGATCTGACATAGCGAGATGCATCGCATCGTTCCAATTCGCATCATCTACTGCGGCGTACACATTCATCTGGTTCATCCACAACCTAGGTCCTGTTGCATTGACCAAAAAAGGTGGCAAGTCGGAAGAAGTTTTGCTGTGGAGGAAAAAAGTAATTGGCCCGTCCCGAGTAAATGCGCGATGTGGGTATATGCTACATAAAAATACAGGAGAGCGGAAATGGCCTGCAGCTGCAGCAGTTCCATGCAACTAGCGAGTAAGTCAAGGGGTTCTTGTTTCTTCTCGTAACTTCGTAAGAGGGGAATTCTCCTGTGTCTAGGGACTATAAGCAGCGAAGTGGGATGAAATGCATGTACGGACAACAATTACTGGAGCTGAAATATTCACATACAGTATCTAAAGTTACAGATCGATAACAGTACCCGTCTCTGAGCTCCCCAAAATCGGGGAACCCCCCTTCTTCCCTCTCGGATTCTGGTTCAATTGATACCGGTACAATGATACGACATCTCCCCAAAAGTCTAACACAACACAACACACGACACACAACACTTCACATGGTCGACCAAATATATATCGTGTTTCCAATATCCACTCCGCAGTTGTACAATAACAAAATCATTCGTCGTACCTTGCGGTGAGCTCATGACGATTGCAAAGAGAGACCGAAAACAGGTAGGACCCGAAAGATCCACCAACCTTCAATGTGGGGGTTAACCTCGATCATCAGTTTTCTATTGATCTTCCTATTCTTCCGATGAATTGGCGAACCATAAGAAAGGGATTTCCCCTCGGCATCCACTCCTCTACTCCACTTTCCACCAGTCTACTAAAATATCTACTCGGTATCAAAATGTAGAAAAGTACTGGAGGAACTTCATGCACTTTCATGCAACTTACCAAGGAGCTACAAGTAGAAAATAGAGTATTTTTTTGATCTATCATATGGATTCTCATGTGAAGAGGAAACAATAAACCCCCTCACTTTGGTCCGGAACTGGTCGGAGAAGATTGTGTACGACGTATCTCGTAACAGCCATCTTAGCCTTTGGCGTTAATGTACTTCACAACGCCGCCTGCTTTAACTTGCTTTAATCACCCTCAATTTTCCACCCACGTTCCAAGGTTGACCCTGTCGACAAAGGGGAGGAAGAATGCGTCCCAAGCCCAATCACCGGAAAAATGGGAATTCAATTGGATCATTGGACTCAAGTCCTCAACTAATGCATCGATAAATATATCTCGCCGAATGGATAACCTTAAATTATGTACGTCATGTGATATACAATGCCCTTCCTCGGCGCTGATGAAGAGTCAAAATGGCGCCATCCATATGTGCAGACTTTTCCATCCCATATAATCCAACTCTGAACTAATGTAATCATTTAGCCCATATAGTCATAATGTTGGCACTTTCTAAAAAGTCCCTTTTGCAGCGAAGTAGGCCCGTGTCTCCTCAGCAACGCCCTCCGGTATCACGAAAACTGGGTGGAGAGTCCCCACTCTATCTCCCTCATCATATATCTGTGTTGTCTCAACATAAGGTTCGGCTGTCCATTGATACGGTGAAACAAGCATTCCACTCAATTCCTCTTTCTGTGCAGACGTGTTGAAATGCCATTTATGCTGTGCGGAACTGAGTCCCGCAAGGACATAGCATGTATGATACGAATCAGAGCGACTGTAAAAGACGATCAGCACCAATGTGGAGTTAGTAAGAAGGAATATGCTTACTGGCTGGGCTTATCTCTTAGCCCACCTCGGTTTCCTGTATCCTGACAGCAGCAGAGAATGTATCTGATCAAACCTTCGCGGCTATAGAGATTTATTGGAGTGGAAGACGAGGATGAACCATTTTGGGTTGGCTGCGTCGGACCTTCAAGACAAGCTTCCAATAAGGGCCAACATCCTCCAACCCAATGGGAGTAGCACCCGTCGACTAACTTATTCGTACGACCTGAGAAGCCGCCTTCCGGCGCATACTGACGTGCTGATAGCCATGAAATAAAGCCCGGAACGTCAAGATACCTAAATATGGATTAGAATTACGATTAGTTGGACTATTAGCTACGAAATTTCGACCTACCGAGGTATCGTGATGTGCGGTTCACCCAAGATGCACAAACAACCCAACGCTAAGAACGCGTATGCACCATGTGCTTCAACATTTGGTCGAGCACCTATACCACCTTCGAATGTTTGACCTATTCTGTTAGCTCAAGCTGATTTGCTGTGTGTGAAACGTACATCTCGAGATCCATTCAGGAAGTCCGTCGATAAAAGTAGTATAGTTTGATGACCTGGCGGGAGCATCTAGGGGAAGGTCGAGAGGTAAGCTCAGGAGAGTGATAAGGATGAGCGCACAATATGCACCACTTTGAAAATTATCAGCACTTCGTCCTGCATCTGTCATACTTTCGGAAAGCTTACCGAATGTCTTCCTCGCCACCAACGGCCATTCTAAAACCTCCAGTGGACATCTTCAGACTGCCTAGCCATTTCCACATTGCTTTGCGATCAATAATGTCTAGCGCTTCCTTCCCACCTACCATAGATATTGATAGAACGTTTGCATAAGTGGTAGCTAAATGTGACATCTGACCATTTCCGCCACCAAACCCTCCAGTCACATTTTGTATGGGACGACATGTTGATATGACTTTTTCCCGATATGATGATATATCTTGACCCAAAGTGGCAAGACCAGCCAACGCCCAGTAGAACATCCATGGTCTGCTCGCATCAGCACCAACATATGCCGAGGGTAACTTCTGTAGCTGCTTGTGAAGAAACTGAATATGTTTTTCTCGTCTTAGTTGAGGAACCCCATATGGGTAATAAGTTAATCCTGCTTCCTTACCTGAGAGAAAAGGAAGACATTCTTGAATGGTTTGATCTTGGAGGTGAGAAGTTTGAGTCTGCAGAATATCCCGGAGCAAGGGATACTCCGTGAAGGTATCGGGAATCATATTCACCAAAGCTGCTTCTTCTTCCTTAATTGGTCGGGATGAGCCGTAAATAATATCTTGATCAACCTCAGCCTCAATATCTGCCTTGGATGATGAAGATTCCTGTATGATAAAGCCAGGCGCTTGCGGTAGATTTTTCAATGAATCACTGTATGGAAGCTGGTCTAATCTGCTGGGAGGGATGGAGGTGAAGAGTTTTTGTTCACATTCTTTTCTTCCACTGCACGTCGATTGAATTTCACACTATGGTGATACTTCTTTCCTTTGATGATGAAAGTCATGTGGGTTGGATGTCTTTTGTCTCAAAATTCAAGGAACACAACGATTATCCATTATGATTCGCTGTCGACCTCTACTTGTTGCTGCTGATTTAATAAAGAGATGGGGTGAAGGTTTGTCCAGTTCCCAATCCCAATCCCGGTCCAGTCCAAGTGCTCGCTTACAACATCTCTTATCGAACCAGAAAAGGTCACCAGAGCCGAGCCAAGGTGGAAGACCATCTCAACCATCTCATCTTCACTAAACAATTCGCACTGAATTTGAATTTGAATTTGAATTTTTATCATTCTGAAATGGAATTGAAGATGCAATGCAAGTAACGTTCCATACATCTTCCACGGTTCTTCCAAAGATCTAAAAGGGAATTCTGTTACAACACATTTGCATCTGCATTTACATTTACGGAGTACATTCACGAAATGCATGTTGCCGTAAGGCATGCCTGCAAGCAAGTTTTATCTTTAACAATTGGGCTGCCGTCCTTCGGCCATAGCCGACAGATGATCATTGAGTCGTACAGGACCTCCTCACCCAATACGTATATCTGCAGATGCTGAATGCGTACCAAGGCTCTAATTTATTCAAGAACCCAGTCCCTTCTATCGAGTCTTTCTTTTTCGCTCATCATAACCGCATTCCGAAGTACAACGGACAATGGAAGTACCTTTTGGGGGATAGTCGTTCAAAGGGAATTCGGAAGGAGAGAAAAGACCTATCATGCACAGGTGATGATATGACAACTGTTTCCGATACTGACAAATGTCCGATCTCATGAAAGCGTGGACACTGGATGTGTATCACTACTTAACATGGGGAGCCATATGTGAGGAATATGTCGGCATGCGCTGATTTGCAGAACGTTTTTCGGATTGTCCAATAAAGACGTTTAAAGGGATTCATCCGCTGCAGGCGTGTGGTTTTGAGGCGTTTTCGCATGAATTTCTATCTGCAGCTGTTGGGGGGGATGGGCCGTTCTATTAGAGGATAAGATACGAGTTTAATCAAAGAAACCCTCGGGAGTTACACTACTCTGAGTGGTACCTACTCAATACATATTGGAAGGGTAGTGCGCCCAGTCAATGATGAAATTGCGAAACGATGAGGGGATGGAGGGGGGAAATGAGGGGCATGAATGCTCTTCGATGATTGCTTTTTCCATCTTATCATAAGCTTTGTACCTGCTGGTGTCTCAGATCTCGTTGGCAGGTTGACAAGGTCCACCAATAATCCATCTCACATATTGAAGCAGAATATTCGAGATATTTTTAATCTGAAATTGTTTCGATGGGGAGATGTTTTCGGTTTTGTGCGATGCCGGTAGATACCTTGTTAGGTACGCGTAGTTTTAATCTCACATGGCGAGTGTAAGCGCGACAACGGTAATCATAAAGAATTGATTGTTGAACCGATTGCAGAGCGGCACGCCCTGGTTCACTGCTACCCCGAATGTTGCATCTCTGCCGCTTCCTCCACGTAGGACACAGCGCAATGAGATAGAAACTTACAGTAGATACACGGATCCCTATTTTTGATTACTGTACAGAGTACATGCAGGTAATTAATGGTGATCCCGTCTGACAATAATCTTCAAGGTATCATCACTGACACATTATACATACAGTACTTGTCCGTTCATCCCTCGAATTATCGAGGTTTGACAACGCTCGAAACAAAAGTTTGGACGGGAACTACCAGATTTGATCGTCCGGAGTGTGGTAGCTTAGATAATAGCAGCCCCTGCCCCTTCGGCCCCAGGTGAAAGATCTGACATGCCGGAGCCAGAAAGGGAGACGTGCGCAATACAGACGAGGGGATTTAAAGAGAAAAATTTCAAAGGAGAGGGCCACATTTGAGTGACATTTTTGATGTGGGAAGGGACCTTGAAAAGTACATAAAACTCCAGGATGGACCATGAAAATATTTTCAGAGTGATAATTGGGTCAAGATGGAGCCCTCTGCCATTTAAATCGGATATTTATTCAGGACTTTTGGGCGGATGTCCAGAACCTGTTCAATCATTGCCACTCAAATCATTCGATCTCGCCTACAGCGTTTCAGAGCCTATTTCATGATTTGTTGTACAGATTTTCATGTACTATTGTCAGGTATTGGATTGAACAACAAGGCCAACAGGTTATTCTTGACTCAAAATAGTGGTACAGAGGGCCTAGCACCCGCTATTATATAGCTATGTTTTCAGCACAGCGTCGTTGATTTGAGCATCAGTTTTAACTACTTACAGGCTATTTCCCCACTTTCCTAGTTCCCACCCCTCCAGCCCCTCTTGAAAGTTGAGCATCAGCTCGATTTTAGCCAGGATTCTAGGGTTAGCTTTTAGTGGCATTAACCCACTATTAAGCGACTCTTAAGACTTCTTCCAATCGCTATTGCTTGTTATTCCATGGGTTAGCCCTGAATAGTCCTCGCTCACCCAGGGACTTTACCAAAATCTACCATACAGATCGAATCCATCGGACACATGACTTTTCTGCTCGCAGTAGTCTCATGCTACCCCATGCAGTAAGAAGACGCTTGTGGTTCCAGCCGTCACACCTGATTCGGCGAAGGCTTGCCAGTGGGCTCGAAATGGCTGGGGTCGTATAAGTTTGCCGAATTCCCACACCGCTCCTTATGTGGATCCTACCTTCAACCTACGAACTTTTACTACCAATAGGCCGCACACCGACTAACATCGTGAGGTTTCCCTCTTCTTCAAAGGGCGGTGTCTTCGACCCTCTTTCTTACAATACTATTGACCATTCCAACAAGTAATCAGCGACAATGAGCTCAAATCTTGACTTCTCGTCAGAAGGTCTATTAGACCTTTCTTTCGAACAACGTGACCCACGATACCAATTTACCAATATGGCTACGCGCTCGACTTGGCCACTACCGCTGGATATGACCTCAGGAGGATCTGACGAACGACGGGAAACTTCGCCAGGGCACAGTGGGCACCAACAGTATCAAACAGGGCATCATCTTAATTCTCCAACATTATTGACAGACTGGCCGATTCAGCAACAATCTCAGCATTTGTCACCCCAACAACTTTCTCCTCAGCAACTGTCGCATTTTATTCCGGATAACTCGTTGATGGGACCGCAGTACACATTTGGCAGCCCATATCAAACATCACCGCTCGACTATGGCTTACCTGCAACGACACAGGCAGCGCTCGAAGCCAGCCTTCAGATGGAGGCTCCATTCAACGGACTCGCACAAACGGTAGAGGCACAGGCGAATCAATGGCAAGATTGGCATGAATTCGAGTATGCGATGAATTTCACGGCGAGCCATGGACTACCAAGTATAGGACGACAGAGCCTTGGTAGCAACTCACCGACGGGTACATACTTGGAAGTTTTATCATTACCTAGTTCGAGTAGCGATCATGGATGGTCGACGGTCGATACGTATCAGGATTACAGCACATATCAACAAGCGCAGAATGCAGCGATTTTCAATCCAGGACAGACATTACATTTGCGAAGTCATTCGGACTCATCTCAATCTGACGGGCATCAATCAATAGATACTTTTGGCAGTTTCGAGGATTTATCATCTTACCCATATTCGCCATATTCACCCGGTTCCGACAGCTATTTGGATGTCACTGGTGGACACAGGAATTGTTTCCACGGCGAAGCACATCATCATAATCACGACATTATCAGCCCTGCTGCGGCTGTCCCTCCCCAACCTATCCAAGCATCTTCATCGAAATCGACCGCGACTTCAACGACTTCAAACCGCGCTTCCCCATCAAGCACCTCATCACCGCCCGCCAGAAGAAACCCCGCACCACGCAAGAGCCCTACCGCCAAAGCCAGCAAGCCTGTTATCCGCCGCACTCCCAACGGAAAGAAGGATGGCACAACCGAAAAGCGTGTGGGCAGAAGACGTGGACCATTATTACCAGAGCAGAGGAAACAAGCTAGCGAAATAAGGAAATTGAGGGCTTGCTTGCGTTGCAAATTTTTGAAGAAGACTTGCGATAAAGGTGAGCCATGTGCTGGATGCCAGCCATCACATGCTCGTTTATGGCAGGTTCCTTGTACTCGTATCGATATCAAGGATATTGGGTACTTCATGAAGGATTGGAAGGCGGATTATGAACGTCACGTGGGTCGTGGAGTGTCGGTTTACAACATCAAGGGTTTCTCGCAGAAGGAGGAGTTGCTCTGGATTACCCATGGATATGGATTTGCTCTCCCGATTATGGCTAGAGAGGTCTATGTAAGTGATGACAGTTGCTTCAACGTCGACTGGGTTGAGGGTATTCACGAAGAACCTCTTGAGTTTGAAACTCGCACGGAAAGAATGTCAGCTGGTTCCGAAGGTGTCTCGAATGAAGCATTGTCGGAGTATCTTGACAAACATATTGATGGACCATTTGAAGAGTTCATTGATGAGTACTTTGAGGGCACTCCATTCATTACTGAGATCTTAAAGACTGCTCACCGCTACTACATGAAAGAGAAGGTTTCTGTCGTCCGCAAAGCATTGAAACTCGTTCTTGCATACAATCTCACATTGCATGTTACCATGGTTGAGCAGCGAGGAGATGAGCACCCAATGGAGGGAATTATTGACGACGAGGATTCAAAATTCAACGGAAAAGTCGTCGCACCCGTCATGATCAATTTCCAAATCAAATGTGCACTAGCCGACATGTGGCGAGAATTGCAAAAGGAGATTCTGGAAGAATTATCGTCGCTTTACTCCAGTGTCTACAGTGGCGACAGACTCAAGAACTGGCCTACCATCTTCATGCTTGCATCTATTCTGCTTGCCGTCTGGGAAGAAATGCAATTTGATTGCCATTACCGTGTTCCTGATCAAGCAGCCGTCAATAAATTCTGTACCGATATGGAGACTACACCAGTCGGCGTTATCGTCGGCCTCTTCCATGCTATTTCTCAAAAGCTCCCTGCTTTCACCGACTGGGAGACTAGAAGACATGGACAACTCCTTAACAACAACGTTGCAGTCTGCGAGGCCATGACCGAAATGAGAGGTCATGTCACCAAGCATGGTGAGTTCACCCTTATTCCCATATATTCACAACCATTAGTCACTAACCCGGCCCTAGAATCCTACCTCAAAACTCGGCCAGACGCCAAGTTCGATCGTCGCGACTTTGACTGTCTCTCCAACAAATTCCTCTCCAAACTTGTCATTCGCGCCAACTAATCTACTGTCGTCAAGAATCTTACTTCGACGCCACCACTTCAACATCATGAATGAATGAAACGATCCACCCTATTTGCAAATATATATCTTCCCGCATGTTGTATACCCACATTGCGTCATCGACTGTACAAATGTTACACATGTCTGTTTTCTATCCACAGACACACGAATCAATGCTATTCATGACATGATATGAAATGATAAGGAGGGAATATTTTTCCTACCCCCCTTCTTTCCAACATCTACGTTTTCCGTGGATTTGCGAAAGAAGCTAATTTGTTTATTTCTTTTTTCTCTGTTTCCTTTTTCTATGGCACGGCACGGCATAGCGTTGATTTTCTGCTTTTCCTTTTGAAATTTTGTTTTGTCGATTGATTGATTTACTTGATCTACTCGATCGAATTGAAGAATTTCCCACGACCCTTTTACGAAACAAACGACATGTTATTTGTATGATCAGACTTTATTCACTTCAATCGGTTCATTCGTTTATGCGACCCCCTTAACGAAGGATGAATGAGATGATGGAATTAAGACCCCTTTAACGTTTCCATGTTTTTATGTTCCCTACGGACTTTTTATGTTGTTTGCTTTTTGCTCCATCTATCTTGTTTTGTTTTTGCTTTTTTTGTTGTTTTTTTTGCCTGTTCGGAATGATGGAAAGGATGAAAAAAGTAAAAGTCCATCACTCAGAACACGCAAATTTTGATCTTTTTGATCTTTTGGAATCGTCGAAACGAAACGAAAGAGAGAAAGAATGAAGGCAGAAGAAATCATCGAAGTAACTGCCGAGTTAGGAATGAAGAAAGGGCCATGCATTAGTTTTTATTTATGGAATTTTCTTGGATGTTGGGAATGGTGCTATGGGAGGAGAGAAAGGAGATGAGCGAGAAAGCAAAGTGAGGGACAATTTAGCTGCGGTTGTCTGTGATGGAGTGATGGAGGACGTGGATTTGTATACGAAGAAAGCAGCAGCCAGACGAAAGGAAGGCATTTTTATACTTGGGCAATTTTTGGTGGGGGAGGGATGGGGCGTAGATAAAAACTTAGGCCTTTTAACTTGGTGACTGGACAGACAAGAATTCTTCAAATTTTTGATCTTTGATTTGCAGTTTCTTCTGCGTGTTTTGCTTGTGATTTTATGTGATGTTATATCTTGTATACTCTGAGTTTTTGCTACATTCTTGCTGGTACGGCTGTCTGTAGAGGATTTTTAGATTTGTACCTTGTATTTGGAAGTTAGCTGCTTAGGCAGAGAGTAGTTAACACATAGGTATGTATCAGCGCCCTTTGCATCTGAGAGACCTCCGAGGAAAATACCTCCCTAGGTACAGTCAGTATCACTTATCAATCACCGACCGACCAGATAATTTCTAGGATGGAATTAGAGAGTTTGGGTTGGGATTTGATTCGGAATTCAAGTTCGAATACATCATTAGATGGAGTGAAAGGTTTGATGGCTTGTTTTCTCGGAGGGAGCTTGTAGTATGTTTACGTTTCTTAACCTTAACTTCTATTTCGGCAGTCTTCTTTCTATTCGTTGTCGTTGTGTTAAATTGAATGTGGATAGGGGATGTTTGGCTGGTTTCATTGATTTCATTGTTTTCATCTCAATAGAGTTTGCAACTGTGTATGTATGTGTCTCCGAGACCTAGAACGGCTTCTCGAGCTCCAAGTGCATACCGGTATACGTATGGACGGGGGAGGGAAAAGAAAGTGATCATCCGTACTTCTTACTTTCACCTCTTGGAAATGGCAATGGTGGCTGCTGACCTGGTGTACCATGAAATATACTTGGGTGCTAGGTATTCATATCATTGCACACCATTACATTCTTTTCCTTCTGGTGTTGTGCTGTGTTGTCCAACTTATGCACTGTAATTGCATCCTGCTCGGCCATGTAATATATATTGATTGATTGTGATCTACAGTCATAGTCAGGGATGTTGATTACTATTCTTCCTTTTCCTTTTCCTTTTCCGTTTCTAATCTCTCTATCTTTATCTTTTATCGCAACATTGATTTGAGTGATTGCGATATCGAAATTAGAAATGACGTACGTAGCATATCCAGCAAAACTCCCTCTGAACAATTACTCCGTACATTTCTTATTTTGGAAAGGCTTCATTCATTATGCAATAATAACTTACGACATATATATATATATATATATATACTTGTTAATGTTAGTGCTAGCATATATGTATGTACTCCGCAAGTGCTTTGCGAGATACTGTATGAAGGAGTCTGAAACGGGGAGTGCGTCGGATGTATGTTGTACAACTGGCAGTTTGGGGCTGGAAGGTGCAGATTCCTATGTATGTCAGTAGAGTAAGGAGAGAGGCAAAGCAATTAAATGATATGTACTAGGGACTAGGTCCTCTGTATGTATCGTGTAACTTGTGTGTATATTGTATGTGTACTGAGACTGAGACTGAGACTGAGACTATGATGAATGGGTCCGAAACACGGGGGGTGTTGAACACAAAATGAGAGGCTGGGAGGATAGTTGGCTGCGATTCTTTGAAATTTGATTCCTCCATCACATCACTGATAACGTCTTTTCAAGTCACGTCCTTTTTTGCTATGATCCAGTCTGTCTGTACAAGTAGAGTATGGGAGAATCCGAGTAGACCGAGAGTCCGAGGAAGAAGGCGGGGTCGGGGGAGAGGCTAAGCTGTTTTTGGAAGAGTGAGGATTGATAAGAGAAGAGAAGACTCATCACAAGGTGTTTGTCAAGTTGTGGTCATTGTCACGCAAGTTGGCAAGTTGTCAAGGGATGTTTGACTTCATGACGACCGAACTCACCACCAACGTGTTTACTGCAGTTCAGAGAAAGCATTAAACAGTCGTTCGACACATATTGAATGGAAATATATCATTCCAAGATTATGTAATAAATTACCTAGGTAATATACAGGATAACTAATCAATAATAAAAGTTCTTTCATTTGAATGCGGTCATGGTGTGATGTTTGTCATCGAACCTTTGGTTTGAGTTCTTACACTGTATTGATTGGTCATCATTCATCTTTCAAATACACTCAGGTCCAGATTCCGAGAAGATTCCACTTCCAAGTACAGCCTCGGAACATTCAGGCAGGGTCTTTCCGTTTCTTTTCTCTCCCACCGCCGTACTCGAACAATAACAATAGTAATAATAATAATTCTATGGAAATTCCTAGAAGGAGCGAGTCAACGGTGAGTAAAAGAAGGCGCAGTACGTACAATTGATTATATTCATTCTTTCTTAGCGTGCTTTGCCTGGGTGGCGTGGCGCTAAGCGATAAGGCAAGCTTGGGGCGGTGGTCTCCTTGTGAATACTTAAGGTCCAACATCTCACTCTCAAACTCCTCCTCCTTCCATCATACACAACAACTCCATCCATCAACTTTCTTCACAATAACGTCCTTTGATCCTCAATAGATCATCATCTACATATTATCTACACCGTCAAAAGATTAATTTTACAAATACACAAACATGCAGATCTTCGTAAAGACCCGTAAGTTATCACCTTTGCGTTTACCGCCTTCTGATACCTCTTGCCACTTTGCATCTATCAACAACCTCCTTCGATAACTTCATCAATAACTATCTCAATAACATCTGCTAACATCCACCTGCTATAGTTACTGGAAAGACCATCACCCTTGAGGTCGAGTCTAGCGACACTATTGACAATGTCAAAGCCAAGATCCAAGACAAGGAGGGAATTCCTCCTGATCAACAGCGTTTGATTTTCGCAGGAAAGCAACTTGAAGATGGTCGCACTTTGAGCGATTACAACATTCAGAAGGAGTCTACTCTTCATCTCGTTCTCCGCCTTCGTGGTGGTATGCAAATCTGTAAGTTATCGCACCTTCTATAAGGCTCTTCAACGGCTTACTAACATCTTCATAGTCGTTAAGACCCTCACCGGAAAGACCATCACCCTCGAGGTTGAATCTTCCGATACCATCGACAACGTAAAGGCAAAGATTCAAGATAAGGAAGGTATTCCACCCGACCAACAACGTTTGATTTTCGCTGGAAAGCAACTTGAGGATGGTCGTACCCTCTCAGACTACAACATTCAGAAGGAGTCTACTCTCCACTTGGTTCTCAGACTTCGTGGTGGTATGCAAATCTTCGTCAAGACTCTCACCGGAAAGACTATCACTTTAGAGGTTGAGTCGTCGGATACAATCGATAATGTAAAAGCTAAGATTCAAGACAAGGAGGGTATCCCCCCTGATCAACAACGTCTTATCTTTGCTGGTAAACAACTTGAGGATGGCCGAACTCTTTCCGACTACAACATCCAAAAAGAATCTACTTTACATTTGGTCCTTCGTCTTCGTGGTGGTATGCAAATCTTTGTCAAGACTTTGACTGGAAAGACTATCACCTTAGAGGTAGAATCATCAGACACTATTGATAATGTTAAGGCCAAGATTCAAGATAAGGAGGGTATTCCACCTGATCAACAACGATTGATCTTCGCCGGAAAGCAGTTGGAGGATGGCAGAACTCTTTTGGATTACAACATTCAAAAGGAAAGCACCTTGCACTTGGTGCTCCGTCTTCGTGGTGGTCAATAAATGTTTTCGATTCAATCTGCACATATATTCTTTAGGCGTTTTTACGATAACCTAATTCGAAGGTGTTATGGGCTGGTATGGCAGGTTTTCATCATAGTGCACTGGCATGTGCCACCTTGATTGATAGTATTCAATAGTCAACATATTTTTGACATTTAACGTGGTTCTCTTATGAATGTGATATTGATGATGGTTTGTTATTGTGATATACATGTAAACGGTGCATATTTGTCATCTGTATCTCCTTATCGATTCTGTACCTTGATGGCGCGAAGATAATGACGGAGTTGTTATCCACACGATCCACACATTAAGCTAAAGTGATGCGAGGCTGCAGCCGCAGAATGAAATTTGTAAACCCGGAACCTTCCTCATTTATGAGATACATATTTGAGCATCTACAACGTCGAGTATTAAAATTCATTTTAGCACCGTTAACAAATCATTAATAATCCGTTTGCCTCGCCACTTACTTCTGCGAATTGAACAAACAGCTCGTACGACATTCCCAAACATCCGCTACAAAGCTTGAACGCGGCATTCAAAAAGACAAAGTCAATCATGCAGCCGTGAATGAAGTATGCCATCATACTTCTACCACATTAAATTCGAATTGTATTCTTTACCTGATTCAGATCCAAAGAAAGTTTCCAAAAGAGAGAGGGGGAGGGATATTTGGATTCCTGGTGAGGGGACGAATATTTTTGATAGCCATACTTCATCTTCCAGTGTTGCAGGCTCAGCCTGGCCGAAACATAAATCTGTTGCTTGGGAACAGGATAGGAGGAGAAAAGGTGGCACTGGAAGTTCGAATGGTTCTGAGCCAGAACGAAATACGGGAAATAATATAAAGGAAGCTAGGGATCAGATACGGCCTGGTGGTGCTCAGGGTGCTCAGAACGGAGCCATTGATTCTGGAGTGAGGAAAGGAGGGGTTATTGACTGCGGACCTTCACGAGGGATACGACCTGAAGAATCGGAAAATCTTGTTATATTAGGCACTGCGAAAGATTCGCAATTAGAAATCGCATCGCCGAGCGCGAGTTTGGTGGATAAGAAGAGAGATCTGCAGACTTCGAAGAAGGATTGGAGGTTTGGGAGGGTAAGGATTGAGAGTCTGGATATGAATGAGGTGGGGGGTTATCATGGCAGAGGGAAGGGCAGTCAGAGTGGCAGTGTAGGTGTGAATGCGGGATTGGAACCTGTGGGTGGTAAAGTTACAAAGGCAAGATTCGAGGAATTACATACCAAGTCGGAGAATGGATTGGAGTTGAAGAATACGGAGGTGGGATGGGGGGTGGTGCATCTGTATAGGGAGGGAGAGGAAACACCTGGGTTAATGGGGGTGGAGGTTTACAACGCAGATACTGTGGCGAGTCCTACGAATATTGCAGGAGATAGTGGGTTGAGTGAGACGGTTGATAAAGATGGTGCAGAGGATTGTACTATACTATGCATACCAGCTGTCCCGAGCTATCTTACACCGAGAGATTTCTTGGGTTTTGTGGGAGAGAAAACAATGTGTGAGGTGAGCCATTTCAGAATGGTTATGACAGGAAGGATGAATAGGTATATGGTACTTATGAAGTTCAAAGATGGAAATGTGGCGAGGAAATGGAGGGCAGAATGGGATGGTAAAGTCTTCAATAGTATGGAGGTATGTATTCACTTTGGCATCATGTATCTTTGTTTAGAACTGACAATATTTGATGTAGCCAGAAACTTGCCATGTCATGTTCATAAAGTCAATCACTTTCCAAACACCTGCTTCCTCCAGATCAAATACGAGTTTCCCGGAACTATCACACGATCCTTTTACGCCAGCTCCAATACAAAGTAATCTTAAACCTTTTCCACCTCCAACTCCAAATCTCGTCGAACTTCCCACATGCCCTGTCTGCCTGGAAAGAATGGACGATACAACAGGCCTCTTCACGATCCTATGTCAACATGTCTTTCACTGTGCCTGTCTTGAAAAATGGCGTGGCACAGGTTGTCCTGTTTGCCGGCACACCAATCCCTCTCTAGCACTCTCCTCTCAACATTCTTCTTCAACCTACGACCCTGATAATCCACCCTTCGGAAGTGGTGAAGCATCATTATGTAGTATTTGCGATTGCACTGATGATCTCTGGATATGCCTCATATGCGGAAATGTCGGATGTGGACGATATAAAGGTGGACACGCCAAAGAACATTGGAAAGATTCCGCGCATAACTTTGCACTAGAAATCGAGACTCAACATGTATGGGACTACGCAGGTGATATATGGGTTCATCGACTCATTCGCGATAAAGGAGATAATAGCAAAGTCATCGAACTCCCTTCATCCCGCTCTAGAGGCACATTGGCTCCAGCGGAGGATATGGACATGGTTCCGCGGGAAAAACTCGAAAATGCAGGGTTGGAATTTACACACCTCTTGACCTCGCAACTGGAGAGCCAAAGGGTTTATTTTGAGGAATTGGTTGGTAAGGCAGTGGCAAAAGCTAGTGCGGCAAGTGAAAAAGCTATAATTGCTAGTCGGGACGCAGAAAATGCGTTGAGTAAATTAGGGGAGCTGGAGGAAAAATTTCATAAATTGAGCACAGATACACTACCGAATCTAGAAAAGGAATTAGAAAGAGAGAAGAGGAAGGAAAGGCTCAGGAGATTTGAGGGGATGGGGAAGAGTTTGAGGGAGGAGAAGAAGGTTAGTGAGGGGTTAATGGAGAGGATTGGTTAATGAGGGGGTAAGAAGGAAGAAGAGATGAGGGAGGGAGGAATGGAAGAGAATAGAGGTCAAGGGAAGGAGATGGAAAGGAGGGAGGGAAGATGGAGGAGTGTAGGGAGGGCGAGAGAAAGAAGAGGGGAAGGGAAGGAAGGCGGGGTTGGGACGGAAATGGAATGGAATGGAATGGAGAGGACTTTTTTGACGTATTATGCTGTGCTTCGGCGGTTGGGTTTCTGGGGTGTATGGTTTGGTTGATGTGGTATTGTATATGCATATTGCGTTAATTACTTGATGATTGAATGCATCAATGAAGAAATGGAGAAATGGAGAAACGCACCCCTAGTATAGCCGTAGGCATAGCGCTCTACTCGAATAGGAGACATAGGAACAAAAATTACATAAATACATCATCTATCATCCATCCATCCCCTCACGCCATTAAAGAAATCCACACAGATTGATTTTAAGACTTTTATTTCACTATAGTTTTTATTTTATTGAATTATTCTATTTATTCAATCGTCTATATATACATGACATATCACCTCATCTCTTCTCATACCCATACACACACACACACACACACACATATATATGAAAATCTCTCTCTTCCTCTTCCTCTATCTCCCTACCACCTCAAAAAATCCATCCATCTATTCATCTATATACATTTAAGAAGAAAAAGAAAAGAAAAGAAAAGAAAAGAAAAAAAGAAAAAAAAGTATCTTCCACGGGTATTTTTTTCTCGCTCAGTTCATACCCATAAATAAACCGGTATGTAGGTAGGTAGGTAGGTATGTATATATATCTCTCCGAGGTAAATATTCCTGAGAAGAGTTATACACTCGTGCTTCAAGTATGTCTTTTTGTGTAAATTATACTATAGTATAGCATACTGTGGTAATATTAATATTAATACACAGTATGTATGGTATGGTATAGAATGGAGCGAACGTCGCAGCTAGTTGGAAGGGTCTTCCCAGGTATCGGATTGGAAGAGTCGATTGGCCCATTTTAGGGTTGGTGGTTTTCTTGCTTGGTTGTTGTTGTTGTTGTTTTCTCGGTTTTGGTCTTCGTTGCTGTTTTCGTTTTCAGTTTCGTTTGCGTTCGTGCTGGCATTTTCATTTCCATCTTCGTTTTCGTCTTCGTTTTCGTTTTCGTTTCCCTTCGTGTTGGCATTTCCATTTCCATTTCCACCGTTGCCACGACCGTTGCCATCACCCTTACCCTTACCCTTACCCTTGCCACTGCCGTTACCGTTGCCTTTTCCGCTACCGTTGGCTTTAGTAGGTGTTTGTGTAGCGGAAGAGGCAGATGAGGTAGTATTTGCAATGGTGGAGTTGGCTCCTCCATTTACTACCGGGAGAGTCATGACTGGGGATGCTACGGACGTGACAGAGGCGCTAAGGAGGGCTGTTTGTTTGTTAGTTTGATGATCTTTTTTGGTGGAGCTAGAGGTGGGGAATGAGGAGAATATACCATTAGCACCGGCAAAACCCTTCACACCTTCAGCGGAACCAGCGGCTTGGTTAGCAGCAATGGCAACGGGAAGATCGACGTTGTTTTCTTGAACTTGTGCCTCGATGCCTTTAAGTGTTTGAGCGGTGGTAATTGAATTGGCCGTGTTATTAGTAGCGGCAACATCGATTTGTTGAACAGGGAAGCAACCACCGAATGGGCCAGCGACAGCATTGTTCCGGCATCGAACGGTACAAATATTTCCGGTGGAGGCACCGGTACAGGCAAGGTTATCGGGCATTTGAACGGTGATATTGAAGTCTTGGGTTTTAGCTTGAGAGAGACCGTTTACACCTGGGACGTTATTCGTAACGGTCAGATTTTGAGAAATTATACCAGCGTTACTGGTTTGATCGAGATCACAGGAGTAAGGACCAGCTCCATCGGCGTTAACTTGATGAATAGTAATGGTCATCAATGTGCCGGCTTTGACTTGTGTGACGGCTTTGGCTGCCAGTGCATTCTCAGTATTTTCTCCTACATCGATGTTGCCGCTCAATTCTGTACGGCCACATTCATTGACGATATTGGCTGCAATTTCGGAATCACGAATGATGGTTGTATCTTGTTGACAAGGGCTGATGCTGGTACAATTTCTTGCGATAGAACCATCAACTAAGTAAATTAAATTAGATTAATATTCCGAAATATGGGAAGTTTAATTCAATGTCTCAGTACCTTTAAATCCTACACTTGCGGGGGATCCTGCAATACCTTGAGCAGCAAGGATAACACCGTGAGCTTGAGCTACGGACAATAATGCCGCTTGAAATAGGATAGATGTATACATATTGAAGGAAGGGAAGGAATGTGTCCTGCACTAAGAATAAATGAATAAGAGTTAGATAATAGGAGAATCGCCCGGATCCTGTATAGAATTGAAACAATATAAAGTGCAACAAGAAAGAAAGAACTGTGTACACGACTGGAAATGGGGACGTAGATGTAGATGTAGATGTAGATGTACAAACAGTAGAAAGGAAAGTCTTATGCCTTTTAACAACCGTGTATCGACCAAACTTCACCATATAAGTCAGCTATGGATAAATAGCTCATATTGATATCTTAATGGTATGCATTCTCCTACAAAATCTGTTGCAAGTAGTGTGGAGCACAGAATCATTCTTGCCTGCTAATGAGATGAGAACGTTAGCCACTCAGTACTGAACAATAATAGGAACCAATTCGCACCCATTAAATGATTTCAGAAACAATTCAAGCCGTCATCTCATGCTTCCACGCTCATTGTATCGGATTCTTCTGATGCTCGTTGTATCAGATTCTTCAGATGACAGATCTTCATACCCAAAGCAAGTTCATTAGAATTCCGAATTTAGGCCACAAAAAGACTATTGGTCACCACAATAGAAGATTGTGATACACGACACAAGGATACTACCCAGCGTCCTATCCCCAAACTTGAGGGCATGGGAAGAATCATGGGATATGATTTTGATAAGTAGAGAATCCAAGACGTTTGACCCACTGCCCAGGAGAGGCGATCAAGATGGGGCTGTTTGTGGTAACCTAATCAATGTGCGTGCTTTGAATAGATGAAGAACAGGTTAAATAATCAGACCAGTTTTTGCGGTAGATAGAAGAGTTGAAACGAATGCCAAGGGAAGCGGGATGAATTGAAGTAGAAATAATTGGAAAATGTCGTGTCTATTGTCTGAAGTTTTGACGACGGGGTGTTTGAAGTGGGTGGGGTATAAAGTTACAATATTCCCTAGAATAAGTCCCCCCTTAATTGCGAGAATCACCAATCATAGCCCTGCCCTGATCGGAAGTATTCCCGCTTAAGGACAAATTAATCCGGTGAAGAAACTTGAGGCCAAAATAAATCTATTTGCATCACGTCTGAAAAACTCCATCCGATAATTCTTTTGATATAGGAAGGTAAAACCACACTTTACGAATATGGGTCGATTTAAAAAGAAACATGGAACCTACCATGGAGGCGAGCCATTCAATTCTGATGACGAAGTCTATTGCAATTGTCCGATACTAACCGGCAAGATCAGGATATGACAAAGCACACAAAGTCTGATCAACATCTGAATGTATTCTGTCTGTAGGCCGAGCCCGACACAGGCGCTCCCCGCAACAGATTACTCGTACAACCAAACGCACGGTATTCCGTGCAGAATCATGATGGAGAGTACGAACACAAGGACTTTGCGGTTTCTAGTACTAGGCATACATAGTGCAATCGCTCATTTCCTTAACTCTCATTGTGTTGTTCGAAACAAACAATCAGCATGCCACTATGGGGTCGAATCTGCGAAAAAGCAGCAACGCCTTGGCGGAAAAACTAATACCTCATCAGACGGTGAAGTCAATCATCAATACTATCATTAGACGAAGGCATTTCCCAAAATCATCTCATGAACTAGAACAGTTTATCCTTTTCGGCACTCAAGGACACGCTTAAATTATCCGGCGATATGCACTTCTTTCCCTCTTTCCAGCACTGCTCTTTCAGTGCCTAGCTCTTGCTCTCTAGTTTTTGCCGCTGGAGTATAATTCTAGTCTATACTCTGTAGCGGAGCTATGGAAGAAAAATTAAATTCCCACAGCAAGCTCACACTATTCGAAGACGATTCAATGTAAGATGCAAGCCCTAAGGTTGGTAGTAGATCTTTCTTCAAGCGGATTTATACTGCTCTCAGGACGCCTAGGGCAGCCTTGGCCATGACGTTCCCATTCCCGCTTACCTTAAAACGTTCGATTGCACATTCAAAGTGATGGAGAGAAATCTAGAGGTCATCTTTATTTCCAGAAGGATACATGATGCATATCGCAACTATAAGGACTGCAGCATCAAAGGTGCGGAGAACTAAAACAGCACATCTTGTAGCGAGTGCGGGCAAGAATATTGAACACGGTCCGTTGCACGTCTAGGACTTTGAGCGGCTTTCTATGCTAGAATTCTGCTGGAAGGTTGAGGAATACATATGGCTAATGAAGGGTCATTATAGTCAAGGCAGCTTTGTTATAAAGGCTAAAGCGAGCGCGGGGTAGCCAGTAGCATATTGGACGATCATCGAATGATGTGTCCGGGTTATATACTCGGAGATACGGCGGATATTATGAAGAGATTCGGTCAATCAAATCATGCCTTTTCCAACTTTTGCGATATCGTTTTGGTTGGGGTCCTCTTTCCCAGAATAAAGATATCTCACAATAGAGCAGATGGCTCAGATGCCCAGAGAGTAATAGATGGTGGGTCTGGCTGGTGCGTGAAGTAAGCGCTATTTCTCTACGGCCTAAAGGAACAGAGGTATCGATGAGAACTCCCTTTTCCCATCTCGATGATCAATTGTGGTTGGACGTCCAAGAAGCATGCCATATCAATATACCACCATGACAGTATCAACCAGACTCTCCTCCAAAGCTGCTCAAGCCACTGGCTCTCGAAGTCATTCGTGGGCGTTCCGTTGCGCCTCTCGCCTTCATTATTACTGTCTTGGCGACCGATCTCCCGAGCATCTCAAATAGTTTGTGATAGAGAATACCAACTCTCAGATACCATCTCGTAATTCTGAAGAAAATATATGCGTAAACGGTCAGCCTGCACAGTAACCAAGTTGCGTTCTCTTTCCTCGGAAAGTTATTATCGAATTTCCAGACGGGTTTTAATCATTTGCTAAATCATCAAGTGACAGATCAATGGCATATTTCAGAACCAATGAATGGTTTACTTTACAAGAATCTGTCTACAGTATATGAACGAAACCCGTAGAGTTTCGAGCATAGACGAACATGGGCTTTTCGATCTTAATGCAGCAGATGGGACAGAAATATGGCAGTTTAATAGCGACTTCCGCAATGATAACTTTTGGGTATTCATGAACGATTATGATTTTTGATCCAAGGATTGCACGTCTTGGATTATCCAGATCTCAGTGCCTTAATATATCCGAGTAACAGGACGTGCATTGTATTTCGTTTTTTGCCCCCTTTCCCTAGAAATGAACCATCTTATAGGATTTGTGAGGAATGTCCTTGGACAAGGCACGTGGATATATCATACCATCTCAAAATCATTTGCGGTGTTTTCTTAGATGCTATATGCCTTTTAAATACAATTTTTTTTTGGATTAAATATCGAAATATTGTTTTTATATAAGTGATAGAAGTTATCTAGATAATACTCAGTATAAATTTTGCGGTTACATTACTAGGTAATATATGTAGTACGGAAGGTGCGGCCACATTCATCTAAACTTAAGCTGTGTATTTGTTATGATGATTGCTGAGTAGATATACAGACAATATTTATTAAGGCTGGAGCAGTGGTAAATTAAGCAGCGGAATCTTATCGAGGCTTGCGTTGAAGAATATAAGTAGGAATACATGATTGATTAATGCTAGCCTGCGAGAAGTTGATTTTCTGATGTGTATTTAATATGGGCTCTTTAGTAGTACATACGTCCAAAATTTCTTCCCTTTGGTTTGTAGCTTCTTGTTATCAGAAAATATTCGGGAGCTTGTTAGAAAGAGCCTACCCATTCAATTTCATATACTTTATTTCGTAAACATCATATTTCATGAGGTAGTGCTGCGGAAGACTGAAAAGCTCTTCCTCGAAGCGATATATCTGATCAATGAGACTTAGGACAGTCTTTCTCTTAGAGATCGTTCCAAAATCAAGGTAGAAGAAACCGTATTGCTTCGATGCATCAAAGAGCTTAGTGGCTTCGGCGGGGTCCTGATCAAAGAGTCCTTGAAGGTTAGTAGTAGGAAGGCCCTGGGCTGAATCTTGACAGGTACTTTGAGATATCATATTGAAATATGACAGATTGTTGGAGTATTGGCGTTGCGAGGTTAGTAGGAAGGCGAACACAAAGCAGAAAATAACTGTATGTTGTAAGAGTTGTGGTCATTGATCACCGCATACTTTTCTAGAACCTGTTCTCTGCGTAGCTCACAGAAATCTACTTTGGAATATGGACCAATTTTAGTATCAAATTGATTTCCACTTTCGAAATCATTGTTCTTTTATTAGATGAACAAAATACGATTCTATTTATGCATCTGATTTTTCCACAAGCAGACAAATCATTCTCATACAGAATCAAGCTTACGCGTCTTAAGCAAGATACAGTTCATGAGGTCATTTTGATTGCAGAGAAACGTCCATTTAGGCTTGAGTATTCTCGATTAGATTAGATCAATTTTCGAACATTGGATCAACATCTCGGCCAAATCACAAAAATGAGGGGATTCGAAAAAACTACAATGCACCTGATCGTATTTCATCATATATTGAAAATAGTTTTTTTTTTGAAATTCAGTCTTTGAGTGCTTTTGATATTCAATTCTTGAATCATCTAATTTAGATTTAATAATTTTGAGAGCTCATAATTCTATTAAAGATTAAAGTTTTAAATCTATAAAAACACTTCATCTGTAATGAATAAATGGATAGCTCAAATTCCTTCAAATCATATCCGAAATCATCTTCGACACGGCACTTCCCGGTTCAGAAACGCAGTCCTACCTTCCGGGACGGTCGCCCTCCAACAAGGCAGAATCCTCTTCCAGGGAGGTCGCTCTTCAACAAGCCCGGATCCATTCGGCTATACGCTTGAGGGCGTAGGATCTTCATCACTTAATCATCAAGAATTTGAACTCTTTAGGTTAGTGATAGTATAAGTTTTTCTTCTTTCAGAGAGTTGCATTTGATATTTCCTGGGCTATATTGACCTTTTATAACTTTTTTTGGGTTATTATATAGGTTTGGTCGGTCAATCATATATCCAAGACTATAATATTCTAGGAATTCAAAGTTTGATGGGGAAAAAATATATATTTAGATCTACTTATACATAAAAACCTTAATATAGGTTTACCTTATAGTTCTTAAAATCCTAATACACTTGCTTCACATATCTATAAATAGTTTAAAGCCGACAGAGTTTCATCTATAATCGCAGGCCTACAGTTCTACCACTCGAAGTCCACCATCTTACCCATTATTCACTGCTATAGATAGTAGATTTCTTTAATTAGTCGTTGTACTTCTTGATGGATGGTGGTGAGTGAGTGATGGGCGGGGGCCGTGAATCGAGTGAGGCCTGGGAATAATCCATTACCATCCCCCGACAAAGCAGAGGAATTACTGAGAAAAGCGTGGGGGAAGCAATTACCTTACAAGGAATACGGGGTGTTCCGATTACAGAGGTATGTGAAAGTACCCCTTAATCAAGAACTCTAAATTTGACGACTCGGAGATTTCCGTCTGAAAAGTCAGACGACCTATTCCACCTTTATTGTATTCCTGCAAAGGATATTTCCGAGCGCATACGATTTTGTCCGTAAGACCTACTATGGAGTTCCGATGGAAACCCTACTTCGCATTTCAGAGACTTACAAAAATGAAAACGACTCGTTTGCATTATTATTGTTGGTAGGCCTCTGGTGTGTAGACACCCTAGAATCTGTAGTAATATGATATTGAGGTTATTTCACAATGATTGGACCCTTTAAGGCTAGCATAAAGCTGCGCAACTGAAGGTTTAGGTGAAGAGGTTATATTGCGCATAGGGTTTGGAACTCGATAGGAGCGACGACTGTAAAGGTTGTCGCTTAAGTGAGCTGCACATGCATTAAAGCACCTGGCAGCCAACAATTTCCTTTCTATTACTGGATTTCAAAATAGTTGATTACAAAATCGTGTGTATTTAAAGTTGTCGGTATATCATGTGATTACCCTCGAAAGGAACCCGTACAGAAGAGGGACCGTATAGGCTAGCGAGTTCTAGCCTCTACATCTTCTAATATAAATATTCTCTCTTCTTCGTAGATAGATAATGATCATCCATGAATAAAAAACACATACTATAATAGTATTATGCAACTAGTATCACCGGAGTGATACTAATAAAAGTATATGAATATAAGATATATTAATATGAAAATAAAAACTCTAGTATTTATACATATTATATCTTAATATCAATATTACTATTAAAACTTAAAAAATATAAATATAGATATAAATAATTAAATACATTATATATATATATTAAATTTAATATCTTTTTATAATATATTAATTATATAAAAATTAAAATCATAATTATTTTAAATTGAATAAACTATGGTTTTTATCTTGTGATTTTAAATTTTAATATTTAAAAAAAAATATTAAATTAAGATTTATATTATTATTATTATTATATATATAATTTTTTATTTTTTTTTGAAAGATTTTAAATATTTTATTATTATTTATTTTCAATTTAAAAAAATATTAACTAAAGAATATAAAGAAGTTGTTAATTTACTTTAAATTTATTTATTCTCTTAAAAAGATTAAAATAAATCTAATATACTTTTTTATTTATATATTTATTTTTTATATAATATAAATATATCACCAGCCAATACCAACCCAGTCACATATCATTAAATTTCCTGAATTTCATTATCCACTGCTGAATAATTAACAAAGCATCTGGTACAGCTTATCAGCTCTTATAATCACACCCGATACACTCCCTGCCAAGCTAGCTAGAGATATCGATTTACCCGATCACGTGTCAAGGACCTATCCTATACCTCTCCTTGATATAAGCTGTTAGTAGAACCTGTCATGCTCAGTTAATCAAAATTAATCAGCAGTAATATATAACTTTTCAATCCCTTCTGGTATACTTCTTTATATCGAGATATATCCGGCTATATTTACATATAGCCTACCACGGCTGCTAAAGAGCTCATCCATTCTCTCAGACATGTTCGCGATTGAACTCTTTGTAACGCCTCTGTTTTTTTATTTCATTCTTTAATCAACAGGACATAAACCAAATACATTATCAACCTCATCAAATCTCCTGTCAGAGTCATTTAGTCGGGTGAATCAAACCCGGACTCGTAATTCCCCAGCCAGAGCACAAATTAAAACCACAACCGATAGGAATGGGTCTCCATTTGTATGGGACTATTCTACTATGCAATTAATATGTTTCTGTACGGTTTACATAACACAGTTACTGTCGATATCCAAGGACTATCATGGAGACATACAGAGACGTCTCAAACCTGGCCATGGCTTCGATGGGCTCAGGCTTTCCTTTCAGAAGCGTTGCGAACTACATATATCTTGACCTTGTAAGTTAGCAAATATGTATACATATATATCATGGCTAGTCTAAAAAACAAAAATACTAAATGACTGCTCGCTCTATAGCTAGTGAAAGGCATACGGGAGGTTCAATGTTAATATATAAGTCGTTACATCTCGGAAGTACCACTGTCTTCTGTATCGGAAGTACTATTTGCGGAGTGGTGCCTACTATGAATGCTCTTATCGATATTATTGGATCAAGTGATTGCGGGTGCTGGCGGAGCAGGATTACATCTTGGCATCTTGAATCTCATCGCCATCAAAACCTTAAAGTGAGAGAGAGCAGCGTATATGGGCGGCACTTGCGTTGTTTAATTTGGGGGGCAGGAGCGTTAACATTTGAAACCAGTCATCGGTGGCGTATATGCTGATTCTAGGGCTACATGGAGAAGGCTGAGTGATTTGACTATTCGATTCTGATATCAGATGCTAATTCCGGGTGTAGGTCTTCTACATTAACCTGGTTGCTCTTGGATTTTTATCACCGAAACTCCTGGCCATACCAAGCTTTCAACCGCGATCCGGAACCTCGACACTTGACTGGTTTGGCGCAACTCTAGCTGCTGGTCTTTATATATAACCTTTGTTCTTGCCCTTATATTCGGTGGCATGGCATCGCATGGAGTGACGACCGAACCATAAGAACTTTGGTCGCCTGTATTATGATCATGATAATCTTCATGGTGCAACAATACTCCGATATCTTCACCATGTGCACTACCGAAGATCGATTATTCCCAATCGAGTTAGCCGGACCTAGAACTTTGATTAAGTCTAATTCTACTTCCGGGCCACCCTTAATTTGGAACACTTTTTTACACCAAAAATCGTGATTTTAATCTATTAATAACTTTATAATTAATCAATAGAATTTAATAAAATTTGAGTTATATATTTATTATATAATTATAAATGAAATTTAAAAATTTCAGACTTTTTAAACTAGATTTTATTGAGATTTATAAATTTAAATTTTTCGTTTTTTTGATTTTAATAAGATTTATATATAAGTCATATATAACAAAAAATCAATTAGTTTTAAAATAATATTAAAGTTTTTTATTATCTTTTTTATAAAAATATCAAAAAGATAATTTCAAATTGAATACAATCTGTGATATACAAGAGCCTTATAAGAGTTGAATAAACAGGGTCAATTATATTCCTTAGAATCTATAACTGAAAACTATAACTTGTAAGGAGCATCTATATATATATACAAAATACCTATACGGTAGCTGTATGGTTGTGTATATCGGTTATTAAGGTGATCATAATCCCATACTAAAAAGGGTAAATCGGAACTCAAGTGCATAGACTACCAGCTCACCGATAGGAATTGTCGATCAATTAGAATCACGTGATCATCCTTATACGAGGTCCGTGACACAATTCGATATATTAACATCAATAAAAGATTTTTGTAAAGTTTTATAGATTAATAATTTAACATTTCATTAATTATATATTAATATTATAAATATAAGATTATTGTTTGTAATAATTGTAGGCTCACAACTTATATCCTAAGAGTGTTTGTGATATTATATATAAATTTGAAAAATTATTAAAAATGGATTATATTTTTTTTTAAATATTTATATTATATTTAATTAAATGAATTTATTTATTTTAAAAATCATTTTATAGAAAAAATTTTCATCAAAATATTATAATTTTTAATTTTTATCATTTTTGATAAAAAAAGATAACTCAAATTAGAGGTGGCTCAAAAGTAAAGTATTAAACCTATTTTGTACATTTGCGCATCATATACATCAGCTATTATGTTTTTAAACTACCTGTTATATTCATCTTGGAGGACGTAGTTGCCTATACTTAAGGTCCTGATAGAGTATTTGAAGGTTGAGAGCTTACAATGGCGCGCTTTGGAAAGTCTAAATGCGGTTGAATACTCCGAGACATGCGGTACCAAGGTGTAACCTTTGTTTCTTTTTCTTATAACCACTTTCTCTTGCAACTTATAAGACCACTCTCTTATCATCAAAGACGCCGTATCATGTGACGTGTTGGAGCAGCCCACTGCCACCATCGTGCTGAGATGTGTGGTTCAAAAGCTTAGTTTCCTTGAAAATACATTAATTTTTCCAGAGTTCGAGATTTCACAACACCTAATCTCGCCCAAAATGCTTTTATAATCCCTGCTAGGTGTCAAGCGGGCTTACTATACTCTCAATTTCTTAGTGGCCTGCAATAGATAGATTTGTTTGGGCTAGTGTAAAATCAAGAATGATAACGTTAATATGAGCGTTCCCTAATTGAGCGCCCGGAAATAAGATAAAGAGGCTGCAACGCCTAATTCAGGGGGAAGAAGTAGTGGGTGCATGGACTCCCCCATTAAACTTCAAGAAATTCTAGGCAGTGCAATGTCCAGTTGATTGTGCAAAATTCTTGAATGTGACAAATGAAGGTAATAAGTTTGATAGTAAAGAGGAAGATATTTTCAAAATGCCATCACAGTTTTAAAGCACTCCAAAGTCGAGGCCTAATGTGGGTGTCATCACTTTCAGCCACTTTTCGCCAACCTAACCTTCGTGATTGGCTTGTGCGCAGCTGCAGTGGAATGTAGCCATTTGGCACTTGTTACTTGTCTCGGCCTCGCTACCCATGTGACAGAGGCAGGGGTGAATGACCCTAGTACATAGGACTACTATATGTAGGCTTGAATCTTTGACTTTCGGTACTGTCTACACTCAATTTTAATTTAAAACTTTCTCTCGAATTCTTGTGTCGAAGGCCGCCGAGCATTCGTTAACTGAGCTAAAACTCGAACAATAAACACATTGCACTTATTTCTGCCTCCCACGTTGAAAATGGCAACTCCCATAGTTGAAACAGGAACATCAAAGCAGGAACTCTACTTATTTAGTAGGAGAGACGAGGAAGAAAAGAACAGGTCCAGACCTCAAGATACCTCTACGCATGATTTATATACTGATATACTGCAGGCTGGAAGAACAGAGTAAAGCCATAAGAGTTGTCAGGGAGGGACACGTCTTGGACCCAAGAATCCCGAAGCAAGATGTTTCCAGGATAGCGGACATTGCCACAGGTACCGGGTGCGTGGTTCTTAACTTCTTAATACTTAAAAAACTATGCTGACTCTAATTCAGCATTTGGCTTAGAGAAGTGGCGGCCGAGCTTGCAGATTCAGGGAACAATGCCCCTGTGGAGATGGTTGGATTTGATATCAGTGCTGAACAATTTCCCAAGAGTCCTGCTCCGAAGAACAAACTTGTCCTATGGGATATGACCACTAGATTTCCCAAAGAATACCACGGTAGTTTCGACGTCGTGCATGTACGTCTCGTTGTCCTCGCAATAAAAGTCGAACAGATCAAAGGAGTTGTACAGAATCTTGTGGAGTTGCTCAGTAAGAATTGATATTCTCCTGAATTCAGTCTCGCCTCAGAAAAGCAATCACTAACCAGTACAGGGCCCGGTGGATATCTTCAGTGGAGCGACATTTCATACAAGACTGGACGGATGATAACATATCCGGATGATTATGGTGACCTCTCACTGAAACCACAGGTAGACATGATGTTAAAATACTGGAATGACCAAGGATTGTCTCTTGATATAACTGGGGATGTAGAGAAAGCCCTTCAAGATTTGCCTGTGGAGGAAGTGCATGTCACTGACCACAGCGATGCATGTTTTCGGAGGCCTGAGATCAATGATGTGGTAGTAGAGTGGCAATCGCGTGCAGAGTCACTAATCATGGAAATGCTGTCGTCTAGGAATGGACTTAGCAAGGAGCAGGCGAAGATGGTAGCGTATGCATACCGGAAGAAGATTTTGGAGAAGGCGAAACAGGGCGTGATATTCAGGGTGACGATGGCAACTCTGGTTGCCCGTAGAAACATAGAACTACGAGGCAATCAAAAATGAGCTTAATGCTCAGCACTTGAGACTCTGTTCTTGAGGAGATAAGTCACTAGCGAAAGGTTAGCAGCTATTTGTGAAGAAGTCTGTCTTTCGTGAATGAATAGAGATCCCAGTTCCTACGTCTATTCTTCTATAAAGTCTTCAAGATTCTGGCACAACCAATTTGTCAAGAAAACAGATTCTTCTCGGGAATACCTGAGTCTCTTCCATTTGGCAATTTTTTAAAGGGTCCTATTGAATAAAGAATCTCAGGCATAGCCGGCTCTAAGTCGATACTCTTGGCTCTGATAGTTTCGATCTCCGTTTTCTCAAATATATCCCCCTACATTCCGTCTCTTTGGATGTTTGTATGGGAAAATAACAATTGCTATAGATGCTTGAAGAAGTGTTTCGCTCCACATTAAGAATGCAGAGAGAGCATTTTCTCATAGTGTCGTCAATGATATCGGTGAAATGAAGACCTATATCCGAATGGGCTAGACCAAACTCTGTATAAGAATACATACATCTCTTAATATAGATGAACGGAGGGAGGAATTAGTCATCTATGTAAGCAGACATATGTTGACTTTTAATAGATACTGATGAGACCAAACACGTGTGGGGTTCTGTGCGGCGAATGCGGCCGTCATGGCATTTCACGGCTACAGCTATCATCCAATCAACACATCCTCAATTAACATCATATCACTTGACCACATTCAATAAATATATTTATAATATGTATGACTCTAATAAGCCACGTTCACGACCATGATGTAACAGTTATTAGCACTGAGTAGATGACTTTCTGTTCCTAAAAAGATCTTTAAAGTTTTCGCTAACTTGTAGATCTAGGATCGTGAAGAAGCTCTATTGGTCTGGATCGAGAGAGTAAACTTCCCGCACTGCAGTTTGCACGCATACATACTCTCAATATGGGCAAAGCATATATTCCCCGCAAACTGGGGTGGAGGAAAGGGTCCGTTTTCATGGCCTACGACACCATCTTTAGGCAAACAGATGGCTTGGTATGCCGCGTAGCTTCCAAATCCTTCCGGATGGATTATTTCTCAGTTCTAGTCAGGGACATATGTTTTATCAAGGTCCTTGAAAGATACATGTGCACAAAAATTTTCCCGTTCGTGCTTAGCTCCTTTGCTAGATGCCCGGATACTCTGAGTTTAGCAGAATTCCGGGTCACTATGCATTCCCACCATTCCATTGCCAGAGAAAATCTAGTTATCTTCTTCCTCAAACCTTCAAGAAAGCCTCTCTAAAACTCCCACCAAGTTCCATTATATAAAACAAGCGAAAGAAAATCGAAACACATATGAAGTAATACTATGTCCGAATCGTTAGTGATATCTTTGAATATTAGACATTAGACATTAGGGTTCAGAGTTTAGAATCCAGAATCTACACCTCAACACCAAAAACTCTATCCCTAAGCCATCTCCGGTGTATGTAATGAGCAGAGTAGCTGATTACATAGAGGAATTATTCGGCTCAAGGTAAACGGGTAATCACAGTCATGCTAAGCATGGTATCAGTACTCTATAGTGCAGTCCAACAGTGAGAAGCTGAGATTTCTAAAGTCGGTTTGAAGACTGTAAAGGATTCGGAGATCGAAATAATATTAAAGATTGAATCTATATACAACGATGAGTTAACCCAAGCAATAAATCATTCTTAAAAGATTAAGCATCGCCTCAAGTATGCCAGTCCGGACTACTAGATATGCTGATGTCAAGTCATATCTTTACCAACAGGAATCAATCCAATACATGATTATTGCCATTCTATACATGTCGTAAAACTCCACCTTCAGGGTTCACAGAAGGGAACTGGTGAATAGGTAGCAAAATTGTCTTTTATTTTATTGTCAAAAGCTAGTTGTACCTAGGATCAAAACCGGGGCCATGAAGCCACCACAAATTCAACCGCCAAGTAAATTAAGCAAAGAAGTCTGGTGTCGCAAGAAACAGTTCCATATGAAGCAATATGATAAACTTTTATGTTTGAAAAGGAAAATTAGAAACAGTCAACTAGATCGACCAAACTGCTTCAAAACTTAAACCATGAGGCTTGTCGTGAAGTTCACCCAAACATTCCCAAGGTTAAAATCTGTTCAAATCACAAACCAGAAATATGGTATCTGACAAGACTATAGTTAGCCGGCAGACCAAAGTGGGCAGCACGAAATTGACTTCAGATTGTATGGATGACTTTTGAAGATGGTCAAGCTCCAGCTGCTCAATCTATAGATTTGTTAGTCACATTAAGTAGGAAGGAAGCAATATCATCTTACAGTGTGGTGAGAAACCTTGTTGGCAAGGGCTACGATGAAGATCTTCCTCATCTTCATCAAAACCGTATTCCTCACGCTCGGCAAGGCTGGTTCCGCGGTCATACTGAGAACGACGGCGGCGCTGTTCATCACGTAGGTGTTGGCCAGCACTTGGAGCGAAAAGTCCTTTTTCGTGTCAGACAACATGTACATAGAAGTAGATTGATTTATAACTTACCGACGTGTTCAGCATTTTCACAGCTTCTCTTGAGTTTAGAAGCATTGTCAGATGAAGGAAATTCATCCTCCAAACCAGCAACATTAGCTCCATCAAGATGAGTTAGAAAGAGCTACATCAAGTTGTCAGCTATATAAGTCAGTACCAATGGTGGATTAAATTACCTTGGGTCTGTAGTGAGGAGGCTCGAGCATGACGGACGAGTTACGGAACTTCTGGATAAGACAGTCTCTACCTTGGATTGTAGCATAAGAGACTTCTGCAACCTTGTCACTCTTAAACCTATGCCACTTCTGGTTAGATCGTGCAAGCACGAACTCGATAATGTCCATTGGATCGACAAAGTTGATAAATGCGTAGCCGACATTGCAATCATTGGAAAAGTCAATACGGAGATACATGAAATCATATCTTCCGAAACTTGACTCATCTACAATGCTCTTCAACATTGCCTGATCGACCTTGTTGGGGATATTCCTCAGCATTACCTGGAATGAGCGTCAGAAATGTAAGGCTTGTAAAAATGAGTATAAACTTACAGTAGTTCTAACATCGAGGCCAGCGTTGATCTTATTGATGTCGACATGGTTGTGGTGGCTAGCGGCAGGGTTAGACGCACCACGTCCTCGTAGTTGTCCCTGAGGTGTCCTAACAATGGGAAGCTGGCGACGATTACCATTGCGAGCAATTTCACGAGAGTTAGGAGTCTGCGGACTCATATAGCCAAAGTTGTGCCCATAGGTCTGTGGACTCGTTGGATATCGTTGAACACCTTGCTGAGCAAAGTGATTAGCGTAGGTATGTGGTGAGTATGCCTGAGCCGAAAAGGAGTCATAAGGCTCCATGACCTGTGAAGGTCGATTTGTTGTAACAGCTCCTGGAAATCCCGCCTGGAATGCAAGAGGCTGACTGGTATACAAACCACCCAAGTTATTTACAACATAAGGAACTGTGTTGGAAGGTAACAAGCCATAATGATTGGTGGTCATATACTGAATAGCCTGGGGAATTGGGCTACCAGAATTGAACAAAGCAGCATTGCTGGGGAATCCAGGTGTTTGAGGGGCTTGAAGTGACATGTGTCCAAGCACATCACTGATGTCAGTTTGAGGAGCCGAGCGACGAGTAGGAGTCACAGCTTGTGCCAGATTGTTACGCATGATGCCACGATTCTTGCTAACGTCGGGTGTGTGCATCTCGCACTTGACAAGAATGTTCTGGGAAAAGGTCAGTAGTTTTCAATCGCGAAAACAGAAGTTACGCACGCCAATCAGCTTGTTGTTGCAACGATCGATGGCACGAGACACCATAGCTGAATCGACAAACTCCGCACAAAGGCGAAAGGTACCTGCTTCGGTCGCAAGAAACTTTTGCCATGCGTAAAGCTCGCCTTCGATAGACAACAAGTCACGAAGGCTTTCTTCAAAGACCTTCTTGTCAATGTTGGTATTTGGGGGATACGTGGCTGTTAGCATAACTTGACCCTCATGAGCAGAGTACACGGTTCTCGATTGAGGACTGATGGCCTTTGAAATGTTAGTTCTTCTTTCACTGACGAGTGGAGGGTTTACGAACGCCGCCAAATTCATTTGCTTTGATATATTCCACCGCACAATCAACATGATCGACCTTGATTGCGGTATACACCTTGGCGGCTTCATATATGTTGGACATCCTAATATAGACAACATTATTCTTAGTCGTCTCAATTCTCTTCCCGCCGGCGATGGTGACTCCAGCCTTTTCCAATTTCTATGTGGCAATTTGTCAGCGAAAGCACATGGTAAACAAACTAATGATAAAGTAAAACTAACCTCGAAAGAAAACCGGACACAGCTAAGGACGTCTACCTTTTGATAGATGTCGGTGATTTTAAGGCAACGGGTGGCACCAGTATCTGTGCTGAATTTCTATGAACCATTAGTATATTGTATCATGGAGAAGATAAAGGAAAATGAAAACTTACGCCATAGCTGGTAATTTCGGTCTCACGAGCCGGTGACTGTGATGCTACCACGTTATCTAAGTACTGAATTGTACCTGGGATAAGAGTGGCGGATCCAGACCCGTTGATGATAAGACTTCCTGCAGCGGGCGTACCAACAACAGGCCCATAAAGATGCAATGGTTGGAACGTGGAAGCGGTGGCGGAAAGTTGAGCCGAAGCTCTACTTGTAGTACCCGCTGTGACGAACGGATCATGTTGGTTAGCAGCCAATTGAGTAACAGAAGATGTACGAGAGTCTGTAGCCAAGGGCTTAGGAACTCTTGCGTCCTCCGGGGAGATCGCGGTGATGGCAGTGTTAGGCGTTCCCTGGATGGACTCGAAAGCGCCATTAGAAACTGGAGAAGGTGGTGATTGACCATAAGAACGATTGAATGACGACATGCTTGAAAACAAAGTTCTTGATTCAATGACAAAAAGAAGGTGTCAAAATGGAGTGTCTCGAGGACGTGAAAATTGTGCAGATCGTTGGAAAAGGGATTTTATGAGTTCAAAATGACAGTAGATCGAAGATTATTGCTCACTTGACGATACTACAATCACCAATTGATAATAATCGTTGAGATACTTGAAGGTTGAAGAATTGTAGAATGAACGAAAGAACCAAGATTAGTTTGTACGCGTGTAAAAGAACAAATGTACTGGAGATACAAGAAGTTCAAGTCAATAACTGGTGGTGCATCAAGAGCTCCAAGCTGGAAGAATAGAATGGGAAGAACGCCAGGAGAAATCTCAGTGAATGAAATCAAGGTTCAGATAATATGGGAAAGAAGCCCAGAGAAGAAGGAAGACTCCGATCAGAGGTGCATTATCTGCGGATTGTCTGCAGATGGATGTGAAAAGGAAATTTTAAACATTCACCTTGGTGATGAATTCTGGAAGGTATGAACAACACGGGAAGGAGCCATGACCCGGTTTGCGGAAAACAAGCCGAAAATAACACCGAATCTCGGTATTTATGGGAATAAACGGATTCTATTTTATTTGTTTATCTCCAGTATATACTATCCACCAGGTATCCAATGAGCACACTCAATGGTCTCGTTTAATTCTGTATCGACTTATTGCAGTCTATTATTGCCTTAATTTTTGCCTCAATTTATATCATGATCTGGCTGTCTTTGAGCTTGGAGTCTGAAAATAATCAGACTGGCCATCCTCACTTTCCATTAGCCCCTCTCTAATTGGCCGTAACTCCTCCAAGGCAGTTGGGGCCATGAGGGAAAAGAGACAGCAAGGCATTTCATTTCAGGTTTCTAATTCAACATCTACTTGGGACCTGTATCTCGTGTCCGATAATCATTTTGCCCGCCAGCAAAATCGGCTACGCAGTCGTCATGGCCGAAGAAGTGAGTTGGATACTATCACCATGGATGACACGGCAACATATGCCGTTTTCAAATTAAAATCTTCTTGAAATCGGCACGCCGTCAAGACCCTTCCGTGATAACCCGCGCTATTGCACTAAACGCCACGGGAAAATATACATTGGAAGGTTTCCGGGATCCGGCTCAGAGTCTTATTTTGAGATTTGTATGTAGGTACTAGGTATGCTGTGGATCACCTATCGTCGTTACCGAAGGACGCTGTATATAATGGAATACATCCAAGAGATAAGATGAGAGGCTTTCGATCCTGCAACCATCCCAACTTTCTTCTTGAGATCGTCCAACTACTGCCCAGATGAAACGAGTATAGTATTATTGGATAAGTACTCAAGTTCTTGGGGGACTTGACCTGAGGCCTTAGTCGGTTTTTACCCCATTACTTATTATTCCTCACTCAGTAATACTCTCATCACTTACTACAGCTACAGCTGGCTAGCTTTGAACATCTAACTTAGGATTGAGCTAGAAGTTGCTTTGCTTTACCCGGTAAATGCATCGTAGATTGAGCCTTCCCAAAAGAGTAGAATCCGAGTAATTTTATATGGCCGGTGGAGCTATAGAAGAAGCATCAAAAAGTACCTCGATGGACAGGGTTTTCGAGTCATCGACGATTGTCTCCTTTGAAGATTACCTCGTTCGTTCCTTCCTCATCAGGAACTTTCGTGGTTGCTAAGCACTAGCGAATCTCAAGGCGTTGTGATACTTCATTCGACATTGATCATTTTGGACAAGTACAGTATGATAGAGAACCAAATGAAACGGTACTATTCATCCTCTAGGTTTGATCTGTATATACCCAGTATATATGTTCAACATGTAGAAGGAAAGGAAAAAAATCCTAGTTGGCATCTGTGATGATGTGAAAATGGGTGAAGCCGGTACATCTTTGGTCCGGGCTTTAGTGCTCAAGAAAGACTGACTCGGATGTTCACTTGTTGTGTACCAAATAAGTCTCACAACGCAACATCACAACTTGAGTAAGCCATTCAATCCATATCCTGTCCAACAGCCGCCTGGCACTTCGCACTCCTGAGAATTCCCAATCGTGACTAAGGTATCAACATCTTTGGTGCTCTCGAATAGTCTCTTGGAATTATCATACCATACACTTTATAAGGTTCATCGAAGAGGCACAAGAGATCCTGCCAACATCACAAAGACTCAGACACTTTCTTGTTAGGAGCAGGTTCTATATTGAATTCTATCAAAGAAGTTTCCTAGTATCTGAAATTTGTGAGCCCGTGCTTCGACCGGCGTTCAGAGTTAATCCGTATCCGTCACTCAGCCTGGCTCTTGAACATCAAGTTGAAACCAAAGGGAGGAGAGAATCTTATTAATTCCAAGCAGTTCTCGATTGGTGTTTATGGTCTGAACTGGAGCCATTCATGGTCTAGACTCAAAAGTTTGCAGCCTAAGTTTCCCAGCATGGCACCTCGAAAAACTGTACAATACAATGATTACAGGCAAGCTGTTCAACAGGTACGCTTCCACAATACCTATTCTATTCCGTAACTGACAAGTTCAAACAGATCATATTATCTTCCTCTGATGCCGATTATCTAGATCAACTCATACCCGCCCTCAAAGATGCCACTTTATCCAATAGAACTCCTGCTCTCATACGAAGCCTGTCACAATATGCGGACGACCGCGAGGCTGACATCGAACGAATTGGCTTAACAAAACATGAAGAATTCCTAGCATCTGTCAATCAGCTACAACAAGTCCGCGAAGGAACCTCTCAACTTACATCCGAGATTCTAAAGCTCAATCAGTCCATTCAAGCAAGCACGGAAAAGCTAGCTGCGCAAAAGGAGGCACTGGTGGACACTAGATCTGTTCGTCAGAATATTGCAGAGGCTTCTGAGGCGTTGAAGGAATCTTTGAAAGTACTTCATGCCGTCAACCAGGCGCATGATTTGATAAAGAAGAAGAAATATTATGCGGCTCTTAAGGCATTGGACGATTTACAGAACGAGCATTTGATTCCGACAATTCAGAACAAATATGCTACTCAGCACACCCTCGCAGAGATAATTCAAAAGTCGATCCCCTCCTCTCAGAAAGCTATCTCAGAAGCAGTAATGAGTGATTTGAATACTTGGCTTTATCGCATTCGTGAGACGTCCCAATTCCTGGGGGAAGTGGCATTTTACCATACAAATATTCGAAGGAGCAGGCAGAAGGAGCGCATGGAAGCAAATCCATATCTTCGGAACTTCAAGCTAAATTCGGCCATCGAGTTGGTCTATGATGAGAGTGAGGAATTTGATGTACTGAACAATGAGGAACTCCAAGTCGATTTTGATCCCCTATTCGAGTGTTTACACATTCACGAGGCACTTGGTCAAATTGAGAAATTCAAAAGCGAATATGCTGTAACAAGAAGACAGCAGAAAGATTTGTTGCTTCCAAGTTCTGTGAATCTGACTGATGAAGAGAGCGAACACTTTTTGAGTGCATTGCTAGAAGGCATTGCCGGCTTCGCTATAATAGAAAAGGCTACTATGCGAAAAGTCCATAATTTGCGTTCTCCGGTTGACGTATGCAACCCGCTGTATATCCAAAGATTTGTAAACCAGCTAATTCTCTACAGGTTGATGAACTTTGGGATTCCATGTGTAATGCCGCGATCAACGCTGTTTCTAAAGCTCTAGATGGATTTGATGACCCGGATGTTATCTTGCAAACTAAGAATGTGATCGCATTGTTCATACAGACAATGGAGGTAAGGTTTCAAAGCACAATGCAGATCCTCAAAAGTACTAATTTGAAATCTAGGGTTGGGGCTATTCAGTGGCTACGTTGGATGCTTATGTGCTCAAGCTTTTCTATAGATATGCTGATCTACTGAAACGGAAATTCAGTACAGACTTTCAACAGGTTAGTGGGTATCCAGAGCTGTGGAGGGTACGGACTGACTCTCATAGATCGTGTCAACGGATGAATACATGCCTATGCCAGTTAACAGTGAAGAAGACTTTGACAAGATTGTTCAGGTTAGTTGGTATGTGCCAGACAAACCAAAAGAAGAATACACGTGAGTCAAGAGAATCGTCTTCTTTCATGGTTTTTTATAACAATTGCTAGGTTTCCTGGCGTATTACCGTTCTCCCAGATGTATCCGATGTGCTGTATCGACATCAGGAACTTCTTGAATCGATTCTACTTTATAATGGACGATCATTTCCAACAACCAAGTATAATTGACGAAACACTAAAGAAGGTATGTATGGCCGAGTCCGCTTTGTAGCTCCGTTCAAGCTGACCCATCGTTCATGCAGTCGATAGACGAACTTCTGTCTGAAGATATTTGTGACCCGCTTGTAGAAAAGCTGAGTACTCAATACCTGGGCCAGATTGTTCAAATCCTCATAAACCTTGAGTATTTCGAATCAGCAAGTCGAGAACTAGAACAACTTCTCTTGGCCGCACGATCATCCACATCAGCTGGTGGGCCAATTGTTCTTGCCGCTACAGAAAAGTTCTCGAGTAGTAAGAAGGACGCCGAAAAGCGTATATTCGAAGTCGTCAACTCCAAGATAGACGATTTGGTTGAGACAGCAGATTATGATTGGTAGGGGTTCTCGGTTCAAGATCTATTCTCCTGAACAACAACTAACATGTTACTCGCTCCAGGATGGCACCTTCTCTAGTATCCGAGCCAAGCAACTACATGCAAACTCTAACAACCTACCTTTCTAACATCATGAGCTCCACCCTCCTCACCCTACCCCGGGAAATCAAAGAACTTATCTATTTCGATGCTCTTTCCCACGCCGCAAACATGATTCTCGTAAGCTTACTCTTCGCCCGCCTCACTCCACTAGCCGACTATTAACCATCCACTAGGCGATACCCCTCTCCCCGGAAGTCAAAAAGATTAATCCTCACGGCGTCGCTGCCCTCGCAAAAGACGTAGCCTACCTGTCCGAATTCGTCGATTCCCTCGACAACGCCCTCATCCTCAAGGAGAATCTCGATGAATTACAACAAACCGTCTATCTAATGCAGACAGATAATCCAGATGAGTTTTTCGATATCAGTACCAGGAATAAGAAGTTTGGAAGAGTGGATGCTCTAAATGGGCCTAAGATATTGGAGAAGTATGGCCGCTTTCCATTGATATTGGGTTTCAGACGAGTTATTTTGGAGACTGTGTGCTAACTTGTATTTGCAAAGACTTACCCATACAATTACAAGTCCGGTGAAGCCGGATCGGCTTGCTGGGTTCTCCTCGAGGTTTGGCATAAATAAGTCATAGATATTGAACAATTTGGCCACTATCCTTGTGGGAAAACAAGAAACATTTTCATGGATCGCAAGTGTACGTGTCGCTAATATATCCATTGGCAATCATTTCAAGGCATCAACCCTTTTTTAGAACCACACGGAATGTTTCAGGGAAAATTTTGTGGTTTTCACATTAAAATCTCCTGCGCCTATTCTTGCGTAAAGAAAACAAAGCTAAGCTACCCAAAAGAAGATATCATAATTTCTCCGAACTCCGAGCCTATCACATCTGGCAATCAACAGCGACTAACATATGGACCTGACAACTCGTCTTATCCGACCTCATAATCGCGCTCGCCTTCAGCATCAGCATCACCTTCACCACCTTCCTGACGTGCGTAATGGTGTGTGGCGTCGGTGCCAACTGATGGGTCTTGTCGAGGTTGGTGCGGAACTTGATACATTTGCTAGGGCTTTGTTAGATGAGGGTTAGGAAAGTGCGAATTGCGTCAGGTTTGGGATGGGAAACGAACCTGTTGAGGCGGTGGCATGGCTGGATATCCGTACATCTCACCCATCTCACCATACAACGGCTGTTGCGCACCATACTGGCCAGCTTGGTTTGGAGGAACTTGTGGTTGATACATGTTGGGTTGGTGACGATATGGGTCCTGTTCAGCAGCAATACCATGGCCACCAAGGGAATAATCTTGAGGCATAGATTGTGCATGGGAGGGGTGGCCAGGCTGTTGAGGGATATTGGATTGTTGTGGAGGGAGCTGTGCTGAACCAGGAGCAGCGCCGGGAATTTGTGGTGCAGATTGTCCCGAGGCAGAAGGTCTCTTTGCATGAGCTGCGGCTTCTTCACGAGGAACAATATCAATTAGGAAATCAAACATGTCCGATTTGGCCAATGCAGAAGCAATATCAGATCGTTGCAAGGTTCGGCGCTTGTTTTCTTCGGCGTGGATCCATGCTCTCATTGTGAGTTCCGTGATGAAGATGTCGCATCCCTTGGCGAATAGGATTGGGGCTTCGGCGGAAATCATCTTCACTTCAGGATCCGCCTTCATGACTTTCTTGATACGTGCAAGGGGAAGCTGATGAAGCTTGTAATCATGAGTATCGCCTTCGAGATGATTGATGATTTGTTGCCAATAGGTTGTGAGAATGTCCTTGTATTGTCCATGCAGACCCTGGTTGACCTAGCCACCAAATTAGCTCTCATCCTTTCGGTATCTAGACAATTAATCTTACATTTGCCCACGCTCCTGTGTAGAATTCTGGGACGGGTGCGAAACCTTGCTGGGATAGCTACTCTAGTATTAGTAGAATTCGATACGCACATGTAAGTATTTCTTACCAAAGCACTGGCACCTATTTCGCGGAATGAATTAGTACTTGCTTAATCCAACAGCGTATCGAATTTGTATGACTGGAAAACTTAAACATACCATAATGACCTCCTTGACTTGTATCATAAACAGGTTGCTGTGCCGGACGTTGTTGTGAAGCGGATGGCTGCTGCTGCTGTCCATGGGACGAGCCGGGTGGTGGAGGATCCATTTTTGTTTTTATGCTTGCTTCTCCCAATCGGTGCTGAGGTTGTACGTGGGCAAAGACCTCGAAAGGTCGCGAGATTGAACGTATTAAATATTCCTCCGGTCACTTTCTAGTCCCCAGATTAATTGGCGCGAACTGTATGGGGAGGCGGAGAGAGTTATGGGTACGGTCGACTCGATTCCTCGAATCCTGGAGACGAGATGAAAACCCTCGGGTGTTATGTGACGGTGAGTTGACGGCAGGCTGGCTACAGATGGACAGACTTTGGGGATTTGCAGGTACTTAAAGAGACATCGACTGCCTCTTTAATTGAGGAGCTTTTGGTTTGCGCGACGACCGCGACGATGGATAGCTTGTTTATGGAATTTGTGCTTTTGATTGGTTGGGAGTGATAAGGTTGTGGAAGCTTTGAATTAATTGATGGGCGTTTGGGCCATGGACGGATAATTAAGCGGCGCGCGGGGGGATTGGGTGGGCTGATGACTTTTAGCTTGGCGGTTGTATCTACGGAGGACTTGAGTTACCTACCTTCACACTATTCACTCGACTCGAATAAACTTTATATCTTGAAATGGAACTCTTATAGAGGGGATGATAAAATGATCAATTGAATTATACAGATGCTCTTTGTCCTATATACCCATCATCTTCTACAATGTACCAGAAATATGTCATCTATGCAGCGTTTTCTGGCAGCCCTTTTTCGTCTACTTTGTGCGCTGGCTCACCATGCGAACAGGGCGAACATGTAAGGCATCAGATGCAATGCAAATTATGAGGCAAAACAAGGCAAGAGCTACATGATGGTTGGCTGGCACGGCTAATCAATGCATTCACGTAGGATTCCATTTATCGCATGAACCCTCGACATATTTTGCCGGTCAAATAATTGAGTTCGAGGCCGGTCCAGAATCCTGAGTTCAAACATTTCATTTTCGAGTGATGCTTGATTCTCTGATTTTCGAGTACGGTCACGATCACGGATATTTTTCACTGGTAAGCTCCGTGATAACTAAGCTGAGATTAGTTAGTTTGCAGAAAAATAATTTTTAGCCGACCGATGATCCACCTGAATTTTTATTCTTTTAAAGCTCTCCCAATCCTCTTCTTCATTTCAATCAAAACCACCATCACCATAAAAGATGGCTGACAATGATCTTTCGGATGATCAAATCCAGCAATTGTTGCGGGATGCTGAGGAGCGGATGAGAAATGCAAAGCAAGTCATCATAAGTGATGATAGCTCTTCCAAGTTTTCTCTTCCAAAGTAAGATTTTAACCACGTCACAATTCTGGAGCTTGGCTAACACTTCATCTTCTTTATAGCCTTGGTAAATCCGCGACATCTGCAATTGCTCCATATATCAAGTCGACAGGACAGACTACACACGTTGACTCGTCTCAGCTCGTACCTGCTAAAGACAGAAAACTGGCAAATAGCGTGCGAACGGTCGAAGACCCCATCGTGACGAAGGCTAAAGCGCTTAAGGTAAGAAATTTCTTTACTTCATCTAGCGCTGTGTCCTTCTGTGAGGAAAATTTACCCATATAACGGACGCAGGATCTGGCCCCGTCTTGGGCGCCACCCTGTAAAAGCTGAAGATTTTACATTCATAGTTACTCTGAGAAGAAGCCACTACACAAGTCTTGTTGCGAATTTTGGGTATCGAACATTAAGCTAATATTATCATCAGGCAAAAAAATCTACTGCTGGAGCAAAATGGTTCAACATGCCCAAGACTGTGGTCACTCCTGAGCTCAAGCGCGACCTTCAACTTCTTCGTCTCCGAAGTGTATTAGACCCCAAGCGTTTCTACAAAAAGGACACCACAAGAGCAGAAGTTCCAGAGTACTCTCAAGTGGGTACAGTGATTGAAGGTCCTACCGAATACTTTTCTTCTCGACTCACCAACAAAGAACGCAAACAAACTTTTGTGGAACAAGTTCTTGCTACCGAACAAGCAAACCACAAGTTCCGTAACAAGTACAATGATATCCAAGCTGCGAAGGCTAGCGGGAAGAAAGAGCATTATAAGAAGATGAAGGCTTTGAGAAAGAGAAGATAAACGCCATGAGTGCTCGGAAGATGCCATAAAGAATCACCTTCCAGATTTGACTACCGATTGCAAAAGGCATGCCTCTAACATTAACCCAATGTCGTGCAGACCTCGGTCCACACTAGCCTACATCACAAACTGACCAACCCACCCGATGGATAAGAGGTTTGGTCATGCTAGGTACAGGGTTTTCCCACTTGCAAGCTTTTTTGCTATCATCATATCGGTAAGTTTTAGATCCTTGTGGCATTTCTTACTCCCCCTTGTGTTGTGATGAAAAAAACAGTCAACAGTTATCCCTGTCTTAAAGAATACATGTGGATTTTATAATTAGACTCTGAACACATTACCATACCTCTTGTTTGTTTGATTGGTTTCATGAATTGTAACTAACAATTTCAATAGATTTTCAATAGATTTTCTCAGTAGGTACCTTGCCACATGAAGTCGTCACCATGACACTTTGACATAGTGCTGCATAGTCTTGAGCGTCATGCAATATATTCATGCCTGTGTTCAGTATCACTGGTCCTCAGATGAGGAGTGTACTGCCTTTCCCTCAGCACACACCGGGAAGAGACGTCGAGAATTTTGACAGAACCTAAAAGCTAAGTCCGCTCTCATTTTACTCTTGGGTAGACTTAGTCACCTATTTGGTCAAACTGGAGACGGTCTCGAAAAAAAAAAGATGTAGCAACAGAATACGATGTTTTGCATTCTTGCAAATAGACTTGAGCATATATCAAAGAAATAAATACATCAATCCCAATTGCAACCACCATATCAAAATGCCCATTGCCCTTTGAAGTCGTGATCAAGTCCCTAGTGTGAGATTTTCCAGGAGCTCCCCAGCAGCTGTAAGTGCCTTTGTGGCACTGCGCAGCACAATTTACCTTGGATTACTATAGTGGATCCGGCTTCCAATACCTCCATTGAGAAGCACGCCGCCACCTTGTGTTCCGCTTCACTTCATCGTTCTCTTTCTTTTTATTGGGGTCAAGATTTATGGTGACTGACGCCTTGCCTTGCCCACGTCTTGAGGTGTTATGTGGTCTATTTATTGGATAAAGATTTCTTTGTATTAACAGAGGATAGATATAATTTGTTCCGCCTCTTGTAGCATTTGATATTTAATACCAAAATGTTGTAGTGGGAGATAGCTCTTGAGTTATGTTCACTTTTGGGGTAAGTTATTGTAGCTATATTTAGTGGTTATTGAGTTAGATTTGGATTTGTTATGTATGTATATATATATGTATGTATAGATGATGGGATATAGATGGTGGGATATACGTCAACGCCTTTGAGATTAATGTATCAAAGGGCTCATCTAATTATGGAGATGGGCGGGAAAAATGTCGAATAGGGAGGATTGGGTAAATCCGCACTTTATGTGAGGAGGGGAGATGTTTTGCGGAGATGTTTTGTGCAGTGTAGGGCCTCGTTTCTTGGGAGTTGAGTGAGGGGTGATGGAGGAGGTTAATAAGCTATGGATTAGTTAGGAGGTCTGGATGTTCGGTGTATGGTTTGGAGGGGGAGCTGTGGTTATTGAGCGCTTTTCAAATCACCCTTCACACTTCTGTGAAGAACAATGCTGGCTATCCTGTGGGCAGATGATAAGGTATTCAAGGCCCGCATAATGTATGAACTGGGGACATGTCCGAGGAGTTTGTTCTGATGTATGGATAGCATGTCAGGGTATATTATGGAGGATGAGGACACTGGAGCTTCCACTGGCGTCTTACCACAAATATCAAACGTAGACAGTGGTTCCTACGTCTGTTGATCGATCATCTCGAGATGTTCAACAGACAAGGCCAAGATTTAAATAATCAACCACCTTCCATGTGTGAAGTGTTAAAGAACTATGGTGTTATGTTGCTGCTGTCATTTAGCCTTCCAGACTTCAAACATCTAGAGCGTTGGGACTTAATTGTAAATGCTGTGATGAGATGCTGTGGCTCCTGGTGACCTTTGTTCAACACCCGGTGAGCTCAATCTACAAGCTTTAATAGAAGATGTCGATTCATGATAGGCTCCAGAACAATAGGCATTAGGTTAATAATTAGAAAAAGCACAGCACTTAGCGCATCCCAATTTCTACATGAGAATACCCAGGTAAAAATTAAATGGATTTAAATAATGAAGATGAATGGTAAGAAGTTGACCTCTCGGATAAATCTCGGGCTTAGATGTCTCGAACCTCAAAATATTTGATATCATAGAACTCTACTCAAAAGTCCAATTTGACATTTTCCACAACTTCTAGCCAGGCATGGCTACTCCAATTTTCACGCGCATACCATGGCGCACAGTTAGCAGGCTGGGGGCGTCGGTATGTTATTAAAATCCGTATTGCGCCAGGGAGGATCACAATTGACAATATTCGCAGTCAAAGCCAGTCTTCTCGAATGCCTTCAGAACACCACAATGTGCGGCTGCACCCCTCACCTCGCATTCTGTTAGATATTCATCGAATATATCGTACGCTTATTTTATTCGACTTTCAAAATCTAAAGACTGACACCATTCCAGCGATGTACCAAACCCGGTGTCTGCAGACAGAACCTCGATGTATTTACCTCCATGTCCCCATGTCCCCAGCAATTCCTAACCAGCCAGTAGGACTCCACCAGCAGCAGCACCTACCTCGGAAGAACCATCCGACGAAGATATCTTTGATGTTCGTTACCCTCGTAACGTTCAAGCCATCTACCTCAAGCCCCTCCGCCGCGAAGCCGAATACGGAGTTCCCTCCTGCGATTTGCAGCTTCGATCCTACAGCGTCCGCAACCTGGAGTTCTTTTCCGACTTCGCCCTCCGCGCGGCATACTATCTCAAATTACCTGCATATGGACCTATACCGTTGCCGAGAATTATAGAAAGATGGACAGTGCCCAGATCGCATTTCATTCATAAGAAAAGTCAAGAGAATTTTGAGAGAAAGACGTTGAGGAGGTTGATTCAGATTAAGGATGGACATCCGGAGACTGTGAGCTTATGGCTGGCGTTTTTGAGGAAGCATGCCTACTATGGAATAGGAATGAAGGCGAATGTTTGGGAATATAATAAGATTGGTGGGTTTTTCTTGTGTTGGGTTTGAATGTTACTAATATGTTTATGATCAGGTGTGGGTAAGGCTATGGATGCTAGTATGGAGGAGATGAAGGCAGTTATGGAACCACAATGGGAGTTGTTCGGTAGGAGACAAGGTACGGAGACGGCAGAAAAGGTTATGGAGATCTTGAATAGAGAAAGCTTCAAGGCGGCTGCGGGAGGCAGCGCTCCTGGTGTGAGAATTGAGCCATGATTTGGTTTCAGCTCAAAAAGCTATAAGAAAAGCCAGTGGAATGGGGTTAGACGAAGGATGAATAGATATTAAGACGGAACATGCATTGCCACATACATGAACTGTGGAGTTTGGATCAAGCTTTGATGTATTGTATGTATATGTAGAAGGAAGAATCAAGATACTAGCTTCAGTAGCTTTTATCAGACCAAATCCATTCCAGGCTTCAAAACCACTCCTGACATAAAAGTACTTTCGTCTCAAAGTGGCATATTGAAATCGAAAATAGTCACGTGCCTCACCCTGAATTCAATTTTCACAGTAAATCATCCCACTTGCGTCTCGCGTGCGGCTACCCCTCCTTTTCCATCGCCAACCAAAACCCCCAAACTCCGCCATGCTAAAAAGCAACCCACCCCGGCGAGTGCTCCAGAACGTGAAGTCACGAACTCTGCGAGCAGCATTCCCAGGCCCGAACCATGTATGCAAACGACACCAGAGCACCAAACCCAGCGCACCTCAAGTAATATTTTCCGGGATCCAACCCACGGGAATCCCACATCTCGGAAATTATCTCGGGGCGTTGAAAAATTGGGTACGGTTACAGGAGACGGCGGAGCCGAGTACGAAATTATTTTACTCGGTTGTGGATTTACATGCGATTACTGTGGCGCAGAAAAAGGAGGAGTTGAGGAGGTGGAAGAGGGAGAGTTTGGCGACGCTGTTGGCGATAGGTTTGGATCCGGAGAGGAGTACGGTGTTTTTTCAGAGTTCGGTAGGTGCTGTGTGGGATTTGTTGTTGGTGTTGTGCTGTGTTGTGGGAGGGAGGAAGTAGTGGGGGCCGAGGATGCATTAAGGGGTTTTGGAGTGATTGGTTGTGAATAGGATAGAGCTGATGTTTTATGTGTGAAGGTTGCTGCGCATGCGGAGTTGATGTGGATATTGAGTTGTACGGCTTCGATGGGATATTTGTCTCGTATGACTCAATGGAAGGTTTGTCTCTATCTCACTACCCTGGTTTTGCATATACTTTATTTGGTCATTCCACTAACATGTGACAGAGTAAATTATCTCTCCAAGATGATGCTTCACCACTAGATGGTGGCAACAAATCTAAGCTCAAATTGGGATTGTTCTCGTACCCTGTCCTGCAAGCTGCGGATATCTTGGTTCATAGGTATGCTTAGTAGATATCTACCCATTTCATCATATCTTGCTTCCTGTTTGTGTTGTTTTGGTCAGGAGAGCTAAGCTAATACTATGCACAAGAGCCACCCATGTTCCAGTCGGCGAAGATCAAACCCAACATCTTGAATTCGCTCGTGAATGCGTCACGAATTTCAATCATGCATATGGACCCCATCTCATTGAACCCCAAACCATTCTTTGTAGGTTTTCTTCTTCCCTTTCATTTCTCGTCTTATCGTCACTCTCCAAACTCCCTTTCTTCTTTTCAAAGCTAACACCGCCAGCCCCAACAAAACGCATAATGTCCCTCCAATCCCCCACCCAAAAAATGTCCAAATCACACCCCTCCCCGCTCTCCCGCATCCTCTTAACCGATTCCCCGGAAACCGTCACCAAAAAGATCTCATCCGCCCTTACGGATTCCCACAACAGTGTTTCATACACTCCTTCTGAAAGACCCGGTGTTGCAAACCTCCTTACCCTATGGTCATCATTCGACACCCAAACGGCGAAAAGAACAGCGGCGCAAATAGCCGAGGAATGTGTGGTGAAGAACTTAACTTTGAAAGATTTGAAGAGAGAAACAGCTGATGCGGTGAATGCGGGATTGGAGCCGATTAGAAGGGGCTATGAGAGGGTGTTGGGGGATGAGGGATATGTTGAGGAGGTGGCGAGGAAGGGGGGTATCAAGGCAAGAGAAAATGCGGAGGAGACTATGGCTAAGGTTAGAGAGGCTGTGGGGTTTTAGCTGGGGTAAATATAAGTGAGTGTTAAGGATTGTACAGAATAGGGAAATGGATGTAAAAGGTATTCATGTGTAAAGGATGAGACACCCCTGGGGAAATGAAGATGGATAGATGTCTTAGAATTATCTCCTGTATCATACCAAGCAAACTAAAGAATTTGCATCGACTACATACCATAGAACCTTGTCAGCAGTTCTTTTGCTCTTGCTCATCTCCACTTGCGAACTCCCCCTCTCTTCCTTGACGCTTCAGAAAACCTCAACTTCAACCTCAAGCTCCGTCCAATCCAATCAACACCACCACAATACCTCCACCCACACATCTACTCCCTCTCCCCTCCCGCCCCCGGTCTCCCAACACCATCAACATCACCAACAATCTCCAGCCGAAGCCAACCTCATCCTTTTAAAAGCAATATCCACTTCAACCCGCTCCTTCACCCTGACACGCTAACAACCTAACAATCATCACTCGCTACCTGCTCTATCGTAGATAATTCTAAAATTCCAGGTCCTGAGTGAGTAGTTGGTTTTGTCTCATCCTAATCATCACTCACTCACTACCTAATGATCACTCATCACGCCGCGCCCCCTTTTCCCCCCTTCCCCGCAATAAATATAAAAACAGGAAACCCATAATCTCGCAGAACAGAACACAAGAGAAAACAGGGAACCGCAACTTCGACCCACAAAAAGACATCGAAGTCTCAAGATGAGTAGATAAGTATGCGAAGATACATACTAGTAGCTAGTTAGTCGAAACGGGAATTAAAACTTCATTCTTGGTTAAAACTCGAAAAAGTGAAATTTGGGAAATCTATATATGTGAGCGGCCCTGCCAAATCTCATGATTCCATCGCTCGTGGCTTTCGATAAGAATAGAGCACTTTGATTTCATCATCTCGCTTCGCACAGCAGATTGTATCTGATATAGAAATGAAGGAAGTCTCTGACTTTATATTGTATCTACCATCTGATTCCTATGCATAACACGCAAATTCTCTCTAACGCTATCAGGCCGTATAACTTTTATGTTGATTTGAAAAGTAACAAGCTCTTCATTGATCATAAACTCTGGCACGCTCAGATCTTTATTTCCACCTTCCATATAAAACACAATCACGTTTAGACCTTCATGTCCTTCAACTTCTCCGCTGCCTCAGTTGGTGTAGCACCGACCGGTGCGACCTTCGGTTTTGGTGCTTTATCAACCTTAGCCTTTGCTTTTTGGGAAGTGGTATCTTTGGGCAGTTCTTTGGAGAAAGCAATAAATTCAGGGGCACCAGGAAGATATTTACGGAGAGGCTCTGGGACATTGAAACCCTATTTATAGTCAGCAAACAAAACTGGAAAATAAAGTACTTCTCTTTACTTACTTCTTCAGTTTGGAAATTCTCCAAGAGGCAGCACAATGCACGCTCAGTTGCACACAGAGTAGAGTTAAGTGCGTGGACGTATTTCTTACGGATCTCAGTTTGCGTCTTGGTACCGTATCTGATCTCGAGAGCTCTGGATTGGTAGTCTGTACAATTTGAGCAAGAGACAAGCTCCTTGTACTCTCCTTGGAAGGGAAACCATGCCTCAAGATCATACTTCTTGGCAGCTGCGTTGTTAAGAGCACCTGAGACGATTGCGACAACTCTGTATGGAACACCGAGGGATTGGTAGAACTCTTCCGAGAAGCTGATCATACGGTCAAATTCCTCCCATGACTTTTCTGGGTCGGTGAGGACAAATTGTTCGATCTGGAATGGTTAGAAAAGGCGTTCTAGGTCGGAAAAGCCAAGAATGAATACCTTTTCGAATTGATGAACTCTGAAAATTCCCCATGCATCTCTACCATGAGAACCAGCCTCTCGTCTATAGCACGAAGAAAAACCAGCATATCTTTGAGCACAAGTCAGTACAATACTTTCGCACCGAGAGTTTCTTGACATACCTAATAGGTACATCTTTAGCAGTCAACCACTCGTCAGCATGGAAAGCTGAAATTGGTTGTTCAGAAGTAGCAATAAGGTATTTATCGTTCTGGGCATCTCCATCAACAACCTTGTAAAGTTCCTCATCGAATTGCTCTAATTGTGCGGTCTTCGCCATGTATTCCTTCAGCATAAATTGCGGAGTCTGTAATGGCGTATATCCCTTGCTATCCAAAAACTCCAAGCCATAATTGATCAAAGCCTGGTTCAAGAATACACCCCACTTCTTCAAGAAATAACCTCTGTGTCCAACAACCTTAACTCCACGTTCTGGGTCATAACCATCCAGTCTCGTCAGAACTTCGTGATGTGAAAGGACGTCCTTCTTCTCTACAGTAACACCTTCAGGGGCCCATGTGCGTAGTAACTCATTGTGATCCTAGTACCCATTAGCCACACCGGACCTGAAGAAACTCGTATGCTGCCCAAATGGAATTACCTCGTCATTGTTCACAGGCACAGACTCGTGAACAATGTTGCCAATCGTGCTAATCTTTTTCTTAAGGATTATTTCTTTCTCTGCTGCTGCGTCAAGCCAGGTCTTCTTCTCCTTCTCTAAATCTGTTTTTTGCTGCAATAATTCGGTAGCATCCTCCTTAGCCTTCTTTTTTGCGCCGATTGCTTTTTGAGTTTCGTTGATCCTGCTATTGACTTGTGTAGCTGCGTACTGGGCTAGGATAGTCTGTCAGTGTTTGTGTAATTATGGTTGTCTTTGCTGGCCTACTTTTGCGGTGATCCTCGTACAAAGCAATCACTTCATCAACAGCCTCTTCAGGTGCATATCTGCGGCGTTGAGAGTCCTTAATCGCTTGTGGGTTTCCACCCCTCTCAGTAATGAAGTCGTTAACGTCGAGCATTTTGAAAATAGTCTAGCACAATCAAATATGTATGCCACGAGAAATTCTGTCTATTTTGAACCGGTCAACTTTTTGAGTCACTAGGGAATCGTTTAAGGGACGATTGGTGGGGTCGCGATTGCAAGGCTCCGCTAAGATAACATTCTGGCTGATTAACACGTGATGTGTACTTTTAATATCAACCACCCCTTTTCTCACTGCCCCCTTTGGCAGACCTCCTAATCAGGTGTTTCCAGTAGTACCAAATCATCAAGATACTGATATATATCTTCAATGCAACGCCAACAAGTTTGCAGTGGAATAGACGGTGAATACCATTTAACGTACACCCATTGAACCGTTCGTAAACCACCATTCGTATTATCAACGTCAAGTGAAGACAGAGCAAGACATGTGCCTATGCGACTAAAGATCTAGAAGAAAGATGCCTCTCCCAACTCCAAAACTCCCATACTAAGTTAACCACATTCAGACATGAGACATAATCCAACATATACTCAAAATCCTTCCTGCCTCACATGAGAATACATTTAGAATCTCCCGAAGGCTCATTAGGATTTTCACCCTTCTCGATTTGCTCAATCATAAGTTCAAATCCCTTGGTAACATTCTCATTATAGCGTGCACTTGCTTCGGTGAAAGCACATTTGATCTTCTCCGCCAATGCCTTGCCTTGCTCAGCAGTGACTTGACGCTGCTCTGGTCGAAGATCGCTCTTGTTACCAATGATTGTGATGGGAACCCATTCAGTACCCTGCACAGTGTCAGTGAGCCGTTTCCTCAAAGTGATTGAAAAGAGAATTGAAATTCCTGTCGTACCAAGTGATTCAAGATCTTATCCTTGATGACCTCCACCATTTCGAAGGATTGCATTGAAGCAACGGAATAGACAAGCACATAGCCATGGATACCAATGAAATGTTTTGAATTCAAGATACTGTATTCATCCTACCAAGCGGACGCCGTTAGTTATATTTTCCAAATATGTAATGACATGTGATTTTGATCAGACGCAATAGATATCTTACCTGACCAGCTGTATCAACGATTTCTGTGGCAAATTCTTGCCCTTTGTACTTGATGACCTTGCTGAAAGTATTCTCGATAGTAGGATAATAACTCTCTACAAAGTGGCCGTCGACAAACTGTACAGTAAGTGAAGATTTGCCTGTAGAAAAGAAATGTTACTTTGATGTACTGTATTATATGTTGCTTATTATTATGGCATACCGACAGATCGACTGCCCACAATAGCAATCTTGCGTTGTTTGGGTGGGGCAGGCATATTGAAATTATAATAAGTTTAGATAAAATTATAATCAAAGGTAAAAAGTGTTGTCTTGCAATGGAGTACAAGGAAAGCGAGATGTGGAAGAGCTTTTGATGTTTTGTTGGTTCTTGCAAGAATGAAACTGGGACAAGGCTGAGGTAAGAGGTTTGTTAGGACTCCGTACCTAGGGCCTAGGTTCTGGTGGTTCAGTGAGTTGAGGTGCTCGCAGGCTCACAGCGCTAATGTTTAGGCTGAGTGGACCCAGATTAAGCTCGACTTGGAAGATGATCTCCTAACACAAGACCTACTCCGTACGGCTTTGGGAGCAACAAGGGAAGTTATGGATCGAGTGTCTAGTAGTAGGTCGTGGTAGTGGTTGGGCGATGAATAAATTAATATCAATGCAAATTTATTATCGCATACCGCTTGAGGCTGAATTGATGACGAAAGAAATGTTATTGTTTGAATAATATGAAGTCATTCCAAGAATAGGAAGTTTCTCGCAAAAGTCATTTCCTGGTACGGATTTGATCATTAGTACTCTCCAGCTCTAGCAGTGTTGTCATGGCTGTCATGGCTGTCTGTCATGTCAATCGAGACCGGAGCCCATCGCCGAAACTCCAACCTACCTCATCACACGTCAAACACATAGTACCTACTAGGTAGGCAAGTCAAATGAATTACTCGTTCTGAATCTGCCACGACAACAGCAAAATCAGATGAGCATGCTGCTATCCGGTGAAATACCTCTATTTCTATAATAAATATGGTAATAGTAATGTGTTGTTTCGGTGGCCAGGGATTCTGGTGCAAACCCAGCTGCACCCTATGGATATTTTCGATTAAGGATCCCTCCATATCATACTTTCCTAAACCCCTCCTCCCCCATCCCGAAACAATCGTATCTAGGGTATATTGCAAGATCTTCTCTCTGAACTGAACGCCTAAAATATATCATAAAGTATCAAAACATTTCTATCATATCCATCGTATCCACTGTAACCATCATACCCATGACATCCATATCAAACGCCTTCTGTTGACTGCCTTCTCCAAAAGTCTTTCTATCATTTCACGCGTCGGCTCCTTTGATTTGTAGCAACTTTTTCACGAGATCTTCGAATTGCTTTGTCACAGTAACGTGAGGATTGCGCCCTTCTTCACTTGGAGAGATCTCATCGTCGGCTGCTTTGTGATAGACGATAAATTCATTAATAGATGTGATTAGAGGCCGAAGTGTTTTCGTCCTCTGTCGCATCCGAATCCGTTTCTCGATGGCCGGTAACAAGCAAAAATGGCCCAACAATACAGATAGGTATCCGAGCGGAACGTTTTTGTGCGATTCATGTTGGGAGTCCGCCTATTGAAATTAGTATACCGGAATGGAAACTGAATGCAAGAACTTACCTCGAAGGTTTTCTCTCTGTTGTCGACAAATAGACGAATCAATTCATCCAAGGGGTCTTGGGCCGCTCCGGCAAATTTGTCGATGTTTTTGAGTGCTTTCGGACTCCACAACGCGAAGTTGATCATCGCTCCGATGAGCAGGATCAAATTGTCCACTGCCACAATAATTTCCTCCTCCGCCCACAAATTTGACATTCTTTTGAACTTCGCAACAACGACGCGAAGAATGGTGTACATGAGATCCGAGTTCGCAATTGCATCACAAGCTTTCGGATTGTGATTGGTAACGTTCAATGTCAATTTCAATGCCAAGATCTGTTGCTCGCCAAAGCTATCAAGTGGCCGATTCAAAGCGGTATTGAGGGCATTGCCTATGATGGGCAACAATTGATGAAGCCAAATTGTTTCATCTTGGGTGGTTCTTGCCACGAGAGAGTGGGATTCTAGAGTGGATAATGTCAAATAGAAGTCAATCGCTTCCGTTCCGTGAGGAAGATGCCATGAAGCATCGTTATCCGATGATGTCAATATCTCAAACAAACTGGTATTCAACTCTTCAGAAATTATGTCGCTGGCATCTCCAGCCTCTCTACTTTGTCGGACCATAAGCTCGAGGCATTTCAGGGCCAAGGTTCGAGGTGAAAGTTCAACCGGGCTGAGATCCTTCCATGCTGAAATTTCCAGCAGAAAATCATGATATGCTGATATGGAGTTCTGTGCCATTTTTGACATGTTCGTCTTGCGTTCTTTCGTCACAGAAATGATGCTTTTTTCAACGGATATGAGACGATTTAGTAGCTTTGAAATACCCTGTCGTTGAAGTTGCGATACCACGAGAGGTACGCTTCCCTCTGCCAAAATAGGCGTGACGAGTGAAATCATCAAGAATCCCGATACGACGTCAATCTCTTCGCCTAAGTCAACAAAGAGTCGTTGTTCAGCACCATGGGCACGAAACTGCCGAACAAAAGCCTTGTCCTTCATTTTGATGCCCAGATCTAAAAGGCCAGAACGTCGCAGAGAGGACGGCTTTGCGGTGGGTTTGCCAATGCGATCGAGTAAATCTTCCACTTCATCGGCAAAACGGCTGTTTGCCCCTGCTTGTCTCAGTTCGTGGATTGTGCGAATAGTAGTGTTCGCAGCTTCATCTTCGCCTTCTTCGTCTTCGCGAAAGCTTAATAAAGGCTTTAGGCTAGGTATGGAGCCACGGCGGCGTTGTGAGCCCTGCGGGGTCTCCAGGGGCATATCAAATGCTAATTGCTCCATCATATCCTCTTCAACAAGCATAGAGCGTTGCCGACTATACGTGAATTTCGGCCCTGTGATCTGGGAGCCTTGGCTGGCTTGTGCAGATGTAGTAAAATTTTGGGGTTCCGGAGTAAGACTTTGAACTCTCGAGTTGTGCAAATGTTGAAAATGATCCTCAAGCTGGGAATTATCATGCTCCTTCCCGGATTCATCATCGTCGTCATCTTCTTCTTCGTCTGAATCTTGGTGCGGAGCCTGCTTCACTAGTGAATCAATCAATCGTTTGCGAGGAGTTATGCTCGTGGGTTTTGCAACTGCCGCTGATTTAGACAATTTCCTGGCCATTGGATATGGTTTCTTCGGCTTAGTCATGAAAAGAGAGAGCTCGTCTCCACTGGTACTTGCAGCTCCTTCAGTTTCATGGTCTTTGTCAAGGAGGGCATCCCCTAGCTCCGCAGCCTTTGGCGACATATGGTGCTTGGGGCGTGCGGCTAACTGTAAGCTTATGTCACTGTCGGTGGACGCGGGTGACTTGAGGACTTGTGACTGGGGTGCTATATTTCTCTGCCTCTGTAGACCTCGAAGTACCGTTGATTGTTTTGGGTCAGAGTGCGAAATAGGTTTGGTGTGAACGGCAAGTCGCTTTGGTGGAGCATTCGAAATCGACTGTGCCTTCCTGTTTTGTGGGTTTGGTGGTTCTTTGAGAGGAACTACTGGGAGTTTGGCAGGCACCTGTCGCGGTTGCCCAGCTGGCGAAAGCTTCCTCTTCTTATGCTCGGGCATTCCCTCTAAATCGTTATTCGCAGGCGCTGTTATATTCGAATGTTTCACTCTTCGAATGGTGGTCGGCTTTTCATTGGCTTTTGGTAATAACTTGGAGGGATTTTTCCTTGCCGAAGGTGGAATCTCATCCTCGCTGAGTGACATATCGTATATGGAAGAATTTTGCAGAGCTTTCTGTTTCAACTTGGGAAACTTCTTCCGCATTGTAGATTGCCCCTCTTCATCGCTCGGCAGTACATCGAACATGGCGGACTTTACCTTGACTCTCTGCGCAGACTTTGTAACGTTTTTCCGCATCAAAGGAGGGTCTTCATCATCGCTGAGTGGCACATCGTACAAATCGACCGCAGATTTTGTTTTTGGGGCGGAAGTTGTGCTAGGTGAAGCGCTGTAGGCATTGGGAGCCCTTTCATGATTTGATGAGCTGGGCTCATTGTTTGTGATAATGCCTGTCTTTGTTAAATCTGGAGGGATTGCACGATGAACAAGTTTAGCGTAGCTATGGCCTGCAAGATGTTTTCGTGATGGTTTCCCATACGTAGTTATTGTTTTCCGAGGCCTCGTCGTGTTTTCATAGGCCGCCATGGTGTGCGGTAAATATGGGTGACTCGGAAAGTGCAAAGATGAAGCTGCACATCGAAGGTTGGAAAGGCTGCTGTCGCAAATCACTTAAATAACGGAATATAGCTTCTGGGAGGCCTGAAATGGTATGATCACAAAGGCCTTCAAAAGCTGAAAGTACTTCTGAAGAGAAGTGGTCTCTGTGATAACTATCCAATAGATAGTTCGTGAATTTGGATTGATAAACAGTAGGAATGATTGAAGGGCATTGATTAGGATGTGCGCTAAGATTAGGTACTGTATGGATAATCATTATTCCGAGCCTATGAGCCGTACTCTGTACACCACGATGGCTCACCAAAGTGTATATATAATTCTTCCATTATAATGGAAGGAAACTGCTAACCACCTTTTTATAATGAATACAAAGATTGAAATAAGGATATAGTACTATTAGGTCTGTAGGTACCTAGGTAGGTATAGTATATAAAGCTTCATTGACATCTCATTAAAGAAAAAGGTTCACAAATGCTCCGAGGTATGAACCTTATATGGTCAAAGTTCTCCATGATTGATATCTAGCTTTGCCATCACCACATTGTATTTCTCCATGAAAATATCTACTATTGGTCTCTGTTTCAAAACAAATAAAGATTCTCCTTGACAAGCCTAGCCTAATGAACACATCTCAATTGTGAGTGAGTCCAGAGTCACTTCTATCTCTTCTGGAAACAGTTTGTCATAGAATTGGAAGATCACCTACTCTTCACAGCCTGCCAAGACAGCCTTTATGCTTATCAGTTATCAAGCTATCTAGGTACACACTCATCACATTGTTTACACCGGCCCCACGAGAATTCATACGGAGCCCCCCGCAGAGCTGTTCAATTACAACTTTGTGTCGTGTGCGGTTTTGAGCAATAGCCTGTAGGATTTATTTGAGGCAAGTGAATGAACTACTTGAGCTAGCTCTACGAAACTACCACTAACCAATGTAGCGCGAAAAGATTCTCATTATCAAGCCCTGATTGTGTTCTTGAAACTCGACTCATTAGGAAATTTAACAGCAAAATGTTTTCTGAATCTTCAGAGGGTGTTAAATCCCCCGCACAATGTGTCGGCCCTGACTATCGACCTGAGAAACCTATTGCGACCGTCTCAACTCCAGTTTCCTTCCCAAATGTGCATACATTACCTCAAACCCCGCAGCTCATTGCTCTTCTTACGTACGTCATAGAAATCCTGCACATGCCTATACAACTTACTTACACCTGCGTGATATAGCATGATCCGGGACAAGAACACGCAGCGTGCCGATTTCATATTTTACTCGAACCGAATCATTCGTTTACTCGTCGAAGAAGGTTTGAATCATTTACCGGTGGTAGAGCACACAATTACTACCCCAGTTGGGCGAACATATGCAGGAGTCCAGTTTCAGGGTAAAATATGTGGTGTTTCCATCATGAGAGCCGGCGAGGCTATGGAACAAGGACTACGAGATTGCTGTCGTTCAGTGAGGATTGGTAAAATATTGATACAGAGAGATGAGGAAACTTCGTTGCCTAAACTCTTCTATGATAAACTTCCAGAAGATATTGCGCAACGTTGGGTATTACTTCTCGACCCCATGTTCGCAACAGGTAATTACCGCCCCCCCCCAAACGACTTAAAATGGTACTGTTCTAATCTGTGACTTAGGAGGATCTGCATCAATGGCGGTAGACGTTTTAATTTCTCGAGGAGTTCCCGCAGAACGAATCCTTTTCTTGAACCTCATCGCCAGTCCAGAAGGCATCGAGTCATTTGCTAAGAAATATCAGAAAGTTAGAGTGGTAACGGCATTTATTGACCAGGTCAGTACTTCCTTCCACGTAATACCAAAATGCACATCTCAGCTAACATGGGAGTAGGGTCTTGATGAAAAGAAGTATGATCCTCATCGAATAATCTTAGATTTTGCTAATCTTCGTCTAGTTACATTGTCCCTGGTCTTGGAGATTTTGGTGATAGATTCTATACCATGTAGGAAAGCCAATTTTCAATATCCTCTTAATATTTTAAAAATCTAGCCAAATAACAGTTTATGCTGGTGTCCCATTGATCTGTGTCACTTGAACCAATATGATTCGTAGCCAAGGATAGATAGGATGATTTGACCCATTGTCACTCGCAGCCCAAGGCTATATATATGAAAGTTCGCCAACCGTGAGGGTCCCAAAACTCCAAACAATAAAATTTATCACAACCCAAGCTGAAAACCTCAAGCTTAGTATTCGTCGTCTGCAACGATTCCATCGCCGCCATAGCCACCCATGCCATCCTCGTCCCCCATTATGTCGTCGTCGTTTTCGTCGTCGTCTTCATCGCCTTTGGCAGCAGCACCAGATTGACGTCGAGCAGGTGCGCGTTCGGGGGCAAAATCTCCCCCGTCATCTCCTTCTTTCGCAACTGCATCGCAAGCATCAACCCAATCGGCATAAACATCCACGGAAGCCGACAGATCTGTATGGGGCCGCAATTAGCTTCAAATTGTCCTCTGCCCCAACTTTCTTTGTTGCAGGAAACTCACAGTTGATGGCGCATTGAAACTTTTGGTCGCATACTTTGCAGGAAAGTTGACCGACACCGACTTTCTTGTCAATTTTGACAATCACCGAGTTTTCGTGATTGCAGAATAAGCAGGGGAAGGTGGTGCTCAAAACTTCTTTCTACACAAAATTGTCAGTACATGTATGTCGCTGGTTCAAGATAATGAGGAAAGTAGCTAAAGATGGATGTACCTTTTTTGGGCCCTGAGGCTTCTTTGCTGCCTTGCGTTTACCCTAAACTCATATATTAGCAAAGTGCAAGAAGATGGGACAATAATAACTCCACATACCATGATGCTATTTAAAGTTCTTTAAAGTTGGCTGGGGATAATGATAAGTATGTTAAAGAAAATGCTGTGGGACTGGCGCGGTTCGGAAGACGTAGAAGCGCGATTGTTAGCCTGCCCTTAGCTTTTCAAGTGTCACAAAAGGCTGGGATCCTTTTATGTCCAGGCGGCGGATTCCTGAAAATCAACACTTTATGGGCTTGGGAGCTTATCGATAATGAGTGATATCACTGCCACGAAGGAAATTTATGGAGCCGCCGATTGTTCGATGTGATACGATTTAATTTGTGTTTAATAAGTTGGGTATATTTATATTAGCAAATTGATCTTGAGTTGAAAGGGCTATGTATGAATATAGAGAGATCATTCAGTCTACATAGGGTCTGTACATGGTATAAATATAAATATATATATATATATATATATTGAAAGGAGACAAGGAGATGTCCTGTATGATTGACTGTCCTTGAACCAACAGAAGTCACTGCCCTGCACGCAATGTTAAAGGCTTGAGCACGGTTGCTTTGTAGCTTATTCATAGTGTGCAAATCCCTTCTTTATACTCCGTAGTGGGGCTGATAAACCATCCCAGATACTGCCCATCTGACATTTGACCATAGCTTGCAGAGGGAAGTGAATGATAGGAAACGGAAACAATTGCCATAGATACAAAGTAATGACCAACTAGCATACACCACTTTATTCATCATTTCCACTTTCTCCAATCCGTCAATCTATTCCTTCCTCGTATCATTCATTCAACAAGAAAGAGGAAAGCCACTTTCCAATTTCGTAATACGTGTTCTTGTGCCTTTTGAATACATACCTACCTAGCTATCGGACAAGCAAACGATACCAACGCGCCGAATCCCTTTACCCCTCACCTCCCAGAATATAAAACCTGCCAGTTTCCTTCCCAAAATAAACTGAAGCCACTTACTTACTTCACTCTCGAATACTTCTTTTTGGAAGCCTGCCATATTCCAAACCGTCTTCCAAGATGTCTTCTTCGCCTCCTGACCAGACTGCTTTAATGCAGGAGATCCTCAATTCCATCAAGAGTCTACAACTCAACCAGTCTCAACTTGCATCCAATGTTGATGCCATCACCGGCCGCGTCAATGTCTTAGCTGGTATGAAAGAAGTACGTGATGTTGCTTCTACTGATTCAGCAACTATTCCCAACCCTTCCGAACCTATTGCAAGCAGCGATGAAAGCACATCCAAAGATGATGCTTTCAAAGATGCCGATGTGCCCAAATCTCCAACTATCTCGGCGGCAAAGCCCGAGGAGACACCCATTCCTTCTTATCCTCAAAAAGCAAGCACTGGTACTTCTCGAATCATTCTCACGTGAGTTCTTTTCAATGCATGTAGGAATAGAGACATTTAGTTAAATTATGATAAAAGTACATACCCCGGACAATCCGGTATCAATCCCCTTCCTATGGAATGGGGTCATAGCGATCCGCAAATTAGAGGTCCGGTAGTTGTGTCCAGAGCTACAGAAACGGCCAGAAGACGTAACGGTAAGTTTGTTCACCATCTCACAGATTTTTGGTTTACTAATTGTTTGTCTTAGCAATTGGAGGTATGTTTTGCTTGTCTGCTGATAATTCGTGATTTGATCTGATTCCGACATTGATAGCCCACGGTGGATCTTATTCGATATATTATGCTTTGGCTGTTGCTAGCAAGGAAATCAAGGCAGATCACAGGTAGGCTTGGAAACAGCTCAATTTATTTATGGCAAATAAATTAACATATTGCAGACCGGATTTCACAAACACAGAGCCTGCTGCAAATATTGGACCATTTCCTCAATGGGCTGACAAGAAAAAGATAGTATCGATGGATCCCTTGGGCCATCTTGCTCCATGGCTTTTTAAGGATACAATTGAGAAGGAGAATGGTGAGTAACCCCCACGTAAGGCTATAATGTAGCTTTGGGCTGACCAAACGCAGTCGATATCAGACCTACTATTGGTATGTACTATGAAAACCTTTAGATAATCGAGATCCTATTAGGCAATAGTACTAATTATATTGATAGCAATCACCCGAGCTCATATGAAGGTAATTTGTAACGTTGAATAACAAGGTAGTAGTACTAACGGCTCTGATAGCTACCAGAACTGGAAGCTAGTGTTCGTGAAGGTCGGCTCGTACCGGATGGCAAAATTTGCCTGAATGAGGCGGGAGAACTTGCAGTCACGAAATTTGCCGTTGAACCGGTATGTTGGTTTCTCACTGTTAAAAAGTATTTTCCACTGTCAAAGTATACGTCTAATAATATCACAGGTCTGGTACTTGCCTGGAGTCGCTGAGCGATTCGGCATTTGTTCGTATTTCCATGATAGCTTTGGGAGTCATCTTGCTTACCTATATTCTAGCCGAGGGGGTTCTCAGGAGAGCATTGTTTGAGCACACTGGCGGATCATACCCCGAATTGATTACCAGGGGCGATATTAAGCTCTTCATGCCACCAATTGGTATGAGGCAGTAATCTCGATCCAGCATGGAGATCTCTAACTATTTATAGGTGGATTGACCGTCTACTGCTTTGGAGACCCGGCGAAGATGTCAGATGAGAATGTTCGCCTAGCTTTACGAATTCATGACGAGGTAAAAATAAAATGCCTCAGTTTGAGGTAACACTATTAGGAGATCTTTCATGCTGATGTTCTTTAATAGTGTAACGGCAGTGACGTGTTCGGATCTGATATCTGTACATGCCGTCCTTACCTGATCTATGGTATTGAGGAGGCTGTCAAAGAGGCGCAAAAGGGTGGAAGTGGAGGTGAGTACAAACGATTTCATTTCATACCTCCGATGTCCAGCTATTTTCGGATATTTTCGTATTATACCTATTGGGACATACACAACATCTCCCGAATGCGTTCACTATTCATGCAATTCTCGTAGGCAATTACTAACTGTGGTTTTTCTAGTCGGTGAGTACAGTTTCCATCAGTCTTTCAATATCATAACTAATTATTTCCCAAGTAATTTACTTCAGAAAAGAGGGTAGAGCTCTTGGAGAGGTCACAAAGGTAATTGAAATTTCCGCGGCTCATGGGTCCGTCTGCACTGCATTTATCCTTCTGTTGTGGAGCACACCGAGGCTTATCAACTTACACAACACCCACACCATTTCCCCCACTTCCAGTCATTTTTTCCATGACATCCGCATTTATCCCTTCAGATCTTCATGATTAATCACTTCTCTGGATCTCTCCGAGACAATCTCTAACTCGGTCATGTAGTACCTCGTTTACAACGCCAGAAAGCGCGGACTTGATCGAGCTTCGGAATATTTTAAACGCACGGAAAATATCGCCGGCGTAAAAGATATGCGTTTCCAGGCGTTGATGCCCGACATTCTTCATTGGCTGGGAATAAAGAAAATTGACAGAATGCTAAGTATGAGCAAGTAAGTTTGCTCAAATCCACAACATATCAGATGCAGGAGTAACCATATTTACAGCATGAAACATGATGCCATAGTCGGCCAAGGGTAAGGAACGCGCACGGAACATTGGTTCATATTGCTAAATAACCGTCTAGAATTCCCATACATGAACGAGTTGAGCTACCCGAATCTTGGATCCCAGCAGATTCGAGGGTCGAGATTGATGCCAAGATTACAGCAGGTCAGTTTTGCCACGCACCATTCATAATCCCATACCTTGTAATAGGGCTGAACAAATTGCAACTAGGATACTTCACTACTGGTCACAGAATGACTGAGGAGGAGCTCGCTGCCGTCCAGGGACGTAGTTGGGATGAGTAAGTACCCCTTTATGAAAGTTTGCAGTAGTGAAACTTTATGAAACTGACCCAAACCGCAGTATTGATCATTGATCACGCGCAGAGAGAAAGATTTCATGACTCGGGCCGCACAATGTACCTGCATGCAGCATGAGTGCCTAACATACCAAACGTAGTCTAGCATATGGAACACGATTTTTTCTTACCGGTGTTATGTTTTGTCAGATCTCGGTTGAGCATGGTGACTTGTTTGACAAAACATACGACATATGACATCGCCGTATCCCAAGTACGGAAACTAGGTACAGTCGTGGCTTCACAAGTATTGTATGCAGTCAAACACACCCAACATAACAAAATTCCCAACTTCCAAGATTTTTGGGATTTGGGTGGGAAAGCGCTATATTATCGTAAAGTTTCAATCAATCGTAGCCAGACATTCATTGGGGGTCAGCCAGTTAAAGGCGGGCCCGGGTGAGGGGTCGACATTGATAGTGTCTTTCTGATGGTAAGCTTGCCCACCTTTTTCTATGCACGTTTGATGCATGTGTACAACACCATAACCATTAACAACCCACCACATCATTCATGTTGGCGTGGACAGAATAAATGTGGTAATCCTCTCACAGTCTAGCATGTGGCTAGAACGACCTTTTTCTTATTTATCGGCTTTCTGGTAAGGATGTCTTAAACCGGCTTGACTTGTTTTCCCATCTAGTACGTACCTACTTGCTTAACAGGCCTGCCATGCTTTTCTGCGTGTTATTTAATATAGACAAGTGTATCTCCAAACTTTCTTTACTCCTCTTTCTCTTTCCTAGAAATCCTTTCCCCAGATTAATCTACTCTTGATCAATTCTCTACGAAGAAATAAATATCATCAAAAGGCTTCAAATCGTTCCTCAATTTCAATCAATCTCATTCATCGGCCCACTCCGGATTATCACTGCCCGACCCCAAGTGGAGAAACGAAAGTTATATAACTGGTCGATCACTTGCCCTACGGTATATCATACGATACGAACCAATTGTCTTTTTTCATTCCATAGAACTCGCCATGTCATCCAAAACTCAATCACGAGGATCATCACCCAAAGTGTCTGCACGACCCAAACTTATGAGAGCACATGCCACAGCACCTTCATTAGTCACGGGCAACGCATCTCGCAAAGATCTCGCCAATCTTCAATCCTCGTCGAAAGCAGCTTCGATTCTCACTCGCGTGGCTAGCTACTCGGCCCAGCAAGATCATGGAAGTCCGAGAAGTACCAGCAGTGCGTACTCGACGCCCGGAAACCGAAGTCCGAGGAGTCCGGAGAGTGGGTTGGCGAGAAGCTGTAAGGATGAGTTGAAAAATATGCAGCAGTATCAGTGTTAGTATCCCGTGTTCCATTTCTATCCTCTTGTGTTTGTCGGAAGACGTGATGAGAGGCAGAGGCTGATTACGTTGATAGCAGCGGGGTACTTTAGTTTCCCAAGCTTTGAAGATTTTCAAGGGTACCAAGAGCCGACTGAGAGGATGGAACGAAAGAGTGTGTCGTGAGTGAAGAGATGAGATGTAATTCGGGGACGAGAGATGGAAAAATTTAGTATATAAAGGGACGTGATATCATATCATCGTTCATCATCATAAGTAATTGGGTTCTGGGCTGGTTCTTGGGACAGGGATTTCACCATTTGGATATATTTCATGATACCTTAAATAACAACGGAACGGGACGGATGGACGGATAAGTGTTCCAGGGTCCGGAGCACTGGCACTACTGGCACTGGTACCGACAACTGGCGGTAATTCTAGAGGATAATGGAGGGTTCGGAGGGCCGATCGATGATCTTTCTCAGTGGATCTCGGACTGGTCTTTTTTTTTCCTGGACTTTCGGTCGCGTTGGGCGGCTTGCTTGCTTGCTTGCTGGATACCGACTGATTGAATGAATGAATGGCATGAAATTTGGAATTTGGAATTTTCTAATCGGGGCATTGATGGGTTATTTATCGCGGTTGTATATAGTATATATGGGTTTCATGTCTGGTGTACTTGGTTGGCTGTATTTATGGCTTTCCTTTATTATACCCCCTTCTACGTAGTTTTTAGGTAATTAATTAAAAAAGGCATTTCAGATTTTATATACTTATTACTTTTATAACTGCTTGTGTATTGTGTTTTGTTCTTCGTGGAGTATTACAATGTATGACATATAGTTGAGTTGAATTGAGTTGAGTTTGCCTTGGGGAGAAAAATATCTGGTTGCTTGCGGTAATGTGGAGAATTCTGTATTGATGATTGACTGACACGATCACCAGATAGATGGTTTGAAGGGATGCAATCTTATACCTACCTACCTAATAAGAATAAAGATTGGTGTACTCACCACTCTGTACAAATAGAGTTATTCACGTATGTAGTCGGATATTCGACTATTCGACTATTCTCACAACATGATAGGTATCGAAGATTCATTCGAGCAAGATAGCAAGATGGTAAGATGCATAACAACCCAATCCATCCTAACCCTGTATAGAGAAGAAAGAATAAGAAGGAAGAAAAAGGGAGGAGAAGTATGATGTTATATCTATCTCCTCAACCTAATCATCAAAACCATTAAAATACCTACCTAACTAGGTACTCACAAACTTAAACTCAAACATGTACACCTACCTGCCTACACTGTATACCTCACAACATCTCACACCACCCATCTCACAAGAGTAATATATAACAATAATGTTATTGATGTTGATATCGATATCGATAATATCACATCAGTATACACAAAACGAAAAACAAGCTCAGTCTATGTCTATACCGTTTATCTCTTTTCTAGTATAGTTTTACTTATATATATTCATACATTTATATCTTCACATGAATATCTACTACACACCTCGTATTTCCCATTTCGCATCCTCCTTCCACTCCCTCGAGAACCAAACCCCAAAGCCCAAACCAAACCAAAACCGCAGCTGCGGATACGGATTACAGATATCCTGTCCAGTATCTAGCATCTAGTATCCAGTACCCAGTATTAAATCAAGAAAACATCTATATATCTATATACCTATATAATAGCAATTACCGCCCGTATAACAAACACCAAGCTCGAGGAAATATTTCTCGATTTTTCGAACCAAAAAAATTATATGTAATCGACTCGAGATCTTAATCTGGCTAACTAGGTAGCTCAACTCTACTACACCAGTAAATCTTTCTTTTCCAAATGAAACATGTATTGGATTGTATCCTATCCCTAAAATGCAAAGCCTTCCTATCTACTTTTCCAATTTTTAAGGTACACAATTTTTCGTCAACTCCTGCCCTGCCTTTGTTGAAGGGATTGTCTAGATGCAACCCCAAGCCAAGCGCCACCACTCCTGTTGAATGCCCTTTTAATTCGAAACTCCCTATGCAAAATTTTTACATCCATATCTATTTTTTCATTATTTAATAAAGTACACGGGTGAGGATACGTGCTAAATGTGTTAGTATTGTATGATTAAGTCAAGCGTATAAGAGAACTTACAGCTCAAAGCTTCTAAGCTATCAGCAATCTCCTTCAGATCGCTAGTTTGTACATTGCTAATGTCAGCCATGAGGTATGCAACCTAGATACAATTAGCAAATTGTCGAGAACAGTGGGTATACACCAATTTCCATACATCGCCCTTGTTATCAGTGATCTGTTTGTCTACATTGTGGTCGCCGAGAATTTCGTTAACTTTTCTCAATACACCAGGAATGTTGTGATGGATGTAGATGACCTAAAAAATCAGTACGTTTATTTTAGAGCTGTAGATAATGAACTTACTCTTGCATGGTTGGACTCGTCCAATGTAAGAGAACGAAGATTGACCTCTGGTAAGTTCACAGCTCCAAGAGTGACACCAGAGTTCACATATCTGACAAGGGCCTCGCCAACTGAGAGATCATGTTAGTCAAGGACGATTCGCTTACTGAGAAAGCACATACCTTCAACACCAATAGCACGCTGAGCTTCCTCGGTACTGCCACCAATATGGGGGCTGAGAATGATGTTGTTGAGACTACGAAGATCCTCCGCCCAAGAGTTTAAGCTATTTGTGAAGTAAGGACCATTTCCGCCTGGTTCACTTGGATATACATCCAAAGCTGCACCGGCGATCTTTCCACTCCTTGAGGCTTCGATAAGAGCTGGAATATCAATCACGCTACCGCGTGATGCGTTGATAAGATAGCTGCCATCCTTCATTTGACCGAATTGTGCTCTGCCAATAAGATTCTTAGTTTCCGGAAGTTCTGGAACATGGCATGTAATAAAGTCCGCAGTATTGAGTAATTCGTTCAAAGTAGGAACCTGTTTAGCGGTACCCAATGCCATGAGATTGACGACATCGTAGTAGATTACCGACATGCCCATGGCTTCGGCAAGAACAGATAGTTGTGAACCAATGTGACCGTAACCAATTATACCTAAAAGTTTGAAAATCAGACCCAGTGAAGGAAAAACAATGTGTAAGGTCACAAACCGAGAGTTTTTCCACGAATTTCCCAGCATTTGTTGCTAACTTTATTCCAGGTTCCATTGTGTAATTCATTCGATCTGTCACCGAGTTGACGAGCAAGAACTATGATCTCTGCAATGACCAATTCTGCTACACTTCGGGAGTTGGCAAAAGGGGAGTTGAATACTGCAATACCATGTGCGGCAGCATATTCGAGGTCGACCTGATTTGTGCCAATACAGAAACATCCCACCACAATCAAGTTCTTGGCTTCACGAAGGACTTTCTCGCTGAGCTTAGTTTTTGATCTAATTCCAATGACATGGACATCTCTGCATAATAGCCGTTAACAAAGTATACTTTCATCTTGCATCATTCATCTTACCGAATCTTTTCAATCAATTCGGCCTCTGGTAAAGAACTCTTCAAGGACTCGACTTGATATCCTTGTTCAGAAAGGATATCTTTCCCACTTTGATTGACATTTTCCAAGAGTAATATCTTGATATCTTGGGTATCGAATGGCTTCAATTGCTTTGCATCGGTTCTTGCTGTCGCTCTCGGAACCGAGCCGGGCCCAAAGCTTGATGGAGGAGAATGAAAGGTTGCTGTAGGAGACACGCTCAGGCTATTAGAGACCATTCTTGAGAGGCCACTGGCTCCAACGATATCTTGTGGTGATGCCATTTCGTTGTAATTGATTGAAAGAGATGAATATGAATACGAATAGCAATATGAATATGAAGATGGAAAGTAAAAAGAAGAATATTTCCAGTTCTGAAGGGGACAATCGAACAATTTATGTTTCTATATGGATGAGTCAATACCCAAAAAGTCAATTTGAGAATACAATTATTGAGGGGCGTAAGGTGCATGGGCATGGGGAAATAGCTTACAAGCAAACTCGCAAACTATTGCTGTGGAAGAATTATCGCGTCATCGGGCAAGGCTCGGCAAGGCTCCGTGACAATGAAAAAAACTAACAGTATCCGGTAACCTCACGGGGTTTGGTTTGAGAATTTTCACATTTTCTTTTTTATTTTCATTATTTTCACTATTTTCACAAAGTCACTTTCACGGGCGCTTGGACCATCTGCACCTGCGATTATCAAAAATAACTCGCTTAATTTTCATTTACGCACAGAAATCAAAAGTTTGATTGACCTCTTCTTGATTTCACACCAGACCACCAACGCCCATCATCAATTCAATCTCAGTCGGCGAATAGGTAACTTATCGCAATCATGGCTGTCGGAAAGTGAGTAAACTCCTCGCCATTATATCCTTTTCCCTCGATCTTGTAATGTTGGAATCGATAAATCACAATACCGCGGATTCGCGACAATTGGGCTAGGACGAGGACGAGAGGGGCAAAGCTATCGAGAATATGGATCTGACAGCACGACAGGAATAAGCGTCTCTCTAAGGGCAAGAAGGGTTTGAAGAAGAAGACCTTGGATCCCTTCACCCGTAAAGATTGGTACCAGATCAAGGTTTGTGAAATTCTTCGACTTGAGATTTATTCGCAGAATCTGACAATATTTTTTATAGGCACCATCTTCATTCCAAATCAGAGAGTACGACAAATCCCACTACCTATTTTTCGAGCTACATCTAATAATTTATACAGTGTCGGAAAGACCCTCGTCAACAGAACCACCGGTCTCAAGAACGCCAACGACTCGTTGAAGGGAAGAATTATCGAGGTTTCTTTGGCCGATTTGCAAAAGGATGAGGACCACGCTTTCCGCAAGGTTAAGCTCCGTGTCGATGAGGTTCAAGGAAAGAACTGCTTGACCAACTTCCACGGTCTCGACTTCACATCAGACAAGCTTAGATCTCTTGTCCGAAAGTGGCAATCCTTGATCGAGGCAAACATCACTGTCAAGACCACCGACGACTACCTCCTCCGCCTCTTCGCTATCGCTTTCACCAAGCGCAGACCTAACCAGATTAAGAAGACCACATACGCTGCTTCTTCTCAAATCAGGGCGATCCGCAAGAAGATGACCGAGATCATCCAACGTGAGGCCAGCACCTGCACTCTCACTCAACTCACCGCCAAGCTCATCCCAGAGGTTATCGGTCGTGAGATTGAGAAGGCTACCCAAGGCATCTACCCATTACAAAACGTATGTTAAATTACTTATTGGGGGTGCAATTTATGTACTAATTTTTCATCAGGTTCACATTAGAAAAGTCAAGCTTTTGAAGGCACCTAAGTTCGACCTTGGTGCTCTCCTCAACCTCCACGGCGAGTCAAACACAGATGAGCAAGGGCAAAAGGTTGAGAGGGAATTCAAGGAGAAGGTGTTGGAGCAAGTTTAAATAAGGGATGATGTTATGCGGTTTGGGTTTGATGGTGCATCATATGTAGTCAAGTCTGGGCTTTGGGCAATATAGGCGTGACTTTGCATCACACATAGCACAGGGCTATCATTCAATTCCAAAAATGTCAAAAAAATGCAAAAACACAGTGCCTATGAGGATGATCCACGTGAATCCCTAGTGGCGTTGCTGATTTGATTTTGCATCAGCCTTGCTTTTAGCGAGTGACGTTGTGATTAACATGCCAAAAACCTCTTTCCTTCCCTTCCAGACCAAACTTTATGACCTACTTCTAGACCTTTTGACCTCAACTCCACCCACCGAAGTTTTGTTCATTCTTTAAGCGCTTTTCAAGACCTTCACGATGGCATCTGAAGATTCCATCCCAACCCTCAAAATACTTTTGATAGGCCCCTCAGGAGCGGGCAAATCCGCATGTACGACCGACCTGATCCCGCGCGGTGCATTTTCAATGTTGCCGATGAGAAGAGAGGTAGCTTGTGCTAACGGGCGCTGGTGTTATGTTTAGTACTTATACGATATTGCGACGACCAGTTTGATTCGGAGAGCAGTACTGCTACTATCGGGGTTGATTTTAAGGTGTGTTGCTTTTGACCTGGATTTTTGGTTTTCCCTCCTTCTCTTTGATTAATGAATGGATGATAAGGGCATGATATAAGAATAAAGACAGCGTAAGACTAAGATAAGGTAAGAAATAAGCTAACAACCAAAACCTCCCCCCCCCAGCTCAAAACCCTCTCTATACACGGAAAACCCTACCGACTCAATCTCCTCGACACAGCAGGCCAAGAACGCTTCCGCACACTCTCGAATTCCTACTATCGCGGTGCGCACGCCGTGCTTCTAGTCTACGATGTGACGAATCGGGAAAGTTTTAATAGTATGGGGAGGTGGGTGGAGGAGGCGGAGAATAATGCCGTGGATGGGTGTGTGTTTTGGGTTGTGGGCACTAAGTGTGATTTGGGGAAGAAGGGGAAGAGGATGGTTAGTGAGGAGGAGGGAAAGGCGTTGGCGGATGGGTGGAGGGAGGGGGTTAATATTTGTGGGTGGGGGTGTAGTAGTAAGACTAGGGAGGGTAAAGGCGGTTTTGAGGGGTGGTTAGGGAGGTTGTTAAGAGACCTGAGTTGTTGAAGGGAGGGCAGAGAAAGTCGGGAGGAGTAAGTTTTTGGGGTTCTGTGGGTTTTCAAAGGGACAAAGTTCTAACGGGTTTTTTGACAGGTCACGATCAGAGCAGCTAATGATAGCTATACATCGGGATGTGCTTGCTAGACTTTATGTCTTGCAGTAAGTGGACAGAGGGTTACCGGCACACACTATGCGATATTGGGTACGTGCATACGAAGCATATGTATATGGAGGCGTTACGTGGGTATTATTCTTTTGGGTGGCATGGGATTATAACAGATACCCTTTTACATATGCACAATAGACTGTACATTTCTATCCTTCTATTCCTTTGGTTTCAAGAATTCCACAACGGCTATTTTCACGTCAGTTAGCGAAAGTCCTCATAGTGGCGCCCAAGAATGAAAGGACAAACCTTGTCTGAATTCCTCCGGTTTCTCAGAAATTACCCAATGCCCAGCATTTATGTCGGCAAGTTCAAATCGAGGGAAGAATTTCCCTATTATAGGAAGTGCTTCGTCTGGCACATAATGGCTTTGCGTTCCCCGAATAAATAGGGTAGGTTTATTGAAGCGAATCGAATCTGGATCCTTGAATGGGAAATCACCAAGGTTATCCAATGCAGCCCCGAGGATCTTAAGAGGCACCTTAAACTTCTGGGTCTTGTCTTCCGTGCGCACGAGGTTTCCGAGGAGGAATTGGCGGATAGGAAGCTCTTTCTCATAGTCCTTCAAGATGTTATCCGCTTCACTTTGTTTGGAGATTCCTGCCTCTTCGATTCTCTTCATTCCTTGGATATATTTTCCGAAGTTAGTGAGGAGTGCCGCATCAATGGGCGCATTATCTACGGATACTATATCCTCAACCACTTCTGGAGACTTGAGTGCCAGGGCCATTGCAGTTTTTGCGCCCATTGAGTGGCCTATCAGTGTTGGCCCAGTGAGCTTATGCTCGTTTATAAATTCAGCTACGTCGGCTGCCATAGCCGTATAATCGTGTTTGGGGTGATGCGGGGAGTCGCCATGATTTCGCAGATCCTATCTATCCTCAATATATACTCTTCAAAGCTCCTCGAGGGATATGACTCACAACAGCATAGACAGGTCTTCCTAGATCTCTTGCGAGAGCCCTGAAATTAAAAGTTAGTGAACCGGAGAGGCGATAAAATGAATGCTAAGGAAAGCTCACTTACTAATGCTCCTGTTATTCTTCTTGGATCCGAATAAACCATGCATGAAGATGATGGCTCGCGGAGCATTGGAAGAGGGGTTGGCCGGTTCGTGCAAATCAAACGCTAGAGGGACGGTGCTAGATGTAGAGTAGTTCCTCCGACATGCTCGGAGGATGCTAGGTGATAACAACCGAGAAGGCATATTGAAAGGTAATGGGAGAAAAAGGAAGACGCCGCCAATATGTGAGGTGAAGTGAGAAAATCGAGTAAAGGCTGCGACATCAGAGATAACAGAAAAATATTTTGATTCCAATGGGGAATTTATTCAATTGGTCATGATCAGCCTTGCATTATCTCATGTCCGACAAGTTACCGGTGGGTGACCGACGATGTCCCGGTACTTCGGTTTGCATTGTGTAGCTTCTAATTCCGGCTTGGACATTGATTGCACTGAAGTTGTCGTTCCGTCTTCTGCATTCATTTCATCTGATCCCGGAAATGTGATCAAAAATTCGAATGTTGGCATCAAGAGAAATCATGAGATTTAAATCTTTGCGCATTGAACTTGGTATCCAGGAAAAGCTAGCTACTTATCTAGCAGGTAGCTACTTGTAAGGCGTTGTTGGCTGCATTTCTCATCGGAATGTTGCAGAACCCTTTTCTTCACTCCGACTAGTAAGTATACATGCTTCCTTTTCCTTCTCTTGTCCATGAAAAGCTTTGCCAGAATCGTTGCAGTCCAGATCCGAAATTATCATGATCATGGATCGATCCTTTTAGCATAATGAAGACCCAGATTAATTTCAACCGAGGGAACCGCCACATTTCGCACCTGCCATATAATGAATAAATGATGCTATGCCAACCCAGCCTGGACTTCTCTTGTCAACCCCCTCCACCGCCGCATCGTACTCGTCGTGATCACAGTCACAGTCAGCAGAGCAACGATTCATTTATTCGATCCTTCCTTTCCTTTCCTTTCCTTGCCTTCCCATTTTCCCTTTTCCCTCATTCACTTACTCACAATCATTTCATATTCTTCCACTTCCATATTCCCGTGATTAATTAAAGTTACTGTACATAGAGTTTGTTTAATTATTATTATTCCACTCCTTCGTTGCGTACGACCGACCGTTGTCCATATACTTCTTCGACGTTCTCAGCCACAACGACAATACTCCCCTTTGTAAGCCTTTCTTTCTCTGATAGTTAAAACAAACCGATGAGCGCAAGCCAAAAATGCCCGAGGCCCAAGAAACCCTTTGTCCTTGTCCCTTTTGTGGGTACCAAACAGAAAGCGAATATCAAATAATGGTTTGTTCATCTTCCGAATGCTGCATTTCATCGAAATAGATGTACGGTTTGCTGATGAGATCAAAGTTACACATGGAAACTTTGCATGCTGAAGGAGAATCACCATTCGTAGCCAAAGATAGTGCAAGTGTTATCGCAATGGTTGAAAAAGATGCTGATTACGCTGACTGTCCGGTCGATGGCTGTGGTGAAATGGTGTTGTTTGATGAGCTTGAAAGTCATGTCGAGATGCATGGAGAAGAGGATGGTAATATGGAACTGGATACGCCTGCATCAGAGCCTTCTAGGAATGGGACCAAGAAAGGTGTTGGTAAAGATGCCAGTTTTGGTACGAAACTCTCACATGCACTTCGAAATATTGACGATGGGCATGATTACGAAATACGAGAACCACCGCCAGCACAAGTCTCGCCAAGGGCATGGAAGGATATCTTGAAAATGCCTGATATTTCTTTGAAGTCCCAACCCAAAACTCCTGCCAAGGGCCCAAGACAGTTAGGGGTAGGTTCTTACTTTCTCAATGTTTCCATGTCACATGATATTGATCTCAATTATGAACAGAAAGCAGAGCTTGGTCCTCATGCTCATGAGAAGCAAATGCCACAATGGCTTGTGAAATTACTGCAATCGGATGGCCAGTATAAGACGATTAATAGAATTAATGCAGATGGGCAATTGCGGAGGGTCAAATATTGCCCAAATCAAGCAGAGGGTATCATCCCCGTACTGGCTCAGCTCCTTGATCAAGATCGTTCTGTAAGTTATGCTTACCTGTGCGATCCGGCTGTTCTCCATGTTTCAAAACTTCTAAGAGAGGGTATGGACCCCCTCCCTGCCGGATTTCTCATGTTAACCAGATTTTTAGGAGGTTTCTGTGGCTACAGAAACATTCAAATGATGTCTTCATACATTATTAGGTCTCAGTTTCCTGGTCACAACGTCTTCAATGATTGTGTTCCAACAATTTTTGATATTCAAGACTATATTGAGAATGCTTGGGATCAAGGGATTAATTCTCAAGGTCGAATAGAAACTGGTGGAATACGCGGAACAAGGAAGTATATCGGAACTCCTGATGTGAGGATGCTCCCTTTCTCCCGCTTTTTTATACTTAGGAATCATGTCAATTAACTAACATGAATAAATAGGCTCAAGCGATGTTTTGCTCCCTAGGGATCCCGTATGCTTTCTATGACCCTTCATTTTCCACATTGTACTAACTACGTTCTCAGATGTGATACTGCGGCCTTGAAAACCAGAAAAGATAAAGGGGAAGGTCCGGCGGCTAATCTCTTGTATCAAAAAGTGGAGGAATACTTTCTGGACAATTGTGTTGATTTCGAATCTAAAGTCCGAGAGACGTCTCTCCCTCCAATATATTTTCAACACCCAGGTAGATCCCTAACCTCTCTCTTATGCGTGCCTATCTAATTGCTACATATCAGGCCACTCGATGACGATCATTGGATTCGAGAAACAAACAGATGGAACTAAAAATCTTCTCGTTTTCGATCCTATGTTCCATGATGCATCAAAAGTCGTTAAATTTGTGGGCGGAACAGTTAACTATAAACATCCTGGTGATCTATTAAAAGCCTACAGACGTGGTAACAGATACCTGAAGAGGTACAATGAATTTGAACTTCTGAAGTATGTTACCCCTTTTCAAAGCCTGTCGACGTTGAACGAGAACTAACACATCATAGGTTAATTCCACCATCGCAGAGAAAACCGAATTGAGGCTAAGCAGTTCTATGGAGCCAGATATTTTAATTGTTAATTCCACTGGCTGGTGATTATAGGATGGTGTTTGGATGTATTAGAAAGGGTATGATAATTCACAGGCATGGCATCACGGCGCACAATTTGACGAGGGAACCGGCACACTCTGTAAAATAGCGGTTACCATCAGTCACAAGGGTTTTCCTTAAATTACATGTTGTAGCTCTTCCTTTTTTTACTTTAATACAAGTGTCCCTCATACAAGACGTTCGTTCGTTCGTTCAATGTAACACAAACAAAGATTTACTTACTTTCCTTCCATCTATCTACCTACCTGCCCATCTCACTCGCTATATTTTCAGGAGAGCTTCCCGATAGATAAAGAAAAAGATGGATGATGGAAGAAAAGGGGAAAGGGAAAATGGGGCGGGGATGAAATATAAAAGGTCGACTTTACGGGGATATACATGAATAGGTAAGATTAAGATCTTACTTTCAAACACCTCTAACGAAGCGGGTGATAATTTGCAACAATGGGAATGAGTTTAGACTTTTTCTTTCTTTTTTTCTTCATTTTTTTTAATTAAAAGAGACCAAAAATGCGTATGTTCTAGCAAAGACTAGTTTGAATCTTGAGCTTCCAAGTGTATTTAATAGGTATGTTATGATAGATGTGTACAGTAATACAAAAACGTTGTAGGTATCCGTAGTAAAGCATGCATGCGCAACCATCATGCCTTTCCATTAAAAGTTCAGCTTCTTTGGTCCAAGGCACGGGTGAAAGATCCCTTTCCGTTGACCAATCCTCCCGTATTGATGACAAGTCATGTTTCCCGTCCGAAAATGTAGGTATTGAGAAAATTTATAGGCTTAGCTGTTGAATAAATTGCCAAACAACCAACAGCCCACCCGCCTTCCTTTCGATGATATTTTGAATATCCCCTCCTCCTTTCCCTGATGCTGTAAAAATTCATTGGAACGACAAACGCCAATTTGGTTCAGCCAAAGCCAAAAGTTACCCACGCCAATCCCTTTGACTCCAATCCTTATGAATGAGCAAGCGAATATCTGAAGATAAATACCCCCACCGTCACGAACCCCAAAGCACGCTAAATGAACAGATAATAATGTAACAACGCACCTAAAAAGGTGATATCAACGACGATGGGAATAAGGGTCTCCTATTGGTTCGCGTTCTCGATATCGATCCCTCCCACGATCATTAATAGGACTGCGGGTACGACTTCGGCTATCACGGGAACCTCGACTGTCGTATTCGTGCCTGGCTCCATTACTGTGTCTTGGGCGATCGTCTCGGCGGTCATCCCGTGGTAAACGATCGGCCCCTGGTGGGCGGTCGTCTCTTGGTCGCCGGTTCATGTTATAACTTGGGATATATGTGTCGATATTCCCACCTCCTCCTGCTCTACTTCGAGGAAGGGGCGCGTGATCACGATCGCGATGGCCGCGACCATCTAGATCTTGGGATCTGGATCGGTGACCATGTTGGTCTGATCTTCCACCATCATAAGCGAAATCTGTAGGCGGTGGTCGTGGTGGTAAGCCTCGATCATCTCGTCTCCACGCTGGTTTGCGGTCATCGTATTGTGGAGGTGGTAGGCCACTGTTTCTGTAGCCACCGTGGGAAGGAGGAGGAGGAGGGTAGCGACCATTTTGGTGACTTCGATGACTGACGTAGTTATCATATCCTGGTCCACTCCCATTTCGCTCCCATTGGTCTGGGCCCATGCCCACATCACCTCCCTTGGGGGGTGGTGGGGCCTGTTTTTGTCCCCGGTGCTGCTTTGAATCAAATTCATGTGATGATTCTAGAATTGGGATCTCGTGTGGTTTCATAGGTAAAGGCGTGTTTCGGAAGTATGGATGCTTTAACGCATCGATTGCGTTGGTACGCTTCCTCCAATCGAGTTTTAGCAATTCCTGCAATAAAGAGATAGCACCAGAGCCTTGTTCTCTGAATCTCTGAGCTAGTGTCGAAGGGCGCGGTGGGCTAAAATTGAGACCTTGAGCTTTGGGGAGTGACCTCCACCCTGGCATGTTTTCCTCATTAGGAGTGCCACACAAATCAAAAATAAGCTTAAGCTGCTGCTCCTCGCTCTCGCCTTGGAGGATTGGCTTTCCGGTGAACATCTCGCCAAAAACACAACTGCCAATATTAGTCAACCATTCAAAGATAAAGAAGTTAAAACGTACCCGACTCCCCAAATATCGATCGCTGGAGTGTAGTTTTGCAATTCTAAAAACAGTTCTGGAGGACGGTACCATCTTGTAACAACTACAACAGTATAATGTGCTTTCGCTTCTCCATTACCCTTCCCTGCGACTGGTACAGGCTCGTTGTAGTGTCGCGCCAGGCCAAAATCTGCAATTTGGAGTATGCCTTTATTATTGATCAAAATGTTTGCGGCTTTGATGTCCCGGTGAAGGATGTTTTGATCGTGAATGTACCGCATGCCCTCAAGCAATTGCAGCATATAACACTTAATTTGCGGTTCCGTAAAGTGGATGTTCGGGTTCTTCAGAAGACCTGATAAGTCATGGTCGAAATATGGAGTGACCATGTACATGATAGCTTTCTTCTTCTTATCGGTGTTTTTTTGTGGGTGCTCGACGGCCATCTCCTCCAAACTCAAGACATTTGGATGCAAAAGAGCTTTGAGAGTCTTGATCTCGCGAAGGGCTGTAATTGGAAACCCATCCTTCTCGTTGATCATCAGGATCTTTTTTAGAGCAACAACCATGCCAGTCTTTCTAGATTTGGCTTTGTGTACTTCTCCAAATGTACCCTCTCCGATTTTCCCCATAACCTCATAGTCTGTGATTCTTGAACAGCCGCGGAACGTGTTCTGTGGCCGAGTATGTTGTCGTGCATATTCTGGGGTATAAATGCCATTGGTAGCTGCGGGCGCTGGTCGTGATGCGGTCGCCATTCTGACAGAATGCGTAGATGTAAGGAGAGAACCTTATTTCGTGCGCGTAGGTTATCGAGTATGCGATCGTGCGTGCAGCTGTAACTTTCGAGACTCGCCGTCGTATAAAAAAATGACGTTTGTCTCAAAGAGAGCCTTCGATAGAAATGTAGATATTTGAAAACTAAGCTTCTATTTCAGGGCTCGTGGTGCGAGGTTAAATTGGGTCTTAACAGCATTGTTACCTTCCTTTAATACAATAAGAAACAAAAAATTGGTTGGGGAGAGAATACGAACGTCGAATCTATAAAGTACATGATACAGAAAGTGAATTAAGTACAAAGGTTCAAGGTTATCGGGCGAGTAGCTTTCTGTATAATGTCCTTAAAATACAGGCCACAACTTCACACTTGGTTCTCGGGCCGGACTCCCAAAAGTTGTGAATGAACGACTTTGGAACCCATACGGTACAATAAACACTCACTTCTGAACAACACAAGCCATCGATCATCGTTAGTCTCCTCTACACTACTCTAAGTAGCAGCAAATTTGTTTTCGCTATATACGTATCCGTACTGACCATTTCATTAGCACAATGGCACAACCACCTCCAGGACCCGGAGGACTCTACAGAGCTCCACCTCTATATCGATTTGCTGGTACAGCATTGGGTGCAAGCATGTGGTTTTTCGTATGTACTCCCAAGTCCCTATACCACTACTGCATGCTAACTTATATACAGCTGATGTATCGTGCGAAGAAGGATGGTACTGCCGCCCTTTGAGTTTAACCCGGACAGTACACATACTGACACAATTTAGGTCCTGCCTTGTTGGGCTGGAAGCACCCTTGGGATCACTGAACGACGAAATGAGGAGGGGATATGGCGGTGATTGGGATCCATCAATCTACTGCGAGGACTTGGACATTTAGAAGATACCACCCAAGGCAGTTCGGAATCACAATACCGATAGTGGGCCAAGACCTGTACATACGGAAGGAAATATCATTGGGCATTGGAGTTGAAATTGAATCAATTATACGCAGTCTATGGATTCTACAGTGTCTATGTTATTACGCAGAGTTGGGCTTCTCAAATAAGTAGTGGGATACACCCCAGGTATCTCCACCTTCATATGCAAACAACTCGGCGCACTGTTATTAAATTAGTATAGACACTATGAACAGATAGAGGGAAGCAACTTACTGCGAGGTAAAAAATTTGCCAGCGGTAATACCACATTGCGGTATCTTTCTCGCCATATGTCTCTGTTAGGTGAGGCCAAATCTCTTGCTTGCTAGCTACCATCTTTGACAGCCAATCCTACATGATTCATTAGCGAGGAACAGACAAGTCTAAACTGCAAAGTTTACATACCTCGCAAGTCTTTGCGTAATGTTGGCCATTCACCCACCATTGCCTCTCAAGTTTGAGATCTTCCTGAAAGAATAACAACAGATCTGCAGATGGCATGGTACCTCCAGACTACAAAGTTAACAAGTTAGTGATTGCCGTTAAAAGGGGAAAGGTTATGCTCTGGGGGCACAATCAAGAACAAAAGCCGTGTCAGGCAGGGAAAAGGATACAGTAGATGTAACACCAAAAGCATTTTGAATCGAAGGATTGCGAAGAATATATTATACTCACGAAAAAATGTGTGCTCATCCATCCCTCCTCAAAGTCGTACGGTGTAGTCTTGTGGGCAAAGATATGGACAAACAATTTTCCCCCTGGCTTCAAGGCTCTTCCAATTTTTGCCATCAGTAGCTCATAGTTCTTCATATGCTCAAAAAGCTTCCTCTTGTTAGCTATTGACTTAAATGAATTCTTTACATGTGACTTACCTCGATGGATACAACTCGGTCAAAACTCTCCTTCTCGAATTCGTAATCCACCACATTCCCGGTGATCACTGTCAGATTTTGGAACCCCTTCTCCTTGGCTTTCCCATCAATGTATAGCTTCTGGGTTCTCGAGTTCGAGAACGCCGTGATCTTCGAATTTGGAAAAACTTCCGCGAAATACAATGCTCCTGAACCCCAACCACATCTAAAATGTATTAGCCACTCCCACTTCCTTTCCATAATTCTTGTATCTAGAACTCAGAAGCACTCACCCAAGATCCAGGACACTCATCCCATCCTTCAATCCAGCCTTTTTCACATAAGTCTCCAGCATTTCCACTTCCGCCTGACCCAAAGTTTCACTTCCCTTAGGATACAAACAACAACTATACTTCATTCTTGGCCCTAGACACGCAGCAAGAACACCCGTTCCGACCTCATAATGCTGTTCATTTGCAGCAGCCGTCTCAATGGCAATCGGACGACTACGAAGAAGCTCTACATAGCTCATTTTACGCTCATAGGCGTCTTCTAATGAGGTACTCTTTATCAACTCAATACGGTCACGCAATTGGCGACGGATACCAAGGCGGATTACAGCATTTGGGAGATATCCTCCGTCAAGGATCCAGTCTGGGGGAATGTCAGTTGCCACTGTGATGCAAGGTCTAAAATGAGGTAGATTAGATTTACCGTAATTCATAATTGATAGCTCGAAAAAGATTGAAAATCTGAGGAACGAATAAGTAATTTTTATGACAGAAGTAAATATCTTAAGAAACCAAGGAAACTAACAGGCAAACTTCTTTAGAGGTTTGGGGATGCTACATATAGTGTAGGATAGCTCATCAAAGCGCGGGAGTGGGTGCGCCATATCATCATTTAAAAGATACTCCGGTGCCCGTAGCTCCTCTGTTAGCTTCCAAACTAGTACAGGTACCTACGTGCCCTTGCACCTGCCTAGCAGAGCAGACCACCCTTTCTAATTTATAAGTAGCACGTCTCCAAGGATCGAATAAGTTGTGGATTTTCAAGACAGCTTAACGATAATTCACTGGATGGAACTAGTGTTCCAAATAGATTCAATATTTTCAATAAGATTCGACAAGATACAGTATTCTGTCATTGTCGTTAGACCGCACTGCTAGTTTGCGAACCATCTATTACCTAGCTTGTCTACATATATATATATTTTTACACTGTTTCCTATTCGTGCATTCACCGCAATATATTACTGCAGTGAACTCAAGCGCATCTCCTCCAACACCAATTTGTAGGTTTTTCTCTGCTTAGGCTTCCGGGTGATTGACGTCTTTAAAATCCCCAAATACTTTCCGAGCTTTGGTAGCAGATAGTTTTCAGACGACCATGCCAGGAAAATATATCCAACTGCTAGGACCAGGATAAAAACCTCAAAGTCCCAACTCATTTCAGTTAACTGCATAAAATTTACCAACCATTGAGACGGATCAAAGAGCATATATAACGAGAACAGCAATGCTACGACAATTGTGACGACAAACGGTACTGAGTCAGCGTTAGTTAGTGAGAACAGTAGAGGAAGGCTTGTAAATGCTTACGGTTATGTGCCATGGATTGACGGAATGGCTTCCCCACACTTAGGACGATTCCAGAAAGAATGTATTCAAAGCAAGATACCAAAAATAGTGTAGTGTTTTCGGAATTTTCGATGTTGGATTTGTCCTTATCAAGATGAGGGGGAATGAACCAAGGCTGTCGTCGCACTGCTTGAAATGCAACGGCTTGAATAAGGATGCAAATAGCTATTTGACCCAAGAGTGGTGTTAACACCTTTCTTGACACAAGGTCGGCTGTGGGACGTTTCTGGCAGAGAGTAGGGAAAGGTCCAGTCCATCCCATGAAAATGGCGATAGGCAGAATTAGGATTAAATCAATGAAGAGAAATTGGAAGTCCCCAAGATTTGATGCAGACGCATATAGAAAGCTCACGGACGTGAATTGGATGGCCGAGTAGAGACTCATGTACTTGAAACAGCTGAAACTGGTCACCAAAGCTGCTCTACCCTCACGAATAACTTCAGGAACGCAGGTAATGTCGAACACTCTGCTGGTGAAGGGCGCAGCGACTGAAGCTTCTGCTTCAGATAATGATATGCCAACATCTGCGGCTTTCAAAGCACCACAATCGTTCGCACCGTCGCCGCAAAATCCGCAGCAGTAGTCAATACTCTGGAGTTTCTCCACTAGCTCATGCTTCTCGTCAGGTGACATCCGCGCAAATACTTGACCACAGACTAACATTCTTTGAAGAACGCTTGTGGGCGCAAAATCCACAATCCAGCGGAAGACATCTCCGCTGACAGCTAAAGAGTAATTCCTTAGATTAGATATATCATAAGGTAACGAGGCGTCGCCTTCCACCGGTGGAGGAAGTGGCGTTAGAGTTTGGTCGTCGAGTTTATAAATGCCATTGTCAATACTCTCCCATGACAATCGAGCTTTTGGATCTAGCAAGTTGCCTTCTATGAAGTGAGGCACGAAGCAATGAGCGGTCTTGTCGATGAGGTTGCATTCCCGGGCGACGCTAATGGCCGTCAAGATATTGTCGCCTGTACACATGACTTTTCTAATACCAGCTTCAGTCAATTCATCCAATACACCGGCTGTGCTTGGCTTAAGCTTGTTCTCAAAGATAATAAACCCAATAAAGTTCAATTCCGATTCCGTGTCTTCGCGGCTCATTTTCTGCATCTTAACCCAATTAATCTTCTTGATGTGTTTCGTAGCACAGGCAATGACACGGAAGCCTCTATGGGTATAATAAGCGAGAAGATCTTCGTAGTCACTGGGAAAGCTTTCCGCTTTGCAAATGTCTTTCATGCATTCAGGAGCACCCTTTACATAAACATCACATCCTTGAGACCCAAACTTTCGAGCGATTACACTGGCTCGGCGAAGCTGGGAGACAAACTCGAAAGATTTGAGAACGCCAAGTTCGATAGGAGATTTATTGGCGTTATCTTGATCATCCAAATCATATTCCATGCCCACCGGGGGTCTGGCGATTGAAGGTGACAATCCTCCAGACTCCTCATCGTCGGTATCGCCAGAGTTGTGCTGTCCTTCCTCAAAAGACCAGCCAGTAAAGTCAAACATTTTTAGATCCAATGGGTCACCCATCAGTTCATCGTCAACAACTCGGAGGGAATGGCATGTCGCCATTGTGTAAAGGATGGCTTTATGGATGTTGTAGTCGACTGTGGGGTCGCGTTCATAAGCCGCTCCTGGTAACAATGATGGCGCATCGGTGAGAATATCACTGAATCTATTTGCAGGCTGGTGGACAGCTCTAATACCAAGAACATCCAGACCATCTTCGGTTAACGTTCCAGTTTTGTCGAAACATACGATGTCGAGCTTTCCACCCACATTTACTCTTTGAGGGCTAATACAAAATATCTGTTTCTTTCTAAGGCGTCCCAAGGCGAAATTGGTTCCAATTGTAAGTGTGGCGGGCAAAGCTGGCGGAACGACAATTGTTATCAGATCGAGGGCTCTGACAACAATCAAGTGCCATGCCAAGTTCAAATGGACAAAGTTGATAAACGATGCAACAAATCCTAGCATTGCAATGCCTCCCATGACGGATATGTACCGGAACGAATCTCTGTAAAACTTGAATCCTGAAGGCTTTGGGAAGAGCATGGATCTAACCAGTGCACCTTTCGTAGTATTGAAGCCGGTCCTGACAGCCATGGCGAGCCCAACTGCCTCGCCATCATTATCATCATGAGGACGACGTGCCCTGATAATTTTAGTCCCACAGAACAAAAAGTGTTTCGCGAGATCAGGGGCCACAGATGAAGCAGAAAGGTTAAGGAGCCGCAAAGATTCATCAGTAGCTGGAACTTTAGACACAGGGACGGATTCGCCTAAAGAAGTCAGAAACGTGTTATCCGCGAGCTTTGTAGAACTTACCAGTGAGCATGCTTTCATTGACTATGCAATCACCAGCAAGCAGTAGACTATCACAGGGAAACTGTCCTAAGGCCGGATCCGTAACCTCGTAGATGTCTCCTGGAACAAGTTCACTCGATGGAACATAGCGCCCTGAAAAAGTTAATTGATGTTTGTAAGGGAGGAAAACTGCATAACCCACAGAATGAATTACGTAAGACACGAACGTCACATTCGAATCTTGATATTTCTCTCAATCGTTTCATTGTCTTTGGTCAAATAATTAGCATACATAATAATGGTCCGTCGGGCGTACTCACTGATCTGGTTTCAAGAAGTGTAGTAGTGATGCTCACAGCGGATATGACGAATATACACGCAGCATAGTAGTAGTACTGATCCATTGACCATAGAATAAGACTGGCCACTTGAAAGACATAAAATGGATGGAAAGCCTATAATATTTAGTAAGTTTCTCTTCACGCGGGGGAATGTAAAATACCTCATCTACAAGAAGTTGAGGAACGGTCTTCTGCTTGATGTCGATCATGTTATTCCCAAAAACTAGCTCTCTGTTCTCCTTCTCGTCTCCACTAATTCCAGAACGAATGGACTTCACATCAGTCCATGCCGGGTCCTTCCAGCCTGTAAAGTTCCGATTAGTATGGTTCAGTTATGATCGTAAGAGTACGCTCCACACGAAGTAGCCTATGGTTTCCAATAGTCCGGACTGCAATACAACGACGGATTGTTGAATCTAGACTTTTTCTAGGATATTGACTTTATCTGGCATATTGAATCGCTTTTAAGGGTTCACTGAGAATGCCAAAGTATGTTCCAACGATCCCCAGCTTCTCAATCATTCAAGACTGCAAAATTTGGTCTTCCGCCCTGTTTATTGGAACTCAAAGGAAAGAAATAAAAATAATACTCACTGTTACATAGGACGAACCTGTCTTTCAAAGGATTGAATGAGAACCGCATATAGCGGTAGTCAAGAATACGTAGATTGTCCAAAATGGGGTCGTCGTCATAATCGTAAGACATGGAATACTTCTTTTGGGAAAGGCCAAAGACTGTAGACAGAGACCGTCCATATTCTTTTGACTCGACATCCTGAACAACAAATTCTCCCCATTGGTTCTACGCACAAAAATGAAGTCAGCACGGCTGTAGCTATAGTTTAAACGGGGCACAAGGGTTGTTTGGAAAGAGTGTTGGAATTTGAATATACGATTATTACTGACTTCAATGACTACCCAAGCACATTCTCTCAATGGTGATGGCATGCCAATGATACGGACTTGCCAGCGCGGCAACCATCGTAACAAAAGATAGCCAAGACCAAAGGAAAGTATACAAATGGCCAAGTATAACGCAAACCCAGATGTACTTGTTCGAAAACCTGCCACTACTACGGTAAGGTCCTCTGTAATGATGTATATTTTTTGGTTTGTTCGATGACCTTGCCCAAGATTACTTCCATCCGTTCTTGCACTATCGCTGCGCAGTAATCGATCATGCACGGAACTTCTGGATTCCACAGTTGATGTCCTTCTCAAAGCCAATTCAGCAGCTTCCAAGTCCGAATCTTCCTCTTGAAATTGAGCATCGTCTTCCTCGTCTATTATCGCACTGTCATCTTCGTCCTCGGCACTTCGTGAAAGCTCCTCGTCGTCGTCGTTTTGTTGATAATATGTGAAACTTGCTGTAGAATCTGCTCGCGACCGCCGATGCGCGAAGGATGCAATACTAGAGGGAACCGATTCAGAAACGGCACCCGAGAACATCTCGTCATGTGCCATCTCGACATCATCCATGAAGCTGGCCGTCGACACATTGGAATCTCGTCTGTAGAGTGTGTGATAATTTGTTCCTCCTCTTTGACTATGGTTTGCGATCGAGCTGCTTCGCCGCGGCCGGTGGCCTGCAGCAGCAGAACCATTGTACTCTGCCATTTTAATAATTAAAGCAAAAGAAAGACGCCTCGAACGTATCACCAAATAATAATTATGAAAGTGAAATATACATTACAGGTGAAGCCAAAATGTTGGCAACCAACTTATGGAAAATTACAACTTTCGTAGCGCGGCGCGAGTTCACCGGGCAGTACAGTACAAGCAAATATCGGTAAGGGTAGCTCGTATCGTATCTTTGCCCGGCCGATGATTAATGATTCATAAATAAATAAGCTTAACCTCAGGTTCAGAGTTTTCGCCCCGCCTTATCGGTTATTTTGGTAAGTCGTAGCCCGCAATCACAATCTGAACAAATCTTAGCCGCTAAGGTCCAACAACTTCTCAACCTCCACCTCTAAGAACTTTTTCTCCAAATAACATCGCCACGAGAACAAAATCTCTTACAAACCAAGAGATATCTTCATTCTTTTATTGAGTTTCTCAAAGTAACTTGAAATAATACGACAAGATGTCGGACATTCCAAAGAAAAATAATCCTCAGACGGCCCCGTAAGTTTCAACACAGACATTCCAAAGGCAACAAAAAATTCCATTTACAATGTTGACAATCTATTTTCCAGTACTCCTCAAAACACCCCAATGAATAACGCTCCTATTTCATCGCATGCTCAGCAACCTGGTGTTGGCACGATCAAGGAAGGTATGTTGTTACTCCGTCCTACACCGAGTTTTCTGAGCCAATGACTGACATTTATCTCGCAGAGGAGTTTGAACGCGCTGCAGCAGCCTCTCTCTTCGCACAAAACCCAAAACTTGTCCAGATGATCCATGGAAAGCTTGGCAGTCTTGTTGGCCGTTCATCTGGTTACATCGAGTCCCTCCCTACACCAGTTCGTCGTCGCGTTGCCGGTCTTAAGGGCGTTCAAAAAGAACATTCGAAGTTAGAAGCCGAGTTTCAGGAAGAGGTATTGGAGCTTGAGAAGAAGTACTTTGCCAAGTTTACCCCTCTGTACCAGAAGCGAGCCAAGATCGTCAACGGCGAGGTCGAGCCCACTGAGGAGGAGATTAAATCTGGTGAGGAAGAGGATGAAGAGCACGATGCAGAACCAGCCGAGAAGGTCGATGAATCCGCCGAGAAGATTGCCGGTATTCCAGAATTCTGGTTGTCCGCAATGAAGAACCAAGTTTCGCTCGCCGAAATGATCACAGACAGAGATGAGGCCGCCCTCAAGGACTTGACCGATATACAAATGGAATACCTCGACAAGCCCGGTTTCCGTTTAATTTTCCAATTCGCCGACAACGAGTTCTTCACCAACAAGACAATCACCAAGACTTACTTCTATCAAAACGAGAGTGGCTATGGTGGAGACTTCATCTATGATCATGCTGAAGGTGACAAAATTAATTGGAAGGATGGCAAGGATTTGACTGTTCGTGTTGAGAGCAAAAAGCAACGCAACAAGAGTAAGTTTGTCATGACATTGCGATGTTAGGAATTCGCTAATCATCACTCTAGACACAAAGCAGACCCGTGTTGTCAAGAAGACTGTCCCAACAGAGTCCTTCTTTAACTTCTTCTCCCCACCCAAGGCACCCACAGAAGATGACGATGATGACACAGCCTCGGATATCGAGGAGCGCCTCGAGCTTGACTATCAGTTGGGCGAGGACATTAAGGAGAAGCTTATTCCACGTGCGATCGACTGGTTCACTGGAGAGGCTCTTCAATTCGAGGAATTGGATGATGATATGGAGGAGGGTGATTTCGAGGACGAGGACGATGAGGAAGATATGAGTGAAGACCGTGATGATGATGATGATGATGAGTCAGACGATGATGTAGGTTGTTAATGGCTATTTTATCTACAGGAACTAACATAAATTAGGATGATGCCGCGAAACCCAAGCAGGAAGCCGCTGAATGTAAGCAAAGTTAGATGGAATTTTGGTCTTTATCGATATTTTCACTCCCTTGACTACCTTTAAAGGACGTTCTTGGCCTATAAGTACCTCCGAAGTGCCTTTGGCACACAAAGTCGTTCTGGAAGAACAGTCCGCAATTGCATAGGTGTTTGTCCCAACTGCATTTTGTTCCGGTATTTTACTCGCTTCTATTAGAATAGCCTAATTGCTTAAGAAGCTTACATCCCTTCCATACTCTCGATCTCTATTTTCTGTTGGCACAGTGGAGTATGTAGATTTCTTCCCAAGAAAAGTCAAATGACGATCATGATTCTACTCAGTTGCATATCCATTTCTGTATGTGAGAACAGAATAAACAGAATGAAGCCGCTAAGGCAATGTTCTCCACCACACATCACATCACCCCTTGGAATCTGTTGAACATGTGAATTCTCATCAAATAGTTTTACCCCGCGTCAACAAAACACTTAAAAAATGAAAAATTTTGCTAGGTTCTTTTGTCCGCCCCTGACTCCAACCTTAAGCCTTTTGAATTGAGGAATTTTATTGGTGGCTCGCGCATCCACGAGATGGCATACCAAAGTCCAATATACTTCCTAGTAGATACCTCGCTAGGCAGGCTTTAAAACACTCTTCAATGATTCAATCCAGATTTGACGAGCACACGATTCTTTTGGTTGCAAAAGTCAACGTGGGAATCAAGTACGTTTTAGAGACGTCGGAAAAATTCTCCATGTGAAGAGTGTTGCAATTGTTTCGAAATCTTAAATGATTTTCATGTCTAATTCAGATTTGATGCTTAGGAATACCTAATTATATTTAGGAATGAGGTTTACAGTAGATGTTTTATGTATTTACTATCAAGCCCCTCTTATCTAGGTACGTATCACATATATTCAAAGGTTTTTTATTTTGTAACTTATTATCCTTAGCTTGTGACTACTATTTATGACTGTCTTCTGAGCTTTATCATGTATGTAAATGGACTGGCGGACTACATTAAAGTGATCAGAAACTAAACTCCCTTTCGGTATGCATCTTTCGCAAACCTTTGAGTTGGATGCCGTTTTACTAGTATCACTTCATCTGTTCCCTGAGGATATCGATGTAATGTTGTTATTGTATTTACCTAGTGCTTATTTACGGCCACGTTGGGAAATCTAGGCAATAGTTGGGAGTTATATCGTCTCTGTACTAGTCCAACAGGCTAGCTCAAACATCTCGCGAGTTTGGCAGCCATATAGCTAAGTATTCATCCTACTGTTGTTCCCATTCTGACTTTATGTTACCGCTTCTTGTCAACTGTAGTAGTGACTTCGATGGTTGTGATGAATTGTTCAATGTGAATTGCTTCCCGAATTTCCTGGGATGTTCTGATTCCTGAAAGCCCCTGAAAACCGTGGCTATACAACAAGTAAGGAATTTTGCAGTATTCGTAAACGAAGTTTGGTCGGCATACTTTTTCCAGCTAAAAGATGATCAGGAAGTATCTGAAATCATCAAGTACGCGCAGCTAATATCGCTCTCACAGAAATTCACACCCGGTTCACTATACGCGGTGGCGGCCACACGACCTGGACAAGCTCCGCCAAGTCAACGGAAGCGTCACCATTGATTCCTCGAACTTGGTTGAGAACAGAGTCGTCATAGACAAACAAACCAATGTCGCCACCGTAGGATGCGGGTTGCGATGAGGTGATATGGATCGAGTTTTGGAGGCACAAGGACTAATGGTATGGGAGACCGCATTTGTAAAGCTGGTGTTGGTGGATTAGTACTTAGTGGTAAGTCGATTCGGCCGCAAAACAAACGTTGAGTTGGGTACCTAGTAGTATCCAACTGGCATCGATTGACATCGTCCAGCCAAATAATGATAGTAATTAAGAGCTTTTTGTAGCTCTCAAAGGCAGGTTTGCCAATCATGATATTGTAAGCCAGTTCCAAACACGAGTCTTTGAATTTTGCAGTATGTAGGATGGCGCCATCTAATATGCAAACTCTACAGATCCCAAACTCGTCCAGGCTCTGAATAATTTCTCCATTCGCACTCCTGAGGACGAAGACGCATCATTCATCGTGGCACAACCAACTGCTAATCCCCCTTACTCGAACCATTCAATTGCAGCTTTTCAGCAAGTTACGAAGTGATTTCTTGCTGCCTCGCAGACTCATATGGAAAACCCCTTGGTGTTGTATGTACCAGAGAATCGTTCCTTATCTGTCTCATCAACACAGTACATGTTGTTAAAAGTCTTGAAGAGTTGTACATATGTATTAATAACAGTCCATGAATTTAAACGAAAACACACCAAATGCTTTTACAGCTAAAGAGTTGATCTGCAACAAGATTTTTGACGAGGGATGGAAATCGGGCTTATTTTCCAAATTTTACGCCTTCTGGATAAAGAAAGTTTATTGGTAGACTAAGCCCTACACTTTTCCCACGTAGAATAAATTGTAAGATCTTCGCTTTCCTGAAGATGGAACATTCTAATAGATTACCTAGCTACCTTGGTCTCATTATATGTCAATGAGTTCATAAAGAAATACAAGGTAGGTAGGTAATCAAGTGAATTCCCCTTGAAGCAGCTAGACCTTTTTCGAACTTCATCTACCGTGCCCCAACTTGGAGCCAAAAGTTAGTTCGACATGAACCAAATCTAGACAAAAAGAAAAAATAAAGATAAATTAAAGAACACCAATCTTCTGCATATATCTACACATGGACAATGGCGACCTGCAAAAGGTTTCTCTCGGTGGATTGGATTTACACGTTACCATTTTCTATATAGTGAATTGTGAATCGAAGCGGTGAGATACTCATAGGTTGAGGAGAAAGATGTAGGTAATTTTGCAATGTATGATGTGTCAAATAGAAATTTTGTCATTGGTTCTCCGAGTTGCATGAAACAGTAGTAGATTTGTTTTTCATCTTGAGATAGATATAACATCTGTTGTTGTTGTCAGTAACAAAGTCAACACGCAGATTCCTAACAATTTTGCATTTTTTGGTATAAAGTCCAAAATCTTTGTCTTTGTCCCACATTCACCAAAATAGGGGTCACCGGGAATTTTATTTTGTTACTAAAATATTTTAGCGTCGCCAAGACATATCCCTGTTGACGACTGAGCTCGCGACAAGCATTGTAAATCCCAAATACCGTGGCTCTCAAACCTCCTTACAATCTTTCAAATGCATCTTGTGCTTATTTAGTATTTTACAAAAGAAAAGAAGACAGGTCATTTGTGGTGGCGTATCTTCACCAGGCTTCTTATCGTTTATTTGAACAGCACCATTAAAATTAGGCTGGTTCATTTCATGCAGACGGATCCTGGAACAACCGTCTCTCCATTATTATAACAGTTGAAGCAGTTCGAGGGCAGGCAGGTTCTCAACAATCAACGTCGCCATCATGGCGCACAACTATGATATCGGTACGAAGGCATGGCAGCCGGATGCTACTGAAGGATGGGTTGCTTCGGAATTGGTCTCGAAAACATTGAACGGAGACAAGTATACTCTGGTCTTTCAACTCGAAAATGGAGAGGTTTGTTGCCTTGTAGTTTGGGAGGAAATTCATGTTCTCCTCCCTCTTGTGAATGATGCTGACCTTGTTTCAACTGCAGACCAAATCGATAGAAACCACAGAAGAGGCGTTGACAGAAGCAAATAATGCCTCGTTACCCCCTTTGATGAATCCAACGATGCTCGAAGCGAGTGATGATTTAACGAATCTTTCCCATCTCAACGAGCCTGCTGGTAGGTCGCCGATTACAATATCCTTTCAAGCTCAAAACTGACCTTACGGTACAGTCTTACAGGCTATTCGATTACGATACCTGCAGAAAGAGATATACACATACAGTGGTATTGTGCTGATAGCAACTAATCCTTTTGCGCGAGTTGATTCTTTATATGTTCCTGGCATGGTGCAGGTATATGCGGGAAGGCAAAGAGCTACGCAGGCCCCTCATTTATTTGCAATTGCAGAGGAAGCTTTTGCGTAAGTAGCTACTGCTAAAGCCCCTGTGCCTTGCTAACGGTTAATAGGGATATGTTGAGGAGTCAAAAGAATCAGACAATAGTGGTATCAGGAGAATCTGGAGCTGGAAAAACTGTTAGTGCCAAATATATTATGCGATATTTTGCTACCAGAGAATCACCGGATCAGCCAGGAACAAGGACGAAGCGGGGTTCAGAACAAATGAGTGAAACAGAAGAACGGATTTTGGCTACGAACCCTATTATGGAAGCTTTTGGCAACGCTAAGACCACACGTAATGACAATTCTTCCCGGTTCGGAAAATATATCGAGATTATGTTTGATGATAAGACAAATATCATTGGAGCAAAAATTCGAACCTATCTGTTGGAGCGTTCGAGATTAGTGTTTCAACCCCTTAAGGAGCGAAACTACCATGTTTTCTACCAGCTAGTAGCAGGAGCAACGGAAAGCGAGACAAAGGAACTCGATTTGAAGCCTGTCGAAGAATTTGATTATCTCAACCAGGGAAGCTCGCCAACTATCGATGGTGTTGATGATAAAGCAGAATTCGAGGCACTGAAGGGATCTTTAGCTACAATAGGAGTCGATGCCAGTCAACAAGCGGACATCTTTAAACTGCTTGCGGCTTTGCTTCACCTGGGTGACGTAAAGATCACGGCCTCGAGAACGGATTCTGTCTTGGCTCCTAATGAGCCAGCATTGTTGAAGGCGACAGCTTTGCTTGGTGTGGATCCTGTGGAGTTTGCAAAATGGACTGTGAAGAAGCAGTTGATCACGAGAGGTGAGAAGATCACATCAAACTTGACTCAACAACAAGCCATCGTTGTGCGAGATTCAGTTGCGAAATTTATCTATTCAAGTATGTTCGACTGGCTCGTGGATAGTATTAACCATGCTCTTGCCACCGACGAGGTGTTGGCTCGTGTGAAAACATTCATTGGCGTGTTGGATATTTATGGGTTCGAGCATTTTGCAAAGAATTCTTTCGAGCAGTTCTGCATCAACTACGCGAATGAAAAACTTCAGCAAGAGTTTAACGCTCACGTGTTCAAGCTCGAACAAGAGGAATATCTTAGGGAGGAGATCGACTGGACCTTTATCGACTTTTCTGACAATCAACCTTGTATTGACTTGATTGAGGGAAAGCTTGGTGTGTTGTCACTTCTTGACGAAGAATCTAGACTTCCAATGGGCTCAGACGAGCAGTTTGTGACGAAGCTGCATCATAATTTTGCGGCTGACAAGAACAAATTCTACAAGAAGCCTCGTTTTGGAAAATCGTCATTCACTGTTTGTCATTATGCTATTGATGTAACTTACGAGTCAGATGGCTTTATTGACAAGAATCGTGACACTGTTCCAGATGAACATATGGCAGTTTTGAGAGCCTCCTCGAACAAATTCTTGGGCATAGTTCTGGATGCTGCATCCGCTGTGCGGGAGAAGGATACGGCCTCGGCAACAACCTCAGCTGCAACAAAACCCACACCTGGTAGAAGGATTGGTGTTGCTGTCAACCGCAAGCCTACTTTGGGTGGTATCTTCAAGTCGTCTTTGATCGAGCTCATGAGCACTATTAACGGCACTGATGTTCACTACATTCGTTGCATTAAGCCCAACGAGGCTAAGGAGTCGTGGGTCTTTGAGGGTCCTATGGTTCTGAGTCAATTACGAGCTTGTGGTGTGCTTGAGACGGTTCGCATCAGTACTGCGGGATACCCCACACGTTGGACATATGAAGAGTTTGCTTTACGGTACTATATGTTAACGCCCTCATCAGCGTGGACATCGGAAATCCGTGAGATGGCTAATATAATTCTCACAAAAGCACTTGGTGCCAGCAGTGGAGGTGGGTTGGACAAGTATCAGCTTGGTTTGACGAAGATTTTCTTCCGTGCAGGCATGTTGGCATTTTTAGAGAACTTGCGAACAAATCGACTCAACGATTGCGCAATTATGATACAAAAGAATCTCAAAGCTAACTACTATCGACGCAAGTATCTTGACGCCAGAAGTGCGATTCTTACATTCCAATCGGCGGTTCGAGGCCACCTTGCTCGTAGGTATGCTCAAGAGAATCGTAAGGTCAAGGCTGCCACAACCATTCAAAGAGTCTGGCGTGGTCACAAAGAGCGCAGGAAGTTCTTGGCCATTCGCAACAATGTTATACTCGCTCAAGCTGCCATCAAGGGATTCTTGCGCAGAAAAGAAATTATGGAGACTAGAGTTGGCAATGCTGCCATGATCATTCAAAGATCATGGCGATCGAGACAGTCGCTTAAGAAATGGAGAGATTATAGGAGAAAGATTGTTATCGTCCAAAGTCTGTGGAGAGGTAAAACAGCACGTCGTGGGTATAAGAAGATTCGTGAGGAGGCAAGAGATCTCAAACAAATTTCCTACAAGCTGGAAAACAAGGTCGTCGAACTCACTCAGTCAGTCGGTACGATGAAGAGGGAGAATAAGACTTTATTGACCCAGGTGGAGAACTACGAAAACCAGATCAAGTCGTGGAAGAACAGACACAATGCTTTGGAAGCTCGGGTAAAGGAATTGCAAACTGAGGCTAACCAAGCTGGAATTACGGCCGCACGTCTCGCTGTTATGGAGGAAGAGATGACGAAACTTCAGACGAATTTTGACGAGTCAGCTGTCAATATCAAGCGTCTGCAAGAAGAAGAGAAAGAGCTGAGAGAGTCTCTCAGAGTGTCAAACCTGGAGCTCGAGAAGGCGAAGGAGGAAGGCACTCTGCACGAATCGGAAAAAATCACTCTTAGACAACAGCTTGTTGACTTGCAAGATCAACTTGACTTGGCGAAGCGTGCAGGTCCTATCTTGCCGCCCAATGGAGAGATTATGAATGGTGCTGTCGCAGCGCAACAAAACGGACTTATCAATTTGGTTGCTTCGAAGAAACCGAAACGCAGAAGCGCAGGAGCTGAGCCGCGTGAGTTAGATCGTTTCAGTGCAGCTTACAATCCAAGGCCAGTATCCATGGCTGTAACAAGCCACAACCTCCATCAGCAAACACTCTCCGGCTCCACATTCCAGCCCAGTGTTGACACCATCGAGTTCGAGCTCGAGAATCTTTTGGCTGATGAGGAGGGCTTGAACGAAGAAGTCACAATTGGTCTGATCAAGAACCTTAAGATTCCAGCCGCTACATCCACTCCACCTCCAACAGACAAGGAAGTCCTTTTCCCATCTTACTTGATCAATCTTGTCACATCAGAGATGTGGAACAATGGATTCGTCAAGGAGTCGGAAAGATTCCTTGCAAACGTCATGCAATCTATCCAGCATGAGGTGATGCAACATGACGGTGATGAGGCTGTCAACCCCGGTGCCTTTTGGTTGTCTAATGTTCATGAGATGCTTTCTTTCGTCTTCTTGGCCGAAGATTGGTATGAAGCCCAGAAGTCGGACAATTTCGAGTATGATCGTCTCCTTGATATCGTCAAGCATGATCTAGAGAGCTTAGAATTCAATATCTATCATACTTGGATGAAGGTTTTGAAGAAGAAATTGCAGAAGATGATTATCCCAGCTATCATCGAATCCCAATCACTGCCAGGTTTCGTCACCAATGAAAGCAACAGATTTTTGGGCAAATTGCTCCAGACTAATTCCGCTCCCGCCTTTAGCATGGACAACTTGCTTAGCTTGCTCAACAACGTTTTCAAAGCCATGAAAGCCTACTACTTAGAAGATTCAATCATCACACAGACCGTTACCGAGTTACTCAGATTGGTTGGCGTCACTGCATTCAATGATCTTCTGATGAGGAGAAACTTCTTGTCGTGGAAGCGAGGACTCCAAATCAATTACAACATCACAAGAATAGAGGAATGGTGTAAGAGCCATGACATGCCAGAGGGAACTCTTCAGCTAGAGCACTTGATGGTAAGAGGCGTTTTATATTTGTATTTCAGTAAGACCAGAAGCTAATATAATTACAGCAAGCAACGAAACTCCTCCAATTGAAGAAGGCCACTCTTAACGACATCGAAATTATTCAGGATATCTGCTGGATGCTTTCACCAAATCAGATCCAGAAGCTGCTTAACCAGTATCTTGTTGCCGATTATGAACAGCCCATTAACGGCGAAATCATGAAAGCCGTCGCTTCTCGCGTGACAGAAAAGAGTGATGTCTTACTTTTGGCTGCAGTTGATATGGATGACAGTGGACCATATGAAATTGCGGAACCTCGTGTCATCACAGCATTGGAGACTTATACGCCTTCATGTAATTATTTCTCTTCATTTGTAACAAATCATAGCTAACAAAAATCTAGGGCTCCAAACACCAAGACTAAAACGTCTAGCAGAGATCGTTTCCCAGCAAGCCATGCAGCAGCAGGAAAAAATGGAATACGCTCAAGATGATATCGCCGAGCAATCAGACAACGAGATGAATGGTGCTTGATGGCGGGAACACCTGCGGTCCTTTTATCTAATGCAAAACTTCTTACCTTCTTCTGTACCATTTTCACATCCACCACTCAAGATCTTTTCTGCCATGGCTTGGAGAGAGCCTTTTGTATATGGCATTTGGGATTCTTCCAGATTTGCACAACCTTTGGGGTAGCATGACATCTTGATTGTTAGCGTATATTTTCGCATCTTTGGAGGCGAGAAGGGGAGCAAAAGAAGACTTTCCCTCTTTTGTAGATTGATAGCACGAGACCCTTTTTAGTGCAACTGTGTACAACCTTCCCGCAGGCGTTTGAAGTTATTTTAATACTCTTGTTCTTCTTTTTCTTTTTCTTTTTTTGCCTTTCTTCGGAAACTTTCTTCAATTATTTTTCTTCGTCTTTTAGGGATATGATATGGGCATAAGACCAGGCAACTGAAATGATCGATATTAGATGAGATATGAAAAGATCAGATGAAGATTAGTAGATCAAGCTTTTCGCAACAAAGAAATGGGTGGAATGTTATGTTATGTTCATGTGGTGTTTTGGAGCAAATTTTTGATAGGAGACTTTTCTGAATGTGAAAGAGCTTGAAATCAAGAAATATCACGAAAAGACGAAATTCAAATTCTATGTTATGCTGTGCTACACTTTGCTATGCTGTACTATTTTATTTACGCCATGTAGATCGTATCGAGTGCTGTGAATTGAAACTGCTGGCTCTACTTGAGTATATCGGTGATTTGGGAGTGTAAGTTTATATATACGATGGGCATTTGACTAGGAGTGGAGATGTATGATTAATTATTCGGAGGTTTTTGGTCTTGACCCTTGGAGAGATTCATTTGTAAAAATAACTGCTCTTGCATAACATATGTGCACAAGGAACAAACAAAACAGTAGCCTAGTAAAGAGGTTGTTATATTCTTTTGGAGTTAAGGAAAAAAGCTGTGTTCTGAACAGCTGCCCAACCATCCACTTTCAACGCACATCGAAAACCCAAGTTTTGATAATCGATCCGCAGAAAGAACTTCGACCATAGCTCAGGCCGTGCCGTGCATCTGACTTCTCGGAATTTATCAAACCAATCGCCCTTTAACCTCGTTGTTCATGCTGCAGAGGATAGGCTCGAACATATTCAACCCTGATAGTCAATGCATCACCAGAGACGTCGTCGATAATCTATATGCAAAGAGTTAGGGGGTAACGCAAAAGTTATTACTAAATACAAAAGGCAACGTACTATAGGCATCAGAGTACTCTGTGTTGCATTGGCCACCACTCCAGACTTCCATTCTGTTGCATCAGCTAAGGTTCTAGACTTCTAGTCAGTAATTGTAATCAGCATTGACTGACGAACAACGAACGAGTTTCGAGGTAGTAAACAGAATCTCCATATACATAATATTCCTTCTTGTAAGATCTAAGATCCCTGAGGGGCCCGGTCAAGGTTCTCGGAGGTTGGGGGCTGTCCGCGTTGTATTTTCGTAGGCATCCTATGTCTGACGATGAGTAAAGAAGGGTCTGAAGTTTTGAAAATTAATGAGAAGTGCAAATGCCATTATTCGTTCAAATAGAGAACTCATTGTATTGTGCAGGGAATGAATCCTGTTTGAGCATCTGATGGTTACATCACAACAGCCAATACGATGAGTCCATTCTTCTACGCGAAATTCAATCTACCTGCGTTACTTCATCTTGCTAAGCAAATTCGAGATGTCTCGTGTTCTTGCGATATGTCCCAGCAGCCATTGTGTGGCTCTTCGAATTGGGCAGTCGTTCTGACATTCGTGGATGGTGTAGAATGGATCTTTCGCTGCCCTCAGATGTATAACGATGTATCTATTCAGACCGCGTCGGAATTGCTCGAGAGTGAGGTTGCGACCATGAAGTACATCAAAGTGAACAGTTCAATTCCCGTCCCGGAGATATTCGATTACAGGTATTTATGCCGTGCAGCATTACTATATTTCCACGCTAATCAATGAAAGCTCCACATCCTCGAACCCCATGGGCATCCCATTTATCCTTATGAGCAAGGCCCCTGGTATTGCACTGAGTAAATTTGCATGGAATGCCGAACCGGTAAACATCTCACATCGCAAGTCGCTTCCCTCCCTAGGGAGAACACATAAAGAGAAAATTATGAAGCAGCTAGGGCTGTTGCGCGCTCGATTGTCAAAACTCAGATTTGACAAGATAGGATCATTATACATTGAAGGCGATGAATATCACATCAAGAAATGTCTTTCGCCAGCTTTAATATGGTACACGCGCGATTGCTTGGACGAGGTTTCACGAGGTCCTTTTCTATCCACAAAGGATTTTTATGAGTCTATGCTTGTAACCTTCCTTCTTCATGTGAAGGAGCTATCACTAGAGCCACATGTGTTTTTTGCACCTCTCCCGAAAGCAAGCGAATTCGAAACACATTCACAATATAGATCGGCAGTGTCTCGCTGGAGCGATTATATTACGGTGGGTAACAAAGTTGATCACAGTTCTAATAGATTGGATTATTGCATTGCGGAGCATTACCTACGCGATATGCTACCTTCAATCGACGTCCCTGCATCGACGATCCCGAGTGAGTTTGCAAATGGATATCCTCTTCACCACCCCGATCTTAGTTCAAGCAATATTTTTGTCGATGAAGATTTCAATATCAGCTGCATCATCGATTGGGCATTTTGCTCCACCGTTCCGATGCCCATACTATTAACGACCCCAAGTCTGCCCGGGCCGAGAGATGATATCGATAGCTCATCAACCCCTTTTTTTCGAAGTGGCTTTGAACACAACACCTTCGACGAACAAATATGGATCTCCGCTCAGCGATCCTGGTGGTTTTCGCGCCTGGTCGCTCTAGATGGTCTTCGAGACTACCATTACTTCACAGAACTGTACACATCTATCTACAAACCAAAAGACATTATCGATATACCTAGACTATGTAAAAGCGCACGAGATGAAAAGATGTTTCGAGGTTTGGCTGCAGAGCTTAGGATGGAAGATTGTTCAGTTGGTGAAATCGCAAAACATGAAAATGACTATTTTCGCGTCATGAAGTCGAGTGGGAAGGAAGCTGTAGCGAGGAAACTTACTCTAGTGTCCGAACTTAATCAAGGCTTCGTGGCGGATAAGAGATTATGGCGTTGGCTTGATGAAGCTTTGGATGATAATTGATGAGGGTAACTCTTCCTCGAGTAGAAGGGAAGCTTAGCGAAGAAACTTACTTAAATATCAAAATTTAACTAGGCTTTTATGGTGTGGAATAAGAGATTATAGCGTTGGTTTGACGACGCGGTATTTGTCTTCAAGGAATAGGCAGTATGGACATTCTGCCTTTGGTCGCTACTATGTATATGGTGAGGAACCTTTCATCCATGTAGCCTAATTAATTAATAAACAGTCTTTCCATCACTATATCCGTCTGGTACTACTGACAAAACGAAATGAAGCCGATGATGAGAATTTCCAAGGATGCAACCAAGTTCTCCGGCTTTACGGTCATGGGTTTGATAGTTTACGTCTATCTGTTGCAGAGTCTCAAGCACGGATGGAAATTCAAAGGTTTGCTCGCCTAATTCAAATATCTGTTTCAAAGTCTGGAGGTTTCGCATGCAGTCGTCTACTCTACAATGGAGTTGAACTCGTTAGTGATAACTACCGCAATATCGACCCTCAGCCACCTTCTAGCATCCTCTTATAAAACTCGTCTCTTTATCCTCACCCTCGTTTCCTTATCCGGTAAGCAAACCGCACTAGTTTTTATCATCCCAGGAATCCTCCATTTCCCCTTCTTCTCTCCTTTCTGAACAACAGGCTCCAGATCCCAATACATGAGGATCCCAGCTACGAAAGCAAGACATTCTCTTTCGGCGAATACGCGGCCTTTACACATACTAGGTCCGCCACCATAGGGACGAATAGTTTGGGAGTCGACGGAGGATTGACCGGTTTCGTCGGTGCTGAGGAAACGTTCGGGGTTAAATGTCGTGGGGGAGGTAAAGTAGGAGGGGTCGCGCATGTGGAGGTCATGGGGGAGAGTTACGTATTCGTTTTTGCGGAGGATGTAAGTGGCTGCGGAGGTTTTATCAGTGTCTTTATTAGATGCAGCATCGGTTAGGGTGATGTCATTTTCGAGTTTTCGGACAGATGCGGGCTGGGAAGATAAACGTAAGGCTTCTAGATAGGTGGATTTGAAGAGGGGGCATTTATTGGAAAGGTCTTCGTGGGAAAGGTGGATACGTGGAGCTTCTGAGAATGAGCCGATTTTTCGCCGGGGAAATGGTTGCGTAGGGGAGATCTCGGCGCGGATCTTGTCGGCGAGATCGGGGGTGGAGAGAATGTAGAGGAGGTGCCAGTAGACGAGTAGAGTAGAGTTAACTACAAGGGCCCAGACAATCTAGGACTAGCATTAGACGTGTGATGTTGGAAGTGGAAGGGATGTTGGCTTACGGATACGTCTCCACGCTCATTTGGTTTTAGTCCATGTTCTACCACATTGTTAATCTATATTCAGAATATGTCTCCTTAAAATCTTACTTCTGAACAGTTCGTGTCTCCTCATGATAAAGTCGCTGACATCATCCAAATCGCCCCAAGAAGAGTCAACATGCTTTCCATCCACTGAAGCATCGAGAGCTTCGTGAAATCTTCTCACACTTTCTTTAACTTGATAACGAGAAAAATGAGCTCTTGCAACAGCAGGCCAAGGAGTGAACCATGGAAGCCCTATGATGAAATACATCATACCACGATCCATTTCATAGATGTCGTGCAGAATATGAGGACTATTTTCTAGAAACGCACGACCGAAAACACTAGAAACGGAAGCATGTCCAAGTATATCTCGTATCAGGGCCATGAGATCAACTTCCATTTCATCCTTTGAGATGTACTCAGCATTGGCCCATTTTTCCCATGGATGTTGATCTATTTCGCTATCTAGAAATGAAACCATTTGTGGAATGAGTCCTTCAAGATTGCGCATAGTTCCATTCAGCATGGTACTAAGATATGGTTCCTTCATGAGATAATTGAAAGCCGATGTGTATTCCTGGAGATAAGATTTAGCTTAGTGGAGTGGCGGGAAGGGAGCTTTCTTACTTCCCAATTGTCTAGATATTTCTTCTTTGCACTTTTGGGTATCCCGAAGAACTACAACAATTCTTAGCAACGCAAAATATATGACCAACCCACGGCGTTAGTCCGTGGCATTGGATTACTTACCTTCGATGCTAGACTCATGGCGACATGTTTGAATGTAACTTCCGATTCTCTTTTCTGCAATACTCTAAAACAGTATCAGTGATCATTGATACAAAAAAGCTCCCTCGCCAATACTGACCCCTTAACTAGGTTTGGATTCGATACTGCACTGATTAGTTTCTGTATAGCTACTCAAGAAACAGCAAGGACTTACTGATATTATGTGTAGAGCCTCCAAGATTAAGTGCAAATATGCCTAGCTCAATGCATCAGTAGTGTTGGAACATTAAGAGCCTTGATCTCCGAATCCCGGTAGTTCCAAATGGCCACAAATATACAACTCTGTCAGATATAAGAAATATTTCGAGCTGAACTCACCATGAGCACTCTGATCCCTACACATCAGTCAGCAACCATTTTATTCAACCAAGGTCATTCCTATTCTTATTCACCTTAAATCACTTGCCAATTTCTCCCCATTCATCAAACTATCATCTAATCAGTTTTCACGCTCCAAATTTCCATTCTTTTCAAAATAACACATGAAACACACATACAATGCAAGAACATGGCCTATACCCGGCACCCAATAAGCCGGCATCCAAACGGTCTTGCCATCCTTTCCCTCTACCTTTTCCGACGGCCGCTCGCTCACTAATCTCGTAGCTATGATCACGAGAGCTGGCGCTAAAGCAATACTGAGAATGATAGGTAAAGGGACTGCACGAATAGAGGCGAGGACATATGTGAACCAGGTTTCTGATTTCAAGGTGTCGATTCTATCGGTAGAATTTGTGAGAGGTTGATAGAAATCGTCCATGATGGAGGATAAAGTATTTGAGATAACAATTTATCTATTCGGATAATTATAGAATCATTAGCCCAGGGGTTGTTTGGGTGTGGTTGTTAGAATTGAGTTTATAATTATGTTACAAGGGACCAACAATTGCACTTAAGGTTAATTATTCTGATGTGGTGCTGGGGTGGCACGATCCATGCTCGCCAATGAAGAATGAAGCTGCTTTTTGACCGGATGAGTTGAAGTTCCGTAAATATATCAATATTGCAACAACACAATTCAACTAACACATTTTTGAAGATATAAAAGTTTATAGAATCTAGATTTTACTTCTACCTCCTCTCTCTCAATTACTGGAACTCCACTCCTCAATATCTCCCTCATTCCATACAACACCAAAAATCTTCACATCTCCACCCACTATGGCTCCTCCCAAAACTCTCAATTTCATCACCGGCAACAAAAACAAACTTATCGAAGTGAAAGCCATCTTGGGTGATACGATTGATCTCCAAAGTCAATCTCTAGATCTCGTTGAGATCCAAGGGACCATTGAAGAGATCTCCAGCGATAAATGTCGAAGAGCGGCTGAAATTGTATTTCTTCACAATACTATTTTTTGAGAGGGTGTTTAGTTGTACTGACATCATTTGCAGATCAAGGGTCCGGTTTTGGTTGAGGATACATGTTTATGTTTTAATGCATTGAAAGAATTGCCCGGTCCATATATGTAAGGGTTTCATCCAATTTTAGTGGAAGTGGAGAGATCACTCATATCATGCAGCAAATGGTTCATGGAGGCAGCAGGTCACGATGGACTGAATAATATGCTTGCTGGCTTTTCAGATAAGACTGCGCAGGCAGTTTGTACATTTGCCTATTCTGAAGGTCCAGGCCACGAACCTATTATCTTTCAAGGACGAACAGACGTATGTGCTTGCCCGTATTCCTGTTTGCCAATGGATGGCTCTAACATTTCTTAGGGCAAGATTGTACCCCCAAGGGGTCCAACTGCATTTGGTATGTTGCACTGTACGGCACTAAGTAGACTCCTTTACTGATATCTTGATGTATAGGCTGGGATCCCATATTCGAGTATGAAGGCCAAACGTAAGAACTCTTCCAATCCCCATTTTGTCCCCATTCCACCATATACAGAAGTTTTAACCCTAACCTTTTAGATACGCCGAGATGGACAAAGCTGAGAAAAACAAAATTTCTCATCGTTTCCGAGCACTCGAGAAGTTGAAGGTTTGGCTGCAGGAAGAAGCATAGGGTCCAACAAACAAAGGACAAGGACAAAGAAAGGAGTGAGCAGACAGTACTCGTTGATGTTCAGAGTCAAGTTGAACATCTAAATAGCAATGTTCTTCCATCTTGCAAATCATTCCTCATCTTCATCGGCGTGATCCTTCTTCCATTGTTTTATCCACGCCTCAATCCTCTCCACATTGCTCTCAACCTCATCACTTGTGTCACTCCGCAGCTCGACCACAATTTCCTCATCATAACTCTCTCTCGCTTCCTCGAGTAGAACTTCCATAATTTCCGCGTCTAAATTCTCTTGTAGTTTCGCTTCTGGGTAGTTCCTATAATTCAAACATAGTCAGCTTGTCTACTTACACTCTTCAATTCCTGCCACATTCCTAGAAATACTCCTCCAGCACAATTCAGGAACAAACATACCTCGCCTTCAACCTATCATACAACAGCGTCGAATCCACCCTCAACACAACCACCAAATCAATCCAGCTTTTCGGAAACAATTCGCAAGCATGCCAATCAATAATATATCCACCCTGTTTCACCTCATCTTCTATTTCATCCAGTAACTACCCATTCCAAGTCCATTAGCCAAAACTCGAAGAACCTAATCCAAATTTCTTCCCATCCATCCTCAAATCATCCCGTGGAGCCCGCTCACTTCAAAACAGCCCCTCCCCCAAAAGAAAACCTAAACTCACCTTATCCTCATCCACAATCCAAGTCTTCAACTCATCATCCCATCCCTCATGACATCCCTTCTCTTTAACCACATCATTAACACTCAAATGTTTCAACCCCGTATTTTCCGCCAACTGCTCACAATGTGTAGTTTTCCCTACACCAGGCGTACCGGTTATAATAATATTGGGCTGGGTGCGCATAATGAATAGTTTTGCGAACTTTGGATGCGGCGTCGAGAGCTTTGCGAAATAAGGCTCTACTAGGCTTTCGTAACTAATCTTCGAAGATATTCAAATAAAAGAGTGTTTGTAGATTATCGCACGCAAACTTGGGTTCAAATCCGAAATCGGACGGCTTTTGGTATATCAAATTGAAACAACCTATCTAAAATCTGAACTGATATGTTGGCGCGTGGAAAAGTCTGTATGTATTACTGTCTTATCTGCAGAAAATAATTTACGAGCAGCATCTACTTTTGAAAAATTCTTATCGCAGAAAGAGGGGGCTTATCGGCACGTGTTGGTGGAGAGAGGCACTCGGAGTTATTGGCTCGTGAGAGCTAAAAATAGATAGGGGTTGGTGAGCTCGGGCGGGGAGTGATAATGCGGGAGTACCAACTCGGTAGCTTCCATACTCTACTCTTAGAGCTCGCTCTGAGCGGGTCGTGTTCTAGCCTTGGATTTGTACTGAACTGAGATGCACGAGTCGGGCACTATATGTGGTTTTCTTTTTTCATTGGAATATTCTGCATCTAGTTTCCCATTGAAAATAATGCAAAGCAAGCTTATTATTTGCCAAATTATTACTCGATGCATGTACGGAGTGTTATTTTCCTTTGATATCCAGGTCCACCAGCTCCACTATTCATAGATTGTAACCTCTCGCATTGCTGTTTTTTTATTCTTATTCCTCTACAGTAGGTTTGTACATGATCGTTGTGACATACTACATTATGGATCAGTACAAAATTTCAACAGGTAAAGAATTGCCCGTACCTTTCGCTTATACCTTGTAGTGGCAGAAACAGCAAGAACATTGTTCTTAATACTGCTCGTAGCTAGATGATTAAGAACGGTGTGATTAGGCATAATAAGAACACTATTGTCATCCTTCATTGGTGGGTTGCTATTCAAGATAGGTTTTCCCAAGAAACCCGGTAAACTAGGGGGAGGAGGCAGTTTGTCTATAGCAGCTATTGCGTAGCGGTATTCCCTGGAATCTTCGGGTTTGTCCATATCTATAAGGTATTGTGGAATCTCTGAAGTAAATTGGCTATGAGAGATTGCGTGCTTCATCTTCGACACCGGCTTTGGCTTTGTCCTCTCTTCTGCAGGTACTGGTTCTGGCTGAGTGATCTCGGGCTTGGCTTCTGCACCTCCAATTGGTTCACTAGGTATATTTACAGAACCATCATCGTTAGGGATGTCATCGGCACTGACTTCGATATAGTTGACTAAATTGTTGCCAAAATCAACAGTTGTCGGAAGAAGTGCTGAACATTTCATAATGCCATCTTGAATAAATCGAACGTGGTGAGTTCCAGGTCGTACATGGATAATTGCTCTTAAAAGTCCTGGCTCTCCTTCCCTGTGAAGTATTAGTGGAAGCCATCAAAAGTTGGGAACTGAACATTTTGTAATGAAAAAGGGAAGTTACACTGCGCTTAACCTCTGCTTCTTATTCCACTGAAATATGGTACCAGTTACATAAACTTTCTCTCCGCCTTCTCTCCATTCAAATAGGGTTGGTACTGTTGCCTTCGTCCGGTCGATTTGAATCTCCTCGGCGTCCTCCTCATCTATAGTCGTGTTGCTAAGCGCCGAGTTCCGTCTCGCGAGTGGTTCATTGTCCAGAGCCTCTATATCTATCGCTGGGGCAATCATATCAGCTGGTGTGATCAGAGGTGATCCTGGTGTATGCACCTCCTCCTCAATTGGTAGTGGGAGTCTCGGAGGTCGCGTAAGATGATACGACATATCTTGAATCGGGGGACCGGAAGGGTCAATGGATGGAGGCTGCGTGCTCGATAGGGAGTGTGAATGCGAATGTGATCTGCACGTGGTAGTGTCGTAATTTGAGGATGGCATGGGAACATCGACTGGCTTGGTTGGTTGGTCTCTCACGACGATCTTTTCTATCTCTGGCCCATCTTTATGTGATTGCAGGCCCGGTTTTGGCTCTTTTTCATGCGCTGATGGTGTATTGACCCCCGAACTCGGTAAGGAATTATTGAATTGTGCGGCAGGGTGTGATTGGGAGTTGCGCGGGCGGTGTGTGACATTCGATCCGTGAGCTTGTGCGAGAGAAGGTTCTGCTCTCGCAGCGGTCCTGTGTGAGTGAATAAAATTCCTGGGATCTCTGCGAGTTGATGATGTCCTTGATGAGTCATTACTATGGCTCGAAGGTGCGGGAGAATGCGAATGAGGTGTCGAAGCGTTTGGCCTCGTGTTGGTAGAAGGTGTATTTCCCATTATGAAAGTGGTCGTGTGATCCGAACAAATGCATTCAAAAAATCATTCCGGGCGGAGGAAGGTCCTTTGAGAGAAAGAAAGCGGAAAAGGTCGAGGGGAATTGCTGAGCACAGCTACCTTATATCTTTTGAGTAGTAATTACGAGTTAAAATGAATGTACCGTTCCACGAATCTGGAAGGACATGTACTTTATCCGGGGTATCTTAAGAAATAATCAAAGTTGAGCTTGAGGTTTGAAATACAAAATAAAATGGGTTTGTTCTTATGTGAAAAGACTCTGGATGTGAACTGAACCTTGGGAGTTGTTTCGTTCCTTAAGGTTTGTTCCTTTAACCCCACAATCAGCCTTTAGAGTTCCATACGAGTTCCAAACCCACAATATTGCGACGAGACGATGGTCCGAATCCTTGTCTGATTTGCTTGCTGACCTGGTCCGTGCAAGAGCAAGCCTTAATTGTTCCGTTCCAGAGGTAGTACAGTATTAGTCCTATCTGACCTAATATCAATATCAACATCAACATCAGAATCAACATCAACATCAACAGTAACATTCATTCAAGGCGAAAACATACTCCTGACAGCTCTCGATTATGGAAATTAAATAACGGAATTCCATACTTCAAGCATCACATCATCTCTTGATAGGTCAATGTAGCTATAGAACAGATCTTTTCTGTCAGCCTTGCACTTGTTATTGACATTTACTTCAAAGAGCTCATTTGTTATTCGCCATGGAAACTCCTGATACAACATGGCTATCAATTTCGACAAGCACGTTTTATTACATTTCCTTGCCAATCACTTTTATTTTCAGGTGGCTCTTGGCTATTCTCAGCACTGCTCTCGCTCCGCTACTACATCTTGGCAACTCGTTGATTTCTGCTTCGCTTCTTCCTTTGAAGGTTCTAGCTAAATTCGAGGTAAGCGTTATACAAAAGTCAACTGATGGCCTACGGCTAATAGTCCTCAGGCCCTCATCATATTCCTGGGGTCTGCAATCTTCATTGGTTTCATCACTGGGTCCGTTTTACGTATCTCCTCCAACGTACTCGCATCACTACTCAAACTCACATCGAACCCTGAAGATACGGGTCATTCTCTGGTATCGATTCGCGCTACAGAAGAACAAAAGAAACAAGAGACGAAGCCGGACTTATTGAAATGGAAGGTTGATCCCTCTGTAGAAAAGAGATATTCTGAATGGCTGGAAAAGGATGGAGGTAGAAAGAAGGACGAACATGGGTTATTGGCGCAAACCATAATTGAGGAAGATGATGACTCCGATGATGGGTTTTAATAGTAGGATCGGCGCTCTTTAAGCCTGCTGAACACCATGCCAAGATCTCTTCGAGTGACAATATTTGAGGACTTGATGGACTGTTCATTCCCTCCATTTGACGAAAACTTGATCCGTTCTGAACCTCTGAGTACATGTACTCTCTTCTAAAGGAGTCCTGAAACCGGTTTCGTACGCCAGAAGTCCAGCCTGTGCTATCATTATACCATTATCAATGCAGAAGCGTTCATCAGTTGCAAAGACGCTTCCTGCCCTATCCCTTGCCATCAATCCCATCATTTCTTGTAATCTCTCATTACAACCTACGCCTCCCACGATAAGGACTTGGTTGCTTCCTACATGAGCCATAGCTCGTTCTGTGATTTCTACCAGCATCGCGAAGACAGTTTCCTGCAGGCTGAAACATAAATCTGCCGTGGTAATAACTTCTCCCGTAATAGGGTCTTTTTGCTCTGGATTCTCCTTCAGCTCCGCAGCGAGAATATCGATGCTTGCTAAGATTCCGGAAAATGAGCAGTCCATTCCTTTTACCGCATATGGCAAATCTAATAGCACTTTTCCCTTCTTTGCTAATTGTTCAATATTGTATCCCGGCGCGGGGTCGTTACTGATCTCCAAGGTCCTTGCAAAACGATCCAAACAGTTACCAACTGCAATATCTAGCGCTTCTCCGAAAATCCGATAGCGTTGTTCTGCATATGCAATCACTTGGGTATTTCCTCCACTGACATATAGAACGACCGGATTCTGTGCCCCAGTAATCTCTCGACCCATTTCTATGTGTCCGACACAATGATTTACCCCTACCAACTCTTTACCCCATAGCAGCGAAAGCATTCGCGCTGCGATGGCCACACTTTGTAGAGGCGCACCCATGCCAGGGCCCTTTGTATAACATATGCAGTCGATATCGGAGACCTTCACTCCAGCTTGTGCCATAGCTTGTTTCACAAGTTTTACAACCCATGATCGATGATGCTTCGCAGTATCTTTCGGTAGAAAGCCTTCACCTGGAGGCGAGACAAAGGTATGTCGAATGTTGGAAAGAATTTTAGCTGGTTTGCCTTTGGAGGGATGTGATATGACACCAACGCCCAATTTGTTAGCACTACCTTCCAGTCCTATAGCAATCATTTTGGCAAGGGAGATTTGATATTTTAGCAACAAGTTCTAAGAGATCAAGGAGGGTTTTGACGATGGGAATGAGATCAATGCCCTTGGCCGCTAAAATTAGACAAGGCTGAATGTCACAACTAATCGATAAGGATTATGCTGAAAAGAATTACCGCAAGAGCAAGAGATATAACCTCATTATTATTCCATTTAAATTGACAACCAACCTCTAAAATGGTCCAAAATTTCCACAATTGATAATATTAATGGAATATATGATATAAGCACTTTTCAATCCCACTGCTCTCTCATGAAGAGAAGAGTGCGAAATTTTCCTGCTGACCTTGCAAGGCCCCACATATGTCCCCATTAGGATTAGGGCCCCTTGATTTGCTCGGTTTATTTTAGCGACACTGTCGCTTTGGTACGAGTTTAGAAATTACTGTACCTACTATTGCTTGTGCCAATCCTGATACTACATTACACACAGCCACGCACAGTATATCTTTGAAAACAGACCATAACGCACCGGAGATATGGAGGTTGACGATTTTGAAGCTAGAACTGCGACATTCTCATCATGGCTCAAGGAAATGGGTGTCCGGACTAATCCAAAGATGGCATTGGTTGACCTCCGTCAAGAAGGACGAGGGCGAGGTGTCGGTACGGATATTCCTTTCTTTACCTTCTCCCACGGCGGAGTACTAGCTTGACTAGGAGGCCGCCATTTGCCTTCTCGTCGTTCTTTCGAATGCTAGCCACAGAGGATTTCTCGCTGACTGATAGTACAGTGGCCACAGGGGACATTGATGATGACGAGATCATTTTCAGCATTCCGCGCAATGCTGTTCTGAATGCTCAGAACGTGGCCCCTCTTTCCGTCTCGAGGCGATTTTTGGAGAAGATGCCGAGTTGGCTAGTAAGTGTTATAGGTGCTCTCGATGAGGTTCAAAGGCCACGGCTGACTGGATTCTAGGTGCTTACCTCGATACTTATGGCGGAAGCACAAATGGAAAATTCTAAGTGGGCACCGTACCTTGCGGTACTGCCAGAGCGACTGGATAGCTTGGTGTTTTGGTCCGACAGCGAGCTCGCCGAACTGCAAGCAAGTGCAGTAGCGAAGAAAATCGGAAAAAATGATGCAGAAGATATGTTCAAATCTTACATAGCCCCGCAGGGCTTAAAGCACTCTAGCACGGAGATGTGTCACAAAGTAGCTTCTGTTATCATGGCCTACGCATTCGACATACCAGATCTTTCCGATGCCCCAACCTCCGGTGGCAAAGGAGACGAAGCTGGAGACGACCTGGTTTCTGATGATGGCGAAGATGAGAAAACTTTATTATCCATGATTCCGTTGGCCGATATGCTTAACGCGGATGCAGACAGGAACAATGCCCGCTTGATCTGCGATAACGAGGAGCTAGAGATGAGAGCAATCAAACCTATTAGCAAGGGAGAAGAGATATTCAACGAGTTCGTCTTATGTTCAGCCCCATTTTCAGCCGCAATTGTGGTTCACTGACTGGAGGACGTTTAGTTATGGCCAGCTCCCTAGATCCGACCTTCTCAGGAGATATGGATATGTCACAGATGGATACTCTGCATATGATGTCGCCGAGATATCAGCGGAGCTCATTGTTTCTCTATTCCGGAACGGCAAGGTTCATCCATCTTTGCAAAAGCTCTCGCAAGACGGTTTAAAGACACGGCTTGAGTTGGCCGAACGAGAAGGCGTCTATGAAGACTCTTTTGACCTTCTCCACTCTAGTCCGGATGAGCCAAGTATACCAGACGAACTATTGGCATTTCTGTATCTCTTGCTTGTTGACGAAAGTCATCTTAAAGCTATCTTGAATTCAGAGAGCAGCCTACCCAGCCGTCCCAAACTCACAACGGAGCTCGCGGGCCAGGTTCTAGCAACTTTGTTGCAAGCAAGGGAGAAAGAATATTCAACTACTCTTGAGGAGGATCAAGATCTACTCAAGAATGCAAATCCTCCGGTTCGAACTGCCATGGCAATTCAAGTACGATCCGGAGAGAAGAAAGTGCTGCGAGCAGCTATGCAAGAAGCAACTACCTTTTCTTGTGGCAACCATCGTATGAGGGTTGTGTCTTCACAAGACGGAATGAAGAAGAACGCGAAGAGAAAAGGAGAGGAGACGGAACAGCCAAAGAAAAAGGGTCGTTCTCGGTAGAACATTGGCTCGTTAATACCGAGAACACTTTGGTTGGTAGGTCACGAAGCTTTTCATTTGCTTTGGATTGCTTTTGGAGGAGATTATTAATTGGCGTCATGTTTGACACCTGTGTCGTCATTTAATAATGATTTTTTTGCTCGTTCATGAGCGCTAAAGTACAAATAGGTCACCCAGATACCTTCCTTGGGTACTTTCGGACAAAACTTCTAATGACAACAAATCAGCGCTTAGCCCTTTGCCTGGGTAACGCCCCTTCCTCCCATTGCCCGTTTAAACCCTGCAGAAGTTGAGTTACATAGGAGCCTTCTTAATGAAGCCGCTCCTGATAAAGTGACAACTTAGTTGTCGTGGAAAAAAGTTCTAATTACTATGTTGGTTTGGAGGCCCGATTGCTCGGTTGTTCCCAGGACTACCTCCAGTAACAGCCCTGTTCGATTGCGTTTGATGCTGGAACATTCTTTGCCGATGTGCATCCGGATATAAATGACCAGACAGAGGTATCGTGGATCTGAAACGTAGAGGATTGGTATCATACGGGTCAACCTCATATACAGGCTGTCCATCGTCATCATCGTCATCTTGGTCATATTTCCAACGGTCAGACTTCTTCTCCGCGCTTTTACTGGCCGCTGTAGACATTCCTCTCCGGTCTATCCATAGCCGCCCGCCTCGACCAATTCTTCTTCGGTATGCTGGCTGCGCACGACGATCTTCCTCTTCTGGGGGTGTACTATACCGCACAGTTACCGCATCCGGTTTCTCTTGGCTCACTGGAGATGCTTGATCAAACGATTCGGAAGTCACAGATGATGGCGGTGTCAGTAGATACTGACTGTATTGGGCTGTCGCAGGACGGAAACCCGTGTTCGAAGTTTGTCCTTCGACTGGTAAAAGTGGCTCTCTTGTGCAGTCGACATAGTTCTCGTTCCACTTGACATGCTGTGCGGATTTTTCCTCCAATTCTCTTTGCAACATATTCTCTTTTTGGGCCAGCTGATCACTCAATAATATCATATCCATTTCAATTCCGCGACCATCAGGACGAGGTGGTATACGAAGTGGGGGTGGAGGTCGTTGCACATTTTGGAAGTCCAAAGTCCTCTTCTTCTGTGGCTTTGAAATGTCAGTAGGATGCTCAAGCTTTTTTCAGGGCATGCGAGTATGCATACCTTCTGGTTGATGAGAAGTTCGTCATCAGGATCACTCTTGATACCCAGCTTGACTTTGAGGTTCTTTATTTCACTACGAGACACGAAGACAGAACGTTCGCATTCCAAGAGTTGTTTCTTAATAGTCTCTCGTTCAGTCGCCATTTTTATCAGGAGCCTTGCCTCTTCCATGTCCTTTCTCAATCTCCTAACTTTATCTGTGATTTGCATGTCTCGTGCTCTGGTTTTCCTGGTAGCCCTGACTTCACGACGGCGGAAGCAAACATATGGATCGCCTTCGTCAATATCCTGGTGCGTCTCGAACTTCAAACTCGGCTGAATGCCACGGTTTTCACATGCTTGCCGTCGCGACTTCCAATATTCATATATATCCTTCACATTACCAGGAATCTTTTCCTCCCCTCGTTCCTTGATAGCTTCCTTCATGGTCTCAAAGGTCACCAGAGTGTTATCCACAGCGGCATAAGGGGTGTGAGTATCAGCAATTTCTTCGAAAAGTTCCATGAGCTTTTCAAAGTCATCTTCCGAAAGCTGTTGATTTGAAAGAGTCTTTTTCTTATTATAATCTTTTAGGAATATATCATCCTCTGTGGTCATGTTATATTGACAACCAGTACATTCTTCCACTGTCTGCGAAAAGCGAATATAGGTAGCAGGTTTGTCAAATTTCCTCGAGTATAAGGATTCATAGTCAATGTCGGTACCCTCCTGTGCAGGAGGCGCCGGAATCTCTTGCGGGGCATCCTTATCACCCGAAGAGTGACTGGCTGCCAGAGCAGCTTGAAGATGGTACTCCTAATTGACACACAGAAGTCAGCAACGCCTATTTCCGTCACGTGATACCATGGTAAAACTGAGCACGTGATACTAACATTTTCTTCAGCTTTTTCGACACCAGTCTCGACTTTGTATTGACCTTGTAAAGAATCATATTCGGCGGATTCTATTTGATCTTCTCGTAAAATTTGTTGATGGGTGGATCTGTTGAGCTTCTTTTGGCGCACCACCCTGCCAGCCGGTTGTGTCCTCATCTTGATGATGAATTGACTCTGATATGTAAAATTAACGCGACAACGCAATTTTGACGCGTAAAAAATTCAAATAATAAAAAATCATTCATGACTGATTGTTTAATCCATTTTTTGAATTGAAAATCGATGTCAGGGTGAATATTTTGATGATAGAAAATTGTGCCTTGCCACGTTCCGACGTTCGTGATACCTGCAAATTTTTCCTGGTTCAATGTGTCAATAACTCTAATTTGGGTAATGTCGGCCTGATATGGTCACTATATGAGGCAACAACAAAGAACATTCAGGAACTATACTAAATTAGGGATCCCTGTAATATCAAACTTCGGACTGATAGGAGATTTGAATGAAGCAGTTGTTATAATGATCATATGCGGAGGGAGTACTCGAGTATAGATAACTTTATTAAATATTTTATACAACTTTTAGTATAGTCACCAAATTCATTGAGAAATTTGGGTGAAATTAATTATCCAGCTTTAGGAAGTAAAAAGAGAATATTTCGAAAGGAAGAAATACTTACTAGGTAGTTTATCATACTCGAATCTGCAACAGCTGTTTACTTTTTAGCCTCTTCTCCCCGCCCTTCTGGGAAACCTTCTATCTCATCCACTTACGCCGTTTTGCGACCACCTCCCACCTCCTTTACTATATCAACCTTACTACTTAGTATTGTGACCCTCTTCCTTTTCTTTACCAACCATACTACTTAGTATTGCGGCCACTCGACTTTACTTTCACCTACTTCACCAACTCTACTGCACCAGCTTTACCTCACCAACCTCACTACTAAGTATTTGCGACCACCTTCTTCCCTTCAGCAATCTTACTACGAACGAACAGTTACACACCAAACAGTGACATCCCGAATAAATATAATCCGTCAAGATGGGAAATACAAGCAGTGCAGTATTGGAGAATATTGTGCAAGGGTCTAACTGTGCGGAAAATACATTCTCCTAAATCACTGTCTTTGACTGGTTATCGGAGGACTTGAGCGCTAATCTTGGGTGCGAGGCAGTTGATCGAGATGAGGTTGATAGATTAAGAAAGCGTTTTATGAAGTTGGATAAGGTGCGCAATAATCTACTTCGGCGGTGTACTCAGTGTGCTGGCTATAAAGCTTGGGAAGTGTGGAAATTGTGTTGATTCAATGAAGGCTAATGGAGTCTATGTCTACAGGATAACTCTGGTACCATTGAACGTGAGGAGTTTCTCAGCCTTCCGCAAATATCATCAAATCCTCTAGCTACTAGGTGTGTCTATCTTCTCTACTTCGAGTTATCACATACAATTGCCTAAGATGAGATCGATACTAATTCTTCCCCGTCTTGCAGAATGATCGCCATATTCGATGAAGATGGAGGCGGAGATGTTGATTTTCAGGAATTCGTTAGTGGGCTCAGCGCATTTAGCAGTAAAGGAAACAAGGAACAAAAGCTCCGATTCGCATTCAAGGTCTATGATATTGATCGTGATGGATACATAAGCAATGGAGAATTATTCATCGTTTTGAAGATGATGGTGGGAAGTAATTTGAAGGATCAACAATTACAACAAATTGTCGACAAGACAATCATGGAAGCAGATTTGGATAGGGATGGGAAGATTAGTTTTGAGGAGTTTACAAAGATGGTGGAGAACACGGATGTGTCTATGAGTATGACATTAGGTGAGTTTGACTCTTTTATTTGTGTTGGAGGACGGTGTTTCTGTACTTTACTGGCGTAACTTTACTAATGGATGTGGTAGATCAATTTTGATTTGAGATCGTGGAAAAGTGATGAGAGATCAGTAATATAGCCAACAATACATATTTTCAAACACCAAATCAAATCAAATACAGCAGGACCAACTCAGCATAAACCATGGTTGAAATTCTTCTCAGCTCAGTGGATCGATTACCAAAACCAGGTTTTTGACATGCATTGAAAGTCTGTGGTTAGGTAGATGTTCAGGACACAGCTTTTTTAACTTAACTCCAAAGAATATGATGACATTTTTACTAGGCCACTTTTTTTTGTTCCTTGTACATCAATAAGGGACTTCATTTTGCGGGGTTTGGTTCATGAGCTAGTGTTCATGGTCACATCGTGAGGCTTGTTGATTTTGACTTGTTAATTTTCATTTGTTGATTTTGGCTTTGTATTATTGGCATTGATCTTTAAACATTTTCCATACATAGCTGTTATCAAGTTTCCATTAGCAACTCCCATCAGCTAGCATCTAATGAGTTGAAATTGTGATTTTCTTTGTACAGGGGTCCGAGATGGCTCTTCACAATGTCTGTGTAAATTTAATGAGTCTTGACCGAGGAGACAGCATATATATGGGCTTACCACAGGAGTAGTCATCCAGCCTTATATGTATGGACCATTAATTTGTACAGCCTTTCTTACCTACCTAGCTTTGATCTTCGTAAGAGCCAGGCCATTTTTGTTGAATGGTCCTCTGATTTCTGCAACCCTTGCCGGCCCGTGGTCGGTCCGAATTATCAGATGTGCAACAAATTCTATTCACTACCTTTTATTGATCACGAGAGTGGGGATTGCTACGCACTGGCTTCTACTTCTTGTTTCGGGGTTACTTGGTTTGTTTTTAATTTGAGGCTTATTTTTAGGTTCCGGGTTGTCGACTAGTAACCAGAAGGTTTTTGATATCAAATGCAGACGCACTTGAAGTGAAGTCCACGTAAGGAACTATGTATACATCTGTTGGATTAGTTATGATAACTGCGTGCTAGGATCGCTTTGCAGGTAAAGTTAGAGTGGATGGGTTACGTCTTATTTGAATTGTCTAATTTTCAGCTTATTTGGTTAGTGAGGAGCTTGTACGACAAAAACTCAACGGAAGAGATGATTAAAAGGAAGGCAGAGAAGTCTTATGGACGAATATATTCCTATGAAGCTCTTCGTGTAATGATATCCGTATAACGGTGAAGGTGTATTCTCGGTTAGTGTATGGGGATACATAACGATGCAACAGCACAAAAGCATTTGAATATAATCTCACTTCTGACAGACTCTTCCACATACGACCATAGACTGAGGAGAATTGGGCATCCCGTCCGCTCTGCCATACACAAGCCTCAGATCGGTGGATTAGTAGTTGGGTGGGTGACCACCAGCGAATCCCCACTGTTGTATGTTTTTTTTTTTGGTGTTTGAGCGGGTGGGGCATGCGAAGGAGATGGAAGATAGGGAGTGGGTGACGTGACAGGCGAAATGCATAGGCATAAGAAAAGGGGAAGTTAGAATGCCAGCAGCCAGAGGGATACCTGCATGCTAGAGTTCTCTTATTCAGGCTTTAGTGTCACTCACTGGGCTCGTGTTGCAAGGGTCCCTCCAGAATCTCATTTGCATCTGGAGAATCTCAATCAATGCTTGTAGCAAATACGAGAGAGATTATCTAGCATTACTACATATCACGAGAAGGCTCGGTAAATCGACCGGAGTCCCACTCACCCACTCAACACCATTTTACCTAAATTTTTGTATGGTAAACACTTATTTTTCCTTCACAGGCATTCTCTTGTTCTTTCTCCATATATACAGGGGCTTTACTATCCTCAAAACAAAACAAAACAAAAGATGGAGGAAGAAAATCCTTTCTTTCTCAAAAGTTGACGTCTCGGACAAAAATATATCTTTACACATGTGAAGGCAATTGCCCGTTCTAGGAATCGAACCTAGGATCTCATCATTTGTAGCTGCTGTAGGTACTAGTGATGCGCTTTACCGCTAAGCCAAACGGGCGTTTGTTTTTTGGTTGGTGGGTATGGGGGTTTATGTTCGAGAGGTGATGGGTGGTTGGGTTGTACTGGTGGTTTATTTATGGCGGTTGAGGGGAGGAAGTTGTGTGAAGATTGGAAGTGTGGAGGGAGAAATGAGGGGAGTGGATAGAGAGATGGGGGTGCGGAGTATATGGTAAATATTTAATAGTTATGATGAGGTGGAGATGATGATTTTATTTGAAAAGCTGGAGAGAGAGAACTGATGCCTGATGTAGAGTACTTTAAGATTAAAGAAGTAGTCTTGAGATAGAAAGAATAGATTTATTATAGTTTTGCTTCTTTGATTCTGAGTTTCTTCAACAACTATTTGTATGGCTGCCCTTTTATTATATTCTATTCTATTAATTTAATTGCTTTGCCTTAATTTCCTTTTCCTCGTCCCTTCCCTTTCCATCACCCTCTTTTTTGTTTCGGGAAGATCTGTGGTATTGATTTCCCTCCTTGTGACACAACTGCCATAAACTGCTGGAAACCCAGGGTTCAATTGTTTCTTATAATCTACAACTAGCGATCGCAGATCGATAACCCCGAAAGGTTTATATATACTAACTGCAGGCATGTGAGCCGGCTTCGAGCGTCAGCTGCTCGAGGGCCGATCAAGGTAATCGGCTTTATATATATAATCCTGAGAATCGTGAACTCCTCTCCTATTCTGCCTTGTAGGAAGGGATAGATAGGCTCACTAGAATTTCACTATTCAAAGGCAGGAAGGAATGATCAAAAAAAATTGAGGATAGGAATGGAAAGGAATAGTTGAGGTTGGGGTTGGGAATAGAAAGGAAAAGAAAGAGAGTAATAAGGAGGGGAAATCAAGACCACTGAGAACACTTTAGGTGATAATATATTATATTTGAAAGAACGGCGGGACATGAAATTTTCAGATTTGGTACATATACAAGAAAATTATCCTCCGAGTATTGAAAGCAAAGTGATAAAATATATACGAGAACAAAAGCCTGAAGTGAGAGATCAAGCGAGGCTAGACATCGGATGAATAAATGAATGTATGAGGTACCATTTTATATATGATATTTGAGTGTTTGAGATGATACGTGTCTTGGAATGGTGAGCTTGTCTCATTGGGTGCCTGTAATATTGACAGGCTGAGCAGAGCAGAACTCAATAGTTGAAATTCGTGGTGTTACAATGGCTGGGGAGAATACATGTAAATTTCTCGCCAAAGCTTTGTGCTGAGTGTTTTGAAACAGAGAGCTGTAATCATTACTTATACATGGCTATTATTAAAGTTCAAAATACTCAAGTTAGCTATAATATTAAAAAAGAAAACTTTAGGATCATATCGGCAAGATTCTCAAACTACTGCCATCATGATTTGAATTTTTTCAATGTTGGTATTGGAGTTGCTTTCTGCATTGCACTTTCAACTATGATCAGATTAAAACGTTTCGCACGAACCGTAGCAATGTAAAGATAGTAGTTGTACATTGCAGAAATTTAAACGTAGCATAACCATGAAGCTTTCAAGGTGAGTGACTCCCAGAAGATTGAGTATAGCAAACGCTTGTCGGCTCGTAAGCTTCATCTTGGAGGGTCAGGCCAGAAGATCAAACCTCCGAGAATACCACTGTAGGTCAGTTCTCACTGACAGGAAAAATCATCAGCAAACTACCTTGTAGTTGCGTAGACAACAGCTGGATGAAAGGAAAAATGTACGATAATATATCGAAAAGTGTATCCTCCCATCATCGGAGTTGTTCAAATAGTTAGTTCTCGACGTCAATTTAGTGCATCGCCCGTACCGTTAGTATGCCATTTAAAATGCGGCTGAAGCATTTCCTCACTAGGTCGTCTGATTGGCAAGAGGAACTTGTTCACAAAAATTACTGGCTGAAGTATTGTGGCGTTCGACGGATATCTCGGTGCCGCTTGCCCATCTACCAGGTATCATCGTTGATCAGTGTGATGAATCAATTGCCATGGGAGAAAACTTAGGTCGGGTCAGAGTACATGGTATATCTAGGTAGAGTGTAGCGTGGAGGTCTAAATATGCATAATTTAAGTGATTTGAGTGATTGACATATGCGCCACATGTGCGGGGTGTTGCTCTGGGACTGTGTTTCCTTCGCCACTGAGAAAGAAGAGTAAGTTCATCTCGTGGAAGTTCGACTGGATGCATAATTGCTTTCAAATTAATGCTTTTTCCTTTCTTTTTTTGTGCAAAAAATTCAATAAAAAGTCGTCGAATGTTGTGCTGTGCACGCTTGGCCTTCTACCCCAAAAAGTATAAGGCCAAGTTACTCGAATAGGCAACAAAAGTGATGGGGAGAATGTTGAAACGTCTTAGAAGGGTCGTCGTCGCCACTGGCTCAAAGTCCCCAGGTAGGAATCAACTAAAAAACATATTGTTCTAGAAATAACTTGGCAAGGGAGGAAGCTGGAGTTCTTAGTGGCTTCTAGAAGATCAATTGAATCTTCTGACATCGTAGTCCCGTCATTAAATGGTCTGTGCATACAGCCTCTGTTTGAATTCTCTATTTCAAACTTTTGAGATCTCGCCAAATGATAAGGGGTGTGGTGTCTCGGAGTTGGAATGTCGCAGATGCAGTTAATATCCATAGTAGATCAGGGGTGTGAGACCGCTACGGGTTCGTACAGTAGGTTGCATCAAGTCGCATTTCTCCATTTGTTTGACAATAATCGCTCGCATCATTGAGACATGACCTGAACATGACGTTGCATCCTCAATATCTTTTAGAATAATATATCGACATGTCAGGTAATGCTTACGAATGCGCATACTCGGTATTTCCGATGAGTACCTGAATGGGAAAGGAAGCTGCTGTAATATGGCCAATAGAGCATGCAGGGCATTAGTATATCGAATTCTGACCTAATCGCATTTCCATCCTAAGACAAGAAACCTGCTAACCATAATGTGGATATAACGGTCCAACTGTTGAGAAAATCCTCAGGTACACGTGGAATATCAAGGGATTTCCTAGAAGAACATCATCAAGGCCCCTACAGTTGGACCATTTGCCGTCTAAGAAGAAACGTGAGGACGGGTATGGTGGAAGCCTCGTGGAGTCGTGGGTGGTCAAGCCAGCACCGCCTTGCAAAAACATTGAGGCGGGTAAAAGAGTTCTTTTGCGTGTTTCAATTGTTGATCCATGTCAACTAGAATAAGTGTGTCTATCTATTCTGGATGAACTTGCGAGCGAACCCCCTGACTATGATTTGAAGGTTGCCTGTTCTTGGTCTCTGGCTGTTGAATTGCTTCATCGCATAATTCAATGTTTCCGAACATTCATGCAGAAACAGAGTGCTTGGGAATTGCTCGCAACTCTGCGTAGTATCGTAGTATCCCTGTGCAGATAAGCAGACGTAAAGGTTCAAGAATAGGACAAATGGCGTCGATCCCTGGTTGTAAGAGCATCCATGAATATCCGAGTTTGGCTGGCTTGAGGTTCAGCTTGGCAAATCTCTTGACTCGTGTGTGAGAGAGATATCTCCCAGTATTTTGAATCTTGACGAGACTTGGTCGGAAGAGACTACCCAAATAGTAAATGATCTAGAAACTGCATTGATTGTGGCTTACTAGCTGAATGTTCGACACGACCAAAAAAAGATATTGGAAGTTGGATTTGACGGGAGTCGTGGAGTCTCAGATTTAGTGGAAGCTCTGAGCATTTGCCGGCACGTGCGATTGATTAAGTCACACAAAGATTGAAATGATAATAATCTATAGGTAGAGAGGTGGTAATACATGCTGGCATGGCAAAGTTGCAACCACTTGATTGGTGGATCGTATGACTGAAATTTGAAATTTTACGTTCAAGTCAGACCCCTTTTGGAAGGTTTGGGCCAAGAAGCCGACAAGATTATGTTAGAAGACTCAGTAAATGATCGATTGAAAACTTTACTACCTCTTTCTTTCGGATTGATTTGATGGAGAGGCCTGTGTAGATCCTGAGGGGAAAAAACCTTTATGACTAGGATATATTTTGTAGGTGATTTAGTAAATTAATATCGTTTTCGTATTTTAGGAAAAAAGTTTATATTATCATGCACTACAAGGAATATTGACGTTTATTTATTAGATTAATTAAAAAAATCAATAAAGATTTATATTTGCTAAATTAAAAAAAATTTAAAATTTAAAATATATATCAAGAGAATATTAAAAAGAGTTTTTATTACCAAAATAATAAACAGTTTATTTTGACGACAGACCAGGTACATGGATATAATTTTTCTTCTTCTTAGAAACGGAGCAAATTACTAGTTAACCCATCTACCACGCACCAAAAATAAGAGTCTTACGCCCAACCAAGAAAGACCCTTGCGATAATGTTTCAGGGAAAATCGCTGCTCGCAGAATAGTTTCTGTGAAGAGCCCGAAAGACGCCTATACTCTACACTGTGTATACCGTGTGTAAGATGCCATACGAGTATACCTAAGAGGCTACTTTAGTGGGTGTCTAACAGTTGTCTAAAAGTACCCAGTACCTGGAAAAGCCTGAAATTGATATTATTATTTGGAATGCGAGCGACTGAAATGGTTTCGGTGATCAGTGAAAATAATTTTAGTCTTAGAAAAGTATCTGTCTAGTACGTACTTGCTTAAGATATCGTTGCTTGACAAACTCTGCACCCCGCCAAATTCCAGCTTCAGAACAAAACTTGGCACAAGTGTTTCGAGATTAGCATTTCCGAGCATATCAACGGAGTACTCTCATTTGTTGTTACCGGATCAAATGACGGAAACCACCCAGTCAGCGTCCTTGAATGATTTCATACCGGTACACCTGGTACCTACCTACAGAATAAATGTGGAATTTCCCTTTGGTAATCTCAGGGATCTATCGTATAGCCGTCTGTTCTGGCTTTTACATGCTTCTTACTTTGATGAGTCGCGCGTGCTCAATTCCTCGACGAAAAGACCTACACCACCTGCTCAGTATCTTCCAGATTCCTACTTTTCAACTTGATCGTCCTTCTAGGTTCTCCTTCACGACCAAGTCACTTTACATAGTCGGTCGATTGCCGTGAATTGCGCTTCTAAATCCATACAATCCATACGCTGCTACCTCCCATATATTGATAATGTATCTAGAGTTCGGGAATGAAAAAGGAAAAGAAATGATTACTGTCCAATCAATTCGGGGATCTCGGAAAATACTTTTCTTTTTTCAGCCTTCCATTCCTTCCTCCCTTCCTTCCAATTTGAACCCTAGTGAACCACGATGCTGGGAAGGCGGCATATATTTGTGTGTCTATTTCCAACTATCCGGTTTCCCCTGTAATTTTTGCTTCGGCCTTTTCCTTTCAATACAACGCTACTTTGGACCCCATCAACCTCCTCTTTCTCATTTGGTGCACTAACCAGACTCAAATCACCTGGGCATTGCGCTACACTTTCCTTTCCGATAATCAAATCTACGTTCATTGATGCCGAAAATGCTCTAGCTGTCCTTAAAATATCAATCTAGGTAGAAACACCATCACTTTTTTCTAGGCTTCAACTCATCTCACTATCCCTTCACGTCCAATAATTCCAATTCATGTCTTGAAACCCTGTCGACCCCTTCTCTATTCCCAGACTTTCCAATATTCGGCTGGGTATCTAGGGGCTGTTTTACATCCATCCGATGAATCTTTTGTCATGCTTTGCATATTTTCATGGTAAATACATGAGCATCTATCACAACTCGCATCCTAAGCATAGCCTCGTCGCCTCATCTGTCGATCTCACGTCCTAGCGTTGCGCCTGATCGACCAGAGCCCCGGCATCTGAAGCCAAAAAGGTTACCCACACTCAATGTTCCATCTAGATCGCTACCTACCGTATCTGTTGCCCTGAAGAGAGAAAAGGAAATTGATATTATTGATACACATTATGATTTTGAGTGGATCCAGATTTAAGAGCGAGAGAGAGCTAACTGAACCTCTTTTGATCAACTGCATATCAGATTGCATGACTGCACACTTACATATTAGCAGCGAATGCCCTACCGGAAAATAGATTCCCTCCCCACACTTTCTAACATCACCATCTTGCTTCCTATCCTCACTCGCCTGGTTGAATCGACACTATTGCATAGATTACTTGGACCCTCTTTCTCCACCATATCGTTCTTGTTCATGCCATTCGTCGCTCTATAATAACCATTGAAGAGGTCTATCATCTCATTGGCTTTAACGAGTAATTGCGCTTGTTCTAGTTCCAAGTCTCCGCTTTCCAGCCAGCCACCGAGTACGTTATTTTAGTTAAATTCAGACCCAACAGACATAACAGAACAAGTTTTTATTCTTGAGAGTTCGAACCTTAGTTCGCTTTAGCCAAGCAGTAATCAACTTTGCAGCCGTGTCTATCTACTACGGCCAACGCACCGTACCTGACAGTAGTCTAACTTTGAAAAGTGGCTGGTGTGAGGCAAATATCTCGGAGCATTCTAGGTCCATTGATTGGTTACCAGCAGTGGAATAATTCTCGACATACTTAGATCGGTTTAAGTATAGTCAGAATAATCAGCATCAAGCACGCGGACCTAAAATTTGGAACTTCATTAGGTCGCAAAGTCATACCGAAGTGTCAAACATGTCAGTATAACCTTCTCTTCGTATCTACCTAACCATCATCCGGCCATCCGTCTAGGTCACACGCTTCGATGGAATGGCTGGGAATCAATGAATGAAATGTATGAATGAATAATGGAATGAATAAATGAGTACATACATGGAGAGGCGTATGGACACGGTTAGATGATCTAAAGCTTACTGTACACTATCTGTAGTATCCTCGCGCACCTTACTCGCTACTGCTAGTGCTATTCGTACTTTGATGGCAAGTTTCCAACACTTTTAATTGAAAGATCCGTGCCTTAACGAGGATCTTCAAAGGAAAGGTGTCGACTTGAAGGATATCCATCGTACTATCAAAAGGTAGATCCAACACGAGAAGTTCCCCATGCAACTCTACATCTTTCGATTAGCCTCCTTCACCATCTAAACGCCATCTCACCACCATCGTCTTCCAAACAATACTGCACGTTCTTTGCATTTTAAATTAAACACAAAATACGTCCAAGACTCGACGTTTGAGAAGTCAGAGCGTGCTCAGATACCGGAGGAACTTTAAAGTTCCATTAAGATTTGAGGAAGGAACCTGGAACCCAACGGCGCCTTCTCATCTTGACCAGCCACTGCAGCCGAACTATCCCAAAAAGTATGTCGCATATTGATATTTCTTTCATCTCATCTCCATAACTCTATCTCGACTTCACTATTCGAAAAATTTTAAACTCAAAGAATCGGGAACTGACCCAAGTCAGGTGCATGATCATTGATCTCCGACAGTCAGCCATCAATTCATGCACAACCATTGGCAAGAAATCATCGACGCTTTCCTATCTTACCTCGCAGTAGACCAAACTTATTCACGGATCGAACCGACCTTCAACGTCTTCTGATATTCCTCAGGGAAGAAGGTAAGAGACGAGACGACTTGATTTATTTCCAATTTCCTGTATTTGATTCCTGCCCGTGGATACATTCAAAGTTCATTCACATGGTCTAATCTTCAACAACTTTACACACTCTAGCCATTATCAGATTTGAGTGTTTTGGAGTTTTTCTTGACTTGATTATATTTGAAGATACTATCACATTAGTATCATCAATCGATTCGCCTTTCCTTCTTCTAGATCTTCTAGACACTCGGAAGAGAATTGGCTTGTTGCACATCTTAATTTATCCATGAACCTGGTTCTCCTTCCTTACAACGTCAGAATAAAGTCGAAAAGCCCCTCCGTAGTTACACCAGCCATCCAGCCAGCCAGCCTGCGGTCAAATTGCAGCGAGATCAAATTGAGAGGAACGTTCAACGTTGTCGCAGTGCGGCACACATTATCTCGATACCCTAGTGATATTTGCCCTATAAGCTATATTTCACAGGGGACTTGCTTGTATTGAAGGTCAAGGATAGTCCTAGGAGTTAGTGACGAGGTCTAAACCACAGGAGAAACTCGATTGACACCTTATTTCCGCTGCATTTCTGTTCTCTTGAACGAAACTGTGCTAGCCAACCTATCGTTGATCAATCTAGCACTCGTTCAATTGCCGTCAATTTCATCTAATTGTCGTCCAAGTGCTAGAGTCGATCAACTCAGGGTCCTCATCTTCCTATATTTTCTTTTCGCGTCCTTCTTTATCCCGACGAAAATACTCAGACCACGATACAATACTTTCTCGGGCGTTTTCTGAGCAGAAATAAATCTCAAATTTTCTCTCTCAAAGCTGCTATCTCCAAGACACCAAGGTAACTAAACCCTCCTCCCTCTTTGACTTCATGGATACCATTGACAGGGGTATAAAGGCTGCGAACTCTAGTATCGAGGAATAAGATAGATAGAACGCGCCGAATTTGCAGCGAGAAGAACCTATTGAGACCTCCACCCAGACCGAATCATCAAGCTGGCCCTCTTGCACTCAAAGCCGTATTCCGTGTGGGTGGCGCATCGATTGGATTAGTCGGCGGGAAGTAGTTTGTACACTTTTGAATTGGAAAGGAGAGAATGGACGACAATAACCGTCGAAGAAGGCAGAATGAGCCACCATATTCTGCTCAGGACCCCAGATATGCTTCAGATCAGAGCCAAGGTCGTGGCATTCCATACTCCATATCGGATAGACATCGATCTGGAGCGACGACGGGGTCTCCATCAATGAATCGTGGAGTCGGGCCAGCTTCAGCATATACTACTTCTGGATACTACGAGCCAACTTCGAATTTTTCGACAGGTATTTCGTCAAATCCTTTGCAATACTCATCCAATTATCCTCCGGATCAAAGACAACAATCAAGTTTCTCAGATTATAACGCCGGAATGATGTACAACAGTGTCACACAACAAACTCCACAAAACGGCATCTATGACAGTCCGCAATTTCAGGGGCGGCAACCTGCAGCAATGCAAATGATGCCGGATGTGGCTGCGCCCTACCTCTCAAATGACCCGACCAATACTCCAGGAACTCAGCAGTACGCTTCCTCAAACGCATCTACACCTTATCAACATCACCAACAAAGCCCAGGAGATCGCACCACATTGATCCAACAATCATATTCGGCACCCGTAGGATTAGGTGGAATGAGTCAAGCACCTGGAACAGCCGACGTTATGGACACCGGAAACCTGCAGCAACAAGGGGCAGGGGGCATGGAAGAGGCCTATTCGACTTACCAGACGGCGCTCAAGCAAATCTTCAAGAACATCATCGATCTTCGCCTTGCAGAAGCAAGTTCGTCTTTACTTGAAGTCTCGGATTGGCTACTCGGACACGTAGTAGAGTTAGGTAGGTTAAGATTTCCTCTGTTCAATCTCACCCACTAATAGTTTCTGATGAAGGCCTCACTGTAGATGAAGTTGCGCTTCATGGCGATCGACTTCGACTCTGGAACGAATTTAATGCGGCGTGGTTGAGCATCTTTACTAAACAGCACGATTTTCTCGAATCAGGTCAGCGCACACAGCCACCGCAAACACTCATGTCCTTGGAGTTTATTGGTAAAATGGGAACCAACTTGACACGAATGTGCGATTCTGTCGAGAAATACGGTTTGGTGGATTATCAATATGGGGTTGGAGAATCGCAAATCATGGATAGTAAGTCCAGAAGAATAGCAGAAATCCTAATGGTCGTTTGTTTATCTAACTATGATTTAGTTCTCCTGAGCTGCAAACAACTCCAAGAAACCCTTGAAGGACCCGGAACCCCTGATGAAGGCGCATCCGCAAACTCCAACGTCGGTCGAGCGCCACCATGATAACAGTATATCTTTCTTTTACCACTTTTCGCTCCTGTTCTCCCTACTTGAAAAAGCTCTGTTTTGATATACCAGTGTAAAGCATAAACTTACATTTTTTTCTCCGCGGCGTTATTCTCGTCCAATTCTTCGTTTTGCTTTGTCAATATCGAGATTTAACTTCTTCCTTTCCTGCTAATCAGGACCACTTCATGTGGTACTAATACTTGGGTGGGAAATTTGATTTCATCTTCTCGATTTGACATTTTGGTGTTGGTGGGTTCTCTGTATGCATAAGGTGAAGGGATTGTCACTGGCGGACTATTTGCGGGTGGGCGGCATTCTGATTTTTCGATGAAGCTATGTTTCTATGTTTCTATGCGCAATGCTTCTTTTATTACGATGTTTGTATGATGAAAAGGAAAGGGGGAAAGGTTCTGGTTCGCAAATGATTTGGGAAAGCATGGGGTATATGAATGAATGGATGTTTTTAGCGTCTTGTTTTCTTTCATTATAATATTGTACGAAGTGGTTTACTAGAGCTGCCGTGCAATGGGAGGGCTTCTAGGCTTGGGAGTATGATTAATTAACCGGGCTACTAGGCTCGCAAGGAAAGGAATGCAATGGAATGGCAGACCGGCTTCTAGGCCCACGGACCTGAACGAACTAAAAAGGGTGTATGGGGGTTTTATGGAGCGAATGAATAATATATCTTTTAGGGTATTAACGTCATATCTATCAGGATATGACGGCAATTAATTGCAATCGAATTAGCATGCGTATGGATACGCCGGAAGAGATGAGTGCCTGCCGAGGGGATGAGGGGGAGCGGGAGGGGGAGTGGAAAGAGCATTTTTTTGATTGATGTATGAGGAGAGGAGTGGGGAGGGGAGCGGAGGGGCTAGGGGATACAGGTGAGGGGAGAGCAGGGCACCAATGGATTGTGGATTGACTTAGTTGTTGTATACATGTACTGTAAATGAATAAGATCTTTTCAAGATTAAATAAAGACAGAGAGATTATTATTATCATTATTATACGCAAAGGGATTCCTTTGTGAAAATATGTTGGTTGTTTTGTGAGTATTTGGTTGGGCTTGGTGGTGATGTGATGGGTGGTTGGTTGTTATACGTACCTACTGCATGTTCATCTCTTGGCTTGCGGATTGGGGTTGTACAATTCGGATATGAGATGAGATGAGATGAGATATAATATGTGCATATGAGGTTGAGGCTGAGGCCAAGGTGAAGGATGAGGTGAAGGATTAGTTTTCGGTATGGTGTGTGTGTGTGTGTGCTTGCATGTGTGTATGTACATGCATATGTATATGTATTGAATGTTTATGGATGGAAGGGTAGGGTAAGGGGTAGGGAAAGGGAAGGGTAAGCCGTGTATTTGGTGTGGGTTTATTTGTTTATTTTCTTTAGGGATTGAGGTTGGGGATGAGGATGGGGATGGATGGGGATGGCGGGTATGAGATCTTATATGGGGCAGGGCGGTAGGATGGTATTGGGACGAGGTGTGAGGTGTGAGGTGTGAGGTGTGAGGTGTGAGGTGTGAGGTGTGAGGTGTGAGGTGTAAGGTGAGTGTAAAATAGGTCGGTCGAGGTGGAGGGCTGGGACCTTGGAGGAGGGCAGGAGATGGGATAGATTGGAATGGATCGCGCGAGATTGGCGAGGTGATCTAATTGTAAGATGCAAAATTGTGTACTGTTGATGATTGATTGATATTAAGAGTAATCTGTGTATCTGTCTATATGTACATCAATGTTGCCACTCTAGATAGAGTACTTGATTTAATTCTCAGATTCCTATCTCGGAAAGCTAAGAAGAAAAGAAGGAAACAGGTTTGTTGTTTGTGGCTGGTGTCAAGGATGGTATGTATGGAGGGAGTATTGGTGATCATCATCATCATACATCATCAGTTAATCTAGCGAGATAGAATAAAATAAGTGAGATGAGTGAGGCTGGATGCAGAATGTAGGATGTGTATATCCATAATATAAAATGTGAAAGAATACATATTCTCAAAAGCCATAGCAAGGATATAAATGCGGAAGCGAATGAATGGGGATATAAACAAAGGAAAAGAAAAAAGAAAAAAAGAAAACAAACCACGAGCCGAAGCGGGAGGAAAGAAGCGAAATTGGGATAGGGGGTTATCTGATAATTGGATGGGCGGAATGATAATGCAATGCTGTCTTATGGATATTGGACGGGCCGAGCTTTGTTTTCTTTTTGTTGTTTTGTTTGTTTTTGATTTATTGAGCTTGGTGTGTGGTAATGGTAATGGTCAATCTGGTATGGATGGGGTTATTTAAGGGAAACGAAAAGGAAAGGAAAAAATGGGGATGAATGAAGTTCCTTCTAGGGATATTGCATATGATCAGAGGTGCAGTTTGAGCAGTCAGCATGGGTTGTGCTAGGGTTGCACTCGGTATGCGTGAATGACGGGTGATAAATATAGATTGGCTAAATAGGAAGGTGCTTTTTTGATTGGTAGGGAAGATTTATTCTATCTACTCGAGTAGCCTTGGATGCATAATGTGCATGTGCAAGCATGGGGTTTCGAGAATGGAAAAGCAATTGCCATGGCCATGTAGTATGATTGGTGCTAGCTTTGGAATAGTATGCCTGAGATTAAAGGATAGCTGCACTTGCTGGTGTTGAGTATTGGATAGCTTCTGCGAGATTGATGTTGTAATGGCGCAGTTCACGATTCCATATGCCTACCGACATACTAACTTGCCTTGGAATATGGCCTAGAGAAATACCTGACGTTGTAATATCGATGTCTGGAATATATGTTTGAATATTAACGGGTATTCATTCATTTTCATATTTCTTATGTGTTGAATATACCAAGCTACTGAAAACCCATACACCATATGTACTGATACAATAGATATAAAACTATCTCTTGACCCAGGCAGGCATTTTTCTGGCCTTGACATGACCTGGCTTCTTTCTCTCCACTGTTCTTGGATCACGAGTTACACATCCGGCTGGAGAATATGTTAGTATTTCATGCTTCAAGTATTGACTCGATTTTATGGATGGGAAGTGGATAATGTGATGAAATCCAAAGAACTTACCTCTCCGTAATGCAGGCTTCAAAGCCGGTTCATGTGAAAGTAAAGCCTTCCCCACAGCTAACGTCAAAGCTTCCGCTTGCCCTGTGGTCCCACCTCCGCTAACCAGAGCCCAAAGGTTATACTTATCAATTCTATCCGTAGCTTTCAAAGCCCAAATGGCACTTTCCCTATCATGATGTCTGCCAAAAGCCTCCGCCAGTGTTTTCCCATTAATAAGTACCTCCCCTGTGCCCTCTACCAAGTACGCTCTCGCCACAGATGATTTCCTCCTTCCAACTCCTAGTGCCCGTCCAAATGAATCAATGGGTATAGGTTTTGCGAGATTCTCGTGTGGGTTTATATCACGTTTGTATATGTTGATAGCTTCCTTCACATCTGGGGGCATCACAGATGGATGAATGTGATTGAGTCGATGCAGTGTCTCCACAAGCTTATGATATTTTGATGACCGCACTGCCTCTCCAGTTTGATCTCTATATTCCATAAGAGATCTCCATGCCACTCGCGGCGCCTCTCCTGGTTGTACAACAGGAAGTTGTGAGTATTTGCGCAGGAGGCTTTGCAAGCGGAGAAGGTTATCGGTATATGAAGGTTGAGCTGTGAAATATGATGGCGAATAAGGAACAAGACGTGCGTAGAACTTTGGTGGCCCTTGTTCCCCGGTATCTCCTCGTTCTTCATTTGAGAAATTTATTTCCCGAGCCGCAATGCTGTCTCGAAGTTGTGCGGTGGTTGTGAAGGATCTCGAAGGTGATGACAAGGGAATTCGATTTCGTAGTAGGGTTCTGGGAAGAGTTGGTTGATTGGAATAGGCACATCTAAGGCCTTCCCTTAGACTTGCGGGAAGCCATGATGTCTTCATATTGAAGACGAAACTAAGTCGTAGACAGCTAAGAGCGTTTACCCTCTTAAAATCGACTCTCGCAAACTTTAGATTTCCACATCTCGATTTTCCCGCATCAGCTGACTTTTGCTTTAATCCCAATACGTACTAGCTCAATCAAGCCCCGCAACAAATTTTTGACTCAGTTCGACATCCCACGAAAAGTTTCTTTCTTCCATCCAGATCAATCAACTTTGAACAAACGCAAAGATGACTTTCGGAACTCTCTACACCTACCCGGTATGTATACACATTTACTGACGTCTACAATAAACTCCACAGATCAATCCTTCAGTGGAACTTCAGCTAATCGTGCTTTTTTAATAGGGTAACCCCCGCTCAACTGCTATTCGTGCAGTTGCAAAGGCAAACAACATCGAGCTCGATGTCGTCGAGACTGAGCCATCCAAGGGTGTCTCTGAGGACTACCTCAAGATCAACAAGCTCGGCAAAGTTCCAACCTTCGTCGGTGCCGATGGTTTCACCCTCCACGAGGCTATTGCCATCGCCATCTACGGTATGTTTACATCCCACTTCACCCCACTTCGTTTAGCCCAAATTTGCAGCAACACTACCTATTATATATACCTTTGTGTCATGATGAAAAAAAGTCATTCAGTTATCCCTGTCTTAATCATTCTATGTTGATCTTTATTAATTAGACTCTGAACACTCTCTTTAAAATCTAAATAGCACTTTATTTGGTTTTGTCAAGTCAATAGCTTACGAAGTTTTATAGTCACCTCCCAAAACGAGAAGACTACCCTCCTCGGTAAGACCAAGCAAGACTATGCTTCTATCTTGAAGTGGATGTCCTTCTTCAACACTGAGGTCCTCACATCCCTTGGTGGTTGGTTCCGCCCTCTCTTGGGTCGGGACCCATACAACAAGAAGAACGTCGACGATGCCATCAAGGCCACTGCCAAGTGCGTCTCTGTCGTCGAGGAGCACCTCTTGAACAACACCTACCTCGCTGGTGAGCGTATCACTCTTGCCGATTTGTTCGCTGCTGGTATCGTCTCCCGTGGCTTCCAATTCTTCTTCGACAAGAAGTGGCGCGCTGAGAACCCCAACATTACCCGTTGGTATACTACCGTCTACAACCAACCAATCTACTCCGCTGTTGTCGACCCTCTCGCTTTGATCGATGAACCAGTCCTCAAGAACCAAGCACCAAAGAAGGCTGAGGCACCAAAAGCCGAGAAGCCAAAGAAGGAGGCCGCTAAGCCAAAGGCCAAGGAGGTCGAGGAGGAGGAAGAAGAGGCCCCAGCTGCACCAAAGGCAAAGCACCCTCTCGAGGCATTGCCAAAGTCTACCATTCCTCTCGATGAGTGGAAGCGCCAATACTCCAACTCCGAGACACCTGATGCTCTTAAGTGGTTCTGGGAGAACTACAACGCAGAGGAGTACTCCTTGTGGGCTGTTGACTACAAGTACAACGAAGAGCTTACCCAAGTTTTCATGACTTCCAACTTGATTGGTGGTTTCTTCGCTCGTCTTGAGGGCTCCCGCAAGTACATCTTTGGATGTGCTTCAGTCTACGGTACCGCCAACGACAGCATCATCAAGGGTGCCTTCGTCATCCGTGGCCAAGAAGCTCTCCCAGCTTTCGATGTCGCCCCAGACTATGAGAGCTATGAGTTCACCAAGCTTGATGCCTCCAAGCCAGAGGACAGAGAGTTCGTCAATGAGCAATGGACATGGGAGAAGCCACTTGTCGTTAACGGCAAGGAGTACCCATGGGCCGATGGAAAGGTCTTCAAGTAAATTATTACTTTTAGATGTTTTATTTTCACAATGATTTTAGCGCTGAATAGGGTTAACGTGTAATGAACAATCATGACATGTGGGAGGATTACGAATACGAATCATGGAGATCGTCATTGGTATTTTTAGCGTTTCTGCAGATGCAATCTAAGCTGATTATCATGCCACTATACAGTAAATACCCATCGTGAACGCCCACTCATTGCCGTGATACCTTGTGCTAGCTATCCTGATCCTCACTGAACCACCACTACATAAGCACCGGGAGTGTGTCTGAAAACGGGTATCATAAAAAAGAAAAGTACCATGTGATCTTGATGTCTTCAAAACATTATATCTGTCATTGTTAATGATCACGATTCATAGGACGTTACGTCATGAGAGATGACAAACTTACCAGTAGTACCAAAGCCATTATCGGACCAGATCACCACTTATCCGAATTCCCGAGCATCGGTTGATACTTTGATGGTACTGTATCACTTGAATGTGAAGGTTTGTACACGGGTTCAACAACTGGAGATGGAACTCTAGCAGGACCTGGAACTCTTGGTGGATGAATGGGCAAATTCAAACCTGTAGCCTCATGAGGATTGGCCTTGGGCAGTGGCACAAACGGCGAACGGCGAATTGCAGCACTGACATTTTCATGCATGCTGAGGAAATTCAGATAATCATGGACCTGTGGCAGGACATCCCCGACTTCCTTGTCATCACCAAAGAATTCTGGTATTTCGATCAAGTTATAGGGTTCGCTGCGGGCTTTCTCGCTAGAATCATCAATCAAAACTGTATTTGTCTGGTCCCATCTGCCACCATTCTGAGCATCAGGGTGCGAAGCTGCGATCTTAGGATCGCCCCAAAGCTTGGTAAGTCGTTTGTAACATTGCACGCGCATATTATAGTCCTGACCGGTGAGTCCGAATGTTTCGCGTCCCCAAATAGCGATGACTTTTTGTCGGAGCTTGGGGGTAAGAATGGTTTGGCACATGGGTATCACATTTTGTGATTTGGCGGATGACCAGATGATCACGGAAAAGGTGTCGATGCAGTATTGTAGGAACTTTTCGGCGTGGGGCCGGGCGGTAAATTTGGTGGGGTTTTTGCGGTTGGGACGGTAGAGGAGGGTGCCGTTTAGGTCAATTACGACGAGTAGATGGCGGGCAAGGAGGGAGGGAGTGGGTCCTTGGTCTGGCTTGGTATAGGTCCTTTCGAGATACTCGCTGGTAGGGTTGGGAATACCACCCGAGGCTTCGGATGGCTGGACTCTCGCTTCTTTGGAGATGGGAGCCATTGTCTTTTTTGATGGTGGCCTTTGGTGAATAATGAGCGACTGGTAGAAGAATTTCCGGTCTTGCAGTGGACCTGATTCAGGTGCGACGTATGGTGCTCGTAGTAATGGAATGAGCGGTTTTGATATGTTTGTAGCAACGTCTTTAAAACCACTGTGAATAAACGACGGGTTCCACGTATCACCAACACCCCAGTTTCGTTCTCCGAATGATACTCCTAGATGTTTTCGATCCCTATTGGGCGATCTGCCTGATTTTAATGGTTCTTTTCGACTATTGCGTCCATATCTGTTCAATGCATTTTCAGTTGAAGAGAAAGTCCTTTTAGCAATATATCTCAATCGTTTCCCACTAAAAGTGAATGTGAAGGAATGTAATACGGACATCCAGCCGGAAAGTTTGAGTTGGGCCGGTTGTTTATAGATTATGAGGCTGAGGATAAACTTCGAAAAATTGATGATGGAAAGTTTGTGGGGGAATCAATCGGCGTTTTGTTATTCCGGTGGTCGCCGCGGGAAAAATTCCCCATACAAAATCGAACCTTGGTTGGATTTCAAGAACTAAAACTCAAGCAACCACAAAAATTTTAAAAAGATGTTATCAACGAAGAGGAAAGCGCTAGACACAGGTTTACAAAGACGTGTGAGAGCAAGGAGGGAACCTTCTGAGGAAATTGAAGAATCTTCTTCAGATTCTGCTCCATCAGAAATTGGCCGAGATGACAATGAGGGAGAGGAAAGTTCCAGCGATGAGGCAGAGGATGAGGTAGATGAGGTTAGATTTGTCAAAGTAAAATTAGATCCTCACTAACATTCTAATAGGAAGCATCTGAATCCGAGGAAGAAACGACCAACGATGCAGCAGCCTCGATTTCTTTTGGCGCATTGGCTAAAGCGCAAGCAAACATGTCCAAGCCTAGTAAAAGGGATTCGAAAAAATCAAAGAAGAGCAGTGCGGATGGATGGGAAGATAATGAAGCTACCGAACGTAAAGCAGGGAAGAAGGACCAACGAGATTTTACTCGCAGTAGTAAAAATGCACCAACCGAAATTTCCAGCAAGAAAGCAGTTTCCCGTCGCAGAGAAGTCGTACCTGTTAAGAAAAGAGAAATTCGCGATCCACGATTTGATCCTACTCACGGTCCGGTAGATATGGGAAAGATCGAGAAAGTATATGATTTCTTGATTGATTATCGAGAGGATGAAATTAAGAAATTAAGGGAGACGATCAAAAAAACTAAGGATGAAGATGAGAAGGAGAAGTTAAAGAGGGACTTGTTGAGTATGGAGAGTAGGAAGAAGACGGATGCGAAGAAGAGGAAGGCTAGGGAGATTTTGGATAAGCATAGGAAGGAGGAAAAGGATTTGGTGAAGGATGGAAAGACACCATATTATTTGAAGAAGGCAGAACAGAAGAAGAGGGTTCTGTTGGATACATATGGAGAGTTGAAGGGGAGACAGTTGGATCGGGTTATCGAGAGGAGGAGAAAGAAGGTGGAAGGGAAGGAAAAGAAGAATATGCCGAGGGCGAGAAGAGTGGTCGATTAGGAGCTTTCCTCCCTTGCCAATGCTCTTCCTTCGCCAAATTAATTCACTTCAATTCCGTTCAGATAAATTCGATCATCTGTCATCATATTACCATATCAGCGAAATTCATATTCCTGATATTATACCTCCAAACATTTATACATCGAATATCAAGTCCTCTTGATCATCTATCGATATCATGACTGATCCATTCACGAACGCGACATGTCTTATCTCATCATCAACAGTTCTCGCGCAACAATTTCGGCTCTTCACCCGTAGCCATTTGGCATTCTTGGAGCTATCACATGAGTTGATGGACATTATAAGCATCTCTACGACACCAGATGGATCACTTATGGCTCAAATGCGCCGACTATTGTATTTAAGGATGGAATAGCCCGTAAGCTTCAGTTGCTTCCAAGCTTACAACTCCATACTTTAACTATCCTATGCGGATTCCGTTGTGGAAGTCCCTAGGATTCCGACCACATTCACGTGTTTCTGGCCTTTGTTGCACCTGCAGGGACTAGAATCATATCACCCGCGGAAATCGCATCCATACAAATAACGAACCAAATATTTTAGCGGCAAAAACCGCCTTTAGTACTAATCTTGAAGTCTGGGGAGTTATTCTAGAAAGAAACACCAATGCGGTTCAAGTCACCATCTCGATCTTCCAACCTTCTGAGCCTAGATTTTAACGGATTGGGAACTTTTACAACGATCTCGCTCATGAAGTACTCACAGAGACCACAATATCCTTGGAAGCTATTCGCTAGGAAAAGCTTACAACATGTCTGTAAGGCTTTAGAGCCAGGTATAGAGACTTCAATCGTTATGATGCTTCCTCTTACGACGGCTATAACTCCTCCATTCCTTTCAGAAATGGAGGGAGAACTTAACGAGGGGATATCGGATGAAGATGAAGAAGTTGAGGAAGGGATTTCAGAATCAGATGCTGTAAAAGAAATTCCTCGAGTCTGGCGCGATGAATGCAGAGATGCATATGTGGGAGACCTCTTGACAAGAATGTGGATGAAATGGCCAGGGAAGAAATCTATCTATTTGCATCGCCCCATGGAATGAGCCCTACACATACCATTACATCATTGAAGAGTACATGAGAATAAGCAACATCGTCCAGGACAACTACAATAGCATCTAAATCTAGAATAAACAAACATATCCATCCCTCACCTACCTAGGTATCCTATCCATCTAAACAACATCCTAACACCTTTCCATCCTACCCATCTATATATAATTTTCCCCAATACTTACTCATAGCTTCCTTCATATAAATCAAATCACATACCACTATTATCTCTTCTATTCAATTCAATTCCCTAATTATGATCTATTTCAATCCTTGAAGTTAAACTCCCCTTAAATTACCTAGGTAGGGAGGTACCCTCTATAAGTCTTACTTTGCTTTACTTTGTAATCTACAAGTGGAATAGTTATTAGGTTAGATGGTTCTTGTTAATTAAATCTCACTATCCATTGAGGTTTATCTTGTTGGTGTGAGGTGAGGTGAGCTGGGATGAGATGAGATTGTAGATAGATAGATAGATAGATGGATGGATGGAGTAGTTATATATATGTAAATACCTACCGGCCTAGCTACCTAACTAGGTACAACCTAGTTAGGTAGATATGATTTTCTCATCTCATCTCATCTTATCTTATTCAATGTAAGATTACCCAGTATTTAAAATAGTTAAATATTGGAATTGACTAATTAAAGAGTTAATTGGTTTTATCCTTCCTTTCTTTTTTCCCTTCATTCTTCCATCCATCCACCCATCCATTCAATCTAACCATCATTCATTCATCCACCCCATTGAATCTAACCAACCCAACCCAAATCAAAGCACCTCCCTTTTTCCCCATAAAACAAAAATGGTATCATGAAATAACTACTCAGACAAACAAACAGACAAACAACAACAATAATAATCAACCACAGCTACCTAATCAAATCAAACCAGGTCAGATAAGATCAATATAAAAGTTTTAAAAAAATCCCCACGCATGCGCAAAATATATTGATTGACTGGATTAGATCATCTGATTATACCCCCTAGCACTAGCGAACATAAAAGCGAACACTAAAGCGCATCACTCACTCCTCCTTGCATCCTCACTCGTCATACCCCTTGCACTTCCCCTTCCATATCCAGGATGTCCTAGGACGGGCGCTATATTTTGATTGTGATTTTGGGTTTGATGTTGATGTTGATTTTGTAAATGTAAATTCTGCAATTCGATTTGATCACGTTCATTCATCATTTCTTCTTCTTCTTTCTTTCTTCGTGCTCGCTCTCTTTCCCTCGCTTTGAGTTTCTCGGCCATACTGCCTCCTCCTTGACCGAATGTTCCCTGGCCGAAAGTTCCCTGTCCAAAACTCCCCGTTCGATCTGTAGCCCACGGATCTCCATTCGGATTCTTCCCGTTCGCATCAGTGGATGCGGTGGCTGGACTACTGTACGGTGAGGAATAGGGAGATAAATATACTTTCTCGGCCACGGGGGTAATGGGACTATCTTCCACGGGTGTCATAATAGCAGGACCATTAAAATCCCCACCATGAGGTTGTTGTTGACCCCAGTACTGTGGCTGTAGAGGTTTTTGCGAGTTGGGACTGTCGAAGAATCCTCCAGAGCCGGATGTCATGTTTGAGACGGCGCTGGTGGCATCGTTGGCGGGGACGTGTCCGCCTAGTCCGTCGACGTTGTGGGTGTTTTTCCAGGCGGCGTAGCCGGTGTCGAGTTGATGTTGGCGGAGGATGCGGCGCCGACGTCGTCGTCCGTTGAAGATGATGCAGAATCCGGTTATGAAGAGTGCGAAGACTATTATGCCTACTGCGACTCCGATGCGGGAATTGAGGGAGAGACCGGGGTAGGCTGTACCGGGTACGGAAGTTGGAGTTGGAGAAGTCATGTTTAGTTGAGTGGTGGAGAAGGGGGAGCCCTGGAAGGATAATGTTGAGCCTGCAGCGGGTTGTTGTTCACAAGCTCCATAGAGCAGCGTGTAGAAATTATTCAGATAGTATGTTGCTGTTGAAATTCGGAGACAATTCTGACATTGTTGGATTTGATTCGTGGCGATGTCTGAACAATATCCATATTCGGTTTGAGCACTCGTCGTCAGATTTTCGTATTCGATGGCGTCTTTCATGGGTCCGCATGATAGCGGTGTTATACATGGCGTATCCTGCACTTGTGTATTATTTGGATATCCAAAGAGACACCAACTTATGGCATATCTCAAATTATCTATACACACACCATATTAGTCACATTTCCACACATACATCCGAGGAAAGGAGAGCATACATAAACCCCATTCCAAATCCGTTTGATTTGTTGAAGGATCAACAAACGTACTCGTTAATTGACATCCCACGCATCCGGAATATGTCGTTCCAATTGAGCTCGTATAGTCCGTATTCTGACACACGATATCATTGTCCCCCGTGGTTCCTCCTAAAACATTGCCGCATTTCGGTGCACATGGTGAATTCGATAGTGCTTTCAATGCGTCTGTGGATTGTATGAAGGACGTGAGAAGGAAGAGACTCGGTGCTAATATTGTTGAGGACCGCATGTTGCAGATGTGTTATTATATGTTGAGGGAGGTGAAGGGGGGAAATGTTTTGTGGTAGGTGGGATATATATTATTGAACTTTCAAAGCAATTCCTTATCGCTTTATCTTCTTGTCCGGGGTGTTTCTTGTGTATCGTGAGGTGAAAAGAGTAAGAATGAAATAGGGAGCTATAGATTCGAAGTTTGATCTCGACCAGCAAGATCTATTTCATCTGAATATCGCCGTTATAGAATGAAGATTGATTGATCCTCTCTTCACCGAACAGTCATCAGGATATTAAAAAAAATTAAAAGATTTCGTCCCACAACATTGAAGCGACTCATGAACTTCATGAAACTCGTTCGTATTGTGGGAAGACGACATTCTTGTATGACATTTTTTAAAAATTGTAGTGACGGGTGGATTATGTGTGTGATAAGAACTTGCAGTTGTGGTTCGTTCTCCGCACACCCGCACAGCCATCACATCCACTCAACTTCCTTCCCGGTGCATCGATCACATTCATGTCTGGCGGTTGAAGAAAGGGCCAAGGCAAGGTAAGGTACAAGGCACCCATGCGGACATGGTTACTGACCCTACGGAGTATGTATGCAGTATGTATGTAGCATGGGTATATCTTCAGATCATCATCATGATTGGAGCTGGTGGTGGCCTTTTCTTGAGGCTTAAGGAAGTGAGTGGCATAGTTAACGGTAACAGGACGGTTGCATTTGAAATCTTACTTGTGGTGTTCTCTTGGGGTCCGAATACCGAATCATGTACTGGTTGTGTATTTACTAGTATGGTATCCTCGGTACAAATCCAACTGCTCATGGTTGATGAATTTGATGCAATGATCTCAGATCGAACCGGTCTTGAAATTATTTGGTTAGATGAGCGAAACACCAACATTTGGTGATATATACTCCACATGGTACACCTACACCTACACCTACACCTACACCTACAGTAATAAGTATACTTTAGAATGAATGGCCTGGTGCTTCTTCTACTGCCAGCAATACCAATACTCCTTTGAGAAAATCCGTCATCGTCATCGTCATCGTCATCGTCGCCTTCGTGTAGATCATCATCTTCTCATCATCTCAGCCTACCATTGTCAATCTTATCACCAACATTTCAATAATTCCACTCGCCCAGTTAGCTCTAGACCAATTTTCCATCAATATTTCCAATGTCCGTATCGACAAGCACATGAGTTGATATTTTTATTTATCTCTCTAATCCAATCAAAATCGATTAAATCTTCTCGGTGCCCCATTGTTCTTTTCCCTTGTTCCATGATTTTCATCTGCCCCTTCACCAAAAGCTACGGAGTGTCGCTGTCTTGACTATTTTGATTGGTTCCCGGAGCGGCCCGGTGAGGTGTTTATGAAAGTGGATACGATGAGATGTGTCAGCAAGTCAGTCAGCTCTCCAATTGTATTTTCTATCTTTCACCAGACTCTCAGACTCGACTCCTTCTCAGCTGTGGATCAACGGAAATGGGAGTTGCTCTGCATGTTAAAATCTACTCCGTATAATTTGTAATCTGTTGATCTATTGCGCCCCTTATGAGGTTGTGTTGTGATGGATCTAGTTACCGATATCCGTCCAACTTCCCCTGCAAAACTCCAACAATATCTTTTCAGACCCCATAATGCTTTATTATATACAGAGTATACTCTATTATTTATATGAACATAAGCCGCGCAACGGTTGTATTACGTATGCATGAGAAAATTTACGAGGCCGAAGTCCTCCTCAAGTCATTCGAAGCACAGTAGGTAACACAATAACACAGTAGCATCAATCCACAAATCAAACTTTGTGACAAGAAATCCCACTACATTCATTACCAAAGGCGCTTATTCCATAGATGAGGTGTCACGAAAAATCAAGTCTTGAATCAACACACCAATTTAAACGATGCCCATCCATGGCCATACCTAGTAGATAGATATCCATCCTACCGCTATTCCAAATACTTTACTCCTCGTACTCCATACACATCTACTTTCCGCAATTTGGGTGGAAACAAAATAATAATTCCCACTCGTACAGAGTAAACCTCCTTTCATTCCACGGCGCTTCAACCAAACTCCTGGGTTTCTCGCCTCGCCTCGCTTTGTCTAGTCTAGCTAGAGTAGCACGGGTTATTTCTTTTGTAATGGAGTGGAGTGGATCTACTAGCAAAACTCAATTCGTCCAGTCGCATGCATGTACATGTATGCATATGGATCGTTCATTTTGACAATATCATTCTCCCACTTACAAATAAATATCATACTTGAATCGATGGTTATTCGTTTAGGAGTGCAGAGCTACATGTAAGATCTTATATCCTTGGGGTATGAGGCAAGGGTCGATAGCTACAATTGAAAAATCTACACCGCGCCCTCCAGTCATTTCTTCTTGTCTTAGAGTCTGAGATATGCGCTCACTTTCTGGCCAGTAAAGACTAGTTAGTCCTGGTTTAGCGCAACTTGTTTATGATCTGGTAGATATTGATCAAATTCTCGGATCTATTGCCAAATGTGCCCCTGGAATTCGAAATGATACCCTAGTCGGGTTGTTTCGTGCCTGTGCCTGAGCATGTTACATTAAGTTGGAAATTAAACAAGATATGGAAAGTTGGCGCCTCGTACGGACTTATAGCTATGCTATGTGTAAAACTAATGACCCTATGCGCGTAGTAGATAGGAACCTAGTGCCAGTCTTCATGGGGCGATGAAAGATAGTGTTGCACAATTGGTGTTTAGTGTTTGCCATGTTGGGTGTTAGTCTCATACTCTCATCGCATACTTCCCTAGTTGGGAATAAGTCGAAATATTGCTAGCGCTTCAACGAGAAGGAGAGAAGATATATCGAACCGAACCCCACTACTGACGGGTGAGTCACTTCTATCCTTTCAAATCTCCTAAACCATGAACAAGAGCCAGTATCTACTATCTATCGCCGAATTTAAGATCTTGGAAATGTAAAAATATAATAAGTCTATATGCACATCCAATGGCTTCATCGACACCTCAATCTCCTAGTGTTGATACATTTCCATCGTCACCCTTTCCCCAGCTTAGTAACAGAGTCCATTTGAGCAAGATTCATACAAGCGAGTGTCTACCAGGTTCTTCAAAATGTACACCCCATGCGCTAAATATATTACCTCTAGCTTTGCATCTGCTCGCAGTATTAAGTATTAAGTAATGATATTTATATTAAGATCATGTCATGAGCAATAATGAAACTTTTCTCGAATTTCATATAGAGTAAAACCTAGGGAATATGAGGATGTTGAATTAGGGAGTAATAAAATCTTATATAAATAAAGGAAGAGAATCCTTTGATAGGAACATTAACGCTGTATAAACAAGTACACACTCGTCCCGTACTGTAATTATATCGTTTGATGAGATGCCATCTTTAAATTCCTTCGCGAATGGATATCGATATATTATTCTTGTGCTGAGGTGGTGTGATAGCTATAGATATAAAGGATTTTATTTAATTATTTACATTAAATATCGATTTTATAATACCTAGGTACGATAAATTATAAATTAATAACCAAGCGTCCTAGATACAAATTGACCCGCGTGAATATATTACACGCCCTTGTATAAGATTAGACGAAGATTAAAAAAAGAATTTGAGTCAGGTTGTATATCTCTCGCGTTTCCGGATGATTGACTAATATATAATGATGTAATGTAATGTAATGCGATATAATATAGTATAATTACCTATGTGAGGTTCTTTAATCGTAAATGTTTACCAATTAATCAAATCCTATCTCATCCTATCTCATACTATCATAAATATCCATCCTCAAATACAGATACAGGTTCAAGTCAAAAAAAGGTATCCCCAATCCAGCTGGTGATCGTCCCGCTTTTCAAGTATATATGTAAGAGTTCTGGAAACTTCTAACTGTACATTTTATTGAGAAATAACCGTAACCTTATTTTCAATCTTCAATTATAAATAATTCATCAAAATTCAAATTTTCAATATTTTCTATTCAAACTCAAAACGGTTGTCAAAATTCAAGATGAAAGTGATAATTATGAATTTCATCAAAATTGGGGTATCCCTTGTAGAGTTAGAGTCTTTCAAGCTAAAGGGGATGGAAAATCGTGATTTTGGATCGAACAAAATTTGGGTGTACATCATTAAATCGAATTCATTTAGAATTATTTGTAAAGAGAAGGTATATCGATTTTTTATAATGATAATTAAAAATATTTGACGAATTATAAGGGAATTGATAAAAGATTGAAAGGAAAAAAAGATGATTTTTGAATAAATGAAATATATATTAAAGGTTAAAGTTTCGATATGAATTATATCGATATGATTATAAATATTATATAATTTATCTTAAATCATTTATTTTTAAGAAATAAACAAAAAAGAAATTGGATTTTGTATATATATATTATTGATAAAAAATAATTGATATAATTTTCGAAAAGTTTAAAAAGAATGATTAAAGGAAAGTTATATAATTGAATGAAAGTATTTTCGAGATTGGAAAATATAATAAAATATAAATAACTTATAGGATTGAAGAAAAGAAATATAGAAATTGTATCAAATTAATATATAAATCAAAAAGGATCTTTATAATAATATAAAGAATTTTTGATTGAAATTATAAATCTTTATTAATCTTTTTGAAGAAAAATCTTGATGATAAAAGAATAAATTCAATAATATATTGAGATTAGATTCTTATTCTTATTGTATTCTTTTTATTTGATAAATTAAAATCTGAATATATATTTATAAAAGATAATATAAAGATTTATTTGAAATATATTAGATTAATTTAATTAGAATATAATATTAAAGGCTTTTAATAGCCTCTCTTTTCTTCAGATCTCAATTCAATTAAGAAAATATAATATTGAATAAAAAAGGAATTAAAAAAACTATTATTTGTATCTATTTCTATTGAGGAATTGAAAAGGGAGTTCAAAAAATTATAAAAGATATTTGATCCTTTAAATTTCAGATCATATATTGAAAGATTGATCTGTAAATTAAAGAATATAATTGAAGTAAAAGGATTAGCTATTATTCATTAATATACTATCAGATTTTCAATAAAAAATATTATGGCATTGATTTAATATTAAATTTTCAAAAGTGTAGATGAAATTTAAAGAGGGTGCGGTGAGTAATGATCAGAACTCTTATATATGTAAGATCTTACCAGCTTCGCTATCGGTAGGTAGCTAGCTACTCATAAATCCATATCCATATCCAGCCAGGGACTCATGCATTAAGTGAACAAGAAAATATAAATAATTTGCCTCAAAAACAAAGAGAGAAAAAAAAGAAAAGAAAAAAACACAGGGTATCATCCAATCAATCATCACATCCGTCTCTCACTTCCCATCAAAATTCCCCAGGCCATTGGTCCTGATCTTGATCTTGATCTTGATCATTAATAAGCAGCATTCTCTTCGCTGCTCTCTTTTTCTTCTTTCCTCTTTCTTTTTCCCATTCTCTATTTGCATTTGTATTTGTATTTCTCTCCTTCTCACTTATCCCTCCATTCTCTCCTCCCATACTAGGGCTTTTAGTCCTCTTTACCGCATCACTATCCAATCTCATTTCATTATTCCCCAGGTCGGGAGAGAGGGAGGAAACACTAATCCCACTACTTTGCGTTCCATCAATAGCGGCTCTTGCGTAACTTGTCGTTATATCTCTATCGCTATTCACGTCCACATCCACATCCCTACCTCTATCTACATTCCTATCCATCCTCTTATTTTGAGCATTTCCTCGGTTGTGAAATGTAGCACCTTCTTTTCTATCTAACCTTTGCGCTAGATTATATGCTGGCGGTGAAAAATATCTTGCAGGATTGGAAATGGGGGAGTGCTCATTTGATGAAGGAGGATAAGGATATGGATATGGCGAGGGGAATTTATCGTTAGGTAGTATCGGCAGCATATCTTCAGCTTTGAAGTGTGGATGGGGAGGATAATAAGCTTGATGAGTAGGAAAAACATTCGTATCGCGTTTATGGAAACTTTCATCATCGCTGTGATACTTTGAGAGATTGAAGAGCGGAGTCGTGTTCGTGTTTTTACGTTTCCTAGCTGGTGGAGGAGCTGCTAGAGTAATAGTTTTAAATCGACTCTGTGGATTTCCAAATGCGCCTTCATTTGGTGCGGTGATGTTGAGAGCGCCATATCTTTCATCTAGAGAAGAATGGCCATTGCGTTGACGTTTTAGGCTCATGGATTTACGCCAAAGAATGAAAATTATAAAGATGGTGATGAGGAGGAGAATGCAGAGACCAATGGAGATGCCGATGATGGTATTTTTGGATAGGCCTTTTTTGGAGGTGCTGCTGCTGGAAACAGTGGTATTGTAGCCTTTTCCAGGGGAGGTTTCGGCTATGATGTATTGAGAGAAGACGGAGTCGTTGAGTCCGATAATTGTTCCATCAGGTGGCTGTTGATGACATCCTGCCTGGAGAGCTATTAAGACTGTGCTAATTAGTGTTTGATACCCGTAAGTTGAGGGGTTAATACTCACAATTCGAAAGATATGATTCAGTGTTGCCGGCTTGAAGACAGCTTATACACGCGGAAGTACCGCTACTCAAGATTGAATTGTAGTTCACCGAACAATAGCCATAAGCGGTCTCATTGCTGGTAATGAAGTTTCCATCTTCAATTGCTGGTTTTAATGGACCACATGCTTTGGAGGTAGAACATGGTGTGGATATGGTATCAGTAACATTGGAAAATCCATATAAGCATGATGCTAATGTATAACGAATATTATCTGCCGAGTATTAACATACAAATATTTTTCAAACTAAAATTTTAGAATTGAACTCACATATAAAACGGTATTGATCATTTTGATCGTTACCAGATGCAGTACTTAGCTGTAAACAAGAGAGACATGACTTTAGTTTTCGGCCGGCTGTAGTGGTTATAAAATTATTGTTTTGGCAGACAATTTCACTTCCGTCGATACTGTCCGAGCCCTGACCATTACTACATAAAGACATGCATGGAGAGTCAGATGTAACCATTAACGCGAGCGCGATATTGGTGACAAGACTGAATAGTCCAAACGAAACCAGAAACCGCGCCATGTTTTGAAAGATCTTGGTCGTGGAAATGATGATTAGGAAGCTGTCAAGTAAAGGTTAAAACCCTCAGCAGTACTGATATGAGCCAGCCTCGAGCATTGCATTCGATTCTTCTAGTATCTTGGAGCTTGCGTGTTTGTCGTACAAAGTTGACCAAACTCTGCAGGGTAAAAGTGCAGTCTCTGAACGCTTCGTTGATCAAATATTCATGAAACAAGCATTTTGAAAAGACTTAAAATATCCAGACTGTAGAGATACGACCAAGAAACTCTAAGGACTTGTCGAGTGCCAAAATAGCCCCTCTGAACGAGAATGAGCAATTCTTCCCAAAGATAATTATAAATCGAGGTTCAAAATTTCTGCATAACCTCTCTTCCATACAACCTTCCATTTATGAGAGTTAAAGCATAAGGTACCATGCCGTCGGTACTCGGCATATCTCAACTCTTTCCTCTCCTTGGAGGATGAGGGACATACTAATGTCGGTGGCGATCCAATAATAATTTGTTTATGTCCTGCAGGAGTTTTCTGACAAGGATTGACGTATGAATGGTCTTGTACTCCCACACTCCATCGGTTGTTGTACAACCGTAAACAGGGGTATTCATTGTGTGCTTTTGAAATGCTTCAAGGCCAAGTTTATCTATGCTCCGAATGATATTTGACTCTTGTATTTGCGGCCATTATTAGTCTTATTGCTAATCAGAGTAGAGGAACTTGAAACAAAACGTAGATAGATATATGAAATGATTAATGATGAATTAAATATAGGTATAAATCAATTGTTGGTGATGAATATCCGGAGATACAGAAAGCAACTGTTGGTGGAACACAATGAAATCAGTGCCATGTCCACAGCCTACCATCATCACTTATCCATGCTTTTGTGGCTATCCACCTCCTAATTCGTATGTAGTACTGCCCACATAGAAGTACATCACATGCTGTATATATCTACATTGTAGTCGATCGCGATGATAAGTAGCAACAGTCCGAAATAGTGGTGTAGGCCCAGCATTAGAGCTATCCAAGCACTTTGCATATGTCGAATGCGAAAGCTGAGCAAAGACCTATTAACTCCCAGGGCGTCGGAAGATTTCCAATCGTTTTCAACCAAGCTTTAAGCGCTTTAACACCAGATACTAAGAAGAGTAGACGGGGTAACATGAGTATTCTCCTCCATATGAAGAAGGATTAGCCGTGAACGCTCTACCTTTGAATGGCTACTAGGTACGCCTATTCCCTGGGGCTCGAGTATTTATTCTTTATTTGCGCCTTTCTCCGATTTCGAAGTATATTTCCTGTTTCGATGGCAGCATCGAGACAAGCCGCTTCCCATTTCCAGCACACCACTCATGATGAAGATCCACGTAAGACTGCAAATTTATATGAAACAAGAGTGCGCATGGCTCATTTTTGATGAACGATTCCTTCGGATCTCCGCACTGGTGTGTAGGTACGTACGTAATTGACCTCAAATGGTGGAGGTTCATGGTCAAACTTATGCTTGCAGGGTTCGCGCTAAGACAGGTACGCTCAGTGGATGTAGTAAACACTCAATGCGCAGAGCTACATTTCCCAAGTATTTAGCTCGATAGCGTGAAGTTTGAAGGGACCAAACACAATTCAATAAGGGGCCGCACTTCGAAAGACTCAAGTCACGTGCAACTGCATTATTTCTGTCACGTTTTGCGTATGCACTGATGCCTAAGGTGAAGTTGGTAGCGATGTAACAGCAGGCACATGAACAACAACAACAGTAATAATCTTTGGGCTTCTGACAAACAAAACCGGAGGCTCACATTCAACACCTCAAAGGTTAACGGTCCCACCTCCATCTGGGTACATGCAACATGTCCCTCGCATCTAAGACCCTCTGGAGGGCTGGACCGCTGCCAAAACCTTTAGCCTCAATCGTCCACTTTCGACAATCCGGAAACCTATTGTACCAACCACAGTCACGGGACAATTCAACGATTTCCCGAGGCAAACGCATACATATTGCTGGTGCACATCATTTACAGACACTCATTGCCAATGCTCTCGCCCAATCTGCAAATCCCAGAAAAAACCCAATAACCCTGATGGTACCCCGCAATCAGTATATCCAGCATTATGTGGATACCGAAGGCAAGCTTCAAATCATCAGAAATGGCGTGGCCATGACCGTGGTAGGAGCTGTTGACATAGAAGTTCTCCCTTTTGAAATGGAATCAAGTGTTCCCGCGCAAACATTTCCTCCTGCCAAAAGCCTAAGGTTCAAACGTCTATTGATGGATACTGGCCCGGATGAAGAAGCTTTTTCACTCGATGATCTCCCCTCGCTACTTGAGAATGGACCTATCCTTGAAGAGAAAAAGAGATCGAAGAAGCCGGCTCGATTACCAATCTCAGATATCAAGATCTACGATCTATCATATTTTCTCGAATTGCACTCATTACTCTGTGATCCGATAACGCCAAGTAGGAATGTGGTAACGGAACAAGTAGCAGAAATTCGGCCACCGCCAAAAGAGTCAGAAATCAAGGCTGTGCCTGTGACTCAGTTGGCCAAAATCAATACTGATCCTATTGATCACTTAATCTTCGCTGAGCGACCTAGGGAACTGATCAGTTTTTTCAGCAACATTAAAGATAGACTTCATCCATCCTCTGTGGTGATGGTAATTGGAAACAATCCCGGTCTAGTTCAAACTCTATACGACGAAGTGTTTCCCGATGTATCAAAACGACCCAATTTCGTCGAATGTGCTAATGGGGTGTATATGGGTGAAGCCGCCATCGAAGGGTTTTGGGATTCGCTTCGCTCCGTCTCGTTAAACGTAGCACAACTCTCAGTAGGGCCACTGGCACGAACTGTAGACGATGGTCAGAGTCCAGGTGAGGTGGAAAGGAGAGAGGAGGAAGCTAAGTATCTTGTTGAGAGAGTACTCAAAGCACCTACACTTGGCGCGACACCTATAAGCAGGGCTGTACTAGAAAGATATAAATTGAGGAAACTGGTCACACGATCTGTCGTTTATCCTCTCACGGTTGCGTTCAATTGTATGATGGGTGAAATATTTTCAACTGAAGAACGAGTGGCAGAAGCCCGGCTTTTATTTGAGGAAGCTTGTGCAGTAGTGCAAGCCGTGGATCCAGTATTGACCCCCCAGATTCTGTTAAATAACTTACTATGGGCAGTGGTCAGAGCACCAAACATACGTCCTGTTATGTTAAAGCGTGTCGACCTTGGTCATGACACGAATGTTGATCTAGACAACGGTTTCATCATAAAGTATGGAAGGGGCATGACTCCTACTCATGAAAAGTATACAAAAATCGTCAAGGACAGAGCAACGGAATCGGCAAGAGCTATTGCAGCCGAAAAGGAGGAGACTGCGAGGGCAGAAGCGCGACTTAGAATTGCAAAAGAGGTAGCCGCTAAGAGAAAGGATGAGAGAGAAAAGAGACTCGAGTTCTTAGATTCCAAGGATATCATCGGAAAAAGCTTTAAGAGATTAACCTTCGGGGAAAAGGTTGAGGCCCCGTTGAATGTCCCAACTGAAGCATACTTTAAAACTAGAACCCCTATAGAGGCTGCGAGTGTTTGGGGAAACTTAGTAGCTCCTCCTAGCAAAATAGTGAAGGAAGGAGATGAGAGTGACCCGTCAGGTCATGTTGAGAGAAATGGAGATGACGTAGAGAAAGCTAGCGAGTTAGGCCTAGACAATGTGGGAAGTGGAGGTGAGGAGAAAGCACAGACATAAAATGCCTAAACAGGCTGAGGTGCAGGTGGAACGACGTATGGGCATGCGAATGAACAAAACGTTATGAATTTCCACAAGAAATGTTGTGGGTCACAGAAATGGCGATTCTATAATCTGGGAATCTTCTCCTGGCTCCTGTTCGTCCAAGTGCACTGGATGTCGCGATCGGATTGTCTTCCAAGTCTCCACGAATTAGATTGTGAGATACTTTCTTGTGCCGAGGAGTTACGGCATGGGACTAGATCTTATTTGCAGGCCAAAGATATAGAACTAAGTCAGCATGCGAATCAATTCACACCTTTGGCTTCATTTTATTTTGTTGCGCTCAAGCCAACGTCTCTATGTAACTGCTTTAGCCTATCTAGTCATTTCTAGATATGCAATGGGAAAAGGTCTTGTTCAAGTATCTTTAGCGAGTCAATGAATCAAAATTACACCTTAGATTAATGGGAGTTTTGATCGTCTTGGATGTATATGTTACATACCAGTGAGTATAATACATTTTAAGTGAAGACTCGGATTATTAGATGATTCCTATAAAGTAGATGAGATGAACGCAGGATGAGTAGAACAGCAATGTGTATATATTTTCGTTTTGTCTTTCTATTGTTGAATTCGTACTTTTTGTGAAGTGCTTTCGTCAGAGATGAAATGATGACTATCTATTTCCTTATTCCTCTATTTTGGTCGCCTGACCATGTCAATCACGACAACCTGTTGCGTATATTCCCTAGTTTTCTATATCTGAGCTTGAAGTGGAGTCCTAATTGGGTTTCGCTTTGTATGTATATATCTTTAGTAAGGTTGTATGTTGATTGTTGAGGAGTAGAAGTTGAGGGGTAGAGGGTCTGAGGGAATAGGGAGTTGAGAAGGTTATTGATTTGAGGGTTTTGATAGCGTGGTTTAGTTGAGTTATACACGTGATGCGGTGTATATGCACCGAGTTTTACTTTAACTTTAATAAGTTTTTATTTTATTTTTTAGAGAATCAATAGAAGAAGGATATAGAGATGGAGAGATAGCAAATAGATTACTTATAAAATAATAAAGAAATTATAAAAAGATGGGAAAATAACTAGAAATAAAAGGAAAGGAAGTTAATAATAAATAAATATAATAATAGATGAAAGATCTTAAATATTTATAGAATTTATAATTATTATAATAATAATTAATAATTAATATTTCAAAGTAATACATATATACATATATACATATATCCAATCAACATAAAATTATCTCACTGTACTCTACTCCACTCAATCTACTACACCATACTCCTACTTAACCTCTTATAATCAATCCTCTCTAGACATCTCCTCGCTTTTCTTCTACTACTCACTACCCACTACCCTACCCTCCTTCCATCACTCCCCCTTTTCTTCTACTACTCACTACCCACTACCCACTACCCTACCCTCCTTCCATCACTCCCCCTTTTCACACACCCCACAAGATTCCCAACTCAAATCCTCCACATCACACCACAACATCCATCTACATCCATCTCCATCCATCTCCATCAAAACCTCATCTCCGTCCAACATCCCCTACCCCAGGCTCTGCCAACACCCGAAAAGAACCTAGAGATAAAATCCACTATATCCACCATTAATTATACAAAACCCTACATCCGCATCCACTTGAATTCTTCTATATCTCGCTATAGTTATAAGATTAATTATTAGCAAAAGAGAGAGAGAGAGAAAAAGACAGATGATTTTTATAAATCATGCATTCAACATGAAAGTGATTATGAGAAACTAGCTTTTTGGATAGGTAATCGTGTGTTGGTCGGGAAGATCAGGTTGGACTATGAATAGAGTGTCTATTTATTTGTCTTGTCCTGTCTTGAAGTTGAGATTTTCCGAGTAGGAGAAATGATTCAGGGGAAGATATTAAATTTTTGAGACTTTGGCCGCGGTTTGGTCTAGGTTGATGGATGATTGCACAACTGAGTGCTTATTATGGTGTTTGAGATGAGTTTCTAGGAAGAGAGATGATATGACGAGGACAGTGATTGGGGATTCATCTCATTTAGACAAATTAAGAACCATCAGATTCGCACTCTTTCGAATAACCATAGTTCCCTTGCCAATAATACAGCAAGAATAGATAGGACTTCCTATCCAGCTAGCTGCGATAAAGAACACAGATGCATATGAAGCCTTCGAGCAAGGTAGCATGATACAGTACAACAAAGACTTCCGAAGTTCTACTAGCAACACACTACCATAGCACTCACTCGACAGTACGGTCCAGAATATCCAAAACTCATCATTTATTATCGCCGATGAATCCTTCAAAACTACTGCATGATTTTCCCCTCTGATTCTCATCCTAGACCAGACCAGACCGGACCAAAATATCAAAGGTATTCCACATCATGGAAGTAAGTCTTAGAATTCCTATCACCGTTTCATTTCATTCATTCATCCCACCACCTACCATGCACCCCACATTTACATAGGTTACCCATCCCGTAACCCCCGTCTCCCATTTAGCGAATTCTCATCACCTCATCACCGAGAGGAGCTCCGGAGCCAACAACCCACACCATAATACCTAGGTACCTACCTAGTACATCCATGAATAAGGCTCACCACTCTAACTGTAAACCGAAATCAAAATCAAATCACCGATACCACGCGGCACGGACGGATGTGCGGATGTGCGGATACGCATATCTGCTACATGTTTCCCCACAATACTCTAATCCCGATGAAGGATTTGAATTTGTGATTAAATCCGACACGTGGAATTTTCGTCCGATTCGATTATGGTTGTATTGTTCGGATTTTATATTATTTATTCTATTTTATTTTTTTGACGGAGAAGGAAGAAAGAAAGAGGGAAAGAAATAGTGGAGAATGGAGATAGATGGAAACTTTGAAAGGAAAGGAGAGAAGATGTTATTATGCTAAGAGGAATATTTGAAAGTACTATGTATATGTAGATGTACCCTAGCACTTACCTTGTCGGGTGGAGTAGGAAATAGGAATGTTTGATATACCGTCGTCTCGCACAGCGCAGAAGTTGATCGACGAACTGTAAAATTCTTGATACCGGCATGAAATGAATTTCCGTTTAATAAACCCGAACTTGACTTCAGGGTCCGGGGCTGAAAGTTCGGAGCATATCAAATACCGATTTTGTATTATGTATTGTCCGTGCTGGGAAGCCTCCTTTTATATGAAAATCGAAGAAGATGAGAGTGAGGCTGTGCTGCTACAAGAGTCTTGGTACCTACCTATAGATAAATGATACCCTGTGACCTTGCGTGGTCCGAAGTATGGCCCTACTTTAAGAAAGAATAACTACCGGCTGGTATGAGCCACTCGTCCTAATCTCAGTGCCGGATAGTCTTTCGTGTGAAGGGATGTTTGGTCACGTGAATTATATATGCTTTTATAGCATCATTAAGCTAGCGAGTATTTATGATAGAGTATCTCAACTCGTTAAGCATATAACTCACTTGAATATATATACTTGAGAGGCTTGAATATCTCGTTGAAACTTTCAGGTTTCGAGAAAACATGTGACTTAGATGTACAAAATAGCAATGCAATGCAAAAAGGTGCGAGTTCCCCCATAAACCCAATGATTTTTTGAAATACCCGCGCGAAGAAAAAACCCTTATATCCGGTCGATCCCTCGTACTCGCGACAATTAAAAGAAAACTGCCAATGATGGACAAACAAGAAACTGACATTCACCATTAGATTTGTCCGACCAAAGTGCAAGCAAGTCCAAGCCCCCTTCGTCTCTCGGATATATCCTTAGATACGAAACGAAACGAACCGAAATTTGACCATACGAGTGAATCACAGGCGAATCCATAATAATAGACCATAAATGAACAGTGAATAGTAGCATCCAAGCTTCACCCTTACATTGTATTCGCATTTCGCTTCTCGTATTACCCTCCCATCTGGACGAAACGCGAACCATAATTGGACGTGATACGAAAGGATAGGCGGGATCTTACCTCTCGGGAGTCGGGAGAGGACTAGTTCAGGTACATTTAAGTGATCGCTGGTAAGATTTGTTATATCTGACGTTATGATTGAATCATAAGGCTGAGCGAGGGCTTGTGGGAGGTGAAACGGAGCCGGGGGATTATGAACAAGGCTGAGTTGAGTACCTATCTACTGATCGGTATGCTGAATGAGGTAATTCATTGCGCTGTGGCTTCGCTTGAGAGGTGAGATAGGGGGCTGTTGATTATGGATAGAATGGATTATGGATAGCATGAGTAATATGGATCATGCTCACGAGATTGGCCACGAGGGTTCAAGGAAAGTGGAGGGGTAAGGTTACATACCTACTGCTGGACTCGGTAGCGAGGTAATCAATTGAGCAAATTGTTGGGGATAAAGGCTAATATAATAAACAACGAAATGTCTCGTGGAGACAGACGTGTTCATGTAAGATAGACCATGAACAGACAGACAAGACAGACAAGACAGACAAGACAGACAAGACAGACAAGACAGACAAGACAGACAAGACAGACCTTCGTTCATCTTACGAACCCAGACTCACCGAGATCTCTAACTGAAACCCCAGAACGCTATTCCGCATTACATTCCACATTATCATGATCCCTAAAAGTTGAATTCATCTATAAACAAAGAAACACCCACGCAACCCACCAACACTCTATCTGACCGATTACACAATATCATGAAAGGAGAGAATGTTGATTATTCATCACCCTCGCATTTAACCAATCACCACATCCCATTTATCTCCGTTCGAGGTCACATCACACAATTCCGACTTACAAATACCGGATGTAAGGACTTGTGAATGGATGAATAAAATCTTCCGGACAGAAAGATCTGCTACGTACGCACGTATACAAAGCTCATAGCTACCTAGGCAAATTATAGAAAAGGAATTAAGCTTAACAGAGCTTTGATAAAAGCCGCGTCGGAACCAGGAATTTAAATGCTCCCGATTTTTCTGTTCAATGTTTACTCATAGTGAGTAATGAGTGAAAGCTTGAAAGGATATGATATGATGGTAGAGGCTTAGCTTCTCAGCTTATTAATTAGAATTCATTCGAAGTTCCGGGAATTGATTTATTGACGAGATGGATGATTGATTGATTGATTGCCTAAAGAGGTATGCAGTTTGTTTAAACTGAAAAGAACCCGAGTCACCGATATGACTCTTGGTGAAAGGAGGGAGAATCGGCCGAATGGACCGAATGGGGTGGATATTTCACTGGGGAAGAAAGATTTTTACAAACTATGACTGTTCGGTGGATGCCACTGGGTGGGTTGGAAAAATTCCATATGTGCATTTGACTGACAGCTCTCACGACGGAAAAAAAAAAGATTTAAAGAAATGAAACTAAAAAAGATTTTTATGGAGAACCGATGATAGTGTGAACGAACAGGAGGGTAACAGCACGTAACTTAGTAAGAACAATTTCTACGAACATCTATCTAGTATCTCGGGACGCAAACCATGTGGAGCGGTCAGGATGATGATTAACATCAAGCGTTCGAACGGAAGTTGTAGGGACTTCTCTGTGCGCCGCACTATGCGCCCTTTGGGTTGAGAGATATCAACGAACAATGAACATCCATCTATGGCGATGCGGGGGACCTAGCTCTCTGGTACGAACACCGAGATAGCGACGAGTAGTAGCCGAATATGCAGGGCATTTTGAAGGCACGTCAAAGGTCAAAGGGCAGTGTGAGGGCTTTCATTCATCCTCGGAAAATATGGTACAGTACAGGATACAGTATCGGTAAGTAACAACACTATGACCTTGTCTCTGCGTAGGTAGGTAGGTAGGTAGGTAGGTAGGTAGTTGAAATTCTATGCATACCGTGTTTCTGTACCTTAAAAAGTGTATGAGTCGTCTAATATCTAACACACACATTCACACTTGATCGATGACTCTGCATGCCGGCGGGGGAGAGGGGAGGTTACGCGGAAACTCGGTGTCGGTGAACTGCCATCCAAATAAGGCATGTATCTGAGAATGCGAGTAGCACAAGGGGATCCAAGCCTTTCGACGTGCAGGAAAGGTGCAGAAAGGCGGAGATCTGAAATATGATTGCGGGCTGCCTGACGAACCACACGTTACTTTGGCCAAGGCGCACGGTGTGACACTTTCCTTTCCATCTTACTACGCTGTACGGAGTAATTCTCCTTTGCTGCAGACTGCTGTACGCAGTAGATTGTTGCGCTTTTCTGCTATGATTTACTTCTGTTTAACTTTGCTTGGTTTCGTGCGCATCTACTCGACTAGGAAAGGAGAAGGGGAAGAATAATAGGAATAATAAAATGATCGAGAGTGGAGTTAGGGTAAGTCTTACGGAGAGGAGCAGAGCACGGGTACAGAAATTCCAGAGCGTACCGCGTAAGGTTTTGCTTGAATAGGTAAGAGAAGTTCAGGCTGCCAACTAACCAAAGGATTTTAAGGCTCGGATTCGGATTCGTGGCACTTTTCGTGGACACGTTGTGAAGTTTTTATGAAAATTGGATTTGAGGTGGGATCGGATCAACAGATTGAACAATTTTAACTTGATGACTTGGTGATTCGGGTGGAGGCTTGGTTAGATGGATGTTCATAGGTACATACAGTACGTACATACAGTATGTTCTGGACACCGGCGAGATAAATGAATGGGCAATGATTAAAATCCTTTGCCGCGTATATCACTATATCGACATCACGCTGTCACGCGCAAGACATTCTACAGATTTGTTAGATGAGATGTCGGTATAGGTTGTCATTATCACGATGCATGCCACTAAACAAGATGAAACCCGACGATGATTTCCTGTTTTTGATGTTTTTGGTGTTTTTGCTATATTATTTATTTGATTTTCGTCAAGGTTTAATTGATGCATGCGGTCTCATTTGAGAGATGAGATGTTTGAAGCACCTGGAATTGTGAATCATGGGGAAATTGTACCATGTGTTTGCTGGTGCTTCGTAACAAGAGTGTAATAACAGTGTAGGAGATGGGAGAAAGAGGAAAGAGCAGCGAGGGAATAAGAAATTATGGTTAACGAGCATCACAATGTAATATCTCCATACCTACTCCGGATAATAAAATGTCATACATGGCAAGTCAGATGGATGCTCATGGAGCCAAGGAGATGCGAGTTTGTCATCAGGAACATTGGAGAAAAGAACATCGAAAATCGTGGGGATGGAGATATCTTGGGCTTGGACCGGAGAGAGGAAGTGAGGAAAGTAGAGGGTCTACATGGCAATCAAAGCAAGCAATAGTTTAGTGCTTGGATTGATCAGATTGACTAGATTACCTGGATTACCGTGAATGAAGAGAATCAAGTTCATCGTGTCAATAAACCAAGAAAGTTCTCTAGCTATGGTCATCGACATAGAAAGTAGCGACAGTACTCCCTCCCAAGATTGAAGATGAGAGATGAGTAACCAAGAAGAATAATCCATAATCCATAATCCATTGACTCGGCATCTTGGGATTCCGGCCAAGGCCACAACAGATTCTCCGGCTTTCATAAAATTCCTTTGAATCTTCTCCCTCCATGATTATCATCGTGCTCATCCAAAATTCATCCAAATTGGCTGGTGGGAATACGATTCGGAGTTGTTGGATTAGTCAATCCCAGCGTTTAGTAAGCTGGAGTTACCAATTCAGTAGATCCGGACCTATCAGAATTACTAATTACCTCTTTTGTCTTGTCTGTGATGAGATACCTAGGTACGGGGTAGGTTGTCTTCTTTCTTTATTCGCATTGTTTTGCTTTCTCAGCAGGAAATAATAATAATAAATAATAATAATAATAATAATAATAATAATCCCTTGATTAAAAAAGAAAGAAAAAGGACTCTATCCGTTCCACCCATCGGCTGAAAATTCATACCGCTACCGCTGCGGACTTTACTCGCATAACAAATTGTACGAAAACTACGAAAAACTACGAAAAACTACGAAAAATAAGTTTATTAAACTTGTTCAGCTGGATAAGTTTATTACTACATCTAGATTAGCGTCATCCATCCATTCATCATCCATCCATCATTCATCATCCATGACATGGGCTCGATGACCCATCCATCAATGAAAGCCTTGACATGCTTTACATCCACAACTCCGTTTTGTCCGGATCGCGGTCTTATGAATCAGCCCTTATGTGCCTTATGTGCTTAATGGGGTTTACTTACATGGCCATTTACGAAAAATCATCTGGATACAAAGACTGCCCGAATTCCCCCTCATGATCATTTATAATTCCTCCACATCCTCATCAATCATAAATAACTTTATAAGAATACATTCGATCCATACATCAGTCCAAATATACACTCGAGAATACTTTCATCTCCATACCCATCATCAACATTCAGTGTTACCATCTGCAATCAAAAGCCATACATACAAATCCCGGTTATCACACATCACACATCATCATCATAATCAGTCACCGATCCTCGGCTCTCGTCTAAAAAAAATAACGTTGCCTTGAGCCCTTGAGTCATTCATCACAGCACAGCATTGAAGTATAAGATTAATTCAAAATGTCGAATATTTCCAGAAGTCCTTTTTCCTCCCAAACACCTCAATCACAATCACCATTACCATTGAGAAAGAAGATGTCTATTACTCAAACCTACTACCTCGCCCACACGGCTCGAGGCAAGCTTTCTTCGGAAGCTTCCCGAGCAGATCACAACCTTCGTCTTCTTGTCGGTCATGCAAACCTTCTCGATTCATTGATGCTTGAACTTGCCGAAGCTGAACAAGAACAAGAGAGCTGGTTCAACCAATCCGTCCGAAAAGCCACTGCCACCAAGCAAGAAGATCCAAGACACATCCAATGGGCCGATAACGTTGTCGAAGAACCCGAGGAGGATTGGGAAACATCCGACCTTGACAACGACTCCTCTTCAGATGAAGACAGTGAATACGATTCAGATGAAGAAATGGATGCGCCATCCATGACTTCGTTAACGCGAGTACCATCACACACCATGAATGTCCCAATCAAAGTCTCATCACGAGAAGTCGAAGAGGATTTCGAAGATGACGGTGAGGAAGATTTCTCAGGTCTTCAACTTCACCTCGCCAAATCACATTCCGCATCTCATCCCCCAGAACTCGACCACGATTCCGATTCTTCAGAAGATGAATCAATGCCACCATCTCCACCATCCGATGCCCTCCCCAGTTTCTCGGATAAACAGCAAATCGCTACCACCTCCTATTACAGCAAATCCACTCCATCCTCATCGATACCACCATCCGAACAACAAACCTTCTTCGACGAAGGTTTTTATTTACCTCCTCGACAATCACCAAGTTTAATAAGCGCCATTAGCGTTTATTAAATCTTCTCCTTTCGGGGATTGTTTTACGAGTTTCGGATTGTATATTATTAAACATATAATGGGTATTGGAATTGAGCGATAATATCACGAGCGGACATTGGAGTTTTGGGCATGGCATGGCATTTGATGGGGGCATGATACACAAATACCACACGGTTTACCTTTCTTACTTGATATTTATTTGCTTTACGGGGTTTTTTGATTTTACGATGGGATAAGATGGGATGGAATGGAGGGATGAATGGAAGGGAGATTCAGAGACTCAGAATGGATACTCACACCACTCATGCGGGAACATTGGGAGTTGAAGGGAGAAATTCATATTTGGAATTTATTTTTGAGAGAGCATCAGGAGGAAGACAGAGGGGAGGGATAATTTGGCTTATCGGATATGCGATAAGGATTGCCGATCAGGGTTTTGGCATGGCGGTTGAATGGATCGATGGATCGATGAATCAATGGATCAATGGATCAATGGATGGATTAGATAACTCCCAACTTTTTTTGGTTGAGCTGTCTAGGAATTTTAGGTAGTATAGCATAGCATAGTACAACAAATATCAAAATGATAAATCTTAAAAAATACCGAAATTCTTTTATTATGCCTTGGCTGTCTATCTGTCTGTTTGCTTGTTGCGACTGATTGTCTTGTGACTGATTATGGCTATTATCACTTACAAGTACCTACCTAGGTCCTTACTTACACATGACTCACTCATTGCATAATATAGGTATGGATGTAGGTAGGTATCAACAACACAACACAGCCCAACCCAACACAATACAGCACAACATAACACAGCACAGCACAGCACATCACATCACATCACATCAAACTACCTACCTAGGTAGAATGTGTTGTGAAAGTTTAGTTTTTTTTCATTTCTTTCTTTTTTCATATCTGATGGTTCTGATGATTCTGGTGATTATATCTATAATATAAAGTAATAAATAGATATAAATGAAACAAATAAAATAAATAAAACAAATAAAATAAATAAAATAAATAAAACAATAGATGAAATAGATGAAATAAATAAATGAATTGTTTTGTTGTTATTAAAAATTGATGTATATATATATATATATATATTATTTTAAAATAAAATAAATAAAATAAATAAAATAAATAAAATAAATAAAATAAATAAAATAAATAAAATAAATAAAATAAATAAAATAAATAAAATAAATAAAATAAATAAAATAAATAAAATAAATAAAATAAATAAAATAAATAAAATAAATAAAATAAATGAAATAAATATATATTTAAATTTGAATTTGAATTTGAATTTGAATTTGAATTTAATATTAAAAGTATTTATTTACTAACTAACTGACTGACTGACTGATTAACTGATTATATTCTATTATATAAATATCTATCTCCTTCTATAAATCTTGATATTATTAAACTTCTATCTTGTCAGATGTCAACATATTGTATTATTATCAGTTGATCAAAAGATAGAGAGGTGGAGTTATCTGTCTATTTGAAATTTCAAGTCGATAAGGGGACTGACTAACTAGGTCATGATTGAAGATTGAAGAGCTGATTTCAAATCATGTCTTTTCTGCTTTGTTTTGCTTTGCTTATTGTATACATCATATATTATATATTATATCTCACAGTGACTGGGCATTCGATCTTTGAAATCCAGAATCTAAATACTGAGGATTGGTAATATAGATGGTGTTATTTTATGATTAGTATTCCGTGGAACGTAGAACGTAGAACGAAGAACGAAGAACGAAGAATGAAGAATTAAGAATATTCCTCTTTCCTCAAGCGAACTAACCAACTTTAAAGATTCTAGATTCGCAACAAGTTTCTATCCTAGAAGAAGACATGACATCTAGATTTTCGATATACTCTGTAGAAATAATCAGGGAATTACGGAGGACATGTAATTCCATACTCCGTAACCTTCGGAGGGTAGAAAGGTACCCCCTTATTCATTCTCTACACTTGTTCACAATCCATACACATAAACAACATCCTCGTACTCGTATACTCCGCATCGCACTCCAATATAATCCGTGATCCGAAATCCGCAAGTCCACGATTTCCCACTTCCTTCATGATCGATCACCAGGAACTTTGAAATAACAAGAAATAGCCAAGTCGGGAAATTCGGGTTTTGCGATTTCTTGTGTTGTAGGTGTTTAGAATCCAGTAAATTATCCGTGGAAACAGAACGGTGTACGGAGGATATGAGATTCCGTTATGTTTATGTTTATGTACTTAGGTATGTACATATTTTATGCTGATTGTGAAGATGGATAAGTGAGAGTAAGGTGAGGAAAGTAAACCTTGTAGTCCGTATTTTCGTTTCTTTTTTTCTTTCCGGGTTCATTTTGAAGTAGTCGTTGTTTTATTCCTAATGGTGTATTTGTGTATTCTATATGTATAACAGAAAAGATGAAACGAGCCGAATGCGAGGATGCGGGGCAGATGCGATGGAAGTTTGAGAGAAGAAAAGGTTTATGAGGGAGGAGGGGTGGTTGGCAGATGAGATGGAAATGGAGATGAAGATGGAGATGGAGACAGATGGTGATGGAGAATCAGTCATGATTTTCCGCAGGATGCGCCCTTAACCAAAAGTTCGTATGAAATGGGTACTCGGTCAAGCTTTTTTTTATCTTGAACTGTGCTCTTGTCGTGGAAATATTGGGGCAGAGATCATTGGGCTTCACAATTGATAGGTTGCGAGATGATGTTTGAGTGTGAAAATTTAGATGGATGCTGTGAGATGTGAGATGTGTTGGCGAATCTGGCATATACACATACATACATACATACATACTATATACGTACATACAGTGTACATACATCCTACATACATATATACTATATACATACATACAGTAGTATCGAATCCATAGTTTGTCGCCATCCTACTAGGGAGGTATGCAAGTACCGGTGAACGGGAAACGTTAATGCTCCTCTGCATCCAGTAGGTCCAAACTTCAAACACACCGTATATTCATAACATATGCAGCTACTGTGAATCATCGGAATATACCCTATTCCTTATATTCCACTTTCATGTAGGGAAATGGAGCGTACATATCAGCCAATAGACGATATCGGTGCGATACGGTGAGAAGAAATGGGCAGCTGGAAAGAGGGTGTGGAATTTGTTGGAGGGGTTGGTTGGTTGCTTGTGTTAACATTGCTAAGTAAGTGTTACAGCATGATGGTGGGGTAGATATCGAGGGGTCGTGCGATGATTTTTGGGGTCAGATGCGTGTGTGGTGGATTGTAGTCGGTGAGAGTTTTGCACTCTACTTGATTGTGATAGAAGGGGGGGCAATTTAGCTACGCTTTGTTCGTACGGAGTATATGTCGTTTATGGATGGATTGGTGGATGGTGTTGTATGAATATGTTTTGTCTTGCGTGCATGCTGATACTTCCTTCATATGGAATATCAGGGTGGGTTGGTGTGAACGAGTTTGGTCAGTGATATGCTTTTGCGGAGAGAAAAGAGCACTTGGATATGGCTCAGCTGCTAGTTTTATGTGGATAAACAAACATCAGCCAACAGCCCCAGATATTGACGAAGTTGATGATAACCGCATGTGATGATCATTCAACTCTAAACCCCAACTTTTTCACATCTCAGACAACACTCTCCATGTCTCAAAATCCCCATCCATCAACATTTACCGAGGAGGAAGCTTTCATCCGCTTCAAAAATAAGATCGGAAAAGGAGGATAATCTCTGATCACGTGCGTGTAGGTATATGCAACAACAACAACAACAATCACATTCCTCTTCTTCCGACCGCCATTTAAGCATCTGGCTGACAAGGTGTACCTGACACACCTACCTACTTGCGCCCATGTTCCATTGCATAATCTACTTATCTTACCGACTATGAAGATGCATCAATCATAACGTTGAAAACACATAAGGCTGAATTGCACCTCGGCGAGGAAATATGTATTCTTCCGCTTTCAACCAAGATATCCGGGCATTCACGGCCTTGACGGCATTGTAGGGTTTTTCCGCTGGAAGAGTCATGATATCCTTTGTTGACTATCGTTGATGGGTGTGGAAAAGACGGAACGATATGTTACCGGCTTCGTCAAAGCTTGTTAGTAATAGGAGCGTGCTGTTCTTCATCTGCAAACAAATCCTTTCCGGAACCAAGGAAATAAACTTACAGTATCTATCTCGGGACCGATTCCCTTTGATCACCCGCTCTACCCGAGAAGAGCTAAAGACCCTTATGCTCACATTTCATTCCCGAAATATACTCCAAATTGCTAACATCGTGTCAGCTATAAACAGGCTTCTAGAAAAGAACCACCTATCCATGAACTACTAGCTGAGAATCTGAGATTTGAAGTATCTATCAAGCCTTATGGGTTGCCGATGGCTTATGTCACACCAAAAGGCTATCGAAACCAAAAGCTTGGTATTCAGGTACCGATGCTCACGCCTCAGGTTCCACCATCTTTCGGTCCTGCCGAGTAACTTACGGTCTGGATCATTCGATGTGGCTGTGGCTGACCAAGTAGATGAAGCTCAAGTGAGTGATGTGTTTAATGAGTAGAGGGAACGTTGTTGCGATGCTTATGTTTGTGGATGTTACGTTGAGTTGGAAGTTATTTGACGTCGTACTAAGACATGATATCTGTTATGAGTATGTGCCGAGGAAGTCCTGGTAATATTTGTATAGGTGATTTACTCGATATATTCGACTGGATATTTTCCGACCAACATGCATGCATTCCTCAGTGGTTTAATTGTCTAGCGACATGTAGTAGTACAAACTTTTTCTTACCATGCAGATAGGACTACATAATAGAATGGGAAAATTTGCTACGCTCCCACCACGGAGAAGAAGTACTTAGCAGTAATCCTTTTTACTCATTAATTCCTCAGGGCTTCCCTATCACAGCACTCACCATATTCCAACCCGTTCCGAAGATCCCGATCCCGTGATACACGAAAAGAATAAATTGTTGCACATCGTTCTCCACAGGGCGGAAATAGACTTTAAACCACAGGCTTTCTAGTATCTAAGCCACCAAGGTTGTGGAATAAAATCTAAAATCTATTCACATATTTATCTATTTAGGGTATTGATAGTAGGATTTGTATGTTTATTCATTTATGTAATATGTAATATGACCTTAAGTGAAGATGCAGCTATGATGTTAAGATTCGTCAAGTCATACTGGCGATACTTTTTGGTCCCCATCGATGGAGGTACTGGGTAGCTACGCTAGATAGATATCGAATAACTGTATCCCAGAACCTGCAAATCATCAGGAAATAAAAATTAAATAGATACATGAATTATATCCTTTATTTAAATGATGTATGTCATGACAAGTCCTTTCATTTGTATACCCAAAAGGTTGTTGTTGTAATTCTATTGTCATTATTATGATTATTACAACATACATCCATCGTTTTAATTTATCTTTAATTTATCTTTCAGATTCTCATATTACATGATTCTTGATTCGTCCAAAATTGAACCGGAGTCTTGCCTGCTTTAACTATCAGAGAATATTCTACTTGCGGTATTGATGGAAATAAATATTATAAATATCCTGAAGAAGGGATATAGGAAATAGGAAACGGGAGTGGAGAAGATTGGTTTATGGTTTCATAGTGTAGATATTAGAGGGGTATGGAGAATTGCTAAGTAAAGAGCTTTTTGGCTAAGATGAGGAAGTTCGACTTGGACGATTTAATATGATATGGCGGTATAAGGATATAACTGCTTGTTTATACTCAGTATTATATATTCGAGATCTTCAGGTCTATATGTCTATATAAAATAGTCCGTATATCTAACCCTTATTTCCTCCCTTATAAAATATATCAATAATTGCCGATTTCTTCCAAACCCAAACCATTAGACTTAATGAACCGCATGTATTAATGATTTTCATATTTAAGAAAAATCTTGCAAAGTAATATGTTCATTCAAGTATAGTCCATCCATTCTCTTCCACTCCATCCATTCCTGTACCAAGTTCCACTATGTTCGGACATTCCCCACTCGTCGTAGGTTCAAAATTCAAATCCGATTCCATACACCCATCCAATTCTATGATTCCCGTATCCACGCGTCAAGAACGCCATTCCTTCTCAATTCCCAATGACCCAATGAGAACACAGACACTAAAAAAAAGAAGAAAAAGAAAGAACGTGGGTATCCGAAGATATGTAGGCGACAAATACAAAGAAAATTATGGTGGTACCAGTGAACCTAAACAGCCCCAAGATCTTTCAAAGCTCCCGCTAACCTTCTATAATCTCTTAATAACTCCATTACCTCGCTAATTTTTAGGTCTCCTGGATTCTGAAGTTCCATAAATCGTTTATTCGGCGGAGCAATTTTTGGTATTTCTTTCGCTGGTAAAGAAGGTACCAAATCAGGGAATGTCTATCAAAGGTCAGTAAAGCCACTTAAAAAAAAGTGTGAAATACATACAGTAGTCGAATCTGCAACCTCTCCATCTGCCGCGGTTGATTTAGTCGGGGTGGGTGTCGTAGGAGTTGTTACACGTCCAAATCCACGCATCATACCCATACCAGCAATCCTGTTCATTGGATTGAGTGAGTTACCAAGATTTCGCATCGATTCAACAATGGCCTGATTGCTAGCTGGAGCTTGTGGAGATGGTGTGCCTTTCTCTCCGTTTTCATCTTGAAGAAATGAGACTCTTTTACTCGAGCTACCACCACTTCGATTACTATCAGCGCTTCTTTCTCGAGTCATTTTGCGACCACCAATGAAGCTCAGGACTCTATCGTCGAGTCTTTGAGATGAATCACTCCGACTACGTCCTTCAGGCTTTGACTCTGCGCTGGGCACATTCTTCTGTTCCTTGACGCTAGGGCTTTCAGGAGTACTTCCACCACTCACAGATCCTTCATCTTCCGGTGGAGGTGTGCTGATTAGTTTTCGAGCATCATCCAGGGTTTTTGGTATTGTAATTTCTGGAGCCTGACCCGTGGAATCACGCTCTTTTAGCTTCCCAAGCAAAAATTTATAACTATCTCCCAAGCTATTACCAATACTCTTGAATCCCTGATCAGCCGAGTCTAAAAATGCATCTCCAGCTGCCCCTAAAGCCGCCGGTGATTGAAAAATATCACTGAGCCTTCGATCTGCGTGTTGAACAGTAGGCCGGAAAGAGGACAAAGATGAGGGTGTAGGTTTAGACACTGAAGGACTAGGGATTGCCGAAGCAGTCGCTGGAGCCGACAGACCTGTAGGTGTAATACCAATTGTCAAAGGATCGGGTTTATCTATTTTCGGTGTGCCGGGTCGACTACTTATTTTGAGTGGTCCTGAGGGGATTTCGTCTGCCCTCAAACTTGCAAGATCTACGGTTTCAAGGAATGAAATTGCAGCTTCTAAATTTGTTAGACAATAAGCAGCTTCCCCATCAATTTTTGTTTCGCATCTGAATCGTTGTACAAAGTAAAGATTGCTTATAACATCAATGCCTTCTGGTCGAGATGTTATCAGAGTAAAAATAAGCATAGGCATAATCTCATCCGCTGATGACGATGGATGAAAGTGAGATAAGGTATCAACGATACATTTGTGGGCGGCTTTTAAATGGTTGAGCTTCCCAAGAGGATACTTTTCGTCATTCATCGCAATCAACTCTCCTCTAGCACCTTCTAACCACTCTCGAACCTCTAGTTCTCGCTTTCCTGCAGCATCTGGCTCCTCACTTGGTTCTATACCCAAATCGACTCCCAAATCTACCAATCCAATTCCAACCACTGACAAAGCGGCAGTTTTTGATCGAAGTTTCTCGTCCTGAGCTTCATCTTGCGAACTTCTGTGTCGCCATATCCTGTCATATATCCCTTCACAAACTCTCCTCTCGATTGCTTCTTCTAAGGCTACCCGCTTATGCTCAAGCGCTTTCCTAGCACGTTTTCGCTCATTGATTTCCTCGCTAGTCAACATCTGCTGCTCAGAAGACTTTCTTTCTATTATTTTGGGACGTTCCTTGTTCATGGAAGCAGCTTTCGCTCTGATCTTGCTTGCTGTTGAGGATAATGATGAGGCTGACGGAGCCGGAGAGCTTGAACGATGTTGTCTGGAGGATAAGGCGGAGATATGAGTGTTTATATGATTAGCAGCGACAGCATAAAAATCCTGGAAAAGGCCGGATAACTTGTCGACTGAAGGGGGAGTAGGATGGATTTTCGCCGATAAAGAATCAATGAAACTGCATCAGATATTAGTCAAACGTGTTGGCTCCGTTATACCAAAGGTTGACTGACCTATCTGCCAAGCTCACAAGCTCTATAGGAAGTTCATCAAAGTCTGCAGGCAACTTTCCAGACACTCCAGTCGTTCCTCCATTTTCTTCTTCATCCTCGGAGCTTTTCTCGAAGATATCCGATTGTGTCCCAGGTCTCCTATTTTCCCTCAACGTTGTTCTGTCCGACATTGCCACGGATGGAATAGTGCCGTTCTGTATAGTATTTGCCCTGAGAGGTCGGGATGAGGGATCGGGACTAGAGGGTGGTTCCTGGTAAAACGACTTGGAGACTTGCAATGTACGAGGACGTTGGCTATCGCCCTTTCTTGCTGAAGACGACATGAAACCTGGTAATGTGAAGAGCATCTTGTCAGTAAATGTCTGGATTCCAGAATCAATCAGAGAATTGAAGAAGAGAATGAATTGGTACCTGTCTATAAAGTATCACGCTAGAATTGCATGAATGCGATGACGCGTGAAACTCTACTTTGCTCAAATAATAACCGGGGATCGTTGTGTAAACTAGAGTGGGAAGATGAGGGATCTGATGAATGTAAAAGGAAGAGATCAAGTCACATTTCAAAGCTTTAGAATAGTTTCTTTAGATAGAACAGTAGAAGGCATTGAGATAAAGGAAACGGAACAGAAGTAGAAGTAGAAGTAGAAGTACTTGATGTTGTTGTAGGTTGAGTAGCTTCCGTGATTAGCTTGAAGCTACAAGTGATCAATTATAATTAGATAAGTCAAGACAACAATGGCTTCTATGGTACGGACGACTCACTCGTAGACGCCGGATTTGCCAGGTTGGTTAAACGGCGGTGGTTTGTATTCCGGCCGGCGTATATTTTGGAATTGAAATTTCGAGGTATGAAGTATGAGGTTAAGTATGACGAGCAGCTTTACTAGGTATATTTGATCATGTCTAGCTAGCTCCTATGTACGGAGTATTAGACCACGTGCACAGATTAGGTAAGACGACCTCCAAAGGCTGAGAAATGCAATGACAAACTAACCAATAGGATCTCTTTATTTTACCCCTGCCAATGTTTCCGGTGAACACGACCATAAACCTTCCGCCTGATGCTTGGGAGTCGTGACGCCTCTTATGACCTGGGGCTATCGTCATCCATCATCTCTCATTTATTATACACTTATGCCGATATGCATGTTGAACAAAACATAAAGTATTCCCAACAAAACAACTTCAAGAGTATCAAACCGATTTCTTTCCGTTCAATTTCTACATCGAGTACTAGGTACTTTGAAAAGATGATGAGGCATAAATCATCTACAACTTGTTCTTCTGCTGGCAGAGTTACAGCTCAATTACTATTATCTTTCTTAGCCTTATCGACACCGATAAGTGCATTGGATTCAACTCATCAACAGCAACAGCAACCAATACTACCCATATTACCACCTTCTATTCCAGAATCACATAATCGACAGGATTCAGCTGGACGCCATGTATTTGTAAATATACTTCTTCACCGCTTTATATCTAATAATACTAATGATAAACAATAGGCTCTTCGCCACATTTTCCATCATGGAACTTACGAAAATCCTCAATTACATAAACAGCTCGACATTTTAGATTCGACGTCCAAGTCAACAGTATGGCTGGAATCCGAAGATGGAAAGGGAACATTGCAAGAAGTAACCAGGCCACTGGTCATGAAGAAGAGTCCAGTGAAGATAGAACGGTTAAAAGACAGGAGACCTTCAGTGGTTGATCCAATGGTAGCAGCATCAAGAGAGAGCGGGGATGTATGGGCCTTATCACCATCGGCTTGGACAGTTGACGAACTAGCCGGTCCGGATATTACAGACAAGGATACTGTCATAACATTGGCACAAATGGCAGCGAATGCCTATGTGAATAAACCAGACACAGGAGACTGGAAGGACGTTAATGGGGGTTTCAATCGTACCGATGATTATGGATTTGGCTGGGATGCCGACGGACTGCGAGGATACATCTATATGGATGAGACGAATTCGACTATTGTCATAGGATTGAAGGGAACAAGTCTTGCGGTCTACGACGGAGACGGGACAACTACAAACGATAAGGAGAATGACAATTTGTTCTTTAGTTGTTGCTGTGGCCAACAAGGTGCTTCGTTCTACCGACAAGTCTGCGATTGCGCTACTGGAACCTATACCTGCAATGTATCCTGCCTCAAGAAAAGCTTGAGGTCGGAAAATCGATATTACACCGCGGCTCGACATCTCTACTCCAATGTAACGGCTCTTTATCCAAATGCAAATATATGGATGTCTGGGCACTCTCTTGGTGGATCTGTGAGTTCGATGCTAGGGTTAACTTATGGTATTCCTGTTGTTACATTTGAGGCCGTCCCAGATGCTTTACCCGCAAGTCGTTTGGGTCTACCAGCGCCACCGGGTCACAATCCGGGCATGCCACAAAAGCGCGAGTTTACTGGAGCTTACCATTTTGGACACACTGCCGATCCAATATACTTGGGAACCTGCAATGGAGCTACTGCTTCTTGCTCGTATGCAGGATATGCATTGGAAAGTTCATGTCATACCGGCATGGAGTGTGTATATGATGTCGTAGCCGATCACGGATGGGGAGTACACATCTGGTCACACAAAATCATAACTGTGATTGAGCAGATTATCAAGATCTACGATACAGTGCCAGTATGCAAATTTACGCCGGAATGTGTAGATTGTCCGCTTTGGAAAGAGGTGGAAGGCAACAGCAGTAGCACTGCCACATCACCACCCTCATCAACCTCGACCACAAATACACGGAGTCGCACTTCCACATGTAAAACACCAGGATGGTGGGGCTGCCTAGATGAAGATACATCCACAACTTCTAAGCCTGCAACTAGCGTGCCAGTAACTACTACGTCGACTTCAACCTCAACCTGCAAAACCCCTGGCTGGTTTGGTTGTAACGATGAGAAAACTACCACTAAAAGTAGTAGCAGCAGTACTTCGGCCCCACACACAGCCACTTCAACGTCTTCTTCCACAAGCACTTCATCAACAACAACCTGCAAGACTCCAGGATGGTTCGGCTGTAAAGACCCCACTTCCACCTCAATCTCAACCTCCATACCCATATCCACTTCCAGCACAGAGCCTCCACCCCATGCCATAACCTCCGCACCACCTCTTCCGTCTCCCACAACCTCGAACGGACCTACCACAAGCCAAGCATGTACATCTAAAAACTGGTTTGGTTTCGCCTGTGTCGATCCTTCACCGGATGGAAAACCAACTGCAAGTGCGTCACCGAAGCACAAAGAAACATGTTTAAGAAGGAATTGGTGGTTCGGATGTAAAGAATGGGATGTGGAATTGTAGAGGGAGGATCACGTCACAGGCACTAGGTTGCTGAAATAACCACGATTTTCTACACATATAAACCTTCACTCAGTCTTTCTATACCAGACAGATAGATGATGGACAAGATAGGGAGGGGGAAGTCAATAGGCGAGGATATAGACGAGAATTTATTAGAGGCATGATACATACATACATACAAGCATAGCATAGCATAGCATAGCATGCATGATTTTGCAGAGGCGTTTTTTTCTTGCCTCTTTTTTTTTCTTGTTTATGGGATTTGAGTTTGGAATAGGCTGGTTTGGATGGGGAAGGGCAGGACGGGACAGGATAGGATAACATAGGAGTATCTAGTTAGTTAATATACATACATATTATGAACATACGTACATAATTTCAGATTGAACAATTCGATTCTCATTCACACTTTTCGATCAGGACACGCATGAAATCAATTTTTTTATGATACGAGTATATGTAGGTATCATTCTATTCATCTCTTTCTCCTTTTCTCTTCCTCTGTTTCTTCTGTTGTAAAATCACAATCATTTTCAAAGGATGCAGAACTAAAGTAGTCTCCATGTGGTTTTTTTGGCCTCTCTCTTCCTCTCGGTAGATTCATCTGATATGCCAATAAAATAAATGCCATTCCCATTATTTCTCAACATTTCCCTTGCCTGCATCATCTCTCCATCCAACCACATTTGTGTCATCATCCCGGCCCTCATTCCCAGCTCAACATCCTCCCTAATCGTCAGAATGTAAACTCTCATTGTCGTCATCGTCGTCATCAGTTTGCACCCTTGAAGCAATCGTCTTTCCGCCCAGACTGGGTCTTGGAGGCGAAATCGGCTCATCATCCTCCCCTTCTGCATCCGCTTCGGAAAGTGCATCTTCGGCCACCTCTTTCTCCGCCACATCTTCGTGATCCTCTCCATATGGCGCCGCCTTGAAACTATCCATCACCTGCTTCGTTTCCGCTCCCACGTCAACAATACTAAGATCCACGAAATCCGTAATTTCCTCTTCTTCGTTGCCAATAATACCTTTTCCTTTCTGGATATTCTTGGTCCTCTGTGGTCGAATCGAGTTGCGTTGGACTACAGGATAGTAATGAGCAGCTTTTTGGCGTAGTCCATCAGTTCCATCGTGCATGGCTATTACCACTACTTCATCATATTTTCGATCTGTTCCACCATCCGTAACAGCGGTCTCATACGCACGCAGTCTCTTCAACCTAAAAGATCCTTTGCCTGTTTCCTCGTCAATGCGAGAATACAGATCCTTATCATCGTGCTCAGGGTCCAGGACATCCCATTTTCGTTTGATATTCTTGGCATCAGTAACAGTCTCTGGCATGAACATTTGATATTGTATCGATTCATCCGGAGCTGGATTATTGTGTGGGTCCAGTTCATGAGATTGTCTAGCGGCTTCTTTGAGTTCTAACTCTGCCTCGCTAGGATCAATAGGTTGTAAAACACTGCTTTCGACGCGAGTATCGTAGATATTGCTTGGAGGAACGGGGTTTGTGAGGAACTTCAACAGGACGTATCCGCCCGCGTCCGGGAATGAATCCAGATCTGGTAAAAGAGGAACTGCGTCCACCAATTTGACATTCCGTTTTGTGGGATGGCGGACTCTCGTGCGATCTTTAAGATTAGCAGCGGCGATTTCGAAGCTCTTTTCGACCTGTGATTTGATGTATGTAGGAGATTCACGATCAGCTGATAAGTCCTGAACAGCTTTCGGTTTGCGTGTATCGACAAGACCTTTAGCCAAGGTGGTGCCATCCATCCGCGCTTTCGAGCTGTAGCCGGAAGAGATATATTCAGTGCGCCGCAGAAATGATACTCCCGTGTCGGAAAATTTTGGTTTGCCTAACGTCGCCAATGGTCTTAGGAGAGCACGATCATGTGGGTGAAGTTGTGGAGGATGTAATGGCGCTTGTATAGCTATTGGAAGTAAAGGTGAGCGATTGCGCAAGTTGTGAAGGATATGCGAAACTTACAACTCTCATCTCCATCAAATATACCTGGCATTCCCACCAGGTCCAATGGCATACCAAGTTCCGCATCCGCTTCTATGTTTAATGGTTGATCTCGCGCTAATCTCGTAGCAAATCCAGGTGTAGTATATTGACCACTGGCGAGGCCAGTATTTGGAATATCGAGAAGCTTGGGAGGATTTGGTGGTGGTGGTAAGGCATTGGAATATCGTATGCGGGCAATATATTCCTGATGAACAATTCGCGATGCTGAGGATGACATCTTGTTGTTCGATGATGTTTTCGTGGATATACTTGAATTTATTAATTCGAGCTCGAAATCACAATAATTTGGGGCGGTCGCGTTCAAGATGGGCGAATAGCACTAGTGACGAGGCTGAAATCTAGAGTACTACGAGAACTGTGGCTGGTGTATGGTGCAAGAGGATTTACTGCGGGTCGCGTTCACAACTAACGCAAATCACTGACTCGCATCGTTTTGAAAGAAAGTTAATTGAGAAGAGATGCCTAGAGCCCTTCAAACTAGAGCCTATTGTACAAATGTGAATGAAGCGTCGTCAGTGAAAGGGTAGGGAAAGAAGGACGTCTTAGAAATGCAGCCTCGGAAATATGTATTTGGAAAACATCTTCAAAATACACTAAACGGTCCAGTATAGATGACAAGACAAAGTATGAAAGCCAATTTTGTTGGAGTGTATATTTCCCCTTTTGTGTCTCGAAATTCTGGGATACGGTCCAAAGTGATCTGGGGTTTTGGAAGGCAGCTCTCTGGAAATCTCGGTATACAGTCTTTCACCATACCTCAAAATGCTTTGAAGCGAATACAGGTGATAATGTCGTTCTTAATTTTGACTCGCTCATATAATCTATTTATCCGATAGCTTTCAGCTATACCCAAACCCTGAGTATCCCAGATGGCCCCCCGAGTACACCGAAAACATAGAAGGCGTAATTAAATTCTCTAAGGGTTTCACTTCCTGCTCCCAGATCTCTCATGAACATATATGGGGTGCTGCTGTTTTGTACACTAGATAGAAAAGCTATCATTCCTTCAATTCCGTCGTCACCAGAGCAGGTCATTCAATCGTTGCATCCCATAAAGCAATTGAGCTCACGAGCTATTTTTGGTGTATTTCGTTTTTCCGAACGAGAATGGCACGTATCGGTACTTAATCATGTGTTGAATCTGTCTTCGCACTATGGAACATGTCAGTAATTGCTTAAACACTACTGTGCTCCTTATTGTCGTGTAAATGGAATAACCTACTAGTCAACATGAACAGAATCAACCAGTAAACAACCAAAACTGGCCAGAAGACTGGTACATCGAAGATCTCAAACCATGTACAAGTGAAACCGATTCCGATCGCTCTTGTCGCAGAATGCCAGAACTTAAACTCGGGAAGTCTTCTGATGAATGGGCGAAATTCTTCGTCTTGTTTGGTTGGTAATCCACCAGCAGCCCCATCCTCCATATCATTATCGATAGCTTCGTTGGAGGGATCGAACTTGGGTTGGAGGAAAGCGAGAAAAAGGTTGAGGAGGTAGATTCCCAAAGAGTATGCCACTATCGAGATCTATAAGTTGAGAATGCGCCAAATGAACGAGGCTTGACATACCAATATACCATCCTTGTGCGACGAATATGCGAATGAAAAATATCAATAGAAGCGCGAAAGTGGCCAGCCATCTGTAAGGAACATATGGTGTTGACTTGTCTAACCAAGCTTGATATTGCTATTTGCCTTTGAATTAGCTTCATAGTTCTTTTCGAAATGATGCGATACAAGAAATCGCATTTACAGACGAACTTACACGTCCTATCTTCGAAGTTTGCGCGCTCACAGCTTCGAAAGGGGTTTGTTCTGGTTCCATTGAATCCATGTTGATTGACGTAAGTTCTTTATCGAAAGGAGTGTAGAATTCGTGCAGATGTGTAATTTATCAAAGAAATTAAAGTTAGAAAGAGTGACGTTTAGTGGTAGGCGGCGCGCAGTAATTGAGTTTGAACTTTTTTGAAACTCGAGACCACCTGTTAGTAGATAGGTAGAATTAGAATCATCACCTAGTAGGCACTAGGTAGTTACCTAAGGAAAGCGTCGTGGCTTAGATAGTGGCGCGCGTACAACCTGCTTCCTGCTTTCACGTGATTCAACCCTATGCGTAGAATTTGCCTCCAGTTTGTTTTGGGTTTCTTGACAAGGGGTAAGCTTCAAGACTCGCTTTTGATGTCCCGAGGATAATCGATTGTATCCGAGATGCTTAACTTCAATGGAAAAGTACACAAACTGCTCTTTATAACTAACAACATTAAACCTCTTCAATTGTTATTTAAGGATTCAGAAGTTCATACAATTCCTTCTTACATTCGAGCCTCAAGCTTTAACTTACGATACTCTACTTTAGCCAGTAAATTATGAATCCAGTCAGAGCATTGAGGCCCTTTGCCTCGCGATTCACAGCTTCAACTCTCCCCGCATTTTCACGAGCCTACTCAGACAAATCCTATCAGTTCATCCAAACCACAGAACCAAGACCTGGAGTAGGACAAAGTATTTCATTCTACTTTCTGTGCTATTATTCTTACTAACATATATTGAAAGTAACGTTAAATCGACCCAAAGCATATAACGCTCTTTCCACACCACTCATAACCGAGCTCAACGATGCTCTCCTAGCATTCGACAAATCTCCCTCCATATCTGCTATTGTTCTTACCGGGTCTGCAAAAGCATTTGCAGCCGGTGCAGATATTAAAGAAATGGCACCTCTTACTTTCTCTGAAGCGTACACCACTTCTTTCATTGAATCCTGGTCAAACCTCACAACGGCCATCAAGAAGCCTATAATCGCGGCCGTATCAGGGCATGCGTTGGGCGGAGGTTGCGAATTGGCTCTGATGTGTGATATTTTATACTGCACGGAGAATGCAAATTTTGGACAACCAGAAATTAAACTTGGAACGATACCTGGAGCCGGTGGGAGTCAAAGACTAACAAGGGCAATTGGTAAAGCTAGAGCTATGGAGCTTATCCTGACGGGCAAGAATTTTTCCGGCAAAGAAGCAGGAGAATGGGGAGTCGCTGCAAGGACATATACAAGCTGGGAAGAGTTAATTGAAGCTGCGCTTGGTACGGCCGAGACAATTGCAGGGTACAGTAAGGTAGCAGTGCAGGCTGCAAAGGAAGTTGTCAATAAGAGCCAGGATCTACCGCTCAGAGATGGCGTGGAGTATGAGAGGAGAGTGTTCCACAGCTTGTTTGGAAGTCAGGATCAAAAGATTGGAATGAAGGCTTTTGCAGAGAAAAAGACAGCCGAGTGGGCTCACAAGTAATTCTAGCATTTTCTTCTGCGATACCCAATTGCACTGAAAATTTTAATTATGAATAACACGATCATTTTTTATTTCTATACGTTGACCTCATGTAGTTCTCAAATGCTTGGTCTTTGCGTCAATCGGCTTCACCAACTCCTCTCTGAAGTCACACCACCCCCTCTCTAAAGCCATACCGTCCCCTCGTTATCCACTTTAACCCCAGAAACCGAACGGCACCCACAACCGAGCTCATGTAATAATAACCTACTCTCCCTGTCCCTCTCTAGTTATTCTCTTTCTCACTATATCTATCTATATCCGAGACCTTAGACCACCACGATGCAGAAACAATAGCTTAAAGTAAGGTATCTATCCCACAGCAGCAACAAGAACGCAAGTCCTTCAATTTCTAAATGCTATCTACCGATTTTGCAGCGTGAATACTGCCGCCTTTTCTTCGGAAATGTCCTCTCATCTCTAGATTCTACTGTGATAGGTTAGGGAAGGAATGTGTATGAAGTAAGTGATGTTTGGTAGGTATCAGCAAGAGAAATGAGGATGGCAATTTGGAGTTGATAGGATTCTTTATAGGTGAAGATGGACTTGAAATATGAGGCGGCGATAGGATGGAGAGGCGATCGATGTTTCTCTCTCTTCGGTAATATAATGGATCTTTTGTCTTTTGTTTAGTATCTTTATATATACGATAAGTCTGAGAAAGAGGCATCAGATTCGAGGATTGTCGCGGATATTCGTTGTTGGTAGACTGATATCAAGTTTGGGTGGTAGATCGTTCTGGAAGAAAAATTCTCCCCTGAATGATCGATCCATTTATCTGCTCCTCGGGTCTATCTATCCTATTGAGCAAGAAACCTTTTGTTGCATGTCTAATCGAGAGTTTAAATCACTGATCATCTGAATTATGGATTAATGCATGCTAGGGTATCAGAGGTTGGATAATTTCCACAAAAGTCACCATTGGAAAATATACGAAAGATAATATTCAATTGACCAGTCCGTCTAGCCTCGTATGGGTATGTACAGTCCATGACCTAAAAAATGTAAATAAGAATTAAAAAAGAATCCGCGCTGCAGCAGCGTGCCTTTTCCCAGAAAGTCCTCACATGTCAAAAATAGCACTCAAAAGTACTGCTGACTCAAGATAACATCTAGAAGCTCAAGGTAACACCAGCGGTGCCGACAACGGCAGCCTTGACCTTGTTGCTTCCCAAAAGTGTGTAGGAGTATCCCAACTTGCTGGCACTCAATGTACCCTTAGTAGCTTCGTTGGCGGATGATCCAAAGTCGTTTCCGTTGGCCACAGCATATCCAGCATTGGTGCTGTACAAAGCCTTCTTGGAGTTGACCCAGACGTTAGATTCAACAAGTGCTTGAGCACCATCACGAGTGTTGATACCATCGGCGACGTTGTTGTGGTAAGAGTTGTAGATGTGAGCAGTACCGAAACGGATAGATGGACCACGGGAGTTGACGTTTTGCCAGAAGTTGTTGGCGTAGGTGACGCGGAGATGTCCGGTATCTTCGGCTTTGTTGGAGTCGGAGTGGCCGATGAGGGAGGCCTTCCAGTGGTCGTGGATGAAGGAGTTGGAGAAGGTGACGAAGTCGGCTGCATGTGTTACGTCGAAGAGTCCGTCGTAGTAGTCCTTGTCATGGTCGCGGTTGGAGGAGAGATCAACGTGGTCAACCCAGACGTTGGTGGATTTTTCTAATGTGGAGGTTAGTTTCATATGTTGAAGTGAGTGGATGTGGAAGCAGAACATACGGATTCCAAGAGCATCACCGTTAGCGGCAAGAACTAGCTTGATACCAAGGTTGCGGATAATGACGTTCTTTTGTCCCTTAACGAGCCTGTGACATTGTTAGATCATCGTAAATCAAGACGGGCGAGTGAGCTCTTACAATCCGAAACCAGTCAAGACCGCCTTGGAGTTTTTACCAATAATGGTGGTATCACTAGCAACCTTGACCTGGGGTGCAGCTTGGGTGATAGGGCCTGCAAGCACAACAACAGACTTTCCTGCAGTGGCTGCCTTGGTGAATTGAGCATAGGTGGAAACAGTAGTGGTGGTTCCTCCAGCTCCTCCCTTGGTACCACCGTTAGTGCTGGCGTATCCGATGTTGCAAGCGTCGGTAATAGTGGAACGTTTGGCAATAGCAGCGCGGTTGACACTTTCTTCAGATGTTGGGGTTGGAGCAGCAGCGGCGAATGCGGCCAAAAGACCAGCGGAAATGACTGAGAACTTCATATTGAATAATGGTAAAAGACTGAAATGGCTCACTAGGAGATAAAGAAATGTTTAAAGAATGTAAGTAGTTGAAAGTGTAGAGAACTGTGGAAGTGAAGATGGAAGTGATGCTATTAGATCGTTGGATGTACCTTTCACTTTATAGTGAAATCACGAAGTACACCTCGACGCCGCCAAGTTTACCTACTATTGATCCCATCCTACTAGTTCAATGCAAAAGAGGATCTAGAAGTTCTCCTTAATCTTTCCACCAGGCATTTCGTCATCAATTCGAGCATCTGGATGGTGGAAGATCCAGGGGTGAACGATGAAATAGTTGCATATCGAAATTGACGGCCAAGACGTTTAACGGTGTGGCTACGTTGAATAGGCGCTTGAGAGAAACATCGTTCGAGACACCGATGTTGAAATCGTTTACTGCAATTGCAGAAGGCCAAGAATCATACACCCTGTATGCCATGCCCAAATCTTTGGGGATGTTGCTTGGTATTGTGCGAAGTCACAAAAGCCAAGGCGCTTTTCCACTAGCAACACCACTGTGAGGAAATCCCCTCGGAGAAAAAGTGAACGAACATGAGATTGATCGAACTGGCACTGCCAAAGTTCGTGATCAATAACTAGATCGCAACCTTAATGAACGGATACGTGCATACTTCACGAACTCTACGACACTAAACATTTCACCAAGAGAAGCTTAGGTCTTCAATTGCTTTCTCCTTTTGAATGGAACGACACACTTCCATCTGTCAATATTTCGTCTTGTCAGTTATTTTCGTCCACTCTTCAAACAACCACGGATTTCATCATGAAGGAAGGCGAAGGCATAGATGGAAAAATGGCGGTATCTATACCAAGAAAAACTAGGCGGCTGGATTTTCATCTCATATCCTCAGATAGATTGAATTTATCGGGTTTGTCGTTTCGATAAGCCCCTTTGTGTGTGATTTTACCTAATCATGATTCGAAAACGAGAGGGGAACAAAGTTTGTCACATGACTAGCATCGAGTGCCACACAAACGCGCGGGAGATGAGTCTGATTCGGTTGCAGAATCCACTATATCCCACTTGATACGTAAGAGATTTCCAAGCTTAAAAATGATGCATGATAACTTTAATCTTATTCTTATTGTTTTACGGAGTAAAATACGGAGTAAAAGTAGAAAAAATGTCGCCAGTGGGTGTTTCACTTGTCTACTAGCTAGTACTTGCCGCTGCTCGAGTTTAACTACTAGGTATCTAAATAGGGATTCTCTGTCAGATAGCGATGGAGCTTTTACATACGTCGCTTAGGTTGATATCATCGTGGCTACAAATAGCAACAGCTAGCTTGAATGCTCCACGTTTTACACTTTCAATAACATGCTACTTGTGACGGGAACGTTAATATCGAAGGCTTAAGATGCGTTTTACTTTAGTCTATCGTGCACGGAATACTGATGACTATTTGGTGTTTACTATTTAGTAGATGCTATCGCGTTGAGAGTATAGTCACCTTAGCTCCATTCAAGGGTTTCCTATTCTAGTTCTTCAGTGTAGACAACTGACAGTTCCGCGTATACTACCCGACCCGCACCTGGGGTTGATGGCCTACTGCAAGTAGAATGACTCCTGACATATTGTACGTTTTGTCCCGGCATACTGGCTGTAAATATGCCAAGCGACCCCCTATCCAAGACTTCGTATTGCGAGATTTTGTCAAATACAATCTACCTATCACCGCTGCTATATCCCAAGTTTCTCCACCAGCCATTTATCCCATACCTCATAGCCATCTCTGTTCAAGTGGACGTGATCTTCATAGTGGTGGATGAGATCCATCTGCGGTGCTGCTAGCCATTCCACACCAGGAAATCCAGAGACTATCTTCTGCAGATCCTCATTGCTTCGATCAACATCTGATAACTGGACATCTTTCTTGTAGAATAGTGCGGTAACCACGATTCTCGGGAAGGTTCTTCTCAATGCCTCCAAGTGAAGGGCGAATTGGTAGAGTTGAACCTCCGACAAGCTCCGACCTGGTTTCTTCAAATCATTAGAACCGATATTAACAACAACTGTTCCTACTTTCGCTTGGTACTTGGCTTTCTGAAGGAGGCCTAGATTCATGCGGTAAAGTACATTGGGAATAGTGTCGCCACCAACTCCGGCGTTGAATATGTGAGGCTTCAAGCCTAAGTTGAGATCGTGACCTGTAGTTTTGAAGCGTTCGAGCATGCTGGACCCAATGAGAAGGATATTGCAGGCTTTTGAACACGGATTGTCTAGTTCTGGGAAATGAACATTGAGAGTGGTGTCTTCTGACCGCTTCTTCCATTTAGCGTTATCCTTTATTTGATTGTTCAGCTCCATATCACACATTTCCAAGAGCGATGATAGAGGCTTAGCCTTGGAATAATTTGAACTGGCCGCAGGTGATGATGCCGTTGAGGGGTCCATGATAATAAAGTCAAGGTGCGAAGGGCGAAGGACTCCTTTCCAAGCGAGCATCTAATTTTGAGGTCTATAAATGCAGCATACTTGAAGAGATCTGTCCCATCTAGTAGACTAAATAGACTTATATCACATACAAATATGATGGTCTAACGCTGCGGCTCATTGAGAATGAAACTGGAAAATGAGTCATACGGGCTAGAAACATTCAATACCTCGGAACATCCTTATACCTTATGAAAACTTGAGACTAAAACACTCGTTTCTGTCAAAATTCAGTAGAAATCTCGATCTCTTAAAGCAACAGATCGTTTCCGACCAATTTTGTAATCGCATCTGCATAGAATCTCTAGAAATCTCCATCATTGTAGCTTCCGGCAGCTCGTTTGGAGCGACAGGATGAGTACTCATGATTACAGAAAGTTCTGGGCGGCACAACTACTCTGAGGATCAATCTGGGGGTTGGGGAAGCGCATCAAAATATTGTGTTCTTCTTTTCTGTTGCATGCATGGCTAAGACCCTTGATGAATCCTCCGAAATGGGATGCTCTCACCTGCATGAGAAGAAACAAGCCGAAAATGATTATTGTAAAAGCATTGCAATGTTTTGATATCAATCGGACAATAGTAATATGTGGTTGAAGGTACTTATCAATACCTAATACTGACTGAGAAACTTATACCTATGATTCAAGCACTTTTCGAATGTAATTCAGGATGATAATTATAAAAGACGTTTAGTGTTTGGGATATTGTTTAGGTAGGTATGTATAGATGCTCAGCACAGACCGCCTGACCACCACATCAAAATCTTCGACTCACTCTCACGTGCACCGAAGTTTCTCTCCTCGTCAAGCTCGGCTTCTCAATAAACTATACGATCATTCAAGAGCATAAACCCACTATCAAATTATCTATCCCGCCTCCTCAAAAACAAACCGTTGTCCCTCAAGAGGTAGATTTTATATGAAAGATGCAGGGTAGTGGGTTGTTCGACACGGAGTGCCTTTGACTGTGAAGATTTATTTCTCCATTCTTCGTCCACCAATTCAACAGAGCCAGCATGTCGACCTAAGTGCGCATCCGATCTCAGGCGACGAGGGTGCTTGATGTTCCAGAAGATGTTTGCGTTTACTTGAGCAGGTGTAACAATACGGAGTCCGCGAGCAATCAATATGTCATGGCAGATAAAAGTTTCTGGCCTGTAAGAGCTGAATTGGCCATTTTGAAAGAGAATAATTAATAAAAGCTGCAAAAAGGAGAAAAATCCATAATGCTAAATTCTTTAGAAACTGGAGATTTCATTCCGCCAGGAGACCACACGCAAAAAGGTGCTTTGTACAGGTCTTTGCGTAATCTTCGCACGGCGCAGCATCACGGCACCAAAAATAACCACCCATATCTGGCATTCAATACTTTTGTAATACCAACTGTTATCATATCTTGTGAATGGAGTTGAAATTAACGACTGGAAAATTCTCTTTTTAAATCAACCAGGGTGCCTTTTCTTGCTCAAGCTTCATTATGTCGAGTGGATAAATTACAACGACCAAACCACACCAGTAACAACACCTCTTGGAAATCTTTCGGTGCAATACGAAAGCACAATCACTGTGGTAATGTAGTGTTCTAAACCCAACTAAAAGATCGATACTGACTGGATCATTAGACCTGGGATGGCCTCTTAGATGGTAACAACCCTCTAAACTGGTCAAATAGTTGGAAATGGATCAATGTTCTTCGAGTTTCTGTGCAGGGAACATTGTACCCAATATGTTCTACCTCTTAGCATTAGTATCAGAGGATGTCGCCTTGGCGTTTGGTCTCTATGATCCATGCCGGGCCCTATTATAGGACTACATGTTGGACCGAAGCTATACAAAGCTTGAGCTTTACCTCGATGTTCTAGAGAGAACACATCACCGATGCTACCTCCTCCCAGGCTCGGGCCAGCAGATCCGGCCATTTTCGGGAGTAAACGAAGTGTAGACAAGGCAGCGATGTTAGGTGCGAGGGCACAGCCGACAATGAGAACCGTGAAGACCGCAAAGCATAATAAATATACAATGCGTCTGCCATGTAACTCGGAAAGGATGCCAGTAATAGAGACTCTATACCCAAGCCAAGAACATATAGAGCGACGGGGAGGGCGGGCGTGTATGGGAGGCTTTATTATTTACAACACAGGTAGCTGGCGCTGGTTGATTTGGGTTATTGTGATATCTTCTGCTGTCACCAGCCTGCTTTTGCATGCTTCTACAACGAGAAAAGTATGGGTCATTTCTTCTAAGGCAGACAATGGAGCAACTCAAGAGGAAAAATCTGAATATTTCATACCGCACAGAATTTGATGTCCAGCCATGGGATCTTTTCGTGACATCTCTTACCCGTCCAATGCGACTACTTTTCAAGGCGCCTATTTGTACATTTATAAGCCTCTATCTTGCGCTGTGAGTCCCCTAGATCAAATTGCTCCTTGTATTACTCCTGCTAATCTACATGACACCCGAATATATGTCATTCTCTATTTGCACCTCACAACAATCACTCTTCTGTTTGATCTAAGACCCTTTTTATGGTTAGTTTTCTTACGTTAGACGCATGGAACGACAAATCTCGCATATCTAGGTGCTGCTCTGGATCAATTTTAGGCACCGTTATTTGTGCCAAATTTCTCAATCGTTCATATCGCTACGCAGCTGCTCGCCACGAAGAGGGAACAGGCACCGCAGCGTCAATTCCCGAGTTTCGATTGCCATTTTTACAAGTTGGCATGATGATTGTCCCAGTTGGACTAGTCATCTTTGGTTAGAGCGCAGCGAAATAGACACATTGGGTGGTACCGTTACTAGGAGTGTGCGTATTTGGACTAGTTATGCTAATGAGATATGTGTGCATTCAAACGTATCTTGTGGATGCCTTTGAAGAATACGCCGCAAGCGCACTTGCAGCTGCAATTATGACTCGATGCGTTATTCCTGCGTGTCCACAGCCGTTGGGTTCCAGCTTTGCCGGACATTGGGCTACGCCTGGTGAGTTTTGCCACCCTTCCTTCTAAATAGTAATCGTGCTAACAAAATGCAACGGGGGCTATGCTTCTAGCCTTCATTTGCATTGCCATGATTTCCATACCATTTGTTCTACAACGCTATGGTTCAAAACTTCGCTCCAAAAAGTTTGATTCCTGATTCTCAGTGGACAATATGAGAGGTTGGGCGCATGATGGCTTATCCTTAGTAAAAATTGGTCACCAAACCTGTAAAGCCAAAATACCCCATATAAAACCAACCATACTTGGCGTTTGTATGTATGGTTATGACACTACATTCAACCGAGTAAATAATACCAAAAAAGGCTGCGTTTGAAAGCTGACCCTGCGGCACAGCAATGCAATGATCCACTTCCAACATTTAGTATCTCCAATCTTCCTGACTGTGCAAACAAAGATAACAACCCACATCTTGATACTTTCTTGAGCAAGGTAAGATTTAACATCCAATCTACATTAATGCCTACTGCCGAAGAACTCCTCAAGGTTGCCGGATCTCTGGATCATCCGTCTCGAAAGAAAGTACTCCCAAGGTATTCACCAACAATTGGCGATAGACTTACCCTGGCTGCTCGAAAACTCTTTGAAGAGTGCAGCAATATTCCACCGTCTGAAGTCGAATCACATATCTGCAAAATTGTAATTTTGCACGGCTTATAAACACTAGGGTTTTCCTTTGCTAATGTGCTACTCAGCGCGATCTTGCTTGGGATGTCTTTCCCTGGGCATGTATCGGCGAATTTTGGTTCATAATATTCGGTCTTTCATGACATCCACAGTATCAACAACTAATTCAGCTCCTTAGTTCCAAAGACGCTACCCAAACGTCCGAAAATCTTCCGAAGTTTCTCGATATTGGAACCTGCATTGGCCAAGATCTACGAGCTTTACATAACGATGGTGTACCTCTGTCTGTTCTTTATGGCACAGATCCCATTCCACAATTTGAAACCATTGGACATGCACTATTCAAAGATGAGGATCGTTTCTTGCCTGATCACTATATCGTTGGAGATATCTTCAATCTTTCACCATCTTTAGCCAAAACTGCCGGCAGTTGGTCTGCCGTGAATATGATTATGTTCTTGCATCTTTTCAATATTCCAAATGCAGAGCAGGTCTGCGCCAATGCCTTGAAGTTGTTACGCCCAAAAGCGGGGTCTCTCATCACTGGTGCTCAAACCGGGACCACGCAGCCTGGTAAACTTGTGCTCAAGCCACCTATGTGTGAGCCTGGAGAATATAAGACAATTTACCGGCACAGCGCAGAAACATTGGTCGAACTTTGGCAAAGAGTTTCGGAGAAGCTGAACATCCGCGTCAAAGCTACTGCGGAATATGATGAGGAAGAAATCAAAGAAAGAGAGCATGGGGTTCGAGACAACCCAGATTGGGAGAAAAGCAACAGGTCATTCGTGGGCAATTCTGAAAGACGAATTTACTTCATGGTAGAGCTCCTTTGAGAGAAGTAGCATATTACGATATCAGAGTTGTTAGAACAAAACTCATTGAAAATTGAATTCACCAGTTGCAGCATCAAACTCTTACTCGAACATGGCACAGTGCCTCTTTTTAAATTCTAAATTGGCAAAATACTGTGTCCATAATGATCAATCGACTCCCTTATCAGTACCGCGGTATTACTAGGCCTATGTCGTGGTGAGCTTAGAAATTAGAAGTTACAAACAGCGTGATGTCATACTCGATTGTATAAAGAAAAGACTCGGTTTCACTGGCATTTCAGAAAATTTGGTGTTACTTTACAGTAACTGAATTTAATATTACTACTGGTAGGCACTTTTCCTGGACTAATCCTCTTATTTCGCTGCAAAGCACCGTACAAGGGAAGAAAATTAATATTACTGTTACATTCACATTTGGCAGGGAATGTTTTGCACGGATATTACTTGGATATATAAACGGCAAAGTAAGTATCTACGTAGTCAACGGTACTATATACTCCACTCATCTAACAAATTGAAGGAAACACTCTCCATGACCCAACTTCTGTAGGGACGAGCAACGACGAGATCCTTGCCCTGCATAATGGCGTGATGAAACTCCCACTGCGATGCGCTGAGCACGGATGGGGCGCCGGGCTGGCCCGCCATAGTAAGCATATTCAAATGAACTGCGCGCATGCAGGCATCCTCTGCATGCTGCTGCCCATCCTTTGCGGGGTCCAGCATTTTGAGCTTGCCGAAAAGTTCTGAGAGAGTTTCCATCTTGCTAAGCTTGAGATAAAGCAGCGAGTGCTTGTTGCTCGGTGAGTTTCAACAGGTAGGACGTTAGGGCTGTCGATGCAACCTTGGAGCATTTTTCAAAAGGCTTGAAAGTCTTGGATGTAGTTTTCAGAATACGGCCGTCTGCAAATCACGAACTACTCATATGTAAGACCAGCTTGTTCAATCAGTTGCGCACAGATAATGAGTTCTTTATTGTACTGACCCTTAAAACCATAGAGATGGGAACCTTCGCAAGATCCAATTCAGGCAGTATTCGCTAGACTATCTACTCGAGCATCATGACTTTATTGAAGTCGCATATCTGCTCATTTGGGGACATTTAACTTCCTGCGCCTAAACGCAGAACTTTGCAGGCAAACTTTTCAAACAATCAAACTTCCCGGATATTGTAATAAAGGTGGTCAAAAGTTTTCCGTAAGTTTAAATGGAACTTCCATCTATATACCTTTCATGACATGGCTCACCTCACACGACAGACGCGGAACTCCGAACTTTCTCATTATTGTTGCAGGCCTATGAGCATGGGCTGCATACTCGGCAGACCACATCCCAATACACACTGGCAAGAATATCTACTTGGGCAATCCTGACGCCGTGGACAGCGGCATCATCCGAACTATGTCGGCACTATCAGTGGTGATTGCGTTAACATCCTGCCATCAACAAGGAAAGCAATTCAGACCACCAGATGCCAGAAATTCATTCGTGGGCAATCAACTTTTCATGATGGGAATAGTGAACCCTAAGACTGGAAAACCGGAATCATGGACAAAAAGGCAACTCAACAAACTTTGGATCATCTATGCAGATAATGAAATGACTAATTCCACGGCTGCATTCCTCCACATTACGTCTACGCTCGCGGATCCAATTTCCGGTTGTATTACTTTCTGCATCTAGGCCGCTCCATGCAGGCGCGATTTAGCATACCGAAGTTTTCAACAAATTGGGCCTAAGGAAAACGTCGCAAAACTGATTGCGGATGTAAAGGCCAAAAAACAAAGATTATTCGGTTATGGGCATCGAATCTACAAAGCAGTCGACCCACGCATTTATCATCTACGCAAGATGATGGATGATCTTGCTGGAAGAGCCGCTAGCAATCCACTTCTCTCAATCGCAATGGAGATCGATCGAATCGCCTCTCAGGATACCTATTTTACGTCTAGGAACCTCAAAGCGAATGCAGACTTGTATGGCTGCTTCGTTTTTTTCTGCTCTGTAAGTTACGCCCGTGGAAAGTTCTGAGACTAGAATTATGGCTGGTATCATATCATTCAGGGGATTTGAGCCGGAGATAATCACTGCTATAGCTGCAATGGCCAGGTCGTCAGGCGTCATGGCCCACTGGCGTGAGGCAATGAGTAGGTTGCGCATACAAGCAATACTGTAATGCAGAGAACTAATGTTTTGCAGGTGATAGACCAAACATATGGCGGCCACAGCAGGTTTTCACCGGAGTGGTATTATGCGACCTGAATGTGCGACTTTTCCCCCTTACATTGTAAAAGTACAGACAGAAATCATTATATAGCACATATCGATCTATTCCTTGTTCAGTATTAGCAATCTTCCTCCCAATCTAAGTAATAAATCGCACACCACCAGTGCATTAAGCGCAATCACATCAAAATTGACGATTTTTCACGTTTTTGGATTCTTAGGGCGCGTTCGGATCGATTTCCTGAAATATAAAAAAATGATAGATATAAATTTTTTTTTTATAATTAATAAAAGTAATAAATATATTAAACATAATAAAAATATTTACACTTGGTGAGTATAAGCTCCAAGAGGAGATATTAAAAGCATTTTGAACCGCAGAGTGAGAAGCTATAATCAATTATGATTTATGATTCATCATTAGAGATGGGGAATATCTCATAATCACACACTCCGATATTTGAAGCAACTTTTATAAATGAAAATGACTCAATATGGTTTATTGTATACAATGAATATAAGATTACCAAACGAATCTAATCTAAACGCAAATCCAATCCAATTCAACATATGAAAAGGTATCAATATTCCAACGCAGGTTGAAGAGTATGTCCTTCTAGTTCCTGTCCTTCTGTCTAATATATTACAGGCCTTGATGCCATGGTACACAAAACTCCATCTTCCTTCACCAAAAAATACAGCGTCCATTAACTTTTCAGGACGTGGAATTAAAATACAATAACTAAACAACGATTCAATAGCCCATGGTAAGTTCTAAATAACAGGCAATCTGAAAGTTCAAAGTAAATGAAGGACAAGACATGCTCTAATTGCTCAATTATTCAAGGGTAGAGAATATAGACCACGGGGATGAACTCTCCTCAGCGCTTGGCATTAAAATCTTGCCCTCTGCCTGAGCTGCAACCGGATCCTTTTCGGCAAGTAAAATATCTTCAGTAGAAACTGCATCTCCATGTGGCCAAGTGGTGATTTCATCGGCAACTTTCGAGGATGACATGAAGCTGAATATGTTAGAGAATAATCTAGATAGGGCGCTTTGAAATGGTGGAATGATATCCTCGCAGATGTGTTCTGCTAGACGGAGAGGCAGAAAGATTCGGGGTTCGCCGGCTGTCACAATGATTTTCGTGGTACGTTTCACTGTGAAAGATTCCCTCGTGAGAATATCGACTATTGTGGTACCATTCTTGAACATAGTAGGTACGAAGACCGTTTTCGGTTTCGCCTTGCTACCTTGATTGGTCAGTACCATGAGCAAAGGACCCTTCTGCGTGGCAGCAACGTTGCCGTCAACATAAAGACGCGTCGTTAGATGTGTACCAAACCCTGCATCCCAACTCAGCTTTCTGATCTGATTCAAACGTGCGATGTACTGATATAGTGGTGTAATATTATAGTTTGATGTCCACATCAGCTCTCGGGAGCCAGGATCACCATCTCCTGAATAAGATTGTTCTTGTCCGTAGTAAATAATCGGCACACCATCTGTGAGTAAAGTCCATGCCATAGCATTCTTCACAACGGCCAAATCCTCGTTTGTGTCATGGGTAAACCGCGGCATATCGTGATTCTCCATAAAAGTCGACATTTGCTGCATATCGCGGAATTTTGACCTGTACGCAGGAGTGAGGAGGTTGATGAGCTCATACATGCTACCACCATCTCTATGAAATGCTCTTTTCAAAGGATAATATGTCCCATAGTCCAAAAGCCCTCCAATGTATGGCTGATATGAGCTTAGGTAGTTAGGATCACCTGATAATACCTCACCCACCGACCAGACCCCAGCAGACCGAACAAAATCCGGCCAAAAATTCTTCCTGACATGTTTGACGGTATCAATCCTCAGGCCATCAATTTTAAACTTTTGGACAAGTTTCATGATCCAAGTTTGGAGAGTGAGCACCACAGTAGGATCTTCGGTATTTAGATCAGGTAATGGTACATGTTCATCGCCTAACCATCCTTCCTGGCACTCCTTTTCATTGTCATAATTTGTGATGAACGACTTTGGATGATAGTATGATGAATCATTGAAAGGTACATATCTGGAATACTCCACAGTAGGGGGAGAACCCATATGATTGACAACCACGTCAATCATCAAAAACATTCCTCGCGCGTGCAACGCATCCGACAGAGCGAGTAAATCGTCCGCGGTACCGAAATGTGGATTTACTGAATAAATATCCTCTGGCCAATATCCATGATAGGCGGCTCCATATTGGGTCACCTCTTCGATATTCTTATGGATCTGTATGAGCCGTTAGCGAGTAAAGCTAATACATCGATGAGACTGAAGAAACATACGGGTGAAATCCATATGGCATCGAAACCCATTCCTTGAATATAATCAAGTCTAGATATTATACCCCTCCATGTTCCACCACAATAATCTCTAATTCCTTTATCTGGACCTGAATTTTGACGGTTTTCTTCTTCTATAGCGAATCTGTCGGTGAGAACTTGGTAAATGGAACGTCTTTTCCACGCCTCGGCATTAGACATGGTGTAACGATTGACAATAAGAAAAAGAGATAAAACTGATTACAACAAAAATAATTGATATTAGCATTAGAATATAAAGAGTGGCTTTTTGTTTATAAATATGTTTGGAAAAGAGAAGAAATGAGAAGTACAAATACCTAGGTAGTCAATTTTGCTTACCCTAGCCGTTGGTCATCCAAGGTCCCACCTTAGCTCCACTATCAATTATATATCTCCAGCCCTCGAAAGGGAGTTGACTTCTTTCTTTTGATCGATTCTTATAATTTTATACTATGGACAATATAAATATTATATTGTAATTTGAAGAATCTTGAAGAAATTATAGTTATATTAGTATTATAAAATCAAATTTAAAAATTTAAAAATTTAAAGATTTAAAAGGTTTTAATGTTTAAACAATATTTATACAGAAACATGATTTTTTTTATATATTTTATAAGGATTCATTGAGAAAAATAACTTTTTAAAGAAGTCAACTCCTTTCAAGGGGCTAGAAGTGTTGGGTAACAGTGGCCCGTGGGGAAGCCAAGTGGGGAAGGACGTAAATGGCCGACGGTTAGGTTTTTTGGAGTTCGTATTCTGAATTGGATAGCCTTATGTAACTTATGTTCCAAATATAGAAATACGATGTCACGAGAGTATGATCTACCGATACCCCTGTCTTGAGCCTCACTCAACGTCAACGTCAACATCATCAATCCCAATCGAGACTATGCATGATTTCGAAAGCTTGAATGTGTCGTCCTACTTGATTAAAGGAGTAGGAGAACTGTATTAATTATGGTGCTCCCTATAGCTATAACTAACGGGAGCCTTGTCCTGCTACGCCGGGTACTAGTATACAATTGATCATGCAGGATCACCAACAAAAAAGCTGCTCGAGTACTGACGGGCTTGTAATATAACATCCACCCTGTCCGGCCGCCAGCTACTCTAGCATACAAATGTTTAAAGTGTATCATTATGATACAGTGTCGGTACTAGAAGCTCTCAACTCCATCAAGTGATGTAGTCTCATTTTCCTAACAATACCAGTCAGTAATCGAAGAGAAACATTCTCATCAGTAACACGAGACATACCCGATTCCGAAGCTACTACTTCGTTTCCCGGTGTTTTCTTGATCCTGTTCCACTCTTCTCTGCACTCCTCGAAAATCCCCTCGCTGAAACGATAAACTATCGCAAAGCCCACCATCTTCTTGACACCACCCAAGGAAAATTCCGGAAAATCATAACGCCATAACCACATCATCATGATTGTTGTTCTAATTACATCTTTTGTACCAAGAGGTTTGGGAGGCTCTTGAGGATTTATATACTTGTAATAGATGAGCCCGGAGTAGTAAGAATCTGATAGACTCAGAAATGTACCACAGACTGTAAATTTTGCAAAAGAAATAGTTTTGCCAATTATACCCGTCCCCGTGATTGATGATTGATGAATGGTGATTGATGGATGGTTGGATCGTCAGAATTGCAGAAGAATCTGGAATAAAGGTTTCAATGATTGCATTGTTCGTATCGAAAGGAAGGATTGAGAGGTTGTAAAGTGTATTTAGGAGATTGTGACATGTAAAGGTAGGTAGATATTGAAGAGAACTTTTTCTTCGTTATTTTTGAGAATTTCTTAGAGTGCGAGTCGTTCAGGTAATAGTATCTAAACTCTAGTTCATTGGCTATTAGCTTAATCTATTACTTTCCTGTTCTCTCCGAAGTCATAAGTCATGATCAGGGAATGAGTTCAATGATTTATAGAATAGCAATCCTAACGCCTAAAGCCCAAAGCGAAGTAGTTGGTCGCATCGCTCAAATATGAATAATATGAATAGAATGAATAGAAGGAGGTTTTAAATGAGATATATTTAAGGTATTAAAATTTTAAGGTTTGTTAAACTTTTTATTAGATCAATTCGATTGTTAGGATTACAATTTATTTAAATAAATTTTTATTTTTTTATTTTTTATAATTTATAATAAACTTTTAATATCAATAAATCAATAATAACTTTTATATTTATATCAAATACCTTTAAATATAAATTTGTATTATTTTTAGTTTTTTTGAACTTAAAATCTTTATTTATAATATAAAGATTATTTCTTTTAATATTATAAAAACTCTTTCAAATTATAATCTTTATATTCTTTTTTAAAGATTAAATTTGAATTATATATCTATTTTATTTTTTTAAAAAAAAATATAAAAGATTAATTTTTAATTTTTAATTTATTTATATTATACAAAATATTCATTTAATTAAAAAATTAATCTTTATTTCTTTATTTTATAATCAAACTTTCTATATTAAATATTATATAAATTATTTAAGTATATATTTTAACTATCGACTTATCGATACTAAAACCTTGCTATATATATAATGTACTGCAATTTACCTAGTATAAATTATAGAAAATGAGTAACTTGTTTAAGTGAATTGCGATCCTGATAATCTGATTGGTCTAAAATACTCCGGTAAATAATCTAACAAAAAGCTTGACATAAGCAAGCCTTACAACTACTCAATAATTTTATCATATAAAAATTTCCAAACCATAACCGGAAGAAACTAAATTTGCTACATACTCAATGTTAGTGTAGGCTTCACTCATTGCTACTGATAATACGATTTGCTAATGATACAATACACTTCAAGCTTCCAGACTCACAAAACAAGTTCGAACAAAGAATAATACTTAAATTATACTTGAACTAGAAATGAAATGTATTCGACACAAGGATGTGTTTCGACACATCTGTTACGACTTCTCTGATACCGATAGGAGAATTCGCTACATATTGAGGTTTGGAAGCACAACTAGTATAGCTTTGGAAAGTATTGCGCAATTAGAAAACTGGCGAGAGCTTTCTGAAAGCTGAGGTGAAGTAACGGGAACCGAAGAAGTCACTGGCAATAATTCGAAGAAATGGCACAATGTTCGAGCATTGAAGATCTTCTGATTCGAGCTGTCTTGGAGATGTATTGCCAAGGCGTCGCTTTCTCGCGCCAATCATAATCAGCCAAGGTGCCCTGGTGAGCTGCTTCCGAGGCTTCCCTCGTAGGTATACGAGCCTGGCACGCACCAGCTTCAGGATATGATCTGATCTCCCAGTTCATTACTGGGGCATCGCGAATAGAGTTCTGAGCTTTTGTACTCTTTGCGTAGTCGCCATTTTGATGTTTTCTTGTGTTATGCGTATGCGGTACAGCGAAAGTGCTTGACCACCTCCACCTCCACCACCTCCATCTCCATCTCCATCTCCATCTCCACATCTAGTATACCATATCCCTCCATCAACACTATCAACACCATCACACAATACAACAAATAATTGATCTTAATCCCATCCTAAACACCACCACACCATAATTTAAAATCCCATTCTAATAAACGCCACAAACTCCACAAACACCATAATTCGAACACCCATCTCTGTGCTGTCTGACAAAGCATTGCTGCAAAGCTATTATCTGCTGGATAATAACTGAACGCCTTTAAATCAGAGTCCATACATCTCTCTATACACAAAAACTCCACAAACACCATAATTCAAACTCCCATCCCCCAATAAACACTATAAACACCACAAATCACAGTTCCAAAAAAATTTCTTTCCCGGAGGCCTTAATTCAAACTCCCATTCCTTTTTTTTTTTTTGTGGATGTTACTTGTTTTTCAAAATTTAATTTCTTTTCAACTTTTTTGGGGTTTTCGGCTTCGAGGCTCGAGGCTCGAGCTAGAGGTCACTATCTCCAGTTCTGCTCGAGTATCAATCCAGGATGAAAATTTTCACTTCCGCTCTGTGTCTCTCCCTCATCATAGCGGCATCATCCCGGGCCTTCAAACGAGCAGCTTGTGCTGCCATTGCACTGTCCCAAGCCCACCGGAGCGCGTCTTCAGCAGAAGCATAACCGTCAGCGGCTATGTTCTTGGCAAGGTGGTCCAGGGTCCTGAACCAGAGGTAGACACCGCTACCCTGGAGAAAATCGTTGAACGTCAGTTTATGTTGCATTTAAGTATAGGTATGTGGAACATACGCCTTCGTTCCCCCTCCCCCTTCCGGCCTGTCTGAATGCTTTGAGGAATGACTCCATCTTTTTTGATTAAAATATTAAAGTTTAATGATATTGAGAGAAGAAGAAGAAGAAGAAGAAGAAGAAGAGATGGAGGTTGAAGAATCGCATAAGTAGTCGTAAACAGAAGATTGCGTTTAGGAACAAGCTCATTTTTTAAAGGAAAATAAAGATACTTGCAACAAATAGGAAAATTAAAAATAAAAGATTAATGATGTCGAGAGAAGAAGAAGAGGAGGAGAGAAGAAGAGAAGAGATAGAAAAATTGCAAAAGTAATCGTAAACAGAAAATACTCAAAACAGGCAGTCACGACCACGGCGTAAACAAAGTAAACACAATTCCTCCGGTATGTACTGGCCATATATAAAATTCATCTCAACCCATACTTGAAGGCCTTTCCTGCTTTTCCAAGACCTTCCTTCACAATTCACTTCCACTTAGACCACAGTCCGCATCCTTAAAAAGGTAAGTCTTACCCTACTTCCTTCCCATTACATCCCTCATACAATAAACTTTCATCTTTCTCACCACAAACCGCACAACATCATAGGTTAACCCTGATACCATTAATACCATCAACATCATAATTCAAACCTCCCATCCATACATCACCGACACCAAAAATGAACCTCGTCCCAAACATCACAGAATCAGAAATTGAACCCTGAGCTTACCTACCCTACCACAAATACCATTTATATAAACTTTATTACAGTTTTCGGATCTTCCATTCCAATTAAATTTGCCTTAGCCTGAATTTGAGGAACTCTTATATCTCTTGTCTATGAAAAAACACCCCCCATATAAGATCCCCCCCTCACCAAAAAACTAGATCACTAACCCTCGATATGCCCTTCAAATCTCAACCCAGGGTGTTAAGAAAGCATTGGGGTAAAATTTCTACCGAGACCCTAGATACTTTCAGACAAACCACGGGTTTGAGTCCGTTGTACAGGAAGGTTCAAGAAAATTGCCGTATATCGGGGAACATTGGTGTACATTAGCTATAGCTCAGTACTTTGAAAGGAGACACTTGCCCCACCTGCTCATTGTAATGTCCCTGAGTACAGTAGGGCCGAAAGGTTGTGAATGTCTTGTGTCATTTGAGTATCAGGAACATTCTAATCATTGGATTGTCCTGGGATGATTAGATCTTTCAAAGGCCCAGAATGTTCTACCCAAATATTTGTTATCAATCGGGATCGAGATTCGCATTATTAGTAGGCAAGAAGATTCATAAACAGACCACTGTACCTAGGTATTATTAATAGCCATAAAAATTCATTATCTCCATTTTTAATCTTAAGAAGCCCGACTCCGCTTCGCCAATAACAGTCATCAGCCTAGTCTATCCCCGACACTTATCTTCATCCTCTCCTTCCAAAGGGTACCCTTGGGAAATCCAGCGGCAACCTCAACTTCGCTGTCCTCCTTTGTGCGGCAGTCGCCTTGTCCAAATCCAATGCCTTTCTCCTAGCCTCTGGAAGTCCTACAACCCTCGCACCGATTTCCTTGAAATATTGAGTCATATCCTTCGTCTCCAACTTCAAATCCAACTGAAGATCATACAGATCGACTTCATAGCTATCGACTAGACATGCTAGTGCGCACACGTGAGTGATCAGAAGATCAGACTTGAATTTTGACATTACACCGGCGTCAGAATATTTGCGTCGAATATCTTCAATGACGGATTGAGGTAGATTATCACCCAACTTTGTTTTCATTTCTTCGCGCTTGGGCAGCATTCTACCGCCTCGCATTGGTCGAGAAGCCATGTGTAAATCTAACAAGAGAAGGAGATATCGTAAAACTCTGAGCTTATTAACGCCTGCGGTAGCTGCAGTGACGATCCTTGCCGACACATATCTCGAATTGGTAGTGATGTTCTTCTTTGCTTTGACTGATTGCTCCCATTCCAAAACCGGCACCGACTTGAAAATGTCACTTCCAATGAGACTGTCCACTGTGTACACATCTTTGATGTCTTTTGCAGCAAGGTCTGCTTTTGGTCGTGGTTTAGCTGCATCTGCTTGTTCCTCAAGATCTTTCCTGGATGCCATGCTAGATGTAGCTTCTGCCATAGATGCAATGATGGCTGATTTCGCAGCATCCAACTTCGCAGGTTTAGCACCATCTGCGAGTAATCTTGAGCCTTTGTTTGCTGAGATGGCGTTCTCCGTGACAGAGGCAATAGCTTTCTTCGCTTTTTTAGTACCGAAAGTCTCTCCAAGGTCGTTTCGAAGCTCTCGGATAGTCTGTGGGGAGACATGTTAGCATCTATCTTAATATGTTTCCCGGTAGACATACATGTTTCGCAAATTCTGCCTCCGTAGCTTGATGTGCTCTAACGCTTCCACGAACCACCATCTTTCGCGCTTCTACAACCTCTAATTTCCCGGTCTTTGGATCGTAAACCCCGACATAATGCTTCAATAATGTCTCGGGTTCACCCTCTTCTTCCTCCCGTGCTATGTAATCAAGTTTTGGATGTTCTGAGGAATGAAGAAGGACTTCTGTTGTAGCAATTGCACCACTACGTCCTGGTCGTTGGGAGGCATTCTTGCGAGGCTTTGTGAATGGTTGAAGTGATATCGATATTGGCATAGACAATCCAGGAGTTGATGCTATAAAGAGTCAGCTTGCCCATGGCTATGATCACTTGTTTTGACACCACAATGGTTCTCCTAATTCAAAAGGAAAAACATACCAACCACAGGTGCCCATTCACCACTATCTTTCAGAGAAATCTCAAGATTTTTGTTACCCTCAATTGCAACCTTTTTGGTTGGTCTCGAGGATCCATCAGCGTTCTTCTTACGCTTCTTACTCTTCTCAATGTTGTCCGCCATTTTCTATTGCAATAAAGATTGTATGAAGCTGCCCGGTCTGTTCTATCGCAAAGTAAATAAATTTTTGGAACGGTCGGCAATTGGAAACTTTTTTTTCCGACTTTTTGCCAAGGCCGGCGAGGCTAAGGCTGAGATGTTGAATTGTGGCTGGTGTTTGTGGCAACAACATTGCAGCTTTCCATTTTGTCAGTTAACGAGTGTGATAAAATGGACCGTTAATAGAAATTCTCAGTAGAATAGCCAAAAGTGTTTCTTAAGAGCAAAGTGGAGGAGGGAGATGGATTTGAAGATCGTGAGCATGCAGCTTCGCTCTCAATCTTCGTTCCTGCACAATGAGTAGCGTTTATTTATTATTAACGTGCGGGGAAGCTCATATATCAACAGCAGCTTTCAAAAACATGGCGCTGGAAATTTTGACTGTTAGTGTAGTATTATCAGCAAGCAGTTGTTCGATCACTTTTAAAACTATTCACGATGTGCAAAAGAGAACATGTGAAGAAGAACTTCAGTTTTTTTATTCATTCCTATCAGGTTTGAAGTCATAAAGGCATTTAGCATCAAAGGCAGCTTCTTTCCCATAGCTTCTTGGTTTATAAACCCTCAATGAACAAATCGACATAGCATTGTTGACCGATCCTGCTTCCTTTCAAAAACATCCACCATTTGCTATTGGATGTGCGTCACCATGCTGCTCTTTCCTTGAACACCCAGCCGCCGACGAACGAAGCGCGAACTCCGAACTTGTTGGTGAATACTGAAATGCTGAAAAAGGTGAAGACGTTGGTGCGAGAGATGGCGCATCCGAAAAGGGTTAAGTTGTCATGATGTTATGATTCGAGAGGTAAGGGGAATCGAGATCGAGTTGTTTTGAGTTGTTTACTTGCTATAGAGGGATCAGTAAATGTTCACCATAGGAATTTACCCCACAGCGAAGACCGCCTACAGGCAAATCTTCGACGTGAAGCAAACGAGGGAGATGCAAACTTACGATCTGGCACGAGTCTTGCGGCGCTTTCGCTTCAAGCGCCTAGTGCGCTTCTTGCGCCACTTGGCTCTCCTAAAGGCAGTTGTTAGCTATAAGAACTTGAAGTTGATGTGAAAGTGTCGTGAATGGAGAAGAGGGGTAAAACGGGTGGTTTTCATGAAAATGAGGGGTAATTGTATGATTGTGATGATTCAAGAGCTTTCAAGAGCATGAAATGATTCTTGACGACAATTAAAGGAGGAATAGAGGAATTAAAACTTACATATTGACTGTAAGTTTGTATGTGAGTTGGTGTGGTGAGGGAGAGAAAGGAAATTCCGTTGATTGAAGCTTCAAAATATGGTGGTCAACCTCGCTTAATTTTCGAGCTAATTTAGCGCAATTGGAGATCTTAGGGCTAGTCACATGATTGTACCCACCTTAGCACCTTATCCTTCAGCTTCTGATGTTCAACATCCTTTGGTCGGGCCCGACCTCAGGTACGTTACTGCGGTTTTCCAATATAACATTCCGTCAACGGAGATCATTCCCTTCGAAGGCGCTTGTTTTTGCAAAGGATTGGGCACGATCATGTGATATAATTTAGCATGCAAGTTAGCTACCTACTAGGTACTATCCTCCCAATCTCGAATATCAATTCAAACATTTGAAGTCACATTTGAAATGCCTTCAAAACAATATCACATATTCAATACCAATTTGAAATATTCAAAGAATCCCCCTATCTTAATACCCGCATACCCACGACACATGAAGAACTTATTGTAAACCACACCTCCTTCTTTAGCTGCTCTAAATTGTCCAGCAAGGGCTGATCTATATATTAGCATCCATTGATTTGATAACGCCCATCGGAATCCGTCAATATCGAATAGTACCTAGGTATGTAAATTACGTTCAAAATGTAGGATTTTCTCCCCCTGTACTTTCTTATACAAGAAATGAAGGAACGATTCATTATCTAAACTCATCTACCCATACTTTTTCTGCGGGTATTTGAAGAAGAGCTATCTCATAACGAGTATATCATCTGGTTGCTGTTCAGATGTGAAGTTCTCCAACTCTGTCTCCTTTAACGATGCTGCATTCGATTTTGTCTGCATGAGATGGTTTCTTGTTTGGTCCTCAGTGTAACCTCAATTTCATCGTCGTCTTCGTCACTTTCTTCACTGTCGCTCTCGTGTGAAAGTCACTTTCAACGTCATCCTCGATCTCGCTCAGCTCGTCCGAGTAGGTCGATGTCGGTAGCTCCATCCGATGCGGTGCCCATAAATTCCACATCATTATTCTCCTCTTCTTCTCAAAAAGTATCTTTTGCCTTACCTACATTAAATCGCTCCTGGTTTGATCCTCACCTAAAGAAACCACCAAAACGGCACTCCAATATCTCATATCGACTCAAACATCTAAAAAGTCTTACTTATAGCCCTGCAGGTCATGGGAATAATTGCTCATTCGCAAACAATGTTCTCAGTTGTGGACTGTCTATTAAGTATATCATAATATGAGATTAACTGAGGATTCTGATTTCTATAGCTGAAATGCATAGACAATGAGCAGCACATAAACATGAATTCGTCGAGACGCGCAATGCTCGGGTAAAGTATTTCATTGCTTGATGTGGTGCTTAAAAGAAACCAAACTTTTGTCGGAACCATTAAAATAAGATTCCCATTATCTCATGTGTGTTCGAACAATCGAAGCCTCATCAGTACGGATGTGAGAGGCTTCATCATGGGGGAGAAGAAGCGCCAGTTTGGTTTAAGGTATGTACATGACAATGTTCATAGTAATTGAAACAAATCCAAAGATACATCTTCAGAGTCCACATCAATCTGAGTATTTAGGTATTCAAACTTCCACAAACAAACGTATACTACCTGAAACTACATAAGTCCCGTTTTCCCCCAAGATTATGGAGTTGGTTGATGAACGATGGTTCCATCTATGGAGGCACGTGTTGGCCAAACTCAGAATAGGTCACCATTTCACCATTTCACCATTTCACCATTCCACATTCTTAAATTTTATTCCTCACCCTCCCAACTTCAATACTCGTCAAATATTTCAACTCGTATTCGCTTACCATCATTCCTTAACTAGTATCAAACCTAGCTCTTAGGTGACATTGTTTCTTACTGAGTCCTCTAGATCTACTGTCTCTCTAGTGATGATGAGAATCACCTCATGCATTTGAGTGTTAAAACCAATGCGAACACTTACTTGACTTAACCAACATCATTCGACCTCATCACATTCCGAATATTCATTCTCTCCTCATCTGGTTACCTTCTCTCATACTTATAAATCTATAATCAATTGCTTGATATGAAATCCTATTTTTCACATTTGTCTCATATTCACCTTCAAGACCCTTGGATTACCCACGATGGAGGCGACAGACTTTATTATTGACGAGCCCAGTGGCCAAAAGCATCTTGAGAACATCGACCAATCTCTCATGAGGTTCCATGGCAAGGAGAAACATGATCTAGATAGTTATCCCATCGCAATGCTCAGTCATGAGAACGCACAAACTGGCCAAAAATTCAGTTTGTAATCATTTCATCATGTCAACTTTCACTATCTGATGGATTCATATAGCCATTCCTATCTCTGCTAAAGGCTTCCTTCGTGTAGGGAGGGATCCGAAGTGGTATGTATGTACTTCTTTCAATCAATCAATTGAATGCTAAAAATTTAGTGATTTTTCCATTGACAGCATCATTGTTTCCAAGCAACAATTTCGCATCTATGCCATCATATATGACGCAGAAAAACTGGATGAGTACCCTCCTTCTATCTACTGCGAGGACCTTGAATCCATGAATGGTACCTATGTGAATGATGTACTGATTGGAAAACTTGGTAATGAAAGAATTGGACATCTTCTCGCTGATGGAGATTTGATTGAGATCCGACCCGATTGGAAGTTTCGATTTAACCAACCAAGGTCAAGAATGACATCCCATATGTCTTTGCCTGATGTTGAACTTCAAGTAGGTCATCTCATGATCCCCTTCCAATATCTCTTTGCATCTTAACTGAATCTGTTTAGTACTTTCGAGATCGCTTTACAATCTCCAACCATGTTCTTGGTAGCGGTATTGCTGGGGAAGTATTCCTTGCCAATCGTGTTGGCACATCAAAGCAAGTAGCCTGTAAAGTCGTTAAACTAAGCTCCTCGGGACTCCCCGGCTCTCAAAGCCAAACGGAATCAAATCAGCAATATGAGGCCGACTTGAGGAGGAAAACATACCTACGAGAGGTTTGCATACTTTCCAGACTTAATCATGTAAGTCGGAGCCTCGTCACACACTCAGTCAATCACGCAGTCACACACTCTTTGCTTAATTGATCAAGACTAATGGGTCATAGCCGAATATTATTAGTATCGAGAAAGCCTTTCTCTCCAACGACAGATTGTACGTTGACTATGACATGTTCATTTTCGCTTCTGATTATCATTTAGATATCTGTTCACAGAACTTGCTGCAGCAGGAGACTTATACACCTACTTCGATTCTTGTGACAATAGGCTTGGAGACGGACAAGCCCGCCTGATTACGAGACAAATCGCTCTAGCTCTGGAATATCTTCATACAAAAGGAATCGCACACAGGGATATAAAAATGGAGAACATTCTCATCACAAACACAGATGTTGGATCTCGGGTCATTCTTACAGATTTTGGTCTTGCCAATCACACAGAAAAATCAACCGGCAGACTTTTCTCTTGTGTAGGCACCGAGGGTTATGTTGCACCGTAAGTTGTCATTGGAAAGGATAGTTAATAAAAGTTTGTACTGACTATAACAGTGAAATTGTAGGTTCCGATTCGACTCTAAATCGTGGCTATACAATAGCAGCGGACATGTGGTCATTCGGAATTTTGACATGGAGTTTGCTCACTGGTGAGAGCGAAATTCCTCGAGGTCGGTTGTCCCAACTCGAAGAGATTGAAGCTACAAAGCACTTTATTTCGTCCGACGAAAAAGAGGCAGCAGAGAAGTGGTCTTACCTTCACACGAGAGCTCGTTCATTTTTGCGGGGACTTTTGGCTATTGATGCAGGACAACGCATGACTGCTGTTCAAGCACTCAACCATCCATGGTACAAGGAGCCTTCTGCTTCCCTGGCAATAGAACAGGCATACGCACGAGCTATACAATTTTGGAGACCACGAGGCGATGGAGATATTCTAGAATATTTACCGGGATATGTAGCGCCGGCAGGAGGAGGAGTTGGCTCAGTTCGTCGAAAGCGCTTGCCTGACGCTTCTCAGTCGCCCTACTTCAACCTTGACCGCCATCTGCAGTCAAGGTCTCCGCAGATGGCGAAACGTAGACAGATACTTGACGATCTGAAAGAGTCTGGAGAATCCTTCATGGATGCTGAGTTGCAACAGGACATACCTAGACATAACACGAGGATCAGAGATCAGATTTCAGTGAATTCTGTTGCTGGCAGTGATTTATTTGGAAGCCAGACAGCTTTAGCGAATAAACAAATAGCAAACAGTGCGAATTTCAGCGATCGGACATCAGAGGATGTGAGCAAAACAGGAATTAACCAAAGAGCGATAGGAAATTCTCGGAGTCTTACGTCTTCTACTAAAACTAACAGTGCTTGTTCAAGCACGTTAAATGATGCGAGAGTAAGAAAAGAAACAGATCCTGCTAATCAAGGGATTCACGATGCCGCCTCACAGTTTTTAACTGGGTTTTGTTCGGCCAAGGCTTTCATGGACAAGGTTAACGTGGTCAGAAAAGAAAAAATCATGAAGACTTGATGAATGATTGCTCTTTGATGACAGTAGGTGGTTTGCAGGAGTTTCGAAGTTGAACCTGGGTTGCGGACACAGATTTGGGGAATACATTGGCTACGAGCATTGCGTATGGCTTTCTGTACAAATAACATCCCGACCGCTAGCTTAATTTTTCGCCCTTGATTATATTGATGTACTATTTATGCTACCTGCTCGACATTGACCTCGGTAATGATTATCGACCGGACATTTGCACCACTGTATTAACATACGAAATTGTTATCATTCCTCATCCGAAGACATGTGGATGACCGGCTCATTGCCGACAAGCCGATGTTGTCCCTCTAGCAAGGGAGGTACAGAGTTTGTTTAACAATACGTCATAGTTTTAGGTTATGAAAATGAATTCTTAATGGTAGAGACAGGTTGTTTTGTTATTTAAAGATATTCTTATATATACAGCAGAGTAATAATCGCCGTATTAATCTCTAATAGTGGTGGGGAAAGTGTTGGCGATATATACATATATTAACCTCTTGAATTAGTTCTCTTTTTGATTCTGAATTCCTTCCTATCCGCACAACAATAACATTACATAGAGACAATCGCAATGACTAGCCATGGAAATAACTCCACACCATCGATTGTATCCATACTCTCTGGAGGAATTGCTGGAGGAGTAGAAGGCGCAGTTACATATCCTATGGGGTTTGCTAAAACTCGAGTCCAACTGCATACTGGTCCATCCAAACTACCCCGGAATCTATTTCGGATCGTCCTACAAGTATAAGAACAAGAAGGTTTAAGAGCTTTATATAACGGGTGTGGTGCATTGGTATCTGGATCCATTGCAAAAGATGCCGTCCGATTCGCTTCGTTTGATAGCATCAAAAACGTCTTTCGAGATCCCGAAAGTGGTGTTCTTTCTCCTGCTCGTAACATGCTAGCTGGCATGGCAGCTGGAGTCGCAGCTATTATTTTCGCTGTCAAACCCACGGAACGGATAAAAACTGCCCTGATCGGTGATGCCCGGTCCACGAGGCAATACAATTCTACAATTCATTGTATACGTACCGTTGTCAGAGAAGATGGTTTTGTAGATTTGTATAGAGGTTTCATTGGCACAACACTCAAACAAGCATCGGCAACCTTTTTTAGGATGGGTTCATACAATATTATCAAAGATTTTCAGGTCGTACGTGAGATTCCACAGAATACTGTTGTCAACTTTGCGAATGGCGCAGCAGCAGGTGTCATCACTACTTTGGCTACACAACCTTTTGATACAATCAAAACGAAAAGTCAATCTTCCAAAGTAACAACGACTGCTCAAGCTATAGTTGGTATATTGAAAGATGGTGGTGTGAGGGCCTTTTGGAGAGGGACAGTCATGAGATTATCACGGACTGTATTTAGTGGTGGTGTTTTGTTCACAATGGCGGAAGCTGTGACGAAGATATTAAATCCTATCTTTGCACCGCGGCATACTTATGAGGCTTTCTCTTAATATCTCCTCTCCGATTCTAATTGTTTGATGTTGAAATGGTTATCAACGGCCCAAAAGTTCGTCTTACCTGACATTACAACATCTGTCATGATACACAGATTCCGTCATACACCCATGTTACCATCAATTGATTCTCAATTGGACTCAAATACAGGATCAGATATCTTATTCATGCTAATCTTACAGCCAATGGCAAGTGATACATCAAGTTTTATTGGTCTCCAGCTATGCCAGCAAATAAGGGCCCTTTTCCCCGGATATAAAGCATGAAGAGATATTTGGTTTCCTTGGCTTCTAATTATTTCCCAACAATCATCCGTACAACAATACATCAAAACTTTCTTCAATCACATCGGCGTCAAGCCTACCATGCTCGATCTCTTCACCACCCTCTTCCTAGGCATCTTCATCATTCTCGGAAATGGAGTTTTCCAACACATGCACCCGCCAAACGCATTTCTTCTCTACGGTATCGAACAACCCGAAGCGATTATTACCGGTGATGCTGAATGATACGTACTCGGGTCACTAGAATTCAAAGGGGACACGATGGATATATTGGTACCGACTCGATTGCTTTTTTTGGATTTTAGATTCGTGTGCATCGATCCAGTATCTGGCTGTGTGGTTTTGCACTTGCTGCTTTCAATGGAGTGATGATACGTTCAAAGGCGATCAGGTACTTGTTCTAATCGTTACTTGCAAGGCTTTAAATAACAAACTTCTTATAGATATAAATATAGACAGAGATGGAAGTTTGCTTATTTAGATATGAGAGTGTGGTGTGTAGTTGGGGGAATCATATATGTTGATATGTGGTGTCGAGTGGTGTGGTGCTAGAGAATTGGTATTAAGTCAAGAACTAAGATGGACTTGTACATTTATACATTTGTGCATTTGGGATATCGATATTGCAATTATTAGAAGAGTTGATAGGGAAGGACTAGAACTTCTTGTTTGTTTGAAGATGCATAGAAGCATAGATGCTCGATTATGTTGCTTTATGTTACTTTCTGTTTGAATATGGATGGTTGTAAGATTAGATACCTGGAGCACCAGCGTTTCTTCTAGGGTTATTTATTTGGGAGAATGAGAGCGGAGATTTGGGTAGATGGCTATATACGTAATTGTATGATTTTATGATTTAGGATAGTAGTAATGGTGTAACTTAAATATCTATGAATATTAATAGCTATACTGTAAATCTCTCTTTATGATATTTAATTTAGTTAATATATTGTTTTCGATTAAGGTATATATATACTTGTGTATGCTCATCAGTTAGTTAATAAATAAACAAATAATATCTTGAACATTAAATTAATATATTTATCTTTAGTTTTGATTATAGATTATCTGAGATAGTTTAATAGATTTATTTAATTATTTATATTTTTGAGATTAAAATATTAAAAAAGAGAGATACTTTATATAGTTTTTATTATATAATTTATTAAAAGAATGATAATATAATATTTGATTAAGTTAATTCAGATATAGTTTTAGAATTTTGAAGTTGTTTAATTTGATAAGACTTGTTCAAATTCTAGATTTTCTATATAGAAGTGAGTGTTTGATTGGATATTTATATTTTCTCCGGAAAATAAATATCCAATATTCATTTCCATATACATAATCGTCTATACATCAAATTCAGAAAATACAAAAAATCATTGATATTCACTAAAGATACTGATATATCCATTAGATATATCTCAACATTTGCGAAAAGGAGTCTAACTTAATTCTCCCGCATACATTATTCTTATATTATACTTTACCGAATAATGGTATTTAATCATCTAGATCTAATACTACGATCTAGACAAAATGAAATAGCGATGAAACTTTAAAAAACCATAAAGCGATTGGAGTGATCTACTCCTTTAAAGTACACGATTGATAAATGTATTCTTAGATAATCTTACTAGTAGATGTATTGATTTTAGCGAGTCTTCAACATGTATATCTATACTCATCCCACCTAGATACTAATATAAATTTCCATCCTAAAAGCCTAGAAATAGAAAATGCTATACATTACAAATAGAGATAATAACATAAAACCTACAATGAAAAAAATCAATATATCGATTAGGCTACAGACCAGGCCAGGCCAGGTCTTCCCTCGCCTGCCCGTATATAAATCGTCCTAGCCAAATACTCAACCGCAAAACCCAAATTAGCGAATCGAACCCAATAAATATCACAACATTGCTCATGTACAACAATTGACCCCAGCCTTCTCCACATCCAGCCCTAAGAGACTAATAATGTGATTGAAGACCGAGTGGATATCATTGCTACCTAGGTCTAGACCGGTATAGAATTCGTTGGTAAAAGTTGGATAATTGGTGTGAAAGTGTTATTTGATAGGTGTATATAAGTTTGAGTATATCCAGCTTCTCGAGTATTTTTTCATTATCATCATTATCATCAGCAGCAAGAACAACAATTCATTATCATAGAACAACATCTTAAATATATTTTGATAAATTATATCTCATCTCATCTCTTCACAACTCAATTGCAACCCCAACCCAAAAAAGTAATCAAACACCAACACCAACAAAATGCCCCGCGAAAACAAACCAGCCACACGCACCAGCTCCACCTCATCCCACAAAACCCCCAGTAGAGGAACACCACAAACCACCAAGAAATCCAGCAGCAGCACACGCATCCCCGAGATCCGCATCACAGAAGCTCCAACACGTGCACCTAGCAGCAGTTCAAACTCAACATCAACTTCAAAGCCACATGTAAAAGCAGACCGCAAATCAGACTCACGAGCTTCCAACTCAACACGTTTATTGGTACCATCCGACTCATCCACTTAGAAAGATAGGAATACCGCAGATGGTGGGAATGAGAGTGGTGGTTCGCGGTCTAAGCGGTAGGATGGAGATGGGGAGTGAGATTTGCTGAAGAGAGGTATATGTAATCTTATCTTGTCATTGATTGATGTTTAAGATCACGGGGATTTGAGGTAATATCGGAATGGCAGAGAGAATATATATAGCAAGATTGTTTTCTTTTAATGATAACCTTTTCAGCGTATGGGTGACAGTATATAGCATATGGAGTGAGATTAGAGTGGGTGTTATAATCAGCAAACTACCGCATCCATAAAGAAAGATGAAAATAACCAGGCCAAACCCGAAGAATAAACACAATAGAGTCTTTACAGAAACAACTAGCCATTTACCAAAATTCACACTCCTCCACACCCCCTCCATACTAACCCCTACATTCCTCAGCCTATCTTTCATAAACAGCAATCTCAATACTCCATCCACACTTCCGTTCTCACTCCCCCCCCAAAACTCCAAATTCCAACCCACACCACCCCATCCCCATGCCCAACCACATCGACCTCCCCCCTAGAAACCCATCCACCTTATCTCCCCCCAAAAACGGTTATTACTATATACAACAAATCACCAATCACCAGTCTCCAGTCACCAATCCACCTCCAGACCTACTAAATAGTAAATAATAAACAATAAATAATTCCCAACTAAAGTACTAATACTATACATCCACATCCATATCCACATATACCTACTAAGTATATCATACGCATAGAATAGCTCACCAGCTCACCAGATCACCAGCTGGAGCGATCTCATATTTCTTTAGCGACTTCGACAGAGCATTGAGAGGAGTTTATCGATGCGCTTTTTTCTCCAGTATTACAAGAGGGATTTGAAGAGGTAATTTTAGAAGGAAATATATGTGCTATGCACATAATTTATAATGTGCGGGTTGTGGTTTTTCCTTGGAGAGAAATATGATGTGGTGTGATAGAGGTAATAGATATTGATACACCTGTCTACCTCTATAATCCAACACTTATTACAAGCCCAACTGAAACGCAAGGCGGATACTTGAACGGATTTAATTTAATTAATAATCCACATTATGTAAACCTCAAACCTCTATCTGATATCTACAACCAAAAATCCTCTATCATTCCAATTATGCACAATATACTGCCCAGAATTTCCCAACCTCGCAATTAACTAGAGAGCATAACCACCACTACTTGCTACATTCCAAGCCCTCAAGCCTCGACCTTCTTCCAATTCCACGCACCACCAAAGCACATCTCTCGCTTTATCCTTCTGGCCTCCTAGTTCATAAGCTCTGGCTAATGAATACCATGCTTCTGAATAATACCAACCCGAACCTAATTTTGTTAAGCCGGATAAAAGTCCATAGGCACGGTCGCGAGCTGCAAGTCGATCAAGTTGAGCAGCTTCATTCTTCTCTGGAGCAGTGAGAATATCTCGTTTGAGACAAGTAGGAAGTGGAAGACCAAGAGGTCCTGTAGTCGAGTCAGGGAGTGTTGATGACTGATGTGGTTTTGATTGACCTGAGGTATTGAGGATAGAGGTTGAGGGAGTACTAGCAGAAACTGTGGGAAGAACAAGAGATGGTATGGTCGGTGGGGGCAGAACATCTTCTGTATATATGTCTAGCAAAATATCGGAAAGCCCAACAGTCGCAGCAGGGTGATCTGCCGAGTGGCTCAAAGCAGCCTCGAAATTTTCAAGTGCCGTATATGGAGAAGATTGATCGACAAAAAGATAGCCACGCTGTAAAAGACATTAGTAAATTTCGAAAACTTGTTTGATTCAACGTACCTCGGAGTAAACATCACCCCATAATTCATCCACACTTTTTCCGCCTCCCCAGCCAGGATGATCAAACGACGCCAATCCGGTAGGGTCGTTGACAATATCTGTCTCTAACCCGTTAACCAATTTATGCGCTTCTTCAATTGCACCTTTAGCATCTTCGTACATGGTTGCTCGTCGATAAAAGCCAGCAATCAGTAGCCATACTCGGACTAATGTTGATATTCTTCGTCGCCTCTCAGAATCTTTGGAGAATCGTGTCGTGGGGCTTGGTAATAATGAATGTGGAGTAATTGGGAGACGATTGTCTTGAACCACGACATGATTAGGATTTGCTGCTTTGAGAGCCGGTTCTTTCTGCTCCATTTGCTGCGAGGATGGAGGTATTGGTTTTGAGCTCTCCTCAAAACGAATTTCCCGATTTTGCCCATCTATTTCCGTCGTAGCTCCGTCGGTCTGTGTTCTCCCTACACTGGCGCTTCTATCTGGCCCTTGAGAAGGATTTCTGAGATTTGCCTTTTTATGCAGCTTTTCATGATGATCTACAGAACGACGACGTTGTTGTCTTCCGGCAGTACCATTCTCATGAGTCACTTGAATAGTTGGTGCCTTGTGGACCATGGAATGCGCGGTATTTGGTCTTTGAGAAATTGTGCTCTGTTCTATTGAAGCCAACATATCTTTTCGCGCTGACCTATTTAGAGACCGTCCAAATATACTTCCTTTCATAGTCCTAATAGTTCCTGCATAGGTTTTCGGAGGTACCAATGCAACAGGTTGAACTATTGTTGGAACAACTTCCTTGGAGGGGTCGCCGAATAGTCTTGTGTATAGGCCTAGAAGTTCATCACTGCAGTTGACTGCAACTTCAGAGCCCTCAAGGACTTCTATGAGGGATAATTGAGTCATCTTGACCTCTAAGAGATTTTCTTTTTCAAAGTCATCCATTTCATCCACCAAGCCTCGATTTCCTTCCATGGGCTTTTCGTTAAAATTCAGGTGGTCGCTTCTAAATGAACCATCAAGTTCAGATTCTCCATACAGGTTTTTTCGTTCTCCAAATTGGTCAAAAACCCCCTCACAAGATCTCACTGCTGTCATGAAATCTTGACGTGCACTCAGAAGTAAAGCCATGAGGTGCCATAAAGGTATCAAAGATCTTTCTCGTGCAAATTTGGTCGTAACAAATGAGCCGTTGCCATTTGGTAAACTGGGACGTAGAGGAGCAAGTCCGACCTTTACAACTTCAATCGCGGTAGATATTTCTCTGCGCTCTGCAAGGATTGTGCCTAATGCGAAAAGGGTTTCAACATCTGCTGTACTTTCATATTCTGGAAGAAGAGCCCGCCGAAAGCATTTTATAGCCTTCAGTTGAATATTCCCTCTCGAAAATGTATCGAAAGTTAATCGTGCCCATTGCGAATAGCCAATTCCAATTGACCGCCAAGCAATAGCAAATACTTTTGGCGATATAAGAGTGCTTGACACCACCGAGGTGCCATTTTCGATTAGCCGCTCGGTTCCATTCCGCTGTTCGAGTGGATGGTGTTTAGTCAGCCACTCCTCAAAAAAGTGACCAAGGTCTTTCGCTTTCTCTGAGGCTTCTCTTGAGCCATATCGACATAGAGCCCTGATACACTCAGCAGCGGTTTTTAACACTGTTTCATCGTCATCTAAACCGTGTTCCAATTCCCCTGTTTTCTCTACCCGAGCTTTCCCTCTCTTCACAATCTCCAAATAGGTATCAAATGCTTTGAACGCTAAATCAAATTCCGCGACTGCAATATGAACAGTGAATAAATGCCGTAAAATTGGCGTGGAATGGAATGTCTTGGTTGCGGCATTATACAGGATGTCCAAAACCCCTCTGCTAAGCGCTTCTGATCCCCCTTCGCCAAGTTCATGTTCTTCCCATGAATTCCCACACAAAATTCTCCAGTTTTGCATGACTAATTCCACAAATGTTTCGACTTCCTCACTCGGCTCTTCCGCCTTCGGAAACTGTACTTCAATTAATAACAATTCCTCGTAGCGTGCTTCCACTCGTTTTAATTCTGCTCGTTGCTCCGATCTCAATGATAAGTCAGGGTATGCGATGGTCAGGGCTGTGGTGGGAAACGGTAGTTGTTTTTGGAGTAGATCGGATACTGTGATATAGTATTCTTTCCAGACTTCTCGCCTTGAGACTTGAGCATTCATTGTGCGGCCAACCGGCTTGGTTGGAGCCCATTCCCAGAATCGAGACCAAGCGCGAAAGGATGACAACGTCTCGGTTTCGAGTATAGGGGTTATCTTTGTTCTGATAGCATGACTTGCTAGCATGCAAAATCCTGCCAATAACTCTTCAATCCAACCGATCAATTCCTTCCGGCCGTTTGCTTGTGTTGTAGTTGATATGCTTCCAAGTATAGGCAAAGCCGAATCAAACGTTTCCAATGCTTCTGGCACATTTCCAATTCTTCGTTGCGAATCCCCCTTGATAAATGATGCCTTGAGTGCACACACTTTCGTCCATTCGTTCGATTCTTTGTTGGTCCCATCAAGCTGCGAAAACTCGCCTTCTATACTCGCAGGTAAACTCGAAGCTGCCAATTCGTGCTCTCCCATATGCCAATGTATCCAAGCAATACAGACCTGCGCCTGGAAATCATCCTCGACATGTTGCCGCTCGTTCGCTATAGCTTCTTGGAGTGGTTGTATATATCTGGAGAGGTTCGAGGATGTGGAGCCCGCTGTCGATGGTCGGGTATTAAGATAGTGTTGTGTGACCGCATGTTCAGTCTCTGCAGTCAACGTGAGACCTATTGCAACAGGTTAATACCGAACATCAGTGCCAGGATCCTGAGAATAAAATATCGATTCAAGGAACATGGTAAAAAGAACATACATGTTCGGGTAGGCGCATGTTTCCTAATCTTTCTGACAAGTTCTGGCACAGAATCCCAATTCCCTTCACTACGAGCCGTGTCCAGGAGTTGAATATAATTGGCCGCTTTCGATTGTTCACGCTAAACTATGTAAGCAAATGTATAGAGCATTGTGTCCTTCTAGATATACTCTACTTACACTCATGTTCGCACGTATTATTATTTACTGGGCAAGCAGTAAATGTGTGTAAGAAGGAATGGGGGATGGTTAACAGTGTGAAGCAAATGACAGCATGGTCAAGGAGGTCGGTCACAAGTACGAGGAGCCAAGCTCAAATGGAATTGTGGAATTGGATGAAATCAGGAGTTTATTATGAAAGTAAATAAATGTACTGGAAGAATGGTAAATCGGCTGAAGATCTTGATATTTCGTATTTCATCAGTTCAATTAGGTAGTTATTATTATATTAGGTAGATTGGCTATTCATATCAATTTACAGAGTTCTCTGGCTCACCAGTTCTTGAACAGAACCATGGATACCTACTGTCTAGGTACCCTGCTACATTTTCCCTAGAACATTTTGGCGGTTCAGGGTTTCTCAGCAATCAGGTTTAATTTCTCTTGGCGGTCGGACCGGATTAATATAAATCCATCATCCCTATTTAGTAATTCTTCACATGAATGCTAGTCAAGACGGGACTGAGGATATATAGTATAAGTACTAGGGTATAAATACTAGACACATACTCATATAAATCTATTTTGATTTGTTTTAATATCCCGATTCAGAATAACATGAATTGAGTTGTGGATATATCCAGACAAGGCTGAATAAAATATGTTCCTATCTACTACATATTCTCCTGAGAGGCGGCTTCGGAAGAATATAAATCCATAATACGGCGACTGACTGAGCTAGCCTCTAGGTAATGCTTGTACTAAAGTTCATGAGCCAATCATAGCCCAGTCTTTGCATATCCCGAGAACTTGCACCAGAGATTTTTTCACATGCGAACGCTACCACATAAAGGTAGATCTTCCAGTCTGAATGGTGATATGATTATGATAAATCGACTTCCCTTCTAACTTCAATTTTTCTTCCTATCACCCTACACATTCAGTTGCTCCAAGAAGTTCTCCAATACCGCAATAATACGAGTCTCGCTGGCGAAAAGTAAAACTTATATTTTCCTTTTTTTTAGAGATTTTCGCAAAATCAAAAGGAAGGAGACTCAATTCAAGATTTAAGAGGATGTCTATCCCATCTGAACTGCGCATTCTTTGCCTACGTCTTACATCTACTCCTCCAAAAGATCTTCCGAATCTTACGCCTACTCTTGTTCAACATGCCCTTCAATGTCAAATTCCCCTCTCAAACCCTAGTGTGAATTCAGGGAAGGCGGATGCATCGCAGTCGGCAGTTTTGGTCCACAAATTAAAGACCCAATTGACAACCTTATTGAATGGCAAGAGCGCCGAGGGAAGATTCGCTGCTATCGTCTTGATCAAGGTCGTGGTCGAAGTTGGAGGTTGGGAGATTTTGCGCGACGCAGGGTCTTGGGTGCGAGGATTGCTTTCGGTTCTTGGAGTACGTGTGAAGATTGTTTCTGTCGTTTACCGGTACCATGTTTGTTCAAGTCGCATACTAATGATTATATTAGAAACCAGACTCAAGTGCTGCCAAAGAGCTGAGTATTATAGCACTAACCAAGATCTATTGCATGACCCATCAATACCAAACCTTGGTCAGAGAAATCACCACGCCGACGTTACCCACCTTTGTAACGTCTTGCTTGAATGTAATATCTCCCAAGACATCGATGAATATCTTAGATGTAAATCCATCATTAGTAGAGACAGTCTTCCGCTCGTTTGCCATGTTGCTGCCTCGCCATACTACCATCTTCCGCCCTTTCGCATCCCAGTTACGTGCTGCCACCAGACCATATTTAGCATCCACACTTTGTGATCAGTGTTTTGTTCCGTTATCGGTAAAAGAGAGTGCTCGTAAACTGGTGGTCGTTCTGCACCAGACAGTCGCGAAGAATGGTGGAGGCGAGGAGTGGGGAAAGGCAGTTCGAGACCTTGTACAAGACATCCACATAACTGCCGACCAAGTGTTTCGAGCCGTCGTCGAAGACTGGGAGTCGACTGCTGGATATATCGCTGAACCTGTAAATGTTAATGAAGAGCTCTCCGGTGGTGCGCGGACACCTGAGGATCTTTCTCGCTGGATTGGTATTGACGCTGGCATCGAAAGATTGATAGGCTTACTCGAATTTCTGGATGAATATTTAGGAGGGCCCACCCCTTCAGCTGTCACAATTCCGGTCGGATCTATTTTCGACTTAATAACCAGGATTTTGTCTATTTCTTTGCCCTCGCCCATGGACTCGAATTCCGGAAGTGTGCGGTTGCATCCTGCAATCGACCGTGATGAGAGAGATGGATTGTGGACTGGCCTGCCAAAAGTTTTTGTTTCTGTATTGCATTTGATCAGCACGATGTCTGTCATTTTAGAACAAGGTTTCGTTTCCCTTGCCCAAGGAAGTCTCGACTTGCTGATTTGGTCCTTTTCGTCGGGGAGGAATCACCAAGACTTTCGTGCATCGACATATTCTTTAGCCTGTAAAATTCTGCCGTTGGTCAGGCAAAGCTTAGATAAACCACGTGTCGCAAAGCTTGTTCCACTAATGCGAGCATGCTGTAAAGATCTGGAGACAAGTTATTCGGGCATCAGCAGCTCTGAAGCCAATAAGTCTCAACCCAAGGGTTCGTCAAGTCAGAATGCAGATACTTTACTTCACGGCTCCATATCCACGGTTGTCGTTGTCGATCCGAATGTCATTGTAGCAGCTAGTTCTCTTTTACCTGTATTGTTGTCCGACCTTCCGCAGGGGTATCTTGATATATCCATGCGTTCTCAACTCGAACGTACAGCAATTCTCGGACGTAATAAAGAAGCAATGTTGGCAAGCATACTCAATCCATTCGTTGGAAAGAACGGAAAAGCATTGTCGAGTATTCTTCCCCATATCACGAGGGCGTTTCCAAATGACGATACAGTGGAGATCCTCTTACGTCCCCGCATGCCGATCATACCTGCTGGAGGACATGGCACTTCCACGCTTGATGATCTTGCAGAAGACGATTCTGAAGACGATGTCATGGATAGCATAGATGATGCCGCCGCCATTAGGCAAAGAGCAGATGCTGTTGATGCACCAGATTTTCAGTCAGCAAGAAACGAAGTGCTAAACCCATCAGAGAAAAAGTTCGATGTTGGACTAGGTACTATTGCCCAGCAGGACTTGCCTAGCCAATCTGGGTTTGAAGCATCCGCGCCTCTTTCGGTTATCCCTAGCGTTAGGTTCCCTAATACTGAGTCATTAGCCCCAACTACAACAAATGCTGATACTGTCATGAGCTACGATGATGCTAAAGGGTCGGATTCAGATTCAGATGTTAGCGTGCATCTTACAATGCAGTTGGACTCGGATAGCGAATAAATACATAAAATTTGTCTCAGGAACCAGACAATGCACTATTACCGAGCTACTTTGTTGCAATTTCATGCCTTTTTTGATCAGGTAGAAAAACAAATAGCTTCAGGCTGTATCATCTAAAATAACTTGTGGAATAATGACAACTTTGCAGTATATAGAGAATCACGACAGCCAGCTTTCGCTGCATTTTGCATATCTGAGAATCATTTCTCCTAATAAACTATTGCTGAGTCAAATAAAAACATTTTGTCCGCCATTAATATGTTCCGTCTCATAATTTTACACCCTACCAACTGCAACACGGGCTCTTTTCTCCGAATTACACAGAGCATAGCTACTATACTGCAGCTACCAAGCCTAGTAGAAAGTGCGGGATTAATCCATGTCCGTCGATGTGCACCATACCACCATGCACCTGGAGATCTACTCATGATAAACGGAATCAGATTGGAAGTATCTAGTGATTTTAAAGAGAGTGAATATATGGACTAGAGTGAGGAATATCGATATTGAAAATAAAACCCCTAGCTTCTTGACTAATCAAGTAGATCCTTTATAATATAACTTGTTTCGACTTTATATCTTTATATATATACATACATCGCCTTATGTATCAGTATAGATTTTCCTTTATTTTTATATGCTTTTATCTCTATCTCTCTATCTGTCTGTCTCTTCCTTTCTATATGCGTCTATCTTTATGTCTTTATGTGAAAGCTAGAAGTTAGTCATCTATCTATCTACTAAGTAATCAGCACCTTTATTCAAACTGAAATAAACTCATTAATTAAATCTCCCAGTCACCCGGCACGATTTCATTTTTCACCCTAAGAATTAGAATTTTTTTGCTTACTTGTTATGTATGGTACGGGACAGTGCGTAATATGGGGAGTCTGAAATCAATTTACTTTGTTCCTGGGTGTGTTGATTAGGTTGTGAAGTGAGTTAGCTTGTTAGTGTTTGAATAGAAGAGGTTGAGGGAGTTTATGTGTGAATTAGATTTATTGATTTATTAATAAATAAATTAATTTTATTTATATTTTTGATATTATCATCGCGTTTTAAACTTTTATTTTTAATTTTATTATTAATTAAAAAAATTTAATTTAATTCTTGTTATTATAAAGTGTATCTTAGTATCACGGGTTTAACCCGTTCTGGTTAGCCTACATGAGTGCATACGGTTTCCTCACCTTATATAGTCTATGCTCCTCCTAGCACCTTCTTTCCCTCTTTGTAGAATATCATCATATTAGCTAAAGACCTATCTACCACTGTGATACTTAGTATATAAAATAAAATAAAGTTTATAATATTTAATAAATATTTATTATTTCTTTGAAATGTAAAGTATATATTTGTTTATTTAATTTTTATAAGTTTTTGAAATAAATGATTTTTGATATAAAATCATACTTCGTTAAGCCCCTGACTCTCTTTAAAGACAATTTTAAGTAAATCTTAATTTATTTGTTGAATTATTATAATAGGGTATCAAAAAATATTTGTGAATAAATTAGTTTATTTATGAAAGACTTTACATTTTTTTTAAAGTCATCTCCATACTTTCACGACTTCAGTTTCAAGATAGGTACAACCTACCCTGTATCAACATTCTAATAAAAACGAACATCGCTCTTCTCCTAACTCGCCATCCCCAATTTCACCCATTCCGCCAACCCTCTTACTCTGCCAATCCGACTTATCCACGACATTTGCTGAACACTTTCCTCCAGCAAAATGCGACAATTCCCCCCCATCTCACCGGATCCAAAAAAAGTTTATAATTTGTAAAGGTAAAACATATACTCCTCGCTTCGCTCCTGCCAAGTCTACTACTCCTTCGAAGGCACGAATCGAAAGAATCTCCCATGACGCAAGAGAGCTCACCAGCAATCCTAAAGCTTCCATAGGAAAGCTTTCTGGCTTTCCTGGAACAGTAGCCGTGTGGAAACACAGGGTACGCAAGAACTACCGTGTTGACGGTCAAAGGGTCATGGTGAATGTTAGAGTCATACTGCAAAGAATCGATTATATTCGAATAGGCCAATAGGAACTCAGGGAGATCCCAAAAGAGATACCAAAAGAGAGATACAAAGCTTTTCATTGCCTTTCTAATACCATTCAAGATCCCCTTTATATAGGTGAAAACTCTTCCATTTAGCGTGAAACCTCCGGAACCACCGGCCCCCCTTTCGGCTAGCCGAGGTTCTGCCTTCGAAGATCGTAACAGTGAAGTCCGGAAAAAGTTGGGAAGAGTTTACTCCATTCGAAGAGTGTTTCGCCCTGTTCGCTGAATTTCATATGACATCCGGCAAACATCATCATGGGAGAGACATTACGTATGGAGCCATATCCGCCGAAGAAACAAGGAGGCTTCCAAGAACTTTGTCATGAAGTTGATTGATTGCTGTGACGTTTGTAAAAATTGACTACTAGTATCGTGGAAGCGAGGACGAGAAGTTGACGGTGGCGGTGGAAGCGGTTCAGCAAAAAGGAGAGCTGAACCACAACCACAGCCTCCGTTAGCCCCTGGTCCGCCACCCCTGGTCCGACCGGTCCCGGTATGATCGCCGCCGCTGCGTTTGGCCAAGCTCCATCCCTTCCGGTTCCTGACGTTTTGGTTCCTGACATCCCGATTCCTCACATTGAGGTACCAGATTCCTTACGCAGCGGCTCCCTCCTTCCTGCCTCAATTCCTTCTCCCTCCTTTCGACCCGCCTCATTTCGCCCCGCCTTTTTCTCCTCGCCTTCCTATCCTGTGATTTCTCCTACCATGTCGTCAGCCACTTCAGCTGGCTCCTCATCTTCTGCCGCCTCACCTCCTATCCTCGTTAGCCTATCTGAGGATGAAATTTTTTTACATCAGGAGCTCAACACTTTTTTAAGAAAGCCGAACACGTATACATTCTTTGGTGCTGAGGGCGCCAGCTTCTCTTAAGGCATTCTCTTCCTAATGTCATCGTGGTTTCCCGCAATTACAAGAAGTGAATGTCTGAGGAGCTGGGAGTATGCAGGAGTCTTTTGGTGTTAGGAGTGGTTGGAAATTACTTGGGTGTTTGGAGTTATGGTGTTGTGTTTTGCTTCTCGGTGGATACCCTCTGGGCTTTTTTGTGGTTGTCCTGTTTCTTCCAGCGCTCTAACCCTGGTTACGATCATTAAGGTATGCGAAGGAGCATATGGAGTAACAAGATACCAGACAGCGTGGCGAATGTTCATTCAAGTTTCGTTTTTGTTTTTGTTGCTGTTTCTGTTGTCGTTTTTGTTGTGGTTTTTGTTTTGGAATATTAAAATTTCAACGATTAATGTATGTAATAGATGATGGTCCATGATAGCTTTATAAATAGGATCATTTTACATTTTCAAATATTCTTTAACTTTCGTGTAACTCATCCATGCCAGGTGCTCTATGCCGTGTGTAGATTTTTGTAGATGGGAATCACTTCTTCCAACTGAAAAAATAAAGCTCTTTCTTGACCCGTAAACATATACTAATGAACATAAACACTCTATACCCTACAAGACTGTCTGTAAATCTTCGGGAAATGTTCAGTAGTCAACTCTGCTGGACTCAAGAGCTTTTCACGATGATACAATACGAAGAGATTTAAGATGACATTTTGGATTTATAAGCTTGGTAAACCTATCAACTTCACCCGCGTGTTCTAGCTACCAATATTGTGAAGTTGCAGAGCACCACAATCAGTATCTCACTCTTCGGCAGCCTCATGATTATTCTTGAATGCTACTCAGTAGCAGTTTACGCTGTTCTTACTAACTGTGGAAGGAGCTACTGTCTATTACGGTTAACAAGTCTTGGTTGTTTGTATGAACTTAGCTAACACCAGTAGTCACAAGTTTTTCAGTAACTACAGTCCTGGGATCATGAGCGCTATGCTATTGGGAATAAGTAGTTTTCAAAAACTAGCATGCCACAAAACCGCAAAAACACTACGTTGGAGGATTCGAGGATCTTTACGCGCTCCCTACCATACAGTAAAACCTGTTTACGGGACTTAATTATTCCGGATACTTGGGAAAACCTTCTCAATGCGGAGCTATCACGTAGTATGTTTCGGGGGAAAGCAGTGGAGAAATCCTCAGTCCAGGATACAATTTAAAGTATAAAAACTATATAACATTAAACAGAGTTTTATGCATACCTTTTATTGGTACCGCTGTACCTGATCCGATTGGCCGGGTTTTGCAATCCGGAATAAACAAGTTTTACTGTGGTCCCGCTCTTCAAGCATACTCGATAAACCACACTATTCAAGACTCATTGCTTGTTCTTTGGCTCTTTCCGATGTAATGGTTCTGCCGCGCTACTAGTGCGGTGTAGCCATACGAACTAACTGCTTACATGCACGGCAGCTTCGCTGCCGGATCTAAAGTTATGAATTAGTCCTAGTAACAAATCTCATACAGGAGACGAGCTGGAAGATGGTAATTGCTGTTTTTGCATGTTGCACTGTAGAATGTGGGTTGGCAGCTGGCATGAACAGCTCAACGTCTTTCCCGGAACGGGACGTGGTGGGCTATGAATGAAAGATCCTACATCTCTACCCCAAGCACAAGCTTTAGCATTGTTTTTCGCCTCTTGGTGATACCTGATTTTATAGGGAAGATCGTTGGCATCGAAAAGAGCGCCATCAAGGTCTACGGCGAAGGCTGGTGGTATACTTCATCCAATGTGATAGAATCTCAAGGCAGCATAGAAATACCTGATAAGCCAAAAGTATAAGTTGAAAGAGCAAAAAATCAATCACCCAAGTTCCACACGAGGAGAAGAGATAAAAAATCGAAACCCCCGGAGCTGGTACGTCAAAATGATACGATATTGTATCGACGTAGCGATTCTAAAACTGCCAACAGAGATGAAAAGATGGACACGGTCTGGGATATGCAATTCTTTACAGAAGAGATGTAGTTGCGGCATGGTATCCACTTGCATAGCCTGACGCCGGAAAAACATTGTTTTCTCTCTCTCTCTTCTTTTTTTTTTGACATGCTCCCTTCGAAATCAAATTCCACGAATTAAACTGTCCGGAAACTGGCTTGAACATATGTACTGAATACGTAAATAAGTGAGATCTAGACTTGAGGTTTATGCCCTTCATAATATGGCCTGGCGGTGCGAGGCCTGGATGAACTTGAGTATGCCCGGAGGAATGCAATGCAGCAAACAGGTCCGATTCAGCTATCCATGGATGCCCTGGAATTAGTGGGTATCCTATACATACTAGTCCTGCAGCCGATATTTAGCATGTGAAAATACAGGATTTTCGGTTCCCGGCAAGACTGCGACAAGTACACTGTGCGGCTTAAAAATTATAGGGCTCATTCCGATAAAAGCTTAAACACTGCGAAGGAACAATCCTCTAGGTTTCGAAAAAGTTTATGTGTGGTAAATCTTTATCCAATGTAGGAAAGTCCACAAAGTGAAGCGAACATAAGCGAATATTTAATTGGGATTACGTTGTCTCTTTGTGCAAATCTTCTGTTAAAAAGTGGAATACATAAAAGATATTGATTTGATTGGGCAATCCTCTCTATCTTTCTCCCCTTTTCTAAACCTATATAGGAAAGAGCCTCACATAGCCGCACGAGTAACATAACACAAGTCGTCAAGCAATCCGTTCTTCTGCCGAATTGTTTCCCGATAAAATCGTTCGATTGCAAAAGATCGGATTTTGTCATAATATTTTGATACCCAATTCAACGGAATATTTATGGGCATATGATACTTAACTTAAACTTAACAGGACGGAATCTGTAAAAACAATGGGTCGATTCTGTCGGAAAGTAGGAGCATCGAAAAAATGCTTTCACATTTCTTTCCATCGAACCATGTTTTATCTTTAGGCCTTGTAGGCTTTGAAGCCTGAAGTTTGTAGAGATCCATTTTGAGCTTAGTAGGTATATCGTGAAATTGATAAGGATATGAGAAAATAAGGCTCAGGAACAAAGTTTTGAATGTATGTACGTAACTTTAACTTTGAGGCTATTCCCACATTCGCTTCAATGAACCTAATTTTCATATCCAAGGAGCCACAGCACGCCTATGGGCACGTGCTCATTCACGTAATCCTCTTTTGCATTGCAAAATATGAGGGATGGACTTGGCGGATGTTAGAACGGAATTCCACTGTGCAAAATCGCGGATCATCATTATGGGTTCTTCGGGATCCTCCATCTTGCCTCCAAGGTACAGTTTTTGACCCACTAATAAGTTGATTGCCGAGGAAGAAAATCTGTGTTTTCAAATCTTGAAATATCGTACTGTTTTTTTTCCCCACAGAATCCAGTAGGGCTGCCTAATAAGTAATTCAGAAAATCAAGCTCATGATGTTAGGTCTCGGGGTCTTTCCGGAATGTCTCGCATTCGCGCGATGGATAAGATACAATCCGGATATCTGATCCTTCAATGAAATAGCTTCTATTCTCAGACGAGAGACTCAAAAAGTGCCACGGCCTTTGATTTGCCCTGAAACTTTGCATCACTGCTCTAGCCATACCTGAAGTTTGTAAAAAGATGAGATAATGTATTGTAAATTATGTCAAATACTATGCCTTAGTAGGCAGGTAATCTAATTTCATTAAAAAATCTTCAACATGTCGTAGACCTCGGTCCTGAATGGTATGGGAGATCTGTAATGAACATTAAAAGTCTCGATGATCCATGATGTGGCGTATTGACCGCCTCAAAGAGCCAGTCTTGGAAGTAGGGGTCTAATCCGCGTTAGCAAAGATTTTCACATTTCGATCTAACACCCTTGTTCATCTTCCCAGCCAGCAGATCGACTTCGGAGGATCTTTCTTTAACAGTTGTACCAAAGTGGCCTGCGTCGCCGTTATGATCGACTTGCAGACCCGCAAGCTTGTCTAGTGGGCCCTCGTTTACCGTTGCTCAGTCAGGATCATCAGAGAAAGAACCTCGATTCAGGTGTAATCGGTAAACTCAAACGAGCATCTTCCTGTTTGCTCCACTTCCCATCCATTTCTTTTAGCACCAGTCAGTCAAAGAAATAACAAGTTCTTTTAATCAACTTTGTAAAAAATAATAATAATAATAATAAGATTCTATTAAAATGTTTCCAAATATCATCTAAAGTCGAACAATTTTCTCAGAATTATTATAATTCAAATAAAATTGTGAATTCTAGTACAAATTTTAAATTTTCGATTTTAGTATTAATTTACATCATTGTGACTTTATCAAAATTGTTGGAAAATATATAAAATTGAATAAATGATTAAATGGATCTATTATCCCTGCAATATATAATGGGGCGGGTCGAGTGAAAGGGGCAGATCCAGCCTACGATTAGAGCCCGATTACAAGCTTGTGGGGGAAAGACCCTGGGTCCAGCAAGATCTACCTAATGAGGTATCATTTCCGGCATGGCCCGAAATCCGTATGAAAATCTGGATGGAAAAGTCTTACCTCTTGACTGCAGGTCATAAAACTAGCTCATTTACTCTACATGGGATAATCGAAATCTGGTGCTGTACTGATAGTGGTTCACAAAAATGGGTTCTGGGCTCTGGGAAATACCATCATCACCGCCTTCATCATGGCTGTTTCTGTGGGTATTCAAGACGAAAACAAGTGTTGGCGCCGAGTGTTGTTGAGGCCCAGTAAACATCGATGCAAATGCCGCAAGTCGGTCGTATTTTGTGAAGTGGCTGGCAATGGTGAAGTGGTTCACAAGGGTGATGTTCCACGATCGTAGCACATGGGTGTGTTTGCGTACAGACAACGGTCCATAGGAAAAAGCTTACTCGAGAAAAGCATTTCGTCAATGGGACGATGTTGTTGAGAAGAGAAATTATATAAAGGCAAGCCTTCGTCGACAAATAATCTCTATCAATCACAACAACTTCACTCACACACATTCTACAACAACTCAACAGCACTTCATTCACCTCAAACACCTCTCACAACAACTTACCAAACCTTCTCAAACTTCTCACTCTTCGAGACCTCAAAACCATCAAAATGCATTTCTCCATGATTGCTTCTATCCCCCTCCTCTTCCTCTCTGCTCTTACTTCCGCCGCTCCAACCGCCGCTCCAGCAGCCATGGAGGCCAGCACCTCAACCTCGACTCAAATCTACTACCTCGTCAACTGCTTCAACAACAAGACCTTCGCCGCCTATGCTGAGGCTGACTACTACCCAGAGAAGTCTTTGTCTCTCACCGGTCAAAAGCCTGCCAAGACAGCTATCTTCAACCCTTCCGCTTCTATTGACTTTGAGGATGGAACCTGGACTGTCACCACCCCATTCAAGTTAACTGCTGTCATCGGCGAAGATTCTTACACTGCCAAGGCAGGTACCGTTGTTGGTTCTGCTACCGTCAGCACTTCCAGCTCAAGCTTGTCTTGTGTTCGTCTTACAAGATTCGTCTTGTATCAGCCAAGTGCCGAAGAGCAATGCTACACTGACTATGCTTGCCAAGTAAGCCTCACCATTCTCACTAACGAGTAATCAAGAAAGAAGCTGACATTGATAAAATAGGCTTAGAAAACTCTCTCTACAGCTTGAGTTCTTCGATCAATTAATGCACTGAACGGAGGATGATGTTTATACATTTTCGGATTTGATTTGGATGATAGCAACTGCGAGATGATGATTAGTAATGGATGACGATTGCCGGAAAAATTTGCAAAGGAATTGGACGGATGATGACTTAATAGGCTGATGATAATGAATACGATTGGGCACACTCCTTTGGATTTGGGTAAAGGTGTAAAATTATAGAAAAATACAATAGACAATAGACAATGTTCCTTCTGCTTTGACACTCAAATTCAGATAAATTTCCCTTAGTCCTGCTTGGACAATGAATGCTGTGCAGAATATTTGATCGGAGATCAAAGCGACAATTTGAATAAGAACAGTCTTTTAACAATAGAAAATGTGTTACTCGTGCGGCCAGAAAGTACAGAACCCCTTTCTAAATAGGATCATTTTTGATTGAAATGGATGTAGATTTTAATATCTATATTCAATGTAATAAAATTATAAATTAGATTATATAACTATTAAAAACAAGGTACTTATTTATATGTCCCTAGAATTCTCTGAGAATCCTAAAACATAAAAAAATAATGATAATCTCATTAATCAAATTACAGCTTTTTCCTACAAATCCAAGTTCGTTTAGGAAGGAATTGTGTACTTTCTGACCGCACGAGCGCTTGCTAAATTATCTGTATATCAATACAAAATTCCAGAACTTTTTTTTTAGGAACACCTGGTCGAGGTTTCCTTTCTATTCATTGAAGTTGGGATGATATCCCAAGGAAAAAGAGTAAGTGCGCATAAGCACTATTAATAAGTGTTGCTGAAAAGAGACAGGCTTTCACACCAATTCCAAGCTCCCGCCAGTACCCCTTAAGTTTTAATTCATCGTTCTCCACTAACCGATGTTTCATATTTTTTTGGGCGAATCAAATCTATGAAACGTTCCGAGGGGAAGTTTTCGTTTTGTTCCACGGACTCTTCCCAAGCTCTTCCAAGAAGACGGGTCGACGCCATGGCCTTCTTGGCTATATAACTTGGCGATAATTCCGGGAATCTCTTCCTGGATATAAACGTCCTCAAAAAATGTAGTCAAATAACAGACGATTCCTGCCTAGTATGCTCTTGTAGCTTGGCTATGACATGTCGAGTCATTTTCTGATATATCGACCCGTGATGTGGCAATGTTGTACATATATCCCCCTTCTCACCAATGTCTTTCCTTTTTCCTTTCCACCTTCTCCATGTCGGCATATCAGACCGCTGACTTTCTTTTTCGAGCTGGCATTCTTTCTTTTTTCGTCTATCTCCAGCATATAATTCACTTTCCCGGAGTCGCCTCATTTATTTCTTGTCGCCTCCATTTATTCCGTGTACATTTTTCAGAAACGATTTTGTAATTTTTTTAACAACCAAGATGAAGTCATTATTCTTAGCCATAACCACGGGTTTATCACTCAGTGGTATGGCCTTTGCGTTTCCGTTGGAAGGAACAGATTCTCAAGATCCTGGCTTTCTAGCCTTTCTTTCTAAACGAGCCATAACAAGTCCAGACAACACCTGTGGAAATTCATTTGCAGGAGCTAACAAAAGCTATTTTTGTGATGCCACTTCAAACACAGGAGGATGCTGTTCAGCATATGGGTATTGTGGTAACACAACAGGTGTGTCTCAAATTCCCATCATGAATATGCACAATGATGTGTACTGATTTGTGCCGTATAGACTACTGCGGAACTGGATGCCAATCAGCATTTGGTACTTGTTCAGGCGCAACAGTTCAACCATCGGATAGCTCGTTCGTATGCGGAGCCAGCAATGCAGGGATTTCCTGCACTGGAGGACTCTGCTGTTCTGGACCAGGATATTGCGGGAACACAACCGATTATTGCGATATAGGGTGTCAGTCTAAATATGGAGCTTGTACTGCAGGTGCTAGCGAGCCGACCACAGGGGGAACCTGTGGTCCAAATTTTGGTGGTGCAACTTGTGGAGGAAATCAATGCTGTAGTGGTGAGTACCGAAGGCCGGGTGACACTAGTATTCTTACTAATTTGCTCAAAGTTTCTGGATACTGCGGAACCACCCAGGACTATTGTGCTGACCCGGGAAGTTGCTTACTTGGATATGGAAGGTGCGACTCGGATGCGACGCCTGCTGGTGTATCAACTCTCGATGCTGCAAGACCATTATTGGGGCCTATCACCTACAAGGATGACATCTATGACTGTGTGCAAACAGGTGTGGTGGCTCTGACCTACGATGATGGTCCATACAACTACACATCCGATCTGCTGGATATTTTGAAGTCATATGGCTACCAAGCGACATTCTTTATCACGGGCAACAATAATGGAAAAGGGGAAATCGATATCACTGCCCCATATCCTTCTTTGATCCAACGTATGATTGCCGAGGGTCATCAAGTTGCATCTCATACTTGGAGTCATTACTCTCTTTCGAACATTTCCCACGGCCTTCGAATGCAGCAGATGGTCAAGAATGAGATGGCATTTAACAACATCATTGGAAAATGGCCAACCTACATGAGACCCCCTTATTCTGATTGCACTGAAGCGTCAGGATGCTGGGCAGATATGCAGACTCTGGGATACCACAGAGTCTATTTCGATTTGGACACTCAAGATTATTTGAATCCTTTACCATCACAAATTCAGAACTCCAAGAACATTGTGCGAAAGGCACTTGCTTCAACAACCGTTGTAGACTACTTATCTATTCAACACGATATTGTACAGCAATCTGTAGGGAACCTTTCCAGCTACTATTTCGATCAAATCAAGGCCAAAGGATGGAAGGGCGTCACAGTAGGGGACTGCCTGGGAGACACTGATAGGACCAATTGGTATCGCTCTCTCAACACTAAATCCACCTCAACGACGCCAGGTTCTATCGCGACAACCAGTGTCAAAGCTTCTGCCGTATCCGCCACTACTACTTCTTCCTCGACTGGAACACAAAAGCCTCCGGGAGCAACCTTGAAATCATCCACAAGCTCTGCAGAAACCTCAACAAGCTCCCTAAAGGGTTCAACTACGGGGAAGCAACCGACTTCTGCGGTTGCAGCGACACCAACAAAATCTTCAACGCCAGCCGCAACATGCGCTGTGTCAGCAGGAAATTGGTGTGGCAAGATTTCACCTTTCACCAATATGCTTACATGCCAAAAATCGGCAGCTGCCTGCTATTCAGACACCTTGAAATGTGCCACGACTGCTGGATGGAAGAACTTGAAGACATGTAGTACTTTTACCACAATTTGCGAAAAGCTGACGCTTTATTGTTTAAAATGTGTGAAATCTAGCTGCTCGAACGCCGCATTTGGATATTGATTTGAAGCAAGTTGTGCTGCCTAATGGATGACGGACGCGATAAAATAGCAAAGTAGGAAGGATGAGATCGTAAATTTGGACATATTTGCTATGGCTCCTTATAGGAGTTTGAGGTCTAAATTACCTGAAATGTCGTAGCGTTGATGGCACTGATGGAGATGTTTCCAATAAACTCTTAATTCATGCAGTCGGTTTTAAACACGGTCATTCAAAAAATGCTGCTTCCTACGCAGGGTGTTCAATAGTCTATACTGCAATCCAGCTATGAGGCTTTAAAATTGCTAAATCTATTCGAAATATTTAAATCATTTGAAATAGCAAATCTTCCAGAATGATGAAATTATCCAGAATAAATAATTCAGTTAAAACAATGAAATTAGTTGGAACATTCGAATCAGTTGACTGATGAATTATGCTCCAAATATTTAGACCTTCTCAAACATCGAAAATTTATATCCAGTTCGGACTATTGGGATACCCTGCTTCCCCGTACGTAAACTTTTTCGTAAATAAAAAAAGCGGCAAAGAGAATATCAATCATGAATTTCGAGTGATGAGAAGATCTACTCAGTAATGCCATCAATCTCAAATAGATTCAATTGATAAATTGGTGAAATACGAGATTGATGTTTGCATGATAAAGTCATTGTATGGCATGGGTAACATGATACACTGGTAAGGGAACCCTAAGTCTCTTCAACCAGTGATATTCCGCTTTGATAAAAAGATTGTGGGATCCTCACTGGAAACGTGAATGATTGTTGTTTCATCATGCAGAAATAACCCTATCCTTGAATCCAAGTACAGATGCAATTGTAGTTGTAGCTTTCTAGGTACTTAAGAGGTTCTCGAATTATTCCATTCTAGATCCAGCTGTAAGTCTTGTATTCGGTTTTGTTCTCAATATGTTTTCCGCCTTGAAAAAATCTTTGAGAATAGAGCCAAAGGTGGAAGCGCCAAAAGACGTCACTCCAAACAAAGTCGCGAAAGAGGAGAATGTTGAAAATGCTAGGATAGAGGATATCATTGTGGTAAAAGATCTGGACGCGACAAGAAAAGAAGCGGAGACGGAAAAAGTCGAAGATGTTAGAGAGGAAGATGTTTTGGTGATAAAAGATCTAGATGCCAGATGGGAAGAGAGAGATGTAAAAAAGGAACCAGATACGAGAGCCGAAGAGGAAGCGAGAGATATTGAAAAGGGGGAAGATATAAAGGGGGAGGAAGATCTAGATGTCAGGGTCGAAAGCGAAGGTATGAAAGAGGAGGAAGATGTTAAAATGGAAGATATCGAAGTGGAGGTGGAAGATGCCAAGAAGGAAATCGAAGAGGAGGAAAAAGAACAAAAAGAAAAAGAGCCAACAATAACTTCGAACTCAACAAATAACATTGGAATTCCATCACCACCATCATCAGAAATTGGTGACGATGTTATTGGAGATGAAGAAAGCGAAAGGGAACAAATTAATTCAACCTCAACAACCCCTGGCAACGATCGTTGCTTAGTGGGGTCATCTTCGGTAACTGCCGCCAATCCTGATTCAGAAGTAAACAAAAATGAGGAGACCAGCATATCCACAACACCACGTCACTCGCGTGCAATTTCACCAACTCCAATTGAAAATCGCAGTCACACAGAGTATCAAGAGAAAAGGATTTCTTCTTCCACAGCAGATTTTGAGATAAACGCTCCGGATACCCCACCCGCGACACCACCTAGGGTAGTAAGGCGCGAAAGATCTGCCAGCCAAAGAGAACGCGAGATCCTACGATCGAGACAATTTTCCGAGACAGCACGATTGCAAAGGTCTGCGGAGAAGCCCGAGAAGACTGACGAAAACCTTGGGCTTGGGAGAAGAAGAAAGAGATATCAGCATAGACATAAATCCAAAGGGTCTAACGCAGGCTCAGGAGAAGCGTTGAAAGCGGTCGAACCGCTGCATGAGCATCAGCTTGGAAAAATGGCCTTTGCTGAACAGCAGCAGTGGATTACGGTGCAACAGAAAACCTTCACAAAATGGTAAGCTGGGTGGTTTATGTTTGCAAAGTATGAACGAATACTTACTGGAAAAATAGGTTGAACACGAAGATAGCACACAGGAAATTGGAGGTAGTGGATTTGGTTAAAGATTTGAGCGATGGAGTAAGTTTTTCTGGCCATGGACTTCCCTTGTTGAGTGCTAACGTATCAGGTCATTCTCATCCATCTTCTCGAATGTCTTTCAAATGAATCACTCGGCCGATATGCAGCGAAGCCTAAACTACGAGTACAGCGGTTTGAGAACGCAAATTTATCGCTGGACTTCATCAAATCTAGGGGCATTCAGATGACAAACATCGGGGCCGAAGATGTCGTAGACGGGAATCGCAAAATCATCCTTGGTTTGATCTGGACGCTCATTCTTCGATTTACTATATCTGACATCAACTTGGAGGGTATGACTGCCAAAGAGGGTTTATTGTTATGGTGTCAAAGAAAAACAGCCTGCTACGAAGAGGTTGATGTTCGAAACTTTACAGACAGTTGGAATGATGGATTAGCATTTTGTGCACTGCTCGATATCCACCGACCGGATCTAATCGATTATGATACTTTGGACAAGGATGATCATAGAGGCAATATGCAGTTGGCTTTTGATATTGCAACCAAGGAAATCGGTATCCCGGCGCTCTTGGATGTTGAGGATGTCTGTGATGTGGCCAAGCCGGATGAGAGGAGTTTGATGACTTACATAGCCTATTGGTTCCATGCCTTTTCGCAGATGGAGAAAGTCGAAAACGCTGGCCGAAGAGTGGAAAAGTTTGTTAACAACATGCAAGGAGCTTGGGAGATGCAAAGTGCTTACGAGAAGAGGATGAGAGCACTATTGAAGAACATCAAGGAGCAGGTGATTACTTGGCAAGATGCGACTTTCGAGGGCACATATGTGGATGCGAAGAAACAAGCGTCACATTTTAGTTCGTATAAAAGAGGCCAGAAAAGAGAGTGGGTTGCCGAGAAAAGTGACCTTGCTGCGTTATTAGGGAACATAAAGACGAAGCTTAGCACATACCGTCTTAGAGCTTACGACCCACCTCCGGAGTTGAGATTGAGTGTCCTAGATGAAGAGTGGGCAAAATTGATGAAGGGTGAAATGGCTAGAGGTCAACTAATAAACGAGACCATTAGAGAGTCAGTTAATACTTATGTGCAAAGTGAATTATGCTAATGGCTTTTAGTATCAAAAATGCCTTACGAAGATCTTTTGCCGACAAAGCCAACGATTTCGCAACGACTTTGAATACGATGCAACTGGCAATATCAGGATTGGAGGGTGACGTGGAGGATCAGTTGGTTCACGTCCGTCGATTGCACGACAACCTTCCACCTCTCAACCAATTTTTGGATCAAATTGAGGCTATAGACAAGAAGTGCGAGGAAGCGAACATCGAGGAAAACGACTTTACGACTTACACCTACGATGAGCTCTGCTATGAAATGAGTCTAGTGAAAAATTCGGTTGCGAAGAAATTGGCATTTTTGGACAATCAAGTAGTAGCTCGGAACATGACGAATCTGACGCCAATACAACTTGAAGAATTCGAAAGTGTCTTCCGACATTTCGATCGTGACGCTACCAACAGTTTACAAGAATTGGAATTCAGTGCAGCTCTGGCGTCACTCGGTCTCGTCTTCTCGGAAGAAGAAATGCACGACTATTTCCTCGATACATCAAACGGAAAAGACTATGTAACGTTCGAGGAATTCATCCGATTTATGGTGGACGTTACAGAAGATCAAAACACGGCAGAACAAGTTTTCCAATCCTTCCGTGACGTTGCGGATGGCAAGCCTTACGTCACGGAAATGGATTTGAGACATAGTTTGGTGCCGGATGAGGTTATCGAAAAATTGACTCAATTCATACCGCTGCATAAAGGCCCTGACCTACAGCAAGACAGGGGTATGCCGCAATATGATTACATTAGTTTTATGGACAAATTACTAGTAGGGAATGAGGATGATGGAAATGATGGTGCTCTGAGTGAGTTGAGCAATGGAAGGAGCCCGAAGAGAGCGAGTGGAAGTGGTGGGAAAGCAAACGGGACTCACTGAGCCGAGGGGTTGCGTATATGAGATGGAAGGAAGCTCATAAGTACACGAGTAAGTATACTTTGTCATAACCAGCGCATTCATATGACCCGGTATATCTTTTTTGTATTTGGTAGTTGGTCTGCCTTGGATTTAAGGATTGGGCGGATGGTGATCGAATTCTGATGGGTTAACGGCGAACTGAGGTTTGAGCGATGGAGTTGAGACTTGCTTAACTTGGTTGGCCTTGGCTGCAAGCATAATTAGACAATTCTGAAATATTCATCAATTTTGTGCTTATGGAATAATTGAACATAAGTTGATTTCAATAAGCCTCACCATCGGTAGCAGTATTCTTATTCAATTTTTGATCTATCCTCTAGATAACCCGAAGCCTCTTGTCCTAACTTGCTAGCTAGGTACTTAAAGGAGTCATCTCGCTGATGAAATATATATTGGACATTTGAAAAGCTTTTCTTCATAACGTATCAGAGCCGTTTATTATTTATTTGACTTTTTGTAAGCTACCTAGTACTTCAGGCTCATTTCCATTATTCTATTCAATATCTAGGTAGATACCTAGTGATTTCAATAGGTAAGAAATGATGCTTTGGTAGGTAGGTATTCATCTTTTACATTTACTCGAGTAAACTTATATTAGTCATTCATTGATTGTGTCTGCATCTGAACTGCACTGCTACTTTTCAAGCGCCATTATGACTTGGCAATTAGGGACAATAGCAACAAAAATGAGGAAATGATTTAATCATTTGGAACAAAATTTATTGCCTCATTTCATTTTCCAAAAATGGAATATATATATATATATATATAGTCACCGCGTTCCTTATCTCCTCTTGCAAGTGCTATTGCATTTACTCCACTCTCTCTTACATTCCCAACACCACTCAAAAAGACATCTACAAGTCATATGCAGACAACCTTCATTCTTATCAATGACGAACTTGCAACTAGGACAACTTTTCCAGCCCTCTTTATCCGCCAGAGCCTGTACCGCTCGGCCCTCCTTATCCTCTTTGCATACACCAGAATGCTCTGCATTACCACAAGGTGCGCACGTACGATGTTTGCATGCTTGACAAACTGCGATGGTTCCATGTATGTTTGCGGGTGGGATAAACTTTGCGCAATTTTTGGTGGAGCAGTAACGGGGATCCTTGGTAGATTGCTCGAGAATTAGCATTTTATAGGAGGCGATGAAGGTCTTTTTAAGCCAGCGAGAAGCGGGGTTGATGGGGACATTCAATTTGCAGCATTTAAATCGCTTTTTGGATGAGAAGGCGGTTTGGAAGGCCGCTGTTCATGTCAGTGTCTGTGCGAGGATATTTGGATTTTACTTACCCGCGATACATTCTCCGCAGTAGGCGTGTTTACAAGACAGGACACACATGTTGGCTCTTTCTCCTGTCTCCAGGCACTGCATGATCTTAGTATCAGTACTACCTATCAAAGGAAGACAAATGAGGAACCGAGGGGTTAGGGCTGTATTAGCAAGTACAAGGAGTGTGTGTAAGGAAACATAAAAATGGGTCAGACGTCGGAAAGCTGCATTAGGTAACAAAACTAAAGGATTTAATGAACTGATGGAGCTTACGGATACACAATCGGCTTGTTTTGCCTTTTCGTCTTTCTCCGCAAGCTCGCGCGCCTTGTTGGCATCTGTACTGCGCAGCTTTCTTTCTCGGCTTCCTTTGCTCGTCGTTCTCGTTCCAACTTGGCTTGCTCCTCAACTTGCTGTAATTGCAATCGTTCTGTCTCGAGCCTGATCTTCCTTTCAGATTCCTTTCGAGCTGCTGTCTCTTTCTCCATCGTAGCTCTAGCCGGCAGCAGCAGCTCTTCTTCTCCCACTTCAAGCTTTTCTCCATCCTCGCTCGCTCTTCTTCTCCTCGCTTCTCTTGCTATTTTTTCTCCATCCTCGCTCGCTCTTCTTCTCATTGATTCTCTCGCTCTTCTTTCTTCATCCTCAGCCGCTCTTCTCGCTTGTTCCTCCTGTTCCCGAATTTCTTCTTCCCATTGAGCTTGAGCGGCCTGCGCTGCAGCTAAATCCTCTTCATCCCTTCGGAGCAATTCCCTCGCAAAGTTCTCTTGCTCCTCTAATTCTCGCTCTAGAGCGGCAGCACGTCTGTCCTCATTCTCCCACTCGGCAGCGATTCTGATAGCCTCCTCCATGTCCCTCTTAATACGGGCCGCACGTCTTGCCAGAGACGCAGCTTGCTCTTCTTCAATTTGAGCCTGCATTCTTTGAGCCTCAAGTAGATGCGTTCGAAGAAGATCATTCTCGCGATCCCATTGGGCTTGGAGTCTCTGGGCTGTGAGTTCATCGGATGTCATCACTGAGCGGGATCTGGAAATAGAAGCCATCTTTGGCCGTGAGGTACTTGGGCGACGAGATGCGGGTATCCTGCTCTTTTGACTTGATAACTGGGGCTCGATTCCAGGTTTCGGCTTGGATTTAACTTCGGGGTTCTTTTCGGATGAAGTATGAGATTGAGACCGGGATTCGGACCGAGATCGAGGTTTCGTACCCGGGGATGGTGTTTGAAGAGGCAGAAGAAGATGCTTCAAATAACTTTTCATAATTTTCTTTCACGAGTGACACAGTCAAGTTCTATCAAATTGTCGATGTCGTCGAGCAAATCTGGAATGGCGTCGTTAAGCTCTCCTGATTTTGTTTTGTGTATGTGAATTTTTCCTCCGAATCCATCAGGAGTAGTTGGCAAAAAATCGTTGAAGGGTCTTGCCGTGTCAGTATGTATCCATTCTCCGGTAAGAATGTTGTGCGTGGCTCCTCGTGTTCAATATTGTGCTGCTATACTGATGTTCTGCTATCACCAAAATCATAAAACAGTCCAGCTGCAAGTTCAATCCCTCGGATAGGCCCTGTCCTGCAGTTCCTAAATCGATTCCTCCACGATGAGTCACCCGCAGCGACACAGGTATCGCTCCCAACCTAATAGAAGCTCTTCCGCTGCGATTTTCCCTTCTTATTTTTTCTCCCTGAAATCCTCTGCAGTTGTGATATCTTTGTCTTGGCGAGGAAAACCAGCCTCGGTATAATGAATGTTTCTTGGCAAAGTGCAAGAATTGAACGTAATGAAGGAATACAAATCAACTTGAAGTCGAAAGATCAGGATCTATGGCTTAAGCACATTTTCACAATTTCGATGAAATTTTAAAAACCGGTGTAGTAAAGTGGAGAGAGCTACCTCGTGGGTGTAGCGAGGCGAGTGTGGAAACTTGTTGTACATGATCTAGAGGAGACAGCAATGCAACACTGAATTGGCATGATTGGCTGAAAGCGACGGATCGGTGAGGAATGACATGGCAGCACCAACAAGGAAGAGCATGTGATCTCCACTTCGGGCAGCCCCGAACTAACAGCAAATCATTTTATGGGGCTGCGATTGGGTCCTTAAGTCCTAGAGTAGGATGAGGCTGATAAGTTATCTGGAAGAAAAAGTGATGCATTGATATATCACTTGTCGAGATAGGTGGAAAGTTCAATTGAGTCATTATTTTTTCCACCTAATTAGATTGCACGCATCGTGATTGTTTCGAAAATCGTATGCTCCATCAAACCAGGGGCTCGCTACTAGGCTTAACGCAACCCCAATGCTAAAACCACCTCCCTTAGAAATGGCGCATGGCGCAATGATGGGGTATGGAGATAGGACTCTGCAGTTCTATCAAAAAGCCGTTAAAATCATATCGTAGAACATCTTACACCCAAACCATTTTTGGCATCGACACCCGAACCAGCATCTGTTGGGGCGCCATTTTTGTCCAACCGTCTGTTGGCAATGATGATATATAAACCAAAAAAATTCATTAAAACAAGAGTCACAATGAGCGATTCAATCTCTGTAGAGTGGGGGCAGCCTTCGGGCAAAAGGCTGGCTTTTGCTTACATTCATATGCAACAGGAACCTCCATGAGAACTTGGGAAATTTCGGCATCACGCGCAATGTGAATTGATGGATAAGAGGATCCAATTCTTCATGGGGGAAGTTAGTAATACCTAGCAAGATACCATTGAGCCATCGGTATGAGGTAGCCTTCCATTAGTAGCATCACTGAAAGTTGTCATACAACGCCTAAAAGACACTTGCGTTATCACCACCATCATTAACCATCAGCTTTAAGCTGCCATTACTGTTGATGGTATGGAAATGGTTGTCTTCCTCCCTGCTATGGCAGGATTCCATCAAGCAGGATGTGCCAAACATTGGTCGTGCAAACATTTGCCAATTGAGGGATAAGTCGTTTCGTCGCAAGCTGTTGGGGATTAAAGTCCCCTACCCCACATTCCCGCCATCCTTCACTTGTGACGTACAAGAGCCTCATAAGAGCTGAGTAAACAGGGTCAATTATATTCCTTGGAATCTACAACTGAAAACTATGGCTCGTAGGGAGCATCCATATTTATATACAAAATACCTATACGGCAGCTGCACGGTTGTGCACATCGGTTATTAAGGTGACCATAATCCCATACTAAAAAGGGTAAATCGGAACTCAAGTGCACAGCAGCTCACCGATAGGAATTGTCGATTAATTGGAATCACGTGATCGTCCTTTATACGAGGTCCGTGGCATCACTCCGGTCATTCTTTTACAATAAAAGCTATGGTTTTATTTATTAATAACTTTATAATAAATATATAAAATTAATTAAAAATTTCATTTTGAATAATCTATATATATATAGATCCTAAAAATTTCAATATTCTCGTAATTTTCTTTTAATGAAATAAGTCCAAAAAATATATTTATTTTTATTTTTTATTTTTGGAAATTTTTTTTTAAAACTATTATTTTCATTTATAAATAATTTTATAATAAATGATTATAATTTAATAAAATTTGAATGACATATATATTATATAAATAGTAGTAAATTCTGAAATATATATATATATAAGTTTATAATAACAATGTAAGACGAAAATCATCATCTTATACAATATTAACCAAACCGCTTCCCTGACCCCCTCAAACGGACTCCGCCCAGCACGAAAATGATCATAAACCACAGTCCGACCAATTCTCATAAACTTCTTCTCCGGACCAACCGCATAATTACCATTAACCCTCCCAATATCCAGCAAAATCAACGCCACTCTACTTACTCCACGCCTATCCCCTTCAATATATTTATCACGAGTAATTTGCAAGCCGTATGTATTTCCACGTGCGCATTCCGGCTGCCAGCCATCAGCATCTAGATCTTCTCCCTGATAGTCCATTATTATGGAATTAAATGGATCAGGCGTCTGCGAATAATACTCGAGAACTCCTTTCTCGGTATAGAATGAGCGAACGTTTCGGGCTAATATTAATTTTCCGCGCACTTTTAATACGCCAGATGATATTTTCCCAAAGGGATTATCGCCTTCTACTGTACAAGTAACTTCCTCGATAGTGAAGAAAGGGTCGTGCTCGCTGTAGTTGTAGTCGAAATAGTTGCCGGTTATTAGAGCGATGAGTCTGTCATCATCCCGCGAGTCGCTATGATTTAGCGAGGGAAAGTAGGGCCATCTTGCATTGATATCTCCATCATCTGTAAAAACAGGTACAAGCGAAGCCCACGACCATGATGGTGCCACAAACTTGTGCTTTCTCTTGATCTTACAGACAAAGTTTTTGTTTAAAAAATATTGTCCTGCAGACCAAGTAAGACCCGGTAATGAGAGAGAACCGTCTGCTCTACAGATGAGCCACAGACCGCCCATATAGCGAGGAGCTTGCAGGGTTTTAGATTGCTCCCAGCACTCTAACTTCCAATTGTGGATCAGGGACTCGAAAGTGCGACTTGCGATTCCAGAAATGGCGGGAAGTCGATCCTCCTCCCTCGTCAGTCGCCGACTAGTATAATCCTGAACATGCTTATACCATTTCACAATTATAGTCATTCTCTCCTGATTTCGAGGCATTGGGAGTTCTAAATCAGCCTCGTAAAGCCAATCGCGGGATATCTGCACGGGTTCGTATTTAGATTCAGCTCTCTCCCAGAACCCAGCATCATGTTCATCTTGCAGAATCATACCGCATTCGCACCATCGTTCCCGCCTACATTCCCAAATGATCTCGCTAGAGTAGAAACTGACTGTCCTTGCTGAGAAGAGTCGTTCCTGATACACCCACCCTCGTGTATCAAGTGGTGCTGATGGTCTCGGTTTTCGGTAACCAGCTTTTGCCTGCCACATGCGCAGATGTCCATTGTGAGTTTCTTGTAAACTTGGACGTATAAAAACTGGTTTGCCTTTCCATTTGTGTGCTGATCCGGAGGCCTGAAGAACTTCTAGCTCTGCAAAAGGTAGTGCAGCTTCTCGTTCCATCTTTCCATAGATCTCAGAGTTTGTATGTGTATGTCTGACGCTGAAAAGGCCAGTTTAACTATCATGACCAGTAGCTGCCGCTATGTTCAATAATGAGCCCGCGTAGATATCAGCCATTATGGCTGATTGTTGTTGCCAGTCAGTAATATCGTCTGGTATGATACACAACGAACCCACCCACACATAATCGACACTCAGACCCTTTGCCAAAAGAATAGCATCTCGAAATGTTCGTGGAAGTATGAATATGTCGAATCCATTAACATGATCATTGTAATTAGCTAAGTTAGTCTTAGTGAATTCAGCTGTTCCCCAACAGTGGCTCAATGTTGTATATTCAATCGCAGCACGTTTCTCAACATTCTCCAACTCAAGTTCAAGCAAGCGAATCCTCTTGTTCGTCATGGATTCCCTAATGTCTAGAAGACGACGCGGAAATATTGTTCCTGGCACAGGTTCACATTCTTTGTGCGAGCGGCATTTTTCTAGCCATGGCTTTATCAAATATATAGCTTGTTCCAGAGCGAGTGCCGCGCTAACATGTGGTGAAACGATGAAATCTCCATATTTAATGTACCTACGATAGTCCGTTCCTGGGTAGCTGGCAGGTTCTAGTTTAATCAAAAGCTTTCAGGACGTGCAGTTTAGCTAAGGCAAGTCCTACCGGGCAGTGTATACATCTCCAATGATAAATATTTATCATTCGTAGGAGAGCGTTGATCATATGAGATCTCTATGCTTCTTAAATCACTATCGATTGTCGTGCAGATTATTCCTTCCCTCATCATAGGGCCAGACCTGTCGAGATACTGAATTATTCCATCGCGACACATTTGGCATGTTAGGCACAGCTGTGCAGTATCATGTGTGGCTAATAAGTAGGGATAAGGATCAAGGTTCCCTAGGCATGCAATACAAGACATCTCAATCCGGACGACATATAATCTGTTTTGTACGTTACTCAGAGAGAGAAACGATTAGATGCGAGTTTGAATGGTCAACATTGAAATATACAAAAGGCTAAGGAGCTCACGTGAAAATAGCTCAGCCTCTTGTGCTGACATCACGTCCACCAATCCCCTCTGCAGACATGTTTGCAGAAGCATGAAATCAATAAATTACTGATTCTCGATCAACAACTTTTGCTCCCTAGTCAATAGTAATTTCAGTCTAGTACCCCTCTTTTGGGTCACTTTTCCTCATCAAAAATAACAAAAATCGGCATTTATAACTTTTTTATTTATAAATATAATTTTTGGAGATTCTAATTATAGATATAATCAATCTATATTCAAAATTACAATTTTTTTATCCACAAATAAGAAAGTTTTAAATGTAGATTTTTATGATTTTGAGTGTGAAAAGTGGTCGGAAAGTCACAATTGCTTCATTGCCTTGAGCTTTCAAGACTACAGTGGTCCGAGCAATGATACTTTTGATCAGTCGATTCGAATGTCATCAAGAAACACAAGCAGATCTACTCTACCCTGTGTCGGACTTGGAAGTCCTTCTGATTGTCCTACGATATTGCAGATATGATGGATGGGTGAGCATAGAGTCAGTGAATCTCTCAGTAAGTTAGCTTTGCGCTTCTTTCGTGTACTCCACGCGCCTCGGTGGGTACCAAGCAGGCGGCAGCTCTAAGCCCACCACGAAGTCCAGCGTTTGTCGTCAACAGTTGAATACTCGAGTGAACTGACAATCTTGCAAATAAAAGAACCTGACGAAGATATTGAAGGGAGACAAAAATGGAAAGAAGTGTTTTTTTAGCCCCAAAATGTGCTGCTTTTTCAGGGTATTTAGCGTTGTCGCCGAAACTATGGATATTAGTAAGTGATGAATATGTTTATGCCTGACAATATACGACCTCTACTCAAATCTCGGATTAGCACATCTAATGTTGCATCCTGAAGGATATGAGTATAATATTTTGGAATCCTACAAGTGTAGGCGCCGCTTCGGCTTTTTCGTATGGCATGCTGAGCGGCTGCCACTTATCACATTGTCTTGGCGTTGTTGATAGCATACAAGAGTTCAACTGTCCTCAATTCAGACAATACAGTATCTCTATAATCGAAATCCCGGTAGCAGTTTTCTGAGTATTCCAACCATGATGAACGCATCACGGCCCAACATTGTATCGTCCAACGACAAACTGCCCATCACCATATTCGATTCACCAGCTCTACAGGGGTACAATTCAGGGACGACAAGACAAAGACGAGACTCCCTGAGACTTGCAATTCAGTGCCTGGCAGTGGTAATATTACTGAATATACTCCTACACAAAGCCGTTCAATTCTCCTCAGCAAAGATTCAAAGGGCCCATTACTGCTCCCATGGAAACGGGACTCTGGCTCCTTCTCGATTTGAGAATGAAGACAAAAAGTACCCGACCGCGTTAGGCTCTGAATCTGATAACGTTGAAGATCGCCACCTATCAGGATGGCTCCTTGCAGCAGTGCTCAAACCGGAAAGACATCAGTATCCTTCAAATCCGATCATGTGACCAAAATTTGCGCCAATTTCTTTTCAAAAAGACCCCTTCCAATTGAGCAGCCAATATCATTGCGCCTATGATACATTTGGTTGACTCTTTGTTTCCACCTCGATTGCAAATCATCAATTTCGCGACGGCACATATTCCGCATGAACCATCGCTAAGTCAGACTTTCGGTCCGTTAGCTTTACTTAACTTGAGGCTCCCTAATCCCTTGCAATTTTTCGGGAGCTGTGCCAGACCATATTACCGTACCATCGGTCCCTCTATTCACCATAGGGTATTGCTGTCCCCTCATCTCCACTCGCAACAACCCATTGTTCATCATCTCGACTCATAAAGATATTCCTTGCTCTTCAAGTTCCGCTCTCCCGCCCTGTGGCTGCGGGGATACGGGTCTATGGGAGCGGGATCGTTGAATTGTGAGGTTCATTGCTCGGCATGACAGGCTCGGGATGGCGGTTGGGTAACAGGCACGGAAGGTTACGTTTATAGAGGGGGGGTGTATTTCACAGCGTTTGGTGGTTCAAAATTTTTAGAGGATATCTACAGAGGGAGAATAGAGTTTAATTGTTCCTGGATTCGAATTAGTTAACAAAGGACATTGGAGTGTGGTGATAAAACAGGAACTAATTCCATATACGTTTGCGCCTCTTATATCTTACGAGTGTCTAGCAATCTTTGGTATAGAATGTTGATGATTGGAAGTCATTATGATAAGAGACGGCAATGTAATAAGATGGCCAGGACGAAATGGAAAGCCGGAAGTTAACCCGTTGAGGCCAGTGTCAAATTCATACGATATGTATTTATAAGGACTTTGATTGCTATGTTCACGTTGGTAGACAGGTTCAGCTCTGCAGACAAAAATTCAGTCGTTTGCTCTGGTATTAAGGTAGGCTTATCTTGTAGGCGTAATCACACTGGGATATGCCTAGAGAACACCATGGTGAAGGTTTAAACTCTAAAGTCCCCAGCTCTGTTATGAGATGACATTCAATCCTCTTAACAAAGTATTTAAGTAGGGCTGAAGAAGGCTAAGCTGATATCAAAGGGCTCGTAACGGGAATGTTTAGTTGCAATTCCATCAACTTTTCAGAACTTCATACTTTTATTTGGCCCCGTTCGGCAATGTACTCTGCTAAATTTTGACATTTCATAGGTACGGAAAAGTGTAAATCAACGATCCATCCATCTAAAGAGAACAATCGAACTTAGATCTAGCTTACTCCAATCGATATCATTCACACAGGTATGCTTCCAAATCCTCAGTATATATTTGCAAAAACCCTCATATCATATGTAAAATAGCACGGCCTGCTGGCCCAATGGCAAGGCGCTTGACTACGACTTCTCAGAATTACATTTCCTGAGATCCGGCATCAAGAGATTGCAGGTTCGAATCCTGCGTAGGTCAAAATTTCTTTTTTGCATTTTGCATGTGGATGTCGTTATGTGGAGCTTCGCAGGGGATCTTTTCACTAAGCGAAATGTAGCGTTGAAATTTTTTTGCAAAAAAAAAAAGTATAAGGTTATTAGAACCCTGCTTTGTTGATTAATCTTTTTGAGAAATTTTATATTCAAGTAAGGACTGTATGTTTAGTAGATTTGGAGTGAGATGGAATGGTACTTATTGTATTTGGATGATAGGTTGTGGAGCGAGGTGAATTTAGAGAGGCGGAATGAGAGGGGTGAAGTCTTTAGTTATTAATTCCTGTTTATTTTTGTATTGATTTCTTTCATACATGCTCAGTCGTTTTTTTTCTAGTGTGTGTATAACTTCATCGCTGTACTTTACTTGCTGCTACGGTACATTTGCTAAGATAACGGGTGAATTAAAAATGCAAGTTTTGCCTTTCTTTCCGAATCGAGATAAATAGTTGTTCTTTTCTACTTTTGCGATGGTGTCATGTTTCGACCGTACGTCGTCGTTGGCATAGTGAAAGTGGACGACGAGAAGAGAGAGGTTTCGAGATTTAGTTTCGAGGAGCTGGATGAGGTGGAGGAGTTATTGGGTTAGTAGATAATAAAGAAATATTTATTTTTGAGGATTTTGAGAAAGTCAAATTAAGGTCCCGCGGAGGCACACAATCTACAGAGATAATTACAGGAAATGATTCATGTTTAAGAAAACGACCTCCTGAGTGGCTAGTTGCAGAATCGAAATGTGCCTTTAATAAGACTACCACGATGGAGGCACCTGAATCACCGTCTCATGAAGATTATATGAAATATGGACATTAAATTAACTATAGAAATACAACACAGCCGACCGTAAACCTCAATACATCAAGCTCCCAGCTTTGGGAACCATCAAAATCCCTTCTTCTAACAATCGCTCAGCTAACTGGAAAATCATCCCATCACATCCCTTCCTTGCAATAATATCCACGGCCACGGGTAAATATTCCGTCTGCAGCGAGATGGTAGAATTATAAGCCGCTTGACCTATTGGAAATACCATATCGGGGACTTCTGCAAAGTTGGATATGCGGCTTAGATCCCAGCCGGAGGGGATTCCGGGGGAACTGTTTGGGTGTGGTGTGTCAGTATGGTGTAGTTTAAAGGTTCGAGCGGTTCTTGATTGTATGGATATTTGGACGTGTGGACATACCTTCTGTATACATTTCTATAATCGGTTTCTCCTAATGTACCGGGATAGAGGAGGATGCTATCGCTGCAGCTAGTTGGACTAGCTGGGACGAGTTTTTCGGCAACCCAATCCATGAAGATGGTTTTGTTGTGAATAGCTTGTTCAGTTGCATCAGAACTGATATTATTCTGCCCCCAACCCCATCTGCTTAATGGCACAGGGTCAATGAAGGGACGAGCGCCGTTGTTAGCAGCAGCGTAATCTTCATAGAATGGTTCTGCAAGCAGACTGTATTGTTGTTGAGTGATAAGAGTGGGATAGACGAGACCAAGGAAATCTTCAATTGATGAGTCGTTTGCGCCAGAGGGCGTGGTCTCGTTCCAAAAAGCTTCAATGTCTAAAGTAGTTGTGCTTGTCGCATTGAGGAAAGATTCCAGCTTCGCCAGAAAATCAAGTAAGATTGATCCAGCTTCTGTTGTATCATTTTTCGGGAAATCGGCTATCCAAATCTTTTTGGGGAATTCAGTGAAGTTGCTTGTGATATTGCTCCCATACAGGACCTTGGCAGCCTCATGCCACAAAACTGGGTCTCTAGTGAGCAATCCCGCAGTGTCCAAAGTTGGGGACAAAGGCATAACGTTATCCAAGCTAACGAGTCCATGGGATGGTCTATTACCGAAACATCCATTCACTTGAGACGGATTACGAATACTTCCGCCAGTATCAGAACCAATTCCGAGATCTAACCAATCATAAGCACCAATTCCAGCACCAGGGCCTGAAGAAGAAGAGGATGGTGATTGGTAACCATCACCACGTGGGTTAAAGGGGCAGTGATAGTCCACCCAGTCCGCGGTTGGACTTTCTCCGTTAGCAAATTGGGATGTCTTCATCTTCCCAACGATAATCGCTCCTGCGTCAATCAAGCTTTGAACGGCTGGTCCTGTAACATTTGCTGGTGGATAAAGCTCATAATATGCACGATTTCCGTTACTGGTCTTGGTTCCTGCAACATCGTAAATATCCTTAACACCAAGTCGGACTCCAGCCAGAGGTTTTTCGGCAGTTTTGGTATAATAGAGTCTGGAAGGAACACCAATAGTAGAACTCTGTACACCGGGAATGGATGCACTCAATATAGAAAAGGTTCCGTCTGAGTTCTCGATTGTTCCTTCCGTAAAAGCATCCTGTACATCAGAGTATAGACGATATGCTCTGAAAAGCTCGCCCGTGTTTGGAGTCAAAAAGTATGGCCCTGGAAGCACTTGATTGTTTGTATCGCTGGTAAAAATTTTGGTACCATGTTCATAACAAATGGATGATAGCGAAGTTGTGTTGGTGGAACCAACCAGGTGGACAGCTACCCAGGTTAAAATTGGTCCACTACGTTTCGAAAATGTACATACCTTCCAAGAAACCGAGATTAAAAACATCATCGGAGGCAGTATAATTGGTAACTAATGACTTGAATGAAGCAGCCGTGAAATTGCCTTCTGAACTTTCCATTACCGTCAAAGGGATCAAATCTGCTGTGCTTGGCTTGGACAGAATAGTTGTGACAGCGTCGACGCCAACATAATAGCTGATGCCATTGACGTCAACGGTCGTTCCAGTCTTCGAGATTGAAATAGCAGCATTTGCTAAGCTCATTAAGGATATTGTCACAGAAGCCGATTTGAACATTCTGAACGCCATAGTCACAGAAAACAACACTAAAGTTATATCAGCCACTCAAAATACCTGCCAATCAGCCAAAAACGAGTGAAATGTAGCGAATACGTATAGTCTTAACAACGGCAAAACGAGTGGCATGTTATCGTAGCTATGTATACTTATTGATATTAGGATATCTCAACGAGGAGATGGCCAAGAAAACCACGATACGATGATCGGTTCCTGCATATCCATATTTCTTCAGCAATTCTTGATTGCGTCTCATCTTGGACAAGATTGCTCGCAAAGATAAGATAAAGTTAGATGAAGTAAGGTGGGATGATAATGGACGGCAGATGTCATTCGAAAACTTTTGGTGAAAAACATCTACGAGATCATGCACTTCCTGGATTAGTGACTCCTGTGATAAGTGTAGAAGCTTATTAGTCAACCTTCACATGTACCTCGCTGATAGGTATGAAAAGCCCGAAATGTAATCTTGATGTCTTACACATCACCGTGAGTAGTACTTCAGTGCTATGGATTCCTTCCATCCTTGATATGATACGCGTTATGGATATGGATATGGATATGCGATAAGAAAATCCCCGAGTTCGGCAATCCACATCCCAGATTCTTGCTGGAACAGTAACCATATGTACATGATTCCACACGGCGAAAAATTCCGAAGATCTGGTCCACTCCTTTTTAACCAGCATTCTGTCTATGGTGTTGTCAGTTTCAGTGTGTGATAGGTATTATGTACAAAGTTAATGGAAACTGAAGCCCGATACCGTGCAAAAGGGGTTAAAAGAGGCTCATCCAGTTTCTGCCATTAAGCCCTTCCATCATCAATCTACTCGTTAATACTGCATCGTTCGAATTTTGACGATGGTTAGACAATTCTTTTACACTTTCCTCCAATGTAGCTTCTGGGTCGTCGTCCGGTCCAAACTTGAAATCAAACTTTGATCTGGAAGAAAAGAAAATAGTTGCATGGTTGCATGGTTGCATAGTTCTATAGCGTTTTCGCCATTTGGGACCTTTGTTCTCCCCGCGTATGCAGAACCATTTATATCCGCCTAGGTGCCTCGAATCTCTAGGAGAGTATCCTTGGTTTGCATGGTATTGCCAATTTTCCTGTTTACTAATTCTCGAATTGCTACTTGTTCTTAAAGTTCACACGTGTAATGATTGCCGATGTTCGACTGGCCATGAAGGGTAACCGGTTAAAAGCCGAAAATATATTCTCGCAGATCACCACCACTTACCCCACCTTCCACATTCATATGTCGAAATCTGTCCAATGTCGATTGAGGTCGACGGGAATTGAATGCTTCTTCTGCAACCTTTGCTGGGAAGTAGTAACACTAGGGGATTCAAATGTGCATACTAGTAACCAGTAACTCGCACCATGTGCAGGATGATCGAAAAGATAGGAAGGTAGAAAGTTCTACTTCCCGAGATACCTGCAAGTTCAAGGTCTATCTATGGTGAGGGTATATTCATTATGCAGGTTCCTGTACACCATGAAGATTGATGTGGCATTGTCCTGTCACTGGCTACACGTGCATATTTCTGGCGCTTTGCTGTCAAATGCGGTTTCACGGCAATTGATGATGGCCGGGAGTATATATGGAATGGCGAGAATCTATGAGTCGACCAGTTTATCTCAAAAACGAGCAATTTTCTCATTGGCATCATGATGTTAAGCCTTGAGGTGGTAATTATTGCCGCCTTGTCTGGATCTGCTCTGGCTGCCCCTCAGAACATCCAGAACCATGAATCCACGGATAATTCATGGAAAACTCGGATCAAGAATGTTGTTGTTCTCGTTGAAGAGAATAGATCGTTCGACACATTCGCAGGTGGTCTTAGTTATAACCCATCCATTGATGGGTTATTGCACCACAATTACTGCAATTCAATGTAAGCTTTTTCACATTCACAGTTAGACTTCGATTGACACAATGAAAGGAACGCATCAGACCCCACGCAGAAAGCGGATGTTTGTGCTGGACCTCGTGCGAAAGATGTTGCAGCAGATGATCCAAATCATAGTATTAGTGGTATCAACATGCAACGTATGACCGCCCATCTTGATATTGCTTCTCCCACTAATTGTTCAAGTCTTCACAACATGGCATCCGGATGGAACACAGCCCCAAAATATGCGTGGTTTCGTGACGGAACAATCCTTCACCTTCGACACCTTCAATAAAACTCGTGCTGCCGAAGTCATCAACTACTATACTCCCGAGCAGATAAAAGTCTTCAGCACGATGGCCGAGAACTACGTACTCTTCGACCGCTGGTTTGCCGCTGTACCTGGTCCTACCAACCCCAATCGTGCCTACATAACGAGTGGAACATCTTTTGGACACGTGAGTTGTTATTTTTACACGTCAAGAGAATTGTGCAGACAAGGGGCTCATTATATATTTAGGGATCAAATGATAACACCTTTAACACATATGGATTACCCGTCAAATCCATCTTCGAACAACTTTCGGAAAACAACATCACCTGGATGAACTACCAGAACTCTACCCTCGGCCCGGGTCTCGGTTTCAACCCTGATGCAGCCTTCTATACGTGGACCAAGACCAGTGGTAAAGACAAAACTAACATCGCACCATTAACAAAATTTTACGAGGACGCGGCTGCAGGTACTCTCCCACAATTCACATACATCAACCCAGAATGTTGTTCCTACCAGTCCTATCATCCCCCTTCGCCCATCAGCCTAGGGGAAACTTTCATAAAAGGAATCTATGAAGCTATCCGCTCATCACCACAATGGAACGAAACGCTCTTCATCCTCACATTCGACGAGCACGGCGGTTTCGGCGATCATGTTCCTCCACCAACGAACGTCCCCGCTGGGGATAGTGTCACATACACTGAAAAAGCACCGGACGGAAAGAACATGACATTTGATTTCACACGTTTGGGCCTCCGGGTGCCGACGCTTTTGATCAGTCCGTGGGTTGGTAAGGGGCTGGTGGAGAATAAGGGGAAGAATAAGGGAGGCGAATACACACATACGAGTATTATTGGATTTTTGGATGAGTTGTGGGGATTGGAGCCATTGACACCTCGAGTTGGCTGGAGTAGTACTTTTGAGAAGTTGATTACGAATAAGTTGAGGACGGATACTCCCGTCACATTACCAGATCCTGTGGTTTTTGGTTAAGAGAGGACTGGATATGGGCACTTGTCGTGGTTAGGATCTTTTTTCTTCGCTGTAACTAGCATAGACGTATCCCAGGAACGAGGGCGAGTGGTGTATATATATCGATCCATTCTTTATTCGTATACATGCAAATAATGTCAGACTTCTTTAGACACATAGGCTTTGCAATATAACGATATTCCATGCCTAACCTATGCCATTTTCGCCACATATGTACGTCTCAAGCTTTAATTTTTGGTGCGAAAGATAAAAGTTTCATTATCTATCTGCAAACCGATATGCGAAGAACGGAAATGTCATGATACACCTAGAAAGTGTCGGAAGATGATGGATAAAGGTTAAGCCACCCGAAGCCAAATAAAGTGGCGGAAGTGTCAGTTCGAATTTTTTTGGAATTCTTTGCGCTTAAAGAAAAATCTAGAAATAAGTAACAACTTTAGAATGGATTGATTGTTTCATTAGTCTCAATAGGGTTATTTGAGCTCCATGTCGATACTTCCTGTTACTTGCTAATTATTGCGATAGGTTTGACCAACTAAATCAGCATGCCATACCTATAACGCAAGGGATTCCAACATCGTTGTGGATGTACTGCCGTTATGAAGTCATTGGAAATACATATCAGACGAAAGATGACGATCTGTGATAGAAAGGAAATACCGATAAGATCTTGCATGTTTGGTTCTGTTTCACAACGGTCAACATTGGAATGAACAAGGTTTTATAACATCATCATAATCATGCAATTGTCGGTCCATGGAGTACAGTTTATATGTCTGTCTCACAAAATCTCAATCCATGAATCAGTGTCCGAGGACGGAAAGATAAGGGGATGCCATAAGCACATGTCATAACAATGATGTCGTGCATAGAATCTTGTGGAGCATTTTTTCCGACACTGATGTTTGCCGAGCATCTAGTTGAATATACGAGACTGTACTAAATCCAACCATCATGGGGAATTCCACCTTGAAGTTTCTTGGTGCTGATGTCGTTCCTAAGTTAAGTGGCTCAAGGTTCTACAATCATCAGGTTCCCGTCTATCCCTTACTCAAATGGGCGCTAAACTAAATCTTCGGTATCGGATGATGAAGGAGTAATAGTCGTATATTGATATTAATTTTCTTCTCATTTTCTCGACTTCCACTAATTAAAGTTGATCAATTTGGATATAACCTTTCCATTCGCCAAGTAACGTATAGATGTAGTGACATCTTCGTAATCGATAACCATACCATGCCTTCGGATGATCAATTCCTCTTTCTTGAGCCACATCCCAATCGTACCGCTTTTACTTCTCCCTCACAATTCCCATATGCTTCTTCTCCCATGGGAATTCGCCATGATACTCCCACCACTCCGCACTTCGCAAGTAGTCTTGCCAATAAGCACTAAAATCATTTCTCCGGTACAAGGTCTGAATACCCAAGAAGTTTACCCCACATTTACGCTTCACTGTCTTACTATCCCTTTCCCCTCTCAGCACTAGTCTATAAACTTCTCCCCTTTTCAAGCTGCTTTTTAGCCTGCCTGCCATTCGTCTCTCTGTTGACACAGACCTGAAGATCTGCATACTTTAGATTGTACAGCCATTCCCATAAAAGATGCTCATGCACCATAAGGATTCAATTCCTGCGTACCCCGCCACTAGGCGCCAATCACCATCCGATGGTGTAGACTAGCGATTCATTATGCCTCAGTAATCCAGCGATTTGGAGGCTGCACCTGGCCTTTAGGTCTGATTTTGCGACTGATAGGTCCATTCAACCATTCGAATTGTCACTTGTTGGAATATTTATCAAGTAATGCAACATCCAAACTAGGCAGGATGTAATTCAATTAGGTCGCGGATCTCAATAAATATCAAGGAATTATACGGTCCGCGTGGTATCTGGTCTTTAGCATTCACTAAGTAGCTAGATACTAGTAGATACTTATTATTCAATCCCCTACATAAACAATAGCATCCCGCCATTCAAATTCCCATTGTTACATTCTGTTGTTCAAATCTTTCCTGATCTTTAAAAGTTTCCCTTTCGCTTTTGGATTATTTTTCTCCTTTACACGCATTCGTTCGTACATCATAGTCAATATGAAAACCACGTTCGCTGTTATTGCCACTTTGGCGTCAGTTACCTCTGCTCAGGTCACAGCTCTCATCACTCCAACAGCATCGGCACCTTCAGGATGTGCCACTAGCTATTCTGGCTCTTTTGAAATCTCTGCTGTAAACGTCAGTAGTGTAGCAAGACGTCAGCAAAAGGTAAAATATATCCATATCTCTGTCAATCTAGACTGCCGATTCAAGACTTGGCTAACTCATCCACAGCGTGCCGATTGTTCATCATCCCTTGCAATCACACTCAACGGAGGTATTCTTAAAGATCAGCAAGACAGAACAGGCTACGTTGCAGCAAACTCCCAATTCCAGTTCGACAAGCCAGCTCAGGAAGGAGCCATATACACCGGAGGCTGGTCTATTTGTTCCAACGGTTCTCTCGCTCTCGGCGGTTCTGCAGTCTTCTATCAATGCTTGTCTGGCAATTTTTACAATCTCTACACCGAATCTCAGGGTAAACAATGCTCCCAAATCTTGATCCAAACAGCTTCATGCAACTCTGCAGCTGGATCTGGTGTCGTCGGTCAATCATCTGATGGTCAACCAACCGCCACTGCTATCGCTTCCCTGTCCACTGCATCAATTTCTCAAATTTCAGATGGGCAGCCACAGGCGGCGACTTCTGCTACTTACATTAGTCAAATCGGTGATGGACAAATTCAAGCGCCTACCCATGTCCCTACTGGTGCCTCGATTACACAAATTCCTGATGGTCAGATTCAAGGTGCAACAAGTACACCTACTAGTGCTTCAATTACGCAGATTCCTGATGGTCAGATTCAAGGTGCCACTTCCATCGCAACACCCCCAGCCAGTGCTCCTATCAGTCAAATCCCTGATGGGCAAGTTCAAGGCGCCACATCTACGGCTGCGCTCTCCTCAGCAGTTATTTCCCAAATTCCTGATGGACAAATCCAAGCCACCACCGCCGCCACACTCGTAACTAGCACTTCTTCTCTTGCTGGTCCAGTCATCTCCCAAATTCCAGATGGACAGATCCAAGCCCCTACCGCAACAAACGCTACCTACTCCAGCGCAACAGCTACCCAAGCTACATACACTGGCGCTGCCAACAATGTCCAAGTTGGTAGCTCTTTAGCTGCCGCTGTTATTGGTCTCGTTGCTGCTCTCTTGTAGAATCAGCAAGCATACACATCACACGATGAAACAAATTTCATTTCTTGGTAATACTTTTTTCTGAACCAAACATACTTCTTTTTATGACGATGAAGTATTTAATGAGGGGATAATTCAGGGGAGGATGTAATGGTGTGGGAATCGGGATACTCCCATATGTTTTGGTTTGCTATTTCACTTCTCATACATTAGGTATCGGTGTTCGTGGGTTGAATGGCATGGACATAGGCATAGGCATAGGTATAGGGTATGGCCTTGTGGACTTGATTATCACATCACAATATATCATTCCATTTTATAGGATGAAATGATGAAATGATTGGACACATAATGGAGGGGTGGGAAAAATTGCAGATATCTGGCTTATAATATGATTCAAGGATGAATAATGGAAATTGTATACGATAGTAATGCACTTTTGCGAATTTCAATTTCAGACACAGTTATCCATATACCTCTCCTGGATGAACTTTTTTCGCCCTGTGTGAATCGCTGTTACTTTCTCGTATTCTATCCCAGTTCCATGTGAATGTATCTTCCACCAGCAAAATCTCTCTTCATTTTCATCACGTCTTCATTCTCTTAGTGAATCTAGAGCCTGCCTGCCTGCCCACATCCATAACCATCAAGTTATTCACCCGCTAACTAATCCACCTAACTAATCCACCTATCTACTTCTTAGTCTACCCATCTAGCATGCATATACAAAAATATAAACACCTATCCTACCAACCAACTAACCAACTAACTACGCATTGCGCAAGCACTAGCCTCCCCGCCAATCCTACACCCCACTACCAGCTTCTTTAGCTGATTATCCAACTTTATCTAAATAAACAGTTATAGTATATCTAGCCAAGTAGGATCTAGAACTAGAACTACCGCTAGACTCTAAAGATAGAATTAGAATTAAAGCTAAGCTAAACTAATATTCCGCTACTTTCCGCACATACCATCCTCTAGAGACTAAGAACAAAACTTTTAGTACACCGTGTAGGTACTAACTAGAAGCGCGTAAACTTACCTTATTCCTACTTCCTGCCGCCAATCACTCCGCAACTAATGTAAGTTTACCATTATAACTAGTACTAGTATGATTAAGACCTTTGAGTAACCTTTAAAAAAGCATAATATCCAAAGTTACCTTAGTTCCCGAGTTACGGACATTCTGGAATCTGTCGGCAGCACGGATGGTGTTTGTTTGTAACTTTGTAACTTTGTTATCTATGCTGTTATCCTAGATATTCTAAATTCTTAGAGTTGTCTTGGTTCTTGGGTCTTGGCGGGAATGAAAACTTTATTTGGGTTTTGGGGGTCTGGACTTTTGTGGGTGGTTATGCATTGATGATGGGCTGTGCGATGGGTTTAGTAGTGTCGTGCCTTGACCTTTGATTTGGTATTTGGTTTACAATGATGACATTATGTTCTGGGAGGATCCTCGGTTTTCAGGATGATTCTACTATTGTCATTTTTTACTTCATTTGTACCAAGCTCGGTGAATCATATCGTTAATCTGTGTTAGAAATACATATGGACACTACAGATATTATCCAAATCTTGAGATTTCGGAGAAATGTAAAGTATATACGATATTGCATATAATACTAATAGCACTCAATTATAAAATCACTTTCGCCCATTTCATCACATATAGATCATATGTAGTCACGCGACTACTTCAAATTCCAAACCAGCTATTCTCTCGAAGAATTAGCCACTAATTATAGGCTGGTATGATCAAAAGATGAAGCTTATTTTATCAAACCTCGGGTAAGATTGCTTTGCTCCCAACCTATTTTCTTCAAGATAGACATACGTGGCCAATCGCCAGTGCCGCCGCAATCAAAAATGGACTTCAGTTTCGAAGTTTACCTCGGAGAGCCATTTACTTTTCTCCTATTGTTAAAAGTTTGAACCTCGCTTGTCGCTAATTATAAGCGACAACAATGCCAAAACGATAACAACGCTTTAAACAATAGATCATATTGTACATGTAGTATATATGACTTTCAAAATGTGGCTTTGAAGTGTCTATTCTCTTTGCTGTGGTTCAAGCCTTCATCTGTATCTCTCCATTTCGTCAGAATCTCGCTTCAGCTCTTTCGATCGTCTAACTATACTTTTCTACCGCAGGAAATCTTATTTCATGCGACAGTAGTGCGAAAACAACAGCACATCGTATCTATCGCTATTATCGTTCCTCCACCCATTGGCTCCTGCTTTATCCTTTCCATCTCCCGGAGCGCGCCTCCAAATCCGAGATCTCTAAGGCCTGGAACCTACTAGTTCTTCCTTCCACTCAGACGGGAACCTAGATCAAGACATGAAAGACCGCTCTCTTGAGCTACAAGACGGATATTATACCACCAACACAGTAAATCAAGAGAACGCGAGCACCATGTGTTCTTCGGAACCAATACTTACCTGCTCCTGAAGAAGCAAAAATAGCAGCATAAATCGCAGCACTGACTTCAAGAGAATTGAAGAAGCCAAGAGACAGACGGGAAAGAGACGAGAAAAAGAGACGAGAAAAAGAGAAGCTCTGAAAGAAACTAAGGAAGAAAAATGATGCCATTCCCGTTCAAAAGGAGAAAAAATACAAAAAAGAAAGAGCCGAGAAGCGCGTACCCGAAGAAAAAGCATGGCTAGTTACCGAATATTCTCGAAATCTTTCACTGAAGAAGACTACCTCCCATGCGCGATCTTCGTAAAGCACAAAGGCACTGGAAATTTCAGATGTCTGATCTTTCTGAATCCAAGAATTAGATACATACATGCCCAAGGTCAAACGGCCCCAGTACTGTGATCCGAGGATGAAAAATCTACGCAGGTCAAGGACTTTGTTCTAATTTCCAAGCTCTTCAATGCGACAAAAGAGCGACACTTACGGAAATCAGCAATACTAACAGCGACAATCTATCTCCTCAAAAATTCTCCGAATAATCGGCCCTTGCAGCCATCATCCCATTAAAAACAACACACCTGACTGTTTCGAGTCCTCGCGCTGTTCCTGGCAGTCTTTCGCTAACATATCTCGTTCACTAGGAAGCAGATGCTAGCAAAATTCGCATGGTCATCGGCATATTGTGAACCAGGAATTATAAGGATTTGTTGCCGAGAGTTGAGACTATGATGAAGAGAAGCATGACTGCTTCGCTGGGACGGGATTGGATTGGATTGGATTTTAATGTTCGGCTAGTGATAGATTTTTAGATTAGTCTTTTTGTCTTTGGTGTCATGCGCTTAGTTCATGTGTATAACAAGTTGTTCGATTTCTTTTGGCAACCCTCTTTAAAATATAACTCGTATTATTTTGGGCTTCCCGAAGCCTTGAACATATATTCGTACATATGATGTTGCAAAAGTTGTCTGTGGTGCTGAGCTGTGTAGCAACTTGATTTGATTTTGTTTTTTTGCCTGTAAAATTCTTTAGAAGGTCTGATCTATGAACTCAATCTCTTTGAGGAAATGCGCTTGTGATATTCCAAAAAGCAACAGAATGGGTATTCGCAATCCTACCACCCATTTTAAGTACTCCTAAAGCCACACTCTTGCCAGTTTCGCAGCCTACGATAAATCTAACTCCAGTTCCCTATAATCGTAACTCCTTTGAAATGCATTCCTAGTCTATCTCCATTTCGTCATAAACATCGTAATCATCGGCACCTCCTAGCTCTACTTCCTTTGCGGGAATTTGTTGCAAAGAAATTTCGTTTGTGGTCCAATCCATATCGTCCATGGGTCGTTCGCCAATTTCTTGAAGTGCCAACTCCATTTTGTGTCTGGCGGCTTGCATATCCATTGCACTAAACTTTTCCCAATCGTTAAGCTCAGTCCACAGTCTTTGGAACTTCAATTGCCTCGTTTGATCCGAAAACAGACTCATGAGGTCTTCGGCTTGTTGTGTCATACGTTGTAGTTCGCGACTGGAACATATATGGCGATGAGTAGCAGAGTTTCTTATTCGAACAGCATCAGCCAGACATCTATGGAGAGGTTTACTGTGTGAGGCAAGAGCTTCTGCTGGGATGTTTTGTGGAAGGAAAGTTCTCCACGTGGACAATTCAACAGCTTCCGAGCATGTCCAATTGTTCCTATGTAGTAGGTCGGGGATCCATCGCGATGCAAAGGTATAACATCCCTCCTCCATGATCCGCTGCATCATACCAAGAATGTAATGTTGTACTTCGTAAGGCAGGCCAAGGTCTTGGGAGGAGTGTGCAGGACTCGAGGCATTATACGCGTGGCGCATCGGCGAAGGTTGTAAGATTGGCGTAATCTATAGAGTATCATAAGATTAGCATGTTATTTAAGCAAAATATGTGAATGCATACCATAGTCCAAACCTCCGCACGGTTTGCTGCTTTCGATCTGCCAGGGTAATTACACGGTGCCCATTGACTGGTACTCAGCCCACCAGAACTCTTCCGTAGCTCATTCTGCGGCAGTCCTCTGTCTACGATCATTTTGCGGGGAGTTTCTGTTGCTCGATTCTTACTCGTCTCTCGCGACTGATGGGAGTGAGTAGATACCGGTACATTCTCCCGCAAAGTATTGTAGCTAGAGCCAGTGGAACTCGGAGGGCGATAGTTTCCTGGGGCCCAGATACTCGTTCTAAGCCCGCTCATATTTTCTTTACATTCGGATAGTGAAGTAGACTTTGCTTTGTGGGCGTTTATTGCTCGTGGAGAACAAAGTCTCTGGCGGGAACTAAATGAGTGTGATACGGAAAGAAATCAAATGAAGACACTGATAAATATGAAAGCTCAAGTTGAATGATACATTTACAAGTAAATATACATTTGAACGAACTTGCTTTGTAACAAGAAAATGTTGTCAATCATTCTTGGATCTTGAATCTTGACACAACAGCATGGCTTCGTCCTTTCCGGCCGCATAAAAAAATATCAATCCTACGTAGCCCCCGTCCCATAAACCGTTGTCCGTAGTGGCATATTTCGGCCGGAAAATAGATTTTCCGACGTTCTGAATCACATCCTTAAGATTTCGAACTGATATGAAAGTAAGTCATCCTATGTACCAACCAATGTTATCTTCATTGACGTGAAAATGAATTCAAAATTTGTCGTTCTATGTCTTTAGTGAGATGTGAACTGTACCAAAGTGTCCGGTGCTGTGGAGTAGGTATACTGTTACGAGAAAGATCGATTTCTTTGCTCTGAAAGGGGAGACTGATATACTCAGTGACTCGGAGGATGTAATGTATGGCTCGAAAGTTTTATGTTCCGTTGGTTGGCCATAGAAACACCGAGGCTGTTAAACTACCTGATGTATCATGAATAATGACAATCATCAAAGAAAGAAGGGGATATGAACACAATAGTTTTAGCACAAGGTATCTGCGGTGATGTGTCAAGTTTCTTGAATTTGTGCGAGTCTTCAATGGGGTCATCAGCACTATGGGATGATGACAGATAAAATGCGCACTTTCAAGGACATTCATTTTCCGATTTTGTTTAACCTGATTCACCATGCTCTAAAGTAGGGGCCCAATATGCCTTTGATCAAGAAAGCAAGCCTTTCTACCACAACCTACAGTTATTTCAATGCTATCAAAGATCAAGCGATTTAGAACCGCCTCCTTAACACCGTTCGCTACCGTACGAAGGTGTATATTATTACGTAGTACAACAATCATGTGTGATCTTCATTTGTTCACAAGGAGTCGGCGTTTCTCGAGTGTTTATGCTGATACGGTTGAGCTAACTCGTTCGCACTAGCAGAGTTATCTAAAATGAAAGCCGCACAATCCGTACCACACTTACAATTTCTTGTATATAGTTCGTCCAGATCTCAACACCTTGATTCCATAAATCTCAAGCCATTCGACAGAAAGTCACACAGTAAAACAAAGCACTTTCAAGCTTTCACGCACAAGGCAGAGCGTTTTTAATCATATGAAATTCTGCCAAAAGTACTACAATCAGTAACTCCCTCAGAAATACCACACGATTACAATTACAATATGTCGAATTCGTACGTTCGTCCCCCTCATTACCAAAGGCATTATCAGTCCATGCTGTTGAACCTTTGCAGCATCTATCCATACTTCGATACAGATGGCTTCGATCGGGCCTACATTGCTGAAGTTTCTTCCGTCGCTTCACAATATCCAGCAAGTAGTTTGGATTTTTGCTACTACTGGACTGAGAAAGTCCTGTGGGACAAATTTCAATTGTCTAGTGCATACGGCGAGTTTCCTGGCCGATATGGTGGTCCCGGGTATATCACTCAACAACAAATCGGAAGCATCCAATTGCCACCCACTCCAGGATCAGCTCAACAAGTTTCAAGGATAGCTCCAACTTCTTTGCAACAGACATTGGAGGTCCCAAGGCGCACTGTGAAGCCTACTGAGCCGATCCGTGAACAAGCCGCAGAGGTGCCTGCGACCTCTGGAACGCCCGCTCCAGCACCTGCCCAAAAACGAGTGGATCTCCCCGCCGTGCCATCTGTCCAGCACTCCGATCAGCCACCCCAAGAACCAAGCCGAAACCACACTGGGGATTATCTCAAACTTAAAAGTTCATCAGCTTCTTCACCCACAAAAGCATCGCAAGATTTAGCCAAAGAGACACTCAAACGCGACAGTTCACGAAATACACAGTCTATCAGCGAAACTCCAGGATTAATTATGAGATCCGGTCCTCAAATTGAAACCCCTTCATCACTCTTAGCTGCTCGGCTTGCTTCCCCTGGTACGCCTAGTCCTAGTTCGGTGTCTACCGTAGCACGTTCCGCACCACCCACATCATTCGAGTCTCTCCCTCCTCTCTTGGACCCAGATTTACTTTACAAAGATCCCACCACTGGTGAAGTTATCACCATGAAGATGTTTGAGCGTCGATGCCTTAGTCGTGGTGCTCAAATCGCAATTGAGCATGCCCAAGCTGCTGTTAAAAGCGAACCGTCTCGTGTGACAAAACCTTTAGCACGTACAATATTGGAAAGGTCACTTATTACTGCGTTGGCTAGTATCGTCCAAGAACAAACTCAACATTAAAGGTTGGCTGTCTTTGCGCTACGATCAATCGATCTACTACATAATCGTAGTTACTTACACAGACAGTATTCTGTATTGTATTGTATCTGAACTATGCCGAGCGGCTTATGTGGCAACCTAAAGAGAGTACACAATTAAAAGGAGTTGCCATCCGTCTTCCAGTGCTAAGTCCAACAACGATTTGTTTCCTTCCAGCTAAATTCCCAATATATTCGAGATGTTTGGGACTGGCGTCTGACATCGCCGGTCTCACTTCAACTCAGCAGGCTTTGCACAGGCGCCTTGCATTATGATTCCCGATCATTTCTCTCTTCCCTTTTCTTTTACCGGTTGTGTCTCGGTTTCATACCGATTGGCCACTGTTGTCATTCTATCACCAAAGAACGAGCTAGGATGCAACTGTTTGTTACTTGCAATAGTCAGGCCAGCGATGAGCGTGTATTATTGACTACAAAGAGATAGGCAAGACACCTAGAGTGCGCGGGATTGTCTTTCCCTTTAATCAAGATTTTAGTATCAACCCATTTAAGCATGGCACAATCCTTACTTCCATTGTTGCTCCAATTTCGTGATCTCTGAAAGGTGCAACTAAATCGTATGTGATATAATGGGAATGCCACCCATAGTATACACAGGCGGGGTGTCTCACGTAAATGACACATACAAAGCATGGGTTATCTGAAGAGATAAATAAATCCAAGTCATAACTCTATGATCTTCCAATTTTGTAGATACTTCTGAAATATACCGGAAAATAGGGTAAATAAATCACTGATAGATACTCTCTCCAAGATCAGAGGGTATATTATCTCCTTACCTTTCTTCCTCGTATCCAATACTCATATCTGCGCACACGTCTTGTTCATCTTCACAACTTTCAACTTTACTAAACCGCAGAGTTCCATTCTCAATCAATCAGTCATCACAATTCACCAAACAATAAAGGATAATCCACACATCAAAGATAAACCAAATGACCATTCGCTCCCACCCATCTTTTACTAAACCGCTGAACATAGAAGGGATCCATGACTTTCAATACCTACGTAGGTACACAAAACTTCATTCCCTCAAGTTCTCATCCTTAGAAGATGAGATACAAATCAAATTGGAACCGCATCATCACCTTATATCCTAATCCTCTAACACCAATCCAGCCTTACACACCCAGGTTCCTCCTAGGTAAGCAGACTACAGTAAAAACAAAATTAAAGCACTTTCCAGATCCAAATCACATCACATCACATTCAATATTCCAGCTATATATCCAAAATCCAAAATCCAGATCAGCACACTCAACCTCGATTCAAACAACCAAGAACATTTACCTCCAGCCCGATTCGAATCTAATTAGAAGCCCATGTATATGACGAATGGGACATCTTATAGTACGTACCTAGATATTCCAATCAAACACTTCAATAGATATCACTGGTCCGCTTCCCTAGTACACTTCTCAAAAGTACCTATTTCAGGAACAGGATTAAAAATAAATAACCCGAGTACCTACTCGGAGATTACATTTCAAGAATGGCGGGTATTTTGAGAAGTTTATGAGATGGGATGAGATATGCGGGGTTGGTTGGTTCAATGGTGGTAATTTATTACCTAGATATAATAACTAATAATAAATGTGATTCACGGGCCGTGGATTTAATAGTGACGGGATAGTTCGGATGTTGGAAATTTTTTATTTTACTGATCGGTCATTTATATGTATTTATGCGGGGAAGTTTGTCTTTTATCTACCTACGTAGGTACGTAATTAAGGGTATTCGTATATGATGGAAGAATATGGTACGGTTTGTGTTGTGTGGTGCCTAGTTTGAATTTGGACTTTAAAATTTTATTTATCTGGGTATTTATTGCTTGCTTGACTTCTTTCATTCGAGTTCAAGATTCAGATTCTTTTATATCCACATCAAGAAAACTTGTACACAGCTCTAACCTCAACTCAATCATAATATTCATATCACAACATGCCTCATGCAACTACGGAAGGACCACCTATTCCCTATTCATCTAGACCAAATACTACAATGCTATATTCCCTCATGTCGCTCCCATCTCTCAAAGAATTCATGGTACACAGATTAGTTGACGAAGCAACGCATATTAGCACCATGGAGATAGCCCTGAGAGATTATGCGCGTCATCGCAACAAGATGGAAGAAGTATGTGCAGGAGCAAGTGAAAGCACAATAACATTCATGGCCGACAAATTATTCTGGCGTTCTCACTGTACGTATCATGATCGAAATATTCCCTCTCTAGGTACTTTTGAGAAAAGCACTAATGAAAACCTAGGGCCTGAGGAAGAATATCCTAGAGAGAATTGTCTCTTGGATTCGCATGATAAGGAAGTTATTTATAGGGCATTTGCAAATGTTCGTGTTCGTGCTAGGGAACAGGAGATATTTCGTGAGCAACAATATAGATATCGGGAGTTTTATGCTCAGGAAGCTCAGGCTTGGAGTAAGAGTGTTGGGGATAAGCTTGCACGAATGGCACAAAAGGAAAAACAGACTGAGGACCATGAGGCAAAGGATGACGAAGGAAAATTAGGTTTGCAGGCGTTGGCGCAACTTGAGATTTGATACAGAGGAGTAGAAAGTTGATTTGAAAAGGATGGTTTCGTTGCCTTCCGTGTTACTACGAGGTTTTGGGATAATATGATGATACTCTGCACATAATTGTACATCGCAGCTAGAGTTACACAGGAGTTTCTAAAAGATATTGGTAAAGAGGCACTTGTTGAGCCTTCTGATGTACCTGAGACGATGAAATTGGCCTTGAGTCATTGATCAACCTCTTGAAAACAATACAAACATTTTAAGGTTAATTTTTTACTCTCTTCTTCAGTACGTACCTAGGTAGTGCATGATATTTCGAAACTCGAAATTTACTACCCAATTTTTCTCAGCTTCAACCTATTTAGCATATAAAACATATTCCAACTGAAATTACTTCCACTACAAACATAATCACAAAAGTCAAACACAGTAAACAAATCGCTACGAGACTACTACAATTGCTCTTTCGGTATGGTTTATATATCGTGCGGCGACCATATGATAGCCAAGCTTGTCAGTGATCAAAATATCAAGCCCGCCTACACGAAAGAGAAAGCAACACGACTATACGAGATTTGCTATAGGAAATACAGTCGAGGATATGTCAGAGCCAGCACAGAAAAGACATTTTATGAAGCAGACCAATGCTTCTGGCGTCAATTCTGTGAGTGGCCAAGTATCATTGAACAGGATGAAATCTGACAGAGAATTTAGGGCCAGCTGAAGAATTTCCTGGGAAGAAAACGGGGATTTCACGTATGAAAAAGGATGGAAAAGCTGTTGATAAAGATGAAACCATTGCTGTTCAAATAAATCAGGGATCGAACCAAGCAGAAAGTCGAAAACGACAGGAAGAAATAACAGAATCACTATGGTCACAACCTCTTTCCAAACCAGAGGAACCACCAAAGATCATTAAATCCAGAGAGCGATCGCGCTCAAGGCATAATATTGTAGATAGAAACCGGCCAAACACTACAAATGACAAGCGAGCCATAGATTGGGAGATCCTGACAATACAACGAAGAATAGAGCATCAGAGACAACTAAAGCAAAATCTTTTGAACAAGAGGGCAAGGGCAAAGAAGGCAGCAAGGGAATTGACCAAATTGGCATCAGAAGCCTCTACAATGAGGGACCACCCGGCAAAAATCCAGAAAAATCTAGAGGGAGCTTTAACGATATCTTCAACCACAAACTTGCAGCAAGCTTCACCTAAATCAGATGTGGCTGCGACGAATTTACACAAAGAAGGCCCGAATTCATGTAGAAAATCTCGACACTCGTCTGAATCAGTACAACTTCCAGTCGAGCCTTCCTCAGGCCGCCTTCAAACATTGGATGAGATGATCCGCGAAGAAAGAGAAATTGCAATGCAACTGAGCATTACGCATGAATCCACTTTAGATACCGAGGAGAACAGAAGTATACGTCAAAGCAGAGATGGATTGGAGGTTGCAAATGGAGTTAATGGAGCATCAGACGAACAACGTCGTTTTTGCTTGATACTGTAGCATCACAACCCAGATGCGAAACTGTGCTTCAAATGACTTCCAAGGGATGGGCCGTTTCATCTAGTTTGGTGGTTCCATTGAGGTGCGGTATCGAGCATTATGGAGCTGGCCAGCAAGTTCGAGAACATGAGATGACACTTGATTCAATTCTCAGAATCCATCTTAACTTACTAACTGAGTGTTACCCCAAATTCCGATATCGAATGGATTTCATTTCCTTCGTGGACAGTATTCATTGCGAGTTTGGCGTTGGGTGAATCTTGGTAGCATTATGAGCTGTTGGTGAAATGCTTTTCGCATCGAAGTGAAATGAAGAGTTCCTATTAGGGGCAAGGAGAGTGGTAATTGTGACTCTATTGGATCTAAGGACTTTCAAGAATCGCTTCCTTTGCTGTGTTATGGATTCGTGAATGAGGTGAGGTGAGGTGAAGATTGAAATTAGTGAAGGTTAAGGGTGCACGGAGCTAAAAGTATAGCTAGCCTGAGCCTATGGCCCCACTTCTAAAAGGCCTTTCTGCATATGCTCTTGGAAAGTGTTTGCAACCCGAAAGTGACATTCTATATATCTAGAGAAGAGCTTCTCCAGTCTCCAGTCTCCAATCTCCAATCTCCATGCATTCATACACTTCAATCCCATACAACGCGTCAAGTGGCGAGTACAATTTTGGCGCATTTAAGTTAATTTACAAGTATTGCGGATCAAACAAACGCACGATTTTCAGTCTCCTTGAATGTAACCTATGGCGACAAGAAACGAGGCAGATATTGAACCCATTTGATTTACATTACAAACAAACGCAATTTGAAACCCCTTTCCAACACAAGCTCTCCCTATGGCGATCAAAATCTGCGGACTTTACTCCACATCACTGCCTATTGGCCTGATACCTCAATTCCTACTCATTATCCAACTTCTTCTCTAGATTCTTCATATAATCCCTCTTCAACTCCGCCAACGTCTGAAAGCTCACTTTATCCACTACTTTGTCGTAGGTGCGTGTCTCCAAGGTCATCTCTTTGAAATCGACAAAGTAGGAGAATGCGGGTATATAATCGTTGAGCTTCACTTCCACCAAATGCTCAAGTTCACCATCCAAGATAGGCTTTAGTGCTTGTGCTCCTTGAAGTTTTCGAAGAATCCAATACCATTCTGTCGCTCGTTCGTCGCCACTTGGTTCGGAGTAGCCGAGTTTCTGATATTTCTCTTGAAGATCCTTGGGAACCTGGACATCCCTCCCGACCCACTATATATTCTGTCAGCTAATATTCATGACAAGAGTATGCAGTTCAAGACGCCAGATGAGTTAGACATACTTCGAGCTTTTCAAGATTTTGGTTCATAATAGCATACTGTTCAGGCTTCAACTTGAGGATGAAGTCGACGATATCTTGACCGAGACCGGTGGGATATGAATCGTAATGACAATAAGTTGCTCGACGTTGTGTTCCGAGGACAAAGACGAGAAGCCCACTGGTACCCATTCTGACAGGATTATTTTTTGAAGACTGCGATAAATTTAAAGTGGTTTAAGAGTGTGGTTTGCGATTGTGGAGTGTGTCTGGGGAATGTATTTTGGGGATGTGTTTGACTTTTGACTTTAAATAATCAAGTGCTCTGGCATTAGTCTACTAGATTCGTCCAGTCACCATTCTTGCCAATGACTCATTTTCACCAACAAGGTGTGTTGCCTAGACATCTGGTCCATTCATCACGGCTCCATGGAGACCAACTGTTGTACCACCATTATCATTGCGCCTAATTACGTCATCAATCGACCATGCAGATAATCTTCCCTTTCGACTGGTTGCTTTCCATCAACATATGTGCCTGCCTAATATCCTTCCAAGAGAAAACCCTCTCAATAGGAACCTGAAAAGTTCCATCAGCGAATTTTTGCAGCGCACTTTCAGCCAGCACATCTCTCAGTCTGCCTTGGTACTCCAAAGGTCTACTTCTCAATCTACTGCCCTCCCATCGCAAACGCTTCTTCTCAAGCGGACCAATATCCAAGCCATCAAGTTTGTACCCGCTAAGACTAGCCAGTTGGACAATCCTTCCATCCATAGCTGCTGCTTCAAGATTTCCCTGGGCGTAGTTCTTGCCAATAAAGTCAACAATTACATCAGCTCCATGTCCATCAGTCGCATCGAGCACTCCTTGGACCCAATTTTCCGTATGATAATTAAAGCCATGTGTAGCCCCCAAGCTCTTACAGAACGCTATCTTCTCATCAGAACCCGCTGTCACGAATATCTTGTTGGCGCCAGCAGCTTTAGATAATTGGATCCCGGCAATGGATACAGCGGATGCTCCAGCGTGCCAGAGGATATTATCTCCTGGTTTGAAACATCCTACGAGGTGCAAAGCTTGGGTTGCCGTTATCCATGTCTAGTATCATGTTAGACTTAGCTTTGATTACGTAGAGGCAATGATACATACCTCTGGAATTCCAGCAGCTACAGACCAAGGCATCTCAGCTGGTTTATGAATGAGCATCTTCGTTGACGATGCCAAATATTCCGCATATGCTCCTATTTATCTAACAATCAGCATCTAAAAGTCCATATAAATGAAACATCATACCTCCATACGCGAGCCCAAAAACCTCATCCCCAATTTTAAAATCCCCCACATCTCCGTCCCCAAGTCTCTCAATCACTCCCGAAAATTCCACCCCTAGAATCTTTCCCGCCTGTGAGGGTACATTATATTTCCCCTCACGTTGCATCAAATCCATCCGATTAAGACCAAAAGAATGAATCTTAACCAGAGCCTGAGAAGTCGAAGGTGTGGGTTTAGGAACATTCTCATTTAGAAAAAGACTCGAGATTGGTCCGCTCCCATTTTCGATATCTGTATATTATATTTCGTAAGTTATATTACTTCCTAATACACACAAGTATAACGACTTCCGCCAGCTTACCAATTGCACGCATGATTTCTCGGGACATTTTTGTTTTGCTCAAAATCTGATAGTAAACTCTTACTTCGAATTCTTCAGAGCGTAATGAGTCTTTTATATAACATATAGCCATGTAAGTAAGCCTGGATTATTAACTCTCGTTCTCGTAACATAGTCAGAAACAACACTTCAATATAAACTAACATGCTCTCTAATTGACTAATGAGTCAATGATCTACTCTATTCAAACGCAATACAGACAATTAAGCGATAATCTAGATGCATGCATGTCGCTTTGTCATATATGTACCTTCAGCACCTCAACACGATTTGGAAAATATAAGCTCCAGGAGTGGGCCAAGCGAATGCGAGGATGCTTATGAGATCATCAGCAGCATATTAACTAACCGATTCTACTCGAGTAAAACTCTCGGCTTACCAAACGAAATAAAGCACAATATCAGATTATAAATAACTGCAATACTAGCTGGACTTTATTCGTAATATTCCTCGAACCTTCTAAACTCTGTGGGCTTTCTAGATGACAAATTTGGGAAGGAGATGGTGCGTGCCTTAAAAAGATCCCTCAAATGAAACAAACTCCAAGATAACAACCAAAACCTCGAAAACCATCAAACATTCTTGCTGTACCAGAAACCAGATGGTACAAAATAGAGAATCTGCCATCCTGCAAACGCCCGCAGCGAGTAACCACCAGCGGGTGAACGGGCTCGAAGGATAAAATCTACATTGAATAGATTGATTTTCCGCCAATACCTGTTGCACACTTTAAGGCCTGGCCACAACATCCAATTTATATCAAACAATGAATTATTCAATTGGAATAGGATCATCTGTAGATTGAAGTAATCATGGGATCTCAAAAATTTCGGAATGGTTCATAAATCCATGCACCCGCTGGTGAAGCAAACAAGGATGTAAAACTCAATTTCATATCCTCCCTTTATGTTCAAACCTCAAATGTCTCTTTTACTTATTTCAGCTTAGAGTACCATATTCCGCTCTTGGCGTAAATGGTGCACTCAAGTTCGGTGTGAAAAGCCCTTTTCCATTTAGCCCTTGAGTTTTCCAAGCTTCCAACATTACTTCAATTTCCCTTCTAGCGTCATCCACGATGTCATCCATATTTATATCGATCTTGTCCCTTCCAAATGGATCCTCGTGCCACTGAGCAATTCCTTCGATACCGTAAAGAGCAAAGGCTACAAATGCGACGAGGGGAAGTGTCCACCAGCCAATCTCAGCCGCCATCGCAAACGGTAAAATGCAACAGAAGAGGGCGAGTGTTTGTTTGGAGTGGATGAGATGTGCAACGGGCGTAGGTGCGAGTCGAATCACCTCCATGCTCCCATAGGCGGAGATGAACTGATTCAATTCTTGAAGCATATTTGATGAAGAAGAATTGTTAAACCAATTCCTGAGTGCAAAATGTTCGTTAGATATTGAAATTGAGAATTTTTATGGTTGTGACTTACAGATTACAACCAATGTTGATGAATTTCTCGACATACGTAGCCAACTGTAACGTCAAGCCCAATCCCATATGTTCATGGCCTTTAAAACCTTGCGGTAACAGCTCCTTGTATTCCTCTGGCCAGAAAAACTCACCGTCTTCCGTTAACATGGTCCCAGCACTGAGTTCCACGCCCCAATCTGCTCGCAGATGGTTCTTCACAGTATAGAGCATCGCAATCATAATCTTTACTGTTTCAATCGTCTTTGCTGCCAGGGCTTTGGATATTGGCTGATGGTTTACGTCCGCCGCACCATCATAATCCTTATATGCTGAACTATTCGTACTGCCTTCCTGTGTTGATGAATCGTATTGATAATCGGGCGGAGCGGGTGCGGGCACAAGTACAAGTAGATGTCGTGTGAGACATCTAATTGAAGTCGTGAGGGTGCTGAAATGGCATCTGCCGGTCCAAAAACGATTATATGCCGTTTGATTGCGGAAAACGAGTTCTAGACCCACGACAATGGATAGTGAAGGGACCTTGGTTTAGTTAGATTCCGCTTTCTAGTCGCAGATGGAGGAGAGCACTTACGATACTGGTTGGAAGTGTAACATCACTGCTGATGTGCTGGTTCAAATATACAACAATAGCAGATATAGCAGAGAGAATGGCAACCGGCCAGAGGACCTCTGCATAGATAATTGGTTAGTTTCGTCTCCAGACTTTGATGCATGTGTAACGTCGTACCGGAGTGGATGGAACCCTTCCAGAATCTCAAAACCAAAGGCCACCTTGTTTCATCATCAGCTCATATCGATTTGGTTGAAAATGCTAGGTTTACCTTCGCTCTTTCCTTCTGGATGAACTTGCCAATAACCAAGACATTTGACGGTTTCGTTTTGAATCCCCACCGAAGTTCAGGAATAATGGTGTTCTCGACATTTTGCAGGTTCAACCTTGCGGGTCAAGGAGAAATGAGAGAAAGTGCTGCGGTTTATGAGTTGAGGGGTTGAAGGTTGAAGGTTGAATATTCACTTATGAGTACAATAATGGAATTGCTGAAAAGCATAGTATGGCGGAGTGGACCCATGATATCAACTCCAACACCAGGATGTGATCCTAGCAGATTCATGATAACGGCGAGTGGCGGCTAAAGCGATAAACCTGGGAAAAATTTAAAAGCTTTGACAGTCCGAACCTTGAATATTGAATTTGACATTGAACTGGATTTTGTAAATATACTCGAGTATTTACTGAAGAAATTATTTGTTCATGAGGTGAGAAGAACTAGAAATACAATACAGGTTTTGTGGCCATAAACCTTTTGAATCATGCAACCCCCTCAAAAGCCACTCACTGATGTACAATGCTATCATATCTCCATCCATTGGGCCCATTCCTTTGTATCGTATCGTCGCAGATTCATTCATTACAATGCTGGCTTCCCTTGTTGTGCGCCGAGCTGTGCGTTCAACTGTCCCGCTGTGTCTGTGCCCGAGGAAAGTAACTATCGCAAGTAGATGTTAGTATGAATATCAAAAACAAATCTGTATGCAATGGGCTGGGATGACGTACCTCTCCACCCATCTCTCTCATCTTCATCTCCTTCTCCATTTCAACTACCTGCTGCTCCTCCACAAATGCCAATGCCCATGGAACTCCCAGTAACAAAGCACTTGTGCTCACAACCCATAAAGTCTTGCCTCCGAACATTAAACTCGATTTGATCCAGCTTGTCGTTGTATCCACCTTGCTAGAAATATAAGATCGAGTTGACGCAGGTACTATATCTTTCAGGGCACTTATGCGATCTGCCAAGGTCTCCTCGTCTGCGACATTGTCCTCTTCGTCGGAGGAAATCTCAGAATCTTTGATTCACGTATATTAGCTAAACGTAGAGGTCATCGAAGTCAATGGTAGGACTAACCAGTATCAGTGTAGTAATCATCCTCAGATGGACCGGCTTGCTTTTGCTCAAAGGACTCGTCCTCAACTTCTGTTAATTCAACCATCTTTGGGAGATCTTATATTTTATATTCGTAGAGAAAGGAGAGTAATATCGTGTGAGTTGCTGTGTACCAGTCTGAATCCAATTTGTTGATGCTAATATATCTTTGCCTTCTAGCTGGGCGGGCCTGATGAATTTTTGGTGCCCGCCACGCTAAGATCACGCGCTAGCGGCAAGGCTGGTCAACGACGTCAGGCTGCCGAACCCCCAAAACGCGTGGTTTCCATACAATCCCTAGTATTTACATTCAATACCTAGGTAACAGCAACAATTTTGTTTATTTTTTTCTTCTTAATTCTTTGTACATGTTTTTTGAGCATCCTAACATTAAAATTCCAGTCGTCCGGGTTCAATTAGGGTCATTGATTTATTTCATTTACTTTCTGACATTCATACTCAAGTTCTCGCAGCAATATTTTGACGTTTAGTACCGAAGCACACTGCAAGCCATTGGTAAAATCATCAAAATAATTAAACCAACCAAATCTCTAGCACCATGGTAGATCTGCATCCTATTGTCATTCTACCATTCGAGCACAAATTCAAATCTGTCACCTACACATGTAGCGGAGAGGGACTGCATAAAGATGGCTACTCTTACGATCCCCACGCTGAAAAACTGCTACCCCCAAAGAGCCCCAAGCCAGGCAATGCTAAAGGTATCGAAACAAAGCCAGCAGGATGGTGGAGAGCTCAATGCGCTTTTAGAGGGCTAAACCAGTCTGGGTCAATTGCCGATTTGCAGTTGAGGTTGAGGGAAGCAAAGGCGAAAATGATTCCGGAACTTAAGACTGCAGAATCCCAACTGAACAAGGACTTTAAGAAACAAAATAAAATTGCGAGAGATAGCGGATGGAAATGCTTAAAAACAGCCGAGGAGAAGGCTGAAGCAAATCCAGAGAAATACCTTAGTGAAGCATTTCCGAAAACTGCCACAGGCCGGCCAGCAAATCTGGATATTGTCATTCTTAAAACTGAACGTCGAGCTGCCTTAGCTGCAGCTGCTGATAAGATGGGACTGGAGTCTGTATCGGTGGATGCACCTTGGGTCGGCAACGTACGGCCTTCTCCAGATCGTTGGATCGTAATAGGAAGAAGCAGAGATGCTGTCTGGAATCAAATGCGTGAGATTGAGCGGCGAGAAGCTCGACCTAAAGAAGACGTGCCAAAAGTTAGAGAAAAGCAAACATCAAAGGTTGGTCCTTCTAAGATGTTAGCACCACCAAAGTTATTTGAATCTGTAAGTTTTAGTTTCTTCCAATTTCTGAGCTGAGATTAGACATTTAGATAGCTTGCTTTAAAAAGACTTTCAGATAAGCGCCCTATTAGGTCATATTCGCATCAGTGTGCAAATTCAAAGATACCCCCATTTTGACTGGCATGGTTTTGCTTCATCTTTGTCATGTTCCACTCCTTCTGCATTGAGTGGTTTTATCTAAGGTGTTTGGCTTCCACAAGGTACCATGCTATCGTCGATAGATTCATTATCATAAATACAGAGCTAAGTCTTCCTATCTTAGAAACCTCCTGGAGGTCGAACAAAGCAGACAGCCAGAAAATTCGCGCCAAGTACAGGGACCCATGATAGTTTGTTTGGCGAAACGGAAGCTCATGCGGCACGCCCAATTCTACCACTGCCGCGAAAGAGACAGACAGCTAGGGAAAACGCGCCAAGCACAGCCATTCATGATGATTTGTCTAGCGACAGTAATTCTCATTTTACACGCCCAGGACCAGTTACCCCACGACCAGGAAGACAGACAGCTAGAAAGACTGTACCAAGTACTAGCAATCACGCTAACCTTTTTTCGGATGGTGAAGATGGAGATGATGCCAAACCGCCAGCTACAAAAAGAGCACGGACGTCAGTCGGCGGTGCCAGAAGTATTTCAGATGCTACCAATTCAGAAGGGACATGGGATGTTCGAGGTTCCTATGTGATTGAATGCCCAAATATTGAGGACGAGTGGGGAGAAAAAGACTCGGAACTTACTCTTGATATTTATGTCGAGAACAAGAACGGTAGACAACAAATGTTTGCAATGTTTCACTTTATAGTTGTTAAGGTATTTCGTGATCATGTACTCATTTTTTGTGTCCACCAACTGATTCAATCATTAGGGTATCATGCGATTTGAAAGGCCCAATCCTATATCACGTTCGCAGAATGGTAATGGGAAGAGAAAACGGGAAGATGCTTACATGGATGAAGATGGAGATATTTTAATGAGCGATATCCCTCAATATGATGTCAATGGTAATAATCCGAATAGCTACAGAGAAAGTGCAGTTTTTCTAGGAGCCAACGATAAACCTTCGGCTCGGCTACCCACTTGGCAGTACCGTTGGCGTGGGGAGGAGACTGGTGAAGGAGAAATTCAGCTTGGCTCTGATAAAACATTGGAAAGCATCACTTTTAACGATAAGGAAAAGTCGCTTTCTGGCACGTTCACGTGTGATTTTGCCGGAAAATGTACTTTCACAGGGCTTAAAGTAATGTATCGACCACAAGAATCACGCATCGACCCCGAGGTAGAATGGGCAGATCGCAGTGAGGCTGCTTATGAAGATGCCCGTCAAGCAAGGTGGAGATGAGGTGATTGTAACGACGGTACCATTCAAATTTCGGTAAGATATTGCTACTATGCGATAGCTTGCAGAAATATTGAACGTATAAGAGACATTGCAAGGTCTTCAGGCATTAGATTTTTGTGCATAGCATATTATCAGCATTCGACCGGTGTTCCCGCAACGTTCTTCAGCTGATGTATTAGCAACGCTTTGGCACAATATTACAAAAAGGGGATCCCGCGTACTGTCGCAACATCGCACAAGCACTTTTAACATCCCACCATTGAAATTGAAAGCGACGCTTACTGGATGAAGGACTTTTGTATATCCTCCCTAGTACCCGGTAGATAATTAGATCTCGTAGTCAAGTTGTCAAGCCGGACAACAGCCAAAATGATGTTATTTTAAAAGTTGCAGATAGACAGAAGTGGACCAACCGAGAAATGACACAATTACCGAGTTGTAGATCATTAGCTGCAGGGGTTCTCGTGGAAATAACGTGGTTATTGGTGATTTGAAATAATCACTAAGATTGAATCGGGTGAGGTTTGTGTTATTAGTAGGTACGGGGCAGGGACTGTACAGAGTACTTGTGAAGTTGTAAGTGGATAGTGGATAGTGAGTGAGTGGATAGTGAGTGAGTGGATAGTGAGTGAGGTTAAAATAACTTACGATGGGTGTACTGTTGTACTTGGTTTAGTGAACAGGTAAGAAGCAATATACCAATATACCAATCTACCAGTCTAATAATTATAATAACAAGTCGATTCAGAAAATTGGGAGTTACCCACCTGAGCAGTCAAAGTAAAGAGTACGATCGATCAACCAATTTATCATTCATCCCATTTCAGAAGACGTGCAAGGTGTCATTGAAGACTTCATCGAAATCAGATCCAAATGATTGGTCAATTTGCTTCATCTGTGCGAGAAGAAAGCACCTCCCGGTGAACACTGTCATACGTTCATCGGTGGCATGAATAATAATCCCCAGATAAACAAGAGAAATACTTATCGGAAAGGCGGGGGGAAATTTCACTTGTGAAAAGGGGAATTGTTGCATTATTGTATCTTATAAAGTCATCGACGACATCAATATAGTAGTGATCCCATTACATGACCTAGGTTTTAGACCTCGTCCACATATACTCAAAAAGGGAATTTCTTATTTCCCTAATTCCTGAATTCCTTAAGATCTTCAATTCGCGACTAGAAGCTTTTAGCCATTTTAAGCGCAGACGCCAGAACAACTTAACAACCCCCCGAATTCTAACTTTGTCGCATTCTGGAAGCTTTTTATTGATAATTTCCGATAATCATTCTACCTGCTTCAAAGTCCCTTACACGCCTTACAGCGGCTTCAATACCTTCCTTTTGCTTTCCTTGCTTCCGAAATTTTGGGGGCATTTTTGGAATCTGCCAGTTATCTGGGTTGCCGATTGCGATTCGTTCTGCGGGCTTGCGGACGAAGCTGCATTACGATATATCATGTACAGATACGATTACCCCTGAGTCGAATGTTTAACACTGGAAAGCTTGGTAGAATTGCCTGATCCACCCACAAATTTCGAGCAGATCGCAAGGAAATGTCGCTCAATGGCTTGGATGATGCGACGGTCAAAGAAGCATACGATGCTGCGGTAGCTGAGCCGGGAGGATGGTATGCTTATATTCAATATCTTGTATCTTTGTTCGTCCATTTTGTGCCGTGATATGGTGAACTGATATTGTGCTTGTATTGTAGGTTCCTTCTAAAGTATGCTTCGAGAGACGAAATAGAGTTGTTGGGCCGTGGCAACGGAGGAATTGTGGAAATAAGAAATAAAATTGGACAATATGAGGAACCATCACCGCTGTTCGGGTTTCTACGATATAGGCGACGGAACGTAGTCATCAAATATGTACCAGATGGATGTTCAAGGTTGGTTCAAGGTGGGTTCCCCTTGTTGATCTCTATCTCAATTTTTCACCTTGAAATCTAAAAATCTGATAACCTGATAGCTCGTGTCACGGTTCATTTTAATGCTGTTACCGAAAAGTTCGCTCCATACCATACTATATTCGAAATAACCACCGCCAAAGAGCTCCGTGATACGACCCTTTCTGCCGCATGCTCACTGCATACTGCCTCCGGATCGGTCTCATCTTCGACCAGTTCATTGCGCCGACGACGTTTAATGGAAATTGCAGAGGATGAGGAGGAGGATATTAGAATAAAAAGGCAATCCACAGTTCAGGAGGAGCGGCCCCCTACCGCACAAACTATTACCTCAACATCTGGGACCCAGCCAACAGTTGATCCGACCACCCTGCCATCCGATCTACCAGATTCATTTACTTTCTCTCCTATGGTTGCAGAAGGGGGCAACTCTCTCGAAACAACACCACCTCCTCCACGTAATAAAGTACCTTTGAGCTTCGATCTTGATACTTCTCCGCCTCCTCCAAGGGAGCCGCGCGAAATTGATTTGGGATCGTCGTCATCTATTACAACAATCGACGAAGTTCCGCGTAAATCATCTCAGTCGGCACGACCTGATTTGTACAGTCTCGCATCTTACGAGTTTAACGGCAAACCTAAAGTCAGACTTGGACCTCGCCCTTCTCTCGATGTAGGCAAAACCACCACAGCTGGAGGAACCGCTACCTATCGTCCTGTGTCAACCCTTCCACAGGGATTGAAAATATCTACAAAGGGGGATCGAAAAGGGCGGGCGAGTTTAAGCTCGCAGGACTCTGGAGAGCCTCCCAGTATGAGTTTGTCACCACCTTCTATTCCTGAAAATGGAACCCTACCCACGCTTCTCCCTTTGCGCCCTCACACAAGTGGTGGACGGCCCAACACCAGCTCCGGGGCCTCGGTTCGATCAACATTATCAACGAAGTCAGCTGCTCCCAGTGCAAAGGTCCCAACAATTACTCCAGAGAAGGCAAGACTAATGAAGGCTATGGAAATGCGGAAGAGGCAGATGAGTACAGGTGCACCTGCACAGGCATTGCCCGCTTCTCCAAAGTCCTCAGCGTCCACCAAAAATCTCGAGATACCTTCCGCACTAAGCCTAACAACATCCCAAGGCGCCCAGCAGGAAATTCAAGATACCTTGGCTTTGCTAACTAATATGGCCGAAGCAGACAAATCCGCAACCACACTTGACACCAGCTCCGCCCTAAAAACGGACGACTCGGATGCTACAAGAAGCGATTCCTACCCAGTATCCCCCGTTGGGCTTTCAGAAAAAGCAGAATCGACAAGGGCATCTTCTATTTCAGAGCTGACAGATGAAACTGTCCAAGAAGAGCTGTCTACTAAGCGAGTGAACAACGATAACATGGCCGAAGAATTCTGCGCTGCTGATTCGCCGGAAATTACTGAAAGGGGGCCAGTTGTAAAAATATCACTGCAAACTCCAGAAATAGAAGGCGAAGGCACTGAGGAAATGGCTACAGATGTTTCTTATTCTGTCTCCCAAGACACAGTAAAGGATAATCTAACGGGTACCACTGTGTCAAACGAACAAGAACAATATCCCGAATCCGAAGTCGTACCTGAGGTCAAATCGGAATCGTCAGAAGCCCCAGTTACGATGTCCAGTGCTCAAGATTTAAGTGCTGCTGCATGTACTCAATCTGGGTCTTTGCAGACTTCTACCAGTGAGCCTATCTTCAAATCATCCGAGAAAAGTTTGATGGAGAGTCCTTTTGCTCCTGGATACACTATATCACAAAAGAAGAAAGTCCACCGTATTGAGCCAATTCGAACTAGTTTTGATAAGACTAGCAATAATTCGGAGGACAACTTCTCCTCTGATGACGAACTAATGGATGAACTGCAGTCTGCTGTAATTGAAGATGCAAAGCCCATGTCGGTGGCCAAATCTCCAGTTAGTCCTTTGTTTCCTCCACCCACGCAGAATGAGATGAAATTTTCAAGAACTGTCTCAAGTCCGTTGCAATTAGCAAATGCGAATCCCTCACCTCTTTCTGCGCGACCTGGTGGTGACCGGCCTGTCTCTCGGCCCGTGTCAGCTTCGGCAAACTTTTTAAACCGTATAAACGCGCAACCTGCTGCCGCACCGGTTATCCCTAAAAAGATCAGTGTTGGGTCTGGTGTTGCGAATAGGATTAAAGCATTCGAGAAATTTCAAAATCTAGCACCCGAGTCTTCTGCAGCACCATCAACATTAGGGCCAAGTCCAACTGCTCCACCTGCATTCTTTTCTGTCAAAAGAAGTACTGTTCTTGTTCCATCACGAGCTCCTTCCATTGCCGATCGTACAAATTCCTTGAATAAGAATACACCAAATCCTAATTCACAAGAGGGGTCGCCAGAGATCTCCAGAGGGCGCGAAAGAGCAAGTTCTATTCAGAAAAGAGTTGCTTTGTTGAAGCCTACGCCCGCTTCCGAACTCAAGACGACTCGATCTCGACCTGAATCTGTTCAAGTAACTGCTCGCATTATTCGAGACCCTAATCAACCATTTCCTCAAATGCCAGAAATTGGCAAAGATCCTTCGGAATTCAATTCTCTTGCGTTGAAAGAATCACCACTGATCATAGATCACCAGAAGGCGGTTTCTAGTCCTCCGAAAGACACGATATGCGAGAGGCGTTTATCAACGTCCTCGAAAACCACCGCAACCACTAATAACGAGAGGCGATCATCTATTGCAATGGTCAAAGACCTCATCAATGACCGACGCTCTTCTCTCTCTGAGCGCCGACGTTCTTCTGTTATTGAACCTTCCGCATCTTCTCCGGCCGTTATGTCCCCATCACGACCTCTTTCCAATGATATTACATCCCCTGCTCGGAGATCTCGCCCTTCTTCGGTCAGCAGTCGTCGCAGTATTGAACGTTCCGAGTTCTCTCCGCCGCCATCGTCTAGCTCAACATCTCCTGTAAATGATGATAAGTCTGACAAAAAGTCTGGTCGTGCAAGTCGTATCATGAAGCGCATGTCTTCATCTCTATCTTCAAGTCGCAAGGCAATTGCACATGCCATCTCACCTACGGTCCGTGAGGAATCGGAACCTCCAGTGTTTCCCGATCAGGAAGCTTCATCTGTTGCATCGCAACCATCCTTAGCAGCTTCACCTACCATTGCTAATGATCTTGGTGATGTCAACGTTCAATTCCCTGATAGTCTTTTATGGAAGCGTAGATCAATGGTGTTAGATACTCAAGGGCTTCTTATCATCACAGCCGGTGCAAATGATAAAGGTGCAACGCGAAGATTTCATCTCGGTGAATTTAGAGCTCCTGAAATTCCTGATGTTGATATGCAGGAATTACCAAATAGTGTCGTGTTAGCTTTCTTGGAAGGTGGTGAGCTACAAATTGCATGCGAAGACCGAGCTAGCCAGGGAAACACTTTAAATGGTACACTGCATTCTCTTATTTAATTTTGATCATATTTACTAACGCAAATTTAGTTCTACGAGAAGCTCATAGCCACTGGGCAGCCTATGGACAATAATAACCATAATCGTCACTCCTTTGAACAAGAATATTTCAATTTTCTAATTCTTCTCATACGACTTTGATAGTCACTATTTGTTAATATACCTCCCCCTCATTCCTTGACTTGTCATTTTTTTTTATCTTAGAAGGAAAACCTTCACGCAGGATTTTATGACGTATGGAGGCTCTAATTGGGCATTAGTGATTTTATGTTGAATTGCGTCATAAAGAGGAAGAGTACGGGAAGAAAAGAGGGAAAGAAAGAGAGAGAGAGTTGAGATACCATCACCTGGACTTTAGCAGTCAAAATTTTTCCTTTTTTCCGCCCTGTAATCAATATTATATGTTTTGTAAATCTTTTTCGTTTTTACTTCTTTTTTTCTTCTTTTGAGATAACCCTGCAGCATGCGAATAGCGCAGTCTTTTTTTTTTTTGCAGCAGTCCGACTGCATATGGATGGATGGATGGATGGAGTGGTGGATTATGCATTTTTTTTTAGGGAAAAGGAATGGGATGGAATAGGATATAAATACAATGTCTATCTACCTATTTGCAAATGCCCTACTTATGATGATGTGATTGTTTGATGTGAAAAGAGGTTGAATGAGATGTTTGGTTAGGAGGTGTATTGAGTATACGAAATAGCTGACTTTACCCTTGTACAGCCTGAACTTTTAAATATATACCAAATTACCCCACGCCTTCCCATCAAAACAAACAAACAAACAACATGGCCTGCTGGCCCAATGGCAAGGCGCTTGACTACGACTCGCAGGGATCGCAATTCCCTGAGGTCCGGCATCAAGAGATTGCAGGTTCGAATCCTGCGTAGGTCATATTAAAACTCTTTTTGGCATTTTTCATATCGATGTTGCAGAACCGTTGCCCGATGGCGAGATTGCAGGTTCGATCCCTGCGTAGGTCAATTCAATGGTTTTGTGGATTTTTGTGGATTTTTGTGGAGATTTTGTGGAGATTTGATTTTTATGGGGATTTTTGAACATTTTTAGATGTTCTTTTAAATGAAAGTTTATTTGAGTTTAAGTGATCAATTGAATGAGTATATAAATAATAAAATTATAAATAAAAATATATTTAAAATTAATATTTTTATATTTTATTGAAATTCAAGTTTTTGATAATTATTTTTGAGAATTGATTAAATAAATGTTTTATAGAAAGTTAAAAAGTATAATTATGTTATTTTAATAATAAAAAATCAATAATTATATTAAAATTCAAATCAAAAATCTAAATAGTTTTCAATTAATTATTTTATATTTTATAATATATAATATTTTTATTTTTAATAAATAAATATCTCATAAGCGGATATATTCATTATTAATAGTGAGATATGATTTTTATATGTTTGATAAGTGGACTAGAGTTGAGAAGACTGATGGAAGATTGTTGATTAGTTCATTATGTGTAGGTGTGTATTAGCTATCCTTTATCCGTTATCAGGTACTGCATATTGAAGACAAGGAGATGGGAGATAAGAGGTAATTTTGCGATAGATTAGATTTATTTCCAAGGTTTTCTTTCTTTCCTACGGTTTGGAATTAGAAGTTTATGTTTTTGGTCTATGAATCTGTTACTATGTGGAAAACCTAGGACTCATTCAAGGATCACAAGAGCAAAATCAAAGCTAAGAAGAACCAAAGACTTATCCACAACTAACAATAGTGGGTAAAATCCCCACAACCAAAAATCAAAATCCTCATTATACAAGTGTGTTCCTTAAGAAGTGGAGATCCGCTCCAGACTAAAAATACCAGTTTTTCCAACTCCGCTCGCTTAATAATTCCTCCAACATCTCCATCTCATATTCCCTCACCACCACCTGGTGGAAGTGCAAAAAACATACAACAGTAGGGATTCGCTGGTGGTCACCCACCCAACTACTAATCTACCGATCTGAAGCTTGTGTATGGCAGAGCGGACGGGATGCCCAATTCTCTTCAGTCTATGGTCGTATGTGGTCGTATTTTCTTTAAAACAGCACTTATAGCCTTTTGCTTACATTTCTTTCCCTTGACCTTTCCTCACTACTGTATTTACCTAAATAGCTCTAGACACCTGATATCCACTCATCTCCACATCTATTTTTTTAAGTTCCGTCCCCCACCTCCATCCCAGCTACAAACCTTCTGCTTTCCTCTTCTCTTCTCTTCTCACAAACTCCTAGCGTTTATACTTGAATTATAATACTAAACCCAACGCCAAAAATCAACAAACAACACATTCACCCAAAGCGGCTTTAGCTCACTTGGGAGAGCGCCAGACTGAAGTTCACTTCGGTTCATTAAATCTGGAGGCACTGTGTTCGATCCACAGAAGCCGCATTCTGCGATCTTGAGTTCACTTGAGGTATATTTTCTTTTGATTTTTTTTGAGGATTTTTTGGTGATGAATAATAAATAAATAGATGGAGAGAGAAAGAAGGGTGGTCTAAAATCAAAGTCAAGGTGAAGAATATTGAATGAGTGCTGAGTATATGTATTTTTACCCTTTTTCGTTCCCCCCAGATTACCCATAATTAGTGTCAAGTAGAATTAGTAGCCATCCACTTTCGAACATCCAAACTGAATTCATAAAGGCATTGATATCACCTCCAGTAAGCATCCAATTCGAAAAGAAGACAAGCCATCTGTCTGGCTACTCTCCCTCCCTATTTCTTCCACACCTGATCAGCATCCTTATGAATATCCACACTCTCGATATCCTTCCTCGCCTCCCTTTTCTTCATTGTATCAACATGAAATCTCTCATCTCTTTCCTTAACTTTATTCCATGGAACCTAATCCAATCAGTCAGTCAATTAATTATACATACGAAAAAGTTTAAAAACTCTCAAATCATCATCTCTCCGTTTTTAAATCCCTTCTCTCATACTCCCTCTCTCAAACTCCTATTCCCAACCCCAACCCCAGCCTCAAAACCCAACCCTAACCCCAAAATCAAAAAACACATACCTGTTCATCCCCCGTAAAACTACCCATCAACACCGGCATCCCAAGCGGCAACTCATCCCCCCTATCTGTCTGCCAAAAATGAAAAGTCTTCCCATACAACCCCACAATCTCCTTCATCTCCTCCGTTTCCGCCATCGTCCAAACTGCATCTGGGAGTGTAGGATTCGGAAGAATCAACATGCCAGATTTAACCTTTTGAGTAAGTAGTATTAGAAAGGGAAAACTAGTCATCTATATATACTGCAGCACACTTCGTTTGGAATACTGAGAAAACTATATGTGAGAGAAATGGAAGGGGAGGTGGAAGATCAAGTAGAAGAAGAGTAAAAAGTAAACTTACCTCATAATCATGCGAATGCCATAGTTTTCTTTCCTCTTCTCCTAATTTCTCATATAATCTTCGCGTGATCATGTATTCGACTCCGATTAATCTGGCTGGATTTTTTGGCGCATCGTAGATTAGACATTGACGAACCTATGATATGTAACAGATGGAATTAGTAATTTTGACCTTTCGGTGATATAACCTCCTCTTTTCTGATTTGTTTCCTAGCATTTTAATGCAGAGCAGTTTCATTAGGTATCAAAGTTCTCGGTGACGACTTCGTCATAAGCTTGATAGCTGCTCTGCATCTTGCGACATTGCATTCTTTCCTCACTCCCTCCTCTCACTCCCTCCTCTCACTCCCTCCTCTCAACCCCTTCTCTCAACCCCTTCCCTCTCCCTTCTCGTCACCTCATCTCAATCCCCACCCCCACCCCCAAACCCCTTCCTTCCCTCCTTCCCACCCCAAACAATCACCAAAACCCCCAAAAGGAAACCTCTAGAAACAAAAAAGAAACCACCAACTCACCTCCCTACTCAAATGCGTACAATAATGATTAGCCTCGACACACCTCCCCGGCTCATCCACATAAACATGAAACGCATTAAGATGAGCACAAATGGCCTTTATAGGTGCGAAATCTTGCGATATACCTATGTGTGTATTGTTATTATTATTATTTTATTAAATGTCTTTGATTCTGATATGGACATGGAGATTGAGATAGAGATAGAGATAGAGATTGAGATTGAGATTGAGATTCGTACAATAAAAACATATAACAATAAAATAAAATACATACCAGCACCCATTTCCAACACTTTATCCTTCGTACTGAGTTCGGACGAACCCGGTGCTCCATGAGCGAAGGGTTGATGTTGATGTTGTTGTTCTTGATGTGCCATTTTAAATTTATTCGTCGAATAGGTAGGTATCTAGGGATCCAGGTATTTAAGCAATAAGTAAGTAAATAGTAATTTGTACACTCGTGCACTTTCCAAATTCCAAGTTCCAAGGTCCACTTCAATTATATCTTTTTTATGGATGTATTAAATGAAAACAAAACAAACCAAACCAAACCAAGATTAAATCGTATAAGAAAGAGTTCGTCGAGATGTCATCTTCATCTTCCTCTTCATCGCGCTGCATGTGATATTTAACACTCGGCACTTAATCTCACTCCCAATCTTAATCCCCAATACCTAGGCATACAGATAAATGATTGACGATCGATGATTGATGTCAACCCTAAACGCAACAATAGGATGAAGGAGCAAAGATTCCGAAATCAAGAAAATGTTTGGATCATTACATCACACATCATTCATACACACAAATGCATGCATGTATCACCTAGCTCATATTTGTGCTCCGGACTTTTCTCTCCTGGTATAATGAATGATGAGTGAGTGAGGGGTAGAAATAAATCCTTAATTACCTAGGTACCTAGTCATTCTTCATCTGATTCTGATTAGATGATTCATTTAGGTTTGCCAGGTTGATTTTCATTGCATATAAATGTAGGATCTTGTAAATTTCATAGATAACTGCCAACTACCTAGGTAACTGCATGCCAATTTGTTGGACCCCTTCCCCAGAAAATCCACATGTGAAATCAACATCAACATCATTAGATCTTTGCTATTGGATCTCTAAAAATCCCCATCAGTATACATCCTTTATCCAGTTACAGAAAAGGTCAATACTTACTCACTTGAAGTTATTCTTCAGCTCCCTTAACTTCGCCATCACTTCCACTGGATCCGTCTTTCCCGTCGCCTTTTGAATTTCCGGATCTTCTACTCTCATAAAAACATTGTGTTTCTTCTCATCCCCAATAGTAAACTTTCCTTGAGTATACTTATTGTTCTTTGCAAAATCTTCCAATGCTTTTACTGCTTCACTTTGTGAAACAGATACAGCAAATTTTACATTGTCCTTTGTGTATTCATGTCCGGGCTATGGCAGATGGTAGGTAAATTAGTATAAGATCGCATACTTGTATTTTATAAATGTGAAGGAAAGGAACCTACATAGACAATTGTATCATCCGGTACAGCTGCAAGTGTTTTATTAAGAGCTGTATGCATTTCCTCAGCCGTTCCTTCAAAGAATCTTCCACATCCTATTTCATGTCAGTTCCATGCATTATCATAATCTCTATCCCTGCCTGATTTCATATCCCTTTTCCATCAATCAAGTCAATATACTTACCTCCATGAAATAGTGTATCACCCGTAAAAATTGCCTTTTGACCCTTATCATCCTCCATAAACCAACAAATACTATCCTGTGTATGACACGGTGTATAAAGTGCCTTGACCTTGATCACTCCGATATTAAACCCCTCTCCATTTTTCGGTGTCTGTGTAACTCCCTCGCAATCTTTACCACCAATTATTGGTAAGCCTTCAAATCCTGGATAATCGAGCTGAATGAATGGTGTCAGCTAAGCTATGTGTTGGGGAGGGTGGTGATGAAGGAGCTTACTAGTTTTTTATTTCCACCTGCGTGGTCCCAGTGGCTAAATTATGATTGTTGGTGTAATGCCTTGGTGATGGATGTCTGATATAAACTCACTGATGTGTATTGACGATTGCTTTTAAATTGATTAATTTATCCTTCAATTGTAGTTGTAAAACAGGAGCGACCCTATTGATACTGTAATTAGCCTTTCTCCTTTCTTCCTCATCAAATTTTGTCCCCTTTCTCTCCCCTCTTCCGTCTGCCAATCATCCCATCCATCTCAACTATCCACCACGCCTTCCCTTCTTCCCACGCCCTCAAAACAAACCAAACCAAACCAAACAAAAACAAAAACCCAAACTCACTCCTCCGGATTCGCCGGATCAATAATCACCGCATCCCTACTCTTATTATCCACCACCAAATACGCATAGTTATTCGAGGTACCCTCCCACATCGAAATACTTTGAATATGCATTTTGCGAATATGTGTTTGTGAGATCGTTCTTGCAGGTGTGAGTTTCTAATGAGATATAAATGATTAGCTTTGATTCTTGAATCTTTTTCTTTCCATTCCTCCTATTTATCTCCCCCGCCATCATGTCTTCCCCGAAACCACTGTTCCCTCCCCTCTCCTTCTACCTCTCCCATCCACCAAATCCCGCAGAGCCCACCTAATCCCTCATCTAACCTCCTCACACAAACCCCGTCACACAAACCCCCTCACACAAACCCCCTCACACAAACCCCGTCACACAAACCACAACCCCCTCATCATACTCCCCAAATAAACATAAACACAAACAAAAAACACAAACATACCAATGAAAAAGACGAATTCAAACCAACGGATCTATTGATCTTAGCAAGAAGCGATCGAGATAGCATTTGCGTTGAGGAAAAGTTGTCCTAACCTACCTGTTAAACAAAAGAATACGTATAGAGGCGGAGAAAGCTTAGCAATCAATCGAATCATCAATCAAATCATCAAATCAGCACCATTCTATTCGTCAATGACCTAAGAACCCCTCTCATGCAATAATATCCTAGGTAGGCACGATAGGTAGTAGATGGATAAGTAATCAATGACGAAATGTGGGGTAGCTATGATTGAAGATTACAGCCTATATACCCTATCTTAACTTGAAGATATAAACAAACAATAATAAAATCTTACTATATAAACTCCTCTACTTCAGTTTATATTCATCTTATGATAAACTTACTCGTTAATTACTTTCTTATTTCCGGAAAATAAAAAATAAAAAATAAAAAATAAATTAATTTTTTTTATATTAAACCTCTATATCTATATCTATATCTACATCTACATCTCATCTCACATCTCCTCATCTAATATCTTCTCTTCCCTCTTCTCTCTTTCATTTTCCCTCTTTTTATTTTCTTCTTTCAATTACACATCCTACCTATAGCTAACTACCTAGTAAGTAATCGATTTCGATTATACTTTAGTACGATGGTAGTAAGGTAGGTAGTCTCTGTACTTCCTTATGAAATAGTTATTTTTGACCAAGCAGCTGAAGCTTGCTAATACCCTTATCACCAAATAGATGGACTTTATCTTCATAAGGAGATATTTAACGCCCTATTTTTCGATATATTGTTAGTAAGATAGATCTACATAACTAATTAGATAGTTAAACGTATATTTCAAATTTCCGTGTATAATAATTTGGTTCACCTCATCACCATTATTCAACACCGTCAGGAAAAACAACTCGAATTAATCGCTATGGTATTCTCATTTGTTATGATAAACCTAATAATGTCACATAAGAAAACGCTATTTTGTACCAAAACATCATGGTCGGAAAAGTCCAATCCATCATATCATGATTCATCATCCCCCTCTCACGAATAATCATTAACCTCAATACCCATCCATCACTTACGTTCCATTATCCCAATCCACTAAAACGCTGTGGTATATTAAGAGTACCAAGTTAATCGGCAATCGAAAAGGAATTAAAACAATCAAAAGGTATCAAAAATGAAGCCCATACAAACAAAGCAAAGACAAATGAAATCCTCCACCATTACATTATCAAGTTATGTGTTTTTTTAACCCACCAAACCCCAAATATGCAAGTGGTATCCGCGGTAGTGGTATCTTATGAAGAAAACAATTGCGTTCCGTAAAACAATATGGGAAACGAAGAGAGATTCGAATTGAGTAGACTAAACTCTACCTTGGTAAACTGGGTTGTCTGATCCCAATAGAGTGTTTCCTCCGGTAGGAGTGTTCTTTTGGTTTCCGGCACCACCGTTAATGGCACCGTTTGCGGCACTGTTGCCTTGTAAAATGCCAGGTTGTGCACCGGCGTTAGCGAAAGCCACGTCAACTTGTTGATTGAAGCCTTGCTGACCATAGCCTTGATGAGGGAGAGCACCTTGTTGACCATAACCTTGTTGAGAAGAGCCCTGCTGAGCACCTTGGTTATAGCCTGATGGACCAGTTGAGGGATTGGTGTTGCCGACATCTTGTGGATCTCTAACGCCACCTTGAGCAACCGAATGTGGCTTTCTCCTGATCTCTTCTGGGGATGGGATGTCGTTAGATCTTTGGGCAGTTCCAATGCCAAAGACCTGTGATTTCCATCGGTCACCTTGTCTAGCAGAATTCTTATATTCAGTTGCCTTGGATGAGATCCCGCCGGGTAACTTAAGATTGGGGAACATTGATTCATCCGTTGTCGTAACCATCTTGAACTCTTTGTTCTGCACAGACTGTTGGGCCCTTTCAGCCTTTTCTTTACCCTTGCTGAGTTCTCGTTGGAAAGCGGAAACGTAGTTGCGATACATGTTTGGAACATTTTCTGGGTTGTTCGCCGCCTCCTTTTTAGCTCGGTCGGCTTCAAGCTTGATTTTATATGCAAACGCATCAACCTCTTCAACCTTTTGCTTGATAGCTGCCTCGATAGACTTGGCGAGGGCCTTAGTAAGAGGTTTGATCAAGAAAGGCTTTCCCGCAGCGAGTAAAGCCTTATGCTTCGATTGTTTAATCTTAAGCTTCAACTTCTTAATGTCAACCCTCACACTGTCAACCTTCAAAAAGCTTTGTCGATCTTTTGCTTTTGTCGAAACTACAGACAGCTTCATCCTGAAACTGAGTCCAGAGTCACCGAGGAGGATATCGAGGACGCCTTGGTCTTGGCCAAGTAATGAACTACCCCTTCTGTTCATGTAATAAGAAACATCCCTCAAATCCATTTGGATGCCTTCGACTGCAACCAGAAACGATCCTTTGTTTCCAGCTTCGCGGCCTTTGCGACCAAAGCGAATGGTGCTTTCTATATTAAATATTTGGTCAGTCATTGTCGGAAGGAACAATAGCAAAGTAAATAGCACATACCTTGATGGATCTCAAGTAGATTCGGCATAAGGTTGCTGCTCTCAATCACCAGATTCTCAATAGCAAATTCCAACTTAGGATCTCTGTATTCGAGTCTAGGGATAGGCATATATCGAATATCTTCAATAATTGTAGGAATGATGACATTGGACAAATCGAGAAGCAAATGCTTCTTGAATTTTGGCTTGCCGTTCTCATCGTTGCCTAGATGATTGAAAAAGTTTTGGCACGTCTCCGCAAATCGCTTGTTCTGTGCATCATTATCGAATTCCTTGGCCAAGAACTTGAGTTCATCAACGACGCGGTCAGTATGAGATTTATAGCGATGCCTGAGAAGATCGTTGCCCTTATCGTAAAGCTCATTCCAACGCTCAGTGGAGTTGTCTTCCATGATATAACCTTGCTCCTTAAGACATTTGCGAATAAAGGTGTCCATTTGCTTGAACCAATTCTTCAGTTCTTCATCTCTATCAGCGTCTCGATAGATAACATTGATAGAGTCTATAAAATCGTCAATTGACGTGTAATTTGCAAACCGCTCGATGAGTGTCTAAATTGTGTTAGCCTAAGTACTACTTCTAATTTTTCCATGAAGCTACAAACTTTCAAATCTCTCTCGGCAGTCCTGAGAGAGGTGTCGCCACGTGCGCCCCTGACTGCTCCAGAACCATGTTGGCCAATATTGTGTGCATGGCCTCCATATTGCTCGGCCAGGTCGAGAAGAGTGTCGATAGATTGCATATCTGCCCGCAGTTAGTACTGAAATGAATTGGCTAGAAAATTGAAGGTAAACCTACAGTCTGGGTGACCTTGGATCTCCACAACCATCTTCTTAAGTCTGTAGATAAGTTGCCCACGGCGCTCCTCGGGCATCTTTTGTTGGAGGTAATTCTTAGTTCTATCTCTCGTCTCGCGACCACGTTGCTTTGTCTCCTCAGGGACGTTCTCGGAAGCACGTTGCTTCAAGGTGTCAGCACCAACTTGGGCTCCGGTTTGAGCATCAATTCCAGAAGCAGCGTTGTATTGTTGATCACGACCAGCCAATTGAGCAGTATCTGCTGGATCACGAGAGCCGCTTGGGTGGGCAGTTTGACTAGCGGTACCAACAGCATCTCTAACATCGTCTCTACCAACAGGTTGATTCTTCTTGAATGCCTGCCTCATCTGGTTCTTGATATTACCAGATGACATATTTGGGCTATCATGCCAGACATTATCCTCAGCGGGATGATCAATTTGGCTCAATTGATCTCCAGAAGGGTTCACTCTGCCAGCGATATTAGTGGCAGCATCACCGGCAATATCGCGTAAAAGAACGACAGCATCATTCACTGATTCAGAAATTAGTATACGACACAACTCCGAGGCATTATATTCACTCACAAAGCTTCCTGAATTGTCCGTTGGTTAGGATGAGTTGACCAAGAGTTCTGAGACCCTCCTTTACATCTCTGCCATGTTGCTGAGCAGTTGCTTGGTCGACTGGAGCTCCTGGAGCTCTTGCTGCTCCACCATCAATCTGTTGACATTGCCAAATGAAATCCTGAAGGAGTTCGCCATCATTTTTGGTAAGAAGAAGGTACTTCGCCTGTTCGACAACGGAACGAAATTCTTGTATTAGGTTTTTACCTTCATCGGAAAGTCTATCGGGTGGTGACGCTAGAATATCCAAATTAAGGAAGCTGTTGAGAGCAACATCGATTTGGTCATTCTGGACACGAGGAATTAGTCATTTGCACATGCAAGCACGATGATGGAAACAAAGTACTTACATCTGGAACCTTTCCTGCTTGAAATGCTACATGGAATTTATTGTCAGTATGAATCTATTGTTGAAGATATGCCGGTAGGATGGGAGAGCGCAACAATACCTTTGTAGATTCCGTAAAATTGCAATTTACGCGCGATATCAGCTTCCTTTTTATCCGGGTCGGTAGGTACGTTGACAGACATTATGGCGGTTTTGTTGATTGAAAACTTGGGTGTTGGGTATCACGAAAGAAAAAGAAAAGTGGGAAAAGAAGTTGAAAGTAGAAGAAAGAGAGCTTCTATCTATTCGAGTATGACACTTGCAGGAGTGGTGAAAGGATGAATTGATTGTATGATGTAGGTATGATTTATGAGGTAATGAAGGCGTCTTGAACCTGATGGTTGGTCGCAAACAGTAAATTGATTGGCTCTCTGACGAAAGGGAATAAAGGTGAGTTCAGACGATGACGATGTTATTTTGACGTGAATACTCGTCCTAGTATAGTATTGATATCAAAAACTCTCGAGTCGATAAATCGGGAGGATGAAAGTCAAGGAAGGGTAAAGTGTATCTGTTGCGTGTTGTCGTAAGGTATGTATGTATGTATGTATGCATGTATGATTATGGTATGTTTGTTGTTTTGATTTTATCAAGAATATGAGGAAAGGAAGAGAAGAGGAATTAAGACAAGAGTAGGGGAATTCATTTCTTTTTATTTGAATCGTACCTACCTCCTTGACCTTACCTACGTTCCTGCCTTCTCTTGCCTTGTTTTTCTTTCCTTTCTATTTCTTGCTTGTCTTCACCTGCTTCGTCCTACTTCTGATCTGAAGACGTTACCTTGATAGAGCTAATTGAGCCGGAGCCTTGTTTGTGCTTACCAGTTGGATTAACGTGGCGGATGAGAACAATCGCACTTTCCTGTTGCTACGTCACTTTTTTAAGTTTTCCTAGTTAACGAACTAACCATTTGATTGGCGGCCACTAACGCCACGTCCCGTGCCTTTTGTCACTATTACCTTAAGTAGACTAGACGGATGATCTTCAGACGAATATAGTATATAAATTCCAGATCCCAATTAAAATTGCATGAACATCTGGATTCTTTCAAAGGCTTTTCAACGCGTCATGACTTCATTTTGACAATTATCGGGATTCTCATCCATTCATTTATTTTCTTCCGCATCCTATTTCGTGCTATTAGATTCCAATGTATCCACATACGTAGGTAGTAGGTACTAGACACTATTTCAAATGGCCCTGCGCTACCCACCTACCTAAAGAGAATTGTAATCCGTATCCATCACGACGTATCCATGTAAAATGACAGGAGAGTTCTCTGTTAAATAAAAAGTTTATCATGTGAGAGTTCTGTCCGAGGCAGGAGTAATCTTGTGCCTGAAAGGCTGAAAGGATTCCGGGGAAGTAAGAAATTGATTGGATCATGTGAGAATTAATTCGAGGTTCGGCAATGGCTAGGCACCTGGGTGGGAAGGGCGCGATCTACGACTGGGGAGGTTTTTCTTGGTCTATATGGATGGCTGCCTACCCAGGATCCAATGACCCCTTCACTAAAATCACAATTCCATTTCTTTGTCATTACTCTACCGCAACTAGCACCCAGCTAGCTACCTAGGATATATATTATTTATTACCAGTACTTCAACTACCTACTCGACTAAAAGCACCCTAGTAAATAGTCACCATAAATCATGCCATTCTCCCTTTCCTTTCCTTTCACCACGATCCAAAAGAAGAAATCTGACGTATCCATATCCCTATCCATCACAACATGCATGTCTCAACCGCAACCAAGCAACCAAGGAAAAAGTACAAACCTCTAGGCTAACTAAGTACATACCAGAAACTTGAGTTCTAAGTTCTACCCGCCCATCCATCCATCCATCCATCCATCATTCTATCCATCGGAACACTCTCTCCTTGCAGCGCACACTGCCCAGCTCATCCCGGCCCGGCACTCATCATATTATCATACTATACCTATCGACCATACCACACCACATCAAAACCACAACCACAACGCCGCTTTTACATCCAGGACTATCCTCCATATGCTCTACACATACACACACACACAACAGAAACAATGACTTCATCATCCCTCGTTTCCGCCCAACAACCTCCAAACCCCAACCACCCAATCCAGCAATCCAGCAATCCAACCGCCCATCAATTTCCTCACACAGAAGATGTACCTTTTTCATAATCATACATTTCCGAAATCCCTGTAGCCGACCCCCAAACCCATGTCCGACGTCTAGAACACAGTAAATAATGCTTGTTTATCATTTTATGATTGAGGTATGGTTGTGGATGTGGATATGATGAGATGATGGGTATATTTATCGCTGATGATTTATTAATACTATTGCTTTCTAAATATCGGGGTATCTACTCGTAGAACCTCGCTCTTCCACCGATTTGAATGTTATATTATGTCTTGCTGCAAATTCCCAAGTGTTAACGATGAATCTCGCTATATCGTCAATGCATTGTCATTTGCTCCCAGATTTTACTCCCAAATCGCCAATAGCTAGGATAATACAAATGATCCTGTTTCCGCTTCCATTATGCACCATAAATGTACCTCTGTCCTATGTTCGCCTTCACTTTCCCTCTTCAATACACCATATGCAACTTCAACGTCTTCCTGTCGTACTGGCATTCTGCGCCGTCTCCAATTGTTGTTTCCAGATGCTGTATAACTCCTTGATTTCGTTCTCCTCCTTCCACTTATCCACGATACCATTCACTTCCTTCTGTCTCTTCTTTGCGCTCATCTGATCTCTCTTCGCAAGCTTTTCAATGGTAAGATGGCCTTGACTTTCTAGACTGCCGATAACCCATTGGTTGAGTGCAAATTTCAAATGAATAAGTGTATGAGCATTCTCGGCATTCTCTTTACACACACTGCACGAGGAGGGTCAGTCCTTGAATACGTATCGCAAACATGTAGGTAAAAGTAACTTACGAGCCAACCATGAACTCTTTGTCTTGACAAGGCAGAGGTTCATCTCTACTGTTCAAACTCCGGGTATCCTTCTCACCATCAGAATCTTCTTCCTCTTCATCTTCCTCGGTATCACTATCATCCTTTTCCACCTCGGCCAAACTATCCTTATAGTATGCGGAGCCCTTCAATGAAATACCCCACGTCGGTACATGTTTCCTACGATTACATGCCTCGCATTTAACCTCACCTAACAGATCTACTGCCTCTCCGGATAAAAGCCTCCTAGTGTGGAATTCTGGACGGGCATAAAGAGCTTTGGTAAAGTCGCGAGTCCATGAAGTAGAGACGAATTTGCTACCAGAAAGCCCACTATACGCATCCTCGAGCTTATTCCACGCTGATTTGTAGATAGGCATGAGATTTTGACTAAAACCAGGATTAATTTTGTTTTGGACACACCATTCAACCGCTTCAACGAAATGTTCTTTCAAAGGCTTGTGAGCGGCAGCTGTGAGATGTAGAGGAATCATAGCGTAATCTGGAACTCCAATAAGACCATCATCGTCGTCATCAACAAAGTCCGAATCGTATTTATCCTCGTTCTCTTGTACAGGCTTTTTTGGTGACTTTCGGATGCGTGTTTCTTGAATCTCCTCTTCTACTTCTTCATCTTCTTCATCTTCAAAGGTAGTCAATGCGTCACTACCTGAATCATACAAACCACCAACCTCTTCCTCATCAGACTCAGAATCTGTAAGAATGGGATTGCTTTCCCCAGCACGCTTGCGTTTAAGAATCTCTAATTGTTTCTGCTTAGCAGTTCTATGCTTCTTGGCAGGAAGTTTTCGCTTGACTTGTGGAGAAGGAACCGGGCTATCGGATTCAGGGACCGTCGTCTTAGCTAGCTTAGTCATAGGTGGCAAATCATCATCCGACTCGCACTCGTTCATGACCTTCGTTTTCTTCACGGGCGATTCAACATCACTATCCTCATCGTCGGAAATAATCGTCGGACGCTTTCTTTTCATGGGTGAGGTAGGGGGCTCATCATCTGGGTCATCCGAATCGAGCTCAAGCAGGACTTGAGGGATTATCCGTGCTGTTTGTCGACGTCTGGTAGAAGATGGCAGTATATCCTCTTCGGAGTCATTGTCAGCCTCCTCACAAGATTCATCACTACTTTGCATTGGTGCAGCTAGTTTTTGACTAAATAGGCCAGGTCGCTGCGAAGGCTTTGGCATTGATGTAAATATGTCATCGTCACTTGTGTCTGATAAAGTTACCGATCTTCTCTTCGGAGTACTCTTCGGAGGAGTCGAGGGGCTATGGACTAGAGCCTTTGGCGCCCTTCCTCGACTTCCAAAAGAAGGAAGAGGGGCGTTGTATGTGCTTCCGCCTTGTATGAAGCCTCGACCGGTGAGTGAACGTCTCCTGGATGAACCACTTCCAGAACCTCTTCTCGTAGAAGCTCTGGTATCGACATCCGATTCATCGTCCGTGGTTTCTATAGCAGCAATTTCCTTCTTATCCTTTTGCAATGGAGTGGTTGCCTCGACTTCAACTGTAGATTCATCTGCCAAATCAGTGGCGTCCTCAGCAATTGGTTTTTTCACTTGTGATCCTCGTGTGCTTCGACGCGAACCGCTGACTACTCCAGTATTCACAATAGTATCGTCTTTCTGCGAGCTCTTCGCAGGCGTCGGTAACGATCCAAAACTGATCTTTCCATTTCTCGTATCCTTTCCCTTTCTCTTTCCGCCAGACTTTCCATTAATACCAGAAATTACTTTCGATGGCGACCCTGAAGACATGCCGCTCCGTGTAACTCGCCCTCCGCTTGCAACAGATGCACTACCATTCACTTTCCCATATCTGACCTTCGCAGGCGACGGTCCTTGACTTTTAGCAGGCGAAGCTAAAGGTACTCCAGCGGAGATCGGATCGAACGTCAAACGTGTTTGTTTCTTTCGCCTCTCCTTTCGTGATATATTTGACGAACTCATTGTCGCAATTTCGAATGATGCGGGTTTGTTCTGCAATTGTCTCTAGCGCTTTATCGTAAGGCTTGCGAGATTAGTGAGAAGGCAAAAGGTGAGTTTGGAATTTCGATAGCATATATTGATTGGCGATAACTATCAATTGTTATTGAGTAACTTGTAAAAAAAAGCGAACGCGATTGCGGGTGTAAAAATTCCAGATCGTGAGGTGTGTAAAATATTGAAATGGTTTTGTTACAAACAAAAGTAAAAGAATCACAAAGGCAAGAGTAACGCGGGGAACCGCGCCAAAAGTGAACCACGAAAGCACGTGCTAACCTTTTGATAGTGGGGCTGGACTGCTTTCTTAACGACGGAGGAACGAGTTTCAACCCTTTTTGGCCACCAAAATTCGCTTTTAAGACATCGATTACATTTACAAAATAGTTATTCTAGGGCCATGGCTAGGAAGCGTACCTCCTTTTCACAGCTTTCTCCGAAGATAATCGATCATAGTACTCATGGCCTTGAGCTTAACAGAACTCGGTAAATGAAGGAGGATGATGAGTCTACAAAAGGCCTAATTCTCGAGCAAACATATGATAATGTCCTTCAGATATCAAAACTGAAATCTGTAAAGATACGTTCAATAGCTACTTGGCCATTATTTTGTAAGCCACAGATGGATATTGGGTCGAATAATCCCAACAACCTCGTTAGGTATGAATCAGAACTTATTAGCATGTATGCTCTTCGCAGGTACTTCTTAAACTTCTTCTCTTTTGAGTTGGCAATACCTTACTTTGATATTCATTGCCAAATAAAATACAAGGCTCATATCTCATTGTATTTGATGTTCTCGATACGGACAACTCTCCTTTGCCAGAGTCTTGTCATCCAGAACTCATCTATCTATATGTTATCCACGTCCAAGGAACGAAGAAAGTCACTGGTCTTGGACTTGGAATTGTACTCGCTTATCGCATGCATGGAATCGGTTGGCACTCCCTACATTTTCATGTGAAATTGGACAATACAGTGGTATTGTCTATGAAGATTCAAGAAAACAGCATGTCTTATTGCTTGGCTATATGCATATTACAGGTTTCTCGTTCTAAGCTTTAAAGTTATTGTTCTTATGTTGTTTGATTTGGTAAGAACACTGAAGTATCCATTCAAGGTTTTCAAGAGACTGATCCACACCATCCCCGCATCACCTCATAGCTCTTTCCTCTCCAAACATCTCCTGCATCAACCTCCCTCACCTCCTTCCCTCTCAGGACCTTCATACAGAGCTCCCACTCGACGTTATAATCCAATCTATCCACGAATTAAACAAACATCACAATCTAGTGCAGTGGTCAAGCTCCTTAGCTTCCACTCCAAACAATGACAATCTCGCTGACATTCAATACCAGCTTTTATTCCCCTCTATGATCTTCCTTTAATACCCAATGATATCTTAGCAAGCGTTGCTATTCTTGTCGTTTACTGGTTATGAGTTCCTAACAAAAGCTTGCTTGCTAATGTGTGCTGTTCCTTCATTAGCAGGTGGGCAATTGGTTAGTGGGCGGCCTTTCTGTACTGCGGTATGTATACATCTTTCTCATCAAATAATCGAGGGGCTTGATCACACACTACTTTTTTTTTTGATTGGTTTGACTTGGTAGTCATTGAGAGTGTGGACGACCTTGATGGGGCAGGTACATCTTTAGCGGTGAGGTGGACGTCAAGGTTTCGCCGTTCAGAAAGTCATAGAAATGATCCGTCCCCAAAATACCACGTCTCATATTTTCGGAAAGTTCGAACCTACGTCAGATTGTTTTTGAATTGGTGATTGCTGTCAACTAAGTGGAGGTTAACAGGGAAAGTAACCATGTCACTTAGTCATTTCTCTTTCGTCTTACCCCTGAATTGTTTTTCATGATTTGATCCTTCCTAAGTACCCCATCACTATCTTCGATGCCTTGAACATTTCGAATCCCTTCTAGGAAGTGGAAGAGATTAATGTACCAGTCTAGTATTGATGAACTAGGCGCCTCACCCACGGTCCGATATTGATATTGACCACTTGGCTGAAATCATCTAGGTTGTAAAGATCGAGCCACCCAACTTCAACACTCTTCCTAACCCGATGCATAAGCTGTTTTTACAGATGGCGCAACGGTTGTGCGAGATGCAGGTTTCTGGAAGATGTGAACAGCCATAGGACTTTACCCCAATCAAATATATTTATACAAGCACATGAATTGATGATTCCAAGATGAACTGGTCTCATTATGTTTGGCGAGATGGAAAGAAACTTCACAAATGGTGGTTTACTTTTCATAATCTTGGGTTTAGTGTGAATATTGCACAGTGAAAGTGAATCGACGAGTATCCGGCCGAAATTGAGATGTCGATGATGCATGATAGTAAGTTACTAACTGTTCAAGTTGAGAGGTAATGCTCCAAATGACCCGAAATCCGGGCATATTTATACAACATATAGGAGTATAAATTTCATCATGCTAATCCATGCCTATATAGTTTGAGCGTTTCCCATTCAATTTTTTTCTTTTTTCTACCTTCATACCATATATATATATACTACTAAGAGACTTAAGCAACCACGCTGTGTCATAGCTGTTCATTATTACAACATCACGTCGTCTTATCCACGACTGCAATTTATTCGTTCTTCGATTTCCGCTTGCCTTTAACCTTTAGCACTCGGGCATTACCATGTAAGTTCCTCTATTTCGTTTTGCTATTGTTCTTTAGCTGACGCTAATAGATATTCTGCGAAGAAAGCTACAGTGTCTCGAACTTCAAACCCACACAGACAAGATGTCGAACCGTTCCGTACCGAATCCACCAGTCATTCTTAACTATGATGGTCACGGCGATGAGGTATTGCCGATGGTTTGGGACGTCTATCTCTGCGGATGCGCCATCTCTCGACCAAAGGATCTTACAGATGCACCAGGACGTCCAAAATACAAACTTAAGGGCGACCTTTGTCCGTTGAGGGATTGTGCCCCTTGCAAATATGCCACAGAGTTTCTTAGCGAGGCCCTAAACATCTATAGAGAGCGATATATGGATGTACTTATCCGGGATCTCAAGCACAAATGGGAAATAGCCAAGGGCGAAGATGCTTTCGTCGACGGCGATAATCCTCCTCCGGTAAAGACGCCTTTCTGGCTTCTCACAAGTATTTGGGATCAAACGACGCTGAAAGAATTTCATGACGGGATCCATGACGAAGATGTGAGTAGGGGATTTTTTTTAAGTGAAGTGGGTAGTCGTCCCGAGGACTTAAGCTCGGGAGAGCTGGAAAGTGACTGGATTTCAAAGGCTGTTGTTCTCTAGCAGGATTCGGTGCCTCACATTCATTTGCAGTTTTAGGATCCCTTTAAAGGTGTGGTAGAAGTGATATAATCAAGCCTGACTTTTTTCCTCTACGAACAAGAAATTAAAAAAGCTGCCGAAAACATGATGCACAGAAGAATTGTGATAATTTGATGACCAGTCTAACAAAAATAACCCAAATTACTCACAAAAGGAAAAATATATTAACATAACCTGTAGGCTTCAAATGATCATGGATAATCTTGTGTATAATCCATTAACACCATTACTCAGGACCACTGAGTGAATCTTCTCGGATATAATCTTCCCTCTAAATCTCAACATTCTACCCCTAAAATCTCCTCAAGTTATCAAGAATACATTCTGCCAATTTGTCTCATATCGCGCATGCGCACATCAACGCACTAATTTCTTGACATATCCACTTCCATTCGTACGGTACGACATCATTCCCTTTGCCATTGCACAATTCCAGCACTACCAAACCGTGATCTTAGGGAAAGAAGCTCTAGCGCCGCAACATAGAATCCCTACCACTCAATCTCAGAAAAGGGTAAAAAGATTGAGTTGTATAGGCGAGGTCTATATCGACAGTACGTGCAAATATCGTAATTTGCATCCGTGTGGAAAAGAGGAGAGGAAGTATGCGCCTCGACAAATGGAGGGGGTGTTGCAATTGGTCTGTTGGGAAGGTAATCAAGGAGTGGAAAGCTTATGACTGAAGAAATTACATGAATTTGGTTTTTTGTGTGGGTATGTAGTCCGTGGCTTTACCCACGGGTTGTACTTGATATTGAACCCGGATTATCACCCGGAGCTATTTTACGGGCCGGATGTTGCTCCCGCGAGATGTAGAATGACTGGATGGCTATGGCTGCCTAGCACTGCGGGTTAAAAGAAGTACACTGGTTTATGACGCCCATGCTATTACTGCTAACTGTGTATGTTGCATAGGTAAGCACGACAGCAGGGGGCATTGATATCCAAAGTCCGGATGCAGAGTGAACCTACTCACACCATATACGACCACTAGAGCCCGAAGGTAACTTCACAAGAAACAAATCACACCAAGCAAGCCAACAAAAAGTCATCAAAAACATAAATAAATTGGACTAATCTAATAAATCCCAACTACCCCCCTCTAACCCGTCCCCTCCCCCCTCATCACTCCCACCGAACATAAAATGTCTCCCAAAGGAACCAAACACAAAACTCATCGAAACGAGTCTCATAGCCAGGATACCTCAGGGAAAAGTCTCGAAGAATCAAAATCGTGACCCGGGTTTTATTCTTGCTTCACTGTCCACACTTGCTCGCTCTGGGTTGAGACTCGGCAAGCTCTAGCAATATTTTGAAGCGATGTGGAGGGTTATTGGTTATTTCCTTTTGAGAAGGGAAGGATGGATGGATGGATATATGAGAATGATGATGAGAATGCGGGAAGGGAAAATACCTACCTACCTGTCTTCGTTGAAGGAAACTTCGTACACAGGAATATGTTCAAATGATATCCCTATGGTTGGAGAGTACTTTATGCATGAATCAACGAATATTGTGTTATTGATGAAGAGAAAACCGAACTTGCGAGAAAAATTCGAGGTTTTCATAGAGATCCTTAGCTTAAACGCTAGTAAGAAACTAGCTTAGTTCAGGTACAGCCAATTGGTCAATCCCAAGAAACCCACTTCAGCCTCGCCAGCAAGGCATTTCGCGCCATTCATGGCGGGCGAACTTTATGATCAATCAACTCCCAACTTAACTTTTTACTGCCAGTCCACCTCTACCCATAAGAAATATCCTTTACGCAACATTTTTTTTCGCATGCTTTGTACACAAAATGGTACTCCCCCCAAACTCTCCCTCCTAAATACAAAACTAACAAAAACCCAGCCCCCAAAACGTAAAGACACCTCCGCGCCAGCAGCAGGACCGCGGTCCAAGCTAGCTAAAGAGAATAATATTACCGCCGCGGAAGAAACAGAGATTAAAGAAGCATTTTCTTTATTTTCGCAGAAGATGGATGGCGAAAAGGAGGGAGTTATAGCGATTGGTGATGTGAGGAGAGCGTTGATGTATGTGTTATTCTTTTGCGCTTCGAAGAGCTTTCACCTATGTCCTCAATCCATGGAATAGAAAGAAATATGATGCTAGAAAGTATATATTAACAAGAAAATAGCGCATTAGGCCTAACGCCCACCGCCTCCGAACTGCGCGAATACCACAGCATTCTCGACCCCGAAGACGAAGGCTATACTATCTACCGCCATTTCCTTGCCATTTGCGCCATTAAATTTCATTCTCGGACTCGGACGTCGGATTCGCATAGGAAAGATGTGGATGATGCGTTTAGACTTTTTACGAATGCGGGACAGAAGAGGGGCGGAAGTGGAGGTGGAGAGGATATGGGAAGAATTACAATGGCGACGTTGAAGAGAGTCGCAAAGATTTTGAAGGAGGATGTGGATGAAGAGTTGTTGGCTAGTATGTTGTTGGAGGCGAATGGGGGTAAAGGGGTAGGACAGGGGGTGGAGAAGGATGAGTTCGAGGCGGTTATGAGGAGAGCGGGGATGTGGAGGTGAGGGTTGGGTGAATGAGTTCATTTGATACATGGCCTGGGAATTTGAGTGCATGACATATTTGAGTTTGGAGTTATGGTGCTCAGGAGGCTTCCTGGCGTAGAGTTTCTGGGAATAAATTCGATATTACCATGGATGGAGTCACATACACAGACAACAAAGAAGTCTAGCATAGCGTTGTTTGTTGCATATCTTTCATTTATTTAGTTGTTGCTCTTGATGTCAACGCCTCGAGTAGATTATGCAAAATCCGGTACAGTCCGACAAAACACCTTTCCACCTTCTGAGTATTCAATTATTTGAACCTTTGTTGATATATCTGTGACGCCAATTCCCATATAACCTCCTTGATATCTTGAAACAACCAGTTTAGACTGCTGGAACCTCCGTCTGAATTTTAGGCGGGGTGACCTCAGTCTGTGCGGACTCGGATGTACTTCCCCGAGGTGGAGCCTTGAATCCGGCGTGGTCTGAGTGTTTCTTATAGAAGAAGTTGTCGGGCTTGGGTTTCAGTTCTTCAGGAAGTTCCTCCAAGACCGTAGCGAGTAACGCATCGATGGATTTTTGCTTCGAGGCATCACGATGCCAGATTGAGACGAGATGAGAGTTGAAACGAACAGAGAGACCAACACCGCAAAGTTGATCGCCTACTTGTGTGTTAGTATTACTTTGTATTTTATCTCAAAAACTTGACCCTTCCAACCCAACAAGCGAAACACTTGTCCGTGGAGGATTCAGGTGCGCTAGAAATCAACATTTCATGTCTTTAAGCCCCCCAAAGATAGATCCCCAATTGTCTGTAAACAGCTGGTATTTCCTCAACCAAGAGATGTGTATAAAACGGCTTACCTAGTTCCAAACAGCCTTGAAGCTTCTCTCCTATAGCCATCAATTGAACTCTAGTGAAAAAGTCCGGACCATTTTGTTTTGGAACCCTAAATGTCCAGCTACCCCCATTAATGTTTCTTCTATCTTCCCATATTGGCTGAAATCCTTGCTTAAATAGGTAAATCGACTCCCTCATTTTAATCTGATCGAACGGAGTGTTGTTGCAATAACGCCAAAAGTCCTGGATCGATTCGATTTGTGTGGGAAGTTTGTCGAGAGTAGCACTATAAGTGCCATCCGCAGCTGGCTTTTGATCCTTCTGTTGCCTATTTGGTACTCCGTTAGCAATTGTACCAAGTCAATAACCCGCAGAATGCACACATCCTATAAGAAGAGCACTGACCTATCGAAGTATATATTCCAATAATGTTGTGTAGGCAATGGACGCATCGCCTTTAACATATTCTTCTTGGCATCATCTCGCGCAGGCGATCCAGTGTCGCTTGGCCCTGAGGTGGAAATTCCTCGTGTAATGAGTGATGGTCGTAACGCCATATTGTATCAAATAGTATCTGTAATATTGGAAGTGGAAGACTTGAAGATGTAGAGAATATTCGAATGCGCCTGTCACTTCCAAGAACAATGGCAGGATACGAAGAGATTGAGCAGCCAAGAAATGGGTGAGATAGACAAGAGAAAGATAGTAGAGAGGATGAAAGAGAAAACAAATGGTACTGTACAAAGGATGAAGTGATAAGAAGCGGCGGGCGCCAAGGGAATAAATGCACAGCAGATCACAGCGGACCCATTATGAAACCCTGAAACAAGCGCCCGAACGACCTACGTACATGCCCCTTGTAATGGCTATTTGGACTTCACATTGGTTCAATTGCTTATACGGAATTGCAGGCATGAGACGCGGCCGGCGCGGTCCGAGAAAAAAATGATCGGTGATTTAAATCACGTGTAAAATTGAAAGTTTTCGATGATGGGTTTTTTCTAGTGAGGTCACTCTACATCTATCTAATCGCCAAATCAATCAATTTCTCAAAGAAGGAATACATCACCCTTCATCGTTGCTATATTTTTGGTGAATTTCTTTTTACAACATCCCGTTAATCAAAACATTTTCACAAGTCTTTTTGGGCCCTTGGAATACAAATCTTCGCTCCACCCAATCAAAACTTCCAGGACCACATAAGACTACTACTACCCTGTCTACTAGATACATCACCCATCAAAAGTTTCATACTCGCAAGAATATATACTTTTCAAACTTCATTCTCGTTCGTTTTCACTCTTGGGTCTACGATTGGGTCCTACCACTGAGACCTACTACTGAGCTGAGACCTTTCAAAACATCGTTCCAATCTCACCTCAACCCAAGGACTCACCTGACACACCACCATGTCAACAAAGGATTCCTCCCTTCCCACAGAAGCAATGGACGCCGAACCAGCATCCGTACGGAAAATCCTTGATGCCAAACTCCCATCCAAAAAACGTACCGCTCTAGTAAAAGTATCCACAAATACTACTCAACCATCCATCACTACCTCCAAATCTACTTACACAAAACCACCTAACTCGTCAACTCCAGCTTCCTCGGAAGCCACTTCATCATCAGAAGTAGAAGTCTCCTCATCAGAATCTTCCTCGGAAGACGAGTCCGAAGATGAGATCCCCCTCATACGGCCGCTAAATGCCCGTCCCGTCATGCGTGTATCCGAACTCAATGGATTTGGCGGTTCAGGAGGCTTAGGTAATCTTCCAGATTTTTTGAAGCAGATGAAAGAAGCGAATGAGGAATTGATGAAGAAAATTAGCGGGGGTGAAGAGCGAGGGCTGGAGGATGTGAGGGAGGGAGAGAGTTATGTGGAAATGAATTTAGGACTAGGCGTTTTGGAAGAGAAGAGGGATGGGGACAGTGAGGATGAGAGTGAAAGTGAAGTGGAGGAGAAAGATGCGGATGGGGATAGGAGGATGGGGGAGGGAAAGAAGGCGGGAATTGAAGAACTTTGAAATGGTGGGATGGATTGATTATCTGGGTTTTCTGTATAAATTGAGATCGAATTTCTTCGTCCGAACATTTCGAATACTTGGAGTTGGCTGGATACGGCGTTTCATAGAAGGAATATAAAATGTTGCTTCAGGATATGGATGGGTTAGACGGCCTTGGCCCGTAAGGATAAAAAGGGAAAACAAAAGGGAAACCACGAGGCTCACTTAGCATTAGTCTCTTGATCCCAAACTTATTAGTAGAAACGAGATTACAACACTCAGATCTAGACCATGAATCCCATTCCCCGGTGCCTCCTATCTCCTAGCTCGCCCAACTAGAGCCCCAGAAACAGATATGTTTTCTCTATTAGCATATCCACAATCCCACCCTAAGACCCACACTCTAGCAAATATGTAGTGAGTGATATGAACGATCTAGACACCACAAGCGCTACACACATTACAAGTAACCAATCCATCCATCCATCCATCCATCCACCCATCCACCCAGTCCCCATCTCCCGAAATCAAACCCACACCTACCTAAGCACTTCAAATCAAACCCCTCCTTCGCAGCCTCGACATGAAAAAACGTTCCATCACTTCCTCAACACCAGTCCTTAAACCAGCAACTTACATCTCAATAACCTCTTCTCTCCCCGCCTCCTCTTCCAGCCCAGCCAGCCCGACGAAATACCAAATACCAAAACCTTACCATCTACAGCACAAGCGTACAACTCCCCTCCATATACATCCATACATCACCACTAACCTCCCGCCGGTCCCGCCTCTAAAAACCAATAACCCACACTAACCCGCCCTATCATAGTAATTATAAGTAACTCCTACCAAAAAAAATAAACTAAGAAACTAAGAATACAAACTAACTGTATCCACCACTCAAAATGCTTGAATTGATTTCGGGGGTCTTAATGTTGCATATCTATATTGTTATCTTACAGGTCTTATCCTGACAAGTATGGGTATCATACACTATTCGTCGTTCGAAGCCCAGTAGCGATGATAGTACGAAATCTATTCCTCTCGGACAAGATAATTGTATTAAAAAAGTAATCAATCGACTAATTAGACTCTATACACCATGCCATGATCCATAATTCTACATATCCAACCCACCCCCCAGTCCCACCCTTGGTATAATAAAAGAACAAAACACCCAAACACCAACGCTAGCTTGTCCTGTTTTCCTTCGTAAAGCTTGCCCATCCATCCATAAAAATTTCGCCCTTTTCCTTATAATCATACAACCTGAATTACCCCGATTTCGCGACCGAAACGACCTTTATCATCACCAATCTTCTTTCTGAACATACCCAAGTCCTTTAACAAATCACCCATGAAACCTTGAACCTCACTTGCTCTCTCCCGATGAATACCAACATCAATAGCTTCATCTTCATCCGTGTATTCCTGTTCATACTCTCCTTCCTCTGCAGTCGCTTCGTCTGGAGATCTATTCTCCTTGCTCTGCTCCACTTCATGTTCGCCACTAAAATCAGGACTGCCCAGACTAACAGCTCTTGCAGGTTCCACCTTGATTGGGTTCTTCAAGCTGTCCAGAGCTAATTTCAAATGCAATCTCAAAGCATCATTCTCGGTTGTCAAGCTGCGAATTTTGCCTTCTGATATCATGGTTCTATCTTCCATCATTCTTTGCATGAGGGCGATCTTGTTTTGGTATTGCTCGAGCTTCTCGTCTTGTGCTTTGGTTTCTGTCTCTTTGCGCGTCGAGTCAGAATTCGAAACTTGAAGTTGTAGGATACGAATCTCCTCGGCCATGGCGGCAATTTGAGCATCGCGCTCCGCAGCGGAAACATGATCCTGATTGACGACGGCACGTGTGCGGATACGTTTGGCTTGATCGGCATAGCGAAGGGTGGAGAGAGTTTCATCGTAATCAGATGGAGAAATACATGCAATCATTGCGGTTTTGCTATTTCCTCCCAGTGAATCCTTGAGCAGCCAGGTGAGGATCGAATCTCTGTAGGGAACAACATCCTTGTTGCGCTTTCCGGTACGATGTTGTTTTGGATCTGCGAGAGCAGCAATGACACGGCCAAGAGTAGTTAGAGACTTATTGATATTGCTTCCCTCGCGTAGACGAGCACCGGTTGCTTCTGTTGCCTTTGCACGTTCACTGCCTGCAAGATCCACGAGTCGTATCCGAGCAGTACGCTCTGTTGTTTCGTCGGTGTCCATGTCATGGTGGATCTGCTTGAGCATAATGGTGAAAACACTATGGCTTCTGCTACTTGTATCATTCATCTTAGTACTTGCCGTGGTTCGACTGGCATCTCCCATTTTCATGTATCGCATAATCTCGGAGATATTCTTAACAGGGGCATCGGTCAAATCCTTGATATAAGGTCCCTCAGTGGGGGATTCACGAATCTTAAGGTAGTAAGGTGGTTGATTGGGGTGGTATGGAACAAGGAGATCTCGGACATGCTCGTTATAGACCTCGAAATAAGATACACGAACATTGTATGAAATGTTTGGACTTTCATTATGGGCTGCCTCAATCCGCTGGAAAAGATCCTCGCAAGTCCTTGGTATTAATCCTGGCTGCTCTTCTGTCCCCATCATTGTATAACTCTTTCCCGATCCAGTCTGGCCATATGCAAAGATGCACGTATGATATCCTTCGAAGTTATGATCCAAGAATTCCTCCCCCAAGCTATTATAAACATCCTCCTGGTGCGCATAGTGTTTATCAGATATGTTGTGGCTCCAAAAGGAATTGTCAAACGTAAAGTGTTTTTCTTCAATGACTCTGCGCATCTTTGAACGAGTGTTTGCAGGGTCTGTATCATTGGGTACGAGAAGGGTGGTTGCTTGCGAAATTGGACTCATCTCAACCAGACACTCAGCTCCTCTATTGATTTCTGCAATAAAATTAGTGAGATGTTACAGCATTTTTTCCACTTCAAATACCCACCTCTGGGAAGAAATCCTCTAACTCTAACCACAACTCTAACATTTCCGCCCGCATCTTTGGCCGAAGATACAACACTACCTTCCCTTGATCTTAAAGAAGGAGTAGATGCAGTTGATACCACACCCGGCATCAATCGCGGATCAAGAGCCATGGCAATTAATGTTTCGTTGATATCAGCAATCTTTTTGCGCAATTGACGTTGTAAATGTGAGTACATGAAGGGACTCTCAATACCCAGTAAACAAAAAGCAATGACGCAAGGGTGTTGGCTGGGTGAAAAGTGGACCAAGGGTTTTAGGAGCTTCGCTTCAGTGTTTGCTACGGTAGCAGTGAACAGCAAAGTAACATTCAATTCAATTTGATATAATCAATAATCTGTCGTCGCAAGTCAATTTGGTTTGAATAGATGAAGAAATCAATTTATAATATTGTTGTTTGGTAATTGAAAAGTAAGGGATGTGAAGGGAATGAGATTTGGGATCACGCTCCAAAATTCACTTTTGTTTACACTATGAAATTTGCGGTTAGTACTCAAATGGGTTAAGCGCTGTGCCACCAACGCGCCACGCTCAGAATCCTTCAAATGTTTCCTGCGTTTAGAACTTGATCATCGTTATCGTCGCTTACGATGGGATCTGAATCATTCTTTTTAGAGAAAGGAATAATCGCTAGGAATGTGTGCTTTGTCGCCGTCAAGATCATATTGTAATACTGAGTACAATGGCTCCAGGGGTCCAATGCCGCGTCACCAGGAAAGGATGTATTATTACCAATAGACTATGCTAGGTATTTGCACACCCCGGTTCGATATGCAAGTTGATAGCATTGCGATACTTCGCCACAATGCTTAATTCATCCATTCTTAGTTACACTGCAGGACAGATGGAGCTTCTTGTGACAGGGCTACGTTGAAGATTTTACCCCTCTCTCTTCAAAGCTTAAATCCCTTTCTGACTGTGGATATATTAAAGCTTGTGTTCTTCCTCAAATATGATAGCAGTTTTTGGATCAAGTGGACCCGCCAGAACTCAAGCATCAACTTCTAAGATGGAATTTTCGGCCAATCTACCGGACCTTAGACGGCGATTATTACACCAGCTAGTCGATGAGATCGCATATTCTGATACTAGACGAATATGCCACTCTTCTGAGATCTGCATACCTAGAAGAAGGCTCTATCGACATTGATTACGAATCATTCTCCACGATCGTGAATTGATTTGCCTTTTTGGTTGATGCGCTGCTGATGGCATGGGGACCCATTGTCGTTCTCTGCACAGGACCTTGTGGATATTCGCTCCCTCATAATTATATTAGGAATGTGCAAATGGGACACATTGTAGGCTTCTACCACTCTTATCCCCTGCGAACGAGAAGTTAATCCTATGTAGACTTCTCCCAGTTCTCGCCAAATGGTGTCGAGGCGCACTTACCTCTTGTTGAAGCAATAAACTGTCATCATGTATTTGTCCCAGATAGAGTTCCAGCAGGATCAAGAAAATTTGGCAGTGTCAGACCTAGGAAGGCATTGTCACCGCCGGACTTGGACTTATTCAAAAACCCTGGCCTAGCTATCTTACAATAATCTTGGCGCCGAAAGTTCGCCGAGGTGGAGGACAAACCTTTCCTCATTCTACATACACCAGGCTCTACTGGTATTCCGAAGCCAGCGTATGTCCCTCTCTGCAGCTTCACCGCTAACGCCGCCTACCAACTGATACCATCTTTCAGAGGCACACCGACTAAGTCAGCTACATGTAAGGCAAGTTGAACTGCGTCACGTTCATTATGGTAATATTTTGTGAATGAGAATGTTGGACTTGATGCGAATATTCACTCGTACTCAGACTGATATAGTAATCTAACATCTTTCTCTCCGGAAAGGCTTGATATAGACATTCTGGTGACTGTATATTGGCAGCTCGCGTATACAACAATTACAATTCCACATTACAGGAAATCATCCTGACTGACAAATCAATAAATTGACCGAGAATTGTGAGCACTTACTCACGCAACCCCAAGGATGGTTGGATTCCTTTCTCCTGACTCGTAGATTCGTGTAAATAAAGTATACTAAAGTACCTTCCATAATCCTTGAGAATCAAAGGAATTGCATCTATAACCTCCGCATGAAACTCAATCTGCGTCTCCCACCCACCCTTTCCACACCTTCTACCCCCCAGGATCAACCAGAAATAATTGCTTCCCTCATTCTCTGGGGTAGGTTAAGATTCATCAATATCCGTTAAAAATGCAATTGATATGTTATTGTGGATATTAGGGAATTATGCTTTAAGGAATTAGGCCAGTACATCACTGCCACCTCCGTACGGAATGCATCTTCAATGTATGCATTTCACTTGGAGAATGAAAGCTTGTAAGAGGGAAACACTATGACATGTAGTAACCATCCCAAATCCACCATGTACTTGTGTCGTCGCTGCACCTTTAGAAAGCGAGATTACTGAAGATATCCTTCTGCTTGCAGGATATGAAGAACTTGCTCCTCTTTGCATCTCTGTTCGACGTCTCGTACGTGACAGTCGATGAACTTCCTAATGAGCTATCTAAATCTGCACTTGCATTTGCGTTGATGGGTAGATAGAAAGGTGGGAATAAAGATCTGCCTGTGTGGGCTTTGAAGATTTCGGTAAGCACCCCTGCAAGCATTTTAAATCCGTGATGACGATGACGATGACGTCCAAGCCGAAAATCAGTTGGAGATAAAATAAAATATAGTTGCTGATTAATAGCCTCTTTTCATCCATTGTCCACGAGGTGAATGTTTTCGAATACATTTATCGATAGGATTATAGTCTGAATGAACTGCGCCGGTGAAATGCAATGTGATTGTGCAACGATCTGTGTGGATGAGTGAGGGAATGGCGTCAACCTCATCGGGCGCAGACTTTTCGTAGGGATTTCTATATTAAGTCAGCTCTCCGCATTAATATTTTATTTATCCAACCAACAGAAGACAAAGGAAACAACTTATTTCATATCTCTATTTTACATTAAAGCATAACACTGCGCTCAGTTCCGTCGAGTCTAGATTCAAGGACTAGTTACTCACTAATCAATTGAGATCCAAAATGAGAGCTTACTGGTTTGACAACAAGGAGGTGATTTACCCCTCGTCCCCACTACATTGCCCCTCCATATCCGATCACTCCTAACAAACATTTCACTACAGGGCGACCAACGCGAACTTCATGACTCTGGTCGCGACGTTGATTCTGAATACTTGGAGAAGCTCGGCGTTCTCTATTACCACTTCGCAGACGAAAAGGATGTCGACAAGCTCGCCTCGGACAGAAGCTACAAGAATCGCGATGTAATTACCGTTTCACCAGAGAAAATGGGCGATATTTACGAGGAGAAGGTCAAGATGTTCTTTAATGAGCATTTGCATGAGGATGAGGAGATTAGATATATAAGAGACGGTGCGGGATTTTTCGATGTTAGAAGTGAGGGCGATGAGTGGGTGCGCATTAGGTTAGAGAAGGACGATTTGATCGTGAGTGATCATAATACATTCGAACCGCGTCAGAATATGGATTGACTTTGGTGGATAGATTCTCCCAGCTGGTATCTATCATCGTTTTACTACTGATGACAAGAATGTAGGTTCCCTATATGATGTTCTTCTTCCTGTCTTTGACATTACTAACGGGGGAGTAGTACATCCAAGCAATGAGACTGTTCAAGGAGGAGCCCAAATGGACACCTTTGAACCGTGGTCCAGAAGTGGATGTCAATCCATACCGCAAGGAGTACCTGCAGACTGTTCCTGTAATTGCCAGCCAGTAGCGAGGGGTAATATGGAGCGGGGTGGATGATGGTGGAATGGATGGTTGTCTATGGAAGAGAATGGCGATGATGAGGAAATGAGCACAACAAACGGGCGATATGAAAGCATATTATGACAGTCAGCGAAAATACCATTCGAGCTTTTCAAAGCATTTTGTATATGAGGTACAGCTATAGTACTTGTACTGTGTCGCATCAAATTCTATATAGTGAAAGTCAACTTGGTTATCAAACCACCATCTCGTCAGTATCATTCCACCTGTCTATTACTATCCCATCGACAGCCTTCACAATCGCGGATTAACCATCAAGGCGGAAGAACATGCCGAGGTTGGTCATGCCATGCTGTTGTGGTGAATGAATACATGAAAGATAAGACGAAATCTTTGGGGACGGATAAGAGATTGTAAACAAATCGATAGCGATTCCTACCAAAATCCCCTTCGCAGAACTTTTGCAAATCTCTCTCAAAATTCCCCGGGACAGTTTTGCATAAGATCACGTAACCTCTGCGACTCCGTATCTGCAATAAATAATATTTGAACTTTTTTCAAAAACCTCCAAGTTGGAAAAGCTGTCAGATATGCAACAAACCTTTTGAGAAAGGCAGCTTACCCCGCTATTGGCTACGTAGTTTCCTCAGCATCACCACCAACAGCAGTAACACGACACGACACGACATTGTCAGTCATGACCTACAAACCAGCACCAAAAAACTATACAAAGGCAGATGAGAGAAAGGAAAATTAAGGAAATGGAAGGCCCTGCCGATACTCCCGTTGTCGAGCGCGACTATAAGAGTTCAATGCCATTATCAGGACAGAATGCCCCTCAGAACCATCCCCGCGACAGCATGTCTCCCTCATATACCAAATGCGTCGAAAACAATAATTCCAATTCTGATGGTAGTAAAAAAGTCAAACTACAACTCCCCTTGAGCTGTGACCCTCCGCTACCAAATAAACCACCGAAGTCAAAGGTTTGGGTGGTGAGTGTACTTAACTGCACATTGGCAGATAGATTATCCATTGATCATCATCTCGCAGCTTCTAATTTACTGACTGAGTCTTAGGTATTTGGCGCCACCGGACATATGGGTCAGAGTCTCACGCGAACATGTCTTGAGAAAGACGACAAGGTCGTTGCCGTGGGTCGCATCAATGAAAATACACTTGATTTGATGCAGACCACATTCCCGCAATCAAATTGCTTTAATACCCTCTGCGATGTGCGCGTACGAGAATCTGTTTCCGCCGTGATATCCCAAGCTCTTAAAAAGTTTAAACGCATCGACGTTATAGCCAATTGCTCAGGATACGGCGTTATCGGCGCATGCGAAGATCAGGACGAGCACGAGATACGCAATCAATTTGAGACGAACTTCATGGGCACAGTACATATAATCCAATTGAGTTTGCCATACTTTCGCGAGCAGAAAGCGGGGAGATACTTAATTTTCAGTAGTACTTCGGGCGCATTGGGTGTTCCGGGATTGGGACCATATTGCGCGACGAAATACGCGGTGGAAGGAATGATCGAAGCGATGCTTTATGAAATTGACGCTTTTAATATAAAAGCTACATTGGTAGAGCCAGGCTTGGTTAGGAGAGATGAAAAGGAATCGGGTTCGAGCCCGCTTCCTACTTGGGGACATTTTCTGATCAAGCCTCCAAGTGAACCATATTCTGATCCATCTTCACCAGCACTGCATGCGAAGAGGATGGTTCAATGGTTAGGAGATAAACAGCCTACGAGCGCCAAAAAATGCGCCCAGTTGGTTTGGCAGTTAGGCCATTGTTCTTACCCTCCTCTACGATTACTATTGGGGAGTTATGCTATAGAGAGTATTAGAGATCGTCTGCGGTCAGTTATAGAGGAATTGGAGGATTGGAAGCATTTACATCATCCTGTAGCGCCCGATGATCTTGATAATGAAGAGGATTGGGACGATGCTCGGGATGCGGATGTGCCTGCGAGAACAAAGAAGGAGGATCGAGCTATCGTGCGGGCTGCAACAAATCCATCCAAAGGGGAGTCAGATGCAGAGAGCAGTTCATGACAAAGTTAAATACTCTATCAATAAGTTTAATAATAATGACAATACAATAATTCTTGCTTCTGACTGCAATATGATCAGATATCCTTGAAGCCTCGGCGCAAGAATATAACATACGAATAGAGCACATCGCTGCCAGCCCATCTACCAAACCTATCCAGCCGGACTTAACGATGTGCCAGCTAAGGCTAATTGTTCGCTCCCAATTTCTTCTTAATTACCAAACGCCTTCCAATGCAATTTAATCCACATGATCTTTGATGTTTTTCCTATCTGACTTCCGGCGCTGGTGCTGCGGCCATTGCGATATCGTTGTTAATCGCATCGGCCGTTTCCTCCCTTGGCTGTCTCTCGAACAATCTTCTCCAGAGCATTGGCGGATCAAATGGACGGTGTCCATTGTGTAGAGGTGGATAAACATCGTTGAAGAAATACCAAATATGGCCAATAACAACTCCCATCATCTCATCCTTTGGCACTGTCCCATGCAGAACCAAACTGAAACCCATCAAGACCCAAGGTAAATATGGAGCCGTGAAAACTAGTAATCCGAGAAAACTTAATTGTGTATCAGGATTCCTTCTCGACCAAATATATACAAGAGTCGAGGATAAGGGGTGTCCTAGGAATGGCATTGAAACTAAAGGACTTATAAGGATGAGACATGTTGTTGCGTAAAGAAGTAGCCATGAAAATTGCGCCGCTGATCGTCCGGATGATTCTTCAAGGAGTCGCGAGTATCTGGTGAGGAAGAAGACATGAAAAACAAGATCTAGGGATAGAGGACCAAAGTATATAAACGTCGTTAGGAGGCGCCAATACTGGTATATGAAATCAGCGAAGCTCTCAACATGGAATTCGAATGCGCAGCAAAGAGGGAGAAGCCTACCTGCGATTTAACAAAAACAGCTCTAAAGCTATAGAATAACTGAAACGGGGTAACGATTTGGCATTGAACCAGCGCGCTCGTAATCACCGTAGCCGTCGTCCACCATCTAGTACAAACCGGCATTTCCCAGAACCAAGTTTCTAGCGGAAATCCAGCCTGTCCCCCTATTCCTCCCTCTCCATTTCCCATCATCTGATCCATAATTGGATATTTGGGGATTGGTGGCGGTAATGCGACAATCAGGCTCGGGCTTTGAGTGTGAAAATAAGACGAGGGTGTATTGCGTAATCGAGTTGTTAAGTATTTCCAAGTCCTGAGATAAGTGTGTTGGAGAGTTTTGAATATTTCTTGCTATGATTTGAGGAGACTCTAGATATTATTCTTTAGTAGATTTATCCCTCAAAGATGTTGTCGTGGGTTGCGCTCTGATTTGTAGGTCATGACGTTGTTTGAGCAACTTGTCCTGTACTAAGGAGTTATCAATTGTTAATCTTAAAACGTCCTGCGGCACTTCGGGCGATAACCCTAATTGATAATGCGAGGCTAAGAGTTTCAGCCTTGTTTAGCCTTAATTGTGCCATGATTCGACCGATTGGTCCAAGCTCTGTAAACAAGGTTGCTGTGGTTCCTACATCAATATTCAACTTCAGACTAGACCAAACCTGATAGTCGATTTACATTCCTCTCCAAATCTGCGGACTCGAATTCCTGGCGCATATAAGTCGCTCAGATCTAATCTGATCTCTTGGCTTTAATTGGATTGTTATAACGTCCTTCTCACCCATCCACAACTCGAACGCGCATAGTCGCGCCAAACCGCGTCTTCGAAGCCCATTCCAGCCACTAGACTATTTTCCAACAATCGAAATAACAACCATCAAGTTGCGCTATCTGTGTAAAACATACTTTCGATTACTACTAAAAGTCGCTATGTCGCAAGTTCAGAAAAAAAAGCAGGGTTTGTCGCTGGACGAAGAATCAGCAGCAGGTAGCCCACAAGCGAGCACAAAAGGCAGACCGGCTGGAAAATCCGTCGCGGGGAAAGGAGCTGTAGGCAAGAGGGCAAGAGAAAGTGCTGTCAGAGGTAAGCTGGGGTTTGTTTTTTCTTTTTGCGATTGTGTGCTTGCAAGAAATGCGCGCGCCCGGTTTACAAGGGTTCAATTCGGATTTCCGGTCGAGAGAAGGAGGTTGTTCTTATCAAGCTCAGTATACTAACACAATTGACTTGAATAGCTGGAGATCCAGTCCCCCAAGGGAAGAAGCGCCGTTATAAGCCTGGTACTCTAGCCTTGAAGGAAATTCGCAAATTTCAAAAGTCCACAGATCTGCTACTTCTAAAACTTCCCTTCTCAAGATTGGTACGTATTTATACCCAACCGAACATTGCGGGGCGGGATCTAAACATGTCATGATTTTAGGTGAGGGAAATCGCTCTCTCCGTGCGTCCTCAAGGTGAGGGCATGCGCTGGCAATCACAAGCTATTCAAGCACTCCAAGAGTCTGCCGAAGCGTTTCTCGTCCATCTGTTTGAAGATACAAATCTGTGTGCTATTCATGCCAAGAGAGTTACAATTATGCAGAAGGATATACAGCTCGCTAGACGTATCCGAGGTGCATGGGGTGGTTTGGGTTGAACTATGATAATTACATGCTAGAACGCTTTGTAATTACTTTTGAATTGCTTCTAAAATCTTGTCAAATTAGCTTGTCTGGATAGGGAATCCATTTTCGTTATAGGGAAGGCGTATATGGTTCATGGCTTGTACAAGTCTGGGTGGAATTCGATTTATATTAGGATGTACAGATATTGATATTCTATGCTAGGTGAAGTAATTCTTGCCTCTCTAGCATGAGGCTCGGCTTATTCAGCCAAGATAGCGCATCTGTGTCTTGAGATTTCCTCATGTCTCCAAACGAACTTACTTTGTAGGACCTAGCAGTTTGCTATTATCCATTTTTTCAGCTGTACGTTACTGTTGTACCATCTTGTGCAGGTTCTAGCAGTTTCCAATCGCACTTGATATCGTTCTTCGCAAATGTATCCAGTATGACCTTCGCAATTGCATCGAAATTCTCAGTTGCAAGCGCAAGAATAGTTGGACCAGCTCCTGATAAGCATATTCCACAGAGGCCTGGATGCGACTTAGGAGTGACAGATTGCAGGATCTCTGGTAGACCTGGAATCAGGCCTTTCCTGTAAGGTTGGTGCACCTTGTCTTGCATTGCAAGATAGATCTGCTCTGCATCAGGCGGTGACATTCCTAGAGCCGAAGGCAGAAGAGCAATTCTTTGAAGATTGAAAACGACATCCGACCTGGAATATGAAGATGGTAGGACGCTTCTAGCCTTTGCTGTAGCGACTTCGAATTGTGGAATGATTGCAATAGCTTTAATCTCGGACGCCCAAGGGAATTTCATGTAGTGCCCAATTCCAACTGGTGGTTCGGGAGGATTGGAACCGGTATCTACTCCTCCGGCTGGTTCAGGTAAAACCTCACTGAGTGGGATCTCCTTGCGTTCTGTGTCTTCAGCGCTTAATTCGTTGAGATATGTTCCTACAAATCCTCCATACAATGCTGCGGCTACGTTATCTGGATGTCTTTCTGTATGAGGTGTTAGATATGTCGAGCTTGACAGGCAATGGCGCAATACCTATCATAAGGCAATAATCCAACATCCTAGCCTTCGACAGCCCCAACTTTCCGACTTCATTGCCTAGTGCAACACCAGCTACCACCGCGGCACCAGATGACCCAAGTCCGCGCCCCAATGGAATGGGATTAATGATATGAACCGAAGTCTCGGAAGGGAAGCTTCTCTGTCCGTGGCATCGCAAAACATATAGTGCTGTTCGTGTAATGAGATTGCTATCAGCGGTCAAGGGAACCTCTTCCGCGCCTTGTCCTTCATACGTGATTTTGCAATTAAGAGGTGCTTGGGATGTGATTGATGGTATGACCTCGACCTTTAACTCGAGCCATATGGAGAGAGCGAGACCTATAACATCGAATCCAGGGCCAATGTTCGCCGAGGAACAGGGTACTTCTATTTGGATGTCAGTTTCGAATGTCTAGCATCGATAGAAATGATTCAAATGACGTGAACGGTGGTTTGTGCGAGGTTTAATGAGGGATAGAGGTGACGGACTTATGGTAATCATTTTGATGAAGATGTTTAGAAGTTCGAGACTGGAGGTAAATTCGAGGTTGGGCACAAAAATCAAGTGTTATCGAATCATTCAACAACCCCACGGTGACCTTTTGCATCAGCCTTGCCCGATATCGCTATAACCCGAGAAAAATTCCGTTCTGATGACAAGTCACGATTAGACTTGCAGCAAGAACATTGAAATGAGGATAAAAATAACATGATTTGTTCGCTTGCTATCAACCATGCTGATGCGCATTGAGGACCCATTTAAAATGTCTCTTACCCACTGTGCATGATTAGATGAGCTTTTTCAACATTCACCTGTAGTATATTTTGGTGATATAATACATTCTTCCAACGAATGACAGAGGCTTGAAGATCTAAATTGGATTTAAAGATTTTGTCATAAGAACCTAATTCGGATATTTGTATCGATCTAAGATGATATATTGAAGTATTTACCTAGTACCGTAGTCGCTCAAGTAACTTCAAATGTAATCGGTTAAATCATGGAGGGGTAACGTGGGTTAAGGATATTGGCGGGGTTAGAGAATTTTGCCAGGCGGTGGCACTAGCGGGCACAAAATGATTGCACCCTGATGGAGTTTCTTCTTTTGTCTCCAGCCTTTTTTCATACAGTAAATATCTCAATACCGTATAGAAAACTTCACAATGGAGCCCATTCGAATCCTCCTTGTCGGAAATGGTGGTCGGGAACATACTTTGGCTTGGAAACTCAGCCAGTCTCCCCGCGTTGAGTCCATAATCGCAGTTCCAGGAAATGGAGGAACCGCAAATTGCCCAAAGGTTTCCAACGATTCCAGCGTCAAGGGAGATGATTATCCTGGACTTGTTGCATTGGCTAAGAAACACAATGTTAACTTGGTGAGTTTGCTGCCGTTTCCCTAGACTCAATTCTACAAGAATGTCTCGAGAGTGTTTAGTTTCATTTGTATATTTGACTCCACATGATTATTCGATTCCTTTTGACTGTCGACTCTACTCGATATTTTATTGCCCTTCGAAAGCCTTTCTGGCAAGCGATTACTGACTTTCCCGTGTAGGTAGTACCGGGACCAGAAGCGCCCCTCGTTGGTGGGATTGAAGATTATTTCCGTGCGGCAGACATACCTTGTTACGGACCGTCAAAACTTGCTGCGCGTTTGGAAGGAAGCAAAGCATTTTCGAAGGATTTTATGAAGAAGTACAACATTCCAACTGCAGCTTACGAGAACTTTACGAATTACGAAGATGCGCGAAAATATATTGATAGCATAAGTCATAATGTTGTCATTAAGGCCAGTGGATTGGCAGCTGGAAAGGGTGTTATTATTCCAACATCGAAAGAAGAAGCCCACCAGGCACTAAAGGATATTATGCTTGATAGGGAGTTCGGAGATGCTGGAGATGAGGTTGTCATCGAGGAGTTTTTGGAGGGTGATGAGCTCAGTATTCTCACTTTCTGCGATGGTTACAACATGCGGTCTTTACCCCCTGCTCAAGATCATAAGAGAATTTTCGATGGTGATAAGGGTCCAAACACTGGAGGCATGGGGTGTTATGCACCTACCAATATTGCTACCAAAGAATTGATTGAAGAGATCGAAAGGACCGTATTGGAGCCTACACTTCGCGGCATGAGAAAGGAGCGTACCAATTTCATCGGAACCCTTTTCACTGGCTTGATGATAACCAAGGATGGACCAAAAACGTTGGAGTACAACGTTCGCTTTGGTGACCCAGAAACACAAACTTTGTTACCATTGTTGAGTGCAGACACGGACCTTGCAGAAATCATGCTGGCATGTACTCAAGGATGCCTCGATGAAGTGGAGATCAAGGTCGATCAGAAATTCAGTGCAACTATCGTGGTAGCTGCTGGCGGATACCCAGGCTCATATGCCAAAGGTACGCCTATGGAAGTCAAGACCCCTCCAGCCGGTTCCAATATATTTCATGCTGGTACCGTCGTCAAAGATGGACAATTACAAACATCTGGTGGACGTGTTATTGCAGCACAAGCAGTCGCAGAGACTTTGGAACAGGCCGTAAAGGACGCTTACACCACTGTCGATTTCATCAAGTTTGACAGAATGTTCTACCGCAAGGATATTGCTCATCGCGCATTTAGATCTACTCCTGCTACCAAGGAAGCACTTACATACGCATCCGCAGGTGTCAGCATCGATGCTGGTAACGAGTTCGTTGAGCGTATCAAGAAAGCAGTCGCTTCCACCCGAAGACCAGGAGCTGATGCTGAGATTGGTGGTTTTGGTGGAGAGGTCGATCAACATATTGCGGGTTATTCAGGTGCTCCAATCATGGTTGGTGCCATTGATGGAGTTGGTACCAAACTCATGATTGCACAATCCATGAACAAACATGACACAGTTGGTATTGATTTGGTTGGTATGAATGTGAACGACTTAGTTGTTCAAGGTGCTGAACCACTAATGTTCCTCGATTACTATGGCTGCAGCCAGTTGAATCTTGAGAACGCAGCAGCTTTCGTCGAAGGTGTTGCTGCCGGATGCAAAGACGCCAACTGTGCACTCGTGGGTGGTGAAACCGCTGAGATGCCCGGTATGTACCAAAAAGACGATTACGATGCCGCAGGTACTGCCATCGGAGTCATGGAAAAGGAATACAGATTACCGAAAACAGAGAACATGGCAGAAGGTGATATCCTTATTGGGTTGGAATCTGCAGGGGTCCACTCCAATGGATTCTCTCTCGTGCGAAGAATCCTTGAAAGAGAAAAGCTCGCTTACACAGCCACTGCTCCGTGGGATCCTTCAACAACCGCTGGACTAAGTCTCCTTACACCTACTCGCATCTACGTGCGCTCTTTACTTAAAGTTACCAAAAAGCACTTACTCAAGGGCTTGGCCCACATTACTGGTGGTGGCTTAACCGAGAATGTCCCTAGAATGTTGCCTTCTCACTTGGCTGCCGAGATTGATGTTGCTACTTGGCAATTACCTGCAGTATTCAAATGGCTGAAGAGTGCAGGTAACGTCACAGCTAGCGAGATGGCTAGAACATTCAACACAGGTATTGGAATGGTGGCAGTTGTTAGCAAGGAGAATGTGGAACAGGTGATTAGCGAATTGGAAGAGTCTGGCGAGAAGGTTTATACCATTGGAAGGCTGGTGAAGAGATCAGGGGAAGGCTGTGAGTTGAAGAACTTGAACTCTTGGGATCAACACTAGAACATATGAAGGATTAGCGATGGGATGGAAGGAATCATGAATATAAATGGCGTTAAGGATTGAGGAATACCATGAAGTTAGAAAATAGACACTTGAAGGACACGAAAAGTTATGTGCTGGCTACTTTCTACTGTAGAGCTTTTTAAATATTACATTTTGGAGATGAGTTGAGAATCTCTAGGTATGCACACAACCTATCTTCCATGCCTCTATGCATACCGTGCCAATTGACGTGATGCTATGCCGAATAGACCTTTGTATCTTTCCCTATTTTATCCATAGAACCGATCGCACAAACAAAAAACCACACCTTCCTCCACTTATTCAAATCATTGTATCTTCTTCAGGTCATTTCAGTCTTCCCATCATTTCCTCTTCACTCCTGGCTCCTCACAAAACATCAGTCACCTACCATCCTCTCCCCTGCATCTTCTCCTTAGGATCCATAGTCCCACAATTCAACCCCACCATCGCCTCACCCAAATCCTCACTGACCTCAGCCAAAACCTTCGCATCATTAAAATGCGTCGTCGCCTGCACAATAGCCCGTGCCCTCTTCGCCGCATCCCCACTCTTGAATATCCCACTCCCGACAAACACTCCATCGCATCCTAACTGCATCATGAGAGCCGCATCAGCAGGGGTTGCGATTCCGCCCGCAGCGAAGTTTACCACGGGGAGTCGTCCCAATCGTGCGGTTTCTTTGAGAAGTTCGAAGGGTGCTTGGATGTCCTTTGCTAGGATGCGGAGTTCCTCGTCTGACATGAGCGATGCGGCGCGGATCTCGGAGGTTACTTGGCGTTGGTGGCGGACGGCTTCGATGACGTCTCCGGTGCCGGCTTCGCCTTTGGTGCGGATCATGGCTGCGCCTTCGGAGATGCGGCGGAGGGCTTCGCCGAGATTGCGACATCCGCAGACGAAGGGGATGGTGAAGGGTGTTTTCCACGTGGTGGAGTGCGTCGGCTGGGGTGAGCACTTCGGATTCGTCGATGTAATCTACGCCGATTGATTGGAGGATCTGGTGGGAAGGAGGGAGAAGTGTTAGTTTTTAGATTTGGATGAGAGAATCGGGGCAAGGGGAGGAAGGGAGGAAGGGAGGAAGGGGAGGGAAGGGAGGGAAGGGGAGGAAGGGGAGGGAAGGGGAGGGAAGGGGAGGGTAACTAACTTGACATTCTACAAAGTGACCGATTCTTGCCTTGGCCATCACGGGTATAGTAACTGTCTCCATGATTTCTCTAATCATCTTAGGATCAGACATGCGGGCTACACCCCCTTGAGCTCGGATATCAGCCGGTACACGTTCGAGAGCCATGACTGCTACTGCGCCTGCTTCTTCTGCGATTCTTGCCTTGAGGTGATTGTTAGTGGTGGTTTTTGGGTTTGTGGGATACTATTATTGGGTAAAGTGTATACGTACTTGTTCGGCGTTGACGACATCCATAATCACACCTCCCTTTAACATACGCGCAAGACCGGCCTTGACGGTGAAGGTAGAGGAGACATTGTTGCCGTGTCCATTTCCATTTCCGTTGGTGGCGGTGGTGGGGAGTTCGTTGGACATTCTGTTGATATGGTTTAGTATTGTGATGAGTGAAGTGAAGTGAAGAGAGTTCTGACGTATGCAATTGTATGCAAGTAGAAGTAAAGTAATATAGAGAGAAAGAGGAAGAGAGGAAGAGAGGAAGTACAAGAGCAAAGTCAATTGAATAGAATAGATAGACACAAATCCCAAGATTATATGTATTCAGCTAAAGTCCAATAAGTAGGTCAACGGAGAAAGAAAAAGTACACTAAGCACTCCAAATTCCAATTCGAAAATACTTTTTACTAATAAACACCAACAACCAAGCTTTCTATCTAGCATATGACTCTTCCATTTTATCTTCCAAACTGTATATGGTAGGTCAAAATCTCCAAAGTCTTAATGTAAGGTTAAAGCTTATTAGTCGTAAAATTCACCCACATCTATCTGGGCTAGGTGTGGTGCTCCGATCGGTAGTGCTGCCGAGACGAGACGAAGGGAAAAAAAGTATATTTTATTTATTAGCTTCATTTTATTTATTCACTGATTTATTTGGCACTCAATTGACTTGCTGCACTTTTTTATGGTTAGGTTATAGGATTTTGTGTATATTGTGTTGTGGATGATGGGTAGAGTTACATATATAATGTGGTCTAGTATCATCTTGGGGTGGGTATGATTACCCGGACCCATCTACGAGTTTCTTGTGCGCGATCGAGGGGTAGGTGCCATTGTGGGTAGATACGGTTGCAATCGGGGAAGGAGTTTGCGAGGTTGTGTGCGAGGGTTGTGGACAAGTGGATGTAGATAGTAGATATGTATTATGTATATGTAGGTTATATCATCGGATGTTTTCCCAAGGGCGCATGCAGGAGTTTGCGAGATTGATGCATGCAATGTAGTAAGAATATAGTAAGAATATAGTAAGAATATATCTCTAGATGTTTCGCGGAGACAGATGGTCATGTTGATATTGATGTAATAGATGTAAAAAAGAGCCCCGGTTTTAGGAGTTGGACATTTTGGCTTAGCTAACAGTATTGAATACGAATACGATGCTCGATGCTCGATAATCGATAATCGATAATCGAATAAATTATATGGATATTGTCCGGTGGTCAGATTCTTTGGTATGGGAGTTCCCGGATGTTAGAACTCGGATTCAAACTACTCAAGTAGAGAGTACTGTACGTAGTAGTTTTTGCTGATAATAGGAATCCTAACTATCTCGTCTCATCTTTTCATCATGGTAGTATCATGAGTATAGTTTAAATTTCATGTGCAGAAATAAGATGGTAGGTCTTAAACAGATAAGTAAATACCTAGTAGGGAGAAATCAAAAATGTCAAGACTCGAGTAAAAATCAAAAGTAATTCATCTGCCCCTCATTCCTTATCGTTATCGATATCATGACGTACGTACGTCACTGAACTTACTAGAACTATCAGAAAGGTCAACTTCATGATCAATGAAATACAAGCAAACAATCAATCAAAGAAACATCAAACATCACCGAGCAACCACTAACCATCAATTCCATCCCATCCCGTACCTCACCATACCATACCTCACCATCTTCCAGCAAATCCCATATCCCACATCCCACATCCCACCCCAGCAACAACAAAACCAAAAAAAATGTCCCGTCTCCTCCTCCTCCGTCCCCGTCTCACAGCATCCGCCCTAGGCCTCACAACATACAGTTCCTACACACTCTACCAATCGCATCGTTTTCCTTCACGATTAGATTCCCTTTCTTCGCCCATCTCTCGTTCTTCTACGCCGATTGTTAAGAGAGGTGGGGGATTGGATCCTAAGTCTGTGAGGCAGATTAGTAGTGGGAGTATTATTGGTATGTTTTTTGTTTTGTGTTTGTTGTTTTTGAGCGTTTGGTGTTTGGTGTTTGGTGTTTTGAGGGTTGGGGGTTTCGGATTTGAGAGGGGGGAAAGGAGATTGGTTGGGGGTGAGATGAGATCGATGGGATGAGATGAGATGAGATGGGGAAGATACCTAGGTGGGGAGAAAGAAGGGAATTGAAACGATGAAGTGGAAATCTTTTATATAAAGAAATGATGCTAACGCACAGTCAAACCACAGGATTAGGAGCCGGACTGGCAGTTAGTACGTTTTCACGCTCATTAGCCCTCATAATTGGATTAATGATTGTTGGCCTACAAGTGCGTATATACTTTCTTACTCTTCGTGTATTTCCTAGCTTTCATATTCTTTCCTCTATTCCCATCTCTCCAGCATCTCTTTTCATTCTCCCCATTCCCCACCCCTACTTCCGCGACCCCTTCACCAACTTCCACACCCGCTCCCCATTCCCCATTCCCCATCCCCATCCTAACAACACCAAGCCAGCCCTATCTAACAAACCCCCTCCAGTGGGCCTCCTCCCACGGCCTCGACCTCATCCCCACAGACCGTATCCAACGCTACATCAAACACGTTGATTTACGTTCTGCCATCCAAGAAAACGTTGCTTTTAAGGTTTCGTTCGGGACGACTTTCGCTATGGCGGCTTTTATGCGTTTTTAGATTTAATATCTCTAGGTTTCTACTTCTGGAGTGAGATTCGAAGAAGTTATTGTGATTAGGATGGGAGATAAAAAAGAGGCGTGGAAAAGTAAGATCCTAAAATTATATTGGAAAGAAGATTGTCTCTATTTAAAATTGATGAATGGGTACAATTTTGTACAATACAAAACCATGTGGAAAATGTATATTCGATTGTGGAATAATTCTTTCCACGTCTACCTACTTCATCATTCATCTTTATTCTGAATATTTCTACCAATCTACCTCAAGAAACATACGCGAAATTGGATCCCCTGCATGCTAACCAAAATTCCCTAACCACAGCATTTGTTCCCTTGGCACCACGAAGACTTCATAAAGTCAGTTCACATTTACAACCTTCATCACACAAACTTCAGATAGACAACTCACTTAATAACCTTTGACAAGAACACTATTTTCTCCTTCTGATTTACCTTGTCACTAGGAAAATTCCCATCCATCAACGCAGCCTCTAACCAACTTTTCGCTCTCACCTGACTAACCACAAGTTTACGCAAAGGATCGGAAAGTTTATCGAGTTCGCTGCGAGCAGCTGCACCACCGATGTTGTACATGAGGGCTTGGGAGAGGAGGGGACCGAGATGTTGCAGTGCGTTGGTGATGGCTTGTTGGACGTGAGGGTCAGGGTTGTTGATGGGGAGGGAGACGAATGAGGACTTAAAGCTGGTTAGTTTTTGGATTCTTGTGTTTGTAGGGGTTGGGGATGGTGGCGTGTTTCTTACCCAGAATTCGGCGGCGCTTTGTTTGGGAAGTGGATCGCGGCCTGTGAGGGCTTTGAGGGTGAACATGAAAATGTGTTCAAGGGAGGATTTGGGTTCGTGGTTTAGGAGGATGTTGAGATTCTTTGGGGTAGAGATTAGACGATGGAGAAATTCGATACTTGGTTGGGAAATTTCCGGATCATTGCTGGGCTCTATAGTTTGTTAACGTTAGCTCTTTTCTTCTCTTCTATTTTGCTAGATTGTAATCTCTGGATTCGAGTATGAGGACCTACCGTGATTAATAGCTTCCATCAGTCCCGAGATCCATGTCAATAAGGCACTGAGTACTTCATCACCACGCCTCCCTGATGCTGTGTTACAAGAGTTGACAAGTGAGCAGGCCGTATTGATGACTGTGATAACACGAGGTGTTTGATAATTGGATCTAAAAATGAATCTATGCAACGTTGTTAGTACCAAGGCAAACCATAAGAATCTACACAGGCGTAGCTTACTTCGCGACGTCCTCGGGAGGGAAAGCAAATGGACCGTCATCTTCCACTAGGCCAGTGCGGAAAACATGAGAGATCTCTTCAATGATTTCGCCGTGGCTAGGGAAAGCTTCATTAGTTGCCGTGAGAATGCTCAACACCTGGATCTGAATTTCTCTGCCATTACCATTCTTCCAATATGAATAATTATTTCCATCAGTGTTGAGATCAACGGGCGTATCAGCAGGTACTTGAAGACCTTTTCCAATACTCGTTAGACATCGTATTGCAGTGAGTGCAATTTCATCGGCTGCAACTTGGCTATCAGGTACAGGTATATTTGAAGCCACGTTTGTGAACTGTGAGCTCAACAAATGAAGGCTTCGTTCATGGTCCCTCCGGACAAAATCCAATAATTGGCTGAGAGGATCTAGCTTCAACTCATCATTTGGCATCGCTTCGATGATCGATGCTATCGCGCCGATGACACCTTCTTTTGCGTAACTTTCCATTGAATCTTCTCGAGTTATTTCGCTGTATTGCTGTAGGAACGCAGCAAGTTCAGGAACAAGTACTTTCCGACAAGATGAACAGAGCATGGCAATGGACTTCGATGTTACTCTGGCCAACGTTGGTGAATGTAGCATGCTAAACATAAGATTAAGGGCGCTTGGAAGATGCTGTACATGGCGTTCGAAGTAGTCCGGATAACCGTTGATGACCATCAGAAATGCCTGCCTTGTACGTGAAGGAACATTCGAGTCGGACTTTGTGAGCATAGAGAATAACGGGGATCCAAAAACTTTATCCAGGTAATCGTCTGACTCCTCCTTGATGTAGTCTTGAAATTCAGCCAAGCAGGTTAATGAAGCTTCAAGTTCGCCCCAAGCATTTCCCTTCTCAGCCGATTTTAGGATAAGGTCGACGAAGGATGAAACAAGTGGCAAACCAAGTAGCATGTAAGATTGCTGTATTAAATCTCCCACGTCTCTTCGAGCATCTTTGAAGCCAGCACGCTCGCTTGAGTCCCATGAGCTGAATATATGTTGTGGCGGAAATTGCATTTTATGCCAGCACTTCTCAATTGCTTGCATCAGCATTGATCGAGCTGCTGGCAGCCAGTCAGGCGAGGCATCAACGTTGTATGACAGGTCAAGTACAGTTTCAAGATAAATAGCCCAAAACTCTACCGCTGGGACAAATATCTTGTCTTCGTTGACAATGTAACCATCGGCACCAAGTAGTCCTACAAGAGCCGAGAGTATCTGCTGACTTCGAGGGTCGGTGGTGATATTTTGGGCTAGATCTTGCACCGTAGCATCGCCGAAGCTTAGCAGAAATTGGCCAAATTGCAATGAGTCAAAGTCAAAATCACCTTGGATCAATCTCGTGTATCTTTCCTGTGCCCAAGAGCTACTAAAGAGATCGTATAACATAGTGAAGTCGTTCTCGGAAAGGAAGGACGAATAGTTGGCAAGGATGTCCGCGAACAGCTCTACAGTGATTTCGTAAAGGTCATCGTCGATAATTAGCATCAATGCGGGCTGAGTGAGAGTTCTCAAAGGATTAAGAACAATGGCGGCATCGAGAAATGCACGATGAGAGTAAAGAACCCATGACTGTTCATGTTAGTGATGATTCCGAAATTGGTCGAACATTGGTTTCTTGGATAGGGAACATGCTTTGGCACGATTGAGGCTTTTTAGTCCTGTCTAAAGATCAAGCTATACAAGTAATTTCAATAATTCATTGATCTTTCAAGACTTTCGGGTATGGTTATGATACAGCCTTGGGACGCTTCAGCATATCTTAGCCTTACAATATATGAAATGTGTAGTCATAATGTCCGTCTCATGGTAATGAATAGCAATGCATAGGAACTTGAGACTGACCTGAAAACATTTCATTGATTCCTGGCGAATTTTATTGTTGAGAGGAGCTCCTGTCGTATTTACAATGCCCTTCGTCATGATGGTGACAATATCGTCAACATTCTGGACCACATGCTCGTGGAATTTATGTCTAAGGAATGTTAGTGATTAATCACGCTGTTTAAAAAGTGGTATGCATACTGCTTCATTGAATTTGAATCCGTCTTTCCCACTTCTTCTACTAAGGTCGCGGAGAACCATATTATTGCCATATTTTTGTCATCTGATAGACTCTGGACAAGGGCGTCCATAGTAGGAGCATCTTCGAGTTTATGGTAAGGAACAGCCTCGCCAAGGCATAGGCAATATGTAAGATGATAAATACAACGAGCCCAAGAGCCAGAGAAATGAAGAAAGTAAGTGACTAATGTTGTGCACAGTTTCCTGATCACAAGTGGTCCACAGCCAGAATTTAGGCACTTGATAAGCCATCCGATGATCTTTTGTAGCACAACTTGTGCATCCTCATCTTTTAGAGATTGCCTAAAGCACAGACATTAGAAGAAATGGTAAAAGAGAAACAGGAATCAGCCTACGAATCCGTGTTAAGCTTGATGGTGAAGGTTAATGCTCCAATGAATTTAACATTTTCCGAGCTTCTTCCTAATAAGCCATCCGCTAAATCCCAACCAGCAGGAGAACGCTGTAGCTTTTGGAGAGTTTCGTTAACCTTTAAAACTCTCTCAGGAGGACCAGGCTTGTACAATTGATAGATGAGCTATAGATACGTTAGTAGATGTTGTAATTTGGGGATCAAACAAAATAAGAGTGTGTTTGCCGGGTAGAGAATATCTTGACTTCTCTCGTTTCTCTCGTGACCTCGGATTTGCAGTGAAAATTTGTTGAACCAATAGTCACCATTCGCAACCAACCAAAGTACTATAAATGCGTAGAACGAGTGAAACTTACAGCTTCTACCTCATCAAGTGACGAAGGTAATATCTCGGTCTCCATATCTTTTTTCCAAAGGTATCCTTTGTGTAGCAGTCAAGCAAACCAGAAGCAAAACGGGATCTAAAGAAACACAGGTTAGGAGGATGATTGATTTTGATACATGGCCGGAGCCAAACTATCGAACTTATAGATTCTGGAGATCTTCCTGCAGAATTTTGGAATTTATGATGTGGTAGGGGAGGAAATAAATGTTAGAAATGGATTTGTTGATGGCCGGTGAATCTTTGGTCCAGCCTTCTCGACCACACCTACTAGAAAGGAAGCCTTACAAGCCTCGTAAAGTGGACAAATCGATCAATCAATCAATCAATCAATCAAACAAATCCTTTTAAATAGAAACAAATCTATGTTGGCTGTTTGTTCCTTATGATTTCCCATTTCTTGATTGATAGAGTAAAAAAAGGAAATTTCATGAATTATCTAGGTACAGCTCGATGGTTGATTATTTTTGATCTTTTATTCTTAGAATATTGTAGCAATTGCGAACAAGCATTTATCTTTTTATCTGGATGAGATAATTCCTGTAGAAACTTGGTCATGTCAACCCCGCTGGCCAATGCTGTGATAATATTGTAGTAGCCTCGCCGATTAATCCAGCACTATGCCTCTATCCAAACATCAACACTAGCTCCATAAGGGAATTTGAACAGCCCAAGATAACATAGGAAGGTCATGAATTAGCCTGGCTGTCCAATAATCAAATTATAAGAGAATCTCACCTCTCCCTAGGTGCTTTACTTTATTTTGCCTTACTTTCTTTACCTGATGCCGATCGATCTATATTCGTACCGGTCACTTCTTTCAAGTTACACCGAGCCTTGCTGTTATCTGCCCCATCTTCCTTAACCACTCATTCTGTTTCACTACCTACCTCCTTGGGAAACCGATGCGATACTTTCGTCCTTTAAATACTTGCTTACGTGGAATTCGTTCTTGTACCTCTTTTCAACCCTTCGCACAAACTCTCAACATTCGCATTCGATATTCATCTACTTTCGCCAGTACGTGCATTGCAAATCCAAGTAGCGCTCTTCTATGTTGTCGCTTGGGGCTAACGAGGTCTTAGAAACAGATATGGAGACTATCAATACTACGGAGCGCTTGGCGGCGTTGAGGGATCTTATGAAGAAGAACAAGGTCGATGTTTACAGTATGTAAGTCACCTAGTGACCATAGCGACCACTCTTCTACGAATGAACCTTGCCTAACCGTTATATAGTCGTTCCTTCAGAAGATAGCCATAGCTCGGAATATATCGCAGCGTGTGATGCGCGGAGGGAATTTATATCGGGGTTTTCAGGATCCGCTGGATGCGCCGTAGTGACCTTGGACAAAGCTGCTTTGGCCACGGATGGTAGGCTATGATAATCCGTCCGCGTAAAGACCCTACTGAATATTCTGTAGGTCGATATTTCAACCAAGCCTCGCGCCAGCTTGACAGTAAGTAATTTGGTAACATTGCTCAACTATAACCCACGGAGACTGGGAAACTAATCGTGGCATTTAGGCAATTGGCTTCTTTTGAAACAAGGTCTACAGGATGTACCTACATGGCAAGAGTGGGCAGCTGAACAGTCCGAGAGCGGGAAAGTCGTTGGTGTTGACCCCACTATCATATCTGCACCTGACGCTCGAAAGCTCTTAGAAAAGGTCAAAAAGCGTGGCGGGTAAGCTTGAGAAATTCATTTACCTCCATCTATATATGAGCGATGCTGACTTAATCGTTTTAGAAGCGACTTAGTTGCCGTGGAAGAAAATCTGGTGGACCTTGTTTGGGGAGACAATCGACCTTCCCGCCCGAAGGAGTCTGTTAAGGTTCTGGCGCGTGGATTTTCCGGGAAAGATGTCAAGACGAAGCTAGAGGATCTCCGAAAGGAGTTGCAGAAGAAAAAGAGTGCGGGTTTTATTGTATCCATGCTAGACGAGATAGCCTGGCTATTTAATCTACGTGGAAGTGATATTCCTTACAACCCCGTTTTCTTTTCCTACGCTTCAGTCACACCGTCATCCGCCACTCTTTATGTGGATTCAAGCAAGTTAAGCGAAGAATGCACAGCACATCTCAATGATAACGGTGTGTCCATCAGAGACTATTCGAAGATATTTAGAGACGTCGAGGTCTTGAGCCAATCTTTGGACTCAGAAGACGCCAAGCTTAAGAAGTTCTTGGTATCAAGTAGGGCATCATGGGCATTGAAACGCGCTCTTGGCGGTGACTCTAAAGTCGATGAAGTCCGAAGTCCAATCGGTGATGCTAAATCTATCAAAAATGAGACCGAATTAGAAGGAATGAGAGCTTGCCATATTAGAGATGGAGCAGCACTTATCGAGTATTTCGCATGGCTTGAGCATCAGCTGGTAGTGGGAAAAGTAGAGATGGATGAAGTTACTGCGGCTGACAAACTTGAGCAACTGCGGTCAAAACAGAAGCATTTTGTTGGATTATCATTTGACACAATATCCTCTACAGGAGCCAATGCAGCAGTCATTCATTACAAACCCGAACCCGGTAACTGCTCAATCATTGATCCGAAGGCTGTATATCTATGCGATTCCGGGGCTCAGTACTTTGATGGAACTACTGACACTACTCGCACACTTCATTTCGGTGAGCCAACAGAAATGGAAAAGAAGGCCTATACGCTAGTTCTAAAAGGAAACATTGCTCTAGACGTCGCAGTTTTTCCTAAAGGAACTAGTGGATTTGCTCTCGACGCACTCGCTAGGCAGTTCCTCTGGGTAAGTCGTCCAAATATTTGACATGGTTATTATCGTACTAACAATCGAATAGGAAGAAGGTTTGGACTACAGGCATGGAACAGGCCACGGAGTCGGTTCTTATTTGAACGTCCACGAAGGGCCAATAGGAATTGGAACTAGGATTCAATACTCAGAGGTCCCGTTAGCACCTGGAAACGTCATATCGAACGAACCTGGATACTACGAGGATGGCTCTTTTGGTATTCGGATTGAGAACATTATCATGGTGAAAGAGGTCGAGACGAAACATCAATTTGGCGATAAGCCATATTTGGGCTTTGAGCATGTCACAATGGTGCCATATTGCCGAAAACTCATAGATGAGTCTCTTCTGACCCGAAGAGAAAAGCACTGGTTGAACGAGTATCATGCCGACATCTATTCTAAAACTAAGGATTTCTTCAAGGGAGATGAATTGACCATGAGTTGGCTAGAGCGGGAGATTGAGCCGTTGTAAATGTGCATGGAGGGGTATATTGCCAGTGGGCAAACGAAAGGGGGCATGAGACATCCCCTGACAACATAGCAGACATATTTACTTTACAGCGTATTTGATAGTGCAGAAGGTTTCACTGTTGTACTTGCATCAAATGAAGAAACTCCACTATATTGAATTTGTGGAAAGCTTTGTATCGTGAAAATAGCGTTAAAAACATCCCACTTCCCAAACTACCGTGGGTCACGATTCGTGGCCAAAGTTCATGCACAATCATGGAGAAAGTTTTGATGAGTTGCAAGGATCACGTGCATATAACATCCCTGGAACCAATAAAGGCCAGCTGATGGATCACTTCAAGGTCTAGCTTTAACAGTGACTTTGCCCAGGCTTGAGGAAACGAACAGCAAGAAGAAACAAGGAATCAAAGAAAATTAATTATGCTTTTCTCTGTTGGATTCCGCTCACCGCAAAATTAAGTCCACAAAATTTCATGATTGTGCATTGTCCCAAATTTGCAGTTGCATCACATCCGGGTACACCTTGGCACATTGTCGAAATAACTCACTCGCTCGCTCCTCCCAAACATCCCTCCTTCAACTCAGAACACTATGAGGCCGAGTCAGAATGGTCTTCGCAGGTCATCGAGGTATGGTGGCAGCAACTGCGCTTTTATTTCTTTGCAACCTACCTAGCAGGATAATTGCGAGCAGTGTGACAACCGCCACCAGCGTAAATTCAATAATAAGTGTCCCAAATACTACTGGAACATGCGAGTTCAGGACCATCAACTATATAACAGATATTCTACCTCAGCAATGCCTCCGCTCTTCTTGGAGTGGCACAGAATCTCCACTTACAACAGTGGCCAGAGCTACCGATGCGGTCGGAGCCTCCGAAAGCCAGGGCAATGATGGCCTGACGGACACACCTTCTTTCAGCGAGTACGTTGCCCAAACGAATGACGGAGGAGCCGCAAGGGAAACCAGCCGTACCTCCGAGCCCCGACAGTCCACATCATCAAGCCCATCTCCAAATATACCGACTCCCGCTGCATCTTCAAATACCGTCGACGAAGGAGAGCTTAATCATGCCTCATTCTTGTCTTTCGAGGAGTGGAAAAAACAAATATTAGAGCAGGCTGGGCAGCAAGATTTGAATCTTGGAAAGAGAAGGTCCGCGGAAGCGGCTAGGAAAAGGGAGTCGGAAGCTTTCCAAAATAATCTTGAGTCCCTGGGCGAGGATGGGGAAATCGATTTGGATTTTCGTGCTTTCAGGAGCGGAGCGGCAGAACAAACTTCAAGGATGACTGAAGACAACCATGCGGATTCTTCTAAAGGTTCACGAAAGGAGAAAAGCGATTCTGGACATCGGAGGGATCAACACAGAAGCAAGGATGCTGGCAAGACCTGCAAGGAGCGTTTTTCATATGCATCCTTTGATGCCGGTGCCACTGTTCTGAAAACCCATCAAGGTGCAAAAAACTCGAAAGCTGTGTTGATAGAGAACAAGGACTCCTATATGCTCTCGGAATGCAAGACACCGAATAAGTTTTTGATAATTGAGCTTTCGGTACGATTTTTAGAAAGCTGCAGTGGAGTTCACATTGCTAACAAATAATTAGGAGGACATTTGGATTGACACTCTAGTTCTAGCAAATTACGAATTTTTCTCCAGCATGCTAAGGACCTTCCGTGTTAGTGTCAGCGATCGTTGGCCTGTGAAGACGGACAAGTGGAAAGATTTAGGTATCTATGAAGCTCGAAACTCGAGAGAAATACAAGCTTTTTTGATAGAGAATCCACAAATCTGGGCAAGGTATATACGCATCGAATTTTTGACACACTACGGAAAGGAGTACTATTGCCCACTTTCACTCGTGAGGGTTCATGGCACTCGCATGCTTGAAAGCTGGAAGGATACTGAAGCTAACAATGACGAGGATGAGGAGGCAGATGAGGACCCCGAGGACGGATTTGTTCCAGAAGCTGTGGCAGACGCCATTCAGGTAACATCAACTGAAGTACAGACAGTGCATGTAACAGCCAGTGGCCAAAAAGAGACCACGGGATCATATGTACCTCGAGACGTTCAGAAAGATGAGACGCCATTGGAGACATATTCCAAACCACCGCCAACGCCAACCTCTCCTTGGAAGAAGTCTGTTGTCGGGCAATCTGAGAAACTTATTGGTCAAGCTAGGGGCTTGTGCTTCCCTTCAGATGCCCCAGAACATATTCTCACAAGTCAAGCTGCTGTTGAAAATGAGTCAACTGATTTCAAAACGACCATGCAAGTTCCACCATCACCTGAAATGATTTCTACAGCCTTTACAGATAACTGGATCACGTCCTCATCGTCAGCTTTTACCGGACCCTCGGCACAGCAGACGTTGTCCGAAGATAGGTCATCCTTAGCAAGCACTTCACTCACCAAGGAAACCCATGAATCTTCTAGGATCGCCCATGGCAGCTTACATTCAACAACTCCGACAAGTTACACAACTACTAGCATTCATAAGCTCCAAGATGCTACAAGTACAAATAAAACCCGTAGTACAAACACTGCTTCTGCCTCTGCCTCTCTCCCCACCATCCAAGAGAGTTTCTTCAAAGCTGTGTCGAGGCGTTTGCAGCTGTTGGAAACAAATTCAACCTTATCATTGAAGTATATTGAAGAGCAATCGAAGATGCTGCGAGAAGCTTTTTTGAAAGTTGAAAAGAGGCAACTCCAGAAGACAACTGGTTTTCTCGAAAATCTGAATAGTACAGTTCTTACGGAACTTCGCGTGTTTCGTCAACAATATGACGAAATTTGGCAGTCTACTGTCATATCGCTTGAAAGTCAGCGAGAAGAATCTCGTCGAGAAATCTTGGCTATCAGTGCTCGTCTTAACATCCTCGCAGATGAAGTTGTCTTCCAAAAGCGCATGTCTATCATCCAATCCATACTACTTCTTCTATGTCTTGGCCTAGTAATTTTCTCCCGTGTCTCCAGCGCGGAGCCTCTCAGTTTTTCTCTTCATAATCGACGCTTGCGCCGCAGCGCCAATAGTATGGGAAGTCCAAATGATACTCCTGGCTATACATCTCGGGATCGCGAAGATTATATCGGCGGCGCTAACTTTCCTGTAAACACCTGGAACAATCAGCATCGACGTCAACCCTCGGATGAATCTGTCAACTCGCGCTCACGGTCAAGAGGTTGGGGTCCTCCAACACCTATATCAACATATTCTCGTTCTGATAACGAACTCACTCCTCCACGGTCCTTCGACGACGCCACCGCAAACACCATAACTGCAGCTTCAACTGGTACATTTTCTCGCCTTCGTAGAAGCATCTCTATGAGGTACCAATATTCCAACCCTTTATTATCTGCATCGAAAGAACAGGAACTCCTTCGCACCTCATCATTCGGTCCTTCCCTTAGATCGCAGAATTCATCACCTGCTTCTTTCTTGTCTGTTGCAGATGCGAAGGAAAGAGGTAGTAAAGAAAGAATTACTAGTGGTTTGGCTAGTCCCCCGCCGAGTGATAACGACAGTCACGATCCTATGGATGATGTGAATTCTGCACCCACAGGCGTTCAGCACGAGACATTGGAGGAACGAAGTGTCAATGACACCGGGGGATCTCAGGCCCCTCAAATGCTTACTCAAGAGGAACCTGATATTGAGCGAAAACCTTTACCTGCCTTGCCTGTTGGAAATCCTAGCCCATAGGATGATATGTTTTTATTTTGGTCTTTGGGTTATTATTATTTTACTTTAGCGAGGAGTCTGGTTTGGGAATCCAGGAGTCATTTGGTCTTGGCGTATACCATGATTGCTGTCGTTTCAGCTATCATATTGACAGTGAAATATATATTTATTTTATGATCGCAACAACTGCTAGACTTTTTTGGTTTAAAGGGTCGTAAATACTTAAAATATTTTGGATATTTTAGATCCATTTTTGATGTTCGAAATCGTTTGAATCTATTTCTATGCTCCAATTAAATTCACAAGTTGAAATAATTTCGTTGTTAGACTGCACTCCGGACTGTTGGACCCCTATGAAGTTCCTCCATATGATTCGCAGCGAAGGCCGCTTTTGATTGTTGTAGTTACGAACTATTAGACAGGTGTGAGAATATTGTGCGGGCGTCTGCAATCTTTCTCATTGAGGCCGGTCATTGAATAGCATGCTTCAGGTCACGCCGTAGATAGTCATACTATTGGTGCCGCTTAGGATGTTTCTTCTCCACGTTCCTTGAATGAATGAGTAGAGGAGATAGTTTCTACCATCATGTCTAAGTTAGTTTTCTGTTCATAGAATAGTAAAGGTAAGTTGTAATAATAGCGATTTTGAGTTCTGGTTTATGGGAAATTTGTGGGTTGGTTGTTTTCAGAAATGAGATCTAGGGAGGGGTGGAGTGTAGTGAACTTGGTAAGTTTGGTAAGCTTGAATGGTTCTGGGTGTGAGATTGAGATTGAGATTAAGATGAGACGAGGAGTCACTGTTATTATTGTTATACGACCTGAGATTAATTTGTACACGTCATTGTTGCCAACCGTATCAGAAGATACCTCGACCCGGATATATTCGCTACAGTTAGATATAGATCTAGCAGTTATATATTTTCTGCTACTCCGGACCCTTTCGGATATTTAAGGGGCACTAATCCATTATAGCCCAAATCGTAATTAGTACATATTAGACGTAAATGAAAAACATTTCTTTCTTCGCGATTATCGTTTGTGACATCTTGAATATCTTTAAATAGAATTATAGTAATACAAATTTATTGTAATTAGCTCAAGAATTTCTTGATTTTTGATTTCTGCGATTTTGAATTTTGAGAGTTTTGACTGAGTGGCTGTTTAAAGAAAGTACATTTGTAAGGTTTGAATTTTGTCTTCGAAGTTTGGAAATGAAGTTCAAATTCAAATGATATTCCGTCTGATAATTAGAACTAGAATATACAGATCTAATAGTACTCATCATGCTTTTTCACTTTGTAATTATCCTATATCCTGTCCTCTTCAAAACACTCCGAACATTTAGGAACAACCTGTCTAACAATATATAGGTTTATAGAGTAGTCATATTAGATAAACAATTATTTATAACGCCGGAATGAACGAGCATAATATGATACTATTGTTATTCATCTGACCCTCCTAAATCTATTTCATTTTTGTAATCTTGCTTTCCATCAAATATTTGATACATACGCATCTAATGATTAATACAATTTTGATACAATCTAATCAGACAGCATATTCTCTAGCAGACGACAGATAACAGACATGTCTTCCATTAGCAGCCAGTTGCTCAATTCTCCAGACAACTATCTCTCCTGTTTCATGCATCTTTCAATGTTGAATGGGTCCTCGTCCTATATATAACTACATCCAATTCCCCAATAATTAGGTAGTTGTGCAGGAAATATTTCATTCTGTAGTATCTTCCTAGATACCTACGTAAAGCACCATACTAATAATACATAAATAATTACACATCAAGAAATTTTCACCAAAAACCCTCTCGTTGACGCCATGTTTGCCCTGAAGTGCAAAAGGACATTTTTGCCGATGCTGAAATTCCAGAATTCATGGATATCCCCTTCCAAACGCCATTCATAGCTAGGTATCCTTGCTCACCCGTCCAAACGTCTTAATTGCACAAATTTATACCCCACGTAAACAGCATACAGGCCACGTCCTATTCATCTTCGCCGTCGGCGTCCACATCCTCACCAGCGCCCCGAACCGAACTCGCATCGAAGTCTGGATCTGCGTCGGCATATGCATCTGCATCTGCATCCGCATTGCCATCCTGATAAGCTTCTACTTCGTCAACTGGCGCGTCAGTCATTTCCTGATTTCCTTCGGCATCTACGAGAGGACTTTTGCCTTTTCCTGTAGCAGGTCCCTTGCCTTTGCCTTTCCCCAGGATAATAGGCTTCCCTAGTCCGGCGCCCTTGCGTGACGAGTCTCTATCTCTTCTCGATCTCGGCGCAGGAGTATCGTAGATTGCTGATTCATCCTGGTCACTTTTCATATCATCATTTTCTTCCTCTTGACCGAGTAGTACCTCATTCCCTAACTTGCTTCGCTGTTTTAACAATCTAGGGGGTAAGCCCGGACCACTCTCGGCATTCCCAAAATCGCTTTTCTTAGTCCCCTTTGGCCATCTACCAGGTCCGCGACCCGTGCCCCCGCTTTTCCTACGTGCTGCAGCCCGTGGCTTTGATGCAGACGCAGATGTAGTGGAGGCACGACGAATGGGTACTCCGCTTCCCCGTCGAGGTTTAGGCCGAGCAGATGAAGAGACAGAAGGCCTTGCGCGTGGAGAAGGTCTCGCTAAAGCAGGGCGTGAGATAGTTCGGCTTCGAGCACCAGGTAAGGGGGGAAAAACTACAAATCGTACAGGAGGAATTGAAGAAGCAAGGTCGTAGTATGACTTTTTGGTAGTGCCATTGAGCCTCTGCGACACGGTTGACTTCCCGACACTGCCTTCTGAACTTGCAACTCCAACACCGTCACCAGCCTCAGTAGTCATCTTGCCTAACGATGCTGTCATCTCTTCTGTGTCACCATTCGTAAGACCATTCAATGCAGCGCCCTGGACACTCGCATTGGATATACCTTCAACGCTGGGTACCTCATCTTCATCCTCCTCTCGCGGTGCGACGGTGTTCAGCGGCGGTGCATGATCGTAAGCAGAAGCATTCCCTCTACCCATAACGAATGGCGTCCAGACTAACCCTTTAGGATTCAATTTGGCATATCCTTTCGCTTCATGCTGACGAATGACCTCCTTGTAGTAATCAGGCTTTAACTTCATAGCATATGTACCGGTCATGGGATCGCGGACGAGAGTGCCCATGGCATCAAGGCCTGAGATAACATCATCAGGCGTCAAACCCATCTCATCGGAAATAGCCTTGATACTCGGGACACGTCCAGAGGGCTCGAATTTTTGTAAGTAATAACATAGAACGAGTCGCCAGTAATTGCGGTAAGAGACCAGACCCATATCGGAAAGCGGTTTCTCAGGAGAGCCAGTCTTCCTCTCAACGCGTGTGAGAAGATACGAGAAGTCGATGAGCAAGTGGCCATATCCCTTCCGTTGATGGATAGGTAGCACGAGGATACATGAGACATTATTGAGACTGCTAGGTCGCTTCTCTTTTGAAAAGTAACCTACAAAATGGCAGCCTAGTTCGTCATATTCTGTCATGACATAGAAGAGGAAAGGTTCAACATCGTAGTACAAAGTTTTTGACCCGAGGAAAAGTTTTGCTAAAAGGCAAAGATTTTGGCAGTAAAGTGGGTTCTTACGTCCATCCACTTCAAAGATCATAATCTTTCCATCTCGATATATTTCGTCACCAGGAGGATGCTTCCATGGACATTTCGTTTTGTGTCTCCAAGCAACAATATCGGACTCCATGTACTTCAAACAGAACTCGCATATGAAAAGTGCTTTATTTCGACTGTATTCTTCCGGATATGGAGCGGCATACCAGATATCGATCTGATATGCGCCGAAATCAATATATTCAATTTGGCTGGCTGGACCAGACACCTTGCGTGCTTTTCTCAGCCCTGCTTTGGCAGCAGCTTCAGCCGCTGCAGCAGCCCTTGCTTTCCAATCCTCTTCTGCCTTTTGACGAGCCTCTTCAAACTGACGTCGATGTTCTGCTCTAGGGAGTGTCAAAGATGTGTCGGCGTCGGCTTCGGAAAGAATGCCACCGTAGGGTTTAGATTTTAGTTCCTCCAATTCTTTATCATGAATGGAAGGGTAGAACGGTTGTGAGTAACTTGAGGGTACAAGGGCGGTGGAAGCAGCTGTGGATCGAGCTTTTGAGACACCACGGCCGCCACGTTTCTTTTTTGGTCTAGGGGGTAGTGAGAGAATATGTCTCAACTCCAAAGGATCAATGCGAAAGCAAATTTTGAGAGTGCCAGGTACTTTCTCGACGATACTGGCAGGCGGGTTTGAAGACGAAGAAGTTTTTTGACGCTGGGATCTTGAGACACGTGGACTTGCAGGCCCGTCCACCCTTCTCTTATTTCTTTTACCGTTAGTCAATGGCAAATTACTATCATTGTCGACTTTAGCTTCATCATGTGCTTCGTCAAGCGACGGTTTGGAATAATCGGAAAGAGTATCCCGATCCCTGGCCCTCTTTCTCAAAACCAACCCCTCATCAGCCTCCACCGAAGAGGTTTTCCTCTTGCGCAACAAACGTGAGCCATCCATGGGATCTTCTGGAGTTATTAGTTGCTCGAAGACCGAATGTGAATCTGACTTGATCGTACCACGTCTTGGCGGTAATAAATCTCCCGGGACTCTGTCCCTTGAAATTCTCCTTTCGGCCGCTTCAACGGGCAGATCTTCATCATTTATTTCTACTTCTCCATCTTCCTCTTCATCTGGGGCTTCAAGCATATCGACGTCTGCACTTGGACTTCCAGGCACAAGACGATTTTTATGACATCCCGGACAATACCAGTTTTCCGCCTCTGGAAGATTGTTAGTTGGGTTGCCGACTCCTGTACGGTGGAACAGGACATACCTTCGTCGGATTTGAGTGCATCCGAATTTCTGGCGCATTGCCGATGCGCTACAGCCTCGTCAGCCTTACCGATCATAAAATACTGGGTCAACATACCATTGTCTCCACACATCTCACATGCCAAATAAAGTTCGAATTCTTCACTCGGATCATCATCTTCATCCTGCTGGCAAAATCTAGAAAGTTATCAGTAAAGTGAAGACTTTAAGTGAAGAAAAAGATGCATACATGCAGCGATTAGGATTTACATGTCCTTCCTCTTCCTCTTCTCCTTCTTCCCCATTAGATTGCCATCGAATTTCCTCCTCGGCATCGCTAGAGTCTTTAGATTCGTCATCTTCCTCTTCAATCTCTGCAGAGCTGTCGCTGTCTGAACCACTCTCTGCATCTTCGTCATCGTCATCCTCTAAGCCAGGCTGTATCTTAACAGCACCAACTCCCTCAGCATCGTCATCATCCTCATCACCTTCACCTAGCTCTAAATTTTCGTCGATGTCTTCCTCCTCTGTATGCTCCATATTTCCTCGCTCGTCGAGCATTCTATCGTCCTCCTCTCCGTCTGCATCTTCGTCTGTTAACATATCTCCTTCACCTTCCAGACCCTCCCTATCATCCTCCATGTCACCGTGATTTCCCATCAACCCATTCTGTAATTGAATATTGGCAGCATATGCATTCGCATCCTCATTAATTATGTCGGGGATCATGTCATCGTCCTCCTCGAAATCAGCATCATCTTCTGAAGTAGCCAAGCTTCGTGAAGGCTCCACATCCATGAGCACCGCTGCTTCTGCCGCTCCCGCCATCTTTCATGTATTGCTTTTCATGCGCGATGTAGATGTGTCGGTTGTCGGAGTGAAAGAAGAATTTTGGGGTTATAGGAGAATAAAGCCCAGGCGGCTGGGTGGATTTTGAAACCGTTGCCTCTGCCTCCTGTTAAATGATCGAGTAGAAAGTGAGATGATATTCGATTTCTATGCACAACTTGATTTATTAGAGCCAAAAAACGTATAATACTAACTAGACCAAGTTAAGTCATGCAGATAAATAATGGATGAATTGTTTGTTTCGTAGGTTTTTGCAGTTCAAAGAAGTGAACGCGATATTTTGAACCAATTCTATCGAAAAACAATTATTTGAACCTCGAATGTATGCGCGTGCCACCTTTGGACGCGTAGATCAAGCTTAATTCGAATTGATAATCATTCCTGGTGGTGTAGTTATTGCTTCCTAGCCCTTAGTACCCCAAAGTTCGTCGTTCGGGGCGCCTGTCGGGTCTTAGTCATCATTCCACTCCTGTTTGGCGCAAACCAACGTCGTCAATCAATTCTGAGGCTTTCAGAAAGCCTTATCAATCAATTGAGAAGCCAAAAACAAATACAAGGTGCGACCTAACCCGCGAAACTATGCTGATATTATCATGCCAATTAAAATTCGATAGATAATTGCGAAATTTTCACGATGGGTGTCCCTTTCGAAGCTCTCCTTCCGTATGGAATCATGCTTGCCGTACGTCTTTCCACCACCCCATTCTACTATAAGAACTATAATACTGAGTACTGCGCAGATGTTCGGTATCACCGGTGCTGGATTGTCTGGAGTGAGAGCTTTGCAGAACGGTGGAAAGAGAGCCAGACATTCTGTAGATGCCTGGGACAGAGTCAGTACTCATATATCTTCGTCTAACATTAATGAAGAGAAGCTAATCTTTCTTGTAGCAAAGTAACCTCTACCCTTACATAATCCTATACTGTCATGTATGGCACTGACTGCGATATAGTGATGGACCGCGATAGGAGGTTGACCGGATTCCTTCGAGGGCAAACCGATAGCCCAAGTGCCCCTCTAGGATTCGAGTTGAACAACCCATGGAGAGTAAGTCTTTCCCGGGCTTTGTATTCCGTTCCCTATGAATATCGCATTGATACTGACATCAACTCAATAGCTTGAGAAAAGAATTATCTAGAGACTATAGGTCCACCATTGTACATATCAAGCAAATCAAGCAAAGCAATAAAATTAACGATATTCATGTTCATGGGGAGTTTAGGATGAGATGCGGTTGAGAGATGGAATCTATTGATCAAAGTATTTCCTGCTACATGTCTGTGATAGTGAAGGCATTAACTTTGAATCGATAGTGACCTCTCCGATCTTCATTTCTCTTAAACAATAGTGTAGTTTGCCATCAAATTCAAGCCAGAATCTATATATGCAGCTTATGGTTTTTGATATTATCAATGCACGCTAGCTAACTAAACAATTCAGTATACAGAGATGAATACAAGAGTATTATAAGCCACGTCATAAAATAAGTTTATAGATTTTGATAATAGTTTTCATTATGTTGGTTGGAAATATAAAATCTATATAATAAGAACTATCAGACGAAAGTTTTATAGTTTTCTAATAAATTCCTATTTAGATTATTCAGATTCTTTTTGATTGAAATTTAATAGAGGTTTATTTTAAATTTATCAAAAATCTTAAAATTTGAAAATCCTAAATCTAAAAGAAACTAGTCGGACGTCTACTCAAGCCTCTCCATGTATTAGAAAAATACATGGAAAACATTTAATGTAAATGAAAATTATTATATGTTACTTATCTCTTCAATCACTATATAACATAATCTTACAACTTCCGGACAACTACTCATGTTACTCCATCCGTATATCACGTTGAGGGAACAGCAATTTACCACGTCCAATCTATGATATCATGAATTCCTTCATTTGCGCTCTCGATGCAGATCTTACCACTTCAATGTTTCAGATTTTTGCTGAATATCTTGTTATCTCATCTACGGCAATATACACGAGCCATATTTCGATCCTTAGCTTCAGGTTGAAGCAAAAACGGATGTGAAAGTTTCCATTTCAATTGATCCTTATTTGAAATGGTTACGTGTGTTTCGACGTAGGTAAGTAAGTGTACGAGAGACCGTACTCCGCTCTTTCTAGAGAAGAATCATATGTCTAGAATCCAAATTCTGCATTCAACGTGCTTGAAACTGGGTTGAGAATCTGGGGTGGAATTCCATGACCTTTCTACTTTATGTACCATCACTTTCTGCTTACGAATCGTCTGATTAATAACCATACGACAAAGGAATGCAATCTATTATACTTCGTAGATATCACTGATTCTGACCGCCAGCGATATGTCTTAAAGTATAACCTATTTATTGTTTAGATATAAATCATATCCGAGAGAGGTACTTAAAGATGTTGATCGTACCTACCTAGTATGTATTTGGAAAATTCGGCGAGGCTAATTATAAGTACCTAGTAAAGATGCTTAATTTAGGCCAAATCTTATTGGCATTTTGTAGATCCCCGCGATTGAAAATAGAAATATTGCTTACAAATTTAATTTCTGAACGAATCGAAACAGTTTCCGAAGGTGCTCCGAACCTTGCATATATAAGCTTATTCTAATCCCTGCTTAGCGTCACCAGATTTTCTAAATCTGGCCCACGTGCCACCAGAAAGGTTGAAACTCCGACACCACATAACCAGGCCATAGGTATCCCTCTCGCAGATTACCATCTTAAGATACGTGCCCCCTTCTAGCTTCGGAGCTGCTGGCCGCACGAGTATGTTAGATGGCGCGAGGTTACGAAAAATCGCACGGTATATTTTATTTTAAGTACGGAAGCTGCAATCCCGGCTTCATAACCTTTCATTCGATACATATGAATGGAGATGGTATCTTGGCTCTTGATGACTTCACAAGACAACGAACACATCGTGGCTCCTCAATTCCGCCGTTTCCGCCACGATGTACTCACAGACCCTTGGCACTATGGATCTAACATTTAAGGTTGATGAAATGTATATGATAACTAGTCATGAAAAGATATGGTTGTTTCCTCTCCTAGTCAGGCTTCTATCCCTATGTGCATACTAGTCGTGCGGTTGAAGAGCATGTCACACTCCACCCTTAGAGAATAGTAGCGACGTATGTAATTAAGCGTGACATACTTTCTGGCTGCATGATTATATTGAAATTTCGCTAATAGATTGGCGACAGAGGCTTGATAGTCCTAGGGCGTCGGACGTTCACTCAAGTATAGTTTCGCCTCTAAGCCCTGCCACATCCCATTATTCAATTATCATTGTACAATAAAAACAGAGGAGGAAGAACAGTGGCATCACTTTCTTGTTTCTTCAACAAACGCCAGTTAGATTCGCACCACTATAAATAGAGACTGACAGTGAAAATGTCAGAATTTCCCTTGTGTTATTTCCTATCTATTGACGTGTTTGAAATGACTTTTGTGGGACACCCCTAACAGTCTGAATGATAACGGGTGATCGACTCTTCCGGGCGTTTTACGTTGTAAGTCTTCCGCCGACAAAAGGATTTCAGCCTGAACTTTATTTCCTAAGTTTCTTCCAGGGTATCCAATAGTCCTGACTGCAGTCTCATGTTGAAAAACTTTTGGATTCCTGAATTTATCTAGGACATTTACATCAGTTAAAATAATGAATTATATTCAAATGTTTACAACTTTTTGATATTATATAATTTAAACATTCAACGAATTTGTGATCATTGAAACCTTATCTAGACTGACTATTGGACACCCTGGGTTTTTGAAAATAAATTTGGAGACGAGGTGGACTCTGTTTGTCATCAGTATGAAGAGCGACGACACTAATCAGATCTCCATGTTTGGGTAGCACACATTCGTAGCAGAATCCTAATACAAGCACCATATGTATTTACTGTTATTTTGGCATTTTTCCCTCAAAATTCAAGCTCCTTCATGCAAGCATGGGACTGAGTTCGTTGTATATTCCGGACCTTTCAATCAACAGAATCGTTGCAGCAGGAAATCTCATACTGTCATTCAACTTTCGCAAATAAAAGACTTTAAATGAGGATCAGAAAAAGAAAATAAATCTGGGCTGTGATAACCCGCTCAGTAGAGGATGCGCAATGCTTGCGGTATGATGAAAATTTTCTCATGAGCATATGCATCCAATAACTTGTGGGTATCAATACCAATGTGGCAACATCGTAATAGTCATCTATCCAAGTCGCATTCCATTCCTACTGTCTCGCCTGAAGTATATTCTGAGTGCATCGATCGATCGGTCTAGTTGTGTGGTGGAGTACGGAGGTTGAATGCCAAAGTAACAGAAGATATCAAAGGTCCACATAGCTTATCGTAGATGAGTAGTTTGTACTGTCCCCAGGCCAATAGCTTCCGTGAGACCTAAAAATAAAACTTTCACAGAAAATCTCATGATAAGGAAGTTCTGGATATATAGCATCTGCATTCAAAAAAGACCACAATCTGTGTCAACTGACGAACACAGTCTTTTCAATCCCACAGCCATTGACGGCGCAAAAGCTGAGCACCGAATTTTTAAAGGTTCCCCAGAGGGATGGGACCTCACTTCCAGAGGTCTCTAATGACGCCCAGCTCATTCTCATCACAAAGATTGAAATAAGAGTGTCGGCGCCACTTCGCTCATTTATAAACATGAGTTTCTTGGCTCTTGACGACTGCATGGTGATGCTGTGAAATACATGTCGGCAATACAACGAAAATATATATACTCTCACTAAAGAGCTTGGCTACATATTATATGCAGTATTCACATGAGTGCAGCGATGTTGATTACGCTGCATACTTTTGATAAGGCGTTTTCAAATCGTAGCGAATATCTTCAAAAATCAATCTCAAGCTTCAGATGAAGTGAGATGTGGATATGTCTGTCCTAAGCACATGCTAGCCGTTTATGGTTAGACTTCTCGACTCGGGCGCTCAGGGGAGACCCACTTATTCATATATGCCGGAATGCTACTGTTGCGTACCTTCGACAATCAACATTATCCATCCAACCAGTCTGTGTTATTGTGCAATCCATGATCCACCGGTAGTCCCTTTAGCTTTCTCAGCCATTTACCGGATCTTTCCGGGTCCATGCTTTCTACTTGGCAAACTCTTGGAACTGAACGCCCAACATGTGTAGTTTGAGGCTATTCGGATGTCGGGGGATATTTCGATCGCCTTGTCCGTGTTTGTCGATCTCCTCCTATACGATTCTTCTCCTCTTAGGAAAAAGTCCCATTGACGAATCATGTATATACTTTCAGTGCCAAGAGTAGCTGCGCATTTTCACTGCTTCAGTTGTTTTCGCTGTGTCTTTCGCGGTTCATTCATTGCATCATTTTGTACGTGATGCATGAATGTTGAAACCCCTTTTCTGGTCGTCTAGCTCACCACTCATTTGGCTCTTATGAAGCAAGAAGAAGTCCTTCAGGCTCCAGCCAATTAACTCTCTGCTGTTCTTTCTTCTTGAGTGGCATATTACTGCTAGGGGCTTCACGGGCGAGCGCTGAAGGCCGTCATAAATTGTCTTGCTCCAAGTTATATTTAATAATTTCGCGATTTGTCTTGCTCGAGGGCCGTGTTTTTTTCTGCCAAGATCTGTGCCTGCTCTTTTGTGTCCATAATTGCCAGATAAGGAAGAATGGTTATGCCTTGCAGGGGATTTCTTTCTATGTGATTTTCTCGAACCCCGTTTAGCGTGTTTGGTGAACCACTCTTTCAACCCTGGGTACACTATATTAAACATTTATCTTATCTGGATTATCAGATGCTACAATCTTAACTATCAAACAAGACCACAACAGGAGATGGATCTACAGTTGGTGCAAGGTTTTTGGTTTATCCTTGTCTTTTTGTATTTTCGTCTGCTCCAGCCAAGCCTTCCAGCATGGCTCATCAGTGCTTCATCACAATATTCGGATCCTCAAGTCTGCTCCGTCAAGTGGGTTGCGGGTCCGTATTTTCGCATGCTTGAAGTGATAGATGACTTTGCGCCGTTGCCATCCATCATTTAGGTGATCCACAGCTCTCCTGGAGGTGACTATAAACATGGAGACAGATTCTCTCCCCAGATTTATTCAACTCACTGTCTTTCATTCAATTCATTTACTTCTTCCATAACAGCCCAGATCTCGAAAATGGAATCAGTTGGCTCCAGCCCAGTTGTCAATGGCAAACCAACATTGCTTCTCAATCAAGCACACGGAGCTACAGACCAGCCACAACCTTTGAGCCCACAAGAACAAGCTTCAAATCCTTCGGTTCAACAAGGACCCGAAGCCATGGAAGCACCCCTCAGCAGCCGACCCAATGGTATTTTCATCATAGAGCCCAACCACCCAAGATACCTAGAGCCCTCTGAAGACGACGTAGAGAGATCTACCGAGTTCTTCGACAACAAGGAACAGCAAGATAGTGCTGTTACATCTTCCGCAAACAGTTTATATGTTGTGAAGAGAGAGTCAGAAGAGCCTCCTTACCACATCTTCTCTATGGCACAGAAAAGACAGCTTGTATATTTAGTATCCTTTGCAGGTTTGTTCTCGCCACTATCAAGTAACATTTATTTTCCATCTCTAAAGGAGATTTCTACCGTATGTACATTACTCGACCCCATAAACTAAAGCCATCTCAGTCTAATGCCCTTCTAGGACCTTCACGTTTCTCTTTCACTTGTCAGTCTTACTGTAACAGTCTATATGATTGTTCAAGGACTTGCTCCATCATTCTGGGGACCGATTAGTGACACAAAAGGTTAGTTCTCTCTTATTTAGTATGACGTGACACATAAGCTAACCTCCTGCCGCAACAGGAAGAAGAATCACGTTCATGGGTACATTTATTGTATATCTTGCTTCGAATATTGGACTTGCTTTAAGTAAAAACTTCACGACCCTTATGGTCTTGCGCGCAATCCAAGCTGCCGGTAGTGCTGCCACTATTGCTGTCGGTTAGTAATCCATATGAGTTGATGATGTATTTTGACTAACCTCATATGACTAGGCGCCGGCGCAATTGCAGATTGCACCACACCCAAAGAGAGAGGAGGTCTAATTGGTGTATTTGGAGGTATCCGTATGCTTGGACAGTCTGTTGGTCCTGTCCTTGGAGGTATCATAACTCAATATCTCGGCTTCCGCGCAATTTTCTGGTTCCTTCTTGGCTTGGGATCGCTAGCTCTTCTCCTAATCATTGCATTTCTTCCCGAAACCCTTCGAAGTGTGGCAGGAAACGGTTCCGTTGTTCTCAAAGGTGTTCACCGACCACTGTTCTACGTACCACCACCATCTACGGCACAATCAGACGAGGAGCTTCCCCCAAAGAAAAATATTACATTTTCCTCAGTCTTCGCCCCTTTCAAGTTTCTCCTCGAAAAGGATGTCTTCATTACCCTCTTTTTCGGTGCAGTTGTCTACACTGTCTGGTCTATGGTAACATCCAGTACCACTGCCCTATTCTCAGAGCACTTCACTCTCTCCAATCTGGAACTCGGCTTGATCTTCTTGCCAAATGGCTTCGGCTGCATCACCGGTTCCTATCTCACAGGCATGCTGATGGACTACGACTACAAAGTTGTTGAATCCCGTTATCGCAAACAACACAATATTCCTGCAGATGTCACTATCAAGGCTAATGAGCTTCTGGATTTCCCTATTGAAGTCGCAAGAATGAGGAACATCTGGTGGATAGTCCTCGTTTTCATCGTAGCCACAGCTCTTTACGGCTACTCGTTGAAGCTCGAGATCATGGCTCTGCCACTGATCCTGCAATTCTTCATTGCATACGCAGCTACTGCAGTGTTTTCTCTCAACAGCGCATTGATCATTGATCTCTACCCAGGCAAATCCGCAAGCGCTACGGCAGTGAACAATCTCATTAGATGCTTATTGGGAGCAGCTGGTGTGGCCGTTGTGCAGTTGATTATTGATGTGTTGGGATCTGGAGTAACATTTTTGATCTTTGCTGGAGCAACCTTTGCATTGACTCCATTATTAATGGTAGAGTGGTACCACGGAGGAAGATGGAAGATGGAAAGAGCTGAAAAGCTGCAGAAAAAGAAGGAGGCCAAGCAAGCCAGAGACTTGGAAAGAGCGGGCTAAATGCGACGCTTTTAACGATTCACGATTTGACACGATTTCATTATTTAAAAAGTTAGAATACCTCTTAAAAGTAAATTGAATATTTTTTTATGACCTGGCTTGAGTATCTCAAATGACTTGAATTTTAGAAATGGCTTGAATATACCAAATGGACTCAGGAATCAGTACCCCTCACTCTCCGACACCAGCTCGGCAAATAAAGTATAGAATGCACAAGAATGCTTACATATCATATCTTAAGGTCAAATGCACCTGGGTATAAACAAACATCCATACCACTCTTCTTTTTTTTGTTAGATATCAAACAAACATGTTCAAGACCGTGTTACAAATTAAAAAGTTAACAATGACAACGAAATTTTATAAATCTGCTTCTCCGATTTAAAAAGTCAACTATATCCTTCCGAAAATCAGAATCAGCTACTAAATCCGAACGCAAAGAGAACATGTATCGGAAACTAGCTCCAAAAATCTTTCGGATGCACAATTGAAATGATAAATTATGCGAATAGAAGAAGGGAACACCGTAAGATGCACATGGCGAAAAGGTTACACCTTTAATCTTGGGACAGCCACGGCCTCATCATCATTATTAGAGTCTGTAGAGCTTTGCATGCCATGGCTAGAACCGTTACAGGCTACTTTGGTGATGGGAGTCTTGATAAGACATGCTGCTCGTCGAACAGCTCAAGTCAATGGGAATGCCCGGGCCAGGAGAAGGTAGATGATCGAGTACTATTCTGAACTTTACATATTAGATTAGCTGAGCTAGATTTTTCATTCTAATTCTTTATCTTGAATTTTTCTTCAGCAGCCTAAGTAGTCTAGTCAAATCACAGATTAACTGTTTGGCTCGCCGTTCGGACCGAAGAATGCAACATTATTGGACACCCAAAGATGGCAATAGGAGATCGAATCAATCGTTTTTCATAAGAGTACAGCGATGGTAAACCTCTGCTCCAACATTAACAAGTATATTCAACGGGGAATGCATTGCGGTGGAGGGGTAGAGGTTACAAGTTCCAAAGCAGCAGCAGTCTTATTCCTAGATGGACTTTAAGCTTGGTCTTAATAATAAAGGGTGCGAGAGTGGTGGGCTAGATTTGATTGGCGAGAACGAAGAATGCCGATCATATGATTTTAGGGGACTTTGCGACAAGATTGTATGATGTGAATTAAAAAAATGAGGATGGACTGAAGTGATGAAACGTCTCATAATAGGAGAGTTGGCTTGAACAAAATAACGAATAGACATGGAAATCCAAGTGTAGATACATTATGAGGTAGGTATGGATTTGATGACATGCTTGTACTTTAACCAGGCAAGAAAAATATTCCAGTAGAAAGCAGCTATTGAAACATCAAGTACTTGAGCCACTCTTCGGCCATCCAGTATCATCAACAGGTAAAAAGCACCATTGAGATTATTGTAAACTCTAGCATACATTATTATAACTTGATCAGCTCAAGTAGGCAGTAATTTCTGCCCGGTTTGGCTTTCCTAGACCAAACCAGGTGAAGCTCATAACTAGAGAGATGTCCATGAAACTTCATCACTTCTGTGGCTTGGGGCTAAAAGTTCTCACAATCAATGGATAAATTTCCGCCCTCGTTTTCATTTGGCAGGTGTTGTCGACTATGTCCAATTCACAGTATGAACTTAGTTCCGAAAGATAGTAAACATTCCCACTCCTTCGTTCTGCACTCCAGCTTTTGGATTCGAGAGATATGATATTCATCGTTATCGTTTTGATACAATTTTTAATACAGTTGCCAACGCCGTTTTCCCATGCAAGCCTGAGAACTTTTAGTAAAAGGAGGATACCAGCACTCATAACATTCCACACCAACCATTTATGTCATTCCGTCAGAAATTTCCTTCCACTTCCGCAGATATGCTTCTCCACTGAAAGCACCTTTAGGGTCATTTTCGAATCTTCCTCTCGGCGGCAGAATCTTTTTTGTGACAAATGGGGTGAGCTAAACCTTCGTCAGCACTCTCTGAAATATTCAAAATTGATATCTGCGAATTCGTACTTTGCACTCCTTGAGATTTGGCGGCACAACGTATGTTCTGACTTTATCCCATTCGATTATATACCCTCCATGCTGTGTGTGTCGACCCGTTGAACCGGTTCCAGTACCCTTGTAGAACCCCTTATTTGCTTTCTTCGTGCTCAGAGCATGTCGGGTTATCCGTTTCATCAGACATTGTGTGGGCTGCATGGTTGCAATCGATGTTATAGGCGTTTGATATTGGATTTTGCAGACTAGTGATGCTTCTCCAAAATTGTCTTTGGAACGCTAGTGTTGGCCCGGCGGCCGCGTTTATCCGGTGGTGATAAAAAAAAGTTCCCGATAAAATTGTTAAAAGATGATCGGCGATTCTAGCACACAATTGTGACACGAATATTGAAACTGCAAATATGCCTGGAAGACAGTCGCATGGCAGGTCGCTATTGAAGCAGCCCAATACGAGGACAAAGTCTAAGAAGAAGTCGGTCGATGCATTTTCTGCTGCGCAGCAACAAATTGGAGAGCGTCACAAAGTCAGACAAAGTCGATTGGGCCATGCTGAAGGTGGGAACAGACCTGGAAAGCGAAATAGGGATGAGGATGATGAAGAAGACGACGAGGATGAAGAGTCTAGTGCGAAGAAACAAAAAAAGGGTCCAAAGAAAGGTCGATTCGATGAGCTAGATATTGACGAGGGAAGCGACAGTGAAGGAAACGCATGGAAAATGGGAGTGGTGGACAGTGATGACGATAGCGATATCGACAGCGATGAAGCGTTTGGAGAGAGTGATGAGGAGAAATTTGAAGGATATGCGTTTTCAGGGAGCTCGAGTACCAAGAGTGCGAAGAAACATATTTCACGGAATAAAGACCTAAACCTGGATGAGGACGATGATGGCGAAAACTCGGGGTCAGAGTTGGAGGAAGGTGACCTAGGAGAGGGTGCGGTTGATCTTGCAGATATGCTGGATGCTTCATCAGACGATGATGACGAAGATGAGGCTGAAGGCTCGAACAAATCTGGTTTCGACGATGAGGATGAAGAAAGCGACGAAGAGTCTTCTGCATCCTCTGCCGACGATGAAGACGAAGACGATTCTACAGATCCATCAAAACTGGCGGCACTGCAAAATCTCATCGCGAACCTTCCGCAAAATGAAGGCAAAGCCCTTGCAAAACAGCGGAGTGATGGGGCAAGCGAATATGCTACTCCCTCGGACTTTGGTCTCACATCGAAGAACAAACTTACATTAGAGGACCTTGGTCTACCTAAAATCAGTGACCCTCAAATCAAAAAGTCTCTAAAGTTTTTAGAAACAGGCGACGGCAAGAAAAAGGTTGCTGGCAAGCTAGAAGTGCCCCTTGCAAGACGTCAACAAGACCGCCTCGATCGCAGCGTAGCCTACGATAAAAGTAAAGAAACCTTGGATAGATGGACGGATACCGTAAAGCATAATCGACGAGCAGATCATTTGGTTTTCCCTCTGGCGGATCCAGATGCAGATTCTGCACGCGCAAACACCCGACTTCAATCAACAATACAGTCTAAACCATTTAATGAGCTTGAAGCAACTATCCAGAGTATTCTTGAGGAGAGTGGACTGGCAACTGCAGGTGGTAGAGATGACGAGGATAAGATTCGAGAATTTGAGGAATTAGAAATGAACAAACTGTCGATGGAGGAAGTGAAAGCTCGTAGAGATCAGTTACGAATGGCGCGAGAGCTCCTTTACCGAGAAGAGCTCAAGGCAAAGCGAGTAAAGAAAATTAAGAGCAAGTCGTACCGCAAAGTCCATCGAAAACAGCGTGAAAAGGAAGAGGCGAAAAATAGAGCAGCTCTCGAGGAGGGAGGTTTCGTTCCCTCTGAAGATGAGCTAGAGGCTCAGGACAGACGGCGTGCAACTGAGAGAATGGGGGCAAAGCACCGAAATAGCAAATGGGCCAAGGCCACAAAAGCTATGGGTCGGGCAGCATGGGATGAAGATGCTAGAGATGGAATCACGGAAATGGCACGAAGAGAGGAAGAGTTACGAAAAAGGGTAGAAGGACGGGCGGTGAGAAAAGAGTTTGAAGATGACTCGGACGAATCAATGGCTGATTCTGATGATCTTCTGAGCGACGATGAAGAAATGGAGCAGAAGCGACTACTTCGACGCCTGGAAAAGGTCGGGAAAGACAATGTTATCGATGACTCCGCACCGGGTGCAAAACTGGCAAATATGAAATTCATGCGTAATGCAGAGGAATCACGCAGAAAGGCAAATGGCGCTATGATAGAGGAAATGCGGAAAGAGCTCGCAGGAGAGGAGAGCGCTAGTGGAGAGGATGAAGACGGTGATATTGGGCGTAGAATATTTGGACCTGGGTCCAAAGCCAAAGATGCTACGCCGAAACCACAGAAGCTTAATGAATTTGAAGAAGCTGCAGACTCAGAGGATGAGGAGGGAAATATGGATGTAGAGTTCACAGGGGTTGATAATGACCCGAGAACAGCTGCGAGCGCACCAAAATCAAAGAAGACTAATGGCGCGACCAAAACTTTTGGAAATCCATCTGCGGAGGAAGCAGAGGTAGCTACTGAAGGTGGAGCGTGGTCGAAGGTACCCCTCAAATCCGGTATGGTCAGCAAGAAGGAGGCAAACAAACGCAGACATAAAAGCAACAACGCCATGGATGTCGAAGAGCTTGATCTCTCACAAGCTGCTATAATGGCCAAGCAGCCCAAATCAAAAAAGGCCAAGTCCAAAACAGCCCAGATTCTCGAGGCTTCTGATGAAGACAGTGAGGATGATGGTGCTATTCACCTCCCATTCGCTATCAAAGATCAAGAGCTTATCAAGCGTGCTTTCGCTGGAGCTGATGTTGTCGGCGATTTTGAAGCCGAGAAAAAACAGACGATTGAGGATGACGATGAAAAAGTCATTGATAATACCATACCTGGTTGGGGAAATTGGGTAGGAGACGGCGTGAGCAAAAGAGAAAAGGCAAAGAATAAGGGAAGATTCCTTACCAAGTCCGAGGGTATCAAGGAGCAAAACAGGAAAGATGCAAAGCTTGACCGCGTGATCATTAATGAGAAACGTGTCAAGAAGGTACGTATCTCACCGCCGTTAGCCATGATTACATTTGCTAATGAAGAATTCAGAATGGCAAATACTATGCTTCACAACTACCTCATCCTTTCGAGAACCGCCAACAATATGAGCGTTCATTACGACTGCCAGTTGGTCCAGAATGGGCCACTAAGGAGACTTTCCAGGACTCGACCAAGCCGAGAGTCATGGTCAAGCAAGGCATTATTGCTCCTATGTCAAAGCCTTTGTTCTAGACTGATGGATGTGGGGTCCAAAATTATCATAATTTTAATAACATGTGCTGTGCTTGCCTGTCAGTCCAAGATCCAGGGTTAAGAAACACCGCACGTTAAGGTACCATGTCCACTAACTTACGTACCTCATAGAAACATGTATCACGAAAAGTTTTACTCGAGCTCAATGAAAGAAATAAAATCGTAGCACGAAGCATGTGCTGTTCTTGCCCAATGGTTTTTGAATCAGGTATTGGACTGATTTGATTTGTGACTTTTCAAAACCCTAATTACATCTTATAGCAAATCCAACTTTTGTATGGGACCCAATCAATAACTACTATTATTTGGAAGAGGCTGGCTATTGGATTCGCTCAATGCATCAAGCTAGTGTTTATGGCTTAGTCGCATCATTGAACTCCTTGACCTTGGTAAATAGTCAGAGTCTTTTGAGAAATCTCAAACCTTACTTCTCTCCCAGACCATTTGCGTATTTGATCAGCTGGTCTCTTTTACTTCTTCATAAAAATAAGGACACCCTTTAGTCTTGCCTCTAGATTGCAAGGCTCCGAAGAGCTTCATTCAAAACACCTCACTTTATCTTTCACCCGACCTGTAGCTAAAGCTCCAAAGAGGAGGTTCAATATGACGATAGGTACGAGAATAAAGTCATGTACGAGCGAATGTGCAAGCAGTAATTAATTCCATCAAAATTGTAAACCTTGCACCTTTTCCATCCCCCCATTAGAGCACAACTGCAAAATATTGCAAAACCCTGCCACTATAACCGGTCCACAGTACACATCTACAAGCTTTTGGAGTTGCATATACGGTCTAGCTCCAGTTTCCATTTCCTGCTTTGCATCGCAATTTTCGGTCGAATAAGCAGTCCCCTTGAGTATTACGGTTCAAACACCGCAATATCCTTCTCCAGTCCCAGAGATCCGATTTCCCATGACAATAGTATGGACGTTCCTACATATACGAGTCGATGTTTTCCGCGTACCTCTTTGGCATGCACTGTCAGGTAAGAGCCATCGATACCGATAGCAATTGTGCAATGCCATGGTGTCCTTAGAAACTCACCGTTACTATGTATCATAAGTAGTATAGACATTTTACGGCTCCTGTGGAAGGGTGTATTGATAAACGCACGAAATGGGAATATCTATCTTATAAGGTTTTGTAAAAGACTAAATTAAAAGTCAATTGGAGGCCAATGAAATGTCCTACTGCTCCGGGGGATGAGCAGGCTCGCCATACTTGTTAGTATTCGGATTCGGGTTTGACTATTTTGGGCGTAGGCGAACTCACTCCTGCTCTAACCATCATCCCGAGAGCTACTTTCTTCACATATTTGCTGTATTATGTACCGCTAATTATTCGCTTGGCTTCCGGATCATATTTACGTTCCTTATAAGCAAAGAGAATCATTCGACACCGCCTGCATTGTTTATCCTTACCTTAGACCATCCTCCAGAAAACGAATGGAACCACAGTAGGTACTTAGGGTGTCACTGTCGGAGTGTTAAATAATTTGACGGTTAATCCAATGGGAGATTATGGTTCATTTGCGGATCCCACTTGATAAAATAGTAAAAGCGAACATCTAAAATACGCCCTTGATTTCGGACTTGCTAATATATCCAACCAACTTTAATTGGCTACATCTCGCTAACTTTTACAAAGGCAAAACCTCTCCATCGTACTAGTTGAGCCCCTTAATATTTTCCCAGCCTGCTACTCGGATGTTCAAGAATTTGCCGTTCGAGTTCCTCCCATGAGTGCCAATCACCTCGATGACAGCCTTTTAGGCAGTCTCCACGTCAAAATCAACCATAAAACCTCCTAGCTCTGTTCGAAGCCATTATAACTGTCTAATCAGCCTGTTCAAGTTTGACCCGGAATATATCTCAAGAGTCACGGAAGGTAGAAAAACATAACCTAAACCGGGACTGACTGCAAGGAACGTAAGTCCTTCTTTGGCATAGGATTGTGCATACCAAACTTTCAGCATTTTCAAGGCTGCCTTCGAAGACTTGTAGGTTGGAACTGCCATGAAGCTGTAAATTTGAGATCCCCCGGTTTATCCACGTCATATTGCGGCACAGAGTACATACAGTCCTGTGTCTTTTATTAGGTGCTATTTACGCGAACTCTTTCGAAAATATACATAGACACAGTCAATAGTACCTAGAAAAATAAAGTGGCAACAACCGCAATGGATACTTGGAGACCAAAAACCAATCTTGTGGCTGTCCTAGAGACCGCTAAAGCTAGAGTTAGTGAGATGGAGCGTCAAGTCCCAAGACCAGGTTTCAAGGAACTTCTAGTTCGGGACCACGCTGTTGCTGCTAATCCTATGGACTAGAAGATCCAAGATTATGACCTCCTTGATAGAAAGTACCCAAATGTTGTGGTTGCTGGTGGGGACGGCGTTACACTCTTCAAAGTCGGCGATCGTGTCAGTGACTTTGCAGCTGTCATATATATCCCAGTTACGATGACATTTGAAGAAGGCTCGGCTTCTCCTATGGCCTCGGTTATAGCTGCCATTGATCTTTTTGTTATTTAAGCCTAGGCCACCAGCAGTCATAAAATATGCAGCTAAATCGCCAATCTTGGTATAAGATTGTTCATCTTTGATGAGCCTTGTAGCTATACAGATTTTCAAAGCACCTGGATTGAAGGGTTTTACTTCGTTTGGCCAAAAAAACTATGCACATTTAAACATCACGACACAAAAGTCAATTAACACAGTGTGATCAAGCTAAAGTCTTCTATGCTATCAGCGAAAATCGTAGCTTCAGGCTTTCTAGTAGCATTTTGATCAAGGGTGGAACAGGCGTACAGCTAGCCATAGTTTTGCACTGGTCCGCCTATGTGCCAAAGCCTAATGGAGTCGATGTATCGACATCGTTAACGGTTACCATAAAATCAGGTCAAGACCAGACGGAGTTAGGAGCAGGAGCGTTGTTTTTTCAACGAGTGGCCCCCTACACCCATACAAGAGGGAGCTGTCGTGGAAATTCCGAAGATTCAACTTGTTGAACGGGGCGTTGGTGCAACTGCAACTCAAGAGGTTTTCGGCACTTTATAAGGCCGGCCGTGGTTAGTGCCACGAAGTTACTGTAGCTTCTTATGATGCCCTCCGATAAATCAAATCAATCTTCAAAGCATGATACTAATATCTTAATTCATTGATGCTAGAGTGAGTGAACGTCAACATATTCTGTCTTCTATATACAGAAAAGTCTCGTGTAGACATGAGATTCACCCGTCATTACAGCAGAATTCTTTTGAAATTCTAACCTTAACCTCATGTCCTCCTCTTGTATTTCCTCGGCCACGCCTTCTGAATTCTGCGAGTATCTGCATCCATATTCTTGTGAATCATCAAGCGGGTATCTTATTCTTATCTCTAAAAATACCTTTTTTTTCTCTTCAAATAAAAGGGCGCTGATGAGTACTGATCACAACACTTCCCATTGCAAAGGTCATGGGGATCGGATCGGTTAGGTAATCATTTCACGAATGACTGAGCCGAGGCGAGAAAGAATATTTTAATCTATTTGTCACTCGCAGAAATTAAACAACTTCCTGACATAATGATGAGTGGTAATATCCCTTCATCATTTTTGTTTCGAGTTTTGGTCTATAATCTTGGAAGTTCTTTTGTATTCAATATCTCTCTGAAAAGTTTCGAGAGACCTTCATCAGTCAATCATACGTATATATTGGTGCACCTGAGCATGAAGGTAAGACAATTTCTTAGAGCCTCCTGTGAAGTGCGTAGTGCGTACTTAGCTTATGGAGAAGGGTCACAACGTCGCGCTCATCTGATACTTATCGGGAATTACTTGGGATATGTTACAAGAGATCTTGTACTCTCCTTGATTTTTACCCCGGTTTACATCTGAGTTATGGTGTTTTTGGCGGGTCGAGATGAGCATTCCTCGATTTTTTCTCCGTAAGATTCGAATTCCGGTCCCAAGACATTCCTCCTATTTTCCACACACGCAATCCACGCGCCTTACTGGATCATTACAATATCTCCCTTTTGGTACGTAAAACCTCATTCCGACACTGATCATACATAATTCAAGTTGTTATTTACCTACCACAATGGGGTCCTGTTCATCGGTAGTATGAATCTGATGATGCACAACGGACCGAATGTACCTTCCTACCGAAAATTCTCATCATTCCTCAATTATAGTTTGTTTTGCAAAATCTTGTCCAGCGTGCTTTGTGATTGTTATTCTGACACAACCCTATTAAACTACTCACGTTCGAATTATTACCCTATCACCTAATAGCATCTTTAATTGTTTTTATCTAATAATAATAACAAGCATACTTTGGACGGGAAGTTTCTCCTCGTTGTAAGATCACGTTAAATTTGCCGGTGATATTACTGTGAAGGGTGAATGATATTCAAATTATACCTAAAATTATACTCGAGTTATATGCCTTCGAGGGAAGCCCTCAAGTCCGTCAAGACTCCTTGTTCTTATCCTCTTCTTTTATTTTACCTACTTTCTCTACACCACGAATGCCTTGGTAGTCCGCAATTCTATCAAATATGAAGCAAATAACTAACGTTCTTCTTGTTCACATCCTCGCCGCGATTGCAAGCGGTGCACCTCATCCTCATCCTCAGGAGCAAAAGAACCACAATCCTCCCAGGAAAGCACCGACATTTGGACCAGGTGCCCCATTGTTTCCACAATCTCTCATTAAAGTTCCCCAGTGGCTTACGACGGAGCAAGAACTTCAACCCAAGTCTATTTTCCCGGACGTAACTTCTTCAGATGGATTCATATTCCTCTCTCCGCCGGGCGCAATCCTGAGTTCCTCGATAACAACCACCGCGGTCATTCCTTTGGTATCTGTGTTGACCACTTCCTCTATTTTGGGTACTGTGCAAGTTACAGTACAAGTTCTTCCCTCCCCTAGCACTCAAACTCCCGCCACAACAGGATCTGTTCTTTCTAGTCTTGAAACTTCTGGCCACGCTACGGTTCCTCCTATTCTAACATCTTCCATCCCCTCACCTACCACTCAACTCGTTCCCACTGCACCAACACCTGTCAATCATATGATGAATACAGTTGCAGCAGACTCGAATATCTTCCAACCAATCGACACTTCACCTCCACCATCTAATTTAGGCTCCCGTTCGGATCATCCAGTACCTCGCCTAGGAATAAAATCGCAGCGTGCGCCTCGTGATACCAACAAATTTTACGCTAATTTCTTTCTTGGGAGTCAGACAGCGCCAGCCTGGACGCATCCATATTCAGTGGCGTGGTCCAAAGGAGGAGGCGCGACCAAAAGTTGGGGAATGACTATTGTTCATATAGATGCCGACCAAAGAGTGTTTGGACCTAATGCTGCAGCGTATCCTGCTTCATACTTCATAAATCCCATTGGCATACAATCTTTGGTGCTTTCTGCGACCCAACTGGGTGCAACGACGACTCTGACAACCGACACTCTGACTGCTCTGTCAGTAAATGTTAATTTAAGTCCGTCTCCAGGAGCTGACCCTGCTATTGTTTTCCCTTTGGTTCAAGGAATGGGTTTTGTGACAGCTATCTTTGCTGGTGCTACACCAATTTTACAAAGTGGAATTCTTTTCCGAACATTAACTTTAGATCCAACACCTCCAAAGTCAGGGATCACGAAATACTCAATAATGCTTGAGGATGGAAAGACATGGCTGTTATATGCCTATTCACCCTCTGGACAAAATCTTGCACTTACAGTTGTAAACAATGGACTCGTTCAGGCTACTAGCGGCTTCAACGGACTTATCCAGATTGCAAAGAGCGGAAGTTCTGCGCATGAAGCTATGTTTGATGAAGCATGTGGTGCTTATCCACTTTCTGCAAGCCTCTCGGGTCATGTAAATGGTGCTGTTGGTTCCTACACCATTGCTTTCAACAAGGGTGGATTGAGTAGTACAACCTTGGCAATGTTTGCTTTGCCACATCATTTGGAGTCTTTTGACAATAACACTATTTGCGGTGTGATCAATGGAGTACAGCTAGCTACAACAACTAAGGGTATGGCGACAGCTATCCTGGCTGATTCCTGGACATTGGAGGAGGACCTACCGCTTAGTTTGAACTTCGCGCCCTGGAGTCCGGCAAGAGGAAGTTCGAATTCAATTTCAGCAGCTGCTATTTCTACCATCGCAAGTATTGCTGCTAGCGAGATATCGCAAAATATGACGGCGCAAACGGACTTGAATTCTATGTATTATAGTGGAAAGGTATGTATGCCTCAACGATATCCGTCTACCATTTTATTAACCTTGTATAGGCGCTTGCCAAATTCGCTGGGATTGTATATGCACTTCATGATTTCGTTGGAAATAAAGCTTTGGCACAAGCAGGTCTTAATACCCTGAAGCAAAACTTCGCGTTATTTGTTAATAATCAGCAACAATTTCCCCTCGTATACGAAAGTGAGTTATTTGCGCTCTCAATCCAATGCAGGAAACTAATTAGATCAGCCGCGTGGGGAGGTATTGTCTCTACCGCATCATACGTAACTGGAGATTCAGGTGTTGATTTCGGAAACACATACTACAATGACCATCATTTCCACTACTCTTATTTTGTCTATGCAGCTGCCATTATTGGATACCTTGACCCGAGCTGGCTAGCAGGTAACAAAGCCTATATAAATGCAATGGTACGAGATTACGCCAATCCTTCAACTGCGGACAATTACTTTCCCGTTTCCCGAAATTTCGATTGGTACCACGGACACTCTTGGGCCCATGGTCTCTATGAAACTTTCGATGGAAAAGACGAAGAATCCTCATCCGAGGACTCTTTGTCAGCCTATGCAATTAAAATGTGGGGGCGCACAATAGGAGACTCAAACATGGAAGCGAGAGGAAATCTACAACTCGCAGTTACGGCCCGTTCCTTGCAAAACTACTTCCTATACGAATCCTCAAACACAGTTCAACCGGCTAATTTCATCGGAAACAAAGTATCTGGAATTCTTTTCGAGAATAAAATTGACCATACCACATATTTTGGAGGCGCGCCGGAGCTCGTCCAAGGAATTCATATGCTTCCTCTGCTTCCGCATTCGACACTTACGAGGACGGAAGAATTCGTTACGGAGGAATGGAATACGTATTTCTCGAATGGAAGAGCTGATCAGGTAGTTGGGGGTTGGAAGGGCGTTTTATATGCTAATTTAGCGCTTATCGATCCTCGCACTTCTTGGAATTTCTTTGCGCAGGCAGGCTTTGATGCAAGTTGGTTAGATGGAGGAGCAAGTCGTACGTGGTATTTGGCTTTGGCTGCTGGTATGTTTCTTCTCTCGTTCTTTTATGTCTTTTCCCAGTCTGGTGAGGTAGAATGCGTTCTAATGAGATTATAGGACTTGGAGGCTCGCCATGATTTGAGGAGGGAAAGTGAGATGATAGAGGACTATCGATTTACAGTTTGAAGATCAATGCTGGCATGCTTGAAACTGGGTTGGAACTTACAGAATATGTATACGGGACGCAACGATACCATAAGATTGGAAGAAGATAATAGTGATGGATTTATGTGGCCATTCGGAAGTCTTTTGAGGGACTGACTATTCCCAAGGCTACTTTTTTCTATTCATGGAATACCTAGAAATTTCCAATTGTTTAAAACTTAAAACATGTCAATCAAATGTCGCTTCAGGTGACCTAACATTAAATCACTTTAATGCTAATTACGGACCAGAGGTAGGCTATAAAGACACATTCTTATCTATCCCAGGGTCCGTATAATGAACCTGAAGTTTCCATTATCTTTCGTGAGTATGTTTTCTAGCTGCCCATAGATACAAATCAATGAACTTCAAACCCGATCTCGAATTAATTATCTAATTTTATCAAGCCATCTCCCTGTTACCCCGTAGCAATACTCCAATCCCAACAATCGACTAAGAACACCCAACTTCCACTCCCCTACACCACACCACAAAATAAACCACACAAACGATCTCAGCCCTCCACCCTCCACCCTCCCCACCTGCCCCAACCTCCCAAAATCCACCCCCAAAAGCCAAAACATATGACCCTCCGCATGCTCCCCACAAAACCGCCTCAAAGCCTCATACCGCCCCTAACATCCCCCAGTCGCCGTAACCACTTTTGCAAATCCACCGGGCACAAATACGGAGGCTGTCGCGCATCTTCAATAATCGATGCGCTTCCTTGCATACTACATGCGTAATATACACAATGGGCTATTCCGAAACAGTGGCCTAGTTCGTGGGAGGCGATGCGGCAGATGCGGGAGAGGTGGAGGGTTTGGAGTGTGGTAGGTGGGAGGGGGGATGATGACAGAGGGGGGAGACTGGTTTGTTGGGTTAGGGCGTGGTGGAGCGGACTTGGGTTTAGGGCGTAGGTGAGGTTTTTATCGTCGTGTGTTCGTTTGCGTTTTCTTGTTTTGGTGTTCGTTTTAGTATTGGTTTTTGGGTTAACTTTACCGCATACTTTATCTATGTATTCAGCACAATGGCTCCCAGGCCATCCATGTATCCTCTCAATTCCCTGCATCTCATCCAACACCGGATTATAGCGCGCCGTACTCACAACCGCTACCCTACTCCCCCCATAAGCTCTGCCGCAAATAAACTCATCATCGTCATCTTCGTACAAATCATGGTTTACGAGCATTAGTAATGCGTATGCATCGGGAGGTAATATATCGATAGCGGAATCTAGGACATCGGAGAGATTTAGCTGGTGGGAAAATGGTGCGGAGGGGGTGGCTCGGTAGCGGATACGGGTTTTAGAGTTGGAGGTGCGGAGACTGATGGTGGTGGGTTTCTTTTTCTTGGGGCTAGATCGCGTTTTGTATGGGTTTGGGGTGGTGTCTTCCCAGGGTGTGAAATGTAGGTTTGAGGGGTCCATTTGTTTGACTGGGAGACCGTGGTAGAATGCTTGAAGATATGAAATAATATCTGATACCCAATTACCCGTCTCCCATTCCCCTCCTTCCCTCCCATTCTCAATAACCTCCCTCTCTTCCCCCCTTCCCCCCTCCCCCTCCCCCCCCACAACCTCACCCCACCCCTCATAAACCCTCCACCCCTCCCCCATCCACCCCAGGCGGAGCCACAACATAAATAGTCCTCCTCGACCCCTCCACAACATTCCTCCACCTCCCCCTCTCCCACCCCCTAAACGTCTGACCCAACTGCCTCGGCTCCCTCACCAAATCATCCCCATCCAACACCAACGGCCCCGGAAACGTAGAAGCACATTCTGCATCCGACTTAAAATGATGGAGGATCGTATCTGTAATTTCGGGATTATGAATACCTGTTTTTGAGGCGGCGGCTGCGCGACGGGATGGGGAAGCGCGGGAGAAGATTGATGGGGTACCGGTGGATGCGGAGGGTTGGGATGTGGTGAGGAGGTGGGGGTGTGTGCAGGGTGAGGATGTGGGCTTGGGTTTGAGTGGCATTTAGGTAGGGGCTTGGGTTTCCTAGAGGTTAGTGAGGTCTTTTGATGGATTTGGATATGGTCTTTGATGCCGGGGGTGAAGGTTGTTTACTGTATGAATACTTATTGCGATATCACGTGGTTACTACCTAGGCAGCAGCACGTTTTGGACGAAATGTATCAAGGCAATGGAACCATAAACTCAATGTACAGCGATTTGAATTCACTGGTTATTCGCAATTTCATCACAACGTCACGCATGAAAGGAAAGACAGGTAGAATATATAGTAGTGTAACATATTAATGATTAAAATCCACCTCTCTTTGTATTCCTTCATGAATGCGATTGATCAGATCAAATCCGATCATGTCCAAACCAGACCGCAAACCATATGCTATGCTACCAATTCCATGCTATGTAATATAAAGTTATCATTTGTTTCTTCGCCATCCCTAATGCGTCAGGGTATTCCCAAGCCAAGCCCAAATTTATTCTATCCCGATCCTATCAAAAAGACATCTTATCCAGATGGCAAAAGAAATCCAGATTTTTTTCCTCATCCTAAGGATTAAGACCGTCTTTTTGACACCTCTTTCCACATTCCCATTCGTGATGTAATGCGATTCCAATCCAATCTGAACGCCCAATAAACTCCTTGCAATGCTTGATCTGATATAATGCAGACTCTTATGAAACCTCATTCTCAGGTTTAAAAAAAAATAAGGAAAAGTTTCATCAAATGATACAAAAAAATTCGTAATCCACACGGGCTATTTTCATCCTTTCACCAGTGTCCCGCCAAATAAGTCCCCCACGCAGGAATCAGAATGAGGATTCAAAAGCATCTTACGCAGTGGAAAAGTTCTTTTGGCCACCAAAGTATCTTGTTAGGAAGTTGCCTTTTGATCTCTTAGCTGTGCGACGCTTTTCATCTGCCATTATCATGTTGTCGTGATGAGCCATGTTGTCAATTTCGTATGGAAGCATAGGCCTGAGCTTTCCATCAGCACCAGCAACTTGGACCGTGACGACGTCGCGGGCAACACCTGATGGGGAGTAGGTATCGCATTGCATAGCATCGTTTTCGTCGGCGTAGCTGCTGACGGATGATAGAGGTGTGCCCGAGCGAGATAATTCGGAGATGTAAGATGAGGCAGAAGATGACATGGCGTCCAGGGTGTCAGCAGTACCGCTGCGGGTAAGACCGGGAACTTCTGACGAGGAAGGTGGCGAATTGTAGTCGTATACATCGTTGGCTGAGAAGAGCGATTGTTGTTCACCGTAGTATGACATGTATTTGTCTTCGGTTGCTGGCATCCAGTATCTTCCTGTTGGGTCCAAGGACATATTTTGCATTGCAAGAGCCTCTTGTTCGCGGATGGCTTGTTGGCGTGCTTCGTGGAGACGAAATTGCTCTTGCTTCCGATCCAACTCAAAACGGATTGGTGTGAGGAAAGGTTCCAAATGAATGTAGAGATCATCCTGGCTAACAATCAAATCCCAGTTGAGTAGTTGAAGTAATTGCTTCTCCATAAGGTTGACTTCTGTCCTGGTAAATGAAAAGTCACTGTAACCCCGAACGTTCGAGTACTCGGCCCAGTGCTTATTCTTCGGCGATGAATCGTTAAGGAACTTGGCCGATAAGATCAATGTTGCAAGGAAAATTCTGTGAACTGTACATCTTAAACCTTTTGCAACTGGTGGTAGTCTCTTCTTCAGTCTAGCGAGGTAGACCAAACTGGTCATAAGTGTAGGTACTTGAACGTTGGATCTATTTATTAATGAAGCGATGAATCTCTCTAATGACGGTAAATCTGATGGTGATCTTTTCTCTTGAGGAGGAGTTCGAGGCGGCGAGGGACCTTGACTTGAGGATACCTGTGTGGGCTCGCACTGAATGACTTCTCTCGCCTTTTGGGCAAGATAGTTGATCATATCTTGAGTAACTGATTGGAAAACAAAGTGATCTAAAGCCACCTCATTGGAGGTTCTAGGAACGTTTGAATTGAGCGACATGGTGTCGTGTGTGAATTGGTAATTGCCGTAGTCGTTGTACTTCGATGCGGTTGACTTGTATGTCGAAATGTTGTCGATCGAGACTTGATCAACGTTTGATATCGAGAACTGGAATGATCTTGTAACAGAAAGATAAAAATAAAGATACACCAAGCTATAAGGTCATCAAAAGAAAAGTCGTATTGTCCTGAATGGTATTCGTTGTATTAAAAAAATATCGTGACCGTTTCTATTGTCTCCAGGCTTCAATCCTATTGTGGATGTTGGCTGAGGTTTAAAATACGGCTCGGTTGTCGAGGACAATGGGCAAAAGAAATTGTCGAAGAGAAAAATCCACAATAAAAGTGAATAAAATCTTTCGAGAAATTTCAAGAAAATTTCAAAAGAAATTAAGAAAAATAATGACGACCACGGGCTCGTAATATTGAATCTAAATTTCGCGAATGAGTGAGAAAAATCCGACCAGCGGAATCCTATAGAGGAGTAAAGTTGGCGCAGCTGGTTACTATGCGTGGAGGCACTGGGAGGATCGGATGGCTATATAAATTCCGGAATTGCCTTGACCTCAGGCCTGACAAAGGCGTTCTTAGGGTGGACCAAAGAAGCAGGGGTTTTGTCTTTGGGGTAAGGGTGGCCGAAGATTGGGCCAAAAGGTTCGAAAGAATAACAAAGATTTAAGATGGATGCTGACGATGATGATATGCAGATAGGCGCGGAGGATTCTCGTGAGAGGTGAGATGGTCAGCGAATGGGTCAAAGCAATTCAACGTAAGTAACCACTTTGGTTTATTTATATGGCCGACTGGTGAAACGGTATGATTGTGTCTTCCGTTCTTTCAATCCAATGAGCTGATAATTCAACTCAAATCGAAATTGAAGTACTGCCGCTTTGTTACGTTTCGTTTTAGTTTCGTCAAGGCCGTATTAGTCGTGGTCGTAATGGACTCCTGTGTTGTCCTCAAAAGAGTGGTGATGGATGGTAAGGTTAATTGACGATTTGACCCCAGTGAATCGATCGGTTACAGTGCCGGGTGTGGATTGTCGGTCGGTACGTTCTGTCAAGGGTTCTCCTCTTCCAAAATGTTATTGACGGATGAGGGTTGAGGGTTGAGGGTTGAGGGTTGAGGGTTGAGGGTACTGAGAAGTTTAACAAGTCTATAACAGGAAGAATGTCGAAGTTTCCGATGAGAAATGTAAATGATGTATGGGAGAATTGTGGACGATATATGTAAATATCCTCTGTCGATCCCAAGGCTGGAGGGAGATATGTATAATATTGTTCTTGATACACTCCAATACCTTTCTCCCTATAGTATCCGACTCTTCCTTGCCAGGAGCAAAGTATTTTCGTCCAGTAAGGAAATATCAAGCTTGTCGGTCAATAATTGGACCAGATTGAACGGGTACAGTATGAAAATACCAAATAGAGCCCTAGGCGCTGGGAAAGGAATGCTTGGGATTGATGCCCCTCGTTCTCAAAAAGGCACCAAGGAACCAAGGATGCAAAGTGGCTCAATGGTGTCGAAATGGTCAATCGTTCAGGAAGACAAGGGTTACTTTAAGCTATAATAACTATAACAACTAGCAAGGAAATTATTGGTGGATGCGATTTCGAAAGGATAGGCGATGATTGAGCAAAGGGTCAGGCTCGGTGGCGTGCAGGCGTGGATGGACCAATGCGGACGAAATGCAGCGGGTCTTTTTTCGAAAAGGTTTCAGATGTACGGAGTAGCGAGTGGTTCAGCAACCTTGCGCCCGAGGATAAGATGGCAAGATGTAGAGGTACAAGGGCTAAGTTGAAACCAGAATACCTCCAAGGTAACGATGAATGATTTGTCCGTGATGCTTCAGAGATGTTGTCGGACAGATTCAAAGGGAGGAAAGTAATCTCACAAAGATGCAGTACCACGATGTACCAAGAACTAAACAGGAGTCGAGATGCGAATCTACGCTTCCCATATAGGAGGAATGTGTAAAAGAAGTAGTTAAGTGTAGGCAACGAGCTAAGATGTGTGTATATGAGCTGGAGCATAAGCATGAGCATATGCATATGCAATTTCACTGGTCCCTATGCCGTATCAGGACCTCTAGGATTGCACTTCTTTCCCGTGTATCTAGCTCTATCCTTCTCGTCTGTTTTCCAGATGTCGTTTGTCGATTTTTTTTCGATGCTCGGGTGGTTTCGTTACTCTGAATTCCTCTAATCGAGTGCCGATCAAAAGGCTGAAGTAAGGCTGTAGAGATCAAAAGTTGATATCCTGAAACCACGGAAGAATTCGATTTTCCTGAAGATATTTAACTCAACACCAATAATTGTTTATTGGGGATGAGGCGTGAGGGGAAAGTACTGAAGAGGGAAGCTTTATTGACGATGATAAATTGGGGAAATGTTGCAAAGCATCAATATGATTCGAATATATCGCAAACGTCGCAGATATGACTGGTTAACCTTAGTAACTTTCTTAACTTACTCCGCATCGCGAATTTGCGAGTAATGGTCAACGTCGGTATATTAATGGATCAACATATACGTGTCGACCCTTCTATTGCAAGCGGTGAATGTGACACTTCAGTGGATATCCCATGATTTGGCAACGATCACACAACCAAATATACCCTGTAGATATAGAAAATGAGTCTGAAGTATAGAATTTTTGGAATTTGTGGATGGCTGATCATTCATCAATCAATGCTTCAAGGTTGGAAAGGTTGGATAATGCTTGTTACTTCCACCTGGGCACTGAACACATCATGCGCAATACCGGAATGACGAACTTTTCCCGTTGACATGATGCCCAGATACCCATATATCTACAGCCCAACCGTACCATATACCAACCTCTCCAAAAGGAAAATCCAACAAGAATCATACATGCGGAGAACTTTGGTAGACGATATCATATCATAGATGGTCGAGGGAACAGGAGAAGTATGGATTTCTTCACCGAAGTTGCGATACTTTGTCAAGTTGTGTGGCTGAGAGATGGCTGAGGCAAGGTTATATGAATCAAGTAACGAGTAATGCCCCCTTATGCGTACGGCTCCAAACATAACCTACTAACCATTGGTAATACCGAAAGTAATGCACGCTTGTGTTTATGAAAGATTACGGGGCAAGGCTCAGTTTGATGGAAATGTCCAATGTCCATGATGGCAATGACGACGGTGACGATAAAAGATTCATGCTCTGTCATGATAGGTGATAGATTATTGGAGAGATTGGTGAGCTATGAAAAGCCAAGTGATGGGGTTATGGGTTCTGGGGACTAAAGTTCATTCGATATTACTTCTCAAGTAACTTCAGCCGGATTTAATAATGGCGTGTAGATCCAATTAGATCCAGATTTTCCAGATCTTAGTTGGGGGGCAGAAATCGCATATAGAGCTTAATACTTAATAATAACCTACCTACTATACGACCCCAGCCCCTTTGTTAACGAGAAGAAGTCATCATGAATACCGACTACTTACCAATTGCATACATTTTTATGCGTACGAACAACATCGGCCAGGACGATTTGAAAGGCAGAAAGTCGAGGCCGATCGAAAGACTTTTTCGTGACAAACCTCTCAAAACTTCACATTTGATATGAATTTCGGATGTTGGAGTCTGTACTGTAGAAATTCATACTCTCGATTTGTATTGGTTGGGACAAATGGCTTCGCCTGAAACATGCAACCTTCTCAAATATCCATACTCCGTATTCCTTCCACTGCCACATTATCTCCTCCGGAAAATCATCATCTATCCCCTTCTCTCCGGAGTTGTTGCGACACCTTGACATTGACATCCCGGGTAACGGGCTGTACTGTAGATCCAGACCATGATTTACAGTAGCTTCAGCCTATGAGCCGTATACTCATCGATAAGATGATTTAAAGCAAGCCATTAGTTCCCTCGTGTTCATTCGAACTCTCACACCTTCGACACCTTCGACACCGTTAAAATCCATGGATGGCCAAGTAAATTATCAGACGATACCACATCCGGACTCTCCATATGTCACGAGAAGATAATTCCACATTTTAGAAGCTTCAAATGGTGTGGCAATGCGATAAAACTTGAAAAGATCTCAAATCTTTCAAATCATCAACTTCCAAAATGTGCATTACTCTCGGAAATGCAACAGATGTCTTACATTAATCATGCGACCATGCCGGGCCTTTTTCTTTCAGCGCTTTGAACGATTTTCTTCAATTGCGCAACATTTCTCTTGGCCCTTGAGTTCTTGATGTTCCTCAACGATTTGTTCTTCTCTTGATTATTATAATCTCACAAAAATACGATGCGCATGTTACAACATTTTTGAAGCGTTACGAGTCCGTTCTAGGGTCTCATGAAAATGGGACTGGCGGCTACTGAATACATGCAACGCGCGGAAGTGGCTTTATTTAGCACTTGAAATTAACTAGCTGTCCCATCAAGCGCTCGAATCTATTTTTATCAAGATCTTATTTTAATCTTGGCGATATTTGATTTTGCTTAAAACAACGAACCATATATTGTCATGCATTCGTTACTTGATTCTCTTGGTTCGCTCGCGCGTCTATTGTTTCATGCATTAGCATCGCGCAGCTTCAGAAAGGAATGAAGCAATTCGGAAAATACTGTTAAGGTTAACCTTACTCCAACGATTAACAAACCAAGTGGTTTTTGCCTTGAAACCTTGGGTTTCGTAATCAATAAGTGGACCGATTTATCAAGCCTTTTCGTGATTTAAGGTCACTGGTCATCATATCATTTCGCATCTTATTAAGGATGGCAATACTGGCCGTCAAAGTCAGATGCCTGATACTCCTCCATCACGCCACTTCCTTTCCATATGTTCACGTGTTCCTACATGGACAGTAATGGGATAGTTGGTAGCAAGTTTCATTTAGTTGATCTGAACATTTGAAACATCTACTGGTATAGATCTGTTATTCATCGTCCATCTCAGTCAGACACGTCGAGGCGATTCCAAAGTGCAGTCACAAGGTTCTAGTTTCAATGGTAGAAATTGATGACTTTTTGCAAATAATGTTTTCAGAGTAAGTGTATCTGATAACAGCATGTTAGTCAATTATTCTAAGATCAATTCACTAACACGTATTGAGGTATTTTCACAGAAAGTGAGAAATAAAATAACGAACAGTTTTGAACCTTTGTTCTCTCCATCCTCTTATTGCATTCGTTTCTTACCTAGCTCCCATCACATACCAAAAGTTTTCAGCCCATAATTTTATTGCATGATCGGCTACTACCCTATCGTCGCTAAACAACTTGTCTCTTCTATCGCCCCCAAGACGATCTATTTCCAAATATCCAATCTCAAAACTTCGGGTATTAATTTCGCTAATGCTAAGGTTCTTACCTCTTCCTTCCCCACGTAAGCGGCTTGTACGCAGATGTCACATCATCACTAGGTACAAAGTTCTGGTGATATGACCATGTTGTGATGTTGGTCAGTGCCCCCATGTTTGTTCAGCCACTTCCTTCGGAGTTTTGATCTGCTTAATCATAGCATGACAGCATCCTTCTCTACAACAGTAGCCATATGACAGTTGAAGGAAGTGGCACAATAGTGATAAAGGATGATTTGTAATGACCATCATCTTTATTAATCTTTATATATAACATATGTAGCTTATTATACGTAAAGTCTTAAGCGAAAGATAGAAAGTTAGTGAAGGTAATAATGGATATATCAATAGAGTAAGTAGTCTTTGACATTAACGGAGGAAGTATAGTTATTAATAATCTCCCCGCATTCCACTGTTCGCACTAATTAGCATCCATCGTGCTCCAAAGACACTCTGTGGGGGAAGAGGAGGTGGCATAGGAATATGATTTCAAATAGAGAGCTGCTAATCTGTAACAATACCCACTCATTAGATATTTTACCGCAAATCTTTGTCCTACTCTATTTTATTACCATACAAGCAAAGCCCACCATGTAATTATTTCATCTCTGCAATGGTTTTATTAGTTTTTTCTGACGGTACAGGGAGACAATAGCGGTAGATTAATCTAGACAATTGCACCTATATTGTCTCAACCTGCCAAAAAACCCATTTCTCCCCACTCAAAATTGTGCATTTTTAAATCCCATCACAGTTGATACCCCTTCCACTCATCCACTCATCCTTTAATCCCCTGACTAAACCACATACCTCAGATTGCCCCTAGTAATCAGCTTCACTTCGCTTCTCTTCTCTCGATTTCACTTCTCTTCCACCACATCCTTCTTTTAATCTTCATCCCACCTCCACCACCACCCTTCACATCACACAAAAATAACAACACAAAACAGTTCTCCCCGCGCCACATAAGCCATATCCGAGTACTCGCATAGTTATTCTTTTATTCGATTCTGGTATTGTTATATTGTATTTTGCTCCTTTTGGTGTATATTTTGAATTATCTTTATATATGTATATTATAAATTTAGCAAATTAGAAAATTAGAAAATTAATCTTATATCGATCTATCTTGATGATGTTTATAGAGATATTCAGATGTTATATAATAGAGATATATACCGTATACATACACATAGATATATGTACAAACCTTGAACACGCATCCATATACATCTATGTACTTTTTTACAGATATATAACATATAACATATACGTAAAACGTAAATCGTAACACATCCCACCCACCTTCATGCCCGCTGCATTATAATATTCCAATCAATATAAAAATTCTAGAATTGAATTACGCGGATTGCGCGGTCCGGAGTTTGAGCGTTGCGTTACTTTGGTGTGATGTGATGGAATATTATCTGCAAGTGGCTAAGTGGCTGTTGTTGCTGTGTATGCGTGCTCTCGGGTTGTGGGGTATTGTACGGAGTAAGGTTAAGGCTAGGGTTAGTTGTTGTTGGACTGGAGTTGTATTGGAGTGCGGAGGAAATACTAGGTAGGTAGGTAAGTGAGGAGGTATGCAAGGAGGGGAGGGAGGATGGAAGGAACTAAGTGAGGAAGTGTCTTTGATGATGATGATGGTTATGGTGGTTATGGTCAACCTTATGAGTTTTTGTGTGTTAATATATCAGACTTACATTTATCTGGGATTAAGTATCATGGGGTAATCAACGATGCATTGTATAGAGTATGGCCTGCTGCATGTCCGTGGTGACATTTTGAATTCAATGCTTGGGATATATCTATTTCATCTCGTAAACTATATAGACATACATATCCGTTATATCTGCGTATATTAATCAAAGGATTCAATCTATGTACACACTAGAGGAATACAGCTCTTCCAGCTTATGAGTAATACTATATATATTATAAAAGGAAGCACAAAAGCCATTGGTTACACATAGAGTATATAAATAGTATCTTTCCGAACTCCAGCTCAGCTAGCCATTTTTTATTTAACACCACAGTACTACAATATCAGAATACATACGACGACATAAATTGCAGGTCAACTTCTTAAATCCATGGGATTGAATATGCAGAAATTTATGTGATGCATATGAAATACCGCAACAAATTTGATATATACCAGCTTTCGTGATCGATCTATATATATATTTGTTAATTATCTGTCTATGATTCTATACTAGCTAAACATAATATGAATACCCTCGCTAAGTATTCCCTTACACCTAAAAGCCCAACCTTGAGTTTGAATCCTAAAATCTAAGTCGACGTCTTACATCCAAATTCCCTTGGCATAGTACATACATATATCGCCACACAAGGCAACGACGCGAGTTCCCGCACTGGCGTTGGCACACTTGCATACAAATATGTGCATATTTTTATATGCATATCAGACGGGAAACGATAAGTTCCGCCTAATATAGCATGGGAAGCTTAATTAAGTAGAAATAGGTACGTACTTTGAACGCCACTATTCGTTATATTAATCAGTCATTGATGAAAATTGAAAGAGGTTAAACCAAGAATCCGGAGAATTTTGTTGATGGTGGCCTACTGTGAAGCAGTATTGGAGATCTTACTTTGAATCCGAATCATGTGTTACTAGGGCGCTTCGGTTCGTCGATTCTGTGGACGAGATGCATACGAGAGTGCTGCAATGAATATTGGAGAAAGATGTGTATATACAAGACACACGTATATGAATACCGGAATTTCAAAGCTTAATTGAGAGAATGCAAAGTAGAGTAGACAAGAAATAAGGGGAAACTAGGAAAGTTGACGTCAGAACTGGAGAGTGGTGGATCTGCAAATCTAGACAACTTGTCTCTGTGTTGTCTTGTTGATATCCCCCGATATTCTATTAAAACACGCTTTACTATTTGCAGACACCTTGATCGCGTATTGCTCTACTGATATTGATATTCCTCACTATCATAACACACATCTACATCCTTTCATCGTTTACTTCCAAGCTTAAGATGAATATCTAGCCGGCCAATTCGTATAATACGACTCCCATACTGCCTTCCATACATCTTATCATCTAGACGCAATGGATTCTGCAATAGTTAAATGGCATATCTACACGCTGCTCAGGCACCGTAAAGCTCAAATATATATACCGGTACATCCACCAAAATCACGGCTTTCCTAAAGACTGGACTACGTGCACTTCACAGTATATCGTGGAGAGAACTGTCTATCCTATCACATAAACCACAGGATATAATGATTCCACTAGGGTAAGTGCCCTCAGAACCCTTATTGCTTTCTTGCTAACACCATGAGGCTTGCAATACTACAATCTAATAACAGCTTGATGCATATGACACGCCAGATTATATATAAGTGATCAAGCTAAACATTAGAAGTTCGGCCACTGTATCATGAACTACTAGACTACCTGATTACCTATAGAATGAAGATGCTATATTTCTTCAATTAATTAGATAGTTAATGAAGAAGAAAATAAATGGAGATACAAGATACAATACCCTTCACACCTACCTCTTCCGCTTCACCTCCACTTCACTTCGCTTAACTCAAATCATCATAAGTAACCCATAACTTACACAACTAATTCAACCTTCAACCTTCGTCCTCCCTTCCTCCCATCCACCTCTGCGCCTCTCCTCCTTCCCCCTCAAAACCAACAAACCTCCCCCCTCCTCTCCCAAAATCCCAACTTCAAACCAAGCCCAACCCTAAAACTCCTTCACACAACTCCCAAAGATATCAATCTCCAGCATCTTCCAGACATCCTCAAACCCATACTCCCAATATCTATCCAAATCCAAATCCAAATCCAAATCCCCGTAACCCTCAACAAACAAAAAACATAAAACATAAAAAAGTACTCGTATATGCTGAATTCTGACACCTAATCTGGTGGATGATAACTCTTTATAATTATTGTGTATGCATCCGCGACAACTATGGTCTATCTCTGAATAAATTAATATATCTACTATTATGAAGAATATGGATAGTGTTGACTTGAGAAGTGGTTCAGGATGTGAGTTTGTAGATTGTAAGTCTTACCTTCTGAACTTTAGATTTGAATTTGAACTTCGTTTTTCCAAATTTGTTTGATAATCCAAATACCTAGATTCGTCTCTACATATTCATAGAAACGTGTGTACTCTGGCCTGTGTATTTATATCTCATTTTTGAACACTCTTTATAGCACTATCGAGAGCGAAATAATGTAACGTATGTGCAAAAACCTTGGGTAGAAAAGAAGTGTTTATTAGTCATATATACTTGTACATGATGTAATTAGAGCCAATTATAGTTTATCAATCTACATACAATCTCTCTTTAAACAATCACCATAACGCTTTACTTTTTAACCCCCAAAAGTTCCTCCCACTCCTTCCTCAACTTCTCCATTTCCGTCCAACACTTAACACCCATGACCTCGAAATCCTCTCTCGCTTCTCTCGTCAATGGTACCGCATCTCTCTTTCTCCCCTTCCTTCTCTCCCCCGTATCAATAGTTTTTGGAGTTTTGCCTTCCCATCCCCAGCCTGGAACTTCCGTACGAATGACACGTTCTTTTCCACTTGAGTCTGTGGCCGATCCCCACTTTGAAGCTGGTGCGTCCATAGTGTCTAGAATCTCATCTTGGGATAATGCTAACCAGACTGGCCCTACAGCGGCGGTGTAAGGCTCGATGGTATGCCATTGACTACCCATCCATCTCACGAGGTAGAAAATCATCCTATAGAAAAATACCAAGATGAAATTTAAGGGCATGATTTCCGAGACAAATATTCCTGGCTGCACCACAAACATTTTGGGTTTTATCAACTGTGTTGGTGGTTGATCCTCAGGTTCTTCTCCTTCTATTTGGTCTTCCTTCACGCGAACGTCGGAACAGTCGAACCAAGAAGAAGAGATCTTTCCACCTGCTCGTAGTTTTCTTGAAAGGACGAGAACATCCGTAAGACGCTTTGAGCTTTCGTATGGTGCGTGGTTGTTCAGACCTTGTAAATCATCAATATTGAAGTGTTGTGGTTGCGCCTCTATGCTGGATACCCATATAATTCTTCCGCTGGTAGTGGCTGAAGGGGAAGCAGGTCGTGATAGTAGAGGCATCAGTTCATGTGCGAGAATATAGTGTCCAAATACGTTAGAACAGAAAACCGCGCCAAGAGGCGGCTCCTGTGGACTGTCGCCTTTGAGTAAAGGTTGTGTGGATTCATCATCGGACGTTGTCGCTTCTTTCGGGATAGTAGAGGATAGTTGCGATTTTGCCACAGCTCCGACTTCCGCAAGCTTGTAAGTTGGCCATGTTACAGCTTCTGTCATATCTGTCATGACAGTCCATATAGCTTTTGGCCAATGGATTCCTGACCATCCTCCTATACCTGCATTCAAAATTACGACATCCAGTCTGGGTACGCGGACTCCGCTCAATCCCCATCCCCAAGACCTCTGTTGCCCATCAGACCCTTCTTTCTGGCTCAATGCCCATCTATCTTGCTGGACATCTGCAGAATACGAAGCAGTTCCAGGAGACCCAGCAGGTAACCTCAGACCATCCATGGTAGTAGCATCCGGGCTACCAACAGTCCCATTGACCAGCTTGTCGGTGACCGCGTATACACTTTTTAAGTCGCATAGATCGAGTTCAACTCCAAGGAAATGGACCCGAGCCACCATATCCTGCCATTTATATACATTTCCCTGTGCTTTAGCCTTCTTACGTTGCGAGTTTGCAAATTGAGAGTAGTCGACGAGTTTCCGCAGATGGGCACGCAGACGCGAGATTGTGAATCGTGTCTTCAGTGGAGTACGCGTGCAGAGGATAAGAATGAGATGTTTCGTAGGAGGAGTGTCGGATGAAGTTAGAAATTCATCGATTAATCTAGAAGCAATTGCAAAGCCTAAACCACTAGAAATTTGTCAATAATTGGACCGAGAACCTTGAAGCCCGTTGTGAATAATGTGGACACTTTGGGCTGGTAATACCTGTTTGCGCCTGTTATTAAAGCAAAAGTTTGACTTTCACTTGTCTCCCACGGCGGTAATCCCATTTTATATAATTTTGGGGGTCAATTGATGACTTTGTTCTGAAGATGATGGAATTCTGGGAAGTAACTTGCACATGGTTGTTGCTCCCTCCTTAAAATAAACAAACTAAGTCATAGCCAACATAAGCGCCTCGTTCCACAAGACAGGAAGAGCTGAGGTCAATTTGAATCCACAATTGCAGGAACATATTCGAAGAAAGTACAGAATCCTCCATTGTGATTTACTTCATATTGATGTTCTTACGCTGGCTGAAGGTTGGAAACGCTCGCTGATATTTTTACGTCCTTTCCATGTTCTTGCATCTGATACACGTGATCTAAATCTCACGAGAATGGAATTGTCGTTCGGATATCGATGATAGTTTGAAGGTAGGTAGGTATTGTTAGTATTGATACAACAGCTAATAGTAATGGGATACGAATCTTTCAACGTTCAAGAGGAATAATTCTCCTACTGTTAGGCTGAAGAAATATCATGATTGATAAATTGGTTGCTATATCTATTATCCATCATGACTTCACGGGGATTTTTACATCGATATTCGAGGAACTGAGAACTCCAGTATTTGTCGCTTAGCCGCTTATGGTGCGCGGCTGTCATCGGGCACATGGAGCGGGCATGCAATTTAATCCGGTTCCGTGAAAAAGCAAAAATGCAGTCTCATAAAGTCAAGAAAGAAATCAACCCATTCTCATTCTCACTCCATTGCCGTTGCATTACTTCTCCCAATTAATAAATATTACTATTAATCCTTTTTATTTTCGGTCGATATGACTTTTGGATCTTCACAACTTGTCAGGCCTACCAAAACGAATACGTGAGAAAAACCAAACTCATCCATCACCTTCCGAAAATACCCCGTCTTTGGTACTCGGATGAATTCGTTGAGCTGTGGTTGAATAATTTAGACTAGTAAAGTCCTATCTTGTTTAACAAGCACACGAGATAAATAACTCGGACCTTAACCCCCCACTCATTCAGAACATCTCTCATTTGTTTGCATTGATTGTTCTAATCTACACCCACCCATCATCATGGCCAGCGAGGAACAGGTTCATGAACATATGCCTCAAAAGGCCAAGCACAAGGAACAATTTCCTATGACAAATTGGATATATGATGTATTTCTGTGGACATTTTCAATACTCGTCGATCTTTTCTTCCGAGAAGTCCATCCGAGAGGATCATGGAAAGTTCCAAGACGCGGGCCGGTTATCTTTGTAGCAGCCCCTCATGCAAACCAGGTATGCGGCAGCAAGCTTTGAAACTTTGAAGCTCTTGATTGACACGTCCTTTTAGTTTGTCGACCCCCTTATTCTAATGCGCACGCTCCGAAATGAATGCCATCGTCGCGCCGCTTTTCTTATCGCCGCCAAATCTATGGGTCGATTCATCGTGGGTTGGTTTGCGCGTAAAGTAGGCGCGGTTCCTGTCGGAAGAGCTCTGGATATGGTGAAGCCTGGATCTGGTACAATATACCTACCAGATCCTATCAACGACCCACTTCTCATACGTGGAGTTGGTACAAAATTTGATGGGAAAGAAGTACAAGTTGGAGGATTATTGGTTTTGCCTACCATGGAGGGAACCGCTGCCAATACCGAAATAGCGGAAGTAATTAGCGCCGAGGAGTTGAGATTGAAGAAACCTTTCAAAGGCCGAAATGCTATGATACAGCTCACAGGGCGAGACGATGTTGACGAAAATGGCAAGTTTGCTAATCAGTCTGTTAAGGGTACCAAGGAAGGTTTTGGAGGATCGAAATACAAGACCGCTCCGAAAGTTGATCAAACCCAAGTGTATGATGCCGTGTTTGATCGCCTCAGTGGTGGTGGAGCTGTTGGAATCTTCCCCGAAGGTGGTAGCCACGACAGGACCGAATTACTTCCTCTTAAGGCTGGTGTGGCTATTATGGCACTCGGATCGTTGGCCGCTAACCCTGATAGTGGCCTTCAAATTGTACCATGTGGTATGAACTATTTCCACGCCCATAAGTTCCGTTCAAGAGCCGTAATTGAGTTTGGTAATCCTATCGAAGTTCCAAAAGAGCTTGTTGAGCTCTATAAAAGTGGAGACCGAAGGGGGGCAGTCAGTCAATTACTGGATATTGTATACCAAGCTCTTGTTGCTGTCACTGTCACAAGCCCTGATTATGATACCCTCATGCTTATTCAAGCCGCCCGAAGACTGTATAATCCAACTGGAAAGAAACTTCCACTTCCAATGGTAGTTGAATTAAATCGAAGACTGGTTAAAGGCTATACACATTATAAAGATGACCCAAGGATTGTACAACTCAAAAAATCTGTATTGGATTATAACAGACAACTACGCTACATGAACCTTAGAGATCATCAAGTCGAATACGCTAAGTTCTCTGTTCCAAGAGCCGTATTTCTTCTGTTTTACCGCCTAGGAAAGCTAGCTGTTTTGTCTATTGGCGTTATTCCAGGACTCTTCTTATTTGCACCAGTTTTCATAGCTTCGAAAATTATCAGCATCAAGAAATCAAAAGAAGCTTTAGCTGCATCTACAGTCAAACTTCAAGGTCGGGATGTTATGGCAACATGGAAACTATTGGTTGCCCTTGCCTTTGCACCGATTCTATACAACTTTTACACCATCAGTCTTGCATACTGGACTTACAGAAATAGAGTTCAAGGGTATGTACCTGAATGGGTCCCATTGTGGGCAATCTTCGTGTTCGGATACATTCTCTTTCCAGCTATTACCTTTGCAGCTCTTCGTTTCGGAGAAGTAGGCATGGACATTGCCAAATCGTTGCGACCTCTAACAGTAGCTCTTAACCCAGCATCAAGTAACGTTATGTTCAACCTCCGTGAGCGCAGAGCTCAACTCAGCGCACAGGTTACGGACGTTATCAATACTCTTGGCCCAGAGATGTTTCCCGATTTCGATGCTTCCAGAATAGTAGCTGATCCTTTCAACCGCGATGGTCTCAAGACTCCTACTTCACCTCGTCAAAGTGATCTACGTCGCAATAGCAATCAATCTGGTATCTCGGATGAATCACCACCACGTGTTCTTCACAGAAGTAATACTGCAGGTGCATCTATTGGGGGTGGCTCAAGTATGAATGGCCATCTTCCGCGTAACGAATCATTCGGGAATCTAGGTAACATCGCACTCTTTGCAACGCGACCACCTTCTAGGAGTCGCAGTCGCAGTAGTAGCAGTGGTGGTGTCGTAGGGTCAGCAGGATTTCCGTTGAAGAGCTTTAGTGCGTTGGATGGGAAAGCAAGCTTTGATGAGGTTAGTATGAAGATTCGTGGAGCAATGAAGGAGAGAGGGCAAACGAGACGGAGACAGAGTGAGGCGACGAGGGAAGAAGAAAATGCGGCGTATAGTAGTGAAGATGAAGAAAGGAAACGGGTCTAGAGAAAGAAGAAATCGAAAAGTCACTGGGTTGGGTAATTTGAGGGAAGGTCATAGTATAGACAAAGTGGGTTGACACGGATGGGATGGGAAATTGTTAGCCAGGCGTAGCGTGGGCGTTCAGGAGGGAAATACCACTGTAGATGGATATCTTTCAGCTTCCTCCGCGGAATGAAAATCATGTCCGGTTTATTCACGTGTGCCGGTTCTTGATGCATTATTGAAACGATTCGAAGTCGGTTCCCTCATCACCCAAAATGCTTTTGCTGATTGACTCCAATATGTATCTATAGGTACTTCACCTCATCAACACATAGTATACCTCACTAATTAATCTTGTCCAATTTTTACCACAATCAAAACTGAGCATGCTACCTGTTTCTTTCAACTAACCTACGAGCGCGACCTACCTACATACTGTCGTTTATATCACATTGTATAATAGGGTAAAGTTAAGGTAAGGCCCAAATTCAAGGATATTTTCAGATCGTATGGTAATCTTAGGTAATCAAATTTATTGGCTATTTGCTGGAAAGAATGAGGTCTGATCTTAGATGGATAAGTAAAAGGGCGGGGGCGGGGGAGGGTATGAATATGTAGTCTGGTGTCTTGTCTTGGACATATTCACAAAAGAGATTAGAATATTTGAGGCATTTTTCCACCCATTGATTTCATTAGTCGGTTGAATAACATAACTTGGAAGTTACAACGGGATATCTCCAGGACAATCAGATCCCAGGTACCTAGACACAGAAGGATGTAATTGGATAGGATATTAATCAGCATCGCGATATACCCACCCTTTCCCTCTCCCTTTCGAGGTAGGAGCTATGGCCACAAATCACAATCATCTTACAGGCATGCACGTAGTATTTTGCTAACAGTGACACACACCATGGTAAATGCCAGAGTAGCACTGCGTCAGGAGCAAAAGTAGCCCACCCATCCACCCACACGATCAAAATGACGCCACCAATTAACGTATGTGATGGATGTTTTAGGTTTGTCTTTGCTTGCTTTGGTTTGTTTTGAGGGAAGTGGAAAATCCACTCGAGGTTTGCATCGCACAGCACAGCACAGCACAGCACTGCACTGCACAGCCCCCCTTGGCATTTTCTGTTAATTCATTTACTGCGTATTTTGCTCAAGGGGAAGTTGTGGCTTGAAGGGCAGCTCGAGTCGGGCATATCTTAAGCACTGCTCCGGCGGACAAAATGAAAGGCACGTACGTACTGTAATAGTTGTACCAAAATGATTAAAGTTGATTGATGCAACAATTGTATCAAAATTGATAATTCCAACTTCTTCCATGAAGACCTAGGTATCAGTAACAGGTACATTCCGGTATCCCATGCACTCACTTACTTATATGGGTCTTATCATGATTCGCGACGCATGGGAATGGGGTACCTCCCGACTAGTACCTGATTATTCTGCTGGAAAGGAGAAAGGGCATTGTATTGGTGGGTGGCTGGGCGGGTGTACTGGATGTCGGTATTTGGTTTGTCGGGATAATCTGATTTCTTGGTATGGATGATCAGAGTGCAGTGAGAGTCTAGATGTGAATTGTAGAATTGGAATGATTTTTATGTGATGATGATTGGTGAATCTTGGTTAGGAATAATATTGTTATTCTTTATTTCAGGGTTTTAAGCTTCTGGTTTCGTTCTTTTGATGAGGTCCAAACACAACATGGAACGCGAAGCAGAACACAGAACAGAACACAGAACAGAACACAGAACAGAACACATGTTTTTGGTCAACTACAATCAAGGAACAGATTCAACTATTTCATCTGCTACGACTGGAGCTATAGTGGCGTCAGCACATCCGAAGTTAAGTTACTTGGCAGATAAAAGTTGCACATATCCATATCCATATCCATATCCATATCCATATCCATATCCTTATCTTGGTATATGCAACGTCTCAAAAAAGAAGTAACAATCATCATACCTGCCCAGCTGGAGAGCTTCGCGACAATAACACACATAACATCGTTCCTTCCAATCGCCCATACATGTACACCCAAACTTAAAACTACCTAGGTAAGAGAACCTCAGTCACCCTTTCTATTATCGTATCGTCTGCCATTCCAGCCATTCCAGCCGTTCCATTTGAATTTATATATATCCTCCTCTCTCTTACACAGCACATCGGCTTTCTCTCCTTTCAAGTTTTCCACTTGATGGTGAAGCTCTCTTCAATTCATCAATCAAAGCAAAGCAAATACAATACGCGATTAAATTCTTGTTCTTGAAACGCACCCACCATTCATCACATTTTGATGCGCTTGATCAACACACCTGCCTGCATCATCCTCATCATCAACAGGAGACCACCTCCACTGAAAAGGAGGCGCAGCACCCAGCACCCAGCACCTGGAAATCTCTTCCTCCGCACATCAAAGCTACCTTGACCAGATTGTGTCCGAGATTCTAATAACTACGCGCACAACAACCTTCATGATCCCAACCTATTATTCTTTTGCCTTCAACCTACTGCCCTTTTCGTCCTACTTGCGCCGAAATCCAGAGGTTTAATTCATATTAGCATTTGGCATTTGGCATTTGGCATTTAGTTTTTAGTTTTTAGCATTCTCCTCTTCCGTTTCCGAGGAAGAATCTTGCTAAGATGGTTTGTAAGTAAACAAATTATCCTCACGCTTTCCTTTGCCAGTTTTGAAGATCTTCCATCTATCAATTCGATTCACAACATTATTTCCTGTTGGAAAGTTCGATGATATTCGCCAATTTTGTATCACAAGTAAGAAGTCGAAACATACAGTCGGGTCTTTGATCCATCTCTTTGTTACATCTCACATTTGCCCTGCACTTGAATGGTACCACACATCCAGCTTGACCTTTGTTCCGTCTTCATCACAGGACAGCTACCCAGAGTCCAAAAGACCTAAATCTTGAAGCCAAGCATTAGTCCTTTGGCGTCCTGTTTACACCATATTTCTTGTTCTCTTTTATTCTGTTGTCTACTTGATCCACCTGTCAATCTGCCAGCAAAATGCCAAGGGACTTCTTGGAAGCTTAGTTCGGCTGCCGCGCACTCTGCAATTTCAATATCGGACATCACACGGAGTGGCTGGGCTAACTTTATATCTTGCTTGATATGTAGCACAAACGCAATTTCGAAGGGAAATCGCACGCGTAAGGTCCCTCAAACGCAACCCGACCTCTGAAAGCAATTCAGGAAATATGTCGACTCAAGCGGATGAAAGGACGGGGCTGTTGGGCGCCAACGGACATGGAAATGACAGACGCAAGAGCAGCGTTCACGAGTTCTTTCTTAGCAGGAAACATACACCAGGAACGGACAGCGACAGGGCCATTGTTAGCTACTCGGCTTCGACATGGCACGTAGGGAAGGTTACATTGTATAGTAGTTACGTCAACGTCCTTTTGGTCTTTGTACCATTGGGTATAATCGCAGGTCTCACACATTGGGATCCGGTCGTCATCTTCACTCTCAACTTCTTCGCTATTATCCCATTGGCCTCCATCCTGTCTTTTGCAACAGAAGAAATATCTATGAAGTTAGGAGAAACACTTGGAGGTCTCTTGAACGCAACATTTGGCAATGCTGTGGAACTTATTGTAGGTACCGGTGCCAAATTGTGTTGGTTATGGGCTAATGATGAATTTTGCAGGTCAGCATTATAGCATTGAAGCAAGGCCAAATCCGCATTGTTCAATCGAGTATGTTAGGTAGTATCTTGTCGAACTCTCTACTTGTATTGGGATGTTGCTTTATAGCTGGCGGAATCCACAATACACGAACTGGTACATCTATGGGTATCGAGCAGAAATTTAACGACACTGTTGCAGGAACCATGTCATCCCTTATGGTTCTTGCTGCATGCGCTTTGATTATCCCTGCAACTGTAAGCTGAACTCTCATCTGTTTGCAACAGTAGCTGACTTTCTCGAAGCTTTATTCTGTTCTCGCGAAATCATCAGCAGACACTGAAACCAACATTTTGATTCTCTCTCACGGAACAGCAATCATTTTATTAATTCTGTATTGTCTCTATTTGTTCTTTCAGCTTCGAACACATGCCAATCTATTCGATGCTGAAAGCCAAGCAGCAGGAGAGGAGGAAGAAACACCACAGATGAGCCCATGGGCTGCCGCCGCCGTTCTCGTGATTGTCACAGTCGCTGTATCTATTTGCGCTGATTACTTGGTTGATTCCATCGACTCGATCGTTGAGAGTGCTCATATCTCCAAAACATTCGTTGGTCTTATTCTACTCCCCATTGTTGGTAATGCCGCCGAGCATGTCACAGCTATTGTGGTTGCTGTCAAGGATAAGATGGACCTTGCAATGGGTGTAGCCATCGGATCAAGTATGCAAATTGCACTTTTCGTCACCCCATTCCTTGTGATCTTGGGATGGATCATGGACAAGCCTATGACTTTACATTTTGAAACATTTGAGACAGTGGTTTTCTTCTTGAGTGTCTTGGTTGTTACTTATGTTGTTCAAGATGGCAAGAGTAATTACTTGGAAGGTTGTATGGTAAGTCCTCATCAAATTCCGGATTTTCAACACCTTTTCACTGACATTTACATAGCTTCTTGGTCTTTACATCATAATTGGCCTCGCATTCTTGGTATATCCAGATGCTCCTGCCGGAGCAGGAGAAATTGGGGAAAATGTGGTCAGATCAGTCAAGTCTTTGGCAGGATATTAGTCCGAGATTGTGATGTGGTACGCGTGGTTGATAATAATTGTATCAAATTGTGGCAACAAAAAGCGTTTCAGCGCTGGATATGAAAGGCAGATATTGAGAATTCATAGCAGGAGACGATTGACAAGGTTGGTGGCACTTTTAATATTGCTCGTTATTACCGAAAAAGAAAAACATTATGGGATTTTTTGGGAAATTTTTATGAGAGCGATTGCTGGGAATGCAAATGGAATGGATGGATGGATGAATTGTAAAAATAGTTAGGGGGTTGGTGGTGGGGCTGCGAAGCTAATACCTGCTTATGTATGTATGTATGTATGTATGTATGTATGTATGTATGTATGTATGTATATGATACCTCGCGAGTAATACAATACGTTGAGTTTATTTGGGCAGATAGATGTTGGTGAGTGCGTGTGTTTATTTGTAAGACTTATATTACAAGGGTAATAGGGTATCGTGAGGTTATATATTCCTTCCTGGGTATACTACAGCTATGCTACATACTAGGTAGATACCTAATCAAAAGTATGAATACAACTCAATAAATGCGCTATTAATGCCTGCGCAGCCTTGAGCGCAAATGCATATTTCTATTTCTAAAGCCATTTATTCATTTATCCATTTATCCATCCATTCATTTTTATATATAACCTAAAACCCGTGATGATCCAAACACAAACACAAACAGAAAATATACACCGTTCCGCCTATGCGTCTATCGACGCCACATATTCAAAGTTGCAAGTCGTCGATAAGGATTTAGGGAGTAGATATATATAGGTATATATACATGTATCTCTTTTCCTTTCCTTCATTCTTTTTTCCCCTCTTTCTCTCTTGAAAGTTCAAACTCGGATTTAAGACTTCTCCCTTCCTCCTCACGCACACAGGGGAGAGAAGATTCATAATTAAAAATTGAAAATTGGGATCTCGAGGAGACAGAGACAGACAGACAGACTCTAGAGCTAATTATGTAAGTAAGCGGACTTGATAACGTGAGTATTGAGAGGCTATAGGCCGAAAGTGTCGTATTTAGAGAGGTCAGAGAGGGCGATTGGGAGAATTCTCTTCTCTGTGGTAGGGGATTTGGGGTTTATTTTGTTGGGGGAGGTTTCGCGTGGGGGTTTGACGGGAATGGTTGAGAGGAGGTGATGTGGATCATCTTTTCTTTTCCTCTCTTGTTGTTGTTTTGCCCGTTCTTCTTTGACACTATCGGTGTTTTGCTTTCTTCCACCTCCATCTTTTAACCTATTACCCTCTCTATTGCCAATCATCTTCTTTCCTTGTCCTTGTCCTTCCCGCACCCCTTGTCTCCCTCTTTCAACCTCGCGAGCTTTCCTCCTCCTCTCTCTCCTCTTCCACCTTTCAATCTCCTCCTCATTCAGCACCCAATCCCTACCCAAAATCCCCAAGGAAGGATCCTTCAACCCCGCACATTCATCCCACCATTTCCTTTCCACATCTGTACTTTCTACCACTCCCATTTTCACAATTTGCAGCTGCGGCATCGACATATATGTTCCCATCACTCCGAGAATCCGTACAGTTTTACATTCGGAGATGGTGTCCCAGGGGATTTGAGGCTGGGTGATTGAGGGTTCGCTGGGAGCTGGTGTTTGGGTGGTGGGGAGGTTGGTTTTAGATGTTGAGGTTGAGGTTGTGGATGAAGAGGGATTGGATGGTGGCGGTGGAGGTAAGAGTGCCACACATTCTAAACATACCCCGCTTGAATCATCGATAGTGTAGATGCGGCGACGGGCAAAATCATCAATAGAGACAATAAGACCGATGAGTTTTATGTACCGAATTGGATGGTTGAGGTAATGGTGAATTGATTTATCTTGCGTTTGTTCCGTTAGCTGATGATTTTGTTCATTCTATTTATTCTATATGCAAATGGTATTTCGATAATGAATTCCCTCCTTGACGGAGAGAAAGAGAAGAGCAACACGGGAGAGTAAAGTAAAGAAACAAGAAAAAGAAAACAACAAACTTTCATAATAAACACCCCTGGTATTCAAAGTAGCGATATCCGCACATCTTAAAGCGCACCATTTTTGAATAGTAGGCGACAGATGATATAGATTTAGCGGGAGGAGTGGTGTGAGTGTGGATGCAGATGTCGATGCAGATGTCGATGAGGGGGTTGTCATGACATTTTCTGATGGAGCATGATGTTGAGAGTAATTGCTGCTCTTCAATTGCTATGCGAGCAGAGCAGAGCAGATTTTAAAAGTGAGGTTTTGATCGGGCGAATGCTGATTTAGCTGTAGCTGGTAGCTGGTTGTTGAAATGGAATATATATGAATGAAATGTTTGTTGAAATGGGCGTTTCAGATGCGACCGAGGCGAAGGGAAATCGCGAAGTGCACGCGTCCGGGATGTGTGTCACGTGATTGACGCTACTGCTCGGTTGATCGATGGGAAGTCCAGAGCTCGGACGAGACTAGGATTTGCGCTGAAGATGTAGAATATTCAAATAGCTCGTCTCAAACAATCAAAGAATTAAAGTCCCATGCCCGAATATGAAATATGTCAAAAGGCTCAAATGAAATGCATATTTTGATTAGGAGTTGTATTGAAAATGGATAAAGCCTCATATTAAACCATCGTAGTTATCAACGCCTACTTCTATGCATGTCATGTCATATCCATCCGGCCGTGCTAAAGAAAAACCCTCCACCAAACTCCATTTCCTTATGTAGATATCATATCATCATGCCCGAGTAGTTCTACTGCGCTTGGATTGCCGAGTGGCTGGTTTCATCGCTCTCTTTTTCGGGGCTGGTTTCTCGACCTCGACCTCGATCTCTTCTTCCTCTTCTTCCTCCGCTTCTTCTGCTTGATAATCATTACCACCGTCATCCATTTCTATATCTTCATCTTCATTCTCAACTTCTTCCTCTACCACAGGTTCTCTCTTCTTGCCCCTTGATGACTTCTTCTTGGGTGTTGGTATTTTATCTGCCTCAACATCATCCTCGGAATCGACTCCTCTTTTCTTCCCTTTGCCCTTGGCTTTGCCGTTACTCTTACTCGAGCCTAAACCGTTTTGAATTCTCTGAAATTCCTCTTCATCCAATCCACTTGGGTCGTTTGCCGACTTCTTTCCACCTGACGCATATTTTGCCTCTAATACATCAAGGAAACTACCTCTTGAGGCTTGCCTGGCCTGGATAATAGCAGCCAAATCATCCATATGATCAGGGACCTGTTTCTTTGACTTTTTACTCTTCTCCGCTCCGTTTCCACTAGATCCCTTCAATAATTTATCAGCACCTAACTGATTCGCGGCCTTCGCAGCTTCCTTCTCCTCCTCCCTAGCCTTCCTCATTCTCTTAGCTTTCGAAGCCTTAGTTTCCTGTCTAAAGACAGCATATTCCTCAACCTCTCCCTTCTTGATTGCTTCCTCGATAATCCCGCGGAATCGTTCTTCATCCTGGATTGGGTCACTTAACATAATAACCTGGTACATTTTCCCCCATCTTCCTTCGTGTACGGTATAAGCTGTGAGCAAATCATCCTTCTCCTCAACAGAACCTTTGTAGATACTGGAAAATTCATTAATGGCATCGGCAGTAACAATATCTCTGTATTGCTCGGAATAGAAATCGGTCCAGGAGAAACCATCAGCATCGACAGATTCAGAGGTAGATCCAGTACGATCATAGCGTTTGCGACGATTAGGATTAGAGAGGATGGCATATGCAAAAGCGATTTCTTGGAATTTGGTATGGGAATCAGATTTGAGATGTGCTGGAGCTTTGTCTAGGATATTGTTAGCTGTGTAATTGACTTTTGAGATGGTTGTGTTTCATGAAATCGAAAGTGATAATCCCGTGAAAAAAATCGCATAGATTTTATAGGTTCCAAAAGTAATGAAGAATACTATGGCATACCTGGGTGGTGCTTCAAAGCGCATTTACGATATGCACGTTTGATCTCATCTTCAGAGGCAGATTTCTCAATACCGAGAACTTCGTATGGATTGATTTGAGGAGGGGTTTCATCTGCAACATCGTTTTGGGTAGCCATTTTCAGATATGTGTAGGTATCGTTGTTGAAATTTTGTAGAATAATGGTGAATTGAGACGATGCTCTAGTATGTTTGTTTGTTCGAGGAAACGCGTTTGATATGGAGGTCGCGTAAAGTGTTCTGAGTGCACTAGAATTGGAATATGGAGAGGTGCCGCTTAGTCATGGCACACTGCACTTCCCGATTTGAACAAACATCCAAGAACATACTATGCAGGTCCTCGCCTTCACTTGATTCTAGCTGTTTGTTCTTACCTAGTTTACTACTTTGAGACCTCCAATTTAAATTTTCAATAAGCTCGAAATATCAATGAACTTTACAGATATCAATTGAGATTTTGGTATGTTACGGAAAGTATGTCACGTTTAAACGAAGTCACTGATGTCCAACAATTGGACTTATCATTTCTAAACATTACATACATTTCTCATTTTACCGACATCATTCCCCACAAACACAATTAAACGCTGAAATCAACCCAGCTTACATCACCGAAAGCTCCTGAAGGATCCTGGAATACTTTAGCGGGACTACTGTAAGGCTCCCATTGCGAGTCGCTGAGTTGCACATCGAACAACGAAGCGGCCCTTGCAGTCGCGTTGTAACCTGGTCCGTAGTTCTTATACTCAGCTTGGGTAGTGCTGTAATTACCATTGGTGGCATTGTAGCGAGCAGGGATCCAGTCTATGTATCCTGTGGGAAGGATAGAATCATCGAGGTAGGTGTGGGCGAAGATTGCTCGCATTTGTGCGTTCTGTTTGGCGATTGTTAGATCATTCCCATAAATGGCTTAAGGACGGAGAGAATATACCCAAGGTCTGCCAAGTGGGCAGGCTCCTTTGATGCTCAAACTACTGTTTGCTTTCTGTACTGATGAATCTACAATGTATACTCCATATTTGTTCTCAAAGGTCGTGTTCGTTCCCTTCCAAGCTGTAATTCCGCCTGAAACAATTTGAGTTAATAAAAGTAAGAACGTGGATAATAGGCAAAAGGACGAACTTACCTCCACATGATCGAAGAGAGAGCAGTGTGTTGTTAATGAAGAGAGTCCCGAAACCGTAAAGGAAGTCGGTCTCACCGGCGACGACAGATTGAGATATGTACGAATTGGATAGTTTGCCTACGTAGATCTTGGTTGTGTTAGTTTGCGGGAGAAGAAAAAAAATGAGCAATCGGTGGATGGCATACAGTATCTTGGTAGCTGTAAAAGCCGGTATAGTAAAAACCACCGTTTGCATAGCTTATGCTCAATGCGAGGGAAGGCCCATCACCTATTATCTTGTTAGAACGTTCTCCTGTTTATTCCGATACTCCGCCCAAAGCCCGACCGTTTTGTCACCCTCTTCCTCCTGTTAGAAAAGCCAGCAACTTACTGTATGGCGCAAAATTATTGATGAAATTCAGATTGTATGTTCTAAAGTCTTTGCATCCAAATGGCGTTCCTGGTGGGACGGCAAACCCGGTCGGGCCACTTCCAGTCAAAGACGCATTGAGAGTAGGCGCAACAGTCAAAGTGGATGTGTAAGCGTTATCCCCTTTGCCAGCAATAGCGCTCCAGATGATATTGACGGCATTTTTAGATTGATTGTAAGGATTTGCGGTTTCACCGAGCAAATATGTAGGACCCGGACGAGTGATGTTGACCTACGCTCCGATGTTAACGATCATGCCACAAGCCAGAGAGCAAAGGACAAAGTGAACATAATTCTCACCTGCTCCGTGTAGTTGCCCGATGCAATAAGAATAATATATGTATCATTATTGTTTGGTAAGCTCGCAACAGCTGCATCGTTTACATTAGCCTTAATTCAAACCTTCAACTTGTGCAATTCTACCACATCCCACTTCACCTCTTATGGGAGATCCGAGTACATACCGGACTGCACCGTCTTGAAATTGGAACTACTTCCTACATACTTCGTCCTTTGCAAATCACATCCATCCAAAGGATTTTGGGTTTGTTTTTGACAGGCATGTCTATTCTGCTGGTTATTGATGTTCCAACTGGCTGTGACAAAAGGAGCGAGAGAAGCTAGAAGTACTAATGGGCGGACCATTTTGAGGACTTTTTGAACGGTCAATTGAAAAATAGAAATGTCAATTGATATTAAGGAACTTTTTCAAAAGAAACACGAAGGAGGGCTACTTTATATCTAAATGCGAGTGAGCTTGATGTATGTATTACTAACTGCATCCAGAAAGTGGATTGCAGATTGCCGATGCTTCGGAATAATCCAACACCCATGTCTACGCTCTCCTATCTCACCGACTTATACATACATACAAACTTCCGCATTATCATCATTTCTGGCCGAAAGCCGTTGAAGATTCATGCGTGAAGATAAATATTCGTGCGGTCAAAAAGTATTTAACCCCGAAGCTACGGGCACGTACCTCAAGATGGAAACCTACAAGAGGAATGTCACTACCTGGTTTCTTTAGCGTCGGAGGTTCATACTTTTGGGCGGCATGAGTACCCCTTGTTGGAGAAGCTTGCATAGAAGACTAGAGTGCTTGTTTGCTAGGTGTTAGATATCTAGGTACACACCGATGATAGTTTGCATGGCTCGAGCATGGCTGGCTCGAGCATGGTTCAAGAAATGCGATTACGACGGGCAAGGATAAGAATTCAGACGAACGATTTTCTTTTCTTTCCACTCGAAAACCGAAAAATCTATAAGTATTAATAAGGAGAAAAGCAATAGGTAGGCACCTAGTCTAGAATCACCCCTTAACTTAAGTTTTGGTAAACTCTAGTACATTATGATACACCGCATGCAAGCTTTCACATAAACCTTAATAGACTAAGGAGAGCGAGCCGGGAAGCAAAAGGTATTTAAGCTTTTGCACAGTAATCGAATTTTCACTTGCCGATTTTGGCTTCTTCGACTTGTGCGACTTGCGACTTGCGACTTACGATATACAATTTCAACATGTGAAAAGGTTTTGAAAATATTAGAAAAAGGATCTACCTAGCCTTTTGCGGGGAAATGCAAATACTTTGGGGTGATCGATCCTAGGGATTCTAGAAAAAGCCGGTGTGAATTAGTGCGGGGAACGGCTGAGCATTATTGCGCCAATAGGAGTGATGGCTTGGGGGGGTTGAGGGTGTTTTGGTGGTGTGTGCACGGGTTTGTAGATCATTGGATTTATTAGGCCTTGAACTTCAATGGAGTTTGTTGGATTTTGTTTTCCTCTTCTCTTTCGATTGCTGTCCAGTGTGTGTGCGAATATGGTCTTTGGTGTAATTAATCGAGTTGATTTGCAAAAGAGCCAAAAAGAACTTAAAATTAATGCTAAACTGAGTGGATGGTCTACTAGTAAAACAAGATTTACAAGTGTGTGGTATTGTCTAAGCAATCATATGTGCGCCGCATCCATATCTTACAAATTTCCAGGCTGGTTCGTTCCTCTATCAATCACTATTCCATCCTCTTGTTTTTCCCTCTCTATTTCCTTCTCTTGTCCATGCCCCTTCTTCACACTCCTCCAATCCAATCCGCATGCTGCCATAAAGCTGCCAATCGCACAGGCAGTAGTCACCCAATAACAACGGGTAAGTCCTTCTACGTAAGCTTGCAACACAGCATTCAAGGCTTCTTCTTGTTGCAGCTGTGCTAGCAACTGTCGAATTTCTGTTGCCCCGCTGTGTAAAAATAATTGAGGATCTAGTTGGGGAGCATGTTCTTCTATTCCAGATTTTAGTCCGTTTTGAAAAAGGGTTTGACAGACGGATATAAGGAGGGCACCGCCTAGGGACTGGAAAAATGATACGCATGCTGTACCGACGGGTACATCGACGAGTGGAAGAACGGTTTGGACTACCAGAACACCGCCTTGAAAACCAACGCCAATTCCAATACCAGTTATGACTTGAAAGCCGAACCATCGGGACATGGGGGTTGTGAGGGAGAAGGTGGTGATAAGACCGGAGCCGACGGCGAATAATATCATACAGAAAATCATCACGGGAGTGTAATATCCGATTGCGGTGATGAGCCCTCCGGTTACTATGGAGGATAGAACTGTAGATATTAGAAGAGGGAGAAGCTCAATACCGGCTCTGGTTGCAGAGGAACCTTTGACGGATTGAAAGTAGATTGCCAGGTAGAAGATCAGAGAAAAGAAACCGGCGCCAAAGAGAAACGCGAATACGTATGCGAGTATAGTGTTGCGATCTTTAAAGAAGCGGGGAGGGAGAATGCCTTTATCACCGAGGATGATTTGTGAGGTTATGAATAAGATGAATAACAAGATCGATCCAATGAGGAGACCAATGATCCTAGCAGAACTCCATGGATATGTTGTGCCACCCCATTGGAGCGCGAGCAGGAGGCATATGACGCCTGGGATAAGAATGGCTGTGCCGATGAGATCGAGCTTTTTGATACGAGCGAGAATGGAAAGGTTCTCGGGGTTGTTGACGCGGTGGATCTTGAGGTAAACGGCAATTACAGCTATAGCGACGGCGCCGATAGGAAGATTAATATAGAAGCACCAACGCCAAGATACTTTGTCGGTCTGCCCTGATCAGTGTTTGCCTTGTGAAATTCCGAACTAGACTTACGAATACACCCCCAAGCAATGGTCCTGCGACAGAAGCAATTCCCCACATCCCTCCACTGAATAGTATTCATGTCAGTGCTTGTAACAAAAACAGGCAACTCCAATTGCTTTTTACAAAAGTTTATCCACCTACATCAAACCAAACGCAGCTGGTCGTTTTCGTAAAGGTACTATTTGTTGAGTCAGGATCATCCAGAATACATAAATAGATAAAAAACGGGCTAAATGTGAATAATGCAATCGGTTGAAGCCATCCATTTATATCGCCACCGGGCTAAAATCTGTGCACTTACAACAATATGCCAAAATAACTATTGCTCCTGAAAATAAACCTCCAACTCCTATTCCAGCTATAGCTCTACCCACTATCAACGCGGTGCTATTCGGCGCAGTGGCGCAAACCAAGGAACTGTCCCATTTATCAATTCATATATTCCATCCCTATATTTGTGACATCACATTACCCGATTTCGAAAATGATTATAGCTACGATGAAGGTGAGTTTGATCTGCAGAGTTATATAAGTTTCCGCACAATATATTAGTATCTGTAGACTTTCTTGCTTACACTGAATATAGTATATATCCTACCAAAGGTCGGTTGCAGAGCGGTGGTGGTCAAGAGGTATGCGCTGCCATACCATCCAATATCTTGTATGCTATTGAACTGATCTGTTATTTTCGGTATAGCAGTTGCGATAATGGTCTGATCTAAAGCTACTAAAAAGACTGCGATGCATAGCGCCGCCAGAATGACGACCAATTTTAAACCATGGGGATAAACTGCCTCTTCGCCATCTAACTCGTCAGGGCTCAAAGTTGATCCTTGTTGTAGAGGTGCGCCCGCTGGAACAGATTCCTCTGGTATGTTATCTTTGGATAGCGAATCCGATGCGTTGGATATATCAATTTCGTTCTTGGGTGCTTCCACTACGGGCTTGCCTCTGCTATCCATGTCTGCTGTTGATGATATTGATTTTGACATCATAGATACGACGATTTCCTTTGAAAAAATTGGTAAATTTGGATGATAGTCAAGTTTTGCTGTTTCGGCGAGACACTTTAGTCTCAATAAGGAAACAGCAAAACCTTTCTGCTAGACAGAATAACCCAAAAACAATGGCAGCATCACTAACTTGCTGACTCACTCAATGACTATGGAAAGTCATGAGGCAAAGAATTGAGGGTGTTGTCAATAAACTGATTTCTTTGTTATTGTATCCTTATGATTCATTCCATATCTGAAAGCTCTTTTGATTCGTCACGGCAACCGGCAGTGAAAGCCACAACTTATGCATAGCATTCTCATCGGCCAACTATTTGGGCGGCTCCTTTTAGTTTGGGCATCTCAATTTTTCGAACAAACATCAATTTCTGATACAGCCAATTTATGCATTCTTACATAACCACGATTTTTTTGGTTTGTTGACAGAATTTAAATGGGTGAACTGGAAAGTAGAGGCTTATTGGTATGCCACTATCAAGGGAAGTTAGTTGCATGCTTCCGATGATTCGAGCTTAAAGTTAGAAAGTAACAAAGCCAATGTTTCGCCCAGAACAATTCATTTGGACCGCTCTTGTCATGTAAATAGCAGCATTTTTCTTGGGTGGCAGATATATTTGCCTAGATCTTTTTGCTTTAAAAGGGCTGACCATCATCACTCACTTCATCACCGATTAAGCGGCCCGCAGAAGGTTATGTTGAACAACCAAAAATGACTCTTTCTTCGTGTAACGCTTTTTCTGTCCTTGCCTGAACAATGCAGCAAGTTCCTTAGATGCAGAATTGCATGATACCTAGGTAGTTTGAAGTGAAATATACTCAGGATTTTCAACTCTACAATAGCTAGAAGTGAGGAGAGAGAATATATATTTGAATACTCTAACCTGACATTCTTTTGTCCTTAAGCTTCTTTCTTTGAGAAGATTTTCTTGGTACACAAACTATCTCACTCTCAAAGGGAAAGTGGGGTAATTGACAAAAATACGAGTATTGGCTTGCAACAATCGCAGTTGGCTCAAGAGCTCCTTCTACCAATTGTTCTCGAAAGTAAGCTAAGCTAAGCTGACGCTGCAACCTTTCTCCTCTCCTCTCCCTCCTCTCTTCCATCTCCCTCTCTTTCCTTCTCACCCTTATCTTTCTTTCAACCTCACAAATACACATTATATTCTTCTAATTTATCATATATCCGCTATTGGAAATATATTTAATCCCCAGCGTTTGTACATTCTCTTCCAGCTCTATTGCTGTAAGCTCTAAAATTACAATGTAAGTGGTCAAGCAAGTCCTGCTACGCATCGAGGCTCCATGCATAGTAGCAGCTCATGCATGCGTCCCTTCCAATTGCTAGCAAACACCTAGCTACCATATGATCTTTTCCCAATCTGAACTTCTACTGCAGTAAAGCAACCCCTCACCTATTAAAAATCGCCTGGCCTACTTATCTCACTCCACCTCAACAACAAAACCTACCGTCGGTCCCATCTCAATTTTTACCACAATTCATCAGTTTATCGCTCAAAGAATTTGATACACTATCAAGAGTTGAAAATTAGCTTTATCCCATCAACTGTCAGTATTCCTCTCCATAGTTAGATATTCCAGCTATCGATTGCTCAATTTCCAAAGAGTATGCTTCAACTTTATTTCATTACCCTCTATGAATGCCAACCATGGATGACTTGCCTGCCTCCTCGTGGCACAATTATCTCCCGCTAGATTACAGTTTCAGCTTGAAGATTGTACCTGATCGACAGCTACTCATCGTTCTCAACCACATTTTCATTACCTTCTTTTAGCAATGGCAATCCATCACCTTCCATTGTCTGACTGTCATAAGACATCATATTGTTTCGCACTTTTGGGTTGTGTTCGATAAAACATCGCGTTTCTTTGACTTACAAAGCAACTCCGTTTTACTAGCCAAGTGGCACATGCTTCCTACAACCGACATCTTTCTACTAATATCGTATTCTTCTACTCCCTAATTCTCAGACTAGATCAACTCATTTTCATGACCGTCTACGCTTCGTCCTTTTAGTTTGCTTTCTAACATTCATTCTCAGATACACTCGACAAGCATTTTTTTTGGAGCACCCTCATTAGCCCTTTCCATGTCTTTTGATCCAGCAGCACGCGGACGTGGCCGTGGTGGTCGTGGTGGCGGAGATCGTGGTGGCCGTGGTGGTGGAGATCGTGGTGGCCGTGGTGGTGGAGATCGGGGTGGAAGGGGAGGTGGAGATCGTGGTGGAAGGGGAGGTGGAGATCGTGGTGGAAGGGGAGGTGGTTATGGTAGCTCAGACCGTGGTGGAAGAGGGGGCGGTTATGGCAGCGGAGATCGAGGTGGGGACGGGGCTACGGTGGCGGGGATCGTGGTGGCCGGGGAGGAGGTGGACGTGGTCGTGGCGGTCCAGTAGTCGTCTTCAAGTAAGGATTTCACTTCACTATTTTTGGTGTTGATCTAATGAACTCTCCAGAGACCCCAACTACCCTGCGGAGGCCCCTGATGCGAATGTCGCCAAGATGGAAAATGACTACCATCAGAGCTTGTCGGGAATCGGTGCTCTTAGTAAGATGTCCCTCAGCCAGAGATATCCTGCTCGTCCGGGGTACGGGACTAGTGGCCGAGAGATCCAGCTTTTTACCAATTCATTCTCGTTGAATACCAGACCCAACTTCACTTTAGGTCGATATATGGTAGATATATCGCCAAACATGGATGCTGCCAAAAAGAAACGAACCCAGCTTTTTAGGCTCGTGCTCGACTTGCCTGAGTTTGCAAACATTCCTATTGCCACGGATTACGCTTCAATGCTTATTACACCAAATAAGCTGCCTTTCACAGATGAGCGTATTTTCGATATCCCTTGGCGAAACGAAGGGGAGGACGATCCACTTCCAAATGCCCAAGTTTACCACATTCGGATCAGCTCCCCGACCTCTTTCAACATCTCCGATTTCGTTAAGTTTTTATCCAAGAATCCTGCGACTGATGTATCAGAGAAGCAAAAAGAGGAGACTATCCAAGCCATGAATACGCTTCTCGGATTTTATGCAAAGACTGATAAAGGAACTGTTTCCATTGCCGGTAACAGACACTTCTCCACGGCCCGGAAGGGCAACGAGCATAATTTTACGGCCCTCAGTATGGGACTGGAGGCTATACGCGGCTTCTATCAGAGTGTTAGACCAGCCACTGGTCGACTATTGTTGAACGTAAACGTCACTCACTCCGTCTTTCTTGAGCCTGGATCTCTGGTTTATTTATTCCAGAAACTTGGCCATGGTCATGGTGTCGTGGATAAGATTAAAAGGAAGCGTGTTGAAGTGAATCACTTACCTGCAAAAAAGTCTAAGAACGGTGCGACCATTCCGCGGGAGAGATCCATTTGGGACTTGGCTCGCCCAGGTGACGGTAGCACGGAGGAACACCCTCCACAGATTGCAAGGTATGGCGCTGGACCAAAAGACGTCAAGTTTTACATTTCTGCTGAAGCACCATCAACGAAAGGCGGGGCTCCACCTAAGGCCGGATCAAAAAAAGCTTCTGCGCCGGCCCTTAAAGTCAATATGTACATCTCAGTATTTGATTATTTCAAAAAAAAATATCCGAGTTTTAAGTTGAACCAAGACTTTCCGGTGGTCAACGTTGGCAGCAACCTTAAACCATCTTATCTGCCTGCGGAGGTCTGCAATATAAAACCAGGTCAGGTTGTTAAAAAGGCTCTACTGGGGGATCAAACTCGAATGATGTTAGATTTTGCAAACAGAAGGCCCGAGCCCAATGCTATGTCCATTATCACATCTGGAAAACAGGTCTTGGGACTAAATGCTAAGGACAATCCCCTTTTAGCTCAATTCGGAGTTCAGGTTGGTAACAGTCTGATAACCGTTCAAGGCCGTGTGCTACCGCCACCCGCAATCAACTACAAGAACAAACAACTTCGCCCAATGACGACGATGCCTAGGGATGGTTCTTGGAATATGAGAGACACGCGCTTTCATACTTGTGGAGATTTGGGCCCGTGGACTTACATGATAGTTGAATCTACAAGCCGTGCTAGTGCTAGAGTGGACCAGCACGCTGTGGCAGAAACAGTAGATCAATTCCGGAGACACCTTCATGGTGCAGGTATAGGTGTTCAAGGTTACATGAATATGCCAGCACCTTCTGTCATGCACCAAGAGGGAAATGAGACGGCTACCTCTAACAATGTTTCGAGTGCCTTCACAATGATGACTACATCCAAAATCCGTCCAAAGCCCAAGTTTGTTCTCTGTATCCTTCCGGTCAACGATGTGATGCTTTATAACACGATAAAGAGACATGCAGATACCAGAGCTGGTATACATACAGTCTGCGTACAATACTCGAAGTTTGTAAAGGGAGACTTACAATATTTTGGCAATGTTGCGTTGAAGTTCAATCTCAAGGCGGGTGGTATTAATCAGACAATCGACAAACTCGGCGTTATCAATGAAGGGAAGACGATGGTTGTCGGCATTGATGTTACACATCCATCCCCTGGATCGAAAGAGACAGCCCCTAGTGTTGCTGCCATGGTAACAAGTACTGATAAACTATTGGGCCAATGGTCAGGTATTTGTCGCTTGCAGAACCAAGCCCGACAAGAGATGGTGTCAGATCTTGAATCAATGTTCATGAGGCTCTTAGATATCTGGAGCAAGAAAAACAAAGCATGGCCTGAAAACATCCTAATTTACAGAGATGGTGTTTCGGAAGGGCAATACAACATTTTGCTCGACCAAGAATTACCGAAGATTAGGAATGCTTGTCGTCAAAAGTACCCAGCTGATTTGACCAAGAAAAACCTCCCGAGAATCTCGATCATAGTTTGTGGTAAACGTCATCACACACGATTCTATCCAAAGGATGCCGAAAGTGCTGACTCTAAATCAAACTGTCCTGCTGGAACCGTCGTCGACCGCGGGGTTACCGAATCTCGCAACTGGGACTTTTTCCTCCAACCTCATCAATGTCTGATGGGAACAGCTAGGCCTTGTCACTATTTTGTCATCCTAGACGAAATATTTAAAGCCCAGAAGGTGAAGGGTTCTCATCAGAGCTCAGCCGATTCTCTTGAGGAGTTAACGCATAACATGTGCCATCTTTTCGGGCGAGCAACCAAGGCTGTCAGTCTGTGCCCACCTGCATACTATGCGGACTTGTTGTGCACGCGCATGAGAGCGTACCTTGCAGATCAATATGACCCTCCGACAGGTAATACTACACCGCAACCAGGAGCGGGACCAGCCCTGGGTGTAGGCCAAGATCGAGTCACAATACAAGCTGACATTGCAGAGTCAATGTTCTGGATCTAAGCATCACGAAATGTTCCCGGTCAAAACACCTGTATCTCTGCCTTAACAACCTGGTCATACCTTCCGCATACCGTGTTATTCCTCATCTGATCTCAGCACGCAGACGCGAATTCCTATCCCTCCATTTGTCCAGGCATTTTTCAGTTGTGGCGGTTTATCGAGAGCAAAAGATCGTTTCCTTTCTTTTTTTTAACTCATTTGAGAATCACAGCAGTTTTTATTCACGCATCCGTGAATTGCAGCAAATTTCTTGGTTTTATCTTTATCTTTCCAACTTTGATTGCTATAGCTTTAGCTTAGAAAAGTTCATTTATTTAGGAGTAAAGTACAAATTCATTTCATACTGCTTGGCCTATCGTGACATGCCAATGTGTGATCCCAATAAACCGTGTATATTACATATACTAAGGGGCGGGAAGTCTAGCACTCCATTGATTGTATTTCCAATGGAAATTTATATTTTTGTAAAGATTTAATTGATTCAACTCAGAATTCAATGTTATCATCTCGAGTTTGCAAAGAGGTACCCACCCCATCTCGTTCTTCACATTGTACTTACAGAGCACCCAAGGGTAACTAAAACTATCAGAAAAAAGGGGGAAAATGTGGTCATGTCTTGGATTGGAATGCTAAGGAGTGTGTATATGTATGTTTCAGCCATCCTTTTACTCTTTTGGGTAATCTGTCCAGTGATGTTAAGCGAGGAACGCCCTTTTCTTCTTTTTTTCGGAGGGAGAGCTTTGGGAGGGCGCTATGTGTGGAAATGAGGAATTGGGGATTTGGGATTCTTTTGTAAGATTATATGTGCGTGTTGATTTTGAATTCGTGGTAGAGTGGACGGGGGATAGTATCAGGGATTTATCATATTTTTCAGCTGGTTATGTTTTGGAAGGAGGATCTTTTTATTTCTGATAACTTGAAGACTTGAATCTCGAGGGGGTAATGTGAAACGTGAAACGAAGGGATGAGTAACTACGAGTACTGTAGCAGTGCATCGTTAGGTTAGGTTTCTCTTTTCCCGCTCCTCTCTCCAAAAGGCTGAAGTCGCCAAGAGCTGCGAGGAACTAGTGGGATAAAAGGTATGGAGGGATATACTGATATTAGAGGAAGATGCATGAGATTTGTTTTTGATTGAGTTTGATTTAATTTGATCAATGGTGTAATTTCTTTTATGATTTATCCATCTCTTTGCGAGACCTTAGTTTTTACTTTATCTTACTTTCTTCTATGGGTCTGCCAAGAATTGTTCGGAAAAGTGCGTTTTTGTGTTGTGATTTGGAGAGTTTATAATAGGTGTGGAAAGTGTGGAAAGTTAGATCTTACTTTTATTGGGTTGGTATAGATTATATGTATTCGTTGTGGGAGGATTCGAGGTTGTTTTTCTTGGGGAAGTTGGATAGTTTTGATTTTGTGACGATTATATTTGGGGATTTGTTGTTCTGGAAGTGGAACTGGAAGTGGAACTGGCATTCGATAGTTCGACGCGGAAACGACTTTACGCTATATTTACGATAGGAGGCTTTTGAGGAGAGGGTTGTGATATTTGATATTTGAGCGTGGAGAGAGAATCTTGTGGGATTGTGGACGGGACCTGGAACTGGACCTGGACCTGGGCGTGGATTATACGTTTGGTTCAATTGTTGTATGTTTGAATGTGAGGACCGTGAGATACATACATTCTGATCTTAGATCTCACATCTCACATCCCGCATCACATCACATCATACAAGCAAGCAAACCACTCCAACACACCCAACATGCAACTCCATCTCTTCCCCCTCCTCCATCTGTCCCTCTCACTCATCACTCTGATTTCTCTCCTCCCCATCACCCAAGCATGCCTCACCTACCACGCCGAATTCCCCTTCGACAACGACAAACCATTTATAGGAAAGATTATCGATAATGGCATCGAAACCTGCTGGATCAATATGTCGTATAATGAACATTGGAAATGGCAGACTATGGAAAATGAGAAGGATTGGGGGAGGAGGGAATGGGTTGTGAGTTTTTCTTTTTTGTTCTTTTTTGGGTTGGGGTATGGGAAGGTTGGGGTATGAGGAGGTTGGCATTTGGGAGGGAGAGTTTGGAGTATGTGGTGGGGTCGAGGGTTTGGGGTTGGATTTTTAAGGGAAAGGGGAGAGGAAGGAGTAGTAGTAGGGAGAATATCCACGGAAAGGGATAAAACGAGCAAAATACAGCAAAACCAGACAGACACAATAAAAACCCCCAAATTTCAACAAAACAAAGGCTAACCAATCCATCCAAAAAAACAGTGGAAACCATGGCCCTTTACCTGCACCAAAAAACTATGGGAAGGCAAAATGAAACCCAATACCACGGTATATCATCCCATTCTCCCCCATCCCTATCCCCATCTCCTTTCACAATCACCCCTATCTCCCATTCTCCTCACCCCATATGACCTAACCTCAAACTAACAACCCACACAGGATCGATCCTATTCCGCAGAACTAGGCGTCGGACTCCGCGGCGTAACGTATAGAGCGCACGGGGAGAAATTTTGGTTTAATCCTGATACGGTGGAGGATGTGGAGGGTGGGTTTATAATAAGAAGATGTGGTGTGCTGGGAAGTAGGATGTGGGGTGGTAGGGTGTGGTTACTAGGGTGAACCGGTGGACTGGTCTAGTAGCTGGTTTGATTCTGGGAAAGAGGGGGAATGGGGTTGATGATTGTGTGGGACGGGATATGGCGTATTGGGTTGTCGATGGGCATAATCATTTAAAGATCTCTTTACCACGTCAAAATACATCGATTCTTCAGTCATCGTCTTCTTAGTAATGCGACTGAAATTACGACTCGCTGTGCTGAAATCGTAATGAGTATTCGAAAACTGGTCGCCATTTGTAAAAATAGTGACTTCTATGAGCTTTGGGCAGAGAACAGCTAAGCTCTGCCAAAATTTAGAATGACGGGACACTAAACCTTCGGCAATAAATATGTCCATGGCCTAGACCATTATGCTGAGTTAGTACCGGTGCTTGGCATCATAGCGAAATCCCAAATGTGCTCTAAAGGATATACTAACGAGGTTCTTAACGAATGTCAGCTGATACTTTGTAAAGCTTTCGAATAAGCTGTCGGAAGCTTTCACTTTCATGGCTGGCACTACACATTTGGAATATGTCTTCATGCATGAACAATATACCCTGTCGAAATCGATCCATGTAATGTAATGTATTGGCATGCTCCGAAGTAGTGCTTTGCATTCTGAGTTGTCGGTTCCTTTCCCACTTCCTTGAGCACCGACACCGTCCAGGCATCTCTGAAAGCCGAGTATCTCTTCAAGCAAGCTGCTCCTGCTTCACGGCAGACATGAGTGAGAAGTGGAAAACTGGGGTGCTTGGCGTCCATATGAACAATCGTGGTGAAGTGGTAAGATCAATGCCGTAGTCTCAAATCATATCACGGATTTCGCGAGCTAGCTTTGGAAATGGATGAAATGTCAATTCTTTCATCTTGACAGTTTGCTTGACCAGAACTCCAACTTCGGCTTTCTTCGCAGGTCCAGGTGTGTCTTTTCCTGCCAAATTGTCAGTGACTCCAAAACCATTCAAGGATGAGGAAGATAACTTACTGGCAACATCATTGACCTCCATTTTGGCTATTTTGATGTTGGGAAGAGAGTTTGTTTGGATGAAAAAATTTGGGAATGTGAAAGTGAAAGTGAAAGAGAAAGTGGAAAAATTGAAAAGATGCAGGAGCGTAGCTTAGTAACCTTTACTAGAGCTAAATTGAAGGAAGGAAGTACTTGAGGAAAGTACGACCTATTGGCAAGTACACTTCATCTGATTAACACGTGCCACCACTCTTTCTTTTACTATTTTATCTCTGTGTGAACGATTACTATTTCAATGATTTGACCGGTGTTCAAAAGTCATAAGTATGATTGTCATCTACTCATGTACAAATCCTCATGCTCTCACTGTACGATTATTCATTACGACTTCGGATCCTCAGCTAGGTATGGGTGATCATGATGGAGTATGTAATGACAGCCAGCTATTTCTGGAATTTCAAGAGATGAAGATATTGCCATTCGGTATTACCTATACCGGTAGTGAGTGAATGAAGGTGTTGCTTAAGTAGTAGGTAGGCATATCGATATCTTGGATACCTAATGGACTGGAACATGGAAGGTGATAAGATGGTATTGATGATATTGATATTCCTGCTATCTGGAGCATATGAGATGTTGAATCCATGCCATTGCATGAGGACTCTCTTCAACTACCCACAAATACACAGATGATACCTATCAAAGTATACATGATTTCATATACTTCGCCTTACTCCTCTTTTCACATCACCCCATAAAAACACTTCACCGAACTATCCCATAAAACACTCCAAACAGTGCCTTAGTCCAAAACCATCTACACAAAATCAAAACCCCCTAAAAACTCAAATGCAATCACGTTAAAAGCATGATATAATCCCAAACCAGAAAAACCAAGTCTCCAATCAAGGTCTCCGGACAACAAGCAACAGTCAGTTCCATTTGAGAGCTATGAAAGACTTATGTGTGTAACATGCAATAAGCGATATAGACTTTGTTCTTGGTGAAAAATTAGTTGAATATGAGGTTATATTGGTGAGTGAGTAGTTATGAGAGGAGATGGATAGAATGGGAAGACTGAGAGGATGGATTTACTTGCTTTCAGCTGTGTATAGGAATTTGTGAGATGGATGGTACGGATATCATATAGCATATTAGTTGTTACGTGCTAATAAAATGCAGATGTTGAAGTAAAAGTGAATAGGAATATCCATTACACAGTCAGATTCTATCCTCCCTCCCCTCACTCAATATCACCAGATCATCCACTTCACTGCTTCACTGCTTCACCTACCACCTCACCGTACCAAATAGTCCGGCCAAGTGCAAGTGAATACCTAATAGCAAGCACATCGTCTAATTTCCTAATCTACGAATCACCATACCAAGACCAGTCAGACCACCTTTTAATTCCGACCTCACAAACCCGCAAAGCTTTTCTTAAAGATCCTTCTATCTCCAACTTGATAACTCAAGAATTTGTTAAGTCTGCAGAACTACATACCCTCAACCTTTATCCCACACCATCTCAAACTCAAACTTGAATAGAAGGAACAGGCTACAAAACCTAAATCAACACCACCCACCAATAACAAGCCATCAGCCATCAACCACCAACAACACATACCGCAATCGCAAAACCCAAAACCCATCTCCAACACCATCAAGCGTCCCCTCCATCTCAAAAAACAAAACAAAAATGTCCACAACCCACCACCCCCCTATCCCCCACCCCACAACGGACCAACAATTCCTCCTCTCAACCGGCATCGTCATCCACCCCACCCAATACAAAACCCTCGATTTCCCTCCCTCCTTCCTCTCCATCTACGCCCGTCCAACGCTTACCTATCGACCCTGGGCACGTCTCTGGTGTATGAATACATCTCATATCCTCGAGGCGATTTCTTCTTTTATCCGGTTGCTACTTGTGATTTTATTGGGTTTGCGGGGAAAAGGGGTTTTGGAGTTTTGTAGGGTGGTTGATGGGGTTTTGGGGAGGCGAAGGGAAGGGACGAATAGACGGGATGGCGAGGAGAGGGTGAAGGGCAGGATGGGAATGGGAATGGGAATGGGAATGGGAAAAGGATGCAAGGTGTAATTGGGAGGGATATGATGGAGGGTGCATGGATTAAGGTTTTGGTAGGATTATTTGAGGAGATGAGGGGAAAGAGGGATGTTATGAGGGGGTATGTGGGGAAGAGGGTTAACGTTGGAGGTGTACGTGGTGAAGAGCTCAAAGGGAGGATTTTGATGACGATTAAGGAGGTAGAAGGGGAGATGAAGGAGATTTTGAGGATTGCGGTTGAGCAGGTATGTTTAACTTTTTTTATATATATTTTTCGCTTGCTTGGTTTGATTATTTATGTAAGAGCAGAACTTTGAATTGAGATTCCCTCGCACTAACATTCTCCACACCCCAGAGATTCGCCAAAGAAGTCGAAGAATACTGGATCCGAAAATGGGAAATCCATAAAGATAGATACCCAAATTTAGACATCAAGGTAATTAAATCAGTCCCTAATCTTATCCCCCCCACCCTACTTTCCTTTCCTTTCGTTTTATTAGCATCTTTCTTACCATTCATATACATACATACATACATACATACATACATACTGAAATACTAATTTCCAACCTCAAATTCACTTACATTTATAATTACCAACTATAATTTATAATTAAGGAAGGGTTAGCTAACGAACCCCTTATTAATGATATATAGTGCACAACCGACTGGTCGGTCGAAGCGCCCTTTCAGAAATCTCTTTTGAAACCGGGTGATGTTAATGAGGATGATTATGAGGAGGATGAGGATGAAACCGAAGAAGAGATCATCGAAGATGATGGTGAAGATGATTGATGAAAGAAAAGTCATGGTGAACATTAATGAGATCGATTGGGTAGTAGGTGGTGGGTGTGAATAGTATTAGTATTATTGAGTCAACAATTGTATAAAGTAGGAGTCATGGTCAAGTGTGTTTAGTGGGAAGAATGAAGTTATGTGGGAGGATTCTCTCTCTCTCTCTCTATATTTATTATTATCATCATTCTTTCAGATCCTTATTCTTACAAGAAAAGTCTAAATAAATGAATAAATAAATATTATTTATTAAATAGCTATGAATAAATATAAGATATTATATTATATTCTTTATTTATATTATATACATCTTTTTATTTTTAATATTCTTTCTTTTCCTCACTCAGTTGACTTTATAAATAAAGAATAATATTAGTAATACCATTAGTACTTGAGAGTTAATCAAGTTTTCACTATGAGACATATAGATAGATAGATAATTATATTTCTCAATTCTCAATTCTCAATCCTCACAATCCTAAAAAGCTATGTACTCCACAATTCCCATCCCATCCCGCTTCGTTCATCCATCATACCCCTATCCAACTAAAACTCCACCATGCAGCACCAAAAAGAACTAAAACCAACTGACGCGCCAAAAAACAGAAGAAGAGAAGAATAGTAGAGAAGAATACATGAGGTGTAAATACATGCCAAGAAGCTACCAAAACCATCACTGAATGACCGAATCATTGAATCCCATCCCCACAAACGCCACGCCTTATGAATCAAATTTCCTCCAAAAAGGACACCCCAACACCTAAGTCCTCCATGCAAAACCGCACCATGAAAAGGAATACAAATCGATGAAGACAGCGCCACCAATCCAATCCTATCCAATGATATAGGTCCATGCATCCCTTTCCTTTATCTACCTTCCAGTTACTGCACCAAAAACACCTTCCTAGTAGCAAGCAAGCAACGCAAGTAGTAAGTTCCTCCTTCACCGATAGAATCGTTTCCAACCATTCATTTATACTCCTGAGCGATGATGAGAAGTAGAAAAGAGGAAAGGAAAGGAAATCAAACAAAATTATTCTCATCTCCCCTCAATTCCAACTCCGGCAAATCTTCTCGCATTACCACTTCCAGCTCCATATAGCATCTCCATCAACTTCCCCTTTTGCGTTTCCCTAACCCTTCCTAGGTGTCCACTCGCTTCCTCTAGACCTTGGATTTGCTCTTCAACTCGAATCGTACTACTGTTTGTCCTCACGAGAGGACTGACTAGTTTCTTTCTTAGGTAGTCTAGGTTTGCTCGCAAAGTTAACAATTTGCCGTTATGATCGAGAAGAACGGATTTGTTTTGAATAGTCTTGGAGCGTATATTGGCGAGGAGCTTTTTATTCTTTTCGAATTTATGGAGAGTACTAGAAGAAGGACCGAGAAGCTTGGTCCAAAGTGAAGAGAGAAGTTTATCTTCGTCCATTTCTTGTGTATCAAGTTCACGGGAAGCACTGCGAGATAGTGCTTTAAATTGATGATCGATCTTCTCAAAGATAGCAAAGAGATGAAGAGCATGATTGAGCTCGGAACTAATAGCATCCTCGAGAACCGAAAGAAATTCATTGAATGTTCTTTGAAGGGTTTGACGTGTCCTTTGAGGCGATGACATGCCAAATATGTTTGTTGCGACAACCCCTATTTTGGTGGGCGTACCAGTTGGAGTCTCAAAAACCCCTACTCGACTTAGTAACGTGTGTATATTATCAAAAGCTGAATTAAGAGGAGAAGGTGGAAGATGATTTAGTTGAGCAAGTTCTCGCTTCGCCCAATCCATAACGATCAAAATACTAGATATGTCAGATGATTTCAAAACACAGAAGTAGAAAATATTACCCATCCACGTCTCCATCCACATTAGCAAAGAATCTAGTTAACTCAAGAGACAAAGTTTTGAGAGTTTCACTCAGTTCATCAAGTTCCGCAACAATAACCGGCGCAGAAGTCATATTTGTTGAACGTACACTCTCACAAAGATCCCAGACCGCAATACCAGTTTGTTGTATATCACCGATTTGCTGAATTCCATTTTCGGAATAGAATATTAGAGGTTCAAAGGCTCTTGCGAGTCCCGCGACCTTGATAAGATCTGGAACTGGTGGTAATTGTGAAGGTTGAAATAGTGTTCGTAGTGTTAAAATAGAAATGATGGCTACCACAAGGGCGCTGCACATTGAGGCCCATGAACTCATTATCTTTTCAAACTTTTGACTCAGGGATGAAAATGCAACTTCAAAAGGTTCTGTACGATGTTGTAATTCCGTCTTGAATGCGAATCGAATAACTATTGATCGATTTAGCCTGTGAACCAATACATTTACACCAAGTTTCATACAGTTGTTCGAGTTCTCCATCGAAGGTACTAGTGTACCTTCGTGGTCATTCTCTTGTTTAATCACTGCGCCAAATGTCTTTCCAAAATCACCATTTCCCGAAGTATATCGATCAGGCGACGGACTTCTCTTCTTCTCGGGCGATATCGAACCAGTTGGTAGCCTCGTCCTTACCGCGGCGGCAAGAGTCGGATCCGATGCAGCACCCTCATCAGCACTCTCATATTCTGGACTACTCTCTCTCGAAAGTTCCCTGTGCCTCTTTCCCAGTATATTATTATGCCGATTCCAAAAGCCGCTGGTTCTGTTGCCGTTTTCCTCTCGTCTCCATGCTGGCGGACTGTAACCACCTCTGGATACCGAGTCTCTTAGGTCGTCCTCCGAGTCCGTGTCGCTGCGGAAGCCCGAATGCTGGGAAGGATAACCAAAGCGGCGAGGTGGGTTGGGATCTATCTCTATGCTTCCTTGCTCGAAGTCCTGCAGAGATGCGTTTAAAGAGGGGTGGTCGTCGAACATTCCTTCTAGCTCCTCTAGCGTTGTACCCATGATTCCTATTGTTGTTCCCTACTGCGGTGGTTGATGCGCTCCAAGTTGGTATAGGAAATGAACCGATTTGTATACAGTAGAGATATCCGAACGATATGATTATGACGACTAAGAATGTACTAGGTGCGATAGTGAGGTTGATCAGCGTGAAATGAAGTTGATTTTGAATAGTAAATATGGACATGACCATCCAAACGCAGGTCTGGCTTAGAGTAATTGTTTACCGTCGCGTCAACGTGTGGAATTTATGAGTGCAATTCATATAAGCATGCGACTCTTATTCTTTTGGATATATGAATGCGCGAATGATGAATCAAAAGTTCTGTTGGTTTTATCTGGAGTGAGTGAGTGACTGATAGCGATAATCGATAAGTGGGAGAAGTGAATGGGCGGGAGTGAATGTGGGTTGGGGGTGTACGATAAGAGGGAAAGAGGTTAGAGCGGGTAGTGAGAGGATGGATGTGGGTGATGGGTGATGTGGGTGATGGGTGATGGGTGATGGGTGATGGGTGATGGGTGATGGGTCGTGGGTGTGGGTCAGGGTGGATGTGGGAGGTGATAGGATAGCTGGGAGTAGGTGAGAGGGTAGCTGGCAAGGTGATAGGTCGCAGGCAGTTCTTTTTGGTGGGGTTCTTTTTCGCACTTACAAAGGCCCGTTGCGCATTGTGTTTAAAGTGATGGGCCTCTAGCGGGGAAATGGCATAAAAGCTACGCACCAGGCAGTTGTGGACGAGGGCACAAGGGCATTCCATTGATTGGTCTCTAGATGGAAAGTACGGAGCTAAAACAGACCGACTTCGTTGTCCTTGTAGGAAAAGGGACGTAAATGCATCGACGTACTTTTGATCGGTAGGGAGGACCTATAGCCAGGATAATTGACCTCTCTCGTCACATTGTCTCTTGATGGAAATTAGTACAAACTATAAGTCCCGTCGAGAATCATCATGCCCATTCCTACTCATCATATGATGGATGTAGATACCCAGGTAAACTATCCGGAGTACGGAGTAGGATATTCTATCACCCAGATATTTCACCACATCCAGCCATCCAACACAGCAACACATCCAATCCCTCTACATCCACTACATCCACTCCCATTCCCATTCCCACAATCCAATAAATATATATACAACATTCTTTATTCATGTTACCCCATCTGCACATCACCATGTTAAGAAAAGACTCGTCGACACATCCATCTATCGACTTTAGTACATACATTCCATCTCGCACACCCCTCTCCCTCTCCCTCTCCCTCCCTCTCCCCTCATTCCCCAATCCACAATTCCTAATTCCATCAACCAATCCCCATCTTGCTGCGTTGTCCATCCATCCCTATCCCTGAAGCCTCCCTCTCTTAAATCATGCCCTTTCCTTTTCCATCAATCTACCAACCATCCACCCCTTCCACATTCTATCCCTCCCTCCCCTCACAACAGCCAATCATCCAAGCCTCTCGCATGAGCTCATCTGCCCGCAGAGAAATCGCATCAATCGATTGGTCCAGCCACGCCGTACAACCCACTTTTATGATCCCCTCCCTGCCTCTCGTCTGCAAATTATCCAATCATCGTGCGGACTGAAATACATGGAGATACATCCATGAAACACACATCCATGCCGGGATCACTCACACGAGATCGGCCGATCAAAGCACTTGTCTTTATTGTAGACCTACCTACCTACCTAATAGTGATGGTGTGTAAACTTCGACGTCCCTTACTTGAAGCTGCTTGCTTTATTATGACAGGAAGAGTACTGGCTGGAACTTTTAAATATTACCTCAACCGGCCATCGAATTATTTATTTATAAAATGTGGTGAAACAAGAAAAGAAACTGACAAGTACAACTCTCAAGGATACATATACATCACAAATTGCTTTTGCCCCTTTCCCCGGGAGATACAAGTGAACAAGTACATGAACAGACTCCTTTGCTTTGTAGAACATCAAATACCATTTCATGCATGATGTTGTGACTATCTAAAGATGCTACCTACTCGCTATGCTGATTACAAGATATACTACTACAGTTGGTTTCCCAAGGCTTTTTCCCCAATCCTCCATCCCTTACCGTTCACATATTCCCATGCAAATTCGTGTTAAAGTATCAAGGCTCATCATCTCACACCCGCCATTACACTCCTGTAGTATCCCAAACTCAAATCAATTGTATGCTTCAAGTATCTATCCTCTGTGAGGGGTAGTCTCAAAACCTTTGGTAAGTCCACATTCTGTTTGATGTGGTTAGTACTAGTCCAAAGAGCGGCCAGCCAGAATGCTCTTACCTCGCCCTTCTTCTCCATATCCACCACGGCCTTCGCCACTACTCCGCTAATCGTTTCGATTGCCACTGTCTCCATAAAAGCGGGGTGGCGCGATTCTTCCACAACAGCCGGTAATCCAGCCAACAATCTTTCCAATACAGCAAGATCGAGTTCTTGGTTCTTCTTTTGAAATTCAACTAAAGTGAGGAAATCCTGATAGATCTCACCACCAAGATGCCATTCTAGAATAGTATTTTCTTTGCCCTGAAAGCTTGCAAGGATATTACGAAGTGTAGCGTAGTCGAATTCAATGATTGCCTTGGGTGCAACTTCCTTTGCAAAAGTGCGGTGAGCTTCTTCAAACAGTCCGGCTTTGGTCAGGCATTCAACTTCACTTAGTGGATCTTTCCTAACACTTCGAGTGTACAAGGCCTTTGCCTCCCATATCCATGATGTAGGGATTTTGTAGTTTTGTGTCAAGGTAATAAAGTTCTGGCTATCCTCAGATCCAATTTTCCCGGCATGTCGAGCAAGATGGTCTTGAATAGCTTTTGCCCGAGCGTTGGTCACAGACAAGTGAAGTAGGACGAAGATTGCATCAAGCCAGTAGCCTTCATTATTGAGCTGAGAAGCGAAAGCCAAGGTAGTCTGATCCTTCTTCTCCTCGGCAGCTCCCTGATAGTCTAGGGAACCAAACGAAGTCAAGGCTCGACTCAATTGCCAAGAGAGGCGCATATCCAAGGGGGATAATTGCGAATTCTCAGGTCGCAGAATTGCCTCGAGATCAGCATCATCGTAGGTGTACAATTTCAACAGGCCCCAGAGAAGATCCTCACGTTCATTAAGCTGGCTATCTTGCCATAGCTTCGGAATCTTCTGTTCGACGTACCAGGCCAGAGGCCGAGATGTCTCCTTGTCTTGTGCCATTTCATTAGCGAAGATTTTGACTGCGCTATCCAATTCCTCATTTACTTTGATTGCATACCACAGTCTCATACCAAATGCTTGTCGCCAATCAAGCCCGAAGCGTTTAGAAATGATGAAGGACTCGATACGATCTTCCATATGGGGTGCTTTGTTGCCATCACAGACACAAACATTACCAGCAAGAAGCTCGTAGAGAGCTCGGATAGGCTGACTAAATTCAGAAAGGGCTTTTGTGGTTTGCCACTGTGATAGTTGCTCGCCAATATCTCTCTTCAGACTTTCCTTGCCACCAATCATTGCAATAAGCGTAGCTAAATGGAAGTTCTTTCCATCGATGAGATGTCCACAAGCCTCTGGAATGTTGTGGCCGGATAATGATGCAATTGCTTTTTCTTCGTTCGATCTAGCCATTGCAACATGCTGGGCTGATGCTTGCCCAACCAACTTTTGCCAAAATACAGACAATTTGTCTTTACGAAGGCGCTCAACCGCATGTTCAATGTGATCTAGTTCTTGCGGAACTTCAATAGCATCGAAAAGAATGCTGGCGAGCTCCCACACAAGCTTTTCATGTACGACTGACGGATCTCGAGCATTTTGCTCGTCGAAGAAGTCTAGGAAGGAAAATGAATCTGGCAATGTTGCGTATGGAACACCCTCAGAGTCTCCGATGACTGTCAAGGATTGGTGTTTTTTGAGTGCATCCGCTGAAGACTCATTAGAAAACTTAGCAAATCTAACGTTACTAGCCTCGGCAATGCCACTCTTTTGAATCGTGAGTAGACCATCCTTCTCACGAGCTAGACGCGATTTAGTAAAAGGTTTAGAGCCGGCAGATGCGGCGTAGACTAAGGTTCCGTCTGGGCCCCAACTTGGCTTCACGGAGTCATGGAACGCCCGGTCCTCTTCGGGCATTTCCGATTCATCATCACCAATTTTGGATTTCTTGTTAAAAGGTTTCTGTGAAAATGACTTCTTAGCATTGTACTACGTGATTATTAGGTACATGAGTGGGCGCAACGAACGGCCCCATTAACAATTTCACAAGAATGTTTAACAAGGAAGACCAACCTCAAAATTGTCACCTCTCTTATAATTCGAAACCTTGATAGGACTTGTGACCTTCCCAAACAAGTCATTGTGAACATCCATGACCGATGCAAAACCATACCTCCTTGAAAAGTTCTCGTTAGTTGTTGGAACTTCAGTTCGTGCCAGGGCAGACTGCTTCTCATCTCCATGGACATCAATGAGGCTTTTTAGAATAGCACGATCCTGCTTTTTTGGACTGGCAGTTGCTCTCAACGTAGCGGCCCAGTCATTTGCCGCCGGAAATCTGAGCTTGGATGGTGTATCCAGCTTTTGTGCTCTTGCCCTAGCCTTCACAATTGCACCAGGTGTTCCAAATTCCACAGTATCATCTTCATCTTGCGAGTCCTCCATTCGCTCCGCGGTATTGCCAGTTTCTGGATAAGAGCCCGCCATCTCTTGGTCCACAATACTGACAGATTCATCGTCCTCATAGACGTCGTCTTGGTCAATTGCTTCCTCGACGCCGTTTTCTGACTGTGAACCCACGGAGCGATTATCTAAAAAAGACTCCTGGTTCTGAACAAATGAATTATCAACTTCTTCTTCCTCTGAATAGACCTCTTCATCGTCGAATGCGCCTGGAAGGACCTTTCTCTTTCTAAATTCAAACGTATCCTCAGGGTCTGACTCGGTCTGTGTGAAATCCATATCAGATGCAAAGGATTGATTGAAGTATTGTGGATTCGCCTTAGGTGTACGTGTTCGCGGAGTTGGCGTGTCCGGAGGAGCAGTGAGAGTACTATTTCCAAAATCACCCTCATCTTCGACCTCCATGTCATCTTCCTCATCATCTTCCTCATCATCTTCCTCGTCGTCATAATCAAGCCCATATACCGTGTAATGCGGAACTTTGAATACCCAAGTACCATTGCCGGCGTCGTAACTCACGAACTCGGTATCTTCTACGGCCTGCAGTTTTTTGACATGCTTCTTCAAGCGTATATCGTCGATTCCTCTCTTAGAAGCATTGCGAGGCCATGAATTTAACAGACTAATGGTAGATGGAACATTAAGCCCATGACCAGCCTGAGGTTTTTGAATAGATGTATTGTCTGGATAAACTTCCGCGCGTCTAGGTTCGAGAATGACAATCTTATTAAAAATATCATCAAGATTAATGCCATCGAGATTGACAGTAGTATCAAAGTTAATATGACCAACTCCCTCGCGGCCAACGGTAAAACCCGATACCCTTTGACGTTCTTGGCGAGTCATCTTTTCAATTTCTTCCCTTGTAGGAGTCATCCAATATTCGCCAGTGGGTAGGTCGCGAGGATATTTAGGTGACTTGGCTCTATTATCATTAACGATAGTGAGTTGCTTGTTCTTATTGACTTCTGTCATCTCGGGTGAAGTAACTTCAGGGGTTTTCACAGAATTGTTGGTAACCGGTTGCAAAGGAGCAGCAGGTGAAGTTCCATTGGGATTACTGGTGCCATTGACATCAAAATCAGTGGTACCATTAGCACTGCTATTAGTGCTGGTGTTAGATGACGATTTCGGTGCCTCGAAAGTTACCTGCTTCTTGATTATGGACTTGTTAGGAGATTCGACTGGATGATCCGGAGTGACTGGATTCTTGAAAAGGTCTGAACGAATGTTGCGGTTGATGATGAGTTTCTTGAAACTTCCATTGGTTCCATACTTCGTGCTGGTGCTTGATGAAAATGCACCAGGTGCTAAAATGCTGTCGTCGCTGTGGAAACTCCGACGCAGGCTATTAGTGGACATACTCTTGCTTAATGCTCGGCTCCCACTAAGTAAGCTGCTGCTAAACATCGAAGGAGTACTTCCTGCAGTCGAGACGCTTCCCGGTGTATAAGACAAACCAAAACCCCCACGAAGCGACTTGCTCGGAGTATTGAATCGTGAAGAACCAGATGCATTTAGCTTGTACAACGGAAGAGCGGCTGTCTTCTTTTGTCTGTTAGCACTTGAGAGTGGGGTTGCGAGAGGTCCAGGGTTCTTGAGATTTTCCTGAGACTTGTCCTCAGCAAACATAGATCTCGTGCCATAAGCTCCGGGATCAGTGAGACTAGTGCTGAATGATTGTGGCGTCCCACCCTGTTGTGATTGGGTGAAGATGGAACCTGTTCCAAAGATGGAACCCTGGGACTGAGCAGGTTGTTGTTGTTGCTGCTGTTGGCCAATTGCAGATGAACCAAACAAATTAGACTGCTGCTGAGTACCAGAGTTCCCAAACAAGCTTGTTCCTTGCTGCTGCTGAGGCTGGCCAAACAAGCCGCCAGGTTTCTGCTGGTTGCTATTATTTCCGAGACTAGCACCAAAAAGACCGGTGCTTTGCTGGGGTTGATTGTTTTGATTTGCAGCACCAAAACCACCACCAAATAAGCTGCTTGCGCCGGTATTGGTTTGAGCCGCGGGCTGGCCAAAAAGACCGCTGGTAGTAGCTGGTTTAGCACCAAACAGATTGCTTCCTGTGTTGGTGTTATTCGCACCACCAAATGGACTGTTGTTTGTAGCGGCTGGTTGAGAACCAAATAGTCCAGTGTTTGAAGCAGCGGGTTGCGCGCCAAAAAGGCCAGTAGTAGCTGGCTTTTGTTGCGTGTTTCCAAAAAGACCCCCGCCGGTGTTAGCGTTGTTGGACCCAAAGCCGCCTCCAAAAGCATTGGTCGATGGTGGCTGTTGCTGAGCGGCGCCACCAAATCCAGTTGTTGTGCTCTGCTGTTGATTGTTTCCAAAAAGACCTCCTCCAGTATTGGTATTGGTCGTTCCAAATCCAGTCACTGTTGACCCGAAGCCTCCCGTGTTGGCTGCTGGTTGTGTATTGCCGAAGCTGAAGGCAGGCTTTGCCGCCGTGGCGTTGTTGTTACCAAAGAGACCTCCTCCGGTATTGTTATTGGTATTCGATCCAAACCCAGTACTCGTCGAGCCAAATCCTCCAGTAGTTGCATTATTGGTAGTCGATCCAAACAAGCCTCCGCCGGTTTGCGCTTGCGGCTGAGCACCGAATAGCCCCCCAGTCGCGGGTTTCGCAGCCCCAAAGAGTCCACCGCCGGTTGCAGCAGTATTCGATCCAAATCCTGTGCTGGCTGGTTGAGTTGGACCGAAACCTGTACCTGTTGCTCCACCACCAAACATTGTTGAACCTGTTGTAGCGTTGTTCGTAGACCCAAAACCTCCTGTTGTAGCTTGGTTAGAGCTACCGAATCCGCCAAAATTCGTGTTCGTGCCAAATGCACCGCCTTGGTTCTGATTGTATCTCAAACCCTTGGAATAATCGGCCAATCGAAGCTCCTCCGGAGAAAAGTTCTTGTAGGGTTGCTGGAAGGATATGCTTTGGTAGGCATTTTGCATGGATGAATTTGGCTCCTTCTCGATAAAAGCTGTGAAAGGGACAGCTTGGGTGCCTTCGCATTGGGTACTTGAAGCAGCTGCTCCAAATCCAGTTCCTGCAGTGCTGCCAAATCCAGAGCCTCCTCCAAAAGCTGAAGGCGTGTTCGTGGTAGTAGTAGAACCGAAGCCACCAGGTTTGTTTCCAAATAACCCACCTCCAGTGTTGGCAGCTCCGAATCCTGATGTAGGTGCAGCACTGCTTCCGAATCCACCACCAAATGCACCAGCTGTTCCTGTTGTAGCACCACCTCCAAACATATTACTACCTGTTGTTGCGGCTGGACTCCCAAACGCTGTAGTTGCGGGTTTTGCGCCAAATCCTCCGAAACCTGTGAAATATATCAGTACAGCACCAGCAACCCAAGACGCTAATGGGACGAAAGAAATTGTTGAAACGCGTGGTTTGAAAGGAATTCGGTTTCGTAGTTGAGATGGCTCGTCATTGATTTATGATGGATGATTCGAGAGCAAGAGGGAATGCGACAAGAATCCGATCCAAGGTACGACGAGCTATCAAGCTAAGCGGAACGATCCAAAGAGTCCAGAGCATCAGAGCATCCACATACCAGTACTGTTACCAGTGTTACCGCCGAAACCTGAAGAGGTTCCGCCGCCTCCAAACATACCACCACCAGTATTGTTGTTTGCACCGAAGCCAGTGTTATTGGCGGCACCAGAACCGAAAACTGTTGCAGCAGACGATTCGAGTAAGCGATGAGTTCGACGAGTTCGCGGAACCTTCCCAGTCTTTCCAGACACCCACGGGATCAAATACGAATATAGAGCTAAGAGGTGACCTACCTGAGCCAGTATTGTTCGCAGGTGTACTACCAAAGCCTCCTCCAAATCCAGTAGGTTTATTCTGTTGGCCGAAGCCACCGCCAAATCCTCCCCCGAACGACATGTTTATTGATTATCGACAGCAGACGAAGTATATTTGAGTTGTTGCTAAATCTAGCAGATGGCGAAAATGAAAAGTCGTATCTTCCTTTATACAAAGGTGAGACTAATCACGATCGCAAAAAAAAGGCGAACGCGCAAAAACGGATAGATTGCGCTCAGTGTCGAGAAAGCGTCGCATGCATTAGGAACGGTAAAGAGAATGCCAAAACAACCATCAATGACGAAGTAGTTGTATGATGTATGAACGAAGAATTGAAGTTGGGAAATTTTGAAATTGTTTTGGTGATAGATAGAGAATTTGTATGGGAACGCGCCTCAATTGTAATGGTAGGTTGGAAGAAAGTTCGGCTAGGGAACGGTACATGAAAAGGCAGCAAGAGCTTTAGGAACAACACGACCTCGAGCTCTTTTGACCAATCAAATTCAAGATAACATGATTTTGACCAGTGAATGATTGAGATAACTTTTCATGAGATTGTTGCCTTGGGAATTATGTGATCTTATTGTTATTTTACTACGGAGCATATTGTGATAAGGTAACATGACTATAAGAATCAGATCTTACAGTAGAAATTATGTTGTCTTGTTGATGCATCTTAGGAATCTGGACTCTGGACTCTGTTGTATGTACGGAGTAGGTGGTTAGCCACACAAATACTGAATATATTTCCAGGCAGATAAGAATCCATGTTAGGCTTTCTTTGATATGACTCTTTCTTCACAGTTGACAAAGGATAACCCGATATCATTTGATACCGGGAGTTTCACAGACTCGCAGCCAAGGGCTCTCTTCGTATACAGTTGTTTATATATATGATCACATGATGCAAGGCGCGTGACTCTTATTCTTATTGTTCGAACATTCATCTTTTTAGTACAGAGTACGGTAACGTTAACAGCGACGATTTGGCCCCAGCCCCCTGTATTTTCAGTTTCCGGCCTCAAACTTATTTCCGGTCACACGTCGATGACTAATCCTAAGCCGTTTTCTCGAGAACCCATCCCATCAACGCGTCCAATCTCTCAAAAAGCTTAACGCGTCAATTCAAAAATTACCCCCCCATCAACCCATCAAAATCGTTCCCATCGCTCCGTCCCACGCGACACCCTGTTCAACAAATATAATAGTAGATTTCCCAGCCACTGACAGAGCGAACAGTACTTGATATTTTACCATTAAAATTTGCCACTTTTTTCTCCGCTCCCACCTTTGCGCACAGTGATTTGTGTTCTGTTCGATGGCATCGACAAGTCAACCGCATTCTGGCTTCCCCGCGCGTCCCTACAATAATCTTCGCAATCCCCCATCGACTAGTTTTGGTTCTGTTGTTGGCTCACAATCGCAACCGGCTCTGGCTTTAAGGCAGAAATCCCAATTGGAGCGTGGGTTACCGAAGGATAGTCAAGCGCAGACTCAATCTGGCGCGCCTGGAACTACTCCAATGAATATCCTAAGTGATGAACAGAGGGAGGAGATTAATGAAGCTGTATGTTTCTCATATACCCAAACTGCAATATGCAAATGGCGCAAACTTCCCCTCCTTCAATTCTGATTCGAAGCCATACCCAAAACAATGCGCTAAACAACCCCACAGTTTGTACTCTTCGACAACGACAAGGACCAAAGAATCGACTACCACGAATTCAAAGTCGCTCTCAAGGCCCTTGGCTTCGATCTCCCCAAACCCGAAATCCTCAGTCTCTTAACAGCACACGGTATTCCTCCCGACGCTCCCTCCCGCCCCGGCGCACGCGATCACAATATTTCTCCCGGGCGTCTACTCCTCACTCTCCCCTCTTTCCAATCCATCGCCGGTAACTTAATAGCGCAACGCGATCCGCGCGACGAAATACTAAGGGCTTTCGCCTTATTCGACACAGATGACAAGGGCATGATATCATTAGAGGATTTGAGGAGAGTAGCGCATGAACTGGGAGAGGGACTAGAGGAAGATGAGCTGCGAGCTATGATTGAGGAATTTGACTTAGAAGGGAAAGGCGGAGTGGGGAGGGAAGAATTTATCCAAATATGCATGGGATAAATTCACCACACTCATTTTTTTCATTTTCATTTTCATCCCATCAACATCATACCATACCCGTTGGATTACAACCTTTCCAAATCTCAGGAAGCGACGCGACTTTTATTCCATCATTTCATCGCACCGAAAAACTATACCACCTAGCTCGTACACTTGGAGAATAAGGACAGGAGAAAAAGCCCTGTTTTGATTATCGTATCACTTTTAGTCTTTTAGTTTTATGTGTATATCACATTGTCATTCCACCACCACATCAAGGAGTAAAGCAAGGAGTGCAGGCGTTGGTTTGGGTTACACAATGGGAAAGAGGCAGGTATGGAACTACTTTCATGTAGGTATGCATAATTATAGTACAATTTCAGGATATTACAATGGGACAACATTATTGCTTCTTTTCGAGTAATCTGTTTAGAAGTCACCTCAAAATATGGCTTGGCCTCTCTCTCTATGAATAGGCTAACAATATTCTTCTATTAATCATTTATAAAACGTTCTTCTATTATCATTTATATTCACACTCCATAAACCCAATTTACTCTAACTACACCTACTAAAGCCCATGCTTTAAAGTACCCTGAGCCTCTCCCAAAAATTATCCTCTCCCCGCCTTCCATCCATATCCGGTCCAATTTGTATATCATGTTATCTCACCTCACAAATGCGCTTGAAATTCTTTTGGAGGAAAAAATTTTGAATTGCAAGAAGCGTAATAACAATAGAAGAAGTTTTAAAAAGCCACCACACGCCTGTTGAGCAAAGGGGGATGCATAAACCAATCCAAGGCTCCCAAACAAGTTCCATGTCAAAATGCAAAACTTTGTACTTTCCGCTTCCAGTCTTTCCACAATACCATTTACCCTCTTTACCTGCCTGCCAACATGCCATCTAGAATTGAATCAAATCCCCGCCCTGACCATTTTGTCCCTGTTGTGGTCTTGGACCAAAGGGGTTGCTCGATTGACCATAACCGTTCATGCCACCATTCATACCAGCCGGTCCAGTAGCGGCTGGGACTTGGCGACCAAATGGACTGTTGCCGAACGCACCAGCAGCATTATTTTGAGGATTACCCTGGTACGTCGTTTGTGGCATACCCGTGTATTGTGTCTGGAGGAATGGGTTGTTACCGGTTTGTTGTTCGTGGATACGTCCTAAGCCAGCACCTGCACTATTAACAAAAGTTCCTGGTGCAGTATGTTGCGCTGGAATTCTGAGGTTTCCGGTATTTCCAAAAGTGTCCATTCCATCTCCACTCGCCAGAAGGGCATTGAGCCTGGCTTCATGTTCCGATAGTTCTTTTTGGGGTGGTTGCGGTGAGAATGATGGGGTTGGATTGAAGGATGGTGTGTTGTTGAACGATGGCGTGTTGCTGAACTGGCCCAAGGTCTTCTGTTCTTGGAGTGTAGCGAGGGTGGGTTTGGATGCAGCGGAGCTGGTGTGCGGGCGGGCGAAAGATTGTGCAAAAGGATTGTTGGATCCAGTCGGCATTGGTTGTAAAGATTGGAGTGGCTGGCTCTGGTTTGTGGCCCAAGGGTTATTTGTTCCGGCGGGAGCGATTGGTTCTAGATGCTGCTGCTGGGGTTGCGGCTGCTGTTGTTGAAATTGGCCATAGGGGTTGAATCCAGTAGATTGCGGTTGAAATGATTGCTGTTGCTGTGATGCATAAGGATCAAAACCTGTCGGCTGGGCGGCGAAGCCATTTTGATAACCTGTGTTTTGGTAGCCGGTAGGCTGCGCGTTTTGGTAATTCGTGTAAGGGTTCAAATATCCGGTAGGTTGCATATCAATTGGATTTCCCGACCAGTCGACGGCTCCTTGTTGCTGGTATCCTCCGTTGAAACCGGTGGGTTGTGCTACCTGAATAGGATCATCATCAAAGAGCGAATGCGCATTTTGCTCTTCTAATTCACGTCTGCGCAACTCTTCTTCCTCTTGGCTAAGCTTAAGAGCTTTAGCAAGATCCTCATCGTCTGGCTCGCCACGCCCTTGCCTGCTCTCACGTTTCTTGCGATCTTCTTCCTCCTGGTATTTACTAGCCTCGATAGCCAATCTATATTCCGCGTCCTCTTCATCGGCGCGCTGCGCTCGGTGTGGGCGTTGTCGTCGTGGCTGTGCATCTGAAGGTTCGGAGAATTCATCCAGACCAGTAACTCTAGACTTCCAGTTTTTGCGGTCAGCTCGCTCAGCTCGAAGTCTATCCTCGTCCAAAATTAAAGATGTTAGTTCTTTGGCGGAAACTCGGACTAGGAACATAGTTAGTAAGCTTCCATGTATTCTCATTATAACAATCCTGACCATTTTGACCAACATCTCTTCCATCCTCATCAATGTACTGGAATTCTCTCAAAGTCTTGATGATATAAAGATTCTTTCGTGCCCATGTCACTACCAACTCGGAACCTTCGTGTAGACAGTAATCTAACACTTTCAAAGCCTTCAAAACATGTCTCCAATTTTTGCCCTTGTCGTTTAAACGTTTGTCGAGCATGTCCATGATCTGATAAAATGTTTCCGCCCTGAATTCCTTGAATTAGTTCTGTATATATTTGCAGGTAATGAAAGTACGCACGAATTAAAGGTCAGTTGAGCAATTTCAGCCATATCTGATCCAACGGGACCCCATGGATCGTTGCTTGTAGCTATAATCCGTCAACATATAATTTGTGACTTTAGCACACAGGTCATACCATTCCGGACTTTAATTTGCACATTATTGTATCCTTTTGTAATGTTCTTGACGCTTCGTACGACTTTCGACATATTTGCGACTTGATCTCTCCTGAGTTCAAGACCAAATGAATTGTGACGTCTGAGATGAGATCAAAGATTCGGTAGCTACCCCAGCTACGATGCGAAATCAAAGGAAGCCAATCGTGATTTCGTTTTTATATGGAAGATGGCGGCGGCGTAATGATGATGGATGTTAGGGAGATATGGTGTCGTAAGTAATCACTATGTAATTCGCTTGATATGGTAATTTCCGATATTAATGAATGAATACCCCGGGGCTGTATTTGTGTAGGTAGGATAGGCTAGGCTAGGCTAGGCTGTGCTTCGATTGGCCCCGCACTTTTCAGTTCTTTGATCAAAGGGAATGAATGTCTGAATGTATAAAAAAAAGGTTGGTTGAAGATGGAAGATGGTGATTGTCACTTCAGGGTCGGAAGTTGAGGTTCAGTAAAATAAGGGTGATTCTGTTTATGTTTATGTAGTTTCAAATTATAATTATTATTATGTAGAATTAAAGCATACGAGACGAGACAGGATTGTAGGTAATGCTGGGTCAAAGTTGCGACAATTTCAAAAGAGTGCAGTGACCTAAAAAAAAGTTGAAAGTTCCAGGTCCGGGCTACACGGGGACAGACAGTTATGACGATTAGCGGGAACAAACCCCAGGCACAATAACACAATCATGTGACACATATTCAAAGTCCATGTCAGGTACCTTTGAGCGATCGATTATTGGGCTTCAATAGATGTTAGAAAGATTTAGATATCTGTTTGGGATTTGGGGTATCATTCTGTTTTCGTGTCTTCTGGATTCCTTCTTCTCCTAAGGTTACTGGATACCAAATGTGTTGATCAAAGATCAATTCTTTTGTGATTTTTGGATCCATCCCACCTTTTTGCCCCATCCCCAATCAAACATTGTTCTTGTTGATACCTGTACAGAGCAATGATGAGGTTGATCAATATGTAAGTCCTGTAGCAAGGTTCTAGCAAAGCATCCACTTGGGACGTGACCAATCACGAGTCGCCCGTCACCAGTGAAGGTAGAAAGTATTCCAACAATGCCTCGGTATGTGCTTGTTCAAAATCTGTACATCACATACCTCCTCAATCCGCAATGTTTCGTCTCTCAAACAATTCTTCATGGGAAATAATATCAACAGGCTTGGCTAGCTTGACCTTTGCTTGGATTTCAAGGCTCGCAGCTCTCAGCATTGCAAATCTGACGGCATCAATGCCATATCTTCTCCCAGCACGTTTCTCGGATGTACATGTTAGTATTTCCCCAATCAAGGAATCAGCATCATCAGATTCTGGGTCTGCCTCGATCATTGCTTTAGTTTCTTGAAGGAGGTTGTCCAGGCCATTAATTCTGTTCTTCAACGCATCACTGCTGGGGGTTCCTTTCGCACTCGAAGAGAACAAAATCTTGTCGACCTTTGATAGTACCACCTGATGGGGTACGTTACCGGACCGCAACATTTGCAACATCGCCCTATCAAGTTCCTTGATTCCATGCTGGGCATCAATTAGTACGAAGGCTCGTTTGAGCTGCTTCCTCTTCTCCAGATATTTTATGATTTCTTTTCCCCATTCCGATCTCCCACCATGCCCATATCCTGGCATATCTAGTACCACTAGCCGATCACTATTATCTTCAGACCCTTCATGTCCTCCAATCGCAAATGCATTCATACACCGAGTTCGCCCGACTTTCGAACTGGTGTATGCCGCATTTTTGTTGTTAAGCAGAGCATTGAGAAGAGATGACTTGCCAACCTGAAATATGATAGTGTCAGTACATACTTGCAATTGCAATATTCCTTGTTGATCAAGTCATACTAAAGAGCCATGGAGAACACGAAGAATGATGCAAAAACTGAAAGCAACGAACACAATTGTAACATCGAGGGGTGATTATGCTTACATTTGATCGTCCTAAGAAACAAACCTCAGGGCTATCTCCAAACGCCATGGAGTAGAATTGTGAAGTAGACCATAAGTGCTTGAAAGGCTTTTAGTAAAAATGTATTTGCATGGACGAGTTGGGCTTCTGTAGGTGGTAAAGTGTCCCAGTGATAGCAAAGTCTGGTAGATGGAAAATTCATATATTGAGGTGTAGGACGATCATGAGTTGGAGAATTTGTCGTGATTCTTCTCAGAGCATCCCTCGCAGAGAATCCCTGAAATCGCTTTATACCTACACGAGGCCATGACTGTGCCTTCAAAGACGTTGACATTGAATAATCGTTCAATGTTCAAATGCAAAAATTTGGAAGGTTGAGACAAGGCTGTGTATAAAGAGTTACGAGGCTGAAAACATGTCGGAATTGTTAATGCCGACGAGGAGCCTGTCATTTTCTCATTGCTCATCAACTTTTCCTCAGACCTCATTCTCGGCGCTGGAAATCAGGAAGATGTCTACTCCTACACCTACAAAGTTGCGGTCACTCTATCGATCGTTCCTCCGCGAACTTCCATCTCGCCCCTTCACGCAAAACTCCCGCTCACCACTACAATCCCGCATTCGCAAAACCATAGCCTCGGAAACAAACACACCAATCGAGCAAGCCGAGCAATTCCTTCAATATGTCAAGGCACAAAGGGTGTATGCTACATTACTTGAGAGATACAACCCAGGGATGAATATGGATGAAGAAGAAAGAGTCCGTTTGACTGCCAGGAGGGTAGGAATGGATTTGCCGGAAGAATTTTCGTATGGGGAGAAGGGCACTGGAGGCAAAGTGCAATGAGATTTTTAGCGATTATAACGGCAGCATTGCATATACAACTTGCTCGGAGGTCATACGAATTTTATCTACGACTATTGGTAGTAGGCTATCATTGGACTCCTCTATCGGGAGGTCTGGGATCTGGCACCTTTTTGAGGATATCTTTGTTTTGCTTCGACGCATATACATGGACGAGGGGTCACCAGTTTCGATAATGCTGGAATTCATTCACGCAATATTACGAGGCTGTTCTGTGCCGAAAAATGAGGTTCACCACACGACTTGAATCAGTGATGGAAGTAAAGAAAATTCAGGCTCCATTCAGTAGTCTAGCTTACAGATATGAATGACATTTACAACATTAACTTACGCCAAGAAGCAGACCCAAGAGGTGACGAGTTGTCGGTACCAAATTATATTCGGATACTACGTCGAGCTCCAGGGACATTATTTAGTGAGATCCACTACGAAATCTATATAACCATTTAATGTGTTCAGACATGTCTCTTCACCAAGTTGAAGCTAAGGTTCGCCCAATATACAGCATGTTTTCATTCTATGAATGCACACTTTATATAAATGTGTCCAAATTAATCATCCCAGAATTATCACATAAAATCCCACCGAATTAGTGACTTCATATAGGACTTCATATAGGTATCCAAGTAAGGAGATAGCAGTTGTGAGAAGCTAAATCGGTTTAAGGTGGGAAGCGACAGCTATTTTTAGTTCTATCAAATATGTAGTCTCGGTTCCACAAGCAATAAGATTCGGCTAGACATTGTTGGTTTGATACATTGTTAGAATCTCGATATGAAGGAATCTCGTGATTCAGTAATGTAGTCAGTCTATATCTACAGATGCATATTCTAGGTAAACACTTTTACCTACTCCCAACGGTGCACGTAGGTTACATATCATACCACCGAGAACTCTATTACTTTCTATGCCGTCGAGCCCCTCAGGTTGCGCATGAATCACTGTAAGCGCTGAACTTATCGAAAGGAGACTAGCAAATTATATCCATGTTTAAATATCACCATATTCTCATATAATTGGTCCATTATGAAAAACGCGCAAAGAATTTATCATGCACATCAACTCCGAGGACTCCAATCGTGAGCCATACCATATTTGGAACCCTGGTGTTGTAAAAGTAAAGGATAAGAGCATCTTTTTTTATCCATGCTCATGCGCTCATGCTTCAAAAACAGCCCTCTCGCCCCTTCGAATCACAAAAATCCCACCGTGACCTAAGGGGGTGGTCGATCCCGTAAAAAAAAAAGGAGTGATCCTTCACGGTTTGGAACACTTCATCTCACACTCACCTCAAATACATCTTTATGTTCAGATGAGTTTAAAGGCAAAATCGTCTAAATAAGACGAAAGCCAGGCCTCGAGTGCTTGAGTGCTTGATTGTGGAGGAAAAGTCCTGTTTGTCGTGATAGTACTTTCGTGTTACTATTTATAGGATCGGGAGACCTTAAGACGCGACAATGAACCCTCATAGAGAACATGGCATCCGCAGGAGAATGGAGTTGAATCCCATTACAACATCTCTACATATCACGTCGCCCCACCACCAGACTTCTGGATATACCATTTCTGGGAATTTGAGCTCATCGCTTGGATACAATCCTTCACAGTACAATACACCTTTGAGCTCTGTGCGACAGTACAACCCTTCACAATGGACTTCATCTCCCAGCGTCAGTGGTGGTTCAGATGGTTCGCATTTTCCTGCCAGACCATCTCACGATCCAGATGGTACTTACTTTCAAGAATTGTTTTTAATTTTCGAATTGTATGCACAGTATGCGCGGGGTAGTAAAAGCTAATGAGAAACTGCAGTAGTGATTCCAGCCCCACCTCCATACTCTCCACCGCGAAGCAATAGGTTGGCAGGAGGATCAGATGAACCTTTGTCGTCTGCTTCTGCTCCACCACAGGCATATCGTTCTTCCCCCGAGGCTCCACATACCCCTCATACTGCAGCTCCAAGTACTCCACACCCGAATTATCCTCCTCCACCTGGTGGGCGATCGAGAGCTGGGTCGAATGATAGGCCACTCGGCGTCTTGGCATTCTCTAGGAGATCGGTTAATCATCTTGAAAACCCCAGAATGTCACCAGCTTCGAACAGGGAACCAATACCACCAGTGCCGCCCATTCCAAGAAGAGCTGTGGAACAAACTCGCCCAGAGACTGTGGACCCTGTTCCAGTCAATATTTTACCTCCAGGGTCACGTCGAGCTGCATCTACAGGAGCTATCAGTTCAGCATCTCCGGCCCACTCGCGAGACCCGTCTACTACTCGATGGCAGCCTGGGATGCCTTTACCCCCACCTCCACCTGGCCGTCCTCCACCCCCAAGATCACAAAGTATGACCCGTGCCACTGAAGCAGTAACCTCTCCCCCAACTCGAAGACCGCTTCCCACGTCTTCTTTAGGTCCAGTCCCGCCTACCCCGCTTTCGCCTCCAGTTCAAGCGTCTGCAGCAGCATCAAATTGGCCCAATGAGACACCCGCGGCATCACCTCCTCGGGACCGCTTAAAAGGTCCTGCGCTCCACGTCGATACTGCAAGCGTTACTTCTAGTACAGCAACTGATTCTGTCTCCGGGTCAAGTTCTTCTAGCTTGACAAGGTCACGAGCTGTCCGTGGAGAGAAAACTATCCGTGAAAGAAGAAGTGAAAGTAGAAATGGCAGGACAGCTTACCCTGAATCGGCAATTGAGCAATCAAATAATCCGTGGGCAGAAGCCATTACTCCCAGTGATATCAATGTACCCCTAGCGAGGCACAAGACTATGACTAGGGCAACCCCGAGGAGTGGGAGGTCGTCTAATTATTCTGAAACCCCAGGGTCATCTCAATCAACACTGCACAATTTGATCACTCCAGATCGTGTAAATGGGTTTCTTACTGGCTCTAGGGGCTCAACTCCTAGGCCAGTGGCGCATACCCCGCCTTTCTCCCCCGAGTCCATCAAGGCATCTACAGTAATCCAGTCCCCATCGGTTCCGCCAAAGTCTTTACCAACACCTCCGCCACAATCAATAATGGTTAAGAAAACTCCCAATAGCCGTCCGCCCTCATTGATCATCCCTAAGAATGATTTTACAGTCATTACTGCTTCGACTCCATCTCGACCTGCCACTGGTAAATCCATCTCAAGTCAAGTGTCCCACATGACACTCGCTGATGACTTTGCTCGCTCTGCCGCGGAAAGACATGAAATATTTGTTCAGAGAGAAGCCAGTGCTACAAATGATACAGACCGTGTTCGGATTTTTGCAGAATTTATTGTTAATGAATCCAGAATACGTCGAGACCGCTATGCCTCCGCGATAGACGCAATGGGGTCGGAAATTCTAGATCTGACCCGAGATTTATTTCGCCCTAATGCTCGTAGAGACTCTACGATGTCCTATGGAAGTGAGTTCACACCCGAGTCGTCAGCTGCTCCAAGGTCTCATAGAAGCTCGCTAGTGGGAGCCTTCAAAGAAAATCTACAGTCACAGCATTCCGAACCAAGATCTGGATCAAGGCAACCTACAAGGCCTAGCTCAAGGTCAAATTCAAGGCCTGGATCGAGAGCCAATTCAGCAGGTCCACCATCTCCGGAGCCAACACAACAAAACCCACAATGGTGGAGTCAGCCTGGGTACATGCCCTCCTTATCTCCAATTCCTAGCATGAGTGTTAGTGAGGCACTCGATGGAGCAAGTTCAAGAGGAAGGCCTTCAAGCAGATGGTGGGAGGTTAGTCAACAGGGATCAGATGGGGTTCCTTCATCAAGATTTGAAAGATCAAAGCGAGAATCAAAGTATATGGGTATGCCAAAGGAATTGCGCGAGGCTTTACAATTTGGAGAAGGAGACCCATCGCCAATGGAGAATACGTTTGGCGGTCCAAGTAATCCTGCCCACTTAGGTCCCAACGAATATCCCCGAGAGAAGACTGGCTTCCACGAACCGAATCAAGTCTCTCCCGTATTTCAACCAATGATTCCCCCAGCCCTCGTTCCACGGACACCATTCACACCAAAACCGGACCACCTTGATGTTTCGAGGCTAGTCACTTTACCTCCACCTTATCCTCGTCATCACCCAGCAGTAAACAATAATCATCCTGACCTCACGAGTATCCGTACAACTGTTCGTATGCTAAGTGACATTGCCGAAGTAACAGCTACTAAAGAACGTTTCGTGCGGGATAGTGCCCGGATGCGTGAGGATCAGAACACCGCAGCCTCCAAACGTCGAGCTTCATTGCGTCTCCGCATACAGCGCGATATCGAAGCTGGAACCATATCATATGCTGATGCGGCGGCCTACGAAGCAGATTCTGTGGCTAGTGAATCTCTCAAATCCAAGGAAGCCGCCAAATCTATCTTTGAACTCTTTCAATCCCAAGTCGTCCTCCCCATTAACGAGCTACTCATGACACGTATTCAATCAGCGACTGATCTTTTTGAACAACTCAGAAGTAAACTCTTCAATGATTCACAAGACCAAAATCCTACCTCTACGCAGGAAGAAGGTGACGAACAACCAGAGCTCATTGAGAAATTAACACTTCTAAAATGGATTTTTGAAGCTCGTGAACAACTCCACCGTGAAGTGTACGAACTACTCTCGGATCGGAATGATCGTTACAAAGAAATGATAATCACACCCTATCGCCTCTCCAACAACGTTGAAAAGGTCCGTGGTGCAGAATCATTCTTCGCAGAAGATGCTCAAAAACGCAAACAAGCATTCGAATCCGAGATTCTCAAACGGACAGAAGAATTCATGGATATCATTGAAGAAAACGTCGTTCGTGGCGTGGAAGTTCAACTTGGTGCTTTCTGGGACATTGCTCCTTCTCTAAGTCGCTTGATTGAACAAATACCCAAAGATGGCAATTTGAAAGCCTTCATGATTCAGATCCCCAAAGACGAATACGAAGAAAATCCAAGCTATTATGATTTTCCAATGCAATATCTATATACCCTTATAGTCCACGCGGGCAAATCAACATACCAATTTATTGAGAGTCAAACAAATTTACTGTGTCTGTTGCATGAAGCTAAGGTGGGAGTAACGGCAGCAAATTGTAGATTAATGGGCACGCAGCGGATAGCTCAAGGAGAAGCGAAAGAAGAAGTAGAAAGGGAGTTGGAGGCGGTGAAGAGAGAGGAAGATGGAAGATTGACGGATGATTTGAAGGAGAAAGTTAAGGTTGTAGAGGAACTTTGGAGGAGTGGACTAGGCACTGAGTTGGAGGGGGCGAGGGGGAGGATTTTAAACTGGTTGAAGAGTGTAGGCGGTGAATTACCGCCGGATGAGGTGTAGTGGCGGAAGGGGACGCATTGAGATGATGCATAGATCACTGGTATGGTGACGTGAAGAGAAGTGAAGCGAGGCGGGGTGTGATGGCGAAGAACGAAATTATGTATGAACATGCAAACGTCATGATATGAACAGATTCATTAAATACACGTCTTACAACATCCACGACGGGAAAACGGGAGTTAATCGAATTCAGGGAATCTTCAATGTATATATTTACTTTCTTTTCTTAAACAGACAATCGTTTGGAGGAGCTCGGGAGCAAAATCATTTAGATTTTTTGGAGGTAGGCGACAGGCAATAGGCTGTATGTAGCTTGTGACATCTTTTCGATACCCTTATCTTATTTAGTATTTATCTCGTTATGTACTTGTTTCTTCGCTTGGAAGATTATGGAGTACTTGATCGAAATAATTTAGTCGTGATTTTTATTTTATTGCTGGAGGTTTTTTTTGTCACGGTGTGGGTTCTTATGTGTAGACCACTGGGACTTCAGATGGATGGATGATATAATTCTGTGGGAATTCGTAGATTGGTAACTTTAGAGGAGATATTCTCTTATTTTGTGGTTACTCTTCTTCCTTTTATCCATGGTCCTGTTGCTGCAGGTTGATATTATCTTTGTCTTTAGCTTTATCTCACCTTATTTTTCTTTGTTGGGTTTTGGTTGAGATAGTAATCAGAAGTTGGAGTTGGAGTTCCGCGATCTCAACTTCGGGTATAAATACTGGGGTACTACATGCTTGGTTCTGAGTGACATTGGCCTACTAGAGGGAGTATCAATGTTGGGTTTTGGATTGAGGATTTAGTTTGGGGTGGAGGTAGGAGTTGAGCTTGAGGGTGGGATTTCAGTGGATGGGGTAGTTGATATTTTTCCTGTTCTGGATTTTGATATTGCTTTTCATATGTTGCTTCGTGAGTTGCTCCGGGTTCTAGCTCTGCTCGGAGGGAAGTAGGTTTTTCTCGTTTTAGTGTTTCGAGAACAGATGGAGACATGAGTTGCGAGGTCTGTTGAGGTGCATTTTCTTTCGATTTTCTCTTTGGGGTAATTTCCAGAATCTGCTTGATTCTCGGAACTTGCGTATGTGTACTAACAGAAAGTTCATGATTTGTACTATGGCTAGTTGTATATCCTTCCTTTAAAACTCTCAGTTTATTCGCATTAGGTTTAAATTCCTGTTTCTCTTTTGCTTCATATCGTGATTGGAATTGAGTAGGTGTTTGTTGGATACTCCCTATTGAGTTTGATCTGTTTATTAATTCATGATGAAGCCATGGAGCGTAGGTTGGCAGAGGGTGTTGGATTTCAATTGAGTTTTTTCTGAGCATGTATCTTTCTAGTTGATGGATATATTGACTAGGTATTGATTCTAGGTTTGCTGCAGGGACAGGAAAATTTTGGTGGTGTTGGAAATTGCATGATGCGTCACCGGGAACCTGAAATATATAGGACGGTGAACTCGTCCAGGAGCCGCAGCAATCGTCAATAAAGTGACTGGCTGCTCCGCCCACTGGAGCTAAATGGATATTCGAACTGGGATTACTATTCTGGTTATTCTGGTTATGAATAGATTCCTCTGGATTCTCTAAACGAACTTCATCAAGAATACCCATTTCTCTTCTAGAATCCGGAGGCTCATATCTAGGCGTTACATCATCCGGGCTAGTCCATCGATATTGTGATATACTTTCTTCATCAGATGTATTTTGCCGCATCCCAAGAGCTTGCACCCATGATCCGCGGCTTACCCGCAGATTATCTCCTGCATCAACAATATTTGTTGGCGAATTCTTCGAAGCGTGCCTTCGATACCGACTTCTTCTGATACATCGGAAAAGCAGTGCAACAGCAAGTACCACTACACAAGAAACCACTCCAATGCCAAGGCCAATGCCTATTTCAGCCCCGACAGGAAGGTCAATGGTGGGAACTGGGTCTGCTATTTCGTGTCTTTTAGTTGAGAGCGATCGAGCTGCATCAGTCATCCGGGGAATATCGTTTGATGTACTGATGTTAAAATAGCGTGAGGTAAATGACGCTATAAAATTCCTTGTACTTCCATTATGTATAGTGAAGTAGAAAATGTTGGATTCGCTTAAATTGTAAGGGGAAGAGTCCACAGTCCATAATGCTATGTTCGGGGATTTTGGTATGCTTTCTATTGTATAAGTAAGGTTAGTACTTTGAATTGTCAATTGAAGGGAACTCTCACGAAGAAGAGTAAAATTGGAATTACAGCCCAATTCTCCTCCAGCACAATTTAGAACTTGACTGATTGTCAAGAAAGTAACTATATAGTTAGATGTCCATGTTAAGTTAATAGTTGAACCATCTTTCAAAACAAGATTATTACTATAGTCTTGAGTAAAGGTGCCTTTTTGCGGTAGGGGATTGACGAAACTATTTACTGACTGCTCACGAGCAGTCAAATCAGAACGAGCACGGTTTGCTGCCATATTTCGTGAATTGGAAGGATATTGATAACATGCAAGCAAAAGCAAATACTTGGACTATTAGAACAAAGTGAACGCAAACTTGGACATATGACTAAAATGATATATGCCCTCTCAATGAACTCCCAGCTCGGGCCGTCGATACAGATCAATATTGCAAGACCTAATCGAGGCCAAACTAAGAAAAAGTGAAATTTCGATATCGGGAAAGATGTTCAGCCCTATAGACCCATCTGGACTCTAGACCGGCCTATCATTATTCAATATTGGTATGAGCTCAATCATACAGTGAATAGCATTATGCGCTTGATAATGTTGACTTCCTACTACCCGGCGGGCACATGCCATCAATTTTACCTAGTATGTGAAAAGCGATAGATAGTAGCTCTATGATGAGCAGAAATTGAGTATATAACGATGGTGTTTTGTAATACCAAGGTAGCTTGGCCTTGATTTAAAATTTGCACGCGATTATATCAGGGCCTATGTCATATCAATATTTCCGAGGCCAGATGTTGGAACGGCCACCTGTAACGAAAGAGGCTGTGTTGCAAAAGTTGTATGCATACACACTTGTATCAATGAAGAACGGGATAAAGTAGAGTCACTGTTTAGCTTGTGCAAATTTCTCACCAATCAACAAAATACCAATAGCTGAATATAATAATAGAATGATGCAACACATTATGCTTTCCACTTCCAAGATCTTTTTTCCATAGAATCAAACAGTCGCACCGCGATAACACAAAAAGTAGCACCGGACAAAAGCGCTGCATCGAACAAAATCACCCTACGATAATTTCCTAATTGACTCTCCCCCAGGATTTTGCCACCGACTGGGCTACCAAACATGATCCCAAGGCCTCTCACAAAATATATAAACCCATTTACACTAGCGTAGGCCTGAAGTCCAAATACTTCCGCCACAGTCTTTGCTTGTATGTAACCGATTTGCACAGAATGGGATGTAGTGAAGGAATGGAGAGACATACCGTGGGAAATAGAGCATTGTAACCACCGCCCGCAACTCCATAGAATATCACAAAAAGTAACCATAATGCCTTATTACCATTTGCAGTCGTACTTCCTAGCCAGAATCCAGATACTGATACGACACACAAGATAACCGACAGGATAAGCGTATTCTGTCTTCCAAACTTATCTCCAGCGAAGCCGGTCATCACTCGACTAATAGAATTAACTCCATTCGAAACAGCTAGCAGGGTGGCACCAAAAGTCGAAGTATATCCCAAAGCTACCGAGTACTCAGCCAGGAACGTGAGTGGTAGTCCGTTCCCTCCCGCCTGTAAGAAACCAGCTCCAACGCTAAAGATAAATGCCGGCTTCATGGCCAACTTGAGATCTACATGAGTTTGTCGTCTTCCAACAAATCATGATGGAGCTGCAGTTGCAGCAATCGGCAGGGCTATGACCAGCACGAGGAAAGAAAGTAAACGGAGTGTCTATCTGGGCCCAATTGATGTCAAAAGAAAGCGGATCAAGGGCGAGAAGATAAGCCCTCCAATTCCCGCGCCCGACAGAATGAATCCCATTGCTGACCCACGGTGTATGTTAAAGTACTCTGGTGCTGTACTTAGAATTGGATAGTAAAGTAACGATGAACCAATGCCGTATAGTAATCCTTGTGTCAACAGAAGTTGCCAAACCTAGTAAAACGGTTTAGCGAGTAACTGACCGAAGCGCTGGTTGTGATTTACTGACTTCCTTACACACGCTTGCCAATCCAAATCCTAGGCTCGTGAAGACAACTCCCGTTACACAGATATATTTTGAACCCTTTGCACCTAGTCTTGTCATCATTGGATTTACCACAATGCTGCCGGCCCAAGTAAGACCAGACCCGAGTGTGCCCACAAAGGCCACCAATGCACCTTCATTGACCGTTGTTTTTGGAAGCATGTTTTGAGTTGGGGAGATGTAGTAGCTCTGAAAAACGCCATAAGACTGATTGAGACCAATCGTGATACATATTGTCAAAAAGCTTGAGATGAGAATTATGATTTGTCTTTGGCGGGTTATTGGCCGCATTTCAAAGGTATTTTGAGGAGACCGAGGTTCATCTAAAGCCAACTCGCCCATTGCATAACTCTCGTTATTCTCATGACTTGAGAAATCCAAGATCGGATGAATGGTTGTTGCAGCCGCCATATTCGCATAGATGCATCGATGTGCCTATTTCGAACAAGAGCCTCAGAATCTAAATTGAGTTTGATTAATCGAGCCCAAATGTACTGACATATGTATACGAATGGGGAATAAATGTGAAGTAAAAAGAAGCACTTAGTCTGCTTAGATATTTGAATGTTCAATCACGACTCAAAGACGTCTCGACAACAAAAAATCACACGGAGCCTGATAAGTGGAATATATGTACTAAGTGCTTACTACATTATTATCTAGTGGATCGGCCTCGAAATTCTTCAGGAGTGGGTGTATTCATCCGTCAATTCCCGTCTAATATCCTCGGCTGTTGTAGCAGTACATACGTGCATACCACCAATGCCAAGGGACTGAGACGAACAGTGGGATATGCTCACAGTAGCTCATGCTCGAATTGTTCATATAGATTGGCAAGATATGAAAAGATGCTACGGAAATTGGTCCTTTCTTCATTTTCCATTCTTCAAGCGCATGGTATATCCCCTAAAATTACAAGGTTTTATGCCGCCATTATAATGACCACTTGCACCCTCCTACGAAACGCCTATTTCATTATACGTTTCCACTCATATTACATTTAAAGGAAATTTGTGTTCAATGTAGTCAGAATCCAAGGACCCTGCTCTCTTCATGACGGCACCTACTTTCTGAAGGCTGTAGCAATATCGGCTCTTGTCCATTCAGCAATAACTTCTCCATCATACACATCTCTGCTGATTGTCAAAATCCTATCGTCGACGTTTTCGTAAAATCTCTCGCATTGTTGATTCACCTTGCTGACAAGTTCTCGACTGAGTCCTGGGTCATCTGCATCGCCAAAGTGCTTTTCAACTCGCTTCTTAAGAGTTTCAATGCCCTTCCTAATTTCTTTGGCGTCATACCCAGCAAGGATTTTTTTGAAGGTCGATTTGGAGTGACTTGGCATTGATGAGATCTTCGAAGCCGATTCACCAGGTTGTCTCGAAAGCATAAGACTCTCTGTACTTTCCAAGAAATCGAGAAGTTTTCCTAGGGGTCTTCGAATCACAGCACCCAGATACAAAGTCATATGTTCATCCATTTCTTGGCTAGCATTCTCCCTCCATTCTTCAAGCACCGGGTTGGAGCGGACATCCACTTCTTCCAGGTAGTGGTTCATATTTTCGATGAGTAGAATCTGATAATTGAGGGCTTCTTTGTCCTCTGGATCTGCACCTGCAGTGTGAGCACTTGGATTTTCCCTCGCAATAACCTTGAGAGACTCAAACATGGTTTTGTTCAATCGAGAATATGCATTATTTACGATTTGTCGAACCTCGAGGCCATCAGCAGACATCAACATCGTTTCTATTGCAGAGGAAAATGAAGGAAATATCCTTATGAAGCCAATAACACCCTTTCGCTTCTTGATTTTGACTTTAGTGTCTTCGATGGCTCGAATCTGCTCATCAAGGAATTTGTTAAATAGACCAAGTAAACGAGCATGTAATTTTTGGAGAGTACGTGCCAGGTACTCCTGGCTTGATTCCTCGAGGTCAACAAGCTTGCGCTCAATTGAAACGAGTATACCAACACCTTGCCTATTCGAATAATTAGTTATTCCCTTCGATTTGTTTTAAATAGGTATACTTACAATGGATCGGTTTGGAGGGACCAGTCTACGAGTGCTTCCATATCGCCTGCCCAAAAAGCGTAAATTTCTTCCATGGTCTGTACGACACGTTTTGCCAAGATCCGATTGGGATCCATAACTTTCGGCCTTCTCAAGTCGCCGCCTCGTCGCAAGTCTGGGGGAGCAGCAGCGACAGAATCTGCAAAATCATGTTGTTCTAGCGACGTGATATGAAAAAATTCAACAATGAAGTTTTGCTCCATGCTCATAATCGGAACCATTTCATCGAGAGCTCCAGTGAACACTTCATGTGGAGGTAGTCGACCATCCGCCTTGTCTGTGGTAGACTTATTGCCACCGTCGCCAGCTGGAGATCGTATCTTTGCCAGCGTTTGACTTCGCTTTACCGTCAGCTTTCTAGCGGTTGTAGTTGCGAGGCCTTCAGTGTGTTTCTCAATTTGTGATGTGAACAAGTTTTCAGACTCGTCCCCGTGTGCTTTCTTAGCAATCCGCTTCCAGGCAAACACAGCGTCCCTGAATTCGTCCTGGTATAAGGGTTTACATGCAGACTCGTAATCTAACAAAAACTTTTCCCATTCATCAGGAGCCACTTCCCTAGAGAACAACATCAGTGGGCTATATCTCCAAAGTATATTCCTCGCGAGATCATGATGGCGTGGGTCAAGTTTGCCCTTCCCAGCTGTTCTGGCGATATTGCCACCCTTTTCCCGGTCTAACGCTTTCCTTGTTTCGTCAATTGCAGAGCGGAATTTCATTTGTAAAAAGGAATACAAACGTTGAAGGAATTCAACGCTCGTAGCTCGGTAGACATCTTTCTTCTCCTGTAAGACCCGCATGCTTCCAATCTCGCTGTTGCCGAAGCCTCCAGTTCTCCCGGAATGGACACTACCATCTTCACTTCTTCTAGGAACAGAAATACTAAGTGAAGGATCAATAGTAACCATAGCTTTGAACAAAACAACCAAAGACTTTTCAACCAGCTCGAGATCATGAGGACGTTCCAATGATGCCGTTTTTAAGGACTCAAGCTGTGATGAGGAAATTGATATCGTGTCCAGTAGAGATTGAAGTTCAGCTTGTAAGAGCTTCTGATTGGCCGTTTGTACCTGCAGACCTTGTGATTGGGCTTCGATGTATGCAATGTCCTCGTTGAGTGTCTAAAGTGATTTGTTAATCTACAAAATTCTTCAAGAATGTATCCAATGAAGCAACTCACGCCAAGCTCCACAAGATACAGTGTGAGCAAACCATCAAGTTCGTCACATTCATCCATACATGTATCCAGCCCTCTTTTAATCGCTTCAACTCGTTCGTCCTCTTCCTCTAATCGGTTAAGCCAGCCTCCTGCTTGAACTTTGTTGAGCTCTCGCTCAACATCATCTTTTAATGCATCAATAACTTTTGTATGCACACCTTCCCCAACCCATCCAAATTCATCCCATGCATTGACAAGATCAGAACCTCGGCCATCCAAAAAGCTAGGATCGATACCTAAAGATGCAAGCTCTTTTTGCATTGCCTCAGAAGCAGATTTCGGACGTTTAGGTTCCCGAGCCTTTGGCTTGTCAAGTGAGCCAGTATCTGATGCCTTTGGAAGACTTCCAACAGTGCTTGGTATATCCTTGTCCGGGACTGTAATTTTGACTTCCGGAATAACTTCAGGATTGGCATTGCGTGCAGCTGACTTTTCTGGAGGTGCTTCGACCGGAGTAGAAGGAACTTCGGGTGTAGCAGCTGGTACAACGGCGAGCGGAGCATTGAACATAGTTGCGCTATCATTACTGAACGCCCGGACTAAGGAAGGAGCTGGGACCACACCAGTGATACCATCAGGGCCGTTTGGAGATTTAGCTGCCAGTGCTGCTTCTCTAAGACGTTCAGCTGCGCCACCAGCACGAGGCTTGAAACCATTGGCATTTTGTGCGGCCCTAAGGAAGGTGCTGGCAATGTCGCCCTTGGATTTCTTCTTTATCATGGGTCCAAGACCAGGGCGCATTTCCTCGTCCTCTTGCTCCTCCGCCGATAGCAAAACGGGAGTAGTCGGCGAAACGACTGGAGAGACAGGGGAGGTAGTAGCTGGTGCAGATGCAGGAACCGGCGGCACTTCATCCTTACCGGTATCTCCCAAATTATCACGAGGTGGTTCCAATGATGCTGCCTCTATGATTTTGGCGTCAATACTGCCATCTCCATTAGTATCTCGCTCGCGAGGTATTGATCGTTCACTGCTACGAGTGGGAGGCCGCATATCGTCTCTGCGCATACCAGGACTAGCCAATGGCGCCGGCACAATGTTATCCATTGAATCTGTACCACGTAAGCGAGCCGCATCGCCAATATTTGGCATTGGAGGTCGACGTCGTTCGGGTGGAATTGTTAGTGGAGCAGGCATTGGCGGCGGGTCCGTCGACCTGTCCCGTTTCGGACTTGGAAAGCCGGATTCAGGAGGGCCACGTTGGGAAATGGGTGTGACGCTTCTATCAGGAAAGCGACCAGGTGCATTAGGCAAACCATTAGCGCCACCGCGTGAACGAGGCGGTAAGCTTCCGCTGTCGTCACTGCGTCCAAAAGATTCCTGGCTCTGATTAGCGGTTTCCAACCTACGCAGACTTGTGTGGCTCTGTTGAGGTTTAACACCCAGTGGCTTAGCAGATGAACCTGGCGAGGCATCACGCTGTGGCCGCATAGGAGGTCGGGAATTTTGTGGAGGAAAAGCTGGACTAGCATTGGCCGGCATTTGGCCTGATGGGCGTTGTACAGCATCTCGACTAGGTTGACTACGCAGCACAGGTTCTCGGGACGGCTCTCGTTTGAACGGTCGACTCTGGTTCTGTTCGTATGGAGAAGATGCAGAAGATGCAGAAGACTGTAGTTGTTGGGCTTGCGGAGGCCGCCGAGATTCTTGTGAGGGAGGTTGTTGTGGTCGTGTGGAAGATGAAATACCAGACAATTGTTCCCTTTCTCTGGGATCAAAACCAATGAGTTCCGGCGCTTTTCCGCCAGTGTACTTTGTGTAAATCTTGACCAAGCTTGCGATGAAGAATTGTTTTTCCTTTTGAGTATTGGCCTGCCAATAATAGGGCTTTCCAATTGTCACAGTAAATCCCATCCCCCCAGCCCATTGTTTGCGCTGTTCTTCCTCAGCAGTCGTAGGAACTGCTCCACTAAAAGACTCTACCGCGGATAAATCATCAAGCATCCAAGTTTTGCCAATTGAAAAGCTCCCATTCGCATTCTCCCTAGCTTTGTGCATCCGAACCCGTCCAGATTTGCGCACGGCGACGATTATAAGACGAGGTTTTTTAGCATCCGGATTGGCGTCCGTGGGAGGTGGAGAGGATGGATATGCCGCATCCTCAATAATTCTAATATGTGTGATATATGATTCCAATACTAAATGCCCGAGGGGTTAGCACAGCTGATACCTGTATCGCAAAGTGAACTAATCTCACAAGAGCCGTCCGGATCCTTCTTCCCAAAACAGCTTTCGATAATTCGTCTCTTCTCATCTTCAAACCTTTCCGCCCTACTCATGCCACTCCTATCGCTGCCATTGACCCCGCTAGAGCCATTTCGTGAAGAGCCGTCCATGAGGCAGAGCTAGGTTCTTGAAATCAAGGCGACTTTTCTGTGTATCCCTTTCAATCATTTATTCGCGAAGGCGGACTGGAAGTTGTTCTGCAGTTGGCTCGAGAATCATTTTTGACTGTTGGTAAACAGTATTCAAAAGTCACAGCATAACCCACCGTGGTAAAGGAGCATATGATGTGCAGGTTAAATATTAGGTTATTGGTGCTTACAGTTTGACACTCCAGCTCCTAGGTTCTGTTCCCTGACATCAAGCAAGCACTAGTACCACTGGTATTACATAAGCGAGGGCTTCGAGACGGGAAATGTAAGATCCGATACCTCAGAAAAATAATGAGTATTTTTGGGTGATTTTTCCCTTTAACAGATTTTTCGAACATAAAAAATGCTACAGTATAAAAAAATGTTCATTAAAAGTTTAAGACAGCTCGAAAATGGGTTTCTTTGCAATGAAGTTGCCTTTTTCAAGGTTTTTTTGACCATCTAGTAGCAAACCGCATCAAGGTGAGTTACACTATTCCTATTCTAGATAAGCGGATTTTTGTCTACTTCTCCCTGGGAACTTTTTTTTTTTTGCCGATAGATAAGCTGTGACAATTGGAAATTTTGCGATCAATTCCCAAACTAGACAATTTTTTCAACATTTTAACAAGTATGAGGCCGAAGCAAAATAAACGCAATATGGGAGACAATGCCAATATGCAGGCATTGGGAAAGAGAAAGAATCCCTCGAGTCAACCACAACCAGATTGGCTCTTCCCTGCTGGTTCTGGTACGGATGCAAACAAAGCCTCAGCTACCAAATCTGGCAACGAAGGACGATCGAAGAACAAACAAGCCAAGCAAGTCGCACAAGATCTCCTCAACCGTCGCGATGCTGGCGAACCTCCCAAGACAGGAATTCCTTCCCATTTACTCGATCTTGTCGGCAAATTCCTCGAGCAGCACGAATTCATGCAAACCAGTCGCACCTTGAAGACTGAACGTCGTAGCAGAGCTGAGGTAACAGCAGGAGCTGAAACCACCGCTTTCTCTCTTGAACATATCTACACTGAGTGGCAGACATTGAAAGAGGAGAATACAGCACTGAAAGCTGCAGCCACTCAGAAGGACGAAACTTCAAAGCCCAAGGCAGCTAAGCCTTCATCCGCGGATACCTCAAGCAGCAGTAGCAGTAGCAGCAATAGTAGCGACTCCAGCAGTGAAGAGGGAAGTGATGTTGAGATGGCAGATGCTCCTCCAACTAAGAAGAACTCTGCTCGAAGATCTTCCTCGTCATCCTCATCATCCTCTTCGTCCTCTTCCTCCAGCAGTTCCGATAGCGATGCCGATGATGAAGATGATGCGCCATCAGCCATTAAGTCTCCCTCGCCGAAGCCAAAAGTCAATGTTTTGAAGCGCAAAGCTACTTCAGATAGCGATTCATCTTCATCCGATTCTGATTCATCTTCATCCGATGCTAGTTCAACTTCAGGAGAAGATGCCCCCAAAGCCAAGAAGGCTAAAACTTCTGCTGCTGACAAAGAGTCGTCGGCCTCTTCATCCGAATCTAGCTCTGGAGAAGACGAATCTAAAGCCGGGAAGACTAAAGATAACTCTAGTTCTTCTGATTCCTCCGACTCAGATTCCGACTCCGATTCCTCTACACACTCAAATGCAAAGAAAACTCCATTACCTGATTCTGACTCCGATTCATCTTCCGATTCCAATTCCAGTTCTGACTCGGATTCCGGAAGTGATGCCGATGAAACTGCAAAGAAGGAGACAGCAGCTAGCTCAGACACAAGCGAGACACTTTCTGAAGGCAAGGGTTCACCAAACGAGAAAGCATTAGATCCACCATTGCCACCAATGCCTGCTGCCAAGCTTCCTAGGAAACAGAACGTACCATTTTCTCGCATTCCCAAAGACACCAAAGTCGACCCGAGATTGTCTAGTAATGCATATGTACCATATGATTACGCTCAGAAGGCTCATGAGGATTTGATCATTACAAAGGGCAAAGGTTTTACCAAAGAGAAGAACAAGAAGAAGCGTGGAAGTTACAGAGGTGGTTACATTGACGTGGAGGGTAAAAAGGGCATTAAATTCGATGACTAGAGATCTACCTCTTGTATTGGTAGGTTGTTAATTGATTGCTGTCAATTTTTTAGCATGAGAGAGGTTTAAGCCTTTGAAGGTGACTAAGTATTGGCTGGGTAGCAAAGGAGCGTTTGGCGTAAATTCATATGATAAAGTAGCCTCGCTACATTGATAATACAAAAGTTGTCCTCTGTACATAACACATTTCCACGATTCATCTTCCGCACACCAACTTCCATTGTAAGAATGCTCCAAGAACGTTCCGTATGACATCCCAATCAGCACATCTCGAGGGTCAAATTCCAGGCTTCTGTCAGGTGATTCAATGTCTTTTCGCAGCAGAGCGTATTCTCCACTTGGGTGGTAATTTTGAAGTGACCGGGCCAATGTTTATGACATCAATTTTCCCAATGTTCTCAGAGAGGAGCTACAGTAGTCATATATATGTATGTGCTGTACATGTGCTAGTGGGTGCTCGGCAAACTCCTATAGCCCATGTCGACAGCTAACTATGCTATTGCCACACTCGGAGTCTACTGGTGATAGGTAAAGCTCGGCCGTCGTTAAATGACATGGTCAACGGTCAATGACATCCTTAGGCGTAGCTTTGATATACCTATATAAGTATGCCTACTACCTAGGTAGTAGTCGCGGTGCAATGGTCACAAGAAATCGCCTTGTAATCGGCCTTACATTCGGGTGATGATAAGCGTGCTTATCTCGATGACTTGGAATCCCTTTGACAATCAAATCATTGAAGCTTGTTTACAGCCATTTCGACCCTTTCGAAAATACAACGGAGTACAGCCACGATATTGTTTCTCCTTTTTTCAATTCTCTTTTGGGTAAACAAAATTTGGTCAATAGAACTTCCTTTTTGCGGCCTATCTAATTCTATTGAATAACTTGCGCTGGTAAAATACTACTTAACGCGGCTCTAGCGCTCTTATCACACAAGCACGAGGTCCGCAGCCAATAAAACCTCCGGCGCAAACAACAAGTAATCTCACTGGGTGGCTGAGCTCTTACAGGGCATTTCGAGCATGCGACTTCGTGATAATTTTCACAACTAAGATTTCCAACATATGTGGGCAAGCTGGCGATGACAGTCTGTAGGGATACTATCACATCGTCATTCTAGCTCTACAATTTTGCCAGGCAGCATTGCTTATAGAAGTTCGTAATAGTAAGGCTGGATGGGATGGGCGTTTTGTGCTCACTACTTAAAGACGGCGAGGAAGCGCCGGTCAGCAAAATCAAAGAGGCCGAGAGAGCGAAGCCGAGGTCAGGTATCTTAAAGATGCCTCAATCTGGAAAACCAGGGACAAGAGCAAAGGAGAGTTGGCGTCTTGCGATTGAAAAAAGAGAATTCGACACACCAGAGGATTATGATAAAGCTCTCCAGTCTCTTCAGCTAGCGGAACGGAGAACTGCATTTGATGCCGAAGCTGAAGCCAAGTCTTCAGAAACGGAGAAAAGGGCAGCAAGAATCGTCCAGAGAATCAGAGATTATGATTGGGACGAGACTTATGGGAGACCAGTCGACGCGAAAGGTCTCGCTACTGGTAAGAGGACTCAAGGAGAACACTTCTTGGGAAACCTGGATCTCATCAATGGTACGGAGTTGATGAAAATCGCGAAACGAATGCCCAAAGGCGCCCACCTTCACATTCATTTCAATTCATGCTTGCCAGCACAGTTTTTGATAGAACAGGCCAGGACTATTGATGCAATGTACATCCGGAGCACTCTTCCTCTAACGTCGCCGGGGAATTACGCGGCGTCACGCATCTCTTTCATGGTGATGACACTTCATGAAGCGACCCACGTGAAGAGTGAAGAAAAAGAAATTAATGTCCCTTTGGGGAATGTTATGGATGGTGACTACGTCTCCAATAGATGGATGCTGTACAAGGAGTTCCAAAAGGGATTCAATTTTGTGGATGAAAATGGTCGCGAGTTGATCGGTACAGCTGGTGCCGAAGAATGGCTCCAGAGAAAAATGCAGATTTCGGAAGAGGAAGCCCATGATTGTTCTCAAACAGGTCGCGGGTATGTATGCACATTCAATCGGGCAATTAAAGCTAACAATACTAGTATTTGGGAAAAATTCAATTATAGGACTCAGATGATGAAAGGGCTGTTTGCTTACGAGTCAGCATTCAGAAACTACACCCGAGAGTGCATTCATGATTTTGTCAGTGACAATATTCAATATGCTGAGATACGACCCAATTTTATGGCCACAAATTCGCTAAAGTCTGACGATGGCACGAAGACTATTGGTAACGAAGGGATTTTGAATATCATCGATGAAGAACTGCATAGGACTATGCAGGAAATTCGAAATGATGAGAATAAGCTGTATTTCGGAGGCATGAAAGTCATTTACTGCACACCTCGCTCATTCGACAGGGGCCAGATTGAAGTAGCGCTTGATGAATGCATTGATTTAAAAAAGAAGTATCAAAAACTACTGTGTGGTTAGTTTAGTTCAAATTTTGAGTCCATCCACATCCACTAATGGGAGTATAGGTTTCGATCTTGTGGGCCATGAAGAAATGGGTAATGAGCTTCGGCATTTCGTGCCCGAATTTCTTGCATTCCGTCGAAAATGCCGGGACCAAAAACTAGACATCCCATTTCTATTTCATTGCGGGGAGACATTATCGGTTGGCGGCAAAGTCGACGGTAATCTTTTCGATGCGATTTTACTTAATGCAAAAAGAATCGGACACGGTTATGCAGTTGCGAGACACCCTATTCTCATGCAGATATTCAAAGAGAAGAATATCGCTATCGAGTCCTGCCCTATTTCTAATGAGGTCCTTGGTCTCACTCCCAACATTGCAGGACATAACCTTCCAATATTGCTGGCAAACGATGTGCCTTGCACGATTAATAGTGATAATGCTACATTTTATAGGCATGTTCCTCAACATTCATCATTTAGAATTCCACTAATCAATAGCAGATCATCCTTATCCCACGACTTCTATCAAGTAATGATTGGCTCTGAATCAATGTCCCTTTACGGCTGGAAACAACTTGCAAAATGGAGTTTAGAGCATAGCTGCATGGATGCTGAAGAGAGAAAGGACGTCACGAAGGAGTGGACTACGAGATGGAAGGATTACTGTCAATGGATTGTTGATGAATATAGTTGGGTGAATCGTTGGACACCGGCGCCTGGTCGACATTGATTGGCGACGTAGATGATCAGAGAGGTTATCGCAACCAAAGGCGCACTATGCCTCGTTGAGGCTCTTTCGTTTCATGTCCACGACCGTCTTCTAACGACAGGAGTGAGAGTAGGATGGGAGAGACGGGAAAAGAAAATGGGGCGGAACGAGATGATACCGGGCGTTGAGGTGCATGAGATTTAGACACAAGAGTTTACAATGAGAGACTACTGATGACTACGGTTTAGGGTGTATTATTTTTATGATTTGATGCCTTTACTCTATTTTATATTTTTATATTATTTCATGATTCGATTATCGATAGGGCTCGTGTGTCATTTTCAACCCCGTACATTGTTGTAATTGTACGAAACTGAGACGACTAAGAAACAAATTACTATTATAACTCAGCCTCTCAATGCAATCAATCACGCGCAGCAGGTAACCTGCGGATAGGCAACTACAAATGAATGCATGTAATGGGATTGCATGCTTTTTCGCATTTGTGGCACTTGTGACACTTATCAGATATCCGTCGTGATCCAATAGATTATCGCACGCCTACTTAAACACTTTGGTGTAAATCTAACAATGTCAAAATAGAAACAACACCATTCAGATTTATCAAATGGAGTAGGTTCTGTACTCGTATCTCTTTACTCGAGTACTCATGCGTAGAATACCAATATATTTTACAAACGGCAGACGCCGGGCGAAACCCCTTCATTAACAAACAATTCATCATTCCCAAGAGTCCAAACGATTGGAGATAACTCGGTTTTCTTTTATTCTGTGCCTCTTTCTTACCTCTCTCTTCTCCAGTTTCGTGCATAGCCGCCGGACGAAAATTCTCGAAGGATTCCAATATATATACACCGTATATTTTAGCAAATTGGGAGACTCGAGGCTGGTAAGTCGACTAACGAAACATAAATTAGATGGACATGTGATTGGAAAAGAGAAGAGAATGGGGTGCTTAGGGTGATAGGTATCCACTTGTAGGGCTTGGCTCGGGCTATCGTAAACCTCATAGGGCTTTTAGCTTGGACGGGAGTGAGTCATTAGGGGCTTTAGGGTGGTCTGAACACTACGGAACTTAGATGCTAGGCGGTTCTAAACGCTAAATTCTCGTCACCGTTTCTGAACTACGTAGTAGCTATGAAGGGAGTTTGAATATTTAAAAAGTTTAGAAGAAAATGTACACAATTTTGGTTTACGTTCATGTCTACTAAAGGCCCATAGCACATTTCAGACGAAAAAGCACACTTATTCTCCGTAGGCTTACTCTTACCACCAGGTAAATATACGCACAGCCTACTAGCACACCCCCTGTAATGATCGTCCCGATCAGCGTCTTTTCAGCTCCAAGGGCTTGTCAGACGCGATGCTAGAATTGGGACTTGCTTGTTTTATGTGGTGGAGGGGGGCATGGAATGAACAGAATCTATGTCATATATCTAGGTAGGTAAGATTGCTTGAGGCTCTGTAGATCATTATATGGATGCTTGATTTTCTGGAGAGAAAATGATAAGATACGGATAGATAGAGAAGACATCGATAGCCGTACCTACTTGCTAAGAAGTGAAGATATTGAACTCGGGAAAAGAGAAAAGGGACGGAGGCGCGTTTACTCATAGTTGGACTCGACTCGAAGATCCGAGACTCGAGACGATAGTCGGTGGACAATACCTGCGGCACAGGACTTGAGATGGCAGGTTCATGGTTTCCTACCGGGAAAGAGGTTCGGTATGTTCGACATCATTTTTCCCATCCTGCTCATATATTGACCACAAACTAACAATTACCCAAGTGATGGATGGAGATTAGATATCGTGTCGCTATTGGCAGTCATTGGAGAATCTGCCATGGCCGAACACTCCCAAGCCATGACCTCCTCATGGATGTGCATGCTTCCTCGAATTATCCCCGCACCACAAGTCCTCCTCAAATCCTCTCGTCCTTCTCGAATGCCACAGGTCAACGCGGCTGTCGTCGGTGTTCATAATGGAGTTTACGTACAATCTCTGAACTTTTTTCCGAATATCATACATCCGATAGAGGATCTCAAGCCTTTCGAGTTCAAAGTTTTCGAAATCAAGCATAGGAATGCCCCACGGCAGCTAGCGTCTCCACCGGCATCTACAAACAAAGAGAGACAGGTTTCGGCTTCAAGTAGTGTAGAAACTGCACATTTAGAAAGTGGGACAAAAGTTCAACCTCGGCGTCGGGACACTCTCGCAGCCAAAATTACCCATCGCGCAACTAGCCTGGATGGCAAGAAACCTCACGTGCCAGCTAAACTCTGGTCCCCTCTCAACTGTCTATCTCTTATATCATTTTTCTTGACTATCGGTCTTTTCATATGGGCGGTATTAACTCATGACGGAACTGCTTGCGTTGCCCTTTTCACTATCTCTCTTGCCTCATCTATTGTAGGCTACGCATCATGCTGGTCACCTGCACTCATGAATCGCAATAACAATAGCAAAGTCCCATTGGGTGACGTTGTGATCCGCACCAGGGAAGGCGCCTTTGTCGTAGTCAGATGTGATGAGGAGGTTGCCCGGGAATTGTACAACGGAACTGAAGAATGTCAATACTACGTCGATACGGATCCTTACCGAGTACTCGTCGGCATCGGTACCTTCTTACTCATGGTTTCAGTCGTGCTTCTCGGGAATTGTGATTTCCAAATGCAAATTTCCATCGGTGCATCCTACATAGTGCTCAATGGCGCATTCTGGGGCGTAGCTCTCATGAACAAGGGAAGATTCTGGGATCTGTCCAGTTATGTATGGGACGACGTTACGCCAGGATCGGCACGGGAAGCACATTTGGCTCAGGATGAAAACGATGTTGAAGGAAAGCCTTCGTTTACCCGAACACTATGGTACGCGATCCGGGAAACAAAGAAAATCGGATGGGTGAAGACTAGTGGAGCCGCACCACAAACTGTGAAATGGGAACAGTGGCTGAAAAAGGCGGAAGCCGAAGCTGTCAAGGAAAACTGGAGTTGGGATGCGGTTCGTCAGAAGGATGCAACTGTTGGTGAATCGGACTCAGTACCACAGGCAGAAGCGGCATTCAAAGATACTGCTGCCGAACATGCTCCTGCGGTACAAGTTCCAATGCAGGATAGAGTTGACATTGAATGAAACTCATGCACACTGACTAGTGATAATACGCAAATTTGCTAGGCACCAGCATCAACTCACGGACTTGATGGTGTGGTTTGCTAGATCGCGGTCAAATGAAAGCCTGATGAGTTGGTATTAAAAAAAGCATACAGAGAGCCAAAGTTTCTTGGAGCGGCCTCAGTTTTCCAGTCTCGCTATTTTGATAGTCTATTTTTCTATGTTTGAAATTTCTCTTCGATGCAGCAAAGGATAATAAATGGCTTGTGGATGGTGGATGGATGTAATTGATGATGGAAATTCGATAGATGTGTTTGAGATACCCTGATATTGACGAGATGACTACATACATTGTCACTGTGAAGATTGATTAATTGGTTAACATTGCTAGATTCAGCATTGCATCTTTGACGCCCGGAAGGATTTCGGTGTGTTGGTATGGTTATTTAGATATCAGCTTTTACTTTTCGCTAGGTATCTTACGTATGGTAGCATTGTTATTATGGATTAAAGATGGAAATGGAATGGGATAATAGAATAGAATTTCATATTCTTGTAGGTGTGTTCAGATGTTAAGTGCGTTAGCAATCGATGAATTCTCTCTCCTTTTTCCGTTTACTACCTAGTCTGAGTTATGCTCTCTTCTCAGCGTTTGTTTGTCAGTTTACTCACTCTCGTATTGTTATTCTCTTTATCTAAAGGCCCCTCTCTTTCCAATTCTGTGTTTTGTGTTTTGTTCTAGCTCGAGTATTCACTTGTAGCTATTTGGATTTGGGATTCTCCGCTTTGTGAGCTGGGGTTGTTCAGATTGGATTTTTTTTGAGTCTGTTTTCTCTTTCGATTGTTCTGGTTTTTCGATTTTAGTCTTGAGTCTTGAGCTTTGAGCTTTGATTTGTTTACTTCGGTTTGTTATTCACTTCAGCTCTTTATTTCAACTCGGTCGTCTTCTTCGATCCATCTACTTGAGCCTTTCTACTCCAGTCCATCTTCTTCAACCTGCCCACCTTTGATCTTTCTCTCCTACTCACCCACTTTCAAATCCAAACTCAGTCCACTGTATCCAAGAAAAGGAAAGGGAAAATCAAAACAGCAATGACAAGCCAAAAACCTCCTGCGGTAAGTATTTCTATCAGATTTATTGGTGGCGCTTTGCTAATGAGTATGATAGATGCCTGCCAAGTTAGTCATTGATTCAGAAGGTGATTTGATTGTTCGACTCATCGGACAGGAAATCTAGACACATCCTGTCACCGGCGAGGAGTTTACCATAGAAGCTACCCTTGCTCATTACAAGGTCTCAAGAAAGGTTCTCACCGAGAGCTCTAAAGTATGGGATGCCTCACTCCGAGAGCATTTTCGAGTAAGCAAGTCATCAGTCGTACCGGTCTATTTTGGTACAGTGAAAAGTCTGGAACTTTGGTTTCGCATTGTCCATGATACCATGGTGGATGAGTTGTATGACCTCAATACTGAGGAGGTATATGAGGCCATCGAAGTCTGTGGAAACCGTGAATGGGATATTTCCAAGCTGAGAAGTTCACGATGGGCGAGGGAATAGATGAACCGTCAGGACTATAAGACATTAAAGCTTGATGGAATGACCGAACTCATATTATCTTGCTAGGGAGTTTGACTTTCCAAGAGAGTTCATGTACATGACTAAAAAATTGGTGTATGGAACGGCAGATCATATCAAGGATAAGAATCCGACCAAGCATCAGCATCTTCATCTTGAGCATACCATCATCAGTAAGTTGATTCATTGTTATTTTCCAAATCACTATCTAACGCAAAACACAGGTGCACTCAATGGCGCCAAGGGCAATCCCCGCTGCAAAATTCTCAAAGGACTCTTCACACCAGTCGGTTGTTTCCTGGAGCAAAGATGCAAATGCAAGAAAGCATCCCTATTCGAATACTGCATCGGACTCTCTAAGACGGTCATCTGGCCCCTAGAAAGCTACATGAAGAAGTCAGGGCAGACGATTCTCGACACCTTTGACGATTTCGAATGCGATATCCCCAAAGATGCATGCAGCATATGCACGTTCCGTCTGCGGGATTCCACCATTGAGCGAACCGGCGAGCAGGTCCAGGATCATTTTGATGGCCTCTATCTTGACTGTATGAATACTTCGAAGCCGAAGGATGGGAAGGATGTCGATAGGGCTTTTTGGGATCATGGTGCGTTCGGGAAGTATAGCAATGGGTGTAGAGTGCAACATGATCAGCCGACTTGGTATTGGTCGTTTATGGGTCGGAGAACACAGATGGTGGCGCATCAGGCGGCAAGACAGAGATAGTGGGTATATATAACGGGATATTTAGGGTATGATGAACTGCAAAGGATTTTCGATCGTTAAGGATGGTTAAAAGAAAGGCTCACATGCGCACAAAAGTTTAACAGTATTGGGTTTCTTCAATTACATGCCTTCAATAGTTTCAATATATAAGTTTCATATAACACTGTGTCTTCTACATGGAATGGAGCTGATGATTATAGAACAATAAACAGCAAACCTGAAAAGTGATGGGGAATGTTAAGAAATATCAACGGCAAGGTAACGCTTTCATGGACTGCATCTCGAGAATCTATCTGCACCAGGGAGGACTCGGAGGAGTCTTTGATTGCAATGCAATACATCGGTTGCATATCAGTCGCATACGTTTATTAGTATACTTTAATATATCTTCATTGATATAAATAACTCTGAAGCAGCGCAGCAAGAGTTTTATACATAACACGCAACACACTGCAAATTGTACGTCTCATTAGCACCACATGCTTTTAAACTATCCCTTGATATCACTCCAGTCCGTTATTTTGCAGAACTCTTTACCTGATTACCTGATTTCCTGATGTATTTCCAATGCGATATATATATTATACATCATATATCTACTATAGCTATTAACCCCAGTACAACATCATGAAACTAGGATTCTCATTGCATCTGGTTTTTTGGTTTTTGTTGGTCGACTCTTGTAAGTGGAAGTCCAAGCACTCCACTGATATGACAGAATCGGAGCTCGCCATGAAGTATACGTATAGGTACCTTGTACTCTCGACATGGTCCAGAGTAGACCAACGAGAGAACGAGGGAATAGGAGATGAGCGAATAACGAAACCGATAGTATGGTGGGAAAACCTTTACAGCAACCAGGAGTATGATAAAAATACATTATATATTGATATGAGAAGTATCCATTGCCAGCTCAGTGCATTCCAGGATTTTTCTTACGAAAGCCCACGATTTGAATTTCTCATTTCTTACACCCCTGGTAGTGATGAGGCTAGGATGATCTGTGAGTCGTCATGCTAGATCAATAATGGCAATTTTCATGGCATGCATATTACGCGATCCAATTTTCTGATGCATCAGTTTTTTCAAGAGATTATCCGTTTCCTTCATTTCTTCCTCTTCCTCTTCCTCCTCAGATGAAACTTTGTGTTCTTTGTAGACTATGGCCGGGGTACGAAAAGGAAACAAAAATAAGTGTGCTCAGTATGTGATCGAGAAGACTCTTCCTCAGTTGATGCAGCCAAGTACTCCAGGATTCTATCAGGCTGGGAACACTGGTGTTGATTGCCGTTTTGTACATGGAGTTTGCGTCCTCTCTTAGTTTAAACCATAGAGTTCCAAAGACTCATACGGCTCTATCCATAGGCGTTAATGCTTATACTTGCTAACCCGGTCCATGGAGGCACTTCTGGCATTTCATGCTTGTCTATGCAACCATCTTGCATCAATGCCCAAATGCTTCCATAAACCCAATTATCTAGTAGATCTTCTCCTTAACGCACATCACATAAGGAATGAACTCCGCCACATGAAATTCCGCCCTCTGATAATCCAAAGCGAATATCCTCTCTACATGAAACTCGTCCATAACCATACAGAAAACCTAATACCTATGTTTCTTCCACTAAAAAATCTCTCTACAATTTCCCCATTCAAATTTGTCCATCCTCAGACCCCGAATCCGTAAGGGAAGGAGCTACCGTTGTTATTTTTAGGACTAAGGATACTAGAAGTATGACAATTTGCTTCCATTAGGAACAGGATTGTCGAGATTCAAACTATCGACGTTCGGAATTGGTGATGGAGATGGCACATGATCAGCATCACTGTGCCTGGCGCTGGTCAGATGGTCTCTCTAGATCAGCATCTTGAAAATGTACATTTGAAGCTTAACCAATTTCCTATGCGCCGTGATCTAATATCCGCTGGTCAGATATCAGAAGATTAAACGTACTTTCGGAAATGAGGTTTGTCCGAGGAGGCTCTTTATCCACGGATCCGGAGGCACCATCTCCCTTGATCTATTTTCCTGCCAAGCGAAACTCTTTATCAAGTCGCGGGAGGACGAGTTCCCGAGACGGCGTGCATGAGGAGGACCCTATATCCATCCGTCTCAAACGTTTGCACTGAGCGAGAAGACCTTGGTACTGGCAAAGTAACCCTTTGGTTTTGGGTTACAACGCCCTGCTGATGATGGAATACACAACTTATGGTCACAACAACTAACTTTGAATCAAAGAAAAAGCTCTAGTCAACTGTGTGATCTGGCCGCAGTTGACTATTTCACGAATATATCAGACCGCACAGCAGGTTCTCCTGACCCTTCCTGTTGTTGATCGTGGTAACTCCCCGATTGTTTAAGAGAAGGGATCAATTACTTGTCTCATAAGCGATTGACAGGAAGTACAAACCTACACAAGTATAGCAGGCAAGTGATGTCCCAGAAGATATGTTGGCGTTGTGGCGCATGTAGAGATTTTACGAAGGTTGAAGGGAAGAGGGATCAAAACAATTTTGAAGAGAACAAGAACATGATATTGAAAGTTATTGGAGGTCAACCAAGCAGCTTTTCGGTCCCTGCAGTTATGCACACCTTCCCAGTCACATATCATGAGAAAATAAGACACAAATAGTGTCAAAACAATCATTATGGTAATCCTAAAATACATAGTTGAAACGTCTATACAATCAGAGCTTGCTTGATGGTTGAAAGAGAGATGAAGCTTTGTTTAAAGTCTCCATAGCCTCCTTCTCGATTCTCTTGCAAAGTACTTCACATGTGGGGATGTCATGAATAAGGCCAATGACCTGGCCCGCAGTCCAGACCTAAACGGAGGGTTAGCTTTTGAATTTTTAATGTTGAAAGGTTGATACTTACTCCATAATCAGGATCTCCAGTGGTGAAGACTTCTCTTCCTCTCTTACCGCTCACATATGGAGCAACCTCTGCAAACTCTCCAGTTTTGCTCTCCTGTTCAATTTTTGCTGCCTCCGCAGTAACTTTGTTTTTATACAAGCGAGAAGTATTCTTCCACCTTCGAAGAACGAGTTGTGTATCAACCTCCGATGCCTTGACAATCTCCTTCTTGATGTTCTCATGTATTGGTGCCTCAACAGTACACATGAATCGTGTACCCATATTGATGCCTTCGGCGCCCAGAGAAAGGGCAGCGGCAAGCCCCTGACCATCGGCAAATCCTCCGGATGCAATGAAAGGAACGCTCAGTGATTGTCTGGCTCGGCTAAGGAGAATCAAATTCGTGATGTCAGTTTCACCAACGTGCCCAGCACATTCGAAACCATCGATACTCAAGAAGTCAACCCCAAGCTTCACTGCACTCTCTGCATGTCTGATGGTCGTACATTTATGTAGGATGATTATTCCAGCAGCCTTCAACATCTTTATGATAGGACCTGGGCTGTTCCCTGCAGTCTCAACCACTTTAATTCCCTCATCGATAGTGACTTGTGCGTATGCACCGTAACTGGAAGAAATCACGAGTCAGTTTGGTTTTGCAAGTTTTTCGTGGCTTGACGGCCATGTTGTACTGGCACGGGGAAAACGGCGAATCAACATGAGATGAGATTGAGATCTGCGGGAACTTACTCCGGGGGATTAATCGAGGGTAACAGTGTGATGTTTACACCAAACGGCTTATTTGTCATTTCCCTACATCTTCGGATCTCCTTGCGGAGATCTTCTGGAGTAGGTTGGGTGAGAGCTGTTAAAATCCCTAAACCTCCAGCATTTGATACGGCGCTTGCTAGTTCCGCATATCCCACCCACTGCATACCACCCTGGACGATAGGTACTACAAGACCCGAATCAATGATATGTCGGTCGGGAGAGCGCACAGGGGGTGTAACTTACATTCGATACCCAATGCCTTGGTAAGTTTCGTTTTGAAAGGCATGATGTCGAAGACTGTTAACGAATGATGTTATGGGAGGTAGAATTATGTACTTTGTCGAGCGTATGAAGTGTAGAAAGCGTCTATCCTAGGGTCTCTCTATATTTTCTAATGATTGAAAAGAATGATTGTGATTAGAACTCGAACAGTTGGATATGTTACGAAGATGATAACTTGTACTGAAACCGAGCACAGTACCAATTTCCTTTCCCCACATTTTTTGGACCGAGGCACGGCAACTACCTTGTGGGGCCTAGGCTATACCCGTGCACCCACATACACTAATAAGAAGTACGGTTCTCCGTACATTTGGGTCACCAGTGGGTGCACGGACTCGTGAGACACTTACCGAAAATCATAGAAATCACACCTAAAATATACGTTTTCAAAATTGAAATAAAATCCCAATTTATGAAATTTTATTTTGAAATTTGGATCATATATTGTTTGAATATCAAAATATGATACAATAAAAATCCAATGGAATATTTCCAATTTTGTGTTTGAAAACAAAAGCTTACCTTTCCCCATCAAAATTTTTAGTAAGGAAAGATAAATTGATGGATAAAACTTTTGATTTTGATAATGAATATTTGATTTTCAAATAAATATAGGTTATATATATATCTATATATAATATCGATTTCAAACCGATTCATTGAGCTTTTGAATTTTAATCCAATTTTGAAAACGTACATTTTAGGTGTGATTTCTATGATTTTCGGTAAGTGTCTCACGAGTCCGTGCACCCACTGGTGGGTGTGTTCACTGTTCAGAGATTACCGAAATCCCCATTTCATCAAACACAAGCAGCCTGGAACCTCCTTCCTCCTCTTCATTCTACAAAGTATGAAGAATTCCCCGCTTTACTCCTCTTCTTCACTATTGTCCTCTCCGTACAGTGTCGATCACTGTACAGTTCAACATAACGAACTGAATTATTAGTAATGTAGTTCTACCAAATACCAAATACCAAATACCAAATACCAAATACCAATTACCAATTACCAATTACCATATGCCCAAACAATCACGTGTGAATTGCATAAAAGAGAGCACAACCAATTTCACATGGTGATACAATTTGCTGGGACGGGTTGACGGTACGGAGAAAAATGTTCCTGATCGTCAAACTTGCCGAGTAATATAAATTACACCCTAATAAATGTCGTCCGACAATAGAATGATATTCCTGGAGCCATGGAGCAACTCTTCACTCGTCCTCAAATATTCGATCACTTGGGCATCAATAGATTCTAGATCCTGTCGATGCGCTGTCGAAAATAGGGCTGCTCAGGTGTTGAGATGGACAAGGCTTCAATATACTTGTCCATCTCTCACGCCGCCACGCAACATTTTTATGAACAAAGTGTTTCATTATCAGGTTGTGTATCTTGCCGTTTCTCCTCATCATCACTCCCCTTGTTAAACGGAACATGTCCCTAGATCCAACAGTCTCTGTGGCGGTTAAGTAAGCGGAGCATCCGACGGGGTGCGGCATCGTGTCTTGTTGAGAGATTTTGCGAGCTATCTTTGCTTCAAGCTGTACTTTTACCAAGTTTTCTCCAGGTAACACGATCAGTGCACTTGAGAAATGCCAACTGAGGATACTTACTGTACGTCCGTTATTCCTAAGGTCTTTATAGACGAAATGCAAGTATCTATCCGTTTTCCGGGATCGCCTGAAGCTAGACACACCCATTTTGTTAATTTCCATAGATATTTGAGCCAAACTTCTGGAATCCGGTTGGTACATCAGGGCGGTGAAGTAAGAAGCGGTGGCCTCACCGTTGAAGAAGCTGCAGGGCTGAGAGTTGAGTGCTTGATTCTTGGAATGTTCTGATGTACCTATCCGTTACTATGCCTGGGGCATCTTGGCCAAATACTCTCACCCCAGAAGCTACCCTGAAGATCATTGATCGATATGTATAGATATGTATGTAAGCACCCGTTCCTGCAGATACCTCGATCTCATCTCCCCGGATATCGACAGTAGTGGAAAAGGGAGGCAAATTTGATAATGGAAACGCTGGTAGACCATTGCCCTTTTTCTTATATGTCCCGAATTGACCAATCACATCGTACAACTACCAAGAACTATGCTGCATTTTCTGATATAGTTTTCTGAAGATGAAGGATGCTGGGATAGAAGATTTGGGCTTCTAAAAATCTACATTTACATTTGCTTTTTTTTTAAGGAATGGATTAAGTAACAAAGGAACAGCAACAAAATTTGGCAGGAGATATATCAAGTCTCAGTATACGTAGTATGGCGACTTGGTCTGGAATCAGCTAGTAACAGAAGTACGTAGTGTTACTTTTGATTTCCCGTGTGCGTCGTCCTGCAGCTCGTTAAATTTTTTCTGGCAAGGTTCACTATTTCGCACTCTTATTGGGCTTCTTTTATGGGGAGTAATTTTTTTTTTTCTATCGTCACCCTCTCGCATATGATCCACCCCTCTATATGCACCTTTTACCTTCCACCCCACATACTTCCATACACACTACGCACACATACATACATACATTTGCCAGCTTTCATTTCATTCTCCCAATGCCCCATGACGATGCGAGACTGCAAGTTGCTGCAAGTATCTCCAGTGCTGGTCGGAGCATCTCCACTCACTGCCATTGTCTCAAGCCTCAAATTGCTTTTTCTACACTTTACCGAAGTCATAAGTAGGAGGTTGCACATGAGTTGTCCTAGCCACCGATGAAGACAGCACATACGGCCCTAACTTACGGGTGATCGACGTTACTCCTTTGAAATCCATTTCCCTCATTATCCAATGCATCATACCGAGACAATCGCAAAGTCAAGCTGTCGTGTTGCATGGGTATGCAAGTGCAAAGGCATCTAACTTTATCTGACTGCCACCTCAGAGTTTCACATCATTCTCAATATTTCTCCTCCCTCGTTAATGGTACATGCGGATCATCTATAAGACCAGCTTCAATTCCTGCGGAGTATAACGCCATTCCCGAACCCGCTCCCCACTGTTTCTCCTCCACACTAGCACTCAATTCCAGATCGATCTAGCTCAAGACTTTGAACACTTCCAGTACAAACACAATCCAAGATGTCTTATTCAACATACTATTCTGAATCACTTACATGGCAGGAGAAGCTCGACCGTAAGCAATACATGTTATGAACACTAAACATCAAATTTGCTAAATTCCTTCAAGTGAGATGTCGCGAGGCACAGATTCAACCCCCGATTTTCCAGATCGTATCCGATAAAAGAGGTAAATTATCCCACCTTCCCCTGAAGTTCAATCTTCCTTCAAAGTATACGAGTCTAACATTTATTTTAGGCGGACGAACAGCATGGTCTAGCACAGTATTTGTGTCAGGCCAGAATATTCCTGCACGATACTGGTACGATGGGCAAAACGTCAACACCATGAAAGAGGATGCGGCAGAAGTGGCATTCATACGCTTGACGGGATCGAGCCCAACCTCACCTATTCAAGGTCGAGGCGGGTGGTAATGTCAACCTCACAACTAAAACTATCATCACTGCGGCCGATGGTTTCGATTTAGCCTGTAGGATAAGAGTCGATAATAGGGTGATTTGCCATTTGCTGCAGCTTAGGCAAGGATGGGCGAATGCCAATGATACTTCAGGCGTCGGATGGTTTTGCGGTGGATTTTCACAGGGACAGCAAGGGCGCTGGAGTTTTAATGCAGAAATATACTCCCAACATTTTTTGGTTACATTTTTTCTTTCTTGGGAGGTGGTGTGGAAAAGTTTTTAGTTATGGATTATCCTTTTGAACCATGGACTGGCTCCAGATCTTGTTATTAGCAATGAAATTTGAGATCGCAATTCCCTTCGGATTATTAAAATGTTGCGCTAGATTCTTAGTATTCTCACATGCACTTTGAATTTCGCTGCCGGTGTTCATTGAAGGTTCTTAACCGTGGGCCTTCTAAAAGTAAGTAGTCAATGTCGTCAAGTGAAGCTCAACGTCAAGGTAGCACACATCAAAAACTTCATGAACGAGAAAAAGTATTTTGTTTCAACCCTGGTCCATGTTGTTAAACAGGAATATTTTAGACCCAGAGCTATGGTTCTGTGGTTCCGCCCAAGAAAGATCGTCACTGCCCAAAAGATGATTTGTGGCCTCAGGCATTGATAGCTAATCTGAATTTTTGGCTAGCGCATCAACTCAATGTTGATATCAAAATGCGGAGAAACCATTTTTGATTTCGCAGCAGCCACAAACATGCCTCCACGATTGAACTTCTACAGCGCAAGCAGGTCACTGACCATTCGACCACGAATAATTGTCGCACCTAGAAATCCTGCTTTCTTCAAAATTACCCCGGCAGCACGTCGAGGTTTCGCTGAGGAGAAGCAACCTCCAAGAAATGGTTCTGATGAAGATGTAGCTGGCCACGTCAGCGAGGAGGCAAGAGATATGGCTGAAATTACTGGAGAGACTCCTCCTGATATGGGAAAAACCACAAATGTTCAAGAGGTATTTACTTTGATTTGTAGAGATCAATCTACCAATCATATTTATAAAGAAATGAAGAATTGTGAAAGTAGAGAATTGCAGTTACTAACCATGTTCATAGATTCTTAAGAGAGATCAAGAAGGAACGGACAAAGCCCCAGAGGTTATCAAGGAAGATATCAAAGACACACAAACTGCCGCTGCTCTGTCCCAAGAAATCTCCTTCGCCAATCTTATGGCTCTTGGCCGTCTCGGTCATTTGGAAAACGGCGCTGACCCCTCCGATCTCACAATCGACGGACACAAATTTGGACTTCCAGAACTACCTATTCCTTCCAACAACAATCTCAAATATAGATATGATCCAGTGGTTTCACAGGTTACGAATATGATGATGCAGCATGGCAAGAAGAGCGTTGCCCAGAGGGTAGGCTAGTTAGTTCTTTCCTTTTGCGTTGCTTGCTACGCATGGGATTTACGTTTTTCATATTGCAGAATGAATTGCTAATTTACCATTTTCTTCATCGCAGAACATGTCTTACATATTAAACCATCTCCGCACCGCTCCACCACCTACGCCCAACCCCTCCAAACCCCTCCTTCCGGGCACACCCCCCGTTTCCCACCTCCCTTTAAACCCCGTCCTGTATCTTGCTACAGCCATCGACTCCATAGCTCCTCTCTTACGTATTCGTTCTCAGAAAGGTGCCGCAGGAGGTGGAGCTTCTCTTCAAATTCCGGTCCCGTTGGGTGTCAGACAAAGAAGAAGACAAGCAATCAAATGGATATTAGATTCAGCCAGTAAGAAACAATCTAGGGGTAGTGGACGAGGCATGTTTGCACAGAAGTTCGCCGAGGAGATTATCAGTGTGGTAGAGGGCAAGAGTTCGATTTGGGAGAAGAGGAATTTGGTACATAAGACTGGTACAAGCGCAAGAGCAAATTTGACCTTTTATGCTAGGAGGAGAAGATAAATGGTTACAAAATTGGGCACGGCAATGGATATGGATATGGGAATGGGCATGTTTCGTGCGGTGGGGTTGTAAATTATTGTATTATGACATCAAGAGAATTGGTACTTGGTACTTGGATGCATATGAGCTCAAAAATCTATCCATACATATATATTGCTCTTGTTATCTTTTGGATTGCTCGCTTGCTTGCTGACTCCCCTCGCACCTTTTTCCCACTTCCCGCTCTGCAGAACATGACGCGGTGCATCTTTTTCTTTCCTTTTGCGCCGTTTGCAGCTTGGGTTGAGCTGAGCTTGTACTGAGCGGTGAGGAATATGTATGTATATGTGTATGTATGTATATATGCTTATCAATCATATAAACGACGGCTTCTTGCAGCAATACTTTTAGATGGTAGAGATACGAGATATATGTTTTGGCGGTGAGGAAGTTAACTTGGGTAGGTGGATGTGAAATTATTGGTGAGTGGTTGCTTGGGTGTTGATTTTAACTGTGGGATGGGATGGGGAGGCTTGGGATAGATAAGAGATGAGAGATGAGATATGCATGTCAGCAATGAGCCGGAGTGCTGGAATGAGGGTTCAGGAAGGAGATACACGCGCAAGTTAGTAGGTATCCAGACAATTGAAGTTATTTACTAAACTCATACTCCACCACCCACTCGGTCAGCAGCGGTGAGTAATAGAGTAAGTATAAGTTAGTTAGGTTAGGTTATTTTATGGAAAATAAGTTTTGATCGTGTGCTTGTGAATGAAGATTTGTGAATCGGACGGAATTCGTGAATCGAGATTTTTTTTCTTTTTTGGGGGGGGATGGAAATGAATCGGTAGGTGTTGGGTGTTGGGCGTGGGATGATGGGATGATGGGATGATGGGATGATGAAGATGATGTGCTGGGAATCAGGAGAGGAAAAGAAAAGAAAGGTGGAGATAAGGTTTTGGAAGTGAGTACTGGTGGCAGGGCTGAACTAGATGGGAATAGGAAATTGAAAATTAAAAATTGGATGCTGGGAACTGGATATTGGATATTGGAATGGTGGTTAGTGAGTGTGTGGCGTGTCCAGAGTACTGTAATGGCTTACTTCGCTTAGGATATGTATGTACACTGTACTGTACTGTATGTAGTTTTATGGAGTGGAGGTAGGGGGTAGTCGGACGATGTCGATTAACTTGATACCTACAGGATGTTGGCAATTATGTATGACGTTATTGTACAGTACGTAGACTTTAACTTCCTCGGCATTTTATCTTCTACGGAGTACATCAGGGGCTGGTTTTTGAGATTAAGTACTATTCAAGCATGTGCTCTCAACTAGATCATTCGAATAGCTAATTGACTGCCGGTATCTCCGAAACTTTTTCGATGTTGATACCTAATTAGATATCCGAAAGATATCCGAGGTATCGTACCTCGGAGGGCTGTGGAAATTTTTATGTTTTGGTATGGGGAGTGTACAGCTTGTACAGGGAATGTACATATGTACATGTGTGAGATTGATTTGCACCATGTTTCTTAGGGCTTGTGGTGAGGCTTCGATTGTCGAGTATGGAGCGACTCTTTGGATGCTTTGTCATGTGTTGAGGAATATCAGGATTGATGTGTCTGAAGGTATTGATTAGGTAGTTAGTTAGATAATAGTATATAGTGCTGGCAAGTCTTGGTACTCGAGCCGAGCCAAAATATTGAAGTGTGGTTTCAGCCGTAGATGAATGATTGATGGTGAAGTAGATAGAATCAGGATGAACGATGTGCCGATATGCGGTGCCAAGGGAGGGGAATGGTGCATGCAGATGTTATGTTGTATCGTGGAGGGGCGAGGGTGAAAAGAGTATGGGGATGGAATGGGATGGGGTGAAAACGGGGCGAGGCGGGGTAGACATGATGATGAGGGAGGTAAATGAAGGGTTAAGTGGTTGAGTAAACCAACGCGAGAGATAAGACTTTCTTGTCGTGCTTGACAAGTCCTTGAATGAGGGTTTCCAGAAAAGCTTGAGAGGGAGGGACAATCGATTCAGTGGAGCCAAGAGGAGATGATTGATATTGCCAAGGTACTGCGCCTTGGTTGTAGCCGTCTTTCTTTGTATGAGGTTTAAAGCTGGGGTTTTGGAAGACTTTTGGGGGTTTGTGACGAACATAAGCGTCTGATGGGAATAGCACGAGGATGAAAAAGTGAGTAATAAGAGACTGGAACCTGGGATTGTGCTACGGTCTAAATAAATTCTATCGCTTTTGCAAGGGAAAGAAAGGGGCTTGGCGGTTTTCGTGGAGGGGAACTGAAACTGGGGTGTTTCGTTGTACAAGAGAAAGAGAGGTATGTAGGTATTGTCCGGGGGTGCTGGGGATGGATGTACTATGTACTAGTATCATCTATCATATTGAGGTCGATCTAGCTTTGACAGCCTTTGAGAGAGCAGAGCATAGATGGAATAGATAGAATAGATCATTGATCAAAGCTTCATATATAACGATACCTAAGTAGATAATTTCTCTCTCATTTTGGTGGTTCGAATATTCTCCCTTGTTGCTCTGTTCCCCTATTCCATCCTGACAAACATCCGTGTCAAACTTAGCATTAATACCTGTTACCTGCTACCTAGTATATAATTCAACAGTTGGTCTTGTTCTACTACCCCCGTCCTTGGTTTCCGTATGGTTCGGTTTGGGCCGCTTTGTAAAAGATCATCATCCTCCCCCGCCTTGCTGGCCCGCAGCTAGAGAAAGATAGGGCATAGCTTCATTATTGAAGACGAAAGGGAAGAAAAGGGAAGAAAAGGGACGAAAATTTATATATTATTTTAGGTGTTGTTGTACGATCGATTAGTTGATGGATTGATGATGGATTGATTTCTTATTTTGATTCATCTTATGATTTACCCCCCCTTTTTCCTTTCACTTATCTATCTAATAGGCACACTCACATCGGACATACATCCTTCCTTCATTCATCCGTCCTTCATCCTCCATTCACTTCAAACAAAGCCGTTCTGGATCTAATAAATGGCGGTGCACGTGTCAGTTTTATTCTTAGTCTTATAGGTATCTAGTCCCTTTTTATTGAACATCTAGAACTTTTCATAGGTGCTGGTCTGTTTTAATTTAATCCCAACAAACAGAATACCCATACAATCAATCAATTCCCATCCCCCCAGACCCGTACCAAGAATCAATCAAAAAACACAACATATATTTTCTCCCAGATTTCAAATCCCACACAACACAATACACAGTACAATACACAACATTCATTCAATCTGCAAGATTATCTTCTCTCAAGGAACACTACTTTTAGGAAGATCAGTTGATGCATTCATCACTTCCTGACAACCCTCCCATTATAACAGATCGTACCTCTACTATCCTTCATATTACACGTACTAACGACGGGGGCTAAAGCAATGTCCTGAGTGCGAATCCCAAGATTATTCCATCAACCACAATGCAGTATCAAAAACTTCCTTGGTCATCAAGAAAGTTTTTAAACGGCTAACCTCAGATCGATGAGCATTCTGTTGCTCTTGCCTTATTCAAAGTCCTGCGAAATCTACAGACTAACCTCATTACATCACCCAAACGGAAACCTCGAAGAATCATAGTACAACGAGTTTTACTATCTGCCATTTCCTGAGGATCTGCGGAATTGCACTTTCGATTAAACGTATCATAATTATTACATATGGCGAACAAAAATATGTCGCAGGAATCGGCGGCAGAGCAGGAGAGGCAGGAAGTGCTCGCATTATTGCATTCCACCACGGGTAGTAGATCAAGAGGATCTGTGAGCTCCACGGGATCTGGTCATAGAATTGGATGCGGGAGAAGCAAGTCACCATTTACGGCTAATCCGCGTTCTCCCGTGCGCAGTATGCTAGATGTCGATGGCGCTCCAGCGATGCCTCGACACTCATCTATTGGTGGCACCAGTTCGGGAATCCCTGTACCGATTCGAAGTATGCTTGATGTTGATACGCCATTACCAGCGGCACCTGCTGTACGAAGTATGCTCGACATTTCTACTCCAGCAACTAAATCGTTCGGTTCGAGAAGTGCGCAGACGTCTCCAACAATAAATCCCAAGGCACATGCCAGTAATGCCAGACATTCGAGAAGTTCGTCAGATGCAGCTGCAAAACCCACTGTAAATTTTGGGCCGAGAGCAATTACCAGGGTCGACCCCAACGAATACCAATTCTCTGGATATTTACCGAGTAATCCGGGCGGTCCATCGGTCCCGAAACGCAATACTCAGGCAGGGAAAAGGATTACGAGTTCAATGGCGGAGGTAGTCAGATCAGGCGTGGATCTTAGTGGTTTTAAAGGAGGGCGTGATAGGGGAAGACACAATTCCATTGCAAGTACTGGGATTAGCACGACAAAATCAAAGTCACCTCATAATCGCTTCTCGCCACGTTCTAGTTCCCCAGTCTCCGCGGATCCCTCGAAATATGCGGTTTTGGACAATGGCAAAATTATAGACGTCAACAGTGCCTACCAAAGGCTATCTGATGCCAACCTAGCACGGTCAAATGGAGAGCTATCCTCGTTGAGTCAGAAGAACCGGCAGAATCGGGCGAAGAATGAGGATTTCGACATCAATGGGGCTCGATTAAAGAAGGATTATGTGCCCATGGAAGGCGAGGAAGGCATTATTGATAGCACTGATGAATCGGATGATGAGGAATCAAGAGGGCGCCAGAAGAGGGCGAGAAGTGTTGATGGAGATGATAGCGAGGTGGAAAAGACGACTTTAGGCATGGGGCGAGCAAAGGGTCCAAGGACACCCCTTAGTCAAATGGCTGCTGCTGAGGCAGAACGTACGTATACCATTCCTTTTCTTGGTGTCATAGACTCACATACGTGTTAGGACAAGATGTTGCGGCCAAGGAAGCTTTGAATGAGAAGTACAAAGTCAAATCGCTTCTTGATCCACAAATAATCTTGACCGGACCTGCCGGGCTCAAGGCCAACAAGCCTGTGGTACATCCGCATACAAGCTTTGACCCCGACGGTTCTGGGGACCCTAGTCCACATGATTCTGACACTGAGGCTGATCGAGGCGACGTCAAAAAGGCTCAGAGTCTCTCGTTGACTATGTCTGCAATCAAGTCAACTCCAATCACATCACGCTGCGTTCGTACTATTCATCGTGGAGATTTCAAAAAAGTTCAACAGGAAGCCCGCGACAATCAACGCCGTACTAGGAAGTACCTTGTCGCGACAGACCTTAGTGATGAGGCAGCACATGCTTTGGAATGGACTATTGGAACGGTATTGAGGGATGGAGATACGATGCTTGCCATATATTGTGTTGATGAAGAGCTTGGCATAATAACTCCAGAAAATAGTGGTGATGATGTCCAGATCAAACAACAAATATCTGCTATTGCTGCAGCGCAAAGATCTGCTAGAGTATCGCGTGTCAATACCCCTTTACTAACGCCTAGTATAGGACCGATTCCACTGAACCATAACTTCAGATTGGATTCGGGAAGTAGAGCGCCAAGTCCAATGGGGAGAGACTCGAGAAGCAAAGCGGAACAAGATCGATTCCGAGCGGTGGAAGATATCACTGATAGAGTATCTGAACTTTTACGGAAGACGAAATTACAAGTACAAGTCAACATTGAAGTTCTTCATTGTAAAAATCCTAAGCATTTAATCACTGAGGTGATTGACTACATTAATCCAACTCTGGTCATTTTGGGAAGCCGTGGGAGAAGTGCTCTAAAGGGGTAAGTTTCCACTTCCGTCAACCATTTAGAGAAAACCGGAAGCTAACCATGGATAGTGTCATTTTGGGATCCTTCTCTAATTATCTGGTTACTAAATCATCAGTCCCCGTCATGGTTGCTCGGAAGCGTTTACGAAAACACAACAAGCAAAAGCGCACTCCAAACATACGTCTCGCAAATAATCTCACCAATCCAATAGTTAAATCATTGGCGAGTGCGAAGATTGATTGATCAAGTAGAAGAAGCATGTGTCATTTGAGACAGGCAATGGCGTTGGGTTTGCTTTTTGTACTATTTTGTCCACCGGCACACACAAGCGCTTCTAGTTTATTTGCCGGTACGGCATTAGCTCTTCAAAATCTTGGTAGCAGAGTTTGGCGTTCATGGAATTAGGATGGGAATGAAGCTATGGGATATCGGCTGGCAATTGCAAATATGGCTAAGGGATACGTGCAAGCGGGATTGCGAAAGGATATTTACATACTATTCAACACACCACTCTTTAGCAACTTTCCCCCCCTCGTCCCGATGATGAGGAATGGGGTAATATGGAACAGGTACAGGATGGAGAGAGAAGGGAATGTGATAGTGATAGCGATAGCGATAGCGATAGCAATAGCGAGTAGGTAGCTTAATGATCGATGCAATTAATTACTTATAAATCCATTCATACATACATGCATGTGTAAAATAACTCTACTCTACCTCTACCCTACTCGTCCATACGGAAGGTTTCTATTTATTTCACCTTATCACTATTATTTACTTAAATTATATTTTTTTAATATAAGTTTAGGACAATTTAAATTAAATAAATAATATATAATATATAATACTGATTTTTAATTATTGTTTATAATTAATATTTATATTTCTAAGCGGATGATTGATTATATTTTTCAGTAATAATGAATGTTCAACTCGACTTTTGAAAAGTTGGATTTGAAGGATTTATGTATTTGTAATATCTTATTTATATTTGAGAGAGGGATTTTGTGATTTGATTTGATTTGATTTCTTTTTCTTTTTCTTTTTCTTTTTTTTTAATTCCATTAGCTAGCTACATACAAAGTGTAAAATTGAAAGCAAACAAAAGCACATGATAGCCACAATTAGCCATCCACCTACACAATATACGAAACTATCTAGCGAAATTGCTACATCCGACACTATATTAGCCATAGTCGAGCACCTATACGAAGATATCTAGCACAAATCATTACATGCCCGAAAAAATTCTGCCGAACATACCCTCCAATCTTCCCGCTGGGTTGTTATTACGCTCTGGTAAACCACACAATTTAGCAACAAAGCCATATTCATGATCGTTCCTGCATGTCTTGGATTTCTCGACCTCTTCCTCCATGCAAAGAATGAACTCGCCGTCGCCAAATGCTTCGTTTTGAGAATGCGCGCCTTCGAATATCTTTTCCAACACAGCTTCAACCTTATTCTCAACAGTATCACCCCATTGAAGATAATTTCGAGTTACGGGTGGCCATTCTCCACTTTTCTCCCATGCTTGTAAGACATTTTGTCTCGTTGGTGCCTCGTTGGCTTTTAAGCAAGTCGCAATATGGTCGAAAATATTTACGAAACCTCGACGGAGTGATTTGTTGGTCCTAAAGTCTCGCTGGAGAGCTGGCGTGACGTGCTCGATAACATCTTCAGCCAAATATAACCAATCAGTAGGGCTATTGCTACGGCTCGACATCTCAAGTGCATCATCCATAATCTCATATTCTCTTTCGGCTTGAAAAAGAAGTGCTAGTTTCATGCGTGGCGATAAAAAGCCTCCAACGCATTCCCCACAAGTGCAACCATATTTAAGACGGAGGCAGAGCGGAATATCCGAATAATCCACAGGCATCAATCCGGTCAATAGTATAAATTGGCAGAGGATAGCATCAGGAGTAAAGCCAGAAAACTTATCTGCGATGACAATGGTCATCATTCCATGTTTGCGTCGTGTTCTGAGGATATTAAGGTCATCCTGTAATGCTTCAAGGGGCGTGTATCCTTTCAGATTACGAGCTAGTGTCAAGCACTGCTCATCGTTGGCGTTTTCCATTAGCCATTTCACGCTTTGGGGTTTGGATTGGCATGCCGTGATGTGGAGCAAGGTGTTGTTTCGACGATCAGCCTGCTTCCACTCCTTTTTGTCCTCGGCTTGGTACGCCTTGTAGAATTCCACGAGTTCCATATCAGGGAGCGTAACAGCAGCGAAGTTCAAGGGTGTAGGTCTCTCCTTTAATTTATTCAGTCTCGTTTCTTCCAGTGCCCTTCCATAAGCAGACGCACGAAAGTCTTCTTCTTTACCTGGCATTGTGACTATGACTTCTGTCGGTTCCTCCACAGGCCCTGGTGCTGGGTCTGGGGGATCATAATCGTCCTTGATTGCGAGGGAATGGGATTTGTGATCAGGGTCAGATGATAGACCAAAACAGCTCGAAGCCCCAATTCGTCGAAACCCAAGGGATCGATGAAATGAAACAGCAGCATAAACAGCTTGATAATTGATGTCACGCTGTTCGAGCTCAGATTTACCCTCCCACAGTGGTTTAACATCATGATGAAGCCACCCAGGTAATGAAATAGTGTGAAGCTTTGTGTATCTTTCTCGGTTTTTTCCATGCCAAAACATGTCCGCAAATATTTCATCTAATACTTTCTCTGCTGGTATCTCTGTAGGACTTGGAATTTGCGGCTTCTGCTGTTCTTGAGCTTTTTCTATCATGGCAGTAACAATAATTCGTCCTAGACCTTTTCGTCTCCATTCCCTGTCTGTAATTTCAATATGCTCGATGAGAAAAAGTGGACCGAAGTCTAATTCACTTCCCCATACGCCTGTACCCTTCTGCACATAATGGTTCTTAAGATGGTCATTAAGGTACCCATACCGATCAAAAAGCTCGAATGCAATTGAACTCATATCACTGCATGGAGCCTCCATCTCGCTCCAAAAATGTTCTCGAATTTCTTCTCGGCGGATATATCGGCCAAAAGCACAACCAATTCTTTGGCCGTCGACGGTGCAAGCGACATGGATCATCTGAAGCCAATTCTCGAACTCTTCTTCCTTAGTCATAAAGAGTCTCAACTTGACTACCTGATCCGTACCATCCTTTTGTACAGTAATCTCGCGCTCCTCGACTGCATATTCACGTGGCTCTGAATCGGAATCTTCGTAATCATCTTCATCTCCGTACGAGTGCTCCTCTTCGAGTTCATCATCTTCATCTTCATCATCAAACATAATCTCCGAAATTTCTGACATTCCGATATCTGATTCTTCAGCGTCGGAAACAGCAGGCTGGCAATAATTCTGATTGGTAATGGTTCCGCCTTCGTCTGAATCACCTTCACCGGCGGTAACTGTCAAAAATTTAGTAAAGGCCAAAAAAACTGGATGGTATTCATGATGCAACGTACTCGATCCAACAAGCACTTGAGTGTTTACATCCTCGACAAGATTAGGTTTCTTTACATCTGTAGCAGCTGGGCCAGGAGCAGCAGCAGCCAACAGGTCTGAAGAAACATCAATTTCGTCATCAAACTTGCGCTTGTGCGAAGCTTCAATCGAAGCGTCGGCCATGATGAATGCGATTTTTCCTCTTCTCTTTCGGAAATGAAGTTGTTCAAAGCTGCACTAACCAGAGATGAATGCAGGGCTGTTGTTGTTGTTGATAAAAAAGAATTTGAGAATTTGAAAGTTCAAACTCAAAGGTGAGGTGTTGTACCTCATAGGCAGGAACCATTCTAGGCACGTGCAACCATGTTTGTGCCTTCCCTCCTTACCATAAAGACTCCTAACCGATCCCCACCACACACTTTCATATCATACGTTCCTACCTTCTCGGGCATCAATGATCTGGTTTGCCTGAATCGGGGCTATGTTGGTACGTACCTGGTAGTAGCATAAATAGCCCAGCTGAAGGGTTTCAGAGTGGCCGTTTATTTGATTCACGATGTCAGAAATTTACCTAGCAAATCTCCAAGTGATATAAACCCATGTTTGAGTAAGCTGGCAAATAGTCATCATAACTGTTGTAATTGGTTGAACTAGGAATATTTTATTAGAGAGGGTAAGGAAAATGAGGAAAATGGAGTTGTTATCGGAGAACGCCATGGGGGCGGGCGCGTAGCCCCCCTTTTCTCTAGCTAGCCAGCTATCCATCCCATACTATACGGAGTTTAATCTCTGTGAATAAGACCCACGCGTGATAGCTAGTAGATCAATAAAAGATTAAGAGCTTATCGTTCATGTTCGATATTGCTTGGTGGGGGCTATATTGGATATTCTTCTAGATTCGTTTGCTCAAAAGGGGTCTATAGATTGTGGTAGCTAAGCTCAAGTTTGAGCAAGTGCACAATATGGAATGCAGATATATTGCAACTTCATAGCCTCATGAATCTTCTTGGAAGTCTTTTCACTGATAAGTGCGCTATCATACGTCAGCGGTGATTTGAAGTGAAAGTTGGCTCTGCCGAATACTTGACATTCATTTGGAATAAGCCTTGCACATAAGCCATCACAACTTCAGTTCTTTGGCATAGAAAACTTATCAATACTTTTCAATTCCATACCATATACAAGGCTATGCTTCTCACACTCTTGTATCCTTCTTAGACTAATATTTCTTTCCAACATTTCCATATCTTGCAACTGACGATTATTAGGATGTCGAATGGGTGGTATATTGGGCCGGTCACCATGATACACTGGTACAAGTTTATGCATGATAATGTGTGTGATACCACAGAAAAGGACATGTGAAGCTCAAGGGATGTGCGGAGACTCGATATCTTACCTACCGTTCTACGGCCGGTTTCAGAACGTCTTCTCGAATGTTCACTTTACGGGGCTGTGTTCCTTGATTTATTTTTGCCGCACTTGATAGACTAGTTTTGTAAACTGGAGTTAGAGGTTTCTAATTGTCTCTACGCATTCGCATAGATAAAAACACATTTAACTCTGTCAATTTCGTCCCATTTGCATTCCAATAAGTAGACCGCATATTGCGTGGCCATCACATCCGCCGTGTTTTCATGACAAAGGAAGAATTGTAAGGGCCCGTCAAGACGCGAGACACACGCTATAAATGCTCGAGCACTTGACTCCATTCTGTAGCGTTCTATCAGCCTCTTGGTTACCACCGTATCGGCTACTGGAGCTGTTTTCAATTCTCCCTTGATCCAATGCAAACTCATTGATTGGGTAGGCAGCTATGAAAAATGATTACGATTCATCGAGAACAGACGAGGAGCTGGAGGTATCAAGCCGGTGGTCTTCGCTAGAGCATGCTATCGAGACGTATCCCACACTGGGTTGATAAAGGATCTCAAATACTGCAAGAGCAGGTATGACAGTGAATGCAAGCAAATTGACCATCAGAAGCCCTGCAGGATCAACTTGATCAACAAAAACAACTAAAATAAGAGCATGAAAATCATAGACCTGACAGACGATTCCTTTAGTCTTCACTCTGAGGCTACCGCTCGGCTGCCCTTATTCCAGTACATATTGATGCCCAGCTTCATGTTCTCTATGTCAGACGCTAAACTCCGACTCAAATACAGATGTACTTAAACTTCGCGATACATTCCAATTCCTTCGCGCTGAACTGGAATCGAACGACCCCAGCGTAATCATCCACGCCTTGTTTAAATCTCCAGCTCCACGACGGGATAACAAAAGAAGCTCAGTACTTAGGCATTTAGCTTTCTCATTGTATCATAATCGTCTCTGCCTCACACCGTTTTAAACATATGAAAGTCACTCACAAAACTAGGATTTCCCAAAATAATTTGCAATGTTTTTACTTTCTTATTTACTACCCCTCACCATCTATCTATGATAGAACCCTAATCTAATTCTGGTCACGCTGTCACTTTCCCAATCCATGCCCACCCATAAAACGGAATTGCCATGCCAATGTCCCTCATTTCATTTCATCATCCATTCATCAATAAGGAAAGGGATAAAAAGCCCATGAAGGTTGTCGTCATCGGTTCAATCGCTCGGACGGACTGAAAAATGTAATAAAAAAGCAGAAAAAATTAAGAAGTTTGCTGTTCTTCCTCCATTGTCAACTAGCCATACCGTGCAAAAATATTGTAATCGTTAAAAGCGTAGGTATTTTTCAATGAGAAAAGGAAAACTGTTTCTCCATCCAGTAGTGCAAGGTCCGTCGAGCACAAGAGTAATCTATGAGTACATGTGTTTGGTTAAAATATTTCCCCTTCCATAAATGAAGAATAGAAGATGAATATTCATTGACCAGTAGAGAAATATCGTTTCGAACGCGAATGCGATAAAAAGCAGGACCGAAATATCGCCACCAAAGCATAGATAACTTTTCCGGATCCGTACTGTAGCAGAATAGTTGGACACACAAGACGCCAAAGTAAAGTGTAGAAAAAGATTCATTAGTGGAAGAAGAGAGTGGGCAATTAAGCCTTCTCTTCAGCCTTCTCGTCACCCTCCTTAGCCTCACCAGCCTCTCCTTCACCTTCACCTCTGTTTTTAACGTACTCATCGTAGACGGTAAGTGCCTCGTCAACCTTAGCACGGAGAGAAGCATCGTCTTCGATACTATATCGTCGTTAGTAACATAATATGTAACGGAATGTTTGGATAACTTACAGATTAATCAACTCTTGGTTCTCCATCTCCAACAACATACCGGTAATCTTACCAGCCAACTCAGGTTGCAAGACTTGGATTTTAGGGAACAAGGCCTCCCCGAGTATTTGCTTCTGTTGCTGAGGAGGAACGGATTGAACTTGAGCTTGCAACAAAGTAGCTGGAACATTACCCTCTTGAGGCATCTGCGGCATTTGTGGCATACCTGGGATTTGCTGTGGCATGCCACGACCTGCTTGCGGAGGGAAGCCACCAGCAAATTGACCAGGACGTCCAGCTTGAGCACCACGACCAGGGATACCACCTTGTCTAGCACCTTGTTGGAATTGTGGGATTCCTTGTTGGCCCATAGGCATAGCCATGTTTGGTGGCATACCTTGCATTGGTCCACGTGCATTTGGCCCACCGCGACCGGCCGAAAGTTGAGCAGCTTGCGCAGCTTGCATGGCAGCTAAGAATTGTGGGTTGTTTTGTTGAGGATATTGACCGCCGGCAGGGAATTGACCTGGTCCCATACCGTACATGTTGGGTGGCATTTGCTGACCAGATGGTGCACCACGACCGGCTTGTTGAGGAGGGAAACCGGCTTGGAATTGGCCTGGTCGGCCAGCTTGAGCGCCTGGAATGGGCATGCCGGCTTGTGGTGGGAATTGCATACCACGCCCACCTTGGGGAAGGAAACCTGGCTGTTGGGCTCCTGGAGGGAAGAACATTGGAGCTTGCATGTATTGTTGTGGCATACCAGCTTGAGCGGCGGCTTGTTGCATGCGGATTTGGTTACGAGCTTGAATGCTGGCCTCCAATTGACTCTTTCGGACATCCTTGCGCTGAGCAAGAGCGACGTAAAGTGGCTTGTTGCTGACCATACGCTGGTTCATATCAGAAACAGCCTTGGTGGCCTCATCTGGGTTGTTAAAGCAAACGAAACCGAAGCCCTTGCTCTTACCAAGGGGACGCTTTGCCTTTGGTGCAGCAGCCTCTTCAGTCTCAGCGTCACCCTCCTTCTTGTTCTCCTTGTTCTTCTCCTCATCCTTCTCCTTCTTATCCTCGGCATCAGCGGTCTCAGCAGGAGTATCACGCATAACCTTGGCGGAAGTAATGGCACCAAATGGTGCAAATAACTCTCGGAGCTTCTCGTCATCGATCTCATCATCTAAGTTCTTGACATAGAGGTTGACACCTTGATATTTGGAAGCCTTCTCCATGCGAGCAGCTTCGTATGAACGGCGGAGCTCTTCCTCACGTTCATGCTTCTTCTGGGCACGGCCGACATAAAGATCTTGACCCTTGAAATCCTTGCCGTTAAGTTCATCAACAGCAGTAGCGGCGTGCTCATGGTTGATGAAGTTGACGAAACCAAAACCACGGCTTTTGCCAGATTCAGCGTCACGAGCAAGGGACGCTGAAGTGACATCACCAAACTTCTCAAACAACTCGCGGAACTCCTCTTCGGTAGCTTCAACTGGAATGTTCTTAACGTAGATATTGGTGAAGTTTGCCTTCATTTCCTCGAACTTGCTCTGACGGTCCTTCTTAGGAATGTGGTGGCCAACAAAGACCTTCTTCTCATTCAAAAGCATACCGTTAACGTGCTTGATAGCTTGAGCGGCAGCCTCATCAGTCTCGTAGTGAACAAATCCATAACCCTTGGAAGCTCCGGACTCATCTTGAGCAACCTTGCAACTCAAGATGTTTCCGAAAGCAGCAAATGTGTCGTGGAGAGCCTTGTTGTCAATGGCAACATCCAAATTCTTGATGAAAACATTTCCTTGACCATTCTTTCGGAGAGCTGGATCACGTTGGGACCACATGATTCTGCAAGGGCGGCCCTTAATCAATGTGTAGTTGAGTTCCTCTAAAGCTTTCTCACCATCAACGGTGGTGTTGTAATTGACGTAGGCATATCCAAGGGATCGACGGGTGATGGCATCACGGCAGACACGAATGGAAGCAACGGAACCAATTTGAGAGAAGAGCTCGAAAAGCATAGCTTCGGTAACGGATGGGTCAAGTTCACCAACGTAGAGAGAAGCCGAGGCTTGTGGGTGAGGGGCGTTGGTGGGGGTAGGACCTGCGGTATCTTGGTCTTCAGAGTTGACATTGGAAACATCGGTATTGAGGGTAGTGGCGCCATTTGCATCTCCATTTAAGGAAGCATTGTTAAGGTCAGAGGCGAGCTGATCGACAGCAGCGTTTTGGGTTGCGGCAGACATTTTGAGTAAATTTTACTGAAAAGACAAAAATTAGCAGTTGAACGGAAATTATTAAAGTCGCATTTTGTGAAATAATTTGTAATAATGAGGAATGACAAAGGGAATATTGAGAGAAGGTATAAAGGCAAGAGAACTACCTAAGTAGCATCCCTACCTTTACGTCGAGATGTGTTGTGGAAAGAGGGTCGGGTGAGGGGTAGAAATTCGTGAGAATAACTCTGTTCAGAACTGATAAGTATTGAATGAAAATACTGATATCAGTGTCGCGAGACAAAAGGCACAATATGACTGACTTTTTGAGGTAGAAGTTTTTGATTTGGGAGGAGGGTGAAAGTATTTCGAAAAGACGTTCGATAGAATAAGTATCGATCGCAAATCTGGGGTTTTCTGTGGGTTGATTTTCAAATTTTTTTGTATCTCTTGAAGAAGAGGGGTTTTCTAATTTGAAAAGGGCGAAGAAGAACGAAAAAAGCACGAAGTTATTCGTACTTAAACCGCTATTGTAAGATCTTTTCGGTGGGATGTATTTTTTTTTGGATGGTTGAAGAAGGGAGGAGGGAAGGAGATTTCTTTAAAAGTCACAATCGCAACAGATAAAACTTAGTTCATCTTTTTTCGAAATTTCTGTGCGTAGTCTAGCCATACTAAATTGGGATTAGTTCGGTAGTTTAAATGAAGAATCACAGATGATTCGCTACAGCTGATTCATCAAAAGATTAATACCACTGAAAAGAGAATGACTAATGAAATTGAAATTGACTAGCTACAGTACTATTTACCTAGAGCAGACTTAGCATTACTGAAGTAGGGCTTTTTTCTATGCATATCATTATCAATATCGTTGACCGTTGATAGAGATGAGGGATGAAGAATCTTATGATTGGCTTATGTAATCTCATTGACATCTAGAAAGGTCTTCCAGCTCCAGTCTTAATCACGAGAAAAGCTGTACCTACCTCTTGTAGGTACACTTGGAGGTAGAATCACTAAGGGCATTACTCAAATGGAAGGGCTTTTGAAGTATCCTTTTAGATTTGTGTGACCTATGGCTATCTAAAAAGAGAAGGAAGGCCATAAACACTAATGATTAATCACTGCAACATTATACATTTAAAGGAGAAAGCATCGTTTATTTATCATGACGCTCCGCTTTGGCCACTGCCGTGGACGCTTTTTCGCTTCGCTCGACGTAGAAGAACAAGAGCATACAAGTGAACAATGAATTCGACAATTGTCAATCGTGCGCAGCCAGGACCTGCCTTAAGGAGAATATTATACAAGGATATGTATAGGGATATTCAACGGCCTTGGAATACTCAGTAAGTCACTGAAGAGGGCTGTATTAATATCCATTTGGACTAACAGAAGGCATGACCTCAGCAATCATGAAGCAGCAGCTGCAGCATTGAGGATGTATGTGATGTTTATGTAATCCTTATGTAACCACAAACCGATAAGAAAGACAATCAAGATTGGTGATCCATTCCACCGAATTTGATTTGTAAGGCAAACGAATGGGCAGTTTATCGGGGCATTTGTGTTATCAAAAGCGGCGTCATTTAGTGAGGCTGCCACCAAACGTAATCTGAGGGACAGAGAGGCTGTAAATGAATGAATGAATGATATTACTTTGTTACTTTTGCCTTCAAAAACCTACCTTAAAAATCGAAAAGAGCGAATCTCATAGAAGCTTCTTGAACGAAATCACCTCAACTGTCTCATTCTACTATTTCCCCAGTCTTTAATAGTAATAATACTGCTATCATCAACCACTCCGAGTATATCCGTCTGCAACAAATTCATTATTCTCAGTCTTTGATCGGTCTATACTTGGATCACCTATAGAGCTTCGGTATGCTGCTTTGCCGATGATACTGTCATTTACGGTGCAAGACAAAGAAGAATCCCTCAAAAAGTGATAGATAGTTCCCTTCTTATCACAGTTCCGAAATGTTCCAAACATTCAGTGGGAGTTCTCGCAAACCAAGACAAGTCAATCTTTCTGGCCAAAATCCAAATCCATTCGCTGCCAGCTCCTGGAATTCTCCGCCTTCCGCTGCTCAGAAGACATTGGCACATGCGCAACAAGAGAGAGAGCAGCGTCAGAGAGAAAGAGAGAGGCTCAACGCTTCGAAGAAAATCCAGAGAGTATGGAGGGGTCATAAAATCAGAACCGAGCTTGCCGATGCACGAAGACGACAATACCAGTTGTCCTACACTACTCACGAAGAAAGGTCCGATGTGCCCATTACAGTTGAGCAATTACAGCTGTTGGTTGCATTTTGCAGCTCCGAACGGCAGGATGATATAGCACAATTGACGGCACTTGGCAGAAAGTTGGTTGGTAATAATAATGCCGAACTTATAGGTCAAGCAGAGTATCAACCTTATTTGCTGAAACTAGCAAAGCTCATACTCAGCGCGCTCATGGGGTACGCTTACTCACATGTGTTTATTCTTGAATAACTTCTAACCTCTTCAGTAGTTCCTTACCCAGCTACGACACAGCCCTATTCAAGCTCCTGTTGAATATACTAGTGCAAAAAAGAGATATACTCCCACATATTTCAATTCCTTATTACAACTTTCTGTCAGCCGCAGTGGTCAACAGCAGTATCACTGATGGACGTCGTGCAGAGCTTGTCTCGGCAGCACTCTTTCCTCTTGAAGAACCTCCTTTGGCGCCAGGAGATTCGTCCAGTATGTCTCCCCTGCCCTATGTGAACCTGCCATACCTTGTTACTGATCCGATATAGTTTCAATTTCACTAGATATCTATTCAGCCATGGCATCTCGGTTCCTTACCATTCCAAATTTGGAGACTAGACTTGGAGATTTACAAGGACTCGCATCTAAGATGAGCGGCAACCGTCTAGCTACAGCTATAGTCCGTGACTACTCAAACATCTCTTCCTTGCAGTCAAACCCAGAGGCAAAGCTATGGCTGCTTGCTCACTTCATTGTAATATATCATATGCGAGAGCATCATGAACAAGAAGTTGACCTATTGAGAGCCTTGTCTCTCCAGCTAACAGCGTGCGCGGTCGATATTATTGGCAAGGTGGATAGCGTCAAACCAACGTCTAAAACTTCTCAAAAAAAGGAAAGCGAAGGAAAGGAAGTGCATCTTGTACGGAGCTTGCCCACATTCATCAGTAGTCAGTTAATATCTTTGGTAAATAAAGCTTCAATAGTAGGATTACTCGAGAGATTTAACATGTAAGTCAAGCACGTTTTACTTTCTTAATCTTCGCTAATAACTTGGCATCAGCGATTATGCCAAAAGATCGACAACGGGCCAGGAGGATGCAAGCTTCTTAGCAAGTTATGCTCTTACACTGTTGAGAATCTTCCCACATCGTGCGGATGAAATTAGAATGTGGCTTTGTTCTAGCTCTATGACAGCTTCAAATGGTGACCAGGTGCTGGCTCTCAAGTTTTTTTGGCAGGCAATGAGCTCAACTAGCACCTTCAAAGCTATCGTGGCGGATTCGAAAGCTGCATTAGAAATCCTTCGGTATCAAAAGCAACACAGTAATGAACCATCTCAAGAAGTTATGTCAAGGAATCGAGAATGGAGAACCATTCTTCTTTTCTTAGAACTTTATACATTTGTCCTAAAATTCATAGACGATGAGGACTTCCTCGGCGGCAGCATGGAGTCAAGTCAAGCAAGTGGTACTGTTTCCAAGATTCGAGGGAGTGCACTTCCATTGGAAGCTGTCGAGAAACTCACCCTTTTTCTGAAGAACATCTCATTCACTACTTATTATAATGCTGCAGAACTTTCTGCTGATGATAAGCCTGGTATGGAAGATGGTCTAAGCACCTATCTCAGCATCAACAATCAATCTGGAAAGGAAAAAAGGAGCCTTGGCGAGGGGCCAACGACAAGTAACTCAAGTTGGCCATTCGCCGGAATTTCGGGCATGACGTTCTACTATATGAGGACAATTGTTATCGGGGTCATGCGAATGATCTATGAACGAGATTCGAGACGACAATTTTTGCCAAAGGATCATTGGCTCATGACGACACGTTTTGACATGAAAGGCTTTATTGTTGATGTTATTAAGGAGCAGGAAAGACGACAAGAAGTTGTAGACGGTGGAGGTACTGAAGACGAGATTGATGAAGATGCAGAAGAGTTTGGGCCTGTCCAGGGCCTCAGTATAAGTCGCTTGAGTCGACCGCATTTGATGATACAGCAGGAGATTTTCAATCGGCAGCAGCGAAAACTCAATAAACGGAAACTCATGGCCGCCGTTGGACCAAGAATTGAGGTATTAGAAAATATGCCATTTGTTATCCCTTTTGAAACTCGTGTTGAGATATTTCGTCAGTTCGTCATGTTGGATCAACTCAAGAGACGAGCAGGAGTCGTCGATCCGGATTCATGGCGAATGCGAATAGCAGATATGTCACTTAGTATGCATGCTGCACGAGAAATCCTTGGCAGGCATCATGCACGGATTCGTCGACAAAAGGTTTTTGAAGATGCTTTTGCGGCCTTCTATCCACTGTCAGAAGGGCTTAAAGAACCAATTCAGATCACCTTTATTGACAGCTTCGGTACGGTTGAGGCTGGTATTGACGGCGGTGGAGTGACGAAAGAGTTTCTCACCAGTGTAACAAATGAAGCATTTCGCAGCCCTCTAGACTATGGTAGTTGCACATCCCTTTTTGTGACGAATGATCAAAATCTACTCTACCCCAATCCAACAGCGACTGAACAAGATTATGAATTTTTGAGATCGAATGGGATAAACGATTCCAACCCTGATTGGAAGGCATATAGCGCACAGCTGCGCAATCGCATGCAATTCTTAGGTCGCATAATAGGGAAGTGTTTGTATGAGGGAATTCTCGTCGATATCAATTTTGCCGGATTTTTCCTTCTCAAATGGTCTGCTGCATTTTCTGGTTCAGAAGCAACAAGCCGTGGCAATCTCAACGATTTACGTGACCTTGACGAAGGATTATATCAAGGGCTATTAAAACTTAAAAACTATCCTGGAAATGTCGAGGACTTCTCGCTCGACTTCACCATAACCGACACAATTCCCAGCCCCATACCGGGTGTCCGTCCTAAAATCATCACCCGGGATCTCATGCCAAATGGCTCCAATATTCCTGTTACAAATGAAAATCGTCTCCTATACATCGCATACGTCGTTCGGCACCGGCTCCATATTCAACCTTACGAACTTACCCAAGCTTTCCTTCGCGGTCTCGGCCAGATCATAAATCCTTCATGGTTGAGCATGTTTAACCAAGTCGAACTTCAAACTCTAATTTCCGGCGAAACATCCCAGATCAACATTGATGATTTACGTAGAAACACCCAATATGGCGGTGTATATCAGATTGGAGATGATGGACTTGAACACCCGACTGTCATGATGTTCTGGCAAGTCATGGAAGAGTTTGAAGATGAGGATAGGAGAAAAGTACTCAAGTATGTGACGAGCACACCAAGAGCACCCTTATTAGGATTCTCATCGTTGAATCCACTGTTTAGTATCAGGGATGGTAGTGCGGATGAGAAGCGACTGCCAAGTGCGAGTACGTGTGTTAATCTGTTGAAATTGCCGAGATATAAAAGTAAGGAGAAGCTGAAGGAAAAGTTGTTGTATGCAATTAATGCAGGGGCCGGTTTTGATCTTTCTTGATTGAGGTGTTTGTAAAGGGATGGGTATTATATGGAGCCGGAAAGGAGGAGAAAAAAATACTTATGACGCAAATGATAAATGCGAAGCGATGATTGATGACATTCCTACAAGATACAATATTATGCATGGTCCAGGCGTTTTCTTTTATTTCATTTCCCATTCTAGACGAACTGAGTTAGTTGATGAATGTATGGATAAGATGGTGGTGTAGTATGATATCAGCGTTGGATGGAAAAACTCCTAGATTAAAACAGCGTGCTTATGGTAGATTGATTTGTAGATGGAACGTTTACTCAGCGGGAGGAGAAGGGTAAGGATGATGGTTTGTCTACATATCTTAGCGAAGAATGATAGGAGGGATGAATAGGATGGATGGATGGATGGTCATGAATTTGCATAGATAGCAAATCAACAATTCTAATCCTTTGGTTTCTTGTGGCTTTTATGTTGTTCTGTTGATGTGTGTGAGAAGGTTGAGAGTTTATGGTGTAGGGTGGGTGGGGTGGATGGGATTGGTATGTATAATTTTTGGGTTTGGGGGTTGGGGTTTGGGGTAGGGGCTAGGGGGAAGAGGGATGAAAGATGAGTGGTGTTTTCTTGGATTCAAATAGGTGTGTGGTGGGAAGTTTGGGGGGAGGAAAAGGGGGAAAAGGAGATGAGAAGAGTTTGATTTGGTGAGTAAGGGAAGAATGAGCTTAATTGCACCATTGGTTTGGTTACTTGGTTGGGCCGGGGGCGGGAGATTTCCCTTCTTCGGCTTTGTCGCTGGTTACCTCTTGATTAGCAGATTAAGGAGATTCTAGATAGTAAATGTTGAAGCTTGGGTAGTTTATTTAATGATTTGTAAAAGATCTTTTTCGACTTTTTGTTTTACGGTATATATAGAGGATAGTGATCAAGGTGAAGATGAAGATGAGGATGGACGAGGAGCAGGAGTAGTAGTAGCAGGGAATCTTCTTATGTAAGACTTATTTGGTAATTTTGACTGAGTAGGAATTGATGGTTTCTTTCTATTTGTAGATGAAGGGATATAGTAGTGATGAGTATAGAATGCGAAGATGGGCTCAGCCTATGAGGACTTGTAAATAGGAGATATGTATACTGTAGCATGTGTTCTGTCACTCCAATTTAGATGCAACTATCTAGGTAAGATTACTTCATAATGAGTATCGACGAATTTTCCTCTGGAAGGGAGCTGATAATGTAATAGAGAGAGAATCTATATGTTTAAAGTAGCATAGCTTAATTATCAGACATGCATGTACCTATATAAGCTCGGATGGTATTTTATATTTCCTATAATTAATTATATCAGAATAACAAAATAAAAAATAATACCATGAATTTCGCCACAAGCTCCGATTGCCAAAAATGGTTGGGTATTTCCTCCCACTGGTGCACGTGCGGAATGAATCAGTTTTATATGCATATAGCTGATACAACGCAAAGGGTTCCTTCCCCCACAGATGTTTGGATGTTACCGTTATTATATGCTGAAACACGTGCCTTCCTTCAATTGAGTCAGTTATTTTCTGGAGCTCTTCGTCGAGTTAAAGATGTTTGTTATCAGATCAGATCGATCAGATCGCTAGGTTGGTCCTACTTGTCAGAGCAGAGTTACCATCCGAGCCACTTCCTGGAATCTGATCATTTCTTAAAATAGTAATTGTCTATCCGTCGTTTCAGCTTCTTTGCGTTGGATCTGATCTGATCTGATTTGATCTGATCTGATCTTGTATTACCTAGCATGACATGACTTTTGATGTTTTATCCCCTTGTTAATCTTAGTTGTAAATTTTTCATAGCATTATTTAATCAACCCTACTGTTGAATAATATCTTACGATGGTGATATATATGTTAGCTCAGAATCACTATTTTGACTACTTTCGCTTATTTTTGTCTATAATATGCATTTATAATTATTTTGTCGACCATTTGTTACATATATTTATTACCTTTTTCATTTCAGCTAGGCTGTAAGCAGTAATTCAAGAAGTAGGAGGTAGAGCGCAGTGAGAATGTTTGAACTTATTCATGCCTTTCCTTCAATGAACAAATTGCTAGGAAATAAAGGCAGTGTAGCTCGAGACCATTTAGCAAATGAATGAACATTTCTTTCGTGGACCCGCGAAGGATTAGACTTCATAGCTTGGCAGTTGCATGTACGTACGAAGCTTGACACTTGGATGGATTATCAAACCATTCTCAGGAGGTAATATGGGCTGGAAATAGACGGAGAGAGGGAGGAGTGGATTTTGGAGATCGCGGCATTCACTTGCGGGTAGTAGGGACAGAGAGTTTGTCGGTGAAAATGGAGGATTCTCTGCTGCCCGGGCGGTGTAATGTTGGTTAAGTTGAGTAGTGGATTATTAACTGTCGGTGGTGCATTTGTTGTTGGGAAAGAAGAGATGGAGCGAAGGAGATATGAGTGTTGAGAAAGACAGAAAATATCCCTCATCTGCGTCAGTTCCATAGGACTAGCAATGCAGTTGGCGTGTATCTGTGGGAACTACCTCCGCATTGCACTGCAGCTGCAGAGACTGTACATGACCGACTCCAAATTACACAATTCAGCGTCATTGTTCTGCTTCGTGTCATACAGACAGCACTGATTGCTCAAGTCCAACTCCGAATCTCTGCATCCGAATCAGATCAGAGGCAACAACGAACAGAATCTCATGTTGAAGAGGATCATATCCTGCTTTAACTGACTCGAGACAGAGCTAAGTAAATTACATGCAGGGTGAAAGCTTCAAAATATCCCATCTATCTTTCTAACTGCAGTGCGCACATTGTTTGGTATATGCATCAGGAAGAATAAGTCCCTCGGCTTCCTCCACTTCTATCCCGTCTAGCGCGGCTCGGGCCGCAAGGTGATACAAGCGTGGGTCGGTATGTACGAGCGTCGAGCAGGCATGTATGTATTTTACGTGAACAATGGAACAATGAGTGCGATTTCGTTTCTAGTCAAGGTCCTACAAGAGGATGGACCAATCATTTCAACCATCGACGACCCCTCTCCCCGGGCCCTCTAACATGCATATATTTGCTCCAGGACATTATTGGGCATAAATCCAGGCAGGACATTACTAAGCCTTTCTTAACCACGAGTAGCAAATGCTCCGTATATGGGCAATGAGGACGCCGATAGACGCACGCTTAGGTCTGATGAGGTCAAAGGTTAAAAGGGTACGGACCTTGTCAGCTTTATCGAGGAGGGTTCATCTGCCAGAAAACCCCCCACGGGAATCCTTGCATGAAAAAGAAAACATGATTGCATTTTCGGGATTTTACATTTTACATTTTGTGTAACGACGGATTGATTGCAAGGATGACCCACCACTCTTGAATTTCGGTACGGCCCATACAAAACTAGTATTTACGGGATTGTACCACGTTTCATATTTTCATATGGGAAAGAGCAAGCAAAGAAAAACCCACAACTAAATCCAAAAATCAAAATATACTTTCACACATCATGCATCTTCTTCCTATACCACCACAATTATAGCCATCCATCATCCATCCATCATCCATCCATCATCCATCCATCATACATCCATCATCCATCCATCCAGATTCCAAATTCATATTCCAGATTCTAGATTCCGACTCAGACTCAGACTCAGACTCAGACGCAGACTCAGACTCAGACTCAGACTCAGACTCAGACTCAGACTCAGATTCCACAATTTCCATCTAGCCACCTTTTCTTCACTTTATTTGCGACTTACAAGTTCCAATTTTCAACATCCATTCATCCATTCATCCATTCATCCACTCATCCACTCATCCACTCATTCATTCTCCATCGAAGGCTCCTTTTCATAACCGTGGCCACAACGCAACACACCTTCACAGATCCCTCGGTGCATCCATCTTCTTTGACCTCCGAAATATCACGATAGCTTCCAATTCAGAAATTACTTCCCTTACCATCCTAGCTTCATACGAGAATTGATTCCTCCATTTAAGAAATTGATAAAATCCATCATCATGTCAATCCCTTTTTTGAAATTGAACAATGGAGCCACAATACCAGCTTTAGGATTTGGTACTTTCCAAAGCGAAGGGTCTCCAGGGAAATGCCACGATGCTGTACTTTGGGCTTTACAATCAGGTTATCGTCATCTTGATTGTGCTTGGTAGTAAGCTTAACCCCTATGTCTCATGTTTACCCGTTCTTCTTAGCTGTCTTATGGGAATCTCCCGGGCTAATCCCTTGCATCGATCCACTAATCTTGTAACGTATCCCTTGATGATGGGGTGCCAAAGTCTTGGGATTGTTCATTTGGTATTAGAGTTTGACGTCTGAGACTGACACAATGCAGTTACAAAAACGAGGAAGAGGTTGGCTCAGGCTTGCGGGAATTCTTGTCCAACAACCCAAGTGTCAAACGTTCGGATATCTTCATCACAACTAAAGTGTGGCCTCATCTATGCACTTCCCCTGAAGATGTCGAGTGGAGTTTAAATTATAGTTTAGAGAAACTTGGTCTTGATTATGTGGATTCTTTCTTGATGCACTGGCCTTTCGCGGCCGAGAGAACCGACGGCTATGAGGTTGAACTCGGAGATGATGGAAAGGTATGATCCACCAATTGACATCAAAAATTTCCATCGTGGCTAACTCAATAACCTTGAGTAGTACATCATCCAGAAAGAGATCACTGCCAACTTAAAACCCATCTGGCGTAAATTCGAAGAACTTAACAAAGCTGGCAAGACAAAAGCCATCGGGGTATCCAATTTTACCATTTCAAACCTTGAAGCTTTGTTGAAATATGCGGAGATTCCTCCAGCTATGAACCAAGTCGAGATTCACCCGGTCTGGCCTAACACCAAGTTGATCAACTACTGTTTCTCGAAGAATATCCTTCCAGTGGCATATTCCCCACTCGGGTCCCAAAGCCAGGTTCCCACTACAGGAAAAACTGTTATTCAAAACACTGATCTCATTTCAATCGCCGAAAAGAAAGGTGTTAGCATAGGTCAAATATTGATAGCTTGGGGTATCAAAAGAGGATACGTAGTCCTTCCTATGAGTTCGAATAAGGAAAGGATTAAAACCAATGGCACATTGATCGATTTGACTGAAGAAGAATTCGAAACGATGAACAAAGTCTCCGAGGGTAAAGAAACAAGGTTCGTAGATTTGAAAGATACTTTTGGATGGGATGTATTCGGGGATGAGTAGAATAGTAACTAAAAGTAATTGGTCAAGTCGTGTTTTGTTCTTTACTTACATCGTTCGATTCCACGTAATAAAGATATCACATGAATGAATGATGATGCATAGCAAATGCTGCAAATAAGCTGATCTGACTTTTGTGATTCATGACTGCAAATCTGCATCGTTATTCTTGCTTCCGAGGTCACGATTAGTAAATACTTCATTTCATGTATGTACCTAGGTTTGTATATATGCACTCACACGGCCATGATGAAGGTAGAAACAATTCTTGGCTTCGTGGACTCGTAGAGAGAATATGATATGATATGATATGATATGATATGATATGATATGATGATATGATGATATGATATATATATGTACCTAGGTAGGTACTATAAGATGAGATAAGATCTCACCTCATCTCATCTCATCTTGTCACCATATCATCTGAATCGTTCCTCCCGCCGCTGAGCTGAGCAGAAATGAGTCCGGCCCCGTGCCGTGCCGTGAATTAGCAGTTGAGACGGATATTATTTGTTGTGTGCGTGTTCTGTGGAAGTTGATTTGGGGTTGAGGTTATACATAAGTTATATAGTGTTATATATGATATTATATATTATATTTTATAAAATTAAATTATAATTTTTGATAATCTTAATATATTTTATATATTTAAAACTTTATGTATTTATTTAATATTTTTTTTTTTTAAAAAAAAACCCTTTATAATTTATTATTATATTTTAAGTTTTTAATTAATTTAGGTTTTGCAGGGATTTTATCCCGAATTTAAATGGTGTGCAAGTGACTAGATTCTAGGATTCTTATTATATGCTCGCCATACCCGTTGTGCACTTCAGGGTATCATCCGCCTCCAAGAGTCTAGGTACATAGGTACGTAAGGTCACCAAGTATTAAGTCTTACTTGAAATAGATTACAGACTAGATACTAAAGACTAGGTATCCATCGAATTTCCGGTCCAGCGGTAAACTAGGGGTGTATAGGTTAAATTTTAATATCATGAAAATAAAAATAGTACGGTATAGTTGTGACTTTTATATTATTATCAAATAGCTACGATTAGTGATACTCATACTGATATTAATAATTAGCATATCCAAAGACTATGGCTGTAGATATAACAATAATATAATCATTAAACCCCGATATCCGGAGCAAGCACTCCCTCCACCTCTACCCTCTACCCTCTACCCTCTACCCTCTACCCTCGACCTCCACCCATTATCCTTTTCTTTAAATTAAATCTTGGTTCATTCGTCGAATCTCTTAAATATTTAAATTACTAATTCTAGTGTCCTCGTCATTCATCTCCAGTACGAACGGAGTACGAGGTCGAGAAATCATTAATACATACACATGTACATAATCTTGGCCAGTCGGTAAATAAGTCTACAGATACGACAACTACCTGGTATCATTATCATTATCATCATCATGACAAGTCCAGTTTACTAGGATAGGAACCTAGGCAGACGATGATAATTATAGAACGTGGAATGAATTAATTACGGAGGAGAGCTACGGAGGAGAGCTACGGAGCTTTTGTGATGTGATTTGATGTGATGTGAGGTGGTATTATACATCGGTCGGGGCAATTTCGTTCCAAGGCTTGGGTACGAGGTAAGGGTAAGACGGTGACGAAATTTCCCGAGCGATCTGGTTTTTGAATGCACATGTACCTAGGTATGTGCAGAGTATGTATCATGTCAAAAGTATATTAATAATAGGGATAATAGAAATAAATTGGGAAAATTAAATGGATATGCTTCGTCTTGTGTGAATAAATGAATAAATGAATAAATGCACGTTAGGGGAACATCGTGCTACTTCCTTTACCTTGTCAAATCAAGAAATCGATTATAATAAATTATAAATAAATAACAAATATATATACATACATACATACATACATACATACATACATACATACATACATACATACATACATACATACATACATACATACATACATACATACACACACACACATAATCTCTTCATCTGCTGATCTCACATACAAACCGATATGACCCAAGTAAATAGGCAAACCGTCACACCAAGCATCTAGATCCAGAATCGCAGTAAAGAGATATTATCATATTCATCATCATGTTGATCAGCAAATATATCGCGTGGCATTAGATGGAAATGACAGTGGCCAATGCGAAGATAATGCCAATACCGTTTTGTTGTCGATCGGTCTTAACTTCGCTGTCAGTTTGGATGGAAGTCCTTGGTGATGCATGCACGTATGCAGAATGTTGGAATCGTAAGGTAAGCTAGGTAATGTGTGTTATTGGCTGATCTTTTCTTTATCATCAATATCAAACAACTGTTAAATATCATGGCGGAATCAAATTAATATGTATGATTAGCCAGCTAGGCAGCTAGCTATAATCTCTAGAAGAAAGCACGCGATAACTGTCTGTAGTTAGTCCTACCCCCAATCACCCCTCATCGTCCCTCCATCCCTTTGTGACCTCCGTGACCTCCGTACCTGATTCAACCATCTCCGTCCCTAGCCACCTACCAATCTACCTACCAAACTTCCCCATAAAAAGCCATACCAGCCAGCACCACCATACGATTCGCAAGCATAAAACAAAACCCTGCATCATCAATCTTTAAACTTTAGACTTCAAACCCCCATCCATCATGAGACCCCTATTTACCCAATAAATCTACAATCCCTCCTGCTCATCGTTCATCCACGCTCGCACATACACCCACATACATATGCAAAGATAAACGCATGCACAGGCATCCACCATACATATCATAGGCTGCAGCTATCAAAAGCGCATACACATACACATACACATACATACGCATAGTTCTACCAAACGCCCATCCGAATTCCAGTCATCACCATCATCCAACACTAATCAGCCCCGATCCCGAAAAAACACAACCCTAAAAAAGATTCAAAAAATCGCCCCTAAAATTCTTCCAAAAATCCCATTTCTCATCCACTCCCCCATCAAATAGCCAACGAAACCAAAAGCGCCCAAAAAGCGGTACCCCATCTCAATGGTCCACGATAACCTAGCATCTTCTGACATGAGGCTAAGCATACAATCTGCAGCGCACCCGTCTAACACATGCTGTAGAACCCGTCTCTCCTTCCTTCCTTCCCTTCCATTTTATTCCCTCCCCATTCCGAAAGCCGAACATACGGAGTACAGATACCGGTAATCAGGCAATTTATCACATTACCATACAGAATCGTGAAGAAAGAACGTTTCTTACACGTAAAAAATAACCCATAGCTGCTTTTCCACGTTTAGTAAGATCTTAACGAGGTCGTCTAGCTCGCTCTGGAACTTTCGATATAATTCAATTAATTGAGCACCAACGCCACCAATTCATTAAATTGAAATCAACACAAGAAAAAAAAAATCGCAACAATGCAAACACCATAAATATCAAGAAAACATGTGTATATTTTGAGGTTTCGGATCTGAATTCGAATTTAGCTTTCAATCGTACTAATATGATATTTGTAAATCTTTTCATGAACAAAATCATTAGTGGATAAGAAAGCCTAAAAGTAAACGAACTCCAAGTCCAGATCGCCTTGCACAGTACAATCCTAGTAATAGTACGTAGAAGCGCAACATATCATCAACCCCTAAAACCCTGCCCAAAAACCCCAAGGATGCGAAAGGGAATTATTTTTTATCCCGGCATACATCGCGAGAAGAGAGAAACCCCTTTATAGCTGAACCCCAAACAAAAAGAGATGGACAGAAAAATATAAAAATAAAAAACGAAATAGCAAAGAAAATCAAAACGTTTTGGTATTGGTATCCCCGCTTGCTTGCAATGAAAAAAAAAAATCACACAAAAACTTTTTCGTCTCATCTCACGTACCATCCCTTAATCCGAGCTCACGCTCGAATTCGAAGATTCCGACGTCTCGGAGGATTTGTCATCATGGAGATGGGCTTCCCATTCAGCGACTGAGATGGGTTTTTCCGTCATGGCTGCCAAGCGGAACAGGTGACGCGCTTGGATACGGGAATCATAGTCTACGGTCGCGGTGTCTGGATTATTCGTTAGAACCTGCATGTGAAAAGAATGGTAAGAAAGATAAAAACGTACGAAGAGTACTTCTCCCATCAAACATAACCACTGAGTGTTTTTCCCATCCTACTCTAGCTTGGAAATCATGACCCATGCAAACATGATCGACCAAGAATTTCATAAGCATCTCTCTTTCTCCATCCTTGAGCCCGACAATATCGGTTAAAAACTCCGAGTTGAGATAAAGGGCCTTTTCGCCCGAAACGGGATGTACGCGAACGATTGGGTGCAGGGAGTCGATCGGGTCGGTTCGGACGGTTCCTCGTGCAGCACGGGCATAACCGATCATCTTCTGTGACGAATGAGTTGCCTTTAAGTCCTGAATCATGGCGCGAAATGTAGGTGAAAGGCGTTTGTATGCTTCAACTGTATCGGCGAAGACGGTGTCACCACCAACATCGGGACATGCTAATACTGGTTGGGTGTTAGATTTTCTCGGTTTGTATAGCTAGGTTTCAAACTTACTGCCAAGCATAACATATCCAGGCGGCTGCTTTTCGTAGCTGACATCGTGATGCCAGAGTGTTGAGGTCAACTTTTTCTGGAAGAAATTTGCGATTTCTTCTTCATTGTGATCGCGATGAATAACATGGAAAGGAGGGTGTCCTTTGACCGAACCAGATACAGGCTGAATGCTCAAAGGTCCAAAATACGACATGAATTCTTGTTGGAACTGAGGTCCGGAATGAAGAAAGTCGGATTGTTCGCGGAGAACAACGATTTTTCTCTCGGTTATCAAAAGAGCAAGCTCATCTTTGCCTTCATCAGAGAGCTCCTCTAATTTTACGCCAGTCAAAATGGTTCCCATTTTAGGTGTGATGTGTTTGGCTTTAACACCACCATTGAAAAGGTTTGGCTTAGACTTATCGGCCCGCAGGGCTGGGTCATAATACTCGAAGTGCTGTACCTCGTCGAACCAGACATCGTCTTCCCACTTTGTGGTTGTTAGTGGCTGACTGATGATATAGAATTGAACCTAAACACTTACCGATGGAAGGTAACTTGGAAATTCAGTTCGACGTTTTGAGCTCTGATCGTATTCATCGGACACATGGTTATATGGAACGTTAATGTCGTAACTGATCTCCGGGACAGCTACCTCATCCTCTTCTGTAAGTCGACTAGGTGCCATGATGAATGTGTTGAATGTGGTGAGTGTGTTGAGTGTGTATGTAGCTATATTGCGATGAATGGTAAAAGAGATGAAGTGTGATGAGTACCTCCAGTTGAAGATGAAGAACTGATATAAATATGTGAGAATGGAGGAGAGCCTCTCGGACCTTCGACAAATTAAGTACTTGATGGTTGGGATATCCTCGGTTGAAGAAACATTAAATCTATCTGCAATGAGGGTAGGGTAGCAAAAGAGGGTTAGAGCGATGCCAATTAACAACCGTTTTTAAAATGCGGAGCTCAACGGTTGTCGTGAAGCTTACCATTTGCTTTCCGTCAGATTAGAGATTATCAGTACTATAATGCAGTAACAGTAATAACACATTAGCAAGCGGTGTAGACCCACGATGGCATGACATGGTAGTGGTTGCTGATCATCCAAGGGTAAGATGGACATGGGACAATGGAGAACTGAGAAGCCCAGCAACTTAGCAAAGCATTGTGGGATCAATTACTACAGGGATTGTGCATATGGGAGTTCCAGAACATGGTAACCAGTAGGAGATAAAGTTTCCGTCGTAACAAAACGGACTCATGATAATGACGAAGCTTGTATGACCCCTTAGACGCAACGGCCCGTGACACACATTGGAATCGTAGCGCGACTAGGAATAGCTAAGATGGCATTAATGTGAAGGAGTTGAAACATCCTTGCTTTCAGCCAAGTGAACAAGTCCAGGACGGGATGAAAGGACAAGACGAACGACATTAGACCATTGTAGACAATACGACAGCTGTACAGCAAAGCCTTTGATTTGAGAAGGGACCTCAATTAGACACCATAATCCGTTACCTAGTTACCTGCAGGCATGAGACTAAAACTTCGCACATATAACTGAATAGGTCTAGGGCCCTAGGGGACCAACCTCATTGCGTAAAGTTTGATAGGAAATAACCTCTAAGTTGGGCATAACAAAAACAGAAGTGGGGCTTGAAGCGAGAAGGAACATTCGCTGAATCTTCTGAAATGTTCTAGCGACGACTCGAGGAACATGGGACCTGTGGTAAACTTTTCAAGGCTATGCAAAATTGTAAGAATGTGTGGAAACTATTCGGAGGATCCGGTACTAAAATTGTGAACTACAATTGCTTTAATTTACGATGGATATATCCGAAGTGAGCATTAATTCTTGCCCATGTTGAACTTAGCAAGCTAGGACCCCGACATGGCTGTGGAAATTGGAAACTGGAAATTAAGAAAATTGAAAAAGATGATGTGCATGGAAAGTTCAGAAGTGCGTGTTCGCAAGAGTTCCACCAAGGATTATAATCCGTCCCACTTGTTCCATAGTCCCCATTGATTGTTCCACGCTTGGAGTTGACCCTGTTCTTTTAAAACCACCACAAAAAATAAAAGATGGGCCCATTTTTGATTCCACAACATCATTTTTTTTTCTCTCCCACGCTAAAGACCTTTCTAACTTATAAAAGGCCATTTGACTAAAATTGGTAATATGGTATTTTGTTCTTCAATAAACTTATAATTTCATAGTCCTATGGTCCTAAGTCGTGTAATCATGCTTCATCATCCCATATTCATCCAATAAGATATCTTGACACTCGCCTAAAAGGTTGTGTGGTTCGCAACATTTTTGGTCCATTTCGCAGGATTATCGGCCATTGTTTTCAATGTCACCGTATCGATCAGCAGACCGAGATTCACATGGGCTGGCCGCATCGCCAAAATTTGCTTCGGGAATATATCTACCTACACAAAGCCTTCCTTCCGGCGGCGCTTGTTCTTCTGCAGAAGTTTTCACTGCTATTGTGATTTGCAACAGCATTTAGCAGGCTTGAATGCGTACTAGCTAAGATTAGATATTCGTGATGATTGATACAACTTTGTCAATAGCTTGACATGAAATTTGTTAGCGCTAGAAATAATTGATCATTTAAGCTAGCCACAGCTGAGGAACTGATCTCGCAAGTCAATATGGCCATGCATATATCATGCTACACTTGTGCATTGCATTAATGGACTAAGAGTATAAGAGGATAGTGATATCCTTAGAAATCACCCAATAATGGTGCAGGATACATCATAAGCTGCTGCGTCAGAAACCTTTATAGGATAGCGATGCACACGTGTATGTCATTCAAAAATACCCTAGAGCTGAAGCTGGCTGCAGGATGAAGCATTTAAAAGCTTAGCAAATCATAACAAAAATTTTTCCCGTGCACAGGCGATGTGGATTTCGCCAAACGTGAGTAACCAAGATGGTGGCTTGCTGGTTTCCCGCAGAATTGGTAGCAATTGCTGGTTGTATCATGTATGAGGCACATTAAAGATACCCAAGGTGGGGGGAAATCGGAGCATTAACGAATTCGGATGATTTTTCCGATCATGTTCATGAGTTCGACCGAGGGAGCTTTGAACCTTTGTCATGGTGCTGACCCGTTCGAGAGCTAACGTGGCCCGAAAGACAACGTAACGTTCTGGCATATAGAAGGATTCTTGTGTTGGTGTCATCGGGTCACTTGGCTTCACCGGGTCACTTGGCTTCGCGGGGTCGACCCGACCGTGGTGTGGGCTGAGATACTAAGTCCATGTATGCCATGAAGTCATTAGTTGATAGTCTAGTACCTGGCATGCCAACACAAGGAGCCTCGTATTTGCCCGATGCTGTACAAGTTGTTGAAACCTTAAATAACCACTCTGAGATTAGGTCGAAAGCAACGTAGCCAATTCTAGCTTCAGTACGAGCGGTAACGAAATAAAATGTTGTTATTTGGTTGACTCGTGCTGATCCTTGACATTGCTATGAACCACTCGTGCAAGTAATAAAGGACAGGAATAATGTTGAGTTCTTTTGGGAATTCAATACTCGTAAGAAATGGCCAATGAATGTTGTTTGTCGTTTAACATGTATCCTGCACCATCTTTCGATTATGCATGTTGCTACAGATTTCATCGAACGATCAGACGTTCAGCTGTGTGCTTTCAAACTAGTTGTTATGACTCCTGGGAGTTTGTTCGAAATTGACGTATTGTAACATGCAGAGCTTCCCAGTTAGTAAATGACCCGGCCGCATTGAAATCAATTTCCGTCTACCCGAGGAACCCAAAAAGGGGACTCGCGTGGTCCAATCCCCGTTTCAATGCAAGTTACCGAGGTCACCGTTGCAATACGTATCTGGGGTGTGCTCAATGTCGTTGACCTTGTCTCAAGTGAGATCTCCCAGGAAACAAGAGTTCCAGGAACGACTGGACTTTGCTTAGCCAAAATGGTATGATCATTCCTTGTGCATTCACTCGCTAAAACTGGCGAACATCGCAGAATCTAGTTATTAATTGACGCTGGGCAGTGCTTTCACAAATCTATTGCTCCAATATTTTGTCAGCGCAGAAATGCTTTCCGCACATGCTTGAGAGGGCCAGGTGCCGACCGCCGAGCCCAAGTAGGTATCCGGCCGGAAACAGCCTAAATACACCTTGAGCTAAGTCCCGTAATATCCGTCGCAAGCATTACCAGTTAAGTCCATACATAAATGGTAGAAAAATCGCTAGGGTATGTGATTCGATTTTCCAGCATTGATCGGGAGTTCCCATCAGCTTTCAAATGGAGATACCCAGTACCGCAATTCGTGGTAATCCAGCTGCTGGTTATCAAAAACAATTATACATGCGTCCGGTCCCATAAACTATCGCGGATTTTGATACAAAGCACCGAACTATGTAGCGATGTGCGGGTTATCATACTCCGACCATGGCGTTGAGGATTTTCATGTCGTTTTGTCATTTAAGAATCTGTCCAATGACGCAGGATGAGTTGAATACAGTATTAAGAATCCGAATTCGTTGCTTCTGAGATGCGACTCTACAGATGCTGAACAGTACATCGAAATAGAGCGGACATCTTTCTGTGTTCAAACCTTTTGCTCGGATGGTATTAAGGACAACGAAGAAATCTTCGATTTAAAACGAGGGAAAGCACGACGACATGGAACAGAATTCCATGCCGTAAAGTCGGTTCCTTCCTTTTGCATATGCCTGGTAGATATTTAGTATAGGGAAACGAAAGCCCTTGACGCGAAATTCCCTTTAAATGTAAGTCTCATGTTGTTAAACATATCCATTGTGTTCAAATTGAAATGCACATCTTGCAGTCCGAAATATAACAAATACCTTGATCGTTCCGAAATTCTGGATACCTCTCCCTCCGCTGATGCTCTGCTTTCTAACCCAGACTTCTTGCACTTCCATCATCATCATCGTCGTCGTCGTCGTCGTTGCAGCTCACATGCCTGCCTCGAAGTCGAAGGATCTTGAGAGATAGCGAATGCTGTTTGTCACAATAATACGACAAATGGATTTCCAGTGTCGCATTTCTGCTTTGTTGAATTAAACCTCCGCCTCTGCTACGTTTTAGAAACCGGCAAACCTCTGTATATGTAGGTGCTATTCTTGGAAGGTTCAAAATGACTCGGTAATGCTGAGGATATTAGTGAGACTGTTGTGGAGAAATTGCGACGACACTCGCTACCAATAAATGGTATTCGGTGCTTCTGGAACTTTAGAAGGCGGGGCTGATAGGGTCTGGCAGGATTGCGATCACCAATTTCCAGATGATTTTATAAGTCGTCAAAAATATGAGTATGAAAGTCGGTGCCATGCCCGAATCCTTTTTTATCATGCTTTGCTTGGAGGTACATCGAACTCGAAGACTTCTCTTCATCTTCTATCATCACTTGTCTTTCGAGGATAACTCCAAACGGTTTACTTCGAAACCGACTATCTCGACACGTTTCGAAATGCAGGGGGGAAGGAACGTGTTCCAGTCCAGTAAAATACCGAAAGAAAAAAAAAGATTGAGGCGAAAAGTAATTGCAAAAGAAGAATCTTAGAGGGTTCTGACACCAACGCAAAGCCGGGAAACAGGGAGCGCTACACCTGCAAGGAGACAATGTCTTTTGAGGTGGTAGTAAGACACTAGGCTTCAGTTCGTTTTTGGATTATGATACAGGTAGTAATAAGTTGAATCAGTTTCCCTTTTTTCACTTTGACTTCGAATTCGCGATGGATCTCAAGCTCATCTCATTGTTGGATCGTGGGCGAACCGATAGATCTTCAACAACGCCTGTAAAGGGAAATAATAAACATGTAGAGAATTTCTGAGAAGCAAAGGATAACAAGAAACTACAAATAGATGGGGTCATTTCAGTACATATACCCCCAATGTTGCTCAACATCCAAGATCCCTTGATCTATGGGACAATCCCCGCTAGTTAGGTGGAGTAATTTCTCAGCAGCCGCAGCTCGCGCAATTGGCGATAGATGTCACGTGAAATGTATTGAAGCTACTTAAATCTCATTCCATGTACCTTTTACTGTCCACAACAAAAGATAGTTCTTTTCTGGAAGAAGGGCATACTCGGATCAGAAATTAGAAACAAGGTTTCATGGTACTGAGGTGCTCTAGAACACAATCTGCAATTATGATGGTTGCGCAGTAGTGATATCGATTGATGCAGCCCAAGTCCCTCATCATTTCCACAACGAATGATTGAACAGAATGTCGAGGCTATGTGTGTTGCACAGCACGGGAGTGCCCGTTACACTAACTAAGAGCTTATCACGAAAACCAATCAGAATCATGAAGTCTCATGCATCTATCCAAAGGAAAATACCCAGGAAAGAAAGGCAGATCATCAAAAGACTACAAATTGGATGTTTATACTCCAGGATACGTAAGAGATATATTTAGTCCGCATTTCAACCACATGGATTGTTATGGTCCTACGTTTTCATTAGCAATAACATGTACATCCACGCGGCAAAACCCTAGCGTTATCTGCATACGTTCTGCATGGTAAAATCATAAAGGATTAACCCTGGATATATTTGATAGAATTATTGGTTACCTGCATATGTCTACATAAGCCAAATAACGCATGCTTACTGTTCAACTTACTATTTAAGAAGTAAGGCTTGATGTATGAAATGCTGCTATAGAATTGGAGCTTCATGTATAAAATGGCATTAAAGCATAAGTTTTCAATCACAAAATCATGAGCTACATGATAGCACCTTTCTATTTATGGATTCGAGTCATGCCTTAGCGGGATACTACATAAACACATCTTCTGAAAACACAGATTGTGTTCACTATTCCTCACACCATGGCGCAGATGGACATGAGAGAGTGATGAATTTATCATTTGCTCGATGGCTAGACTTGGATCCTTGGATGGGGACTTCATAAGAAGGAATCATGTCATCAACATAGGCAGTAGTCGTTCGTCTGAAGTGGAGCCCTGTGATGCAGAACGAAGCATCAATACGGAGAGAGAAATGTATAGGAGTAACGAATTTTCCCCGAACCTCCCTTTTCCAGTGTCAATTTTTTCGAATATATTCCTACCAAGTTAGTAATATCCTACGAGGCTGACCAATAAAACCCTTGATTGTTCAGGGGACTTGCATCTTACAAAAACAAAAGCATTCATTCTCTTGCTTTGCAACATTTAATGAATATCCATCTCAATTTAACCACTCAATTCTGTATTGTTCCGCTTCATATAACACAACAAAAGCCTTTTGTTGAATATCTACAAAATTCTGCTGGGAAGCTTATGTGAAAACTTCTACAAATCTAGCTACGAATGGTTGCCTTGCAAGTCACATTTCGAGTTTTAGTAAGAGGATGAGTGTTTTATATGTGGAATGGAAATCGGATCTTCAAATGAGTTTGCGAGATGTTGGCTCATTTCAAAACGTTCGTTCATTTCTCCGGTCTAACTTCTCCAAATCTCCTTTGCTTTTCACGCTCTTCCAAATTCCACACACTTACTGTTTATTAAACGCAGATATTGAGCATCACATCCTTGACTATTCACCTCGGAATTTTTTTCGCAAATGCCAACTAGAGAATCGAGTTAGCATTGTACGAGTCACTATGAGCATTCAATCCAGTCTGTCCAAGCATCTCTGGTTGTCTAACACATTCGTGAACACTTAATCATCATTTTGTAAGTAGACTTTACCAATTGGGGGGTTTCTGCACCGACAGCGACGAAACCAATATTAATATGAGTCTGACCATTGAGTTCCTTCAAGTTTTAACTGTCTTGAGTTCAGTTCATAGCCACATCATACATGTGATCTATCCACTCGATCGGCCCCGCACCATTTCTTGACTCTCTTTACTCCTCCTACCATCACTACAAAACTAAGTCCTCATTGTCGACCCCAATTGACTAACATGACCTCGATTGAACAGCTCACTCACAAGCGCTATCATCTTAGTTGGACCGATCTAGCCTCAAACACATAGCAACTAACATCCATCGAAATCCAGACGCGGCCCAAGCATATATAATCAAATTCGAGTACCATTCAGTGATGGGAGTAGTGTGAATTAGTATTATGTTGGCTGATATGGAAGCTCTTAATACTACATCAGCACATTTAAATTATAGTAATATATATTGCAATACATATTGTAAAAGTGGTAGGTCGAAATACGTGCGTCCCGATAGCACGCTGTGAAGGGGAATTGGAAGAGAAAGCTGATTAGATCATATCATAATACATCATTTATAAAGAAAACAGGGTTCATAATGGTTTTGAGGTTGAGGTTATATAAATTCAAATGTATATATATAGAAGGTTGATTCTTGTGGAAAGGAGAAGCAAAAGCTTTTCTTTTATATCTAACTACAAGAGGTCATGTAATTGATTAGTTAAAACCTTTATGTATGTGGCCTATAATTCCAACTTTCTCACAATATGTGCTGTAATATGTACCACTTTCCATATGCGAAAATACTGGAATTCATTAAATTTTATTGGGTTTTATTGAGTTACTTTCCGAAATAAGAAATATTGAAGATATTTCCATGAGATATAATTACCGAGTTTCAATAAAATGTGGATAATATTGCCTATTTTTGGAAAGGAGGTCGGTAAATTCAATGGAATCCGACGAATTCCAGTATTTCTGTATATTGCCAACGATGTACAATATTTTACATTATACGTAATATTGTCAGAGGTATGGAAATCGGTATTATGTATTTAAATGCGTATAGAATAATGCAATACGCCTTATTATAGTGGGGTGTAGGAATTATTACTACTTCCAACACTGATACGATTGAATACCCCTCTTGTTCAAACTTAAGATCCAAATAACTTTCAATATATAGCACTAAACATGAAATTACAGCTTTCCAGATAGAGGCTATGGAGGACACAACTGTATTCTTCGGAAATTGAAATCCAATGGTAACCACCGCAATATTTCAGTGGCCTCGTGCAAAAGGAAATCATCCGTCAATACTCAGTCTTGTTCAGATCAGCCATTGCGCCAACTTTGTGTATGGATAAGAGGTATGCAATCAATATCGATATCGATGTATCGTGCAAGATGAACTGAATCTATCGATGGAGAGGAAACTGTTTATGAGTTGAAGAATTTGCGGATATTTGGATTGATGGGAGTAACGACCAGATATGTAGCAATACAAAAATTGATGAACTAACAACCCAGAGATAATATACTAGCAAAAACATAACATGCTTGATAAGTCCATAAAATTAGAACTTCAAAATTACTCACCAAGAAACGATCCAGGAGTAAAATTTCCAAGCATAACCGTGATATATCATGATATACAGCAAGCTCATCAACGGCCACTAAATTTATCACAGCCCAAGTTCGAGCCGCAAGTACCTCTAGCTGATCAATTTTCGGCTAGCTTATCTACCGATCCCTTATTCTTCAGTATTATCTAGTATTATCTATTAGATTAACCATCGATTAATTCTTCAACACTATGCCACATAGCAAACCTTCCCTTCATCCATCTCTCAATTCCAATCCAAACATCTCAACCCCCGCTTTTTCCCACTACAAATAACCTACTAATCAGATAATCCGACATATCCGGCTCAGCCCTGCAGCTAGCGTGATGCTTGCTCTCCACAATAGAATATATACTTCCGTACGTATACATATTTGCGCAGCATGAAGTACGCCGACACTGTGATTTTAATAAATATATTTTGAATAATTAGAGTATTTTTACCTCAAACAAAAACGGCTTAATATATTCATTTTTATTATTTATATTGCATAGATGGTTCATCCAAACTAAACCGAAAAAGATACTGTCTGCGTCCGTAAGCTGTTTCGAAGTATTCTGTTCCCGCTTTTAGTGTGTGTTGATGTTAACAGGGAGTCTGCAAGGCATAAACTACGACGGTTGCAAGCTCCACCCGCTTGTAACCCACTAACTGAGCCCAGATTGATCCTCGCATGATCACTACCCCTCCATTTTACTCATGTACATGAGCTTGATGATCTTGATGATCTTGATGATCTTGATGAACTTGATGAACTCAATAACTCAATCTGTCAATTTCTCAAACAATAACACCTAGTACAGGTATACATCCTACATCCGCTGTAAGCCACACACAACCGCAGCAAACAATACACAGCCCGTCCATCCATTTCACCCCCATCATCCACCTCCACTCCACCATCCCATATCCTACATACAGAGTATACCAAACTACCAAATCCGAAAGAACAAGGATAACCATCGCATTACCCCGGCCAAGCAGCCAAGCAACCACATCATACCCGTATCACACGTAAAGGCTTACATCACCCATACAATCACCAGAGCAATCTAGCGGATAAACCATGGACGAATGATTATTGAAGTATAGTATAGTATGGGATAGTATAACCTTATCCCGGATATACATCCTGCAATTAAAACGCTATGCTGTACGCTGTACGCTGTACGCTATAATAGTGAGGCTGTGAATGAGAAGGATGTTATATAAGAGTGCTTGTGACCCGAGTAAATGTGATTTGTATTTTGTGGTTTGCTTACTTTGTTACTTATTTACTCAGTCGTAAGATTATTTTGGCTTTTGGGACATAAACCTTCTCATTCATTGATATTAATCTCATTATCGATCGGTCGTCCATCTATCAAGCAAACCTCACAAATCCTCAAATCAAAAACCAAATCTTGATAAATTCTATACAACACACTCTCTCTCCCTTACACACACACTCCATCTTCATCCCATCTCAAATACCAAATCTCATTAAAGCTCCCCAAAAACCAAAAGGCGAAAAATGGTCGACGCATCCACAAACCCCCGCACAACTCTTCACCCCGCCATGATCCGTCAACCAGCTCCTACATACAACACCAAAGAACGGGATTTCGAAATGAGAGAACCCGTAAGTTATTAATCTTTCCCATCCCATCCTCATCCTCCACTCCACCTTCCCCATCTCCCCTCCCAGAAAGTAAAAACCCACTAACCACACCCCTCCATATAGTCCCAACACCCGCACATGACCATGTCGCCCTCGCGCACCAATAGCCACGACTCATATTCTTCAGCTGGTACTAGTGCTAGTATCAGTAGTCATGCAGTAGGAAGTGTGCCTGTACATCAGAGGGGTGGAAAGGGGAATGGAGGATTATGTTGTGGAATTTGTGCGGGGTTGGCGTGTTTTGAGTGTTTGGAGTGTTGTTGTTAGGGTTTTGGGGTGGAGTGGAGAGGTCGGAAGGGTAAGAGGGGTGTGAGTAGGTATCGATTGGAGGGAGGGATATTTTTGGTTTTGGGAATGGCAAAGGGAATGGGAATGGAAGCTTAAGTTTAGGCTTTATGAATTTATGAATTAAATGGATATTTGATATTTGATATTGGATATTGGATATTGGATATTGGATATGTGTTGGTACCTAGTGTTTGCATGATATAGTGACGTACTTTATTCGGATGGAAGTATATATTGATGAATAAATATATATGTATATGCTGTGCATCTAGTACCTATCCGAATGTGATGTTAAAATTGTAACCTCTTGAACCTCTAGCGAGCGATACCGATATCCATTGAATATAGCTTCAACTCCATCTTCAACACTGCACCAAGATACAGATCTCGTAATAGTACAATCCTCGCATGTTTCCCGCTAATTGTGTAGCTGGTGTTCAAGATGAGCGCAAAGCAAAAAGAGTTGTATGGTAGTCATAGGATAGAGGAGAGCAAGAACGTGTATTTCCTGGATTAGACAGGATATGACACAACTAGGATTGCTCGCCTTCGACTTCGGATAAAACCTTGAAATCTTGCTTTGCAGGCCTTTGTCCAAATATTGTACTGCCGACTCTGACTTCTCCGCTGCCTTGTCGGATTGCCTGTTAAAAGCCATTAGTTCTATGTCTTAGACGACAACTCCTTAACTCCACAATCGGAGGCAAAAGGAAGGAAGCAAAGAATCGAAGAAACAAAAACAAAACTCACCTCTTCAAAATCCTCACTCATCCCCATACTCAATTCCAATCCCTCTAAGCCCAACTCCTTCTCCACTCTATCCCTCTCCTCACGCAAAACTATGAAATCCTCATTTTCCTCTCCTTCCTTCATCTGACTTCTAGCTATCGCACCAATAGTCATAAAACCCACCAGCTTCAGAAACGGACATTCTTCAATAACATATTTACACAATTCGGTTGTCTCCTTTCCGGGGGTAACGCCGGATTTGGAGGACTCGCCAGACGTGTTGAGTTGAATGTGAATGTTTAGGGGAGAAGGAGGTGAGCTTGAATCAGCAGGAACGGGAAGCAGTGATCGTCCAAGGGATAGTTGGGAGGCTTTCTTTTGGGAATCGACGGAGGAGACGAGGTAGAGGTTGGAGATTGTGGAGGCGAGAGGTTTGCATTTATCTGTCAGTTGCGGTTAGTTGGATATTTCTCAGAAACTTTTCAGAAGAAAACCCCTTCAAATAGCCTAGGCAGAGCTCTGAAGCACAATCGGGCTTAGAAAATACCCAAATTCTAATTTGCAATAGTATCATGTGACTCATTCCATATCTCAAAACTGCATTTTCTTCCCAAGCCAACAGATGCGTGTTCATGTAAAGAGAAACCAACATACTACTCTGTAATCCTCCAATAAAATGCCACTTAATACTCCTCGGCAAAATCTCCGCTTTTTCCATCAACTCCTGCGCATAATTCTCCCCGAAATGCTCTACATTTGCCTGTTCATGAAGGGCTAGGATATCGGTTGCTGGCTTGAGCTTAGATACTGCTACTAATCTTACCTGAACTTCATGTTAGCTTTCTTGTGGTATGTAGCATTCAGTGTGAATCGAATATAAATCATAGAAACATGGTTGAGAGGATGCAGAGAAAGCACGTGTGACATAGATTTTATATAGATGAGGGGCAATGAACACACATTTCTTGTTCCGGCGGCGTTGCTAACGCGTTCAGAGACGGATTGGAAGGCTGAGATGAGAGTTTTGGCGCGGACTGGGTCGCAGGTGAGTTTCATTTTGAGTCTGGGTTGGGTTGGGTTGACTGTTGGGTTTTTACTTTGTGTGGTGTATTAACTTATCCCCGGCTTTTCAATGACGACTCTATCGATAAGAAATCTAGATTTTGGATGAGCGGAGCGGAATTACTTGGCACCGTGCATGATAGCTACCTATTCCGGGACACGAAAAATTCTATTAAAAGATGTGTTTTGAATGGATACTCTTTTTTACTTCCATAAGCTTCGGCATACTCCGTAAACATCCATATCGACGCGGCCGAAAAATTTCAATGCAGGGTTCTTGCATGTTCGTGACTTCGAGATCGGATGAGTTGTGAGTTTATCTTATGTCATTGTCTATGCATTCCATGTCTTTGGATGGCTCGAGACGGGATGGTAAGGATGGTGAGGATGGGTGGATAGGGATTTATTCGGAAGCAGAAGATGCATGGAGTTTGATTTACTGGAGTTATTGCTATGCATGGTATAAAGAAAAGTCAGGATATAGTTTTGATCAATTGGTATACGAAGGTTGAAGTGTAGTGTACATAGCAGTGTACCCATCTTCAAAATGACAGAAACATAATTTGATAACCTCTCCTCCCATTTCTATCCTGTACTTTGGGGAAGGTTTCCACTGATGTACCGGCGTACCCGTATATGATTACACCGGATCTGGGAATATGTTTCATTTCTACGATCGAAGATGCTCGAGTATCATTTCCAAAGACCATGATAATAATACTAGGTCCTCTTTCGTCATTCATGCGATTAGTGGCTGAATTGGTCGATGGATCTCCCTCTTTCCCACATTTCCCTTCCAAAAATGCGTATCATCGACGCGAGTCCATTCGTGATTCATTGAAAAGGCTGTGTAACGTATTTGGAGATCCGCACTGTTCAGTAGTTTATTTCTTTAGGTTCGATCTCAAATAAACGGGGATTGAGGAACTTGGAAAATGATGGAAAATGGTGCTTCATAATGATTCAGAAGGTACGTGACGATGAAGCATACGAAAATACTCAGATCTCCAAGATCCTGTCGAGTCAATCGATTCTTTCTAATTACACATGCAAAAGTCCTTCTCTAGTTTCATGATCATCGGTACATATACGAACTTGCGATATACTTTATAATATTACAAAGGAACGCCCCTTAAATCATTGATGAAACCTGTAAGTCAGGCAGAACTTTACCCGGTGAGCTATTATCGCAATCTTTTTGGTTATTTTCAGGAGGATACGGAGGAGACGCAAACAAGATTCTAGAAGATAATAAGGTTATGATAGGTTGGATATTTTGTTGCATCTTATAAACCTTGAACCTTTTCTTGGTTGTTTCGTATTTTGGGTAACTGTGGTGGCCCACGAGGAAACCCTCATTGGTTATACCTTATGGTGGCCCTGGGTGGGCTTTTGGTACCTTGCATTCTTGACCCCCTTCAAATGTTCGGTGCCTCAATCAAAGTGTTAAACCCCAGCATTTGGGAGAATTTATAACGATGATACAAGTGTTTACTAACCTAAATAGACCTCTAGACCTGCTTTTTCCTTTTTTCCTTTTTTCCTTTTGTTCAAGGGACGACATTTGCATCTTCAGCTTCTCCACAAGGACTCATCCAGTTTTCTCTTTTTGGTCAATCTTTACCTTGTATGTGCCGCTTCTGCTCTTAGATCTTTCATCATCTCATATCGCATAGAGAAATGGAAAAGTAGAGAAATCAAATTTCTAGTATGAAGAAAACCTCTTTTTCATTCTTTTAATAGCTTTTCTTCCACCACTCGTTCCCTCTTCTTCTTTCAACCTTTGGACTTTGTTTCCTCAGTTTCATTGTTGAAATTGTTGGTTGATGCTATTTATTCGAAAGGATCTAGCAGCATATACACGACCTACCTAGTACTACTGATCAGTCTTCAGACTTGTTGATCAGACCCCTCACACGCTCGATGCGAGTTGTACGAATGACGACCATCCATTGATTGCTTAGATTCGTTTGGCAGTTTATCAATTGAATAAGTCTGCTGAGATTCTATATTGAGATTTACCGTTTACACAAATTGTACAAATCATATTTTATTTCTAATCTCGTTTTATATTTGAGACGAGAAACATTCCACAACAAATCTTATCCCCTCCGCCACTTATCCAATTTCAATTTCAGATCCCTTGAGAGATCTGCGAGTGTCAGAATACGCCTTTAAGACACGAAATATTACCTTTCGATTAAATGTCACTTCGATCCCCTCGATCACCAACAGATTTTTCGCGGCGTGGCTTTCAGCCCATAGACGGCAGCGATATGACCGAAAATATCCCTCTCACACAAGTGCGAACGGCGGCCTCCTCCACTGGAGCACGGAGAGCCGGAGAAGGAATATTAGGAGGGAGTTCGGAAAATGATTCAGGTAAAGATGATGAGAAGCAGGGAGGATTTAGAAAAGGAATCGCAGGTAGAAGAAAAGTCTACCCTGCACGAAGAGGAACAAACGGGGAAGAGATTGCAGTCAACGGCTTGGGTAGACTCTACAACACGATCGTCAATTTCTCGGTAGTTACTCGCTACATGTTTTACGTTGTGCCTATTGGTATTGTCCTCGCCGCGCCCATCGTCATTTTCGCTGTTCTATACCCAAAGGCCACTATTGGAAAATTAAAAGTATACTTGTTCTTTACTTGGATCGAAATTATATGGCTTAGTATTTGGGTTTCGAAGTTATGCTCCAAAGCCGTACCGTATATCTTCATGTTTTTGTGCGGAGTCGTCAGCACTGGTGTACGCAAATATGCATCCATATTAAGAGCTTTGGAGATTCCATTATCCTTAGTCGGGTGGGCCATTACGAACTTGGTTACCTTCACGGCCCTGACGTCTCCGCAGTTAAACAGAATTACAAATAAGGATGGCAAAAACTGGGACGGTACCATGGGTCCATGGGTCAACACGATGAAGCGTGTCCTGGTACCTACGCTGATCTCTACAATCTTACTCTTGATTGAAAAACTTATCGTTCAATTGATCAGTGTCAACTACCATCGACGATCCTTCGATGGACGAATTAAAGAATCAAAGCACCTCATCCACTTGCTCGGCCTCCTCTACGAAGCATCCCGAACTTTGTTTCCGATGTATTGCCCCGAATTTTCGGAAGAAGATTACATTATTAGTGACAGCATTGAAGCCGTGCTTCAAAAGACGAACAGAAGACTAATGGGTCATAGTCGAGCTGGTTCAAATGCGCCATTGAAAATCATCGGAGACATCGGTCGATTTGGTGACAAAGTTACCTCGGTCTTTGGAAACATTGCGTCTGAGATTACTGGAAAGCAAGTTTTCAACCCAAATTCCGCCCACTCCGTCGTTATCGAAGCACTTGAGAAGACCAAATCTTCCGAGGCATTGGCCAAACGTTTATGGATGTCTTTTGTCATTGAAGGCAAGGATTCTCTATACGTAGAAGATCTCGAGGAGGTCCTTGGTACTGGTCGTAAGATGGAAGCTGAAGAGATCTTCAAGGCTTTAGATAATGATGGAAATGGCGATATTTCTCTCGATGAGATGATTATGAAGGTAGTGGATATTGGTCGTGACCGGAAATCGATCGCAAACAGTATGAGAGATGTTGGTCAGGCCATTGGTGTACTTGATCAGGTTTTACTCATCATTGTCCTTATCATTGTTATTTTTGCCTATAGTAAGTTCTAAATTTTGGCAGCAAAATACAGTCTCTAACCATTTGATTAGTTGCTTTCCAAGACACTGGTTTCCTTGCTACGTTGACAACCGCCGGCACAACTCTATTGTCTCTATCCTTCGTTTTCGCTGCCACTACTCAAGAGTTTCTCGGTTCTTGCATTTTCCTTTTCGTCAAGCATCCATATGATGTCGGTGATCGCGTTGATATCAGTTCTGAATATCTTGTTGTGGAACAGATATCTCTACTCTTCACCATTTTCAAACGTATTGACAACATGAAGATGGTACAGGTACCTAATATTGTACTCAACAACCTTTGGATCGAGAACATTACCCGTAGCAAGGCAATGAAAGAACAGCTCGACATGTTCATCTCTTTTGATACCACCCTCGAAGATGTTGAACTTCTTCGCACGGAGATGGAGGCTTTTGTCCGTCATCCAGACAACTCTCGCGACTTTCAATCCGATGTTGTATTGGAAGCTGTGGGTATTGGCAACATGGATAAGCTCCAGCTAAAGGTTGAAATCAGACACAAGTCTAACTGGCATAACGAGACGGTTCGCGCTGCTCGTCGCTCCAAATTCATGTGCGCTCTTGTTTTGGCCCTGCGCAAAATTCCAATCCACGCTCCTGGAGGTGGTGGAGATGCTCTCGGTGGACCAGCCAACCCTAATTACTCTGTTTCTGTGACAAACGAATGGGCTGCCGAAGCTCGGGAGAAATCATCAGCCACCAAAGACTCAAAACGCCTCATACCCACGACACCTCTCAGAAATACCAATCCAGATCTTGGTCCAATAGACACTGAGGAAGAGGCAGCGGAACATTTGAATGCAAGACGTCCGGGATTAGACTTTGCGCATAGTAACAGTTACAATGATAGCGATGATGTGGCGACCTTGGGAGAAGACAATTTCGATCAATACGGCAATTCAAGGACATCTCTTTTAAAGAGAGCAAGTACCAGAGGTAGACGAAAGCCTGGAGAGCATCTACCACCAAATGCATTTCAATCCCCCCCTGGTTTCAGTGTTACAATCGACGGACCTTCAGGATCGGGGACTTATGGAAACTCATTCATGAATGACGGTTCTTCGGGTTCTACTGAATACAATTCATCACATGGCAGTGGAAGTGGTTATCAAAAGTATACACCATTCCCTGTAAATCCTTCGGGTCAGCTCGGACGCAATGCTTCCGTTGCTTCGAGTAGAAGTCAAAACTTGGGCGTTGATGGAGCTGGTATGCCTTTAACATCAGTATCTCCATCATATCCCGTAGGACAACAATCCACGGGTATTATTTCAAATTCGGCGGCCGGCACATCACAAGCTGCTCCTGGTCGGACTTTAGTGGGAGGCGTCCCAACAAATCGAACTAGAAGCGGGACGACAAGTGGTAGTCAGCCAGTTATCGACGAGGAAGAAAAATAAAGGTATAAAGGAAAGGAAAGGAACACAACATGGGCTGGGTAGGACTGGGTCTCTTTAATTTCAGGGTCAGGAGTCAAGCATGCTATACCCGGATATTCTTGCCGAAAATTGATGGGTGGCTGGCAAAATCTTAACGAATATGAACGATGTTTTCTGTTAGATAGGTGTTAGCTGTATCAGCTTCTGCGCATGTTAGATTGACTGGATAAAGTCAAAGTAGAATCATAAATTGGGAGGATAAATCTATGAATGGACAGAGAATATCAAGCAATCTTTAAGCAATTTCAATCATTTATTCGGCATTTAATGGTCAAAGAGGTTTTTATAATCAACTCCAAATGCTCAATTCCAAAAATGAAGGAATATTTAATCATCCTAAGTTGTTACCCATCGAGACACAGCATATGACTAGCAAGGTGGAAATAATTTCAACAATGTCGTTTCTATTACTGACTCTGAATCTTACTCGAGTACATTAATAACGCATAGTGATTGATGTTCTTGAAGAGGTTGAGATAGAATTCAAAGAGGTCACGTGATCCAACATGGGATTGATTTTAAGGTTGGTGCGCTATCTCCAGAGCTGAGCTTTCAGATCAACATTTCATTGTTCCCAAGCCATCAAGATATCGATTGAATCAATTGTCTCTTGAAACAAAAAGTTTATCATAATTCAGAGGTCACGCTTCATCAATAACACTAGATGCCACGCGTTTATAACAAATAGTGTTCTGAAGTGGGCATTCGTTCATTTTGGTTGACGCGTCTTCGAATTGTTTTGTCATCGGATTCACGTATATCTTTTGGTTGGAACACCAGTCACGTGGAACATTGCGGAAAGCTCTGCTCTGGGGACTGATAGCTTTCAAAGCCTGGTAGGAAAGCTGGTGAGATAAGTAAAATCGGCATCATGGACCATAAAGCCACGATGGGAAGAAGTAATGGGATTGGAGAAATGAATTTTGGCAATACACCACCAGGAGCTTCAAGTTCCGCGGGAATGGCTGTTGGCGGCGGAATGGGAGATCCCCCTGGAATATTAAGAGATTCGGAGCCGAGAAGATTGAATACAGATATTCCGAAATATTTACCTCATGAGAAGGTTTTTCCAATTCAGATCGGGACGGAGCTTTTTCGGTTGAGTGGTGCTAGTTTGAGCTCTGATGGTATGTGTTTTTCTTTTCTCATGCATCGCGAGAAAGACGACGGACAATGCAGATTAGATCACAAGCTAAGAAACCTAGAGCACCCTCATACTTTTCCCAATATTTTCAATGTCAAATGAGGAGAGCGGAAGAAAATGGAGAAGACCCAAATACAGCTATTAGGACCCTGTATATTGATCGTGATCCGATTACATTCAAGGATATATCACTTCATTTGCAAGGATATCATGTTGCGCCGAGGGATTCAAGTCATTTTGTTAAGTTATTTGCTGATGCTCAATTCTATTCATGTTGGTCTCCCCCGTCGTCCACGTAATGATTGATGTTAACACGCGCCAGTACCACGATTAGTGTCTCAGCTATATGAAGCAAATATATTTATAACAGTCGGAAATGAAGAATTTCAAATCCCCCGCGAACTCTTTTCTGATCCGGGTAATAGTCCCAACTATTTCTCCCTGGGCTTCGCTGTTTTCTTCAGCTCTCCTTCGGAAGTGTTCCCTGGCCTAAATAGGGAGGGGCTTCTCAGACCCCCATCCATCCTACCGCCATCAGTACCCAATCGCTCCGCAAAAACGTTTTTCGAAATCCTTCATCTTCTCCGTGGTTACCCGCTCGAAATTCGCAGTCCAGAACATCGTGCCGAACTCTTACGAGATTGTCGATATTTCCATCTTAAAGGTCTTGAACAAACACTAATCCCTCATTCAATATCCTATAATCTACTGCGCAATAAATCAGAAATTACAATCCGACTACCAGATATCAGACAATCAGGTCTCTCTATTTTAACTGATAATTCATTATCTACTGCCCCTTCTACTGAAACCCTTACTCCTCCAAATCCGCCCCGACCATCGATAGGCTACGTGCATTACCAACGTCCCTTTGCAGATTCTGCACCCCACGAGCTTATTCTCGAAATAGGTGATTCGGCCACCTTACTCCATTGGAATACTATGCGCTTAGAATTCTTTGGAGAAACGAACACCCGGATAGGTAGATTATTGGAGATTGTTGCTATGAAATTGAATCTACCTGTTAAACAACCATTAGGTCTATTGATGAAGAATAGCGGTGCAAATAGTGGGCCGGCTAGCCCGGGGAAGAGTGGATTGAGTGAGGAGATGGTTAGGGTGGTTGTCGGGGATGACTGTGGGGTGGTGTGTGATGGGAAAGTGGTCGATATTGGAGGGACTGTGGATGATTCTAGTACTGATAATTTAGGAAGTGGTAAGAGGAGAAAAATAGGAGATGGGATGGCAATCCCTATGAATACGAATACAGGCTTGGGAGCACTGAAAGATGAAACATGGATTATTAAATCAGGACAGTGGAGGTTGAGGGTCCAGAGACATGCGGGTGGAGGGCAGGGAATGGGAATGGGAATGTCGGGAAATCAATTGGCGAATCCGAAGGTGGAGTGGGAATGTGTATTGATGGCTGTGAGATTGGATGCTGTTAGTGGAGAGAGGGGAAGGAATTTGCAGAGGGGGTTTTTGGGGACGTGAGGACGTGAAGACTCAGGAGAGGGGTCTTGTGTGGTATCGTGGGTAAATGGGAGTAGTTGAGGCGTGGGTAAATGGGAGTAGTTGAGGCGTGGATTTAGAAGGGGTAATATGAAGTTTGGTTAGGGTATAAAGAGGGCGAACAAGAAAAAATGACGAGATTATTGACCTTTTTTTGCGATGGACGAGCTGTATCGGACTTCATTCAAAGCCGCTCTACCCTAAGAAAAGATAACAATATCAGAAAAAGAAAAAGATATACTTTAGATTTAACAACAAACAAGAACTCATTAAGCTTCTTCTCAAGGAAGACAATGACCAACTTTACAATATCAATAGTTCAATTTGATTAACTTATTAAAGCTCAAAGTTAAAAGAATAATATAATTTAATAAAGTATATTATTGAAATAAAAAAATTATTAATTAAAAAAATATATCTTTTTTAAAGTGATTAAAAAATTAAATTAATATTGAATAAAATAAAATATTTAATATCAAATATAAATTAATAAATATTTTAAATGAATATAAATTAATAAATATGAACTAATAAATATAATATAAAATCATTATAAAATAAATAATATATATAAATAATAGTATAAATAAAATAAAATAATTTATTTTTGATTTTATAAATCAAGAATAATATTTATATATATATAAATTTTATTTAAATTATATTTTATTTTATTAATAAATTAAAATCAAGCCATGAATATAAATCAGTGAATATAAAAAACTTTTATTTCTTTTTAGATTTATTTTTTAAACCTTTGATGTATTTATTATCGGATCACTCGCCGGTAGAAAATTCATTGATTGAAGACTTTTATTTTACCGATCAAATATAGTTACAACTTGCTATACAGAAAATGTCGAACAGAACCTGTATAATAGTTGTCAGTATAAAGGTTTGGCAAATGTCAAATACCTGGGCCTCTCAATATTATACAGCCTATGCTGATATGAAGTAAGATGAATTATTTCCCCGGCACCGACGAGCTGTGTTAAAGCTTGTACGTAGGTAGGAGGTATTCTAACCACCTATTTCTATAAGCTCTTCCATTCCAGGTGTGAAGTTGCTGGATGAGGCGGTTTCAGTCGATCTTCGATGATCGAGTAGCTATCAACCTAAACTAACTCAGTCAGTCACTGAGAAAGTCTCGTCCAAAATTTTCATAAACTACCAAACGATCTCTACACCACTCCTAATAATTTTAATGATGTGCCCGAGAAATATTTCAAAGCCAGCACTCGTTGATAAAGTTAGAGTACATTTGCTTCGTTCTATTTGGAAATGCCAGCGCATGATTACCAAAGTAGAGTGGCTGATGATATAGCAAAGCAGTCATAAATTGTACCAGACATGAAGTGTTTTTAATTTCTTTCCATATGAATCATGTCGATTTGCTTCAACAGTTCTCATATCGTAGAAAATATTACATTATTTATAGATAGCTTCAGCCTTTGTTTCAAAGTATGTAATGTGTCATTTTTCGCCATCTATAATGATTCAACGGTTCTCGATGGGAAAACAGTGAATCGTGCAAGTTCAAGATCTATCTCTATCTCTATCTCTATAAGTTTAAGTCACACAATCTGAAAGGATGTGAATCAACATTTCCATCCCCAATAAGCTGTTTCGAATATGGTTAAAAAAAAAAACTAAACCGATAGAAAAGCGATGCCAAAAAAGGATAACGATGAATGAGGTTGTAGGAAAGAGGAAGGAAGAGTAGACTATAGCTTTTATACCTAGCTAAAAAGGGTAGTATACAGCTAATGGCCTAGCTCTTTGTAGTCCATTGATGTCCTTTCCCTGAAACCCTTATAAATATTTTTATCACATCAGGTATAAATAGATTTTTTAAATGAGTTGAATGAATATAAATGAGATTCATTTCTTATTGATATTTTTTTGAAAGGGAGTAGACGTATAATTTAATTTATATATAATATTTAATGTGTTATTATAAGTTAAATAAGTCAAGTAAGTAGATACATATTATATAATTTAAATTTTGTCTACGAGTAGGTATTATTAGAATATCATTATAGGGATCACCGTGGATATTTGGATTTGTATCTCACAATATGGATATGATAACCAGTAATATTAATTTGTAAAGAGTGACATTTGAATATTGGATAGACAGACATTGAACTAAATATCAAAATCTATGTTTCAAAAATAGCTAGCAATGTATTTTCTCCATTCCTCGGCCTCATACTCCTCTCGTTTCCACTCTCTTATTTCGCTAACCTCTCACACAGTATCATCATGTACCCAATGCTTTGGAGCTTCTACATTCTTAGCACAAGTGACATACATGATATCCATACCATGTCCACCACCACCAGCCCGCTCAACTGCATACTTATATCTCTCTTCGCTGGTAGCGGAGGCCCATCTGTCGGACCATTTTTGACCTGGTTCCTGGACGAACCACTGTCCCGCAGGGGCTGGGGGACTGATAGAGTCAGGTTGAGTGGAAGGGATCTTGGTGTCGGCGTAAGCAGTGGAGGGGAGTTTGTCATTGGTGGAAGTAGCGGACGAAGACGTGTTGTCGGTGAAGATAGTGGAGGAGGATTTGTTGTCGCGATGAGACATGATGAAAGTAAGTGATGGTTATGAGGCTTGTTGCTATATGGTATTATTTTGTTGTTTGTGAATACAAGCTGTCAGTCAGGGAGTAGAAAATATGAGGCAAGCGGAGGTCTAAGAGTGATGAAGGTGAAGATATTTGATGATGTTTGTGAGGTGTGGTTGAAATTGAGGATCGGGGAAGGGCAATGTTATGAATTAGTGGTCGGTATTCGAAGAATGATGGAGGTGAATTTGTTGATAATGTTCGTGATGTACGGTTGAAGTTAAAGATGAGGATATTGATAATGTTGTGAGGTATGGCTGAAGTCGAAGACGATGATATCGGAAATGTTTGTAAGTTATGGTTGATGTTGACGGAGCGGGTAAAAGTACTAGTGTAAGGAAATGTTAGGTATCCGAGTCGTGATGAGACGAAGATATTGATAGCGTTTGTGAGGTATGGTTGGAGTCGAAGGGCTGGGTAAAAGTAATGGTAGGTATTCTCAGTATGAAAGTACTGCTTGCCTGAGGATGTTGTAAAGTGTATGAGAAGAAGTTATTGTAAGAAGAAAACTGAGCCCTTTTATGCACTACATTGTGCTGAGGAATGACTCCACTGACAATTTTTGATCAAGTCTGAATCATCTTCGTCATCGATTGGAATTTATCGTGATTATTCAAGTGAAGCTGTGACTCGCAGACTGAAAGGTTGATAGTAAAAATCGAAATAGCCACTTGGAGTTGAACTTTGCGATTCATCCCCCTTGACGTTGTTTGAGAAGACTCACACACAACCGATGTGACGCATAAGTCATGAAAATTGTCTATGGATAATCAAACATTTTCCACGCTACGTCGAAGCAATGCGACATGATTCCCATGAAAAGGAATATGAAAATGCCATAGTTGTTGTAGTAGTATATGACTTCTTTTCTGTATGCACTTGCATCATGAAGTGGAATGAATATCATCAAAAGACATCGCATGCTCGGGACATGGTCGTTTAATAATAAGGTTGAAGCTTTGCAAACAGTTAATGAAAGGCGAGAATGAATGATTTGAACATATGGTAAATGGGTTGAATTGATTTGCTGAACTTCAGCAATCAATAGTTGATCTTCCCGAGGGACGTAGTTCGTGGAACAAGAAGTACACAAAAGTCTTTTCACAGGAACCTTAATTCGACAACCTCAGTACAGTTCAAGCACACTTGAGCCACAGAATGCTTAATCAGCATCGCCTGGCATCGCCATTCAAGCCCAGTCGGCATGATATTTCTCCGGCAATGTCAAACCTAATGCCAAGACCGTGAATTTGCCCCAAATTCTTGTCAAATTCTTGTCAAATTCTTGTTACATTCATTTATCCATTTCTCGTTAGCATTGAAGACAACCTTGGAATCCATATTAGATCATGGCCTCGGTTCCGTCGTTGCATGAAAAAGTCTTCGGCTATTCTGTGCAGAGTTTATCCACGATTCAGTTTCCCCGCTTAGCAACTTGCCCCATATCTCCAATGGCCTTGTTACCCCCATCTGAAGACTTTTATCCGCGTACATGCATGAATAGGCAGCATCATCGTTCTATATGTGCTCGCTATGCCTGCCTTACCTCGATTTAGCTTCCAAATGAAGATCCTTGCCACCTACTGGCGACCTTAAAACCAGTCTTAAATCAACATTTATCCAATGGTACATTAGGTGCCAACGTTCCGCAAGCACTACCGGCCTTGGTGTGCAGAAGCTGTACGCAAGTCTGAAGATGATCAATTTGACTAGAATCGAATAGCCTCGGTTTAACCCCGCAAAAGGAAGGTAATTCAGGTACACGTCTCTGTGTTTACTCGTTCTCTTAAAATTTGGCTTTGCCCACCTCTTCCTGCCTACCTTCTTTCTCTTATCCCTCTCCTTTTGTGCTGCCCTCTTTCACCGTCCACTTTTCAATCTTCAGGTATGAAGGTTTCAGCAGTCTTGATTTCTGCCATAGCAGCATCTGCCAAGGCTTCTACCCTTCTGCAATGTCGTCAATCGAATTGGACCATTGGTCAAACAGTTCAGACGACCAGTGGACCAGTCAACGGACATGCTGCATTGAATGAGTCCCAAGTATCCGAGTATTTGGGAATTCCATTCGCTAAACCACCCCTTGGAGAATTAAGATTCGCCGCACCTGTTGCATATAATGGTACTGCGACTGTCAATGGTACCAATTTTGTAAGTCAAACCCTGGAGGAATTTACTTTTCAACGAATTGCTGACACCATTGATAGGGTTATAGCTGTCCTGCTCAAGTTACCACGTATAATGTTACACTAGTCGAACGGTCGAATGTTTCTTTGGCAATAGCATTACCACTTCTACAAACAGTTGGAACTCCTTCGACGGCACAAAGCGAAGATTGCTTGACATTAAATGTGTGGACGAAGCCACAGACTGGCGACGCCAAGAAAGCCGTATTAGTATGGATCTATGGAGGCGGTTTCAATAGCGGGTCTAGTTCCACCCCATCGATGAATGGAAAGCATATTGTAGAACAAGAGGATGTGATTGTGGTGTCTGTCAAGTAGGTTTTAAATTGCTCAAACTTCTAAAGCTTTGCTGACCAAGAACTAGCTATCGAGTTAATATTTTTGGCTTTCCAGGAGATCCAGATAGTCCCGCGAATCTCGGACTTCTAGATCAAAGATTGGCTGTCGAGTGGGTTCGCGATAATATTGAAAACTTCGGTGGTGATACATCCCGCATCATTATATTCGGACAATCAGCTGGCTCGGCATCCGTCGACTTGTACAACTATGCTTGGGTAAAAGACCCTATTGTTGCTGGTTTCATTCCAGAATCTGGTACAGCTTTGAGTTGGGGCTTGCCAAATCAGGCAGAAAATGTTGCTCTAGCTTGGTATAACGTCACTGAAGCAGTTGGTTGTGGCGGTGCATCCTCCGGCAATGTTACTGCTTGCATGCGCACAAAAAATACAACGGAAATTATAAATGGCATATCTGCCACCTCTGGATCTGGCGGTAGTTTAGGAAGCTTCGGCCCCACTGTCGATGAGATTGTGGTGTTTTCCAACTATACTGAACGCTCATTAGCCGGAAATTTCACCAAAAAGCCACTGCTCATTGGAAATAATGACAATGAAGCTGGTTTGTACATCGCCACAAGCTCCTTGCAAGGGTTAAGCTATCCCGATTCCTACTGGCAAACCTTCAATCTCATCGATTTTACTTGCCCAACTGCTTATCGCGCTAATTATTCAATCCAAGCCGATGTTACCACATGGCGTTATCGTTATTTCGGTTCCTTCCCTGACACAATGATCGTTCCAAATGCAGGTGCATGGCATGCCGCAGAAATTACTCTCCTTTTCGATACAAATATCGCCAACCCTCCCGAGACAACCGAGCAAATAGCCATCGGAAAATACATGCGTGGAGCCTGGGCTGCATTTGCCAAGGATCCCGAAAATGGCTTGACGAATTATGGATGGCCAAAATATGAACCTGAAAAGGATACACTCATTAGATTGGCATACAATAATCAGACGGGTATAAATGTTGCCAATCCGTCGTTATACGATGCAGACTGTCCCGTAACAGCCGCTGCTACTACTAGTTCAAATGGTTCAACGTCTACTTCGACGGGGACCGCGACAAGTAGTTCAGCAGCCGCAACAGTATCTTCTTCCGGGGCAGGAAGCTTGGAACTTGGTTGTATGGGATTGATGAGTGGGATGGTAATTGGAATAGCTTTCTTATTTTAATGTTTTATTTTAAGTGAAAGGTGTATATACTATATAGTAGATAATCTTCAGGCTGAAAATAATTAATTTACTCTAAGAATACAAGTCATGCTTTTATTGTAACCTTAATATGGCAAATCTATATTCAAGATCATTCCTCTTCATCTACATATCAGTAAAAGCAAATGTACCATAATGTAAGATTATATCAATTACCTACCTTTGAATTTCTAATCCCGCAAACATCAGAATGTAAGTCTTACTCCTGAGGATATTCAAGTAATTATTGAATAAATAGAAATAGAAATAGAAATAGAAATTGAAATTGATTTGAAAGATTTCCGTTCATTAGATAGGATGAGTTTATGAATATTTATAGAGATACTGTATATAGATTGGATATTATAGATAGATCGAGCTGGTGAGTGATGGACGAGATGAGATGAGGAGGATATGTTAAGATCTTGGAAGTTTGTAAAGAAAGATGGTATTGGGATTTTTGGGGGTTCTGTGTTGGATGGATGGGGATATGGTAGGGTGGAGAGGGGTTAGAGGGATTAGAGGGATTAGAGGGATTAGAGGGATTAGAGGGATTAGAGGGATTAGAGGGGGTTTGATTGTGTCAAAGGAATGTATGTGTATAGAATTTTTGAGATGTTGTGTGATTTATATAGCGCAGGAATGATAGCATGCATATATGAAGGATATTTAAAGAAAGGTTACGGGGAGTGAGTGTTATGAAATAGGTAGAGAGGGAAGAAAGGGTGGGTAGGCAGGTGGATAATTTATAATGAGTTCTTTTCGATTTTCTTTTCTTCACTTGACTAGTAAAAGTCAAGAGGGTTGTTGAAAAGCTGTGGTTCTTCACTATCTAGTTCACTGGTGGTTGATCATATCAAGCACCATTTTGGCTTTATAGATCATCTAGAATTGGTATACAACGGTGGAAATCCGGTAACTGTGATAATCATATAATGAGGAAATCAAAAACAAAATACTGGATAATCAGAATCGTATACCTTGTATATTCGAAGCTCTACTCATTCTATCTATCTATGCAGACAGACAAAAAATAACATACCCATATACTCATGTCGCAAAAGATCACACTCACGATCTTCCAATTTCCCAATCTCCAAAATCCCAATCTCTCACTCCCCATCATCACTAATCACAATTCCCTCCCCTCTAACCCACCCATCCCTTCTCTCAAGCTGTCTCCTCACACTTCCCAACAAAATCCTCCCAAAAACAGGCGGTACCGCATTCCCCACCTGTTTCCTAATTTCCTGTCCATAAAAAACATGTTTTGAAGGAAACCCCTGCAGAGCAGCTAATTCTCTATTGGTCATTCCGCGACTACCATCTGGTAAGCCGAGTCCGATACCGCCGCTAGTTAGTATGCAACCGCAGATGAGGGAACCGTCCCAGGGTACGTAGTTTGCACGGTTTAGTTGCGGACTGTGTGGTTCGTGGTTGGGGACGTTGGGGAGAATGGTGGAGAGTACTTGGTTGGGGGTTTTGTAGGGTTTTTTGGTGGCGCTGCGGAGGTGTGGGGGATGGTAGGTGTATTTGGGCATGTGAGGGAGGGCTTCTCCTGGACTGTTGGGTGTTAGGTTATGATATGGAAGAGGGTTAGGGAAGAAGGGAGTGAATGAAGGGATAGGAAAACGACATACCAAGACGCAAGGATGATTAATCTAGTTCTCCTACTTGGCAACCCATATCCCTGAAACTTCACCACTTGCCACGAAACATCAAATTCCAAATCGGTAAAACAGGTAATTAACCCATTAAAAGCGTCTTTATTTTGTGGATGTAAGATCCCGAAAGTCTGTTCCAAAGTGACAATTCTTGGTCGAGCCTTTTCAATCGCACATCTGACGCCAAAAAGACTCGCATAATTCATTTCATCATTGCGCCCTGGAACCGTATGGGCAGGCGAAAAAACTTGACAGGGAGGAGATAGGTGGAGGATGTCGACCCAGAGATCGTTGCGAGGATCTGGGAGAGCTGCGAATTCATTGACTGGGAGAAGATGAAATTTGGCGAGAGGGAAGTTGTTCTCCCATGTAAGGCCTGCGTGAGGGTTGAAATCAAAGCCCCATTTAACTTTAAGACCGGCAGCTGCAGCACCCACTGTCATACCTCCTGCTCCACAATCTAAAGTGGCTGTTAGATGATTACATGTATAAGAGAAAAGGTGAACCTACATCCATCGCCGTACGTGTATTTAGAGCTAGAGCTGGATGGATTATCCACATTGTTGAGATTTCCCGAGCCACCTAGAACAGTTTCGCTTCTCCACTGCTTCTTCTTAATGTCCGGATCAATAAACTCTCCCTCCGTACACTCTTCCTTTTTTAGGGATCTCAAAATCGCTGAGTGTCTAGGTCGATCCACGAGTGGACCTTTCCGCAGTCTTTCCTCCGCGTCTGTATACCTGGCCACAAAAGCTCTCCTAGCCACCAATAACATCTCATCCTCCACATATTGCAGTATTTCTTTCTCCCCCTTGTTTCGAATTTCTGAGGGAATGTCCTCTTTGTTGTATCTACATTCAGGGAACGATTTATTAGTACAAATTAGACGTCGTATCTTTACAACCTCGTCAACTCGGATTGTGTGCGCAGACTGTTCCAAAGCATCACGTCTATCATTCCCATCTATTTCATGGATAAATGCCAATTCGTTCCTCTTCTTTCCTGCAATTCCACCGAAAATAGAGTCACGAGTACGCACGAGCTTCCATCCTCTAATGGAAACTTCATCATTTGTAACATTCCTGACAATTGATTTGATTTTCAGAAACGTTCCATTGCTGAGCTCGACTGTTTTCCCTGGTCTGAGAAGACTGGATTTCCACGGTAAGGACTCATCCTCGACATTTGGAAGTACGATCTTAGGGTTACGTTCAGCAAGAGAAGCACGTTGAAAGTTAGCTTGGGCTAGGATTTGTGGTTCAATTCCAAAAATCTCTTTCTCCAGCTCAGCTTCTATCTCATAGTCTTCTAGATCGATGACTTTGCTCCCAGGAGGTACTTGAAATTTTGTAGGAAAGTCTTCTTCGTCGAGGTTGATGACTCGCTTTAGTGTCATAGGGAGAGGAACATGGCGGATTGTATTAGGGCGGGCATTGGGCTGAACTGGAAGAGGAGGAGAATCGAACCGAGGTTTTAATTGGTGGGTACGCAAGCTGTGTAACGGAATTTTCTGGTTGAGGGAGGCAGCTTGCGGAACAGTCCGGATTTGAAGAGGTCTAGAATTAGTATAGGTATTATGAAAAGCTGCGACCGGAGCTCCGATGTGGCGCTTGGCTGTGTTAAAGATCTCCCGAGTTGACCAAGATAACTCAACGTCCTCTCGCAGCCGTTTCTTGGTGGGCGTGGGAATTGTGATAGGCAACTCAGAGAAAGATGCAGAATTTGACCTCGCATTGAGGGTGATGGAATCTTCAACTACAGGATTTGACGCTATTACTGGGTCTGGACCGTCTTCTCTCAGGGTACAAGAAGATGCTTCTGATAAAGCTGGTGAAGATGGTCTCATTTTAGATGCATAGCTAGAAGAGACTTTCCATCATAACGTTAGCTAAAAGTTTCCATGATTGACAGACAATATTTTACAATCAGTTTATAAACGATCCGGTTGAAGGTGGCAGGCTGATAACATTATAATAAAAAGAATACTCTTACCACTGCCAATTCCAAACTCCACATCTACAGCATCATCAATGAGGATTGCCTTGTCAGGAGAGCCCATTGTATGTCCTTGATAAATAAGACAAATAATCAGGTAACTAAAGAGTACTAAAGTAGTTGATCATAGACTTTGAAGAATAAGATGGAGATTCAAGAAATTTATGGCTGTTTCAGAAAACTTTTTCTAATTGGTAGGTTCTCAAAGCGGAGTGAATGATCCATGTTGAATTACTTTCTACTGAAAAGACATCAAAGATTTCTTGATAACTTTAGAGATACAATTCTCCATGCAATGATATCGAATCGAAAGTCAAATACTGGACAAACCAATAGCCATCATAACATTCTGAGGAGTCTAGCATATAAGGCTGGCTGGGCTGCCACTTGAAATCCCACAGCTTTATGAATATATAAAAAGCTCTCTGGAGTCGAACAAAATAATGTATTAAACTCACCATGAGTACCAGTCCCCATCCCGATAGTAGAATGATTGATTTTATCTTTCCTACCGATTTGCTCCAGACCTTGACCAAATTTTGCCTTACTGATATCGAAGCCCGTCACACGAAAGTTCCTCAAAATCTCCCAAAATCCTTCCAAAAGCCTCGCAGTATGGACGGGCTGAAAGGCAAACTAGTTGTGGCTTTGGCCAGACGAAAGAAGATAAATGTCTTCTTCGCATGACTCCAAGTCTACTCAAAACCAGTTCCTTTCCTCTAAAGCGCCCGAGCCTTTCGAAGAGAATCAGTACACCGTCACCTCTGAGATCAAATTTCCAAGATTTTAAACCAAAGGCTTGGTTTAAGATTGAAGCCTGATTGTCCTGACGCCCTAGCCGCCTCTAACATTTTTCTTTTTCTGAAAAACGAAAACATCATTCGCCACTAATTTTCCACCAAGCTGGTGGGGTGGGTCTTGTGCGATGTGAGTTCGAATATGATAAAATTTATCGAATTTTGAAAAGACCCTTGACCTAATGGTAGATATTTCTTACCTTTCAGAACTATCACGGTACCTGAAGATCAGCCATCCTCGGCCCAATGCGAAGTCAGTCACAACCATTATCTAGAAATAGCCGAATTTTCAGGAGAACGACAATCTTTTGGGTGGAAGAAGACGTAGATTCTCAATACTTCATACCAAGTCATTCTAAGGAGTGTCGAAGTATGTGCAGCCCGTGGCTTTCGGCTTGCATAGATTCAGGAACACAAAATCATGGAACGAAGAGCTGCAATGTGTCTGCCGCGGGCGACGGTATGGGTCCTGGAGTATCACGTGTGATTGTGTGCCAAAATAGGAAGCTGCTGCATGCAGCACAAAACACAAAGTTGATCTTGCGCACGAGAAGCTAGACCGTTTGTGAGCTCCCAAAATTGAAAAGTTCCGCACTCGGTGTCCCAAATCTGCAAGAAGTTCCTCGGTCTCGTCTATACTCCACACCTGGAGGCTCAGCCATTTACATCTTGAATGTGGATGATAATGTAGACGTAGGTAGTCTGTAGTCTGTACTTAGTCTGTAGCTATTGTTTCCATCTGAGCCACCTAACGAGAGTGGCTTGGCAAGATTAAGGGGCTGCCGTGCATCCGTTATCTGGCTGACTTAATCCTAAATACGGCGCTCCATTTCGAAATCTACGACATAGCCTACTCGCTGGGAATTTTGAGGGCCATGAATCTTAAAATAGAGCTGGCATCGTGACATTTTGACGTGGCTGTTGTGAGGGAGCAAAGATACAAAGCATTCTCCATTCCCTCCAAGTTTCATTCTCTATTTCCACTCATCAATCCGCTCTCACGAATCATCCAATTACCGCCACATTCATACACTCGCCAATATCAATCTTCTTCGCAATGAAGGAAAAGATCAGCCGTACCTGGACGAAATTCGTTATTTCCCTTGGATCTGTGTTTCGAGCTCTTAATCGTGCAAATTGCGCTTGCTAAAGGCGCTTGGGTCGTTGCACGTGACAACTACTGTTAGATCTCCCGTTGAAAGCTTAAGCTGTGCTGTTTGAGCTTCGACTGTCCCAGACCCCACCCCCACATTATTTATTATACTTCAACACATTCTCAATTCCTGTTTGCGACACAACGGCAAGCAAGATGTCGCACGCACGAATTGAAGAGGTCGAGGATAGCGACAATGAATATGGCGCCAGTGATCCATCTGAAGGCGATATCTCAGATGTGGCCTCGGATTTCGAAGACCGCGATATTATCATGAAGAGGACACCAGTACCATCATCCACCAAACGCGCACCTGCCCCTAATGTTCAAGCTTCTCGAATGAATCTCGCAGATATTCCATTTTCCGGCTCTCAAATTACTACCGGGGCAGATGGCACTCAATTTCGCTCAACGGAAGATAGCTCTAAATACAAAGATTTTCAATGCATTTATCCGATATATTTCGATGCTACCAGAAGTCGAGCAGAAGGCAGAAGAGTAGGTATGGGGCTAGCTGTCAAGAATCCCGTCGCCCGAGAAATTGTAGCTGCATGCTCCAGACTGCGAATCGAAACACTATTTGAGCCAGTCAAGACTCATCCAAAGGACTGGGCAAATCCAGGTCGGGTTAAGGTTAATATCAGAGGAGGAACCAACCCAGCTATCAAGAACAGTATGTTTTATTTAGATTTCCGCAGTGCACCATGTCGGGCATGACAATGACCTAAACTAACATACATTGAATAGAGCACCATCTTTACACTTTGATAGCGAAACACCTGAAGGAGAATCCCACCACGGAGAAAACGGCCATGCAACCCCAACTGGCTGGCATACCACCCCCTGATCCTAGCAAACCATTACCAAGACCTGCAATACCGAAAGGATGGAAGATGGGAGAAATATTACCATATTATAGTGCGGCGTTATCTGGTGGTGGTGTCAGTGAGAATTTTTTTAAAGATATGATGGCTGAAATGGGAGGACAAATGCCAGGAATGGCCGGAATGATGGATGGCCCATCCAGTAGCGCAGCCTCGGATCCAAAGAAGAAGGATAAGAAGAAGAAGATCAAGGGCTGAGGCATTTTTTCTGGCCCGCAGAGGAACCCATCTAGCACAATATTGGAAGACCTATATGTAGAAATTTTGGTCTACTACACGAGCTCAGCAAACTGGGTTTGTACCCGCAAGGGCATCCTTTGGAAGCAAAGGTAACATCATCATATAGTAGAAACTAAATCTACACGGGTCTCACGATTAATTTAATGATCATCTACAATCGTCTTTAGCATTCATACTTTTGGTAGCATAATGCGTAAACTGCCAATCCACAACTGTTATAGTCTTATGTACTCCTACCTTCTCTAGATACCTTCCCAAACCCCGTCCCTTCCGCCCTATCTCCCCGAAACAAAAGTCATCATCGCACCTATTAAAAAAAGTAATCACATCTCAAATCATCATCTCACCAAGTACTCATTCAGTATCACTTACAACCACCCCATCTTTCCTGGTGAGACTCCATCACATGAAACCTGTAAATAGAAGCGATCATCAAAGTAGAGTGTGTAAACAAACCTTTACCAACATGAAAGCGTCACAGAGCCTCAACTTATTACTTAAACCTTGGAAACTACGATGTGGAAGTTTGGAGTATACGAGCTGTCGAACGTGATTATTTTAGGGGATATTGGGGTTGAGCAGTAGGATGTGCAATAATCATTGATATTGGTGTTGGTGTTGATGGTGCTGGGGGGCAGATCTATGTAGGAGGGGAGATTTTGTGAACTGATAAATGGGCTGAGATAAAGGTTGAGTGTGGGCAGGCATGAGAAAGTGAAATGCTAATGCGATCGTTTAAGCAAATGTGACGAACGGCCAGTATGCGCCAGAAGCTGCAGAAAACGATTACTCCTTTCGAGCTCTCGATCCTGACCGCGTCGGCAAGCCACAATGCATATTTTCCTCGAAATAATTAGTAAGGACGAATGGGGGATGCAAATGAAATCCTAGCAAGGGTGAGGTCCAATGCCCCACAGACGAGACGAGAGGTACGGCCCAAGGGGAGACTGGATATTCGGGAGAAGATTTTGGCAGGCGGCTTCGAATCGTGGAATGGAAGATATTCACTCGATTCCATCGAAAGAATCACAGAAGAAAAAGCGACAGCGCAAAAAGAAATCTGCGAAACTTGCGGCAGGCCCGCGGAACGTCCGTCAACAAGCAATTCGACGTTCCTTCACCATGGAGGTCATCCCATCATCCCACCTCTAAGGCATCCTATTTATGCTATTTTAACCTGAGCCGGAAGAAAAGAAGGAACAAACAAGCTTGAAGTAAACAGATCGGCTCTTAAAAAAAGCCTTCAACTACTTTTCCACGATCCTTCTCGGCTCTCGAAGTCTCGAAACTTGGATTTCGTAAAAGAATACCATTAAAAACAACACCAAAGTATTAAATCTGTCCTTTTTTGCAAAGGCCAAAATCCTTCATAATGCTGCAGACTTGCAACAATACTGTTTGTCACACGGAACAACTACAATACCTGCCGGCGCAAAGTGAGTGGATGAGGAGAATATTTGGTACCCGTGAAGTGAACTTGTCCAATATTTCGCTGTGATTTGGATTGAGGCTAGTAAAATACCGTCCTTATTCTGAACATTCCTTAGTCTTGTGCAAACACTTTGCTGACATATGTGATCCGTCGTGGCAGATACTTTTCCTTCCTTCCCGCCCTCGTGCATCGACAAACGTAGGCCTGCAGGCAAATACTTACAAATAGTTGAAATTGGGTTCCATGATCCCAGGGAGCTGGACAAACTCTTCGGCACACTCGTGGCAAGTCGTTATCAATGCCGTCCAGCCCACCAATATACTTAAAATTCGAACAGGTCGTCGCGGCGCAGGACCGTGGTGGCATAACAGCGGTCAAAGTCTTCGCCGGTGATAAATAGACACTTACCAGACTCCAAATCAACAAGAATCCCTCCTTGAACCTATAAGACCTTCCTGCCAACATCTTACCGTCACGGGTAGCACATTGCGCCTTACAGCTGGGGAAACCCCAAAAACTCCAAAACGCCCCGAGCCCCCACGCTACAAAAGCTCTTTCGAATCCCCCGAAACTTCGTCCCCAGTATATTTAGAGTACCATCTACAATCTCCAGCTGTCAAAATTTACATTTCCCAAAATTGCAAAAAGTTTTTATCTTTTGTATGGAGCGTCCATTTTGCTCCAGACTTGCAACAATTCATTTGAACCCCGGAAGGCGTCCCGTCGGTGATAAATGTGATGTGGAAAAATTATATTCCTGCCGAACTATGAAATATTATTGGAATCTGATGTTAAAATGCCGTGCCGTCTTATAGAGTCGACCCTGCGGGTGTCTTTTAAGATCACATAAATCCTCAGAAATCCTTATGTGAAGGCATCAGGATGAAGCTCCCGCAGCCAGGATTCCTATGTTCACAGCTTCCAGACAAATGAACTCAATAAGTTGTTGATTGGCAGTGTAGATGTGCAACCAAACTTTTCCTTAGCCGCATCGTGTTTTACTTGTAGAATTTCCAGCCAATTGTTGAGCGCCGACATAACCAGATCAAGTAAAAGGAAGTACTATCCATAAAGTAAATCACACGCTTGAGATTCCTTTCTGAAGCCAAGAATCTGTCCATCAGATTCACCTTGCCAGAAACTTTATATACACAAACGACTGCCATTGAACAGCATAAATTTGCACCTGCAGACATACAACCAGTAAAGACTGAATCCGAGTGAATCTCTTCCCGTCCGCTCACTATCAAAGTCCATCTCATCCCAACATCATCAAACAAATTAGGGAAAAAAAAGCCGAGGCACAATTCACCAAACCCTCCGGAACCTCCCGGTCTCAAAATCACCACCCAAAAAAACCAAAACGCTCGACTTGTAGCAACCGCAATTCTCTTCGGGTTCGAATTCTGATAGTTTTCCCAAACTCGCACAATCGAGCGCTGTCGAGGAGTGCAAAAACTTGTGTACTTTTTCAAAAAGCCCCATATTTGGAGGCACCCTTAGACGTGCAACAAAACTTTTTGGATGCAGCAAATATCACGTGTTGGCGTAAATGGAGGTCTGCCATTGGTCGACGAAATGGCCATTTTTATTCATTTGGGAATTGGGGAGAAACTAGTCGTGGGATTGTTTTGAAACTTCTAGTGTGAGTTGAGAAGGTATCCTTTAGTCTTGTGTAAAATTTTGGTAAACTTCTAAGATCAAATTTTGGAGATGTTGTTATTTGTAGTTTAGGAGGCTTTCTTGTCTTCTGCTGGATTTGGCGAATTTTACATCGAGTGTCTTACATCGACCACATAGGAAATTCTAGGAACAGGTTCTTTCTGAAATTAAGGGTACGGAGTGAGAAGGTATTTATAAATGGTATGCGTAAGTTTCGTAAAGTTGCTAAGATCAAGTTTTGCAATTATCTCGATTTCGAATTGGGCTTTTGTCTTCCTCCAGCTAGATTTGAACGAAAATCGCATCTCATTTTCTACTTCGACCAAAAACAAAATTGCGAGATACGAGAAGCATCTACGACCCTCGAAGTGCTACAAAGGATTCTGTCGCAGCAAGGTGGGAAGGCTTCTACGGCAAGAAAATTAATAACATGGGAGGAATTTTCGAAGGAATGATGGCTTTGGATATATTTGCGCCAGCTATGTTACTGTCGCGGATTTGTCACAGATCTGCTTAGAGATCGAATTCGTCCACGAATAACTTTACGAATACCCCGATAAATATATGGTAGCTTTGGCTTGATACTGGTAGTTGGAGTGCAATTTGGCTTTGGATAATGGACTGGAGCTAGGTTTTAATGTAGGAATTTGAATTGGACATTCAGTCGCAGATGTTCGGTTTGGAATGGTCATTGAGGTACGAATGATTTTGACAAAAGGCTGACGGTGATTCATAGCTTCTCAAACACATTGAGCCAAGCTCAGAGGGCAATGGTTTTATAAAGGTTGCGTCTAGAGGTGATTTGAAAGAAGTGCGCAAGCATCCAAAAATATTAGCATTGCGCCGAAGCATGGAAACAGCAGAGTTAGAGAGGAAAGATTATCAATTGACGGCGTTTTGGAACCGCGAAAGTCATTGGAACAACGAGACGAATGGAAGATAATGGTGAAATGGAATTCGAAGTTGGACAATCACAGAGCGAGCAACAACGGGTACAGCAGTTACCATATACTAAGTCGTCCTTCCATTGAACTCGGCTAGAACGAGCTCGGTTCACCTTGTAGAAACCGCGGACCGACAAGTGAAGGCAAATTGTAGAATAATCCGATAGAATGCGGCAGGATACCAGATAAGATGCAAGGCGGATATCAGGTACTTCCACTCCTCGGGAACCACATATATATTGTATTGGGCAACAAAAATGATGGAAGCTGTGTATGTCTCTATGCTCTTACACTTTATACAACTGAACAACAATATTTCCGATCTACAAATCATCAATATATGCAATCGTAGTTCTATGGAGAAAAAGTAATGTAGGTCAAATGTCATTGAAATAATTTTGTCGCGATCACGTGTCAGTCATGGAAGGCGGCTCTACGTAGGAGAAAAAACAGGCTGAAATTGACCACAAGAAATGGTACGTGTGCTCTTTTCTCTTTATTAAATAATTATAATTATTTATAAAAATATAAAAGAATCAGATTCATCAAGAAATGATCGAATCTATATACAATTAATATATTAAAAAGCTATATAATTATAGAAAGGCAAATAATTAAGTATCAGGTTAGAATTTAAATAGTTGTATAGTTCCGGATTGTTTTTTCTCCTACGAATAGGGCGGTCACCATGAACAACAAATGGGCCAAACACCGAGGAAGTAGAAATCAAGACAGGGCTAAAAGTCAAGTCAACGCAACATAAGCTTCCCAGCCTCTCCAATCTATCCTCGGGATTTGTTGATCAATGCTCCATCTCCACAATTGAATGAGAGCAAACTTCAGGTTTTTATGAATTTATGATTTACGATTTTTTACCATTTCCGGGGATTTAAATCAATGGAGAATGTGATGACATTTCATTCCTAAATGTCATCCCCATACGATCGCAGAGGCGCACAGGCGCGTCGAGGAAATCTCTCTTACTGGTTGCCACTTGCTTTCACCGTTACTGCAGCCGCAGTAGGTGTAGTAGCATGGATATGGAGTACGAGAGGTGATGAAGATGACGATGATGATAACAGACCCTTTCAACGTTCAGGATCAGAATATGGCAACAGAAACTCAGATGGCAGCCTTGGAACAGGCTCTTCTTCACACGCCGGCGATTTGCGACCGGGTGAATCTACGAGAGATCAGCAACAACAACAACAACCACCACCACAACCTCGGCGTCCTGATGAGTCCCAGGGTTACATAGCTCAAATGTCAGGTGCACTACATAGAACACCTAGTCCACAGCAGTTTATCAATAGTGCTGGTAGAAGTCTTGCGGCTGGAGCCGCTGCTGTCGGTGGAGTTGTTGGGAGTGCTCTTTCTTCAATCAGGGAGGAAGACAAACACGGATTTGACGATCATAGAACATGGCAGGAGGAATCAGTTATACGACGAAATGCTGCCCCAAGCCCACCAGCAACTACAACATCAGCCCCAGGGCCAATCGAGCTGCGTTCTGATAGCCCTGCAGGAGTGTCTGCAGGTGTTGCCCCAGCACCTCGAGCACCAGTCAGGAATGGAAAGAGAAAGACTGTAGCCATTGTAGTTTCTGCAGAGTCACAAGATGATGACGCCGCATCCGAAGCAGGCTATCATCATGAATTTGCGGTTCGTTACTTTGAAGATACTAGCCAGTAATTACTAACGATTTTCGTAGTCAATCCTCTCCCATCTTCCTCGCAAAACCGACTTCTCGAAAATACGACTCTTCGTTCTAATATACGCACCAGGATTAACGGAGCATCCATTGGACGCCGCAGGTGTGAAAGCAGGTGGATCTCTCAGTTCCTCATTTTCGAACATTGGCCCTGGAGATGTTCATACACCGGGGGAAGAAAGCGACAGACAATTGTAAGAATATTCCCCTTTACTTTGTTACATAGTTCATTAGCTAATAAACTTTAGAACCCCCATGTTTCCTCCAAAGGGTTCGACGACTCCACTAGCATTCGGCGCAATCTATAACGAGGCATTAGGTTTAGTGGAAAAGGAGACCATGGTCCTACCATTCACCACCCCAACCGGTCATGTTCATATCCTTCGCAATATCGCGCCTGAATTCATATATCTACAAGAATCCCTGGCCGGAGAAAATGGATCGGTCATCAACCATCTACAAAGTTGGTTCCGGGAAGATGTTGTCCTAATTGTAGGCGCTGATGGAGGCCACGGTGGACTCGCAGATAGTGAATCCGAAGCCGAGAGTCAAGTGTCAGGAACAAAAGAACAATGGTGGGAAAGAGAAGATAGAGTTGGTCTTGGAAGAGGTGTTGTTGTAGTAGAGGGAAATCGTATTGGAGATTATTGGGCTAGAAAGGTTCTTGGTGTGGAATAAGCAAGCAGATAGGCAGATAAGCGGCGTCTTTCCTTTTTATTTATACCTTTGATGTATGGTTTTTTTTTAAGGATGAAGGGTCAATATTGGGCTGGGAGCGTTGAGGTCATAGGATATCTCTGATGAATTTGACTCGAAAATATTATGTATGATTGATATCTTTTGATAAAATGCACAAGTCATAATTCCGTTGAACATAAATAATTGAATACGGTTCTTTCAGACTGGTAACTTAGTTGTTGGTTATAACTTATGTTGCTTTGCCGCATTATCGTTTAGGCAACATCGCCCCTCTCGTCTGACTCACACCGTACGCAACCCGAATACAACCATGTTTGCACCATTTGCACCAACTGCGCCTGCCAGATCACATCCCAAGTATCTATATACACCTCCCTCCCTCCCTCTCCATCAGTTCTTTATTCCCCCATCAATCTAGCTGGTGCTTCTCTCACCTTTCGCTTAGATCAAATGTAGTATCTGTTCTATCCATGTTTAACCACTTGGATTCTTTCGCAAGAAAGATTAACTTATGGTTTTCCATAATTTTTTGTTGTTTTTACTTCGTTCGTGCGACTAGTCGTGCGAGGGGAGTAAGGGTGTCCCTGGTATTACACTGCTTCTGGGTGATGCTGATGTTGATGGTTTGGACTTTTCGTTGCTCCGGCCTGGTTACCACTTTTGGTGCTGGGGGGTGAGGAAGGGTATGGGAGAAGGGGAGGGGATGAGAGTGGGTGAGGGTGAGCGAGTCTCCAAAGGGAGAAGCAGAGATGGATGGTGGGAGTGGATGGAGTACGAGAAGGAAGAGGTGATATAAAGCTTTAAAGCATCAGTGGCCAATAATACATCCATAGAGATACTTAGGAGCCTTCTGCATAGTTGTACATAGAATTCAATGATAAAATGGAGGACACTGCTCATCTGAACATTCACATTAAATGTTCTTCGAAAATATAATCTGACATCTTGCGGGAGGGCCATAGTGATTGTCTGTAATATTCCCACTAATTTCTCGGCCACTGGACCTTTCAGAAAATATAAACAGTTGAGGTTGAGCTTGTAACAGCGAGATACTGTCTGCTGGACATTATTGTATCACCAACTATAGTTCTTCCATTTGGCTTCCTGAATTGAGATATCGAAATCACTCGGGATATTGAAATAAATCATTGAAAACCCAATCATGGCCACCCATCATCACTCAATCCGTTACAAGGCCGCCGCAATCGAAAGGAAAGAAATTTGTTCCTAGCTTGACCAGCAAGGACGCGAATAATGAAAGGATAACATCGCATACAATAAGATTCTCCTAACAGAAATATCGCCATGAAGCTTGTCTTGAAGAAACCACGACTTCTGGACCTAACGGAGGTCAGATCCCGGTCATATTTACCCTATTGAATCAAAGTGCAGCCTTTCGAATTCACCACACTTTTGATACAGTCTTCTGAACCGAGTGCCAAAACAAAACATCAATGAAGAGATGTACGGTTGGATCACGTGACTATGTGACTCATGTGACACTAGTTGCGACATTTTTTGCGACTTGAAAAGGTAGCGAGCGAGATCTCGGAATAACCACAATTAAAATCAGGAAACAGGCCTTTGTGACTCGTCTTCGAAAACTCTCCACAGATAGGGTCGCTCGATTTTTAATTCTTACGATATCCTATTACAAACCACTGAATTTTGTGAACTGGATACCTCTCCCATCCACACCACTGACTTGTACTTCAGTACCCTTTTCACGACAGCAAATAACCGACAATGCCTCACGCCATGCCAGCGCCTGGCTTCCAGGCCATAATTCTTTGCGGGCCAGGATCGTCTTTTCCTACTTTCACTTCCAATCCTGATAAGAACCCAAAGGCTTTGATACCAATAGCAAATCGTCCTATGGTTTGGTACCCTATTGATTTCTGTTATCGAATGGGTGTTACCAGTAAGTCGAGTCATATTTCTAGATTTGTTATGAAAATCCCCGAGACTATTTTTCAATGCATAGTCCTGAGTGCATAGTTTGAGTGCATAACCTTGATTACATAGTTCCGAATGCAACGTTGAAGCGAGCTACTTGGTCTATATTCCTCCAGGCTACCTTGAATGTACATCTTTGAGGTTCTTATGAGACTAACACTTATTTAGATATCACTCTCATTACACCACCTTCTTCGGAAGAAGCCATTAGAACTGCATTAGCCACAAATCCGCATTTGACTAGTTTACCGTTACCAAAACCAGATTTATTAGCACCCGAAGATCTAGATCAAACGACAGGTACTGCCCAGATCTTTCGATTCCCGGAGGTACGAAACATCATCAAGGGTGATTTCATTGTACTTCCCTGTGATCTTGTTTGTGAGCTTGGCGGTGAATCTTTGATAGAATCATGGATGGTAAAGGAAGGAGGGTTAGGCGGGGCCACAGGAGGGGATCACGAGGGCCCAAAAATGGCACTTGGTGGTGAACGAGGTGGTAGACGTGGCGGGCTTGGAGTGTGGTACGAGACCAAGAGCGAAACAATAATCAAGGGGGAAGAAACAGATTTTATTGCAACATCGCCCCTCGCCGCAACCTCCGTACCACCCTCCAAATCATCTTTGATTCCTCATCTCTCGAAGCTGGTTTATTCTGTACCCACCGATACCTTGAAGGATATAGTTGAAGACAAAAAAGGTTTACCAATTCGACATGCCCTAGTACGCAACCATCCCCGTATTCGAATGCTGAATTCACATCGAGATGCACATATTTACATTTTCCCTGCCTGGGTCATGGACATGATCAACGTAAACGAGCACATGGACAATCTTGGTGAGGATGTTATTGGTTGGTGGGCTAAAGCGGGGTGGCAACAAGGCCTAGGCGACAAATTGGGCTTGCGAGATATTTTCGAGAACACAAGACCCGACGAGTCCGATGATAATATGCTCGACAATGGTCCTGCAAGTGATGATGTCGATTACGGCAATTTGAGTTCGACTTGGACATCTAAACTCCAAGAACCACTATCGGTCAAAGCATCAGATTCTTCGATCTCTAATGGAAAACCAAGCTTCGCTATTCCTCCGATTCTAGCATACATCCATCCTTCAAAGCCCATACCAGAAGGGCTTCCACCTCTTATTAGACGGGTCGATACTGCTCCCATCCTTTTAAACGTATCCCTACAGCTGGCTAAAATCGAAGCTATCGATCAAGTTGGCCGCGATGCTGCCTCCCCATTTGCCCATAATAGCAAAATAGCCTGGCCAGAAGGAATCGCCCAGAAGACCACAGTACGACCAGATTGTCTTTTAGCCGAAAATGTAATTGTTGAAGAGAAATGCATTATCAAAGAATGTGTCATCGGTGCAAACTGTCAAATTAAAACTGGAGCAAGATTGACTCGTTGTGTTTTGATGGATGGAGTTACCGTGGGACAATCATGCACATTAACGGATTGCGTACTAGGAAAGGGAAGTTTGATTGGAGATAGATCGGAGCTGCAAGACTGTGAAGTTCAAGAAGATTTTGACGTTGACCCTGGGAGTAAGTTCTTCACACCCACACCAAATCTTCGAGATATGAGTACTGATCGGATTTATCATTATAGCCAACAAAAAGAAAGACAGGCTGATGAGTGCTGCTGGACTAGGCGTAGCCACCGAAGAAGAAATTCAAGACTTCAGAAATGAAGATTCCGACGGAACCGAATCAAGCTAGCTTTATAATTAATAAATATACCAAAACTTTTCCACGCTAAAGATACCTATCCATACTACTGAAGATCTTCTTTCATACATTTCTCTTACAGCTTTTACGCCATTTCTTTTTGAATCTTTACACTAAGCCGAAAACTTCTACTCCTTCCGTCTATATCAGCTAACATCACTGACAATATAAAGCTCAATCTTGTTCTTCCTTAAAAGTGGCATAATCTCATGATCAGAAAGAAGTATTTCATCATAGAGTAAATCTTTAGGCTTTGAAGCCAGCCCTGGACCAAAACTATACCCGCTTCAGGGCTATGCCCCTGATATGCAAAGCATCATCCACACACCCTGCAAGACGAAAATGACCAGCGCATCGTATTAAAGTCAGTACCTTCATTACTAGCTCAAGCGTTACTTTCTTCCACTCTCAACCAATCCCAACCAATCGACCATACAGACTTATATCCTTGTCCGTCTCGATTATAGTATGCCGGGCACAACTAGCCCTCCCAATGGGCCGATTCATGCATAAAGAGGGTGTCGGTTCTTGGTTGACGGGAAGGATCCCTGTTTCGGCCTAAGAGCTGCCGTGGATGTTGTACTGCCTGCTAAATCACATGCAAAGTGCATTAATGACTTGCGTTTAGTACTCGGCTTTTATACACTTGTTATGAATCACCGTTATGTGGATATTGACCAAGTACCGTGCCGTGCCGTGCCGTGTATATGCAGAAAGGAGTCGGATGATCATTTCCTCGTTAGGTCGTTGAAGAACGTTTCAACGGTGGATATGCAGAGTGTGAACTCACTTTTCTGCAATGCACTGACTGCAATGCGCTGAACTGCCACATTGATCTGACATTTTGGCGGCTTAGACGGCTTTGGCGGCTTTAATGGTCTGACAGTCTGACAGTCTGACAGTCTTTTCAGAAAAGAAACTCTTGTTATGCGGCATGGATTGAATATTGCATTGCTTGGGGATTGTTAAGTGCTTGCCAATACGTAATCCGCGCACTTAAAATTATCCGTGAGTCCCTTCCCTATCAATATTCCGAGTACTTTTACACGCAACGCCATGGTAATGATTCTCTCCTCCTAAGCCTCATGCGGTAGTCCAAAGCTTTTGATATTATCCTTTCCTCATACATACTTTCCGGGCTATTCCTTCCTCTTTTTCACCCTTCGTCTTTCGGCCAGTACTTGAATTCCTCAATCTTCATTGCAGTCCTTTGCCTACATCCAATTCTTAACTTTATCCACCATCTCTCATACCTCCCTTCTCCCAATGCAGAGCCTAGTCTCATACAGGTCTTTCTCGTCCTCAAATCATATAGAATTATTTCCGGATACAGCCAAATCTCACTAAATACCATCTACAGCAACTATACCCAAGACAGCAATCTTACCCCTTCTCACCGCTTTCCCATAAACAGCTATTTTCTGTCTATAATCCACATATCTATACATATAAATCACCCAATAACTAACCAATCGCGTCAGTCACGTATACGTAGCACAGTATTCGTCGTAACGGTCTATAACACTTTGTCATAATTACTTTGTAACACGTTGTAATACGTTGTAATATTCGGTGTCATATGTACAACGTAACACGTGAAAATAAACGCTTTGCGCGCGGGTGTTTAGATTTTGTGGTCGTACGAGCGGGTGGGTTTTGTGATACGTGGTTGTATCGGTACGATATTTGTATTGGGTGGTGATTTGGGATCTTGGGGAGGTAGCTTTGTGTAGAGAGAAGATAGAGGGTTGGGTTTTTGGGTAGGGGAATTCGTGAGATTTGGGTATTAGGTTGAGGTGGATAGGTGAATGAGTGAGGAGATTTGGTATGGACTTGATTTTTAAAAGGATGTGAATGTGGATGACTGGGTCTTTGATACTAGAGGGAAGGAAACTACGTTTGGGATTTTGGACGTATTAGACTTTGTACGTGTTAGCTTGAGTGTTTATTTATCAAGAACTTCTGTATTAGATGAAGAGTATACTTCTTACTTGTTCTTTCCTAGGTTTAAAGCTCATGATATCCCTTCTTCCATATTTCCATTCACCAGCGATTCCTCATCAACCCTTTCATCCCATCGTCTCCAACCCATACCACGCTTCTACTACCTCTTCTTCTTCCATTCATCGCCCCACCTCTTGCATAGCGTCTCATCTTCCTCTCACATCAGAAACCATTATCCCAATATCCAAAAACTTTCACTTACTACAGCACAAATCCCAAATCCATCCATAACCAAATACACACCAACGTCTTCACCCGCAATCCCTACTCACTTTCTCACCTATACTAAGATATCGATGTACATCGCTAACCCTATATCCATCCATCCCTTTCCAGAGTCCTAAAAAGTTAATTCCACACAATCCCAATATCACAAACTATCAAAAATCCCTCCTCTTCACCTCAAGTAATCACCTATTATAGATACTGTTGAACATTACAAAATTGGGTAGGTAATCTCCGCCTACAATATGGTAAAAAAATGTTATATCTGCGGTTTCATACTTACTCTCAAAATAAACGAACTTTTTATTTTTTACTCTAGATTTGTATTATATACTTTATGCCCCTATACTTTATCTTTTACACCTTACACTCTACACTCTATACTCTATACTTTATCCCCTACATCTTACACCCATGACTTTATAGTTCGACCATCCATCTATCTATCTACCAAACTTTAAGATAAACTAATAAATATCAAATTCACATCTCCACATCTCATAAATTCAAACTTAGACAATACACCAGCATAAAGCCTACCCCTCCTTACAAATATCCCTCAATTTCCAAAAGCAAAAGCAAAATCATATATATACTTACAACATTCAGGACTCGCCATATACTTCTAAATAATACACACACTTCTTCTTCCTAGATATGTCCAAATATAATGTTTTTTTACCATCTATTATACTTCCAGCATCTTTATATATACAGAGCATAGTATAACAGAACACAAATACAACATAATAAACCCTATCCAGATAATTCATAAGTGCCCTTTTATATCCCATCTATCTCTTCATCTATCCTCCATCAATCAATCAATCAAACCAAATCCTCTGTCCTCATAATGGTAAACTACCTTCCTCTACCCTCTACCTTCAACCTTCAATTTCTACACCTTTCATTTTACCTCCCTAACCCCTGTACCAAAATAATACAACAAAACTCTATATCCACATCCACATCCACATCCATATTCCTCCCCCTTTCCCCAAAAATGTTTCTCGATCTATAAACTAAATAACCCACTCATCCCTCCATTTTACTTTCCCCTTTCCCATCTTTCCCCCTCTTCCACCCCTCCCCTCTCATACACACACACACACTCACAAATACATCAAATGCCCAACACACCACCTCATACCGCACCATAAATACCTCGAACAAGTAAAAGAAACTTCCTCTTCTTCTTCTACAAATCTATATAAATCCATACTCATCTATATATAACTTTGAACGAATAAGATAATATGAAATAATATAATATAATATAAAAACAGATGGTTTCCCGGGACTTGATATAAGCTAAATTTAAGATCTTATAGGATGAGAAGGGTTGGAAGAAAGTGCTCAAATATATGAAATAAAAAAGTAATATATAAACTTCAACTTACTTACCCAAATACTTATCACTAATTTAATACACATATGGAATAAGTAAAGTATACGAAATAGCATTAAGTAGATAGATAAATACTATCAAGATATTGACAGCTGTAGACTATAAAAGGCAACTATGATTCACATTAGAGGAGCCAATATCCACAGCAATAAACAACTTCGTTTCCATCACTTGAATAAATCACATATCCATCATGGCTAACCCCCTGCAGCAATTAAGATCCTTCGAGTCTAACTACCTAGTAGTATCTTTTCGTTTCCTGTCCATGAAAAACCATATCCATTATCAAATCAGAAAGCCATCCTCCATGAAGCGATGGACCCTTGTGTTTTCACCACGACAGTAGCCACGTGTGAAGATGGCGTAAAGAGGATTGAACCAGTGGAAGAAAATGAACTTGTTCTAATATCGTTCGACATACTCTTTTTTAGGGTGTTTGATTATTGTTCCTGGAGGATGATCTTCCTTATAGAATTTGCAAGCAAATGCCATACAAGTAGGTTCCTTAGATCCAATACTTGGAATAACCACACTAGGGCAATGGTGCCCATAAATACATTCCTCATTGTCGCAATCTTGACCATTGACACAAGGATTTTGGCGTGTTAAATAAGCAATAGCTTTGATTTCCTCTTCCGTAGCTTTATGATCGTGTTCAAAGCAACATTCATCGCCTTTAGAGCAAGGTCCTCGTAGATAATGATTATTGCATAATTTATTCGCGTTTTTTCTTTGTTTTACCGCTTCCAGTACTTCTTTTTTGACATGTATTGGAGGGTCAATTCCTCGAGGCTCAGGGTTCCAGCCCAATCTAGCGAAAACATTACTTGTAACATCTGGTTTCTTGATCGCCGTTGAAGCGGTTTTACCCAAAGCAGGAGATGCCACGGCAGTCGGTGGTGTAGGCGGGGGTATTGATGTGACACCAGCCCAGGTTGATGGAACAGACGTAGCGCTAGATTCTGTTGCCCGATCTATCAATTTTTCGGAGCGAAATATATGTTCGAATTTGAGAGTTCGAAGGCCAATGGCTGAAAGTTCTCGGACTATTGGTGGTCCTTCCACTATTGTAATTCTATTTCGATCGTCTTGCGTAATTACTTCCTCGAGAAATGGTGCGTACCCGCTATCAAATGATATACCAAGTAAAAGTTGTTTGCAATTCCAATTTCTTAAATGCCATCTAATACATTCTTGTGAAAGTCAGTACCAGGATAGGTGCCGTGAACTGACCATGGATCATAATGAACATCAATTGAAACGAACCTTTAATCTTTGAATCGGCCCTCTCTTTCCCATGACCAACATCTATAAAATCGAAATGTGCTTTTCCCTGGGTGAATCCTAAAGTGAAATCTTTGAACTTTTCGAGACCTTCAAGTGTTCCATCTCTCATCAAGGCTTTTGATAATCCCGAGTAGTTCGCGCAGACCTTGGCCATAATTTCAATCTCCTCAGTTTGAGGCCCACTACATTGTTCGAGTATTGAAGCTCTGAGAAGATTGGCTGCTTTTTTGCCTCCTTCGAGCCCTTGATTTATAAGTTCCTGGTTGAACTATATGACAATCATCAGCTAGAGTCTGAAGGGGATACGTGGAGGTGCAACTAACAATCATGCCATCGGCATCAACTAAAGCTATTATGTATGGATTTCGATTCTATTTTGCCAATATTAGTGATGGATGCAACCACCGAACCAATCCCTTCCTACCTGCAGAATGCTATTATCCGTGAGAGCTCGTTCTAAGTGTTGAGTGGTCAAATTCCAATGTATTTGCAATTCTCTTCTGGACTTTCTCGAATCATCCAAATCCAGATGTGCATCATTCAATTCTTTTTTAAGACGCTCGTTTTCGTGTCGCAGATTACTTTCAACCGTTTCAATATATATCAGAAGGTCCTAATGAGAATTGAAGTTAGCATAATCAATTCTTCCCAAACATCAGATCATGGCTGGCATCGACAGCGGCACAAACGCACCTTGATTAATTCATTGCCCGTTTCTCTTTGCGCTTCTAATATATTGAAACGTTGAACGAAGGATTCCATCATGCTAGGCATGGTAGATAGATTTAAGAAGTATTATTATTGATAAGTGAAGATAGGATTGATCCGAGTCAAATTGACTTTGAGCATAAAATTAATATTTAATTGCTGGTACCGCGTGGGAACTTTTTTTATTATTATTGGAGACGCGACGGTGGGGGAGATTACAGGTAGACAAGGCACTAAGGCTGTACTCTGTATTTTCCGTATTTAGTGTTGCGGAGTACAGTATTGGGCACTTGAATGGTGGAGAAGTGTGGTGGTGCTGACCCCTGAGAAATGAGAATAACTTTATTATAATTGCCCTCCTTCCTTTAATATCCAAGATGAAGCAATTGAGCGAACAGCAAACTGGAGCAAACCAGTGTTAGAAACTCACGCAGAAACATTAAAGCTACTTTTCGGCCATCCTTTTACACCAAAAATCATCATTTTCAGCTATTAATAATTCAACAACGAATAGATTGAATTAATTATTTTTATTGAAAAATTATTCAAGATTTTAATTATTTTTCAAATTTGTATATAAATCCTGTATAAATTAAAATTTCAAAAATCTAACCTCTCAGATTTCAATGAAATCAATTGTAAAAAATCTGAAATTTTCAGAGTCTATTAATAACTATATAATAAATCTATAATTCAAATTTCATTAAATTATATCAATTGATTTTAAAGTTATTAATAGATGAAAATGATGATTTTTGGTATAAAAGGGTGACCGAAATTAAAAATGACCGAAAAGTAGAGTACTAGACTTATCAAACTCACTTATATTTCGTTCCTCATAAATCTTCGAGAATCGTATACATTGAATGCCAGTATAGAAAGCGATTCTTATTTGTGTATTTAAAAAAATTAAAAATAATTGCACACCAAATATACCTCTCCACTTCCCCATCAATTATGTGACAATCAGTAGTTTCCACAACCCCACTCAATGATTCCGATGATCTCAATCACCACCCTTCAACAGATCTTCAAAATTCACCCATTCACAACTCACTACGCGGCAATAAACCCCAAAAGCATCATATACGCACAGTCACAGTCACCCCATACAAACCCACTTAATAATCCCACGGTAAACCAAGATCTTCAAACGCCTTGTGCATCCCGTCCATAAGCGAAATATTTCTTCTCCCCCCTTAAAAATCTTTGTGGAACGTGCAACAGAACAGGGGTCCTAAGCGCATAAATTCTCAGCCTTTCTCCTCCTGGTTTAAAACTTGAAATGCGATATATATCTATGTCATGTGATGGTCCCTGTGATAATAGATACTCATATTGATACTTGTCGTCACCAAAAAAGGGACATGCAATGGAATGTAGGAAAATGAAAGCGATCACCTCCCCGCTTCTCGCAGCACTCTTCTGTACTAGATCACATGGACGGGATGACTCTCAATATCTTTAAAGGGGGCTGAAAAGAATTGGCGATGTAGAAAATCTTTCCCTCGAATTACTGTGATTTTGTAGTTAACGTGCAGATGACCGGCGATCATAAACCACCTTGAACGTATTGCGAACAAGAAAGTCAATTGATACAGCACTTGACGTGAATTCTGGTTGGCTAGATGAACAAACATGTTGGCATCTTCCGAAATGAGAGACATATACCAGGAATATGGATCCGTGCGCGATATTTCGGTCATTGAAGAGCTGGGATGACTTACCGCGGTTCGGAAATGATGGAATAGTAGCTGCGTAGGATACGACAGCGTTTTGGAATGATTGCTACCACAGCTTGGTAGGGATCGGTAGTTGGATGTGTGGTTTCATTCTAGTGCTTAAGTGTTCTTAGACTGTTGACGCTACATAGGGTTTGCTAGGGAGTAAGGTGATTGGCAGAGAAATGATTTGAGCTTATGATGAAATGTGACAACGGCACTGTCTAGTGCAGAATGTACCATAAAGGACAACTTGCCTGCTGGGACTCGTGGGTAAGTTAGTAATATTATTGACAGTAATGGCTGGAGACACCAGCGCGCGAGCCGCGCTTCCCTTCTACTGCTCATTGCCCAAGCTAGTAATGAAATAGCGGTATGGGACTGTCCTAATATAGCCGGGTGTTATCCTTAAACCCTACTGAACGTGGATGTCTCTCCCCCAGGCGCACAAGGACTTTTTCAGTGGCTTCTATATGCCGTCCGTTAAGCTCACTAACTCTTTCACATTCATCTATTCCCAGCTGGCGGCAGAAAAGCTGGCCCAATGGCGTTCGTCATATGTATATCTTCAAGGTCTGCGAGCAGTGGCAGGGCCAAAGGTCTGATTCCGTCCCGAGAAATAGTTCCTATATCGGCTTTAGCTGCGATTTTTGGTCGCAATGGTAGTACTAAGTTCAGGAGGTGCCACAGCGAGCCAGATGTCGAAAGGACCGTCTGCCTCCCAGTTGATCCACCCTGCTTTGTAGAGGTTATGAGATGGACAACAAAAACTTGGCCCCACATTGAATGATGCATGTTTATCCAGAAGACATCAGGGCATCTATTGAAATCTAGCTTGCTTCCCTGCCCACCTCGTATTTTCCTCTTTTCAGGGCATCATCATGGGCGATTATTGTGTGCTGGTCGTCCGTGAAAGTAACGAGAGGCCGATGGCGAGACATAATTGGTTAGAGGTAAGTATGTTGACAGTCGATGAATGAGTAAATTCCTGTCCATTGCTGCAGTGAAGCGGGGAAGGCTTCAGGGATAGTTTGTCATGCCTGCTGTAGATGCATCCAATCTGATATCAAGAGGCTCGAAAGCTGTCGTATAAGAATTAAACCATGGTGTCTTTCACGGTTTCGCAGTTTCGAGGAAGCCATACTTGGTTGTCAAGTCGGTGTATTCGGTAGGGTGGTGGCAGTTTGACGTGAGCGGAGATACGATTAGTTGCGAAATTGATGATATAACGCGGCATACGGATTAGGAGTTGAAAGCAGTAATGCGGAGGGGAGGGTAGGCAAGGCAATTCGGCAATCCCTAGTCTACCGGTTCGGCCTGTATGCAATTTGCGTCCAGTGAAAGGGAGATTGATGGGTGCTTATTTAGCTAGGAAGTATCCGGCCGGAACATCATATCAATTGGCAAGGTGCCCTGCCCGTGTAATACGTAAGCTGCGGGAATCATGGTACTTCCGAGACCTTGTAGGAATGCAGACGTAACTCACATGGAGTTGATTGTCGAATAAATTACCCTCGTTCGAAGCTTCCATTTGTCCAAGCTAAACTATTGTATTGTGATACTTCTGCATCCGTTGGTGCTGATCAACGATGTGCAAGTACGAGGGGTGGTGTTATGGTCGTGCGAGGATTAAAGCGAGCAATGTATCATGTTGCATTGATGATGACGATGGAAAGTCTAGAACATGCAGGTAATTCGCTTCGTAATTTGTGGTTGGTTTGCCCAATAAAGATGAGTTCGTATGCAAATTGGTCTTGAATGAGTAAATCTGCAGCCGCGTTTATTTAAAGTACTTGTCGAGATTTTTCGTTTATCCGTATCGAGTTCGGCATGGCACGAGATTTTTTGGGGCAAGTTATTCTGCGAGGAAGGAGAGTGCGTGTAGGGTTCTGAGTTGTGATTGAGTGCAGGAGACACTTGGTGGAAGACAACTTTATAAGGTTTTAGCATTGAGACTGGAAATACTTTACAATTGAGTGAATCGAATTTTTTCTGGAAATTTATGCCAATTATCGTTATATCCCATGAATCTCTTATCATTCCGAACCGCTAGATGACCAAAGATGTTGAAGTTAAGGGGATGAATGAATGTACCTGAAGATCTGGTCATCCCACTTTAAATGACCGTAGTTGATATACTTTACAGGTAATATCCAAGCCCTAAATCCAATCGAGCCATCGCGCTTTCTACACGCCCTCCAATGCTGAGAATACCTTTAAATAGGTGCCGACATTAATAAAATTTGAACCGTTCCGAACTTGGCTGCCCGAGAGAATATAAGTAGCCAGCCCAACCGCTTGTATTAAGGACTTGGAATGCGTCTTCCCACTACATTCATGTGCATAGTACAGCCATCTAATTGTAGTTGGCAGCATCGGGAATCAAAGTGCAACAATATATTTTTGGGATATCATTCTTGATTATATATCAATAATATTTTTTATTGAAAAATATTATTGAGTGCTTGATGGGATATAGGCTTCCTCACAAGCCCGAATAGGGAGAGAAGAAGGTGCACTCCCTTTCAGTGGCGACGAGTAGTGGTTGCCACGCTGGCTCCAACTTTCGGCAGCTCAGGGATTGAATATATGCATTCAACTTGTGCAATGCTGCTAGCAAATCCTGAACGGTCGGGTTTAACAAAAGCTATATGATAGCAATGACTCTTGGTTCGATCCTTTCTAGATGGAAAGTCGAAACGACAGTTGCATGTATGATCGTATGCTATCACATGCTTTGAAGCCATGCAACTTCGGGGCCTTCAGTCGGCGGAAACTCCGGCAAGAAGAGGACGGTATGTTTAGTATTAACTGTGTCGGTTATGGGCTGCGTCTTAATGGAGTAAGCTAGCTTGTTCACCCTAGCCGTCGAATGCAATTAGCCAACCTGCTCATAGCCTAAAGCAGATTGTTGTGTGATCCCCTCCTCTTCCCCGGAAGTGTCAATTCCCAGACAAGATTGTAGAAAGTGATAGAAGATCACATCAGTCTCAGCCAATGCGACGTAGAATTGGGCGTTGTGTCCGTAATGCCAACTGTTATGTTGCTTGTCTAACGTTGGTGAATGCAGCTTGGGTTCTAGGTGTTATCAAACCAACATTTCCAACCTCACCTTGCCTATTTTGATTGGACACAAATCATGGAACTTTGCCTCTTTGGCACTTACACCTAATTGATAGTCCGGGGTACTAAATGTTCCGAAGCGTTCCACGCGAGGAAAGCCTCGCTCCACTCCTTCGGCACTCCATAGAGTACCTGGCAATCACGGGGTCTATTGTCATCTGTGCATATAGCCAACATTTTGAGAGGGACTTTTAATGACAGCGGACTGGGTAAGTCAGATGAAGAATATCGTGGAGAACATCTCATTTGAAGGATGGATTAGATGCTGCGCACATGTATTAAAACAATAGCGTTACAGATTCTGGTGAAAGCTTACTGAACAACTTGTTTGTCAGAGCAGTTCGTGCATATTGATCCTGCACATATTTTCCCCAATATGCATTGGATCCGGGAGAAAACAGATTAAGTTTAATATGAATTAATTTCAACACTGCCATTCCAAGTCAGATTTGGAAAGAAAACAACGGCCCGATGATCATCATCCATCCCCATAACCTCGTGATTTGTTTACCCCAAGCTGTCAGGAAAACAATAGGAGAAAACTATATGTCAATTACTTAGCTTCCTGTTTAAACAGAAAGGAAAGAAACGCCACCGCAGATATTGTGCACATGTGAAGGGTCACACAGCATCCACCTGATACCAACACACCAGAGGTCAATTTTGTGTTTAGTTCCCCACACCTGTACGCACGACCGACTGAGCGCCCCTAGCCTGGTGCCAGGACTGGAATATGCCGTTGAACACTAAAAAGATAATCGTGGTAGCGAGAGGTTACAAGTTCCTGGACAAGGTGAGCTGTTAGGCCACTAATCGAAAGTCATGAGTTATTGTGTAATCTGATTGATTGGCGTGGACAAGGGGACTTAGTAATCGGTGGCAGGGCGGATCGAGTATCAGACCTTGATGCAGCATCTGGTTCTCCCCGCTAAATGTGAAATAAGGATGTACTTACGATGCTTGGTCAGTGCCGACTGTGTTGGTTGCTCAATCACTATATTTTCAATATTTGGTTACTTCTTATACATTGCGTGACTTCTTTATGAGATGACTTACGAACAGCCTCTAAGGGAAGTATGTAAAACTTTTAGCGACTTTTTTATGTATTATTGCGCACAGTCCTACTGGCCCCACAGCCTCTGAATGTTCCATATGCATCTTATGCTCAGGTTCCCTTGCCAATGAACAAAGAATGATATCTGTCTCTTCAGTAGGTCTCTTGCAACGGAAGCAGATTTCGATCCAAGTATGAAACATTTGGGGTATGGTTGGATATTCAGCTAGAGGAGGTAAAAAGTCGAATTGTGATACTTTACTCGAACTTCCCCAACAGCTTTGCGGCTAAAAAATGGTTTATAGATGTTTCGAAAGGATGAGGAGGATGCTTCAATGGAGGCTTGAGACGGACGAGGAAGATGCGAGGGCATACTTTCACAATCCTTCTTCCCCCCTTTTATAGCTAAGATATTGAGTTTTTGATACAGTTTCCTCGTAGAGTCAAAACATGTGGAATATGCGCAAGGAAACCATTTAACTCTAGCAGATTAGAGTTACATTGACTGTAAAGAACCATTCAAAAGTGTGGAGCAGCCTTGGTTAACCCCAGCGGCGTCGTCCAGTAATGCTACGAGAATTGACAAGGAACCAGACCGAGTGTGTTGCGGATGGTTGCCTTCAAAGATGTGGTGATTGGATGTAATATGAAAGCTAGAAGGGTAAACAAGTTTACTTGCAGCAACCACGGATTACACAACCTTCGGAGGGGTCCTCAACTCGCATTAGTCGTCAATTGCATGCGGCGAACTCCTCCATGAGCTACTACCCACAACGATCGGCTTCATACTACTGGAGAAAGAGCTAGGAAATTAGACTATAGTTTCCTTCCATTCGAGCATGCATTGTCCCATGAGCGTGCTACTGGTGTTAGGGACTCTCTCTGGCACCCATACAAGAAGAGTTCAGAGCAAAGCGATAACGCACTTAACCACTATGTGCAGCAGTAAGCCGTGCTCAAATCAGTTGGCCGATACAACCCAAATACTGGATTACACCGCGTGTAAGTTTGCACAAAGATCTGGACTGCCTTGGGAATGGGGACTCATAACCCCGCAAAACATGCTGAAAAACATGAAATATATGACTATGATATGTGGAAAACTTGTTAAAACTTGTTTACCCTAGAGAGTTCGTGAGACCTCTAGCAATATTGATATTGACGATGGTGATGAAAATGGGCGATAGACTGCTCCATTTCCGGTACGCGGAGTCGTCCCCGGAGACGAACATGTATGTAGCTAAGCTTAGCCAAAATAGAGGGTGCAAATACTTAATCTAGAAAGAACTCTCAATTATCGCTTGACAATTAATAAAGCCGGCGCATTTTTGGGAACTATCCAAATTTCTCTTGCTGCATATTGACAGGACAGGATGGGTGACGAGACATGCAAGTAGAACCTGGATACTGGTTAGATAAGTCTAGTACCCCTCTTTTCGGCTACCTTTTTACACCAAAAATTATCATTTTCAGTTATTAATATTTCAACAACGAATGAATGAAATCAGTTGAAACTTTAATTATAAATTTTTTATATATTTATTAACGGATTCTGAAATTTTCAGAATTCTTATGATTTTATTGATTGAGAAATCGAAAATAGAAATTGTGATTTTCAATTTATATACGATTTATATATAAATTTGAAAATCATTAAAACTTGAAATAACTTTTCAATTAAAATTATTAAAAATAAACTGTAAGTTTTTTTCAAATATTTATATTATAATTGATTGAATAAATTAGAAGTTTGAATTTTAAATTATAAAAAAAGACTTTTATTAATATTTTTAGATTTTACAGGGATTAAAAATTATAATATTTTGATTAAATAGATTTATATAATTTATTATGATATCAATATTTGAAATATTTTTATAGTTTATTTTTAATTATTTTTATCGAAAAGATATCAAAGGTTTTAATGATTTTTCAAATTTGTATATAAATCCTATATAAATTGAAAATTCAAAAATTTAACCTTTCAGATCTCAACGAAATCAATAACGAAAATTCTTAAATTTTTCAGAATCTATTAATAACTATATAATGAATCTATGATTCAAATTTTATTAGATTATATTGATTAGTTGTAAAGTTACTAATAATTGAAAATCAGATTTGTGGTGTAAAAGGGTGGCCGAAAAGAGGAGGTGGCCGAAAAGTAGAGTACTAGACTTATGTGATAATTGCAAGGTATCTTCTAAGGTTACCGGGCCCTAATCTGATTATCGGATGATAGGGAGGTAGGATAGCGGTAATGATGTGCTGTCTGTCTTCCAGCTTGGTTAGGACAATACCGCAATACTATGACAAACGAAACGCCCCTAACTAATAAGTCAATAACTGGATTTCTGTTTCTTTTTTTATCGCAAATACCGGGAAGATCTAAAAATGATTTTCCGTATATCACCACGCTTATCACCATCTCATTTAATCATCCGTACTGTACCGTATACGGATCATGTCATATGTGACTTTTTATCTCTTTTTTTGTTCTTTTCTTTTCAATGGCCCAGGGCCTATCTGATAAGATCTAGACCAAATGAAGTATTCCTATCCGGCTGAACCTCAACCTCAACCTACCGGTACACACACTTTCGTTCTCTTGTAGTCTGACTGTATCTTCGCATGTCTTGCCGTCGACAAACCACTACTAGAGGCCGACCGAATATATACCGATAGGAATTCTATGTGTATGTAAGTCTGAAAAGAGTTCGCGTTTTTGTTATGTCAAATATGTCAAATTCCAAGTTTCGATTGGTCAAATTTTACGATTTTCGCGAGGATTGGATCTTGGTGAAATATTCTGTCATAAAATGATAAACATTTAGTCCTTTTTTTCTGCCAATTAATAGTTTGTTGATCAGCCACATGATTTTTAGTAGCTTTTCAGCTTTGTAATAATAATCTTGGGAGCCTCTGGGGCGTCTATCAAGTGGTTGGAGGCTTTTTCCACTTATTGGTGGCAGTAAGCGCAACTTGGCTGCGGTGTCACAATCATTTGATTGGCATGAACTATCGAGAATCTCTGCTTGACCAATCATTAGATACTTTTTTTTTGGAACACCCGCACAAACAAAGTATTTTGTTGAGATAGTGCCTTCGAGCTTCGAAGGTTTCAATTGAACAATCACTCCACACCTTTCCAAGGTGGACTGAAAACGCCAGTGGCAGTCAAAGCGATCGAACACATCATTTAACAATGATCTGATGTCTCTGTACCTTCGAGCTATCTCAACGTCGTTAACACGATGATTGATATTGAGAGCCATCGCAATGTTGAGCATTCCAGAGGCATCGTCTCATTCTTCGTGAAAACCTCAACCTCGTAATGGGCATTCATGGATGGCTTGTGATAGACCGTTCGAGGAATGTGAGATCTTATGCAGGATGTAGATCTGCACCCAGGGAGGCAACCTTGTGCAAATCTATGGATGGATTCTTAGTATTTGACAGCTCTCTGCCGAATTATCCAGTTGAGCTTGGGTGTGATGTGGAGGAAGGACCTGCATAATTCTTCGCTTTCTGTCTTTGAGAGGCGTTCGATCCCTGCTCTATCAGATACATATGCACGCAATTAGTGAGGCCCAAGCCCACTACTAACTTTCTTGGTATTTCGCCAATAAACTATCATGAGTGTCTTATGGGAAACCCCACAATCCACAATTCGACAGACTAGTGTTGATCCAACCTACTCGAGGACTTCTTCGCCATCATTTGACATGCAGGATTCGGCTTTCGTGAGGCGAGGGTTCATTAAAGAGGAAGAGACTGGCCCCCCTTCAAGGGATTTGGAAGCTTTTCTGCAAGGTACCCGTACGATTAACATTGAACAATAGCTCGTCTCAGAAGTTCTACTTGTACCATACTGTTTTTTTATACGTCTCCGGAAGTCGAACAAGTTCCTTGATTCCCTTACTGTGATAGCTCACAGAATTGGTAGATATTTAGTGAGTGTTTCTTGGTACAGCGGCGCGTCTCTGAACACTACTAATCCTGCGACTAGCAAAGATCCAGTCATTTGACCTTTCAGAAAGGTCTAATTGTCCCGGAATTGTTCTGTTTATTCATATTCTCGCGGACGCTGCGTGTCCCGCACTGCGGTCGTTTAAGAACACGCGACTCAAAACGCGACTTAAATTTGTCTTGACAGCCGCAAATAGTCTGTAAGTTATGTCTAGCTATATCCCTTCTGGAGGAATAATATTGGTTATGGTGCCGATTTTCATGGCATCAATGGTGTCGACATTCATGTCTTCACTCATAAATGGAACCATGAGCCTCCTGGCTACGCTGTTATTCACAGAGCTCATCGACTCACTGACAACCTCAAGTGTTTTATACTATACATATACAGTGCAGAGCACCTAAAATATCGTGAGTCCTCAGTTCAGCAGACCTAAAAATATTCATGGTATCTAACACCATCTAGTTTTCGCTTCACGATATCACTGACCACCCCCGCAAAACCATGCTGGTGTGCGAGAACAGGAGAGATTCCTATCCAGTCAATCCAACCACAAGTACACTCACCCCATCAGCGAGTGACTCTTACATGGAGTCGGTACATTCATCTTGGGACATTACTTTACAGCTTCAGCCTGGCACACCTCCGAATTCCACTACTCGACGTACGTCTTTTGATGAGACCGTCAAAATGGAGGATCTGTCTTTCCATAGCCACCATGGTCTCCCAGAGCGATACGAGAATACAAATGTCAATTCTTTCTGCGATATGTCAGCAATGACCCAAGACATGTTGACAGGTTTCCAAGAATCCAACATGTTCTTTGGTGTTGATGACGGGAAGGTATTGGCCGAAGCAAACCCCACTTTCACCTTCAACAGCTTTCAAGGCTACGCAACTGCCGCCTTTGGGTCGTTTGATTCACAATGTCCTTCCAGTGATATTCCATCTTTGATGGATGATTTGTATTCGCCAACGGCCACATCCGAATCATCAACAGCCATGGACTTTGTGGACCCGACACAAACGACGTTGATCGACACATTTGCCGACTTTCGGTCATCTCCAATAGGCCCTCTTACACCTATCAAGCTTGGAACTCCTTCATCGGACTTCAATGCTCAAAGTTCGTACAACAATTCTCCCGCAGGGACATTCACTACAGGATATCTGCCTACTCCATCAAATTACCAGGACCTCAGGCACGATTCGATCTCCCCAGTACGACAGCAAAACCTCCGAAGGCCATATTTTGAGTCGCCTCAAAGCACAGCTGCTCTTCAAAGAATTCAAGCAGCAACACCAACAAGAGCAGCAGCCCGCAGAAAGATAAAGCGAGAACCAACAGTATCCATACGTGTAGAAAACAGTGCCAAGCTACAATGCACCCATGCTGGATGCGACAGGAAGTTTCAAAGACAAGAACATCTCAAAAGACATGAACAAACACACGACCCCCTTGCTCGCAAATACCCATGTCCCTTCTGTGAAAAGAAATTCGGACGCACGGATAACTTGAGATCTCACATCGTTCTCCACGGAAAGGAAGATAGAAAGGCTGCTCGAACTCCATTTCATCCAGATGCGAGGAGGATGTCTGAGTCCTTGAAAAAAAAGAGTCGTAAGACTAAAGGCTTGGATGCGAAATCCCCGCCAGTGAGGACGTCCCTGCCTGTGAGGACGAAATTGAATGGTTGTTAAGATCAGAGTGATACAAGATGTCAATCAAAGATACGTTTCAATACTTGTAGCTTTGAAAACGCGCGTCGGGGAGATCAGCAAATATTGTTAACTCATTTTGGCAGAATGGTTTGGGAGTTGTAGATGAAACATCAGGCTGGGGGGGATATTTCGTTCATTCAAATGCATTCACTTTCATTACCTATTACTAACCATGTTTTTGGTTGACTGGCATATTTAGATTTATTTCCCAGTGGAGAATAGAGAGGAGGAATATTAAAATATAAAAGACACAGGAGGAAATGCCAACTTTCATGTTCGGCTTTAGATGTATTGGTATTGATTGGGTGTACTGGGTTGTATTTTACTTGGTTGGAATTTTTGTGGGAATTGGAGCTTGGAGAAATGGATTGATATTGTTCCATGTCTACTTAATATTGATCTTCATCTAGATAATCATACGTTTGGTGCAAATAATGAGGAATTCCAGCGTGAATGTGATGAATATGCTAGTGATAATATCGGCAGCAGAGCTGACAGGAAGCAAGAGACGTGACCCAAACATAAGACACAACAGATATCATTACAGAGGTAACACTTCAATTAATCTGCAAAGCATTATCGTACACAATCATAATACCCAATGAAAATACAAAATCAAATTTAAGGATACGATCATTACCAAAACCTGCACTCCAGTCTGCAGGTACGACGGCTATGCACATATGCCTACATACATACATACATACATACATACACAATATGCACACTTATCAGACCCGTGCGCATGTATCTTCACTAGACAAATAACCTAGCAATAATTCTATTTCACACACACACACTCTCTCATTCATCTGCATGTAGAGCCGTTCGTTGTACCAGGCAACCCCATATAGTACCCAAGCATAAGAAGACCCCTTGCGTGGACAAGCTGGGGAAATGTCACGAGTTTGCTGATCGCGCATGGTACAGTATGGAGTGGATAGAATGATAGCTATAACATGATATATTATAGAAGTCTATGATTCAAGCCATCGATCGTACATGCATGTGCATATGTAATTTCCTTGGGAGAGACATGTTTTCGAATGGAGGTGCGAGTGTGGTGGGTGTGGTGGGTGTGACTAGGGGTTTGTGCTTACGCTAATCTTTACGCTAGTCTTGCTCGCTAGTCTTGCTCGTTAGTGTACTGTTATTCGTTTTTGTGTTGCTTGGGTGTAAGCACTGACTTTTCTAGCTTATGGGTGAACAAGTCTGGTGATTGGGTTGAATGGTGTGCCTTATATCCTTATGCACAGTTAGGTAGGTAGTTCTTGAGTTTTATTCGTTCTAGGGATGGGAACTGAGTTGTATACTATTGATGTGTACCGATCACATCCTTTTTGTTTAACTGTTACTTTTGACGCTTTGGTAACTTTACTGTGATCTTGTTAAAATATATTCATTGGGCCACATGCCATTGTTTGGTCGGATAGATCCTATTGTCTTTGATGTGATGCCTAGAATGTCTGGAATTAGTTGCGAGCCGTGTCGAGGTCAAGATGCGATACTTTATGTCGGCCGAGACACTCTACCCGTTACCTGAAAGGTTAGTTACCCAAACTGGCAACTCATTACAAACTTCATTCAGCAAGCTGCTGCAAAGGCATGTCTTGGGCTGACTTTCTATTGTTAGATTTTGGTTTTCAAGGATACGTAGCCATTTCCATTAAATGACTCTATGACGGCAATCTTGATCGCCAAAGCTCCCCATTTAAAGATTTTATATCCCCAGCAAGATTACCTATTTACTTAGTTAGCCTCTTTTATTCCCAACGTAACATACTCAAAAATATTCGTTAGCTGAGTGCCTGCGAAAAGCGCGAAATAGCTATAAAAAAGTTTTCCATGACTGCGGCCTCCTCTAACCGCAGACAACATCAACGTGGAATCACTAGGTCAAAACACAAAAGGACATTCTCAAGTGGTGACCTGAAAACCATCATGCATATAATTGACTAAACGACTGAGTTTTCAGCTCATATATGGTCAGATAATACACTGGTATCACATTCCAAACGCTACCATATAATCATTTACACACGAGTCTGCCTCTCAGTTCACCCAATAACTAGGCCCCCAACTTACTCGCAGCTTTTTTGGCATCAAAAAGAGCGGCGTGATCCCTAACCTTTTCCGATAGCAACGCACCATTATGCGTATCTAGATTTTTGAACCCTTCAATGAGGCCATCTCTGTCTTTAACAGGCTTCTCTTGACTCCACTTGAACCTTCCCGCCATAGAGGTAATCTCAATCTCTATGCCAATGATGTTCTTCGTGAGTAGCTCAATATACCGTTCGGGTGCATCCGCCACTCTCCATGGATGTGTTTCAGAAGTCTTGCCATAACCCATTATTGATGTCTCCATATGGTCAGATAGATCCGAGATCTGCTTTGCAAGAAAACTTCCAGATTCAGCGGACTTGGTATCGTAGTAAACTCTCGCTCTACCGTACACCTCCACGGCTTCGTAATCCCAGGTAGGAACTACCTTTCCGGTGTCGGGTTTGGTTTGCTTGTAGAATTTAGGTGTGACATAGTGATGGACTGGTCCGTTGAATAATACAAGAACGTCGTGCTCGAGGACATTTGTTGATGATGACTCAGAGACTGCTGTGCAGCTTTCGATAATAGCTTTTGCCTGAGGATTTTGTCGTGCAATGTGACCGCGAAGTCTGCCGAGTCCATTGGTATTGCCATCAAAGTCTGCATCAACAAGCCATGGAATATGACTGTTTTGAAGAAATGGATAAGAATCTGATTTAATTGCGGTTGTCAATATGCCAAGGGGATTCTGACGGATGAATTCATGCAAGACCTCTGGACGCTCCTCGGCATTGCAACTGGGGAAATGCATAATGTTGATGAGATGTTGTGATTTCCTGCGATGAAGAAGAGAGGAGAGGTGGTGACTCAGTTCTTATGATGAATCACGGGTATCACGATCTCAGCGGGACTTTGTATAGCCTGACTACTTATACCCGCGGCAATCCGACACGGGTTTGCCAGGATGTTCACTGAAGGGCGTAACCCACCATGATAGGAAATCAGATATATACTTACTTACATAAGTTACTTTGGAGGGCAAAGATCCATTTTTACTCAACGCCCACCGCGGCATTTGGTTTTGATAAAGATCCCGCGGAGATTGTAACAGTAGCACTAGTCCATTACTGGAAACTATAACCTGTCCGCACCACTTTTAATCAATTCTTTCACAGTTTGAGCCTATGCTAAGATCTGCTTGCCGTATTGTCGTCGATGCTGTCGTTTATCTGGTTAGTAATTGATTGCCGTCAATATTTTAAAGCAGCCCCGATCCTAACCCTTTTAGGGACAAACCGCGCATAGCCATGATATCCTCATCCTTATCGATGTCGTCGTCATATTCATCACACAACAGTTTACTTCGATTGGTTTTACAGTTCGGTGATCACGTTTCGGTCTAGGTGTCGACGGGTGGAGCGAGCAGAGCCCAAGCTTAACTGCTTTTCCAGGATTATAGGCTTTCGTCGCACATACGCTAAACCCTACAGCGTACCCCGTGTAACGCTGTTGGCATTCCAAACGTCAAGCAACACTCTGTATTAATGAGTTCTGGCTTTCTATTTCAGTGGAAAGAGCACATCTATCATAGCTTCATAGGAAGCTCGCAGTCTTATCAACACCGTCGTGAGATTTATATTCACAAAGTCTCATCTGCCAAAAACCTGGTGAGCAACACCCTAATATTATGAAGACTGGTCGTGCCCTTTGCTCACCTGGGCTGCAAACGACGAATAATCGTGAATCGTCAATTTCGTTTTTATAAGGATTGTCGCGCAGTGCCCTGTTGGCAAAAACGGAATATGGCCACCGTGTATCTCACATATACAGACTGACTCCTCCTAGGCTTTGGCCCATCATAGTGTCATATATTTCGGCTCGAATTGAGTCTTGACAACCCGGAAAACCTCACCCAAGCCCCGGGGTAGGATCTGCTTTCGAAGGGTGGCACGCTGATAAGATGTGGAAGCATCAATGTCATGTATCCTTCCGATTTAGAGCAGTGACGCATTTGTGACCTAACCATCAATCCCTTCGTGTATGCGGAGGCCTGTCCAAGCAATTAGCTCTTGATATGAGAATGGAAAATAGGAATATTGACATAGGGTAGCAACTTGAACTTCTGAGGAAGCAGGAAACCTGGAATATCGTAGGCTCCACGTCTACAGCTCGAATTTTGGGGCCCTAAAGCTGATGTTGGCATCAATAGCCTACTTCATCTAATTCTGCGTGAAAGGATCGCATCGCACTACAGTCTCTCGGCATACTTGCAGATACCCAGTATAGCCAAAAGCTTCTCAGCTCTTTCATCAGCATCTTCGACTCGCCGTTACTTTATTTGATCAAGAGACATTTTTAATAATCCATATTGCTTTGTGTTGATTGATAGCATTGCACTTTCCGAGAAGTCCTCCGAAGTTCAAACTTTATCACCATCGAACTCTAAAGTAAAGGGCAGTATTTCACTGCCCAATACCATTCACTTCAATCCATTCGAGAGAACATTGATTCTATTTTTTGACATTGGTAATCTTGGTTAAACCATTCACAATTGGGGATTTTCTTGAGAATATTGAGAATTCTTACAGGAGAGACAGTGCAGCTTCGACAGCTTGTTCTCGTATCTTTTCTTTTCGAATAGCACGTACTGAAGCTTTGTCGCACGTGAGAATCTGTTCCACGATTAAAAGTTTCAATATGGATCCTCTACCCGCATACCATGAAATCAACAAAGATGTTGTAATGCTCGTCGCCCCATATCTTGACACTCCCGATCTTTACTCTGGATGTCTCGTCTGTTCTCATTTCAATCGGATTTTTGGGAATTATCTTTGGGCCAACCCGTTCAGAAACTTAACTAACAGAATTAAGCCGTGTGGTAAGGGCCTAATCTTATTAGTTCTATCGAGAAGTTCACTGACTAGACCCAGAAATTGTTTCGCGTTTCATATTTGCCTCCAACTGTCATGATCCTGAAATCCTTAAGAGAGTTCGAATCCTCGACATGCGTGCACTACATGAGATCAAGCGCGATAGAGCCCACACTAGCGATTACATCATATTTGGGACCTACCTGAAGCCGGAGTTGTTCTTCAAACTCTCCAAGAACTTCCCCAACCTCAATTGCGTCCTTCTCGCACCTACATGCTCCGAGGATTACGGCACATTTCATGGCGCTGACCTGCCAAGTGAATATAATGACGTACCGCAACTGGAGTTCTTGAGCGCGGCTGGTTGTACTACCTTCAACTGCTCCCTCATTCTTCGCCAAAACATTACCAAGTATCTGATCTATCTTGATGCATCCGGAACTGCCCGCAGTCCAAACTGGAAAGCCTTGTTTACCATCGAGAACCTTCCGAACATTAGGATTTTGAAATTAAGAGGATTGAGACTCATGGATACCATGTTACCTCCCATAGTTACCAACTCTAGACGACAGATTTGGTCTTTAGATCTCCGTGACAATCTCTTGACCGACAGTCTCATTTTTTCACTATTACGAAGCTGCTTCCTCGAGCGATTTCCACATATTACACATGGTCCACTCCGGGCAGCCGACGAGTGCCTATTCGAACATCCTCCAATTTATCGTGAGGTTAACGAAGGTGCTGACCCTATTCATACCACCATGACTACACTCCGCCCTGATACCATCAAGCTAGTTGAGTGGTCCACTTCAGGAGGACTCGCACTGAATATCCTTGAGCGAAAGAACAACGTCGAAGATAACCTCAAGATGGTTACAGGCCTTACTCACCTCTATGTCTCCAACAATAAGTTTACAGACCTAGGGATACAGTATCTCCTTGCTGGCACCAATACTCTTCAAGTCCTAGACGTCGGCTCTGTCCGCACAAGTCTAGCACCAGAAGCTGCTACTGATGTTGACGTCTACGCACAAGAACACACTATAAGTTTCCTCTCTCGACAGTGGCAACCCCATCTAGAAGTTCTGCGCATTCATCACTCTATTGTGACATGCTATCCTTCGGTCGTAAGATCACGCAACAGATACGACGACAAAGAAGCAATCTCGAAGATCAAGATCGAAGAAATATGCAAAATGAGACTAGAAAAACAATGCTCTCCCTTCGATCCTCACAATAACCCAAGACTTTGCTCTCTAACCCTCACATCCATCCCTCGCAAATCAACCCTGGAGCTCCTCCTAGCGTTGAAGTATTTTCTCATGACACTTGAAGCACAAGAAGTTAAGATCCGCCATGCGCGCGAGAACGTCAAGAGTCGACGTGCTCCTCTCTTATATCCTGGACTTAGAAAACTTACATTGGAATTCTTACCCGAGGAACATATTGTTCGACCTTCAGAAGCTGGATCGGTCACGGGTGATGGAGATGCGGATAGTTATTACGAGGAAATGGCAAACGATTTCTCGTTTTTAAATCAGGAGAATAGTCGGATGCCAACTAGGAAACAACAGGAGGAGATTGGGGTGGTGCCTAGAGTTGATGTTGTGGAGGAATTGAAAAAATGGAGAAAACATGAAGTTGGACGCTGGACTGGGGAATTGAGGATTGTGTTGTTTTAGCCTGATGGGGTTTTGGTGGGGAGGGAGAAGGGAAGGATTATTTATACCTTATAGCTGTGGTGGGATTGGTGTAGTTAGTTGGTTTAGTTAAATTAATGCGTCTGCGCTTGATTGGGAATACTGGTTTGGAATAGGATAGATACCCTTTATAAATATTATAATGATAATCTCCTTTTCTGAATGATTTCTTAAAGACTATAAAGTGACTCCGGGTAAGGTCTTGGTTATTGTCTGAATAAATCATTATATCTGATTGAGACACTTGGGCACATGTTCCACACAGCAAACAGCAAAAATCTCATCTATTATCCGATCTGCAATACCGCTTGGGTTTCAAATTTCAAATTTCATTTTCCACTCTTTTTTATTTACACTCCATCCATCCATCAACTCCATCCACTCCATCCACTCCATCAACACCACAACTAATATAAGATTACATACAACGGTAAATGCATCTCCCATCTCCATTTCCCATGCTAATGATGCCAGTTCCACCCACCTACCCACCCATCCATCCATACCATGCATATTCCCAAATTGACCAAGCACAATTGTTCTTAAATATCATTCATACACACATAACACCCACCCATTCTTGATTCTAATAGATGAACTCAGCTCCAGGTGCTGCCTCATTGATGATTTGCGATTCGTCGGTTTCTTCTAGGTAATGTTGATATTGGTTCTTGCTTTCGCCCGTCAATCAACAAGCACAACCAAACTTTTTGGTTCCAAAGATTCCTAGGCTAATTATAGCCAAAGTAGGTGATCATGTTATGTGTGCGCCAAACGAAAGTCTCTAAAGCGCCACTTCGAAAAAATTTCTCGGCGGTTTTCCACGACTGGTAGACTAGACGGCGAACATGGAGCGGTCATGACTTTAGTTTCGCCTGTCACAGCAAAAACATGATCCGGGACAAAACCCTCAACGCATGATACCAGCGAGACTTCGACTGCACAAACCACACTTCTACCCTAAAACGATATTCCATCCTCTACTCTCACATATCCCTCTCCAATCTCCATCCTCATATGTGCCATCGTCGGCCCTCCTCCAAACCTCTTGCACCACTTCCCAAGCGCGCATAATGTTCCGCATTCCTTGTCTCCTTTCCGTCTTTCCAAAAGCTTTCGTCGCCAATTCCCTGTCGCTTTCAGTTTCCGCTTCACATGCTGCTACAAATAATGGCCACAATAATGCAGACATTGGTCCATCATTGCACATCTCCGCTAAGCCAACGACGTTTGCGCAGGCAATTAAGGAAAGTTTTGTATGTTTTTGAACTAGAGCATGGGATCTGGGGTGGGAATGAATGGTACGGTAGAGGTATACAAATGCAGAGTGACGATATGCTTCAGCATTGTTGAGGATAGTTTGCATACGTGCCTCCTGGAGATCAATATCATACTTTGAAGAAGTGTCTTCTTCAGCTTCGTTTTCCTTAGGTGAGGATGGCCCTTTAGCCACGAAGCTTGGCTTCCAGTTCGTCAGAGCCATTTCTATAGCCTTAGATGTACTTTCGAGTTCAGTCCGTAAAACACTAGCCTTACTCAACAGACCATCTTCAATGGCGGACTGGAGAGAAGATTTGTAAGAAAGGAGATGGGAAAGTCGATGAATGATTGGCCATAGTTCTGTTGATAGTCCAAGGAGTGTGTCGACCAAATTTAATTGTGAATCTTTGTTCTCGTCATCGGGTACACTTGGAAAAGAGAACGGACTTGTTGTAGGCTGCGTCGTACTATTTGGAGGTGTACCTAAAGAAAGAGCCGTAATGACATCGTAAAACCGAAAGGCCTAGTCCAGTTAGAAATGAGCTCAGGTATTGATTGTGGAGAACGTACCCGCTCGAGAAATATGCTCGTCGGAGTCGGCTCTTCATGTCTAGAGCTCATAATTGTCATCGCTCCTTTCAGATGGCCATGTACAATACTGGAGTTACCGCGTTGTACAAGCTAAAGTGTGGTCAGTTTGCGCCACAACAATTAATTCCAAAGGTAATATCACTTACCACTTCATAGTAAACAAGTAACATAATTGCGCCTAGTATTTCTTCCCTATTTGCCTTATCGTTTTGTTGAATGAGGTTTGCCAGCCCTTGTAAAGCGTTGTTGTGAAAATCTAGAGATTTCTCCTCATTTTCCACTCCCCTATATTCCATATGGGCACTGCTCAGTGCGTACATCGCATTCATTACCGGTGAACTGGCATGGGACAAGGGTAGAATAAGTTGCCGGAATGGATTGCCCGTATCTTCTTTGAAGACAATGAGATGTGATAGAGTATTGCAGAAATGATCCACGAGAGCCCTGCGATTTCTTGTCTCTGCAAATTCTAGAAATACCGGTGAACTAAATGCGAGAAGAGGAGAAGCAACCGGCGAAGGAGCGATCATTGCTAAATCTGGGTATTGACTTTGTGTTCGAACGAGTGTGCCGGCGGGAGGAGAATTGACGTATAGGTCTTCCCGTGGTATCTCCTCCACTTCGTCGTCATTCTCATAAAAGCTTCCCCAGGTAAAACTCGACTGTTCGGAGATTGCAGACAATGGATATTTTGTTTTTTCCTCCCATTTATCTTGTATATTTTCCACATCTTTATTTGTAATAATGTTGAGGCCTTGTGAATACTGTCGCGGCCATTGTTCACGATCAGAACCCGGGGAGCCGAATTCGTGCGAAAGTGCAGATTCCGCAGACGACGCCCTTCTTCGTTTCCGTGGCTTTACTGCTTCATATTCGCATTGCAGACCTCGATCTGTACATCGATCGCATCGTGGACGCACCTCGTTACATTTCTTCTTCTGCGGTTGTTGTTAAGGATTTGCGTGGATTGATACTTGATGATCCGTACCTTTTCCTTGCTATGGACACAGTGAGCACAGGAGAATACCAGCTGAAGAAAAAAAGAAACTCACCAATATATACAACCTTTTATAACAACCAATGTTAGCTGCAATTATGTAAAGTAGTAGACCAAATACTTACCAGCTCTTGACCTTTTCTTAGGAACTTTTGGAGGCGCCTTTCTGGTGTATAGAAGCATAGTAGTGGAAGATATGGAGTATATATATGCACAAACTATTCGAAAAATACCTCGTTCTATGATACAGAGATTGGATACAGAAGACCGAGCATATAGGAAGAATTTCAAAATAACGTTGGTCTACTTGCGCGCGAATGGTTACACGACATCTGACAGAATGTTACCAAAAATGATTCTCACGCTGCAGATGACAGACAGGCCATCGACAGGGAGGATCAACGAGTGGAAGACTGCGTGCGGGGTAAGGCCCTGGTGCCTCTTGCCATCCATGGAATCCTACTCGAGTAACCATCCTTCGTCCGGGCACCCTTCCTCTTTCGATGAAATGCACCGGTTTCGACAGCTTAAAGGGGTAAGGGGCCCTGGCTAGTAGTGGACACGAGATTCATAGCCTCGAAGTGGAGATTTGAAGATGCCTGCATCATTGGTATTTGTTCAGACGATAGAATTTCATTTGAGGTAGCCTGCATAAGGGAGTACACTTAATGCAACGGCTTTCGAAGAAATCTTACACAGTATGAATGCTTCCATCTTCGGCTCATAAGTTTTACCCTCAGGCACATATGTGCCTGCCGGTAGTACTCGGAATTGGTCCTCCAGAGGGTGAGGACGGAAGCGAACGCTGGCCACATATATCCTCGGCTATTAGACATTGGGGCTCGAGCCCGTGTATGATTGATTAAAACGTTCAAGGTATATGAGTGCAGGACAAAGAGAGGACAGAGCAAAGAGAGGTCAATCAGGAAGCCTTGTCAATACCTTGAATTTCATCCATATTGGAGAGCACTAGGCAACAGTGGGATTTCCAATCTCTAACGGTCGAGCCCAACAATCCACCGATAATTATTAGACTGTCCCATCCAATTTCTTTGTCTACCGATCCTCGAACTCCTTGTAAGAAGTACGTTCAGGTTAAATATTCGTGTTAACGCTAATATTGAGATCGGACAGCCGATCCCCCGCGTTTTGGTCCGTCTCGGAGGAAAGGAATTGATTGTCTGATTACGGCCCGAGAATTGTACCGATTCCGTGAAGGATCTTGTTCTTATAAGGACTTGTCCTCGTATCAATGAACGAGAAGTTAGGTATTGACATTGACTGGCAAGAAGTGGTATAACTGCTACCCTACAATTTCAGCTGAAGGAAAGAATGTATGAGCAACGGATGTGCGAGAGTGGGTTAAGGGACAGAATCTATTCATAGGTTGGAAATCATTGGGCCATTTACTAATGCCAAGGACTGACTACATCTGGAACTTTTGAGTCTATTTGGTGATTTGCTAACGTTATGGTGTGTGCATACCTAGTATGTACATATCTCTAGGCTCATGAATCTGAAGAGTGAGTGATGTTAAATTTGCAAGAGTGATTCCAAATTATTGAAGATAATTCTAGATAATTCCAAATTAATAGATGTGCAACAATTTTGATCAGATCACGAGATATTCATGTCATGATGATATTCAAGCCTTGAGGACTGGGTAAACGCTGTACGGACCTTACCTGTTTGCCTCAAGCTCGTTTAATTTTTAGCATTGATAATCCAGGGCATGTGATTTATTTGATTGATCGGCGATCGGTCACATGTCACCAATTTATTATACCGTGATACATGTTCACCTTCACCAAAACATTTCAGTCGCATGTCAGCTCCCGCACCTAATCATCAAGATGGTCAGTGTGCAAAATTCGTATCCAATGCTTCCTCCCCTTTCCTCATCAGAAGAAATGTTGCTGAATGCTGGGGGTGATTGGAATTAGGAATTGTGATTCTTAATCTTTAAAGTAGAACTGGAAATGAAAGTATACCAGAAATTTTGTCGCTAAATGAAGATATTCATGCTAACAATACAATAATAGTCAAAGCCTGTGTATTAATCTCAAGCGATCGTATACCTCATTTCTCGAAAGCTTTGTCGCAGAACAGCCTTCCCCCTCCCCCCTCGAAGAGACCCCGATGTTGTTCTGAAATATTTGATCAGTAATAAAAAATTTAATAAGTATTTTCCTGATATCGAGACTGGATTCAAAGCTCGTTTTTCCCCTACAAGAGCAAAACTTGGAACATTTGAAGTCATCATGATCATGCTTTCAAATGATGTCAAGCGCCACAGTGGCTGAAGAGCGATATGGGACCAAATAACGAATATGCGGGGGCAGTTATAACTTGGAAAAAGACTGCAGGCACCGTCAGGGCCAAACAGATCATCTGCGGGTCCCTGCCAACTTTATCTTTCTCTTTCCCACTTCTCGTTGATTCGATTGAAATATCTGGGTAATATCTGTGTGATCAACTCACGGGAATCGTGCTTCATGATTTGCTGGAGAAGGCCGATGAACCGGTAGATCTTACTAACCGTTTCATCATCCATCACGAGAAGAGAAGAGGATGGAATTCAAGGTAAAATGTCATGGTTGGAGGTGATAAGTTGGAAACTAGTGCATCGAGATGCATGAATACATCAATGCATGGCAAGATAACTCTGGGAGAAAAGCTAATGTGGAGAGCTTCTTTTAGACATGACCTTGATACAAACTACGCTTGAACTCCACCACAGTTGGTGGTCTATGGCGCCATACTTTCGGGGCTATTCCACTTTACATCATTCAATCTCTCTGTCATCCAATTGATGATTGATCAGCCTTTCAGCTCGTGTATCTCCATGCGGAATTGACACAATTAAACCAAACTGACGGGATGTTGTTTATGTTTGGCAAGTTGCGGAGGCTGACGACATCGCTCATGTCAAAAATGTACCCCTCCATTACCTTGATTTGACTTGTCAAAATACTTGTCAAAGATGCACAGAGACATATGGACAAATCATACAAATACTTCAATCTTGCCGTGATACTTTTTGATTTTCTTTCCATATACCATTTACTACTTGCTCAAGATACCCCTTAGTTTACAAACTTAATCATCACACTTTTTATATTCATCAATCACCAACTACATACTTTAGATTACATACTTCAAATTTGCAATTATGGATAAGATCAAGGCAATCCTGTAGGTTACTCAACCATACTTTTCTCAACATGGCGGGTGTGCTAACCTTCACATAGTCACGGCACTACACCACAACATGAGAAGGAGGTAAAGGAAGAGAAGAAAGCCGAAAAGGCAGAGGCAAAGCAAGAGAAGAAGGCGGAAAAGATCGAGGAGAAAGAGGAGAAGAAGGCTGAAAAGCATGGTTCACTGTCACACACCGGCGAAGGAAGCCATCTCGGAAATGATCCCCACTCTACGACTCATCCAACCACTAATACCACACACACATCCAATACCTCTCACACGAATCCTACACCAGCCGGTGTAAGTCATACATCAGGAGGGCTTGACCAAAACAACGTTGGAAGCCATGGCAATTCTCACCTTGGCAGAGATGCAGCTCTCGGAAGTGGAGCAGTAGGTGCTGCTGGTTTGGCAGAACATGAACACCGAAAGCATGAAAATACAGGTCTTGGTTCAGATCAAACCCGTGGACATACTGAGGGCTCCCATGGACCTCATAATTCCGCTGCATTAAATGCTGCCGACCCAAGAGTCGATTCCGACTTGGATGGAAACCGCCTCCCTAATAAGACTTCTTCGGGATATGGTACTAAGGACGCTTACGACACAAATGAGAACGGCTCTTCAGGACATCATTTGGGTCGTGATGCTGCCGCACTTGGTGCAGCAGGAGCCGTTGGGGAGGGTATCCACCACCACAACAATCACCACAACAGCCAACATGGTCTTGGAGGAAGTCAAGGACCTCACAGCACGGCGACCGCGAATCGTTTGGATCCTAATTTGAGTAGTTCCGGAGTCCCCACTGAAGATGCTCATACTCATCACGGCCACGGGGCTCATTCTCGACTCGGCGTTGAGGGTGGTGGAGCTGAAGAGGCTGATGGTGTTCACGGTGCTACTTCAGCTGGTGCTGGCGTAGTTCCTGTTGGGGCTTACGAATCTGGCCATGGCCACCATACCAATGCTGGACCGCACTCATCTAACTTGGCCAACAAGGCGGATCCAAGAGTTGACAGCGATCTCTCCAAGCAACAAAATCATCACTATGGACGTGATGCTGCTGTTGCTGCGGGTGTCGGTGGAGCTGCATATGAAGCCAACAAACATCATCACAACAGTGCAAACACTACTACTGGTCCTCACTCCTCAAAACTTGAAAACAAGGTAGACCCAAGAGTGGATAGCGATCTCTCCAAGCAAAACAATCATCATTACGGACGTGACACTACTGTTGCTGGAGGTCTTGGTGGGGCTGCATATGAAGCCAACAAACATCACCACAACAGTGCAAACACTACTACAGGTCCTCACTCTTCAAACCTTGAGAACAAGGTAGACCCGAGAGTGGACAGCGACCCTTCAAATGAACACAACCATCATTACGGACGTGACACTACTGTTGCTGGAGGTCTTGGTGGGGCTGCATATGAAGCCAACAAACATCACCACAACAGTGCAAACACCACCACCGGCCCTCACTCTTCGAATCTGGAGAACAAAGTAGATCCACGAGTTAACAGTGACAACTCCAGGGAGGGACATCACTACGGAAGAGATGCCGCTCTCGCAGGTGGTGCTGCTACAACAGCCTATGAAGCTGATAAGCACCACCACAACAACGCAAACGCTACTACCGGCCCTCATTCTTCAAATCTCGAAAACAAAGTAGATCCCAGAGTTGACAGTGATCGCTCCAGGGAAGGGCATCACTATGGAAGAGATGCCGCCCTCGCAGGTGGGGCTGCTGGAACAGCTTATGAAGTTAACAAGCATCATAATGCTCATGGTACCGAACACAAGCCCGTTGGTAAAGATATTGGAGATAAACTCCATGGCGTCGAGAGAAACCGAGGTGTCAATGGACCCACCGGATTTCCCCATGAAAGCGGCCACAGAATTGCGCCTGGTGCAGTAGGAACTGGTGTTCCAGGAGCTCCGCGCGGAAATGTCCAAGATACCCACAACACCCACGGTCAACACAAATCAAGCAGCATTGATGCCCCGGTCCATAATTCCACAGGACCTGACCATATCTTCACTGCCCCTGTCATGGATGATCCTACAGAAAACTTAGCCCTCCGAGAAGGAAAGATCGATCAGCATGAACACCGCCGTCGAGACTCCGAAAATGGTCGTCCTCATCCTGATGAAAGCACCTTCGCTACTGGTGGTGGATATGAGCACGGCAAGGACAGAAAATTAGAGCATGAGATTAACTCTGCTCCGTTGGGTAACACTGCCACTACACATGGCTCTGGCTTGGGAGAGAACACATATAACACTTCTTCAGGTTCTGGTTTGAACCATAACAACCTAACCGGCCACAACACTGCATCCTCAGGTACTACTGGTTTAAAGCATGATTCCGGGTTGACTGGACACAACACCACTGGCTTTAACCAAGGTTCATCGACCGGTACTACTGGTTTAAGCCATGGCTCAGGCCTTACCGGACACAATACCACTGGCCTTAACCAAGGTTCTGGTTTGACTGGATACGACAATACATCCACCGGTACTACTGGTTTAAGCCATGGCTCCGGCCTTACTGGACACAACACCACTGGCCTTAACCAAGGTTCTGGTTTGACTGGATACGACAATACATCCACCGGTACTACTGGTTTAAGCCATGGCTCCGGCCTTACCGGACACAACACCACTGGCCTTAACCAAGGTTCTGGTTTGACTGGATACGACAATACATCCACCGGTACTACTGGTTTAAGCCATGCCTCCGGCCTTACCGGACACAACACCACTGGCTTTAACCAAGGTTCTGGTTTAACTGGACACCACACTACTGGTCTTAACCACGGTTCTGGTTTGACTGGAGACAACACAAAATCTGCCGGTAACACGGGTTTGGGTTATGACTCTGGCTTTACTGGAAATAACACCACATCCTCCGGTACTTCAGGTTTGGGCTACGACTCTGGTCTTACTGGGCACAACACCACCAGCCTCAACCATGGCTCTGGCTTGACTGGGTCAACAAGTACCCATGGTGCTTATGGCGAGAACAGATTGGGGGAGACTTCTGAATTCGGAAACACCAATACCAACAGCCGAGTTTTGTAAAGCAAGGCAGAAAGCAAGGAAGCTAAAGGGATGATATTTTTCACATGACTAATGATTTATTATGATTTATGGTTTTTAACATTGTATTATTGCAGGCTTAAGGTTTTTATGTATATTTAGTTAGTTAGTTTTATTATGGATGGGATGGAATGAATATGAAGTACGATACTTATGAAAGCATTTTTCAAGTATTTAAAGTATGAAGTGTAACAGAGAAGTGAAATGCCCATTGGTATTTACTAGATAACTTTCCACCTCAAAAAATAAAAAAGGTTAGCTAAACTAACTCATTAAAGCAAAAAAATTCCGATCTAATAAGACCTTGAAAGAAAATCAAGCAGAGATCTATTCTCAGTGGCTTGGGCTCGAGAATGAGAATGAGACTTATCCATTAGTGCTCTTTGTGAAGAAACCTAAGTTTTACCTTACTAGTCAATGAATAGCTCCATCATGACGTCTTTTCAGTATCAACGTTTTATTTTACCCATCTATTCACATTTCTTAGGATCTGAAAATCTTTCATGCTTGTGTGAACTGCAGCTGTGTCTGGATTATTTCTGACGGGATGAGATTATTTGATCTCGTTTTACATCAACCACGCCATAATCAAAGATCAAAAATCAAAGTTGACTGATCGATCATGGAGTCAAAAATGCATAGGAAATCATTGAATGCGAGGAACGATAGTCTATATCATAATTCTGTTTATTTGATTTCTTCTCCTTATCTGTATTTATTGTTGATCTTGGGATTGTGTATTCCATGTCGCTGGCCAGTTTATTGGTTGATATCCGGTGCACCGATTTTGGAAGCCGTGTTACTAGCTGGAGCTGCGGGAGAGAGATCAGGAGGATGTGAGAAGAAAATAGGAGGAAACTTAGGAATGGGGAGTCAGGAACCAGAAAGTTCGTATACGGAATCAGCTGCTTGTACTCGTATCCTACCAGGTGTTCCTCTCTGGCCACTAACTACTACTCTTGATTTAACATATTGTATCTGTCGCACTAGTTGGCTTTTCTACTATCTATTCACAGTCACCTGTTGGAGTTCGATACCTATTATATGTCTTTTTCAATTTCCTATCGCGGGACAGCTGTTGCGGAAACAGCTGAGGAAGATTTTGTTATCGAAGACTTGGGGGTTACAGTTTATTGATGATCGGATTGGGATTTTTGATATACCTGGGTTGGAAATTGATACGAAGGTTGATGGATTGGTGGTGGTTAGAGGTGTGACGCTTATATTGAGTGAGATGAGTTTGACGGTTCATGGGGTGGAAGTTGTGTTGAAATTGATGGTGGGTGAGGGGAAGGATGGGGAGATTATTGATGTGGGGATTGGGTGTGAGGAGGTGGTGGTTAGATTGGGGAGGGGAATTGAGGTGGGTGATTGTTTTGTAAGTGTGAAGCGTGGGGAAAGGGGGATGGGTTTTAAAGATGTGCGAGAGAGGATTGGTGGTGGGAGATGGGCAGGTGATCAGGTATCGGAGGTGGATTTGAAGATGTTGAAGGTCGTGAAGGGAAATGGGAACGGGAATAGGAATGTTCAAAATGGACAGCAAAACTTGGAGGCTGAGAGGAAATGGAACAATACAGTAAAGAACGACATAACAGACGGTCATGCACCAAAAGATACAGATATAAAAAAAGGAATCGAAGCTATCAAAACCATTGCTCCAGACGACACCAAAGCAGCCAACGATCAATACCACAAAACCATCTCCGCGATCCGTTCCACAAACAGTATACAAACCTGTCGTCAAGAAGTCCAACGGCTTGTCGATTCAGGCGCAGGAAAAAAGGCAGACGGCACCGAGGCCCTAGCATCGGTGAACGAAAATAGCAATAACGACATCTGCGCAGCAATTTGCTCACAACTCCACCGCCAACCTTCAATCACACATCCTCCGACTCGATCCATCAAAGTCACAACACTACAAACATTAATACCACCGCATATCCGGACATTTCTCCATCGTCTCCCTATGCTCATTCGTCTTCTACTCAGCCCAATCGCTCATTTCCATCCTGTGAAGATATCATCTGTGACTGCTACCGGCTCTGGAAAATGGATCCAGGAAATTCTCGAGGAGAAACTCTTTAAAACTGATATTTATACGCCACCTTCCTCTCCTAGGCCTTCTACATTTCCATCCTCGACATTTAAATTATCTGATCCATCCCCTACATTTTCATCACTCACTTCCAAACTAACCAATCCATCTTCAACATTTTCCTCCTTCACATCCAAACTAAACAATCCACCCCTGGCCTTCTCAACCCCACCAACTCACCCATCCAACCCATCCAACCCAACCCCTGAAGAACAAACCACCATCCCCCAAATCCAACACCGCATAAACAACTGGCTCCTCCCCTCCACCTTCATTCTCGAACTCCGCGCCCTAACAGGCACTGCGCAAATACCCATGCTTCCAAGCTACGACATCCAGTGTTCTGTATCCAGCAGTAGTATAATAGCCTATCGAAGTCTTCCCTACGTTGCATCACTCAAACAAGTACTTCGACTCGGAGGCGCGGATGTCTCGTTTCAGATTCCGAGTTTTTTGCTCCCGTGTCATGAACATCTTTTACCTGTGTCGGCTGCGCATGAAAGGATTGTTTGTAGAGGGGATGGTTTCAGGGGACAGGATGGAGAGTTTGGAGGGGTTGTTAGGGGAGGAGAAAGGGAAGGAAATGTTGGGAAGGATGAGAATGAAGATGAGGATCAGGATGATGAATGTATAGTGAGGATAGGAGCACATGTGCGATTACCAATGGTGATGGATCAAGAGTTGTTAGATTGGATAGCGAGCGTAGTGAAAGCGAGCAAGGTAATGGAAATGGAGGTGGAGAGTCGATGGATGGATGAGGAGATTCGTGGATTTAGGGATTTGGTGGGGGTTCTTAAAGGGGGTGTAAGGGATGTATGTATTATGCTTCTTTTTTTTTTCATTCTTCCCTTCCCTTCCCTCCCTTTTCTTCGCTTCCCACAACCATTCCCCAACAAAACCCCAACTAACACCCCTACCCCTCCCCACAACAGGCTCAAAAGGAATAAAAATCCCTCCTTACCACCGCAATAAACGACCGCTGGATCGCAAAAATGGTCGGAAAAATCACGACTAAATTACAGGAAGCAAGAGGAGATGTAGGGTATGCGGGTGAGATCAAGGTGCCGCTTGGACCGTTTAGATTGAGTGAGGAGGCGAGGGTGAGAAAGGAGGGAGTTAAGATATTGCCGTGAGGAGGGAGGAGGGGAGGAGAGGTGGGATTGGGTTTTTGTGGATGTTTTCATGTAAGTTTGTAGATTATCTTCGTTCTAGCTTTGTGATTGTTGTGAGGATGTCTTGACGACTAGGTAGGTATGGTATGAAAGTTATTCTTTCTAAGTTTTGAGAATTGGAAGTAGCAGCAGAGCGAGCGATCATGCAGAGAGAATGAAATAATCAGCTGAAGTATGTTATCTTGGGCATTCCAAAACTTCTAGATCTTCTCTATTAACTATTGTTTCCAAACCATCTAAATAAACTCCAATCACATCAGCATAAATTTATAAAAACGATAATCTCACAAACAAAATCCCCACCCCGTCCCATCACATCACTTCATAATTCTTTAGCCTCCCTCTCCTCCGCCACACTCTTCGCACACCACTTCACCAACCGCGCAATCTCCTTCGACACAGGCAACAACCTAGGAATATCATGACCACCCCCATGATCCCACACCCTCTTCTTTCCCGCACAAAAGCTCGCCAAATTCAAGCTCGCCAGCCGTCTAGGATCTTTCTTGCCATAAACATGCACCGTTGGAATCTGTATTTTCCACCCCTCCGGAACCTGGAATCCATATGGATTCTCCAAATCTATATTCTCCACATTTAATATCGACGTTTTTACCGCTTTGGTATTCCAGTAATCGTCTCCCGGTTTGGCGGTTTCGACTGCGGCGGCTGTGGCGAAGAGTTCTTTTACCGATTGCTCTTCTAGTTCTCGCGCTGTGGTAGATATTTCAATGCCTATATCTTCAATGATAGGTAATGGCATTCCTCCACATATGAATATGGCGCAGTTGAATGGGAGAGGGATATGTGGACGTGTTACTTGATGATCTACTAAGAAGCCGGCGATAAGGGAACAGCCTTGTGAAAAACACATTACGCCATCATAAGGACCGTTTTTATCAATGTGTTCTTGCAGAAAGGAATATGATTCGCGGATGGCGGATGGATCTGAGGAGTGGTAGTAGGCGTAGTATGGGGGGTTGAAGAAAAGTGATACTCCGGCGGCCGGTGGGGATGTGTAGGGTCCATCGAGGAAATCAAAGGTATATGAGGGGGGAAGAAGACGGCGGAAGGTTGCTGGAGGTTATGCGTTAGTATATCTCTGTGTGTCTATGAGGGGAGTATTGTAAGTTGGTGAAATGATAGCATACCCGATTGAATAGCAAAGATCTCAGCACTGGTGCCTTTTCCATGTAAACATAAAAACCTCATTTTGGCCAAATTCACGCAGTTCAAGTAGTTTACAAAATAAAAAGTGAGTAAGTAGTCTGAGATCAAGGAGTAGAGAGAGGAATATCGTTCTTATCTTATATATACATATATATATATATACCTAGGCGTTTGCCATAATGTACAGGGACAATGAATATAAGATCTCGGTGGCCGGGTAGCATCCACATACTGACTTGTGCCATCCATCATCCATGCCCTAACATCAGCATATTCTCAGCAGAGAAAAAGATTACCTTGATTACGATGGAGATTATCCTAGATGGATGCATGCATTCAATTTTCGCTCCATTCATCTGAATGCGTGTCTCTTTTCTGTTCCCGATGGGGTATTCCATATGTGCGATATACACTCGTGCAACCTTTTCAGAATAGATAAATTTGGATGAAAGTATCAATTGAGCTGGGAAATATTTGATTTGACGGTTCGGTGTTTTGCAGAGAAGAGCGCCGGTAAGATTCCGGAGTTTGTCTTACTCCAGCACAGACGACAGACATCCTTGAGATTTCCTATTCTTCTCATCATCTCCAAGAGAAAATACGACATACCTACATATCAATATCTTATTCTTTTCTGCAAGTTATTACAATAGTATCTCCTGTTGTCCGAGATGCGTGTGCTTGATACTTAGTATTTACCACATCGAGTGGAGGACTTATTTTTGTTCATTCGCTATGGGAACCGGAGTCGCGGAGTGATGGACTATACAGCAAGCCCTTGAAACTTTAGCATTTGTTGTGAAATAAGGGAGATGCAAGGTGGTATTAATATTATGGCTCCCAAGTGGGAAAGACGTATTCTTACAATATGGCTGTAATGAATCCTGCCGTTTTTCAACTGACAAGTGTTGGAGTCCATTCACCTCAGCTCAAATGTCATGTATCCAAGTGGTGTATTTTCTAGGAGCCCTCAAGGAATTGAACATGGATATATCAATTAGATTATTAGGTGTGCAGTATATTCTGCTTCGAGTTTCTTGTTACAACTTACATATCGCGTCCCATAAGGATGCTCAAATCTGTATCATCAATCATGATGTTCATGTAGAAGAGGTTATTCGTCAGAGAGACCAGCCAAATCAGCAATAATCTCTTCACCCTTACTCTTTGCAGCAGTCAACCTAACAGAAGAGATAAAAGCTGCAGCAAAATCCGCAGTCTCTTCATCTCCAAGTCCATCAATGAGTCCGCAGACTCCCGATCAACGACACAGTTGAATGATTACTCGAAATACCCTTCCTTCATTTACTTCATGTTCCTGTTAGATCTAGGAATCCCAAGCAATGGCGGAACTAATGATATCGACAGAATTGTTTCTAGCGTGCTACTTTCCAGCCCTGTGCTTCCCACTTTTATCTTGGTAGAAGACTCGGCTTCTTTTAACGGCAAGTAGGGCGCCTAAATGTATTTATAGTCCCGTCTTCCAAAAGCTTGGAGCCGCAATCCTGGGGAACTTAACTTTAGTGGTATTTTGTCTTCCTCGGTCGTAGCTTGTAGGGATACCGCAGAAATGACAAATATCAATGGTATAGCTGAAATTATAGGGAAATATAACATGAAATGATAAATTAATGATGTGTGTGCATTAATTAAGTACCTAGTCTCCCAACTCCGTGAGCTAATTACACTAAAGACGTATTTGCTTTCCAGAAAAATAATCCCCTTCAGAGGCAGGACAATAGCCTCGAATATGCATTCCATAACGCGGAAATATTTTCCAACCCAAATCCAACCTATCGCCCATCAAAAATAATATATACTCCCTCTACTCCTCCACTCCTCCTACCAAACTACCCTCCAGATCCTGCCTCTTCTGCCTTTTCATTCCCATTCCCATTCCCATTCCCACGCACACTAGCGCTCTCACTCGCACCCCCGGAATTCCGAATCATGATTTCCTTCACCTTACTCGGTTTCGCCTTCACCACATTCTTAATACTCGCTTCCCTCAACTCCGCATTAGAAAGTCCACTCCTCGGTCTCGAAGCATGGGATTCCCTCCCCGTATCGCTACTTTTTGGTCTCTGAACTCTTATCTCATCACCATCCCCATCTGCCTCTGCCTCCGTCGCATTAATAAAACTACCCGCTTCTTCTGGTACATTCGACAACACAGTTTTGAGATCGCGATCTAAAGTACTCGTGGGAGAATCTTTCAGAGATAAATTTTCATGTTTCCTCTTTGTGGAGACTTTTCCCTTCCAATTTCCTCCTATGCCTAAAACTTTCCAAGCTTTGACGAGAGAGAATTTTTGTTCTCCGTCGTCTCCGGCTTCGAGCTCTACGAGGGGACTAGACGATGATGCGCTGACGTCACTGGCGTTGCTCCAGTTTCTCCCATGTTGGCTAGGTCGACGCACGGGACTTACATCGTGACCATGACGTAAATTCTGGTTTCGAAAGTCGGGAATTCCGGACTGTTGGCGCGGAGGGATGTCGAAGTAGGATTGCGGTTGTTGGAGAGGAGGGGTGGATTCTACCGATGGGTTTCGGCGGCCCGAGGAGGTTTGAGAGTAGACGGATTCAGAGGTGGCTACTGGGTAGTACCCCCGACCTTGGGTTTGTGATACGATGTTAGGGTAGGCATGAGGAGAAAAGGGTGAGTAGGTGTTGAAGATGGGTCGAGTTACGACTTCGGGGCCGTCATGTCGATCGAATGAGAATGGCTCGGTAGTTGGGTGAGATTTGTTGCGGACGCTCTGTGAGCTTTGTGAACCACTCATTTGTAGAGGATCGAATGATATCGAACTCATATCAGATGGTGATGGGTATGAGGGGCGATGTCTGTGTGATCGAGGAACACTGGATCCACTACGTGATTTTGCTTCTTTGTATGCTTTTGTAGCCTTCTTTAGGCGCCTAAGGATGCAGAAAGCGGCGATGAGAATTACTAATAGTATGAAAGATGCACCACCTATAATCCCACCTATTTCTGGTTTTGTAAGGCCACTACTTGTCGGCGTACTCGTACTCTCGGTAGTTGCCTTAACTTTCGCTATTGCAGTCGCGGTGGGTGTAAGTTTTGGGACAGCGGAAGCTTTTGATGTATTTACCGCGACTGAGGGTGACGCTGGAGTGGATGCTGTAACTAATGTGGAAGTAAGAGTCTGTGTATTCGAATTACTATCCGTCGTAGTCATGGTCTCAGTTAAGGTGAAAGTCGATATTGCCGTAGAGTAACAATCATTCATCCCACAGCCCATGCCGTTCATACAACATCCATAGTTTAATGAAGATGGACAGAGATATGAACCAACACCACATGTTTCGCTATAAGATACACCGGGAGAAGCACTACATCCATCGATTTCGCATGAGTAGCCATCTGGACAACAACCGCCTATTTGATTATTAGATGGGGCTCGACAGTGATCTGGCATGTAATGAAAACTCACCTCCAGCATCAATCCCACAAGCAGTATATCCTGATACTCCACATGCTGACGCAGGAGCTGCACTCGTGAGATAACAACTACTAGTGCCGCAGAATCTGTTATTTGGACAGCACCCTCCATTCATCGATTTAGGGCACAATTGATAATCGGTCGGACATTCTGATGCATCGCGTTTTCGTCCTTGAATTGCCTCATGTATCTTGTCCCAATGATTCGAGCCTAATTTCCTTTTTATAATGCCTGGATAAGATAATTTTGGAAATCTTGTTGTCATTGCGACTTGGGTTGTGGTAGTTGGCAAGAAGGACTCCGCGTCGCAATCTTTATCTGCGGGGTAGCTATTCCCATCATCATTGTTTGCACAAGTTTGAATATCTTCAGGGTATCGATTCTCGACCTTATTCATTCGATCCGCCATCCTTTCGCGATTTGTGATTGACATCATTAACACCAATTATTCGTCGCTCGGTAGATATCGTCTTGCGATTGCTTCTTGAATATTCCCTATCGCGAGAGTAATCGTGCGACCAAGCATGTGAGAATCATGTGTTTGGCGATTATTTTTGGCTATAGGATCCGTATGCTGGGCTGAACGCTGTGAGACTTGAAGCTGCAGCCTGCAAGTTAATATCGGTCCGCGAGATTTGTACTTGGAAAACGGCGCGGTCTGTACTATATTCATGGATTCAAATGCAACAAGAAAAGAAGGTTTTCGAGAAGTCGAATTGAGCGGTTTTGGCCTTCTGGTCGCAGAATGCGGCAGCACAATAAGCTAACGACCTCGTTTTCACACGCTTTAACTCCTAACAGAATACAGGAAAGGGTAAATATAGCAAAAGGCGCCTCTGACGAGTCTCACGTCGAAACCTTTACGAAAAGCGATTCAGGGACATAGCTGAACGATTTTTGAAAAAGGGAATGAACAGATATTAAAAGATCGACAAGTTCTTACTGGGAATTGCATTGTCACAAATGGGCATTTGGTACAGTGAGAAAGATTGTGCCGCTGAGGATCCATAGCATTTATCTCAGCCTCCAAAGGTTTTCCTTTTTTGGGTTCAATAACAGACATGGGCTGATGATTGGTAACTTTCTCCGATTGGGTATTTCTGCCATACTGTATTGGGTGTCGAGACAATTCCAAGAAGTTAGGGTAACCAGGGGCGGAAGGAATCAAAAGATGACAGAAATACACTCAAGAGATTTAGCCAGTAAAAGCGAAGATGGTACCTACTTGATCGTGTATGCAGGAATATGAGAAATAGACATCAAAAATTGTCATCGGGCGTGGCTGGTGGTGTGGCCGGAAAAGAGCAGCAATAAATGTGCGTCCTCTGTATGCTGTCATTTGTGGTCACGACCCCGCGAAAGGAAGGTGAGATAAGGCTTGCTGCGATATGACACAAATAATCAAGTAATCCCCCGCTCTGCACTCGCAATTTGAATCCAAAATGCAAACACAACTTTGGTTGTCCTTGAACTATATAACTGCAAGCACCCAAGAAAAGTGCCCGTCGCACCACCACTCGGCTGCTAGCATAGGAATCCAAAAAGGCAATCATGACCGAAGCTGTCGCTCGTCAGCTGCAGTAGCTTTGCAATCCCAAGATACAAATTTTCTCTTTATAAACATCTCGATTGGTGGAAATGGGAGGCCTTCATGTGTGAGAGCGGCGTAGCAAAAACCAGATGTAGAGGCTGAATTAAAATGCGAATGAGATGTCACTCACTGGGGCTAAAGATATTACACATTAGCTTAGTCATCAGATAGAGAACATGTGGTTTCGCTTCAACAAAAAAATAAGTTCATCCTGCTTCTCATTCAACATATACTACAAACCGCACAACGAACTTGCCCTCGAGGCATTCTTGTACGAAATAGCTTTCAGCTAGAACCACCCACCACCATACATGGTACTCGCAGAATAATCATTAAATGAGCTGTGCTCAGTATATGTTGGTTTGTAGGTGCAAAATGTGGTCGGAATAGCCACCAGCTGGATTCACATCTCAATTCAGGTTGTATAATTCGTATCTTCTCATAACCTTAATGTATCATTTCATTGGACACAAATGAATACTGGCTCTTCCCGAATCCTCTTGTTCATGAAATTTTATATGGTTTGGAGTGATGTAGGAGGGCTAGTGACCCGGGCATTTTTTAGGTTTCATGTACTGATTTTGAGTCGACATTCCGGTTTCAGCTGCTCGTCGCTTGGCCGCGGGATGACTATCCAAAAGTCTGCTAAGTTGCTAAGTGTAGCTTTTGAATATGGGAAGCTGTTGGCTCTGTAGCTTACCTTTTCCCTTTTTGTTTTACTTTTGACATTTCTCCGGTCAGTGGTTCAAATATATTGGCAGGAGCCCTCACTAATTAGTCCCTCAAGTCCTCATACGATTGCTCTTTCTGTTGGAAGTCTTTCAACGATGGGCAAAATTTTATCGTACATTCGTTGCAAGCATTCGCAACACAGGAAATACCATAATCCTGCGATTAATGATGTTGCATTGGAATTTCGTAAAACAAAAATAGGTATTTAAGTACCTTGTGCCCAGAGAAGTTCCCTTGGTCATCATGTGTTGCTCGTGGACTAAAAGAAGTCGTGCTCTGCATCTATGGTTCTTCACGTTCCCTGCTTTTCTAACTCATTCCTAGAGGGAGAGCCATGAAGAAGCAATTGAAGTATTTGCCAACATGTATATACACAAAAAAACATATAAGATGTCCTTTTTCGAAACATCTAAGGTATTGTTTTACATCCTTGGGGATATGTCGCATTCAGAACAAGAACTACCCGCTATGTTTGGAATGCACCGTTTACCTCCTCTCTAAACCAATTCCTCAACAATTTAACAATATTTCAAAGCTGAAAACAAAAGCAAGGCGAACTAAAGTGATATTTTATTTTACTGGTTTTACCCCGTACCATCGGTACGAAAGACACCGATTAGACAGAAGGCGCCATAGTCGCTCCTACTGTGGTAGTGGAGTTTTAGGAAGTTTACAAGAGGGAAATGTAGCGACGCAGGTCACGAATTTCGTCACGAAGTTAAACTTGCAGCATTCACATACGACCACGCAACATACAATGTTACCCGTCATAACCATCGTAATATTGATTTATTTCAAACAGCTCCTTCTCGTTGCTCTTGCATTTGTGTCCACACTCTTTTCCCCAATACCTACTACAAAACAGTCTAAGCCATTCTCCCTCTCTTGTATCAAATCACACGGATACAGGTGGTTCTTCTCTGTACGCTTGCAACATCGGAGCAGCCCGGCATACCCTTTGTGCAACCTCCAAGTATGATGTAAGGTATATTTCTCCGGTAAGTCGATGCTTATTATCCAAATATGCATTCGAACTCTTCTTCTTAGAGTACTTTTTATTTCAATACATCGACATACTTTCCTATGTTCTATGGTGAGGCACAAGGATACCTTACCTACAACATGGAGTTCTACAATGGCGAACCGACTTCCTGTCCAACAAGAATGTCATCCGAGAACAAGGAAGGTTATTCCCATCCTGAAATTTTCCCATCTCCTAACACACCAGCGGGTCGGTTCGCCTTAGATAAATTCGGTTACTTGACCAGGGTTCAAACTTCTATTTAGTCGATTCTTAAACTTTTCAATCTTGAACCGACGAACAAGTTTGCTCGTATCCAATACCAGAAGTGGTTTGTCTGCACTGAATACCCGCCAACCTCCACCAATACTTACCGCACTTTGGTTTGGTATGATGGAGTTGGCGATCCGGATGTAGGAAATTGCCACCCTGTGCGAGTTAAGCGAACATTCATCGGATAATTGGCGTTGAGAAAGAGTAATGGATTCGGGGATCATGCACACTGGAGCAGTTGAGCTTTCGATAAGACCTTGCAGAAGGAACATTTATTTGTACCAACAGCATTTGACGGACTTAATATCCCAAAAAAAATTATATTCTTGGGCAAGCGTTACTCTAGCAAATATCAGTCTTCGGAAATAGCTGAATCATCGTGATAGTTATTTGTATCGAATGAATTAGTGAATAGTGATTGCTGTATCTCCGTCCATTATCATATGGCACTTTCAAAGGTTTGCTCTAAACATCATCCCCGAAGAAGGAGCTCAAAATTAAAGTCCGTCAGGGTTCTCCCATCTGCAGGCTTTCCTATCATTATGACATTTTACATTCGTGCCATGATATCCAGATCCTAATAATCACATACAAGCATTCCTGAATCGGCTAGTGTCGATACTTGCCCCTCTCATGCATCATGAACTCGCCAAGTGTCAGAATTATCCCAAGTAAACGCACCGTAGCTGCGAACCCTTTGAGCCTGGATCCGATCGCACCTATGAAAGAGATGCGCTGGCGTCTTACTTTGTATCACCACTATTGGCCAATGAGTAATGTGGAAGAGTGCCTGTCAATGTCATTAGGATTGTGCTAGGGGCACACTACTAATTCAACCCAGCTGAGATTTCAGGGATTAGAATATGAGCCTCTTGATATGTCTAATGAGGAACAAGACGAAGCAGTCGTGTCTTATCTGGCGCGAACTTCAACCATATCGTTGGGTTCTACAAGACGAAGCCAGACTTTTTTATTGGAAGTAATATGGTGATAAGGGCCATTTGGATCAGACGGTGTTTCAAGTATTCTGCCGAAATTTCTCGAGTTTAAAACATCTGCTGCTTGTGTGTCTTTAATTAACCTCGATCATGAAACCTTAATATAGGTAGGTGACTTCTCATTAATTAGAGATGAGCCGCAAACTATTTTTCTAAATGACCTATCTATCTGACCCACAGGAAACACGGGAAACCAACTACCTACTACCGAATACAAATTCCTCATTACAGTGCATTAGTTTGGCTAGCTATAGAAAACAACAATGCATCCGTCTAAGGAAAGTCACCGTACATATCAGTGTTCTGATAATCCAACGCACCGTAATCATGTTTGCAGAATACTGACTTCCCTAGCATTTTCTGGCAGGAATAAATACTAGAGACCTTCCGCAGCAAGAATGGAAACTTGAGCAATCTTGTTGATAATCGCGTTACTGTTCATTGTTTTGCTTGAATATTCTTGCCGTGTGATTCTACAATATTCGGACTTGGGTCTGATGTAGAGGAACTTGTTAATGTTATTCGATCGAAGTTGAAGGGGAAAGTTGCGGATATATTTCATGAAATGGTTGTCGACTCCTGCCATAAATACCGCTACATCAACCTAGTTCACATATTTGACTCCTGATACGAGGGAAACTTTTGCTACAGGCGTCAATGTTCCGTACCTGATTCCTAATACTGACATAACTACTATTATAGGCTCATTCACTTCAAATAGCCAAACAGCAATTACTTCTCTGAAGAATCAGTAAATATACAAATAACGAATGGCAGATATTTGATACCGGTCTTAGTATCTCATGTATGCTTTCCTATGTTTCTGCTGCTTGAGGAAGAATCTATAATCCTCTTAGTATCCATGTCACTCGACTAATGATTTCTTCAGTAACAACAGAGCAGTATAAGTACATCACCACTGCGCTTGGAATCATCATTATTCCGGGAATTTTCCCAAGACATATTTCTGGAATGCTCTAGAGCTGGGATGTATTGTCTTAACTACGCGGCTCTACGATTATATAGGTTTCAAGTTTCCAATGACAGAATCTTCATTAATTGTGGTATTTATCACTGGTGACTATATGTTTCGACCATCACCGTCTCTAGACTCATCATCACAATTACAGTGTCAGCACCCATGGTAGTTTTTATTACTAGTGACTATATTTCGACTCACCGTTAAGGTCACCAATGCCGACCCTGAAAATAAAGGCATTACCTCTCGACCCAGAAAAAAAAACGTAACTACACCCTCGTTTACGTCTAACTAACAACTTCCAGAGAGTATCTCTATCGAAGTAATCACGTTCATATCATTTTCTCGCAACTTTGAAGGGAATTCCGAAGAACTGACTGAAATTATTAAATAATCGTCTCTAATGCGTACAGTATCATTAACAAGCGATCTGCCTCGGAACAAATCAGCAGCAGGCGACCGAGCCGCTGCACTCACAGAAACAAATCTGACTGACTCGAGCGGTTTGGCCGTCGTATTGACTTTCGAAAATGCCTATCAAAGTACCACTTATCAACTAGCACCAATACAATCATTAGCAACCTGATATCAACAAGTGCTAATTCAAGCGAAATTTTCGTCTACCATAGTAATGGTGATGTTACCGCACCTGATAAAATCACATATCGAGATTACCTCATAGCATCATTCCTACCATGCGTACTTCTCTCTTTTGGTTTAGCTATATTCCACGCAATTCCATGGCACGTTTTGGAAACATAGTCGATACATGGAGCCTTTCTATCAACCTGGACCTTTGCAGCATTTGACCAAGTCTGAGACTATACATCTAGACTACCAGAGTCCATCAATATCCATTATCCTTTCAGGTCCATTTCCTGGAAACACTTCGCAGTCTTTGTGGCAAGCTTGATATCTATTATTATGCTTGCAGGCTGCAGTCGCATTGCTAGGCTCGAAGGTCATGCTTGTATGTGAGAGTAACTATTGTGTAGGAACTGGTCTCATCGTCCGCGTCAGTTGGGGAATGTATTCCAAATTTCCAATTTTGCGAGGATGCCTGGAGGATTACGTACTGGGATCGATTCTTTTGCACTATTTGTAGGATTCTTAATTATTGCCGGACTACACCAAAATACAGGAGTATATTGTGAGCCGTTGAGATTGGTCGGAATGGCTGTCATGTATCGCGAGGCTGCTATCTAATGATCATTTCAGGCAATTAACAGCCTCCAAGCAAGTATAAAGAAGGGAGGAGTCACACTCTTGTCCAGGGCTACACATCACTTTTAACTGTTGAAACAGATGCGGCTATGACAACTCCGGGTTCACCAGTTCAACTCGCTTGAGATCTAGGAGAAGAGACGGCTCTACGAAACATTCTTGTTATAATCAAAAGTATAGAATGGAATTAAGATCCGGCTAACCCGCATTGGCGGACTTTGCCTTTTATGCGGTATTCTCGGTGTGATAGCTGTATACTACCAAACAGATGCAAATCCTGAATTTAATCGATTCATGAACTCACAAGCTTAAGGCTTCTGGGTTAGATTTTTCATGACGGGTCTAGGAACTAGTACCAATCTCCTATGGTCGCTTATTGACGAAGGTTCGTCTCTAGAATCTAAAAAATCTTCCTTTCGTTTAATTGATATAGACAAGTAGCCGAGGACTAAAGCACTGATCTCCGCAAAATGGACGTTTATTTCCAGCTGCTTAGGCAGCGCTAAGCCTCAAAACTCCATTTTAGCTCCTGTACATATGAGTCCCTAGACAGTCCTCATTCCTTCCCTTCGGCCAAGTACTATCTAGTCTGCTAGATACATTCCGCTGTATCCTATCTGAATTTCTACATATGACTCTAGCAAATACACCATATAGTATTACAGAGAGTGGGTTAGTGCTTCTATCGTGTTTTTATCTCGTGATGGGTGTACTTTCACTTATGATCATTGCTATTATCATACTTCTCTTTCGACGTCGATCTAGGCATCATGTTAAAAGTCTTCCCAAGAAACCTTGTACGAATGCGGTAATATTGGAGTATCTATCTCCAACCCGCGAAATAAATAATACTCACTTGATAATATTGTTGGGAATTATGGTATTACTATACGAACTGCTTACAATAAAATCAAGAAAAGGGGGAAAAAAAAGCATTAATCTTTATATCTCAACTAGTCTGCAAAATATTCGTAGATGATCACTAATCATCAAGAAACTAATAAATAAAAAATAAAATAAATAATAAAATAAATAATGAAATAAAAAATATTACTTCTACTCAGAATAAACACAAGGATAATATTAAGAACCTATTTAATCGAAGGACAAAAAAAGTCTCGCTACTTGAGATTTTTGAGTCAATAATTTCATCCCATCACCATCACCATCACCATCACCATCACCATTTCATTATAATTCTATTCTATTCTATTCTATTTGCAGAGCCATAGCCATAACCTCAACCTCAACTCAAACCATACACAAATAATAAAAGAATCCGTCATTCATCACTTTTATACGACAAAAATAGTAGAATGAAAGCGCCAGCCCAACCAAACCAAACCAGACCAACCGACCATACACACAAGAAATGACCGACGCCAGTTTCCTTGTGCCCAATTTTTCTTTTCCCAAAAATTTCAGACTCTACATACTTTCATGATTCAAAATCTCGTTCGATGGCTAATAATTTCCAATCATGTAATAAAAGACTAGCTGGCATTCATTCATCCATAGCACCTTAATGAACCTCGCAACCTAGCCTAGCGCCAATTTCGCTCAATCCATCCAAGTCACACGCCAGCCATTGACTATACAATGGTATATCAAATTCTATTCAGTCCTGCTATTTTTCCCGTATACACAATCAAGCCCCGGTCTAGAAACGCCTCGGTCTAGAAACGCCTGTCTTCGCATAAAAACGAAAACACCAAATGGAGGAACATCACCACGTTAGACCTCGAACATTAGCTTACATACCCATCACACTCATGTATGATTGATCAAACAACGTAAGATTATCTCCTCCCATGTGAGGACTGGGCATCGTGCTGCCAAATCCAGGGATCTCTCGACTGAAAAGATCCATGTCGTAAAATCCTCCTGATTCACCACCTTCGTTATAGTTTATGTCCAAAAATTCGAACATATCATTTGGGTCCGGGGGAAGTGCTGAGCCTGTTCCACCAAGAAGGGCATCACTATCTGGAGGCGAGTGAGCCAAATGACCATTGTATATCGCCGTTGAGTTATCAACGAGAGTCCCCAAAGACTCAAATCCATTTAGATGAGTATCGACTGGTGGTGTGATCCTCTCACCCATAGAACCTTGCAAGCGTTCAAGCTGTGCCCGTTGCTTCTCATATGCTAAAGCCGCTTTCCGCTTAGCGTCCTCACGTCTTGCCGTTTCTCTGGCACGACTTATGATATCTTCCATACCCGCTTTTCGAACAGCTGCTTCCAAGAATTGGGTGGCGTAATCCGCTGATGAGTAGTTATCCCGTAAACTTTCGAGAACAGTCATGCATAGACAAAACCCATCTAGAGCGGATTGCCTCTCATTTTCCTTTGGAGATCTGACCAACAATAAATGAATAATTATGGCTGGCAGTAGAGCTGTGACACCCGTGGTGGGAAGATATCTCTCCAGGTCAAAGTTATGCATATCGCGGATAATATTTGTAGTTCCCACAGCAGCTTTGGTTACCACCTCACGTGAGAGCTCAAAAAGTGTTGGTGGTTCTGAATGATTAGGACCAGCAGGTAAAACCCGTGGCCTGTGCAGGGCAGAAGTCGCGGTAAAGTAAATCATATGCAATAAGGAACATGCCACGAATACTGGTCGTCCACTACTTTCGTCCTTCATCCGATTCGAATAGACACATGCTTGGGGAAGATTTTCCTTCCAATGGTCGAGTGCTAAATCGCATTGTTCGACCTCTTCTGTTGACGCCGACTTCTTGGGAAACAGCATAATTTGTGATGTAGTATTTCCAGCATCGCTGGCCACACCTTGATGTCTCCCAAGGACCGAGTATTGTGCTACCAGAACTTGGCTGATACATAAACACAATTGTGCCTTTGATATACACATGAGAGCCAAATCTCGTTGGGCCTCAACATCTCTTACCAAGGAACATTCCGAAGAAATGATCGAGATTCGCGAGTCAAGTGCCTTGATCTCGAAATCGTCTTCAGTCAACATTGGTACGTCGCAATCTTCATCCTTAACCCTAGTCGGTCGTCTCATTCCCAATGCGATGAGTCGATCTCTCATAAAACATGACCACCATACTCGCTTTCTCAATTTATGATCAGCGTCCATTCCTTTTGGATCTCGATGCAGTGCAAGTGTATATGCATGATCTATGGCTCTACCCATCCAATGCCACGTGTCTTTGTGGTCTTCTGGCGTTTCGTACCAGTATGTCATGAGAAGGAGGGATTGTACAGCGGTTAGCATGTCATTTTCGTAATCCAGATCATAAAGAACCTAGATATGGTTAGCATTGCTCCAAGCTAGTCCATGTAAATTCAGCACGTACTCGGGCCCTCTGGAAGAAAGCCTTCCTCGCTGCTTTCCTCGTACGATACCCAGCACGTTTCAAGCTATCCATGTCCACAAAGGCCGTACCAGAAAACATGATTGACTGAAAAAGCAAGAGACTCATTGAGCCAGACGACCCTTCATCATTGATTATTTGTAAAACTTTGTGTAATTCCAGAAGTGGCATATATGGATAAATATATTCGATGAAGGATTGAAGCAGAGCATTTCGTAAGGAAGGTTCCGGGATAAGTAATGCGCTTTTTGCCCAAAGATATTCTATATCGACCGAGGTCATTCTGGAAGGAAGCGGATTGATGTATGCCGGGAGTGAGTGTTTGAACGGAGGAGGTGGGGAGGATGCCAAACGTGTGCGAACCAGATCGCCGTGGAGAGAAGCCCGAGATGTGAGTTGTGCGAGTCTTTGCCCATCAATATCGCAGTTCTCCTTTCTACTGAGGGCTGACTGGTCTGGTAATATTAGTATATCATTGCGCAAGAATCTCGGTCTCTGATCGAGCTCCTACTTACAAATTGAATGGGGTACATGCTGAGATGAATGTGGAAGGGCGTGTTGAGGTGAATTTGCATTGCTAGCTTCAGACACTCGTCTCAAACCATCGTTTGATATGTGTTGCGGATTTACTAGATTATCTGCGTAGACCTGGAGTGGAGCTGCTTCCACATTGTCGGCGCTACCTCGTTTGGTTCTGTTTATTGTATAAGTCAATCAATTATACAGATTTGAGATTGAGGCTTCCGAGGTCCCGGTGACTAACCTTCTCCTCTTACTTCCTGGCACTAGACATTGTATTCCATCAATCGCACAGTTGTTACACACTCTTTCACCAGCATCATTGACGCGCTCACTACGCTCCACATCGCACCGTACCTTTCGACTTCTACAATTTGTACATGCAATCGAAGAACGTTTCTTTTTTTCCGGATTTGTCGATTCTCCATTCCCATCAGATGATTTCCTCTTTTTCGACTTGGCACCTGGAGATTGTGGATGGGAGGTCCCGGAAGAATGTTCGACGTCTCCCATTGACAAATTTAGATCCTCCTCGCCGTTCACTGCGGATCTTAGCAAATTCACAGATGTCGAATCCATTGCGATACTGCTAATTCGTGTGAGACAGAAAAGTTATTGGCTAATAAGTACTCCCAAAGAGCACGGGAAGCATGTGAAAATCGACAAGGTGCAAAATATGCAAGAATTATTGTAGACGAGAATGAAAGGGTCGAGTTAGTTGGCATGTGATATAAAAATCAAAATAACAATGATAAAATTGTATATTTTAAATTCCTTCTTCTGAATCTGCACTAACAATATCCCAAGCTAGAATTAAATGATGACAAAAGGGAAGGGAAGTTCGAGAATAAACACAGGGTGCGGGAGGGAGTTCTGACTATTATAAGGTGGTTAGAAATTGAAGAGATGACAGACACTAAAGAATAATTATACCTAGCACCTTGGATTTATTGGGGCACTTTTTCTGGTGGAGGAAGGCGCAGGGATAAAAAGCTTAAGAGAGCAGAAAGTCGAAAGCAGAAACGCAGGAAAAGCGCAGGCGGCATGTGAGATTAGAAACAGACCTTTGAATCGTGTGGATCGCAGCTTTTATCCTTCATTAGCATCTAAAAATCACGACAGGTCAAAAGTAGAATATTCCATGACATACATACTCAAGCGTCCACGCAGACCGCATCGCAGACCGCATACATACCACATGCCGCATACATGCCATGCCGCATATCAAATGTATGAGCTCGAGTACAACACGCAGACGATACTTGGGAGTGCAAGGGAGTTACGAGGAGCGACTCAAGCACATACATACATCTATCTACATAAAGAAAGACCGTGCTTCTCATGGAGAAGATTGAAACTTTTATGATTCACAAAATCATCCTACGTCTCGTCTCGTCTCGTCTCCTCTTTGGGTCTTGCCGTAGACTTTACTAGGTATGTGGAAAAAGATTCATCACATTCGTACTTTGATTGCATTATCAATAACTTCTCCCCACCAAAGTTAAATAAATACCCCTCCTTCACTAACATGCACTTTTCCTCGCGAGGGCTGAGCTACTGATTACTGATAGGAGCCAATGAGATCTAAGACATTGATGCTCTGACCTAGATTTTCAGATTTTCCGATCCATCTCATAAAAAGAGTTCATGGTTGAATTAAAAAATTAATAAACCATTCTTGCCATTTCCCGTTCCCGCCTGAAAAGTATTATTAACCTCCAAGAGTCAAGGATTTGACGACTGGGCATCCCACCTCCCACATCTCCGCAATAGACGGAAAATATGGAGATTGAAGTTAGGGGAGGAGTGTGATGGATGAAGAAAAAACGCCATCTTCCATCGTCCATCTTCCATCGTCCATCTTCGCGCACGAAACGGTTAATGTCGATCAGCGACAGCGAAGGATACAGAGTACATCTCTGGACTGTTGGACTCTGGAGCGATCTGTGATGTGGCATTACTACTACGTACTCGAGTCTCAATCAACAATCTTTTGGCGACTAATGTAATGAATGGTGTAAGGCAAGGCCCTCAGTACACTCACTGTACCGACTACTCACTAGCATGTCTCAACCCCTTTCACAGGACACAGAGCGAAAAACGCATATCCTTACCGGTAGTAGACCCCAAGTGAGGTACTGCCCCGCTGTTGATGCTTCCAGCGGCTCTGAGCGGGAGTGGAAAAGAACAACCTAGTCAGAACAGCTGGTGTGGTGGAGCAAACGACGGGAGCCAAAACTAAGAAGGAATCTATTTCCGATGATTTTTTGATTACGCAGTACGCAATATGCAATATGGCTTTCGTGTTTTTTTCTGTCCCAATTACGATGCCTTCATATTTCTAATCATGATCACTATAAAATTCCAGCCATCCCCAGAACAGCTTCCCCTATGAAGAACACACAAGGACACACAAGACACACCGACACACCAGCTGGACCTTTCGAGAAGCCACATATCCCCCCCCATACAACATATTCGCATACATTCCCAATTATGAATCCTTGAATCCGTAAATCCGAAATAATCCCCGATCTCAAATACGATACGATACAGAAATTTGGCAAAGGCAGCAAAATCGCTCACACGACTCGTTTGGTGCAGTAAAAAGTCCCGTTTAGAAATTACTCAGTCTTGGCACCGAGAGGAGGCAAGTGAGCATGATTACCGAACATAACCGGACCAAAGGGACGTGCGTCAACAGTGTGCACGTGTGATTTCGTAATCCTGACAATTTAATATATGCTGTAGCTCTGTATGCATGATGGATGCATACATAATGCTTGTGATGGGACCAGATGGACGTTGCCGAGAAAAGATTGCTTATGGATTTCACAGATGTACAGCCAAAGGTTACATTGTTCAGTGTCCTCTGTATAATGCGTTCTCAACGTTTTATGATAGGAGAAACGGTTCGGAGTATTACGAATTCACAGTGCCACTTTCAACGGCAGCTGGCCCCGGTGATGTGGAGCTCTGAGCCTGCCTGCCATGGACAGTAATGTTCTAGATCTTCAACGGGTAGATTGTCATCTGGCGAACCGTATTTAGAAAAGGGATGATGAATTTTGGTTGACGAGTCAACAGAGTACACTACTCCATAGATAAGTCTGCCGCGATATACTCCAAACGGGTACGCTGTACTCGTGCTGCGCACATCATTCTGGGAGTTCTGCTTTCCTATCGACCCTTCATAAAGAAATGGATAACATGATTGATCCCAACCCTATCCTCTATCTTCAACGGATCATCGGCAGAAATACCTAGACTCATCCCCGATCGTAGTGTAGTCTCCATGGAAGAACTGCCGGATAACTAACTAGGTAATCCTCCTATCAAGACCGACGTCTCAATTAGACTTCAATATACTTCATTAGCATTGTTTGCTAATGTTCATCCCCTCGATGAAGTCTTGAATTTACCCTTCCGTTCGAGTATACAGGAGTTTTGTATGTTTAAATAGTGAAAAGGCTGTGGGGAGTCGGGACTAGCTTCCTCAAGACCAAATCAAGGAACAGATCAATCACATGTGGAGTATTTCATATCTCTAGTCGAGAAAAAAAGACTCCAGCCTCTTATCTTTTTTTCCTTTCCTTTTCGGACACTTTCCTCCTCCTCTTCATCCACAAATTCATGCAAAGAGTTCTCATTTGAGAAGAAAGAGTATCTCATTATTTTTATGCTACTGTACTCCTGTACTCTACATTTGCCGAACAAGCGGTTCGTTCACTCACTCACGTCACTGTTTTGACCCCCGGCCACTTTTTATCATGACGTCGATCATCGATTTCAAGAGCCATTCGGAGATACTACTCTCAACCATCAATTATCTGCGAAAATTCCATATTTCGATCGATGGTCAAGTCGAATTGCCATGACATTACTTGGCAAAATACACTTTCCGTTTTAGAATCCCATTGTCCATTACATGGTAATTGGTTCTTTCCCATTCCCATTGGCTCTCCTTTCGTCTGAGAATTACCTGTTATCGAAATAGGAAAGAATGACCTCACTGAGAGCTTCTGAGGCTCACTACTCCTGCAGCTTGAACTGCATCTGGCAGGAACTTTGGATCTCGTTTGGCAACTTCAATTTGTCGTATTATAAATCTCAACTTTGAACAACTATATAATGACTTCATCTGCCGTCTGTCTCAATGTCGAATGAAGAATCTCAAGTCCTCCAATATTATATACAAGGCTTAAAAGACGAAGCTAAAGAGATTTTAAGACGCATCGAAATGTCTGAGAAGGTTCCAGATCAAATCGAGGGATTCACCATCTCTTCCACTGAGAAATGGAGTGATTTTGAGAGATCAAAGGTACGTTTGTTAACATATCTTGAGTTTCAATGGTCCGGAATGAGGCTTGCATTGTTGCACTTCAATCTGGACTTTGAAATATCAGTCTGTTATCATACATACCGTTTACTAACCCAATTACAGTTCGCTGCCAAAACCTTTGAAGCACATGATGTAGACATCGTCAACGAGGTTAGTTATCCATCATGATTTCTACTCTCTCTAACACCCGATTTTGTTTTCGGCTCCAAATGCCTATTCTTTGACGTCCTATGATGCCATTGATCATACATCCACCTTCAACTACCTATATTAGCAACGACTGACTCTTCGACCTGCTGCAGTGCTGTGGAGTCTGTGGCTCCGATGTCCACACCATCACCGGCGGCTGGGGCGAATTAGCCACCACTCCTCTCTGCGTTGGCCACGAAATCATAGGCAAAGTCCTTCGAGTCGGCCCCAAAGTAACACTAGTCAAACCAGGTGATCGTGTCGGTGTTGGTGCTCAAGTCCAATCTTGCATGGAATGTCCACAATGCAAGGGTGACAATGAGAACTATTGTCCCAAAATGGTTGATACATATATGGCACCTTACAATGAAGATGAAGGACATAGTGATAAACCCATGAAAGACAGCAATGGAAATCAAATCTTCTCACAAGGGGGTTATTCCAGTCATTCGAGAGTTCATGAACAATTCGTCTTTAAGGTTCCAGATGGTCTTGCATCTACCGATGCAGCACCAATGATGTGCGCAGGCCTCACCACGTACTCACCACTTGTCCGTGCGGGCACTGGACCAGGCAAAAAAGTTGCAATTCTCGGCATTGGCGGCTTAGGACACTTTGGTATTCTCTGGGCTAAAGCCCTAGGCGCCGAAGTCTGGGCACTCTCCCATTCACCAAATAAGAAAGACACAGCACTCAAACTAGGAGCCCATCATTTCATATCCACTCAAGAAAAAGACTGGCAAAAACCGCTCGCTTTCACCTTCAACTTCATACTTAATTGCGCGGATATGACTCATGAATTTGATCTCACGGCCTACATGTCAACACTAGCCGTCAATGGCGAATTCCACAACGTCGGTCTTCCAGATAAAGCGCTCCCAGAATTAAAAGCGCAGGATTTCGTAAGCAATGGTTGTAAGATTGCAGCGTCGCATATTGGTTCGAGGAAAGAAGCGCTGGATATGTTGAAATTGGCTGCGGAGAAGAAGATCAAGCCCATGATTGAGACGATTGATATTAGTGAGGAGGGGTGCAAGAGGGCGGTTGAGAAGGTTAAGGTTAATGATGTTAGGTATAGGGTTACGTTGACGGGGTTTGAGAGGGCTTTTGGGACGAAGATTGATTATGAGGTTAATTAGAGGGAAGGGGGGAGAGAATTAGAGGATAGAGGGGTTTATGGTGGGATTGATAGATGTTTAGAAGGTTAGAGAGGTGAGAGATGAGATATGAGATATGATTTTGGAGTTGAAACTTGAGAGAAAAATGAGGGGTTTCTTATTGTATGGTTTTATTGTAATCTTATATTAATTATGAAGCAACATTGAATATTGGTTATGAAGTAACAGCATCAGCAAAGAAATAATCATATGATATATAGCATGATTAATTTTGATTTTGACGACTAAGGAAATCACTCGCTTCATCGAGTTGAGGAAACGTAAGTCTTGTGTGCTATGTATGTATATACGTACATATATATACAGCAGCTTTATATCAATACACGCAACCGCGTATTTGAAAAGATGTCGGAATGAGATGTGCGTATATATCTAGTTTAGTCTAGTCTAGTCTTGAGATCAGCATCTGTGGCTGTCCCCAGATTCGGAATCCACGTAAACCAGTGTAATTCGCTGAACACAATAATCCCTTGTGAGTAAAACCTTCGCAGCCTCCTCCCTTCCCCCTCCCCCTTGTCCCCTACCCGGACATAATCTCCATGAAGACTTCATTATCCGCCCGTCTGAGACTAAACCCCTTCTTTTCGAGACAAATAGTGCTAAGAAAATAAGCACAGATCATTACATCCACCATCGAACCTTAAGCAAGGAATAGATACCATGATCATTCTCGACGACTTCATATAGAGATCACAAATAATCGCTCGCCATTGTACCTGAACCTCGAAACACTTAGCTTTAAAATCTCCTAGATACGTCTTACAGAGATCTTCGAAGCAATTTCTGGTGAGGAAGTTCATAATCAAAAGTTCGACTTCGGAGCGAGCCAATACCAACGAAGGGAATATCACGAAACATATTCATGATCCATCTTGTCTTTGCCCTTTCATACAGGTGGAATAGATGAAGGCGAGACACCATAGACAAAGGCACAGGTGTCGCCTAGAATCTTCCCTCGTGATCGACAGTTTTATAGGGATTAGGATATGCTCTGTTGTGAAAAGATAGATTCCAACTTTTGAAAGCTTCTGGCTGGCTTGCTTTCAAATGGAACCCCTTCTTATAGAACAACCTCAATTTCTATAGCTGAAACAAGTCAAACTCCTTTCTGCCCCTACTGACCCAGTCATCTTCTAAACTAGCCAGAGAACCTCGACGAGGGCAAGTTATATGCCAATGAAGTATCATCTTTGGAATCATTGGTTCTGCATATCCAACCTCGGAGTTTCGATACTCTTTTTCATCCTCAGGACCAGTCATTTGTAACCAATGTTTTCGCCTCAAGCACCATTCTTGGGCGATATCCCAAACCATTCCCATGCGAAGGCCATCTGGACAAGGGAGAATGACTGTTTGGCGCGAAAGACCGCCTCGATCATGCTTGATTCTCTCTATCGCAAATTCGTATGCAGGAGGTTGGAATACGAGCATATCACGCCAGCTTGCGTCAGCTCTCTTCTAAACCATGATGTCAGTAAGTTGCGGACATGGTAGTTATTCAATCACGAGGGTTGAAAAAAAAAAAGAATCGTGATATAGCATGAAAATTGTAAAGGAAATAAAAAAATTCAATCCTTCAAAAGCAGACTTACAAATGCCTTGAGATTTCGCTTCCAAGGTAGATTGTCAAATGCGGTTGAGTCAATTACATGACGATTCGATGTGAGGCTGAAATCGAAAAATACACCAAATTGCTGTTCTAAAAGACTTGACCATGTCGATGGCCCGTTATGGACTGCAGGTCGAAACCAAAGAGCTCTTCCAAGTGATGGTGAGGTGAGGGCTATCGCCCAATTTTTGCAAACGAGTTGTACTGTAAGCAATAGACAAGGTTGAGGAAGATAAGATAAAATTTCATGAAGAAGCTCTGGAATTGAGAATACTCTTGATACTGCGGAGGTTTCGGTCATGATGAAGAAAGTAGATTAATTTGAGGTATTGTTGTTAAGAGGATAAAGAAGAAAACATGAAGAAAGATAGGAAAAATAGGAAAAGTGGTAGTTGTCAGCATCAACTATCTATCACCTTGTGTGGCCTATTGGTCTGTCTTGAGATATGATATGCAGTAAGATCATAGTATAGCATTGGGCGGCTCTAATTCCTTGGTCCATTCTTGCGGAGGCTTGGTGCGGGGAACCTTGACGCGCCAGTCCACCAAGTCTTTTTGAGTGAGCAACACGCCATGTCACTGACTCGAGATATTGGAAGGATTCGATTCGTCTTGATACGACACTAATGTCAAAATACGTCAAGAGTCAAGGTTTAGATAAATTGCGACTCTCGATTTTATTTTTGCGATATAGTACTTCTAACTCCTGACGCCCGGGTATCTGGTATTTTGGAAAAGTTGAAAGAGTAGGAACAGCGAATCTTTATCTCTTGGTGCGACTTTTCCCCTTTTCGCTCATAGATTGGGCCTTCTCTTTATCGATGAAATTCTTGATCATATCGTGTAACGCATCATTCCTCCTCGTAACGAGTAATACATCATCGGTGGTAATGGTAGAACGTCCCGCATGTCGTGAGAAACTTTCGAGATCCATCGTTACATTTTCTATAAAGGATGTCATTAGAAGCATATATTGATAGATATAGAACAGTAGAAAGATAGAACGATCGAAAGATAAACACACCTATTTGATGCCATACCATTTCAGTTAATGCTCCTATGAATTGGTTTGTAGCATTTGAATTAAGTCGGATGGATTCCTCTTCCACAATCTTGCCAATTGAGAACCAAAGAGCTGCTTTGAGCCGCTGGAAGTTTAATGTTAGTAACTGTAAATTCGTGATATTTTCCCTATCAACTCACATCGTGGAGGTCGGCATCCATCTGCGGCGTTTTTGAATATGATATGATATGGTATGGGAATTGAATTGACTTTGAGAATGATCTTCTAAATTGAAGATCAAAGTCGCGTTAAGTTTAGGTTTAAGTTTAAGTTATGGTGAACGCGTTTTACCGAAGTCAAGCCAGGACCTTCACTTAATTAGACCGCTTTATTAATCGCCTTGGAGCTAAGAAACCGGCCAGTCCACATTTTTTTTTATCTCTTTGAATTTCATCTGCTCTGCTGGCAATAAATTAAAGACACCTTTTCTTTCTCCTTCCTTACCGCTCAAAAGCTCACTCAAGTCCATCGGAAGGTCAGAAGGGTTATCTCTGTCCCAATCTTTATTCCCTTCTACCACAAGATCTAATTGCTCGTCAAATAATCTCACTCACCTCAATCAACCTTTCTTAAGAACCTCATCAACCGCACTACCCATCCTCCAAACTTAACCCTCAAACAATACCTTATTAAACTCGAGTCGAAGCTCAACATCGGAAACATGGCGGAATTTATCACCAATCTCCTAGAAATGGGAGCTACCAATTTCTATCGAAATTTGACAGGAGCCTTTGAACAGTTGAAGACGATGGAACTTCAAAAATGGATTCGAATTGTCGCAGTAGTTGGAGCATACCTTCTCATTAGACCATATTTCATCAATCTTGGTGCGAAGAAGCAGGAGAAGGAATATGCCAAAGCAAGGGCTCAACACGCGGAGAAGAAGGAGAAAGAAAAGCACGTCGGTGCAAACTCTTTCAGAGATTCGGTCAAGATCCCGGAGGATACTGATAGCGAGGAGGATGTGAAAGCCAGTTCGAATGATGTCAAATGGGGTGGTAAAGCACGAAAGAAGCAAAGGCAGACAATCAGAAAGATTTTGGACCAGGAGGAGAAATTAAGAAGACAACAACAAGAGGACGATGAGGATAAGGACATTCAGGAATTCTTGCAATGATTAATGATGGAGATGCTGAACAATTCCCTCGGGGGCAACACCTGGGTAGTAGTAGTAGTAAATTCATAATCGATTTGATCTAACTTTAGCTAATGCTATATCTGACTATATGAGAAGTCTATGATATATCTATATAATGAAAGAGGAGAAGAAACCTTTATAATAAAACAAGGACTAAAACTCTTTGTTTATTATATCTTTTAATTAAATCCGGTCTCTTTATTTTTAAAATCTTAAATTTATTAAAGAATCTTTAATATAAGATTTTATAATCTTGTAAATTAATTTCTAATCAATATATAATTTTGTTAAATTTTATTAAATATTTTATAATTATTATTTTATATTTTTTCTTTTATTATTTTATTTTATTTATCTCTTTTAATTTTATTATATTTTTTTATTTTTTAATTCTTTAAATATACTAGAGGCCTGCACCCCCCGGACCTTTGACTTTTCGAGAAAGTCTAATGAAAATTTAAGTTTTAAAAAGTTTATAATAAATTTAAATATTGAATATATATCAGAGTGTAGATAGAATATCAGTTTGTTTTTGATAATTAAAATTTAAATTTTTATTTAAAATAATAATAATAATAATAATAATAATAATAATAATAATAATAATAATAATAATAATAATAATAATAATAATAATAATAATAATAATAATAATAATAATAATAATAATAATAATAATAATAATAATAATAATAATAATAATAATAATAATAATAATAATAATAATAATTTATATTATTATTATTTTGAATTAAATAAATAAAGTTAAATTGAATAAATAAAATTAAATTGGATAAATAAAGTTAAATTGAATAAGTTGAATGATTTAAATAATTTGAATGATTTCAATTTAATTAAATTGAAAAAAGTTCCAAGTTAAATTTATCTAAAATTATAAAATTTGTTTATATCAAGCTTTTTGTTAGATTATTTACCAGGGTATTTTAGATCAATCAAATTGTTAGGATTACAACTCATTTAAACAAGTTTTTTATTTTTTATTATTCATTGAATAAACTTTATATATAACAAGATTATAATATTAATAAATCAATAATAATATCAATAGATATCGATCTTTAATCTTTAAGAGAAAAGTTATTATATCTTTATAATAAGGATTCGATATAAATAAAGATTAATTTTTCAAAAATATAATTTTGCTTTTTTGTTGTTCCCCCACCTGGGTATATATATCAGATAACGGGATTATAAGATTACTTGTCATCAAACCTCAATACCAACTTTAAACACACTTTTTATCTTTCTGATGAAATTTAACTTTATGGTCTATCTTAAGAAAATGCTTTACGGGGTCTCAAGAACCTACGGAGTACTCGTGTTACTGCAATCATTGTGGTCCTGTTACGGATACGGAATCGGTTGATCAATAAAGTAAAAAAAGGCAAAACACGAGGCAATCAAGATGGCGAATTGAATTTCCAGGGACCTGCGGCAACTAACTTGTCAAAATTGGGGGCACAGCAAGCGTGGGATATATCATTATTGGATAGATATCAGAAATGGAGGGTGGATAAGCCTGTTCTATGGTCCACCAGTCTCCATTATCGAAGCCAAATATGCAGAGGAGTCTCACATTTCAATCGATACCTTCTACAATGCTTATAGAGCCTACTTTGACCCACCATTTCTGTGCTAAGTCTTAGAATGTCGCTGGTAACTATTCCGTAGATGGGTATCTTTGGACCTGATTATTCCAAGTCCATCTTTTATCTGTAGGATTCATGGTGATCAATGGTCAAGTGAGGGGTATGAAGAAGTTTTAGGCACATGAAAAATGTCTGTGTGTCTTAAAAATGAAGGGATTCCAGTCACCACTCGTAATTCGTGCCGTCATCATTCATCTGAAATAAACCACCATTATCGCTCATTACTATTAATCATTATACGAGTTGGTATTACGAGAGACAATTATAATGATCTGAATGTTCAAAACCTTCTCAACCACAAAAGCCATTGTATTTCTTCATCATCGTTCAATTCTCTAAACAATACCTAGCTAGCACTCAATCAAGTTGCATGGATGCAAGCTTTATTGCATAAAAGTTCTTCTTCTACCTCACCCAGTACTATCATAACTTTACCAGCTCAAGCTTCACGGATATCGGGATGGAAAGGCCTGAAAGACGACAAGAAAGGGATGTCAACGAGTTGTTGGCAAATGGATTCTTCAGAACTTCGAGAGCAAGAAGTCCTTCGCCGTATGTGTTTTCCATGATAAGTCCACTCGAGGGTTTTCCTGGCCCGCTAATTCTTGTCTAGTTATAGCTACAGAAGAAGAACTCCGAGTCCTCCTGCGCAAAATAATTATACATCCAACTTCCTAAGTACCTTTGATCGTGATGGTGGACGTGCAAGAAGTAAAAGTCGTGTCCGGCATAAAGGGCCGCCTCCACCAAGACCAACAGTGGAAGATGAGGCCGTTTCACTAGCACGAGAATCTTCGCCATCGTCCTTTTCCTCATACGATCCTCCTTCTCGTGGCGTCATTGATCAATACCCTATCATACTTGAGTCCGATGTCAGCGAGGGTGATGCTGAGAGATTACATGCCACGCCAAGACCAAACGAGTGGAAAGATTGTGATGAAAACTCCGAACGCCGCTTTGTTCTTGTGCCAGAAACGGACACAAGCTCAAACGACGAATCTACCAGTCAATCTAGAGGTGAAAATGAGCAAACAACGGGAAGATCGGAGCGAGGCAGACCAAAAAGCAAATTTGCGGCAAACACGGAGGAGGATGAGACAAACAAATTCGGCGATGAGCCTATGTTGAAGCCCTCGCCATTGGAAAGAAGAAGGAGTAGGCAAGATTTGCCAAATATACAAACAAAATCCCCTCGGGAAATTCCGTCTCAATATCGAAGGAGTGCGTCTGCATACGGCTCCAGGGATTCCGACGAAACCCCAAACACTTATGCTGCACCTCATACTTCGACTGGCGAATACTTCCTCTCCCCGGATGCAGTACACAGTCCTCGGGGTCAATTCAAAGAGACAATCGGGTCCGTTGCGCAGCCCGGCCCTCGATACCATCCACCACAAGAAACCTCTAGAAGACGTGGCAATTCCATAAACGAGAAGAGAAATAGCGAAAGCAGTCTCCCTAACAACATTTCACGGTCCGGAACCCCTCTGGCTTCACGGAAAGATGGTGGTAATTTTGAAGCTTCCTCGAGGTCCAGGCGGAATTCAAATGACAGAACGGCACATCCACAGCCTACACTCGAAGATTTAAAAAGACTCGAGAGACTCCGAGCGGGTGAATCGGAGCGAGGATCCGGATCAGAACCTGCATACTCCCCTAAAAGATTGGCTACTTCCAACTCAAAACATTATAGCAGCAGCGAAGATGATGTTGTAGACAGTGGGTCTGAGCGAGGTTCTGGACGCAGACGGCATGAACACCGCAGGACTAAGGATTTACGGAAGGAAGATGACTATGAGCGCCGTTTAGACTCTCCAAGGTCTAATAGGTCACCCAGTCACTCGAAGTTTTCGTCCCCGCTTCCTTCTCCAAAGATCTCTTCCAATCAGCTGCCCAGAACCGAGCCATTTGAAAGAGCAGAGACGTTTCCACAAGGTCGAAGGCCTAGTTCGAGGCCTGGCTCACCTTTGTACAGCTCAAAAGAGATATCTCACGCGGATAGACTCAATCAACTGAGCCCAGGCTCAGTCCTAAGACCATCCTCTCGCCAGTCGAATTCATCAGGGCCAATACCAATTCCACAAATGCAACAGATCCCAGCCCCTTTCCCCCATCACGGACTTCTTCCAATCTCAATTCCAACAAGAATCGATTTTCAGTCCCCCTTTGAGACCGAACGAACACCTACTGTGCCTCAATATGAGGATGAACGGCCACCAAGCACGCGGCCACCAAGTACACGCCCAGTTCCCAATGATAAGCCCTATTGGCAGCCGCCTCCCTTTCAACCTCCTCAGTTCCCGTCAGATAACCTACAGAGACCTGTCGGTAGTTATCGTCGTTATTCGGAAGACGTAGGACGAGGTGGTGTTGCACCACTTCCATCTTGTCCAAGAATGGATCCCACAATCGGTTATCAAGATTGGTTGACATTACCTCAATGTCCCAACTTTGACATTTGTCCAAGTTGTTTCAATTCGATCATAGCTCCAACAACTTTTCGAGACCACTTCATACTTGCTCCTCGCAGACCAGACATTTCAATCATATGTGACTTCGGAAGTTCGCCGTGGTATCGGATAGCATGGCTTTTAACAATCAAAGATAGAAGAAATGATCTCGGTCTCTTCTATAGTCTCGCGAACGTGGGGGCAATTGAAGCACCTTGTCTTGGGAAACGCGAAGCATTCAACAGATCTTGGAACTCAATAATCGATCCGAAAACAGGCTCCCCGATAAAAGACTTTGATGTTTGCAACTCTTGTGTCAAATCGATCGAAGCACTCCTCCCTCCTATCCGAGGTGTATTCATCCGTACTATCGAAACAGAATATTCCAGCTCCATTCCACGAATCTGCGATCTTCGTTCTGGGAGCAAACGCTTCGTGCAATACTTTGACGTTCTAGAAACAACTGCAGATGATGCTGCTTATCACAACTCCTCCCCTGATACTCGCGCGCTTGCCAAACTGGCTCGTAAATTTTCCGTTCTCGCTGAATGTCAACAATTTACTGATTTGTTCGATCGCCGCTGGTACATCATCACCCAACTTCCTGAATTCACCGTCTGTGAAGAATGTTTTGACGACGTCGTACTTCCAGAACTAGAGGATAGGAAATCAATTCCATTAACGTTTAATAAAATACCACAGCGAATAGAAAAGGCTAGTTGTCAATTGTATTCTCCGAGAATGAGGGCGATATTCCAAAAAGCTTGTGATTCTACTGATTACATGTTATTAGCTACCAAAGTAAGAGAGAGAAAGGGTGCTGAGTTAGCATGGAAGGTCAATGTGGCGGCGACAAAAAGACAGAGTAGGGAGAGCATGGTTCCGAATCCACTAATGGGAAGGGAAATTCAGAGATTAAATGATGAGTGGAGGAAATGGGAATGAAGAGGATGAATTGAGATTATACATGGGTCACAGAGAAAAAGATTTGGTGAACATCACTTTGTGCAGGTGAAGGAATTTATAGGGGTTTGGATTTATTATACCCATCTGCGATATTCGGAGCAGGATATAACGGCTAGCAAATCAAAAGCTATTTTACAAATATATTCGTAATATGGAGATTTCCACATTGGTTTAGCATTTGAAAGTAGGATACAATACCTATAGGTATGGTTCAAAATTGGAAGTGGAAGTGGAATCATGAATGAATGAATGAATAAATGAATGAAAAGACCAACAACGAACATAGAAGTAAATGAATGTACGTATGTATGTATGTATGTATATTTGGATTAAATACCTACTTATTTATCAATTAAATCGACTGTTTTTATAATATATTACAAAATGATATAATGATACCATGATTTATATATATACGCTACCTAATCTGCTTCTTTCTTATAAGTCTATAACTATGAAATGAATAAGTAGTACTTGTATTGATTTTATTGTTGTACTATTTACTATAATGGAGAGAAACGGAATTATGATGACGATGATGATTGATGTATAATACGTACTTGCTTGTTTCGTTTAGATGTTCAGAGAGTACTGGGATTGGGAAAATATATAATCTTACATTAAGAATATATGTTTATGTATAGAATACACTCACTCACTCACCTACTCACTCACTATAAAGCGAAGAGAGAAAACATAATCCTCTTATACTTCAATTGAATAAGGACATTATAGATACTTTCACTATCAATCTTCACTTCTTCACTTTTCTAGACATGCGGAATATATTTCAAAGGGAGGAAACGGAAGTAATGTTCTGAAGTTGTATATTAAACCTGATTCTCAAGAAGAAAACAATGTCAAGCATCACATTCAGCTTGTATTTGTATTACCACTACTCTAACGAATGACATCCAATGTTTCACCATAAAAAGCTTTCTTTCCCTTTGAATAATAATGAAGTAACCATGACCTATAGCTATAAACCAGCCTGATCGTACTAAAAATCAATCTCTACACCGGAATCACGTCGATAGCCACCTAATTGAATTAGCATTAGATACATAATGTATCGAAATATCTACGTACCTTGAGCCTTGATAACTGGAACGCGAAGGCCTGCCTTGCACTTTTTTGTAGGGCTAGTTGAACGAGTAGCCGTACCGGAAACAACTCTCTTTGTCCCCTTTTGATTGGCACGATCCACCTTCTTAGAGCGCACCGAGCATACCCCTTTGAACATTTCCATGTTTTGGTGTCTCTCTTCTTGGGGCATAATTTCCGCATAATCCATAATTTCTTCATCAGAGTCGACGTCTAGGACATCGGCCGTTGCGACTATCTTTTCAGATTCCTTGGAAGTGTCCAATGTCACTTCCTCGTCAGGCTTCTTGATATTCATATCAATGGCCCAACCGTGGCGACTTGATTCCTCAAACCATGCTACTCCAGCAATGTGATTAGGGTCATTCATGTCAAACATCCGCTTAACTCGCACCCATGATGGAATAGTCTTAAAACCAGAGGATAGATCGGTCTTTTCGTCTGCAAGTTGTTGATGATATTCCGTCAGGAATTCAAGGAGAATAGCTCTTTCATCATCGGTAATTAGAGTCGAATCACAAATGCCGAAAAGGATTTTTTCGATTCTCCATGCGGAAGGACCAGAAATGAACCAGGGAATGTCTTTTTGGAAGGCACCGTTTTTGAAAGAACGTTTATGGATGCTGTGGAGAACAAACCAGCGGTAGAAGTTGACGAGGGGTGGCTCGGGTTTGTAGCCGACATCAAAGAATGCTAACTTCTGTTGTGGGTTGGGTTAAATTTGAGCTTGTATGTTTGAATCTGCGTTGGACATTGGAAAAGTTTGATATGATGAGTTGGTGAGATGAGACTTCCCAAAATTCACACTTGTAATAGACATTGAGAGTATTGCAACGGCAGGTCTAAAATGAGACTTCTCAGTGTGCAAAGTCTTCTTGGGTATTGAATGTGGTGATGTGAGCCCTTTTGAGTCTAGAAGATGAGGGATTTGATCGGAGTAGAAAAGGAAACAAAGGACTTACGAGTCTTGTTGTTTCTGGGTTGGCAGGCGACGAATCCATATTTCTTGCAAATTTCGGATCTGTTGGAATGACTATGTTAGAAATGAGTTAAATCTGGGCTTGGAGATGATTATGAGAGAGACTTGGATGAGAACTTACAACACATATCTTGTTGTCTTACCCAGTGCATTTGATGCTGTTAAAGGTGGAATATAATAAGTTCAATTGATAGCAGAGCAAAGTGAAGTGACAAGAAGTAATACGAAAGAAGATGAAGCAAGATGAAGCGATTTTGAAAGTTGAGTGAAGTATCTTGTAATAAGAGAATTGTGTTGATGTATTGTAAAGGTTGGGGAAACGAAAGACGGGAAAATGGTCTTGGTTAGTGTTTGTGCTTCTTTCCTTCTATGTTTGATTGATCGGGTTTGAAGGATGTACAATACAAAAGACAGGAACGACCACCAACCCGAGCGAATTCAGCTAGAGTTCCATTTACAGCTGTTCTTTTGCCGGAAAGCGCTGGGCTTATCACCTGAGTAAGGTAGGGAGTGAAGATATACGAAATAAGCACGGTAATAAGGAGATGATACCATATTTTACTTCTTTCCCTTCATTATAAGCCAATTGTTATCGAGTGAATCATCTCTTACAGAATCAAGCACCAATAAGCAGAACAGAAAAACATTGAAACCAACAACTATCGATCAAAATCGACTTTCGGGCAAACAATCTGGAGTCAGTCCTTGCCGTCAACTACGCAAACTACCTACGCCATTGGTTTCCACTCCTCATCTACCAGGTCACCGGTAATCCCAACAACCCAATATTCTGTGTCGGCGGTGTATACTTCAATTCATCCAGCGGAACTGCAATTTTCAGACTCGGTAGACGTTTATATAATGTACCTAACACATTAATATGGTTAGCTATAGTAAACTCTTTTCCTCATTATTCTTAAATTGACAGGACCCTTTCTTACTTCACCCTATCCATCTCGCCTCATCTCCCTCCACCCCACGAAATAAATAAATACCACAACTTACCGAAAACAATCTCCAACTCAGCTTTACTCAACCATTCCGCTTGACATCGATGAATTCCCCATCCAAACCCCAATACATCCTTGATATCATGATTCCGATGAATATCAAACGTTTCAGGATCAGGATCCGTGAAGAAATCTTCATCCCTATCCGCTGCTTGAACTGCGCATATCACACCTTCGCCTTTCTTAATCTTCTGTTTAGCTGTTAGGTTAATAGCCTCTATCTTATTTTGCATCTGAATAAAGGATATCAAGACTAACTGCGAGAGGAATTACATACTTGACCTCCAATTTTCATATCCTTCAAAGCTACTCGTCTACAATTGAATGCACTCGCGGTATGATACCTACAAATTTCATTGACTACCTGTGGTGCGAGATCTGGATTGGCGATTAGCTCGGATAGTTGAGAGGGATGTTGTTGAAGAGTAAGGACGCCAAGCGCAATAGTATTTATGACTGCTGCATTACCGGCTACGAGAACTAAATAGGCGAGAGAGGAAATATCCGAGAGGTTGCCGATCCCTTGATTGTACTAAATGGTTGTTGTATCAGCTTTTGAGGTAAAAGAAGTTCAAGAGCGCGACAGTATACCTGATTAACAAGTTCGCTAATAAGATCATCCCCAGGGTCAACCATCTTCCTCTCTGTCAATTCTTTGATATATCCCTGAAGATTGCTACACAAAACATTAGTCTCACATACGATAAACACTCCTAATAATAAAAACAAAACCTACGTATTCGAATTTTCAGCCGCATTCCTACTCGTACTATTCCTCACCTCACTATCACAAGCCAATTTCCCAATATCCTCTTCCGGTATCCCTAACAAATGATACACGGTCAATGTAGGAATCGGAGCCGCAAATTTATGAATAAAATCGACAGGGGAAGAACAACCTTCTGCAATCATTTGATCAAGTGTTCTATCGACGATGGATTGGATAAAAGGACGAAGTTTATCTATGGCTTCTTTTTCGAAGAAGGGTTGGACTCGATTACTAATATGTGAAACTAGATGTTAGAATAGAATAAGATAACATAGAGATAGAGTAACTTACCGTTGCAAAAAATGCGCCGGATCATCTAAATTCACAAAAGTAGGTGCAGAAGCCAACGCAGCTACTTTTCCCCCCTCGTGAATCTCAGGATATCCATCTTGTCTCCGATCCTGCTCCAAATATTAATAACACTGTTACACTTCTATCACATCCCTTCATCCATCCATTCATACTCATCACTCAACACCAAACTTAATAAATATAAATATGTATATAAATATGGAAATCATAAAAAACTCACTCACAGCAGAAAAATCCTGCGAAGCAAGCACCTCGCAACAATCCTGATGTTTAGTAAATAACCACACTTTCCTCCCATCGAACAGTTCAACTCGAGTAACCGGACATCCGCGACGCAATTTTGCATTTTCGGGAGCGGGATCAGCACCTTGGGGGCGCGTGAAGGGGAAATGAGGATATTCTTGTATATGTACTATGACTTAGCTGTGATCAATGTGGATGAGTTGATTAAGGGGGAAATTAATTTACCGGTCATTGTGGGTAGGTTAGTCCCCTTTTTGTTGGTGCTGTGTGATGTTTAATCAATGATAAGATAGAAATTTTGAGCTGTCGGTTGAGGATTGGGGATGGGGGATGGGGGATGGGGGATGCTTGAGTTTATATTCTTTGGCGATTTCATTGTTTCTCGTATGATTATGATTATGACTATGATGACATATTTTCCAATTACTTGAGTAAGTAAGGTTAAGTGTTACACTACAGCGCAAGCTTTGAGCTCAGATGCGGAGTCATCATCATATGCATCTATCATCCCACTTCTCGCTTGGCAGTGAGGGAATAATTATTAAACTTCAAAATTTCATCATTAATCAAGGGTATCTCAAATCTCAAATCTCTCTATCTATCTATACAAAGCAGCCACAAAAGGAACCCCCCGCTCGCTTCTCTATAATATGCAAACCATTCACCCCTCTATTATCTCCCACTGAGCTGCATATCGTACATCGCATATCCCAAAACTACAGGATACTCCTCCGTTTATTACTCAACATGCTATAACTACTCGCGGTCCTCGATTTCAACCCCATACCCGGGCCTTTTCGACTCTTCAACTCAAAACTCGACGGCTCAAAAACACTGCTACTATTTCCCTCCTTCAAGTAGAAGTGACTTGAATTTTCCTCATGATGGACATGGAAATCAACATTTAGCTGATCTCCTTGCGGACCAGCACCACAACTTCCACCTAAGCGTTGAGAAGGGGGACTATTAACTGCTAGAGCAAATAAATTCTGAGTTTCGGTGAAATCAGTTACGAGACCACGTTGGCGGATGAAATAGCCGAGACAGAAAAGATTGGTTAGGAAAACGAGTATGAGGACAACATAGAATATATTTTGCCAGCGAACGGCAGGGCCAGAAGTGTAGGATTGACTGGAGATGGATGCGTTGAAAGGTTCATATATGCCGGGGCTTACGATACTATTTGTAGCTTCATATCCCATGTAATGTCTGAAAGTGGCGTCCTGGGCACTAATTAATAGGGTACAGCCAGCGAGTGAAGCGAGGGCTTCTGCTAGACTCGGTAATGTGGTATTGAGACTAGGAGTCGTCGCGACGAATTGTGTCAGCAATCGAGAAACAGAAGCGTTATCGTTTGAAATTCCGGTGTTAAGGGACAATGTAAGTGCCCATTCTGAAATTATGTTTCGAAAATCTGTTTGTGCGGCAGGAGGTGGAGGTGGAGGGTCGTAGGATTTGGCATAGGCCAATTCATCATTGGGATCTTCGCATGTGGTCTCGAGAGTCCCTCCCGATCCAGCAGCCGAGTATTTTGTGCTGCAATCAGTTGCAAGAAAAGAGCCTGGAAGGTTATTGTTAGTACCAAAGCCAGACGTTCTAGACAATCCATAACATTGTAGATTTGTTCCTTGATCAACTGGAGATCAAACTGTGGGAATGTAGAAGTAAAATAATTAAAGTATGTCGAAAGGAGTACTCACTCATTTCACAGATGGTATAATCGGTTGTAATACTGGATTTTGTAAGAACGTAAATGAATTCGCTCATGTATACCGATATGTTACTTATGGTATTGTAGTCAATGGGTAACTAAAGTAAGTCAGCAAACATTCAACCATATTTATACTACTTAGCTTACTTACCATCGGAAACACTGGAGGCTGTTTACCATTTGTACCCCAGCCAAAGATATCATCTACTGCAGTACTATTAAGATATTCCTGTCCCGACTCTAAAACAATTTGGGATGTATAACCGCCCCAAGCCAGCTTTTGATTTGGAACAGTTATAGAATCAGTTGTGACCGCATTCGGCCAATCAACGTAGATAATTGGCGATAGCTCAGTTTTATTCATGTTCACGCATAAAACGTTGATAGTGGGGCTCACTACTGACGCTCTTACTTTGTATTCTCCAACACCCTCGAGATCAGAAGGCTGTAAAATGCCATTAACTTGATCAGTTGCAGCTGAGATAACACCGGAGTGTGGCATAGCAAGAGTGACGTTGTTCACAACACGATTGTACTTTTTATAACTAGCAGCCATATCGCTAGTATTAGTACGAATCCATGAGGCCTTGACAGTAGTGTTATCGTAGAGCATGGCTGTCACATTTGGACGATGTGCTAACTCGGATGAGTTACTTTTGCCTCCAGGAGCAGCAATTTCGGCCCAAGTACGAAGATACTCGAGAAAGTTATGATACGCTAGAGGGTTAGCGTATTTTAAAAACAGCCTACTGGAGGTTTTACACACCTTCCCCAGCATGATCGATATCCACACAAGTGGAAGCGGAATATAGCGGATCCATAGCTGTTGAAATAGGGGTTTGACAACTCTGCTCAACATAAAATGGATTGCCATAACTTGTTTTGACCAGACCCTTCATTATCACACTATCCCATTTCCCGAATTGGAGACTAGGGCTGACTATGGCATCTGATGCCGTAGTATAAAACATAGCTACAACAGCTGCGGTTAATGTGATTCCTCCCAAAATTGACAATGCGGCCCTTCGTAAAATCCTGGGGTTCGTGAGCATGAATCCTGGTTGAATGACCTAAAGGAGGATAGTTAATATCAAACGAGCATTCCACATCAGACGTAAAGAAACCCATATCAAACACCAAAAAAGTTAAACTTACCCAATTTCGCATTGTCAACTCAGCAACGGTGACACCATCAGAGTTCCTAATAAGAGATCTCCGACTCAAGACTTGGCCTAGAAAATTGACAAATATAGTGACAAAGGATAGCTCAATAGTTTTCGCAAAACCAGCAAACAAAATCGAAGCAGTTGTTGGAGGCAACGACCCATTGGTTTTAATATGCTCGCCATATCGTGGCCGAAGAACAGCTATGAAAAACCAAATGCCGGAGAATATAGTTGAATATATGCATAGGCATAAAACTGATACTGACGTCCAACTTCTGCCCCGCGAATGAATATCATTATTTGCTGCGCATCCACATCCAATGTGTTTCTCGTCATGCACAGGAGTTCCACGGATACTGTTCGGTCTGGAGAGGTCTGGACCGTCAAAAGCTATGTCCAAACTCTCAGTGAAAGCTGAAATCTTTCCCTTAGAAATATCTTCTTTATTCACAGATTCATTGCGCGTATGCCTCTGATCTACCCCCGAGTATCCTCCACCTGCACTATATGTATTATTTTCCGGCCAGCTCGGAGATTCCAGTAGACGATTTTGTGAAGTCGCAGGAGAAGTCATCAAAGATCCGGAACCAATTGGCGGACTGTAAAATCCACTTGAAGGACTGGGTGGACTTGGAGATTTGCGACTGGCAGTGGTGGACATTCGAGATATACCCAATCCTTGAGACATGTCCGCAGAATTATTGGAATCACCCTCAACTATTAAGGGAATTGTCGAATATTGACTGTCTTGGGGAGTACTTTCAAGATTTGGGGAGAATCGAACGGAGCTTTGCGAGTCCATTCTGCGGTATACGTGTCTTTGATGGGACAATTTCGGTATATTTTGTGATAGCGAAGAAGATGCGACTGCAATTGGAGTATCTGAAAGATCAATTTCGCTCGCCTTTAAAATGCCTTTTGGCTCAGCCGGACTGGTACTCATGTTGAGTGAATGTTGAGATAATTGTTGGCAATAAATGTGAACTCCACCCACCCCTCTCTTCCTTTCTGTTAACAATTCTGAATGTTTGTGTTTCGTTATCGTACCGTATCGTATGGTACCAGTGGTGTAACAGAAGATCGACAGAAAACAGTCTATCAAGCATTATGGAAGGATATGAGACGATAAGTATAATACCAATGCTACCATGATAGTGATGCTAAAATGTCTGCGCCACAACCATACTTGAAAAACAAAGCCTAGGTATCATTATCCCCTACCATTATCAGCATTTCTTACCGCCAACCAACAAATAGAAGTGGGCCTGAGATTTTTTCATTTAGATAGATCACTCGAGTACTGGGTGGTCCCGTTCCATCAAGGTCTTTTCGTTTGAAGCAACGTAGAGATCGCTGTCTTCTGCATCAATAATACCAATTGTTGGTTGAAGATGGCGAGGGATTGGTTGAAGAACTAGGAAGATTCTTGACTTCTCGACTTCTCGAACTAAAATCGGTACCATGTGCCACCATTCTTGGCATAACCCATCGGACCTCCGTCACATTTTTGTGGATGACATCAAAATCATTTATTAATGGATGCATCTCCAACATAGCCTCCACGTGTACGTTCTGCGATTGCTGCTTGTTGTGAATGTTGCTCATTGGAGACTTATGAGTATATATATACATAACCTCAAATAGATCGAATTATGTCGACATGTGTAGTTGTCGATCATCTGCAGCTGAAACCTGAGTTGCTACCAAAAGAACCCTCTTCATCTTACTTTCCATCGGCCTTCCTCGTACCGTCAACCAATCTTCTATGCTTGAAGGCTCGTGCCAGGGTGCTGCAGCTCTGCAGTGATGTTCTGCGCTGTGCTGGCGGCTGGGCGAATCGGGTACTTACATGCCCCCCCGCCTTGATTACATCTGGAGATCATCGAGTGGGTGAAGGCCAGAGCGACGGAACTGGTGACTAGACACAGCTTTAGTTATCTGTGGAGTCTAGAGTCATTTACCTGCGAGTGATGATGAGCAGCCGCGCGCATACCCTGCGACTTCACATCAAGATTCTTTCATGAGGACTCGACTGAAAGTGGGAGAAATGGCCATTTTTGGCTGGTGGAGAATAGATTGACAGCTGGTAGGTATCATTAATCATTACAAACTATGTGTCCAAGCTAGCTGTCTACCGAAAGAATTTGTGGTCCAAGTTTCCCCATGCTCCGCTTCCTAAAGTAGCACTTTTTTTGCCATCCATACAATTTTCCAGTTACCTGCCTAGGCTAGGTATTCATCAACCCCTCCAAACATTTACTATTCATAAACAAATCATCATTCATAACCATCAGTACATCAATATTAACACCGCCCCACCAAAAACCACTCAACATTTTCCTGTCATTCATCTCCCAATTCATTAAATCCAGCCTTCCATTTTAGGTTTCGTCTTTCGACCCCAACTCCGTTTCCAGAAAACATCATGCTCTCGAGATTGTTCCTTACGTCCAGCGTTAGAAGACATACTCGTAAGCCAATTAGTTACTAGAGTTCTCGGTGTGCGAGATTCCGGCTCAAATGATGCACCTCTTGCCTCACTCTGGTCTCGATGAATTGGAGCCATTATAGGTGGGCTTCTTCTTCGAGGCGGCATATTAGGTGAGATGGGAGAGCGTACTGATACCTCGGCACTAATTTGACGAGGACGAGTTGTATGTGTGCTCATTGTGTAATCATGTGAATACATAGCACTATAATTAGGTATTCCAATCTCTCCCAGTCTTTTATTCGTCGACTTTGGGAGTTTTCGAGGGGTTTGACTAGCAGAGGAAGATATCGAAGGTGACTGTAAAGCACCAAGAGTACCCATAGCACAATCTTGTTGAAGACGAAATTTCCAATCTTTTTCCAATGGCTTTGGCGGACTGTCGAACATCGGACTATGTGGATCTTGGCTTGATAATGTTTCACATCTACTTAATCTCTCGTTGCCTCTCTCATCATCCTCAGTGCCACTCTCAATATCTGTGATTTCTGAGTCGTCGAAATCAAAGACTGGACTAGGCGTTCTTGATATGCTATTGTTAATTCCGAATGTTGGGTCTAGCAGACTCCTTTCACTACGGGTACTTCTGAGTACTTTAGCCTCATTCGATGGAGATCTTTCCTGCTGCCTATTTTGCAATAGCGAATGCTGTGGTTCAAGAAATCGTTTTCGATCACCAACCGCCGGGCTTCGACTCTGGCCACGCTCAGGAGACCTCTTTGCGTAATTGATACCCGGAGATGGCGATCTCGTCTGTTTTCGAGTTTTCATAGGTCCCGGAGCCACAAGATATGCTTCCAATGGATTATCAAGTCGAGGACGCCCATTATTACCCGAGGTCTTCTGGCCAACGAGCTTGCGACGAGCTTCCAGAACATTTCTTTCAACCTCCTCCTGACTGGGAAGGGTACTAATATCAGGTTCCACGATCGATGGCCAAGCCTTGGGAGTTTTCGGCGACGGAAGACCAACTTTTGATGGACGTTTCTTCTTATCCACATTCGCAGATCTCTGTATATCTCGTGGTCTGTCCGCAGTAATCCGCACCGCTCGTTGTCCGGGATATGCCGCTCTGCAAACGAAAAGAATAAGTATTAAAAACTCAAATTAAATGTACGAAAATAAAATCTTATAACGTACGCCTGAAAGAACTCCATCACATCCAAATCGCCATCCGCATCGCCGTAAGCAGGAGTTAACAACACGGTAACACCAGGAGAAATAGGTGATTGCTCTGATTTCCAATTCGTGGGTGGTTTTTCGAGGAAGAAGTTTCGAGGCGAGGAGGCCTCTATATCCAGGCCCCGGAAATATATGTTTTCTTTTTCTTCATCGTCAAATAACAATCCAGGTGTTGGCAGTTCTTCCGGTTTAGAGTATGGAAATGTAAATTCGTGAGGATTCTGGATGTATATATCATCTGGTCTTCTCCGATGAAAATAGCCCTGGCTTCTCGAGCGTCTTACATGCTTTCTATCCGCCATGATGTATATGTCGATGTCAATGAAGAGGTTTTTGTGATTTTCCCAATAAATTAACACTTGATCAATTGAGAAAAATCAAGACACGAATGATCTCGAAACAAAAGAGCCAGGCAAGTGAAACGTCGTGGCAAAACGAAACGGCGTAGCAAAATGAAACGTTAACGGCGTAGTGGTCAATCAACCATGAAATTAATTATTCAACGCAAGAAATAGTGCCCGCACTGTACAGCCTATATTATCGAGAGAGAGAGAAAAAGAGAAGAAATTCGATTATTAAATAAATCAGCAGAATCGCAAAAGAGAGTGTACAAACGAAAAAAATAATATATATAACTGAAGAAACCATCTCGATCAAGAGCGATCACGACGATATAAGTACAACATGACAGAGTACAAAACTCAGCGTAGTATCTACGGAGTATCTATCAATTAGGACGAAGCAATGACCAAGCCAATACATACAGAAGTACATCAATGCAACGCAATCTCCAATCCGGATCCCAATCCAGCATACGATTCCGCGCAAATATTCAAATATTCATCGATATTGGCCCTTGGACTTTCATACCGCCCCCGAAAATAAATACCCGCCCACACCATCATTCTTTAGCGTGTCGAAAATGTTTGATTCCTGCCAATTATTGTTTCACTGTATGTGCGTTGTCCGATCTGTATGCGCGGTTGGGCGCGTAAATAATTTGGTGGAGGGGGGTTTTTGATGGTGATTGGTTGGTGGGAACGGGGGCTCTGCGTTAGGTTTTTTGCGTGCTGTCTTACCCTATAGGTATAAAAATCTCGAGTCGTAGATTTTGTGCACAAATATGTAGGTACCGCTATACTTATACATTTTTGACGCGGGATATGGAATTTGCTATTTCGGTCGTTTTTGGGTTGGTAGGTATATGAATGATGGCTGACGACCTTGCAGAGAATTTTGATACAAGAATTGATGAGCTTCTTCGATTTTGGAGATTTTCTTTGGAAACAGTATGGAGAAGAAACCTCAAAATTGGAGGATCTGGCTATACGTCACCATCTGGAGCGTATCGATATCGAGTACCTCCATTATCGGTTTGCCCAGCTGTATAGCTTTGTCACTTATCCGATCTGGTTGAACCGATTGAATCATGCCGTCACGTCACACCTCGCACGACATGGCTGCGGTACGAAGCCTGGATAGTTCCCACGCTACCCCGCCGCATTCGCATCCTGGCGGCGCTCCCTGTTCTCGATATCCTGTAGTTAATCCCTCCGCCTACGTCTCTTTGTGACGAGGGCAGTCGAAGTACAAAGCATTTTTCTTTGGAACCAATTAAAATTGATATTGGAAGATTACCAAAGACGGGATGTGATGGCTAGCCGTTTCAAGCGACGAAAGACACCACGTCAAGATCTCCCAATACCAAACATTCAACGTTAAGGACGGTAGGAGGATAAAAAACAGCAATGTTTTTGGTTTACCTTGTGATTTAGTTGACTGGTTTGAGATTTTACCAGACAATGGCTGCTTGCTGGCAGCTCATTCTATACTGCCGTGCTGTGGACAAGATAGTAGACCGTCAGTTGCGTCGTCTTCCAAAGGCGAAATTTCTCGGCATGAGAGTGCATGCTCCTAGTACCTAAGTATACATGTGTATCCCCCACGGTATACGCAGTCGGTTACTGATTTATGACGATTCATGTAGAAAAGCTTGCATCACTTCAGAGCACCAGCTACGAGCTTCGAGGGAAAAGACAGCCAAGAGAAAATTCCTCATTTTTCGGAAGGCTATAGCCAAAGAACACCGGTAAATAGCATTTTTGAAACCATGGATAGCAGGAGATCAACCCAAGGTGCAGCTTCATTACGGGTAACTCTGGGACAGAACTGCTTGAGGTGTGAAAGCCCAGAGTGATGGTCACTGAACTTGATGCATGCACTTGCAGAACTAGAATTCAAGTAACTTGAGCTTGTGCGATAGTGTGAAAGTGATAATCGGTGTTCCAAACGAGGGACATTTTCTACGGAATAAAATGATTTTTAATTGAAGCGGAGATGCTGAACGAAAAGCCAATCCTGGAACAATCAGAAGAAATGGGCTCCTGAAAAGATGCGTACCACAATTCCGCCGCCTGTTCTACCAACTATGGCCAGAACTCGATTGGATACAGCTTTGACAAAAGTGGTTAAACTTATCCGTACCATCACAAAAACTAAAAACACGAATGAACCAGACTCAGTAAAGATCTTCATCCAAAGGAACGTCAATTAACACCATTGATATTCCAAAGAAGTTGCTGCAAGGCGGCCCGACCCCTATACCTATCATAAACCGTCCTGGTTCATTCGCCTTATAGATAAAATGTGTCTGCTCGCGTGTGGTTAAACGTTTGTGATGCTGCAACAAGGGCTAGCGGCTGTGTTCTTGCGTATTGAGATGTACAATTATTCAGAATCGGAAAGCTCTACCGATGGTACTCATTCTTGGCTCTGTTGCAAGTGTAACAGAACTGGTGGGGCAGATGTGGAGGTTGTGTTAATGTAGTGGGCGAGTAATGGAGAGATATGGTATAAGGTCACCGGATACGGCTTTGATGCTTGTGTTACACGCAGCAGTTGGGATACTGTAGCCATTGATGAGTTCGTGGTTCATGCAATTTATACATAGAAAAAGGTACGAAATACTATACTGCAAAAGAAAAAATGCAAGTTAAGTGAAGTGTTGTATTTGCAAGCAATGATATCCTAACGGTCAATCGCCTCGATGATCGGGTCCTTCCTAGCGTCTTTTCCCCGCACTCGGTAACAAAGTCTTGTGTTTGTCCCTCCACAAAATTTTCCTGTATAACAACACGGGGTATCAAGCATTTGTATGATATCGAGATAAATTCTATTTTCGTGTAGTAACAATTCTACATAATGGCTAGGTCCACACTGCAGTCTTTGTGTGCTCCGAATGAGTTATTAGATGAGGCCTTTGAAATATTTTCGCGGTAATAAAGCCAGGTCGACCGGGAACTGATTATGTTTCATCTGCAGCTAATAGGTTATTCATTCGATGAGTTATTTGCCTTTTTAGGAGCAATAATTTTAAGAGCTCGAAGATAAAATCCTGTAAGAATCTCTAAAGGGATGGCTAACAAATGGCTCAGTAAGCTGAATTTCGAGTGTTTCGTCTCATAGTGTGAGAAAGTTGGAATTATAGGCCAAATACATAGAGGTTTTTAACTAGTCAATCACATAACCTCTTGTAATTAGATATAAAAGAAGAGCTTTTATCTTTTCTTTCGAGAATAATCAACCTTCTATATATATATATATTTGAATCTACATAATATCAATTCTAAAATTATTATGAACCCTGTTTTCTTTATAAGTAACGTATTACAATGTAATCTTATTCAGCTTCCTCTTCCAATTCCCTCCTCACAGCGTGCTATCGGGACGCACGTATCTCGACCTACCACTTTTACAATAGTCAAGATGTTCACAATGCTATTGATGTTATTACCCTCTTGCATTACTATCTGTCTCCTGTTCTGTCTTTTAGCTCGTAGCTGAGCTCGTACCTGGCAGTATTTTTTTATACTATCGCCTTTTCCCTCTCGTGCTTTGCCATATTTCGTAATCAGCAACCTCATGTTCATACGCTCTGTATCTCAGGTTACATATCTGCTTTGCAGTATGTAAATCTATATAACTCATGTTTCACGACCTCCTTCGCCACGTGAGTGGAAGCGATCAGATTTATATAGCCGCAATACAACCTGTGCCGGTTATCAGATTGTTGGATTTGCTCACTGACCTCCGTGTTATGCAAGTATTCTCCAATGTATACTTTAGTCGATGACCCAACGCCGTTCAAATCTGGCTTACCGTCTCATGTTTAGGGAAAAGATATTACAAATTTTCATCGCAGTTCTTCTCTTCGCAAAGGAGTAAAACTGAAGGCTGTTTGAACGGTAGTTTTCAGTCAGAAAGTTACAGTCTCCATTCGGCAGTCTATATCATTGAACATTTACTCTAATACTGCATCAATACCCTTTAAACCGTCGCCATCATGTCGCTGCATGTGCCTTACTGTTCGCAGAGCGAGATGCCGGCGGGTTTCGAGTGGATGTTCGAGGGATTCTCGTGCGAGGGCATTTCGAATCATATCCCTGCCACACAGCTGACTCCAATCCTACCACATCCCACCTTCATGCAGACTCCGACTCAGATCCCAACCTTGTCTTTTCAACGCTTTCCACCTTGGCTTTAGCCTTTATAAAAAGTTGGGAAAAGCACCACCCAGGATGAAAGATGGCCAGCGATGATACAGCAATGATAATCATACTACTCTCATTAGTTTCGCACAAGTTTACAGCAGAATAGATGGAAACAGCTCACAAACGGTCCATAATAATAAATCCAGCTTCTCCCGCATAATAGGATTAGCCCAACTCCCTACCATCTCCGCAATCCTATACACACACCTCGCAAAGATAGTGATAAAAGGGACCGTAACTCCAACGCAAAATAGTTTGAAAGGTCTTCTAACAGCCATGATTCTTTTGTCTTCGGGAACTCGATCCCATGATCTTCTGGTTCGAATAATATAGTCGAGAACCAGTGCAGCGAAAACAATTAGAGTGAATACCTGCCACACGATACCAGCTATCATGGGATTCGTGCCCAAATCCCTCGTACTATGATTATCCCCAGCGCTAGCAGCTATACCTCCCCCAATTACCTGCAGTAACAAGGAAAGGATATCAAAAGAAGTAAACACCCAGGTATAGGACCTAGCGGGGATCCTCGATTTTTCACTCCCAAAAGCCTGCACAATATATTGAAGGGTAATATATACACTGGCAACCATAAAACTAGGAGAGAAAATCAGACATGAGATTTAGATCTCAAATCCGATATCTGACCACGGATTAGCGTGTAAAATAATTCGTCCAAGATATCCGACTACTTCTCCCAGACACCCGATGGTTATGGCTAGGCTGAATGAATAGATCTTGTAGCGGATACCGGTTGCTATGTGAAAGATAGCTGCTAGGGCGAAAAAAGCGAGGAAGAAGGCGTTGAAGCCCATTCGAAGGGGTGTAGCCGTAGACGGTTGCTTCGACGGGGCATTCGGGTGATATGGGGGTGCAGTTTAGTGATCCGGTCATCTTGACTAGCACAAAAGAGAAGTGTTTGTAGATTCTAACTGTCTGATAGCTATTGAGATACAGTAGTGTAGATGAATAAAGATGACAATTCAAACATAACTTTCTGGAGTTATATATGTCCAACCCCATTCTTAGATAAGACAAAAGTATCGTAGTGTATAAATCCGCTCAGCCGCACTTACATTCCTTCTCTTCAGAAGATATTGCATGAAAATAGTCGATCTATGTATATAATCGGGCCAAAGACTGCCCGCAAGTCGTTTATCGGAAGATAATGTTGGTGGAGGTTGAAATGACCAAGTGCCATTGATATACTCCCGTCAGACGTAACTGCTAAAAGTGCGTCTGAAATATTTAACTACCCATAATAAAATACCGTTTTGACATCGCAAACAGGCATACGCGATGGAGCTAAAGTTGACGATCGATGATGCGCTTGTCCATATACATATTTTCCAAGAATCAAATTTCTGGCACTGAGATCCCGTTGTCAACATAGATCTCAATGATCTTGATACAATTTTGTCCTCCATTTAATCCTAACTGATTCGCGGCATCCAGAAAGGTTTAATCCCTTCGATCACGGGTGTCCAAATAGTAAGGCTTGAAGGCTTTACCCAAACACGGTGACTAGTGTAGATCATCATGCGCTTCCGTGTTTAGATATTTCAGAAACCGAGACGAGGAGATGGGCACAAACGTCTAATTGGAAATGGAAAGTTGTCATCAACTATTATTTTGCCCACACTAGTCGTTCCATTTGTCGACGACAGAACGCTGCTCTTCTTCAACAATTCTCCTAGCGGTGACATTTTCGCGATAAGCTCTGTCTGCCTCCTCCATGACAGCCCCGTCTACTTAATCTGGACCTTTGGCTATAACGCTAAAGCCAGATGGTGTGTGCAGAACTATGCCTGGAGGCTCTTGTTCTCGCTGTGACCCCACGTTTATACTTGGAAATGCTTCTGATAAATTCAGGCTCGCATCTTGAGAGTCGCCTTCCCGGCTCACAATTATACTGGGTACATCGTCCGTGAGGAAAGACGCAGAATTTTCCTGGACAACAGGTCGAATTTCTAGTCCATCCGGATTATAAACAACAATTGAAGGAATTCTATCAATTTTCCACCTGCGAAACATTTCCGCGCGCCTGGCTCTTCGTACAAACTCTTGCAGTGTGGGATCTTGAGCAGGCTCGAGATCTTGTCCTGAATTCACACGTTGATCTTCAAATACATAATTCCAGTCATCTCTCGACATGTACTCTGAGCTCTCGAGTTCTGTTGGAGGTTGAATAGGATCAGGAGTTGCTTCGTCGTTCTCATTATCAATAATCGATGCGACTGGTGGCAGATCCATTGCGTTTTGATCGAGACTTTGATAGGTATTCACCGATTCTCGTTCATTCGTGTCCGCATCGTCGAGATCGTCGCGTTCCGGTAGTGATAAGAGGGCGATGGCTTCCATGTGTGCAGCTATGTGATCACAAAGCTTTTTGGATGCTGGTCTTGACGTTTTCGCTACCTCCAAGCTGTCTGGTACTTGGTTATCCTCTGAGATCTCCACGGAAAAGGGACAGAGCGGACAAGCTCCAGCTCTTTCGTCCCCTCTTTCATTTTCATTCAACGTGAGAGCCAAAGTGCCGAAAAGGTCTTGAACAGGCTGCGCTGCCTTTTTAACAATCATGGAAAGCTGAGACTCATTGAAAGAATTCTCGTGCTCCTGACGTAAGTGCTGTTTGAAATCTTCTTCAGAATGATAGATAGTTGATTCGTGACCCCCAACTTGACAACACCATACTACGGCATGTTGCCATTGCATATGGTTGATCCAGTCATCTACCGTTGCAAAGCATTCTATTGATTTTTCACACCCATCAAAAAGACACACATATGGTTCTATATCTCGAAGTATGTGTCGCCTGGGAACAATTAGCCTCAATCGTGCGTAATCCTGGATCATGTATTTACTCACTTCCAACGAGCTTGAACCATATCTTCCTTATCAACAATACGGAAGCAATAGGGACAAACTACTTCCTTGGATTCTCCTTTCGACTTGGAGGGTGGACCAGGAATATCTAAGTGTTCTCGGCGAGCAATCGCCGACTTAGTGATTCCCGAAGGTGCCACCGACTTCGGATATGAAGCAAACTTGAGGCGATTGACTGATGAAGCTTCCGTAGCAGAATACTGTATTGTATTCAAAGAACCTCTGGCTGAACCTGATTGCTGTCTCATGACTGGAGTAGCTTTACGCTCATATCCGAGTAGTCGAAGCTTTGTATCCTTGGGCAGAAGAAGAACAGTCAAGTCGGCTGCGAATGATTGCTCAACACCCTGTCTTAGCTTTTCTTTATGACGCTCACGGTATTCTAGCTTTTTCCGTCGAAATACTGCAGCCTCAATTAATCTATCTAGTAAGGCCGGTGAAGCATCAGGGAGTCGGAACTTTATTTGCCAGCTAACGGAAGTTTGGAATTCCTTGAGATTTTCAGATTCTTCTTCCTTCGCTATGAAGTTCGCCACTTTCACGTTTTCATTCGACGAACTAGGTTTTTTGATGATGGTTGAAAGTCTATACAGTCGATTAATGGTGTCTTTAATCGTTTCGAGAGCTGTGGCTACGACATCATTCTGAGGGACGGGAATATCATCCGTATCGGATCCCACATCGGAATCTTTATCCAAGCTAATGGCCATCGAATCTTCCGATGATTCACTTGAGCTATCATCTTGTTCATTCTCTTCCTCCTCCTCCAATATCACCGGTGGATCCATTGCTTGTTTCGTGCTTTGTCTCAGGCGATCTAACATTTGAATCAAGACCTCTTTAACATCATCATCATCACGAAGTCGGTAATCCGCAGATGCTCGGCCAGGAGCAAAAACTCCCAAGCTGCCTGCCCAAATCTTGAATCTTCCAAGTTCGTTTTCTAATTCTGATCGTAAATGCGGGTCCAGCTGCTTGGCACGCCCACGTGCAAATACCGTCGCTACATTTCTAGCAATTTCGGCAATAGAATCTCCAGGACTTAGACGTGAGGCTGAACTTAATGACATTGCTACTTGTTCCTTCCGCGACGAGCGAAATATATAAAAGTTCCTTTGAAATTGTCATGTTCTAGATTTTTGTCGAAGAAAAGAATGGTGCTTACTACTTCGCGGGAAAAATTAGATCTGTAACATGTCGTTGGCTCGTTTGCGTTTAACGTCGGGACGATTTCCCGATGCTGCAGATACGCCTGCTCAAGTCTACCAATCACTTAGCTTCTATTTCCTGCATCTCACGGGCTATTGCCACAATAAGAAAAGACTTTGAGGCTGCTTACTCAATAATCATTTCTAATCGTAGATGCAGAAATCAGCCTCACGATCATAGAAATATATTGCAGATTACACCGCAACGATATATCTCCCGTTTTCGTAGACGACGTGAATAAATATGAGTGGTATAGAAGTGACCGGGTTAGTTCTAGCCGTCCTCCCTCTATTCATCGAGGGGGCAAAGGCATACTCACATGGCGTTGAGACAATTCGAAAAACCGTCTCTCGTCGGGAACGCGATGAAAAGCTCATGGACTTTTATGACGAATTCTATTGGGAAATGGTGCAACTGGATCGTCAAACTTTAGGAGTTATCAAATCCCTGCCTTACTTGTCCGACAAACGAAAGGCCGAGCTGACAATGGACATTCGTTTGGAGGCCTGGGAAGCAGACGCTGATGTTGCTCAAGCACTCTCTGAATATTTCGGATCAAAGGAGGATTTAGATGCTTTCTTGCATGTGATGGGTAAAATTGCTCAGTTGCTTTCTCAGTTGATAAAAGATCCTACTATCCATGTACTATCCGATGATGTTGTGAGTACAGGTTTCGATAACCAAATCATTCACAGCTAATGAATGTTAGGATCAAAGCAAAATGTTCATTAAACTGACGAGGTTCGCCACCGAGAAGAAAAAAGGCGAGACAGCCAGTACTTTCAAGGAAAGAATACGATTTTGGAAAAAAGGAAAAGACCGGGATATATGCCTGAAGAATCTTTCCACATGGAATAAGAGACTTTTTCGTCTAACAGAGCAAGCGCAAAAGGAACCAGTCACCAAAAAATTACCTTCAGGAGCAAAAGATGTTCCGTCATCTAATTTGCGGTTACTCTCGCAAAAGCTATACAGAGCACTCGCCAAATGTTGGAGTTGCAATTGCTCCACAAAACACGAAGCAAAGTTTTGTTTGAAGGCTCGTGGAGATTCTGTGAAGCCGACGATGACAGAGCTCGATTTTGATTTTTTATTTTCCGTTGAGGAAGATATAAAACTGGGCAGATGGCAAGAAGGAACTGTGGTTGTGAGATCAAACAGGTTAGTTTCCGAGATTCCCAAAATTTCACCAATCTCACTGCTAATCTGCTTTGATCCTCTAACAGCGAATGTTCAAAAGACGATCGCTCCCTTTTACAAAAAATATGCGACACAGTTGGGTGTAGAGGCCCCGTTGATCAATGCCTTCAGCTTTTGGTAGAAGACACCGGAAATGACGAAATGCTCTGGCAGCTTCGCTCAACTCCCAAAAGACTACCCGAGTCTGGACTTTCAAAGGCCGAATCTTTGCAAGCAGTACTGGAAAGATCGATAAAGCTACCCCTGGTCACAAAACGAAGATTGGCGGTCATTTTCGCACATTCCCTATTGCAGTTACACGAAAGTTACTGGGAGAATAAGGAGTGGAATCAAAACCACATATTCTTCTTCTACGGCATCTCCGGAGCTCTGGATTTTCAACGTCCTTACCTATCAACAATCTTTGATCCTGCTATAAACGAAAAGCAGCCACCTTTAGATTTGAACAGATTCCACCGCAATCCGAGTATCTTGGCATTGGGAATTCTTCTCATTGAGTTACACACCGGAAGGTTAATCGAGAATTTCCGAACCGATGCTGAGAATCAAGATGTAAACGCAAACACAGATTGGCTCGTTGCAAACCGAGTAGTTAAGACACTAGAGGATTGCTCACTTGGTTATCGTGATGCTATTCAGTCATGCTTAGATACGCCATGGGTACCAGCCGGTCAGAGGGTGAATCTGGAAGATGTGACGACTAGGGTTGGTGTTTATCAGGATGTGATCAAACCGTTGGAGGATGAGCTTACCTATTTATTTCGCGAGAAAATATGATTTTCATGTTCATCATCAAATTCATGAGAGAGAGTTATGGGCGACAACAGATTTTATATTCAGAAAATGAAGATCTTACGCATTCATGGATTTTTATCTCTACTGTCACTCTTTGGGTCTGTGTGAGCAGAAAAAGTTTGATTGAGTAAATAAGCAGGTCATGTAACCCTTTTCAGGATCACTACAAAGAAATTCGTTTCAACAACAATAAACTGACGAATGACTAATTTAATGAATGTTTTGTAAACAGGCAGCACACCATATGACCAGCTACATCGTTCTTGCAATTTCTCCATCAGCTGGTACCCGCTTCAAAGTAAGTCATCAAGGAAAGCTATTAGAACCAAAGACTTGACCTCAACTCATGGGACAAAGAAATCCTCCGAATTCATCAAACCCAACAGCTTTAAAGTGGAGTTGCTTGAATATTCACATTGGTGGTGCATGCCAGGCTACCCGAAATGTTGATTCTCACATCTTCAGTTCGCTTGTACCAATTGTTGTTCGAGGGATCTATCACACCGCCAGTGACTGGCTCTGAATACCACCGTTGTGCTGTGGTGATATACTCGGTAGCAGGGAGGCGACCGATGGTTACCAATAAAGTAGCCTTATATCTCGTTCGGGCTGGTGCATTGACGGCTTGTGTGATATTCAAATCAATTGTTTTGGTTTCGCTGGTTGATCTGGTGTCGGTACGTGTATAGGAATAATTAACTGCTACTGTCCATGATGTCGAGGTTGATGCGACACCCTCAACCCCCGCGGAAGCTGTCTGAGTGAATGATGCTGAGACCCCTACTACATGCTGATCCGAGGTCTCAACAGTGGTAGTCTGGGCGGTCGAGTTATTGAGGGAGACTGAGATAGCTTGCACCTCGCTACTGTTGTTGACCCCTTCATTCACAGCAGTCAATCCAAAGGCGTTCGATGAATTGCTTGCCATAACGTTGAATGGCTCAATAATTTCTTTTTTGGGGACGATGCTGTTCCACTTGAACGAGCTAATACAATCATCGAAGCGAACATCCCACATGTACGGAACTTCCTTAATGCCCCAGCCCTTGATGTTGGAGTACGATGACCCGGTGCCGTCTGCGCCATCATACACTACAGCCATTTGTCGATCTTTCATTGAATGCCAGCGCATCAAGCTTGTGGAATTGTTGATTGCCCAACCGCTAAGTGAGTGGACCGTGTCAGGGCCCACTCACTGAGGAAGATTGTCGAACGTCTGCCAGTAAAATTGCCATCGGCGAAAAGCTCGATGGCGCCCATATTAAGGTCGACGGTTCGCCAGAAGAACATAGAACCGCGTCATTGATGCCAAGGGACCGCAGTTCAATTGAAACTGTCTTCCCGGTGCCGACTAGGTCAAGACATGTGTCACAATCTTTAAGATTGGCCACTTTGCCTTCGTCGTTTTTGTAGCCCGATATCAGGGTCACTACCGTGTCGGTCGGTGAATTGAATAGGATCACGCTCGCGCTGTCGTAATTGGCATTTGGAATTACATGGCGCTGGTTGACTGTGTAATCAATAAGACGAAGTCGGATCTCGCACCTTGAAATTTGGGGTCTTGGAAGAGTGCTACGGTACCGCTAGGGACTTGGAAAGGAATGCCATAGCTTGGCACGCTAGTGAGACCCGCTGGGGTCAAATAGCCACTCTTAGCCATTAAAGCATTGTCTATTACTTGCTGAACTGCCGTTATTAGATCCATAATGATGTTGAGATTGGGTTGATTGATGGATGGGTGATAGGTGTGATTAGTGGTTTATGTAATGATAGAAAGATATTTGATATTATGATAAAACAATAAATATTTGACTTGGTAATAGAGAGATTGACCTTCTTATAGATACTTCGACATTGTTTAGACACTATCTTTAGTCACATAGAGATTTGTTTACTAGCAGCGTGGAGTATGCTCTTCGGCTGCATCCGACAAAGTCTTCTTAAACATAAGAAAACATTAGATATCGAATCACAAATATGCGATCTTCAAACCAAACTCCTCGGTAACACGAAAAGCTACCAATCTCAGCTCAGTGGCCCCAGATTTGAATGAGGGGTAGACTAAGGGGCATTGAATTACCACTCTCCCTATTGTGGGATAAATTAACAAATTTCTGCGCCCAGGTCCAGAAGAGTCCTAATGCTACCCTCGATTTAATAACGTGTATCCAAAATCTAACTTTTGAATTTTTTTTCCAGACACACGTTAATATTAAACCAGGTGTATCACCTCTAGCGAGTCATTGGATAATCAATTAACTCTCCTCCAAAAACTCCACCATATCCAAATTTACCCCCATCGTGGTAACGGGGGACAATTAGGCCGAGATTGGTACAACTAGAGCGCTTGCTGATAGTCAGGATAATAACAGATAGAAATAGGCAGCTTCTCGTCGCACATGAAGTATCCCACCCTTACTATTGACTGGAGTATCCATGAGTCAGAGTATCTAAGATCGAATATCTTTTATGCGATGTGGAAACCCTTGAACAGTGAAGGCATTGAGCTGCGTTTGATCTTGTGGGCTGGCTGAAATATCTTGGTAGCACTTCTATCTCGATACTCTGACTGCAATTTTTTCTCTTGGTCTATCTGAAGGGACGGCTGCAGATGCAATAGCTGGCTGAATGCAACGGATTTGCAACCTTTTTCTGTCTCCATACCTGATTAGACTTCTAATCCAGATACATATATTTGATATCGATTGGTTTAAGGGACGACTGCCGGTCCACTAGTGCAACAGATTTGTTTGCATCCTCGCCTCTCTCTCTCTCTCTATCTCTGATTGTGATTTTACTCGATCGCAAATGGTCGACTGATTCATATAGGGTAACATTTCTAAAGTCTGGAAGGGTCGTTAGAAGTGGTTGATTCCCGATGTCGACAATGATGCATCTGCTAACAGGGTGGTTAATAGGTATATGAGGACAGCTGAATTGAGGTGTTTGTTGTATCGCTTCAAAATAAATGACTGGGACCCCAAGTGATTTTATTTTATATCGCCGATTGCTTCTTGAGTTGAGGTTGGTGTGCATTGGATAATCAAAAAAGGTGCATCTTGAATGATAGACTGGTTGAGTCGGGTGATTTGTTTTTGTACTGCAATAACAATGATATGATGATCAGGTATGAGTAAAGTTAACCTAGTTTTTCAATGTTTTGCTATTCGAAGCTATTGGTTTCTTGAACCGAATTTGGTGTGTATTGAAAAATCAAGGTGCTTTTTTGTGTTACAAGTGGCTGAATTTTCACACTAATAGTGGTGCATTTGGCGAGAGTGGAGTTAATTGACTCAAATCTGATTTGTATCAAAGCAAAAATTATCAAGACAGGCAGGTAATGAGGGGTGAATCACCACTAATGATCCTCCTAGTGGGGTTTTCCGATTTTTTTTATATAGAACATGATCATGTGCTTTTTTTATTTTTATACGGAGTACTTATTTGATTTTTGGCTTAACATGTGAGCACCAGCTTACCCCGAGTCTACTCTATTAATCCTGAACGTAGGAGATTCATAAATGGACAACAAGTGATTAATAGAAAAGTATCTATTGTACTGCTCTTAGAGTGTAACAATGGTCATTACGTAAAGGACGCAGATAGTATTATCATCACCACCATCTAAATACTAAATAATTTATATATATTCATATATACTTATACAAGGAATTTCGACCGTCGTATCTCGAGTCTCGACCCTTGTGTAGCCAATAATGAATTGAAAGAGGTTGAGGGTATATAAACGAGAGATGAAAGGGGGTTGAGTTGATTGAAGGTTATGTGGTCTGTGCGTTGGGTTTAAAAATGTTCATGTTTATCGGTTCAAAAAGTCTAGATCTACTTGTATATTCATATACCTGACGCGATAAATCGGCTCATTCTAGTTCTGTAGAGGTAGGGTACGGTATTCACCACAAAAAAGCGCGCCGGCGACCCAAGATGAAGTACCATCCTTCGTCCAACCCCGAGAATAACCACCCGAATCTGTAAAGGGGAAGCTGTTAGATCCGTCCAAAGATTCTTTTTCTGTCTCCTCACCACTAGAGTACTCAGAGATGGTTGTATCGCCTGTTATTAGAATGTTAGTGGATATGCTAAATGACTTGTATCGTTAGAATGAATAGATAATTTATTACATGTGCAAAGTAAAAAATTAAAACATACCTGAATAATCACTCTCTACAGGGCTGACGGAAGAGTGGCCGGTGGACTCGCCGAGAAGAAACCGTTTCTGTGAGCTGGGTATGGGGTGCTTCAATATTGGATACATCCTCTACCAGATCTATCGGATCTACAACATGGGAGGCGAGGTGCATCTGTGAAGATAAATCCTTTAGTACGGATACTTGATAAGATAACGGCGGTGGTAAGGGGGCAGATAAAGGAGGACGGGGACGAAAGAAGCCATACTTTCCGCGCCCGGAGGAAGGCGTTGTCTTGTAGATTTACTTGTGGATGCGTCATTTGAACCACCCATTGCAGCATTCTTGACATCCATTCTGGCTTTCTTTTGCACCATAGCATGCTGGACAGCCATTCTGTCTCTCAATCGCTTAATAACCTCCTGTTGCTGCTCCTCAGTCACATAGAAGTATTCCTTCTCGCTATCATTGGCGGACTCGGTATTTTCACCAGCAAGTTGAGTGCGACAGTGAGAAGTGTCGAATTGGAAAGGTTTGGAGGATAATGGCGAAAGTACGTTGTCCTCAGCTGCACTGGTAGTGCCGGCCTCCATATCTGAAGGACGAGGAGCATTTTTTCTTTTCGATACTTCCCGATTCCTTTTCTTGAAGGACAGGCAACCGAGTTTGTTCTCAACTTGAAATCGAGAAATACACTAATCATGTCCGAAGCTGATACTTAAGATCTCTTAGGAGAGGAGAAAAAGGACTCGCAAGAAGTGTATAAAAATACAAAGATTGCAAGAGCTTAAAAAGGCTTTGTAGAAAATCGAGGTATATCCGCATGCTGTCATGAAATGATCATTCAATATTGCCTGTCATTTCGCCTCACCATATTTGATATAATACTTTAAACGTTCATCAGCTCTATTGTATCGGCTACGTTCGCGAATTACTCAATGGTTCATGCAAGGATGTTATGAAGTGTTGCAACTACCATATCGTAACGTCACCCCATCCCTACACTTACGCCGATTGCCAAAAGTATGAAATGCTGCAGGCGTTGCACAAACAATATTCCTCCATGGTAAAGACATCTTTGTTCATATGTGGGAGTCTTATCAACTTATGTTCCAGCCACGCAAGAAACGAGGTAGTTTTAAAGTCAACAAGGTTTATGACGCGCATTAAGTCATGCTTTCCCAATAACTTCAAAAGAGGTTACACTCGAGACTTGAGAAGCGAGGGTGAGATTATGACTGAGATATACAAGTTGAAGTGAAATGAAGCTGTCATGCGCAAATAGAAGAGTGTTGATGATGAGATAGAAATGGGAATGGTTATAGAAGAGCATATTAAGAGGCTTTTTGATGAGGTCACAGTCCATGAAGCCAAATATTGAAGAGAATTAAGCATCGATAGAGCAATAAAGGATGCACAAAAGCGAAACTAGGATCAGATGGACAAGTTTCACTAGATTCACTATCTTTTGACCCATTCGAGACTCAAAAATGGAAACTTTTTACACCTTCATCTCACAAGTCATAACAAATGGTGTCGTGATTCCCCCAAGGTATAACTTTCCCGTTCTCACATCATGGATGGCTGTGGTTGCTGCAGACAAAAGCGTTCCGTCATCTTCCACTAAGATCTCAACAGCGTAGCCATCAGTACTCTTACCGAGATCCTTTCCTTTTCTTATCCCCTCTCTCATCATGCGTTCAAAATCGGCCCCCTTTCTTCGAATTCGTACTGCTGCCGTAGGAGCTTTGACCGACCGGTCATTCAAACTTTGTGCCCATTTGTAGACCTGGGGAAATGAGGCACCTATAATGTCTCCATTTTCGTCAACACTCATATTATCGACTAGGTATGGTGTTTGCAGCGTGTCCAATTTCAGAAGGGTCCTCCTCTCGGTGAATGAAAAGATCTGGATTTCATGAATATGTGTATTTGGGACATATATTAGTCCATCACGCCCCGTAACTAGCCCATTTGGGCCACTTATTCCACTAGAGTAAGCCACATTGCAGCGATTTACAGTTGAATCACAGTAACCAATACTCCCACCACCAAGGAGCAGATCAAAGTGGCGGCGCTATAGTCTTGCTCAGCCTTTTATTGAGCTGTATAGGAGATGCGATGGGACTTACTAATCCGATCTTCGCACTACGATCATTTGTGAACACGAAAGCATCATCGTCTACCCAGGCCACTCGGTTTGGTGTTTGGATTGCAGGATCCGTATATGTCCTCACGTGCCTCATAGAATCACTCCCAACGTTGCTATGAAACAGCTCAATGGTAGAATTTGCACCTAGAATGGAAGCATCAAGAGAGTCACCTGTGATAGGATCTATTGGTATTCGATGATTGACGAGAAGGATACGTAAGGTATCGGTCTCCGCATCTTGGCGAATGTCAAAACCATGCAGGTTAAAGGTACCATCTCCATTGTTGCCAGAGAAATTCTCTGTTTTCATCCACTGAATCCGAGACTCTAGAGGGCCATTTCCGCGGGTATCCAGGATAGCAATTTTGTCTGTTAGACCTCGTCCGGAAGCATTCAGACGGTCGACACTGTTGTAAGTCACGTGAATCAGTCAACAAATACCATGGCAATGAGAACCTAGGAGAGTACGAACGCCGGGAGCCATTGTAAACGACTTTGAACGTCGGAACAGGCCATATATAGGTATCCAGTGGCATGATGAAGCCACATATCTTCACAAGCTTCAAGGCCTAGATTATCAATTCTTTCACAAGTTGCATTGAAGGCATCGATTGTCGATACGGAGCGTCCATAACCGGCAACATCGAATATAATGCGCTTGAAAAAAGACTGATAGAGAATTGCGATGAAGGTAACAATAAGAGCTAGTCTGTATGCTAGGGACGTCGCCATTCTTGTCAATATAGCCTCACACTCACAACGGAGAGGATGAATTGCTTAAAGAATGTTGCCAGGTGATTAATTTGCTGTTCCAAGAATCAAGAGGTTCCTCATTATAATGACGACGATATACAGATCTTCTGATGCGGAAACATTGTTACACCGCCTTTATTACAAGGATAATTGTCGGTACATCATGTGATCAACCTCGAAAGGGAGGCCGTATACAAAGGGAGCCGTACGACTAGTGCATTCTAGGCCGTACCCCTTCAATATAAATAGGTCCCTCTCCTCTAGATAGATAATAATCATCCATGAATAAAATACAACAAGAATACCATTGCACTGCAATAAGTATCACCGAAGTGATACCAACAATAATATAGTATAAAAATCACTTTAATATATTTTAATTCTTTACTTCTTTTAAACCTTTACTATTGTAATTTATCAGATATTAAATATTGTATCAAAAATCAGAGATTTCAATTTAATATATTCTAAATAATTTTATTTTTTGTTTCTTTTTTTAAAATTTTAATAAATATATAAGTAATAATTTATCAATTAGAAAAAATATAATAATATCTCTCTTTATATAGGTATTTATAACTTCAACAGGGGCCGCTTGAATCTTAGTGTCGAAGGTACATGGTGGTGGTGTAGCTGCTGCTTCAGTCGATTCAGGCACATTGTTGGAGGACATTGGAGACTGAGCAGTCAAATCCATAGAAACAAGGATGTTATCAGTGGTAACTGTCATTGGCGATTGTTGGACAGTAAGGATATGAGGACTATGAAGAGATGAATCTAATAGTGAAACCTCTTCGGAAGTTGTCTCTATACCAGTATCTGACAACATAAAAGCAATCCTCTTAGCGCACCACTGTGAATAATAAATCAGAAAACGCACGAAAGAAGAATCTGTTGAAGTATTCTTACATGTCTTTCAATGAGTGTAGTTGTTAACTTCACTGACTTTGTATTGGTGGGACAAGTTCTGAGTATTCTAGCAAGAAGCAAGGGAGCCAGCCCATTGCAAAGCTTTGGATATATATTAGCATGATTCCAAAAAGGAGATTCAAGCCCCAAGAGTGTTGTCTCACCATCTTATTTGACAACATAGTTGTTGAAACTGTAATGTATGCAAGATTGGAAAGAAATATAAAAGAACGTGAAGGTTTAAAAAGACTCTGCTGAAAGCAAAAGGTCAGAGCTTAAGTGTTTTCTTGAGGCTATAAGCAGCTCATCGGTCGAGCAATTCACCTAGTTGTGTAGCGAGTTCATGTGGCTCAATCGACCTAACTGACCTCACCTCAGTTCGAGAGCCTAGCGTAGAGTGGAACCGTTATCGGTTGTTTCATAATTTCGAACCTGTCAAGGTCTTTTCTTTGATATGATTATATGTCTTGATGTGAATGTGAATACTGTGTATACGTCATTTTTGTTTGGAATGGTATTTATATAGAAGGCAGGTTGATTCAATTAACACACAGAATGGAAGAACAAGATATTGATTGGTGTATAACAAGAACATATACGATACCTCTTTGAATACAATATATTCAAAGTCCTCTCATTGAGTGAATAATATATATGAACCTTTGCTATATATGAACTTCTGTTATATATGGAAATACATTTTTGAATCTCTTTTTTAGCAGACAGCCCAGCAGTTCTATACCCATTTTCTTGTATTCATAAAACTAGAATCACACCATAATCCTTCAAAACAAATAAGAATTCATCATTGTTGTCATCAAATTCTATAATGTTAATGATAAGCTTTGTTGTCTAGGCAGCAAAAGCAAACGACCTTTCCTCGGTTTGCGCCTAGAATACATGTTTCTGTATTCCAGCCTCTATCATACCTTTTTTACTTGTCGTATAAACAATATCAGTATATACAAATGTATACAAATACAAATATAAACACTAAACAATTCTCCTTCTCCCAACATTTCTCCCCCAATCAAAATGAATACATAATTATGATCTAGTGACCGGGATACAAAACACCATATGTATATTTCTATCTGCCAATCAAAAAGCTAGATATTAAATCCTACTACAAATCTAGTAGCTATGGGATTATTCACCCCTCATGTTTTGGTTGGTGGCGGGTAACGGGGTGTTTATTCACTCAGATCCTTATATTCCACATCTATGTATCTAGGTTACAAACCATAATACAAGAACTGGTGAACACAAGAATAGAAGATACCTAACGAATGACATCGGGAATCGAAGATAAAAATAAAATTCAAAACACCAACATAGTGATCCAAGGCGAAGTTCAAGACAATATTCGAGGTGAAATCCAAACTAACATTCAAGGCAAAGTCTCAAGTCCCAAGTCCGAAGTCCGAGAAGAGGGGTAAATGGTAAGTATCTAAATAGTAAATAATAAATAAATTAGTGAATTAGTGAATTATAAAAATCAACAAACAAAACAACTCGCTTCTTTTATTTTATATTATAATCTTGTGTAGGTATCTTGTATACCTACCTATTTAGATATCTTATATTTCTATACGTATCTGAAATATATACAGAGGGACACATGAGGGACAAGCGAAAGAGGCGAAACAGGAGAAACAGATACGAAGGAAAACCAAAGGGGGCTGAGAATTTGGAATTGAGAGGAATTTGATGTTTTGATTACCTAGTTTGTTATGACTTGTTCGTTTGTATGTAGGTAGGTAGGTAGAGATGACGTTGTAAAGCCACCTTTGGAAGGGAGCCAATATCTAGATCCGGGAATTTAGTATTTACCATCCGTAGGTGTATTTGGAAGCAGGCTAAGTCTACCTAATAGTTTGGTTTGATTTGATTTGGTTTGATTTGTGGATTCATTAAACATATAAAGATGGATCCACTGGAGATGAATGCTATATTAATTATAATATGATGTGAATCATGTGATATTGATTAGGTATAAATGAATTAGAGATACAAAACCATAAGGGTAATTCACAGATTGAACATAGTATTATTAGTATTATCTGTATACACATTTATCAGAAATGAACTGCTTTGATTGAAACTGCATAGATATATTTGATTATATGAGATTAGAATAATTAGTGAGTTTCTGGATAATTTCTTACAATATCTACAGGATCTATAATATTCAATTCTATTAACTTTTCCTCACAAGTTTATCTACCTATTTATCCATCCAATCTATCCACTCTATACCTCATATCCGCATCCCGGTGCCCATCACACATTTTCATTTCTTCCCCTTTCCATACCATCCTCACATCTTCACCCTCCCATGCGCTTCTTTCGGCAAAAATGGCACCGCAATAACCAATCCCAGCGCAACCAACGCTTCGAAAACCCAAATAAGATATCCCCAGAGAATCTGATGCGTAACTCCATATGCGAAGATAACGGTGAAGAGGGCAGGTACGAATGCGCGGGTACCGCTTGTGACGGCGAGTGCGATGCTGTTGAGGGTGCCGAGCGTTTGAGAGGAGGGTGCAATATCGTTTAGGACTAGCTGGCCGCAGGCTGTCGGGAGTGTTAGTTAATTTGGTGTGGGGTTTGGTGAGATAAGGATAGGGGGTTGGAGGTAAATAGATAGGAAAGCTTAGAGGGAAACAGAGGTGAAAGAAGAAGAAACACAAGACTTACTAAACGCCATACTAACGCCCACCCCCAAAGCAATACTCAACGGATACACGATCCAAAACGCCGTCTCCCAGCCCATCCTCAACATGAAATTTGCAAAAGGACAAAAGCTAAAGAGGATTGGCCAGCAAAAAGCGCATGCGCGTAGGATACCGATGGTTCCGATCCGTTTATGTAGTGGAGGAAAAACTACGATCATCCAGAAGGCTTGAGAGCAGCCGGTGAGAGCCATGAAGAGAGATATGCGTAGAGGTGTGAAGCCGAGACCGCCCAGAGAGACAGGTGTGAACCAGAAAACTGGGAGAACTAAAGGGTGGAAGGGTTAGTGAGGAATGGAAATAGGTGAAGAGCATTTAGAGGAAGAAAGTAGAGTGAGACAAACCAGATGTATAGACAGTGCTCATAAGACTTAGATGAGAGTAGATATAAACACATCTTGCCACGCCTGGAAAATTTAGAAGTTCCCGCGTAGTCATTCCATCATGTGCTCCTACTTTCTGAAAGGACTTTTTCCCCAATGTCTGATATCTGGTTAATAATTTTACAATGCGCCAAACGATTTCGGTAAATTATTAGGTAGATAACTAACCTCTTTAATTAAAAACATAGCAACAAACGCTGCACTCAAGGCAAACAATCCAGTACAGATGGTAGGAAGTGCAAATGGAAATTCCTCGAAAAATCTGATACCGCTAAATAGAGATGGATATTGTTTGGCTGGTTCTGAGAGCGCACCACCTTGAGATTGTTAGTCATTGAGCTGATCTCCTCGTACCTAGAACATTGAAGAATTACCTATCAAAGGCCCAATGAGGATCCCCATATTTCCCGCCACAGAAAAATAACTAAAAGCTCTTGCTTGAGTTTTCTTGGTACTGTTTTCAGAAATCATCGTTCGAACGGTCCTTTTATACCAATTAGCCAAATACCTCATGATATAATACAAAAACAAAACTTTATGAAAACTACTCACACGATCGTCCCAGCGAAAAGTCCGGCGATACATCGTAAAATAACTAATTGCCAAATACTCCTCCCGAATCCAAAAACCCCGGTCGCGAATGAGATTCCTAGAAGCGAAGCGATCATGATCGGTTTACGACCCAATTTATCCGAAGCGCGTCCCCAGTGAACCATGAGTGTCATTTCCGTGATGGAAAATAATGATTCCTATATCTTGATTAACTTCCGTTTACACGTTCAATCATCCATAACGTCCCTCCTTAAGAAAACAATGAGGAAAGAATAAAAACATACAATCAAACCCGAGTAAAACCCCACCTCTCCCTGTCCTATACCTCCAATCTCCCACAACATCTGATTGAGAAAAGCAAAGATGGAGTAAAATGCAATGGGTTCCACGAGTCGGACATAGCAGAGACCGAGGATTTGTCCTACTGGAAGGGGAGTATCGTCTTCATCTTCATTTTCTGCTCGTTCTCTTCCTTCTGCTTCTTGACCTGCGTCTAGTTTCGAGGATTTAAACACTTGCGATCCCGTGATCAAGGCATTGCGAATTCCAGTCGGTTCGGTGAGAGGCGCGAGAAGGGGTTCGCGTTCATTTATTTCGCGTTCGTCTCCTTCTTCGTGGGGAAACATTGTGTATTTCTCAATTGCCCTCTGGTTATCGTGAGGGTATATTGAGAAAAAGAAACGACAATTTTAGTTGGTGGATGAAAAGAAGGTGAGGAATTTGGTTAAAGTTATTGTTCGGGAATATAATTGGATCAACTTGCTTAATAAGATGATTGAAGGACATGGGGTAAGGCCAATATTTATCGCCATATGCCCCTTGTCAGGCGTTATTCAGGGTTTGGACTAATATTCGGGTATCTGCCCATAAAGAGAAATTGATACTACAGATACAATCAGGATGTTTAGGATCACTTGTACATATAATTGAGATTGGATTTAACGGATGCCATAGTTTTCATGATACTAACGGCATGCGATGACGGCGTCAGAATATGATACTACATACATATACTCGGCTACTCGGCTACCTACAGGTTACCGATGACGAGGAGTTGATGAATTGTATTTACAGGTCTATAGAAACGCAGAATTTATTGCATGCAAGGAAGTGATGGTAACCTATGGGAAAGATACTAATAACTGCATTATGCCGTGTATATATTTATTGCCCACAAACTGGAAATGCACTCAAAAAGGGCCATCTTTGTAAGGACAAGCATATCCCAAAGCCCCACTTCCGCTTCTCAGATAGCAAACCTTTTGTTTTGCGCAAGCTGCCGTGTTACAACTTTTTGTCACCGCAGAACTTTTGGTCTCAAGGAAATTATAAACTTCCACTAAAGAATTGTTTGCCAACATATTTTCGGTTACTCCATGCCAAAAAGCGCCGTCTAGAGGAGCATTGGAAGGCCAAGTTGCATTGGGGTCGTATATTTGGCGCTTATCATACTCAAATTCCCATATGGGGGTTGTCCATAGGTTAGCATTGGACATATTAGCGAAGTAAGTCTGAGCATTAACGACAGAGAAAGTTGAAGCATCGACCTGAAGGTTGACCCACCCAGCATTGTTCCCGCTGAGAGGGGTAATAGAAGGCCCAACATATCCAACTTGGAGAGGATTGTTGTAATCAACTAGGCTGGTGTCACGGATGATCGAATTTGTATTGCTAGAGATTGTCGAGTTTGGCAGGTAATCATAATAGATCATAAGCTGTTCTTCGTGTGTATGACCAAAGAATATTCCCGCGATTGTTGCTGGCGAAAACCTAGCAACAATACTATAGAATAAAGCTGTTGGATTTGGTAGTGCTTGGGAGCCGTCATATCCAGGAAGAACATGTCCAATGATCCAAACACGTTGATCAATATCTTCCGACTTTTGAAGCTCGTTGGCAAGAAAGGTGAGAACCCCAGAAGTGTCCGGATTTGTCATGTTGAAGAAGTTGAAGATATTGTCCGTGTACCAAAAGTCCGTATTGATAGAGATAATTTTTAAACCTTGAGACGTGACAGTGGCATATGCACCGTAATGATTTGAGGCATACTGAGCTGCTTTACTGTCGATCCACCCATTGTTAAGCCATAAGCTGGACAATAAATTGTAGTTCCAAGAAAACACATTTGATTGTCCTGTAGAGTTGTTGATGGAATTTGGCGTATTCAAAGCTTCTGGGAGGGAATCATGATTTCCTAGAGTGGCGTAGATAGGGCTATCTTTCATTTGGGCTTTGAAGGTCTGGTAGGTAACCGTCTCTTCATACTCTACATAAGCTCTACTTATTTGGTCATCGTTATCATGGCTCACGATATCACCAGTAAATATCGTGAAGGCCACGTTAGATCTGTTGATGAATTGGTCCATTGTTGAAAATGCTGAGAGAGCTAAATCAGGAGGAGCATCGCAATAAAAGTATCCAAACCGAGACGCCGGTACGGATGGGTTAGTACTCGTCGTATTAAGTACGTTATTTGTTGAATATGGCCTACAACACATGTATTGCGAGCAATTGGCTTCACTACCGATATCATATCGTGTATCTAAATGCCAATCCGAGAGATGTAGAACATCAATGGTCTTGTCTATTGAGTGATTAGACTTAATATACCGAGGATTGACCGACTGCTAGAACTTACTAGATGGTTTAGGGGCCACTCTCTTGTTGGCTGGCTTTGGTTTAAAGTATGCAGATTCATCGATAAGTATGGTTGGGGGTAAGCTACAAGTGTCCCATACATAAAAACAGTAACCTTGCATATCATCGGTAGCCATGCTCATTTTGGCAAACAGTTGAGCAAGATACGGACCAGTTCCACCAATTCCAGAGTATTCCTCATAACAGGTCTCTGCGTAAATGCTGTCGTAGACTTTTGGAAAGGCTTCGCAGGCACGAATAAGAAGGTTCACAATGGTATCCACGGGTTGCATGATAGCTGCAAGATGCATTACTTCGGTGCCGGCAATGCATTTTGAGCATTCCGTAGTGAGTCCATTCCCATTAACAATTCCTTGGATCTCATTGAAGATATTATCTTCAATCTCCTGCTTGCTAGTGGTAGTTAGTGACGGTACAGAAAAGGGATAGATAGTCATACCTTAGGATAGGCAATGGTGCTGGGATAGGAGAGGTCTCGTTGTAAGAAGGTACAGGACCAGTCCCGTTATAGTAAAGGGTTGGACCTCCAGCAGCATTTGGAATTGTATTTGTGATTGTTTTGTTCAATGCTTGAGGACTTGACGGAACGGATCGCCGTTTATGGCCTTTGTGTGCAGTAGTGACTGACAACAGTGATAAAGTAGTCAAAACTACCGGGAGATACATTTTGACAGAGGAAAGACGCAAATCCTGTGAGACATGTGGAAGGCCGGTAACATGCAGAAGGGAATGAACAATACTTATATGTCTGATTAAAGATAGACCTACCAATTCATGATAACCACCACATCGCAGCACGTGGCCGCGATTGGATTGATCAACTTTGAGGGTTTTAACTTGTGAGGTACCTACTTGTCGCTCATGCAGCTTCTAAGACAGACACCACGGATTGGGCAGGTATTTTGCTCGTGCCTAGCTGCAGAAACCTTCGCTTTGCCAAGTACTCGATGGTGTCTGCTGCATCCTCCCCGCAATTAATTAGATAACCTTATCCAGCCCAATGTATTCGCAGTTTCATAGGTACTCACAGATACACGTTCATTATCAAAGAGGTAATATTGGTTTAAAGAAATCTATCGCGAAAACCGAATGGAATGAAAATTACGTACCATGAACAAGAGATCATGAGATTCATAACTAACTGTTGGTGGCCAAGTGTAAGAACGGTGGAGTCATTAGCTTATCGACCGGTCTCGGCAGGCACGATAAGCAATGCAGAACGATAAACAAGTACCTAGCGTAAGGAAACATATGAAGGCCAAACTTTCTTATTTATATCGACTTGACATGAAATTGTATACGCATTCCTACATTCCTTTGCTGCAATTGAAGCTGATGGTGCTCACCAGTCAGTGTTAGAAATGGTGAAGATTTATATATCTCCACTTCGCGGGGCATATACAGCCAACACAAATATCCAATACATCTGAAAGCGGAGTTGAGTGAGTATAGATTACTTGAATATTGCATTCAGCACGAATGCAGATACCCGAACGCAGCTACGATTAGGCCGTATCAAGAAGACACGTGATATTTAGTTCAAGTTATTGAAGTCGATAACTTTGAGACTAATAAACAATAAACTTTTGAGTTCTCCATGTCTAAGGTTGGATTAGGATTGACTGAGTGGGGAAGCTCCATGAATCATGACGTCTATGAATGGTGGTTGAAGTGTTAATGCTTCAAACAAACATCAACAGAAATACTCTTATAGTGGTGTCAAAGATCTCAGATGCAAAGAATCTTTTTCCTTCTTCCATAATTATCTGCTGTTTTCATCATAATCCGTTAATTCAATAATTCACTCGAGTTGCGGAAGAGAAGTCCTCTTGAGCCAACTATTGCTGTCATTTTTACTTCCGCCACATCATTTCAATATGGCCTTAACCGATCAGAGGAAGCATATTGTGATAGTTGGAGCTGGCGCTGCAGGAATGGCGTGTGCTAGCACGCTTGCTCAGCATCCAGAAAAATTTAAAGTCACCATGATTGAACGGATGGGTGTAACAGGAGGTCAAGCAACATCCATATCCCTAGACAAAGATAAATTTGGCACTGACTGGATGAATAACGGTGTTCAAGGCGGCTCACCTATTTTCAAACATACCTGCGAGTTTTTCAAGCGATATGGTCATGAAGCTCAAGGTATCAAACTCCAAGTTGCATTCGGAAAAGGCAAAGATGGATTCTGGACCAACTGTTTTCCGAGTCACCTTGTCGAACGCTTCTCAAGCGATATCAAGAAATTTGGAAAAGTGTTGAAGATTATCAAGTGGACTATGCCTGTAATAGGTGTGATTCCTATTCGAATCATGCTCAAGATGTTCTTTTTCAGCAAAGATTTTGGTGATAAGATGGTTTATCCTCTCATCGCTCTGTTCCTCGGTACGGGCAACCAAACTGCAAATGTATCATGCGCCATATTGGAGCGTTTATTTGATGATAAGAATATGAAACTTTGGGACTATGATCCAGACACACTTTTACCAAATTTACCTCAAATGTTGACATTCCCTAATCTTCATAATTTCTACGAAGATTGGAGGAAAGATCTCGAATCGAAAGGTGTTGACATTCGCCTTAAAACTGATGTTACGGAAATTATTCAACGGGATGCAAAGGGTGTTGTGATGAGCACGCGGCCTTTTGATCCGGATGCAAATGATAGAAAGGGAGAGCACACGGGACCAATCTCAAAAACGGAAACTTTTGGTGAATTGGTTATGTGTGTATTAGCTGATGATGCACTTAAAATACTTGGTAGAACCGCCACTTTAAAGGAGAAATTCGTGCTTGGAGGTGCCAGATAAGTTGTATTCATCTCATTTCCATCATGAAGCTCATGAACTAATCATCTTGATAAGATTCTACGACGACGTAACAATAACCCAGTAAGTCACTTCCTAACCTCGTTCCCTCACTCAACTCACATCCTACCACCAATGGCATCCGCTAAAAACCTACCAGCTCCGACCATGAATACTTCCGCAAACACTACGAAACCGAATTTGACCCCTCTCTCTGCGCCGAACCAAAATCCCGCGCCCAAAAAGACCAAATCGCATTTTCAAAAGGCGAACAACGCGGTGTCGATAATGAACCAAGTGGTTACCGACCCATGTATTACACAAAATCATACGCGCACGACCCTACCAAAATCGAAATGTCTTTCGAGTACGTTTCAAATTCCCCTTTCTATCTCCTTCCCTCCCTCCCATCCCACCCCCTACCCGGTAAACCCCAACTAACTCCCCCTCCTCCAGCTGCACAAACTACCAACACCAATTCCGACGCGACCACGCCTCCGAAATCGCACCCATGCCCTACGAACAACACGTCTTCCAATCCATCTTCCTCGACGCCTCTAACCGCGACGCCTGGACCATCGACGAGATATCCCCTGATAAAATCATCGAGAAGAAATGGTGGCATCAGCTTGGACATCGCTGGCAACATTATGCGCGCGTCGTGCCGGGTATGATGTGGATTAATGGGAAGAATCGTACTTGGTTTGCTGGGAGTTGGACTTTGGTTGTATGTTTTTTCTTCTCTCTTCTTTTTCTCCCTTTCTTTTCCTATACATAATCCTCACTTCGCAACCTCTGTTTCTCAACAACCTCTGTAAAAGAAAAAGAATTTCGAACTCTGGTTCCGAGAAAGAAATAGGATGGAATATTTGTAGTACAATACTAATAATACATCAACAACCAACAGAATATGCATGAACTAGCTCTCGTATCAGGCATAGCAGCCGCCTATAGGCTAGGAGCCGAATACGTGAAATTTGATGATTTTGCCGAGGAATTTTTTGGTAATTACATGCTTGTAACGCATGGGTTTAGGTACAAGGCGGAGGAAAAGAGGAGGAAGCAGAAGAGTCAGTAGGAGATATGTGTTGGGATTTGTATAATTAATCATGTCCGGAGTCCGGAGATGGAATGTTGTGTATTTATTACTTGCGCTACCTGTAAATTTCTTCCGCGGAGCGCTGTTTAATACATTTTCTGATAGTTTATTCTAGCCATATGTTTTAGGATGCTTCTCGCTTGGCTTCTATTTAACTTCTCCTTTGGCCTTCAAGTGTTTCTAGTTCATAATGGCTCGGCCATCTCCAGCCAAACATTTTGATAAGCTATCTCCAACTTTCGTCATCAACCTAAACAACAGATTGACCTTCCCCAAACCACATTCAATAGGTAGGTATCAGACCCCTCTCCCCGTCTTCCGGAACCCCTCCCGTCATGCGCCTGGAGAGCGATAAGCAATGCGCTATCTCATCGCATCTGCCGAGAACCAGACTATCTTCGAACTTGCCACTTGAAATTTCCTGACCAATCGTGCTCTTGTAGGCCAAGTGGGACAATTGACATGTCGGCGAGCACCTATTTGTATAGGAGCGCATAGTAGTAACACCTATGGGGTATAAATGAATCCTGAAGGATACCGTTCTGAATACGATCCTAGGATTTCAAGGGTCATTCCAATAGCATCCACCAAATGCGTTGGCGAGCCCCGGGACTGGCCACTGGCTGATGAGCGACCATGTTGATCAATATTTAAAAAGACAACAGACCCAACCTCTGACAAATAAACAAGGAACTTCCTGCCAAAATTGTGTATGTCAAGGACTAAAGGATATAGGGTATGGTGATTGATTGCGTGAAACCTCCTAAAATAAGCGATGTCCGACCTATCCACTCGCCAAAATTCTTGGACTGCTCATTTTTCAACGTCTTCCTGTCTCTTTCCGTAACCTTCCAGCGGCAGTCGATGGAGCAGGTTCAGGCCATAAGGACACAGCATCTTCTACCTCCTCCAAGAAAGTCGTGCTATTATGAATCGAAGTACCTCCTAAAACCACTCTGATACCCGGTGAAGAGGCATTTATTTGAGATATGCATTTGGCCTCTTCAAAAGTGGCCCCACCAATGATAAAAACCACAATATCCTGGGGTTTATCTCGAGTTGTTCCTCCACCTTCAACGAATGGATATTGCTGATCACGCAGTTTTCCTTTGATCAGATCCTGGAGCGTTAATTCTAGTCGTGGCGAATGCTGTGTGTAGACATTTTCCACACCTTTCAGCCCCTTGAATCGATCTCGAGCTCCAGAAAATATGTTCGAGGATTCGAACATGTCAGATATTCCTCCTGTAGATTGGTTCAGCTGCAAGGAAGAATGGTAAATAAGGAGCTTCGCTACGAGGTCGATGCGTCTTTGAGGAACGTTCCCAGCTGCGCCAAGGAGGTCAACAAGGATAGGTAATGCATTTGAAGGGTGTTTTTCATATCGAAGTGAGTACAGAGCAACAAGTCTCAGCTTGTTATCGGCAGTTACAGTCGGAGATTGGATTAATCTCTGCACGTTCTACAATATATATTAGTAAGAGACCACTGATGCAAAGCTTCAAGATGTAACTCACTTTTAAATCACTGGCATGAGCATCATTACATGCCAAGCTCTGCTCAACTTCACTGACTTCCAATAGATTTTCTGAACCAACCATTCTACTTAACTCACCAACAAGGGTAACGTGCTTGCTGACATTTCCAGAAAGTTTGCGGAATTCCGGGTATTCTTCGATGAAGCGCTTCATGTCAGCTATAGACTCAATGTTGGAGCTATTTTTTGTTCTTGATTGATACTGCTCGACATAATCTTTGATATTGCCACCAAGATCACCAAAATTGAGGTACATGTTCTTCTTAAAGAATGGATCCTGGTCTTGGGATAATACCACTTCTTTCAACTCAGGTCGAATGTCTGGTACCTCGCTAAGGTCGACTCTCCCATTCTTTATTCCAAGAAGTTCATGAACCATTGCCTGGTATGTCCATTGTGTTAAAAGCGGTGTTATAGGGTCATCCCTTCGATCCAATATCAGCAGTATAGGAGGAGTATCCACCTTCCTGAAATCGAACAACTGATCTTCCTGAGCAATATGATACCGTACTTCTGTACCCAGCTTCTTTGCCAATAAACTGTTTTTCTCGTACCGAATAAGAGGTTTCTTCTTCAAAGACAGTAAAACCGCGATTAGTCCTTCAGTAGTACGTTGTAATGCATCTGGATTCCACATGTCCGGATTGGAACTCCATATCCGCTGCTTTGGAAATCCGAGATCAAATGTAAATAAATCCGGATTCACAACAATATAATCTGCAAAGTGTTCCTGGACCAATTTGACCACTTCATGATCATCTGCTTCTGCTAATCGCTCCAAGGATGACTTCTTTACCACATTACTGAAGTATACATTGTATTCGCCGTATTTGGGATCTCGAAATTCGTCAATTAGGAATTGTATAGAATCTGCCGAAGGCCGAACAAAACATAGGCATTTAAGATGGCGCATTTTCTCCCTGTTTTGATTATCCAAGCGGTCTATGAGGTATACTTCGTGGTTCAGAAGCGCAGATTGTGTGATTGCTGTGGAAACAATGGACACGGTATCGCTATCCAGTAACAGGACCTTCATCTTCGCAGATGGTGTCCCGGAAGTTCCATCCCCTGCAGACACCATCTTCGAGATATACCCCGACACAGCTTGAACGACGTCCATCGTGTGTGTGTGTGCGTTTATTATTTAGAGGTTATGGTGGGAGAGTTTCGAAGGTATTAATGCAGCATAAGCATATCTCGTCTCGTCTGGTACCGTATCACACTACAAATTGTAGATTATCGGAATCGCAAGGTGCTGTATAGGTCATCAAAACACCTTGCGTGTATATTTGCTGTTGGTATTGGAAGGAGGCTTTGAAAAGGCAACGTGGTTTGCATGTAGGTAGTTTTAACTATTCAGATGTTCCAGACGAGGCAGAGGAAGCAAGGCTCAGGAGCGAGGCAAGGCCCGTCGGTCATCCTGGCATTATCCCACTAAGTCAAATTTACCGCCCGGCAGAAACAAGCTATTGTATGGATGATCAACTTGGAGGTAGGGGACATCTATCACGTGGACGCCACCAGAATGAATTATGATTCAATTGCAAAGTAAATAAAAATAATACCAAGGAAGCTCAAAAGACCCTAGTATTTGTTCCTTTTTTGCTAAAGACACAATTCCAAATGCACTGATGGAGAAAAGATAGCTTTTTAATACCTTCACTTGTCTTCTAGTACATTGAAACTCTCCATCGCCAACGATGTTACCATATATCGATACCCGTAAGGCTCTACTTGAAGGATATGTGACGTAGGCTGCTGACATACCTATGCAGCTTTTACATATGCCGCAGGCATTCTGGGGGCTACGACCGATGAATGTATGTATTAAAGCCAGCGATATGGGCTTCATATTCAGGATTTGAACTCAATTCTAATATCAGACAGTGAAACTCATCACTTCCTTCCTCCTGTCGTATCCCTTTGCGGGACTCTTGAAACGACTTCCAGACTCAAAGCCTGCTTTAAAGAATCTCTTCATTATTGGGTGCGTAAATTACCTATATAGCACATTTCTATCTATTTTTACTAATGGATCTGCTCCCAGGATTTCCTCATTTTACCTTCTTGGACTCTTCGACTTATGGGCTGGTACAAGGACACTGGCCGTCAGCTCTATCGGGGCATACTGCATCGCAAAGTATGTGCAAGGTCCTTTTATGCCATGGATTGGCTTTGTATTTTTGATGGGACATTTGTCAGTGAACCAGCTGGCCCGACAATTCGTTAATGATCCGGGACTTGTGGATATTACTGGGGCTCAAATGGTTTTGGTTATGAAGCTCTCTGCATTCTGCTGGAACGTTGCAGACGGTCGACAACCAGAAGGGGAATTGTCAGAGTTTCAAAAAGAAAGGGCAATCAGACAACTTCCAAGCTTACTGGATTACGCTGGATATGTCCTCTTCTTTCCATCTCTCTTCGCAGGTCCGGCATTCGACTATGTCGATTATAAGCAGTGGATTACAACCACAATGTTCGAGGTCCCTGCTGGTGTCGATCCTTCAAAGAAAGCTCCAACTCGGAAGTTAAGAAAAATCCCAAGGAGTGCTACTCCCGCAATGTGGAAAGCAGCTGCTGGTTTGTCTTGGATCCTTCTTTTCTTAAAGCTCTCGGCATGGTACTGGCCTGATCTCTTGATTGGGGATGAATACATGACTTATGGTTTTGCTCGTCGTGTGTTTGTACTTCACATGGTCGGTATGACTGCCCGATTGAAGTATTATGGTGTATGGGCATTGACCGAAGGTGCATGCATCCTCTCAGGTCTTGGGTACAAGGGTATCGACCCCGTTACTGGCAAAGTCTCTTGGGACAGACTTCGCAATGTTGACCCATGGGGAGTTGAAACAGCCCAAAATACTCGCGCATATCTTGGGAACTGGAATATAAACACAAATAATTGGCTTCGAAACTATATTTATCTTCGAGTTACTCCTAAGGGTAAAAAGCCTGGTTTCAGAGCTAGTATGGCAACTTTCGTAACCAGTGCTTTCTGGCATGGATTCTTTCCTGGTTATTATCTTGCGTTCATTTTGGCCAGCTTCATCCAAACGGTTGCAAAGAGTATGTTCTCTTTCCCCTACATTGATTCCGTGACTAAAATCCATCTAGACTTCCGACGATGTTTCCGCCCCCTTTTCATCGATCCCCAAACATCACAACCCACATCTCAAAAACTTTACTATGACATTTTCTCCTGGCTAGCCACTCAACTCGCGTTCTCCTTCACAGTTGCTCCATTTATACTTCTCACTCTCCCCGCTTCATTCCTCGTTTGGTCACGCGTCTATTTCTACGCTGTCATCGGCACCGTCATTTCAACCGTCTTCTTTGCTTCGCCTGCTAAACGCCATTTGATGAAGATGGTAAGTGAGAGAACTAGCAAGGCAAACGAAGGGTTGAAGCGTTCGGCCAGTATGGAAAGTTTGAATGGTAAGGAGCCAGTTCTGGGTTTACCAGCTGATCCATCGAAAGATTTTGACGAGGCGATTGAGGAGGCGATGGCAGAGATTCAGGCGAGGAAGAGAAAGGGGAAGGTAGAGTTGAAATAAGAGATCGTAGAAGGGTGTAAGGATGGGTATCTGTGCAATTCCTGAGACCCTACGGATGTATAGATGTTAGACAGCAGAATCAATATACCTTGCGTTGCACATTACGAGATATTCACAATGCAAACACGTATCAAAACATGTCCATCATATTATGATGCTTATCATGAAACATTATATTTCTTCCTTTCTTTCCTTCTTTCCATCAGTCAATCCGGCATCCATTCATCCATCCATCCATCAATATATACAAGCACACATAGCGCCATCACCACCATCATCGCCGTTGCATTACATGTACTATCCAGTCCCATCCTATGCATTTTTTCATCAAAAATAAAAATTATCCCACAAACAACATCCATCCATTCATGCATCCATGCATACATAACCAAAGCTTTTTCTTTCCATAAGAAAGGGTATAATGCTAATATAATATAATATAAAATTCTCCTCGCGCGCGCTAAAAAGTGAAAGAAAGTGAAAGATAAAAAAATTCAAGAATCAAAATCAAAAAGAAGTCTAGACCTAGGTAATTAGCCACTGGGAAAGCCGTAATGTTTGGGTCGTTGGAATCGTTATTTTGAGGGATCTGAGGATCTCCCTTGGGTGTTGGGTTGGAGGGTCGTTAATCTATTGGGTTCGTTGGGTGTCGTTATGGGGTGTGGTGAGAGGGTTGAGAAGAGGTGGAGAGGAGGTAAGGTGGTGGATGTGGAGATTATGTTGGGGAATTAGAGGGATTTACCATCCCTTTCGAGTTCCTTCGATAGCGAGAACGATCTAGTATTTATATTAGCCTGCAGTTCGCATTTGAAGAAAAAAAATACGCGCAAAAGGATGCGGAAAGGAGAAAACTTACAATAACAACAATAATCACCAATCCCACCACGCTCATCCATCGATTAAGATGTCTCCACCATCTAGCACTCTCGTACCTGGCCTCGTCCAACGGCCCAAATTGTCTCGCATAATCATTCACACCGCGACTTTCCACATCACGCGGCTGCGTCAAATCTCCGGTGCTGTCTACGCGCTCGCGCATCTCCGAGAATGGCATTTTGGGAAGAGGAAGAAGAGCGGCGATCATCCAGGAAAAAGGGAGAAGGAATCCGGCGATGAAGAGAACGACTTGGATATTTCGACGGCCGAAAAATCCGCCCTCGGTGGAGAAATTGATTTGAGGTGGTTCCCAGGCGGATTGACGGCCTGCGCGGCGGTCGATGCGCAAATGTGGAGACCAGACGCTGGAAATGAGGGATCGGGTTCTTAGACGGCCGGCACCTCGGGCTGAGCTGGGTAAGGGGGTGATTTCCATGGATTGTTGGGAGAAGCCTCTCATGTGTGGATGGCCTTCTCGTGGGCGACGACGCGGGCTATGGAGCTCATCTGGGAAATTCTCTGTGTTTGGAGATCCGCTTCTCACGCTGAAGGAGCCGTTGCGACTTGGGGTTCCGCCACTGGAACTCTCGGGTCTGTAGCCTAGAAAGCGACGTTCTCCGCTTCCATAGTAGAGTCTTGCCCAGGTTGGGATCGAGTTTGCGAGGAGACTGTTGGAGCGTGAACTAATTGACGAGCGCATGGTGTGTGTACGGGAGGTATCGGATGCTCCGGTGTTGAACATGCCGGATAATCTATTCCTGGACGGACGAGCGCGCATGTCTTGCATGGCGGTGATTCCATCGCCATATTCGTCATAATCACCTATCACAGGGATAGACGAACTGCTCAAGCCTCGACCAGTGCGTGTCCATGTCGGACGTGGAGGATCCACTGAATCGCTTATGGGTCTTGCTAACGCATCTTCTATCCCTTGAGACGAACTGATACTGAGAACATTGCGACTGCCGCGACTTGGGAGACTGTGGAATACACTGCTCCTTCTCCCCATACTGTCGGACCAAGCTCGGGAGCCTCGTTCGGTGCCAGTCCCTTCGGAGACGGAGAGCACAGTGGAAAGCTGTGAGCTCCATTGATGCGGGGCCTCGTTCATATGGGGACTCGTGGGACTTGGTAACTCTGCCCATGAACTCAACCCTTTTGGTTTCTGGAGTTGAATCTGTGCCGGTAAATTAACTATTGATCCACTCGCCACAATTGCTCGTTGTGCGTCGGGTTGAGTATGGATTGTTGATAACGATGCTAGAGAATTAGCTCGACTGTGTAACGAGTGATTTGATCTTGATTTTAATGTCTCTCGCGATCTTGACTTGTAGTAACCGAAATTATCATTCGACCTTTTCTTGGTTCTTAACCCAGGAATACGGAGAGATTCTTGGGAGTATTTGGGTGCTGGGCCTTGTCCGCTCGAGAGAGATACGGATCTTGAAAGTTCTTCGTGGAAAACGTAATTTTCCTGTTCGCTAGACGAAGTGGTCGCTGCTCGAGCTCTAGGTCTACGGACAACCGACGAAGTGATTGACTCTTTGTCAGATTGATTATGTACGCGGTAATTGGAGCCACTTGAAAATGACGCTTCGAGAAAGGAATCGGCGAGTGATTCGGAGCGGTCCCGGGTATGGCCACGATGGACTTCGTAATTAGTATTATCCCCAGTTGTGCTTGTAGATAATTGGGGTCGATGGTGGGGTCTGAAGACTACTGAGGTTGGAGTGTCTGGCTCATGTATCTGATAGTTCGAGTTCGGATAATTCGAAGTCGAGTAGCCGGAAGTGCTAGTAGACAACTGAGGACGATGTTGTGGTCTGTAGATGACTGAGCCTGAAACAGATTCCTCGTGAACTTGATAGTTGGAATTATCGGAGTTACTCGCAGATGACGTTTGGTATGTTTGCGATGTTTGCGATGTTTGAGGTCGATGAATAACGGTTCCCGTAGACTCTTGAAGAGACTCCTGAATTGACTCTTCGCGCGGATGATGGATAGTTGTTGAAGGAGTGGACTGTTCAAGAACGGATTGGTCGAGAACTTCGAAATTAGGTTCAGTGGGGGTTGTAGCAAACACCGACTCGTAAGTCGATTCCGGAATATTACTATAAACTTTCCAATTAGTGGCCTCAGTTGCAGTCGAGGTTGTTGAAAGGAATGACGGTTTCGTAGAGAGTTCGTGTGAGTTACGCTCCTGCGATGTTTCAGGCAAAGGAGGGAGTGGGAAGTCGAGTGCTGAAGATTTTCCTTTTTGGTCTGGAGTCTTGGGTACTTTTCTAACACCACCCACAATCGAGAACTCCGAGGACGAACAGCTTATATGATCCGCGGATATTGACTTTCTAGGTGTTGCCGTACTAGGTGCGGCTGTGTATGTGGAGTCTGTATTTGTGCATGAGATGATAGACTGGTCGAAATCTTGCACAGAGGAGGAGGATGTTTTAGTGGATAGGGAAGGCAATCTACTGTCGTCGTTGGGTAGGGGCTCATTATGCGGTACGAGAGAAAATGTCTTCCCATCACCAACCTTGACGGCAAGACGCTTTCTTGACTGGGGTCTAGGCTTCCTGGAGGATATTGTCGCAGGAGTGGTAATTTGTGGTGTGTTATGCGTTGCACTGGACGTCCCTTGTGGAGTGGCTGACAGTGGTTGAGTTTTGGGCATCTGATGAAACTCGCCTGAATCTGAGGTGGAACCTTGCCTACCATAGAAATATTGGCCTTTACTAGGAGAATGACCAGGAGAGAGTATATGAGCTGGCTGGGTGGGGAGAGGAGTTTGTGAATAAATTTTCTTATCATCATTCTTATTGTAACCATATTCATGATCATAATTCGGTTGTTCTCCTTCATCGTCCTCCAATTGTCCCAAAAGCTGAGGGGGTTCGGGTGGAACCAATCGGACGGCCGCTGCGCGATTCGTCTCCGAGTCTGATCTTTTTTGCGATAAGTGAGCGAAGGGCCAATTAAGCTGAGGGAAACTATTTTGTATGAAGATAGGATAAAGGTACTAAATTTGCGCATACCTTGTATGTAAAGGCCTTCTTGGAGGAGAATTTGACATCCCGTACTAAATTCTTCTAAATCAGACGCATATTGTGTTTCCATGCGTCGGAATAAGTTTGCAAATGCCTTTCCTTTTCCTTCCGAGTTGATGATTCTTTTTCGTGTTCTTTTCTTCTTTTGGTCTTCCTTGGAATTTTTGCTTGATCGCGCAATCGTGGTGCTTTCGCTAGTAATGCAACGAGGGTAGTATGTCTGCGACAGTAGTGAGTGGGTAGTTCGTCCCGTGTTTGTATCTTCGTATCTGTTTCTATCCTGAATGAATGTTTAATATGTATACTGTAGGTAGTTGATTACTTTGCGCAGTAATTGGTTTCGAAAATAGTAAAAATAATAGCATTAACTTTATTGTATAGTCGGACTGTACAGTAATGAGTGAGAAATAAAGATGCAAGAACGGTATTAATGTTAAAGTATATAAAAAGAGTGTAGTGAATCAATTGGTTGATTGAACAGCAAAGATAGATGGAAAAAGGTCGAGAAAGAGATCAAGAGCAGGAGGGGGAAACGAGAGGTTATCATAAGCCTATACAGTATGTACAACTCATCGCGACGGTACATAAAAATTTCATATTCGACAGCTTTTCACCGCTGGCTGTAAGGATTTTGTTAAACCTTGGAAAGATAGGTCCATTTCTAAGGCCCATGTCTAGAATTTTAGCGTACCGTCAATCCGCAAAATGTACCTTGTGTCCTTTGGACGGCCTCTTCTGACAAGCGGTACCTAGGTACTACCCGTACTTATTGAGATGAATTAAGATGAACAGATAAGTCAACGTGGCAAGCATAATAATAGATTATTGCAGCCATATCCGCGGACAGGAACACTTCACGAACCTGAACAGGCCGAATCAGAAGTTCCACCCATCTAATCAGTCAATCATAGACAAACCCTATGGTCAAAAGGGGATCCCTTGATCCTGCACTCCGATCCAATGTTTCCCGAATTAGCTGTAAAAATCTCAGACGCGCAGGAGGTATGCGACATGTAAAAGACTACTGTAGGTGCCCTCGAATTGAACAATAGTGATTCGACAGGCTCTAATATCCTAATTTAATGCTATGCAAAAGCAAACCGTTGACTGCATACACTGCAGATATTTGTAGAAGCGATACCCTTAGTAGTAAGGTGGCTGATGGCGCGTCTAATAAATGGGGAAATTGCTGGGAATCATCTGCACAGGACAGGGGGAAAATGTGTTTCTACTTCGTTTTGGGGAAGAGTACAGAGTACACAGAGGTACCTATACCAAAGTACTCCGTACAGTAAGTCCGGCACAAGAAGTTGTATGTAACAGACAAGTCGAGAAACGTGTTGGAACCGCGCGTGGCTAAAGAAAGGGGTCTACTTCAACCATCTTTCTTTTCCAATAGTTCTTCGATCTCTTCGTCCATCTGAACCTTTTCATGCTTCTTATTAAAGTCGCGCTACTCATCGTCATGCAAGCAATTTTCAGGGAAGAAACAAACAAGCAGACCCAGCCTCCAGCCTCCAGGCAAACATCTCTCCATCTTTTAACCTGGCGAACCGGGGCTTGAGGATCGATGAATCTAGATAGTGGAGATGGAGGCTCATCCATCTCATTTCCGATGCCAGAAGCGTACATCAATGATCAGTGAAGCTTGGACTTGTCTCGCTTGGCCGTCTAGACAACCAAAATCTCAGTAAACAAATTCCACGCAAAACGTTTCCTATCGCCTTTTGTATCACAGTGAGACCAGAAATGATTAGATATCCAAGCTCTACGATCGATTGAGTTCAGACCCATAGGGCGCGATTGCAGATTAGATTAGTTCAAAGGAATGGTCAACACGTTTCCCGCGAGCTCCGGACGCGTTTGCGAGAATTTATGGGACCAAGTAATTTTGATAGAACCTAAAAGGCTCTCCACGGAGACTACTCCTAGTACCTTGAGTCCGGTGTTACAGGACACGCCCTGGTTCTGTAGATCCGTAGATATCCAGGGACAAATACCTTTTTCTCAAAGGCTGAACCTTCCCAACTTCTTATTATACCCTGTAGCCTGCTTGTTCATGGTAATGGTACTAATTTCGAATTGTTCCGACCAAAATCTAGAGCGAAGTATGTCATTATAATTCTTGGGAATTGTTGTGAGAGCGGCATCAATGGATTGATTAATGAGAAATTGCGAAAGTTCTGCAGGTCTGTAGGCCGGTTGTAAGTACGGATCGATCATGAAAACTTATCGATAAGACGGGTGTAGGAGCTTGAAACATTGGAATTTCCAGTGTCGTGGAGAAGATTATTTACATCGTATCGTGGTCTATTTCGTAGTATGGACGATATAAAATTCACATTAAAAAGAATTCGATGAATGGATAGAATGATTGTGCCAAAATGGAACAATAAGAAAGTTGATCCCTTGTTGTTCGTCACTTCCAAATTCCCATCTAAAGAATAGGTAAAAAGGATTACCAAAGTTATGCTTTCGGCCCCTGTCGCATCCATCCATCCCTCCATCTAACTCCACAATCCAACATTTCCTCGCATCACTAGAATTCCAACACCAAACCACGCGGCTTTCGAAATCGTAACCAGCTCATGAACTTTTGACCGCAAAACTCTTTATATCCTCATCTCTGTAAATTGACTTCTTGTGCATAATCCTTGCTCCTATTGATCTACTGAGGATCTAGAAGATCATATGAAGATATTTTAATATCCCGGTGCATATACCCCAAACACTACCAAGCACTCACATCCGCATCCATGGCTCCAACATGGATAGAAAATCGTCTGAAGGCATTTTATACCGGTCAAAAAGGTTTGGAAACTTCCGCATCTATCTGCAGGTTCATGAGAAGTTGCATCGAGAAATTATTCATGGTCAACCTAGCTAACCAGTTATCTATTTCGCAGAGAAAGAAGTTCCTCCATTTAGTACCACGACTGCAGTTTCTCTGTTGGTATGACATTCCCTCTCGAGCTGTCTACTGCACACGCTCACAAAGCCAGGTACTCTATACACTCATCTACGTAATTCCCTTCTATTTCTCCTCGACCACCCGGCCTTCCCCCCAGCTTTCCCGTGATGCACCAACCGTTATCCGCGGGCGAATCCGCTCGGTTACTCTCTCATGTATCGTTGTTTGCATTGGCACATTCGGCATTTTATCATCAGTGAAAAACGGGGATGCAGTAAAATCGCTCCATTTTATGGGATATTTCCCCATCGGAGTCGTCGAGGCGGTTAAATGTGTTGGTTTGACTGCTATATTATTTGTAGGACCTTTGTTTGAAGAAGGTATCGCGCAGGGACAATGGCGCGATTGGATTCGTCTGAGGGGATTGGGCGCTTTAAAGGGCTGGATTCCGTATAGGAATATTGTTGCTGTAAGCTATGCTTCCATCTTTCCTTTGGCATATTGTTAATGGTCATACAAAGGGTCCCGTCACAGAAGAAGTACTCTTCCGATCCGCCTCGGTACCCCTCCTCCTCCTCTCCAAAACCTCCAACACAACGATCATATTTCTCACCCCCATCGTCTTTGGACTAGCCCATGTGCATCACTTCTATGAATACAGAATTACACATCCACATGGTCCCATGGTTGGAGCTATCCTGCGCTCACTCTTACAATTCTCCTACACAACTTTATTTGGAGGCTACGCTACATTTCTATATCTCCGAACGGGTAGTCTGTTGGCTGTGATATGCGTGCATGCTTTCTGTAATTGGATGGGATTCCCAAGGTTTTGGGGCAAGATTAGTAGTTCGGTGGATGGAGAGACGATCATTGGACCGGATGTGGGAGCCAGCAAGAAAAGTGAAGATGTGATGAAAAGTAATGGGGAATTGAGTATTATTTGGACGATTACATATTATACTCTGCTTGTAGTGGGTGCGTACTTCTGGTGGAAGTATTTGTGGGTTTTATCTGCTAGTGATTCCGCTTTGGTTAAATTTTAATATAGCAGCGAGCTAGCTAGTCTAATGAGCATATCATATTTAGTTGAATAAATGCATCATGCAGATTCAATATCGTGCAAACAGAAGCAGCAGAAATCAAATCCTCTTCACATATTCCCTGAAATTCGTGATTTAGAAATATTGTCTAGGTACAGGCTAGAAAGTTACTTCCTAAGCATGAACATCTATATCAGCCGAAATTATCTCCGAACTTTCAGATCTATCATGAATGACGATCTCCTTCAGTCCAGAGATCCCTATATGATCAAACTAAGATCGATCGTCATGGGGCGTCGGAAATGTGATTGACTTTCAAGAGGGGAACGCCCTTTCATGGTAATCCGGCATCTAGTTGAATAATATGTACTAGCTCTCGCTACTCAAATGGCGTTCTCTCGCCTCAATCATCCCAGTCGTCGTCTTCTTCCTCTTCTTGCTTCTTGGCTTTCTTGTCAAGATACAGAGTGCCAGAGGTAGTTTGACGTTTTATCCCGCCTGAGGCTAGGAGTCTTGCTTCTAGATCTTTCGTCGTGAATGTATCGGGCGTGTATCCCAAGCCCTCGAACCCAACTACCCTATCTACGGATCGTCCGTCTATAAATACCAGGACGCACGGTAGGATCTTGACGTTTAACTTCGTAACGAGGAAAGGTGCATTCTCTACATCAATCTTCAGGAATCTGGTATCGAGATGTTTGGGCGCTAGTGTCTAGTATCATAGTGAGTTTAGTCTTTAAGATAGATATCACAAAGGGGAAATGAAACATACAGAAAGATGGGTATCCATAACGCCACATCGTGCAAAATCGCTTTTGGAGAAATGTACGACGGCGTATTTGACCTCGGTGGTTAAGTCCATTAGGGCCTTTTCCTCTTTGATCTCGGTGTAGTTTCCGAAACCTTGGGTTTTTTGGGATTTGGCGCGAGTGAATTCGGAGTGCAGTTGTTGGATCCGTTGTTCGCGGAAGGCGTCTACGGCGGGATCTTCTTCGAGGGAGGCGATGAGCTGATGGGGAAGTGTCAGAAGATTGGAGGGGGGAAAGTTTGTAGGTGCTTAGGTGCTTGGTGGGTTATGGAATATGTGAGTAGACAGGTGACTGGATATTTGGGAATGAGGTTGAGTAGGAAAGAGTCTTGTCCTTCAACCACCAAATGGATGTGTTTCTCACTACCATAACTCTTAGAGTTACATAACAGCAAGTAGAGTGAATGGATGACCTGAAAATAAAAATGAACACTCACAGCATCTTCATCGTCAGAATCGGCGTGATCAAGCACCTTCGCGACAAGAGGATCAAGTGTATTCGACATAATGTTATAGACACAGATTTACGAGTCCGAATAAAGCTTGGAGCAGTACCCTTCTCAACCAGAACCCTTGTGATTGCAAACACTTGTATGCAACGGAACGGTCCTTGCAATATGGTCAGGAACGCGTGATTTTGTGCTAAAACTTATTCTGCGTTTGAGTTTTGATTGTACGCAAGAACACAACGTCTCCTTTTAGTGGCTTTAGTCCTTTGTTTTTATCCACGAAGTTCGACTTTTTTCTTAAAGTTCTCGACTCGGCGGCCTTGCGTTGTTTAGATGTTGACCTTATCTTACTGAGGCCGCTTCTCCAGAAGTTTCACCTGGTTGGTCCCCTTTTTTTTAACATTACATCAAAAAGGTGGATTTCTGTCAACTTGGTTGATTTGTATTGCTGCTTTACTATTTTCGTCCCCTCGCAGAATTTCTTAATCTTAGCACCCCTGTACTAAAACGATTAAAGATTCGGTCTGGCTGTCCTCTCAGCCATTAATATTTTTGTTCCAAATACCTACTCAACACTCTCTTTTCAACTTCTTCACCGATCAGACCGAACAGAGGACGTTTGCTTTGGAGTTTGTTAGAATTCTTTCTTCCTTCCAGTCCCTTCATTTCGGCGACTAGACATTATCAAACGGTCTATTTATAAACCCTCCGATTACGAATTCCTACCTCTGCTTTCGCGCAGACAACCATCTAGACCACGATCAAAAAAGAATAACCTTCGTTTTCGCTGAGAGCAATCGCAAATATGGATGACAAGAAGAACGAAGATGTTGAGATGCGCAATTTCAATGGGCGCTCATCCCCATCTCAACGCGATCCTTTTATATCCAAGCCAGGGGCAGGAGCCAAAAGAGGAGGTTCTTCCTTTGACCTCTCCAATGTCACGAATAGCCCTGGAATCTCCATTCTTGCCTACTGTTTGGCATCAATTTCTATGACCGTGACCAACAAATACTGTGTTTCGGGTTCAAATTGGAATTTGAACTTCTTCTATCTAGCTATTCAGGTATGCTTTGGATGCCATTCTCTGCGAGGTCTTTACTAACACTACTAGTCTGTCGTATGTATCATCGCGATTATCATCTGCAAACAAGCAGGCTTGATCACAAATCTTGCACCATTTGACACCAAGAAAGCGAAAACATGTAAGTATTAATCTTCTTCCCAGAGCAAGTTTGGCGGCTAATGCCGAAATTAGGGTTCCCCATCTCACTCCTCCTCGTCGGCATGATTTACACCAGCACAAAGGCTCTCCAATTCCTTTCGGTTCCCGTCTACACAATCTTCAAGAACTTGACAATCATTGTGATCGCATATGGTGAGGTTTTGTGGTTTGGAGGAAGTGTCACTCCTTCAGCTCTCTTCTCATTCGGTCTTATGGTTCTCAGCTCCGTCGTTGCTGCTTGGGCCGATATCCAACACGCTTTGTATGGAGGTGGTGCTACACAAACCAAGGAGGCTGCCGATGCTCTGTCTACATTGAATGCTGGATATGCGTGGATGGGTATGAACGTTTTCTGCACTGCAGCATACGTTTTGTCCATGCGTAAGGTTATCAAGAAGATGAACTTCAAGGATTGGGACAGTAAGTTTTCCTGCAATCTTGCATTTTCTCTATCAATTCTAATTTCGCCTAGCTATGTTCTACAACAACCTCCTTACTATCCCTGTCCTCTTCGTTTGCTCGTTCGTTTTCGAAAACTGGTCATCCGAAAATCTCACCAAGAACTTCCCACTTGAGACCCGAAACAATCTCATTCTCGGCATGGTCTACTCTGGACTCGCTACTATCTTCATATCATACTGCTCTGCTTGGTGTATCCGTGTCACTTCTTCAACAACCTATTCCATGGTTGGTGCTCTTAACAAGTTGCCAATCGCTGTCAGTGGTCTCGTTTTCTTCGCAGCTCCTGTCACATTCGGAAGTGTTTCCGCCATTTTCATCGGTTTCGTCAGTGGTATCGTTTATGCATGGGCAAAGGTTAGACAAAACCTATCGAAGGGGAGTGTTCTTCCTACAACACAACCAGTTATGAGCGCAAGTTCCCAGAGCAATCGTGATGCTGCAAAGGCATAAATAAATGTCAATACTCTTAAGTTGAACGGATTAACGTCACATCCCACCAATAGTACCTCACTTCGAGTACTTTTAATCTAGAATTCTGATCAAGATCTAGAGAATGACTGACGGCCTTAGCAATAACAGCTCCCTGGTGTCAATCCATCTGAATTGAGGGGGGCGGGACTAATGTTTGGAGATATATATTTGTATTATACACTTTTTCTTGTTCGACGTATGTTAGATGGAACGGATTGCCAGAGATTCTTTACGGACGGTATTCTTTTACACACCTTCAACCTTATGCATAACTTTTAGGTTCTGAATCATGGCGTATGTACGGGACATGATGCATTCATGAGCAATGGATAATAGAAATTTGTAGTGTTTTAGGAATTCAAAAGGTTCAAAAGTTCGTTAATGTGTTCAGAAGTTTGGTGATGTGGTCTGTTTTATTTGGTTATATCAAAGGAATTATGGCGAATGAAGCCTTCAGCAACTTTTTGGCAATATTTGGTATAGTTTATTCCAGTTGGTAGTGATAAATTTGATCATAATTAATTGTTGAAGAGAAATAACCATCACAGTGAGCATATTTCATGCCAATTGATCCTTCAAGATCTAATCTTTGGAGTATCAATTGACAGGGCTGGATGACGTCGCTTCCGAGGAAGTTTAGACTGAGAAAATCAATTATCAAACATATCCCGCATTTATTGTAAAGTAGCTAACATCATACGTCGCAGGAGTAGAAGTACAGCACATAGCCCAAGCTTCTGGCCAGAATATGTTATCTATTACAGCTTCTTGATTTTCCCTATCTTCTTTTCGAATCTCTATTCACATCTTATCCGCATGAAGTGAGATGTCAATTCCGAATCCCACACCAGACAAGGCTGAATCCTCGTTCGTTCCCTCTTTCCCAAGTGTTTTCCAAAAAGTCAATTAGAATCACCTTTTGCTAATTCATATCCGCAGACTGTCCTTCACCCAAGGTCTACTATTAGGTCAGCTCTCCATCGTCATCCTAATCGGCGCCTTCATAAAATTCTTCATCTTTGGCGATCCCCCCTCTCCAGACGTATCTGCTGCCCTCCGCGCCACGGAACGTCGCTCCAGAACGCTCGCTCACAAAAGATCTCTCCTGACCATCCGAAGCTCAACACCACGCCATGCTTCTCAATCCCTAAATCGCAAACGCTCCAGCGTTCTACGGAACCCCGCGCCTCTAACCACTAACGCTATCCTCAGTAAAACATACTATAATGTGGATAGTCACCAGCCCGAAAGTCTAGATTGGTTCAATGTATTGATTGCGCAGACGATAGCGCAGTTTCGGGCGGATGCTCAACATGATGATGCGATTCTTACTAGTCTTACAAAGGCGTTGAATGGGGGTAATAGACCGGATTTTTTGGATGAGATTAAAGTTACGGAATTGAGCTTGGGCGAGGATTTCCCAATTTTCAGTAATTGTAGGGTTATTCCTGTGGATGAGGATGGGATTACTTTGGGGAGGGAAGGAGGGGCTGCGGGTAGAGAACATGGCAGGTTACAGGCCAGGATGGATGTGGATTTGAGTGATTTTATTACATTGGCCGTGGAGACGAAATTGTTGCTTAACTATCCGAAGCCATTGGTTGCAGTGTTACCTGTGGCATTAGCGGTGTCGGTCGTGAGGTTTAGTGGTACTTTGTCTATTTCGTTTGTTCCGGGGAGTCCATTGAATGGTAGTCCTACTACGCTGGCATTCTGTTTCTTGGATGATTATAGACTGGATCTTTCGATACGGAGTTTGGTGGGTAGTAGGTCGAGACTTCAAGATGTGCCGAAGATAGCACAGTTGATTGAGGCAAGATTACATACTTGGTTTGATGAACGATGTGTCGAGCCTCGCTTTCAACAAATTGAACTCCCTAGTCTGTGGCCGAGGAAGAAAAATACTAGGGGCGGAGAGGATTTAGATACAGGGTCTGAGGCGGGAGGTATTGGGAGAGCGAGGAGTAGAGATGTAGAGAGGGATTTGAGGGAGGAGGCTAGAAAGGAGGTGGAGGCGGAAACGGGGGTTAAGGTGGGTAGGAGTAAATTGGGGGTTAGTTTGGATGTGCCGGATGTGGGTTTGGATGGGGGAAGTGAGGAGGGTCTGAGGTTTAGACGGAGGAGTAAAGGGAGGGCTGATGAATATGCCATGCCGGGGAGTATGCCGGGTTTGAGTATAGCTTAGGGTTAGGGTTGTTTGTCTCAAAAAGTGAAATGGATGAAAGAAATGTAACTCAGGCATTTTGGTGGTTGCTCAAAAATGTATATAAAACGGCAATCCCTAAAGGTACAATTACATTTATAAAATGCTATAGCCGAATGAAATCCTGAAATCTCAAACTTCACCTCATCCATTATCACACTTCTAAAAAAGTCACGAGCGGAATTATCATCGATTCATCAACTTCAGTACCGGTCCTTCGGATCCTTTAATACCCGTGTCTAGGAAGTATGAACTAAGAAGTAGGAATTGGGAAGTAGGAAATTTCACGGAAGCCGATATGCGAGTGCGAGATGATGAGATGACGGAATGGCGTTTGGTTGCACTGTGTAGGGAATGGACTGGGTTGATGGAATAGATGGAAAGGATGGAAAGAGAATGAATGGAATCTTACTTTTAGTTTTCTTCAGGGTTGTGTTGCTCTGTGTGAAAGGGGAGAGACGACTAACAACGAATAGACTTTACATATTCAAATCTCAAAACTCGCCACCGGTATTCAAACCCCTCATATAGCTTTGCCATCTACACTACTCCGTGCTATCCCACAGAACAAAAGCATAAGAAACCTAAGCTCCTCCTCCTCCGCTTATCCCGCGATCTCTCTTTACGAACCATCCCATCCCATCCCATCCCATCCCATCCCATCATCTTACTTAAACACCCAGAACCTCAACCCCCAGTCATCCACCCATCACATCTAAATATATGCACGAGGTAGGTTATTTGAAACAATTATAGATACATAGATACCTAGACACCTAGACACCTAGATCCATACCGAAACATCAACCATCTATCATCTACAGCCAGTGGGCAAACAAACACTCCGCCTCGCCTCTCAGCTCTCAGCTCGCGAATTGATACTTCTCATAGTCATATCCGTATGTATGTATGTATGTATGGCTTTACCGATATTCCGATGCCTTTAAAGTTCAAAATGGCATCTGGGAACTAGCAGCTGCAGCTAGCAATCATCGACGGTCTTTATAGATGGCTCCTGAGATCATGCTGTGTATAATAATTAAATCGTAACTTCTACTCGAGTTACAGTAGAACTTCACTGTAACCATCATTCTTCTTCCCATTCTTTATATAAATTGATAAAGTTATGATTTGAGATATTTTTGGTCACACGATTTTCTTCAAATTCTTATCGATATTTCTTTGTCCGATTATACCGGTCCCCTATTCTACCGTTGTGCATACAAATGTGGGTGCATTAATTTCCCCTTTCACTACATTACATAGCACCCGCTGTGCAAACTATACTTTTACTTTTACTATTACTCAGTAGTGAAATTTAATTATTCCACCAAAAACCAAAACCACATTTATTTTTCAATCCATTTTTTGTACTCTCACATCCTATCTACAAGCAACGCAAAATACCTATCCATCACTCCTTCATTAGATGTCGTAGCTAGTGTTTTTTTGGGGAATTTCTTCAACTTTTACTCTCCTAGAGTATCTTACGATTCCTTAATCGACCCCTCACCGTTATCTCTCAACCTTTCTACCCCTTATCGAACACTTTATCCCAACCTCAGATCCATATTCCTACAAAACAATCGAAAAGATTGAAGCCCTTGGGCAAAAAGCTCTTCATCTCCCCAACCTTCCTCTCCCAACCTTATCATGAGACGCGGTACTCTTATATTCCTGGTGATCAATTTCATAATAATTGGTTTCCTGGTAAATGCATTCAGCACCTTAATATCATTACTCTTCACAGATGGTGCCGCAGATGCCATCCACCGCTCCGAAATACCTGCGCCGGGTTCGGAATTAATTGAGACTCGTCCTCAGCTTATTCCTAAAATTATTCATCAGACTTATATCAACAGTTCGATTCCTGAGCGGTGGAAGGCTGGTCAGCAATCGTGTATTGATTTACATGATGATTATGAATATAAGGTATGTATATTTAATCAAAGAATAGGATAATCGGAACGAGTTGCTAATTTATTATAGTTATGGACTGATGAAGCCTCGAGAGCTTTCATTGCCGCTGAATATCCTTGGTTCCTAGATACATTCGATAGCTATCCTTTCCCTATTCAACGCGCAGACTCTATTCGCTATTTCGTACTAGCACATTATGGAGGAATATACATTGATCTCGATGATGGCTGTAACCGACGTCTTGATCCCCTCCTTAGCTATCCCGCCTGGTTGCGCAGAACTATCCCTACTGGAATCAGTAATGATGCCATGGGCTCAGTCCCTCAACATCCATTCTTCCTCCGCGTCATCGAATCCCTCCAGTCCTACAACAGAAATTGGGGCATGCCATACATTACCGTAATGTACAGCACAGGCCCATTATTCCTCTCAGTTCTCTGGATTGAATACATGCGAACCGTTACCGACGAAGCAGGCCGCGTGCGTAATCTCATGCCAGATGAATACAATAAACACGCATGGAGTTTCTTCAACGTCGTAAAAGGTAACAGCTGGCATGGAAAAGATGCACAAACTATTTTCTGGATGGGCAAACATTGGTTACTTCTTACCGTGACCGGTTTTGCCATCGCAGGAATAGTAGGTGGATGTCTATGGTTTGCATGGAATATGTGGGTAGTGCGATCGAGTAAATCGCACAGAAGAGGAATGGCTTTTTGGAGAAGAGTCAGTGGGAAAGATCGTTACGAATTATTGGATCGCGTGGCCTGATGAGTGTATATAATGGGTTTGGATGCGCATGATAGGTACATGCTGCTATGATATAACATTTGTAATTAGCGAGTCTTTTTTTTGGGATAGACAAGAAAGAGGTAGATGGATTGTATAAAGATTTTAATGGATGTTATGAATTAATGGAATCTTCTTTTGTATATATAAGACTTAGTTTGGAGTTTGATGGACTGAGTATTAGTTGTATGATCTATATGGGTAGACTTTTGACGCCGCTGATTTTGAATTATACCGGTTTCGTACCTTTGATTACGGAGGGAGACTGAGATCCAGATTCATTGGGAATGTTCTGGGAGTAAGAATTTTATTACAAAATATAGCCAGGCTTACTTATTATTGGGATCAGATGGTATGGGATTGGATTTGAGATTGGATTCGGCTTTGATTTGATTTGATATGTTGATGTTGATGTTGATGTTTGTGTTGGTGGGTTGGACCTTTGAGTGATGTTTGATTTTGATAGTGGAAGATTCTGATATTTTCCAAGTGGGAGATTTTTTCAAGTGAGAGGATGAACTTGTATTGTGGTTGGTGTGTTGATGTGTTGGTGTGTTGATGTGTTGGTGTGTTGATGTGTTGGTGTGTTGGTGTACATGTGTATATGTGTTTATGTGATCTAGGTGTATTTATTTATTTATTAGTTGTTTATTTTGAGATAACTAACTTGGAGAGGAGTGGTGAGGATTGGAGAGGACTGGAGAGGACTGGGAGAGGACTAGATAGTTGTGTGGCTCGCCAGCTGTGGTATTGGGAGTTTGGGGAGAGAGGATATGATGGTGGGTACGCGCGGTGGAGAGGGGGTGGGAGGTTGCAGGTTGGAGGTTGGAGGTTGGAGGTTGGAGATTATAAGTATTGATTATTGATTCTGGGTTGCGGAACTTTGAGGGAAATGTGTAGGGATGAAGGGGTAGGTGGTGGGGAAGAGAATGAGAGAGAGGTATATATATATATATAGGTATGTATATAGGTATGTATATATATAGGTATGTATATAGTTATGTATATGTATATTTGTGTGTGTGTGTTTGTGTGTGTATACTTTGGAGGTCAAGAGATAACCGGGATGGAATAATTGGGAGAGAAGGACTGGAAGGAACGGGAAAGCCTAAATATGCTTTGAATATGCGTATCGAGAAGTTTACGTGAAGGATATTATTCGAGTACTCTTGAAGAGATCTCCTGAATTCCGTTTTTGGGAATTTGGAGTGAGATAGGTGAGTATTTGATTCCTGATGTGATATTGTCGACGTCATTCGAATAATCGGAATTTAAATTCATCTATCTCTAAGATTGACAGGATGACATTTTATGAATAGATAGGTAAAAGTAGAAATCATTCAGTACATCCTAAAGCTTTAATCGCACTTCGATTTGTTCTAGTAGATCAACATCCGGGTAAGTTAAAATGAGATATGTCTTGAGATCTTACAATAGAAGTTCTTTGATCTCTCGTCCATTGAATACATTTAAAACGGGATAAGAGTCTTTTAGGTTGGAAAGAATAAAACTTTAAGGTTTGCATTTTCTGAACAGAGGGTATAATCTATCGATATCAATATCCTGCTTTAGAGCTTTCTTGGGTGTTTAAAACGATGGGTTGGATAGATTAGTATATAGGAGTCTTTGATCGAAGTTATAGAAGTTAAAAGTAAGTTCAAGGAACCTCGTTACAACCAACCATATGGACATCTTTCGTCCTGTTAGGTACTTCATACCTCTCTAGGAATATTGCCTTTTGGATGGTGGTTATGACTCCTATGAAGGTACTATTGAAGGACTGGAACGAGGTCCTATGTGGACACTCTATCCAACTCTCTTTAGTATCCTTAGCCTATTATCCTTATTTCGTTTCGGCCACTTAAGCGATAATAGACGAATTGCTCTCTCCGCTGCGAAGGTAACATCTATTTTGTCCTCAGCTCCGCACTTTCCGCATTTCTTTTCACGGTTTCCTACACATCAAGGTTATGGCATTTTTGGTGTTGTTCCCGCTCACTTTTCGACTCTGTGCTGGGAGTATAGTGCTACATGGGGTGTATTCTTAAAGAAATGGGAAGCGATGCTGCATCGAGGAATGAAGGGATTGATAGAGGAATACCCTATGGGCTTTTGAGTTGGGCGAGGGGAATTGGGTATGTAAGTAGCAGGAAGGTTAGCCAGTGCGCCGTTGTTGGAGGCGAAGAGTATTGGGTGTTTCATGGTGAGTTTTGGGTATGGCACAGGTCACGCGCCGTTGATTGTGTTTACCGGTTTGTCACCGGTGTTTGAGGGTTTGGTTTGCTGTAGAAGTCGAAGAAGTGTTGTAACCAAAAACTTTGGTTGAGAAGAGATCTTATCTAATTAGGGAATAGTATGGAGGCTAGACACTCGTTTGAGGGATACTTCTGAGTACAATATGTATAACCACTCGGTTTTAGGAACAGGACAACATCTCATTCAACAGTTTCCACATGTCCTCTGACCCTTGCAGTCTAGATACATCATCCGAGTACGTTCTGACTTAGCTATTACAACACCAGTTAGAAGTAAATCTGGAGTATGTAAGTGAAAATGAAGACCTCCGAACTATGTAGATGTAGATAGCATTATGGGTATCACTTGACTTTTGGGCTTCGTCCTGTAGATTGTTCGTAATCTCTGATTGCGAATGACAGCGGCAGAAGGGAGACGATACCCGTGAGACAGGAGCACAATGCTGAGTGGTTCATGAATGGGATGATATAGTCTTAGATGTATGCGATTTTCAATAAAATTTTGTAACATTTATACCTAGTTTCATAAAATCCCGTATAAAGTACTTTTCTGCCCACTTAATAAATGTCACAAATATTTGAACAATTCCAGGTTGTGTTCGTTACAATTGGAACGTTGTGGTTGTGGGCCGTTCACGTGGAAGCCCAAATGTTCACGGTCGTGTAAATTGAAAATCGCGTCTCTCCAGCTTCGAACGCGTCGACCTCAACTCAACATCCGGCAAAACACGATATGACAACCACCAACGCTTCAGAAATAGGAGAATCTTCTACCAGTGCTGCAAAAAAAGTATTGAAAGCAAATACTAATGGAGTTACAAATTATGAACTACCATGGTATGTACTTAAATATCTTGATTGTGCAAAGAGGAGGCTAATAAAGAGCAAATAGGGTTGAAAAATATCGACCAGTATTTCTCGATGATGTAGTAGGAAATACAGAGACGATAGAACGACTCAAGATTATTGCGAAAGATGGAAACATGCCGCATGTTATTATTTCTGGTATGCCAGGTATTGGAAAGACGACGAGTGTATTGTGTCTAGCTAGGCAACTGCTAGGAGATTCATACAAGGAGGCAGTTTTGGAATTGAATGCTAGTGATGAGAGAGGTATAACATGCCCCAAATAACTTCACGGGTGTAATCAAGCTAATATCAAGATAATCAGGTATCGATGTTGTACGTAACCGCATAAAAGGATTTGCACAGAAGAAAGTCACTCTCCCCGCCGGTCGTCATAAACTTGTTATCCTCGATGAAGCAGATAGTATGACGTCTGGAGCTCAACAAGCCTTACGTCGTACGATGGAGATTTACAGTTCGACCACCCGATTTGCCTTTGCATGCAATCAATCAAATAAGATCATTGAACCTTTACAATCCAGATGTGCAATTTTACGATATGCCAGATTGACAGATGCGCAGGTGGTCAAGCGGTTGTTACAAATAATTGAGGCCGAGAAGGTGGAATATAGTGAAGATGGATTGGCTGCATTGGTTTTCAGCGCCGAGGGAGATATGCGCCAGGCTATCAATAATCTACAGTCAACTTTTGCAGGTTTTGGTTTCGTTAATGGGGATAATGTGTTCAAGGTTGTGGACTCGCCTCATCCGATCAAAGTACAAGCTATGATCAAGGCATGCTACGAGGGGAAAATTGATTCTGCATTGGAAACGCTGAACGAGTTATGGGGTTTGGGATACTCGAGCCACGACATTATAAGCACAATGTTCAGGGTTACAAAGACGGTCAATACTTTGAGCGAGCATTCGAAGCTGGAATTTATCAAGGAAATTGGATTCACGCATATGAAGATTTTGGAAGGAGTTCAGACACTACTTCAGTTGAGTGGTTGTATTGCAAGACTTTGCAAATTGAATATGGATCCAAAACAATTCGTTGCTAAATAATGAGAAAAATAAGGAAAAGCATGACCACGGAGTTTAGAGCTTCATGATAAAGCTGGCGTATATGATATTGGTTGTGTACAAGTATGAAAACTCCTTATGAGTACAATTTTACCGTGGTTTTTCCTGTTTTGAAGCTGATTGCTGATATTCATCTTCATATTGATCCCAAACAGCCCTATCCCTTATCATACGTCTCTCCATTCGGACCTTTGCTTCATATTCTCTTATGCGCCGATCCGCTTCAAGAGAACCTCCCATGACCATAAAACCCATCTGGATGAATCTATCCATGTGATTATTAGCTGACTACCCCTCGATATACTATAATCTGACTCACACTTTGAATTGAATCGTCAGTCCTTTGTAAATCGGAGAAAGAGCATATCCAGCACCTCCTAATGCAGCTGCAAACAAGCCCCACTACGGCATCACATCAATAAACATCCTAAAAATCCGATGACCAAAAACGCATAGAGTTAAATACCTTTGCACCACCAGCGACAGCACCTCTCCCAGCTTCCCAAGCTGCAGCATTCGCTTCTTCGCTTTTCAATCCACCTGTTTGGTGCATTTTGTACCTCTTCTGTGCATTAATTTATCTTCCTGCAAAATGAAGGTTGAACCAAAATGATGATGGGATTTCAGATCCCGTGGGCTTTGATTGGAACGTCATTATTCACATGGTCCCGCCTCGGCTCATTCCGATAATCCGACACCGATGTAATTTTTGGGAGTCAGTATTTCGTTTGCATTGAAATGATATAATACATAACGCCCTCAGAGAATAAACCTCACCAATCATCCAAATAATAAGTAATGGCTCCAGTTCGAGCAACTGCGCTCTCGCGCGATACAAATGAGACTAGTATTCAACTGGCTATCAATCTCGATGGAGGGGAATTTCCAGCGGATACGGACAAGAAGTTATTGAGTGGTGAAGAGGGACATGCTTCACAAGTCTCAAAATCGCAACATATTGCTATACATACTGGCATTGGGTTTTTGGATCATATGTTGCATGCTTTAGCAAAGCATGCTGGGTGGAGTTTGGCGATCAATTGTAAAGGAGATTTACACAGTATGTTTTTATATTCTATTCACCCTACCGTGGGAATCCGACCTTGGATATGCAAATGCTAATTGGTATTTTAGTTGATGATCACCATACCGCTGAAGATGTGTGCATTGCACTCGGTACATCATTTGCCAAAGCCCTTGGCTCCCCTGTAGGAATCGCACGTTTCGGATCCGCATACTGTCCTCTCGATGAAGCACTTTCGCGAGCCGTTGTCGACATTTCAAATCGTCCGTTTAGTGTGATAGATTTGGGACTCAAAAGAGAGAAGATTGGAGACTTGAGCTGTGAAATGATACCACATTGTCTACAAAGTTTTGCGCAGGGCGCAAGAATCACTTTGCATGTGGATTGTTTGAGGGGTGATAATGATCATCATAGAGCGGAGAGTGCTTTTAAGGCTTTGGCTGTGGCGGTTAGACAGGCTACTTCGATAGTGAAAGGTAGAGAGGGTGAGGTTCCAAGCACAAAAGGTACTTTGAGTACTTGAGAGGGAAATGTATGAATATGACAAGAAGTACGTTGTCTATGACATTTTGGCTTGTTGCGAATGGGCTTCTTGGACGCAGGAATTGAGCGGCCCAGGAATTATTAGAAGAATTTGAGAAGCCTAAAAGGGTGGAAAAGATACCAAGCCGTTTATAGGAATCTGAATCTAGGATTAGAACTCTAATTATCCATAGAAAATCAAAGATCAAGAACTCAATTTCTTGCCCGAACTTATAAACCACATGGCGCAAATGTTTGCTTTGCTTCTAAACAACTAACTATCAGAAGTATAATAATAATTTTGAAGCAGGGTGTCTCTAAAGTTTCGCGGGGAGCATTTATTGCCCCACCCCATTCCGCTAGCTCGCCGCCTTTTGGCAAAAAAAGTAAATTTCCATCAAACTCATCGCATATCAGTAAATCTTTTATCGGATCACCAAATCAAACAAGCAAACCACCAACTCTCTTCACCAATCAATTTCCAAAATCCAACTCACCACACCATGGCGCCCTCCCGCACCAGCACCGTCAAAAACAAAAATGCATCCAAACATGCCGCCAATGGATCTGGTATCCGCAACAGCAAAACCGTTTCCCGAGCTCAAAGCGACGGAGTCTCGAAATCGAAAGGCAAAAAAGCTACACAGTCTAAGGGTGCGCCACCGAAACCACAGAAGCAGGGAAATAAAATGGCGACGTTGAAGAAGAAGAGGAGGGTTTATACGGAGAAGGAGTTGGGGATTCCGTCGCTGAATATGATTACGCCGGTGGGAGTTGAGAAGCCGAAGGGGAAGAAGAAGGGTAAGGTTTTTGTGGATGATAGGGTGCGTTTTCTTTTCTTTTTTTCTTTTGATTGGATGATGTTCGGATGAGGGTGTTGAAGACGGGAATTGGAGCTGGAGTTGAAGGATTGGATTAATCAATTATTGTTCCTTGAGGGACTTGTGCTAATCAGTTGCGAAAACAGGAATCTATGATGACGATTCTAGCAATGGTGAATGCGGATAAGGATGGTCAAATCGAGAGTAAGATGATGAGGGCTAGACAAATGGAAGAAATTCGAGAGGCGAGAAAGGCAGAGCATGAGAGGAAGCAGGAGATGCAAAAGAATAAATTAAAGGGAATGAAGGATGATTTGAGGAAAAAGAGGAAGAGGGGAGGAGATGATGAGGGTGATAATGTGAAGGGTGAGGCGTTGGCCGGAACGAAACCTTTGAAGCCTAAGAAGAAGACTGTTTCCTTTGCATGACAGGTTGAACTAGGGATTTTCGATTGTGGGTTGTCACAGAGGAGAACGACAGGGAGGCATAATTATGTTCGGGCGTTATGGCGAATACACCTAGGGTGGGGTGAGGATATTAAAATTGGCATTTGAGAGATACCAGCGATGTATTGACATTAGATTATTACTAAGTTTGAGAGATTGCTTCTAAGTTATGTCTCTATACATTGTGTAAACATGCCTCGCTATAATCCACAACTTTACTTCCAAAGGGATGAACCTCAAGTCCACTTCCGTACCATGGGTTGAAATTTAGATCGGGGTGGGCTCAAATCAGCGGTGTCGTCTGCGTCAGGAGGAACAATCGTATCAAGTTGTACTTCAAAGGCCATTTTGTTCAGGAAGTTGACACACTGTAACCTGATTAGTGACATTTATGAAAGCTAGGAAACCTTTAACTTACGGGGCGGGCATGCCACCTGTTGCCACCGATTTCAAACCACGATAAATGACCGCCTAGAGACGTGGTGCATAACACTGTGTATGGATTCTTCTTGATTTCCTCACGTGGTAAACATTCATTGGTGGCGATCTCAAGATGTGTTAGTTAGAGGGTGAATTTCAAGAGAAGTAATACTTACAGGGTCATCTTCAGCATTGATAGCGAAAAGAGGAATTCTCACAGCCAGTAGCGAATCGGTTGATGAAGCATCTCGATAGTATGCCCCCTCTGTAGGATAACCCCAAGCAGGACCTTGGATTTGTCGATCGAATTCGTGGAGGTAGGTAATGTTTCTAATCTTCTCGAAGTCGATCTTCGTATTTTTGATGATCTGGTCATGATGAAGTTCGACTAGTCTCTTCATGTTTTTCCCCATTGTCTTGGAGTATATTTCCCGGCCTAGCCAGGTTCTTTGGAGAGCGAGAGATCCAGCGTCTAGGTTCCAGGGGTTGGAACACACGACGGCGGCTTTGAGGACACATGCTTCTCCTTCTTCGGCAATGTACTGGGCTTGTTAGTGATGTCCAGTCAGAAATGAGGGGGCAAGTGGAAAAGGAGGACTGCGGGCGGGCTTACGTTTGTAAGAATGTTCGCTCCTAGAGAAAAGCCAATACCAAACAGGGGTCTGTTAGGGAAGGTCTTCCTAAGCCAAGCAATTGTTTGTCGAGTATCCCAAGTAGCTCTCGCATTGTACAGTATACTACTCGTGATTTTATGTTTTGCACATCCACGACTATTAATAACACATGCCTCCCAATTGGAAGGATGATCAGCTCCAACCAAAGGTTCCAGAACATGCTTGAGATATATCTCATAGGAACCACCTGAAAGCCCATGTAGGGTCACAAGCATAGGACGACTATCCAAGGATGCAATTCCAGAGAAGTCTTCATCCGTGTAGTAGGTGGTTCGGATGGGTAAAGAATCATCAACTTCGGTATGTGGCTCATGTACTACGAAATCAACAGCAAAAGAACCATGAAAGGCTGGATCTTCATTTTCAAACAACTTTCGTTTATAGTAAATAGGAGGCCCATCATTTTTTACTACTGTCCAGAATGTTTGCATGTGACCTAATACATTTAGCACTTTACTCAATTATTCATTGCTCAAGAGGATCGCAGTTACCATTGAACAAAATGGGGTTGAGACGACATGGTGGAGTGGACTCTTCACAGATTTTGAGAAGATCTGTTGTCGAACCATCTTTACTTTTGAGGTTTATGGGATTTGGAGGATGAATGAATCCAATCTTTGCATGTCCCAGCCACTCCATCCTGATTGGATTTTGAATAATCTTGGAAAGCTTCTACGGCTGTTTTTGGCCTAACGAGGGATGATCTGGTTGTTGTTTTACAACACAAAAGATATGTAGATTGTACTAGGAATATGAAATCTTTATAAAACCAATGGAAAAGAGTATGAACTGAAATTCGTACAGGAAAAAAAGAAGGGAAATTGAACAGCTTATATATATGTACAGATAGTGTATATCTAGGAAAGTACATATGCCTGCAGACGTATAAACCTCCTTTTGATTGACATCCACAAATCCACCTACTCGCAAAATTGTGGTGAATTCTCACCATGAGAATATCAGGAAAGACCTCGGCAAAACTGTTCAAAGCTTATTGGTTGATTTTCATACTCACCCCTGCAAATATTCTTATGTCATTCCGTCCTTTCAATGTTCGAGAGAACATTCATTTATTTGATGTTTTATTATATTTATCATAGTTTATTAACCCTCTGGTATATTGTGATTGAGGTGTTACTTAGAGAGAGGGGCAAGTCATGTCTCAAAATCATGGCATGCCAAATATCTGGCCCAGCTATGATCCAAACACATATCCTCCGCAGGGTAACTCTTCTCAACATGGCAGGAACGGTATGATGATGCAGAACGGTGGAAACATGCAACGATACCAGATGGGAGGGGACATGCAGCAAGATCAAACAACATATTGGAATTCGAATACCCAACCTCAATATGATATGCCAGCGACAGGTTATGCGCCCAATAATATCTACACGGCTCCGTCCACCGCACCACAGTATTATCAGCCTCAAGTTCAAGTTCAAGTCCAGATCCCGCAGCCTTCCCAGCAGCATTATCCTATTGATCAACGTCACCCGCAGCATCACATACAATCCCCTTCAAAAATACCAATGGAACAAACCAATCATCAGATGGCACATACGAAACCTCAGATTGCGCCACTTAATTATCCTCTTCTTATGGTTTCGCTCGCTGAGGAGTATTTCGGCGCGGCGCATGAACTGGCACCCGCAGTAGCGGTTGCCATGACGGAGGAAAATGTCCACGAATATCACAAACTGATTACTATGGGCTTGGAATGTTTGACTATTGCCTTGAAACAATTGAAACTCCCGGCAAGATTGGAAGCGAAGGTACGACTGCGAATGGCTGGTGTTATATACGAAGAGACAAACAACTATGCAGAGGCAGAGACCATGCTTGGTCAAGGTATAATACTTTGCGAAAGAGTATGGCACACATTTCTATCCATGGTTGAAATTTCTAATATCAGAATAGAATCACTACTACGATCTCAAATATGTGATGCAATTCCTACTCGCTCGATTAATGTTCGAGAAGAATCCGAAAGCATCAATGAAGACACTTGACAGTCACATCTCTGATGCACAAGCGTATGCAACTGATTTCAAATGTATTTCCGTGTTTGCTGATTTATATTAGCTATCAACACAATTCCTGGATATATGTATTCCGGTTTCTTCGAGCGTCACACGCCCTGCAATTAAGGACTTCAACAGACAATCATGCAGCTATTCAAAACCTCAGAAGTATTTCATATCTTGCAAACCATCAGGGCGATCGTTCTGTATACATTGTTGCATCTCTTATGGAAGCTCTTGCCCACCTGAAGTCTTCGGGAGTAGATGGAATCGAACATGTTCAACGAGCGATTGCGGCGGCGCGAACCTATCAACTTGACAACAAAAGCAACATACCTCAGCTTATCGGCCTTACCCATATTCTTGATGTTATTTGTAGTATACTTCGTGGTGATCCAGCTCAGATGTTAAGTACTTTGAGGTCAATGCAGCTTGTTATGGACGACCTATTGAAGAATCCAGCATGGAGCATAGAAAATGACACTCTTGCCATACCTATAGACAGTGTTCACAAAGTCAAACACCTTATCAGTCCAGATACCCGAAACGTTTTGAGCACCAGGGAGGATGGACGAGGCCAGATGGTCATGTCATTCTTGAATAAAAGAGATGCATATGCGTTAACGTTCGTATTGAAAAACTGTTCAACTCACTCTATAAAATATTAACATCATTCTAGTTATCTACTTTCAGGAATAGTTTTGATGCACAAGAATCCGCTTGATCAAAAAGCTGTGAGGTTCCTCCAAGAAGGTCTAGGAAGAATTAAAGGTAATGGGCATTCTTTGTTTTATAATTCAAAGCTAAAGTTCTTTGCAGCCGATGAATCTCGAGCATACAAAGCTTCCCCAGGTCTATTATCCGAAATTATTGCCAAACAGCAGTGGCGTGGCCAAATTCTATGTTATTCACACATATATATGGCATTCTGTTGCGCTGCTGTGGGAGATTGGGTACGTGTAAAACAGGCTATGACTTCTGTGGCAGATGCTGCAGAGAAGTTTGAAATTCCCCTATCTAGACGACTTAGGACTCTCATATTTTATCTCGAAGGTGTCTATCTCCAAGGAACTGGTGATTTGAAGGCTGCTTTGAAAATATTTCAACATGAGACGTTCGAATTATATGACTTGCCTTCGGAAGATCAGGTAGAGCGTGATGTTGCCATTCTGGCTGCTCTCAATGTTCTCTTGATCTTACAAGATGAACTTTGGCAAGATCCAATCGAAAATGTTACGCTCATTTCGAAACTGGAGCCGTACTGCGTCAACCACCCTACCAAAGATATTCAGACAGCATTTTCAATAATTCGGGCAACTGTCAAAACAAGCAATTCTGCTATGATTCACGAGACCAAAAATCACCTTTCTGCGGCTTTAGCTAAGGCAAAGGCATCGCATAACACACAATTTCTATGTCTCGTCCTCAACGTCATGTGCAGTAAGTTCTTCAACAACTGCCTAGGTGAGCAAGCGGAAAAGAGCGCATTGGCTGCACTAAAGCAAGCTAATCACAGCAAAAATAAGTTGTGGATTTCTGTTGCTGAAGGGTTATTGGCACAATTCTACGACATTTCCGGAAAGAGAGTTGAAGCTCAGGCAGCCTTCGAGGACGCTTGTGCTGTAGCGCATGAAGCTTTACCGGGGCATTAGCGGTGTTCGGGGCGTTTCTTCATTTTGTATCGATACGGTGTTATGGAAAAGGTATAGGTGCTTAAGAGGGAGTCAATGAATGGATGAATCAACGACATTGCATGGCTGGCATAGGTGGGCGTTTGGCTTGGGATGACTGGATGCTCTTGACGCATATACCCATTTGCTTGATTTCTATTATAATTGGTGCTGAGATGGTGTTCAAAAGAAGCATGCGCATGTTGTAGAAATATTACGACCATCTTCTTATACATGATTGCTTGATCTACAGTACAATTATTTATGGAATAGTCAGTACTCTAGCCATCTTTTTCACATACTCTAATGCTCTGGCATATTTCCATACATTCTCTGATGCTCTAGCATATTTTCATGTACCCGTTGCTATGCGTGATTGCTTCGTTTATAATGTAATGATAATAGAACATTCACTACAGTGCTTTTCAAATAGTACTCTAATAAATGTCCCAATGATACTGATGAGCTTTGGTGGTTCACGTAGAAATAACCTTTTCCCTATCAAGACCCCTGTTCAAAAAGGACGCTAAGATAGAGGTGGGAGACAATCAAAAAAAAATAGTCGAAATCATCAGCAACTGTAAGACAAATCAAGTCAATTGAATGAAAAAGAGGTTCATCCTCTAAACCATTCCCATGTTTGTCTCTCTTACTCGCCGGACTCCTAGACTGCAGCAGCCATACGTCTGTACATCGTGTCTCTCGAAACTTATTGGGGCTTCAGATGCTCTTCCTCTATACTCGAATGCCATACGCTGCGCACCGCGAACGCCTAGAAATGTCGCCGCATTTTCGACAACTCGAGTCAATTACAAAAATGAGAATGCAGGCTCTTCCCTACCGTCAAAGAAACAGAAGGTTAAATCTTCGATTAAAGGCGCAAGTGGCGACAATAAAAAGGTTAACACTGCTGCAAAGGATTTAGGCGGAAGCCTCGAGGGACTGGGAAATTCTATTGAAGCCGTGTTGAAGGCAAAGAAGAAGTCGAAGTCAGACAAAAAGAGCCCGGAGCAGCAGGTGGCAAAAAAAGAGAAGGGTAAGAAGCAGACTACCTTGACGAAGGAAGACGTAACCTTTGAGGATGACAGCAAGGGGGACGTCAAGGAGACCGGTTCAGAATCAAAGACGAAGGGGAAAAAGAGTACGAAGAAGGCTAAAGCGAAAGCAAAGGCCAAAGCTAGCAACCAGAAGGGCAAAGAGGGGAACGAAGAAGAGTCCGAGGCTCGAATCAGAAAGGTCAAACAAAAGCTTATCAATTATGTCAATTCCACCCAGTCAAGCAATTTAGTACAGCGCATTTCAGGCGCCGCTGTCGACGGTACAAATCAGGAAAAGATAGCTCCTTCGCAACTGCATTCCATCTATGAATCTATGGTAGCTGAAAAGGGAGAGGCCGCCGCTAGGAAAGAACTCGTTAATCTTATTCAAAAGGGAGGTTTAACCACCACAGACCGAACTCAAGTCATGAAAGAATTGCGTGCATCACTTGTCAATAGACCAAGGCCAAAGAAGGAGAGTACAAGTTCTGGAGATGCGAGCTCATCAACTAATTTGGCTGGAATGCTGGCTTCATTTGAGTCTATTCCCAAAAGTCCTGTCAGGAGGCTTGTGGATAAAAGGTTTGACTCTGACAAACAGGAGAAATCGAGCCGCAAGTCAGCAGCCTCTGCGAAAGGTAAAAACATTAGGACAGGTCCAATGAAGAAATCGCCCGGCACAATTGCGTTTGAAGTCAAGTCTGTTGACGCCGATTCCCTTCAACTAGTACCGGTACAAAAGAAGCAACCTCCAGTACCTGGACTATCTTATGGACTTGAAAGAGCTCTGTTCAACCCCGGAGTATATCATCTCCAAGATCCTCGTTCACGGGTGTTCAACTTTGATCCTTACTTGCAACAAATTATGCCCGTAAGCGAATTCGATTTCACGGCATTGAAACAATATGTCACCTCTTCAAGGGACAAAGCGTTGATTGCGACCGCTAAAGATGAAAAGAGAAAATATACAGGGTCGACGTCGAGTATGTCGGCATCTCTTGCCCACTTCCATTTCTTGCTATCCCAGTGGAGGCCCATCAATACAAGTATGCTCTCACAAGAATTTCCCGTTGAATTCAACTCCTTCACTGCACTTCAGCGTGGTCCATCGGCGGTGTTTTTAAGAGAGAGGGACGGAGTTTATGCCATTGATGCTGATAAGCAATACGATACTGCCAATATATTGAGTATGCTTGGAAAATCGATGGAAAAGCTTCTCACTCTACCCAAAGAAGAGTTTGAACAATATCGAAAAGAAAACTCGGCTTCAATTACAGAAGACCAGCGTAACGAGGTCGAATCTTTCCATTATACTACCATGGGCGACTTCCTTATGCGATCCCAACTTGATGCACACGACCCTCGCCTCCCAGGAACAGGTATGTTTGATCTAAAGACTAGAGCCGTGATTTCAATCCGTATGGATATTGAGAATTACGCCGAAGGAAGTGGTTATGAGATCTTTAGTCGCCATGGAGAATATCAATCCTTTGAACGAGAATACTATGATATGATAAGAGCAGCATTCTTAAAGTACTCATTACAAGTTAGAATGGGCCGTATGGATGGAATTTTTGTCGCGTATCATAATGTTGAGCGAATTTTTGGATTCCAATATATTAGTTTACCAGAACTAGATGACACTATCCATGGAACCACCAATACTACCATCGGAGACAGCGAGTTTAAACTTAGTGTTGACTTACTCAATAAAGCCTTGGATCGTGCAACGGCCAGATTTCCAGGGAAATCATTGCGTATACACTTCGAAACTCGTGGTAATGTGGAGACTCCATTTATGTACATTTTTGCCGAACCTATGGAAGAGGAAGAAATTCAAAAAATTCAAGATACAAATAAAGCGGAGATTGAAGCATTCGAAGCTCGTGTTCTTGGTTTGCATGGTGCAAAAGGAACGGAGGAAGAACAGTTGGAAGAGAGAAAGAATGCTGAATGGGAAGACCTTCGTGCTAAGATTGAAGAAAGTATGGAGAATGATGAGTTTGAAATTAAGAGTGCAAAGGAAATCGCCGAGAGCCTGCTTGAGCATCATGATGTTGCTGGATTGACATTGGATGAGGTGGAACAACGTGTGGAAGAGTTCCTATCAACTTCATCTTACAATGAACAAGGCGAAGCTGGCGCCACAGGGCAGGATGAAAATGAATTATGGAAAGAAGAAGAGAATGTCGATGCCGATGAGGAAGGAGATGAGATTATAGATGGCAACGAAGAAATAGAGCATGATGGTGATATAGAAAAGACCACTGCAGAAGTGAATGGAGATGCAGATGAAGAAAATGATGAAGAAAATGATGAAGATAGTGGAGAAGAAGAGAATGAAGAAGATGAAGAAGAGGATGATGAAGAAGAGGAAGAAGATAATGAGGAGGAGGAGGAGGGGGAGGCAGACGAGAGCGACGCTGGAAAAGAACTCGAAAACTCAAATGATGATGTAAAGATTAGCGAACTCACTGAAATCGCCGTCGAGGAAACTGTCATTCAAGAAGGTCATCTCGTTGACCCAGCCGAAGAAACTTCGGAAGCTCAACAAAGCAACGATGATTTGCTAGAAGCCGAGACACACGAATCGGAACCTGTTGAAAATGAAGATCTCTTGATTGATTCAGCCGAGGAAATTTCTGAAGCTCAGCAAAGCAACGATGAGTCGTTAAAAGCCGAGACAAACGAACCTGAACTTGTCGAAAATGAAGATCTCTTGATTGATTCAGCTGAGGAAACTGAGGAAGCCCAAGAAGATATCGATGGATCATTAGATTTTCAAGCAAACTCGACAGAGGAGTCTGAGACTTCAATTGAGCCCGATGAAAAAGACGACGACACATCAATGGCGGATATTGAATCAATTCTTCCCGAAGAAGCCCCCAAAGAAATCCTAGCGATGCATCTTGCCATCCGCAACAAGGTCGACGGTGCATACACAGTACGACCGGAAAAGCTGACGAAAGATCAAAAGTGGACTGTCGAATATGCATTATCTGAGATCCCCGAACAAGAAAAAGCTATGAATCTTTACAGAGCATGTCAAACAAGAAGAAAGACAGCCTTGAGAAGATCAGATGAACCTGAGAACAAATGGGCCGAGGAAAGAAACGATAGATTCATTGCGCACTTGAAGCATTTGGCAAAGAATGGTAGGGCTTGGAGGCAGAATATCACGAAGAAGGAGGCAAATGAGCCGGTTAAGACTTTGGAGTTTAGGCCGGAGCCACCGGAGGTAGGGATTTATGAGGGATATGAGGAGATGAAGATGGCGGCTGAGGAGAAAATTAAGATGGTAAAGGCGGCTGAGGAAACCAGTGAGGAAAACAAAGAGTAAAAGGTTAAATGGGTGGTTTTAGAGGATGTACGAGTATTCTGTATCTCATGCTGTAAATGTTAGATGAATCTGGCGCAAGATTCGAGGTTATGCAAAAAAAGAAATTATGTAGAAAATATATCATCGAGATCATCACTCCAATTCAAAATGTCTCCTGGTATCATACATTCTATGTTCTCAGTATTCAAGTATTCTTCCAATTTTTCGGTTGTGAATCCACATAAGTTCACCAGTTCTTAACTTTAGGTTTTCTTATGCCCGCAAGCAAGTAGTAAATGTTACTAGGTCCCACCGATTTGCCAAATACTATTTTGCTTTGTTGATGAAAAGATCTGGAGCGATGAGGTCCAGGAGCGGCGAGATGACGGAACATGGGTCTGGGCTCCGACGCTGGGAAAGAGGGAAGTGGGGGTGTATGAGATTAGAGGTTCCATTCAGCTTTTGAGCGCCAGCTTAGTTGGCGATCGTGGATTAAGAGGAGAATGCATATGTGTGTGAAGTACGGTGGTGGGGATAAGGGGAATAGGATTTCACGAGGGGGATTTCCGACGTACTCGGTATGGGAGGTGAGGTGGCTGTTATGGCTTTGAGCATGATGTCTTGGGAGTTGAGTATGGATTTAGATGATAGTCCATGGTCGATAGGAATGGGGGTGGGGGTACCATCTGCAATAAGTTGGTCCAGAATCTTGAGTCTCGTTCTTGTCTAGGTTTTTGCCATGCGGTTTTATGGTTTCGTGCTGGATGATAGGGTTAGAACTTCCGTAGAGCTTTCATTTTGCCGGTTTTGGGAATTATGTTATCGTTGTTTGTTCCTGTTAGTGCAGGCGTGATGATGTAGCTTTTCGAATTCTTTTAAGGTGGGGAAAGAGGGAAAGGGCCGGTGATGAATATTGGAGGATTCTAGAAGTTATCTTACCAGAGTCATTGACCGTGTCAAACTCTTGCGTGGGACATGGCATCTGTAGCGGATTCGAGGATGGGGGAGGGTCCCGATAGACTTATAATTAGCGAAGACTGCGAATGTGCTTTGAGGAGGTTTTCACATCGATTGAATGATCATGATGATCATGCATGTATTAAGTGTTGAGGATACTGGAAAGTTCAGAAGAGGAGAGATAAGTTACTTATAGATTATAGATTATAAATTAAAAACTAATCAAGCTTCGTTTTTACACACAAATATGCACGTTCCGGATCATAAATTGGGGTTGTGTAATTGCCAATTGACATCATCAATCATATAGATAACCTGACTGTGTTGCAACCCAGATGATTGCCCAATTTGCCCAACTTGTCCCCCCAAGACCCTCTCTGATTTGTATTACTAACGCTCAAACTCCCAGCTACGGCCGACAAGCGAGACTCTCCTTTGTTACTATCAAGCGCAACCACCAGCATCATATTAGCCGATAGAGCCTATACTTTACAAGGCAAAATAATGCATTTCCTCCTGATTGTGTGAGACACCCTTACAATCAGATGATTTGATACTGTCGCCGGATTTTCGTACAGAATTGAAGTATTAGGAACTATACTCCGCTATAAACAGATGCTTGCGTACAATCGTAGAGATCAGCGTTCCACGGATGCTAGTTACTCCAACACTGATTTATTAGAATCAAAAATTCTCTGTTGCAGATCCAATCAAAGAAGGATAGTGAGAGAGACCACCATATCCACATGAAACCTCTCATATTTGTCACAATCATCAGATGCCTGTATGCCACAACATAGGTTTACTCACTGGGTGTCTTCAGGGACATGTATATATAGATAATGAAAGAGGTTAACACATTCCATTTTCTAGCCTTCTTTGTAGGATATTCAACAACATGAGTGACATAAATAGAAGAGTGAAAGTTAAAAGGTTACGGGGACGAGGTTAAGTGATCAAATGGCATGGAGTTGTGAAGACCCACGGGTAAGTATCTATACCCGAGACCAATCGGATTGATTTAAGCACTAATGCATACTGTTATTGTGGATCTGCACTAACCTTTTTTCAAAAGTCGTCTGGGGTGCGGAACGAAAATAATTTAGTGCGAATAGAGCTGAAAAAGATATCGAACAACATTTATATTATGATCCTCTTCCAACCCCTTTTTAAAAAAATAAATTCATTTGCATAATGAGTGATGACTATCTAGCACGAAGTGAGCTGAAAGAGCTTATCCTCAGCAAAATTAAATTAAACAGCATGCATTGTAATCCTGCACTAACTTCTTTTTTGTAAATCATCCGATTATCACCAACCCTGCTTGGTAAATCGTCTGGGGCCTTGAACAAAACAATTTCTTGCAAAATAAAGCCCTTTTGAATGTGTTGTCCATCTCTACAGTAAGCTGGTTTTTCAACTTGCGAGGAACACTCTGAACAAAAATGATATACTGCGAAGAGAGATAAACGGATCAACTTACAGGAAATCTCAGTGTACACCCCCTCAGAATGTCGGCCGATAGGTATACTGTGGGCAGGCTCATCCAACAATTAGAGAACTACGATGAGAAACAAACACTTGAATCTTTATTGGAACGGGAAGAGGTATGTAATGCCCCTCTATTGGGAAGCATGGGGAGATGTAACTTGGTTCGCAGTTCACAAGCCTCCTCCATGGCATTTACACATCCCTTTCAGCCGAGTCGAAAAGCACCGCTCAAGAAGTGTTTCGCAAGACCAATGTAACCAAAAAGAAAAGGACTAAAAGTACAGCATTGGTAATAATTCTCGGGATTCACAACATTGCTCTACCCCCCAGCATACAAACTCAATATCAAATATGGAAGGAGAATCCATCACAACTTTGGCGGGCCCTTGATGGTCAAAATTCCGAACAATCAATCGAGGTTGCCGCTATTGAAGCATACCTTGTGGCTCAACATCTCCGTCTGCGACAGGTATATAATGTCATTCTTTGGAGGTTCTACGTGAGCTTCTTTTACCAACTCGCATTGTTGCTAGGGCATGGACAGAAGGTTATGACGAATAATTTGCATAACATCCTCTATGAACGTCTCGTCAAAGCGATCACACAATCCAAGAAGATCAATGATGACATTACCGTCATCAAAGCGAACTTACAACTCTGGGTAGCGGCAGGGGCTAGGTATAATAAAATATGTACAGCTCTCGATAAAGGCGCATTGTTCCTGATTCCACAGATACCCGATGATGTGTAAGCCGATATCTTTGCTTCCCCCATAAAACGAGCATGCTAATCATCCAGATGGGAAAATCCAAACTCTTTGAAAGGTGCAGAATTCGATGAGGCAATGGCCCATTTGAAAAGTCTAGGTATCATGACGCTTTCAGATCAGCTTGGGGCCGATAAACTTGCCAACCAGATTCTAAATTCTGCTCTTGATCCTTTTCGGTGGGATGTAGTAACGACACTTAATGTCAATCAACCTATTGAGCCAAGGACTTCCTTTGCTACTGAACCGGGGACTCCTGCTGCCAATCTATCTATAGAACCAAGGATTTCTTTTGCCAGTTCACCTACCCAGCTGATGACCTTTGCTGCGAATATATCTGTGGAACCAAGGACTTCTACAGCAAAACCGAACTCCATATCTTCACTTTTAAATCCAGCATAGGCGACATATCAGTCAGAATTATCTCCAACTAGAACTTTAATAGAGCATCCTGGTGCGCTAAGGGATCACAATCAGAGCTGGTGTCTCGAAAATGGAAGTGTGTTAACCCAGTATCAGCCGCATCCTGCTCGCCCCTACCAACCTCAGGAAGTCATAGTGAATGCGGTTAGTCTGGATAAGCTAACGGTCGTTTTTTTTTGGAAAATTCCTTCTCGATAGTATGATGAACAGCCACAGGAGACATCAGGATTAGAGGGAATGTACTAACACTGTATCTTTGCATGCTCCGTTTCTGAACCCAGGTTTATGATGTATGGGTGGTTCATCTGTTGAGAAGGAAATTTTACAGGCCACTGACAGTGAGATCAATTGCGGACGTTAGAGGTAGCTGAGCTACTTGGCAGTACACCAATCAAGGATATAAAGGGCAAGAAGAATTGAAACAGGAAAAACCAAGAGGTATTTTTGCAATCAAGGGGCTACTAGTGTGAAAGATATTGGGTTTCTGCATTGGCAAATCTGTGAATTTGAATAATGACTCTGTCCCAAATAGACAACCGTCACATGCCCGAAACAGAAACCATATAAGTCTTTTGCTGTTGATCGAAGAGTCGATGGTGACATTCCATCTGTGTTAACGTTCGCATGTTCGCGGTTTGCAAGGAGCTTTTCAAGTGAGAATTTGCAGTTGTAGTATTTTCAAGAAACTAAGTTGAGGATAAAAAAGTAACGTTTGGAAATATGATTTTCAGATATTATAAATACAGTACGAGATATAGATAAAAAAACGGAGAGAAAGGAATACATTCGCGACATCACAGTATTAGAGAATAAGTACTTTCAACTGGATTTTAAACGGAAGTTGATTACTCAATTGCCTTTTCCGGCTATTTAGTATCTGAATCCTAGCTTTAGGTATTGATAATCTAAATCCTAGCTTTAGGAATCAATATTTTCGAAGTAAATAGTGAAAGACACTTAAAAAATCAATACATATTGCAAAAATGAAGATAGAAAAATATCAATATTTGGAAAATAGCCAGCTACAGTAAGAAGTGAGTATATTTTCAACCACACACTCTCTAGCACCAAATCGCACCAATGGTTTAGTGGTAAAATCTGCGCTTCCCACTTCAAGACTAGCGTCTCGTTGAGCCTGCGCAGGCCACGGGTTCGATTCCCGTTTGGTGCAAAATACAATGGATTTATTTTTGCTTTTTGTTCCTCTGTCCTCAAGAGAGGAGGGCTGCGGGGTTGAGAGTTTGTTGGCGTCGTTGCGAATAGACTCTTTTTTAAGGTTTGCGGCTGATGTGGTTTGTGTGGCTGTGGGGTAATTGTGGCGGAGCTGTGGAGGTGAATTTATGTTTTGTGTTCGGGACCCCACATCCTTGTTTTCTGAGGTGGGGATTTATGTTGATGTAAATAAAGAGTACTTTGCTTGAAGTAGAAGGTTTAAGAAGATTTTGAGGAAGATTTTGAGTTTTTTGAGGAAGATTGTGGGTATATTGTGTATTAAAAGCTGTCTTATTTCTAGGCAAAGAGAAAGATAGAAATGCTAGAAAAAAGTAATAACATGTGTTGTTTTGTGCAACCTCAAGAAGGTTTGGGGTAAACAGTAGCGATGATCTTGTCAGAGTTAACCGCAAGTTTGCTTTTGACAGAAAATAGGTTTGAAATCTATAAAGCAATAGAAATCATGTCCATTCATTTACTTTGCGTTACTCCTAATGGGAAATCGTGACAAGACCTTGCCAACAATATTAGGCACTGATTTCGCGACTTTTTAGGGGGGGCTTTTTTGTGATAACTATTTTACATTCAATTGGTGAGATATCAGATCTGTCTGTAGGAAGAAGACAGCTGGTTCAAATCCTGTCTACTAGCAATCAGCAAAGCAAATTTGTATAAACCGTCTCTTTTTGGATTTCTAGCATTGAAGTTGTGTATAGCAAAAAACTTTTCCTGAGACTTCCCCTTTTTGTAGTCTTTACGTTTGAACATGATAAGCAAAATATAGCTTTTGGGAGAACCTTTGTATTATCTTGAGTTGAACAAGATTGAATGTTGGAAAGATGCTGCAGCATCTTCTGATACTGAGAGTATAATTTCGGTTATATCATTTTATAAAATAATCTAGATTTGAATGAAAAGCTTCTATTCGCTGCTAGCAAGTATTTTCAACTTCCAAGACAAGGCCGAGTTCCAATGAGAGTAGTCACTCAAGAGTAGATGAAATTATCTAGCATCTATTCACTTTATAGGCATAGTGCAAAGGCCATCAAGAATTATATGTAGCCATGCTGACTAGATATTTTCTTTTGGAATACCATTGGTGTGACTTGGCATATGCCATCCGTGGATTTGTAGCTAACATTGAAATTAGATTGCGTTCGTCATTTATTCATGACCTATACTTTCACACCCAAATCTACCAAAGACATAATCACAGATACACCTACCTACCTAATTCTCTGAAATGCTGAGTAAAAGGCACAAGATCACTACATTCGCCAAACCTAACATTGTTTCTTCAAGACAAGTTATGTGTATCGTTCAATATATAGCAGCTTTCAGGACTTTAATTTAGCTGCAATTCGATCCAGTAAATAAAATCTCAAATGAAATATGCAAGAAAATCTTTTCATCCTCCCTTCACACACAATTGTCCAAAGCCATAAGATTAAGAAGCCGTCGGAAAATTTCCACATGCAAATATAATACAATCAGCCCTATTGTGCTCCTATGCAGTCCCAGGCTCGCATGTTCCTGCCCTTGTATACCTATGCTCACACTCCTCCAACAAGCAAAGTCCAGCGAATGTCCTCATGAAAAATGACATGATGACAAGCATCAAATTGCAAATTGCACTAGACTATATAGTACCTATTCGTGGTAAAGGTACATATGAAGTGCTCTTTCGGATCCTTTCATTAAATTCCTTTTGTTTAGTGAAAAATTACCATATGATTATGCTCTTCAGCAAGTGAATAGATTTCGAGCAACCTTGATTTCAGGATATGAATTACTTTTCAATATAAAGAAAGAGAGACAACATTAGAATGGATAATGCAAAGGCTCAAGCAGAGCTTTAAATCATCGACTCGTATAAAAAATTCACCGTTTGTCACTCCATCATACTTCCCCCAGCGTTCTATACCAGCTTAAGCTCCACCCTTCCATCAAATTTATCAGTTATCCGGCATGGTGTAGTGGCTAGCATTTCCGCCTCTCAATCAAGTGTAATGGCTGAGATCAGGTCGCGGGAGACCGGGGTTCAATTCCCCGTACCGGAACTCTTTTTTGAGGGGGTTTGAAGAAATTTTGCAGAGATTTAACCTTAAGCGAGAACCTAGAGGAATGGTTGTTTGTTTACACCTCACTATTCGCTAAATATAAAAAGCTTTCTCAGTATATCTTTTAAGCTGGTGGAATATTTTAAAAGAAAAGTAAACACAATTAGTTGTTTATCTAAATCTAAACAAGTATCAGTATGTACCAAATTACCCCAAAAAGGGAATGACCGACGTATTTAAGAAACAAATTTCATATTTCAAATCATAAAATACACAACTAATACAAAAACACACTTTCATTACATATCTAAATATGATCTGAATGAAATAATACCTAGGGTTATTCCACCCCAAGCACCAATTAAACTATTTCTCCAAGTATGAGTTCTGGTGGTTTCATTCCATATAAAACAACATGCTATCCCAATCATATTAGTATCGTAACATCTCCCCAGAGACTAAAAGTCATTTTTCATACACACCTGAAAAAACATATAAGTATAAGACTATCAACTTAACTTTTTCGCTTAGCATCAAAAAAGGGGAATTTTGTTGCGCATCCAATAGTTAGAAACTCTAATTGAGACTGTTTATTAGACCTCTCAAAAGGATAAATAATACTGATTAGTTTTTAATCAGGTTCTGTTATACATATAGATCTTACATATCCAAAATAATCCTAAACTATATCTTTTCTCTCCTCTTCCATTATTGATTCCCAATTACCTCCCATTTCCAGCTCTCAACTTTTAAGATATATCTTTTAGGCTCTCCCCCTACCCTCAATCCGTCACTCAAGTATACCCACAGGAGAATAAAGGTCAATACAAGAGTCTTTCCTACATCTCAAAAAGCCAATAATTAATTATCCGTACGAGGAGAATGAATGAATTCTTGATGTAAAAGATTTATAATCTATTTACTAAGAACAAGACAGAATCACTAGACACCATCAATGAAGATGCAGTGTAAATACATTTACACGCCGGTATACCCTTCAAGATATAATTTCCCGTCAATGTCCCACGAATACATACTAAGTAAAGTACTTTCACTATGCCTAAAACCATTGCATAGAATAAACACCTCCGAACCCTGAATCTCGAATATGCACACACTCATTTCAAACATTCACCACCCACCCATATTTGAAGAACAATAGGTAAACACACTTATCTACTATGCACCCAACAACCTCAATCAACACGAGCCCAAAAAAAATCAAAGAGGAAAAAGGCCAAAAATTTGAAAAAAAAAAAAAATCATAATACATAACATACAACAGTAGGGATTCGCTGGTGGTCACCCACCCAACTACTAATCTACCGATCTGAAGCTTGTGTATGGCAGAGCGGACGGGATGCCCAATTCTCTTCAGTCTGTGGTCGTATGTGACAGTTGTGCATCTAGAATGAATTATAAAAATGATTCATAGCACGCGTACGTCCCTCACTATTACAGCCTCATCAAGGTGTCCCATTGCATCAAACAACGTACAGAACAGCGAAGGAATCAAGGGCAAAAGCTAATGCAGACAATCGAAGCACGTATCTAAAATCACCCGTACTATGTATGAAATTTACCAAGTGACATGTCACATAATTAACAACATTAGTTTTTCATGCTGTGTCAATTTATTTCTCCATCTAACTAAAGTGTGCTATCGTCAGACTCGAAAGCATGTATGCCAAAAAAAAAAAATGATAGTGATGAAATTTGTGTACAGTAATTGGTCCCTATGTGCAATCAGTGGAATTATAGGCAGGGGGTAAGGCTCGTGAAGCTCCTGCATAAAGAAATCAGCAATGTTCTCGAACGTTTGCCTGAGATGCTTGAGTCGAGTTTCAAATCCGGAACATCTTGAATACTTGGATTACGTATTGATATAACGATGTGGTTGCTGCTTCGGTAGTCACAGTGTCGGTGACGTTTTCGAAGGTATTTATGCCTACCGCATGGAGATTTCTGTGATAAAAATCTACTCAATATTAGTCTTCTCATATAAGACAGGAGATTACCTCTTACCAGATACGAGCCTAATTCAAACGGGATGTAGGCCATAATTAGCATCTCAAATAGCCTTTGTGCGAGAGAACAAACTGCTGTAGACTGCATCCACAACAGGAGTAGCGCTAATCATTCGTCCACCAAAATATCTGCCATTTAGACCCTTAATAGCGTTCTCTCCTCCTTGTACTCGGTCGAATTTGAGATAAATATCTCCTTGGGAGTTCGGATCTAAAGCAATGTGAACAACGTGGCCATATTTTTCTTCCGCTTCTGCGCGGACATCATCCTCGAGTTCTTTTTCCCAATTCTCACCGTCCTCTCTGTGAATTTGATTAGCAATGGGTTGACACAGGGGAATGTATTACTAACTCTGTAGGATCGAACATGTTCTTGAGTACAACACAGCGGCTAGCCATGTTTACATTGACTGGTAAAGCTTTGGTCTCTGTTTTAGGTTTTGATACTTCTCGTCTCTCGTGGTTCGCGGCAGTCGTGGTATCATCTGTTCTGGCGAGTTTTCTCATCAATGCATCTCGACTATAATTGTTGAAGTTTACGCCGCCAACGTCAGTGTCGTCCAAAGCACTAGCACCACCCGCACCTTTATCATTATCACGACCACCAGCACGATCGAAATTACTACCACCGGCAGCGGTAGGGCCTCGCCCACCAGCGCCGGAAAATGCGGAACCCTGGAATTGTTGTTGGTGGCTTTGGCCATGAAATCTTTGTAGAAGACTGGCGGTAGATTCAGGAGTGAACTTATCGTTTCCAAGACCAACACGGATTGGTCTACCAGCAAGATCGAATCCATTCATCTTCTCCAACGCTTCTCTAGCTTGATTTGGATCACGGAATCTATTGTAGTTGTTAGTATAGCTACATAACCTTTCCTAGAAAAAGCTTACTGGACAAATCCATAACCCCGACTACGTCCTTGCTCTTCTTTTTGCAACTGGACAAATTCGAGCTCACCAAATGGCTCAAACACATTCTGTAAATCGGCTTCAGTGATGCTGAAATGTATATTACCCACATATAGTCGATGGAAAGGAATTTGGTTAGGGTTACTGGTGGTAGCCTCTGGATTGCGAACTTGTCGATTCTTCTCAGCCTCAGTGAGTTGTGCAATAATTGGGATTCCTAGGAGTCTCTGTCCAGTGAGTTGAATAGCGGCAGGAACTGATTCTTCGTTTTTAAACTCAACGTAGCCAACACTGTGCGAAATTAATAATGGAATCATGTAAAAGAATTGCGAACCAAAACTTACCCTTTAGATCTACCACTGACTCTGTCCTTTACAATCTGCGCCTCCTTGACGGGGCCAACCTTTTCAAAGAATGCTATGAGCTCTTTAGTTCTGAGACGAGCTGCTAGTTGTTGTACAAAAACGGTGCGCCTGTCCCGTTCATCTTCAGTCAGGGGAGGTGTGCCTTCTCGTTTAGGACTTCTAGGTCGGCGTTCTTCACGAGGCTTGTCTGCCTCGTCGCGATCACGGCGGTCACCTCGTGGACGGTAATATCTATCAGGACTTCTAGTTCGTGAGCGTTGACGACCACCACCCCTACCTCCCCTATAATAATCTCCATCTCTGCGGCCGTTTTCTTCGGGGGTATCTCTACGGCGACGTGGGTGTCGACGATTATCATCGCGACTTCTGCTTCTGCGCCTACCCTTTGCGCTTCCATTCTCACTTATTGGGGTTGAAGTGCCGTCTTTCTCGTTTCTGTCTCTGCTGCGAGCTCGACGTTTTCGGTCTCTGTCGCGATCTCTGCTATCATCGCGAATTCTATCACGGTCGCGTCTTTCGCTGCGTTCACCCTTGTGGCGATCATCGGATTCTTTAACCTTAGCAGATCCATTTTGCTCGACAGGAGTAGCAGCTGCGGTTGAATCCAAGAGGGCTTCAACATCTAAGGCGGACATGGTGAAGGTTGTTACTCGCCTGAGAGTGGATAAACAATGGTTTTGATGCTATTGTTCAATTATCTGTACCGAAAATTGGGCCTGGTAATTTAAAAAGACTCAATTTGATAGCTAATTGCTCTTTGAGCTTTACAGAATGATGGGTATTAATCAGAAGTAGAATTATCCGTCTTGTGAAGTTAAAGTGGCTGGTGGGTGGGAAAATATGAAATATTAGTCAGTTTCTTAGTTTGGGCATCTCACCACGTGTGTGGCCAACATGAACTGTGGTTCGACGATGGTATAGAACGATGCTTGCCGAGGCCCATGAAGTTTCGATCATAATCAATTCTCGAGCTGAATTATATAAGAATTTTATTACTACTCGTCAATTATAGGTATTTATGATTTGTTCTCTTTATCGAAAGTAAGGTGTACATTAGAGTATTAAAAAGGCTACGAAACTACAATTTCTCCAAAAGCGGCCGGCCTGCTTCCTCTGCCCAGCCTCGTCCATGAGACACCAAGACCAGAATGCCTTTGATATATCTATATCGTGAAATCATTTTAAAACATACCGTTATTTCCTAGCTTGGTCACATCATTTACAAATTCATAATCATCTCCACTTTACAGGGTCTTCGGTGCAGGTGCAAGTTGAGTTCCGAAGATACAATCCCAAAATCGACTTGTAACTCCGAATCCGTTTTCATAATCCATGAAGTGATGTTGAAGATGATATTTCTTCAATTGCCTCCAGTAAGAAGGTAATGTGCGATGATGAAGAAAGTAATGAGTCAAATCATAACAGATGTATCCGAAGATTCCTCCGCAGAAAACAGCTGTAGCCACATACCAGTCCCAGTAAAAGACGGCGTGAGCGAGTTTCCAGAAAGGAGTCGCTAAAACGATGAAGAGAGTGGGCGGCATAACTAATCGGTATTTGTCCATTGGTAAATAGTGATGGATACCATGGAGTAAGAAATGAAGAGTAATTCCTACTCGATTGTCTGGAAGCCATCTAGAGATGTAAGTCAGCGTGATGGTCCATTGCCCTGAGTTTATGAAGGGAGTATCCATACTTATCGAGATGGAAGAGGAATCGATGCAAAATATATTCGACCAAGGTCCAAAGGAAAAGACCAAGAAACCAGTATGCTGCTTCTCCAGCGATGTTATTGAATCCTTCGCTGGCAAGATATGTACCATAAGCCACTGGTGGGACCCAAACCACGGGCACAACCCACCAAGCTGTCTTCGATAGAGGCTCGAGGAAGTTCCCGAATAAAGGTGCTGATTCTCCTCCCTTGTAATGACGAGGTCGGTGGACCTGCTCAAGATAAAATTCTTTGCTGAACCCACCACACCAAATTTGCATCAACAATGGTTTGTTCAGGTCAAGGAATTTGTGTGTTTTATAATCGTCCACGAGATCCGTCTCTTTATTCAAGTCTTCTTCCGTTGACATGCCAGTACTAGCATAAACTGGCAGAGAGTTTGCGGATCCATTCTCTTTCAATTCCTTTAGGCCTTCCTTGGCTGGCGGGAGTGGAACGATGGTATCTGGTTTTGTACTTTTGGTAGCTGTATCGATGACCTTGTTTGTAGCAACGAATCCAATGAAAGAATCCTCGAGAACCTCATAAGCGGCTTCAGAATGAGTATGCGAGAGCTCATCCTTCAATATATCCGTCACGTCCTTGCCGGCGTACTCTAATATCAATTCACCTCCGCCCGGATGGCTGTCGAGGAAATCTGTAACATCAAAGACCCTTGTACTCATTGTGACATAGCAACTCTCTGCAGAATCATGAGAGGCGACCTCAGCCTGAGTGAGAGTAGGAAGCGTTCGAGAAGGAGACATGATTAGCGATTGTATCGAATGGTATGCGTATATAATTAAAGAACGCGAATCGTGGAAGGTTTTATTTATGAACTGTAGTATGGAATGATTCGATATTTGTAGCTAGTTTGGGAGGCAAATTGGCTAGGAAATAAAATCGGGCACGGCCGGAAACAGAGGGGCGGAAGCGCCGGACAATAGAGCGGTGGAGGGAGTTGTACACCTAGGTAGGTAGATATATATTTTTGATGAAGCCACCAATTAACTGTCTTTCAGATGCGTGGACGTGAATTCTAAGCTGTAACCTTGTAACTTGTAACTTTTAGAAAGGGGTCAGACGAATTGAGATGTTTTTGTCAAAAACACGTGATTTTCTTTTCTGTAAGCGGAATTGATAAAGATAATTATCTCTGAAGAGCTCTGAATCTTAATTTGATTCTTGCTTATTAATATAAGTCACGTGTAAACCAAAGAAATCAAGTCGCACAGTGAGAGTCACATGATGGCGGGGTTTTGTTTTCTTCAAGTCGTCAGATGTGTGTGGCTCAGTCAAAGTTATAATTCTACATATTCATCACCCTGCAATCTTTTGTATCCTTATATTAATATTTTCCTCTTCCACTTCTACCAAACATACAACGGCGTAGCACAGGTTGAAGATAACTCCAAAACACAAAATGGCTTTCTTAACGCCCAACACTGGGTCGTTTTTACTCGCAGCATGCATCTTGCTTGTTGTTCTTCCTGCCCCAGCAGCAGCATTTGGTGCTGGTAACATTCCCAGTATATCCAATATTGAGGGCAAAAACTTTCGTCATGGCGATATCGAGGATATGCTTAAAACTGTTGCTTTCATTAAGGGTCATAAGTGGACCAGTATGATGATTAAGAGGGTTTACTTTGGCAACTGGCTACGAGATTATTCTCAAGCAGTTGATGTGGGAAGTTTGAAAGGAGTATCAGCACCTACTATTCGTATTTTGGTATGCAAACAAAACACCCCTTGTCATTTATATGCTTACTCATTCTTCGAACATAGGTTTGGGTTTTGAGTTTCTTATCCTTTGGTTATGCTACCGCAGAATTTGAGGTCACAGAAGAACGTCTTGGCGTTTATAGACCCGAAGAGCATATCGACAACCCCAAAGGTTATGCTGATAATCAGGATGCAAGAACCTTCGATCCTAGGCTTCGTGGCCCTATTAACCCAATGGAACTAGAGATCGACCCAAATACAGGCATGAAGAATTATATTGCAAATGAAAGTGGAGGTTGGGCTACTAGTGCTGGCTATGTCAAATTCAGCTTTGCAAGAAGTATCCATTATGGTAGACTTTATACCAGCGGTTCGCATGGTAAAGGCAAAGAAGAAGATCTATGCGAAGCCCTTCGATGTCTTGGACAAGCCCTACATTGCATGGAAGATTTTGGAGCGCATACAAATTATTGCGAGTTAGCCTTGAGAGAATTAGGGCACCGTGATGTATTTCCACATTGTGGTGCCAATGCGGAAATTAACATTCGTGGTCACCATGTCTATCCTCTAGTTACAGGCACATTTGGAGCGGTTGATTTCCTGCACTCTGTTCTTGGTGAAGCAAATGACCATTTTACGCAAACCGAAGTCGAAGAAATGGATCTTGCTCTAGGTGGAGCGCAAAAGGCTCAACAAAGTGGCGGGGGCGATGGTCAACGTGGTTTATTCGGATCTGGAAGTAGCGGCACGGACTTTGCAGGCCTTCTTTCTCAAATTCCTGGTATGGGAGGTGGATTAGCAAGTACAGCACGAGATCTTCAAGCTCAATCAGCTGCTCAAGAATACCAGAACGCCAATCAACGGACCAGAGCCGATGAAAACACTTTTAATGCTCCGCCCGGCTCCACAGGTGGTCCCCCAGGCCCGGGTGTCCCAGGAATGAGCCCCGATTTCGATCCGGTTGCAACTGCGAAAAAGATTTATCCTATTCTCGAGTTTAGAGATAAGATTGTGAGAGCAATTAACAATACAATTGCCAAGATCCCCGGTCTTGAATCGTTGGTCGAGAAGATCAGTGAGACCTTGACTGTGTTTATCCTATCTTTACTCGCACCGTTTGTTCGACCTATCATCGATGCGGTGTCTGATAGTTTGAGGAAGGGGTCTAGTACAGTTGTTGAAGCCAGTGCAAACTCTCAATTTGAGCCATGGAACGATCCACATTGCACCGATCCAACTCACTCTATGCTTTCCAAGGATCATTTTTCTAATGTCTTGAATTCATGTGCTGGGAGAGTGGCTTCCACCATCTTGCAATATGTTACACCGTAAGGTTTCTCCCTGTAGTTGTAATAGAGTCACTAACCTTCTTTAGTCGCATACTATACGCCTGGCAAAACCCAGGCGTCTCCGTTGATGAGGTCATGAATGATATTCTACGCACCTTCCATCACCCGGCTCTACGTGACGAACATGTTGAAATCCAAAAGAAGATGTTTGATACTGTAAAAAGCTGGGTGAAAGAACAGCCAAATGCCCAAAGTTTAAACCATATCCTTGGTTCAGAATCCGTGAAGGCTGGTAGAAACCACACTGGCTCAGAACAACACGACCATAATCATGGTGCGCTAGGTGGTCATGGCAAAACATCAGGTTCCATCTGGTCAGAAATCAAAACCAGGGATCTAGGAGCAATGGAGGGATTGGATACGAAACCATCTTACATAAACCCTTCCGCAATTCCAGGTTCTCCAGTAAGATATTCCACCCCAAATTACGGATATGGGAACACAGGTTCTACAGAACCAACTCAAGGTGGAAATGCCTATCTCGAGCCAAGTTATCAACAGCAAGGTGGGTATGCATCTCAACAACCTCCGTACCAACAATACGGAGGCTATGAACAACAACAGCAGCAGCCATATGGTCAACAATATGAAGCCCCCCCATTTGACAGCTACGAGCAAGGCCCTCCACCGGGAGAGTACTGGAATCAAGGTCCTCCACCTTCCGGCCAATGGGGTCAACAGGGACCACCTTCTCCGGATCCATGGGGTCGAGGTCCTCCTCAAACTCAATATCCACCTCAGCATGGATATCAAGGCCAGCAATATCCACCTCAGCAACCTCCTTATGGTGGACAAGGTGGGTATCAGTATCCACCCGGTGGTGCTGGATATGGGCGCTGATAATTCGGTGGCTGATTCATTTCATTTGGTTTGGTTTGGTCTGGTTTGGTTCTCACTGCAATTTAACTGGTTGCCGGGAAAGTGCATGGAAAGGGAATGGTGATAAAGGGTATGAATGGTGGGAAATTCGAGTTTCAGGTGGGGTTTGGAATTATGCATTACGGGCCATGATTTGATAAATAGCACCGGATAGTCAGCTAGCTACATGATGATCCATAATGGGCTTTTTCATGTGCATATGAAAAAGCTAGTTTTCACGAGAGAATACACAAGTTGATTTTCACAGTTCTGGCTTCAGCTGTCGACTTCTCATCATGTGTGAAAGATCATATCCTGAGCCTTGAAGTTATAAGGATTGACTATGTGCGGTTGAGAATGAGCAACGAAAGAGTTATAGGAATTGGTGGTTAAACGGTAATGAGATTTCTCTTCGGCCAGCTCAAGTAATATGTTCGTTCCTAATCTGTATTTAGAACTACACTTGGAATTGTATACTAGATACAGAATCCAAGAAAATCTATGATCAGAGTAAAGTATTCCATATGCATCATTTTCCGCCCACTACTAACATCCTGATAGATCCTTAGACTCTTGCCTCTGCCTTGGTCCTGTAAACTGGTGCTGTTATCAACTTTCACTTTGAGAATTAGAAGATGTGGTCATTCTTGGGAAGCTAGTATCTTAGTTAGAGATATGTGTTCATAAGAAGGCACTAGTTCAGATAGAAATCAAATATCTACCATTCCAAAATTTCCCCAGGTTTCTTTCTTGTCTTCTTCCTGAGAGGAAACTTCTAAGTATAACTTCATATTTTCAGCTCGGCCTTAAAGATTTAACTTTATTCAGACTTTTAAATTATATCAATCTTATTTGACTTAAACACTTAAATCATATCAATCTTTGAATTTAACTTAAAAACTTAAACACTTAAACACTTAAATCATATCAATCTTTTAATTTAAGTTAAACATTTAAGCTACATCAAGTTCTTAAGTCAGTTTGAGTATTAAGAAGTGGAAATGGCACAGAATGATTTGAGATTCGGTGGTTGGCGCCAAGATAGCATTTCTCCTCTGGCCGAGGAGATGGGATTTTTAAACTTCTGAGAGTGAAGAGGAGGTTGAGATGAAGCAGGAGGCGGAGGAGGACGACGAAGAGAAGGAAGAGAAGGACGAGGAGGACGAGGAAGCAATAGTAGACAGTGAAGAGGAGGAATCCGATCACCCTACAGATCTAGACCCCGACGACGTGGTAGGCTCAACAGAGGAGACAACGACGACCTAACCGGGAGAGTGACGTTATTCGAACTTGCCACGGAGGCCGTTATCCCTACTGCGAAGCCACGCCTTCCAATGGACCGAGATAGCTGCTCACCTAACCGTGGAAAAAATTCGGCAATATGATCACTACGCTTTTTGGAAAGATACCACTTTAGTTGAGTTGGATGGCACGAGTTATCTCCAGTACAACTTGACTGAAGAGTTGTTGATGCCAGAGTCGATGCCTGATTCGCCCAGGAAAAGTTGGTGCTGTGGTAAGCGTTGGTGTTGGGCTCATGGGATAAATGTAGAGTGGATTTGATGTTGTCCTTTGGATGTTTAGGGGGGTTTGATCTTTTATCAGGCATGGACACCCGTGCTTTACCTGGGGTATTTGACCTCTATGGGATGGTTAACGGGCGGTATGGCTGGGTGCCAGGAACCGCAGGTGAATATCGTATGATATCATGTGTTATATACCCGATGGTATCCTGGCATCCGGAGCATTCCACAGGATGGTTACTCTACCCTATAAAGGCAGAGCAGGGTGATATACCGACGGGTTTTTAGCCCGCGTTACCTTGGGTATACCCTATTTTTTGGCCAATCCGGCCTTTGATATAATGAGGAATCTTTAAGCCAGTATCATCTTCTGTCTTTCTTGAAGATATCTCGGAATGATTTGAAGATTCAGACCACACCAACATCAAACTTCAGCTGGAGATCCTTCAAATCCCCGCCATATATACCACCAAACACCTCCCGTCTCCTACAAAATCCAGAGGATTTCCTCCCTGTCGCCTATAAGACACCGTCGAACCATTGGATTTATTCATCTGGGATATACCAGAAGAATATTACTAGGGCCTGTCTTGTTGTGTACAATCAAAACCAACTTTTCTGCCGCCTATCAAATATATCAGAACTGACTTCTTCTTTTTCTTTGGATATTCGACAATGCATCACTTAATTATATTAGAAGAACATTATTAAAGGTTGTCTTCTCGTATATAATCGAAACCAACTTTCCTACCATCTATCAAACATATCAGAGTCGACTTTCTTTGGATATTCAATAATATATTATTGTATTATATCAAAAACCAACTTTCTTGTCGCTTATCAAATATGTCAGAGCCGATTTTTACCTCTTCGGACATACGACAACTCGTCACTGGACCATACAAAAAATTCACTTTACTCACTCTGCTCATCCACCTGAGCCAATTTAATCTTCTTCTTATACCAGACCACGAGCTCAAAGACTTTAAGCAGTAAGAAGAGAGAATAACTGAGGAGTCTAGAGATATTACTCATGCCTCTTTGATATATAGATAGACACTATCGAATACACCATCTCATCCTGTGTTCTCTAATTATTCTCCTCGACTATAGAGTCGAGCTCATTGACTTGGTCTCCAATTCACTAGACAATTCGAACAATCCGCCACCAACAACAGCATCATATGCTCACCAACAACAATCTCCACATGCTCACCAAGCCCAAATCATCACTACTAATCCCATCGATGTGTCAAGCATGTACGCAAGTCCTTCATATTGTACTATACTCCGAAAAGAAGATGACAAGAATAAAATAAAATAAACCAAAGAGTCAAAGACGAACCGGGAATCAGATAGGAAGAAAAACACGGTCGCCGGTGGGAATAAGAAAAAAGATAAACGGCATACTCAACGGCAATGTCGAGTACTCTATTACTCATCACTCAACAGTCATCACTCCATGAACACCACCCATAAAGCAGACAAGCTTAGGTTTACCAACTATCAACCAAGCCAGCCCAAGCTCAATCCATCTGAGATCACCAACAAAAACAAGCAAACCAAGCACGCAAGCAAGCAAGCAAGCAAGCACACGAGCAAAAACTTTACAATACGGTACGGGAGAAGTCTTGCATCACTTAATGCAAGACATAACAGCTAGACACTACTAGTCTTTTAATCCATATCCATATCCTTCTAGCCGTGTGGTGTAGCACGTTCACGATACATCCACAGCTTGCCTATTTCATCACTATGGCTATCGCTATCAATAGCATATATTTAAATATATATATATATATATATATATATAATAGATAGTGGAGTCATGAATGCGGATGGGGATGCGGATACGGGGGGAAGGCAATCGTGTCGTGTGTCTTGTCTTGTGTCTTGTGTTATATTGAGTTGTAGCTTGCTTGGCTAACTAGCTGCGCCGTTGACTAGCTACTAGTTCCCGCGGGTGCAGATTGTGATCTTGAGAGTAGACTAGAGATTGGAAACTAGAGAAGAGCTTTGACTTTACTTTTGTAATATGATGAAGGGAATTGTGAAGGTGAAGTTGTAATTGAAGTTGGAGGTGGAGGATGGGGATGTAGGATAGGCAATGAGGATGAAGCGAGAGACGAAAAGATCAAAAGTGGGTAGGAATTAATTGATGGATGGATGGATGGAAAAGAAAGAAGAAAAAAAGAAAAAAGGAAAGAGATGGATAAATTATTTAATTGAAACCTTATTATCTGGAATATAAATATATATAAATAAGGAATACAGCAGAACATCGTATCAAAGCACAACTATCTTAGTATGCGCAAATTCATCAATTGATCAATTGAATCAATGTAATCCATCTTACATGTAATAGAATAGATACCTGTCAATCCAAATAATCAGTGAATAAATAATAAAAGCCAAATACTCACTTAGTAGTACCTACCTGCCTACCTGCCTATCTGCCTACCTGTCTACCTAGATAAAAAAAAAAACTAAAACAAACTCAATGAAAACGCCATCGCAACCCCTCCCCCTCGAAGAAAACCCATCCATATTACCATCCACGCATAACCTACAACACAAAATAAGATCTTACCTACTAAACAAAACCACACACCTCTCCCTTCCTTTCCTTTCTCTGGATCTCCTCCCCAAGTAAAAAGAGACCCCCAAAACATTCTTCACGATCATCCCGCCACCACCACAACAAGCACAACCGAAAAGAAAAGCCAGAAAGTGGTGAAAGTGGTGGGCAAACCCCTTGCCAAAAGCACGCTAAGAAAATAGGAAACCTCGCTAAATCCATCTATCCGTTCGTTTCGTTCACCGACATACACGTTTATTTACGCCTCGCATCCTTCATCGCACATCGCATATCCATCCATCTCCTTAGCTTATCCGTACATACACATACACATACATACTCTACTGAAAAAGAAAAAGAATATTAAAAAAGAGTTTGCATATTAGATTCTACATACATATCCTGCATATCTAATATAGATAGATACCTAACATGCCTAGGTACTCATACTCCGTACAACGCGCATATCCCAACATCTTAATCCCATCCCCATCTCATCATTCCATATCCTATATCTTACCCGCGCATCTATCTATCCGGTATCCGAAAAAACTAAGATACTGTACTACCCATCCATCCATCTCTCCCCCGTCTCCCCATCCATCTTCCCCATCCCCCCAAAAAGAACTACGAAAACTCCCGCCATGCATACAATACTCCGTATATACACATCTTATCCTATCCTATCCCATAGTATCTTTCCTCATACCCTTCTCTCTCCTCCATACTCCCTCCCTCCCTCCATACATACATACATACATACATACATACATACATACTGCACAGCACAGCACTGCCCACCTATAATAATAGCATAACATAACATAACATAACATAACATAACTGCCCACAGGAACACAAGTCTGTCTGTCTCCCAATCTCCCAATCTCACTCACATCCCACTCTCACATCATGAGAAAAACCAGCCATTGCACCCAATACAACTAACACATTTAATCATTACAACAAACAAAGCCATAAGCCATAAGCCATAAGCCATAAGCCATAAACCAAAAACTACACTACAGTAGCAACCTTCATCCATCCATCCACTAAAATTACAACCCCATAGATACAAAAACAAGCAAGAACTAAAAGAGCCGAATGAACCCTAAAATTCGAACAATTTTATATATTCTGTATTTTAATTTCTAAAATCTTAATATATTTAGCCCCTCTCATTCTCATTCTCATTCTCATTCCCAAAAGCTTTCTTGAGTATCTTCCAATTTTCTAGAGAATTGCAAAAACAAAATAAGTGAGTGAGTGTAACGCACTCTACTCTATACAATACAATACAATACCTACAAATATAATACGGCTCCGGCCCAGCACCAGCCAAGTCAGTATACGCACGCACGCACGCAGGCACACACAGTAACAACCCCGTGGTACTAGTATATACTACACACAGCGTAGAGGAAAAAACGCACTCCATAAATAAATAAAATGTTCACGCGGGCACATGTTAATATGAAATAATAATATTAACATTTTTTGCCTGTGGGGAAGGGAAGGGAAGGCAAGGCTAGGGGAAAGTTAACACACACAGCAGAAGGAACTTCAAGGAAGATTTAAGATTTAAGATTTAAGTTTTTTCTTTCAAACGGGAATGGGATGGGGGGGTAGAATTTTAGATTCTAGAAAAGAGAAAGAGGCGAATTGAATTTTTGATTTTTGATTTTTACCTTTTTTTTTTTCGCAGCGATGTAACTTAAAGATGCAGTCCTACTGTACTACTGTACTTACTGTACGGAGTATACGTGCGCAGCATGCAGCGTGCAGGATGCAGGATGCAGGATGCAGGCTGCAATATGCACAGTCTCGAATCTTCGAGGTAGCTCGAAATTTTTTGAAAGGCGTGTCTTGCATTGCATGTTGTCCTGTCGACTTTGCATGTTGTCGACTTTTTTCTTTGCGTGTTGTCGTCTTTGACAATGTTGTTGTCGGTCGCATCTGCTTGCTAACTTTTAAAATTTGATATTGTAATAATAAATTTGATCATCAAAATTGTGTGAATGGAAATGTGTGGAATGTGTGGAATGTGTGGATATATTGTATCGTGTCTTGGAAGTTTTAAGATTTTGGGTAGGAAAATAAGGTGGGAGTCAGGTACCAAGATGAGTGTACTCAGCAGAGTGTAAAAAGGCCTGCAAAGTCTGTGCAGCATGCGAGAGACCAAAACATGAAGCTAGAAATTGACATCGTGACCTTTCCTCACCATGGATAAGAAATTCTTTTGAGTTGCGGGTCACCGGCTTAAAGCTCGAAAGGGGTGGATGAACCGATGGAAATTTGTTCTAGAAGGGCAGTCTTGTGGGGAGGTGGTTGAAAAGCAGGTGCATGGATACTCAAAATGCTTAACCGCGGGCTCGCAGTATCGCTTCCCCCATGCTTTCCTGAATGGGATTTCCTATTGGGGAATGAATGATAATAGCTAGAGTATCTATAGTATCTATAGTATCTATAGTATCTATAGTATCTTGAATAGATGAGAGATGCAAGTGTCATGCACGTCTGCACGGTCTTTTGGTTCCAATGCTGCTGCGTCTGTATCGTATCGGTACTCCGGCACTCAATTTTATAATTGATTGATGTGTTTTTGTTTCTGTTTCGGTTTCCGTTGGCGTTTCTCCAGAAATAGAAATGGAAAAGGTTAAAGTCAAAAAAAGTCTAAGAGAGGGAAAAAGGAGCCAAGACGAATTAGGAAATCCCGTCGGATGTCCCGATTTGAATTATTTGTAACCCCCAACTTCTTTGGAAATCTCGAGGGCTGGAGCTGCTGGACTACCCGTAGACTGATTATTATCATTAGGTTGGTAAATGAGGAAGAAGCCAGCGGGGCGGACTGACTCTCGGAACATAGATGGTTTGTAATGTTTAGACATAGATGTATGGGCGAGGCTGTGATGGGAATTTCTCTTATTGTCTCGACGTTTTGCTTGGTTTCTAGTCTAGTGGGTTTCAATAATTGGCAGATGAATGTAGTACTCCGTGGACTCTAGAGGATGTAGATGAATGTAGTACTCCGTAAACTCTAGAGGATGTAGATGGACAGAGTTCGGGTTTGGTTGCTGGTACATTATTGGAATTATTGGAATTATTGGTAGCATTGGAATTACCTATTGAATTGTGCATGGACGAGGGAGCCAAGGCAAGTGATCATTTTCTCATTTCCATTTCTGCTATTACTCGAGTAGTTTGAGATTCACTCTTGGAAGTTCCAAGTTGGAACTTCGGAATTGGCATTTTAGATTTAGACGCGAGGAATTGAATTGATTGGAATTGGACTGTGCTGACTGCGTGGACAATACCTTTGAAATTTGAACTCCGTACTCTGCAAACGAGCATTGCAACACGAGAGCAATTAATAATAAGTTTGTGGAGTAGGATTACCGGTAGGGCATCAACATCCAATTCCCAGAGGATGGTTAAAAAGGGGTAAAACTTGAGTCGTGATTTTTGATTATTCTTTCCAAAGTTTCAGAAGGAAAAGAAAAAGAAAAAGAAAAAGAAAAAGAAAACTGATCGATCATAGTCAATTTGTCTTGCGGGGGGAGCAAGTATCGTCAAAAATATCGAGAATGGGATTTTCTTTCAACAAAATTAAGAATGCCGAGATAAATGTGTTTGTTGTCAATGAGTTGCCCTTAGTACGTACCCCGTGAACAATTGGATTGATGATTACCTAGGTATGCTATGTCGTGATCTACTTCCTGAAGATCTATTCGCCCCCCAACAGTTAGAACTTAGAAGTTATGTTATGAATTCATCATGACACAAAATGACACCAGTTTGATATACACTCGGTGATGGTGTATGATGATGGGTATGATGAAATCTGAGATAAGAAAACATCCCAAGATCCCAAATGATTTCAACTATTGATGTAAAATCAATTCATGACTTCAAAAATAATGGGGGTATGATGTTACCTATGTATCCGATCGAGATCTTGATGCTGATTTTACACTTCTCGATGATTCAAAGGATGGAATTTCATCATAACCTTCGAGATCTGGTTATTATTTCCAAGGCACAACAGATAAGACCTGGTTGAGCCGTTTTTCCCACAACGTCGTTTCGTTTATGTTGTTGACGTTACCCAGTTCCCTACACACAGAAGATTTGCAGATTTGCGGTCCCAAATTCCCCCACCATGGCGCCTCAGGGACACACAGCCACAAGTGATACTGTGGATCATTTTTGTAAGTCCCAGTAGTCCCGTAACCTGTAGAGGTTCTTCTCCCGGAAAAGACCTGTCAAGGCGATACCGGTACAGGCATCAGCAGTTCGATGGATGAGCTTTTTGGGGGGCTAGAGCTAGGAGAGCAGCTGTCTCGTCTCGTAAAAGAGAATAGTGGAGGTGTGTCGATTTTCGGAGCCCAAAGAATGCAGACAGAACCTACAGGAGACATGTACAGTGTACACGATGTAACTGCAGACGCGAATGCAAACATGGATTAGAAAAGTTGTCCACGGAAGTACCCAAGTGAGTGAAGCACGGATATATTTTGTCTTTGACGGACGGACTCTAACTTCCTCTTTTGATAATTCTACAAGAGGAAACTACATGGATATTTCTATAGGGTGACGAACCACTGGGCGCGGCATAATTCCAATTATCCATCTTGATAGGAGGAAATAATTCTTCCGTCTTCATAGAACACGCCTCGAACATTTGAAGAGAAAGGCCAGCCAGTTCATTCAGCCAGCCAGCCAATCCATATGCATAGCCATTGGACGTTTCATGTTTGACTGACTGACATCTAGAAATTCTAATCGAGCAAGTGGGTTGAAACTTGGAAGTAATCAATTGAGAAAGAGAAGAGAGGAGAGGGAGAAATGGAACATGAAAGGACGACTAAACGGGGAGGGGAACATCCGTCAGCGGAAAGATAATATCGGTGTTGGGCTAAAGGAAGGGAAGGAAAGGAAAGGAAAGGAAAGCACTTGTTTTGTCCCCTGCCCACCCAAAGTAATAGGAGCTTGTTGGATGGATGTGATGTGGATGGATGTGATGTTAACATCTGTATTTAATAATAGGTATCTAGTATCTATCCAGTAGCAATGAGATCTTTTCGTCCCCATTTAAGTCAAAGTAATCCATCCAAGTCTACCTTTTAGCTTTTACCTTTCTCCAACCCAACACACTGACTTTACTCATCCATTATTTCTAATCCCATAATCCCATAATCCCATATATTTCCCCTGGTTGATTCTCCACTGCTAACGGAACTACCTCCATGAATTTTCGCTGATCTTTGATCCGTCACATGTCGCCCTGGGAAAATGGATCGTGTTCTGCGTGTTCTGTGCAGTTGGTTGACATGGGTTCTGTGTGGATTTGTGAACATGGATGATGGACTTTGAGCTAAATTGCTACCGCATTTGCATCAAGAGTCGAAAGTAGCTTCGTAATCTTATGTACTAAATTTAATTTTTTTTAATTTTTAATTTTTAATTTTTAATTTTTTCGCCTCTTTCACCCCAGTCCAGTCCAGTGTCCACCGTCAGATTTGATCCACAGCTCTACCGTGGCTTGCCAAACCATGCCAATGCTGGATGCGCGGGATCGATTTTCCCATCTCCATCCGTGCATTCGTACCAAAAATTCACCAAGTGACCTAAAGAGAGGGGGCCCCGCTTTCACCTGGCACAAAATACGCTACGAGTAACTGCCCAGCAAAATAATCCACGCTGCGGACAATATAATAATAAATTTCAATATGGACATGGCATGGCATAACAAGGATACACGGAACTTCCGACGAGACGCCCATCGACAATCGAAATTTCATGCTCAGGATCTTTGCGACTTTCTTATTAGTTTCTTACTTTTCTTAGCTCCCAGAGTGAAAGCGAGATGGCGGGGCTCCAATAATTGGGTTTGATGATTGATCAAGGTAGGGAGGGTATGGGTATGGGTGTGGAAAAGTTAAGGTCGGAATTTTAGTTGGATGGGACCTGAATACCGAGTCTCCGATCCAATATTTCCCTCGAGTAGCACAGTGACTAGCTCACTTACTAGCTCAGCTACTAGCTCGGTACGGTGAGTTTCCTAATCCGTTGATCCTTTTGCCGTTACTCCACTTCCACCTCTCCATCTCCTTCTCCTCCACTCGAACCCGCAACAGATTCATGACTAGTGACTAGTGACTAGTGACTAGTGAGCTTCCCCTTCGCGCCTACTTCTTACCTTTCCCGGAACAAAGCAAAGCCTCCTTCATTCCCCCACCTCTGCTCCCAGACTTTTATATATCCAACATATTCCCCTCCATTTCATCTTCCATATACAACCAACACTTCTTCTCTCAAGAATCATCTTTACTAGCGACCCGCCTTCACTGCATACATCAAGCTTTGCTCTTATAATACCCATCGTCTTTTATATCGTTTTACACACAATCACATTCCTACCATGATGATGCATCCCACACCACCACCTGCGATCCCATTTGGTGATCTCGACAGTTACAAATACAGGAGAGATGCAGAATACAGAAACGTTGAGGCTCCACGAATGGAGGATCCCGAATATGTTGAGCACATCGAACAAACAAAATCACATCTGCCGGAGGATTTAGCTCAGACTGCGGAGGAAGAAGAGAAACATTGGTTCATTGGTAGCATTGATCAAGGCACAACCTCTACAAGATTTATCATCTTCAATGGACTAGGACAACCAGTGGCAATGCACCAGCATGAATTCGAAAACATGTATCCCGAGTCCGGGTAAGTTTAACTCTTGTGCCATTCGTACTAGTACGTCCAACGACTAACAATACTCTTTTCGCAGATGGCATGAACATGACCCTCAAGAGTTGGTCAACTCGGTGGATGAGTGTATAGAGAAGGCTACAGAGAAGTTCCTCGAATTAGGATACAAGAAATCCGACATCAAAGCCATTGGAATTACCAACCAACGTGAAACCACCATCTGTTGGGATACAAACACTGGGGAACCATTATACAATGCCGTTGTCTGGCCTGACACCCGGACCACAGCCCTTGTGCGCGAGCTCAAGGAGTCCGAAGGAGCGGATGAGATCCTTCAATTGTGCGGTCTACCACTATCCACATACCCATCGAGCGTCAAGCTCATGTGGATGTACCGAAACGTTGAAGCCATCAAGAATGCATACGACGAAGGCAGATTATCTTTCGGAACAGTCGACTCTTGGTTGATTTACAAGCTCAATGGAGGAAAGGAAGGTGGCATCCATGTCACAGATACCACAAACGCTTCTAGAACTATGTTCATGAACCTTCACACATTACAGTACGATGACAAACTCCTCAACTTCTTCCAACTCGACAGAAAAAACGTCACCCTCCCAAAAATTGTTCCCTCTTCTGACAAAGAGGCCTTTGGTAAACTTGCCTATGGTGCCTTGAAAGGTACCAGAATCACTGGCTGCTTGGGAGATCAATCTTCCGCCTTGGTTGGTCAATGTGGCTTCAAACCTGGTCATGCAAAGAACACCTACGGAACTGGTTGTTTCCTTCTCTACAACGTTGGCACCAAACCCGTAGTATCAAAGTATGGTCTATTGGCTACTGTCGCATACGATTTTGGTAATGGCAGAAAACCAGTCTACGCTCTTGAGGGTAGCATTGCTGTTGCAGGATCTGGTGTTAAATTCTTGATGAACAACTTGGGTTTCATTGCACACTCAAGCAAGATCACTGAATTGGCAGAGACTGTTGATGATAATGGAGGTGTTGTATTCGTTACTGCTTTCTCTGGTCTCTTCGCTCCATACTGGATTGATGATGCCAAGGGAACACTTTTCGGTATCACTCAACACACACAACGAGGTCACATTGCCCGTGCTACCCTCGAAGCTACCTGTTTCCAGACCAAAGCCATCCTAGATGCTATGGAGAAGGATTCCGGACACAAATTGGAAGGACTTGCCGTCGATGGTGGCATGTCTAACTCAGACCTTTGCATGCAAACACAAGCTGATATCCTCAACATCCCAATCAATAGACCTGTTATGCGCGAGACCACTGCTCTTGGTGCAGCAATCGCAGCGGGTTTCGCAGTTGGTATCTGGAAGGAGTTCGATGAACTCAAGGAAATCAATCGCGATGACAGAACCATCTTTGAGCCAAAAGTCAAGCCTACAAAGGCTGCACGCATGTTCAAAAAGTGGGAGCAAGCAGTTGAGATGAGCAGGGGATGGGTGTTACATGCAGAGGATGAGAACAACGATGACGTTGACTAAATGGCTTTGTAACAAGAACACTGCCAAGAAAAATGGGGATGGGGTGAGATGGAGATAATGGATAATTCAACCTATGATGCGGATAAAAATGGGGCGCGGAAGACAGAAGACATGTGGATATACCCCAGGATGATTGATTACATAGATGCACAGAGCGTGGGGCTTTGGGATTTGGGATTTGGTGTTTGGCGCGCGGTTGAATACCCTTTTCAGTGGTATACAATTTTTACATCTTTTCATGGGGTTGGAGGATGGTTGGTAGCATTATAGCATATATATGATGACTTGAGCTTGAAGCTTGGTCGGTTTTTGAGCGGGATATTGGATAGATAGGTTAATTGGGGTTGGAAAGGGGTGGTTTAATGATGTTTATGAATACTAAAAGGAAAATTAAAATATAAAATTTCTAAAAAAGAAAAGCTTTTTAACTGCTGTGTTTGACTTGTGAATATGATGTCGATGATCTTTAAGGGAATCGGAAATGGTCTTTTTTGGTAAATTGGCTTGAAGTTGAGGGATGTATAGTGGATGATGGATGGTGTGATGATGTATGATGTATGATGTATGATGTATGTTATATAATGAATAATAAGATAGATGTACTTATTGATTGGTATCACTAATAATATTTTATTCTATTAAATCGAAATGAAGTGAATCAAATCTATAACTCATGATAATGATAATTTGATAATTTGATAATTTTTATTTTATATTTATATTGATATTTCATTTGTAGATATGAGAATAGATGAGGAGATAGATGGATATTTTGAGATATTTAAGATATTTGGAATATAAGAGTTCCGGGTGGATAGGAGATAAAAGGTATTAAAGTGTAGGTAGGTATTGGGTATGTGTTTTCTTTTATTTTATTTTTAGTTTACTCGTGTCCGGGAAGGGGAGGGGAGGGAGATGAGGGTAGAAGGATAAGGGTACGGAGCGGAATGAGGGGAATGATTTATAGATGGATAGTATCTGGGAATTATAAAGAAATGATGAGAATAAAAAAGTGGTATAGAGAAAAGAGGAGAGGAAAGGGTGGTATGGATTAGAGAAGCGGGATAGGGATGGTAGGGATGGTAGGGAAATGAGGGAAATGACTTAGACGGAGGGGGGTATGTATGTGAGAGGAGTGGGGAACTAGTGGAGAGATGATGTCTATGTGTGTCTTGTGTTTATTCTTTTCGAGATGTTCAGTTCTATATATCTAATACCTTTCATCTTGTTTATATTTATATGTTTTGTGGATTTCAATTGGTAGGGTTATTTTCGACTTATGTGATTCTTTTATTTTATATTTCTCTTCCTTCCCTTTTTACTTCCACACTTTTCTTTCTTCCACACTTCCACACTTTTCTTTCTTCCACACTTCCACACTTTTCTTCCCTCCATCCTTTCATTCCCTCACCACCCCACCCCTTCACTAACCCAACACACCCTAAAAACCCACAGATTACAAACCCACCCACCCAACCAGCCTACCCCCACAACGGCGCCGTAACCTCCACTGCCCTCTCCACCACTGCCCTAACCCTCTCTCCAAAAACCCGATTCCCGCACTCCACCTCCAAATCCTCCAACCAAACCTTTGCTTCCATCTTATCAACTTTAATTTCGATGCCTGGGACGGGGATACCTAGTTTATGGAGACGAGCGAGTTCTTTTTCTAGGGCGTAGGTTTCGGTTTCTGTTTCGGGTCCGGGTTTGGTTTCGAGGGTGGTTTCTAGGGAGGGGTGAGACGGGGAGGAGAGTCGGGGAAGTGCAATGGGTGTTAGGTTGTCGGCGCCGAACTGGGCTTCTAGGAACATGAAGAGGCGTTCGAGGCGTTCGGTTGGGGAGAGGTGGGCGTGGAGGTTGCGTTTTGAGGGGGCGGGGGAGTGGGAGTGGGAATGTGGGGATTTGCTTGCGGATTCTGGGGGGTGTTAGTATTTTCTTTTGGTGTGATGGACGGGAGAAGATGGGTGTGAAGGGATATGATATCAGAGTAGAGAAAGATGAAGGAAAAGAAAGAGTAGATGGAGTAAGAAGGTTAACAACGTACGTTTAACAGCAGCCGGACTACTCTCCACCGAATATAATACCGCCATAATAGCATCGGCAATCCCATCATTCAACATATTCCCCTCCCATTCTAATTCAACTTCCCCATTACTCCTATACCTCACCGTCACACATCCCATAACTAAATAAGCAGTTACCGCATTTGTATTCGCGATTTCCTCATCAGCCTCCTCATCAGATGATCCATTCATATGCGTATCACCATTTCCAATCGAATGTTTTTGTTTCCCCCTACTTTCAGGCAATTCATCAATCTTTCCAAATGTTCCCTCTAATGCCCATCGTATAAGATCAATACCTGCCGCACTAAGCGTCATACGTTGTTTACATGTAATAGTAGTAGTAGTCAATCCAGCATATTCTCTTAAATCTTCCGGGGCCATTAAAGACATTTTGAAATCATTTTGCACCAACACACCAGTGATGAGTTGACTGGAATCAGCGGGCGGAGGATTATTTGCGAGTTTTCCGACAACTTTGGCGGTTTTGGAGGTTAAGAAGGGGATGCGTAATGGTTCGCAGTTTTTGGGAGAGAAAACCTTGACTTTAGTGGTCTTGTCGGCGTTCAAGGAGAGGAGTTTGGACTTCAGACGCATCATGTTGTGTTGTTCGCCATGGACGAGAATCTATTGATGTTAGGGTGTTTCTCATTCAGGGCTAGATTTGAAACTTGAGTTGACTTACCACTACAGGAGCAGCGATTTCTTCGATGAATTCTCGATTTTCGACACCATCAACATGGGCTGCGAAAGAGAATTCTTGAACACTACATCTTCTAGGTATCATGGCTTTCTCTGCTTCTCCAGGTGCTGATCTTCGTGTAAAACCCTGTGGTCCGGACATGATTGCTTGAATGTGATCGGGTTCTTGCATGATTTGCTTCGCCATAGTACCTTCGACACTATAACCAGTAATAATAACACCATTTTTATCACTTGGTGCCCATCTTTCGAGTAATTGTCTACTAATACCATTTTGTAGCATACCGGGACTTGCTAAAATAACACAACCTCCTACGTCGTCAAATCGATCGAGGTTCTTTAATGAACGAATGTATTTGAAATCCCATGGTCCTCCTCTACCTCCACTAGTTGAGTTGGCTTCGGCTTCAGCCATGCGTTCTCTGAATAGTCGTTTGATATTTTCGTTCATAGATCCGACATATGTTTGGTATACCAACATACATTTACGAGCTAAGTTACTAGCATAGTAGATCGGAATTTTTTGAAATTCTGGATGTTTATCCCAGTACTCATCTAGAATCAGAAGAAGTTCTTGGGCTCTACCAAGTGCAAAGACCGGCATGAGAACGCGACCACCACGATTCAAGATACTAGTGACGGATTTCATAAGGGCCTGCTCTCGTTCTAATCGAGGGATATGTGATGCTATACCATAAGTAGATTCGGTAATTAGAACATCAATCTTCACTCCTTTGGGAACCTCAGCAGAAACAAGATGTCGATCATCTTCTCGAGAATAATCTCCTGTGAAAAAGATCTTGAGTCCTGCAATTTCAATGAGAAACATTGCAGCACCGAGCACATGCCCAGCTGGATATGGAGTGACCCTTATCGAAGAGATTGTATGTGTGGTATGGTAATCAATAGCTTCGATTTGAGCAAATGTAGTGAGATGGTCGGCTTCGGTGTAGACTGATTGTGAGCCTCCATTAGATGATGCCCCTCCAACTCTTACGCTGTCTATAATAAGCCATTTGTAGATAGCTTTGGTAGGATGTGTCATGAAGACGCGACCTTTGAAGTTAGTCTTCGCAAGGACGTATGGTAATGAAGCGGCATGGTCGACGTGGAAACTTTAAAAGGTCAGCTCTTGTACTATCGGTCAACGCAAGATACGCCAACAAAAATATTCTATATACAAGTCGGGCGTGCGGCGATAGAAGTTATATCACAGAATCAAGACAAGCATTTGCTGTGGGATAACGGTATTGTATTGATTCTCGTATACATGATAAATATGGTAGGTAGATAGGCCAAATGAAATGTGAGACGTATACAGAATTGCTTGAACCAAAATGCGAAGCAGAGTCCAAACTGCTGATGGCGCATTGTATTGAACCGCCAAAAGAGAATACCATATATCCACTGCCTGTCCTCCAAAAGCCAATACGCGTATATAAGATGTAAAAAAGAGGAATCCGCTTACTGGCTGATCAAAAGTAAATCGACCGTACTCAAGTCGAAATCATCATAGAAAGGTAGAGCTGCTAGTCCATCATAACCAGCGTGCATACCAGCATCGAGCTATCAGAAGTCAGTGAGCAAGTTGCGCAGAAGGAGAAAGAGATTCTATGCTTACCATGACAGTTTTACCCTTGTATTGTATGATATGACAAGATCTTCCAACCTCATTACCACCACCAAGATTCGTAAAAGTGAGCTCATCAGCTGGATCTACTGGATCTTCCACAGTAGGTGCCATAGCGGACGCCTTACGTTTCGATGCCATTGTGAATGAGATATAATATTGTTTCTTTGTTAGTTAATTCAGAGTTTATTACTGTAGCCGCCTTCAAGGCAGATAGATGTTCAGCGAGATAGCATAATCAATCAAATTCTGACCGTGATAGTGTTGGAAAGTTTTGATTCAATTTGAAAGCAGAAGAATGATAGAAGTTGTGGTAAATAACTTCAATAGGTACAGTAGTAGGTAAGTAAGAAGTTAAGATCCATTATCAAAGAGACGCGATTTTGGCGTTTCTTGTTACGAGAAATTTCGCACTAGAGGTACACGTGATGAGATCAAAACGGGAGAGCTTTCGCGATTCCATTCAATGAACAAAGTATTAGCCCTGGAAAGAAAGCAGCTTAATTGTCATCATCATCAAAACAACGAGTGAATACGGTCGCGCAAGTGTTTAAGCTGTATTTCGAAGATTTATATCAGCGCATGGGTCGGTGTCATTGGAGGTAGCCGGGCTTTGCGCCTGGGTTGTGAAGGATACAGGAAATTATTAGAGGCAATTACAACCAAGACGTCGACATCATGGCGCAACCACAGCAACAGCAGCCGCCATATCCTATGCCACAGAGGCCATTCTCTCCTCCCCAGCCAGTTAATTCACCTTCGACGCAAAATCAACAACAATTCGCGTTTCCGCCACACAAGCGACAAAGGATGTCTCCCAACCCGCCCTCTCAACCAGGTTCGCCATATGTCACATCACCGTATGCGATGAGTCCAGGTGCTTCTGGTCAGAGTTCAGCCTCACCTTCGCCGCACTTTTCGACGGTGCAAATTCCTCAAGGTGCTTACACCACACCATATTCAAATGGATCAAATGCGCAACCGTCTCCTTCATTAAATCTACCGCAAACTCCGGGTGCCGTTCCACCTCATGCGCAACCAAGCCCTTTGAGCTTCCCCGGTCAAGTCCAGCAGCATCATCAAGGAAATATACAGGCAGCTCATTTCAATAATTTTAATCTGCAGATGCCACAGCAGCATCATCCTGGTGGAGTTATGGGCCCACCCTCGAGGCCGGTTGATAAAAATAAGCTTGATGGGTTAGATCCGTTGGACGTATTGGGAGGAACTGGTATCGATCTTGCAGAGGAGGAACAATACACATTTCAGCAGTACTCAACATCGTTTAATGCTCAGGGCTCAAGGTCACATCCAGGTAATATTTCGGCGGGTCACAGCTTTACACAATTTCTACCTGGGAATCATGGATCCTTTTATGGCGCTGGTCCCGCTAATCAACCTGGTGAAGTCCCAAATGCTAAGTCACAAGAGGATTTTGAGAAAAAGGCCGCGGATAAAGCCTGGCATGATGCAGCTCGTGATTTAGCAGTATCGAGGCAAAGAGAGTTGAATAATCCATTCTTGAACGTTGGCAACGTTCATAAGAGAATGGAGAAGATTGCGCATGACAATGGTCTTGGTTTGAACACGGATGCCAATGGGAAAATGGGAACCATGAAATTACCTGAACATTTTCCGGAACCAAATGTCAAAGTACAAACTGCGGTGGGACCAGATGGAGCCATCACTGCAACGACTGGTTTCTTCGTTCCGTCCGATTCTTTACTAGTTGATCAGCTTGCGCTTATGTCTATCTCTACCAAGCATCGTCTTCGTGGATTATTGGAGGACGCACTCAAGTTAGCCGTAGGCCGACAAACAAGTTCTCATGCTCAAATTAGGGATGAATGGGCAGATGTTGCTGTACAGGCCATCAAACCTAGTGTTTCTACCATTGCCAATGAAGGTGGTCCACGGATTGGATGGGAGAGTTCTGTCAGCCCTCTCACCAACCCACTTAAACGTATGTATCAAATTTTAGTTATTTCGATTTTGAGCTAACAGAGCCAAGGCCCTCTCTCGGCTGCAGGTAGATTACCTACTCCATTATCAGATAGCGCGAAGACTCAGACAAAGTCTTTTGCGAATGATGTTGCATTAACTCTTCGAAAAGCTGCCAGTAAAGAGCAAGAAGCTGAAGAGGCGAGGCTACGAAAACGTAAGGGTCGTGAGTCTGGTGAGGGATCTCGTGCTGGGTCAATAAATACAGGCACACCAGGTTCTATGGCTCCGGATATCCTTGATAAACCACCTACCAAGAAAGAAATGAAGAAGAAAGCAGAGGCAAAAACTAGTGAGGCAGCAAGCCACGCAGCAGCTAACGTAACCACTACACAATTCTTGGGTGGTAGAAATGTGTTTGGAAAGAAGAAACAATATAGCTGGATGACGGCGGCTGGGGGATCTGGGAGTGGTACAAGTACACCAGGTAAAATCATGACACAAGGTCTTGGCGCCTCTGTTGGTAGCCCAACTGCGAACCCTGGGCCGGAAAAACTCACGACAGATGGTGCGCGAAGGTTAGGAGCCTGGCGAGAAGATGGTGTCAAGGGACGTAATATCCAGCTCCGAGACTGGATTATGGTTCTTGAGGATGATGGTAGGGAGAAAAGGGCATTACAGAGGGCATATGCTCATGTTGATGATGAACGAAATGCCTAAGTAAGGAGATTTTATTTCATGGATAGGACAATTGCAGAATAATATTTGCATGGCGTTGCATGGATCACCAGGCGTTCTTTTGTGACTCGTCCTAGGAAAGGATGGGGACACGCAATTTTTTTTTTTTCAATCTCATTGGGATTCTATGAAATGGATCACTACATACAATATGGTTGTGGTGGTGAAAATTTGCATATTTCGTCTCACCGTTGGGTCGGGTTTGATTTATGAATTCAAACATTTTTTGATTCGAGATTTGATATGATATGATATGCTATTTGATGCATTAAGTGGGTAGCATCTATCTAGGTAGCAATAACTCATTTATATTTACACAAACCAAATTATTATTACACTACGTATTTGGATGGTATGGGGTATATGTTCCTTGGGAAACTGATTGATCTTATAATCATATCACACCATATGTTGTAGACCTGGTACTACTGTTAGATAGGTAGGTGGGTAGGGAAGTAGGTAGGTAGTTAGGGAGATATCGAACTAGAGAACACAAACTCGGAATTTTTCGGTAGACCAATATAGTACATGTACAGGACCTATCTATCTATCTACTTAACTGGGTATCTACCTACTTAACTGAGTATATACATAACTGGGTATATACCTACTTAACTGGGTACATACATACATACATAACTGGGTACATATATACCTGGGTACATATATACCTATCACCCCCGCACTTTAGGATAGAGATAGATATAGATAGATATATCTATCTAGTAGCTATAGTATGGATAGATAGATAGATAGATAGATCAAAGAGGAATTAGAGACTAGAGTATTGTATGCCATAACTCTTATAGGTTCAAGAAGGAGGACTTGGGTTGTAAAACTTGGGGGGGTGTGATGGGTGGGTTGGGTGGACGATGAGTTGATGAGGTGTTGACTGGTCGTTTTTTGGGTCTTTGGGGATGAATAAGAGGAGTGTGTGCTTTTTATTGGTTGGTTTTGGAATGTGGAATGTGGAATGTGGAATTTGAATGTGGAATGCATAGGTGGGCAGGTTCATGGATGGGTGGATGTAAGTACCTAGGTAAGTAGGCACCTACCTCATATGCCAATATTATGAATGGAAGGATGGGTGGACGGTGGATGAGTGATGAGTGATGAGTGATGACGTAATGTATAATATTGATAAGATGAATGAGGTAGACACTGCACTGGATAGAGAGCTAGAGATACCTAGTACCTAGCTATAAACAACGACCTGATAAGTCACAACAGCACAACAGCTTCAGTCGGTCATGTGTTCAGCCACAGCTCTTTTTCCATGCTGTGCTAGAAAGAGTACTGTACCAATCGGATCCGATAATACTGATTGATATCTTTTCTGAGAAGAAAATGCCCGTTTCCAGTTCTAGATTTTCTTCATGAGTAATCGCATTTCTGTAGTCGAGTAAGGATGTAAATGATACGGTTGGGGTTAGTATTCGTCTGCATTGGTCGAATTGGCCCGAATTCCGAAAGCATGGATCATTATGCAGTATGGATGGAGGAGGTATGTTCTACTTACAGACTCCAGAGTAATGATCTAATGATCCAATGATTTGATAGATCCGACCGCAATTTTCCTTACCCGATTTGTGTGTGTGCGCACAGTGAAGTCTGTGATTGATATGATCGGGAAAAGTCGCAGTTTCTTCTTCTAGCTTCTAGAATTGAGAATTGATATTTGCTAATGATAAGTGCCGAAGCTGATCATGATCACGATCACGATCACGATCATGCTCATGCTCATGCCCATGGTCTTGTACCTTGTTGGGTTCCGATTTATAGACTTGGTCCAATTACAGAGCATCCGACCTCGATGCGTTAACCTTTATTACTCGTGAGTACCTAATTGCACTGCTGTTTAACTAGATCGGTAGGTGCACTGGCAGTGCTTTAACCTTACCTAGTACTCCCTCCGTACGTAAGGTTGGTTGCTGCACACACTAGGCACTAGTATATAAAATGGAATCAAAGATCTTCCTTCCCCGGAATGTTTGACTTGACTTTACTCTACACCTTACTTTCTATTTCTGATGGTAGTGGATGAATTGATTGATTGATTGATTGATTGATTGATTCATTGATTCATTGATTCATTGTTTATTTGATTGAAGGGCTTTTTTTATGGACGAGGTGTATGAACGCATCTCCTGAATTACACTATTACATTTTTATCACCCACAGAATACCAAACATAAAACATAAAACTTCGGATAAAGAATTTCGAAGGTGACGCATCTTTTTACGGAAACGGGAACATCAGCCTCGACTCTTCCTACATACCTTAGTGGTGTAACCACGGCTTCTCTCATCAACATAGTATCACAGGACGTAAACCAACATCATGAACTGTCCATCGAGAACAGATGAGCCATTGGAAGGCGATGGATATAATCAAAATCCCAATGCCTTGGCAAACGATCTCACCACTCGAGAAGATCTGAACGGCCGAGCAAATGGAAGGGCATTGAGGAGAAGTTTGGAAGATGAAGGCCTGGAATCTATCAATGATCTGGTCGATGATACGGGTGATGGAAAGGTGACGGGAGGTGAGAGTCGTGTGGGAAGGGGGGCTGGGGGTGAAAGGGGCGGTGGAGGCGGTGGACGTGGTGGAGATGGGAAGAGTGGTCACGTGGTTGGACCTACCGTTGAGGCTCTTGATATTAGAGATCAATCGAGCACGAGACGGGGATACGAAAGAAGTTGTATCAGTATCTCTAAAGATCAACTTGTGAAAATGAAGCAAGTTATGGTCAAATTTGCTAAATTCGTGGGTCCGGGCTTCATGGTACGTAATTTGCCACTTTCGTCAACAACATCAAAATTGATGTCAGAAAGTCGAAAATTATCTTCACTCGTATTAACAAATCTTATAGGTAGCGGTGGCATATATTGATCCCGGAAATTATGCGACGGATGTTGCTGCAGGAGCAACGTATAGGTTTAAGCTGTTGTTTATTGTTCTGATGTCCAATATCTTTGCAATCTTTTTGCAAAGTCTTTGTATCAAACTGGGTACTGTTAGTGGTTTGAATTTGGCAGAGGCTTGTAGGGCTTTCTTGCCGAAATGGTTGAATATTGGCCTTTATATTTTGGCTGAGGGTGCAGTATGATATCCCTCTCCTTTTTTTCGCATTTTTATTTGACTAACCAATGATAGATTATCGCTACAGATATTGCTGAGGTGATTGGTACAGCTATCGCTATCAATCTTTTAATACCTCAAATACCTTTAGTTGCTGGCTGTGCTTTGTCTATCCTTGATGTTCTTATTCTTCTCGCATTTTATCCTGGAAATGGTGAAATGAAGAGATTGAGATATTTTGAGATGTTCGTCGTTGCATTGGTATTAGGTGTTGTTATTTGCTTTTGCATTCAATTATCACTCATTAAAGATACTTCCGTAGGACAAGTTTTCAAGGGATACTTGCCTTCTAAAGCTATCGTACAATCTAAGGGGTATGTATTGACTTTTTAATCTCATCATAATATCACTAACACATCCTAGACTCTATCAAGCATGTGGTATTCTAGGAGCAACCGTCATGCCTCATAGTCTCTACCTTGGAAGTGGTATCGTACAACCTAGACTTCTAGACTACGATAAGAAGAACAATTTTGTCAAAAAAGATTTCGATCTAGGTACCAAGGAACCATATTACCCATCCCTTCCAGCCATCAAATTCTGCCTCAAATACTCCTACGCCGAATTAGCTATATGTCTCTTCACATTTGCTCTCTTCGTCAATTCTGCAATTCTAATTGTAGCTGGAGCAGCTTTGTATAATAACCCTGCTGCACCAGATGCTGATCTTTTCGGTATTTACGATTTACTTGTTTCGAGTATTTCGAAAGGTGCTGGAACTATTTTTGCTCTAGCTTTGTTATTATCAGGCATGAGCGCTGGTATTGTTTGTACTATCGCCGGACAAATGGTTTCAGAAGGCGCATTAAACTGGACTATCAGACCTTGGTTACGACGTCTCTTAACCAGAAGTCTAAGTATCACACCTAGTATCATTATTGCTGGTGCTGTTGGTCGTGAGGGTTTATCAGCTGCTTTAAATGCAAGTCAAGTAGCTCTCAGCATTGTTCTTCCATTTGTTACAGCACCTTTGATCTATTTCACATGTCGCAATAAATTCATGACAGTAAGATGTCAAAACAGAAATAACTTTGCCGAAGATGATGAGAATACGAGGGGAAATGTAGATGGACCGGTGGAAATTGAAAGTGTTTATGAAAATGATGGAGCTGGTATGGGTGGAGAGACGGGCGAGGGAACTAAAATGAGAAATCATTGGATTACGGCTGCGGTGGCTGCGGTTATTTGGACGGTTATGGCTGCGATGAATGTGGCTAATTTGGTTTTGCTTGGGAAGGGTGATGGTGCATAGGTTTGGGTGTGGTGCTTTGGGGAGGGAAAATGGGAGTGATGGGTTTGGGGGTTGGGGGTTGGATGTGGTTTTTGGGGATGAGGGAGGAGGTGGAAGGGAGGAAGGGGCAGAGAGAGAAGGTTGTTGTGTAAATGGCAAGTGTTGAGTTGTGCTCAGGAGTCAAGTATGATTTGATGATTTTCAACGGGAAATGGGAAAATAAGGTGTGTAGATGACAAGTGTTGAGTTGTGCTCAAGATTCAAGTATGATTTCATGATTTTCAACGGGAAATGGGAAAATAAAGTGATGAGTGATGACAATGAAGAAGATTAGCAAAGTGTACAGTAGAGTCCTGAAACCTGATGGTCGTGTCATTAGCTCAAATAATGACATAGCAGACCACATACCAAAGACCCTAACCCCCATAGATCCATAATCTGTAGGTGTATAAAGTTAAACTGTTTGGGTGGTTAATAATTAATTCTTTTTTCTTCTTCTTCTCCTTTTCTGAGGAGGAGGGTGGCGTGGGATGGGGATAGGGATAGGGATAGGGTTGGGGTTAGAGGTTGGAGGTGGGAGGTGGAAGGGATGAATGAATATGAATAAGGCTGTGGTTGCGATTGTGATGATGATGATGATAGTTAATGTTTGTTTCTTATTGTGATTTGGTTGCTTATGATTGGGTTATATACTGTTTTGAGCATGTGAAGGATGTGAAGGATGTGAAGAATGTGAAGGATGTGAAGGATGTGAAGGATGTGAAGGATGTGAAGGATGTGAAGGATTTGAAGGATTTGAATATGTATTTTGTTGGTTATGGGTATATTGTATCGTATTGTGTGTGTAATATATATGTAATGAGGATATAATGTATATGTATTGTATATGTATTGTACATGTATATAATATAATGTATATGTAATATATATATAATGAGGATATAATGTATATGTATATGTATATGTATATGTATTGTACATGTATATAATGTAATATAATATAATATAATAAAGGCTAGATAGAATTTCAGTAGTGGGAGATCTTATAGCTTATGCAGGTCTAGGTATATATATTATAACAGAGATTTAGATTGGTGGTGGTGAGGATTGGGGATGAGGATGAGGATGAGGATGATGATGGGGTAGATTTAAATTTTAATGATTGTTGTGATGGGATGGGATGGGATGGGATGGCTGGTATGGTAGGAAAGGGAAAGTAGATAGTTTGCTGATTTGATGGTTTGATGGTTTAGTTGATGTGGTTGGAGGTGTAAGAAGGTGTAAGAAGGTGTAGAAGGTGTAAGAAGGTGTAAGAAGGTGTAAGAAGGTGTAAGAAGGTGTAAGAGAGATGATAGGGATGGAGATGGTGATGGTGAGGTTGATTATCATAATTATAATAGCAGTGCTTATAAGTTGTAATCTTATGTATGTTCTGAGGGGAGATACTAGTGCACGTGGTGATGATATTGATGTATGATACGTACGTTTAAGATTGAGGTGGAGGTAGAGTTGATGGGTACATTAAGTGTGGCTCGAGCTTATTGGGAGTAAATGCAATGGTGGTAGGGATGGAGGTAGAGGTGGGAATAGAAGTAATTAATTGTTTGGATTATATTATGGAGGATTATTCGGAAGTAAATTAATGACCTCGAGAGTTAATAATAGGTTTGGTGGTTGTAGTACAGTAATACAATAATATTAGTAGTGAGGGAACTTGGAAGGGGGTTTAGCAGTATTTACATAAGTGTTAATAACCATGGTTCAAAGTATAAAAGATCAGATAAAAGAGGATGGCTGCTTATATTGATCGGAAGCCGGATTATTATACGGAACAAGAATAAGAGAAAGAGTTTATATTACAATTCCATCTTGATGATTCTTGGAGAGCTTGATTAGAATATTTATCTTGAAATGAAAATTTCATTGAAAAGCTAAAGGAAATGTGTAATTGAGAGGTTTCTGCTCTTGTAGGAGAGGGTAGGAAAGTACTTACAAGACGAAAGATGATTGAAGTAGGTTAGGTTATTAAGCTCGAAGAGTGATTCATAAAAAGTTTGAACGACTCAAAATGTCTTGGTTAAGGTTGAAATATTGTCAGAAGAAACGTGTGAATTGATTCCGAGGAGGATCTTTGCTATGGAAGACTGAAAGATGGATGTAGCTGTTGAGAGAGGGTGTTGAGATGGATTGTACGTGATTCGAATAGTTGGAGGAAGCTTTTATATAACAATGTGGAGGCTTTGAATTGAGCTTGTGGGTATTGATTGCAGGACGAAAGAAGTTGTAATACTAAGAGCCAGCGATAAATTGATGGAAAGTAACGATGTTGGGTAGCAAAATTTTTGGCTTTCGGTGTGTGTTGTGATTGTTGGATATTAATATATTGTCGGGAAATGGGAACGAAGCTCCTAATAGACAAGACCAGTTAAAACCAGTTAAAACCAGCTATTGTGCTCTTTTAAGAAATAAGCGAGCATATCAGAGATACGCCACATTAATTTCACAGGAAATTGATTACATAGCATTGGACATGCAGCGAATGACACGTCCGCCGACATATCAATCATTCTCCAGGATAAGTATCGATGGCGGTGAATGTGACAAGTAGAATGGAGAACCAACAGCCTTCCAGGGGATATGATTATGCTGTATGAAGGTTGTAGTTTCTGCATGCTTACTGATCTGTGGATACCTGTCTGATGACTTGTGTATGCGCGAAATCGATTCGAGGAGCCGTGGATCTCTCTCTGGTGCAAGATGCAAGAGCCTTGACAGTGTATCTCAAGAAGTGAAGTTTTTAACTTCCATTACACCCTTAGTGAACCGCTATTAACCTTCTATTGCCCAGGCATGGAGTAATATTCCACGCACCGTGGGAGAACCTTTGGCGAGCGACTCCCTCGACCTTAAAGCAGACTTGAGCATATAAGGGCTCTTCAAGGTGCGCAGAAGACCCTGGACCCAGGAAACGTCATAAGACAACCCGCATATAATTGACCTAAAATTCGGTACTCATGAACCACCCGAACTTGATAACTTCTACAGATTCGATCTCTGGATTAGTGCGGTTTAATCTCCTGTCCTTTCCGCAACCTAACAATTGAATATTCAGCGACATAGTAGGTATGAGACCTAGGCATACTGCAGTCCTGCTATGACCGAAGTCATTTCTAATGTATGCGTGTCGGCAGTTCGTGCCAATTTCAAGGGCATAACCTAATACGATTGACTATATACTAAACGACTAAGGTGTCTCGACTCATGTCAAGGCTATGACATAACTGACCTAAACAACTTTCACTGCAAAGGCCAGAAACAATATCAGCAGCATTAGATGGCGCATATCTTTGGACTGCTGGCGCCTCCTCTTCGAGGCGACTTCTACTACGACTGAGATAGTTATGGCCTTGTTCAGAGAGCACCAGTAACAAACTTCTCAATGTACCCTGCCCCAAGCTGACATCAGGCCATGGATTACAGCTCATCACAAGAGTTTGACGCAGCTCCGCGCATAACCTAATAGAGGTTACTATAAACCTCCCATGGGTTTTTCAAAGGGCCGTCAAACGATGCATTTATTGGCTCGATGTGTGAAACCAATCAATGACTTCGTAACCATTGATTAACAGCGCACCCTTGCGGAATGAAAAGCCTGAAGATTCCCACCAGTCGAGTGTACCGTGTGCATGGCATATCGAATAGAGCTTACGAAGGATGCATCATAATTTCAAGCTACCTGTGCCTTGTCATACAGCTACTAGACATCAAAGACTTGCGGAACGAATCGTATTTTCTTAATACAACAAATGACGAGACAACTTGGCCTGGCTCCTTCAGCCAGTGGGCTGAGCTCTGATTTAGCAAAGAATGACAAGGGAGAGCCCTGCTTCTTATCACCGATATAGTTGAGTGCATACTCTGCACTTGGAGGTTATGAATAATTAAGGGGGAACTGTGCAATCTAGTGGATGCATTTGCTCCATCGAGCCAGCAGGTAAAATCTTGGCTGTGGCAAAGACTTGGGTGATCAGATTTTTGCAAAAACGGCTTTCAAGCGCTTAGAGCAAACTGATATACTAGAAAGTTATGATTTCGAAGAGGTGCAAACACCAAAGTCTTGGACATTTGTCATGCACAATCTTGTCTCTATCAATATCTGTTCATCGCGGCTTGGATGCATGATTTTGTGCATGGTAATGGTAGCAAACACTTGTCTATCACCGTAGATAGATGATTTTAATAATCACTGCATTGGATTTACTTTGATGGGAAAGTGCCTTTGAAAGCTTGAAGAACTACTTCATGTGAGAAGTCGTGGCTCGAGCTCATCCCAAAAGTCAGAGCTTGATAATGAGAGCTCAGTCTGCAAATTGGGATCAAAGTAAGCCCAGCAAGCCCATCAAGGAAGGATTCCTTGCTCAATGAGAAAGTAAAAGCTTCTTTGAGTGTTAGGCTAACTAGCAATTTTCCTTCAAGCACGGAATAGGAAGGAGAACACGGAGTTCTCGAGGTGTATGGAGAGGAAACATGTTTGTGATTAATGAGGTGTTATGGCCAAGATAAAGGCAGTCAGATGAGACTACGAATGTGGCGTTCTTGATATCAAGGATATATGGTCGAAGATAAAAGCTTAAGATGGAGCTCATATATCTTTAGGGAAGTGAGCTGTAATTATTTTCGTGATTAAAGTTCCTGGTGATCCTTTCCGGTTAGTCGAAAACTCTAGCTCCATCTACCCCCCATCCATTCTCCATCATTCTCATGAGATCATGAGATAAAGAATTGCACCACTTTTCCAAGAGGCCTTCACACAACACATCACATGATCGATGAAACTCCTTCATGATCATAACCGACAGTTTATTGTGGTCCAAGCTCTCCCTTCTATTAATGCAATTACTAATCGTAGATGCTGCCGGTTGAACATCGGATAGATATCCTCAACTACGGCATCGAAATACTTTGGTAGAGTACAACCATTCACATTTTCTCCTCGCCCATTACCCTTCTCCCAAATATTCAAACGATGGCCTGGCCCTATCCTTGAAACACTTTCGTCGTGTAGCTCGTCGAAGTTACAAGAACAAAAATTCATCTCCAAGCCTCCAAGGTGGCGTACACAAGCGACAAGTCTTACGCCATATCTATTTTGCGAACTCACAGTTCTCTTAATCCAAACGCAGAATAAGGAATAAAGCTCCGGGAGCCTTTGCCTACGATAAAGTATAGGGAAAATGGCTACCAGCTCCGATTCTGCGGCCGCAGAAGTGGCAGATTGTATACATGTGGATGGCACAGAACATAAGGCGGTCGACATAGGAAGTGGTGGAAATGTCATTTTAGAAGTTTTGTTTGAAAATACGAAAGCTTGTACAAAGTCGATACCGAATGACATGATTCAAAAGCTACGGACATCCAAAACCCCTTTTCCGTCAGCAAGAGTGTTCTATCGTATTCGTCTCGATACTTTGAAAAAGCACTCCAAGTACTTCGGACATCTTCTTGGTTCAGATGCATTTGAAGAAGGTCGGGCTATATCTGCCAAATTTGCAGAGTTGTCTCTATCGAGAAAAGATGCTTCGAAGCTACCGGCAGAAGAACTCCCTAGGATACAAATAAAAGATGAGGATTATGCAACGAGAACCATTGGAAGGGAAACAGTTTTCCATGACATGCTCAGAATAATTCATGGCATGGATCATTCCAGCAAGTCTATTACTCTTCTCTATATCGTTATCTTGGTGGTTATGGCAGATAGATATGATTGCATGGCTACGATTGCACGATACATCACAGGCAGATTCTCAAATTTCCGATACCCACCAACCCTTGAAAAAACTACGGAAGAAGTCGTGAGGCAAAAGATTATTATTTTTTACCATACAAATCAAGCATTGCGGTTGTCCACTGCCACAAAGGAACTCATTATTCGAGGTTCATCTCGTTGGTCGATTTATGAGGAAGCGGATTCTAACTTTGCTGCGGCTTGGTGGGATCTGCCAGAAGATCTGGAAGGTGCGCAACACTTTTTGCAAGTTACTTTTGAAGACATAACTAATAGTTTGCAGCTGAGCTTTCATATCGCCGATCTCGCATTATTCTAACGATATCCTCTCTCCAGACAAATTTACTTTCATTATACACGTCTCGAAAACAGCAATGTAAATTAGGCTATGATTCGTCAGCAGCATGCGATTCCTTCCAGCTTGGTGAAATGGTGAAATTCCTCACGAAGAAAAATCTCCTCTCGCTCATTCCATTCCAAGCGGTCTCTCCAGACGACCCTGAATTCCTTTGGCCAAAAGCATATGATGGTGATGCTGAGCAGCTCATTACCTTGTTACGACAATGCCCAAGTTACCAAATTGATAAGAATCATGGTCATTGTGGTTTACGTAGTAAATTACTCCCTGCCTTGGACTATATCAAAGAGTGTATGGATGCTGGCATCGGCATCAAGGTCCAATTATGGAAAACAGAGAGATCCACCCAGACTTGGATTCCTAGTCCTTCGGCAAACAACGGCAACGCTAAGAAAGCATTCGTTGTAGGAGGCATGGCAGTAGGAGAGGAAAGAGAAGGAAAATTCTTCGACTTTAAAAGCTTAAGTAGAGACGATCTTACGCTTGGTGCCAGATCACTCGGTGTAGAAAAAGCGGCGAAGAAGCTGTTTCTGGCTGAGAAGTGGGACTGGGTAAGGGAAGTAGAAACCGAAAAAGAGAAAGAGATGATGTCAAAATCTTCATTTTTTAGATTTTGAGGATAGCGGAACTACGATCAATAGCTAGACACGCAGAGTAGCCATTCGACATGACATCCTTTGTGCTGTATTCCCCTGTCCTCGGTTGTCCAGGTCGGTTGTACGGCCCGGAGAACGACATACAGAAGTGGATCATGCCATCGAAATGGCCGATCTTCGAAAACATTGCCAACATCCGGGGTAAAACTTCATTCAATATGGAGTTTTAATTCAGTCAGATGCATAATGCCAACAACTGACCTCAAATTTACTTTCGAAACACACGTCCGGTCTCACTCAAAGGCATCGCATCAAATTGATTAGTTGAAAAGGAGAACTTTAAAGGCACTGACCCACAAGAGGATAAATTAGTTAAGCAACCATAATCAGAAACAAAGTTTTTGACACCGATACTTGAAGAATGTTTCTTTACGTTCCGAAGTAATAACGTGGGCCATCAATAGGGCCATGTAGGCCACTAGAGCAATGTAATAATTTTAAGTTTGTCTCCGCATGGGGATGAATGGGAAGAATGGGATGACTTGAACTTGAATGAGCGAACTATTGACACGGAGATTTGAAAGTAATTAGGTTTCTACGTTTACACTGTAGAGAACAGAACATGCTTACACGGAACGTTGAAGAAGTTCTCCGTAATACAGGAGGTTATTGATAGAGAAGTTTCACATAGAGAAGCTTAGATATTAAACCCGTTTATCCTCCCCATATTTAACTCCTCTAGCGACAAAGCCGAGACTGCGATTCGTTGATGCCCCTTAACCCCCCTGCACAGACAAAACACTGAGGAATCACACATTAACGACTTCGCTGATTTTATACTTCGTAATTTACTTAACCGCGTCATAATTACATGCTTTTTGTCTCTTTACAGAATATGAGCGAAACGCCGGGTTCAGAAAAAGGGAAGAACCATGAAATTAAGTACCGATATGGCACGGAACGTTGCCTACCCGTTGAAAATAAGTTGACACCACTAAATGACAACTAAATGAGGGGGCGAATGAGGTGATGGAGTGGATATCGTGGGATGTCGTCTGATCTCCGCACTAAATACTTCCTCATTCCTTATTTAAGCGTTCTTTCTCTCCTTACTTCCTCTTCCTCACCACTCTCACTAAAGTCTTTCATTCACTTCGTTCCCGTTTCCAATCGCACTTTTTTCCAATTTTACGCAATGCGTTTCGCAAACTCCATCTTGGTCGGTGGCCTCACAGCATCCGCTTTCGCAGCTCCTGCTGCAAAATCCAGCCGCACTGCCTCTGGAAAGTTGCAATGGATCGGAGCTAGCGAGTCTGGAGCGGAATTTGGACAAGGAAACCTTCCTGGTGTTGTGGGAACCGATTACACCTTCCCAAGCACCTCTGCTATCCAAACTTTGATCGATGGTGGCATGAACATTTTCCGTGTTCCATTTCTCTTTGAGCGCATGGCCCAAGGCAGCTTAACCGCTACTCTCGATGCCACTTATCTTGCTAGCTACAAGGAAGTCATCGATTACATCACCGCCGCCGGTGCCAGCGCAGTCTTGGACGCTCATAACTATGGACGTTACAACGGTAACATTATCACTTCCACCTCCGACTTTGGCAGCTTCTGGGGCAAGCTAGCCGCTGTATTTGCCAAAAACGACAAAGTCATCTTTGACTGCAACAACGAGTTCCACGACGAACCCACCGCTACTATCTACGCTGAGCTTAACCAAGCATGCGTTACTGCTGTTCGTGGCGCTGGCGCAACCTCCCAATACATCTTTGTTGAGGGTAAGTCCACCTTTTAAACTTCTCTAGCCTTTTAATACTAAAATGTTACTTAGGAACTTCGTACACTGGTGCATGGACCTGGACTTCATCTGGAAACTCCGTTTCCATGTTGAACATCAGTGATCCCGAAGACAAGCTTGTCTATGAATTTCATCAATACCTCGACTCCGATGGATCCGGAACCTCCGCCACCTGTGTGAGCAGCACCATTGGTGCTGAGCGTATCGCCGATGCCACTGCCTGGCTCAAAGCCAACAACAAGAAGGGTGTCCTCGGAGAAATCGCCGGTGGTGTCAACGCTGACTGTGAATCTGCTATCTCTGGTACGTTGAATGCTATGGCTGCCGATAACGAGTACTGGTTGGGTGCTTTGTGGTGGGGCGCTGGTCCATGGTGGGGTAATTACATCTACTCTTTCGAGCCACCTTCCGGTGTCGCTTACGTTCAATACTTCAAGACCCTTGTCAGCTATGTAGCATAAGGGGTGTCGATTTGAAGTGTGGCCTGGGAAGTAGGCTTTCGATTCGTCTGTGTACATATGTTTTAGCATGAGCCTTCTGGAGGCATTTGCTCGGGAGGTCCTGTTTTAGTGGAAGATCAAAAGAGACTAGAGAAAATCTTGATCCGCTTTCAACCTTGAGTATCTTGACTCCAACTTCGTGATTTCATGCATGGTGCACATGATACTTCTCCCTTGATGATTATAGCCGTCATATTTCCGAATACTGACCGTACTAATCTTGTGTAACGACTGGAAGCTTACGCGGAATTGTGATTGACAAGCTTAAGCACCTCTGCTTCAAACCACTCCACACACGATGGCATCCCACTTGCAATTGCCATTCTCAAGCAATCGAAAATCCCATAACGATCTGGTGCACACAAATGTGTTCTAGACTATAAGTCATGTCGATCTGCCATCTGACCTTGGATAAATAGCGGGATATGGTTATTGCATAAAATATGAAAATATATAACCGCCGGATTTCATCACCCTTTCCCCTCTGGCTTTTGTCTCCGCTTTGGTAGATGGATGGATGGACCGGCTTGACAAAGTCTTCAGAAGGCGCACCTGAAAATATGTATTGACATATATGTTGGAGAGGTGGGAGTCTTTATCATTAAGTGGAAATGAAATGAATGATGTTAAAAAGCTCAAAAAGCTGCACTACTGGAAGAGCTGTTTATCGTACTAGTTACGATAAAGGATTACGTGATCACAAGTTACAACCTCCTGCTTCCACAACACGATTCCACCACGAGATTCATGATTAAACGCCCGCGGCGTACCTGGAAATCGAATCTTTCGGGATGTGATATCCTTTCTTCGAGTGATTAGAAGAGGTTGTGCTACCGAATATGGTAATCTTGTTCCAGGAAATTTCTAACGTAGAGCCTCGTTGTACATTTTGAACAATTTTGCCTGGAAGCCGCGACCCTACAATTCAGATGTGGGAGCTACATACCTTCCTGTGTGTTGCCTCGTTCAGACTTTATGTTTATATTTATGTCCATCACGTGTTTTTATTTCGTTGTACGTTTACTTGTAGCAGCGTTGCCATGATTTGCGGTGTGAAGATTGCAAGGGAATGGTTTCATTCGAGCTTTTGTTTTATTGGGCATGGCATTTGTTACCAGTGGAATAGACTTTGCCGTGTCTTGAGATCTCAGCAGCTGGTTTCTTCTACTAATTGTGTTATTGGGGTAATACTCTCGCGCTGCCTAGAAGCGGCATTCAATCCGAGTATCCTGTCTAAAATTCCCCACAACGTAGGTAGCTTGACATATTGACTTCCGGGAAGGACTGGGAATGTAGAATGAGCTGGGAGTGGTAGACAAGTAATTCTGCATCATCCAGCTGCACGTATTGGTTGTATTTCAAGGTGAAGTCACGGGGCAGAAAAAGCACCGTTGCTGAGTATCGCAGTACGGCCAACAAAGACATTGAATATAACACAAATATCTTAAAGTGCTACGATTGGCTAATCGACCTGTTCGATTTTCTCTACACTTCTATCCGGCGCCAAGTATGGTACGGCTTGGTTTTCAACATCTAGGTCTTTTTTGATTCACATACATGTTAAATATCCCGGCTGGCTTTATCTCTATTACAACACGTTACTCCTTTCTTCCACTGCTTGATCGTCAAAATAATCATACAAAAGAGTCGGTCATCGATTATCTCTCACAAATATTACTCTTTTTTACTATTATCTCCCACCACATCCAGGTTATTTGTAATTCATTCAGATCACAACATATCAACCAACTTGATACAAACTCTACCTCCACACATTATGTTGAATCCTATGCCGAAGCGTCTCACTAGTACCTCTGACGTGCAAGAACATCGCTATGCACATCACACTCGTCAAGAGGCAAAGGCTGCTCATCATGGAGAAACAGTTGCTTGTCAAATCGCGACAATTCACAGATCATTCCTTGATTTGCCAGCGGTAATGTGTTGTATATCATACTCGGCTTCGCTGCTCTCGATAAGGAATGGTGGTGAAAGGAAATGATTTTTAAGGGCGTGGCACAGATCTCCGTCCATGTACAACTGGAGATTTACTTCCGTTGCAATCATCGTGGGGCACATCTGGAAAACTTTCCTTGTCATAGAGTGGCTATCAGGAACTCGGTATACATATGTGTCGCGTTTTGCAGGACGTGCATGTCCGCTATCTGAAAAGCAATTCCTCGAATATCGGGAAACACAGATCTCCTTTTTTTTTCTACTCTCTATCTCTCTCAATCTTTCATGTTATCCCAGATCATTATAACTAGATTTAGTCTATTTAGTATCGGGTCAATTGTTCAGCTACCAATAGAATCACATTTCTTTCACTGTATACGCACAAAACTCGCAGGGTTATCGATTCCTGGAATGAAATTTGGGTATCACTGATTAGATCTTATATGGATAGGTAACGAACATTGGCGGTACTATATACATCTAATTTATACTATGGGCACCATATTTGGGCACTAATACACCTCCTTGCTTGGAGAGAAAGTGTCTGTCATGAATGTGGCTTCGCTACGGCAGATGAAGGGGCCACGTTTTCTATTAGCTCTCTCAATATGGCAGATACTATTATTGAAGACAGCATTCGAACATAAAAGAAGATATGCGCTGAGTTCTACTGTAGATATGATTAAAATAATAGTGCCATTAACATAAATACGTCGCGAGTATCCAATTTCCTTCATTTACTTTCAATCAAAAAGCGAGCCCTTCATCACCAAGTCCATCTGCACTTTTCCCATCTACCTGCAAATCCTTAAACAAAGTCTTATGTAAACTATATCGTAGTCATATCACTGAGAAAAATGGCATCACCAACATCCGCAATGGTTCCGAACGATAATACCACCAGCGAAACAGACCGATTTGCGCACATTCCTACACATCGGTACATTAAGTTCTTTCCTGATAGGAACAAACTTACGGTAACTTTGAACTTTATGTCACATGGCCCCCACCCAAGTGAGGAAACTTTAGACCATTTACTGGAAATGATCAACATACTCCCCCTATATGCCAGAGAAACCAACATATTGTACTTGAGCATATTCTTCAGACCCCGTGATAAGGACGATCTTCGTTTGACTCCGGCTAGACATTTGGTGATTGGCCGTGTCGTGGAAGAGATAAACGAATTCCCCTACTTGACAAAATTCAGAGTTTGTCTACGTGTTGATCGCTTTCACTGGGATCAGGTGGCTGACCTCGCATCCGCTCTTTACGGAATTCGTACACTGCCTTCTCGTCGCGCTTTCAATGTTGGGCAATCTGAGCTTGCTTTTTTGGAAAATGGATGCCGAGGTAGATATATCTTGCCGGGCTCTTCTCTTGATAGAGATCTTCGATCAAGGTTCCGTCACTGACTGATACTTGAGCAAGACACCACAATAAGACGAGAATGGCTGGATGCTTTGGCTGAGGAAAGCAAGGTTGGCAGGTGATATTGTTCAGGCGCTGAAAGTATGGCTGAAGCTGCAATTGCGCGATCCCAGTATGAACATGGTTGTTCTTGGATGCTTCTTGCGAAGGGCAATATTCGACCTCTGGATGCCTCTGCGAACTACTTTAAACACATTGGCCAGGATAGAATGGTCTTCTTAGCAAGAAGTCATTCCGCGAATGAGAAGTTCTTGAATATTGCGGAATCATTGAGGATGCGTGGAAATGGGGGCTCGCTCCACAGAACGGGGGGATTATCAGAACCAAAATTAATGATAATTCCCATAAATACTTGCCATGAATATGCACAATATATTTCATAGATTTAAAGCTGTATGAATGGTGCGAGATCGATTTTTCATGGGATATGACTTTTCATTTGAGACCCATGTACACTTTGGTTAGACGGAAGGCATGAATGTGGGATGGATTGTTTTCTAGCCAGGGGGGTTTTGCAGATGATGGACGGGCAGCTTCTGGATGCGGGAACAACCGATTAATAGATGGAAAGTTCCATCTTTCATGATTCGACACCACATAAAAGAATGCGATGGACTATTTATTCAATCAACCCAATCTTCTATTTCTCACCTTGCTTATCTAAAAAAAACCCAACAAGTGCTACACAAACTAATAAAAATCTCATAAAGATTTGATAAAATGATATTCTCAAGCTATTTCTGTGTGAACTCTAAATTATGGAAAACCAGTCAAATAGCGATATTATATAAGCTAAATAGATCAACTCGAAGTTTAGGAGTATTCCATAACTTCATGTCTATACTGTTGTACCTTTCTCTTCAATTTGGAAAATGATGAGGCAATGACTTGAGTTCTTTATATTTGACCCTCTGGTCCGACCTACGTACCTTCCTCCATAATCTAGTTCGGCGGGAAAGTGCGGTACATCCACCTGTCTTCATAAAATTTAGGCGTATCTTGAATCATTTGTTTGATCTTAGAGACATAAATGGTCTCAAGAGTGCCGCTACTTCCTCCAAACCTATTCCAACCCCATTTTGGCTTTGATCACACAACTGAATATCAATCCCACAAACATAACTATATGCATATCGAACATTCACAACCTTTGTTATTGAACAAATCACATACTTTACTCACTTTCACAATACCAACATGTCTGATAAACAAAGTACCGGGTCTGGCAGGAATTCTGCAAACCAAGCTTCGAGTATCAACAAGAATCACCAGCTTCTTGAATATAATTCCAAAGAGAAGTTTCTGCGCATAACTCTGGACTTCATGAACGATGTATCGCCGATATTCTTTGACCGTTTAATCGAGACCTTACCAAATTACCGCAATCGAGTGACAAGCATCACCATCAGGGTGATTTTTAAACCTAAAGACAAGGACGACCTCAATCATACCATGACACGTCATGGGATCCTCGAGGATGTGGTAGATAAACTCAACAACTTCCAACGTTTGGCCCGAGTTCGTTTCGTTCTTAACCTCGACTATCTCAGCCTAAGCCAGATCGAATCTGCAAGCGCGATCTATGGATTGAACTTCAGGTCATGGACTTTTGACATCTTGACTGATGATGTGGAACATGTTCAACATGATAGCGCCATTGACATATTACTAAGAGCTCATTTCGGAAGGAATGCATTAATGAAAGAATTGAATAAAATTAAGCGCATGGTTTCCAGAAGTCTTGCCGCGGGAGATTTCTGACTCTACTTTCAACGCTGTCTTCAATATTTTGTCCTGAAAAGATTTGCCTGAACTTCTAAGCTTAGTTGCGGAGCGTCTTGGGTATATGATGAAAATTGGGCTAGTCAGGGTGAGGACATCTTTGTCTTTAATCACAAATATGATGGTGCCGCGGCTATCCACAACTTCAACAGTGTCAAATTAAACGGCAGAGTATCAAGCAGGATAGGAATCGGGCCAAAAAAAATAGCGAGCATGTTTATAGGATGTTTATTGATTGAAAAACCGATCACATTGTTGTTGTAACGTTGTACTGGGGGCAGCATTCTGTCGAGCGAACATTAGTATGGCCACACTGTCGAGCCTAAGCGAGCTGGGGACTATTACTATAGTCAGGAGCCATGGTTTTTAGGCTATTGTTTTCATAAAAATCAATTCATGATTACCTCCAAAATATTACATTTGGCCACGAGGCAGGATGACACCGAGGTCCTAGGGCCATACTAAAAAAAAGTACCTCTTCTATCCTTTGCAAAACACCTTGTGGAACTAGAAAATTCAATGACCTTCTATTGTCTACGTGCCATATACCTATAGTGCAACCAATCATTCATTCGTTGAGAGCGCTTATAGTAGAACCATACCGAACAGGGAATACAGCAGCACACATGTGAACACCCAGAATTTCATCATGCAGTTTAATTTGTGTTGGTTGTGGGATTACTTGCAGGTTCTAGAAATAAATGCTTCGACTGAGCCAATATTGCTCAAATTCTTTCGATCATTTCTCTTCAAGAAATCGCACCGGCATCTCACATCAATTTCGTAAAAAGGCGTTATTTGCAGCACAATCAATCAACAGATTAGGCACTAGCCCATCATGTCTAACCCTTCACCCAAGACGAGATAATATGGAACTTCCTCCCAAATCGCAACGAACAATTTGGAATAATCTCAGAGCAGCTAAACCTAGAGTAATCTATGCACCATGAATGACATTACAACAGTTGTAAAAATGAAATCAAAGACTTGTATTTTTAGAAGCAAACACTAGCTAAAAGAAAACCTTGATAGCTGCATGTCAATAATAAAGAGAGCTGTAGATTGAGGTTATATCAGCACATATGAGAACTCACACCATAATATGAAAAAAAAAACCTATATTATCCAAGAAGCCACCCATATCCTCTCTAACCTGCTGCTGGTTACATGAAATAACCGAGGCCCATGACCAAACGATAGTGATAACCACGTCTGGAGTATGGACACTATCCAACCAAGCTCTAGTCCGAAATAATCCGCTGCATCCTCATCCGACTAACAATCGCTTTCATAATAATAACTAGGGTTCTCTAAAATATTTTCATCATCAAGTTGTTCAAACCATGGCGAGTTCATTCGGACACTGGCTTGATACTGCCCATCTATGTAATACTCAAACCTGGCACTGCGATTGTGGATCTCGCGAAAGGGAAGCGCGCATGCAAGCTGGCCGAGGTGCTTTTCCTCTAGTCGGAATGTGACCTCGATGGTAGATAGATTTATAAACTCGTCGTTGAAGATCTTAACAATCTCTGCGATTTCATCCTTGATTCTTTCGTTGTCCAAATCGTCTTCTGCTGTTGGGAAGGTGAGGTTGAAGTATACCTCTCGTGCTGTGGATGCATAATTCGAGAGATGGGATTCAATATCGGACTTCTCATAATCAAATTCAATCGTCAAGGCCCCATTTTCGAATTCAATGTCTGAAAACGAGTTTTCACTGTCGATGTCGCTATTGTGGCGACTGTTGTTGTGCCAGCTCATTATGGTAAGAATCTTTTTTTAATTCTTGGAAAGGAGTGTTTTCGGTCAGAAAATGCAGTTAACCGTTGTAGAGATGGGACGGGAATCACTCCTGCTATATACCCTTCAGTCTTCTATCATGGCTCTATATCTTCCTCAATAGAAGCGTCAGGAGTAGTCAAGGTAGGATATGGGTACCATTCAGAAATAATTGGTCTTTGGGTAGTTCTAGAACATCGCCAGAAAGGATTATATCCAGCGAACTGAGAATAGAATTTTCCAAGGTACTTAAAACGTCCTTCATTGAGCGTTGGCTTCAGATTAAGATGTCTAAGGTCTTGTCAAAGTTTCTTCGTATGTTCTTCGGGAAGATTTGAGACTTGACTCTACAATGGCAATCGTGTTTCCACCATTCGGACTCTCATAGAGTCCACCACCGAGTAGCAGGAAAGGGACTGGAACTTTCCATTCGATTTGAGAGTCAAAGCCAAAAAGAAAATAGGGGTTTAGGTGGAAACACTCACAAAAACTCGTGTCAAAAGATCTGGAACTGGTCGGCAAGATTACTTGACAACAGCTACCTTGTAAATTGCACTACTTAGTGCACGCGCGCCGTAGGGTCCTTCTCTCTTTTGAGTCTTTTCCAAACCATCCATGGAGCACTCGATAAGTTAGCATTTGAAGGCACAATGAATGACTACTACATCTTATCTGTAACAATTGGAACAAAAACGGTCATTGAACGATATCATGAACTCCAAACCGGGTGAGAAGAACTTGCTGGAATTTTATGTTGAAATTTTACCAGCTACACATACATCCTTTCAGTACCATCGCATTCAAAGAAAACAATCAAACACTTGATGGCATCATACAGAAGAACCTTGAATTCCGTAGCCTGCTCAAGAAGTGTTGCAAACAAGTCCTCTAATCAACAACCCAAGCCAATATTCTAAACTAGTTCTTGCGCCGCACTCAAAATGCAAGAAAGCCACGTATAATTCCTTCTACTCCCATCACACCGCGACCTATTAACACCAGGTCTAGGAACAGTAGTTCCTTTGCGTTCTCGTAGAAAAGTTATTCACTAGACAAATTTTCGATACAAGCTAACTACTTTCTAACACAGCGTGCAAATGGTATTTCGAGTCTTGATAGTAAGACCCACTCGAATTGACAATAACGAGTTGCCACATTAAACCATTGCCTCCGTCGTTCGCGTCAGATAAACTTCCAGCCACCATCAACTTGTAGTTAAAGATCCATCGTTGGTGGAGATCAAGAAATGGAGCAGCACTGTCAGAGTTTCGGTTATACCTTAGCATTTTGGAAGACGGTGCGCGTATGATATTTGCAAAGCTTCAATGGGATGGTAAGAGGCAAAGTTTCGATTTACCCTGCTGCTATGAGGCATCGAGGACTTCGCAAATATTGACTATATGGAAGTCAAACAAGTGTTGAGGATATTCAAGCCCCGGAAAAAAAAAGGCGTAACATCACTGCATATTTCTTTTGTTGGACTTTTAAGGTAAGGCAGCTATCAATTTTGAATGAAACATTTTCCAGAAGGTCAAGCTGCCTTTGAGGGATTTGAAAACATTTTCGAAGCAAAGTTATTACTCTGACAAAGAACCTATAGGGCCTGGACCTGTGTTTTACCAAAGCTTGGCAACAAACACCACAAGATTGTGTCTAACATTAACTTTTGCCTTGCTTGCAGTTTTGGTTCATACAGTGATAATGTGTTTACTCTTTCTGAAATGATTCTCCTAAACGAGAGCTTGATGCAGACAACTCAATTGATCGAATTTGCATATTTGGCCAGAATGCTCTATTGCATTCTATCTTGGTCGAATGGTGTTGTGCCTCTGCTATGGGCCAAATGCTTCGTTACTTCTGAGCATTCTGTGTTTATAGTATTTCAACACTTCACATTCTGGAATGATGTAGCTAATCAAAACGGCGAGTCGAACTTGAGGCGCAACAGTTTCTCCCCGGTAATATCGAAGCATCCTAATTATCATAAAGGTAGGCACATTTCGGCAGAAAGATGACGAAGCGCAAGAATAACTCAATCGAGCCGAATGTCGGAGGGGAAGTACTTCGCATATTCAAAGGCGCGACGACTTAAAAAATGTAAAAGGAGCGTTCCTGGTTATAACCATCAACAACTATCGGCAAAAGCAGACTCAAAGCATTGGTGGCAAATCCCTTCTAGCACAGCTCCCTGAATACTTGGAGCATATGAGAAGAATCTGCATCGAGGTCATATGGCATTCTGCAGATCACAAAAGAGCCCGTGAAGATACCGCCCGAACGACCAAACTCTTAATCAACTCGAAGAACATTTTGAAAAGTTTCAAATATTCTGATATATTGGAAGTTGTATTCCAAATGCAGCAGCACAACCTTGATCAGCCGAATCTTCCACAAAGTCAGGCTTCCCTCTCCGCCTCTATGGCCTTAACCTCGAGAAATGGACGCTGCGCTGCAACTTGGAATGGTCCAAATCGGGACGACCAACTATCACAGAGGTCAAGGAAAATTCCACAATCGACAGACAGATTCGTAAACATCCCTCGTTAAGATTTAAAAAGAAAGGTTTAAAATTCACACTCGACCATACTAAAGTCAACCGTGACAAGACTTACGACGATGAAAAAGGGGAAGTGCAAGAATCATTCTTCAAAGTTCTGGCCCTGTTAGGGGAAGATCTTACTCTACCTATCAAAGGAAAGATAAATGTTTTTAGGTTTGTGTGTGCTTGGTGTGGTGGTGGCGGGATGATCGTGAAGAATGTTTTTTTGGGGTTTCCTTTTTTACTTGGGAAGGCAAGGAGGAGAGCCGGAGAAAGGAAAGGAAGGGAGAGGTAGGTTTTCTTCGAGGGGGAGGGGTTGCGATGGCGTTTTCATTGAGTTTTTTTAGTTTTTTTTTATCTAGGTAGGCAGGTAGGTACTACTAAGTGAGTATTTGGTTTTTTTTTTTTCAATTCACTGATTATTTAGATTGATAGATATCTATTCTATTATATATAAGATGGATTATATAATATTGTTTCAATTGATGAATTTATATATATTAAAATAATTATATTTTGATATAATATTCTATTGTACTTTTGATTTATATATATTTTATCTTTTAAATAATAAGATTTGAATTAAATAATTTATTTGTTATAGTCACACATAACAAAGAATCAACTAGTCTTAAAACAGCTTCAAAGCTTTTCATTGTCCTTTCTAAACTAGATAAATCATTCTTTTTATAGACAAACACAAAGGTAATTTCAGATCTAATACAATCTGATGTATAAACATTAATAAAAGATTGTAACGGTTTGTATGATTAATAGTTATAGGTTAAAATTATTAATTATTAATTATTCATTTGAAAATGAATTTGTTATTAAATCAAATAGATGTCACGATTCACGGTTTTCATTATAGTAGTATTATTGATGTCGGTGATTTACATGCCGACTACAGGGGGGGTGTGATTTAACCGTTGCTTTCAGGGGGCCTAATCACTTACGAATAGGACCCCAGGATTCCTAGGATAAGTATCCTAGGCAACTATATTAGATTAGGACAAGTGACCTAGCTAATTGGCTGAAATGGGACAATCACCCTAGAGGATATTGTATCCTAGGGCTATGGTTCCTGGAGGAAAAGCTTCTGGGACAAGTGTTCCAGGAAAGGAGAAGCCTCAGGATCAATCACGTGATGTGCTAGCTCTGCTAGCCAGCTAGCAAAGCTAGCATACAAGGAAAGAGATTAGTATATAGTCAGAGTAGTTTCATAGTTTAGGAGCTTCGTGCTCAACTTAGTTATCAATTAGTTTACCTACTTTCCAATTGATCTAGTAGCGAATTCACTTTCAAGTGGATAACCAGTGATTAATAGCCTTCACCCACAACTATCAACCATACGAAACCTCAGGCAGCCGCTGCCTCGACCAGATCGTTACATAGTGTCACGATTCACGGTTTTCTTTATAGTAGTATTATTTACGTCGGTGATTTGTAGGCCGACTACAGGAGGGGTGTGATTTAACCGTTGCTTTCGGGGGTCCTGATTACCTAAGCCTAGGACCCCAGGATTCCTAGGATAAGTATCCTAGGCAACCATAGTAGAATAGGACAAGTGTCCTACCTAATTGGTTGTAATGGGACTATCACCCTAGAGGATATCGTATCCTAGGGCTATGGTTCCTAGAGGGAAAGCTCCTGGGACAAGTGTTCCAGGAAAGGAAAGGCCTTGGGATATGAGAGGCCTCAGGATCAGTCACGTGATGTGCTAGCTCTGCTAGCCCAGCTAGCAGAGCTAGCATCACAGGAATGCTAGCCGTGCTAGCCCAGCTAGCTAGCTAGCACGAGAAAAGAGATTAGTATATAGTCAGAATAGTTTCATAGTTTAGGAGCTTCGTGCTCAACTTAGTTATCAATTAGTTTACCTACATTCCAATTGATCTAGTAACGTATTCACCTTCGAGTGGATAACCAGTGATTATTAGCCTTAACCCACAACTACCAACCAGACGAAACCCTGAGGCAGCCGCTGCCCCAACCAGATCGTTACACATAGGCCCCCTGAAAGCAACGGTTAAATCACACCCCCCCTGTAGTCGGCATGTAAATCACCGACATCAATAATACTACTATAATGAAAACCGTGAATCGTGACACTTATTCAATTCAAAATAATAATAATAATAATAATAATAATAATAATAATAATAATAATAATATTTATAATAATACTATTTAATATTATTATTTATAATATTTAAAATAATATTTTATATTATTTATATTATTATTATCATTATTATTATTATTATTATTATTATTATTATTATTATTATTATTATTATTATTATTATTATTATTATTATTATTATTATTATTATTATTATTATTATTATTATTATTATTATTATTATTATTATTTTGAATTGAATAAAATGAATTGAATGAATAAAATTGAATTGAATAAGTTAAATAATTTCAAAGTTAAATGAATAAATTGAATGATTTTAATTAAATTGAATTGAGAAAAGTTCTAAATCAGATTTATTTAAGATTGTAAGATTTATACTAAGCTTTTTATTAGATTATTTACTAGAGTATTTATCAAGGTATTTACTGAGGTATTTTAGACCAATCAGATTATCAGGATCGCGACTCATTTAAGCGAGTTTCTCATTTTCTATCATTTACCAGATAAACCTTGTATATAGCAAGGTTATAGTGTCGGTAAGCCGACAATCATTATATTCTATATGAAAATGTTCCGAAGCATTTGTAAAGATATCTTTACCGTCAATGTATGATTTGTCCAATCCTTTGGATATCTTAGCACCAACATCCTTCGCAAATTGGGCATTGATTTGTGAAAGGAGTTTTGATCAAATGGAAGATGGTGCCATGTATGGTACTGGTCTATATTGAGTGGTATTTGGTGAAAGGTCTTAACGCTAAATGACTAGCTGAGTGGTGCATCCTGCAAATAGTTGATATAATGAATAGCTGAGACGAACCAAAGATAAAAAGTATATAGAGTGTTTATTAGATGAAAAGAAAAAGTGACGAACTTTGTAAAAGTACTTAGCAGATGCTGAAAAGCTATTGGATGTGGAGAAGCTGGCAAGGCGTTCTACAAGTATTGTAGCAATAGAACGAGACAACAAAATACCACATAGAGGTGGGGGTTTCCTTAATCGTGAGGATTCGGCAGACATGATTATAGCTATCAAATAGTCATGACAATGTGCAGAGAATGCTGAGATAGTTTGTGTGTAATAGAGTATTGTATTGTTGTGGATTGTGGCTGTGGTTTGTGATTGAAGATTATGGGTGGGGGTGCTCCGATTGATTGTCGATCTAGTCATTATTTTAAATGCACGCCAGCGGAATCTCGCTTAAGTCTTTTGAGTCACTAAAATCACACCCGGTGTGTGATGAAGGGGTTGAACATCCACAATCAACATTTCACATGTCAGATGCAGATGCAGGTGCAGATTCTCTTCTTGGGAGGTGAAACGTACCAGTTAAAACAAATCAATGCGAATTACCAATAAAAATCCAGATTTGATCGAGCGTATGTAAGAATGATGCCTCTTTGAGTACATGATTTACCTAATAAACTTAACAATTATTACAAAATCATAAATTCTGCTTTCGGCTAAGACCAACCATAAAAAAGCATGTGAGTGTGGAATCGCCGTTAGCATCCATGATTGGTCGAATTCCTGCCGAGGCATCCTCAGTACATCTATCTATCTATTGATCTCCGACCCCGACATACCTCGTCCTTTCTTTCTTTTCATATAATTTAACCTTATTCTTCTGTACTCCTCATCGCACTGAATAGCTTCTTTCATACAACACATTAAATATCTACATTGCTAACATGTCAGCTGGTAAGCGTCCATCGCAACCAAAGGAATGCAAACGAGGGCTGACAATCACCATAGCACAAAACCGACTTGGACAGGTTTCCAGCCATTTGGCTGGCTCGCGGAGCTCTATCGCACCCCAGGCCTCTATTACACCAGTAGTAGGTAATAGCGGCCGCGCAAAGCTTTTAGAGAAGCATCCAGATGATGTATGGCCAACCATTCGCTTCAGAAAGCGTATCTTAAGTCCTTGCTAACATTCTCCATTCCAGGTCGTCGTAACAGCTTGTCTCCGTACCGCATTCACAAAGGGTGGCAAAGGAGGATTTAAAGATACAGCAGCAGCAGATTTACTAGTTGGCGCATTCAAATCTCTCATCGAACGATCCAAAATTGACCCTGGGTTGGTTGAGGACATAGCTGTTGGATCTGTACTTCCTCCTGGAGGTGGCGCTACGGAGTTCCGTGCCGCTGCTTTGGCTGCAGGATTTCCTGTATCTGCGGCGGTAAAGAGCTTGAACAGACAATGTTCATCTGGTTTACAAGCATGCGTAGATATCGCGAATGCCATCAAGAGCGGAATGATTGATGTTGGTGTTGGTGCAGGTGTCGAAAGCATGAGTTTACAATACGGGTATGGCCTACTCGCTTGTCATTTTGTGTGCACAATCAAGCTAATTATAAATTCACAGACCCGGCGCCGTAACAGAATTTTCGGAACTTCTCGAATCTCACCCAGAATCCGCAAACTGCAAAGTGCCTATGGGTGTTCTTTCCGAGAAGATGGCTAAAAACAAGGGGGTCTCTCGCGCTGTACAGGACGCGTTTGCGGCTTCATCATACCAAAAGGCACTTAAGGCCCAACAAGATGGTCTTTTTGACGAGGAAATTGCCCCTTTGACTGTCAAATGGGAGGACCCTAAAACTGGCGAAACAAAGGAAATAACTGTTGCCAAGGATGATGGTATCCGACCAGGTATCACAGCTGAGAGCTTGGGCAAAATTAAGCCTGCTTTCGCAAAGGATGGTAGCATCCATGCTGGAAATGCTTCTCAAATCTCAGATGGAGCTGCCGCAGTTCTTTTGATGAAGCGTTCCACAGCCGAAAAGCTTGGTCAAACCATCCTTGGTAAATACGTCGCCGCATCTGTTGCAGGTGTACCTCCCCTCCTTATGGGTATTGGCCCTTGGGCTGCTATCCCTAAGGTCTTTGAGAAGACCGGTATCAACAAGGATGATGTAGATATTTTCGAGATCAATGAAGCATTTGCAAGTCAATGTGTTTGGTGCGCAAATGAGTTGGGACTTGATCAAAAGAAAATCAATCCAAAGGGTGGTGCGATTGCTTTTGGCCATCCTCTCGGATGTACCGGAGCAAGACAAGTCAGCACATTATTGTATGAATTGAGAAGGACAAAGCAAAAGGTTGGTGTGACTAGTATGTGTGTTGGAACTGGCATGGGTATGGCTGCTCTTTGGGTCGCTGAGTAGAGGTTAGCGGATACTTTCAGGATTATAGGATTTGGTATATGGTTAAGGGCAAATAACAGTCTTGGGAGAAGGTTCATGGCGAATGGTTGTACATGTATATTAGCAAGGCATTGGAAGCCTATGCATAGAATGGATTTTATTCACACATAAACGCCTCCTCTAATTGTGTTGTCTCAATCTTCTCTATTTTCAATATACAATGTAAATACAAGTAATATTGACCCTGTGCCCTTTTATAATAATAAAAAGTCTAGTTAGCTTTTATTGTATATCTCAGAAATTTGCCCATTTATATGATTCTACCTAATATTTCGAATATTTCACCATAGCTGCGCTTTGTATTTCAGGACCCCAATCAAAACTCAAAATCCCTCCACACGTCTCCGCAAAGTTGGAACCCTCCTGAGATGAGATAGAAAACAAGTTGATCGTTTTGGACAAACATTTATCTGTTGTTTGACCAAAAAATACATCGCGTTTCACCCAACGATAAGTCCGTCGGGCCTCGCCGCGCCCACAATCATCTGGCAGTGGCAGGCAAAGCAAATATTGCACGTCCTTTCCCCCATGAACAATGATGTCTCTTGTCTACGAGCAATATCATGTAACATGCATTCACTAGAGGGAAGATATGAGGATCCTTGGCGCCGGCCTAATCTACCGGATGTGGAAGGAGGACCTATTCTCTCAAAGTATAGAGAGTTGCGCGCGAGGGGAAATGCGATTACAATTCTGCCACACGTGTGATGTGCATTATCGGTGTTATTTGCGGGTTTCCAAGCTGACTGGCTTTTACAGATTGGTGAAGTAGCTGAGCAGTTTGGAATTTATTTGGAGCGAAGGTGGGGGGTTTAGACGAAGACTCCACAGGTTGGGGATTAGCTTAATGGGTTAGTGAGTTATTAAAATATTGATCGCATAAGCAAGCGAGAATTCGGGGCTGTGGATTGCTGGCTCTGGTATTCAGGAATTAGAATTAGTTATGACTGGAAATTGTGCTTCCTATTAATGTATAGCTTAAGGTGTATCGGATAATTCATTTTGACCTTGTTTCTATGTGCGAATTTGGTGAATTTTAGAATTACTTAAATATATATATCGATGGTGATGTCATCATATTGGTGAATAGATTCATTTTAGCTTAGTTCGCTAGCTTAAAGGTTTTGATTTCTATAATACACCTAGTTTTAGCATACAAGGCTCATATCTATGGATTTTTATTGAACTCTTCTCTTCAATACCGGTGCGGGCCTTTTTATTTTTCTATTACACATGATGAACATAATATCTAAATGCACCTGTACTTGGTTGATTATGCATGGATTTAGAAACGGAGAAGTGGAAACAAGACTTCTAAGCCCCTAAAGGATATTTAGTTCTATATCTACAAATGTGGGTAAGATCGCACTAGACTAGGGGTAACATCCAACAGATATCGATTAAGGGTGTCTAAGTCTTGCATTCAGAGGAAAACAACTTGCTACTTACTATCTCTTATTCTATTTCTGACTGACCATAACCTAGCCAGGATTACAGGAAACTTGCTTGCTTGCCATATTCCCATTAATTCCAAACGACGCGCGCATCTAACAGCAAATTTACTAGCCTTTCATGAACTGGCCAAAACCCTCACTATGAACCTGTTCAGTCCTTCACGAGCTATAATACATATTCTCAAACAACCCTCTCAAAATTCCACCCCAGAAACCCACCAACTCGATGTCCCAACACCCCATTATTTCTAATCCTCGCAATACCCACAAAACAAATCGGACAATTAACTTCACGGCCAACTTCCTCGCAGCATCTAATCCACTCATCCAAACACGGTGAACAAAACCAATGATTACACGGTCTAGCAATCGACACTCTCGCCGGAAGTTCCTGAATACAAATAGCACAAACAGGTTTATCCTCAGCATTCCTCTGACCAGGCGGCACCTGACGCGGAAAAAGCGCCAAAATCCATTTTGGGGTATTAGGAGCTTTGTCGCGGGGAATAGCAACACTAGCATGTTGTTCACGATTAAGCCGCCGGATATGATATCGAATTTCCTGTAGAGCGGCTCGTTCGAGATTTGGAAAGACTGATGGGAAGACAAGATGGTTGGGCCAGGGAATATTTTCATTGTAAATGAGTGCCCATAGATTATCTCGAAGGTGTTGCGCTGAAATGGGAAGGTTGGGAGTTACTGCGTATTGAAGAAGGAGGTTGAATATGTGGGGTAGTGCTACATCTTCAAGTTGCTCGGTTCGTCTGATGCGAGAGATTGGTAAACTGTCTTCTCGGAGAGGGGAATCGAGAACATTTGGAGAGGGTGGATATGCTGCTATTTCTGCTGCTAGGGAGTTTTCCTGGTGTTGGCGGGCAACATGGATTTCGGGAGGTTCATTTGGTAGGTTTATACTATTTTCTAGTTGTTGATCACCCATTTTGTTTTAATCTCTCCTATGATTCAGATATCAATAGTAGTGGTGTAGTAATTGATAATAGATTGAAAATGATTTATGTTGTGATAATCAACAGTCACAAGTATCCTAGTAGAGTTCTTGCTGCCACCTTGTTATTCTTTTGGCTCAAGAAATCGAACCTGAGTTCTATGCTAGTATCGTGATTAATCAACTATACGTAAAATGGAACGTTCTGGTGAAATAGATGGATCTTTATATGAATTATTATACAGCCAGCATTGATTCATACTCTACGGTATTGTTGCCGTAGTAATCATACACACGTCTTTCTGAATCTGAACACTATTTATTCACCGTAACTTATCAATCAAATAACTTTGCAGTTTATCAAAAATTGATCATGACTATCTCAACTGTATTCATTAGGTTTATATCAATATCAAGAAAAGGAAACCACATCTAATAATCCGATATTACGCTCGCTAAAAGAGAATTTGACAATAGCGGGGCTTTAATTGGATGTAGATCTATCCTGTCTACTCTACAGATGACAAGATATTAACGCATGTTTCTATCCATATTTTGAAGAAAAAAAGAATCTGAAAATTAGCTCCTATCCAATTTCAGCACAGCATCCCTCTATTACGAATCTCGCGACAAAAATAACGCTCGCTATCTCGGATTGATGCGCTGAGATCACCATATCCAACATTACAATTGATATTCCATCACAAAGCTACACTTGACTGAGTGAATTCGCGCTATTGCCAAGACTAAAAAATAATAGGTAGGCAAAAACCACTGATTCCACCACAAGACTTCCATTCTCGATCACGATTCTACCGTATAAAAATAATAAATTAGCAAAAGCCGATTGCTGTAGATTCACCGCACACACTCACATGATAGAAGACTCGCATAGGATACAGCCGTACGACCGTGCAACTTTACAGAATATTTAAGAGCTCCGCTCATCGAGAAATTTGAAAGGTAAACAACATCTCTCATACACTACATTGCGAGATAACTTAAGTTACTCAACTCAAACAATCATTAATTTTTCACCCCATAATCCCCTACGATTCTAGATTCTCATTTTGTTTGAGAAGCAGACTAGCAAATTTCATGTGCTCAAGTGGAGAGTATCAACGCACTACGCTGACCATATGGCTTTTAACGCAGAAGGGCCTCCCAACGTCCCAAGAAATAGAAACCAGTCAGGGCGATGGCAACTATACATGGAAGACCATATTGGAGAGTCTGCTCAAAACACCCCAAATGAAATAAATCCCAATAACCCTCCCGTCGGGCGCCCTCCCAGATACAATAACCACATGCATCAGCCAAGACCATTCACAACCGACGATATGAGAACATATGATCAGAATTTTCCAAATCGGATGGCTCCAGACGACCCTCGCCCGCCGTTCATTCCACTAAACAGCAGCCACTTAAATGGCACCGCAGATGACACGGCTAGGAAAATCTCGGGAGTTCATCATTTTTACCTCGGTCAAAAGGTTCCTAGTCCTAGCCCTAGTCTGCCTTTGTCATCTTTGACTAGGGATATCAGAATGTTTCGTTGGAGATCCTCGGTTCAAATGCATATGGATTCTAGTTTTGCTCCCTTAGAATATATGCATGATCCAAGAACTAATAGTGAATTGTCTTTTGGCGCCCCACGTGGTCCAGGAAATAGCGATCATCTTAGCCCGCTGCCAACCTTGAGCAACAATAATGGGCAGAGTTCCCATTCAATCTCCCCCCTCAACAGAGAACAAGCACCAAAAACTCCCAACACAACCTCATCACACAAACCCAAGCCACCATCCGCCAGCAGTCCCGACTGCACAATCTGTCTCTCTCCCCTTCCAGCTCCTCCAAAAGTCGCACTCGTAGACCCATGCAATCACGAATTCTGCCTCGACTGTATCCAATACTGGATACAGACCCAAAGAAAAAGAGCAAGTGTATGCGTACAGCGACTAACCTGTCCACTTTGCAGAGGAACTATTCAAAGGGTTATCGGCAGGGATGGGGAGGTTGTGGGATCACGGAAAAGACGCATGATGGAGGCTGCGAATTTGGCTGCTGAGGAACAAAGAAGATGGGAGTTGGATCTTGCTGGACATACGGGTAGTCGGATTGAGGGAGTGCCGAGAACATTGGATAGAGTGGGTCGTGCGGGCGACGTAGGTAATCAGGTTGGGGAAGCACGAAGAAGACGTGATAGATGGAGTGGTGCAGGTACTGGTCGTTCCACAAGGGAGGAGGACCTTCCGGGTAATGGGGCGGCTAACTGGTGGACCTGAGCCGTAGTTGCGCTGGTGAGGAAGTATGGAGGGAGAGGGACTTGCTAAGGTCTGATAGATATCGAGTTAAGAGATGTGGCGAAAACACGTTTTATTCAGTATATGGTGGTAGCACTCTCTCAGTACAAATTTAGCATGAGCGCACAGTATTCCAACTGAGCATCATGTTTGCAGCTAAGAATGATCACGTGTTACAGCCGACTTAAAGATAAATAGAGTTACTACCTAGCTAGCCGCGAACTTTGTGACCGTGGATAGCTAGAATACTCCTGAGTTATAACGAAATAAAATAATTAGCCTCATAAAGATCGTTCCTACAGCTCTATACCCTATTTTTCATCTCTCGGGAAACTTGTAAACACGAAATAGATCACCAGCCAGACTCTCAATCAACTCGGTATCAACAAACAAGCTCACAAATCTCAAGAAAGATCTCGACAGGTCAATCAACTTTCATGATATATTTTAGTCTCTCGTGTTTTTGTGGAAGATTGCGTTCCATCATAAACACTCGTTTCTTCATTATTTACCCAGCGGCGCTCCCTCCGAAAGGCTACCTTCATGCTCAAGTTGTTGCTTATTTACTAAATATCCAACAAGAATGGGATGATAAAAACGTGAAGCGACAAAATCAAAGGAAAGCAGCAAGGATAGCCTCAAAAAGGAACAAAAAGAATACCAGAGCTAAATTCACCATCTAATCACCCGAAACTTTTCAGATTGAAGGTGATCTGAAATTACCCTCACCTTTCATACTTTTTTATAACGCGAACCTATTGTCCGGGTCCATCCATTGTTCTTACACCTCTGGATTTTTCTCTCCTTGTGGTGAACTCCCAAAGGTGCAACAGCAATCAACAAATCCTCCACAAACCCTTCAACAATCCTAGACACCAGCGAACACCAAGATGTCTCGAGATAAAACTTAGCATCATCCTGATGGCGGTGGCCTTTTTCCTTGACCATCGCTATATGTGTGGGTTTTGTTGTGTACGATCGCTCTCGAGTTCGAGCTGCTGCCGCCGCTGAAATCGATATATCTACAAAGATCATTTTCAATACTGCCATACGACGCATTGCTGCTTTTAATCTTTCTACTGCTATCGGTGACCGAGTCCACCAAGCCGAAATTCCTTCAAGACCAAGGTCAATATCCAAACCTCAAATATGAGTACAGTTGATGTCTGGGCGAACGAAAATTGGCATGGATCGGCATGGACGCATCAGAATTCCTCGACATGAGCGATCGCGAGCTTCTCGAACGGTTTCTACAACTCCACGATCAGGCAGAATTAGGGAATATGAAGCCAAGTATTTTGACTGACGGAAAGGTGACTGCCTCAATGATTGACATTGGTCACTCTATCAACTTCTTACGAGTTCCACTCGACAATCCCAATTTATGCAGATGTTGTGGCAATTATCTTCCCCTGCTTTACTTTGAATTGAGCGGTAGCTATTGTATGAAGTGCTTACGGGCCGAGATTATTCGTCAGTACACGTCATCTACAGCAGGTGCTGGTAGGTTTACTGCGAGGTATGCTCCACAAGTCACTATGATGTCTGATCTTGACACTCGGTATCGAGCCCAATACCCAGAGGCTGATCCTACGACGTGTGGCTGTTAGGAGCTTGCAGAAAGATTCAGAGTGTGGAGGGAGGGGGCGGATTGGACGGAAGAAACCACTTTGATGGTTTAGCATAACTAGGTGACACCAGAAGGAAAGGAAGGATGTGCGGTGCTTTCATTATGACTAGGGAGAATGTACTTGAAGCTTCCGTTTGTAGCCTATGAACGGTAGCTTACTTCGAAGTTTCTTGATATAAGCAAATGACATACCTAGTACATAGTGATGAACATTATGTTATCACTAATCTGTTTCCGAATTCTGTGTTTTGACAGCGAAGACCAATCGCTAAGTATGCCAACGTTAGGCACTCGTACCCATGAGGCCTTTTCAGATGTCGCTGAGCAATATTCACATTTCAGAAGTCGACTGGGTAATCTGACATCTCAGTTAGAAATACCAAATAAGCTATTCGTCAAAATAGTTATTTGTCAATAACTCCAAATCATACATCTACTTTAGCCTTGATGGATGATAATCTGGAGACATATACCAAGTCAGTAAAGCTCCAGATACCTGAGACTAACATACACTCTGTATCTACCACTCAACTAAAGCTACGTCCATTCCATATCGCGACGAGTAAGATCCAATCATGCAAATCTTCGGCAATATGAAAGAATTGCTCAGAAGCCAAGTTTTCCCCCATCCCTCAGTCCAACAACATCATTATTGAACCTAAATTCTCACAACTCAAAACGACGTATTCGACAAGTATTAAAGAACAAATCAAGCAAAATATTCGGCATGCTAGTCAAAGAAAAAGAACTTCATGCCATTACTTTTTGACATCCTATGCGAGATGATTCACCGCAACGCCAAGATCAAGCCATCAGTGCGGATGTAAAATACCAAAAAGGTTAAATGATAATTGATCACAATCCAAGAGCAACGCTTAGAAGATATCTGTAGCTTTGTTGGATTTTCCACCAATCGACGTATTGATATGCTACGCCAACCAAATCGCAAAACTGCTTGATTTGAGCAGGATACATTCATGCCACGTTGGCGCCATCTCAATCATTTTGACCTTAGGACATGAACAGATTCGGCATGGAATGCATACAGCTAAAAGATATATATCATATCCTTTAATACTGCTGCATCGAAGTATATAGAGCGTGAATTGAAGAGATGTTGTGATGTTTATAGTTGGAGGAGGGAAGACCTCGGCACACCCCGCTTTCAATGTTTCTCCGATGGGTTTCGGAACGGCGTGTAGTTTGACCGTTTCCCCTTGAGCTTAACCTCTTATGATCTTTCGATACTTCGATGTTTTGATAATGTTACTGTCGCGGTGGCAGTGCCCATGAATACCGTCCTTTTTAATTTTCATCTGCCCCTCTATCTACCGACTTTGAAAACATAGCAGCCCTGCTACCACCATTTTTTAGTGGGCTCTGGTTCAGTAGATACCTGAGTTATGCGCTAGAACGTCAAACACTTCCACTCATCGTATTCGAAAAGCATGTTAGGATTTCTACGAAATTAATACCAAAAATATAAAAATATCCGGATGAACGACTCAAAAGAAGCACACACATTCAGGTAATGAGGTTAGAATTTGGACAATGAAATAATCCGGCTGGGATCTATGCCAGAATGCAAAAGCCTAATTAGTAACTAGATAACTGCTTTTCGTCGAAGCTTTTAATCTACTTTGGTGGCAGGACAGCTCTGCGAGACGCGTACGGAATACCCTACATGAAATAGTCTTATTACAAGGAGATTTGTGGTCAACTCAAAATTATGGGCCACATCCAATTATTCTGGATATCGAATGTCATGGAATGCCTGTGCCATGCAAAAGTGCCACCGGACCCTCGGTTCGTTCTGAAATTTCAATTTGCAACTTCATTTCTATCGACGGCGAGCATGCAATTTGCAATGTCTCGGTTAGAAAATTGATTCTATACAAGTATGCAGAGCCTCGATTCTTCTGATGAATTGATCACATATCCACAGGCACGGAAACCGAACAATGCCCGTCCTACCAAAATTTCAGTCTTTGCTTCTGGAGCATGAACTTGCATGATATTCGAAACGACCAGGAACGCAACAATGAGGAGCTTAATAATAGGTATAGGTTACCGGTACCAGCATATTGGTATCCAATACCAAACTCTTATTATTCCTTCGCCCGGTGCACAAGACCAGCTGCAAAGAATTCGAATAAACGTTATTATATTACTGCCATGCATGATGCATGGTGGAATTATGATGCAATTCTTTAAATGCAGTACTCGAGTAGGTACATTTCCACCGAAGCAGCCCAAGAGATATGGAGTTTCTAATTTCGGAGTTACTATGGGTATAGAGCGGTCTCTCTGCTTGCTTGCCGATTCTAGTCACAGTAAGATTACTCCGTAGGATCTTTACCATTCATGCTTTCAGCTCATAAACCGTTACCGTTCAACGGCGCCGGTTGCGCTCCTGATAAAGATAAAGGAGAAGTTCCGTGGTACAGGGGGTATCCGAATTTCATGCACCAATCAGAGTGTAAGATGAAAGGGTAATGGGTGTTACTCACTTCTCCTTGCCCCCTCTCATAATTCTTATCTTTTCAAATATATAGAAAAATATTTCCTTCTCAAAATAAGTCTTTTCAATCGCGAACTTGAATTCAACTATATTGAAAGTCAAGCTTTTCAAATAAACTGTTCAATCATGCGTTCCTTTGCAATCCTTTCCCTAGCAGCTTCTTTGCTAGGAAGCGCCTCTGCTAGCCCTACTCTATTAAACCGTGCAACTTCATTCAACCGCACTGTTGCCCCATCTGGGGCAATTGTCGTCGATCAGACTGGCAAACTTAGCGGTTCATACACCACAGTCCAAGCCGGTATTGACGCATTGGATGCAGACACTATCGACAATCAATACCTTTTCATAGCTCCCGGTACCTACTTCGAGCAAGTTTACCTTCCACCACTCGTATCAAATCTTACGATCCAAGGTTATACCGAAGATGCTCGTGATTATCAAGGTAACCAAGCAACCATCACCTACAACCTCGCACTCATCAACACCACCTCGGATGATTTAACCGCCACCTTCCGCGCCCACAACAACAATACCAAAGTATACAACTTGGTTATCGAAAACACTTTCGGTCACATCAACAGCAATGGACAAAATCTCGCTCTCTCTTCCTACGCCACCAACGTCGGTTTTTACGCAACTCAATTCTGGGGATACCAAGACACCGTTCTCGCAGAATCCGGTTTCCAACTCTACTCCAAATGTCTCATTGTAGGCGCCATTGATTTCATCTTTGGTGAGAAAGCACTCGCCTGGTTCGAAAAGAATGATATCCGCACGATTGGCAAAGGTTCCATTACTGCCTCTGGACGTAAATCCGCCGATATTAATTCTTGGTATGTTATCAACAATTCGAATATTGCCAACCTCAACGAAACCCTTACTCCATACATCAACTATCTCGGAAGACCATGGAGAGATTTCGCCCGAGTTGTTTTCCAGAACAGTTATTTGGGAAATAACATTGCCGCGGCTGGTTGGGATGTATGGAGTACTTCGACACCACAAACCGATAATGTTACTTTTGCCGAGTGAGTTTTTCCTTCTTTTTCATATTTTCGTATTTGGGGATGAGTTACTAATAATTTTTCTAGATTCAACAACTGGGGTCCAGGAAGTTCATGGGTGGGAGGACTACCAAGAGCTATTTTCAGCTCGCAGATTAATGGTGCTATTGGCATTACTGAAGTTTTGGGTCCTGATTACTACACTGAGTTTTACTATGATGCTACCTACATGTAATCAGCAGGTATGGTTTATATCGAGGCTAGATCAAGTATTACTCATCGTTTTTTAATTTTTTGTAATTATTTCAGAAATATAGTGGGAAATCGGGGAAAAGGAGTTTGTAAATATTTTATACACACACATATATATACCTAGGTAGTTGGAGAATAAAAGTTGGGAAAATAAAATTAATTTGGGTTGCTTTCAATTTGTGGAATATTCTTATATTTTTGATGGAGATGCGTAACTGCAGGTGTTGTTAGATGATCATCTAACCAGACAGACAGGCCATGGGATGATTTCATGAGATCTTGCCTTTTATTCTCTGAAATATTAAAGTACATACGCATCCCTCAAATCATCTCTTCTTACTCACCCAAACAAACAAACTTCCAACTTCTAATCTCGATTTATACTCTATACTAACTCGCCTTGCCCTTTATATCCCTTCTATCATTTTAAAACTATTAAAATTCTCATAAATTAAAATCCATCACATCACTTGAAACATCTAAAACATCCAAAACATCCAAAACTCAAAGGTATACATATATATAAAACCCCCGGAGTCCCACCCCCTTCAATCCCTTCGCTAAGGTTATTCTTCTATATATTCTCTTCGTCTCTATTCCGGACACTCTCGCCCTTATCCTCATCCTCATCTTTACTCTCAAATCAATAATAATCAATCAATAATCGAGAAACATTTAACTAATCTCTCTTTTCATCTCGTTATATATATATACATTCTATAATAGCACTTACCAGGTTTAATACATAATTATATTATATGTTAATTAATCAATACATTTACTTCCACATACTTCTCTTATTTCTATACCACCCCATGTCCCATCCCCCATTCTCCGTTTCCTCTCCTTCCACTCCTACACTTCTATTATTTCATCTTTCTCCTTTCTTTCTTTCCTCTTGTTCCATCTCATCCAGATATCGTCCATCCATCATCCATCCATCCATCCTCTTTCCATTCCATTCCATCCATCCATTTCCATTTCCTTTCCATTCCACCTCTCCACCTCCACCTCCACCTCACCTCCACCTCCACCTCCACCTCACCATCCATCCATCCATCCCTCCATCCACTCCATCTCCACCCCACCCAATTCATCAAACAGATCATCAACAACCTCATCACTCTATCCTCCCCCACATCTATAAAACCTAGTATCTAACATCCAAATCTCTTCATCTTCTTAGCCCTGTACTCTATAATCTATCTTCCTTATTTATCTTCTACATCTTTCACATCCCCCCTTCTCACCTTCTCATCTATCAAGCCCATCTTCAACATCTACAACATATAAAATATAACAATAGCCATCCACCCACCCATCCATCCATATATATAACCCTAACCCAGCCTTTCTTCCCCTCTCCCCTCTCCCCTCTCCCATCCCCATCCCCCTTCTCTTTCTCCTCCCTCCCTCCCCTCCTTCCTCCTTCTTCCTTCCCCTAAACCATCCACTCACTACATTGCACACACTTACCCCACCCAACCACATATTACATGTATATATATATATATATATAGAAGGGAAAAAGAAAGAGAGGGGGAGATAATTAGTTAGTTAGTTATAGGTAGGTAGGTAGGTAAGTAGGTAGGTAGGTAGGTAGGTCATATATACAAGATGAATCATTGAAATGCTTTTAATCTACCAGATCTAATCTCCTCAAAAAGAAGAAAAAAGAGCAAGCACTATAAGAATCATTAACTTCGAAAACATCACACACCATACACCATACATCTCACACAATCAACACATAAAGACAAGAAGTAGGTAGGTATCTTATTATAATTTTCTCTCTCTCACACATCACTTCTATTTCCATTTCCTTTGTCCTTCCCTTCCATTTTCATATCCATTTCTTTCACCCCTACTTCATCCATCCATTCATCCATCCATCCATCATTCTCATGCTATCCATCCAGTTCCCTTCCCTTCGAGTCGATGAAAACCAATCAACCCATCCATCCCTCATATAAATAATAACTCATTATGTACAAGGCCCTAACATATCCATTCCATCCCATCCCATTCCATAAGATATCTGGATAAGTCCATCTCATCTTATATCATGTGAAAAATTTCGCTCTCCCGTAAAAACGCCTATAGAAATTCCGCCGTACCAAAAAAACGTAAAGAAATTACTCCACCAAAATGTCCATCATTCAATACCATGCCATATGATATAACTCATCATACTTCCCCAATCATTAATCACAAATTGATTTTTGAACGCGTTCATCACGAAACCGTCGTCCCTCCACAATCAGGAATCTTCACTCCATCCTTCAATACTCTATTGACATCCATAATACCCCAATGATCTTCCCAATTTTCATCTCCTGAATTATATTGAATCTTCCATGGTTCATCAAATGCCTCGAACCAAAAATAATTCGTTCCATTTTTAATGGCATCACAGACCCAATTTTCCATAAATGTATTCAGTTCCGTTATTCCTGCTACACTACCCTCAGCACATGTAGTAGCACCACCACAATCGGTACCACCTTGTGAGGGCCATCCAGTTTCCGAGATAATATTTTGCGATGTATTGGTTTTAAAGGCCACATCATGATTTTGCCAAAAGTCCCATGTCCAACTAGCACCTTGTTCGGCAGTGACACCAGCGAAAAATGGATGAATGTTAGCCATTACAAAGTCAACAGCGTTAGCGAGTTCCGCCGTCCAATTGTCTCCTAAATCTGAAGAGGCAATAGGGAGGTCAATACCACGGGAGGTCATGTTAGCTTTAACATCTCCGATGATGGAGATAAGCTCAGTAGCAGTCATATCTTTTCTATAGAGAACCTCATTGCCAACAATGACACCGACAAATGAAGATGATCCATGTTCATCGAAGATGTTGTAGAGCTGCTCAAGTTGACGAGTATTAGTAGTGGTGTTTGAATCCTGCCAAACACCTAACCAAACTTTAACGGTACCATTTAAACCTAATCGATCAATAGCATGTAAAACCATCTGCGTTTGGTTACAATCGGTACCATAAAGACGAATGGTATTACTGAGTTGTGAGAGGACAGCAACATCTCTTGTAACATTGTTTTGACTTGCTGGATAAGTCAAGCAAGCGGGATATTGGGTATACATAGGAGTATAGTCGATTCCAGGGAAAACCTTGTGCAAGTCGGGATTGTTCAATAATTTTTGAATCTCGGCCGAATCCTTACTAAGATCGCCATTTTTTGAAGCATCCGTTGATGCGGATTGTCCCTTCGCGGTCGAAGCCTCGGTTGTACCTGAATCTGAACCTGATTTTGCATTTCCCGAAAGGGTACCACCAACAGCTCCTCCAACGATTGCCGCTACTAACAAAAATACAACCAGTAAAGCAATCCATAATCTCATCTTCTTGTTACCACCCTGTGGTTTCCTTAACCATTCGTTCTTTTCCAGGCTGAGATCGTAATTTTCCGGTCCATTATATCCGTTCTGTGCATTTGTAACATTATTATATTGTATATTTTCCCCATTCTTCTTTCCAACAAGTCCACCTAATGTCCCTATCACTCCGCCTGCCGCAGCTTTCCCTCCTGGAGGTGTTCGTGTTCCGCTATCTGACATTCTAGTTAGACTCAACACAGAAGATCTATTAGCTCGTCTATATCCCAGACCGTCGTCTCCGTCGTCTACAATTGTGTTAGGGTCGAATTCAACAAGTTCTGGGTCAATTGCCCTCGAGTATCGATTATATGGGTAAGGGGAGTCGGAATATGGATCTGAAGGAGGATTTCGACCAGAAATAGTTGAACGTGAAGAAGGAGTTGACATTCCGGTGGGGAAAGCAGCAGCATTTAAAGGGGTGAGAGATGATGTTGATGCATCTTGTCGTGGAAACGAACGTTGGAATGGAGGCTCTTGGTATGAAGGTTGTGTTGGATCATAACCTCTCACGGTTTCCACACCACTTTCCCTGGCATTTGAATTTGCGACGCTCATAGCAACGCCGTTGATACCACCTGCGGCTTGATTCCCAAAATTATCGACTCCCGGTGTCACGTTTGAATATTCGGGCATGGCGTTATTGTTTTGATTTCGTATCCTAGATTCCTCACTGGATTGTGATGATCGATGTGGTGGAGGAATTGGCGGACTATCTATTATCGGACTCACAGGTTCCACTTCCCCATAGTTTTGCCGTGAATGTAAAATTGAAGCAGAAGAATTTGACATTCCAATCTCTTCGATAGATGATCCTTGAGTGTGCGAGATTAAATGATTGGAGTTTGGGTTTGAGTTTGAATTTGGGGCGAAGTTTGAAGGATTGTGCGGTGGTTGTTGTAGTGAAGGAGATCTCGATGGAGTTGTTTGTGGAGATACAGGTGAAGAGGAATGGTGATAATTATGAATATCTTCCAAAGAAGATCGTGACATTATGAGAAAAGAAAGAGAGAAGAAAAGGGAAGAGACTGGGAAGATAGGAAGTTTGAAACGGAATTGTAGCCTTTCGTTTCGGATGATCTTTTCCCTCTTTTTCCAAGTAAAAGTAGGTAAGATTGATGAGAATCCCACTTGTTTTTTTTTTGGCGATGGTCAAATAGGATCTGGGATTGTTTGAGCGGTGGTACCTTGACGTTTGGATTTGTGGGACAACTGGTCTGTTTCTTGTCCTCGAGGTATTTTGGTTTTTGGTGTACGGAGGTACGGTGGATTTCTTCTTATCGATCAAATGTGAAAGCGCAAGCAAGCAAGGATAGGGACAAAGGTTATTTATCAAACTGAGGGCAAATACGAGAAGTTGTGGATTGTCCTTTACTTTGAAATAGTTTATTTTACGTTGAGGTCAAATTGACTGAATGAGGTTCAACTATTAGAACCTAAATCACACTTCAATACTACTGTCAGCATTTTCAAAGTATGCTGTTGTATCTCTACTATCATACCTACATACTTATCCCATCTCGATTCTCGATTCTCGATTCTCGATTCTCGACTCTCCATCCATCTCCATCCATCTCCATCCGTCCTCTAGCATCATCTTCCCATGCATCTTCAGCTAAAACCAAACACGAGCTTTACCCAACACCGACTTATCCACATCTCTCACGAATAAAGCAGAGAAGTGATTGGTTAAAAGCCGCGTGCACGAGGCTGGTGCAGTGGTGCAGTTGGTGAGGGAAAAGACGAGAGTGGAGCAATGAGACTGTAACAGGGAACTTTTCTCTGAACCCATTAGCCCCTGCTAATCTTTATATCTGGTTGGTTGAATATTGTCTTGTCTTGGTTGACTGAGAAATGAGAAGATCCAACCACTCAGTATCAGACCGACCTGCATGGACTTGCGAAACACAATCCATCCAATACCATTTCATCAAACCATTTTAAATGCCAAATAAAGAAATACTCCATGCAAGTATCTTCAAAGTGCAGCATCTTCAGCATCTTCAGCATCCTCAATCGCCCGTTGCACCATATCATTCCACTCACCACATTAATGATTACCCACCCAAAACCCGCCGCAGCATCAACCCAGCCTCTTTCCAAAGTTTCTCTTCCTCCACCAGGAGACAATATCACACCTACTCTGGAGTCTGTACTCTCTACTCAATGCTCAGTGCTCAGTGCACATAAACATCATACCGAAACTCCAAAGAAATGGATCCCCTCAACCCTCGTACAGCAAAGCGGAGACATCCATCCATCCTCAAAAAACCCTCTCATCTCATCTCAGAAAAATACCTAGTACATACCTAGGTAGTAGGCACTCCATAAAAAGCCAAAAAGCTCAAGAACCTTGATTTAATACCCTACCCCTACCCCTCCCCGTCTATCTCCAACAAAACAAAACTAAACTACTGAGTATTGTACTCGGGTATATTAAACGATGATGGCATATGTTTCAGATGGATGATGATGAAGTTTATCGGCGTATCGGTGCTCACTGCTCGGTTCGGATGTACAGAGTATAGTATATCTTCAGTTTTTTTTATAGGTATGGTTCGGTTTACATAAATAGTATACCTACCTCCCTAGTAGATATACAGAGTATACGTATATATCCATGAGGTCATAGTGCGATACCTCCTACCTACCTAGTATCTATTAAATAATTATTAACGATGAGAGACAAAAGATGAAGGAAAGAAAGAAAGAAAGAAAGGAAGAAAGAAAATAAACAGTCCTCTCATCTATTCACTCATCATCCATCCATATATATATATATATATATATATACAACAAATCTTCACTTCACTTCACTTCACTTTAGCTCAACCCAACTCAGCTTACCTACCTACCTATCCCTATGCCCCTAGTACCTACTACATTCCCAACCTTCCATACTCCAACAATACATCAATACCATAGTAACATACCTAATGAATGCTGAATAACCAAACCCACCACCCACCACCCACCACCCACCCCGCAATAAAGTACAGTAAGATTACTATAATACCTTAAATATTAGTAAATAAATTGAGAAGAACCGAACCCCTCCTCTCATTCACCCAACCCACCATCCTATCCCGTCTAAACCAACCCAGAATCTCAATCAAAACAAATCCAAACCAGGAACAAGAACCCATCTCCTCTGCTCTGCTCCATATTCTACGCTACGCTACCATATCTATCCTCTCTTCCCCATAAAATAAACCTCCCTTAAGTGAAACTCCCACTCCCACCTCCCGCACCCATCCACCAGGAACATCCAATCATCAGACCACACCACACCACTGCAAAAATCACCGAAACCATGAGCGGCCAGACGAAAGCATTCAGGGAATTGATTGGTGTACCACCATCTACTGCCTCTGTGCAGGATAGCGTGTTGATTATAATTGATGCGCAGAATGAGTATGTTTATGCTATATTACCTACAATGTTCTCGCTACCTGGTTATAGATACCTAAATCTCTCTCTCTCTCTCTATAGATATAAATACTAATATCCACCTCACCAGATATGCAAAAGGCCACCTAAAAGTCTCTCAAGTTTCCTCATCCCGCAAAGCCATCTTGAGTCTTCTCGAAAAATATCGCGCAGCCAATGGAGCTCTCGCACATATCACTCATCAAGTACCAGCCGGTGCCCCTGTCTTCACACCCGATACTGAGCTTGCGAAGGAATTCGAGGAACTTACCCCTACAGGTAATGAAAAAGTAATTGTCAAGCAACATCCGGGTTCTTTCACAGGAACTGATTTAGAGTCTTATATCAAAGGGACGGGTAAATCGAAGGTTGTGCTAACAGGATATATGGCACATGTGTGTGTAAGTACTACGGCTAGACAGGCTGCTGAGAAAGGATACGAGGTTTTGCTTGTCGAGGATGCTATTGGGGACCGAGATATTCCTGGAGTAAAGGCGGAGGAGTTGGTTAAGACGGTTTTGGCGGAGTTGGCGGATGCTTTTGGTACTGTAGTGCAGTCCAGTGAGATCAATTGAGATCTCGCCGCTCCGAGTTAAGAGCATGCCTCGATTATTCTGGTATATATGAGGTCTATTGCTAGTGAAGCCAAGCTTCGGCTACGTCCCTTATTCAAATCGTCGGTTCTTTTCGCCAGTATATTTTTGTATCCGAAAAATCATGTCGAAGTTGTGGAAAATTTATCACTTCGCAATCTTTGACCATATCATCTAGATGTTGCCCAAGAGTTTCTGTGTTCGTTGATCTGTGAAATGTTAATGTCTGCTAACGAAGATGCGCCATGTAACTTACAAGTAGAACCTGGAAAAATTATCCATATCTGTTCCTATAAGAACTGCAGGTTGAGGTCCTGAACTAATAGTCTTGTAAACTGGTCCATAACAATGTATCGCATATACTAAAGTATCCTCTTTAATATGATCAAATGCTAACGGGTCATTTACCACTACTCCAGCAAAAGAAATCAAAAATTCCTTGTCAGTTTCTGTATATTGAGGATCCTGGAATACACATTGTATTTTATCCGCACCAATACCACCTAAAATTCTATCAGTAATGTTCACGCACGACTTCAAACCCAACTCACCCAACTCTTCCAAAATCATCATCAACGCAGCCAATTGCGTAAAACTACTCCTCCTCCCTTCTCTCCTCGCACTTTGTAAACTTCCTAATCCCAAACAAACCACATTCTTCACCGAACCCCTTCCCCTCAATATCTCCTTCAATTGTTTACCCGCTTCACTACCCTCCCATTGATTCCCATAATACGCCAAATCGTCCCTCATTTCCCCCACCGTCCTCTCAATATACGCAACTCCATTCCTTACAAAATCCCCCGCATGCGTCCATGCTTCTCCACCACTAGCTTTCTTTCCTCCTCCTATAACATGTGTCCAGCCCTCTCCATCCTCAACTTGTTTCCTCTTCACAGGTTGCACAACCTTTCTTGTTTTCTCCGCTCCGCTCATCACTACATCGCTGGTTTCCCTCGCTCCACTCTTCTTTTTTCGATTCGTATGCGGCATTGCTGTTTCTTCCTATGCAAATCTATCGTCCTTGTCCTTGACCCCAAGCAAAATTCAACGTAAGCAGCTACTCCGGTGTTGCGGTAGAGTAAGATTCAGCCGCTCGGATATGTGTACGTATGTATGACCACTTGCGCAAGTGTTTTGTTTGACGAAATGCAAACGTCTCGCAGATGCCCTATGGGATAATAGAATACCCAAGCCACGGGAACGAACCCTTTCGTTTCCAAACCTCTGGCTTTCTATATGTTCAGAGATTGGTAGTTCGGGCTAGGAAATTAGGTGAGATCTGCGATCACTGCAGAATGTATGTCGCAATTCTTCAGCCTCCACGACTACGAAACGTGGAACTCTTTTTTTGTTTGGTTCGAATTAATTTATTTATTTGGAGGGGAAAAAGTGTGTTGCGGGGTTTATTTTTAGATAAAGAATGGAGGGGCAGATCAATCGAAATGGCAGAAAATTGCACCGCCTTTTTTGGTGTCATTCCGGCGCTGTTCGAACCCATGATTGATTGTCATTTCATTCCTGTTGGTGTTGGTTTGGGGTCGAAGCCGGGCCACAAAGCCGAATGAAATGATCATCCAACCGACCTCAATCATGTCACACGTACAGAGGGAGTACACATCTTTCAGCGCCCATCGAAGGAACACCAAAATCTAGAATTAAAGGACATGTAGGTTTTGACACAGTCGTGGTATAGTATCACTACATTTACCACTTCTTTATTCCACGCACGAGGCGCAAAGAGAGGTCGTACAACATCCGATTCGCAAGTCGTGGATGAACTAAGCCCGGTGACCTTGCAGATTGCAGAATTGGTGTATGGAAATCAAGCAAACGATTTCAAAAATAACATATCAGGATGCAGCCTTGTCTTGGCTATGTATGGAGTAAATGCAAGTGCATTGAAGGGTAATTGTTCTTTTGGGAATTATTTGAATTGATGTGATGCTGTGCCGGTGAGTTTCAAATTCTCGGATGGCGGTTGGGTTTGGTAAAGATATCATGGGAGACGGGCTTATCACCTCTTTCCTGAGCAAGCAAGCAGATAAGCAGATAAGCAGATAAGCAGATAAGCAGACAAACAAACAAACAAACAAACATTCATTCATTCATTCCATCCATATCTGGATTAGTTGATTATCTGTCGGCATATTTTCCCATTATCTTCCCGTGCACATACCGGTAAGGCTCCCATATCAATGTCTTTTGTACCTGCTTCCCATATGCACCATATTCTTCCAAAATCCAGATCCATTTTCCTTCAAAATGAAGTATTCCTATTCGCATTCAAATAGTCCATACCAATCTATCTAAAATCAAAAGATATATCGCTAAGTCGCACAAACCTCAACCAATCTGCATTTTCCACCTCTCAGTTCTCTCCGGGCGCTTACATCAAATCCACCATTAGCCGGATCCCCTGGTTTTCACTTCCACGGCACATCAAGCCATCAAGCCAGCAAGCCATCACCCCACAACCAATCAATGACCAATGCACAGCACCATATTCCCACATCTGCATCGACTCAATCGACAAATGAATGCAGCTCATCACTCCCAATATTGAAAGTTCAGTTCTTACTATTCCAAACAAGGTATAACTCTTCCGTCTTCCATGCACACATTGTCCATATCAACCACCTCTTCTCATGTTTAATTGGTCATGCACTTTATCGCCCCCTTGGAAAATCAGCATATGCAGCCAGCATCAACACATCTGGTCAGGCATTGCATTGTCAGCGCGAATTATCAATGCTTGCTTCGATTATTCAAATACTCTACGAGTCCAAGTGTGGCCCGGCCGAGAAATGAGACTTTTTGCTCTGCCTTCATATTGACGTATTCCTGATCTTTGTGCAATTTCATCCTCAACGTTAAAGGAACTCTTCCATCTAGTGATGTTCTGATAATTGTTTGTTTGTAACTTATTCTTCACGAAAATATCGAGAAAACGAGAGAGTTAAACGCTTGAAATCGGATACCTGTGTACTTCTTCTTCACAAGCTGAATCTTGATTGCAATATCCGAAAACATATATACGACGAGTACCCAATTCTCGAAAATCTCAAATTTCTTCCTTCGACTCGGTGTTACACACATCTTTCAACAACATCACATACATAAATAATCAACATGTTTACGACGAGAATATTATCTCTCCTTGCGATAGCGACGAGTGCGTTGGTGCAGGCACATACGGTGATTACATATCCAGGATGGAGAGGAGATAATTTGATTACGAATGAGACTTTTCCTTATGGAATGCAATGGATGTATCCTTGTGAGTAGACTTTTCTTTTCTAAATTTGGAGCTTTCTGCTTGGATTTAGATTTGGGTTTGTGAGGGATTTGGTGTATTGGATTTGCGTAGATGGATGGTTCGTTTTCAAAGCTATTCATATACCCAGTTCTTTCATCCATCCACATCTCCTACCTTCCCTTCTCCTTTTCCCTTTAACCTTCCTCCCTCTCTCTTCCTACCCCTTCAACCTTCGCCCTCTCACTAACCCACTCAGGCGGCGGCATGCCAACCACCACCAACCGAACCCTCTGGCCTATCAAAGGAGGCGCTATCGCCGTTCAACCCGGTTGGTTCCAAGGCCACGCCACAGCCTTTTTCTACATGAACCTCGGATTTGGTACTGATGGCCCCGACAATGGTCCTCAAAACATGTCATTCCCAATGATATCCGTCATGCAAATCGTAGGCCCTAGCAAGAATCCCTACCCAGGAACATTTTGTCTGCCGCAGGTACCGTTGCCAGCTAATACGACGGTTAACGTGGGAGATAATGCAACGATTCAAGTGGTGGAGACAGCAATTCACGGAGCGGCTCTTTATTCGGTATGGAACCCTTCCTTATTTCCTTCTTACTCACACTCTTCCCCATCCCCTTCCCCTTCCCCAACCACCAAAAACTCAAAACCAAAACCACAAAAATCTAACACACCCCCAAAGTGCGTAGACATAACCTTCGCAGACCCCAAAGACGTAGCCGAAGTAAATAGTTCCAACTGTTTCAATTCCTCCGACATCTCCTTCGCAAACGTCTACACCATCAACGACGCATCAGCACCAGGCACAGCTCGCGCATCTGCTACATCGGGTACATCTGGCGCATCGCCTAGTCGATCTATGTGGGCGGGAAGTTTGGTCGCGGTATTGGGAACGGTTATGTGGGTTGTGCTGTGAGCAGCTGAAATGGAAGAGAGATTTTGGGCGGGGATCTCAGGACATTAGGAAGGAGGGGGGTTGGGTATGATGTAGATATGCTATGGTATGCTACGCTATGTTATGATACGATAGGTCTTATGATGTGGATGAAATATACGAAATGGGTGGGATAATTTACAGATCAGATCAGATAGGTCGGATCGAATGGGATAGGATAGGATCAGATCAAATTGCATGGTATAGCGAGATTTTAAAACTTCAAGTAAAGAAAGAGCTAATTAATAAGAGGAATATAAACACCACTAACTTACGAATTTGAGAATCTTTCAAAAATTTGAAATTTTTTAAGGAATTTAAAAAATTTAAAAATTTAAAAGATATATATATATAAAATAAATCAATAATTATAATATAAAATCTTATAAAAATTTATAATTAGTGTATTTAATTCAATTTTCTATATATTAAAAATCTTATTAAATAGAAAAAAACTTATTTATATAAAAGAGTTAAAGTGTTATCGCATTAACGAGATTACAAGGGAAAAAGAAAGGCGCAGCAATACACGCCTCAAATATCTTTAATTCATTTCGTTCATATAATCATTATCTTCGTGCTTTGTACCAAGTTCCCCTCCACCTAACGTCTCCTTTCCGCTCGCCAATTCCAGCCAATTCTACCAGCCAATCCTAGCCCCTTATTTAACTACGCAAGTAACTGTCGAATTTCTCTTCCCACATTCTTTACCCGAGGATCACTAGCCTTCTTCACACAACCATCTACAACACCTAAAACACCATAGACATCCTTTCCAGCCTCTCGAATCTCCTCTCCTACACTCAACACCGTCCCTAATCCCACTAATCCTCTATACACCACCTCACTATCCACCTGTGTCTTCAAGATACTAGTAACAATATCTAACACAGCAAGAACATGTTCGAAATCCGGGTCCTTTTCAGTAAACAACACTGCATAGTTAATAAAAACAGTTGTAGCAGCCACCAACAAATTCCTATTAGTAGATGTCTTAATAGCTTCTTTTATAAAGATGTGAACTTTATCGAAATTGTCTTGGGCTAATTGACGACCTTCAGTAGAATCAAAAAGGTTGGCAAAACCACGAACGGACATCATAATGTGATTTTCGGATGGAGGTGGAGTCTCTAAAGCGGCTTGTGAAAAAACGTCGATTATACTCCAGCCCCCGGAACTACAATAATTTGCAGTCTCAGGGGCAATGGCTAGGAGACGCAAGAGATCAAGTCCAGCGAGTCGATCTTTATAAGGCCAGCGAGTAGAGAGTTTAATAGCTAGATCGAGGCCTCCAATAACTGACTGAGAGGTTTTCGTAGCGCCGGCGGATTCGAGATGTTTTCGAAGTTCTTGAAGAATTTCGAGCTCGTCAGGATTTAATGATATACCTTTTTGACCATCCGCAATTAAAGCCTTATTGACTTCTTCAATCTTCTTTTGCATCTTGGGGACCGAAGCCACAATAATTGAGAGATACTCTTTTTGCGGGAGAACCTTTGGCGGTGGAGGGATATTTACAGGCGCCGAGCTCTCTCCCTCTCCTGGTCTATATCTTTGATCACTACCCCACGCATCCGGTCCAGAACTTTCTTGAGTTTGGCCAATTGTAGCTCCTTGGGTATTAGTTGTGATAAAATTGGCTACTTGCTCTAAGTAGGTTACTGGAAGCTCATTATTTGCGATGAATTTTGTGGCGGCTTCATAAGGATTCTGGGATAAGTTATAAGGAAGCTTGAGAGGAGGTTTACCATCCTCAATATCAACATCAAAAACAAAATCATACTCCTTTCCGAGGTATTCGACTTTCTTCCCACTGCTTCCAACAGCATCAACAACAGTTCCTACATTTATCCATTGGCCTTGTGCTAGATAATTGTTAGCTTACAATTGTAGATCGAGTAGTAGGAATTACTTACAACTAGACCAGGTATGTGCAGTGACAGCTCCATTCAGCTCACGAATCATTTGAACTTGTCCTTCTTTGGTGCCACTTTTTTGGGCAAGGAATTCCGGTCCAGGAAGCTTCTCTTTGTTAACTTCTGGTAGTGCTTGTTGAGGTATTGACGATTCCTTCACTGAATCTTCAAATAATTTTGTTGTCTCTGCATCTGCAAAGCGCTCCGAATTTCTTGTAAAGACTCGCACCACTCTATCACTTGCTCCTGATACAACATCCCCAGTTTCCTCACAAACAGCTACACCCCATACCGAAATTGCTGGATGCGTGATCGTTTGGATACATTGACTATCTTTCCATACTCTTAAAGTTCGATCTTCACCAGAACTGATGATTTCTCCAGAAGGCGTTGAGGCAATTGAATAAATGAAGTTCTCATGTCCATGTAATTCTGCCACCTGTTTTCCGGAAAGAGTCCATAATCTGATTACAGCATCATTTCCAGCTGATGCGAAATCTGCTCCTGATGGATGACCCTTAGGTAACCTGCAAAGAGCTCGAACAACATCTGCACTTCCTCGAATAGTCCGCAGTAATTTACCACTAGTATGAAAGACTCTAATGAGCTTATCCGCACAAGCAGTTATTACAGTTTCTGGATCTATAGCAAGAACCGCCCAAACACTACCTTCATGTCCTCTTAGAACAGATTCACACTCCCATTTCCCTAATGGCCATATTCTTGCTTCCGCATCCCAACTTCCACTGATTATAAATCGTCCAGCTGGATCCACATCCAAAGCACATATATTGTGACTGTGTCCTATAAGTAAAGCTTCCGCATTATCTTCTGGTTTTCTCGAAGTTTGTCGAACTTCAATGACTGTGTCCTTTCCGCCGGATATGACCAAACCATCTGGAAATTGAGAACTCGGCGGTAAATATGCGACTGTATTTACAAAGGCTGTTGCATGAGAGGAAATGGTGGCATCGAATAGTGGTGGATTATCTGAAAGTTGCTTCCATAATCGTACTGTTCCATCTCTAGATGCTGATACTATAGCTTTTGAAGATGGAAAAGCTACAGCTCGAACCTATATTGAAAAGTAGCATATCAGTATATGTTGTTGTCGCCAAACATTCAGGTTGACCTTGTTGGAGAATGGAGTGTTGTAGTATTGTATTATAACTTACATCATCTTCATGACCTGCCAAAGATGCAGACAACTTGTATTCTGCCATACTGAGTAGTTAGTTGATTGAAGTTATATGTGTTGATTCTCAGGATTGACACAATTATAAAAGGTGGTTGTTATGTCAAGGAACAGTAGAAGTTGTTATAGTTCCATGTTTGACTATAAGCTTCCTTAGATTGCCCCTCTGTGAACTGTGGTGTACTAAGCAATGAGCCATGTGCGGCGGGTAATAGCATAGTCGGTTGTCGCAATACTTATTAATACAGAGTATAACCATAGTGCTCTGGCTCTGGAACGGCACGTACCTACCCTGTAATGTTAGGGTGTTAGCCTATCCAATCACTAATCAATCACTAATCATCACTAACCAATCCCCAACAAGTCACTAACAAGCACTACCATGCCCAAAGATGATTGCTTACTCATCCCTTTCTTCATTGTCATCCTTATCCGGAGTCGGATTAACTATAATTCCAAAAATGTTTATGGGTCTTTGAGATATTAGTGGAAATAAATAGCTTAACTCTTGACCTCATGAAACAATCAATCACAGTATCCCCAAGAACAGGCTTTCTCTTTGCTCCTTTCCCCTTTTCCTTTCAGATTGAGGAAGTGTCAAGTATTTCAATTTCATTCGAGGTAACTTCATCAATCATTCCACCTCCTAATCAATATCTTACGAAATTAACGACTTTAACGAATCTTCTTGAATATCAATCATTTTCTCTTACATACATAGAGCATTCGAATCAAACCCCCATCAAAGTGCGGTCTCTCCCACTCTTTCGACGCACAGTTTAAACCACCCACGACGAGAAAAAGATCTCCTTCTCTTGAAACATAGTACACAATACAGCACAATCTTCGGTTATCAGTACAATATCAGAATCTTATACTTCAATTCATACATACAAAGATGGCGGGGCCAGAGAATACTAAGCAATACGTCCCTTTGACATGCCATGGTCACTCAAGACCTGTTACGCATATCAGCTTTTGTGGTTTCGTGGATGGAAAGGATGACGAGTATTACATGATATCGGCATGTAAAGGTATGGCACATGATTGTCTGGAGGATTGGATGCATGTACATGTCTAACTCACTATGTCAGATAACAACCCTATGTTAAGAAGTGGTGTTAATGGCGATTGGTACCGTACATCTGGAAATTCTTCACCGCAAGACACTAATTGATGATTTAGGATTGGTACTTTCTTTGGACATAAAGGCGCGGTTTATCAAGCTAGACTTTCTCCGGATGCCAAATATGCTGCGACTGCTTCGGCAGATTTCACTGCGTAGGTGATTTGCGCCAATTTGGATTGGCTGACACTAATGAATTGTATAGGAAAGTCTGGGATACATACACTGGAGAAACTCTCTATACTATCCAACATCAGCACGTTGTTCGAGCTGTCGCATTTCCTCCCGAATCAGGTACTACTCTTGCGACAGGAGGAACCGATAAGAAACTTTTCATTTTTGACCTCGCGAAACTCAATTCTTCCGGCACAAATGGCACAACTTCTAATGGCAATGGAAGCGACACTAAGAGCATTTCACAAGATGATGGCTTCGAGATTGGCCCGGGTGTTCACAAAGGTACAATCAAGGCGGTTGTTTGGACTCAGGATCCAAATATCATAGTTACGGCAGCAGATGATAAAGTTATAAGATGGTGGGATTTACGTTCGCAGTCCGTTGTTCAAGAACAAAAGGTAGATGGTGATATTGGTTCATGCGAGTTTAGCAACATTGCATCTGGACCAGGAGATATTGGTGGAGGATTACCTATTTTATCGATTGCTGCTGGCAAAACTCTATACTTCTATGGTGGACCAGCTGCGAACACTCTTATCAAGAAAGTTGTATTGAATTATGAGGTTGCCAGTGTAGCGATTCATCCCCTTCAAAGGAAATACATCACTGGTGGAATTAAGGATACATGGGCGAAAGTCTATGATTTTGATTCTGATCAAGAACTTGGTATGTTTCTAATCCCAATCGAATAAAATCTTTCTAACAACTATAGATGTTCACAAAGGTCATCATGGTCCAATCTGGAGCATCAGTTTCTCCCCCGATGGAAAATTATATGCTACGGGCAGTGAAGACGGTACGATTAAGATGTGGAAGAATTGTCCCGGTTCCTTTGGACTATGGAGAGCTGAAAGTTAAGAGGTTGTAATAGATACAGAGCAGGCTCAAATCATACTACTGTATAATATTGATCCAAGCTTATGTGCGTATGAAAGCGCACCGCCGCTGTATTGAGCGAGGTATACCAGACGACTTATATCGAATGGTTTAGCGAAGGGATGAGATCCCAAAGCGCCTTTAGATCAATGGATGAATAAATAAAATTCATCTATATATCAATACTATGAATACATATACTGTATGTGATGAAATTGATATGAACAGAATAGAATAGAATAGAAGAATCCCACTCCCCACTCAATAGCCTAAGAATATAATCATCAACCCTTTAAAATACAATTTCCCTCCATTCAATTCAATCTATTCATTCATTCATCCATTCATCCAAACAATAAATCATCCCTCCTTTATATCTTACTATTTAGGTAATTAAATATATATATATATAAACAACCTGAAACATCTCAACTCAAATTATTGTATTATTAATATTATAAATATCTTATTTTATCCCATTTTATCTTATTTATCTTATTTATCTTATTTATTTTATTTTATCTTATTTTATCTTATTTTATCTTATTTTATCTTACTTTATATATATAATATAAAAAAAATTTAAATGAAAAAGAAAATATTTTTAAAAAAAAAAAAAATTAAAAAATTAAAAAATTAAAGAATTATTAAAGAATTATATTATATTACATCACTCATATATCTCCCCACCTGCCTACCTACCCTACCCTAACCTACAAAGAGAATCAGAACTTGAGATTTCAGAATTTTTCTTAATTTCATACATATATACACCCACTCATACATTCACACATACACATAATCAAATTTAATTTACATTTACACATCATAAAATAATATTCCTATCCTACCTATCCTATCCTAACCTATCCTACCTACCCTATCCATCCTATCCAATCCAATCCAATACTATACTATCCCATACCACCTAGTACCTACTACCTACTACCTACTACCCCAGGTCCTATCAATGTACTCGTACGTAAACTAAATCATTACTTTAACGAGCAAAACTGGTGAACCAAAGAGTAGAACTAGAACCAACAGGAGAAAAAGCTAAGCTAGCTACACGCAAAAGGAGGAGAGAAAAAAAAAGACAACAGCAACAAAGAATACAAAAAGCGCAAAAAAGGTACCATTGAATCATTCATCATAAAGTCATCATTAATCAACGTCCCGGTCAGTCATCTTTCTCCCTTTTCTTCCTTCGTTTCTCCTCCTCCTCTCATTCGAATTCGACCCCACTTAATTGCCTTGCTCTCTTCTCTCATTCTCCCTTCCCCTACTGCATATCCTTCTTTACTTCCTCCACATCACAAAACAATAATCCTATCCATAAGAGACTCTTCCCCTCAGAAGAGACCGAGAAAAGGAAATGGCACATCACAAAGTGTCCAGAACAATCAATAATTACTCCAACACACCTCCCTTTCTTACCCAACAAATCCTTACCCTTCCAACCGATTAAACCAAGGTCGTACAACCATATCAAAAGATTAAATGGAAAACTTCATCTCGCAAATTCTTTCGTCTTTCAACCCCTTCGCAGTTGCATGATCAGCCACTAGGCCTCACTTTTCCCTTTCTATCATCCAATTCTCTATCTTAAGTGGAAAAGATGATGGCTTTGTCAACTCAACAACAACCTCAAAGCCAAGCATCTCCTCCATTATCAGCTCTATTCTGGGCAAAACTCAACTTCATATCAATCTTAGGAGGTGTGCTTTCCACCAGAGCACCAGCTGCTTTGTTTGGACTGAAATTCTTTCGCACTGGACTTCTGTTGTCAGTACTAGGACCACATCTCACATCTTTTGTCTCCCAATCATCTTCAATTGCAGCGGCAACCCAACATCTCAACCCCGCATGAACACCACCATAGAATTTCTCCTTGCATAAGCGCAAAGTGGAACCCATACATTTTTCCCAACCAGAGACTCTCAGTTCCTCGCGGACTTGGTTACGTTCCTCAAGAGTGGGTAACGATGCAATGCAGCCATTGACAATATCGAGGTGAGAAGCAAGATAATTAGTTGCATCCCATTCAACACCACCAACATACGGTGCGGCCGGAACCGGAGGAAGTTCTTGTGGGAAGTGCTTAATCATGTAAGGAAGATCGGGAGGCAAATCATTCAGTCGTTCTGGAGCATGGCGCGAATCTGGACGAGGGATGACGTTGAGATTGTGAAGAAAGATCCAAAAAACTTCTTTAGTAACGTTGGTTACTTCTTTGCACCAAACACGGTAAGGGCGTTGGCGACGCATATCGAGAACAAAATCAACAGGGCGCTGTGATTCGCTTGGTTCTGGGTCGCGAAGATAGGAGAGAAGAAATCGTGCTCTGGTTGCGCGCTCGCTAAGGGTAGCGGATTTAAGGTAAGTAAATAGAAGCGAAGTCACAATGTTTCGAGTAGTAAATTCCGCTGGCCCCTTTTTCTCTTCGTCAAATAGCATGTGAATCAGTGCAGGAAAGAGAGTCTTTTGAATAATGCTGAGATGTTGCAGAGCCAAAGCCGTGGTTGAAAGTGCTTTCAAGCAAAGCAAAACCTCATGAAGTAAGGCATCTTCATGTTCCTCCCTGTATATGTGTCAGCTATCATGTTCTTGAAAAAGCAACATGGTTCAACAAACCTCCATTCGACTTCCATAGTCCTGTGTAATAATCCCACTATCTCTTCCATTCCACCTTGACGAACGAAATTATCAGTCCAAGCCACCGTCTCATTTCGTAATAAAAGCCTGAGTTTATGCAATCTTCCAACTTCGACCAATTCTGGTTTCTGGACCTTTCTTAAATATGCAACGAAGTCATCCGGTGTTTGACCCTTGGCTTTGGCGATCAAATTCTGTGCTACTTGAGCGCCAGCAGAAGTAAGTGATTTACTTCCACTATTCAAAGACTCGGTAGATTTCTTGTTTCCCACAACACCTTCTGATTTCTTGTCTTTATCGCCGGGTCGTTCCTTACTGGTTGACCTGGAGAGAGTAAATGTTCGGCTTCTTGGTCTCTTCTTCTTCTTTACTTCCGGTACTTCCTCCTTCTTTCCCTTTTCGCCACTCGTGTCGCTGCCATGACTAGCCGGCCTAACAGATTTCGCAGCGGCAGTTTCAGCCCAATCTTGTTTTATGAAATCTTTCTTCATTGATTTAGCAAGATTCCTCATCTTCCCTCGTTGATGTTCTGGAATATTCCGCCTGTCCAACATAGCTTCGAACTCGGCGTCGATATCTCTATCATGGAGGGGTCTGTCGGGTCCAAAATTCGCGGAGGTCGGTGTCTGTGCCGGAGTATATCCTCCACTATCACCTCTTGCCTTTGCCGTGAAATTTGAAACGGCTGCCATGACTCGAGATCCTCGAGTGCTGCTGGATGTTTTGATGGATGCGACTGATGTTTCGGTACTCGATCTTTGGAAACTTGGTCTTGGCCTTAAGTCCATCGAGGTCCGAAAATCAAAACTATGTTTCTTTTCATTCGAGACCTGCCGTCTTGGAATGTCGGTACTGCGTCTGTTTTTGTTTTCTCCACTCATCTTCCTATGAATGTCTTGGATACTGAAACTGCTGGGTAAATATGTGGAATGCGGCCGTGATGATCCACCTTCTCGGTTTGTAAGACTCGGTTGTGTGTTTGGTCCATTGTAGAAGTTTCGTTGTTTACTTGGTGAATAATTCTCAGGTGTATAGAGATCAATTTGATCCTCTAGAAACTTTCCTCCCAGAGGTTGTTTTGTGAACATGTCACTCGAGAATTGTGAAAATATCGGTGGTCGCGGAGAACGCGTTGTGGGTTCTGGGGCAGGTGATGACAACTCCGGAGTTTGGTTCTCCTTATCTTTTGAATTTCGTTGCGCCAGCTCTACATCTAGCTTAAGATTCTTCGAAGACCTCGGGCGCGTAAGGAGACCAACAAGACTTGTCGAAGATTTTGTCTTTTTAGGTTTCGTAGGGGACTTGTCTCGAATTGATGTTCCCTTATTGTAATCCTTCACCGGGCTTGCCAATGATTTGAGCGACATTGCACTCAATGTTTTCTTGTGCAGTCCCTTACCCCCTATACCGGTCTTTGGTCGTAAACCTTCTTGCTGAGAAGTCGTGTAAGGTGCCAAGATGGAAGAAGTTTGTTGATTTCGTTGAATATCGGCGAGAGCGCGATGGTGGGTGTAATCGGTCGGCGATGGCATATCTTCGAAGGCTGGAGAAGCTACAAAAACGTCATTTGGTGAAGTGGTGGTAGGTGAAAGAGCTGATCCTTCCGAAGGGTTGCGCTTATGAATAAAAGCCTTCAATACCGATGCTGTCTTTGGGCGCTTGGAATGTATTGATTCTGGGTAAGGGAAACTGGTAGCCATGATGAAAGCAAAGAATGCGAATGCGAATGCAATTGAATACTGGATTTGATTTAAATGCTACATGCGAAAATGGTAAAACCCAAGCTTTTGTTATGCTATGATTGCTGCAAATAAATGCTAACTCATGATAAAGTAATAGCTAATAAAAAGGTAGAGGGCAGTATGGATGAATGGATTGATTATTGGGGGTTGACTGAAATGAATTGTTTTAATGATTTCTTGTGGTGGAAGTGGTGGAAGTGGATGGTGGAATGAATATGAATGGTCAAGGTGGTCGAGTGGTCAAGGTGGTCGAGTGGCCAAGGTCAGTCCAATGGTCAAATGGTTAATCAATCAACGGGTTGTTAGTTGCTATGGGCAACCATGAAAAGGAAAGTCGCGAGTTCATGTGCCTGCCCAATTGATTCATTCTGATGACTCCCATGACACCAATGTCCCTCAAATTACACCCAGATATGTCCAATCCAATCCCAAAGAGGTCATTTTATCTTTCTTATTGTTCCCAATCATTAGCTGTGTATTACGACCTAACTACTCCGTATTCTCCATCTACTCGATAACTCCTTGCTCTTTACTCCTTCCCATATTTCATGATCCTTGAATCAAAACATGCCAACTTTTCCACTTACAATCATTAACTAGGTAGCTGCCAGGTAGCTGCCAGGTAGCTCCGACCTAGATGCTCCTATCTAGATACGGTTTATTATTCACTTACCAAGCTTTGAGATGCAAATCGGAAGCAGATATTCAATAATTTGATGGGGCTCGCCTACTGTAACCCCAAACTTCTTTCTATTGAGGGGCCATTTGTCTTTGTATCATCTAACCAAAAGATGATTAGATATCTGCTCCATATCTCATCTAAAACTTCCTAAACAACATTTAAATCGTCGCCCAACATGAAATGAATTCCTTCCCTCTATTTTTACCCTTTACCAACTAAATACTCCCTTTTGCCGATCGAATCCACCTCGCAATTGACTCTCGGGTTTAATGAGTTTCCCTTGCAAAACGGTAAATTTCACAATACCCTCACAATCTTCTGGTTTCACTCTGGCGAGCCACATACATTGAGCAGCACCTTTCTCATCTTCTTCTCCAGGTACAAGACTCGACGGCATAATATCTCCATCGACGTTGGCCCTTTCAACAGCATCCAACCCGAACGCATCGGATCTTCGGTAGATCATGACGTTTGCACTATATTTGTGTCCTCCGACGTGAGATATAAAGTAGATGCCAACTCCTCCTGGTCGATCATCATCAAGATCTCGGAAGAGCCCAAGAGGCCTTAGATGCCTTTCGAATTCCTTCTTCAGTAATGGCGCACTTTGTCCACATCTTGCATCTCGAGTTTTTTGTGAGCAAAGAAGAATAAGCGCGCGATGTGGTGATGGTCGAGATGTAAGTTGTTCTGCGGATGGAAGAGGATCGGGAAGTGACTTGGGTATCGAAATAGGTCCCAGAGGTGTCGTATTGGTAGGAGCTTTGTCAATGAACTCTGTTATCAGAGTTGGTACCGATCGTGGAGTAACGTTCTCGATTACGATAAATGCAGGCAATAGGATAACGGTCGTAGGCTGCGAGTAGTCTGCGGAATGCGAAGGAGTGGGTATATTCGAGGCAGATAGCATAAGCTTCTATGGTGGATCGTCAGTATGTCCCAAATCGCAATAGTGTATGGCTTCGATAGCAGAAAAAGATTCACTAACCCCATTGCTTGGTTTAACAGAAGCATGGTCGATTGCTTGCATCACACTCCCCTTCTCATCAGCGACATCCCTTACCCAATCCGACTTTCCTGTCGCAACCAGAATATGTGTACTCCATCCTTTAACGTGACCATATAATTTATCATCCTCATCTATCTTGAACCCCTTTGGATATTTTACATGACACGATTCGCAATCATGGTCACAATCGTCTCCATCCACAGCTGGGTCAACTTTTGGGAATAGATCCTCGATTGGAGTATTTCCGGATGGAGTTCCTGGAATTGGAGTGGATTGACCCGAGATAGTTTGCTTTGCCGTGCCTAAAAATGATTTGAAAGTAGAGGCCATACTTCTTTTCTTGCGTGAGGTTGGCGCAATGGTAGATATTCTGGTGGCAGACATGCTGGTTTTATTCCCATCGCTCGACATTTTGTGGGGTTGCGTGCTGCATATACTGAATCGTGATTGGTTGCTCGCTAGTCGTCATAATACGGTGAATACCCGGTGAACAGACGGAAATGCAAGTGAGGAAAGTGCTTCTTTATCAGATCCGCTCTAGAGTTTATCTGATGGCTTGTGATCAAGGTATGAAGGGAAAAGGAAACATTTTATTAATACGTTTATTTATCATTATTACTTGTGTCTGACATGCTACATATACCACTTTGGAGATTGGAGATAATGCATTGTCGGCATTTTCATATGTCCGCATTATTACTCAATGTCCGTATTATGCACTTCGGTGTTTTCAGAGTCCTTGCACTTCTTCGGTCCCGAATCAAATTTCCAACTGATAAACCAATTGGCACCAACTAACAAAGCTGCAATATCACCAACATGATTGGCCACAACACCAATCATCTAATAATCTAATCTAATCATGCCACCGAAAGTCATCTTCTTCGCAGGAGCACCTTCATGTGACTCACTCGATTGGGATGAATCAAACCTTCTAACAGACTTTACCGAACCCTTCATCCAGTTCCTCCATCTCCCTCAATCATATCCGAACTCCGCACCACGAAATAACACCAGCATATTAGAATCATCCACACCATCTAACTTCGGACCTGACTGGCGCGAACTTCCTCTCGATCGTAAACATCTCGCTACAGGAGTTTCGCAAGATCATGCTTTCCATGAACATGGTGCTGCTGGTCATGCTTTAGATTTCTTCTCAACTACTACTTTTCTCTCTCAGTCCCAGGGTGATTCACAATCTCCATCGTTAAATTACGATACATATCTCTCTACTAATGATGAAAATGAGAATTATGACCAAGAACCTATAGATCATGAAATCATCTCTCATTTCTACGAACATTCCTACGCCATCCACGATATCCCCTCTTCTCAAATCGCCCCTCATGATTCTTTCATCTCCTCTAATTCTGATGATGCTGGCACTTCATTCTCGACTTCAAATTCACTATACGATTCCCAATCCATCTTTCCACAATCAGGAGAGGAGAATCTTCAAATTCCCGTGGCGGCTCATGTAACAAATCTTAAAGATATGCCTCATGCACAATATCTATCTTCGATCCATCCGCAAACTATGACAGTTAATCTCATTGTAGGGATTATTTCCATCTCGGAGCCGAGAGCAATAGCTACTAGAAAAGGAGGCGAAGTATCCCTCGTCGAGATTCTAGTTGGAGATGAAACAAAAAGTGGCTTTTCGATTAATTTCTGGTTATCGGGAAAGGGAAAAGAAGATGTGAAGGAGATATTAGGAAATTTAAGAGTTCAGGACATTGTGTTGATGAAACATGTGGCTCTAGGTAGTTTTAGGGGAAAGGTTCATGGTCAGAGTTTGAGGAGGGATTTGACGAAGGTTTGGTTGATGTATAGAGAAAAGATCGATAGGAGTGATATGGGTGGTTGTTATGGGAAGAGGGATTTAGAGGGAAAAGAGATAGATGTGCAGTTGGGGAAGGTTAGGAGGGTGAGGGATTGGGTGGTGCGTTTTGTTGGGGTTGCGGCTGCTTCTAGAGGCTTAAGGGGTGTAAAGAGGGTTAGGGAGGAGCTTCCGCCGGATACTCAGTGAATTATACTGTTCGCACATGGACTCGTTATTACATATACTAGAACGCCAGAATTCCTTGGCATTCATGAAACTGAGATATCTATTTGAATATAGATATTGAATCTTGATGTTCAAGCGAGATACACAACAACTAGGTATCTAATATATTCCATATCGAAAACACTCTTCAAGTATCCCAGCACTCTGGATTACTACCGCAGACAAATTCATGTGCTAGTATGCGTATTTTTCAGTGTTGGATACTGTATTGGATACTGTAATGGATGAATGGAGTTTGTATAAATGTTGGTATCACTTCGGTGATACGAATGCAGTGCATAGTATTCTTGTTGTATTTATTCATGGATGATTGTTATCTATCTAGAGGAGAGGGACCTATTTATATTGAAAGGGGTACGGGCTAGAATGCACTAGTCGTACGGCTCCCTTTATGTACGGCCTCCCTTTCGAGGTTGATCACATGATGTACCGACACTTATAATGTTTTATTATTATCTCTTATATTTATACATAAGTATAATATTCCAATGATACAATAACTTTTCTTTAAATATCTAATAGCTTTCCTTTATTGAGATAATTAGTAGTTAGTAGTAATAAAATAAAACTAAATATAATACAAAATTCTATCTATCATTGCATATACAAACTGATCAACAGTTCTCTCCACTTCAACGCAAAAGTCATCTCCGAAGCATTCCTTAATGATTGAATAATAGAAAATTATACTGGCGTTTATTGAATATATTTGTTATGTATATGTGTATTAAACAGATTTCAAAGATAATTGACTTGGACGAATCAGAGAGAAGTAATAATTAAGATCCCATAAAGGAGAATGGTGGAACTTTTTAACTTGGCTATGGTTTCAGTAAAAGAAAACTCAACGAGGGGTGCTTAGCTGTAAGTCATCGACTGCCGGTATTTGAGTAGCTAAGATAGCCGGCAGTATAGAAAAATAGGAGGAGAGCAAGTTTGAGAAGTGAAAATATTATGTGAAATTTGGGGATTTTAAAGAAGTTTTAAATAAAGTTGCTCGTTTCTTTGTTTTCAGATGAATTAATTGGAATCATAGTTTTTATAGTCTTTATATCATAGTTCTTTCTATGCTTTGCTTATTACTGGTGTTATATTTATTTGACCTTTGCAGAAAATCTTACAAGGGTCCTCTGAGGCTCATGTTAACAACGAACTTTCTGTGATGTCTGAACCCCTATATTAATATGGGAAAGTAAGATATTACTTTTTGTTATCCAAATCTCGAAAAGAGACTTTATCAGCACTATCTCATACATATCATCAAGGAAACTTAAAGCAACTACTCGATATTGCTCTTGCCCATTTTACTCGCAACATCACAGGTCATCATTGCTCCCAGAAACAAACCAAGTTACTGCGCAGCTCAGCTGAATTCTCAAACTTTATACAGCATAGAGGAAATATACACTGATATAATTCCACATATCAAAAATCCTATCACGGCCAAGATAACCTACGGATTGAATTTCTTCAGTCCAAACAGCTAAATTACTAGTAACGCACTGTCAAGAATCATGAGGCTCACTTGAACCCTTTAGAGTTATATAAAATATGGAGACTTTACCTCGACACAAGGTTTATCTGAAAGCTAGATAAACTTAATAGATGTAAATCGCTCACTTATGATATGATGTGACATGAAAGAGGGAGAAGAAACCTCGAGTATTGGCAGGAAATAAGCGGAATTCGATTGCTCTAGTAAAATATTATTATTATAAATAACTCCAGAAGAGAAAGATAAGAACCACAAGCCAGTCTTGGTAGAGCTGGGGAGGTTTATCTGTGTACGGTCGATTAGATTGATGGCCTCGCATATGTCAATGTTCATGAAGAGTTGGTAAGGTTAAAGAGAGTCTTTGAGTGAGGATTTCTGGTAGCTCCAAGTGACTCTTACCTAGTGTCGAAGCAATCTTTCCACAACAACAAGGTCTCGAACAAGTAGGGGAGTTTCAAAATATTTCCTTCCCTTATTTTCATAATCATGACAAGTCGTCGCTTGACTAGGAACAAAACAAACAAAATCCCCGCATGACTCAGCGACCCCACACTATTCCTCCCCTGCTTCATATCCCCAAACCTCACATTAATATTAAGCCCCTCCAAATCCCCGCCTCCACTCAAACATATCCTTCCACCACCAAAAACCATGACCTCAACCCACTTCACCGAGCCCACAACCTCCTACTGGCAAGAAATCCTACCCTCTAATCACATCCCCCAAAAACCCCCCTACATTTACCACTACTCCGCCCGCCTCCCAGACTCACGGTACCTACTACTCCCCATCCGCCGCCTAACCTCTCAACCACAACAAGCCGTCGCCTCCCTCCTGATAAACCAAGCATCTATAGACGTCGTCGACGAACTTTCATCATTCCTCGCCGAAAAAGTGCGACCTTTTCATCCGGACGTGATAATTGGGCTTCCGACGCTAGGTCTTACGCTTGCGCCTATTGTTGCGAGCAAATTGGGTTTAAGTATGCTGATACCAATTTCGTAGCATCCCCTTGAATCAAACCGGGAGAAAAAAAAGATTTTGACGAGTAAATAGAAAGATATATACCCCTCGGCTATTCCCGCAAATTCTGGTACGACGACTCATTATCTGCCGCAGTATCATCTATCACATCACCAGAACTAGGCCTTAAAAAAGTTTATCTAGATCCGCATCTCTTATCTCTACTGATGGGGAAGAAATGCGTGATAATTGATGATGCAGTCAGTTCTGGGACGACGCTAAAAACGACTTGGGATTTGTTGGAGAAGATTGGGTGTGAGATTGTGGGGTGTGGCGTTGTGATGAGACAGGGTGAGAGGTGGAAGGAGAAGATTGGATGGGAGAGAGTTGGGAAATTGGTGCATGTGCTCGAGAGTCCGCTTTTGGAAGCTGTTGAGGAGGGATGGGTTTTGAGGTCTTAATGGTTGTGGTTGTGGTTGTGGTTGGCAAGTCACCTGACTGACTAGCGTTTATGCTTGATCTGGTCCTCACTCAACTTTAGTTATTGTACCAGTTAATGTGTTTTCGCGTTACTAGAACTTAGATTTTTTTATGGCGAGACACTTTGGCTCAATCAACCTCAATTTGCATTTGCCAAACATTCAAAATTTCAAGAAACTATACGAGATTTCTATTGCGTATTGATAAATTAGTGCTTGTATTATCATGTTACCTATTAATATCAAATCCTATGTACAAAGTATATATTCAACGTCATAATGAACGCGATGATGATTGAACTTTCCCCCTAATTACAGTCATTCCATTCATAAATAGTTCAATCCTAAACAACCAAATCCTAACCATACTTAGATAAAACCAAAAATTATAATGAATTTCATATCTCATTTCATTTCATCCATCTCTTAGGGGATTTTCAAATTTCCCCCTCTAAATCAAATTTAACAGGTAGTGATAAAAAGACCAATTGGAGAAGGATTATAATCCTCAAACCACCTCAAATTAGTGTTACTTCCACCGGTGCTCATCTCAAAACTGATAGCCTTTCCAGCTGGACAATCAAAAGTATCAACCACAGTCCAGGTACCAGGTGTGGACGTCTTGCTACCGAAATCGGTTTTGGTGCTTCCAATAGAGTTATAGGTGGAACTTAGAGTAACAGTAGTGCTTAACTGTTTGAAATTAATAGCTCCAGATCCTGAGAAAGTGTAAGAAGAGGTCTCGAGCATATCCTGAGTTGGGAAGAGGAAGACGAGAGAACATTTCTTTGATGCGTATGATGCGGGAATGTCGAAGTTGAAGAGGGATGAGACGGTGCTGTTAACAACTCCAAAATAAGAAGTGCCGTAGGGAGTATTTGGTGATGCGGATGATACTGGGATGATTAAGTTGGGTGACGTATAGGTGCCATCAAGGTTTGTAGGGCAGGATGTGGAGGATGGAGTGGTTGAAGTGGCCTTAGATGGGACTGAAGAAACAACTGGGCTAGCCTTCGAGCTAGCATGTGAAGGCTTTGGTGTAGAGACTGCGATGGTAGAGACAGCAGTTATAGTTTGTACCTGGGTGACGGTAACTGTGGAAGGAGCAGCAGTCTGCTTCTGTGTCTGGGTGACGTAGACAGTTTGAGCTGGGGCAGTCTTTTCTTGGGTCTGAGTCTCGTGAACAGTTTGTCCAGGGGCAGTTGAAGTAACATAGATGGTTTGAGCAGATGGAGTCTGAGTGACAACAACAGTATTGGCGGGGGCAGTCTCTTTCAAGGTCTTGGTCTCGTAAATAGTCTGACCAGGTGCGGTTGACACAGCAGAGATAGTCACGTAGATAGTCTGAGCTGGGGAGGAGACAGTAACAGTTGAAGGAGCACAAGTCTGATGCTGAGTTGTGGTAGCAGTAATAACGGAAGGTTTTGATGGTGTGGATGTGCTCATTTGTGCTGATGAAGATGATAAAGCTGAAACAAAGCATCCACTAGCAGTCAACCCAACCTTGACGCACTTGGTCTGACCGGCAACAGGAGTTGTATAGATGTTGTAGTCGGAATCAGAAGATGGGCATGCATAGAATACCGGCGATCCAGAGTGGGAGTATGTGCCGTTTGCACCGATAGCAAAACCGGCTGTGGCGGTCATACTAGTATCACATTGATATTGGTTAGCCTCCGATGTTAGGTAACATGGTCGGCCTTTGGAATCAGTGGTTGCACTGTTGCTGATTGTGAAGGTTGCGGTTGGGTGGCCACCGAGGATACGAAGTTGGCCATCGTCCAATTGACCAACAATACCAGATGCACCTCCTGATGCGGTGAGAGTGAACGAGCAAGTGTCCCGACGGAGCGAGGCAGCTAAAGCGCCAACGGCGAAAGCGAGTGACGCTGGTGCTGAGTACCTCATGATTAACGAATATCAGTGATCGTGTTGTAAAGGTAGAGATGTTGTGAGAAGGGAATGATTGAGAACAAAGGCTATCTAAATACTTCCGTATTGGATTCTTTTCCACTTTCCAAATTTCAATGACGCAGGTTCGGCTTGGCCTGACCTTGTTTGCCTACCATGTTTACAAAAAATGGCTCACCAAATGGGCCGATTAAACACGATCGAACATCAATTTCTTAAAGATTCCCGTATTCTCTATGATCTAAAGTGTTGATCAATATCCAGCATGTCTAATGACATTCTCACAGAAACTATTTTCCAACAAAATGCAATAGTTTTATTTAGTTTGACATGATCTGCAAAATCATCATCGTAGCGTCGAATATACCCCGCACGATGCACCACACGGTTGGGACCACACGGTTGGCACTACATAGTATGGATGAACGGTTCATAATCGAACAAAGTTTCCTTAGACAAATCCACAAATGATCCATAAATATAAGTCTGGATCACGGACAAAATGCGGACAGCGACACAGGATCTTCAGGGACATAGTACGTAAGTCAACTAAACATGGATTTCGTCGCAAGTGGGCCCATGACGAAACCATGATTCCGGTAACCGCGTTTTGCAAAAGGATAAGCCTTACAGCCAAATTTGTAGAATGTGGGATTATCAACCACATTTATATATTGGTGATTATTGAAGGAGGGGTATTCCTTATACTGTGGTACACCCTTGTGCCCAAATTCACCAACCCACAAGTCCATCCAAATCGTCCTTCTATATGGAAAGAAATAGTATATCCGCGATTGAAGATTTTGAATGAAATGTTAAAGTTTGACAGGCAGAGAGATAGTTCTAAATAATAGTAATCATATCATCACCGAAAGTTTGCACTGGCGAACTAACGGGAGAGAAGAATATCCAGTCACCCGAGTTGACGTGAATCCAAACATTCATTGCTGCGAGGAATAACACCAGATGGGTCAAATCCAATTTTTAACACAACACCATGTGTAATGTCCGGGACGTCCGCAGTACTCTAGTTTGCCTCTAAACTTACTGGTAAGCAGGATTTGTAGAATATTTCCACGTGACACTACGCACGCGAACGTCCGCCATTAATTCTATACGAATATACATGGCTAGTATATCTCGTGCATCTCCCGGATGGTGTTGCCGACACGAAAGATGATGTATGCAATGATGTTGTTATTTGGACGAATGCAATACTGCGGGTTAAATGGCGAATGCTTTGGAAATAGAATCATCATGCACAGCCCTTTTTTCCAACCTAGAAGATCCAGGCAAAGCATTGTGGTGCTGTGTTGGTGTAGGAAACTCATAGAAAGCTGTCGCAGTGTCGAGCAGTGATTGCAAAACGAGCGAAACAAATTCTGCACATTACAAAAACGTAACAACGAGCTCGAGATACCGAATTCCTCCTCAAAAAGCTTTCACAATAGTGAAAACATCTATCGCTTATTTTTTTTTTGGAAAAAAAGAATTATCAGACCCTTTCAAACGCATTTCGTAGAAGTTCCAAGGATTGCCAGCCGTCGTAATCACATACGCGGCTTCAGACGTTATACATTTTTTTGGAATTCTTCGAGATGGAAAAGAATCTGCGCAAGACCTTTGTAAGAGATCTTGGTAAAGGAAAGGTTTAAAGAGAAAGGGCTTGTTTTTGTACTTCATTGGCGAGATAGATGCGTAGACACCATGTAACGTCGCTTACATAATTACACGTTCGGCCGCTAGGATCCAGATACCCGAAAACCGGGGATGGCTCAAAGCAAAATACCCGAGCCGGCCAATGATTGAACATCGAAATATAACAAAGTGATATTTGAATTCTCTTTTTCCTATTTTCCTCACCAACAAAAAACTCTTAGTTCATAAATACATCAAATAACATTTTTACTTGCCATCAAGATACTTAACCTAAGAGGTAGGGACTGTTAATTTCTAGGGACATCTCCTCCATGACCAGGCATCAAATTAAAACACCTTCCAAAAACATTAGTAGGATCATAACGCCGCTTCAACTCTACCAATCTCTCATAATTATCACCAAAGAGCATTTTCGCCGGTGTTTCATTCATACCTGTGAGGTGAAACATTATTAGGAACTACAATGGAACAACTTAAGAAGCTACGGAGAAACTGACCTTCATAATTAGTATACACGCCCACTCCTTGCCCGCCACCACGAGTCTTCAATAATTGATTTCTCGCTTTCCTAGCCATATTTCTTGTCCACTCTCTACAAACTGTATCAAGTTCTTGATTCGTCCATTCGGTTACGAAAACTACATTTCCATAGGGTCCCCGATTCGCGAATGAGGTGGCATTATGAGGTACGGACATGATTTTGTGAGGGCTGATGAATTCCCAGAGAATCAGAGTTTTCCGTGCATCCGGCGTACTTTGAATGAAAGATACGTAATCGTTGAACATGCTTTCCACGAATGGAATGTCCACTGGTGCGGTGAATGTAGAACCTTTCATCGTTCTTCTTGCTCCGTCGGGAACATTTGCATTGTGGAAGGCATTGACCTCCGGGTAAGGAATCATGGCCGTTGTGTTTAGTAAGGGATCGAGTTTGAGAATTGGTTCAAATAGTGCCTTTGCAGATTGTTCGGGGCCATTGTAGAAAACAACTGTCAGGATGCATGGTGGAAGATCTGGTTGGGGAGTAGTAAATCCTACCATTATTGTGGCTTCTCCTTTGGATACCTCGATGACATGATTTGCGCATTCGAGAATTGAGCTTAATTTATCGGGGGGAAACGCGAGCATTCCGGCCCATACCAGATTTTCTTGCTTGTATGCGCGGAAAACGAACTCTGTTACTACCCCGAATGCCGCTCCGGCTCCACGGATAGCCCAGAACAGCTCGGGGTTCTGCCTTTCAGACACGGAAATAATCTCACCACTGGCAAGGACCATTTGAACGGAAAGGAGGTTGTCAACTACAGTTCCATATGCGCCGCTCAAGTACCCATACCCGCCTCCTAAAGTCAAGCCTCCCACCCCGGTCAAATTGACAGTTCCACCTACAGTAGCCAGTCGATGCTCTGCAGCTGCTTTGTCAACATCTTCCCATAAAGCCCCTCCTTGTACAGTGACTGTCATAGCTTCTGGATCTACTGTGACGCCTCTCATTCGGGACAGATTCATAGAAATCCCTCCATCAGTTGATGATGATCCACTAGTTGAATGAGAACCGCCTGTGATGGCTAGCTCAACCCCAAGCCTAGTGGCACAAAGAATTGTCTTTGATACGTCTGGTGGTGTTGAAGGAAAAACTACGAGACCCTGTGGTGCAGTTTGGTTAATTGAAGAATTTATATTGTGGTTAGGTATGGTATGGTAGACATACAGCTCGCTTTTCAGCGGTCACTGCCCATCGTTTGATGCTCTCCTCATATCCTTTGTCGCCAATATTGATTACAGCAGAACCAGGCGTTAGAGACTCGGCGAGGTCGTGAACGAAGTGCATTTTTATATAGAGTGATTTTTCGAGTATGATAAAAAGTTAAATTTGAGAATAATTAAAGCTTCCACCAGGTACTATCCCTCTTTATCATTCCCCATTTTATTTTCTTCTTTGTACCGGAGATTATTCCAGGGCAGGAATGTGAGGCTTGGCATCCTCGCTGAAATAATGACCATGTCTCTCAATTCGGAAAATTAATGGGTTTGATTTGGGTTCCCTTGCATATTTTCGAACCATTTTCGAACACTTTCTTTCATCCATCTCAGAGGTTGCTCTTGGCTTCAAAAGCACCAATGCCCTTAATGGGTAGCTTAAGGATCCGTACTGCCGGGTTTTAACTAACCACCGTTTTGAATAAGTAAAAATCATAAAACGATGACCCGTGATTAGACGCTTTGGGGTGGTGATATGCTTTCAATTTCTCAGTGCCAAAGACTGAAAGATTTGATTCAGAACGTAGAATTTATACTGAATCCAACCTTGAATTTCATGCCTACATGACTATCCACGAGCATTACCAAAACTTTTTTCAACCATTAAACAAGTCGCTATTCGAGGCTCAATAGCTCTTTTTCACTGAGAGATTTGAGCAGCATTTTCCAAAACCATTACTAGCACTGTCTGAGGCTTACCGAAGATAGAAGAATGGCACGATTAATGTCACCGAATGTGTCTTTTGGTCTCGAAGCTACCATCAGTGGTTGCCAAACGAGCGCAAGAAAAAAAAAGCGATCCCTTCAATTGGAAGGGGTTCTATCATCGTTACAAGTAATGGAGGAAGTTTTTGCCATTTGCGATGATGGACACATTAAGACGCATAGGGACCTAGTCCGAATGTCTTCCTCGAGCCTCATTTATACTTTACCTCTAGCTAGCATTACGGAAATGCAGTTGAGTTTTCATGGCGAACTACTCTCTTGAAAATTCCCTCATTGCCGTCGACTAATCATTGATGAAATATCAAATGAATAATTTGGAAGCAAACTTCAAGAATTTCACTAGTACCTAGATAATAACTTTCCATTTTGCAAAGTTTGCAACAGAAGTTCCCGAAACAAATTGATGTAAGGTCCACCAAGCAAAAGGAATGGTACCAATGGCAGGAAATTAAGGCCCCCGTTTTGAATGGTAGATTATCTGAAGCTCTGCTCATCATACAATAATAAGTAAAGAAATGAGAGACTGCGGAGAGGGAAGTGAAATCTGCTCGTCTTAACTGTTCGAGACTCTGCGAGCAATCTAGTAACTTCCAACTTCATACTTTGGCATCGATGAACTCCCAGGCTATAGGAGCTGTCGGCATCATTGCCGGTGCAAAAGATATATAGCGGATGAGCCATACAAGTTTGCTGAGGTGAAAACAAGTAAGGCTTTCCTCATCACAAAGCAGTGGTCTTGGAATATCATTCTAGCTGCCGATATAGAGCAAACACCAAAGATCCTTCAACTATCATTCAAGAGTTTGCCATACAACCATAAAGCGTAGTCGAGATACCGTATCAATTCTCTAGTATGAAAATTCGAGATCCTTTAGCCGGTATGGTGTATGGCGTGTCCAGTTGGTTTTCTGCAGTACAGTTTCTGGAACATGTCAAGATCTTTCAACGCCTCACAAGGCTGGTAATTGAGATTGGGCGAGGAGGGGTAACAAAACATGAATGAGTATCGGTTTGTGTGCGAGTGTTTACTTTGTACGTGGCTAATAGACATGAGGATAGACAATAAAAGAAAAGAAATATTATACGGAGGTTTATGTGAATTACATTATTCACCACTGTCAAATAAGTTGAGGAGCTCAATGTTGACTTGATCGGCCTCGGCAGTTGGAGCCTAGCATCTAAAATTCCCCGATCTACAGCACTAGTACTAGGCTTTTAAGGCAACCTCCACCCCACCTAAAACATTCAAACATTTCCTTCTCAATATCATAACAACCTTTCTCATCAGCTTTATCCAGATCATCCCGATCAACCAGATCAATATACTTAAAATCAACCAAGCAAACCAAAATTATTGATCATTCTTGTAAAACAGAAGATTCCGTCACAATGAGTTTCGATTATAAGTCCAGCGAGGTCTTTGGACTGGACTTTAAGCAACATGACGCACGAAGCATTCGTCATATTTTGAAGCATTATGGCGACTTACCAGAAAATCAAGGCGATCGACTTGCTCTGTTTCTTCGATTACAGTCTTTGGAGAAGAATCTTCATGAAGACGATCGCCAAAAAATAAAGAACTGGTTGGCAAATGGAGGCGACCTTCCACGACCTGTAAACCTCGTGATCGCATATGAGGAAGAGTTTGAGAAAGAACCGGAGGAAGAGGATGAGGATAGTAAAGAGGAAGAAGAAGACGCAGGTGATGAGGAGGAAGACTATGAGGAAGATTCTGATGAATCCACAAGTTTTGAGTCGTTAAATTCCGCGACGACCCCCGGTCATGAATTTCAAATAGAAGATTTGGGCTCTGATACTATACAATATGACCACTTCGGCTTGATGCCTACTCACCCCGATATTCATGAACGCGCAAATTACGTCTCCGAAACGAAACCTGAATCGACCCCTGAACCTGAAACAACAGAAGGCTATCACGGAAGTGAAAAAGGCGATGGGGAGGAGAGCCGTAAGGAGGAGAGTGATGAAGAAGAAAGTGATGAAGGAAAAAGCGAAGAGGACACTAAAAAAGAGACTGTCGAGGCTACAGGATCGGCTAAAGTCAGAAAGGTTGGTAAGGCTAAAAAGACTTTCAAGGTTACAGTCGAACCGGGCAGTGAATACGTTGCGAATACCGGATACTATGCTGGTGGAAAAGCAGATAACTTTGAGCATCCACCTTTTTGGGCGGTGGAATGTGTCATCTGTGCAGTGACAGTTCTAACATCGGAGACCTGGTGTTCTATCACGGATACCTGCGAACATCCAAATGGAGACCGCACATGTAAGGCATGCCTCAACACATCCATCTCTACAGCTGTAGAGTATGGATTATTGAATGGCATCAAGTGTCCTCTGTGTCCCGCCGTCCTCACCTATAACGATATTTCGCAAAAGGCATCTGCAGATGTATTCGAACGGTTAGTGACTTCCATTAGTTCTTTATGTTCATTGCTAATTTTTGAATAGTTATTCATACTTGAGAGAGAAAGCTTCGAGACCGGACACATTCACTATGTGCTTAGGTCCCAATTGCGGCGGAGGTCAAATTCACGAAGGACCAGAGCCATTAATGATTTGTAGTCATTGTAGATTCAGAACCTGCGTCAAACACATGTTACCATGGCATGAAGGACAGTCTTGTGATGATTTTGATATTGATGACTCACAAATTGAGCGTTTGGAGCAGGAAGAGGCTACAGCAAAGCTGTTGGCAAAAGATTCGAGAATGTGCCCCAAATGCCAAGAGTGTGTTGTTAGAAGCGAAGGTTGTGATCATATGCAATGTGTGTACAAATACATCTCTTCTTACAAGTTCAATACTAACGACTATTTCCTAGGTCGCTGCGGAAAATCCTGGTGCTACCTTTGCGGTGTCGACTGGGAGAATACCATTAGGCTTGGCCGGACTGCCCATGGTAGAAATTGTCCGAACCACCCCGACTCATCCAAACTCAGTCAAAACCAGATCTCAGCACGCGAAACCAATCTCACACAACTAGTCCATGGTGGACCCGTCAACGAACTCCTAACTAAAGCCAAGTATGCGAAGCAGAAACAAAGGAGAGATGAATTGAGGCCTTTGGCATTAGCTGCTGCTGAGCAGAGAATGAAAGATGAAGCATTGGCAAAAAGAAAATCACCGTAAGCATTACTCAAACTTTCATCCACTCTGTAATTGCAGCTTTTTATGGCAACTATGGTTTATATAACATCACAATTGTCTTTTTATATTCAACTTACTGACCTACCATTTAGGACATCCGGACCAGCGAAGAAAAAGGCAAAATTGGTAGCTCCTTGGAAGGAACACTAAACTTCATAAAGTGGCATATAAATTCAAGTACTGGCGTTAAAACAGAACTTTTGCATGGGGTTATATCGATATAAAACTAGTTCTTACAATGGTTGATCTAGCGAAGGCGTTTTCATGTTATTTTCTCTTGCGTAGGATGACATACGGGATATGGAATATATACATTAGGAATCTTTGAGATACCTCTATAAAATTTTCTGTCTAGGATATCTTAAAGATTATGGAGATGTTTGTTTAGGATAACATTCACGAATAGATAATAAATGGCAATAATTTTTAACGAGATTAATCTTACATTGCTTCTGCTCTGATCATGACGGAGCGGTGTCTTAAAAATCATCACTCCTGTTTAATTAAAATTCTGACTACTTCTAGGTATAATAAAGTAAGATCTTAACTTCTAGAGAGTACTTAATCAGTAATAAGGCAGTCTAGATAGATGAGAAAACAGAAAACTACAAGAGTCTAAATGTAAATTTTATTTCATGAACTTTTAAAATCTAATATTATCTAATTTTTAACGAAATATTTATAGAACCAAATATCTATGATCTCCTTTTCTAGTCCGGAAACTCCATTGAAGCATCAAGATATCTTTCTCACCCTCTACTAAACATTCTTCACGACGTCTCAAATTCCAGATAACGCCCATCCCCCCAAACACCAGCATCAAAAGCGTCGTACCGGAATCCACTCAGAGCCACAAGGTGGTGCTAGTTTACTGAACAGAAACCTGTATAGATACCCCGATCCCATTCCGAGTAATACCCATCCATCATCAACCAGCGCGCAGACCATGAACTCTAAGCCACAAAACCCGTCAAATCTCTTCCCCCCCACGAAATATCCCTACAAGTAAGTAATCCTAGCAACCTAATCGCGCCATGAAAATACCCAAAAAGCAATTCCGCAGGCACAGCCCAGATCATCTCTTTTTTATTCCGCATATAATAAGGCCACGGTTTGATCATACGACTTAAGATTAATATCCACAGTAAGTACGCACCAGCGTGATTATTCTCGGTAGGGAAATCGGATTTGGAAAGAGTAAAGAATAGGAGAGGATCGTACAGGATGGAGATATTGAGTAAACCGGATAGAAACATACTGTAACTAGTCCAGGGATAAAATTTCCATGTTCCATCGATGAAGAGGGATTTTAGATGAGAGCGCCAGATTGAGCGGGACCAGCGGAGAAGCTGTTGATAGAATTTGGGCCAGCCGCCTGTGGTGCCTAGGGTTGTTTGAACGAGTGCTTCGGGACGGTTGTGGAATACTGTTTTCCATCCATGCTTGATCATATATCTAGTGACGAAATTATCATCATCACAATTAAGCGGACCAGCACCTAGGAAAGTCTCAGAGAGGAATTCTTTCCTGTATTCAATCGATTGTACGATATCTGTTCGGATGATTTGGGTTCTTCCAGAGATAACCCAGGCGCCGCCGTCGAGGTTGTAAGTAGCAGTCATCTCATAATTGTGGCGTTCGAGGTAAATACAAGCGAAGAAATTGCGGAGAGAATCCGACCAATTGTTCCCAGGCTCGCGGATTACCCGTTTACATGTTCCGACAATTCCTACCTTTGGGTCTTCGAACTCGGCGAGAGTGCTTTGGAGGAAGGTGCGAGGCCAGATCACGTGGTCATCGGCGTAGGCAATGAGATTAGTTTTAACCATGAGGGAAGATTGGACGCATTGGGCGCGTTTGTTGGGTTGGCGGTTGGCGACAACTTCGATTTTTCGTCCAGGGAGCCTTCGTTCTCTCGTGATCCCTTCCACTACTCCGCAGGCTTGTATGAGCTTTTCCGTTCCCACTGTTGAAACGATTATTCTGGCTGGATTATTGTCAAGGATTGAATGAATCGTTGTGATGAAGTCCTCACCAAAGTTTCCAATACTTGGTATGATTACTGTAACATGGCTGGAGAGAACAGTTGGATAGAGCGGCGGGAGTCTGTAGCTAGACAGGAAGGTGTAGGAAAACAAATGTACGAACACCTTCAAAAACTTGAAGACAGAAAGGAATATAAAAGCTGCGGACCATGGGCTGAAAGTAAAAAACTCGCAGAGAGTACCAAAAAGTTCGCCTAAAGTTCCAATATTGCTAATAAGGAGTAAGACTGTCGAATATATGGGAGCCCAGAAGAGAAAACCATGAAGGGATTCCATCCCGTGGCCAAATCTAGTGCTGCGAAGGGCGACTAACACGAGAAGAAGCCACGCTACGAATGTGATACTACCAGAGCTTGCCATCGCTTGACCAAGTGTGAGCCCGTAAAGTAGTCGGACCGTTTCAGGAATCGATGACAGGAGGTCAATAGGAGCAACTATAAAGGACATAATTGCTTTGGGTATCGAGGGTATGAGGAATGGAAGCGAGGATATGATGGCCCATGGCCTTTTAAAGAAGAAAAAAATGATGATTGTCCATGAGCTGTTCAAGAAGACCCAGAGCTTCGCCAGGGTGAAACTGAAAATTGCCGTAAACGTTTGACAAAGGATGGCAGGAGAATTGTTCCTCAATTTCCTCTCACGAGCTTCCTTCATAGCATCAAGTATGTAGGCAAGATCTTCACTCACTACTTCCCATTTCTCTCCCACCTGTGGCATGTCCTCAATTTTGCTGGACATAATAAGGTGTATGTCAAATGTGTACTTCAAATGATGTTATATGTCGAGAGAGATTCAGTTCCTCAAACCTTCGACTACTAGGGAGTCCCAGTTGATGGTTGTAGGAGAGTTAAGTTGCTTCAAGTCTTTAACGGGGAAACTAATTGAGTACAAACTATTTCCTGTAACTCAACGGAAGTCAAAAGAAAGAAGAAAAAGCAAGAAGCCACCTCTTCAAAACTTTTTATACAAGCTATGATAGCAAAAGTAAGGTGAATAAAGAACTCAACAAACGACTAGAAATAATCTCTCCAAGACACGTAAGGCCCGCCAAGGTGCCCAAATGTCGCTTCAGCATTGTGTGATGATTCCTCTTTTCCAAATCAACACTTCAGATGAAAAGATCAATGGCCCTTCATACAATTCTAGTATGATATTCTTTGCCTTGTAATTTTATCTGCCCCACAAGATGTTAAAATATGGTTACATCCAGCCTTAAAAATTGAATAATTGCACTTTTCATCTCTTTGATAAGAGACACACGCTGCCCCACCCCACAAACCCAAAACTGTACTGAGAACAACTACCCAATTGGAATGATTTTAATACAATTCATGAAACTTACGGAAAGTGATTCGGGTGCTGAAAATAGCGCCAAATCGAACAATCCATAAAGAACAAAGGTAAAACAGATGAGTAGTTCTGATATTCAGACAACTCCATTGTAACATACACATCGGATAGAAGCAAAAAGGGGCACTTGCCGATTGCTATCGTTATTTGATTAGATGGGATTCACAAGGTAAGCTTATGTAGAGTACCTAGTGAATATCTCCATTTTCAACTTCAACGGGGTCTGGATTTTTGAAGGCTGCAAAATAAGACTTTATTCATCTAAAGCTTTTGCAAACACCTTGTCAGTCCAGAAATTGCTTGGCAAATATCCGAAATATGTCTGTCAACAGCTTGATTTATGCTCTTGATATCTTCTTATTCCTCCAATCAACCCTTTCGTTATGTGAACTAGAAATCAGATGTAGGAGGACTACCACCTAGCAGTATCTACCACGAATATTTATATATAGAAGATTGGATGCATTAGATAGCAGGTTGTTGGGTATGGGAAGCGATGGCAGTATTTGTTCTTTCATACTGCCCACTCCTCATAACAGATATGCACTTGAAGTGAGCACATTCACATCAACCTAGTGATGATTTGAAGAGGGTTGAGATATGGTTGGCACTAGTTTGAGCACAGACAGGGATTAGCTCCAACTTTGTGCACGGGCCACTCTAGACACCTCTCTAAGCTCTCTTACCGGCCCTCATTTCGTCATACCTCAACTCATTTTCTATTTCTATTTTCGATCTGTAGCCTCCTCTCATGAACAATCAATCTCCTTACCTCTAAATTCATATCAATGAGTTTGAAGTTAATCCGCATTTTCTGATCTTCTGTCTTCTTATTTACCATAGTTGATCTATCGGTTTCTTCCCAGTTAGATCAAATACTCTTTCCCTGGAGAACCTGGACTTGGTTTTGTCTTGTTCCGAATCTTCGCTACACAAACTTCAGCCCCTTCTCAGCTCAGGCTAGGATATCTCACAAATTCAGGAGCTCTCTTCATAAAACACTGCAACACTGCAAACTCCTACGATTCTAAACTACTAACAACGTAAGTTTCCATATTTATTATACTCATTCGGCCAGAAAGTATGAATTCCAAAGTTCTGGGTACATACTCCACAGTTGTGGACTGTGCTGCAAAATCCTGAATCCTGAGCTCTTGTGGTTCTTTATTTTCCGATAGCATAAGAAAAACAGTAATTGTCTTTCAGTGACCTAATGCCATCACAGAATGTCTTGTGTTTGCTGCGGTTCAGCTTATTCTTTTGAGGATAATACGAGCCTTTCATCTCAACCCAACCACTAGCACAGCGACCTACTTGATGGCAGTACCAGGAAATATTTCACGTACTTCATGATCTACACTGAGAGTGCTAATAATGGTAGTCATCTTATTAGGATTCCAATAGAGCTCTTTCAGCGTGCTCTCAAATACCTCGACATCGAAACGTTGGTCAATGTTCGCCGCTGCTCCCAGTATTGCAGATTAGCAAGTTTCTTCCATTCCAGAGTGGCAAGAGGTTTTTGGGAATGCACCGGAGGCATTGCACGCCATTCTAAGCACCAGAATAGGATCTAATGTGCTGCTAATTCAGTTACATTACGCCTTGACAAACCCTGAATGCGAATTTTGTCCCGAGAACTCAGATTATCCCGCCTAGTAAGCTTTATGGTCTCTTATCTTCTAGTCAAATTCGCTGATTGATTTGGAATTCTGGATGATGAAAAAGTCATGGTGCTTTTCTATCACTTTTTGAAGGCAAACGCGCTTGCGCCTATTGCCACCGCAATGACCTTTCTCTCAGGACTCTCTAATTTATCGATCTCACGCGGGTCGAATCACGATCCGACTCTGCAATCCAATTTCCATCCGAGAAATATCCAAAGTTGCACACAATCCCAGGCGCATACGGCCCTACCAAGTATGAGAGCCACCAGCGTCTGGTTCTTACCTCGATCGGAAGCATCGGAACAACTCCTGTTGGCAAGGCAATCAGCCGTTATGAAGCGCAGGTGTTACAGCGATCACCAAAAAAAGGCATGATTCCTAAACACCCATTCTTCGAGCGCAAGGAAATGGACATACAACTCGCTCCCACCCCTAAATACACAAAATTCGAGTGCGAAGAACACGTAGTACAGCACTACATGACGGCAATCCCCTTCCCCTTCTTTGGAAAAACCATGACCCATCCCAACATTAAAAAGCGTGTGGCTTTCCACGGCTGTCTCGAGTGCAGCCTCCAAGAACAATACCACGAGAAACAATTCCTCGAATCTTTTAATCAGGGCGATGCCGACGAAACCATCATCTCCTGCGGAGCCAACATCTACAAACGCGAAACGAGACAGTGGTTCAATGATATGGAGGCCGAGAAGATACATGCGAGGGAGTTCCATGAGCAAATCGACGAAGGCGAAAGAGCGTGGAGAGTACACTGGCAAGCACCAATGTTCAACCTCTCGGATCCAAATATCTGGACCAAATTGAGAATGTATAAAACCCACGAACTCTACATATAAATGTCTCTAATTAACGATATGAATAGGCACAGCTTCTGAGTTCAAATTTCGAGGAATTAATAATGTTTGCGACGCATATTCTGGAGTGTTTGATATACTGCACGAACTCAAAATCGATATCAAAAACCAATGTCCACTATGTTCCTTACTATGTTTTCTACCTCTCCTTCACAAAACGATTATCCTTTTTTTTTCTTTTAGGAATAATAAGCCATTTTCACTTAATCCCAGACCTCATATCACAGCCAAACATAAGGCCTTCATGAAACTGCAAATATTCCCTCAAAACGTGAACTTTTAAACACATATACATACAGTAACACAGATAAAACCATCCAAAATCCAACACAAATAGATAAATTAACGATAGCCCATTCCTAAATTACAAACAAGAGACAAGAGGATAGTCAAATAACCCAATACCGGCATCCAACTGACATTTTAATAATGATCTATTCTCCAGGCCAGAAATGATGTGGATATCTGCACGTACATAGCTACCTAGTATTCAATTAACCAGCCAAAAGTACTAGGTAGGTAACTTCAGTCTAGCCTAGCCTAAGCCTAACCTAACATTCTTCCCTACTAAGGTTCGGTGGTTACTCCTGCTACTCCCTCCCCAGTCTCCCATCCCCAAATCCCCAACCCACAATCTCCATTTCTAATTTTCACATCAACAATCAACAACCCCTATGAACAATCCATACATAATCAAAATCAAAATCAAAATCACATACCCAAAAATCAAAAGTATCTAGTTCACAATTCTCAAGAAAAGCATCTCAATAAAAACATCTCCATTTCAAACAAGCACAGGAATACATAGATATAAACCCAACCATTGCTTTCCGCGTCATCTATTATATGCATATCCGTCATCATCATCAACATCATCAGCACCAACATATTTCCACTTGCTCATCCCAAGATTAAGTGATACTATACACTCCTAACATGAAAAACATACAATCCATACACAGATGCGTGATTCCTTTCTTTCTCAACCTGCTCCGGCTCCTACTTTACCCATCATCCACAAACGCCTGTCAATCAACGTCCATGCGTTTCTGTACAAGAAACCCTTCATTATTACCCGTGTATTCTCGAAAGGAATTATAAAAATCCTTTACTCATACTATCCTGCCTGCTCAAACTACTCTTCCTCTTTGGAATTTCAATACCCGCGTCATCGGAACCGAATTCGCTACCCGGTCTCCACGTGCCACTCGCACTGATTCTACCACCAGGGCCTTTTTGCATTCTTAATGCTTTCCAGCCCTCCAATTCACGCTCTAGTCTCAAAGCCTTCTCTCTCTCTTCCCTTAACTCACGTTCGGCTCTACGAGCTGAAAGCTGGTTGTTTGAGTCGCTTGATTGAAGCTCGTCAATAGTCTTGAGAAGTTTCTCGACCTTATCCCTGGAGCGGATGATATCTTCTTGGAGCTGCGCGTTGGCCTTTTCTTTGCGCTCGATCTGTTGCTGAAGATCTTTGACTGTGCGATCGACGTTTCGTTCAGAACGTTGTGACTTGTTGCGTTCGGATTCCTGTGCGTCGAGCTGGGCTTCGAGCTATTTAAATGTTAGACTAATGGTAATTTATGGGAGGGAAATTCTTACCTCTTGAACACGCCCGTGGAGGAATCTCACGTCTTGGCTGGCACTTGAATAGCCTTTAGTCTCCAAGTCCAGGAGTCTGACTTGAATCTCCTTGAGTGACCTTTCTAAGGCAGCCTTCTCCTTACTCAACTGTGCGGTCGTCTCTCTTTCGGCGACAATATCTTTCTGTATTTCAGAGGCAAGAGCTTCGGATCGTCTCATCTTACCAATGGCAGCAGCCGCGATATCTTCTTGTTGGGCTAGGTTAGATTTGAGCTCCAGAATCTCGCGATCCATACCGGCGGCGTTTCTTAATGCGGGGCTGTCGCTCCGAGCAAGGTCATCAAGGCCTGCTTTAGCTTCTTCGAGGCGGGCTTGTAAGCCACGCTTTTCGCGTTGTAGAATGTCTCGCTCGGCGGCTGCATCATCTACATCTGTTCTGAGACTTCGGACTTGTGCCAGCAGCGACACAATCTTCCCTTGAGCCTCATTGTGAGCGTTGACGGCTTCATCCCGTGATACATTGAGATCTGAAAGCGTAGCTTCAAGGCGAGCTTTTTCCTTGGACCATGTTGAGCTGTTCAAAACTTCATCGTCCCATTTCGATCGCAGCTGATCTAACTCTTCCCGGAGTCTTGTATTTTCAGTTTGTTTGAACAACTTTTCCTCACGAGCAATGTCCAATTCATTCGTGAGAGTGGCAAACTCAGCTTGATATTTCTTTCTGGTCTGCTCCATACTAGATTCTTTGTCTTCAATCTCCATGGCCCGTTGGCTTCGGTAATCCTCAAGCTCATGTTGCAATCGCTTTCTTGCTTGGACAGCGGCATCCAAGTCAGATGAGAGATCCTCAAGCTTCTCTTCGTAACGTTGATTCTGTTTCTGGAGATCCTCGATGATTTCATCCATATGTTGTCTCTCTGACATGATCTCGGCACAAGTTTCTTCCGCTTCTTTTGCTTGAGATCTTGCGAATTGTTCGGCTCTAGACGCTTTCAACACAGCAATTTCAGCCTGTTCAAGTTTACTGAAATACTCGTCCGCCCTGCTCTTGTAGAGACTAAGACTGGAACTAACATCGGCCAATTTCGAAGATTCGGCATCCAAACGGATTTGAAGATCGGCAAACTCTTGCAAGAGTTGTTTCCGGCTAGCGGCATCCTGATCTCTCTGCAAAGTCATGTCCTCAAGATCAGATTTAGCATCTCGGAGATCGACCTCCAAAACTGCCCGGGTGTGTTTCAGAATCTCAAAATTCTTCTTTGTATCATTAAGATCGACTAATGCATCTTTGTGGGCGTACATCAAAATTCGTCGGTTTTCTTCTTGGTTGTTGATAAGCTCAAATAGTTCTTCGTGAGATTTGGCTTGGATGTCCCGGAAAGATAACTCTCCAGTTTGGATGCTCTTTTCAAGAGCGGACACTTTCTTGGCAGAATCATCAAGCATTTCATGGAGTCTAGTGTTGGCTTGCTCAAGCTTATACACACGGCGTACTGACGGGCTATCCTCGAAGATATCTCGTCCAGGAGTAGAACGCTCAAGTTGACTCTGAAGATGACGATTCTCCATTTGCGCTAGCTGCAACTTGTTTTGCAGTTCTTCCACATCAGCTTTCAGGTCCATGCGGTTATTAAAACTTAAAATATCAGCTGTACGGTCGGAACGTTCGGAGTCTTGGGCCTGATCCCCCGAACTTTCGAAGCGCCGATTAGGCGTAGTTCCATTCGATTGAGGTCTGCCATTGAGCTTGTTTTTGATATGCGTAGGAGATGTATTTCGGGCTCCATCATTAGTGTTAACCTCTTCAAGCTTAGGCCTACCCGGTGTTTGCCACTCTAAAGAATCCCCAAACTCATCTTCATATCGTTTTCGTAATTCAAGGACTTGTGCCTCAGCATTTGATCGACCGGCGGCTTGAACTCTGAGATTTTGCTGAAGCTCTTCAAGTTTCTGGGTGAGTTGCAAGATGAGATTTGGATTGTCAGAGGTGCTCTTATCGACACTACCATCAAATTGTGCTACTGGCGGTGCAGGCATCTCTGGATCCACAATCTTCATTAATTCAATGATGTCTTTGTCTCGACTATCAATCAGGGACTGAAGTTGTCGGTTCTTGGCCTGGGCCTGTGTATGAAGTTGTCGTTCGTCCTCCAATTTCCGGTTCGCCTCTGCCAACTGAGTGGTCACAGTAGAAGAAGTCTTCTCGGCGTTTCTGCTACTCATGTGCTCACGTTCAACTTCGCGTGTTAGATCCTCAAGGTTGAGCTCCAGCTTCTCCTTTTGTTTTTGAAGGGATGTGAGTTGAATCTGTGCATCACCCAGCTGTTTATTGAGCTTCTTGTTCTGCTCATCCACCTTAGCCTTTTCGCGCTGGGCTGCTATTAGCTGACTTCTCGATGATTCACTTGCTCTAGAGGTAGTGCGCGCAATCTCGAGACCCTTTTGTTGAAGCTTGTTGAGCAGAGCACGATTGTCATTTTCGGAGGCACTTAGTCGACTTCGAACTGTGTTTAGTTCACGCTCAAGCCGTTCTTTTTCCTGATCAACCTTGAGCCCAAAATCCCCAGATTCTATCATAACCTTGTTGAGATCCTCGACTTGCTGATTTAGACGACTGCACTCGGTCTCGAAGTACTTTGCACGATTTTGTTCTGCTTCGAGATCTTTCTTTAGACTAGCTTCACGCTCCCGGGCCAAACGTGATGCATTGCGGTCCCCAACTACTTCAGCTTGTATCCTGGCCTCTTCAGCTGCAATTTTTGCCTCTCTAAGTTTTCTGATTTCGTTCCGGGCCTCGTTGCGTTCCTTTTCAGCCGAAACTCTATTCTCCATTGCTCTTCTAAGTGTGTCTTGCTGGACGTATAACTCCTTTTCAATGATGATCTTGGCTTCATTGAGTTCTTGAAACTTCTCGCTAAGCTCTCGGAATTTATGTTCAGCAAGGAGTTGGACATCATCTCGAGACTGCCGTTCTTTGCTGAGGTCCTTTTGTACGTCTGATAATTGCTGTTTCAAAGTCGAGATTTGTTCCTCCAGCCTTCTACGATTTTGCTCGGCGTGAGCATCCTCCGTTAATCTAGCATCGAGGAGTTTTTTCGCGTCGGCGGCTTCCTTTTGTAAATTGGCTTGCTGGGACTTCATAGCGAACATTTCAGCTTGGACTTCTTTCAACCTATTGCCAATATTTTCCTTCTCCATTGACAGTGATCGCTTCTGTTCATCAAAGCTCTTCTTCTCGGCCTCATATTTACGGTTATCGGAGCGAAGGATGGCTAACTCGCTTTCTTTGCGTCTGACGAGATCTTCATATCCCGTCGATGTTGCAGATAAGTCAGACAGTTGTTTCTGTACTCTGCGGTTCTCACTAGTTAAGTTACTTTCCCTCAACTTGGATGCCTGAAGGTCCTTTGCCGCTGTTACTAGCTTGACTTCTGAATCTTGGTCAATTCTGACAAGTTTGGCCTCAAGGTCATGAACCTTTCTGTCTTTTATACTTAACTGACTCTGGAGTAGTTGCACATCCTGGGCGAGCTGCGCTTCCTGTGCACTTCGGTCCGCCTGCTTCTTGGCAAGATCTCTCAGCTGCTCATCTAAATTAGCCAGCTGTTCCGCAAGGTCTCGCTTTTCGCTCTCCAGCTTAGCAATTATATACCCTGCTTGCTCCAATTGAGATCGGTATTCATCGGATTGATGTTCAGCCCGCTTTTTGGCTTCCAACAAGTCATCCAGCTGGTCCTCAAGCTTCTCTTGGTCTTCGATAGCACCAGCTAATTTATCGCTTAACTCTGTCTCACGGAGCTGGAGACGTTTAAAAATCTCTTCCTTGTCTAAGGCTAGAGCACGTTCACTTTCCAAGGTCTGTTGAATCTTTAACATCTCATTGTGGGTGTTTCGCCGCTCCTCGTCTAGTCTTTGGCGTTCTGCAGCCTCATGGTCCATTTTCTCACTTAGTTGTTTGATCATCTCATCTCTCTTCTTGACCTCTCCTGATGTCCTGGAAGCACCTAACAAGGGCTTCATTTTAACCAAAAGCCGCCACCAAGGGTTCTCACAGAGATCGATGTAAACTTGAAAGTTCCTTTGAATAATCCGTGTTGCCTCCGCTCTATACAATCGCTTGTTGGCAATTCGCCGTTGTATAAAACCTCGAGCCATTGATTGGAATTGGGTCATAATCTCACGGATCAAGGCATCACGTTGTTCTTCAAGCTCCGCCAATACACCAGCACGAAAGAAGACTTTCGTAATTCCGACACGAAACAATGATTTGTCCAATTGAAGTTTATCTAGCATCATGCTGGCCGCTGTCTGACCATCGACGTACCCCTTCGGCATATTTCGGCATAAAACTTCGTATCTATGTCGGAACTCCGAGAAATGAAGTCTGTTGGGAAAGCCAGTGCGTGCAATCCTGATACCTTCCAAAACACCGTTGCAACGCAACTGGTCAAGTACAAGCGGCGCACTGAGTTGCTTTGGCTTTTTCTTGTGATTGGGTATGATACATCTCACAAAATGGGGATGCGTTGAATGCAGCTGGGCCATCAAGCTGGAGAGCTGTTCTTTATGTCTTTGAGCAACTGTACGGAAAAGACCCTTCTTAACCCTGCTTCGAATGGCCCCAGAATCATCGCCTGCCTCCGAGCAATCATTGAAAAGATTCGCGACGTGTGTATCGCTGGATGCAGCCAACAATCTAGTGATGTTGTCATTCATAGGATCTTTGTTTTTCTCTAGCCATCCTTCGGTCGAATATTCGACTTCAGCGGCATAGTGAGTGAGCATGAATCCCTGCCCAAGTCGAGAAGCTCGATATTTTGGGGTTTTGCGGTCCCAAAGAGAATGAAGTTTTTCCGTGAATGATTTATCAGTGGCTTTGGGCATGACACAATCTTCATCAAGACATGAGAAGATACCAATGGGATTAGGCAACTCAATCAGGTCAATTGTAGGCTGGAGATCGTGACCAAAATCGATGAACTTCCATTCGATTTTCTCACGAGCGTACTCTTCTTGTTCAAGGACAAACATATGGTGGTTAAAAAATTGCTGAAGTTTCTCGTTGGTGTAGTTGATGCACAGTTGCTCGAAACTGTTTTCTTCAAATATTTCGAACCCAGCAATATCCAATACTCCAATGAAGTGAGAGTCATCAAGACCCATACCTGTCCTATCTAGTTGGCGATTGATTCGGGTTACCAGATCACCAAAACCTCTTTCATAAATTCCCTTTGCCAACGAATCTATTGTAAGTAGGACTTGTTCTGGAGTTTGGACTTTTTCGACCCACTCCCTTCCAGCTTTCACACGAGGATGTAATAAACCTTTTAAGAATGGCTCGAGTGGGATGCCAAGTAATTTGCAAACCTTGTCTGCCTGTGCACGTGCCTCTGGAGCCAATCGAGCTTGATCTGCCGACCTACTCTCCTTGACGACAGTAATATTGCCCAGATGGAGAACTGCAGCGACCGTTCGTAATATAGATACTTGGTCTTCTTCGGAAAAGCCCATAACGTTGAATGCCTCAACTAGGGCGTTCCATTCATCCCTGTCGGAGACACCAACGATGGTGTCGTGACCATCCCTTGTGTAAGCGAAATCCTCTACGTCTAAGCCTTCAATGAGAAATTCGTGTTTTAACGCAAGGTCGGCTCCTTTCAGGAGCTGATAAAAAACATGGTAATTCCGCTCATGAGCGTTCAACCTTACGACTCTCGATTTCTCAAGAAGATACCAATCTATGAAAGCACCAGCGATACTGCCGTTACGCGTAAACTCGATTCTGATGAATTTTCCAAAACGGGATGAGTTATGGTTTCTGACTGTCTGCGCATTTCCAAATGCTTCCAGGATTGGATTGGCCCGAAGAATCTGCTGCGAAAGGATTGAATGTTGTACCTTGGTCTTAACTGGTGATTCCGAGTTCGCAACTGCCGCAAGGTATTGGATGACCTTTTTGGTGTTCTCCGTCTTTCCGGCCCCGGACTCTCCAGTCACAAGAATACTCTGGTTTTCACCTTCCTCAACCAAATTCCTAAATGCCTCATCAGCCATTGCGAATATGTGTGGTTTAGTCTCTTCCCGATTCTGTCCCTTGTACATATTAATGTATTCATTTGTGTAAATAGGTAAAGAGCAATATGGATTGATGGTGACCAGAAACAAGCCAGAGTAGGTATAGATAAGATCAGCTTGGTATCTCATGTGAAGATTATGGACGACTGATGCTTCATTAAGATGTGTAAGCTCTGCCATATCATTTGCTTTGTCGAACTTCGGAGGGTTCACTTTGTCAACAGTCTCGGCATCAACCTCCCTTTGCTAGACATCCAGTCAGTCATGAAAATTAAAGGGGAGGAGAAGGATAACTTACACTGCCATCATCACATTGGACCAAGATGTGATTATTTTCCAATTCCTCCACTACCCAACCTTTGACGAACGCAGTTTGGGGGTCTTTTAACCAAACATATCGCTTCCCCGAAAAATCACTCTCTCCCTCCATTGTTTCTGCACCGATTCGCATCTCTTCTGACTTGATAAATGAAGGCGCAAATGTGTTCGAGGAGGGGAGGATTGTTTTCGAGTTGGATCGAAATCTTAACGAAACATTATTATTATTATTATTATTGCTAGGAGGTCCTACAATGTTTCCCAGTGAAGAATAAGATTGGTGTCGATTGTGTGTTGGCGGATTTTGTGCGGGTGACGAGGAGGGGGGAGGTGCAAAAATTGCACTTCTTGGCCTGCCTCTGGGAACACCTGGTTCTGGGGATATAGTTCCTGACCTGGCGAAGGGATTATTGCGCTTCGTTTGAAAATTGGATGCCATGGTGAAGTCGTTGATCTCAAATGATTAAAGCAAGGTTATGTTCCTTATGAAAGTAAACAAAGTCCATCCATGGGAAAATGTGCGTATGAACTCAAAATTGACGCAAAGAGAAAAATGTATTAGAAATGTCGATGCTACTCCTTCAGTTATCACATTTGAAACTGGAGTGAGTAACAAGTCGAGTGGTTCACTCTTCTCCTTTTGCCCACTTTTTTTGTCTTGACTTGAAGGTGTGGGAGACTTTTGTCGATATTGAAGACGCGGTAGCACTACCTAGTACTGAATATTGTCAACACAATTGGCTTTCATTGCGCGGAAGAGTTTCCCCTGGCAACGCCGATAAGCTTGCCGCTATACTATTGATATGATATCGATAAGAACACTGGTGGAAGCGATTCAATTCAGTTAGAGCAGCAAGTGGTCCCGTGACTAGGACGTTGATTACATACACAGAATCTGTGAGGTAGCACAAAGATACAAAGTAGGTTAGAGCGTTAGCGCGTTAGCCCGGCAATCTCCGGTGCTAAGAAGCTTTGAATACTCTTATTCTTCTTCTACTTGGTGTTTGCGTACGTCAAGGTTTGGTGAGACTGTACAAAGTTTCTTTTCACCATCACCACTTACCACCACCATAATTTCAAACAGGATCCTAGATCTTCTCCATCCTCGATTCATCCAAAGAGCAGCAAGTCAAAGAATCGATAGTATCATATCTTCTATTGTTAGATTTTGTCAATCGATTCTTCTGGCTCATTGCGAAACCCTTTTTCTCTGCGAGTTCTGCTTCTGTAGTTACTTTTTCCCTTGATTTGCTTGCGTTGCACAATGATACTCGACCGTTAAATTCAACGCGTCTCCGAGGTAATTTTGCAGTATCAAAACTAAATACAGTTGAAGTTTTCAATCCCGTCAGTAAAGCTACTGCTTCTTACTTGCCGACAATGTCGGATTATCCTTATTATGGCGCGGCCTATGGTAGTCGTGACCAAGCGAACAACCCATCGTACCCTACCTATCCTACGCAGGCCCCGTATTATCAGCAAGATGTCGGTCGCGCAGGTCAGCATGCAATGACGCAAGGGTATGATAATACAATGGGATATGGATATAATCAACAACTTCCAAACTACAGCGCGCCCGCTATGCAGAATAATATACCTCAAGTCCCGATCTTTCAGGGCTGGAATCAAGAAAATTCATCCATGCCTCAATACAATGCGGCACCGCAGGGCATGCATTCTTATGCTGGGTACAATCATCAAAACTATGCTCAAAATTCGCAGTACTATGCACCAGTGGCTGCCCCTCAGCCAACTTATCATTCTCAAACAACCGTATATGGTAACACTGAAAATCGCGAAATGAGCGAAGGAGAATATGATGATACTTCTGCCCGTATACATCCAGCACCGCCGAATACTTCAGCTGGGGCACCAGGTACGAGCCTTTATCGTGGAAACGATGGAAATGGCTATCACGATACTGCCCATCGCGCTGTCTATCCAACGAGCCGAGATCCTACTCCTAAACAGCCGCCGACCCTTCGTAATGGTAAGCCGCTCGAATCTCTTTTGTCGTCATTTACTAACGTCCATTCAAGCAGCCGACTACTATACTCAACGTCAACTTTCAGACTCATACTCTCCTTTCGTAGCGCAAAGTGTGCCAACAATTGAAAAAGCCAAGAATACTCAGAATAAAGGCACAGGCGCAGGCAAAGAAGTATCAGCCAACAAGAAAGGAGGTGCGCAGAAAAAAGAGAAGACCCATTCACCGGTAGAAGACCGCAGTAATGCTGCATCTAAACCTGGCCAGGAAAGTCTTCCATCTTCCAAAGGCGCGGCATCAGGTACTGTTCAAAACTCCTACCCTTCCCAAGCCAGTGTCCATAACGATACCGTTACTTTTAAAACTGTTGCGGAGGCTCGTAAAAAAGCTGAAGGCGCGATCCTGAACCTTTGGTCGTATGATGTCCGTTTTCCAGCTTATCTCGAAGAAGGCGTTGATGAGAAACTCGTGGGGGAATTGTTCGATGAGCTTAGGTTGTCGAAAACTGCATCGAAGACGGTTAGTGCAGCTTCTGCACAAAGCCCCTCCACTAGTATTTCCTCTGTGCCTACAGCAGCCGTTCCTGCCCCAAGTGGTCAGTCGAATGGGCAGTCCTATGCACAAAACTCCAATGCAGACAAGGTTAAGCAAGCTTTAACGAATGGAGCAGTATCTGCTCCTCCTGCAACGGCTCAACCGCCGAAGAGTGCAGCTGCTGTTGAGAAAGAAAAAACAATGCAAGCCAAGATGGACGCACTCAGAAAATCGAGAGCCGAGCGAGCTCAGAAGAACGCAGCAAAGTCTGTCGCAACTCCCACTACCAACCCCCCCAATCTACCTCCCCAAGTAAAACCGGCCGTAATTCCCGGATTGCTTACTTCAGTTTCAACGCCTACTTCGTCTACGCAAAAAGTTATTGAAAATAATAAGGTTGGTATTACGGACACTAGTAGCTCAATTCAAGTTCCAGCTTTGACAGTCGCGACACAATTTCCCAACTCCAGTGCACCGCCTTCAACAATTCTTCAGGCCTCTCAAAAGATTCCAGGTCTATTCTTGGCTTCTTCTGCGCCCACCCCACCATCCTTACAACAACCCATCATGCTAATACCCTCTTCTAATGGGCAGCGCAAACGCCCCGTGGCTGCTGACTTTGATGGACCCTCTGCACCGGCCACGCCATTTAAGCGACCATTTGGTCAAAGTCGTAGCGAGCAGAAACCTTTCGTTCTTTGTGTCAGCGAAGATGAGGATGAGTCTGATGAAGATGTGGAAATGGAGTTGGAATCTCAGGCCGATGCCGATTCACCTGTTCAACCCGCTCGAAAGCTATCTGAACAAAAGGCACTCCCTACTGCGTCCTCCTTCCTTCCACCAAAACCATTTACACCTCCTCCTATATCGTCAGCGAGCACCTTGCCCACATTGCAATCTTCTATCAAGCCACATCCTGAGGATCTTCGACGGAAGGAAAGCGAAATCGAGCAGTTGAAGAGAAAGATTGCTGAAGCCGAAATGAGAAAGGCAAACAAGAGAAGTAGCAGTGGGGCGCAAACTCCAGTCAACAACATCACAGCCAGCAGCAGTAATACTGCTATTGTGGTCAATAAAGCCGATTCATCAATCGTAATGCAGAAGGCAACCGACGTTCCTAAGGATAAGACAAAGTCTGACCAACAGTTAGCTGCAGTTCAAGCGGCCGAGCTTCAAAAAGCGGCCGATGTGCGAAAAGCAGAGGCTGAAACCAAACGACTTCGACGTGAAAGAATTGCGAGCGCCATTCCCCGTGTTGATGCTGAAACTTTACAGAACCAATTGAAACTCGAGGCACTTCGTGCTGAAACTGCACGAATCGAAGCTGCAATGCAGAAGAATCTCCAGGACAAGCAAAAGTTGGTCGAAGAAATGGAAAGACTGGGTCAAGAAACAGATCAGCAGTTGCAGGAGCAAAAGGAAAAGTTGGAGAGCCTTACTCGTGAAGAGACAAAGGATAATTCAGGTAAGTGTACTCTTATGGTTTCTGTGCTTCCCAACGCAGGAGCTCACATTTCCTTAGCTCTGCCACCACATTCAGCTTCTGCTCAACCAGACCGCGAGCCAGAACCGCCAGCTCTCGCCGAGTCTGAGCCAAAATCAGCGTCAGTTCCCATGGAACTCGATGACCAAGTCGATGACTCCCGTGACGCAGTACAACAACAATCTGAAGAACCAAACAGTACTTATGTTGATGCTACATCTTCGATTCCTGTGGTTCCCACCCAAGTTGATAACGACAAAGATACAGCACAAGAGATTATCGAAGAGCGTTCTTCCGAGATCAAGGAAACATCCAAAACCAACCAAGACCTTGAGGCAGCACTTCAAGAGGCTGTGCGCGCGGACGCAGACTTTGTTGGCCCCAGTGATACGGAAATGGAGGACGGCAATGCTAATCCGGTACAAGTCGCCGAAGCAAAGGTTACACTCGATGAACAGAATGCAAGCTCCGATTATTCGCCGGTCCTAGAACGTTCTCAGCTACTTGGAGCTTCCTCAATTGCCGACCCTCCTGAAATGTTAGAGATCTTGGAGATGGTTGACATCGAATCGGATAATTATGAGCCACCAGAAGCCACGCCGCCTGCAGATGAGACCTTGTCGGTGGAATCCTCTCCATTTAGTCCCGCTCCACCAGATTCCGTCATCGACAAAGCCGAAGGTATTGAATTAGCGGAGATGTCAAATGGTAACTCAACTGATGCTGAAGCTATCTCTAACGATTTAGAACAAGGCCTGCCAGCGGAAAATGGTACCGTCCCTCAGCTAACAGAAGTAAAAGTCTTCCCCGTTCTTGGTGACGATCCCCAGACTGACAGTATCACAGGAACCAGCTTCCAGCAACTCTTGTAGCCCAAGCTTCTTCTCGCCATATCAAAGCCCTTTAAAAACCTTTCATGCATATCGATTTCATCCAGAATATAAGCAACAGATTCCGGGGGGGCTGAGGTCTCTGACCTATACTAATAAGATTGACGCGAAAAAAGAATTGTGTCGATACGAAGTAATGGGAGGAACATGCAATGATGATACTTGTGAATTTCAGCATTTTAGAGAAATGGGACTGCCTGGTGCGTCGGTAGTTCCAGCCAGCATAATCTGAGCTCATCCTTGAGTATCCCTTTCGTCCCCTTGGCTAACGTTTCTTTTGACAGATGATGTCCTGCTTCAGAAACTGGGTTCCCCAGACGAGTTTGAAGGAGAGCAGCGAAATAAGTTTATTGAAGGTTTGAAAGCAGTGCTTTCAGGCCTGCGAGCAAGAAAGATCAACGACTTTGACACTCTTGCCTCGGAAATTGTTGCACATCGTGCAAAATTCTTGGGCGATTCATCTAAGGTACTCAGCCTCGAAGGCACGACGATCTAAAACAGCTTACCTACAGCTGCCTGGACAATGAACTTGTAAATCTCTCAACCATTTCCCCTACACTTTCTCTTGCCAGTGACCTGGTCAGGCTTGGTATCAATCTAAATAATCTTCTTATTGGTGCGAACGCCGGGGACGGCAACATCTCACTCTAATGGGATCATTTTATTTCCTTTATCTTCCTTTTGCTGGACCTTAAATATCAACGGACAACGACTTTGCATGGATGCAGTTGCATGGAAAAGCTGGTGTTTTCGTGTTATGTCTACGATACCCTGTCTGATGAAATAAAAAAAGAGACCTGGGGAAGTGCGTCCAGTGGGTGCAAGCAGTGTGTTTTCTGGAATTATAATTTCCTTTTGACACTAAAAGACAAAACCTGCGGTAAATGTTCTGCGAACTAGCTAGTTATTTATAGCATTATAATTGACTAATATATTTCAAATCTTGTTCTCATCACTCAATACCTCATATCCTTATACCATGGAATAAACGATGAATAAATGAATAAATGAATAAGTTTCTCCATCTGACACTGGATGTGGATGGTTGATATCTTCAATTCCAAATATATTGATCAAGGCACGTGACCAAATCCAAGACCCCACCCACCATGATCACCACGCCCAACTACTACTAAAAGAGGCAGCACCGAGGCGGAATAATCACGACATCTAAGCCAGATCTTCATCATTGCACTAAAGTACCAATCCTCTCCATACCACCAATATAAATAATTTAACTTATGGAATTCAACTTCCCGATACATACTGGGGCGAGCAAATGGCTGTATCCCATTGGTCTTGGAGACGAGGGAAAGATAAGGTTGGAAAATTCACAGAATAGACAGGGGCATAGGATCAGGATATAACATATCCCACCAGGTGTACCTATGTATGCATGAACCATCTATGGGTAGTCCACCCGCACAAGTAATTGCGTGCTGCGGAGCACATCACTGTACCCGCGCTGGAATGTATATATGTACATGGGGTTTCCGTTGTACTGGTGAATCTCGGTTTTTGCTTTTGTTCAACCGATAGGAATTGTCCTGAGGGTTATAATGTGATTTGATACATTTTCGTACAATTCAGAGACTATTTCATATATTTCATTTGACGGCCTGGATGCATGAGTATATCGTCATACGTGCGTTTTATATCTTTTCGAGGTTCCCCGTTTGTGATCCCAGTTTTTGAGCTGGAGTGTTCTCCGTGCACACGGGAAATACAATTGATCAGTCGCTATTTCGACAATGCCGCACATGGCGTCATCGCAGCCTTTAGATGATGAGAAGATCACTGTCGAAAGAGACGGAAACTATGGGAATTCAGCTGGAAAAATAAATGCCAATGAAAAGGGAAATGGGAACGACAGTGAGGTTTCTGATGAGTCGTTTGCGAACCCAATGGGCTTGGATGAGAAGGCGTTGATTAGGAAGCTGGATTGGAAGTTATTACCTGCTCTCACATTGCTTTATTTGTTGAGCTTTTTGGACAGGAGTAATAGTATGTTTTTCTCTAATTCTTCATTGAATTGTTTCGAGTTTTTAGATGGATTGGAAATGTGGAATTGGAAATGGAATTTCAGATGATGCTGACCATAATCGAAACAAACAGTTGGAAATGCGAAATTGGATGGATTAACGAAGAGTTTGCACATCACCGGAAATCAATACTTATTAACATTGACCATCTATTTCATCGGATACGTCCTCTTCGAAGTACCTTGCAATATCATACTTAAGCGCACAACACCCAAAATATGGCTTCCAACTCTTATGCTTCTCTGGGGAATTGTCGCGACCTTGATGGGAATTTCTACAAGCTATGCAGGATTCCTGGCTGCTAGATTTTTCTTGGGTGTTACGGAAAGTGGATTGTTCCCTGGTGTAGTGTTTTACTTATCAATGTGGTATAAGAGGACGGAAACACATTATCGAATTGCCTTATTCTTTTCTGCGGCTTCGTTGGCGGGAGCTTTTGGAGGAATCTTGGCTTATGGAATTGGATTTATGGACGGAGTTGGGGGATTGAAGGGGTGGAGGTGGATTTTTATTATTGTAAGATGTTCTATCACCTTATCTTTAATAAACTGTGCTAACAAATACACAGGAAGGACTTTTGACTGTCGTCGTCTCTCTCGTTGCCTACTTCTTCATCCACAATTATCCTTCAACGGCTCCATTTCTTACTGAACCCGAACGCTCATTCATTCATGCGCGCCTCAAATCATCTACAGATGCAACGAACACAGAGCCCTTTACCTGGACTAACGTCCGCGCCGCATTTGGAGATTACAAATGCTGGCTCTATAGCCTTGGCTTCCACACCATGTCTCTACCCCTCTACACCCTTTCCCTCTTCTTCCCAACCATCATTTCAGCCCTCGGCTACAAAGCCGCCACCGCACAGCTCCTCACAGTCCCCCCTTACGCATTCGCCACCATCCTCACATTAATCATCGCAATCCTCTCAGAGAAAACCCAAAAACGCGCCCCTTTCATCTTATTCTCCTCCTGTTTCGCAATCATCGGCTACATAATCCTTCTCGCCACTCCCAACACCAAACCTGGCATCTCTTACCTCGGCACCTTTTTCGCAGCAGGCGGAATATACCCCAGCACAGCCATCATTCTCTCCTGGCCAGCGGCAAATGTAAGCGGACAGACCAAACGCGCCACGGCTACTGCGATGACGATCACGATTGGTAATTTGGGAGCAGTACTCGGTACGCAGTTGTATAGGCCGGCGACGAGTCCGAGGTGGTTTTTGGGTCATGGATTTGCGTTAGGTTATTTGGTGGCGAATTTGCTAGTGGTGGGTACGTTGTGGTTTTGTCTGGAGAGGGAAAATAGGGTGAAGAAGAGGAGGGAGGAGAATGGTGAGGTGGGGAGTGAGGTTATTGAAAATGATGAGGATGTTAGGTGGTTATTTCAGACTTGAGCTGCGGGGGAGGGGGTCTAAGTAGATTTCTTTTTAGTTTGTTGTATAGAAAACTTTTTATGTATCGATCTTGTTTTTCCGCTATATCTTTATACCTTGGTACTCACAAGTAATCTTACAATTCATAGAGACTTACAGATAAGATACTATGAAGTCGAAATACTAGAGGTAGATAAAGCTAATTATGACCAAGGCCGGACATTTGCCTCGAAAATAAAGAATTTAAAATGTATGCGGCTTCAAATTCCCATTCTAATTGTCTTGACTTTTGAAGAATTCAGATTTAGCCGAGGCCGAAAGGGGTAATTAAGGGAGTTTTGTTATGATAATAGATATATTTCCGGCACTGAGATACAATACAACCCATGAAGTTATAATTAATCAATCTAGCTCGATATAATCATCTATTTTTTTTGACAATTCCTTTGAAGGAGATACTTATACTATTTTGGATCCGCAATATCACCACTCATTATTTTTCTCTGCTTCATTCTTTGCTTTACTTCTCTATCTTCCCTTGCATTTCTACCATATCTCAAAACTTTCACACTTGGATACTGTATGCTGTTGGAGAGGCTGAATTTTCAGTTATTATTATCTTTGTGTAATTAGCTAGTAGATTATTGTATTCATGGCTTTGTAATTAATGGCTAGTGAATTTTGTGCTGGGTGATTTGAGAAGAGCTGTGATATTAGTTCGGGTATTTACGTCTTCAGCGGAAGTGAGGATGATATTGATATCTGAGTTGTCGACGATGACCGAATTGTTCTAGCAGCGGCTCCCTCCTTCAATCGATTTTACAAGATTCTATGGTCGGAACAAAGTAAATTGTCAAATTACTCCTAGCTTTTGGCTCAGTTGCACGAAGATTCTTCATAGAATGGATGGCATAGCTTGTCAAGTAGAAATTTTTAGCCTCAAATTAAATGCTAACCGGTATATGACTTAGTGTTTTGTTTGTTCGATGTACGAAATCATGAAATGGATGGTGATTTCTTTTTCCTGGTATACCTTTGGAGTTCTTGAAAGCAGTAAGTGAGCCCTTCGATGACGATGGTGACTTTGTCAAATAGGTCGTTAAGATTCAATGCTAGCAAAATTTCGGGTGACATTGCTCAAGTGTAGGTCTTTGGGTGAAAACACTAAAAAGGGAAAATGTAGGCATTCTTGAACGAGAAGCAGTGAAAAGAGAAGATGGTTTTTAATAAGCAAGATGATGAAATCAAGAAATAATGAAGACACGAAATGTTAATGAAGGACATTCATTGTATTATAATTACTTCATAGACCTCGAGGAATCCCTCAAGATATCGAAGTCAACGCAATGATGTACACTGCCGGAGCTATTGATCAGCAAAATCGCACGAAACGAAGAAATATCTATCCCGTGAATCCCCATCATCATAACCATCTCGTGTACCATATTCCCATCTTTGAATCGGTTACTTCTTCGAAGGTTCCCAGGTCATATGCTCATACTTGCAATTTGTCTTATCTCCATTACCCCAGAACATGGTGACTCTACCAGTGACCTGAAGGTTATCTGAAGCTTTCCATCTGCAAGCTCTACATGTTAGTATGAGATCTTTGATATCAGGGCTGGAGAAACTTACACATCGTTACACCACCATGGATCTGTTGTCTGAGAACTGATGGTAACATCTTCCCAGAGAATTGGTCCAAAGTCCCAAACACCACATTTACTAAAAGCAACATAAAGCCTAGCCTGTATAATCAATTTATTCGATTGTTATACCTAAAAAGAGAGAAGACCAGATCAAAACTTACCACATTCAACTTGCCGGCAGTAGGAGCTTCTTGTTCTGTATCTAAGTCAATACCGCTAGCGTATAAGATGTACTTGCAATGCCACTCACGGATATTTGCCGCTTGAGTCGTAAATCTTGTTTTTAATCCAGCCTTGATACTTTCGGGACCAGGAAATAGTGACATTATTGGTGGTGATCTGGTTTACTTGGTTATACTCGAGAAGGGTATGGATCTTATCGCCTGGTAAGATATTGTTTTCTGTGGCAATTCCACCATGATCACTTTATGCCAATTGTTAGTCTGCCATTATCATGTGCAAGATTGAGAATACATACTGAATCAAATCCACTTCCCATTTTCCGGGGTTGTGATCGCTGAGACGGTTTTCATAGGCATAGTTCTTAGCTTGGTTGGTGAGACCTGCTACGAAAATATGTCTGCCGTCTTTGGAGAATGGTGGAACTGTCAATGTGGCTTCGAACTAAAATTGTTTTTCTCTCAGCTATGTCAGACAATGTATGATTTGGGGTTTAGATTACCTTCGAAATGGGAGCATCGGCTTTATGGCCAACAGTGAACTCATAGCCTTGGACAGCGACCAAAGTGTTCAGCAGAGGGATTTACGAGGCGAGGAAGAGCTTGACTTGAGAAGTCATGGTTGTTATGTTTTTGGTGAAGATAAACAAATTTTACTGTGTTTGAATCGTAGAGATATGTTGTTTCGAGTTGTAGTAAATAAAGGAGGGCGACTTTAAATAAAGAGCAAGAGGTAGATAGGTACCAAGCTACCATATCGAAAGCAGGCTACTGACGTTCGCTTGTCTACCTGCACCCCAAAGTTACAGACATAAGTGGTATGATTTTCCTGGGGTATATCAGGTGTAATAGTCAAAGCTCCCTGTGAAGGTAGTGTCAGAGCCAATGGCTGCACTCTGTAACTACACATGTTTATCAATTTTTACCTCAGGCTCAACCTCAATTCACATTGCGATATGATTGTGATAATTCCAAAGAGAATACCTTGATTCATAAAGCGAAACACATTCGACAAATTGTGAAGTACTCCTCCAATGAAGAATATCTGAGGGGAAGCTTCCCGACAAGGTCTTCCCAAACTCTCATCCCATCCGACCATCATCCCATTAGCCTTATGATGTGAGGTGATTCTCCATGGGTGAATTAAAGTCAAGGACGGTGAATAAATGGCAATGAAATAATGTTCATGGATTTAAGCGATGGGTAGGTTCCTCTCAGAAAAACATTAGCAGATATACAACTTGTGGATAGCAATCGAAATGGTTAAGTCACAAAAAGCTGACTATATGATATTTATTTTAGCCCAGTCACACTATTGAGATCTCATGCTACATTGCTACATGCTTATACATTAAAAGAGTTGGGCATATGCTAGAATGTGATGTTGTTTTCCCTCAATATTCGACCATCAAGACCTTCTTTAAGGATCCCATTTCCTTTTCCCAGGCCTCAACTTTTCTTTGACTTGCCGCTAATTTGTCCAATAGGAAATGGATACGAGGACCAACCTCATAAGGTTGCTTGGGCAATGCACCGAGCATTACTAACTCATTCTCATACTTATCAATGTTCTTCGTCTCAATCTTGGTCAATTCCGTAAGGACTGCCAAGTCAAGTCTGCTTCGTAATACACGATCCTCGCTTAACATTCTAAAGGCAGCTTGGTAGACTGGCTTTCCAGCTTTGATGCTCTGTGGACGTCCTTTGCAGCTCTTGATGGTGATTAACTCGGTGGCGGAGAGAGCTTCGAGAACACTTTCTCCGTTCGTCGCGGATGGTGTAAGGGATGATTTGAATGTATCAGAGAGCAGGACCTGATTATACCGAAGAGTATCGTTCTCGGCAAGTGAGTTAATCAAGTACCATGCTTGCTCAACGGACCATTTTCGTTCGCCCTTTTCAGCAGATAGCAAATACATCTTCATGATTTCCGAAGCACTTTGCTCCACAATCTCTGCCACGGCGCGCTTGGGGGTTTGTCCGGTTTTCAATCGACGTGCCAAGAATTCTAGATCAGTCAATCGACCTCCAAGGACCTCGATACACTCATCCAATTCAGAGAGATCATCTCGTCGTTGAGATTCCGAAAGCTTCTCCGTTCTGTCAGTAGGGTTTTCTGGGTCGCTTTCTAGATGACTAATGACAAATTTCTTGGCTACTTGAGGGGTAATGTCACCGAGCGCTATCTGTCTAAAGACTCGATCTGGAAGCGCTTTACTCAAGGATTTTGAATAAGAGATATCGTTGGTTAGGAATATGACATGAGCAATGTTAGAAGTAGTAAGTCCAGCTGCCCATTCCGATATCTTGTCGTAAACAATACTACTATCTTCATTCTTGTGCAAGAAATTATCGATCACAACCACAGGTCTATACTCCGGGTGTGCCTCAAGCCAGTCATCGTCTGCCAAAGAAGCGTCTTTGTCATCTTTCTTCCGGTTTTGTAGAGCCACCTGCTTTAAGGCAGTCGCAGTGTTTTGCCAAATCTTTGCAAGTTGTGAGTCCAAGGTTTCTGAGAATCCAGATTTTACGCCGATTGTACCTTGTGCGGCCAAATCAATCAAGCTGCTAATACTATTCATCCAAGAGAAGACTGGACGATATCCAACAGCAGCAGCAGCCGCCGCAATTGTGGCAGAGTCACCTCTTGCTTCCTGAATGGGTTTGCAATCTATCAGTAAGGTATTTGGTCGACCTTTGAGTGCTTGATCAAAGATGAGCTCTTTCTTTCCCGATCCTCGTGGCCCCTGGACAACGATAAAGGTATCAGCGGTTTCCATAAGCCAAGTTTGGAGATCTTCAATAGCCTGCTTCCTATCATCCCAAATTGCGCTAAGGCTTGCCTCTTCTGCTTTGTGCACGCGGAATGAGAAAACATCCTTTGCTTGACTTGCAAACCATGCGTAGACCTTATTGTCCTTAAGACTAAAAGCGTGATCAATATGTGCCTTGATGAAGAAAGTTCGGATAGGATCAAACACTGCAACCGTTACAGTAGCAAGGATTGCAGCCACAGCCGGAATCACAACACGTGGATGGCTGGTAAGCCATTCCCTGACATGGTGAGCCTGCATTTTGGGCTCAAACGATAGCCGAAGTGTGGTGCCAACCTTCCCGCCACCGAATTCTTCTGTAGCCTTGAAACCATGTAAACAATTCCTAGCCATTATTGAATGTCTGATATTTGCAAAATCCAGTATAGCAAACTTTGGTAGGACCTTGGAGTCTGAAGGTTGAGAAGAGATCTCTGCAATCTTTCCATACTTCCGGAACAGGCTATACAACGTCTCCTGTGAAAGTTCGGCTACCTCGCCGCCAGGAGTACAAGGAACGAACTCGACACGGATTCGCGTACTTGGGAATCTATACAGGTCTTCCAGCCAGGGTTTTCCAAGTACCAACTTTGCTCTCATCTGCCGAAAGGGGTTGAACCAAGGTTTGACAGGTTTCTCCTTGAGATATCCTGAGATTAGGCCTTCGATTTCCCTGGCCGTTACAGTGTGGTCGTGCGAGAATTTGACAAATGCGCCTCCTTCTTTAAGACGAGGTAAAATCTCGGTAACTTTCAAGGGGACGCTGGACGGTATAGCACGCTTCACTAGGCTCAGAGGATCGTACTTGGAGAATACTTTGTTATTGAATCGATAAAGAATATCTGGAAGGCTTGAATCCATTTTTCCGTACCATGGTATTCGGAGTAGCCACCCGAGCTTCAACGGGAAAATGTCTTTGGGAGAAACACATCAGCAAGCTGATATAAATATATGATCTCGATTAGAAGAATGAGAACTCACTATCCAGGAATAGAATCCCCTCATTAGTTCCAGCAGTAATATGCCCACTTTCATTCTCACCAATTTGCGTACTCTCTTTCCTCACACCTTTCCATGCGCCCTTCAATCCATCATACTTTAGTCCTTTCAAACCAACTCTACCAAGGTTCCCCGCGTTGCCAAAAGCACGCGTCTGAAGCCGGGGAGGGCGGGGGCTGCGCAATGCCGGCACGCTCGTAGGGTTGAACAAGATGCGCTTGTTCATGTTTGCGCCTGCCCTTGAGTGTATATCTTCATAGTTTATCGTACCATTTATTCAAGCCAAGGTGAGAAATGGCAATCGAAGTTCTTTGGCCTTGATTGAAGAATGCTAAAACAAACCCAAAGAAAAGGCTGTGATCAATGTCGTCATACCATAAAAAGAGGCTGAAAGGGTAGCCTTGTCACGTGTGACTTATGTGGTCGGCATCAGCTTCCCCAGATTTAAAATTTCGTTAACAAGCTTCAGCCTCATCACTTTCGCATTTTGAAATTCGAAAAAGGCAATTAATACAATGGGGTGGTTTTCATCATCTGCGGAGAAACCGGCCTCTGCAACGTCAGGAACACCAGGTTCATCTCTTCCATCTTCCATACCCACATCTACACCTCAAACGAAAGCTCTCTCCCGCGATGAAATCGCGGAACAAGAGCTGAATTCTTTTATCCGCGAACTCGAAGCCGACACCCACCCTTCCAGCACAAAATATAACCGTGTGCCTCGAGACCCTTCTCCAGAACCTTCACATTCCCAATCCTCCACTCAAACTCCTCCTCAAAATGACCCTTCGGAACCCCTCTCTACCCAACTTCTCCCCACAACCATGTCCTGCCGCACAGCCTTTGACGCTGCATTCTATTGCCAGTCCCTCGGTGGACAATTTAATAATTTATATCGATATGGTACTGCGCGAGATTGTAGCGAGACATGGTCGGACTTTTGGTTTTGTATGAAAACGAGAACATATGCCGATAATGAGAAGGCCAAACTGATTAAGGCACGATATATTGAGAAGGAGAGGAGAAAGTATGGGGATCCGGAGGATAAGAATAAGGAATTGGGAAAGAGTAGTGAGGATGTGTGGAAGGGAAGGGAACAGAGGTTAGAATGGGGCGAAGCATTTTGTGTGGAAGAGCCGAAATGGGCAGGGAGTGACGACGAGTGGAGGAGGATGGAAAGAGAACATAGGGAGGCGCGAAAAACTAATCTGTGAAATGAGCATGATATATAGCATGCTTACCGCATGAATCAGTCATGTGGATTGTCTTGATGTATAACAGGAGGGTTTGATGCGAAAAAGAGAAACTATGGTTTCATGGCAAAGGCGTTGAATGTTTAGATAGTGGGTCATCAAACTATCATATTGTCCTAATAGTACCTGGACAATAGTCCGTATAACCAGAAATAGAATATTTCCCCTCGAAGTTCCTGGTATACAGCTGCGCCAATCCTTCGGCAATCATAGCCAAACCTCCCGGTGACGCCTTATCCTTTCTGATCCCCGAGCCAAAGTAATATATACAATTATGTGCCCCTGCCTAAACATACCAAATATGCGCCTTGCCAAATCAAGACATGACCCATTTCCGCCCAGGTTAAACTCCTTGTTTAAGCAAACCAATGCGCTCATAATTATACACACGTGTAATACAACTTCTACATGCCTGGTTGTCTTGCCATACCCATTCCATTTTGCATCTGCATACCCGGCGGGAAACCTTGTTGCACACCTGCCTGCAGCTTTGATTTAATGTTTTGGAATACCATAGCCTGAGCTTGCGCTTGTAATCTTTTCTTCAATTGTTCCGGCAGCCCTTGAGGGTGTGCACCTGACGACATCTCTCTAGCGTGGAGCTGCTTGTATAACTGAGCCATATGTTGATGGGTCTGGGGTTGATTGTTGTTCACGTATTGTTGTATCAAAGCGTTTTGCTGCTGTGCCAGTGGTTGTTGCTGTTGTTGCATTTGCAATTGTTGTTGCTGTTGTTGTTGCATTTGCTGCTGCATTGCCAAATTCTGCATGTTCTGCATGTTCATATTATTTCCCATGAATTGTTGATTTGGGTTCATGTTAGGAGGCATGCTAGCTTGTCGCATGGCAGCTAGTTGGTTTTGGTAACTTTGAGATAATTGGTGGCTAGGATTATTAGCATTGGCTTGCATCTGCATGTGCCGCATCTGTTGATGCTGCATTATTTGCTGAGGAGTCATTTGTTGTCCGTTAGGCATTAGTCCCATGCTTTGAGCTTGCTGTTGCTGCTGTGCTTGTTGTTGAGCTCGTAATTGCATATAATATTGTTGTTGTTGTACGGGTGTGAGATTACCCAAAGCTTGAACATGCATTTGAGTCGGGTTCATTCCCATCTGACTCATTGCAGGTGCTTGCGCCATAACACCTTGAAGCGGGCTTCCCTGGCTCATCCTTGGCGTCAGTCCACGATTTAGTGGAGTAGATTGCATGTTAGGGGTGGCATTATGCATTCGAGGTGTTCCCGCATGGCTTTGCTGGCTTCTTTGAGGTACCATGCCATGAGCTGCGGGTGCGCCCATTTGAGGATGATTCTGATGAACCACAGAACCTGGACGAGGAGGACTGCCACCCATGCTCGACGTAGAGTGTTGCATTGCGTTGTTGCCAATACCATTATTGACTGTTGGCGATGCCTGGCTGTGCGGAGTTCCATTTCGGACGATTGGTGAAGACATCTGGGCTTGGGCACCTTGATGAGGATGGAAGCGTTGTGCCTGCATACCATTCGAGACAATCCCGTTTGCTTGAGAGGGATGCGCATGGGGACCTTGCGCTTGAGGAGGTATACCCTGCAAGGCTTGTGAATGCTGCTGCTGCTGCTGCTGCTGCTGCTGTTGTTGCTGTTGTTGTTGTGCAGCTAACGCGCGTCTCTGGGCTTCTTGCTGTTGCTGTTGTCTCGCTGCCATAAGTTGACGTCTTTCTGCCTCCTTTTGTCGAGCGTCTGCCAGCTCCTGCTTTCTTTGAACCTCTAGCTCAGCCTTGGACTTTCGCTCGGCTTCCTGCTCTTGTAATTTTTTCTGTGCTTGCTTTTCGGCGAGCTCTTTTCTGATATTTGCAAGAGCATTAAACTTCTCAAACCGTGCCTCAAAACCACCACCGGCTTGGCCAGCACCGTCAGCAACATTAGCCCCTCCTGCTCCACGAGCCACGGTCGCAGAGCGCTGTTCATCTAAAACGAGCATATAACGTTGCTCATCTGCGGCAAGAGCTTCATCAGCAGCCATTTCCGCGACTGTTCTTTTACGAGACTTGGGTTGAGGAGGCTTCTCTAAGTGCATAGGGTGAGCTAATGATTCTAGTAGTCGTGAACATTCTGTTGCACTATTTGCAGGTTCAAGCATCAAAGGAGCTGTAGTGGCTAGGATAATCTGAGCTTCTGCTGCATATACATTACCGCAGTTGAACTCGAGCTTGGCTTGTTTTATTCTCTTTGCAGGCGGTGGCATGTTTATACCGGGAGTTGGTGGAACAGCTCCAAGCGGTGTAGGTGGCTGTGCTAATGTAGCTGATGTGCTTCCATCAGAGCGTTCTTGACGCCCATCCATATCTGGTGTGCGAGGCGCGGTAGAATTACGAGCTATTTCGATATAGGTACTAATCGGTGTCGGGAAGAGTACACACATTGTCACTTTGCATTTTGCTGGTGGTGGAACTGTTTTGCTTCCCTGGGTATCGTTCGAGGCACCTGGCGCAGGCATGTTCTCCTTGTCCTGCTGAGCAGAAGTCTTCGACTTCGTCAGACCATCGCCCGTTTGTTCTCTCGAGCTCCTACTTTTATCTGGATCACGCCTAGGGTACGACGCATATGGAGATGGGGTAATGTAACTACTGAGAGTGTGAATAGAAACGCCTTCCTTGGTTCCGTCCTTGGGCTGAGATGAGGTTGGTTGGGGAGCAATGGATTTGTGATCAAGGATCTGGACAATCATGCAACCTTCGTAAAATGGTACTTCGTTTAGTATGAAATAATCTACCAATTCATGAGGTATAGTTTTCTGTCTGATATGCTCAAGGAGAATTCGCATCGGAGACACATAGGAGAAACTGCCTGGTTGTTGATCAAATCGAAAATGTGTCGCGTATAAATGGATAATGATGGAAGGAGGGCTTTTGCGGTATTTATTGAGTATGTAGCGCTCGGTTTTGACTGTAATGTTTTAGCATATGTATAACGACGGTGAAAGACAAGATAATACCATATGGTTGTGATTGCGCAACTTGTGGTATGACAAATTCTCCAGCAACACTGCCAGATCTCACACCAGCACCATTATTTTTCATTCCTCGACCAACCGTATGCCCCGAACGATTTCCTTTCGCAGAACGAGCCCCCGAAATGTTTCCACCACCATTGGCTGTATTGGAGTTTTGGAAATTTTTGGGACCTGCACCTAGTTTACCGGCGGACATTGATGGGGATGGTGAGGAGGTTGATGAATTGATGCCATTTGTTTGAATAGACATAGGCCGTTTGGCTTTGCTTGTCGCCTGAGCGACCGATGCGGCAGGAGCCATTGGTAAATTTGATTTCCGTACAAAATATACTTCAGCTAAACTATTCAAGTCGTCGCAAAAGTTACCGTCCTTTGCGCGCTATCGATAATTCGTTTGACCTTGTCCATCTATTGCGACCGATAATTCTGCCCTGAATTTGAGATATTCAAAGATGCGACTCTCTTCAACACCTCGAGCTGATGAGCTTATACCAGAAAAAATATCGTAATTTTATGATGCAACGCGATACCAAATCTACTATGATGTTCTCGAGGGGAGTTGGAGTGTGAAGTGTGGAGACAGAACCAAGAGAGCCACAAGCCAATAAGCATTCTCTAGAACTAACGGAGGATACGTTATTCCGAACCGAACAGGTCCTCTTGTTACAAGTCGAAACTTGTTCATTGAACTTCAAAGAAATTCTCTACATCTCGGGCATCTGTTTGGCTTTCACCTAGGTAATTACACCTTGATAAATATGTTTGGAATAAATTAATCTTCTCAATGTCTCCCGCGATAGAAAAAGTCCTCGAAATGATTTTGACAAATTTCAAATGAAATAAAACATTTATTTCTTTTTATTCTTTGTTTGATGTATTCTAGTAAAACTATAATTGGAAAATGTAAGAGGTCAAATCTTTTATTTTTTCAAAAACATGCTTTTAAATTGCAAGCTTCTTTATCAAAGAATTGATTACTTTGAATTACAAGTCTCAGGACTCTGCCCCTTTCTCCCACCCCGAGTTTAGCGACCGCCCATCACAGAAGATGTATACGCGAGCCAGCCGCCACTTTCAACATCTAGAAGAATCGCACTCCTTCTTCTCAACTTTTGGTTTCCAATTCTCTTCTAGGACTCACTTGTTCGATCATTCAACCTCAACATACTTCTTCGATTCGTTACCATACAGACTCACTTCAAACACCCCCTTTCATTGGCCTCACAACAACTTCAAGCCTTGACAAATTCCCCATATGAAACCAGGAGTCTAGATTTACTATTCTGGTCTCGATGGTCTCGATTGTATGGAAAACAATCATTTCCTTGAATAGAATTTCATTTTATGAAATACGAATATGTACACAGTTCAACTCTCTTCCTTTGGTCACCCTCATGTCAGAACATATTGCTTACCTTGGCTTTAGTTTTGCTTTCATATATAGATTGCAACATCGCCAATCGAAAAAAAAAATATTGCGACTTCTATCTACCTGCGCCGCCGATGAATGAGTGTCGAGGAAAGGGTTCCTTGCATGATGAAGATAGCGGTGTAAATCTTACATATTGTTCTGTGCTGATTTTTCATGAGAAGGACCAACTGTCGACGTGATTATAGTATTGCATATACACCATCCTAAAGACCAAATTCCAAACGCCAGCGATCAAAAGCCGATTAAGAGGCGGCTCAGAGCAATTAGGAGATTACAAGAAGCAGTCTATGACCTGGGAGAAGCGCTACCTGGATTCATGGCATTAATAAAAGAATGCAATCCGTATTGAGAGCTTCGAGGGGTTTCCTTGATTCAGCCGCTCCTTTCAACAGGACAGCATATTTGGCGCTGGGGCAGTTATACGATTATTTGCAGCTGCAACCTCAATTTTTTGAAAGGGAGGCTACGCGTACCGGATCCGGAGTCAGTTTACATGCTTGGCAGCTAATACGATAAGACATGGTCCATGGAATATGCTATTTGCCATACACCGAGGATCGAGAACTATTATTGAGATCGACCGACTACGATACAAATAAAAGTAGATTACAGATGAACATATCGCGGAACGAAATTGTAATTACAGTAGAAAATCTTAGTCTAGCCTTGCATACGCAACTACAGAGGACCATCGCATCCTGATTCGGAACATAATCAGAACTCCTCAGTAACTACAGAATAGAGGAGCCTTAAAAGTAAATCATCACTTCACAAAAGAAAAAGAAGAGCAGAAAGAGAAATTCCGAGATAATCAGCATTAATAGAAATAATAAACTTAATAATAGGGGAAGGAAGATTTTAAGCGAAAAGAAAAGAAAAAAATCAGGCCCCACTTATAAACTTGTATAATTACCTCGAGCATCAACTACATCTCATTCAAAAGAATCTGGAGAATGCTATGTATAATTTTATTACTATTTTCCGGCATAGCTAACAATATAATAATCAAATCTAACAATTCCATCTCAAATCTCGAAGTCAAAATTTTAAATTTTTAAAAAAAAATATATAAATCAGAAGTTGATTTAATATCTCTAATTTCACGAATTAAATATCAAATATCAAATATCACATTTGTCATCAATATAACCTTCATTCCACGAAAGAAAGAAGCAGCCAGAGATAAACAACTTTGCAAAGTATAAGTCTATCACATTTAATCTGGGGTGTCTAGGAAGTCTGCAATCAGGAATCTGAAATTTGGAACTAATTCCACAAAGCGGCTCCGGCTTCATAATATCGCGAGAACCTGAATCATACGATGGTGTATGAATCTAGCAATAACAATGAACCGTGAAAATCGCGAAAGAACTTTCTTTGAAGCAGAAATAGAGTATTTAATTATTCCAGTATCATCACAGTCATATGCTACCTAGTATTCCATACTAACAAAAGCCCTTACCGAGATCTCACATCTCCCAGATTCACATCTTATAGTGGACTGCCATCGCCATCTATAAGCACAACACTTATACCGTAATTCCCGAGCAACTGCCCACATCACCAAGCACCATTTCATCCACCTCAATCGCCATATCCACTCAAGCCATCCGAAGGCATTCCCAAGCTATTTCCTAGCATGTCTATCTATGGTAGACCCCTTTTCTTTGGCCTTTTAAATACTCCCTCTACAATCCCCTGAGAGAGTGGGGTGTTAGGACTAACCTGTCCCGAACCGATGCGACTTGCCTGACTGTCAGCTTCTTTTGAAGCAGCACCATCACCTGTTTGCTCAAAGAGATTGTTAATTTCCAACCCTTGTGGAAGTCCAGCTTCCCCCAGTTCGAATGGCTGCAAGACCTCAAAATTTAGATCGGGTAAGTCATTGATAGCGGAACGAATTCTTTCCAGATGGGTCGGCATCCAGATATCGTAGACATTCCTTGTAAATTGTATGCTGTCCATTTCTCTTTACCATCTAGCTCTGTAAAATCAAATGTGCGGATCATATGACGATGGAAAGTAATTTTCTTATCATCAATCACAGGATAGTGACCATAAATCCTCACGCCTCGATGATCGTGCGACATTGAAAATGCTAGTATTTCTTGATGAAGTTCCTTTCCTCGTTTTACGAATCTGAAAAGCTCTACTATCGCTCTTACTGCAATTGTCATACTATGAGCATTTTGACGATCGGCAATATCGAGAGCTGCAGTACCGCATTTTGCTTCTGATGTAAAGAACGGAAAGTACATTCGCCAAGTACCCATAAAATAGGAGGTACAGCTATCCATAACACCCGCAACAAAAGGTTCAAGCTTTCTCAATTGATCTTCTGTAAATGCAGATCGTCCAAACCCCACAGAGTAATCCGGTTGTGGACGAGGGCCGGCGAAAGGTATAGTTCTATTCCAACCTTCGTTGACACTCTTATTTAAAACCTTGAGATGTTTCGCACCGTAGATTCTTAGAACTTGAGCAGATGGAGATAATAAAGGGGCAATGTCTCGAACAAGCATTGGTTCATTTCTCGCTTGTATACTTCTGCAAGTTTCTTCGAAAAGGTCGTCACGAAACAACGTATTTTCAGGGATGGCCTGTTCTGACTCAAGTAAGGTTCGACAAAGTGTTTTGCTTGTATTTGTAATGCCTAGATCGGACTGGTCCATGAAGCTACCTTTAGTGGAAAGTAATGTCTCATAACTCGAACGTAGATACGAGGCACTTTTGAGTTCCCTCGGCTTTTGATCGCTAGGAGTGGTAAAGCTAATTGCAGCGGAATAGCCAAATTCCGATGGTTTGCTATGAAAAGATGAAGAAGACTTCTTTCTGACAAGTAGATTCATGTTTCCCTCCCGTTCAAAATATTTCTTTGGCTAGCCGAATGCTCTTCTCTAGTATTCAAGTGGATCGATGTCTTCATCGCTAATATGAACCGCTATGGTTTCGGGGATTTTATATTCGAAAGGAGATCCTGAGCGGGATGTTCGTAAACGTTTTTGAGATGGAGCAATGGTAGAAGAGGGGGTGCCTTCGTTTTCTTGTATTCGTTTGCGTTTTCGATCCTTAGCCGGTAGAGACTTCATTTGAGTTATTATTGTAGTGTATCGGAGCAAGAATGGAGTACCTTTTGGTCGGGAGTGTTGCTGGTGGGTGAGGGAAGCTGCTTCGATTTGATATTCCTGTCTTTTGATGCAGTTCCGTCTTGGGGAGATGACATCCTTTCTAGACGTACGCTCTTACGAAGGGAACTCCGGGATTGTCGCCCGACTTTTCGCAGGTCTCGTTTTCACGTATGTGTGGCCATGTCTTTGGAAGGAGGGTTGATGAACAGGTGCCTGGAGTGGATGAACATGTGGATAGAGATGAGGAGAAGACTTGACGTGCTAATTAATGAATGGGCCGGAGTTTGGGTTGAAACATGACAGCGTCAGTCATCCACACGTAATCATCCACGCGATGACACGAGACCACGCCAAAATGAAGCTGTGGTTGAACTTGTGAGGCGATGGATATTTTAGCATCAGGCACCCTCGAGTCTAGAGTTGGGTTGAAGACGCTTTGGCTTGTCAGTCAGCGCTAGGCCAGATATAGGCCCGGGCGCTTCAGGTTTCAAAATAACCTATCATTAGGTATGGCAGGTATTTGTGGAATCCGACAACGAAGAATTCATTTTGAAACCGAATTCGAGGGACCTACTCCGTAACATGTTGAGAACTGGCGAAAGTAATAGGACTGCCTCGTTATTATTTCCTATCAGCATCTTAAAATCCAAGTGGTTTCTGAATATCCCCATTTCTCATGACTGCATATCTCTCCAATCGAATCTTATCCCAAATCGCCAACCAGGCCAAAATGAAGAGCATCATCGAAACTATGGATGAGATGATTCTACCCAGCTAACTCAGCAGCATTCTGACATTCTATCAAAGAGGTTTGCCTACCTAATAGACACAGAGATGGAGAAGCCATCCTTCCGCTAGTGCCACTAGTGCCTTATTCACGTGACTCTGGTGCGAACACAGACCAGTTCTGGAGTATACCTACTAAGCATTTTCATTTCGACATCAATCTATTGGCGTCAATAGAGAGAAGAAGTTCACCGGCAGTAATTATGTATCATGCAACAGTCAATAATACAAACTGGAGGTAGTCTGGCGCGGCGGAATATTCCATATGAACCGGATGCTCGGTATATTTTGATGCGAGCTAGTCATAGGTCGTCAGGGGCGTCAAAAACACTATGGGGAAGTGCAGCAAAATCCATTGTTATTTTTAGCCTCGTGGATATGTTGTGACTAAGATCTTAAACTCAATGACTGAAGACTTCAAAAAGGGGAAAGTTACTTTTCTACGCCGCTACAACCAACGTCACATGGATGTGCCGTTGAAAGTCACAAAGGTCGTAGGTAGTGGTTTCTACCAAAAGTCGATGGGGAATTAATGGGGAAAAAATAAGTATCGTTTGACACTTATTAACATCGAATGTCTGACCTTGAGAGCAGTGCTTTATAGACCTTCGCTTCCCATGAACATGAACCTTATTCGAGCCGTTCACTCGGATGCGAAGGGCCAGACTCTCTTGCGATTCTTGGCATATAAAGTCCCTTGGTGTTACTATCTACTGTTCATGGTGTCACCAAGTACAGTGAGACCTAAGGGCCGAATTGGTAAATAGTGCATTCGATAAGGAGAAGAAACGTATCCATAGGATCTTTTCCTTCTTCTAGATGTACAGAAGAGTCCGTGCATATGGCAAGCACCTGACATATGGAATATCCGAAATATAGACGTGAGATGAGTAAGGTTACGACGAAAAGACTGTTATGACGAATTATTAATATTGTCATTGCTGGTAGGCTTCGGTATATAGAAACATGAAAATTCTAGCAACGAAATAGTAGGATTATTCACAAATGGTAGTGCTCTTGTAAGTCCGATATAATACTACGTGATTATTACGTAATTATTAACGTCTTGAAGAAAGAGATCGATCGCATTGTGCATTAAGCTTAAAGAGATTAATTACTTTAAAATTCGTTAACTATCGATTGGCTAGACCCCGTACGTGTCTTGTAAACACGTGTAATTCTTCTTAAGCGATGATCTCTACTCCGTATGTGTAAACTCGTCGCCTCGAATTGTAGAATCCTTCTGACTTCATGTTCATAGTAGAGCTGCCTCCATTGATGAATAGCTTCTAAATCATTCTTACTACGATTCCTACGTTCTCTACACATCAGAGGGCTTCTGTATTTACTAAAAATATATCTGAATGAGAGTTACCAATCATTCCTACGCGAGCGGTGTGATGATTAATTAATTGAACTTTCTAAGGGTGTATTCCGGGTAACTTTAAGTTCTCAAATTCCAAAATCTTAATCAAGATTCCAGGGAATGTCCATTCTACACTCGTAAAAAAACATGTTTTCTTCTGAGGCATTTGTTTAAACTCTGTGTCTACTTAATTCAAGTAGTTATTTGAATTGGTTGAAGGCATTGAATTTTATACAACACACGATTGCAAGATTAGAATGAAAGGATCATCAACATATATGACTAGATAATTCCGGCTCATTTCAAAGACAGACTCTTTCAAGTGGTAAAGGAAATAGCTGGGGTATTTTGCCAAAAGTCCCTACTACAGTTGCTAGATGAGGAGAAATTTTACCACCAGTGATCGTTCATAATGATGACCATCAATCCAATTTAGGAACAAACTTCGCCGTTCATCTCTCTTCAAGAATCTGGGGTAAGCCATAAGATCCCCCCAATAAATATCAAGGTTGTACGACTTTAACAACGTTTTTTCCTTGGCAAATTTAGCCAGAATCCTCAAGTGCGGCTTCGAAACCCCTAGATGCCGAAATGGACCCATCTCAACGCGTTTCAAAACGTTAGTAACGGAATAATCTCCCAAGTATATCTACTTTCGTCCTTCTCCGAGGCCTTTACCGAAGAACTTTATTTCCATATCAATATATATTAATTCGTCTCGAACTTTTATTGGCGGAAAAGTGGGCGAAGCATCTTGGCTCTCAAGCACCCCACAAGAGATATCCCGGATCATTCTGGAATCTGGATGTACTCGAGTAGATTAGGGATTCCCCTCCAGGAACAATGGTGAAGCCGCACCAAACTTGAAGCTTTATCCTCTTGCGGACAGCTGCATATTACAATTTGCTCAGAAAGGTCCTGCCAATCTACCAAGCGCAAGGTCTCCCCAGACAATGAATCCTTCAATTTCTTCTGATGTTTTATACGAGTTAGCGCGTGTACCTTTGATATGTATATTGGATTTTGTATAAATACGAGTCCCATTCGCTGTTACCTTTTTCTTCATCCAAACATTCTACACACAATCAAGTATCCTTCAACTCCATCATCATGAAATTCACTCAGTCCTTAGTCTCATTAGCCTTGGCAACCATTGCTGTCGCCTCTCCTACCGCCATCGTCGATAAGAGAGCTACAACAAAATGTGGGCAATGGGATACTTTCCAAACCGGAACTTATACCATCTACCAAAACCTCTGGAACATAACCGGTTTCACCGGGTCTCAATGCACAACTCTCACTTCCGACACGAGTAATACTCTTGTCTGGTCCACTGCCTGGTCGTGGGCAGGAGGATCTTCTCAAGTCAAGTCCTATGCAAACGTAGGACTTACCATGTCACCTAAGGAGGTCTCTACCATTAAAAAGATCCCAACTACTTGGAAGTGGAGGTTTGTTTCGTCCGAGCTATTCAAAAAAAACCTAGCTAATCATGACTCCTTCTAGCTACACTGGCTCCAATCTCGTTGCTGATGTATCCTATGATTTATTCTCTTCAGCTAAAGGATCTGGCGCTGCGGACTTCGAGATTATGATCTGGGTCGCTGCCCTTGTAAGCATCTACTGCCATTGTCCTAATTTATGTAATGTTACAAATGCTAACGTCTACTAGGGTGGTGCAGGACCAATCTCAGCAACCGGAAAACCTGTTGCAACTGTAACCATCGCCGGAGTGTCATGGAAACTCTACACCGGACTCAATGGCTCCACTACAGTACATTCTTTCGTCGCAGCTAGCTCAGTTACCAATTTCTCTGGTGACTTGAAGGAATTCCTTACTTACTTGGTCTCAAACCAAAAGTACCCAGCCACCCAAAAACTTACAACAATCCAAGCTGGTACCGAACCATTCACTGGTAAGTTCATTCCTTGATCATTTAGTTGCTTGGAAGCTCACACAAATCAGGTTCCAAAGCTACCTTCAGCACCTCCGCCTACAGCGTCTCCTTGAGTTAAACCCCGAACAGGGACATCAGAGAAGCCCTGCAGAGGCTTGATAGGTTCCGCCGTTAGAAATATGCATGCAATGATATGATTGAGAAGAAGCTTTTTGTACATAACTTTCCCTTCAATGGCCATTTTGAAAATAAATGGCAATGTATATATTTAAATAGTGTATTTACTACCAATTGCATGAAAGTCTTGAATGAGAGTTTCTATGTTAGCCTCCTCAATACATTGCAAAGTGCCCGGAACTTTTAGTCAATAGATCTGTCCCATCTCGAGTATTCTGTGGCCTGCTGAAAATATACGCCCCTATCAATGAAATAAAAGACGAAAGGTTTCAATGCAATGCTCATTCTCCATTAAAAAAACATGAATTGTCCCAAAAACATAATATGTATAGCAAAAGGGACATTTATTTCTAGATATCCAAACAATGAATGAATTGTTAAAACGGTATATAACCTTAAATATTACACTCGAACATTCAATTCCTTTCACAGTACTAGAAAGGCAGACTAGCTGTGGACGGATAGCTAGACTAAGAATAGATAATAGCTTTTCTTCTCAGGTGAAGAACTCATGAGCTAGCCGTGTTCTGATTCTGACAGATTTTCGGCTGGTCCCATGCAGATATCAAGGTTCATGCAACAGCAGATTTTTCTATAACTGGGGGAAAGTCAATAAGTTAAGCTTTATTGTTTTATATCGGTCAAACTTAATCTTATTGTTGTAGCTCGGCTCGGATGATATAAATAATATATGCAGAGCAATTCTCCGTAAACGTAGGTAAGCGTAAACCGTAAATGTGAAAATCGGTAAAACCGACCAGAACTTACCGATGAATATGCGCTAGTCCATATATGGCAAGCTCCTCCTCGCGTAATTTGTTGCCCGCACTTTGAATATTTACAACATTTTCAATATCTCTTTTTCGAACCTCGAACTACGACAATCTCCATTCCGCCCAAAGAACTTCCAACGACAAACCCTTCGAACATAATTCCAAATACCGCAAAAATGGGTGGTGTTACTGTTCGCGATGTTGACGTAAGTATAAACATTTCCACCAGATGTGTAGGAGAGGAAGAGGAAGGATGAGCTTGAAAAATCAATTTGCGACGGCGAATTTGGATTCTAGTCGTTCACATCAACAATCTTCACAAATCTTGAACTTCGCAGTCTACCTTCTCGTCGATAAATGAGCAGGTGTGAGGGGGTCGAAAGATCTCCGCTGACGGAATTATGCTGATTCGACGGGTTAATTCAGGCACAAAAGTTCATTGAAGCATATGCTGCTTTCTTGAAGAGACAAGGAAAGCTCCCAATTCCAGGTACGTACTGACTTGAAATTCTGAATCCCTATTTTCCTGCATAACTGCCTAGTTTCAATCTGCTAACACGATTTTTTAAAGGTTGGGTTGATACCGTCAAGACCAGCGCATCCAACGAGCTCCCCCCTCAATCCATCGACTGGTACTACGTCCGTGCCGCTGCCAACGCTCGTCACATCTACCTCCGCAAAACCGTCGGTGTTGGCCGTCTCACCAAGGTCCACGGTTCAACCAAGAACCGTGGTTCCAGACCATCGCACCACGTTAACGCCTCCGGATCTGTTGACCGTCACGTCTTGCAATCCCTCGAGAAGATCGGTGTTTTGGAGCAAGATGAGGAGAAGGGAGGTCGTCGTATCACTCAATCCGGACAACGTGATTTGGACCGTATCGCACAAACCACCGTTGAGGCCGATGAGGAAGAAGCTGATGAGTAAATTATTTACATCATGGTCTGGGAATGGGAATCTTTACGGGGTTTGGGCTATATGGTGTATCACATATAAATAAAAGCTCGTCCTAAAGCACTTTGCTTTTCATTATACCCCATATGTTATAACGGTTAACGTGAAAGAATATCATTTTTGAAGCTTATCCCTTCGAAGCTCCGATTCTGCAATTGCCTACATCTCTAGTCAATCCAATTCGTAATGATCCTTACAACATTTTGAGATCTTAAATCAAACCCATGCCCGTAGGGGAGAAACCTCCAGGAACTGACAATTAACAACGGGCAATTTCATGTCCCGCCAACCCTCCACAATGACCTCTCAACATTTCCTTACCCATGCCCTTCATCAAGATAGATAATACTATTTGAAAAATCAACATCAACAGTAACCCTAACATTCCAAATTCATCAAGGAATCATGATTTAGGGATGTATTGATGTAGTATTTCGAGATAAGCTCTGGTGATTGGATTATAGAATGTGAGATATAATGTTATGTGGGTTGTTTTATCAGATGATGGGCAGTGTATAACTATGAATCCTTTGAGGGATGTGGTTTGGTTGAAGTATTCTTCGCCCTTGAGGCGAGGTAGCTATGGATTTTGGTGATGTTAATTAATGCTGATCTAGCTTTCAATGGTGAGAAGATGTGATTGGTGGATTGACGGGCGATTGGGGGTTTGAATGCTACTCCTCCCTTATATGATGCGGAGCTGGAGCGATGAGTTGAGAAGGATCTGATGATGAAAAATATATATGGCTATGAACTGGTCATCAAAGGTCTCAAGTCACGCACTGAGGCAGTAGTTCTAACTTTCAATGTTACCTCTAATCTTAGGTTGCATTGGCTATCTTGACCATTACACTCGGGCAATTCACTCTCAGGAGAAAACGCATCGCTTTCTACATCATTCTCATGACACTAAAATCCGAATTGGACCACCACAGGATCGGGCGAGTCTAATGTGCGGTCTTGACGTAGCTCTCATGCTCCTTCAGAGAGTTGACATTTAACTTGGGCAATGTGGTCAACTGGTGGAGATCACGTCTTTCCTTCCTGAGGCGCTGCCTCGTGCCACTACGTCAATTGCAAGCTTTTCGTATCCATTCGAATGGAAAACCATTGGTGCACATGAAGCTTCGAACCTAGCATGATAGCGTACAGACCGCGATTGGAAACTTTTGAGGCGCATCAAGCATTCTTGTGCATCGCTGGAGAACAAAACAATATCTTTGCTTTGAAACATATGAAGGTAGCGGATTAAACAGAAGGAGCTGGCTCATATTTAACGAGCCTGGCACTGCTGCCAGGCTAGAATCTCGTCACCACCCAGAAAGAGGAGCAGCTTGATGGAATGGCCACTCTCCACACGTTGGACTCAGAGTAACCCAATGCATTCCCTTAAATAAGAACGGAAATATGTTTTTGCTTCCCATCTGCTTGATTCCTGAAATGTCTTTATTTTCTAACTGGATGGTGTGACTGAGTAACCATTCCTACCATGAAAACCACTTGCTTTTCCATGAAAATTAGACTCCTGGCTGTGTGCTCCATGCTGCGACTAGATCTAGAAAGTGTGACTTCCAAAGATTGCTTTATTTCAGCTGAAGAGCTTCATCCAAAACTCTTTGACTACCCCTGACTTCTCGCAGCGCCGTTTGCTCTTCTATGCAAGCAGCATCCCGCTTGGCATGCATAGCACTGTCCTGTGTGGAATATTCTGTTTGTATGCATTTTTATTCAATCGCTTAATTGATGGCGTATTTGCCAAAATAGAAGAAAGGATATAGGAAAACACAGCTATTTAGAGTTCTAAATCTTAGGAATAAACAGAGAAATTTATGATTCTAGTGAAAAGAGAAAAGCAATGTCACCCCCAACCACGCACTTTCAAATGCCGAAGTTCTGCCACAATCCTTACAAAGGCCCAAGAAATTCTCACACGACCATTTATGCATCTTCCTTTCACCTGAAAGGCAACCATGCTTGTAGAATGACCTATTGGAGGTCCATTCTCAAAAGTTATGTCTACTCTCTGCATCATTCCGACACATCCCATATTACAGTGTTTTTGTATAGGAATCATGAGAATACATAAAAGCCATCCGGTAAGTGGATATGGACTGAGAGTTTTCATCTTTCCTGAAATACTGGAAGTATGCCTGCATTGAAGATGCCATCAATGAGGATATTTCTCAAGAACTTAACACCGCAGGTATTTCGAACATCTAAACCCTTTACTACCAACCACGAAGTTGCTACCGCGGCAGAGCTAATCCCCAGAGTCGAAAACCATGTCAAACAATACATGTCGAAATTTGATGCCTCCCACGATTTCGCCCATATCAAACGCGTTGTACGCAGAGCTCATACCATACACGAAGAGATAGTCGCGGATGCTGTCAGGACAAATCAGCCTGTACCGCAATACGACATAACTACTATCACCCTCTCTGCTCTGTTACATGATGTCGGGGATAGAAAATACGTCAATCTCAAAAAGGAAAATCCGAAGACGATGATAAATACCTTGCTGCTGGGCTTTGGCAGGTACCGAACTGGCCGTGAAGATACAGACCATTTGTTCGGCCGTTTCACACTTCGAAGAAATGAAAGATCTTCAAGCCGTTCGAAACCTCATCGATCAATATCCAGAACTTGCCATTGTTCAAGATGCAGACCGCCTAGATTCTCTTGGAGCCATTGGTGTTGGAAGGGTCTTCACATATGGTGGCGCGAAAACACAAAGATCTATGCTAGAGTCGATAGGTATATTCGATTGGAAACTGCTCAAATTGCAGCCTTTGATGAAGACGGAACCCGGCAGAAGAATGGCACAGGAAGCGATGGGACGATTGGAGCTATTTAAGGAGTGGTGGGTGGAAGAAGCCGCAATTGAGGATGGCTACGAACCGCGTATTACACAGTAGGTATTATAAATGGACGTTGGGCGTGTGATAAGCTGGGTAAACTTATTTTGCTGGTTTGGAGTTCGCTAGCTTGCTAAGTTGGCATTGGGATGAATAGATATGGGCATGAATTTTAGCGCAAGAGGGGTCTCTCGATGCAGCGTTCATCTTCTGATCCTTCGTCTCTTGATGTCTTGTCACATGTTGTCACCATGGTTTCTGGAAAGAAACCAAAATTACTAAACCTCTGCCGATTGACCTTGCATTAACTCCTAAGTTCGTAACTTCGAGATACATTATGCATTTATCGATCAAGACTGCGCTTGAATTGATCTATAGTCCGGAGACACAAATTTTTCCAGATCTGCTTCTTTATACCCTACAAATAAACCAATCTTGGGGTTGCATATATCATATGTGGGATATGTGACGACCTACCCTCGTAGCTTTCATCTCTTATTGGAAGGTCTTGCTTGATATTAAAATGCATTTTCCAGGTTCCTGCATCAAGTGATGTAGTACTGCATCAATATTATGCACTGATTGATCGCGACCCCGCGTTAAAAACAAGTACTTAATTTTCATGACAACAGCATGTTTTCACTTATTTTACAACAATCCCTCGACCACCTGTCTCATTGTTTGTCGTTAGTTTTCAATATGACACTCAAGAAATATTTGGAGGCTTGTGTATTCTTCCTGTCTCCGTTCGTGGTAGCTCAATGGAACATCACATTTGACCCGCTTCAGTACGTTAACCAACTCATTGGTACTAATAATGGTGGAAATGTTTTTGCAGGAGCCACGCTTCCATACGGGATGGCCAAGGCGGTTGCTGATGTTAATGGTCAAAATACTGCTGGGTTCTCCACGGATGGTAGCAATGTGACCGGATTCTCACATATGCATGATTCTGGCACGGGCGGAAACCCTTCGCTGGGCAATTTCCCACTATTTCCTCAGTACTGCCCTGATGATGCCCTTGATAATTGCAAATTTTTGATCACAGATCGAGCTACGCCATATATTCTTGACTCTGTTGTGGCTACGCCGGGATATTTTGGATTAAGTCTAGCGAACGGGATTCATGCAGAGATGACAGTTTCAGAACATGCTGCTCTCTATCATTTCAATTTTCCTGCAGAATCTTCTTCGAATGGAACGGCATTGAGTCCGCTCATTCTCTTGGACTTGACGGATTTGGGTGCCAGTAGACAGAATGCGACCATTGGTGTGGCCGACAATGGTCGCATAAAAGCAAACGGTACATTTATTCCAAGTTTTGGAAGTGGTTCATTTATGTCATATGTCTGTGTTGACTTCTCTGGAGCGAGCATACTAGACACCGGGATATGGGTCAATAATAGAGCAGGAACGGAGCCAAAGGAACTATTCGTTACGAGAGGCATAAATCTCTTCTATATTCAAGCTGGAGGTTTTATTCGCTTCAACGCACCGACCAATGGAACCGTCAGTGCCAGAGTGGGTGTTAGCTTCATTAGCTCGGATAAAGCTTGCCAGAATGCAGAAAATGAAATTCCAGATTGGGATTTTGCCTGGCTCAAGAAAACAGCTGAGGATGCATGGAGGGAGAAATTGAGTGTCGTAACTGTAGAAGCTGGGAATGGTAGTGATACTTCGCTATTAACCAACTTCTATAGCGCGATTTATAGGACTATGATGTCCCCGCAGAACTATACTGGCGAGAATCCGTTATGGAAAAGTAGCGAACCATACTTTGATTCGTTTTATTGGTAAGTCTTTAGTCACTTGGCTGGGCCCATGGAGAAATAACAATCACACAGTATATGGGATGCATTCAGATCACAGCTCCCATTCCTCACAATAATTGATCCATCCGCCCTGTCAGAGATGATCCGCAGTCTCCTCGATACCTACAAAAACATTGGCTGGCTGCCAGATTGTCGCATGAGTCTCTGTAAAGGCTTCACTCAAGGAGGTTCAAATGCCGATAATGTTATATCTGACGCATATGCCAAGAATCTCACCGGTATAGACTGGCAACTTGCCTACAAAGCAGTTGTTAACGATGCGGAAAACGAGCCATCAGATTGGTCCAATGAAGGACGTGGTGGTCTCATGTCCTGGAAAGCGCTAAACTATATCCCGTACCTCGATTACGATTATTTAGGTTTTGGTACAAATTCTAGAAGTATTTCCAGAACTTTGGAATATTCTTATAACGATTTCTGTATCTCAACTCTTGGAAAGGGGTTAGGGAAACCAGACTATACGAAATATCTAAAGCGCGCGACGAATTGGCAAAACCTGTGGAAGGAAGATCAGACATCGTATATTAATGGTGCAGATACAGGGTTTACGGGATTCTTCCAGCCCAAATATCTGAATGGGACGTGGGGATATCAGGATCCGATACTGTGCAGTCCATTGGATTCGTTTTGCAGTTTGACGAGTAATCCGCAGGAGACATTTGAGGATAGTATATGGGAGTATCAATTGTGGGAGCTTCTATCTTCGTATAGTATGTTCTGCTAACAAATCAATAGTTTTGTACCGCATGATATTGCGACTCTGATTGACTTGATCGGTGGCCCTGAGAAGTTTATCTCTCGTCTCGATTTTTTGCATACAAGTGGTCTAACGGATATCGGAAATGAGCCTTCATTCCTAACAGTATTTCTGTACCACGTTCGTCTTCCAACCTCTATCACCCCACAGCCCCTTCCACTAATCCATCACTCCAGTACGCAGGGCGTCCTGCCCTCTCTGCCTCCCGTGCTCACATGTACATTCCCGCCTACTTCAACGCCTCCACCATCGGACTACCCGGCAACGACGACACCGGCGCCATGGCATCCTTTACTGCCTTTTCCATGATGGGATTATTTCCAAACCCTGGACAAAATGTATATCTAATCATGCCTCCCTTTTTCGAATCCGTCAGTTTTACAAATGAAAATAGAAAGAAAAGTACGATTAGGAATTTGGGATGGGATGGTGGTGTAAAGAATATTTTTGTGCAGAGCGCGAAGGTGAATGGTGTGGTGTGGAATAAGAGTTGGATGTGAGTTTTCTTTTGATACCTACTGTGAATGAGTGGATAATGGGCTAATTTGTTGTTAACGTAGTGGACATGAATTCTTCACCGAGGGACAGACGTTAGAGTTGGTTTTGGGTGATACGGAGAGTGATTGGGGGACTAAAGAGGAGGATTTACCTCCTAGTATGAGCATTGGTAATATGAAGTTCTAGTTGAGAATCTAGGTGTCGTCCCTCGCAGGGTATTCGACAATCCAGCATAGCAGACCACTTGAGGTTTTCGATGTCTGAAAGGGCTTAGATATTTAAATATGAGTTACTGCTTCGAGTAATCTGAAGTCCTAATTAGATTCAATATTTCAAAAGCTTTTGATTGTAGGATTGTAGCCCAGACTACTGAATACCATTGCAAGTCACTTTCCCCCTCTTGCCGTTTAATCTCCCCTCATCATAAGCTCAGCTCAGCTCAGTCCCCGTAATCATATATCCTCAATGTGAACAGCACCCAAATTCTGAACCCCTTAAGTAAGCGAAGGGACTTCCCTTTCTACACGCTTCTAGAACGTTAATGTGGATTCGAGTCATTATATCAACATCTTGAAATAGAGAGTGGGTATGTTTAAGAGAAATATGTATATAAGTAGGTTAGTTAACTTACAGCTCATTTACTTCTGCTTGTTTGTGTGGGAGATGTGTTCCGGGATATTGTATAATATATTATTATTCTGAATGGACCATGTTGATTCCGAAACAGACTTAAAAAGTAATAATAAGATTAATGATAAGATATAATCCCTTGCTCTTTTATATTTATATTATCTAAACTTAGTTTATTTATAAATAAATCTACTTTAGTCACGAATACTCTTACTCCCCCTGATTTCTGATTTCATTATTAACTAGCTCATTTCACAATATGGCATATTTCGGAATGAGCTAAGTTCATTTCAGAATGTCGAAAGTGCACAATGGCCCGGAACAAATATACTTTAAAAAGTAACCTTATCATTGATATAGAATATAATGTATGTATGAGTGTCTCAACATTCAAGGTCCATGGGATGAATCAAGTCAGAAAGTGTTATTAAAACAGCTTTAATTTAAGCCCGGTCTTCGTGATAGGCGTCGAATGGTAAGTCTATGGGAGACGATAGACGAGGTTATTGGGGATGGCGACTTGATAAAGGGACAATGGTGCTACGTGGGATAATAGACAGATTACAGTGGTGAGAACTCTAGAAGAAAAACTTGAGTATCATGAGAACCAGATATATCTAATATTGCTGTGTAAGACTGATTTTAGGGAAAGGATGTGTTTTTTACGGAAATGTCGATTTAAATCAAATTGAACGAGAACTTCACACGAGTCTTGGCAGAGAATCATGATTTCACTTGCAAGGGACCAAAAATATATTTATAGTCATCAGTTCATGAGAGTAACAATGGAGAGATTTTGCAATCAATTTTTACTTACATATGAATCAGTCTTTTTCAGAGGTATATAATAATTCCTGTCTCCCTACCTTCCTTTGTTCAAGGAAACTTCCTAGAAAGCCTCTTCTTGAAACATAATTATGAAGTCACAGAACAAACCGTCATTCTTTCGCAACTCTAATGATTTAATCGACCGGTTAGTTCCCTTATAAGCTGATTCCACCTTAAGCAATCATAATAGGCTTGATCTTGAGCATCAACTAGGCTGGCCAGACCTAAAGCTTCTTAACTTTCTCGGGCGACAGGGATCTTTCTGAATCCTCTGTTTGTTCTCTCCTTTCTGCACAAAAGTCCTATCATACGCTATTCATCTATTCCTTCCTTCCCATCTCGCTATCCCGCCAAAACTCAATGTCCTTAAAATGGCTAAACCCTTCCCTCAAGATTAAAGCACCCCAATATTCCTGCCCTTTTCCTATACATTTTGCTCATCATACCCGCCACCTTTCCTCTTTCTCTTTTTACTATTATAAACCAAATAACGAACCAAAACACCAAAGAAAATGCAGCACAGTCCGAATCGCAACTCCAAACTAAAAAGAAATCATCCATATCGGCATATCGGCATCACCAGTACACTCAAACAAAAGTGCACCACAGGTCGAAACTGGCATATAGTAATTCATAACCATAAATGACGCTCCTATATCGTCATAATCTAACAGACTCCGGATTGTGCATGATACACGCAGGGTGTCGTGAATCAATCGTAAATCGTAAACCATAGTAGTGAATCGTAACTCATACAAGGCATTCCATCATCGCTTTACCGGACAGACTCTCCAGTCGTAAAAAAAACAGCATCCCATGCTTGGAGTATTGACTTTCCAGGAAAATATTCGCGTTGAATAAAGAGATAAAAAATTGATGGGGAAGAATTCATATATGCAGCAGATGGAGCCACCAGATGAAATCAAAAATGCGGAAAAGGCGTGCTATAAAAACGCAGCTGTAACGAGGAAATAAACTGAAGCAATTTTTTTTGGTTTCTCTATTTTTGAATGTTTTTTGGGTTTTAGGTTTATTGTCTCATCACCATAGAGACATTGTGGATTTAGGGAGGTATTATCCAACCAGCGGAGAATTTCCAGAACTGATAGATACGGCCGAATGCAGCAAGTGCGAAGACTGTTTCTGTTTCTGTTTCTGTTTCTTTTTTCCTTTTGTTTCTTTCTTGTGTTTGAGTGGCATTTTCGACACCACAGTCATCGCTGCGAAGAAACCTAAATGTTGCTTCGATAATTATTGCACCCCGACTCTGCAATACTAAAGCTCAAATTACAGGACTAGGACAGAGAGAAAGACGAATTGACTCAATCTATCACTAATTAGCTGGGTCCAAAAGGATGAGCATTAGGGTCGGTGAGGGGGATATTGAGCGGCTCAGATTGAAATCTCCTGTATTGAAATCCCTGGAAATGTTTCACCTTATCATCTCCCTCATAATATTCTTCATCGTCTGAGGGTTCGTCATCGCTACTATCGATCTCAATCTCATTTTTAGCTCTGGCGGCAGGCCATGGACCAGTATGCGGCTCGTATCCTCGGTTAACTTCCATGTAACTGGCGATGCGCTCCTCAGAGACACCCAAGTCTCGTAGGAGATCTGCACGATCGAACGATACTACGATCTCGAACTGAGCCTCTTCCTGCAAAATGTCGAGTTCATTCCTGGCAGCTATCGTTTCGGCTCTTAGCTTTTCGAAATCAATTGAACCCTCCTCGACGACTACGTTGGAGAGTTCTGGTGGGACCCTATGTCTCCGGTAAATCTCCTCGTCGTATGCATCCATCATCGTTATATCCTCGTCCTCGGAAACCTTGGTTTCTGGTGTATCATCTAGGATGATAACCTCGGGTGGACTACCTTGAAACGTCTCAATGTCCTCGTTATCGGACACATCAGAGTCAGTAGTATCATCGAGCGGAGGTAGCCCAATGAATCCGTCTGGACCAACATAAGGTTCAATATTCGCTCTAGATTCTTCAGCGCGAGAAATTTCAGCTGCAGGTTGATTTTTGGCTGTTACATAAGGTTCGGGAATGTTTTCTTCAACGGGTGAAGGCGGCGAAAGCTGCTCTACTGAGGCTGCAGAGTCTATCAATTCCTCAAATGAAGTTTCCATCGAGGACGCCCCATTGTCCTTCATTTCATATTCAGAATGGTTGTCAAAACCATCATTGGTAGACCCAGTGGAGTCCTCACAGGGCTTGGAGATATTTTCCAAAAGACCTTCGTTTGAGTGGTCCTGTTCAGGAGTTTGAACAGGTAAAATTTTCTGTTGCGTTGCAATTGCGTCCAAGGAGGGAGAAGTATCGGATGATGATGGGGCTTGTGCCATATTTTCTTCTTGAGCAGTCGCCTCTGCTGCTCGAGTTCCAAGCTCCAACTCCTGTTCCAATTGCCGTTCCAGTTCCAATTCTAGTTTTAACCCTAATTCCTGTTCCTCAAGACTGCCACCTTCTAAATGAGGAGGAAGAGCTGGAGATGGATTTGGTGTTGCATGTTTAGCTGTGATGAAATCAGCATCCCCATCTTCATCAGCCATGTCGGGTTCATAGCCTCTGTCTCTAGCAAACCCATAATCTGGTATAAGCCCACCAATAGTCTTTATAACTAGTAGAGATGTGGTATCTTGACCGGATAAAGATGAAGCGCTGGTTGCGGCAGTAGTATTGGTAATGGTACTTGCGGTAGTGCTTGTAGAAGGGCTGGTTATGTCCAAATCTTCCTGCTGTGCTGCTAGATCCTCCTTTTCGGTAGAGCCGTCTTTGGTTGAAGACTCATCGGTGGGATCGACTGACTGCTGATTTGATGATGGAACGTTGCTATTTTGGAAAGCAAACGAAGCTTTGATAGCTAACTGTAATTGTTTGTCGGCCTCAAAAGCCTGCTCAAGGTCCATCTCCAGCTCCTCAAAGCCTGAATCTTCCATCGAGCTTGGAGAAGGTTGGAGTATGATAGTTTCTTGGGCATCTCCAAATATTTCGAAGCCACTATTCTCAACTGATTTCTTATCCGATTTCACAGCTTGTTTTTTAGATTCTCTGGAAAATCGGCGATTTACTTGCTGCTGTTGTGCCTTGACTGCAGCAGCAACCTTGGGATCAAGATTAGCCATATACTCATCCATGTCTTTCTCCAACAATGCGTCTTGCTCTGGATCCAGCTCTACCGCAAGAGATTGAGTTACTTCGACCACGGAATTTGGCTGCTTAGGAACCTGCAGTTTCTCTTGCTTCAATTCCTCTTTCATGATGCCTTCAGTTCCTTGAACTTTCTTGACAGATGCAGATTGTGGTGCGGTTGCAATCTTGTCACTCTTAGCGGTTGAGGCTGCTGAAAGAGATTGGATTTCAGATGATACCCCTGTTGATGGATTAGATGAAGGAGTCTGTTGAATCATTAGTCTTATCTTGATATGTGTGATTATATAAAGGTTCCCTACCGTCTTTTTATCTCTCTTACCAAGATCCTTCAACTTCTCAGAAACATCTCCAAGCTGCATAGAACCTTTCTTTGGTGCTAGCTTCTTGGAATGTTGGGGAACACCGAATTGAAACAGATTTTTACTAGTATCCATACGGTACTTTGTCTCCTTGACGACAGGCGTGCGTTTTACAGGAGCCTGTTTCATATGTTAGTAAGTTACGACCTATGATTCTAGAAAAACACTAGAGAAGGATGTGGATTGACTTACAGTGACAGGCTTTTTGACACTCTTTTTGACTTCTTCGGTGATCTTTTGTTTCTTTACAGGAACAGGTGGTGCTTCTTTCTTCCCCTCGACATGCTTACGCTTTATAGGAGGATTTTCAAAGTCCATTCCAGCCTTTGTTGTATTTTGCTTTTTAATAGGCTTGTAGATCTCCTCTTCTGAGCTAGAACTACCATCGGAGTCGAACAACCTGTGCTTAGCTGAAGATGTCTTCACACCAGGCTCCTGGATAAGTGGTTAGTATGTTATTTTATTGTTAAAGAAAACACTAATAATCGGCTATATTGCACGGCATACCTTTGGCTTTTGCAAATTTTGAAGTGTTTTACTGGGTTTTAGGGCTTCAGGTTGTGACTTTTTGACATCTCTGGCCCCATTGTTGTTGTTGTTTCCAGATTCCTAGCAAATGATATCAGCATCTTATTTCATCAAGTATTTGCTTCCACTGTGGAGTCAAAGCAAGTATGAAGAGCGAATACGTACCATTTGGTTTTTGGTTTTGTATGGCAGACAGCGAGTGGTACGGGCAGCTGGCTTAGCCTTAGTAGTCTTCTAGTCAGAATAGTCAGCATGTCAATCTGGTTAAAAATTATTTTATGGTATATGTCTACATTCTAATTAATGCGGCAAAGTAGAAACAGGAGCTTGAGATGGGAATTCAACCTACATTGCTTGGCGTATCTCTTTGAGTTTGGCTGTTATCGTTAATGTGACCAGTCAACATTCCCTCATCGTCATCGCTGTAAATTTCTCCCTCTTCCTTCTCTGCCATCTCGCGTTTCTTCTTAGCGGCGGCAACAGCTTCTTCTTGGGCTTTCTTCTCGGCTTTTGAAGTTCCCTTAACCTTACGGATACGAGGGAGTGAGCTCAAAGAAATGGGCTTGGCAGGACTCTGGATACTATTATCAGTACGACATAACTAGTCACATATAATGAAGATGATCTGGCAGGACATACTGGGTTAAGAGATTGATTTCCAGGCTTTTCCGCAATGGATGTGGCAGGTTTTATAGCAGGTTTACTGGCCAACTGCAGATGATAATTAGTATCTAAACATAGTACTGTGATTCCAAGTCAAATGAAGAAGCTCTTACATCGCGTACCCTCTTCTTCTCAGCCTGCTCACGACGATCCTTAAGTTCTTGAAGTTTGCCACTGCGCTGTTGAGCCTATTCAGTCAGTATTCAAGCTTTTCCTTGCTTGTGCTCGAGGTAAATGAAAACCAGAAGCAATCAAGAGTCAGAGTGCATACCTTTCCATTCGCACGTTGGGAAGACATTTTGAGTGGATAAATAGTACTTTGAATAAGGAAAATTTATTGGTGATAGAAAGAATGGTACTCCATGATTATTCGAGAAGCAATGAATAATTGTAATTGACTTGGTAATTTAGAATAACGAAAGTGTTATCGGAATGGTATTCTGAACAAGATTTCTGATTGGGAATTTTCTTGTAGAATGCGGACGAAGACGACGTTGAGATTATTTGAGGATATGGTATATGAGTAGTTATAATCAAAAAAGGTCCTTCGCTTACAGCCAAGTATTTCGTCTACTGTTTTTTTTCCGAGGCACTACAAACTTGTTGGCTGTATTGTAGGTTTGCCGTTCAACCAAAAAAGCGTGTTCAACACGCAAGTTGTGGTGATTCTAGACGCCATACAAGAACGAACTATTCAACAAAGAGGATCGAATTACCAGTCGACATAACACTCTGGTTTTCCATGTTACTGTAGCAGAAGAATCTTTGATATTTAGAATTTCGAAGTTGTCCTGGATCAGCTGACATAAACATTCCACTGTTGCCTACTCATTGCCAAAAGAACAAACTGAAGACAAGATAGACAAGTAATAGTATTTATGCCTCATTGAAACTGTTGCGCAGTATGACTCCTGGGCGATTGGAGCAGGTTGATAGGTAAGTGTGATGTTGTAAGCCGTGGTAGCGTTTGCCGAAAAGCCTAGTCCACGAAGGAAATCAGAAGCTGTACCATTTGCCTTCCAGTATTGGAATGGCATGTTGAATATTTTGTGTGTAGTCGAGGCGTTGTTTTTAACTTGACGTCTGCGGGAAATTTATGATGTTCGATTATGCCTATTTCGTACTAGTTTCACACGGCGCGCCTACTTTCTTCCTAAGCCCGAGTAATTTTCAGAACAGATTTTAATGAATCTTTGAATCCTTTCCCTTCATCTGTTTGGGTCGATACTAGGGGAAGGAGTCATCATATCCCAGAACCCTTCTGTCGCATTCAGTGTGACCTTATGAACTTTGTTTATTGGGAACGTTGTATCGATACGCAGCGCGGAACAGTTATACGTCAGAGCAATCAAAGATCATAGGAATTAAAGACCAAGAAATGAATTGAATGATGTTTGAAGCTTGAAACCAAATATGTGATGCATAAAGCGGTATGGTAAGAACCATCATAAAAATATACTTACGCAGCAGATTCCAAAACTCAACTATATACATCCATCCTACATTTTTTTGTATCGATAACCTCCATTGAATCCAAGCTAGCAACAATTTCCCTACAAAGCTGCCAATATGGCATTATAAGCAGCTTTTGGAGCAAAGTTCGCATCAAACAACAATGGAGTTGAGCTTGCGCGCCATGAGTCAGGATCACGGACACCCCAGACCGTGATACCGACACATTTAGCCACACCCAAGCAAGCATTGACGACCTGTTCAATAGTTAGCATTTATTTCAAAAATCATAGCCCTTCATTTTCCTTCAGGAGATTTAAGATTTGATTCAAAGAGATAACTTACATTGACATAATCAGTAGCAGCTGCTCCTACAATATCCAATTCTGTAACCGCAACTTCACTAACACCAGAGGCTGCAAGTGCGGTTAAAGCACCCAATGTAGAGGATCCCTGGCCTGCTTGAAGATGAGATTGTGAACCAATGCCATCGATGGGGATCCCCTGGGCGATCCATGTCTTGACATGTGCAACCATGCCGTTGGTAAGTTTAGCATAGGTAGCCGAGTCCAAGCTGTAAACTGTGTTAGCTTTTCCTGGAATTTATTGGAAGGGCCAAGTACTTGTAATCATTGATGTAGAGCTTGGCGTTGGGATCAGCCGCTCGAGCGGCTTTAAAGGCGATAGAAACAAAGCTTTCTCCTAGGACGTTGTAGAACACGCTAGTTCTCATGGAGCCATCTTCGTTGAAGATCTCATTGACGACATCCTTCAAAGATTAATATTACGAGCAAAAACTAGATGTGATGACATACCCATGCGTATATCTTTCCTTTCCAGCGAGTCACTTCCTGTGTAACATGATTTTGAAGGACAGTAGTGAGGGTTGCCGCAGATGTAATCGAGCTGACCCAGCTTGGGAGTTGAGAATGCCAACCTATCATTGTCAGTTCTTAGTTTTGCGGACCAACTGAGATGACAAACAAAGTGTATGACCACGAATGATCTTTGAATTATTTGTCGCCCAATTTACCAGGTAATCGCCACCAGCAAAGTTGAAATTGTTTTGTGATGCTATCGACTGTCAGCAACACGTTTCCTAAAATTGGTTCATGTAGCCATACCTTCAATTGTGTCCCACTTCATGCTATTTTCTGGTGTCACTTGTCCAAAATCGGCCATGATGATAGCCGCATTATCGCCAGATGTAAGGCGACCTTGATCTGTGGCAACGCCAAAATATTTCTTGCCATGGGCAACGAATTTATCATTGACACTGCTGCCAGTGCTGATTGGGCTTGTTCCCGCAGTTGCGGATATTGTCGAGGTAATCAAAGTCGTAGTAGGCGCGGGGCCGGCGGTTCCAGGAAGGCATTGAGAGTAGACTAATGAAATGAGCGAGTTCTATGACTATTTTCTGAGTCTCAACATACAGGAACTGTAAAAATGTTAGCTTCATCGGTGAATCTGCAGTGAAACATGTACTCACTTTGAATAAGTGCAGGTATATCCTGCTACACAAGTTGTAGCACCAGTCCAACCAGTACCGCCACCTGGAAGAATTAGTTATGATTTGCTCTTGCTAAGATAATTCAACCTACATTGACTCCAACCTTGACCCTGAGCCATAGCTACATTGATATGACTTAGCAGAGCAGCTAAAGCCGCAAGGTTAGATACTGTAAGCATATTGTCTGGTAGAAGGTATGATGAATCAAGAAATGTAATGATTTGAATTTTGGATGGAACGAGCCAAACTTTAGCATGAGGTTCTTCATTATATATATACTCCAAGATTCCACAGTTCCGTTCCAATATATGAGCCAAGATGGAAAAAAGGAATAAACAAGCACAGGCACAAGAACGTCCCGACCTCTAAGATGAGTAGCACCATCTGTCAAACCTCCCATTCCCGTACTTCCGGGTGACATAGGCTAATATCAATATTGCATTACTAGACCATCAATGCAAGAGCTATCACAACTCGTGATGTCCAATCCAGAGCTCTTTCATATATTGTGATTATAAGGGCGGCTCGGGTGTTAAGCACCCCGCAAATGCCAAGATCGGTGGAGGACCCTAAGAAATAAGCCTAAATCGAAAACACTGTTGTAATTAACATGAGGTTTAATTTAGCTTAGGTATGATCCATAATGCTTAGCCAAGCAATAATATAGCTGGGTTAATTCTCGATGTGAAGCTGCTATAAAAGATGATCATATAGGGGTATTCTTATGAGGGGTGGAGATGAAAAATGCTTCTGAATCTGTACTTTGACCAATCTCAGTACATTCCAGGGGTATTTAAAATAAGACACATTGTCGAAGGTGATTTTCTTGTCAGCAATATAAAGATGCTATAGATAAAAAGTGGTATGGTGATATATTGTGCCAGGTATGGCAATGTTCTCACTTGGTCCAGTCCTCATTCGAATGTCGAGTTATCAGAGCCCACGCATTGCCACATCCTGAACTGTAGATATATTGCAATTCATCCCGAGTTGAGGAGGAGAATATAACTTGCAACAATGCAGAGTTACTTGGTAGTCATGTGAAAGAAAATAGACATGGGGATGCATTTAGCATGCGATCTATTAACGTCAACATTTTTCCTTTCTTCTTTTTTATAAAAAAGAGCGATATTAAGGAGAATATATGGTTTGCTGGTTTCGGGGTTTCTTTGAGCTGTTGGAGCACACTCGTGTCAAGGTTAGAGCACTAGTAACTCATTAATTTAATTATTGAGGTTATTAATGATATATGTGTATATTCTAAAACTCTGGTTATAATGCTTGCTTATTCAGCACAATCCCTGGCAATCCGCCTGACCGCTGAAGAACTAGACTTGGGCTTGCGGGCTTGGCTCCGGCATTCTGACGACGGCATCCGAACCTTGCAACCATCCTAAGTAGAGCGCTGACATTTGATAGCATATATCACCAACTTGAAACCTTACAAATGCACAACTACCGCTTCGGACGAAACGAAGAGCCATCATTTTTTTTGATGCTCTACTTGGGGTAACTTGTGTTTTAGAGAGCTTGTAGGCACTGGCTGGCTGGCTGAGCAGAAAGAATAGTAGACAATGATCGACCAGCAAACTTTTGCAGGTATTGTGAGCAATTCATGGTGCAACAGTACAATCCAAAAAATGTCTTCGTCTCTGAATCATTGATGGTTATACGCAATCGCATTATGTAGGATTGTGCTGCGAACGACCACATGCAGCCTGCCTACCGCGACACCACGACATCGCGATGTCTTTCTTGCAAAACTTTTGAGCCGCGACAATAAAGGTGGAAGGGATTCTCTATGGGAGGGGGAATATTTGAAATGTATCCCTTCTGCGTTTGCTTCTGCGGTGGGCATTGCTTCCTTTGGTAAAGGGTGCAGAGCATATGGTGAGGGATTCACGACTTCAATCTCTTCGGTTCGTCACGACACATTTCAAAAACGGCAATGAAATAGATAGTACGGTAGAATATCTGCGGCGTAACGAGTGTGAGGAATTTCTCCCTCTGAACAGACAAATTTTCGTAAATTACTGTAAATGAATATGTATAGGACATAGGATATCGCTGTTGAAGGGACCGATAGAGTTATCTTGAGAAGGATGAGCCGGTTGTGTGGTACATGCCTGAAGACAGTGCTCACTTAGGCCTAATCCGAATATTTGGCATTCAAATTTCAATTACAAGAAGATTTGATTAAGGTGACACATATATTACCAACTATATATGAGTAATGTTGACGCATTTCCTTTTGAAAGCCATTAATTAATAATTACCACGTTTGAGTTAGGGGAAGTTGGAATATTTGATCCCACAAAGTTATAAATTGTGTATTAAAATGAAGCTCAATTTTTCATCAATCGCTACAATCAGGCACTTTGGCGGAGTGGTTAACGCGATGCCCTGCTACTGTATAAACAGAGTCAGGCATTTCCCTCGGGAGCGTGTGTTCGAATCACACAGGTGTCGTTTTGCCATTTTGATGATTTTTCACTTCGCTTCCAACCGCAAAATTATTTCCAGTTTCTTTGCTTCAATTCAGTACCTAGGTATCTTTTCTACCTTGAGATCCCTGTTCCTTTCTATGTTAAATGTTGGAACCGTGATGCAAACTCAAGCATTCCATGTGGGGTCGGCTACCCCTGCAAAATGCGCATGATAGCTGACCCCTTTTTATATTCGCTTGTTTATACGGAGCATTTTGGATAAATAACTACCAACGCTCTTTATATTCCGTAACAAACAGTAAAGTGGAAAAGAAATTGATTAGACAAATAGTTTCTTCAATAATAGCTTCTAGACTGTTTTTCACTAGGAAGATACAGTTTGAAGTTCCTATAGTGTCTTGGCTCTCCGCTTACATTTCTTCGGCGTTATTGATCTGATACTGAGTAAACGACGGGTTTGAGACGTCGCATACACCCCTTCTGAGAAGAAGTAATTTATGAATGCTTTTTTTTCGTGGGGGTTGAGATTTTATAGATTCCGATGACCATCAGGTCTCATGTAATTACCCCGGTCAACAACAATTTATTCGTGCCTCGCCCTTGCCGACTTGTCATCACAAAGGCGACACATTGTATCTATTATGCATATGGGTACTCGCGTATTGCTTTCACTATTGCAGCGGACGTAACTGGAATTTTAGTATTCTGATCCTTGCTGCATAGCTTTCTTTCATGTGTTCATCTCTAGTTTGTTTCCCTGAAGTCAACACATAATAGGATGGTATTTGAGCTTTTTTATTTCGGTTTTCGGTTCATTCCTATCATGAGTGTTTTTTAAAACGTCCATAATGGAAATGAATGGCCAAGAAGATGACGTACTAGTTTGTTTTCTTGGCTGCCAGGAGACGACTCTGAATCAGACACCCTAGTTTTGAATCAACCATTCACGTTTGATATAATTATTCAGGTAGATTTGTTTGCATATTCGGGGTTTTTAGAATACGATGTACGAGTCTATTGCTTGGTACACTATACAAGTAAATTGCTACCAACTTTAACGGTGTCATACACAGTTCGAGATAGAGTGGTTGTGTAAGATTAATATAAGAGGAGTTGGCTCCCGTGCTCCACTTTGGATCCATGTTTATCTCAACTCACTAAATCTAATAATTTCACTGCGCTCAAGAATATTTTAAAATCATGTACTCACTATTTAATCAGACATGTCACTTTAAAGGATGTCTCTCACATCTCTTCAACGCACAAGTAATTTATTCTGTATTCATATTACGCGTCTTAGAAGCCCATTTCGATGCTTCTTCTTCTCCATCTGCATGTAAAATTACCAGTACTATCATTGCTAGCGCAAGCTCTAGATTTGCCTGCTCAATCACGAGGACTCCTTCAATTTTACCAACGACGGAAGCCCATGATGATCTCAGCTTTACACCTGTAACTACCTTACTCCCATCATCGAGTTATATCAGCTCCTCATTATGTTTAAACAAAAAGATTACATTCATTTCACTTACATCTTCAACTTCCATGACTCTATTACCAACTTCAGTACCCTCAAATTCCTCAGCTGTACAAATGACCCTTTCAAGCTCTGCAACCCCAACCTCTCTCGCTCTGCAAACACCAGCATGCAATTTTATGGTCGATTACTTCATGAGTCTTTAATGATATGAATACCACAATTTCCACATTCTGTTCCGAGACCGCTTTACAACATGTGCGAGATAAGAATAATTAGCGGATCAATAGTCCAAACTTACAACAAGAATTCAAGTTTCGAACTTGATATATCTACAAAGCGGTCGCCTGGAATAAATATCAAACAAAATATGGAAATTAATTGGATTAGCAACATGACATAAATCATGGATGGTGAGTATCCCTTATATTCCTTATTGGCTTTAGAAGCAGAAGAGTGTCCGCTAACATCTCTTTTAGGCAGCTGCGACGCTAAAGATCCCAAAAATGCTCCGGATTGGAAGTACGGGTGGTATACTTCAAATGTATCCCATCACATACAGAATTAATCCTAATCAAAACCGACCGATAGTACACTGTGAAAATCTGCGCTACTCCAAATCTTATAGATTTCCAAAAATCCTACAATTCTGAATTGAAATTCTTTATACAAACGACCGGCCGGACGGATGCTGCCGCAAAAGAAATATGGGGTTGTAGGTTGGATGATAATAGCATAGATGATATATAGTTGGGAATGGCTTGTAGTTTTTTCTGAAGATTGTATGAGAAAACGTGAGATGTAGAGCAACCAAAGTAAGGAAAGAGTTTGGACTTTATTTAGAAAGAATCTCATTTGCGAGTTAATCGCTTATCATTTGAAGACTCGAGCCCATAAACAGGGAATGCATGGTTGGAGAGACCATATTTACGATGAAGATTATTCTTATTTTGCCTTTGACTATACAACACTTGGGAATTAAGCCGTGGTGATCAGTAATTCAAGGTGGTTCTCAAACATTTCGTGAGTATACTGGGTTTGAAAAGTCTATTGTTTTATCTCGTGTAGATAAGAGACACATAGAAGTCCACTAAATTGCGCCCTTCTTGTAATAAATCCGTTTGATTTGGCATTATTCGACATTCTAAATCTTCTGAGAAATTCCGCTTAATGGACGTTAGATATTTTATATTTTCTTCTCAACATCCACCGCTTTTGTATTGATATGTTACTCAAATGTGTCAGTTTAGTTGCCCTTAATTTTCAGACTGGGTCGTTGATGAGGCAGGACTCACGATCACCAGAAGAATCACGAATTTTCTCAAATCATTGTTTCCACTTGATTCAAATCGAAAGATCCCCTGATTTTAATGAATTAATTTCCCTAAAAGTTTACAAATGTGAAGTTCTCCAGCTCCAAGTACAGATCAATTCCAAAGCACAAATTATACCACACAACTCAAAGCACAATGACCCCTCATACAGTTCCACTTCATCTCTTGCATCTTCCGCATACCCTCATACCCAAAATTACTCCACACCCCATTCCAAAACTCAACTCCATCTATATCTAACAAGAATCGAAAGTTTGTTCTGCATTCAACCATCCCGTCATTCTGTTCGCGATATCGTTAACATAGCTTGCAGTAGCTCCCTCGGCATCATTCAAATTGCTTTTGTCGACCTCCCCAGAGTTGTAGTATCTAGCAGCTTCGTAAATGTTTCCGAATTGATTGATGCCTTGGACAAGACCATCACCTTTGATTGTGCCTTGAGTTCCATCGACAATCATTTGGTGAATGGATGAAGCCTGAGAGGATGCAGATGCGGAGTTTCCGACGAATTTTGCACCGCCCACGGATTGCATGAGGCCGCTGGAATATGGTTAGTGGTCTTTATCAAATAAATTGTTTAAGGTTGAAATGAATAGGAAAAATCAGAACATACGGGTTATCAGGTTGACTTGGGTCAGGGTTTGTGCTGGTGTCAATATTGACACATCCGCTGCTCTCCTGCAAGATCGTGGCGAAGATAAATCTTGGGTCCACCAAACTAGCGGTAGCGACGGTCAAGATTGAGTTATACATGTCATTAATCTGTGTTTGGCTATCGCCAGAACCAAAGGAGCCAGTACTGGCACATGATTCCTTGAGGTACGTGATAGAATTATTCCACATAGCCTCAAAAGACACCCACTTGGAAGATGGTGGGAATGATTGCCAACCGCCATAGTAGCATTTGTAAGTGTCGGTACCTTTGCCAACACCGGTATTGGTGGTAGATTTGGGGTCTTTGTTACCAGCGCCGGAGGTGAATGCTTCTGCAAGAGTAACCTTTGCGTTGGCAGGAGAAGTAGAACTACCACGACCATCTAAGGGAATGGCAAGCGTAGTGGTGGCGAGGCAGGCTGCCGTGACGAGGAATTGTTGCATATGCATGGTGAAAATACAGGTACAATGAGTGACTGTGAGGAGGAATGAAATATAGATCTGATGAATAGAGTAGAGAAGATGCAAATAAAGATGCTGCCGAAGAAAAAATATCTGTTGATTTGACCTTATTATATATGAAATCTTCAAAAAAGCTCCGAGGTTATGTTGCACGAAAATGTTATCAAATCACCTTGCATGACCCGCAATCAGCAGATGTGAAGCCCAGATCGCATGAGGAGATCCTTTTGCGGGCCATCTTGGTGACATTCATCCCATCTCGCAGAATGGATTAGATAATGGTAACAAGAAAGAAGATTAGTCTTTTCAATGTAGTAGTGGATACTGGTGAACATGTGTTACACGAGGTGCTACTCTTTGTTGGGCAGCTGCCGTAGCTCCAGTTCCACAGACCCAGAGAGCGAACTGTTTTTAGTTTGGCAACGTGGAGAATATCGCTCCTTTGGTAACTTGTAAATCTGTAGCTCAGTCCTGTCGATATAACCCTGGCATCGATTCGGAAAACAGGTTCATCAGGATTATAATGTGAGAGCTGTCGATGCCCACAAATGCATGGGAAGGAATTGTGGAGGCAACCCATCAATGAGGTCATGATGTCTCTATGGGTTATGTTGGAGCAGGAAACTAGTACCCGGCAAAGAATGTAAAGAATCTTTAGTCCATATAACATAATAAAATACTAGGTATTTCTGATACCTCAAGCGATCGGACGTGCATTGCTCGATTTGCATGCACTCAATCCAATGTCCGAGCTATGGCGTTCAGACCTTTAACGAACGGCCAGAAATGGATTAACGTTAAAAGAGGCAAATTTCAACGTTCCTTACGGATCGATTCCTCTCTGACATGACTTCATATCATCCGATCTGGATAAATATTCCATCCCCATTTTTAACGGCACAGTGTAACCTCATGCTTTACCTATGCTTACATAAGAATCCTTCGCCGAAAAATTCCCATAAAGTTAAATGCGCATAGTGCCTATTAGCAAATTCAGGAGCCGCTCCGTGCACTTGAGCGGCGGGTACTCTCTCGATATAGTCACTGGAGGATCGAGTTAAATCCTGAAGTCAGATCGTTAAATGATGGATCGTCCAGTCAGGTATTTGCTCATAGCTGGTACTTGCGCTGCCATAATGTATGAAACTCGGATGCTAGAGAAACAAAGTTACTGACAACCCTCTTGCAGACTTATTAGTTTAATACTCGTGAGGTATGTGCCCCTTAGCTGACCGTACGAGTAAGTAAGTTTTTATTTTAGGGTGTCATGACTGACTCGATGGATTCAAGCCAAAGGGTGATGAGATGCAACCATAAAATAGTTCACGCAGGAACTGAACACACTAATTAATTGAACAGCTCTAGACATTACTCAAAACTTAATACTCCGCACCTCGTGTTCAAGCCGAAGGTAGCGTATAAACACTACAGATTGAGAATAAGCCCATACTCCTTTAAGCTAAGTTTTCTCGCTTGAATTAAGGTTAACTAGATCGACAGGGACTTGTCAAACGGGACAAACAGAGCGGGTAATCTGTCATCGACCTCCCTCTCCCGTGCTTTCCGATATTTACGTTTTGGCGAGAGATGCTAACCCTAAACGGGTATGAGCTTATTCTTAATACGTCCAATTACGGAAGGTAACAATGGAAATCTGCTGATGTATCGCTTAATTTGGCTCGAGCACTAAGTTGGTAGGTGCGTCCCGTACACGGCTGACCCCCTCTAACCACATTATCTTTGACATGATCCTTCTGAACTCTCAACGTCGCATCGTGGGATCTCGGAAAAAAAAATATCATTTCCCATCACGAAGATCTACTAGTTGATCTCCAAGATTAGATTAATTGGTCTCCACGAAATACTATATTCGGAATTGTCATCCAGTGCGGCTGGATGTGTACTCCAACCATGCGGTTTCTGTGTGTCGGTATGAAGAACAAATGAGCGTCATATCTATGGGGATATGTGTTTGAGCCGCGATGAGACGGGTTGCAGTCTTGTTCGCATGTTATATTCTCGAGTAAAAAGCATAAATATGGCCAGCAAAAGCCTTCATCTTTGCCATCTCACCTTCCATCTTACTATCTCTTCATAAATATCTACCAGGATTTTTAAGAAAAAAATCGTAGATTCAGTCTCTATCTTCAACATGAAGTCTACCTACTTTCTCTCTGGGGCAGCTATTGTTTCAGCCGTATCAGCGTTGGCTACTCCACAACTGCCTGTCGAAAAACGAGGTAATAAATACTTCCCCTTCGCAAAATTTATGACTAACACTCCATAGCTGGAGCCGACGGCCTTCCTTCCGGCGGAATAGTTTCGAATGGTGTAGCCTTTGGCTTCCTTCCATCGGATGGCTATCAGGTGACTTCTCCAGCCTATACCATGGCTCAAATAAACAGCAAGCTCGGTGGAAAAGCAAGTACTTATGGCTGGTACGCGCAAATAACATCTAGCACATTCGATGGATCTCAGCTCCTCGAACGTCTTGATGATGTCGTTGCGTCTGGTGCTGTATTTCAGCCAGCGGTTATGCCATCTATTCCATTTAATGAAGTAACCAGCAGTGTAGCCAGTCAGGTTGCAAGTGTGTTGGAACAGTTCACTGCGAAGAATGTGGAGGTTTGGTTGAGATTCGGTCATGAGATGAACTACTATGTCGTAAGCATTGATTATATTGAGCCTTACCGTCCTCTCAATTAACATTTGACTAGACCAGTGGTACATACCATGGAACAGGCGGCGAGTTCATCACAGCTTGGAAGAATATCCATGCAGCTGTTTCCAGCAATCCCAGGATCAAAATGTACTGGTCTCCCAATGTAGACACGTCAGATGCGCCAGTTGCACCATATTGGCCCGGAGCATCCTATGTTGATATCGTAGGTATCGATTGCTATCCCTCCTCAGATTCGGCTCTCTCCTCCTCCGCTTTTTCAAACTGCTACAGTAACTTCTACAAAACCTACTCCGCCGCATACAACATCCCATTTGCCATCGGTGAGACAGGATATGCTGGATCTTCTGGAAATGCTGCATGGCTTAGTCAGTTGGTAAATCAAAACATGTGCGATTATCCAAATTACATCGCTGCATCATGGTTCGAGTACAACAAAGAAGCGGACTTTTTGATTGTGGAGGGAAGTTCATCAATTCTGTCTTCCACCCAGAATCTACTTTTGCATAACACGAAGAAAGGTTGCAGCTCTGGTAAGATATCTCTTGGGATCCCGCCTCGAGAATAGAATACTAATTTGGAATATAGGTGGATCGCCACCTTCTACTACTCCCAAGAGTACAGCACCAACGACCACTAAACCTGCCAGCCCAACAGGAACCTGTACTTGGGGCTGCGAAGGATGGGACTGTAGTTCAAGCAGCCCTTGCAGTGGAGGTCGCACCTGCCAGAGTGGTATTTGCCATCAGCCAACCTGTACTTGGGGCTGTGAAGGATGGGACTGTAGCTCAAGCAGCCCTTGCAGTGAAGGTCGCACCTGCCAGAGTGGTATTTGCCATCAGCCAACCTGTACTTGGGGCTGCGAAGGATGGGACTGTAGCTCAAGCAGTCCTTGCAGTGGAGACCTCACTTGCCAGAGTGGCTACTGTCATTAGACGGATACCTTCCGATGATCATAAATGGCACCGTTTCCATCGAATATTTAGTATCACTAGAATCTAGGTTTCTTTGCATTAATAGATAAATAAAAACTGTGCAACCTTCAGTTCTTCCCAAAGGTCAACATTGCTTTGTACATCTCTCACTCCCCACCCTTCTCCCTCTTCTCAATCTCCAACAACTGCCTTGCTAGATCCACAAAAGTGTCTTTCTTACTCCTGAATTTCAATCCCAAGACCTTCTCAGCCTTATCACTACTACAGGTAAAAGAGCCATCTTCTAGTCCCTTATCACCTGGAGCGCCTTGTGGTGTCCTTTCTTCCAATTCTGGAAGATTCTTGCGAAGAATGTCGCTGATGTTCTGAGATGAGATTTGCCCTTCACAAATGATGAATCGCTGTCCTGATGCCTCTGGGAGGATTGCAGCCAGTACGTGAGCCTCTGCTAAGTCCTTGAGGTTTGTTAGATAGTTGAATAGAAAGAGGAAGTGGCAAAAGTACTTACGCGAACGTCGGTGAATGTATGAAGGCCATCTAGTCAATTAGCACTATTTCCATGACGATGAGGATGTTGAAGAAACTTACTTGGAGGTAGCTCAGCATTCTTGGATGAATTGACGAATCCATTGTAGATCCTCGAATTTGATTGATTCAAGTCATTTGTACTTGAGATGGTATGTCTCAACGGCCCATATACCATTGGAGGTGTCAAAGTCACCAGATCAAATTTCGGTTCCTCCTTCTCCACAAAGTCCCACGCTACAAATCATTAGTACCAATATTTCATTCCAATATCCAGAGAAAATAACTCACCAGCCAACTCCGCAAACTTCTTACTCGCTTGATATGCATTATTCGGTGTCCCATGCAATGCACTCTCCCATGTAGTAGGATTCCAATCTGTCTCCGTATAAACCTTTTGCGGCTGACTAACAAATTCCGCATCGAAATCCACAACAGCCGCACAACTACTCGTAACCACCACTCTCTTCACTCCGGGCGCATTTTTCTTCACACTCTCCAAAATGCCCATCGTTCCCTTGATCGCTGGATCAAGAAACTCACGATTATCCGTGATGACTTTATAGAGAAATGGAGAAGCAGTATGAATTACGATATCGAAAGAAGGATCTGATTTGACTACTTCGTCAAAAGCTCCCGACGCAGTGATATCGGGGACGATGCCAAAATCGAGATGGGATTTGTATGCGGGGAAGTCGGAGGAGACTTGCTGGGCTTTGGTTTGAGATCGGAGTATGGCGCGGACGGAGTGGCCTTGTTTGAGGAGGTGGTCGAGCACCCATGAGCCGATAAAGCCGTTGGCTCCGGTGAGGAGGATTCGTTTGGACATTGTGTTGATGCTAAGGTGAATGTGTAAGTTCTAGGGTACGAATCTTTGAGGGTCAAATTGGAGCTCTGGAAAAATCATAAAATACGTTGGCGAGAAACCTAGGCTTTATATGGTATGACTTATTTCATATTTTCATCCATCTGTACCACCATTAATCATCATCTTCCTGTGTAATCAATGCGTGGGGCATAGAAGGTGCTTACCTTCCATATTAGTAATGAGGTAGCTATATGGAGGGGCCATATGCGAAGGTAAGCACCCACTTAACATATTTTCGAGGCCATCATTCGCTGATTTCCATCATTTTGTCTTAGTGTTTGATGAATCATGTTTAACATTTGCGCCTCCCTCATTTAAAGTGGACCTTAAGCATGTATGACAAAGCATCCTGCATGTGTATCACAACAGTGGTTCAGCTTGACGGGAACATTTCAACTGCGGTTCATAAGAAGCTATCTCAAGTTGAATTTCAACTGATTTCATTCTCTTCAACTGTGAATATCTGTATACTATGGTATTGCTAAATTATTGTAAATGGTCTCTAAACATGGGAGCCAATGCTTGCTCTATCAGCAACGTCGAAGATTCGAGTTTAAACATAATACCACAGCTCTCCTTTCCTTATCATTTCGTCATTCCCTCTATTCGATGACTAAGACGTCGTACTTCAACTATCCTCAAGGGAATCGTAACCCTACTCCAGATGAACAAAAGTGCCCCAGCAAGTTTTGATGTCCAGTTAAGAGTTGAATGGAGCTCTTTCGAAGCGCACTGCTGTCTCGATTTCATCATTTAGTTCAGTGATCTTTTCAAGCGCGGCATTAGCGATTTATTCCTGTCTCTTCGATGGATCGGCAGCCAATACTGCTTCCCAGCCAGCCTTCAATTGAGCTATCCTGTCATTTACTTGCCTGGTCAGATAGTTGTAAAAGTGGTTGGTTACTCGTACCGCCCAGAATTTATGAACTCAGTCCAGAGATCCGCCGTATGTACGGTTTGAGCTGGAGCGAGTGAGTTGTACAGGGTGTCAAATTCCGTCAAGCTTGTGTGAATATCTTGATGAATCTGTCACATGAGATTTTGTATGGTTGGATCATTAAAGTAGTTGAAAACAGCCATTCCCTAAATCGTGGATTGATTTAGCTTAGTACATATTCCATACGTCAAAATACTGATAGGGGAATATTTTTGGTCACTCACTGAAAGTATCAGGCTGAGGGCTCTTTGTGTGTTTTGGATTTTCGGGTTGTTGGCCAATGAAGTAAAGTTTTCGTTAGGAGTAGCATTTACTCTAGAATTCCAAATTCTTGCTCTCACCCTACTCAAGGACGCCTGTAGATTTGGCATGACACCGGGATTTGAATTTGAACCCAGGGAATTGCGAGATTCTGGAAAAGGGAGTTGGTATTCCCATTTTGCCCATTCAGGCCTGCCCATTGACTATACGGGATATTTATGAAGTCATTGATAACATCGAATGAAACACTTCCGAGGTCAGCAGGTACAGTTTGTAACCCTTGTCCATCTTCAAGATCCAAATAGGGTTCCTGAATGAAGGACATGAATTCACGTATTGTCTGCCGCTCAATGATGTGTTCTGAGTTTACGGGGACGCGGTTTGGGCCAGTCAGCGAGGCATTGATAATTAAAGACGCATCGGCAAAATTCCTGGTTGCAAGTGCATAAAAGTGCTCATCTCCTCCATACCTTTGGAGATCCTGCCCACCATTGCCATTTGGATAGGTAGCTGATGTAAAAATCGTTCTTTGTTGTGAATTTTGGTAGTTCACAATTGCATAGTCCTAGACTACGCAAAAATAATCCGTGGATTGCGGATATCCGCAAATAATCTGCTTTGCAAATTATTCAATAAATCTACAATCCGCTTTGCGAATTACTCATTAGGATTTTAAAATAACCTATATTGTATAGATTATTTGCAGATTATCTATAGATAATTTGTATAAAATAGATATAATTTATAAAGATTGATATAAAAACTAATATAAAAAATATAGGAATAACTTCAAAAATTTAAACGAATATCATTTGCAAATAATCTATAAATAATCTGCAAATAATCCACAAATTATTTGTGGATATTTATCTATCTATGGATTGATAGATTATCCGCAAATATATGGATATCTGCAAATAATCTGTAAATAGTCTGCGGATTATTTATTCAGATTCTTCAATTACTTACCTTACAAATGGATTATCTGTAGGTTACTCATTATAGGCAATAATCCGCCCCGCGGAGCCCTGTTGCGCAGCCTACATAGTCCGCAGGGCGGCCTGTGTTATCACTTCGGGTACTCAACACAGTCCAGAAATATTCTGTCTCGTTTCCGCCAGGATCATCAGGTAAGCCCGGGTCGATGCTTGTTAAATTGTATTCGCAGGTCAAAGTAACACGTGTACTACCCAAGGTTTGATTTTTGCTGCCAGCTAGCGCCTCCTCAGCTGTGCTGGGAGAGTAGAAAGGTTTACCACTTGAAAAAACACCAGATATGAAGGCGGAGACAGCTTGATCATCGGTAAAAAGCATACAAAAGAACTTTTCGTACCAAGACAACGCAACTATTTTTTCAAAAGAATTTCCTATGAATTCTGAACTTTTTGTTGCTAGCAAACCGTCATTGTCAAAGGAAGTCGATAGACCAGTGTCTGCATTAACCCAAAACCAACTTGCGGATGCCACTCCGGACCCAACAGGTATCCAACCGTAGCCTGAATCTCGACCAGTTAGCATAGAATAGTTAGTAGAACCACCTTGATACACTCTATTGCCGACACTATTATCAGTACGTTTGAAGTAAAGTTTGTGATATATGCCATTGTATGTTCTATTTCCCACAGATGTCCAGGTATTCAATGGGGTACCATTCTGTAGCATACATTGCCTTGTGCAACCGTCTATAGGTTCCCATTCTGAGTGACTCCGGAAACAATAGTTTGATGACATGCTTCGGACTCGAGAAGCGGACACTTTGCCATGGTTTTCATAGACTGAGTACATTAGGAACTATCACCTCGGGATTTTAATAAGCGCAGAATTAATATTTGAGAGGAATTCAAGAAGGAATACAAGGGAACATTAAAGTTTGCAATTAGAGAGAAAAAGATGAACGTTTTGGGAGTGACTACCGAACCCGCTGCAGAATGCATCCGAGAGTGTCTCCATCGGCTCCTGAAGCAAATTCGCCTGATACCGAACTACAATCTAGGTCTCCCCAAATCACTGGGTCACCGACCAGATTAATGTTTAGGGTGAGGTCTGAAGGATCAGGTGTGTCATATAAGAAGCTATCGCCGGGTTTGTTGCTCGTGCTTGGGTCAAATGGAACTAAATCGTCGTCTGAAGGGAACACAAGCGATGTACCAGTGCCAGTTTCCTCGTGTGAGCAGGCGCCATTCGGGCAATATCCTATAATATCACATAGTTAGCGATTGCATGCCAAATTAAACTTGAAAAGAAAAAAGCTGAGAGTGAAAGCTGTAGCACAAAGCACATGGAGAAGAGAGTGAAATATATAAAGAGAGGGTTTGGTTTGAGGGCTAGAAGGGTAATATCAGATAACTGATTTGCTGACCATGGCTGCAAGTAAAATTAAAAAGTCGATCGCAGGTGGCCAAGTCCAAGCAGCGCGCCAAAGCCGGTGACACCGAGTACTATAGGCGGAGCTGGAGTCTCAGTACCATGAAAAAGACAGTTACATGGTTCTGGACAAAAATTGTACTGGCATGTATAAACAAACAGGCCAATGTAGTTGCCGCTACCTGAGCCTGATGTATAGGCCAAATCAGAGGTGCAAACATCGAGACAGTGGCCATGGCTGCAAGCGAATGTACAGAGGTCATCGTATTCCAATACACCTGTAACTGGGGTGCAGATGGCTGTCACATCAGCGACTTGTGTTGGATGATCAACCAAATCATTTTGGGTGTTACAAGTGCGTGAAGAGATAGGGCAATACCCATATTGGCAGGACCAACTGCACAAATCAGAAAAGTCACCTTCTCCATTGCCTCCAGTACATGCTGAAGGGTTGAATGGCCAGACGGTGGGAATGTATAGGGTGGTTGGTGAATCCACGCAAACAATATTATTGGCAAAGCCGCAGAAGCCCTATAAGTTCATCCATTTATCAGTCGCCTGGAAAAGTCATTATGTAATGAAGACCCACATAAAGACAAGGCAAAAGCACAAAGACCCTGATATTCAATCATGCCATTTGCCGAGTAGCCAGTAAGCCTGGTGACATCTGGAACCTTTGGAGATGTTCCCATCCGAGCGCAAGTGCATGCCGCAGGAGAACAATATTTTCCAAGCTGTTAGCGTTGATGTAATGATGAAGCATAAATCTAATTCACTCAGAACCTACCCTAGCCCACATACAAAGACACAAATAGTGTTAAAATCGTTGGTACCAAAGCCCTGAATACACTTTTGCTCAGAAAGATTTAACATTGGACTCGCCGCCTGTCTCTTCCCCAACTTCAAATGCGGTGAAAGCATTCCACTAGAAGAATGGCCATGATCAGCACCCTTCTCGCTCTCAAGACATTGAGAAAAAGAATAACAGATTCGATCTTGCGGCCAGCAACGCGTTTTGTATTACAAGTGGTAGATGGGGTGATGAGGTCGCTCAAAAGAACGTGTACCAGGAAGTGGGCAAAGATTGCAGCTGCTTGTACTTGGTATGGGACAAGCAGCACCGTGAAGATATGTAGCCATTTCACTTATGCATAAAGCACGTCGGCTAAGGACTTGCAGAGAGTTTTCTGTTCAATGAGAAGTGATTTCACGATGGACAGCTAACGATGGAATATGTTTGTAGAAATATGAAATGAAGGCATGATGTCTACTTATATTATTGTTGAAGACCGGCGTCCTGGGTATAAATGAGGAATATCCATACATCACCTTCCATTTGGTGCGCCTCGGGATGATACAGAATACATTGGAGAACAGGATATCAAAGTTGACGATTCACTGAACAAGAGATGTTGGGCTCATGTTGGTATGACTCCCATTTGACTCTTGGAATAATGAAGTCTCATGCCACAAAGGTGCTTCTGCCTAACTGCCCATACCCATATTTTACATGTCCAGTCCAATCAGCTCTTTCATCACATACCATAGAAATACTGGACTTTAAGGGAAGCCACAAGGAGTCAAGAATGGATACGTAGATTCATAGAAATCTCCGAGGTGATGAGAATACAGGATGGTCATGAATTGTATTCTTTGAGATCTGATTCACTTAAATCATTAAGGGTTAAATGATGAGGTTGAGGAATGGTTGTGAAGTAGTTGAACAAAAGCCGATTTGGATAATAATTTCTATGTTGGAAGATATCTGTGAAATATGGGATCCCTATATGCACTGCTAATCAGCACAATATTATGGAGAAACCAGAGACATTCATAAGTGCAAATACACGATGCGAAGAAGTTCTTCACGCTAGCAAAAACCTCTTCGTCTGACTACGCCGCGAGAAAGCATATTGCAAAGGCTATTAACCCTACTATCCGTATGTTTGCAACTTCTTATACGTAACCTGCTTTACTTAACAGCAAAGTCCACGGTCGGCATGATATTTAAGAAAATCTGCAGAAGATAGGCGCTTGTGCAAGGGGCAACTATCAACTAGTCCCTGAGTCCAGGGAGGGGTTGTGTCTCGACGACTGTTTTTCTTCGCGTTAGAATTTACACGAAGCGACCATCAATAGTTGAATGAGATTAATGATGGCCGTAGAGCTTGCATATAACTATGCCCAGTTTCCAGATATCATGGGAAAAGTTCGCCTATGACACTATCGTCTATTGTATCACCTTCATTATCCAGAAAGCAACGGAGCATGTCCTACGCTCTGTACTATTATGCTGGTTCGCCTGAATTAAATTCCGTGCAAGTACTTCTTGACTATCAGCTGTGGATTTAGCTGCACGTTCAAGTGTACGGATGCTGGAAGCAGAAAGTATCTTGAGGCTGTACCGAGGCGACAAAGTAGGTAACAGAATTTGAGTAGGGATCAATTGTTGTCTATAGCGTAGGAGCTCTTTGATTGGTTTCCACGTTGCCGGCATTTTAGATTGGATAGAAGAAACATCCCTCACACAAAAATCTACCCTTCCATAGACATCGCGCTATGGCTGATTGGTATGCATGTGATCGTTCGAATCACCAACAGTTGGTGCTAAGCACCAACCAACCTTTTTTACCCCCCTGGCATTTGCCCCTGTCCTCCATGAACAGCTACCAGTTTTGAGAAATCCGTGGAAAAAAAACTTGCTGGTACAAATGTATGATTCACCTTTCTTTTTAAGCTTGATAACACCCAAATAATGCCCGACAGAACTGTGGCAGTAGATAAGCAAAAAGACCCTGCAGGGCCGACACTCTGGCTTGAGCCTAGGGGATACTTATTGCCACGTCCATATTCAGTATCACCTCCGTAGGTATGGATTAAAATTTTGGATTCAACCCATTTGTAGACCCAATATCACTCTATTAATCTGCCTTATACCGAGAAAAATCCAGGTGATCGGGCGGAACAACTCAGAAAAAATGTTCAACCGTTGTAGAACTAAGATTAGACCCTCCTAAGAGAACGATTGTTTTCGAACAATTATGCGCCACCCGCCCTTTATTTCAATTCTTCTCTCATCTCTCGCTCGTCAGTCTCCAACACTTTTGATTCGAACAAATGTCTGCTCACTGACTTAGAGCCTCTCTCAAAGTGTACCATCCTTTCCCTTATATACTATCGGGAGTAAAAGCAGTCAAATGGCAAGAATGCGACCAATTCATAGCTTCTTCCGGATCCATGCTAACAAATGCACCATTCCTACTCTTCTGTGCAGCCTCCCATATCTTATCCATCCCAAGTTCGTCGGCTTTGTTCAACCTCAAATTGTAAAAGTAGTACACCAATTGATCTAATCTCACCCACGTGTAACCCTGATATCCTTCTTTATATGTCCTTCCTGGCACGGGAAACTCAGCCTCAAATGCTAATACACGCATGTTATCATAGAAATATACTGATTCCACAACCAAGTCGATACACACTGGATCAAATACGAGAAAGGTATTTGTGAGAAATCCCGAATCGGCAATCCCATTTTTGAAATTACCTGTATATTCATCAGTCGGAACGACATCTTTTCTTTTCTGATACGTTTCCGGATCTTCTAGAATTTCCCAAAATGCGTTTCGGAATAGAGCAGCGGTATCCTTGATCAGCGCTCTCGCCGTTGCTTTCTGTGTTCTGTCAAGAGATTGCAGGGGATGCAAACGCAATATCTGGTGCATTAAACGTCATATATCGCCATTTACCATTGATGATATCTTTTGAGCCATTAAACCGAAGTACATGTTCGAAGAAGCCACATAGCGCAGATTGAAAATCTTCAAGGCGTTCTGCATCGATTTTTTAGCAGCAGCATCATAAAGACAGATGTACCCCCACTGTTGTTTCCCCTCCCTGTAAAGCTGCCTTATCCATTCCGGTGCAAGTGGCAAGGCTACATTGACTGCACTGTTTGTCTGGTCATCTCTTAACGCTTGCTCACGACCCTAGAACTCTTCAATACCAATACTGAACGCTTCTCCCTCTTTTGGAAGATACGCAGGAGCTTTGACATCGAAAAATTCGTCTTCCGCTTCACTCAAAGCCATGAACCCATCAGTAGTTCGCGAATTTTCCTCTCTCGTTTGAGGTGTCGAAAACCGATTTTTCAAAACTAGAACTTCTGCTTCTATGAGACTGCCACGATCCGTGACAGCCTTCTTGTTACGACGGTAACAGCTGACTTATCAAAATCCGAGTCACGAGCAATAAACACGTGACTCGGATCCTTTTGGAGCTTAGTTTACTGTAGAACTTCGTGCTCAAGATCAATCATTTAGTATAATCTATTATTAGTTACGAATTGTATATTATTACCAGCGTTACTTAAGTCCCTGCTTGACGCCTAGTTATAAACCAGCTCGAGAGCCTAGAGCACTTCCACGTGATCTAGACGGCAAACCTCGTAACACTTCTCAATCAATTCGGAGCGTGAAAGATTTGTTGCCGCTTTTAAATTAGCAGTTTCCATGTCTGGATCAGGAAGATCGAGAAACATGCATCGCTCCGACTCAATCATGGTAGAAGGCGATGAGAGAGCTTTTTCCTTCAAAGATGGATAAGCTGCAATGAGATTCTGAAGGGTGGTTTAGTTGCGCAAAACTCTCATTGAGCTGGCCAGTAGTGGCTCGATGTCGGCGATAGAAGATGCCATGCTTACTTTGTTTCTTGAGAAAACTTCAATTATGTGTTGTCTGACAATATGAGAGTGAAAGATGGTTGACATACAATCAAAGAAGCGAACTCTACCATACACCAGCCCAAACACGTGAAAGTCATGTGATTAATATAAAGTCTCCGCCGTCATCACCTACCTAATAGTTCTAAAGATCAACCAACGAGAAATGTCTACCCTAGCATCCATAATGATTGATTTCTTCAAGCAGGCATAATATATTCCAGTCCCAGGCGGAACAGATACCGTGACGCAGCTCACTTAGGTAAGATGACAATTACTTTACTAGAACTATACGCTGCATTGAGAGTAATCTGAGGATTATATGCGCCTGTCAAGGAAAGACGATGTGTACGGAAGGAGCGATACGTGCGAAAAAGAGTTAAAAGATACTAACCAAGGCGGAACGAGGAGAAAGTGTGGTAAAGCTTATAGACATAAATGGTAGACAGGGCACATGTGTAAATCGAACAATCTTACTTGCAACGATAATGGCCATCGTTACATTTTGAGAATATTGATTCCATTGAGACAGAAAGGGAACGGTGAAGGGATAGAAACCTAAAACCCAAATCACGTAATCATGAAGCAAAAGGAGACTTTTGTAATAATCTGTTCTCAATCTAGATCTGGCTAGATTGACAATACTGTTACTAATAAACATACGGCGCCAGCCCAGGACGATAAAAGATATTTAAAAGTTGATGTACCAGAGTTGGATTCTCGAGTAGTGATGAATCAATAGAGAAAACGTTTTTCGAACCGGAAGTTCCATTCTTTCCATTGATCGTCGGTTATTTGACGCCAGATCTTGCCCCAAAGCTGCTCCTCGGAGGAGCCCGGGAGAATTCTAATTTGTATTAGTGAGGCCCATCATCGTCGTCACTGGATACTCACAAGCAAGCTTTCTTAGTAGCGAAGATGCCCTCTTCAGTGCCATAAAGCTCAAAATGATAAGAAGATATCCAATCGGGACCTACTAGCCTGACCTGACAGTGCGGGTTTGACAGATTAATCATATCGTTTACATACTCCTTCTCACTCAACGCTGTACAACTTCCTCCATGTGACATTATTAACAAATCGAATACTTTGCCAGGTTCAGCGCGTTTGGATAAGCAAGCAAAATGGAATTTTGGCCGGTTATTAGGTACCCACTTTGCAAATTGAGGCTGGCCACTTTGTAAATCTTGAATACTTTGAAAGTAACGTAAATGCCTCTTTTCGTAGTGCCTTCCGATGTGCTTAGCTGGGCGGAATGTGATGCTTTCATCCACAGGTGGAAAGAATGAAACGCAGAGGATAATCTCCTCCAAATTCGGCCATCCATTACGGAGGTTCGGGTGCTCATCCACTTGCACACCATAAAGAGAGTTTAATCCAAAAGACAAAATCGTCTCATCAGTGCTAAGTTGGTGAGCAGGTGGATCATCGTGTTCAAGGTCCCTCCTGTCAAGTACGAGCAAGCAGTCTTAGACTCCCTCATACAACTGTGTCGTTTGTCCGCCGCGCAGTAAATCGCGACACGCGAAAGTTGTTTCCCTGTACTGACCAAACTATCTACAAAGCGGCACATTGTACTTAAGCAAGTCTTCATACCGAAGTAAATAGTGTCGGTAGAAGGATCAAAGTATGTAATTCGGAGGGGTGGGGTATGTCCTTCGGGACGATTGTCGAAACACCAAGGCTGATATTTCCGCAAAGCTTCATCTCGAGCATCTCGACAAATAAGTTCTCGCAGAACTGAAGGCGTTCGAGAAGACAATTTTGTCACTTTGTATCCATCATGCTTGTGGCCGGGATTGTCTGTATCCCACTCGAGTTCAATAGTTCAACCAGGCTGTTGATCGAGATAGGCATTCCAGATTTTGCGACGTAACTCAAGAGGCAATATAGGGAAGCAATGGAAATCCGTCAACGTTTCGCTGTATTACTGTCAGAAACTTTCTCTATTGATGATATGGAAAAGGATGTGTGAATACATACTTCATTGAGGTCGAGCCTTGATGAGGATGGATTCCCGGGTCCGGGCTGGTCTGGGGAGATATAGCACCAGTAGCCAGCTTAGGAAAAGGTACGTCGCCACTTGCCATGATGTCGCAGTTACTGAAATTTGATGGAAATGAAGTTATTGTAAATGTGAGTAGGGCTTTTGACCAAGAAACAAGAACAAGAGTTGTTTTATGGTATGTGATTTCACTTATGCTGCTCAAAGAACACAACAAATAGCTTAAAAGAATATTCGACCAAGGTATTTAGGGACAAGTTGATGTTGGTAAATATGTAGAACTGAACGTGTTAAGTAGAAGGTAGAGGTGAAGAGGCTGTCTATTTATGCGAAGAAGCCTTCACCGAAAGTATTTTCGATGACGTGGTCTGTAAATGATTCTCTAACTCCGACTCAGCATTCTGAGCATTAAACACATGGTCAATCCTCCATTTGTCCTCGGCTTGTCATTGCAGAATTCTCTTGGGATGTGTATTCACCATTCCAATATGACTGACCTCGTTTGATGAATACACTAACAAGGTGAATACAAAATTTGTATTTTGAGGCTTTGAGATAAATGCCTAAGCGAGGACAATGGTTGTAAGATGGAGTCAAAACGCACCATGTATGATTGAAGGTAGGAATGTACTCATACTTGTAAGCTAATGTGGTGACATGTGTAGCAAAAGTTCATTAGCGGCTCTGTTTTTCGACGCCACGGCGAAGTTCATCCTACCACCGGAACATTTGTGATATAATTCAGAAGTTATTACTAACACCTAGGTGATGTCAAGATTTTTATATTCAAGCAGTTTGTCTACCTTACAAAGGAGCCTCGGCCCCTGCACTACCCAAAACATCCTCAATTACGTCTTCTGGTCCTATACCATCCAGCAGTTCTCTTATTGCATCTAGGTCACTACCCCATTGCATACTGCGTTCTCTCTCCGGGTTTGCGATCTCGATACGATGAAGATAAATTTTTCTAGCGGCAAGAGCAACAAGAGATGGCGTAACGTATGGGAGCCCATGGAATGGCGCGAGACATCTAACAGGAATTAGAATGAATATTCTAGGTAGGGAGGATCATTCTTACCGGACTAGCTTGTCAAAATGCTTTGTGGCAACTGCAGATATACCAGTCGCTACAGCACGGTGGATTCTCAGGAACGAAGCAATATTTTGTTGATATTGCTTTACCTCAACACTAACAGTAGTGTTTTTACTTTGCTGGGCTAGATTTTCTATATCCTGTACTTACATCAGTAACAATGGCCTGTCACATGCGCAAGATCACTGACCATCGGAGATATCCTCGCCCATAAACTTCCTTCAGCCTGTAGCGTTGAACTCCTTTTCACTACAGATAGAGTGGAGGTCGTATCGTCTGTAAACAAATCTTCCAAGTTCGGGAAGCCATCTTGTGGATCGTGTACATGGGAAATGAACATATAGTTATTTAAATGTTTCGTCAACCTGGGCCCCTGACCGCCTGCTATAGCCGCAATAAACAAGAAACGTTTCGGCGCATTTTGTATGGATGTCCTTGTGAAAAGTCGTTTCGTTCGCATTAGCTCTAAAGCCTGAATCTGTATCTGCTGTGGTGATTCATCAAGATTCCTGGCAATGATTACATTTGCGATCGTCTTGTTATCGGTCGTTTCCGGCACGGATGGTCGATTAATTGACTGAAATGCGGGAGTTTGCAGGAAGTAGGAGTCGCGGCGATTTAGCAAGGGGGAATCGGTTCGATTAGGAGCGGCATCGACGGAAAGGATGGCATGGGCGAAATCCTCGAGGGTGGTATGACTGTTGCAATCAATGACAGCATATGTCAGGCCAAAGACTTTAGATGCGACCTGCAAAAGATTAGCACACACTCGGTACGGGAATAAAAATATATTTTCACCAGCTGTAACTCCTGTACGAGATCGTCTAGAGCATCAGGATCGGTATCAATGATACAGTGCTCTTCTGCGACTAAACATATTAATGCGGCGAGCTCCAAGTCGCTGAGCTCGTGAATCTTGTTGATCAACTCCTCGTCTGCCATAAATCCATGAAGAGAATCGTTTCAACCAAAGCCCATCTCTATAAGTGAAATGGATTCAAGACACAAATCAATAGTTCACTGTTTATAGTTATATTGTCATAACTCTGAGTTGTATACGGAGTAGAGACTTGATGTCTATTGTTGAATGTTGTTGATGATCACTAGCGTCGAGCTTTGACCACATCTTAAGTTGGGAGCTTCTTTTAAGATATAATGAGGCAGCTTCAAGCAACAACAAAACCACCCAGGAGTATAATGAAGATTTATACGTTATTAAAATGACAAGTCCTACAGCAGAATGGGAGAAGGTGGGGGATAAATTCTATCGAAAAATACAATTATATACAGCCGTATTTGACCAGGATCTGGAGCTTGAGAACTATGTGGTCACGGGATGCTCATACGGAGGAGCAATTGGTGCGTTGTGTTGTTTCCTTCTGATCGTCAGGGTGCATTGTATTGTCAGGATTCTACTGGTAAACTTTGAGAGGTTCCAATATGAGGAGAGCAACGGCTACCGCAATCGAAATCTATGTAAACCATCAAAGGGCAGTTAGGGGTTGCGAGACAAAAGCTGCGTCGTTCCATGACACCGCAATCCTCCAAGAGTAGTGCTCCGAACGTATGTAACATCACGGATGGGATCCATCAAATAGTCGACGAGTTTTTGTCTTCAAATATCTGCAGACTACATTGCGCATCATTTTACTTGCTTACATTGTACTTATAATCCAGCTTTATATCGAGACGAAACGAAACTTCAAACTTTCAGAGGATCGCAGGCATCTAAATCCAGTATTGATTTGTACAGCTGTGCTGGCAAGCTAATTAGGAGAATTAATTGGGACCAAGGATCTATCAAAGGTCTCGGCTGGACCGAAGACGAAAAGCTCATCGTAGTCACTGCTGACGGCACCGTACGATGTTATTACGACTTGCAAGGAGACTTTAATCAATTCTCTCTAGGAAATGGTGCCGAGGAATATGGTGTAAGGGCTTGCAGGTTCGTATTTGAATTTATTGGATTTGGTACAAGCTCACATATCGAACAGATTCTATGGCACCGGATTTGTGGCATTGCTCTCCAATAATCATTTGATTTCAGTATCTAGATATGAAGAACCACGTCCAAAACTACTAGCAACACCCCCTGAAGGTGAAGTTCATTCGTGGACATTAATACCGCCAGCATACACGCTATCAAGATCAGTTGAAGTTCTATTGAGCATCGGCCAGACTATACATGTAGCCGATGCAACTGAGTCCGAAGATCGTTTTCTAGACATCGGACCTTTTACACATATCAGCGTATCCCCAAATGGCAAATTTGTAGCCCTTTACACGGAAACAGGAAACGCATATGTCATCACGAGCGACTTCCAGAATAGATTAAGCGAATATAATTCAAGATCGAAAACTCCACCAAAAGACGTTCAATGGTGTGGTAATGATGCTGTGGTGATTGCTTGGGAGGACGAAGTTCATCTCATCGGCCCCAACAATGCTGCTGCAAAGTTCTACTATGATGGCCGAGTTCACGTAATTGCTGGTTTGTAGCCTTTCTTGGATCCACCGAGATGTTTGTTAATCACTGTGTAGATCATGATGGTGTTCGATTGATAACCAATGATGTTTGCGATTTCTTACAAAAAGTACCTGAAGTAACTGATGAAACTTTCCGATTCGGTACAGAGTCACCAGCATCAATACTATTGGACGCTGTTGAGCAGCTGGAACAACAATCTCCAAAAGCAGATGATAACATACAATTGATTAGGCCTCATCTAGTAGAGGCAGTCGATACCTGTGTAAGTAATTGACATAATATTCTGATACTACAACTGACCCATTTCTAGGTTAAAGCGGCTGGCCATGAATTTAACATCCATTGGCAAAAGCAACTACTCAAAGCCGCTTCTTTCGGAAAATCAGTACTTGACATTTACAATAGCGATGATTTTGTTGATATGTGTGAAACACTTCGTGTGTTGAATGCTGTTCGATATTACGAAATCGGCATACCTTTATCATATGAACAATTTCTACGCCTTACTCCCGAAAAGCTCGTTAGGCGTCTCATCAACCGTCGAGAATATCTGTTAGCACTCAAGATTTCTGATTATCTGCGCCTTCCAACCGATAGAATATACGTCCACTGGGCATCACAAAAAGTACGCATAGGTTCCGAAGACGAAGACACAATTTGCCGTGCAATCGTCGAGAAACTTTCCGGCAAACGCGGCATCTCATTTGAAGAAATAGCTCGAGCAGCCTACGACGAAGGACGTGGCCGCCTAGCCACCTCTCTCCTAAACCATGAACCCCGCGCCGGCAAACAGGTCCCCCTCCTCCTCTCAATGGAAGAAGATGAAATCGCACTCGACAAAGCCATTGAATCCGGAGACTCAGATTTGATAATCTACGTGCTGCTTCACCTCAAAAAGAACCTCCCCCTCGCCTCTTTCTTTCGCGTAATTAATACCCGACCCATCGCCACCTCCCTCGTCGAATCTTCCGCCCGCACAGAAGACTCCTCTTTTCTCAAAGACCTCTACTACCAAGACGACCGGCGCACTGATGGCGCAGCCGTCTTCATCCGCGAAGCCCTCCAACAACCCGACTCCCGCACCGCATCCGACAAACTCGCCCTAGCCGCAAAACTCCTCTCGGACTCCAAAGAAACATCCTTCGAACTGAAAGCTCTACACGAAGCCTCCCTACTCCTCCGCATGCAAGAATCCTTCGACCACGAGCTAACCGAATCCTTCACCGGCCTCTCCCTCAACGAAACTCTCTTCAAACTAATCAAACTCGGCTACACCTCCCGCGCCAAAAAACTCACCACGGAATTCAAAATCCCCGAAAAAACAACCACCTGGATACGCCTCCGCGCCCTCGTCTCCAGACGCGACTGGTCCGCCCTAGAAGATCTCTCCAAAACCCGCAAATCCCCCATCGGTTGGCTCCCCTTCTACACTCTCATCCTCAACGCCGGAAACCAGAAATTAGCAGCTGTCTTCGTTGAGAAAATCAAAGCCCAAGGCGAGGTAAAAGGAAAGGAGATTATAGAGCTGTGGGAACGATGCGCGATGAAGACGAAAGCTGCGGAGGAATGCGTGAGGATGAAGGAGGTGGGGGAGTGGGAACGCGTTTTGGAATCTTGTGCGTCTGGTTCGGCGGAGTTTAGGGATGTGGAGAGGATTGGGATGCAGGGGGGTTTGAAAAAGTAGGTACTTATACTTACTTGTAAGTTGATGTGGGTTGATATAGGTGTTTGTATGAGTTGTATGAGTTGGGATTTGGTGGAGAGGTGGGCTCATGGTAATGGATTGGTAGTTAAAGGGTTAGATCTATATGTGTGGTTTATGATGAGAGAGCTGGTTTTCATTTTTATACATATCAGATCAAATACAAATAAATTGTCCTTAATTACCACATTGTCCTCAGAAAGGTTATTTGTGAGCTTAGCTACATATCCTACACACCCTCTATGCTTCTCACTTGCAATCAATAAATGAACAAATGAATAAATGAATAAATAAATAAACATATATTCAACATTAATTAAAATAGCAAGCAAAGCAAGCAAAATATGTATTCTTCAGTTCTCATTTCCATATAAGCATCTCCTCTCAGACTAAGTGTCAAGTATCAAGTATCAACTTATCAATATCAGTATCGTTATCAAACATCCCTCAGGTATCGCTCCCTCCACTCTCATTCTTCCACCAACCCAACGCCTAATTATATGCATATGATGGATGACTCGAGCAATCATTGTGATGGTTCTCCATTTCAATTCAAGCGAGATATCTCCTCCTGCTCCTCTCCTGACCCCTATTCCTATTTCCGTTCACCACCGCGTACGTATATGCAAATGCGTAGGTATGTAGTGAGGTTACTAGCTCCTCGCTCCTAGTTCCTCGTTCCCTTCCTCATTCCCGTATTTTCCCAGCGAGTATAACAAGCAATTGACTCCACCGCCGAGTTCATATGACTTTAGATCCGCTCCAAATATACGACCATCACCTTCTTAGACGTGAAAACTAACCGATCAGCCACCTATCTCCTCGAAACTATGTAAGCGGATCGTTCGTTATCCATCATCATAAGAGTACAAAATTGTCGATTATAGCATTAGACCTCCGGCCGCCCACTTTGACTCCGCCCTCGCTAAAATGCAGAATATTCCGATGACAAATCGCCTCGCGTTGATACCTCATATATAGAGTTGTCTATAGGGCAGATTGTGGTGCTGCCTGAGCTGTGGTTGGAGTTTCGGTGTAATCCAAATCCCCCGCTCCAGTTGCTAGCCGAATGCCATTTCGTCCCGCGCCGCCATCGAAAATAAATGGTCCAACATCATTCCTGGGTGTCATAGGTCCTTCGCCAGTAAGAGGATCTGTTAGTGCGGGGTGCATCCCATTAGGACTTGGCGAGCCACGGATGTTCTCGACACGCGAAGACGAGCTAGCTAACGCATTAGGAACTGGTTTTCTTGCAATTATATCGACCGGTGACACTGTAGAGCTATGGTGGATCTGAGCAGTCGATGTGGCTGAATTTGAACTTGTCGCTGAATCGCTTACGTGGAGATATGCCATATCTTCGAGTCCAGTTTCATGGGCGTGAGCACTTGTACTGGAATCGTCACTAATATCAAGGTCATCATCGGTCTGATGGATATTCAGAGGTTCAAAGGTCTCCTGCTCTGGTAGAATTGGAGCTGCCGTGGGATTACTCGTTTGTGGAATAGCTTCCTCAGCTACGGCCTCGGTATCATGAGGTGTTGGTGTATCTGCTGCAGGCGTTGATGTTTCCTCCGGCTCTCCTTCTGATGCCGCTAATTCCTCCCAATCCACATCTGGCTCATCGAGCTCTGCCTCGAGATCTGCGACCGTACGGCAATTCGGACATATAAAATGAGGCCAAGTAGGACCGTTAATGACAACTCGAATACATTTGTAATGCCATGTATGAGAACATGGTGCGACGAACAAAGATTGACAAGGCTTTTGTGCGTTAGTTAAAGGTTATCAAGTAATGGGTGCGATTTCTTGACTTACAGCGATAGGTCCAAGACAAATCGAGCAATCTTGCGAGGAATTACTGGAGCCACCGGCTGCTTGTTTCTTCAAGTTGTTGTTGAGCTCGCGTAAACGCTTATGAGATTGAACACTGGGTAGGGCGTCAGCAAATATATATTAGTTTCATCATCAGGATGATATACATACTTGAAACTGCTTGGACCAGTTTGCCATCCCTTATTGAGCTCCACTCGTATTTTAACACACCTGAATATCATTTCCTCGCCACCTTTGAAATCTATTCCCAACTGAACTATATCACCATCATTTACTGGATATGGTCTCGATTCTGTCCCAGGAGAACTCAATCGTATGTGATTGAGAAATGTGCCCGATGAACTTTTCACATCCTTGATAAACCAGCGGCCTCCGCTACACCAAAATTCACAATGACGTCTGCTAACCACCTTTGACTTGAATCCAACTGGTGCAAATGATGGCACATTCGTAGCATGAGGTGGTTGGTTATCTCGTTCGGAATATCGACCAACTTTTATGACTTCTTTTCCGGTCGGCAGTGTTCGACTCATGGTACCAAATACGAGGGATGGGCGATGAGCTCGAGGATCTTGATGCGGAGAGAAGCGAATTGATGGTAGTTGATGTGACATGGCGCCCCCTGCAGATGCAGGACCATTTTCTCCCAGACCATTAAGTAAAGGCATATCTGCTGCTCCTCCGCTTCCTGCAGATCGAGTTCTTGCCATCGACGCCGTAAGACCCGAGGTTATCGCAGATGAATCGTTGGCCGATAAGACGGCTGAAGAGGACTCAGTCGCAGTAGGTTGTGGTTGAGTTGGGATGCTTGACACTCCGCTGTGACCTCCTACTGTCGGTAACCAGCCACTCGTAGAACCTAGATTTTCTTGATTATTCGCTCCTCCCGCTGTCAAATCGTCGGTCGTTGCGGATCTTTGTGCAGTGGGTGAAGTTTGTCGAGGAAGACTCTCGGTTGCAGGAGTTGTAGGCGAGGCTGCAGCAGAGGCGTTAGAAGCTGCAGTCGCTGACGTGGGGGATGAAGGATGCGAGGTAGTGCGTGAGATCGCGGGCTGTGAATTTTGATTATTTGTCGAAGAATTGTGGTTATTATTATGATTCTCCCTTGATAATAAGTGATTTTGTGTGTAACTTCGTAAATAACTTAAACCCCTTAGACGACCTCTAGTTGATGTGGGTGATGATATGGAAGCTGGTTGTGGGGAGACAGGTGAGACTGGTTGCGCAGAAGATGTTCGTTCTCGTACAATGGATGTTATTGAAGTAGTGGGATTCCAGGGCGAACTGGGCAATGATGAATACATGGGGAAGGACTTTTGGTTAAAAAGAACGAGGAAAAAGTAATCCCCGACTCTTTCTTTTCGAGTTAACTGGTGAAAGAGATAATAAATATAGAATGAATGATATAATTAGAGAAATTGAAAATCCAAGTAACAAAGGATGATTTCGTTCTCAACCACCAAGAAATCAAGTGATAAAATAAGAGAAAACCCTTGAATGAACTTTGAAAGTAGGGATGTAGATATGTAGGAGATATGTCTGGTCTGGGTACACCAGTAGGATATGAGATGGTTATGTGGTTATGTACCCGGTAATTTGTACTTTTTCGTAGGTAATAAGTCAAAGGTGTTGATTGCTTGGATTGATTGATTGATTGGATTCGTTTTCTGTGGCTTGTCGTGCTTGTGTGAATGGATACTTTGAAGAGACTTGAAGAAATTCTACAAGGGAGACGTCTATGAGAGTTGAATAGATAATCCTCCTCTTCTTGTTTGTGGGAATTCGAAAGAATTTGAATGGGGTATGTATGCGGTGTGTAATGTTTAAAACATTTATGGCAGTCGACATGAAATAGAAAATAAAGTAGGTACTCGTGGGTATGGTATGGTATGGTATGGGGTGTCCAATGCAAGAAGTTTTAAGAATGGAAAACAAGGCGTAAAAGAAAAGATATCTGTTGAATACTGGTTGTCGTTGTTGTTCTTGGGGAGGATTCCGAGTTGATATGATATGATATGATATGATATGGTATGGTATGGTATGGTATGGTATGGTAGTATTTATATTAAGATCCTGTTGCTACTAGTTGTAGATCATATTTCTAGAATCTTAGAATACGGAGGGAGGAGTAACAAAATTATAGTAATAAATAGTCAATAGTAAATAATAGTAATCTGTCTACTCCTGGAAAATGACAAGATGAAGAAGATGAATGGAAAATTGAATAAGATCAGAATCAATCTGGGCCAAGAAAGAAAATGGTCAAATAATCAGCTCATTATATTCCAATTTCAATAATCCAATAAATCCATCCAAATCATTCAGATCAATTCAAAATGATACGAAAATACCCTTTGTACATGCATGCCCCGTTAGATCGATACATTATTGACTGGCACGAGAGCATTAAAAAAATGGCCGGAAACAGGGGCTAGATTGATAACCAAAATGTGCCATCCCAATAGCCATGTTTTTGCCACGGCTATATTCTGCTTGACAAGATTCAGATCGATCTCTTGAAAATAAATATCATACATATATATATATATACTATATGTTGAAGAAAGGATAAAGAAGATACCAAGTATGTATGTATATTACATCTATCTATCTATCTACCACGAGTCTTTGAAAGGGTACTTCAACAATCTCTTTCTCTTTCTCTCTCTCTCTCTCTTTCAAATAATTATTGCCGCCACAATAGACGTAAAATGCTTTGACCGTTGAATGGCATGGTTTGTCCTGGTCACTCAATCCTCCTAGGTTAAAAGTCCTGGTCGGTGACACCCTCATAGAAAAAAAAAGCGGGAAATAATGTGGCACGTGAGCATGCTGATTAATCATGTAGTCAACCCGTGTAGCCTTGTTACCCTGCAACCTAGGTACGGATGATCCTGTCTAGACCAATGAGGGCTGAGGTAAGCAATTACCTAAGGTTGAACGCCCCTCACCAGAACCGGCAATTGCCGAACTCAAGATTTTTTCGATACGGTAATCAAATGATAGGTAAACCTACGGAACTTTTATGGCGAGGAGCTCGATTGTATCTCTTAACTTATTACAATTACAACACAACAACATTCATTATGTTAAGAAATCCTTCGACGAGGTTTCTGAGGAGAGCCCTCTCAACCCAAAGGACCATACCCAATGTTTTCCCAACATTACGTTCACGAAGTTTGGCGACAGTCGTAGAACCTATACAAAAGGTACAAGTGAAGATAGAAAATCCAACTTCTCAACACGACTAACGTGAATATAGGACCCCGCCGAGTTAGATCAAATCAGTACACTTCCCAATGGAGTTCGTGTCGCAACTGAAGCATTACCGGGTCATTTTTCCGGCATTGGAGTATACATTGATGCAGGATCCAGATACGAAAATGAAGATCTTAGAGGAGTCAGTCATATAATGGATAGATTGGCATTCAAATCCACTTCGAACCGATCAAGCGACGAAATGTTAGAATCAATAGAATCTTTGGGAGGAAATATACAATGCGCCTCATCCAGAGAATCTCTCATGTATCAATCTGCCACATTTAATTCTGCGGTACCAACCGCTGTCGCCTTACTTGCCGAGACCATACGCAATCCTTTAATCACCGAGGAGGAAGTCGAGCAACAATTAGAAACGGCTGCTTATGAGATTGGTGAAATTTGGTCCAAGCCAGAGTTAATCCTTCCGGAAATCGTACATATGGCTGCGTACAAGGGCAATACTCTTGGAAACCCTCTATTGTGTCCGAAAGAGCGACTTTCAGAGATAAACAGCGACACTATACAAGCATACCGGGATACTTTTTATAGGCCTGAAAGAATGGTAGTTGCATTTGCGGGTGTACAGCATGAGGAAGCAGTAAAGCTTGCCGAACAACATTTTGGAGATATGCCAAAATCAGCTCCTCTCTTGTCACAAACTGGATCGGAAACATCTTTCGACTCATCATCGAGTGAAACCAGCAGCAATAGCTCAATATCATCCTCATCCTCTTCGCCACCACCACCATCACCTACACAAAAGCCATCCACCTTGATATCACGTATCCCATTCTTCAAGAACATCTCCACTTCCGCACCCAAGAACGCTTCCGTTCGAAATGGCTTTATAAACCCCCTTGACCTCAACCAGCCCTCACATTATACAGGTGGATTCCTCTCACTCCCTTCTCTACCACCACCAATGAACCCCTCTCTCCCCGCGCTGAGCCATATTCACATCGCTTTTGAAGCTCTTCCCATCTCCTCGCCAGATATCTATGCCCTTGCCACTCTTCAAACCCTCCTTGGTGGTGGTGGATCATTCTCTGCCGGTGGCCCTGGCAAAGGTATGTATTCACGCCTTTACACCAATGTCCTCAATCAACACGGTTGGGTTGAATCCTGCATAGCCTTCAACCATTCGTATACTGATTCTGGACTATTTGGAATTTCCGCATCATGTTCCCCTGGCTTCGTCAAAAATATGCTCGATGTTATGTGTCGCGAACTTCAAAGCCTCACTCTCGATACCGGATTCAATGCATTGCAAACTGCAGAAGTCAACCGTGCGAAGAATCAACTGAGATCCAGTTTATTGATGAATTTGGAATCAAGAATGGTAGAACTAGAGGATTTAGGAAGACAAGTACAAGTACATGGAAGAAAAGTAGGAGTAAGAGAAATGTGTAAGAAAATCGAAGAATTAACAGTCAAAGATTTACGAAAGGTAGCTGCACAGGTCTTTGGAGGCTTGGTAAATAATGCAGGACAAGGAAGTGGCAGTCCAACAGTGGTTTTACAGGAAGGTGAAGAGGAAGGAAGAGCATACAAAAACTTCAGTTGGGATGATATTCAAGATCGAATCCACGGGTGGAAATTAGGAAGATGGTAAAGAAAATACTATCATATGTATTGATGGAAAATAAGATCCCTCGTGTAGGTTGGATCTTTGTATAATATTTATGGATGATATCATGAATGTATAAAATGCGTGTGAAGCATATATGGCGTTTCCTGATTATTTAGAAGTAGGGGAAAGATCTGAAACTAGAAATTAAAAGGCTTTCATTATTTATCTACTCTATGTATATCCATGTAGACGGATTATATTAATGAGAGATAGAAATAAGAGTAAAGAAGAAAGATACTCAATATAAATATAGATAGATGTACATTTATATATATATAATACTTTTTCTTTTACTAATTACATAAATCGATTTAAAAATCAATATATCAATGCTCTTTTATTAAACAGTTCATCAATTATACAACAATAGCAATAAAACCCAGCAAAAAATCAGGACCACATCAAGCCCAGTCTTCAATAACCACGCCTCCATCACACCCACATATACAAAACATTCCAAAGCGCACTCCCATCTCGTCTCCCTACTTCATATCCAGATTCTTCGTCTCTGACCCCATAAGCTACGTACTGCGCATGCGCAACCATAACCACCAAAATTTTTAATTGATATAGAAATCGTCAGAACTCCATCTACTCTACTCAACTAAATACACTCGAACGACTATACTCCACAGCAGCAAACCTCACTTAGCACACAAGCTCTAGGTTCAAATTTCCAATTCATTGTAATCTTACGAATAAAATTTGTGATTTGTCGTAGAGTCGTAGAGAAACCAGAATGAATAATTTTTAGATAGATAGATAGATAGATAGATGGAGAGGATGAAGATGAAGATGAAGATGAAGATGAAGATGAAGATGAAGATGATGATGACGATATGAAAGTTGAGAATATTCATGCAGTGATTGTTTTTACAAGAACGAAATCTTCATCGATAGTCTATGGCAGATATGTAGGTGTAGAGATGAAGTTGTTATGGGTATGGACGGGGAGATGAATAGTAAATGGCGATGATGAGTTATTAAGGGGGTTTGATCATGAGGATTATTTCTACGGTTGGGAGATATGGATATGGATATGGATATGGATATGGATATGGATATGGATATGGATGTGGAGGGAGAGGAATAGAAGAAGGGGGATAATCGAATCAGACAAAGCTTAGCACCATCGCAAATTCTATACAGAGTAGTTTTGGGCCTCTATGCGGAGAGCGCGGTTTCGTATTAATAGTGATTCGCTCAATTCCCCTCTTGGACTTTCCGTATCGATATCAAGACACTAGTAATTAGTATACAAAAGAACTTGATAGTGGTCAATCCCTTGAAATCTTCCTCTGAGGCGTTCCATACCAGCATGAAAGTAATGCGTAAGTACAGAAGAAATAATTTCGACGGGAGTGTGGAACGGAGAGGTTTAAAAAAAGTCAACTATAAGCTTGATGCAGAAAATATGGAGTTTAATACCTAGGTGATTTTACATTAGATAAGTAATCGAGATTGATGATGATGAGGAAAGAATCAGGGTGTTATTGAATGAGAACTCATAGTTGTTCTAGCTAAGCTATGGGAGATTGAAGTCTAAGAGAGCTCGCGAAGATGTCACGTTGTATAACTCATATTTACCTTGTGAAATCTCCAGCAATACTACCTAGTTACTAGACTAATACTAGATTTCTTCTCAGGGCTGATTTTGGGCTTATATCTACAGGAATCCCTCTCATCAAAATTATCTCTTGACCTCGCATAGACGGACAACTTGTCTACTCTTCACACGGCTTTCATTTACTTTGATATCATTTGGAATGAGAACGACACGAGCGAGAAAAAAAAATAGGATAGTGGAAGAGCGTGTGCATTTTCGTAATATACATAGATCGTATATTAGATACACTTGTATTGCTGGATATGGTATATGATAGGTAAATAGATGAAAGACGAGTTACGGGAATTAAATACCACGAGCAATACAACGTCATTGAACCCGAAAAAAACCGAAGGGAAGTAAGCGAAAAGAAACACACCCAACGGATCATCTTACAATCAGCCTAATTACCATTCACCATTCACCATTCACCCATAAAGAATAAATAAAATGAATAATCAAGCAATACACACTCCATATATCAACAAAGCAAGTAAGATAACATCAAGACGACATCAAAAAACTATTAACACTCTGCAACGTCGCCCGACTCGGATTAGCATCCGGCATCGAAGTCGAAATCCACGATAATCTCCTACGAATAAAATCCTTATTAACCGTCGAAAGATCCTCCTCACTTCTCAATTCCAACGCACCATTATCGTTGAAATAGAGACAGAGTAGAGCCAGTGCGACACCAATTGAGAGATCTTGTCCTGATTCGCATGCTATGGTTATTTGTGAGTGTGGGGTGGAGGGTTCGTGTGATGGTGAGTCTGTGAGGTTTTGGAGGGTTTGCATGATGAATGAGGTGATGTCTTTGAGGGCTGCGCGGAGATTCTTGCTGCCTACTTTTTTGCTTCCGAGACCGATGTCCATTCGTGTGGGAGAGGTGTGCCATGTATCTCTGGGTGTGACCTTGGGCAATAGTATGATAGTGCACGTACCGGTAATGTTTTCCAGAGATGAAACGCCATCTAACGTCGAAATTGAAAGACATGAAGTAGGTTTTACGAGGCGTAGTTTGGTGTTAGATCCTAGAGAAGAGCTAGATTGGTCTATTAACGTCTCAATAAGCTCGGGTAGATCTTCTTCAGATGTTTCAAATAATTGATGTTGGTTCGTCCAGAAAATATTCGGAGTGAGTCCATGAGCCCAATTCTCGGTATCATCTCCTGCCCCCTGTATATAACCCCCCTCGCTAACTTCTCCCCCAGCAACCCTTCGCGAAACCGTACAACAGATTACAGGGTGAAAATCTTCAAAGATATCGTCTGTATTAGATAGTTGAGACTCGGGAGTTACCCAAATTGGTCTGATTGGCTTGCGAAGTTTACCTCTGAAAGTTTCAATAGGTAGATTGAGAGCTTGAAATGCTTGTACGAATTGAGGAAGCAAGTTTGTCATTTGAGCATGCTCGGAATCCGAAACTACCTGTGGTGGAGCGTACAGCTTATGGGCAGTTGGATTGCTAGGGAAAAAGACGCGGTTCAATACACAACACCATATTGGTATTGTTTTGCTTAATGCATCGGGCATACCTTTCAATTATTAGTATACCTGAGAAGAAAAAAGAATGCAAGGATGACTGACGCTTTCCGCGCCTAGTAGAATCTACAATGATACATCTGCATGAAACTTTCAGCCTGTAGCTCAATAAATTTTACTTTAGTACACACCCGTCATTATCTCCGATTATTTCTAAAAGATGTAAATTCAATCTTCGCGAGCTAAACTTCCAGACACCTGTATGGCCATCTGTACTTTTGAAGTATGCACTGCCTCCTTTCTTATTCGGATCAATGTACCAGCTGCCACATCTTTCATTTGCTACAAGCGGCCTATCGTAGGCATTTGCAACAGATTCGGCAAATTCTGCATCTTCGAGAATAGATCGAAGCCGATTGTGGATAGATAGAGTGGCTCGTTTGATTTCACCAAGTGTCTTTGAGAAGTTGTGATTTGCTTGCTCATTAAATACAATATCCGCAATGGTTAAAGGCATTTCAGGAGTTGGCTATTTAGCTGTTGGTGATAAACCTACCTTAGTTTTGATATTTCAAGGTCCTGAAGTGTGTGCAGTTGTGTTGTTGGAATTTATCAATTTGGGGCGGTGAGATATGGCAAAATCGTCCGAAAAGGTCAAATTCGCACATTCATATGTTGAAATGAAATGCAAAAGTCCCTTTATTCTCACTTGATGTATTTTTGGTTTCCATTAAAGGCTGAATATAGAGTTCCATACGCAATTTGTAGATGTGCAACAAATAAATTAAGATTCAAAGATTCACACCTTCCTGCACTGCAGAACGATCTATCACCGCACCAGTGCGCACTATATTCTGCCAAGGAAGTACAGCATTTACCGGACAGTTCGTACCGGAGTTCACCAAATCTTGTCTTCATTCTAGGTTCTAGATCTTCTGCATTAGTTGCACGAGCTGCAGAATTTATTTTCTCCAACAAACTTCCAATAATGGATAATGCTGAAATAGACGTCGTGTTACCACCCCCAATGTAATAATACTACAAAGTTAGGGGTATGCTTACGGATTGGATCGTCGTTGAGGATATGGTTGGATTTGGTCTCATGTAAATTCCCTTTGTTAAATCCTTCAACATCGTCAACAGGCGGACTTACAACTAGTGGGTGGGATGTAGCATTTTGAAACCGTGGTAATCCTGGTGTAAGTGACCTCGTCCTCATTGACCTCAAACTATAATCCCTATGTTGTAGAAATGTGATTAACGTTTGGGAAGAAGAGATCGTCACATGTTCATTGTTCGCTTCACGTATGACAGAAGCTGTGATGAATACCATCTGCATAGCGAGCGCAAGACACGCGTAAAGGGGGTCAAATTCTGCACAGCTCTTGTACCATCAAGAGTCTTTTGCATCCAGCAAAAAGGTCATAGTCCTGAAGGATGATTAATCCTCTGGAAAATCGTACCAGACTCATGCAGCCTCTGAGTAGAAGGAAGACGAGCCACTTCTTAATGATGAAGTCCTATAGGAGTATTGATAGACTTTGAGAGCAATTATCTTCAGAGCTCTGTCAGCCTTTATGCCTGCACGGTCTGAAGGTGATGTCGCCCCTTTAATTGCGTTGGAGTATTTAGTCGAGGGGACACAACATAATATTGGGGCGCCAGCTGTTTTCACCAGATTCGCCAATGCTATCAACATCTTCTGATGTTGAGATAACTACATCCCCAGCCGCAAAGTGGCTGTGTTGAGCTCAACAGTAGAAATCACATCCCTTTGAACCATCAAGGTAGTAAATAAGCGGGACGATGGACAAAACTGACCGTCACAAGATCAAATCAAGCAACCGTAAGGGTAGCGGTGCATACATAACAGGACTACTGTACAGTGTAAGCAATAGTTCATGGGCTTGAACGAGCACTGTCCAAGACAGCGTACGAGGTCCGACAAAGTTACCTACATATTAATTATTATTTGCGAGGCGTTTCCGGAGTGCGTGATCCGAGCATCGCCGCAGTCGCAGTAGAGGCATAATGGTGGGGTAGCATGCCATCAATAATTAATTCCTCATCAAGAATTGGTGGATCCCAAGAGTTCATGAATGATTGATGAATGAATGATTGATGAATGAATGATTGATGAATGAATGATTGATGTATGAATGATTGATGAATGATTGATGAATGAATAAATTGATTGATGATTGTACGTATGAAAGATCTCATGATTCTTATCTGATATGTTCGGAAGTATCTTCGTTGACACCCCTGCCTAAACAACCGCTTAACCGAAGCCTGAAGGTCCGTGTTGTTGTTGTGCTGAAAGAAAGTTTGAAGTAAAAATGTCTCTGGCCCGGTTAGTGTTGAGTGTTGTTGAATGGGGATGAAAAGTGGGGTAAATGTGGGGGGTTTTCACCGCCAAGTACTGAGTCTTGGCAGTAAAAAAGATTAAATGGGCCAATCAAGGAAATAATTAGGATTGATGGCCAGGATTAGTGACGTAGGGGGGTAAGGAGTATGCATAAATATTTACTTCCTTTAATCCATAGGTAGAGATGACGAGGCAAGACTCAAGAGTAGTGTGATTGAAGTGAATGTGAGGTGTGAGGTGTGAGGTGTGAGATGAGAGGTGTGAAATGAGAGGTGAGAGAGAGGTGTGAGGTGTGAGGTGTGAAGTGTGAGGTGTGAGGTGACGGGTGTAGGTGAGAGTTGTGAGGTGCGATGTGCAAGACGCGAGAGCTGAACAACTAACTGGTGTTCTTTCTAATTCATTACGGCTTACGATAATCTACGAAAGAGCGAATTCGAATTCATGGACAGGTATAACAGTTTGACTGACCTTCACTCATTTCATACCTCCGGGATAGTAGGATCTCAGGATCTTTTGATTCACTACCTACTAGGTACTGTAGCTGCCTTTTACCTTTTACCTTACGAGTAGCCATCTATTTATTACTATTCATGAACGGACAGAGCGGGAAAAAACGTGAACAGCAGAAAGGCCTGAATGATACTTTTTAAAACTACGGGCCAAAAGGCTTTGAAGTGCATCCATCGACTGACATTTTGAAATAAAGTTATCTAGGTACTAGGTAGGTATTGATTATCATTATCCTTGCATTCTAAAGAGGCGTCCAATCAAATTTGTCATCATACTTCTACCACAAGTCCGTACGTACTTTTGACTTCTAACTTCTAATAATTTCGACCTCTTTTCTTTCCAACATTTCTTCTCTAAATATTCTTATTATTATCCACGAGAAAGGAGCTTGAACACAAGACCTTCTCTCCTTGGCAAACGAATGTCTTTAAATCCTTTTGGACTGCCCCATCCGTCCGAAGAAACTCGCTTTATCACTTGTAATAATTAGAAGTGGAGGCATCCCAAGATCTTGGCATCTTGGACTGGAAAAATAACCAACCTTCCACGCAGTATTCGTCACGATTCATTCGACACTCTTCCTAATCTTTCCTGCACTTCGAAAATAAAATCTTGTCTTGAGAGAAACATCCGCGAAACCTAGCCGCACGAATCTACGTGCCTTACGATCATTACAAAGGGTGGAGGATAACGAACTAAAATAGAAGAGGTTGGGAGCGGCGACTGGGCGCGACCAGAATTCGAATGCTGCGACATCACGCAATTCTTTTGAGGGAATCAACTGATTGGGGTATAACGAGGAGAGGCAACCCAACGGATTGAGCCTGCCCATCTCGACTCCTCCGTTTGCGATAGGAACCTCACGAATACAATATCGATATCGATAAGCAATCGACTGCGATTGCTCTAATACCTATTCTGTACAGATCGACACCCGTTTTAAGACAGCCAAGATGGCGTGGGATCACCTTTCCGTCAATAAACCTCACTTGGTTTATATAATTTTGGGTGGCTTCACCTCATTATTTATGCTGTGTTCCTCCTTCATCAAGGAGCGCATGTATATCGGTGAAGCCACTGTTGCCACCATTTGTGGTATCATCTTTGGACCACATGCCGCCAATTTGATCAATCCTGACACCTGGGGTAACACCGATCAGATCACGTTAGAATTCTCGCGTATTGTTCTCGTGGTTCAATGTTTTGCCGTCGGGGTCGAATTGCCCAGGCATTATATGGAGAAGCATTGGAGGAGTGTTGTCTTTCTGTTGTTACCTGTAATGACATTTGGATGGTTGATCACAAGTCTTTTCATTTGGTGGTTAATCCCTCCGCTTAGCTGGCTGCAGGGACTTTGTGTCGCAGCATGTGTGACCGCGACAGATCCTGTACTCGCCAGTTCCGTGGTTGGAAAGGGAAAATTTGCAAAGCGAGTACCGAAACATTTGAGAGATCTTCTATCTGCCGAGTCAGGGTGCAATGATGGGATGGCATTCCCGTTTATCTACCTTTCTTTATATTTGATACGATTCCACCTCAATGCGAAAGAAGTTACGTTTGACTTTGTTGTTATAACTGTTCTTTACGAGTGCGTGTTTGGTGCAATCTATGGTTTCGCTGTCGGTTACATTGGAAGGCACGGAATCAAATATGCGGAAAGAAATGATTTAGTCGACCGTGAAAGTTTTCTCGTCTTCTACTTCGTTCTTGCCCTATTTTGCGCCGGCTCAGGGAGCATTCTTGGAGTTGATGATCTTCTCGTTGGCTTCGCTGCTGGCGTTGGCTTTTCAAATGACGGTTGGTTTACTCAAAAAACAGAGGAATCTCATGTTTCCAACGTCATAGATCTACTCATCAACTTGGCATATTTTGTCTACCTTGGTACAATTATTCCTTGGGAACAATATAATGACGTGGAAATTGGAACTACGCCATGGCGGCTCGCGGTCATCGCAATTTTGGTCATTTTCTTCAGGCGCATACCGATCATGATGGCACTGAAACCTCTGATACCCGACATTAAAACTTGGCGAGAAGCTTTATTTGCTGGTCACTTTGGTCCCATTGGCGTGGGTGCTATCTTTGTAGCTATTCTTGCAAGGGCCGAGCTTGAGACTGAAGGTACAACACCCTTGGCCGATTATCCCGATCGAAATGCGCCAAACTGGCAATTGGTAACGGTGATTTGGCCAATCGTAACGTTTCTCGTCATTTCCTCTATTATCGTACATGGTTCATCCATCGCGGTTTTTACTCTTGGAAAACATATCAATACCTTGACACTCACAATGTCCTACACCCAAGCTGGAGATGATGGGCCTACTTGGATGAATCGCCTTCCTCGTATCTCATCAATATCAAGATCTCAAGCCAAGACAGCTGGATCTGAAACTGATGGCGAAGACTTGACAATGGATGAGATACCTCCCGGCACCCTGCCACCTCCTGGAGGGATACCTGGAGGATTCTTGCGCCGTCAAAGGGAAGAGGATAATCCAAGTCGAGCCAGCAGTCGTCCATCTTCATTGATTCCTCGACGCAGAAAGAAGAAGTGGGACGATGGAGTAGGTCCCGGCGGTCCCATCAGCGAGTCAGCCATTTATCCCGCCCGACGAAGTCGCGATTACTCGAACGAACAAGCATCAGATACTTTGACGCCCGGAGGGTCTTCGCCCGACAATGAGAAAGCAAACATAGATGACGAGTCCAATGAAGGTGAGCTTGGAGAAGTACAACATGATCCCGAAATGGAGGAAATTATGCACCATGGCGAGAAGGGCGAGCGACGTGATGAGCACATGTCAAATGCTCAACGCCACCCTAACAAGGCGGAAGTTTATGACGAGGGTGACCATATCATAATTGAGAATGAAGACGGTGACGTGATCAAAACACTTAGGAGTCCGGAGGGGGGAAACTCAAAGGAAGGAATCGAGAATTTGGAGAGGGATATTAAGCAAGGTTCGGAGAAAGCTTACCAGAAGTTCGGGAAAATAATGGGGGTCTGGCGAAATAAAGACGAGGCCAAGGGACTTAAGACGGGTGAGAGCTCACAAGGAAAGAAAGGGAAAGAGCCTCGCAAAACTCGAGGCCCAGCTTTGGCTTACCAGTATGGACGATCTGTAAGATACTCCACGGCTTAGGTATATTATGATCACATCGCTAACACAGTCACAGATTATTGTTGAAGATGAAGATGGAGAAGTTGTCAAAACATATGAATTACCACCGGACCCAAACACCAAAGGCCCCAGAAACGGTGAACCTGGTGCTGTCCGTCAAGGGATTACTCGTATGGGCACATGGACCGGACTTGGTGGCAGTAAGGCGTCCGCCGACAACCCTAACAAAACAGATGGTACAAAATCGGATCCATCCCGCCAGGGCATAACACGAATGGGTACCTGGAACTTTGGCAAGGCGGCTCCAAATACCGTCAATAAAGAAACCGAAGAAGATGACGATCGCCGTATTCGATTCACCATTGGAGGAGCAGGACGCCGGCTAACTAAGGAAGATTTCTTGAAAGAAATTCAAGGTCTGGACCCCAAAGCAAGGTGCGAAGTTGTTGAAGAAAGCGATGCACCCAAAGAGATGAAGGATCTGGCAAGGAGAGACGCCGATGATCAAATACAGGGAAATTTACGTCTACTCGAAGCGCAAGATACGCAGCTAGCTGCTGACGCGCAAACCGCACGAGTGATTGGGAAACAAATGGCGAAACAGCAGGGCGCCAGAATTGATGTACAGGATAATGTCAGAACTAGTGGAGCGGAAAGCGGCACTAATGATATACCCGAGTCAGCTGCGGAGAGGAGAAGAAGGCATGACGCTTTGAAAGGAGTGGATGAGGATGAGGATGATGAAGCTAGAGGGCGGGGAAGGGGACGTTCTCCTGTTCGTGACAGCGAGGTTCCCGAAGAAAGAGAAACGGCAGCAGAAAAAAGAAGACGGGAGGCAGCGCTTGGTGAAGGCGTACAGAGTGATAGCGATGATGACGATACACCGCGAGTGCCGCCACCAGCCGCGCGAAGCAGGGGTATCAGGTTCGCTCAGAGCCCAGTGAGAGGAAAGAGATAGTTTTCGATAAATTGTGTACATGCTGGGAGGTCTTATTGTTTTTGAGATGATTTGATACCTTGTTGTTATATTGCTGGGAAAAATATTATGGCTATACTTGATGTAATGTTGCTACGAAAATATTGAGACGATAGATGGATCGACTGGCATGTTTAAATCATGATTGATGGGTTTTGGGTAATTTTGAATATAATTTTGAATGGGTTGTTGATACAACATACGAGTACATAGCATAGCATAATGATATATATAGAATGGTAGAATACCGATTGGGTAATTTGTAGATACGGGTGGTCATATCCAGTTTTAGTTTGAGGTTATATTATAGTACGGGATCGCTATCTAATGTTTCGTTCAGTAGATTCGATGGCTTGGTGAAATGGTAATCAAATTGAGTAGTACTCTGTCAGTCAGTCTTGATTGATGCTATACTCCGCACTCGAGTACTGTACAGTTTAATATTTTGTCCAGTAGATTCGATATTTGCGAAAAATTCTTCCGAACGTTTGTTGTCGTCATTAAAGAACAGGGATGCCTTGACCAATAAACATCCATCATGGTCTAACTGGTCACCCTCACGCGCTTCAAATTGCCGAGCAGTCGATTTCATGCGAATTTCGCCTCCAAAAAGTTTATGCCCATCAACAACGAGCCACGCCATTCCAACAAAACATATTGATATCAATTTGCGAATGGTTGGCAACTTATAACCATGAGTCAAAATAATAGAAAAGCAAAGGGAAGAGGTAGAGGAGGACAACCAGGTTCGGGCGATAATTCCAGCAACAATACCCCAAATGGTGGTCGACCACAATATATGACTGTTGGCTCTGGAAGTGCACCGGAAAGTGCTGCAAGACTACAAGCGCTCCTCGACAACGACTCAGGGTATGGAGGTAGTGTGGCCGGTGACAGCTCGAACGGCATGCCATCATGGAACCCTACACTGACCGAGGATAGACCTACTCCTCCGATGTCTGCTCTTCCCAGAGGACCGTCAAACGAAATTTCAGAGAACGAGAGACGATCGCAGGCAAATGCAATACATCAACTGTGGTACAATCAACATCGTGTCACTCTTGGCAGATCAATCAATCGTGTGGTGGAAACTTTGAAGTCGTTACAAGAAATGAATGCACAGTGGCCAGCGATTTATCCCTCAGTTCAGCGCGATGAAGCTCAAAACCAACGACAGGACCCACGACCAGGCTTGGTACATACCCAAACTGGTATCAGGTCCTCAACACCTGAGCCTCGTCCTGGGCAAGTGCGACGTGCTATGACATCTATTGGTGAGGGTAGCAGCAATGCAGAGTCAAGTCAAGCGGCGGAATCAAGAACCACTCCGGAACCTCGGCTCGTAACCCCACAGATCGCACAAGAGTTTTCTATCTTGAAGCTGGACTTGAAGTTGGGAGCTTTACATCAAACCGAGTTGGTACATTCGTTGGAAAAGGCTTCGATCGCATCTCTGCTTGATGGAAAAATTAGTTCAAGCATCAACCATTTACTTTCTCTACGAGAACGTATCGAGGATTCTTCGAGCAAGGTACTGGTAACCGGAGATTTGAATACTGGAAAATCGACGTTCTGCAATGCACTTCTCCGAAGGAAGATTTTACCAGAGGATCAACAACCTTGTACGAGCATATTCTGTGAGGTTTTGGATGCGAGAGAAAATGGAGGAGTTGAGGAAGTACATGCGGTCCACAAGGAAACTACCTACGATCGACACGATGAAAGCACCTATGACGTTTACACGATTCAGGACCTGGAACAACTCGTTCTTGATAACGATACATACACACAATGCAAGGTCTACGTGAAGGACGTACGCACGATCGATGAGTCATTACTGAACAATGGAGTGGTGGATATTGCAATCATTGATGCGCCTGGTCTCAACCTGGATACTACGAAGACGACTGCGGTTTTTGCTCGACAGGAAGAAATTGATGTTGTTGTTTTCGTTGTCTCGGCTGCCAATCACTTCACACAGACCGCGCGAGAATTTATCTGGGCAGCGGCAGCGGAGAAGGCATATATTTTCATGGTTGTCAATGGATATGATAATATTCGGGATAAAGAACGATGCCAGAAAATGATATTGGAGCAAATTCAAGGTCTAAGTCCTAGAACCTTCAAGGAATCCTCTGAACTTGTCCATTTTGTATCAAGTAATGCCATTCCCACAGCTGCACTTGGTCCTCCTGGTCCACCGGGTGGAAGTGGTGGCGGAAGCGGTAGCTCTAGTGGAGGTGGAGGTGATGGACCAGACTTCGACGACGGTTCGGATTCGAAAGGGAAGGGTAAAGGCAAGGATAAGGAAAAGATTAGAGATTTCGAGATTCTTGAACAGTCACTGCGTCGATTCGTTTTAGAAAAGCGGGCTAGATCCAAGTTGGCTCCAGCCAAGACTTACTTGCTTAATGTTTTAAGTGATATTCACAGTCTCGCCACGGTCAACTCAGAGGTTGCACAATCTGAGCTAGATCGTGTCACAAAAGAACTTGCAGATCTAGAGCCGATGCTCGAGGCCTCCCAAAAGGCGAAGGCTGAAGTTAGCGATGATATTGATAGAACTATCGAAGCGACATGTAAAAATATCTACGACTACACTCGCTCGACGCTCAACGAAACAATAGCAAGAACAGCCGATGGTGATCTTGGAATTCCATATCCAGGGCTGTTTGGTGCTTTCCAATATGCCGATGACATTAAGGAGGCTATCATGTCTGAAATCTCCGCTACTGTTTCCGCCTGCGAAGAACATGCCCGTCGTAAGACGGTTGATGGTGTAACGCAAATCAAGCAACTAGGCATCTTACATCTCGGTGATGAGTACACAGACTTGAGCTTCAAAAGCGACATTATGTTCAAACGCAAGCGTGATATCCTTGCCAAGCACCTTGACATTGAAACTGAATTGTGGGATTTCTTCGATTTCTCGACTCTTTTCCAGCGACAAGAAAAGATGGCTGGGACTGGTATGGCGATGACTATCGCCACTGTTATCGGCAGTCGTGCAATTGGTGGTGTCGGATGGGTTGATGGTGCTCTGTCTGCCGCAAAGATTATGGGTAACAATAACTTGCGCAGATTGGCAGTGCCAGGAATCATCGCAGGAGGTATGTTTTACGTGATATTTTCAATTGCATGGATTCTCTTATTAATTCTTTCTAGCTATTGCCGCAGCCTACTACGTCTTAAACCAAATCCCTCAATCACTTCCACATCGTCTGTCCTCCAAGATCTCCGCTCAACTTGCCGCCATCGACTACGTACACTCTAACAGTGACCGTATCTCTTCATCAGTACGCAAGGTCCTTCGATTCCCTGCTGATAATCTCCGTGTTGGTCTTCAACGTTCAGTTGAACAACTTGGAACCAAGCGTGAAGAGACCAGAAAGATCAGAGGCGAAAGTGAAGTTGCCAGAAAGTACTTTGGAAACTTGGTCAACAAAAGTTCGGAGATTAGAAATAATGTTGAGGGTGTGGATTTGGAAGGACCAGCTCCAGGAGTTGCCGCTGCATACGATGCTTAGATTCTTGTTATACCCCGATATCTCTTTTTCCATTAACGTGTCAATGACTACTTTCGTCGGATTAAAAAAAATGGCGTTTTTTGAGCAATTTACTTCAAAGACAATATGGGTTGTTGGAACAGAGGATGGATGGGAAGGTGTGGAAAAACAAATGCGAGCGGCGTTGGTCGTAGGATTTAGGATTGATTGTATGGCGTGCCTAGGTAGCTACTTCGGAATCCTCTCTCCACTTACTTTATTCCGTAGAATGAAAAGAAAAGTAATATTACATAAAAGTGTCATATAGATTTCTTTTATGGTGAGACCACCAAGACATGTGGGAACAGAAATTTATGAACCTTGATTTTAAGGCTTGAAATCAGCCAAGGCTGCCAAGCTTCAAGGCTACGAAATGAGAGCCGAATCATTGTCTACTACATGACGACTTGCGCGGGCACGCAGAACACAACATCAAGTAATTTACATTTAATTCACCAACCTCCACAAAAAATCCTTCAGACCGTCCTTCCCATTTACTTCCTACCCACATCCTCATTTCATTACTTCAAAATACAACCATGAACGTATGCCGTTTCCCCCCCTCTTATCTCCCTCTACCAAACTAACCATCCTCCTCAGATCGTCGAATGGGCTTTTGGAAAGCGCATGACGCCAGCCGAGCGCCTGCGAAAACATCAACGATCACTGGAGAAAACGCAACGGGAACTCGATCGCGAGCGCATGAAGCTAGAAAATCAGGAGAAGAAATTGATTCAGGAAATTAAGAAAAGTGCGAAGAATGGACAGATGGGAGCGGCTAAAATTCAGGCGAAGGATTTGGTGAGGACGAGGAGATATGTTGAGAAGTTTTATAGTATGAGGACACAGTTGCAGGCGATTAGTTTGAGGATTCAGGTATGTTTTGGAAGGGAGAGGGAGGGAAGGGGTGTTGTTTGGGGAATTGGGGAACGTAGGAGGAATGGAGGCATGTGATAGGATGATGGCTAATTACTTGGGTGATTAGACGGTTCGAACGAATGAGCAGATGATGCAGGCGATGAAAGGGGCGACGGGAGTTCTAGGAAGTATGAACAGAAGCATGAATCTACCTGCATTACAGAGAATCGCTATGGAATTCGAGAATGATATTATGGATCAGAGGCAAGAAATGATGGATGATGCGATTGATGATGTAACGGGATTGGAAGATGAGGAAGAAGGAGAGGAGAGATCTTGGAGAGATTGGGATTGATTTGAAAGCTGCGATGGGTGAGACTCCTCAGGGATTGCAGAGTTCGATGGTTCCTGAGGGGAGGGTTGGTGGCGGTGGGGTGGGGGTGGGGGTTCCTGGGTGATGATGATTTGCAGGCGAGACTTGATAGTTTGAGGAGGGATTGATGAGGGAGTGCTTGTTTGTTTGTTTGTTTGTTTGTTTGTTCGTCTGAGGAGGGATTGAGGAGGGATTGGTTAGGAAGTGGAAATCCATCCATCGAGAGGAGGATCATAAGCAAATCGACATCTGCAAGAAGAGAAAACCATTTATTGCCATCAAAGCTGAAATGGGAAGGATACATTGTATTCGTTAAATAGTAGACTCACGACTTTTATATCGGCGTTAGTTACAGAGTGTGTGGGAGGCGTTTCCATTCATGTATCTATCTATTTCCTTGGAGATTTGTGGATTGGGGCATCAGAAATTCACATCGTCTTCACTAAATGCACATGGGAGGGAAGGGAAAGGGAAGGGAAGCTTAGGAGTTTTGGGAGTATCGCTTTTATTTTTTGTTATTTGGTGTTTTCGTACAGTACATAGGGTGTTGGAAGCAGATTCAAATACAATGATTTTTATTACCCCTTACTTCTTACTTATTTCTTTCTATACCTGTGATTTATTGGTATTTTATTGGTATTTTATTGAGATGACTGCATGGATGGGTAGATGAGTGATTAGTGAGTGAGTGGTTAGATGAGTGATCTATATGTAGACATACCTCCTATTCCGTACCTAGATAGTAATGTGTGACACAAAGATAGATGGATAGACACCAGACGAAAAATATAAACTGTAATACATCGGGTAGGTAGGTACACTGCATTGTATTACGGTACAAAGCTACGGTGGTACCTACTAGGTACCTGTTTTGTACATATGGCCTCGTACGTGCGTACAAGGTAGATATGAGGCTTTAGGGATTGAGTGTTCATAGGAGGTGGTGGATTGGTGAGTTAGTTGTTCTTCTCTGTATTTATATCTGTCTACCAAGGTGTATATACATATAATCCGTATATCAGGATGATTAAAAGCAAATGTAAGTAAGAATATTAACCATACATAAAAAGCTATATATATAATCATTATATTAGAAACACTTCAATGCTTCATTCTCCCATTTCCATCTCTCATATCCCATCACTAACAAATCCGAATTCTCTCTCCTGCCTTTAAAGCAAAAGCAAATGGAAGAACAAGAACTTACCTATTAGGTATACAACCAACCTAACACTCCTCTCTGAATCCGCCATGGCTTGTCTCGTTTTTATAATATCCATAGATCTCTCTGTATTTTCTATAACGATGCAAAAAAGTCTGGGGAAATCTCAAAATCAAGTTGATTGTAACCTCTTTATCTCCTGCGCTGATGAGGCACAGTATTTCTTTTTATAGTAATCTTATAAAATGAGAATCCTGGTAATACATACATCCATACATACATACATACATACATACATACTAATCCCGAGGAATCTTATATGCATAGCTTTGTTTTCTTTGTATTGATGGCACTATACTGTATCTACCCTTTGAATAGATATTACCTACCTCATGTATTTACAGTAAATCGTTAGATATTCCTTTCAACGCATCATCAACACACACTTTCTTATCCATCCTTTTCCGAAGTTGTCCAGAAATTCCCAAAATGACTGGAATCTGATTAATATATCAGAAAATCCCAGCTCCGTGGTACTTTAGAGTGGGTTCCCGGAGTTAATCAATCAAATGTGAGGGTCATTCTTGAAATACCCCACGAAACGATGTCATGGGAGAAGTAAATGGGTGATCCAAGCTAGAACTAACTCTCTCTCTCAACCCAGGAACCAAAACTAAGTTGTGCTGCCCAAAACAAAACAAAACAAAACAAAACAACTTCTACTTCTACTTCTATACTTCTCCCGAGTCCAATCCAGCAAAATTCTTTCACAATCCATAACTCAAAGCGAATCACTCTCTTCAATATTTAAATCCTGCGAACCTTCATAACACTTTCTTTTACCATTGTCATACTACAAACTTTACAATTTGAAAGCAAGGAACACCAGAAGTAGGAACGAAAGAACCCACAACAAAAGAAGACCCTCTTTCTTTCCTTCGATAACAATCACCCGTCTCTTTACGAGACACATTTAATCAAGTCAACAAACTGGCAGGAAATAAGAGGAGGAGCTTTTCCTCCCAAGGAGGCCTGCTCAACAGGATGTTTGGCAGCTCTAGTTCCCCACCAAAAGACTCGCCCGCGGCTTCCAGCACACCTACTACCACCTCTTCCGAATCCAGCACCGACTCATCAACCAGTCTCAATAACCAAGGCGATGCATCAACCGCATTAAGAGCTCTCGATGGCGAGGGTAACACGTCGGAAAAGCGCAGCGGTAATGGTAGTCCCCCAGGCCGCGCAATTCCAGGCGATGGTTCAGGAGAGAAGAAACGCCGGAGTAGCGGGGTCGGTGGTAAAGCGAGCTCTCTTCTTGCCAGTGCGAAAAACTCATTGCACTTCAGCCAAAGTCCTAATTCCTCAGGATTCATGTCTGGTAGATCGAGTGATTCGGTTACGCAGACGCCGTTGCAGAAGCTGGGAAAGCAAGATCCGGCATTGACGGTTCCGCAGGGTCAGCATAATAATTCGGCCGGAGAATCTCGTCCAGGCCCTAGATCTACGTTTAAAGTCGGGGTGTGGGAGGATAGAAATAAGAAATGTCGTCGAACGATGGAAGATACACATGCTTTCTTGTACAACTTCTTACATACACCCGCTCCAGTTGTGGGAGCCGATTCCAGTTCGAAATCGGAAAAGTCTGAGAAGGTCGCAAGTGATTCGTCTGATAGTCTTGCTAGGCCAGGATCTGCACAATCTATGATGGAAACGGATAATGGTTATTTCGCAATCTTTGATGGCCATGCAGGTACATTTGCTGCGGACTGGTGTGGAAAGAAATTACATCTCATATTGGAAGAAACTATACGAAAGAACCCAAATACACCCATCCCTGAACTTCTCGATCAGACCTTTACAACTGTTGATGCGCAATTGGAGAAACTACCTTTGAAAAACAGTGGCTGCACTGCCGTTACTGCGGTTCTTCGCTGGGAGGATAGGATACCAAACCCTTCATCTGCCACCGGTTCTACTGCTATTGCACCCGCAACCGTCGCTGCTGTCAAAGCTGCCGAGGAAGCTCCAAAGTCTGAAGATAATGGTGTAGATTTGAACAAATCCACTTCGCAACAACCAAATTCTGCTGTAAATGTTCCTACTAGAGATGTTCAGGCGAAACTCAAAAGCACTTCTTCCCGTGCCAGAGTTCTGTATACGGCTAATGTTGGAGATGCACGTATTGTATTATGTCGTAATGGAAAGGCTTTACGTCTATCTTATGATCATAAGGGTAGTGATGAGAATGAAGGAAAACGTGTTGCAAATGCAGGTGGTTTGATTCTCAATAATCGTGTCAATGGCGTTTTGGCAGTTACTCGTGCATTGGGAGATGCCTATATGAAGGATTTGGTTACAGGCCATCCATATACAACGGAAACTGTTATACAGCCTGATGGTGATGAATTCATTATTTTGGCTTGCGATGGTGTAAGTATTTTCCTTTTCTTTGTATAGAATACTACTAATCAAGTCATGATAGTTATGGGATGTCTGTTCAGATCAAGAAGCAGTTGATCTAGTTCGTCATCAACAAGATCCTGTCGCCGCAGCTAGACAGCTTGTTGAATATGCTCTTGCTCGTTTCAGTACAGATAATTTGTCTTGCATGATCGTTCGATTTAATCGGCCACTTCTTGTTGCAACTGCGAAAGATTCTCATGCTGCTATTGGTGTCGAAGGTGATGGTAATATGGGATCTGGCAAACTTTCCGAAGCAGATAAAATTGTCTCAGAATCCAAGAAAAAGGTTGATGATGGTGCGTCAAATCTTGGTATTAGTGGTAGCAATAGTGGAGCTGGACATGATTCCAAGTTCGATGGAGCGGCAGAAGAAGATGAAGGAATCATCCCAATGGAAAGTGTAGTGGAAGAGGAACCTCAGTCTATGGAGATTGATTCTTCAGTCTCAGAGATAGATTTAAGTACGGTGGAGAAGGCAAAGGCGGAGGAGACGAGCAAAAACTTGCATTTACCGGAAGGAGCTGCTAAGTGATATTTATTATGATAGCTACTCAATCCACTGTTGTGTTTTATATCTTGGGTGGGAAAGAGCAGTCAGTTTATGGAAGCGGGATTTTTCTTTTTCTTGCAGGTTTTTTGCTGATTGTTTTTGGGTTTGTTTAGGGGGGTGGCTATTGATGATGATGGCTTTGGGGAGATTTATCTAAGTTATGGTTTTGTGGATGATGTGGATGATGTGGCTGGGGAGGGGAGGGGAAGGGAGGAAGTGACGGAAGAGATTTTCCAGTATGTGGGTGGATGGATGGATGCTATGAATATGAATATGAACTTGGGGAAGGGGAAGGGGATGGGTTGGGTTGGTTGGGGGTGGGTAGGGGAAGGCGGAGGTACATTATATTACGGGTGGTTAGGCTACACAGCGCATTATTGTATGCTTGATTGATTGATATGAATGCAATGAAAGGAAATGAAATGGATTGTAATGAAACTATTGTATATGATTTTGGTGACTTTTTATACTTTTATATTTTATGGCTTGGTTTTATATGGTTTTTATATTAGATACTAAATACCAAATACCCCTCCCCTCCTATATCTCCAACTTCATCCACGCCTTCCCCCCTCAACATCAACATCAAACATCAAACATCAAACATCAAACTCCCTCCTCTTCCTCCTCCCATCCCCATTCCCCCTATTAACCCACCTCTCCTCATCCCTCGCTTTCCGCTCTCTATATCTCTCCTCTCTATATTATAATTTAAGCCACTGTGTTGCAGCATTTTTAAATTTTTGGTAATTGGATATTTGGTGTAATTGTAATCTTAGTCCTTTGAGGGGTTCGGGGGTTTCCTTTTTGTGAGTTTTTGGTATTGCTGATTGATGAGGAAGAGGAGCGATGCGTAATGTGGTTGTAATCGGGGAGATGTCGTGGATTTCGTTGGTGCTCGGAACGGGGTATATTTTGGGGATGAAAAGTGCGGGTTTGAGTGCGGGTGTGTGTGTGTGTGTGTGTGTGTGTGTAAGGGTGAGGTTTTCTCGTTCTGAGGTAGTGCTGCTGCTACCGCTGCTGATAGTAGTAGGGCGTCTGTAGCTAGACGGTTGGTAGTACTCGATGGGTAGGTGAGTCTTGGATTTCCTATTTTCTCGTTGTAAATCATCCGAGGAACTATTAAATGTATCAGTCCCCGAACGATGACTTGAAGAAGTCGAACGATGTCGAATTTGAGGAAAAGTGGGAATAGAAGATCTTTGGTGCACTTCCACATGAATAAGTATAGTATTATTTTGATCAGTCGGATCGATGAGATATGTTTTATTATTTCTCAATACGATTTGGTATATAGTGCCCTGATTTATTCGATGAATGACATTATATTGCCTCCCTAATAGAACTCGGTTTCGCTGAATTTCTTTCCGGGTATTGTTCCATGAGATGTTACCTTTAAGTCGGTCTCGAATGGATAGTGAGGTATCTCTTTTAGGCTCCTTAAGGTTATCTTTCTCGGAAATTGTATCCTGTGATTGTTAGCAGCTTTACGAAAATCCCAAATGAGAGTTGAGATCTTGAAATACTTACAAACTTTAACCTTATGTCTTTCATGAATGTCATTTTTTGGTTCTCCACTAGATGCTGCACCAAGATTGGATAATCGCATCACCCTGTGGCTTGTAGATTGATGGTCGAGCTCTGTCATTAGATTCCCTTTATATTTAATGAGGCTACCTTTCTCCTGCTTTTTCTTGCCTTTAGGTATAATGAGGTTTTTCGATAGTAAAGTATCGGCTATTTCACCCCACCATAGATTTTGTCCTGTTTTGTTCTCTTGGAGATAACCATAGTCTGTCCATATTTTTGTTAATAACATTTCCGTTATACAAATGCGGAGTGACACCTACAACAGCAATCACGATTCTTTTTATGAATACCTGCTTCCCATTTCCTCGCAAATCTTCTGGTCTACCGCTCCAAATGAGATTTGAAGTATAGCTTCCGACCGGAGTATGTGTATAGCCTGTTGAAGGACTGGGAAGTGATTTCCTTGATCGAACCTTCTTTCGTTCCCAAATACTGTCGCTGTAAGTGCTACTTGAGCTTTTATTGCCGTTATCACTTTCTCTTCTTTTGTAGTGCGATTGTTCCTTCTCCTTTGACTTGCTTTTGCTAATTTCTTTAGAGTAAGTCGACCCTTTTCGCGACCCTCCTCCTCGCGACGGTCAAGTACCCAGCGACTTTCATCTTTTGCGGCTACCTCGAACTGACTAGTACTTTCAAGTAGCTTACGTACGGTTCTGTAACTTTGGTTATTGGTAGCATTCGTAATCTAAATTTTCTTGTTGCTGTTCGTATGGTCTAACCTATGTATCAGTGATTGCTCATGCTATATCGGAAAGCGAATGGTGCTGAGGATGTGAGTTATACTCACATGGTCTTTCCAAATCACTAGGATGATATCTTGAAATAACAACGTCGGCTTTTCTATTCTTGGTACTCTCTCCACCGTCATTCGCCAATGAATCCACTAAAAGGTTCGCCTGCTAGCATTTGAGGGGAGATACCTTTTCTGGAAATGAAATGAACATTTTCTGTAAATGAGACGCATGATTAGGCATTGAGACTCAGATCCCATCTTAAGGGGTTACCAATCGTACTTACAGCTTTTGCATAAGGATCAGTTCTGATCTCTTTTGAAACAGTGTTACGAACTAGCTTATCTAAGGTTGCCACATTCAATCTTTCTTTGCAGTCATTGAGAACTTGTAAATCGTAGTCTCTGAAATTATCTGATAATTTGCATTAGACCAAATCGGGTCCGCTCCCGACTATGCAGCCAGTAGCAGTATGTAGTAACTCACATGGTAAAATATCACCACTCTCGATTATCTCTGTTTTAGCTCTAGCTAGCCAAGTCCGATGAATTTCAGGCTTAGTCCAAGAATTTAAATCTTTACGTTCTTCAAGCTGGTATTTCCTTTCATTCCCTTCATTGTAAGAGAAATATGTCCAGTCCCCCTGCATACCCGTTGGATCAGGTCTGGAGTGTACAAAAAGCCTCTTAGCTTCATTTGAGATGGGTTTCCAAGCATTTGGATTACTTGTAGCATTAAAAACATACCTTGAGCCCAGCAGGGTATGATCTGTAATTTTGAGGTATATAATCAGCCCAGTTAATCTCGTATGTTGCAGGAGATAATGACAGCTTACATTGCACCCATATTCCTTGTGGATGTTCATGCCTCTCAGTTGATTCTTTGTCAAGTCCATCTAAAAAAAATATTAATAAAGTATTATAAAACTTCCCCGCTTCTATTGTACTTACAAATATCGTATGTATAGACTTGTGCCATGCCATCTCTCTAGTCCACTGCCCATCTAATACTATAACTCTAGTCATTATGGCTAAATATTTTTTCCTCGCCAGCTTTCCACCGTGCTTTATCTTTATCAAATACATCCCCAATCAACTCTCTAACTAAAGACGCTCTAACTGGGCGCCAGGAGACATTTCGAACTCGAATGCTAATTTTGCGTTCCTGGTCCCAGTAAATTTCATCGTCTTTATCACCACGGTGGCAGCTCTTGTAAGTATCTATGAATCGCGAGTTAAAAGACTACTCAAGAAGGTTTCAGAGACTAGAAGGACATATTAACTCACAGGTCCTGGTAGCATGCTTCAGTTGTTCCGCGGTACTTGCTTTCTCTGAGTAATGAAGATCCTCACTCTCATGGTGTGAATCCGTCGACATATTGAAAATATTAGTGCTTGAAACTACTATCTTTGGCACTATAGATACCACATTGGCCGCAACAGTATGCTTGAGAAGGAAGATATGTATCTGCACCAATATTATACTAGGGATAACTTTCAACGAGGGCTTTTGGTCGGGCTCTGCGCCTGTCTTGTATCGAGCTCTAGTTATACGCAGGATTTTGACTAGAAGAAATGGTAGCGCAATAATAATTGGAAGGATTCATCATAGACTTTTCGGACCCGTGGCCGTGATAAAGACAAGCATGGCCTTTTGGAAATACTTTATGGCAGACTCTAGCTTCCCACTATAATGTTTATGACTTTAGGGATAGAGTTTGAAAACAGAACATATCATTTGTAAATTCTCCGCCCGAGGCACTACAACAGTATGATTGGAATGTTGACGATACATGATCATAGGAAGAATTGACTGCACATTTTTTGATAAGGTGACATGAAGTTTATGCTCAACATGACCTTCGGCCAGTCGTCAAAAAATCATTAGTATCATTTGTTGCTAATGTGATTAATGCCACGAATAGCTCTTTCGGCGCCGACTGCAAAAGAATGTGAACTGTCTCATGAGATTCTATTACCCATCCTATCAATCGGCCATAGGCTTCTGATGAGCTCGTTCCAGCATTTTGGATGAGGTCTTGAAAGAGATGAATAGATTATGAAAGACCTCGAGAAACGATTTAGTGCAGATTACCTCTTCGACTGAGTTGTACAAGGCAGGCTTCAACGTACCACTACAATTGATGCAGGATAGAAAACGGCCACCAAATTCTGAGCCGGAATTTTCTGCATAAGCGCGCAGCTCATATTGTTCGGGCAGGCCAAATGAGTAATAGACAAACTTCAATTTACTCTTGGCCACGGAATGCAAAACATGTATTCGACTTCACTTTGAAGGCTTGTGGATCATTGACGTTATTTTGATGAGAAATAACCATATCAAGTACATATCACGTGCCAGCTTGATGAACTTCGACCTTACTAATCTCTTGTGCGATAAGGAGATTTGACTGCTTATCGAACCCCGCGGCGCAAGATCAAATCCTATCGTCCTACTCATGCCATAGCGAGATCTTTAAATTGTTTTGATATCTTTTTTGCGATTGTTTTTGGCGAAGCTCGATTAGTAACACCAAACAAAGCTACAAAACCATTCTATACAATGGCAGCAAACAATTACGAAGCTGCAATCACTTTGATTGATGAAGCTCATGCTTTAGACCCAAACATCAGCATAATAAATGGCGAAAGTATACCTTATGAGCTTCACTACGCACAAAAGATGACACACTATCTTTCTCTCCGCGCTCCCGATGCTTCTCCTATTCTCAAAGTTGCCGTGCGAGCACAACATTTTCGACGCTGGGAGGTTCCACGATCTTCTTATCCGATGACGAAACCTGGGTATTTGAATTGGAGATCCTTTCTCAAGAAACGACAGGCTGATCTTGCATCTGCGATATGCATTGGTTGCAATTTTACAAGTGAGGAAGCGGAGGAAGTGGCTAGATTGATCAGGAAGGAGGATCTGAAGAAAAATGAGGAAACTCAAATATTGGAGGATGTTGCTTGTCTAGTGTTTTTGGACGATCAATTTGAGGCATTTGAGAAGGGTCATGATGAAGAGAAGATTATTTCAATTCTGAGAAAGACGTGGGGCAAAATGAGTGAGGATGGGCATCGTTTGGCCTTACAGATACCGATGAGCGATTCAAGCAAGAGTTTAATTCAGAAGGCTTTGGGATGAATTCAGATATGTTGGGTTAATGAAGTGCATGATATGGTCATGGTCTTGAGGTGCGAAGACTTGTTTATATATTGTATAGTACATTGGGTTAAGCAAGCTACAAAAGGGCGGGTATTGATGGGCTGTGATGGGTTGGGTGATGCAAGCTAATATGTCAATGGCATTGGGCTGGGTATACTTCTGGCGTCTGGAAAGCTCGGGGATAGCTTTTTGGAAATGTGGAATTGGAGTAAACACGCTGGTGAACTTCTGGCTGAGGTTTTTGCTGTCAAAAGGATCTTATGAGACTGATGGTATTTATCCTGAGATTGTGTTGTCAATTATGGTATATTAGGTATGTATTCAAGAGCGACATTAGCAAGCGAGCAGTCCGCTCCGTTTAACCCTATATCTTTCTGGTGGGTTCTGGGCTCTCTACAACACCATTATGCGGTCGCTTCCACTTCCACAATTTCTTTCTTTTGCCGTTCTCTTTTCCGTCGCCGTCGTTACGATGGACTGCAGCTTGCAATACATCACGCGGCCGGCATCATACAACCAGTCTTGCCACTCGCTCTCTGTCGCCCTAAACATACGCTGTCCACAGATTTCTTGCATTTGCGCCAAGTCATCCTTTACCTGCTCTATCTCATAGGTATCAAGGTAATCCTCAAGATGATCATAAATCCACTCCTTGCAAGTTTCATCGGCCCATTCCAACATCAGTTCCATTTTCAACTCCTCAGGCGAAGAAGAGGGCTTGCGTTCCTTAATATAGCTGGGTTGTTGGGGAACAATGAATGGTGTGAGCTTTTTCAATCTGCTCTTTGCTTCTTCTACCGATATGTCGTCTTTTTCTTTCAACTTTTGCAATTGCAGTCTCTCTCCTTCCCTGGTCGATATCTTGCCCTTTGCTTTTGGCTCTTCATGTTGCAACCTCTCTCTTTCCTTCAACTTCGAATAAAGGTTTTTTTCCTTCCGATACAGCGGTCTCAGTAGATCATCTCTCTTTGCGTCCGCGATCCTATCATCTTCTTTCCAGCGCTGCTCTATTGAAAAAACATCCTGATGAATTATTCTATCCGGGATGTATGGTGCATCCGTGCCCAAATGTTTCAGTCTTCTCTTATCTTCTTCCGCACTCGTTTCTTTCCTCCCTTCCTCATATTCACGTAAAATTTCCTTTCTCCAAATACTCTTCTGCTTTTGATTATTCTCGTAATTATCCTCTATTTCCTGGATTTCCTTCTGTATCTTGTTTATTTCGCTCATAATCTCCTTCGTCTGCTCCTCAGTCATTTCAACCTTTTTCAGAAGTCCGAAGGCTTTTCTCCATGTTCCACGCTTCGGTTTAGAGGCTGGCTTCGTATCAACATTGGAATTTTCTAATTTTCTGTGAGTGAGTGTCGTTTCTGAATTACCATTGGGCTTCTTACCATCGACCTCGAGGAGACGTTGACTTTGTCCATCTTTACCTCGTCGACTACTTTCATTTGATTGCGAAGACATGTTGTTGCTGGCTAATTCAGTATGAGGAGGAGCCATTAATATTAAGAGTTTATAGATATATGATTTTAAATCTGACGTGAAGAATTCAAAATATGCTCAGAATGAAGGTGGTAGGTAGGATTGAAGAATATCTTATGTGAATTTTCAGTCGAACCTTCACATTTCATCATCCCTTTTACTTACTAAAGCAATCGTGATTTACGGGGATCTTATCTATCTGTAGTAAGTATAGTAAGTATAAGTGCAAGTGTGCTGCAACCTTGACAGCTTTATCTTTAACTGGATTCTTCCTGGTTTTGATGCTATCCAGACACTAGTCTGGTAGATAGTTTATACTCTTTCCCTCTCGAATCTCGATCTGGTAATAGATGAATATAGGTGTGAAGAAAGAGGATTGTCTTATTATTGGACCTACGATTCATGATTATATAAACCCACGATCGTTCTTCCATATTGAGCCTAACACCAAGACCAAACTTCAATACTATAACAGTCGATATTCCTGTAATTGACAGTTTTATCGTTTTCCTTCCTAGTTTAAATCCCCACCAGTAGATTAATAAATATAAACACTCCACTTTTAAGACTATATACCTACTAGCTACTCAGTGCACATAGAGCTACTAAGTTATTCCCCAGACTGGGAGATCAAATTCCAGATGACAGTTATGGGGGATAAACATACACAATGGGAATTCGACACAATCGCATTGCAGATCAACACAATGGTCTAGATTTTACTAGAACCTGTGTCGTCTGTTGAATTTGTAGGTTTCTTGGCACAGCCAACTTAGCGTTTTGATATCTTTTAGAGTAATTAATTACTCTAAACGAGTACTACTGTAGGTATTTATTTTCAGGTTTTTTGGGGAAGAGAGCTTTTGTTCGTGCTTTAATGGCGATGGAAGGGGAGTGAGGTAATTGGGTTAGTTGATAAATATAGAAATGCTTTGGAAGGACTGTGGTTAATGTAATGTTTTGACTATTGGGCAATGGGGTGATGGAAATTGTGTAGTTTGTCAAAAGTTGATGAGATGATATTAGCGGGAATGCCAAGGGTGTGGGGGAGATCGCTAAGACGTCATATTTTAAAGGTATCTAACTTTAATTATAACTATAACTATAGTAGTGTTGCTAGTAGGATATTTAGGATGGCATATCTGGGTTGAGAAAGATCAGTTTTTGAGGGCACGGTGGTGGATCGGCGTCTTGGTGTACTACTATCTTGTGAATTGAATTCGGTAATGGTATTCAGAAAATTCATATTTCACAGGTATTTTGATACAAGCAAAAAGAAAAATGGATCGGCTTCTCGCAAGTGGTTATCTGAGTACCTAGGTAACTGTCGACTGGTCTCAAAACTGTGGGATACTCTAGCAGCAATATTGTTTCAGCATCCATCCACCAAGGGTAATATCGCAATTCCAACCATATTGACCCGTGCCTTTGTTAAATCTCGACTTTCTTCAAGTCTTTTCCATACCCTCCAAAGTAGAAACTGGTATATGAGAGCCGAGTAATTGGATCACAGATGCTGAACAAAGAATAAACCAAAGAACGAAGTATCTTTAATATCTCAAGTCCTCGACTCTCTTATGTAACGGCTGACCGTAACTCCCTCTTCATTTGGAGCACCTTCGTGCAAAGATGATATCAAAACCAATAACTGATGCAAAACAGCATATGGAGATTGCATACCAACCTATCTCAATGTCGACCCATCTCAGCCCTGAAACCAACGTGAATTAGACCAAATCATCCAAACCAAACCAATCAAACCCTCTCTACTACTCCTCCTGTCAAGACTCTGCCTACTCATAACCCCAACTAAGCAAGTCCATCCTTCCTAAACTTCCTCTCAATAAACTCCGCTTTAACCATCCTCCCCGTATAATTAAAAAACCCAGCTTGTAATTGCAACCATTGCGTGCTCCTATGTTTCTCCATCAAATAATCCAAAGTTTCGCAATCTTCCGCTGACCATATCTTATCGGGTCGAAGGCGTCCCTGCTCATTTCCACGTCCATATTCATTTTTATTTCCCCACATACGCTCTCCATTATCCTCTTCCTCATCATCTCTATCTCTATCAAGCTCGCCGTAGGATTTGCGCTTCTTCTTCTTATCTTGTTTTGAAGAAGGAGCGGAAGACTTGGGTTTGGGGTGGTGGTAGGGACAGTCTGGTGAGATATATATTTCTTCTTCGGTATCTTCGTTCTTGTCGACTTGTGCGGCGCACTTGATGTTCTTTTTCTTTTCAGGTTTCTTTGGCTTCGGTTCTTCGTCTTCCTGCTCATCTTCGGTTTTCTCTTGTTCTTGCAAAACTTTATATCTTGCCACCACTTCCTTTTTGCCCGTACCCAATTCTCCAGCGATATCTTTCCAGGTCTTATTTTCCTTCTTCATAGCCATGAGTTTCTCATCTTGTTCTTTGGTCCATTCATTTTGATCGGCAGGTTCTACTTTTCCACCCTTATCATCTTCTTTAACCTCGGTAGGTTTCTCGGAAGTCGATTCGGTCGTCTCCTTGGGAGCTGTGGCTGTGGCATCAGCGCTTGGTTCTTCAATCTTAGTATTCTCGGGTCCATCCTCGCCTTTGGATGCTTTCTTGGCATCTTTGTCCTTTTTCTTCTCCTTATCCTTGTCATTGTCCTTGACTTCGACCTCGACAACTACGACCTCGGCCTCGGGCTTCTTGTCTTTTTCCTTGTCTTCGACGCTTGGAGCTGCAGCTGTTTTAGGTACAATATCAGCGGTGGGCTCTTCAGCCTTCTCGCTTTTCTTCTCTTCCACTTTCTTTCCTTCCTCTTCTTTTTGCAAAGTCAATGCATGCTCACCCTTGCCATCAGCATCCTCACTTTTCTTCGCCTCAACCGTTTCCTTCTTCTCCACTGTACCACTCTCCTCAACCACCGTCTCCAAAACCTCTTCCGAGATCTTCGCCTTGACCGTGACATTCGAACCCGCACTCGCACTTCTACTCCTTCCACCTCCACCTCCCTTTCTACCCACCTTCCTCACAACCAACATCTCCACTTCACCACCCACCAATCCATCTTGATCCCGATCTTCAAGAATTACTACACTTCTCCCATTCTTATCCTTACCTGCTGTAGCCCGAATACGACTATCGCTACGAGCGCGTGTTGCTGCGGAAACATTGGGAGAGGAATTGATGGAGAGGAGAGAGCCGCCGAGTACCCAGTCGGTGAATGAAACGTGGAGTTTACCTTTGGATTTGGAGTTTGGGGTCTGGCTGGCGAGAGAGGCTTGAGTGAGAGCTGGAGAAACCATGGGTGGCATGTTGGCGGTTGCTGGGTTGTTGTGAGTTTTAATTTCAATTTAAATGAAAGTTGGAGATGTATAGTGGAAATGAGATAATTATTGTCGAAATTAGGAATAACGGGATGATAGGAGCTTCCAAGATTCACCTCGCTCAATTGAATAGACTTTGCTAAGAGTTGCGCGACGGTAATGAGCTCGAGAATTATTATCTCAATGAATATTGCAAGTGGTATTTTCTCTAGCATCAAAATACGATTCTCAGTGCGAGAAATATTTGGTGAATTTGTTTGATGTGGACGTTGCAAAGTGAGATCGAAGTAGCTGGGTATTGAATTAAAAAATTGATTGGAGTCGAAAGAATGGATTTGTTCTTTGTAATGCAATGGAGAAGTTGATATTGTCGCAAAGAAGTGATGAAGGTAAAGTATTTGCTATGAAATTTGTCTTGCTTGTCCTTGTGTCTCGCTGCTACTGTAATTGTTGTTGTATTGTGTTGGAAGATTGGGAAGAAAACAGAAGATGTAGACTGGGGAGAAAAAATTTACTCTTGAGGTTCCAATTTTCAAATTTCGATTTACATGTTGTTTGGTTGTGAGAGATATCGGCCGGGCGACCGCCAATGTAAGTTGAAGCGTTTAACGAACAGATTGGCCATGGGCCTGGTGAGGTGTGGTGAAAGTGAAGGTTGAACATTCAGCATTGAGTTGGGAAAAGAAGATATTCTTGTGTGAGACCTGCATGTTCATTGTCAAAATAGATTATAAAATAGTGGATATCAATAGGTACCTTAAGGAAGAGAATAGTCCAGAGAGAACGAGAAGTAGTTATTTGAGAGTTATTTTATGACCGAACAGCATGAGAGGCTATCCATCATGGCTTGATTATCCTGACTTGGTGGTGGTAATTTTCCTCTTTACCTCAAAATACTAGTCGGTATTCTTATTAGGAAATGTTCAAGTATACTGTATAACAGAGCCAGGAGATTACTTGCAAACCATGATAAGTCGGGGCTTGCGGAGACCATCATTTACATGTTGGAGACTTCCGTCATAATAACGGAGATATTTAAAGAAGCAGATTTGCATCGGTGCACGTATGGACGATACACATCATGATTGGAAGGGTCGAGGGAGTGTAGTGCCAGGAGAAAAAGCTGTATACTGTTGGTTCTAGAGAGTAATCGTTTTGTGCTATGCAAGAATGAGCTGCGAATGATGCTGAATGACATTAAAAAGAACCACAGGATTCATGTTAATTACTAAAAACATATGTGGTCAATTGGGTAAACGAGGTCAGCCTTTTGGTTGGCTTATTTATTTTCTTATTATAGGTGACGAAGATGTTCTAATGGATAAATAGGATTTGCTTTGTGATAGTGATAGAGCTTGCAAGCCGCCACAGCTGGCTAATATATGATGTGACTTGAGATCTATTGGAAGTGAGTATCGTTGTCGGTAACATTCGCCCTAAAATCTATGGCTGATGCTGTACTCGCCGAGTACGTGAGCGTTATATGGACGGGAAATTAGCTTTCCACTCTCTTGAGAGTCAGCTGTTTGGATTACCTGTACGAATTTAGTATGATACAATTGAGTTTAGCACACACTCATTGTTTTGTTGCATTACCGAGAATAACGAATACGATATATGCACTACGTTGATATGAGCAACTTCCGTGCTGGAGGAAATGTTGGCATTACATGATCGACATGGATTGATGAGCCACATCCCAAGTTAGTATATAAAGGGAGCTGTCGTTGCGAAGATAGTAAAACCAACAGAATGTGTCCAGCAGTGACTTCTTGACCGCGGCACACCTTGTTTTGAATCTTGGTCTCTCTAAAGTATGATAACTTGAGTTAGGTAGTGGCCTATTGATCTACTACCTGCAAGTTGATATGATGTAACTTGATGCAACGAAACATAACATAGTCAAGATCTCGTATAACACAGTGGACGCTTGACGTACTGCTTTTGGGTGAATCCAGAAGAGTCAAAGCAAGAGGTATGAAAAACGGTCAGTCACATGAATAGGGTCAGTGAGACAAACGCGCATCCTCGTAAATTTACCTGTTGGACGACCTTACCTTAGGAGTTTATTCGCCCACTATGGCTCCCGACGCTCGGAGTAGGCAGTCAACATGAAGTGGAAGAATTCAGCCGCGTAATAATATGACAGGCCTTGTCATACCATATCTGATTGCGATGCTTAATTAGACTCCCTTTGGAATGATACCCCACTTCCGGACAAGCCTTAAACCCGGGATGATGTTTGGATCTGTAGCCAAGCGGTCGAAAAGGAAAGCTTGACACGAGTTTAAATGCTTGTTTTAACAATATGATTAATCCTGGCACAGTACAGGCACGGCAAGCTTTGGTAATAAGGCTGGCCACCATCAAGCACCAATCGGAGATGTCGCCGCAATGTAAATCTTTTCGATCTTACAAATGGGAATCAATTCTCAACCCAATGACCAAAAGCCGTTACCACACCTTCTGGGAAACTTCCCAACGAATATATTTATCTTTGATTGAGAACGTATTTGAGATCAATGAAAACGTGGAATAGAACTGTTGAAAGTGTGATGGAATATAGAAAAAGCCAAAACAACCACATGCCCCCCGATTATGCAGATCAATACTAGGCCTGTCTACATCCAATTAGGATTTCGAGTAAGTAAGGGGCAGACAAGCTGAGATCATTTAGAGTGGAAGTAAGGAGATATGAATACGAGTTTTGTAGCCGGTGTCATATTTTGGCTTCAGCTCGCGCATGAAGTGTGATCTCGTGAAGGATTTCGGGAGAATTCCTCGGGTGTATTAGACCGAGAAGGGCACATAAAGGCACTGGAAGCTCCAGAAAAAAAATTCCTCATCACCACGCAACCCTAAACATTCGGACAAGCCGCTTAGCATCACACCCGACATTCAATACAAACCAAAAATCAAAATGGCAAACCCTCAAACTCTCGTCGCAGCAATGATGTTTAGGTGAGAGGCGAAGCCCCCTAGCCCAGCCCATCTAGCTAGACGGTCTTTTGCGATTTGAAATAACTCGCGATTCACATCTAGCGGCGCAGCACTCGCAGCACCACAAGGTGGCCCAGTCCAAGGGTTGACATCGTGCTTCACATACACCACAACTGTCCCATACACTAAGCCCCGTATGTAGAGCTCAAATATGACCCTTTAATATCGTTAGATGTCTGAGCAAAACTGATAATGAATAGATTCATGCCCATTGCAGACCATCTGTCCTGTACACCCTCATTGCCTTGTGCTTGAGGTCAGCACGATCACTGTCCCGGCCCCAGACAAATTATGCCCAACTACACCAACTGTGACAGCAACAGGACCAATTACTTGTCCAACTTGTCAAAGGGGCTGCCTTACACGGCTCGAGACTGTTACAATAACCTTTGCAGCATGAGAGATACTCTGAAGGAAGATGTTTCGATAGCCTGGATTGTAATCCAACGATGAGTTAGTTTCGGTATCGATATCGCTTGAAATGGCGGTATAAAAAGCTTTCCAACCCGGAAGGTAGTAGTATCAACTATTGAAACTCATGCTCAGAGATGTCGGATGGAAAGCTGGGCTGGATTTTGGAGTGTATGGTTATGACATTGGAGGGATTGTTATTTGATTGATGGCGCAAGATACATCCATTTGTTCCAATTTTGTAGCAAAGAATAGAGAGAGAATTGCCACACAGTACGTGCCTTTGCATCAGCAGCCCAGTAGTACCAAAAGGAATCCAGTCAATTCATTTGCTGCTTATCCACTCGGAAAATGCTTGTTTGAGCTCTATGTATGTGATCTGAGGAACCAAAGACATTCCGACATCTAGATTGATAATCAAAGGAACCCTCCACATTAAGATTGGACTAGAATCACTAGATTTATGTGGCACCGACAGGTTTGTAATGATACCACGAACGGTATGAGTGATCGATATCTTATTAACCGAGGACGTCAGAATACCTACTGTAGATGTTGACTTGAGAAATTCTGCATACATAATTCTGCTTTTCTTTAATTGGGTAGAGATGATCTGTACTGTGATTGGGCAGTGGCTTAGTATGCGGATCCTCGCTAAACGTTCAAACAATCCCCCACCATCTCACAATTTCGAAAATTTTAATCTTCAACTTATTATCGACAAATTTACGCAAATCCTCACCATTAGAACTTCATCAATTCTACTGGAAGACTGTCATCATGTCTAAAATCACAGTCGGTATGTTTGTTTTATCCCGCAGTTCTTCGCGAATAAGCCTTTTGTCGAAAGCATCAATTGAAACAAATATTAACTTTTTCACCTCGCAGCCGGAGTGCGTACCAACGTACAAAGTCTTCTTGAGTACTCTCTCGAGACCAAGAAGAGAAACTTCCTCGAGACCGTTGAGCTTCAAATCGGTCTCAAGAACTATGACCCCCAACGTGACAAGCGTTTCTCCGGAACCGTCCGTCTCCCAGTCGTTCCCCGCCCAAACATGAGCATCTGGTATGTCCGCGAAATCGAATATATATAATATGGGAGGCAAAGTCTGATGATGGATAGCATTCTCGGTGATCAACACGATATCGATCGTGCCAAGCACGGTGGTGTTGATGCCATGTCCGCCGATGACTTAAAGAAGCTCAACAAGAACAAGAAGTTGATCAAGAAGCTCGCACGCAAGTACGATGCTTTCGTCGCATCCGACACCTTGATCAAGCAAATTCCTCGTCTCTTGGGTCCCGGTCTTTCCAAGGGTTAGTTTCATCCCTTTCTCGATCCCGAGTATTTTTTACTAACATTTCCTTCCACAGCTGGTAAATTCCCAACCCCAGTCTCTCACAACGAAGATCTTAGCGGTAAGATCAACGAAGTCAAGTCCACCATCAAGTTCCAATTGAAGAAGGTCTTGTGTATGGGTGTCGCTGTCGGAAACGTCGAGATGACTGAGGATCAATTGATCTCCAACATCATGTTGGCCATCAACTACCTCGTCTCTTTGTTGAAGAAGGGATGGCAAAACGTTGGCAGCTTGACCATCAAGGCATCTATGTCTCCACCCAAGCGCCTCTACTAGATTACTCTTCTCTTTATTGAGCAAGTAGTAAGGAATGAAAATATTGCGGGTAGCTAGCTGAAAACTCAATACAAGCAATAAATGTTCTACAAACAATCATATTTCTGTGCAACAAGTGATGTTGAGACTTGACACGACATAAATTCTGATAATTTTGGTTACAATCGTAAATATTGATAATGTCACTATTCTAGTTTGCCTCCGAGTGTTTGCCGACTCTGTCTGGGGTTTCGGCATTTTCACACAACCTACCAAATCCATCCGGCTCGCTGGCTTCCGAGAAGATAAATATTCTCATCTTGGACTCCTTTCAAAGCCGACCTGAACTTACGATTATTGATGCAGCTGTAGGTAGCGTAGACACAACTACCATCGCACGAAATCCTTGAAAGGACATACATATATGTGTATGCAGACTCCAGAGGCTGCAGAGCAAATATTGTGCTGAATCTGAAATCCCAGTTCCTTGGCTCTTGAGTATGGAGAGAGCATGCAGTGAAGATTTCACGAGTGAGTACAACATGTTCATAGACCACTTACTTGCATTCCCATTCCTGTGAGGGAAACCGGAGACGAAAATCGAATTACAAGATATACACTGCAGAAATGTTGGGCGCACACAACTTTGAAAACTCAATCACCATCTCACAAAATATTTTCACAGTACGGGGAATTTATTAACCACCATACCACAAACACAGCAGCCATAAAGCCACGTCGATAGAGTCGGTCAGTACACAAGCGCTCAATAAAGCGATTGAGTCCACCAAGGAGATGCTTTTGCAAAATCGTACGCAATGAACGAATGCAATGTGCGTCTTCACGACAAATGCGATTGCATAGAGTCAATAAAGTATGTAGAGACCACCCCACAGTCAAAATCCGATAGAATCGTCGAAGACGGCTGATAAGGAAGAGTGTTCACCTTCTCTCAAGGGGGCCGGGAACGGAAGAAAACCCAACTTTTACTTCGAAGAAGTAAAGGATAACCCTCAGCAAGTCGCCGTAGCGAAGCCCCCATGTAAAATGTTATAAGTATTAATTATAACCTCTACTGATGATGAAGAAGAAAAGAAAGAAGGATTCCGGGAGGTGAGCGAGATCTTTATAGTGAAAAGTTTTCCGTTAGCTTTTTTAGCGCGCTTTCATCCAGTTTGTCATGTTTGCTCTACCTGTAAACGAATTTATTTGATTCGATACACGTGATTTTATCATCACACATTCTCTGTGTAACCCAACCAAAATATCAATTCTTTTAAAACACATTTCCCCCTTCATTTGTCAAACCACAAGCAAAAGTACACAAGTCAGCCTCAGATACAGGTATTCATATCATCCAATTCCGAGTCCCGAGAGCGAGGCTCCTTCCATGTCTGAAGACTCAGACAGCCGCTTGTCAAATGAGTGTCAATCAATCTCAATCCTCTGGAGGTCTAAACTCAATCCATATTGATACCAGACTATGCGGAGCTGCATCACTTGCTTGGAAATGTCACACAGAACTATTCCCAGCTTTTCTACTTATTTGTTGTCTAGTTTTCGCCTCTGCATCACGATAATGTTCAACGGCGATGCTCCATCTGTCAATGGACACCTGCTTTGACATAGGATGCCCTTATCCGTCATCCATTCTGCATTTTTTTTACCTCAATACTTGGCCGGGATCCCTCACTTCCACCCCATTACTCTTCATAGCTTCATAGGGCGTTCATCAAGCCCTTCACAAAGGCAACAAGCAAGCATGGATCAAATCCTTCTACTGTTCCTTTGTGCTTGATGGAGATCAAAGCATGCCAAGTCACTCTCCTATTGGCCTGATTTGTGGATTTAGACCCTTGATGAAATTGAGTATGTACACCCGAGTACAAAGGCACCCAAAGAATTCTCCTAGGCAAAGACCATTTCAGTACATCTAAGTAGTACTTAAAACCCCCTCTTCTGGTTCCACGACAAATAATCGGTACACAGCACCCGGGTCCTCATTATCAAATTTGTCTTGGCTATAGATGATCAATTCCTCTGATTATTATTACTTTTTTTTGCGGATTCCAGAAGTTATGTTAATTTAGGATTCTTGGATTTTGATAATCATCAATTGTCTAGCTTTGCCAGTTTTGTCGTTTCGATTATTCATGTCCCGCATAAGGTGTGTCATGGATCATGGATTGGGTGATATCATCGCTTAGATCAATTTCTTCTTTTCGCCATCCCTCAGTGAATGGGCGAGCATTGGTCACTAATGGTTTTGGTTGATCACTCATTAGTAACAACTACACACATACATATATCCTTCCGGTATAGGGGGATCTATGTGACGCCCTTTATCTTGACGACCCACGCCTTTTGTACAACAAGCACATCCATCATATTTGGTTCCTTTTCTTTTATTTTCAACACAGCATATTTCCGGCAGGGTAATACATATCTGAAGATCAAGATTTTGCGCATTGTCAATTTTGAGAATCTGAAGACGAATTATCATCCTATATTTTCATAGAACTTTTTTTTATTAATTTTTAACTTTTTATTCATTCAATTGCCAAAATAAATGGGATCGAAGAGAAGAAACTATCCTCTTCCCCATACATCTATAAAGCCATTCAGGGACCGATTCGAGGTCGTTGATCACCGCCACATTGGAGGTGGAGAAGCAGGAAAGTTCAGTGAAGGCAACACCATCGAATCGTCCGGATCCAATTTCAAAAAGCCAAAAGTTTTTTCGATAATATGACGATGGATCAAAGTAACGATGACTCTGTTGCGGATTTTGAAATCCCATCAGAAAGTGAGCATCAAACCACGGGGCACACCAGTCGAAATAGCGACAGTAACGCTCACCCGATTCCACATATGGGGGATTTATTAGAAGAATCTCCGGAGGTTAGGATCGAAAGGCTAGGTAGGCAAAGGCCGGGAATCTTCAAATCACTATGGGCAGAGATCGGATTTGTATTTTCAATTTCCATGTCACAGGTCCTGACGGTAAGTTCTGATAGTTTTTTTTATATCTTGATCTATTTATCGGATTCTAACAGTGGAGAAGGAATATTTCGTTTCTGGTTTCACGGTTATCTTGCCCACTTTGGTAAAAAATCTGGAAATACCATCGGCTTCCGCTACTTGGCCTGCCAGCGCCTTCTCGCTCACCTTGGCCTGCTTTCTTCTAGTGTTCGGTCGTCTATCGGATATGTATGGGGGCTATCCGGCATATGTAGCAGGGTTTATTTGGCTTGCTTTGTGGAGCCTGGTAGGTGGGTTCTCTACCGATCTCATAATGCTTAATTTTTGTCGAGCACTACAAGGCCTGGGCCCAGCGATGTATCTACCTTCAAGTGTAGCTCTTATAGGCACCATATATCGACCAGGACCACGGAAGAACTTGGTTTTCGCAATCTATGGAGCATGTGCCCCGCTGGGATTCTTCGTGGGGATTTTCTTCGCTGGATTAGTAGCCGAGTACACACGTTGGGGTTGGTGGTTCTGGATTGGATGCTTTTTGGCCGCTATAACAGCTATCACATCCTACCTGACAATTCCTTCTGACATTACCAAGAAGCGCAAAGTTCGCGAGGCACGCAAGGGTACAGATGAAGAAGTGAAAATGGATTGGTGGGGTGCAATTTTCATTGTCGTAGGACTTATTTTTTTTACTTTCGCCATCATCGATTCGGCCCACGCACCTAATGGCTGGAAGACGCCCTATATCTATGTTCTATTTGTCATTGGTTGCTTGTTGCTTCTTGTAGCTGCATACATTGAGATGCGGACTAAGCAAGCTTTGATTCCAAGTTCATTTTTCAAGGTTCCATCCATGGTACCACTAGTCTTTGCACTCTTCCTGTGCTACGGTTCTCTGGGTATTTTCCTACTTTATGCCACATTCTATATGAGCGGGGTCATGGGTGGCACCCCATTACAACTTGTTGCGTGGTATGCACCAATGGCTGTGGGCGGATGCATAATCTCCACAGTTGGAGGCTTTGTTCTGCACTTACTACCGGGGACAGCCCTTGTCGTCACAGCTGGTGTAGCCTGGATTGTTGCACCTTTGCTCTTTGCTATTGCCCCAGCTGGCGCCAATTATGTAAGTTTATTTTCAGAATTGTTTTCATGAAAATCTGACAAATATTTTAGTGGGCATATATATTCCCCGCCATGATATGTGCAACGATTGGTATCGACATAACGTTCACAGTCGCCAATATATTTTTCACTACGTCTCTATCGCAATCACAGCAAGGCCTTGCTGGTTCCATGGTAATGCTCATTCTACATTTGGGTATTGCAGTTTGTCTTGGATTTTCAGATATCATCAACACTTATACTTTAGATCGGGTGGGCCTTAGACAGAGTTACCACGCAGTATTTTGGTTCGAAGTTGCATGCGCAGGTGTATCATTGATAATAATGGCACTCTTCGTCAAGATCAAGAGAGCGGAGAGTGAATTGACAGTTGATGAAAGAATTGCTGCGTTGAATGCCGTACCATTGGTAGGGGACAATCGGTCAACGACTGGAGCGATGGGCTTGGGAATGGATAGCGCAGATGATGGGAAGTTAAATTGATTTCGTATACGTCTAAAATATCTGCTTTAACCTTATAGATATATGAATTTTTGCGGAGTTGATACCCTTGGGTCGTTGGATTTCAGGCGTTCTTGGATTAAAGCAAACAAAGCAAGAGTAAGATAAATAGAAATAAAATTACTTTTTTCCACGTCAACAACAGACCATTTAATCTTACTATGCTTTGGATACAAACGTGCCAAGTTTCAACTGAGTACCGGCATACTAGTAAGCTTTTCATATAACGTTATTTCTTAATTTATAATCTATCTTAGTTTAGGCCCCGTAATTGCTGACATACCTTCCTGCAGCGTTTCCTCATACAGCTAGCGTCCGGAATCACGGATTCTAATCTCATTCCGATATTCGCCAACCTCAAACGATCAAAGATATACGCCCTTTTCGAAATGGATTTCCTTCGCAGTTTGTTGGAAACGGCATCAATAGAAATTCCGCTGCTGACGGTGTTTTCGTGCAATTGTTTTCCAAATCATCAAGTAGCTCATAAACGATATGAACCTTCCAGATTCAGAGCATTCCGCCAGTGTGGAGACTGAGACGCCGGTTCTTAGTAAACTTAGACGCTCGTGTGAAGCATGCAGGTCGTCCAAGGGGAGATGTTTACCAAGTAAGGATGATCCTACCAGATGCGTAAAGTATTTTACCTGAATTTAGATCACGGGATTCGCAAATTATTGACATGTTTGTAGGTGCTTGAAGGGTAGGAAGAAATGTGTGTTCTTAGAGACGAAACCTCGACCAAAGAAGATGAGATCTTCTAGAATGCAAGTCCATGTGTAGTCTTTTGGAGAATACCATGCTGATCAATAATCAGACGTGTTGCCGAGATGGAACAGAAACTCAATGGAATTCTGAATCTTTTGGCAACCAAAACTCAAACTGAGTCTCAACCTACTCCTACCTCAGCACCTGTATCTTCGCCAGAAACCATGCCTTTGAATCTGTCAGATATATTCGAGCTTTCTTTTCCACTACTGCCAATGGAGGGCACGAGTCCCGAATCATTTCAGCAAATTCCGTCGCCTACATCCCCAACCCTTGAACTTGGCGGCTTGCAAGATGCAATCTCAAGGGGTATAGTCAGCACCAGACAGGCTGAAGAAGCTCTGAGGGAATTTACCAGTAGAGCTTCAGCCTTCCCGTTTATACTTCTTCCTCCGCAAATCTCTTTGGAAACTATGCGGCATGGACGACCTGTCCTATTGCTTGCAATTCTGACGAGTACTAGCCAAAACAATCTTCCCGTCCACCATGTACTTGAGAAGGAGCTTCGTGAAACCATAATTAGCGGTATCATTATGCATGGAGAAAAGAATATTGATTTACTACACGGAATCCTCTTACATCTTGCTTGGTAAAGTCTCACAAATGTTTCCACCTCTGAATAAATCGTTTGTTCTGATTATCCTAGGCATCACTACCACTACCAACCAGCTAGAGAAATTTTATTCCAGTTTGCGCAAATGGCAAATGCTATGCTGATTGACCTTGGACTTCACAGACCGAAATCGAGTGCAGCACAAACCGGCTACTCAAATATTCTTGGCTTTGAATGTCCGACAAACTTGACTCCCATTGAGATAGAGGAAAGGAGAACCCTTGTCGGATGTTTCTGTGTGACATCATCGTGAGTATGTTTGTTCTTGGAGTTCAAACAAAAATTAATGCCCCTGTAGAATTTGCCGCGGTCTGAGGAGACCCAATAGCCTCAAATACCATGACTATATTGAAGAATGTAGCCAAGTATTGGCAGAGGTCGGCGCTTCCGAAACAGATAGACTGTTACTGTTGTTCACAAGAATCCATCGACTTGGTGAGGAGGTTAGCGACTCTTTTGATTATTGCAATCATGGAGAGCTGGCTAAGCTTGACCTAGTGCGAATCGAGATGCTCAACAGGACGTTGTCTCAGCAATTCCACGATATCCAGCGATACTTTCCCCCCGAAGCTTGGAGCAATCGTGAGTATTGAATCTACACATTTTGGATCTTGATCATACTAACTTTGGTAGATACATTAAGAATATCATACGCGCATCTCCGCATATATATTACGGAAATCGGCCTCCACGCTTCTGCATCAGATTTTGATCGATTCGGGACCCCTATGGCATTCACCCGGATGTCTTGGTATCATTCTTCCGCGAGAACAGAAATGTTGATCCGATGTCTACAAGCCGGGAAAGATTATCTCGATACAATTTTATCTTTAACTGCGCACGAGTACTTCGGTCTCACAGCAACGGACTATTTAAATATATTCTACGCCCTTTTTCTTCTGGGAAAATTCGGCGAAGGTTGCGATTCACCCTTCCTTGACGGTGAACAAGTCCGTCAAGCCACGAACCTTGGCTATTACTTCGATTCGCTTGACGAAAAATTCGCCTCATTCCTCCTATACGCGAATGGCCAGCTTCAACGAAGCAGCATCTTGAACATAAAACTCCTATGCCAAGAGATCAAGAAGTGGTACATGCGAGTTATATCTGGACCACCGGGCTCCGACGAAGCCATGCTCAATGGCCTGCACGTCTCATTTACGGATGTCGTGCTTTCAATTCAACATCTTTGCAGTACACTTATTAGTTCGTCTACGTATTTGAAAGCGTATGTGAGACAGGGAGATTGTCCATCCGCTCATACGGTAGGTGATTGGATGGCCTACATGGCTGCCGAGAAGAATGTTACGACGGGGGCATGATTAATTTATTGACCATTGCATGTACGGGAAGTGATGTGGAAATTTTATTATTCCTTTGATGCAATTTTTTTGCGAGGGGGAAATGGATGGGGGAAAGAGAGAACATGGACCTTACGAAAGTACTCACCTTACCTTTATAGAAATTTGTTTTGTTTTGGTGTTTGGTTAGAATCATGGCTGGCGTTGGAGTACTTTATGAGTATATGACGAACAAAGGAACGAAGGACTGAAGGAACGTACGGAGTGAAGTATATATTGACTCTAATTGACAAATTGTTAGGATTTTACTCTCTCCATAGATATAAAGAGAGAGGAGATTGTAGATAAATAGATAAATAAAGTATACTGTATTATTTAGTGAAATTATTAAAAACATATAAACGAAGCTAAATCACTTATTATTATTCTTTTAAACTTTAATAAAACTTTATAAAATTTTATATATTTATTAATAAATTTATATATAAACTATCTTTATATAAAAATCTAATTGAATATTATTTAATATTGAAGAAAAAAAATTTAATTAAATTAAACGATTTATTAAATTAATTTATATATTTATTTTTATTTTTATTTTTATTTTTATTTTTATTTTTATTTTTATTTTTATTTTTATTTTTATTTTTATTTTTATTTTTATTTTTATTTTTATTTTTAATAATTGAATTTTTTATTTTTTGGAAATCTTTATTATATAATATAATATAGTAATTAAAATATTTTATATATATATATATTTTATCTTTTCAAATAAATTATTAAAAATTATAATTTAAAAAAATTTAAAAATTTATTATAATTATTTTAAATTATTATAAAAATATAAAATTATCTCTTTTGAAATTCTTTATTATATAATTTTATTTATAAAGTATTTGTAATTTAATTATGAAAATATTTAAAAAAATTAAAAAATTAATTTAATAAATATTTAATATTTAATATTTATTAAGGATAAATTTTCATCTAGATGATCTTTAATTGGATACTATAATCAAATGTTTAAAATCAATACTCAAATACTATAATAACATTACAGATAGATTACTAGATAGTTAGATAATAAATTTACTATATAATTAATATACCTAACTAACAATCATACAGATACAAATACTTCTTGTAATCCCCCTGGGTAAGAATCTCACCACTTACTTACTTACTTCATCGCTATGATACATATGTGTGTATGTGTGTGTGTGTGTGTGTGTATAGCTTCCCTTGGCTACATTCTCATCAGTCAAAAATAGATGATTTTTGTTTGTGTTTTTTTTTGCCTGCTAAAATATATCTCGATAGTTCTGTTTCTTCTTCTTCTTTTTCGGTCTGTTTGGCGTGGGATTTAGGGTTTGATGTGCTGGGGTGTGGTGGTGTATTTCTTTTTAGAATATCAACCATACCGTATGTCTCCTTCTTGATCCTCGTGTACTCCGTAGTGAATCTAAAAAACAAAGGAGGAAGAAGTTCATAGGTACTTAGATAATGTCGAAATCGAGCAGCAGTATCCGCAGCGTAGCATCACAACATGACCGGAATCCACTTTTTGTTCACCATAATAACAAATCTCAAATAGGATTATGCATAGGTGGTAACGCACCCCCAGCCAACCTCGGCGTACTTTCCATTTCCGGACTCCTCCCTTTTGACTTTCCATCCGAGCTCGCACCCACCGTACTAGCCCCCCCACTCGCAGTACCCGCTCCCAATCCCCTCTTTACCATCTTCCCCAAAATACTCACCAGCTCCGCAGCATCTTCAAACATGTCATCATCCATCCCCTCGTCCGCATTATACACCTCGCCAATAGTTTTCTTGGCCAATTCTCGCGATCGATGAGCTTGATCTAAACAATCGTATATAAAAGCTGTGTATTCGACTTTTACCGAGAGACGAAGGGGGTGAGATCCCCAGAGTTGACGATCGGCGAGTGCGGAGGCTTCTTCAAAACATTGGGTTGTGAAAGGTCGGTAATCGAGGGCGGGAATGAGGAAACTACCTACAAGGTCGGGTGGAGGGATGGCAAGACCAGGGGGTCCTCCTACGGGTCCGCCTTCGAGTGGATGTGTCGGTTGGACGCTAGATGGACGGTGCGAATCGGGTATTGGGATTGTATCGCCGCCTCTGCCTTTATCCCTATGACGTGGTGATGCCAAACCAGGTGGTGTAGATATTTTTGAAGTTCGAAGGGTAATAGCGGGAGTGTTATGGAAGAGGACGTAAAGATGATAATAGCTAGCTCTCAACTTATAAATCAAGACCTTCAACTCTCCAAAACCTGCCACTAGAGGTAAAACGAATTGCTCTAGAATTTTTAATCCTTCTTTCGCATACCACACAATTCTAGTATAAAGCTCGACAGATTTGGTGTCACGGGTCGTATCAAGGCGCCTGAGCTTTCGCGCTTTCACAACCATTTTTGAAAGCATTGTGAGATTTCCCAAAATCTGAAAGAGGCTTTGCGCGAGGAGCGGATGATCAAGTTGTATATTCTTTGCGAATTGTCCTAGGAACTTTGTGTCAACCTCTGATGACGCCATTGCGTTGGTCGTAAAATGTGTAAAAATTGACTCGGAATTTGGCGCTGCAAGTGAAAGCAAAAGCAAACAACTTTTCGATGGAGTAGGCTCAGAACAGAGTCAATTGCTGAAAGAAATATTTTATAGATAGGCTCGATCCAGTAGTGGTTGCTCGATGAAAGAATCGCGTTGAAGAAATAAGAGCTGAAAACACCAATTGAACAAATCCAGTGATAAGCTTCTCCTGGTTGATTATTTTAAAAGAAAGAAGAAAGCCAGTGAAGAGTTTGAAGGCCTGATCTGTTGATGTATCCAACAAGGTCTTGAAAAAATTAAAGAGTGTTGAGGTTCGAGAGTGTGGTTCCAATGAATCAAAACAAATAGCCTTTACTTTAGCAACCACCAGGTAAACAAACGTCCTTCGAATCTCTCGTCCAAATCACTAAATTCCTGTCCCCGCGGTGCTACGGTCGACTCCTATATCCAGCTGTATCCGAATGTTTAATGGTCTGTATAGCAGGCGCCAGATGATTTGTGAATAACCTTAGAGAATTGGATGGTGACCAAAAGATGGATTTGTCCAGCTGAGTGAATAATTGAGACTGAACTGAAACCGAATAACGCGAGCGAATTGTTCCTCCCGTCTCAACTTCCAGAAATTATAATGTTTGAATTTTTAATTAGTATATTCCTCACGTCGAATGAATCAATCAACGACGATATCACATTACACACAAAAGTATACTACAACTCGTCAGAAAAAACGTCGTCAACTAAACACATACCAAACAATTGACCCATTCACTAACCAGATATAATACAGCAAGTTCTCTCCGACGTGAAGCAATATTGACCTATTAGTCAATTGCGAGTATACTTGGCTTGGCCTTCCTAGTAGTAGGCGCAGCACACGAAAGAATCACCGAGAGCCCTTTAATCCTTCAAACGAGAGATTCAAACGAGTACAAAACATTTCGACCCTCTTTTCAATGGGCGCAATTGCACCTGAAATTGAATGTCTTTGTACACGAAAGGCGGTGACGAAAAGATGATGTCCCCCAGATGCGTTTTTGTACAGAAGTATTTTGGAGGGGGGTAAGAAAAAGGTTGCAAGGAAGTTTCGTATATTTATGTGCGAGAAACAACCAACGTGCAAAACCGTTGCTGTGTACACAAGTACTCGAAGTGAATTGATAGGAAGAGAGGGAATTGCTGTTCCCAATTGAAAATGAGCGTATATAAGAGGAATAAAAGGCTGGTGTTTAGAAATACAACAGCATTCCTACTTTGAAGATTTGAAAAAGTTGCATTGACGACCTTGAAAAGATCAAGAAGGAAAAGTTTGGATCATCAAAAGCTACCTGCTTCTCTTTTAGAATGAAAATGCAGGTAAAATGCAACCCCCCGACACACTTTAAACACTTGAACACTTTTTTGATTATGGCTCCCCCGTCGTGCAGCAGTGCAGTGGAGGGTTTAATGCACAAGCTACGATCTTTAGATGCGGAGAGCCTGTAGTTGCATATTTTGGCGTTGGATGAAGCGACCTGCAAAGATACGTGGCAGCACAGATTGAATGAGGAACTTTGGAAATTGAGAACGAGGGGAGAACGCAGAGGAGAGAACGAAACGGGAGAGAATGCTTGGTAAGAAGCTAATGGGCCGTTTGATACACGACAGACACAGCAGATTGATGCTTAACGGTATGATATGGCATTGTATGAGTTATCATGCTTTAAATATAACTTACATCGTAGGTTATGGGTTATGTAAGACTTATGATGGGTAAATCTCGGACATGAAGATTGGACTCATGATGCAAAGAACAGAACGGCCACAAAAGAGAGCATCTTATATTAAAATGCTTGAAACAGTCCCAACGATATTTAGATAATGCAAAAATATAACACGCTGCTACTTTCCATTATTCCAGACTTCTAGCCTCCACTTTAGCCAGATACCGCACAGTCCATATCCAAGGGTTCACCTGCAAGGAACTGAATCTTCACCATCCTCCATCCGCAAACGGCCAGCTATGGAGATTCCTAACCAATAACAACAATCAGATAGATGAAGCCGGGTAGGCATTTCTATTTTTTGGAGATTAATACCTGGTATTCTAGTATTTGCTCCGTAAATCGTTGGGATGGAATTTCTCCGACTGGCCTCGTTCTTTCATGCATGTGTAACCTATTCTAGAATCTGTATATTCAGAAGTATACGCATACTTGACTTGGTATACGACTCCGCACAACTCTGTACTCGGTTCTGTTGTGCTGTTGTTGTAGGAGGCAAGTATGTCGCTAACAAAAACAGTATAAGATGAAGGGCCATACTTCACCGCTCTTATTAGATTATCAGAGCAGATATCAGATAGCATCGCACCACTCTCTATATCTCCTCGAAAATACATCAATTGTCCAATCAGCATCGATCATTAAACCACCACCGACGGTTACGAAGCACAGAAATTACATTTTAACTCATTTTCACAACCTATTCATTAAGAAAGATATGACGATATCCCATTTCTTAATTCTTCCGTTCATACATTTCATCCATTCATTCATCCACTCATCCACTCATCCATCCACACAATTTTCACAATTTCATAATTCTCATTTGTGGTGCCAACACATTCATTTACCAAGCACCTTCAGCTTATTTCACAAATTCCGTCATGAAATATGCAGCCACCCTTATTATCACTCTTTCTTCCTTTCGCTCTCTCTTTCATAGGCATTACAATTGTTATATGCAACGACAACCAGTTATAAGGAAAGAAGCGGTGAGGATTCCACCATTTCCATTCTTTTTAGAGAGATTACGTGAGTTTCAGGCTTGTACAGGGATCTTGTTATTTTCTGATCTTTTGGTAAATTCATCAGGGAAGGCTTTGGATACGATAGGATAGGGATTCATACATGATGTTGTTTTCGCTTCTCCTATCTTAAGCTTTAACCCCTTTTTTGGATGAGAAGAATGAATGAATGAATGGATGAAGTTTTGCTGATGGATGGATGAATGGACTTCTTAACTGCAAGTGCAGTGGTCCGCCAAAAGGAGCTCATATCCTTCAATAAGACTCTACACTTCCATGAAGAGATGTCACTACTTTATTTGTCTCCTTCCCGCAACTTATCTCCTTCAAATCTTCAAAAAGAGAGAAAAGTCAAACGTAGTATCTAGGCAGAATGATCTGATTGACCTATCCAAAAATCCAATCGGCAAGTTGCCGATATCTTCATCTATCCTCCCCTGGGTTTTCTGCACCCTTCTGCAAATCAAGAAAGACTCTAAAAGCCCCAACTTCTTCAATAGCGTCCATCCATCCAATCTCTTTTCCGTCCTACATACATATGTGCAGCAAGCCGTTGCGAATATTTCTCTCACTCAAAACGAACATACATGATATATCCAGCAGAGAAGCACAGCACAATGATCATATCTCAGAACAGCAAGGTTTGTTTGTTCCCTCTACAAATAATATCTCTTGATTCTTAGCAATGCAAAGGTGCTTTACATAATACAATGGACAAAATAAGAAGGGATCTTGGAGGTGAGTGATATAAAATATAAATGAGTGCTGTCAACCTTGGAAATTAGAGGTGAAAATTCATTTCATCACTTGGTTAGAAGGACGCCGACAAGCTACAAGCAGACCTTAGGCTTTAGACACATCACTGTATCGAATATTCCGTGATTGCTTCTTAAGAAGAGCAAGGTTACTTCTTTTAATTTTACTTGCTACATATACACCTACAAATACAAATAAATCTACATATACATCACCAATCCCCACCCCACCCCACCCTCCTCCACTCCACCATACCAAACCCCACAATCTCTCCCCTCAAACCCAAAATGTGCCACTAGTAAGCCAACCCCCAGCTCCTTCCCCACATACCCCAACCCTCCATTCAAACACCCATACCCATCTAACACCCCACCCCTCCCCCGACTAGCTACAAATACAACTACACCTGTGCACACCACAACAAAGTCCTCGCGAAACTCTGTCCCAAAGCTAGTTACAGACAAACAGCCTGCGAGAAGATATCTATCTGGCAGGATATTTGGTTGGCGGAAGAGTGTTGTAGGTGTGTGGTTTTTGGGGATGGCGTGTGAAGGGGATAATGATGATGGGTGTGGAAAAGATATTGGGGTGGAAAGGCTTAGGGGAAGATGAGAATGAGGATGAGGATTGCGGGGTTGGTTTTGCTGGATGGTGGGGAGGGGAAAGTAAGGATGGATTTGGAGGGGATAGTTGTAGGAAAGAGAGGGGCGGGCAAGAGAGCGAGAATGGAGGGGCAAGATAGTAATTAAGGGGTATTTAACACGTTTTATGATTAAGGATCGCTATCTAAAATCTACATGGTTTCTTGTTTATGATTAAAATTACAATCTCAATATCAGTCAGTCAAGAGTTGGAAATCGTTCAGATTAACCCACTTCTCCGACATACGTAAAGTTTCAGCATGCTTAGCGAGGGAAGCCAGCGCAATGAGCCCAAGAATTAATAACGGCGCCTCTCTGTTGTTGCCTTCTTCCAATTGTAATGTGAATACACGGGCAGTAAAGCCGCCGGCCACATCACTAATCTCTCGTACTTTTCTGGCGCTCAACCCTCCGTTGGTGGTGTATGGCGACGACGGCGGCTCATAACTTGGAGATAAGGTGCCTCTCTTCTCAGGTGTGGGAGAAGTGTCCTCAACAGTGAGTTGAGACGGAGATGAGGGTGTCATGCGGCGCGGATACGACGGCGGCGATGATGGCAATGAAGGACTGGAGGACTCCTGCATATCCGAAGTGAAAGTTTCACGCGCCCTCTTTTGCAAATGGCGATTAGTAGGCGATACGGTTTCACTGTCTGCGCTTGTGTTCGACTTTGTACGTTTGTGTGTATTGATCGCGGTTAATACAGCGGACCCATCATTTGGATGGCCGTCTTGATCCGATGTTGAAGATAACCTTGATCGCTGTGATAGTGGCAAGTCCGGCGGAGCTCCTTCGCTGCCTCCTCTTCGCTGGCTACTTCCCAGACTGTCTTCTCTTTCCAACATAGCGCTGGTCACAACACCAAAATAATAGGTAAAGTGGCCGGGATCAAGTCGTTAGGGAATTTATCGAGGTAAGGGGCGAGGGATCTAAGTTGTAAGATGTTGTCGAGGGTGAAGTCATTCCATTTCTCAATTCTTATGCTTTCGCCTAATTGTTGATAGATTTTATCGCCTGAAGACCGCGGTGATGAATCCTCTGGATACTTGAACTCCCATTGCATAGCTTGCTTAAGCCATTGTAGAATGGTGGGTTTAGAGGACGTTGTAGAGGAGGTTGTAGAGGGCTCCATAGTATCTGGAAGCTCTAGAGATGAGATGGAATTGTCTTTACTATGGTGGATGTTCCTGATGATGTCGGAAGAGGAAGATAATGAGGCAGCTTTGCCTGATAACCTACTCAGAGTGCTCAGTGCTGAGTGCTGAATGATTTTATATCGTAAGTGTGAAGAGGGTTGTCTTATTATTGGAGCTACGATTCCTGATTATATAGACCCACTATATTAGGCTGAACAGTGCGGAAGTAGCTTTTTGTTGATCACAAACCTTATTCTGAAATAGGCTTAGGTGGGTAACAGTAGCAACGGATTAGAGGTGAAAAAAAGTCCGAGCTCAACAACTTGTAAGGCTTATTAATGGATTCTTCTCCTCTAATAATTATATTAGATTATCTATAATAATGAATAATGAACAATAAACAACTACATCAACTACATTAACTATATCAATCACAACCATCACAACTATCACAACCATCACAACTATCACAACCATCACAACTCTCAGTTATGGATTTAATGCCAACCAGGAATCATCGTCGTTTATTTGCTAGACGCAACGGTTTTAAATTGGGACACTCCAAAGAGAACCTTCTACTTCGCACAGCAATTATTTCGAACAATAACCATCGCATCACCACATCTGAATCGAAAAGCAATAGAAAAACAGACATCAAAAGACACTCTAAGCCAAAAAGACAAACGAAGTCTGAAAGAACTGATAAACGAATATTTCTATATTTGGGATGGAAAATATACATTACCTCGTTGAAGGTATTTGAAAACTCCTTCGATTTTATCTTCTACATTTCAACAATATTTCGCTACTGCACTTTTCAAAGCTCATCTATCATCATCATTCTAATTAATATTTCCCTATTAGCCTTCTTTATCGAAGCATACGTTTTTTCTCCAAAAGCAGCTATCGATTTACCTATATGCATATTCCCACATAAATACACAATTATGCACACCCCTTCCTGTTGAAACACTCGAATCGTATCGTTATATCGAACCTGCCTCTTGTATTGATAAATACGATCAGATACTCGAATTTCAGGATATTCTAAACTCAATCGAAATTTCACCCAAACATCACATCGATGATTGCTATAGTCCTGAAATGAAACTTGATATTATCAATAAATTAGAAGAAGTTCTCGTTTCTACCATCTCCCATCTTCATATCAAACACATATCCTATCCTATCAAGAATACTCAGCAGCTTTTCTTCGTCTATAATGATTCTATTTTCAAAAGAACTAAGGCAGAAAAGCAAACCTTCAGATTGCTCCTGGGATATAATGAACATGCGTCATGGGTATCAGATAGTTTATCTAGCACTTGGCGATCTGATGAGATCGAACATGCACGCTCTTTATTCCGTCTCCCAAAGGTATGTACCTGACATCCTCTCACGTCTTGTTCTAATATAAATAATATTTCTACCCGCAGGTCCTTTCTAAACTCCGCGACTCACCTAACAGAATTTCAGTCGATGCCCAGGATCAACATCTCCTAGTGGAATATCTCACATCCAAAGGAGGGCATTGGAAACACTTCAATCTGTGTAGCGAAAAGATTGCGTTCATGACGCCTGAGCTTACCCAGTGTATATCCTTTTTCTATGCTGAAAGAAATGAGAATATGAAAGCTCGTGTTATTTTCGATGCATTCTTTCACAAGTACAATAGTAGTTCAGTCCCTTTACCACCTCTTTCTTCTCGGCGTTCACCTCTGGAAATTTGTGCATTTTATCGAAAAATTTTACGGCAAGGACAAGATACTATGGATGGAGATAAGTACAAGGTGACGAATACTCCTAGTCGAAGTGCTACACATGACGAAGAGGAAGATGGTCTTGATAAGAGCCCCTTGAATAATGATTTCCTCAAGGCAGACTTTCGATGTTTGGAAGGAGAGCAAGATGAAGAAGACTCTATTACAACAATCTCTAATAAGAGTTTAGCACGCCTCATTTACATCCGTACCCAAATGATCACTTCCCACCGTTCCGGGAGAGAGGAAAAACTTCAGTGGTGGTTTCTGGCTTTGACGTTATACGATGCATTTCTATCCGATACTCCGCCTAGATCCTATGAAGAGTATATTTGTGCTGGAGATGCACATGGATACCGACGGATGATGATGGAAAATGATGGAAAATGAATAATATACATTCAGCTTGTATTATTATTGTATTAATGAAGTACAGTTGTCGGCTTGCCGATACCAGAACCTTTGCTGTATATATAGTGTATCATAGTTTATCTAATGTAAGATCTTAGATCAAAGAAAATGAGAAACTCGCTTAATAAATGAATCGCGATCTGAGCAATCTTTGATCTAAAAAATAAATAATACCAAAACACTTTTATTTTGTTTTAGCATTTCAACATCGAACTTGGTTCGTGGATACCTATAGGTACACTATTAGTAATTCGATAAAACTTTACTAGTAGTATCCCAGTACCTATCAAGAGGGTCTTTCTCTAGCGTAGATCCACTTACTTATTCATGTAAGATAATCTTACATTGAGCTTCTAGTCACCACTCACTCATTTCTGCTTACTTCATAGCGCAATGTCAAAATAGGATTATTCTGAATTGAAAAAACAAAGGAACATTTTATTTACACTTTCCACTCCTGACTACTTTCTCCCTCCCTCAAGATATCTTCTACTTTATTCATATCCTTCTTTTCTTCATGGCAGTCCATCGTAACTCTCCATGCCGCAATTCCTCTTCTCCCAATCACCCTTGTAATCGTATTCCAAAATCCATCATCCCCAAAATCCATATCATCCAGATTGAAATGTTTTTGATATCTCCACACCTCCTCAAAATACAAATCCGTTTGATTTGCAGTATATTTGTCCAGGAAAGTGGCGGATGTCGGTGCAATAAGATAGGTAGCTTCTAAAAGTTCTTCTCCGGATTTTGGAAAACAAGTTGCTAGCTTAATAACCTCTTCTATCATGAGCTCTCCTTTGATACCCATGAGATCATGAGTGTCGAGCACTTCATTTTTGCCGTTCAGTAGCCAGATTGGTGGACTATATGTTTTCCACCAGATAGCATGAGTGGCATCTAATTGTTTACTCAAGAAAACTTGAGTTGGGACAACTCCTCCCTGATGGTATGCACCCATCAAAAGACCTAATAACATATTAAAAGAAATCCACAAACCACCCCAGATGCGCAAAGGAATTTTTTGTTTTGGTAGTTTTACAGATGATAATATTAAGGGAATCGTTGGAAGTAAAAAACGTGCCTCTTGGTGTTTGAAGAACGAAAGAACAACAACACCAGAGATGGCAGAGAAAAGGCGAAGAGAAGCCAAAGGTTGTAAGAGAAGTAGTGTGGCAGGTCCCAATAGTTGTGGGAGATTTATTAGACTATGTTGATACCATGGATGTAGACCGTGAAGCGCAAGATTGTCCGTGGCAAGATTGTAGTTGAGATTGTTAAATGGTGTAATTGTAGGATGAGAAAAAAGATAGGACCAAGTGACAGGAACTTTTGCGTAAAAATTCGTATCCAAACAGATTGCGATAAATGTAGCAAGGCTACCAAAGAATATCATTGAAATGAGCGAAAGAGGTCTGCGCAGGATTAGCGGGGGCATCTTAGGTGGGCTAAAATATCTTACTTTCTTATAAAGTGTGGTAACAAACGGAGACCGGGAATGAAAAGAAAGGCAGGAAAGGTAATGCGATTGAATATCCCAAAGACTACAACGAATGCAAGAATTCCACATGGTATTACGGAAGAATGTTTCTACATCTATCAGCTTCAAATTCCCAAATTCTGACATGTGTTCTATATTTTCCTACCTTAGCTTCCGCAATTCTCTGTATCAAAACCAGACTCCATGCGACTGCCAATGTCTCAATCGAATTCGAAAATGTATGAGTCTGATATGTCCAGGTAACGTATGAAGATGCCACGAGCAACACGGCTATTTTTCGATGTCGCGGAGATCCAACCAATTCATGGATAGCCCAATCCTCAAGCACAAAGCTCAAAGTTAACATCAAAAGGCGCAAGGCAAAAAACACAGCTATTGGAGGTATTTCGCCATCATTTCCATTTCCTATCCAGAGCCATCGAAGGAGAAGCATTGGCAGACCGTATATAGGCCATAATGGGAAGACACTTCGAATGGGATTCTCGGATGTGAATTCCCAGGTTAACTTGACAGGATAGCTGAAGATCTGACCTGCAGGTTGTTAGCAAACATAACCTAAAGCTGTATTTTTCAATCTCATGCAAGATCTCACACATCTGCCAGCTAGCTGAAGCTATGAAGCCAGATAAAACTTACCAGCTATAACCTCTGGACCTTGAAAATTCTCATCAGGGTGCAAATAACTGGGAGAAATTGCAAACCAAAGTCTTAAAAGAAGGAGAAACAAGTATGCACGCCTGAAGAAAGGCATTTTGAATATTTACCTATGGCATACGTATGAAGAATGAGGAAGTGAAGAGGAATTGCATTAAATTAAAAAAAGTATTCGCAAACGCGATAGAAAGATAACAGTAGAGAAAGAGGTCATTGGAATTGGGAATGGAAGATTGGAAAATAAGCCAAAGGACACTCAAAGTCTGATTTAAGGATGAGAAATGAGAAATGAGAAATGAAGCGATAGGGAAATTGAGCAATATTGGGGAGGTTGCTGCTCTCAAAACGGAAAGTCCTGCTACCTTTGATTTTTCCACTTCAGGGATGGCATTGGGGTATGATTATGACGGAGATCCGGGACAGCAGGAGTTTTGGAATGGGCTGACCAATCGTATTCACTGCCGTGGATGTTTCTACTCTTTTTCATTCCGAATGCAATTTGTACTCTGTGATGTTAACCCCGTATAAAGAAAGAGTATTTTCAGCTAAAAGATTATTTATATCCTTAATATAGTTTGTTGGTGGGGAGGACAAGACGATGGGATGATGGCATTACTTTGGTTTGTCATATACTCCGTACATCGATGTTCAAGAACCTTCGGCAGGGTGATTACTAATGAGTAAAATATAGAATCATTTTTATATAATTCGTATACTTCACTAGGCTGAACGTAGATGATGAATACCCTGCTGGGGAGAAAAGGAGTGAAGGAGTGATGCATGGGAAATTTGAAATAGACAAAAAGAAACCAAAATTATAGATTAATAATTGTGACAAGGTAGATAAATAGGTAGTTTAATGTCCATCCCAGTTCAAATAGAATCGATGATTAATGAGCTCATCCTAATGAAAGTTTGTATGTTCTAATATCAAGTATTTGTTCGCACTTGTCTTTTAGGCAATGATCTAGAGAATTCTATCTATTAAATTATCTCTCTACGTCGGATGTGCCTTTAACAGCCGATCCATATTCCCAAATTGATAGTATTTATACGAATCGTGTTCCATTCTCTACAATCTTCTAAATCCGAGCAGAGAAGGTTAAATCAGACAAGGCTGAAAATCCATAGGAAAGTCTTTCTACCAATAAGGAAATCATCGAATGTCACAGTGCGCATCTGGATCCAAGCTTCGCTTCCAGGCTTCCAAAGGTTGGCACAAGGCAGCACAAGGCAGCACAAGGCAACAACCGTACATCGAATAATAAAGTAGGAAAGTGCTAATCCACAATAGATAGACACTTCTAGATAGAACCTTGAACTAACTATCTACCCAAGTACCTACTTACCTACTTACCTACCTACCTACCTACCTACCTACCTACCTACCTATCTGGAAATCAAGGTTGTGCAGTTCAAAAAGGGCAAGGTTGGCGGCCTTTGCTTTGCCATTCACATGCATTCTCTCTTTATGATTCAAAACACTAGGATTTAGACAACCGATAGTTTCCAATCCGTCCTATTAAGGCTACAGCTACTTCAACTTCACACCTATTCTTGCTTTTCGAATTAGATCTTTGGAATTCCCTCATAATCCAATCAATCATATACCAGATCTCCTAACCACTCATCATTCTAGCCTTTTATAATAACATGATGTGATTATTGATTTTTCAATCCGCGATCACACACTTAGAAGTAAGAGACAGTACTAAAATTGGGTGGTTTACTTTAAGCGATAACCTTAACAAGGCTTGACATAAAGTCATCTCCAAATCCTTATTCAGTTCCTCTTCCTGTTCACAAACAACCAACAACTCTACAAACAAACTTAGTAGAACACCTTAACTTATCCAAAACAGCAACAACTCTTCAAATTGCATCAACGCAAAGGAGACTTCATCTTTCAGAATGTCTGAAGGTACTACCACAAGCATTATTCTCGTCAGCAATGACAATGCCTCTATCACAGTTGGTAAGTTACCCCGCCTGTCTGCAAAGTGCGATGGCTGCAGACCAGGTTGAATGCGCCCATACTGACCTTAACAATAGATCGTGCTGTCGCGGAGCGGTCCATGTTGATCAAGAACATGTTGGAGGATCTCGGAGATGGTGTCCTTTCCACTCCAGTTCCTATCCCTAACGTAAGTCTACATTCTGACATCATTTCTCATTTAATCTTATCAGTATCAATCTAACGGCTTTCTTTCTTTATAGGTCAACGAGGCCGTTCTCCGCAAGGTTATTGAGTGGGCTGAGCACCACAAGCACGATCCAGCTCCAAATGTCGATGACGATGCCGATAGTCGCAAGAAGACTACTGATATTGAGGAGTGGGATCAAAAGTTCATGCAAGTGGACCAAGAAATGTTGTTCGAAATCATCCTTGTAAGTTATATACACTTCAAATATGAAATTATTTGGTCATTCTAACGATTCACCAATAGGCCGCCAACTATCTCGATATCAAGGCTCTTCTCGATGTTGGATGTAAGACGGTCGCAAATATGATCAAGGGAAAGTCACCAGAGGAGATCCGAAAGACCTTCAACATCACCAATGACTTCACTCCTGAGGAGGAGGAGCAAATCCGCCGTGAGAACGAGTGGGCTGAGGATCGCTAAATCACTCATCGGGCACAAACCAAATCATTACACCATCACGATTTTGGGGTTTTGTTCATAACTTTACTAGTGGTGGATACCGCAGGAGTTCTTTGATTGTTCCCGGCTACCAACGAAAAATCGGAAGTCCAGGTCTACAATTTCAAGGCGTGCAGGGGTCTCCATTTTATTTTTTCCTTTGGAGGGTGTGCAGTATGCACATAGGGGCGTTTATGGGAGATACTGAAGTTTGTTGACTGTTGATTTGTCTGTGAAGGATAATAAGATAGTCAACGGTAAAAAATGCAGGTATTATACAATTTGCATTGATGTTAAAATATTATGATACGTCTTTGCTCATGTGAGTTTTTCAAAACAGTCTTTTTGGACAATGTTTTATTCCAGCTTTTGAAATGCGGGGTGATCTTCTGAAATGAATTTCTTGAATTGTTCTTCCTGATCTTCCTATTCTGTACATCTGTACATCTCACTGCGTGCATCCTTCCGGATTATCACCATCAACATCAACATCATCCTTACCTTCACTAACACTTCCTATTAACACTTCCTACTAACACTTCCTATTAACACCCCTTACCTTACCACTTAATTACTTTTATTACATCAAACTCCTAAAGTAAATATTATTTTTATAAAATAAAACTATCAAATAGATATCTTGTCTTATTTTTTCTGATTTGATGTATTGATTACTTTAAATATATTTATATTTATATTTATACTTTTTTTTTAAAAAAAAAACCTTTCAAATTAATATTAATATTTTTAAATTGAAAAGAGTTATTATAATAAATAGATAAATTAAATATAATAGACTTATTTATTATTTATTATAATCAATTTTTCATTTTATATATATATATTATTTTATTTTATAATCGATTTTAAAAATGAAATAATGATCGGGTTATTGAATAGATAAATAGTTTATAAAAATAGATATAGAGATGGAGATAGATTTGAAAGTGGACTTGGGGGTGGAATTGGGGTTTATGTGGTTTATGTCTACTTCCTTGCAGAGTAGATGGGTGTTAATGTGTGTGGGGGTGGAAATATGGAGGTGGACATTTTGGGATAGGATGGGATGGATATGATGACGTTTAGGGAAGAGAGGATGGGACGTATGTGCGGTGATAAAGTTTCGAACGGGAATGGCGCGGAAGTGGACTGTAATTGAAAATTGAACTGGATCAACTTGAATGAAAGGGAAAGAAAGGAGAATATTCTGCAATTCTTGAATTGTTGTAAACCAGAGTGTTGCCAAACACCGCTGAAGTTGGATGTCCGGCTTGGATAAAACACTTGCGCAACACTCTCTGGATGTCTGGAACACCGATCTCCGATCTGAATGTCGTGGAAGCTAGAAATGAGCATGTCTTTTTAATTATGTCGAAGGTAATCAATCCCATTCACAATCACAAAATGTATCCCTCTCAAAAACCCATATGTAACTTTGAGAAATCAGCAAAACATCCCATTTCCTCACTGAATCACTTTGCTATGAACAGAATGATCCTTTCTAAATCGCAGTATATGCCATTCATTGAAACGGCCTAGCAATCAGAAATCTTACGCCTCCCTTTTCCCAAAGCAGCATCCATCAATGGTACCCTCCTGCCAAACCGAGCAAATATTATCATTTCATTTCTCTATGCTCCTCCCTCATAAAGTTGCCATTCGTGTCTTGAGATCGTGCGAATTTGGAATAAGTGGAGTAAGGTATGGTGGATTAATGAGAAGCGGAAAAAAGAGAAAGTCGTATGAGCGTGGGTATAGGTTGATGAGATGATGGAATGTTTTGCTGTTGTGGGGTGATGCATCTACAAACCGATGCGGGTCTTTCTCCAGTGACGTCTCTTTGCGTTGTATCTGTTGAATGTTATTAGTTAAAGCTCGATCGAAATTGATGCTGTTGATTCATTTCGGATTCAACGATCGGAGGTGGAATCGAAGAGGTATAAGTTTGATATATGTGCTGTTGATTGGGGTATCGCAAAAAATCGTGAACATACCGGATGGTGTTACCAGTCCTCAAACGGATCCATTGTGGGATGGGTCTGTTTTGCTTTTGGGCTCTCGCAAGCTTCTGCTTGGTGCGGAATGACTTTTGGGACTGTAGGAAAGCATCGAATTAGCATCTATGTGATCCGTCGTGTTGTCTCATTTCTCCCCAGCCAGATGATATTGTTGGTGTCCAAGATCGTGAATTCCATCTCCAATTTTGCGCCCATAAACCAATAATCCCCCTACTTTCTCTGACCGTTCCCAATTCTCCGTTCCAAGCAATTGAGAATGTGCGTATTTAGAAATGGTAGTACATACCGGCATCTTGAAAAGTCGGCGTCGATATTGTCGTTGTCGTGCTGAATCAAAAACTCTCTTGATAGAGGTTCAATGGATTCACACACCAAACATTTCTGACGAGGGCTTTATTTCTCGGTTGCCCTTTTAGCCAACGTAAGGCTTCCAGGCCAATCTCCTGATTGAGTCACGTGTAATGTTTATTGGATTAAAGTTATGACTAATCTTAATCGGGAATTTGTGGCTCCGCGATTAGGATTGGAAATACGGTAAGGCAATGCATGTCAAACAGTTGACCTCGTAAAGCATAATATCATCTGAGTAGAAAGTCCTACCTCACGAAGCTACAAAATACCTCAAACCTTACGAACGGTCAGAACAGCAGAACGAACTACGAGTTCTACGAATTTCGTCTGATTATTGAGGATAAGATTGGGACAAAGGAAAGAGGAATCTAGGAAGACAAGGATAGGGGACAGCTAAGCATAGTTGTCTAGAGATCGAATTTAGAAGAAAAGTTTAGAGGACAGGAAATACCATTAAAGACTTAGGAAAAATGGGCGCAAGTGTCTCGTGGCTGTCAGGGATGTTATTCTCAAAGAAAGAAATTCGAATATTGATTTTGGGACTGGTGAGTAGCTGGCTGAATAGCTCACTGGATATTCAAGGAATAGTAAGGAAGAAGAGAAGCTGATACATCTGCGAATTGGGTAGGATAACGCTGGAAAAACCACATTGCTATACAGATTGAAGGTTAGTGTGGCTATTCAATATAATTTCACGGAAGGGACTTGATGCTAACGGGAATCTCCAGATTGGGGAAGTGGTGACTACAATACCGACCATTGGATTCAACGTGGAATCAGTGACATACAAAAATTTAAATTTCAATGTTTGGGTAAGCTCAGGTTTTCCTACAAGTTCTTATTACATCTGCCATCTAGCGATTCCTGGCTGATATGCTTGGTATAGGATCTTGGAGGTCAGACATCGATTAGACCTTATTGGCGCTGTTACTACGCCAATACCGCCGCCGTTATATTCGTTATCGATTCTACAGATATCGATCGATTAGGTACTGCGTCTGAAGAATTGGCGGCAATGTTAAACGAAGACGAGTTAAAAGACGCCGCATTACTAGTATTCGCGAATAAACAAGATCAGCCGGGGGCGAAAGGTGCCGGTGAAATATCGGAGGCGTTAAAATTAGGAGAGTTAAGGGATAGAAATTGGAGTATAGTGGCATGTAGTGCCGTAGATGGTAGTGGTGTGGATGAGGGGATGGACTGGCTTGTTGTAAGTGTTTCATACTCGGATGTGGCTGATTTAGTTGAGGCATGAGGATACTAATGTGAGGATAGCAAACTGTGCAGCAAGAGTCGTAATAGAGGAAGAAAAAACAGAAGCGACCTTGTACCATTATCACGATATACCTATACATCAGTTGAATAATTGAGGGAAAGGATGAAACTGGAGTCCGGGATACAAATCTTAGGCTCCATGGTCGCTATACTCATGAATATGAAGGAGACCGATATGCCCGAGAGTATAATAGATGTGCGGGCATGTTCGAGCATCTACGTCTGGATTGGGAGCACTGCATTCGGATCTTTATTGTAAATGGGCATTTAGATTGAGGGAATAGGGATGAATGCATATTGCCATTGAGACATTGATCTGGCCGTCTTGGGTAAGAGACCTCCCGGAAACTGGGTTCTGGAATTTCTCTTCGACAGGTTGGCTACGTGGGACTATTATTTGCTTTGTGATACAATTAAGTCTGGATCTAAGGATTTGTAACTGCTTAGAAAACTATAGCGAGACTAGATGTATCTTCAGTCTCAAAAAACCGATCCATGTATACTATCGTGCATTACACCAAAGGAACATGCTGTAAGCCTGTAACATATGCTTGTGGATCCTGCATACATGGGTCACTGCCATATCTTGAATGAAACTACAAATTCGAAGAGACGAGAAATCACGAGAAAATGCCATGTCAATATCACAATCCCATATTTGAAACTAGATGTTTAGAGAAAAAAAACGATGAAAGTGACATCCATCATCAAAACTTGGCGAGCCAGAAGCGTAATAGATACCGAGATTCTGGATCTGATGAAGATCTTCTGGGTGAGCCTTGACGTTGGTACCCGCTCTTATTAGAAGGAAAACTTTGGAATGTAGACAAAGTGTTTGCAAGCAAGGCAAGGCAAGGCAAGACAGTTGAAGAATACTTTCTAATATGAAAAATAATACCGCCGCTATCGAGTCCACTCACGAAATTCCACCTTTGCTGGAGCATATCTCCGATATCATTATCCTGTCTCTCGCTACCTACATGCCTAGCTACTCCCACTCTTTCCCCGAAGCTCTTTATGGAAAGATGTTCCCTGTGCGGTGAAAATTGCAGAAACATCGACAAGTATCCAAAGTTATTTTTAAAGAGGAGTACAAATCACATCTCGATGTTGTTGCACCTGTGGGAGCTTGTATGTAATACATTGATAACCATTCGTTATCGATGATTATATTTCTCGGCATGATGTTTCTTTCATAATGCCCCACTGCGTACTGTGACAAGGATACTGGGTAAGCAGGCAACTTGATATTATTGACCAGGGGTTTGTTTAAGAAATTGAAGGTGGAGATCAAGTGACGGCATCAATGTGATGGTGGTGTAAGATTTTGGTAAAAGTGGTTTTCAAGCAAAACAATAGGAGAGAAATATATGTACAACTTTGCAAAGTGAGGATATACTTTACTGCCTTTATTTATATTTGATATGATAACTAGAAGTTAACTATCAGATAAATACAATACTAGATAGCTACCTTTATTAGACATAGACATGGCCAATTAATTCATGCCAAGCTTCAAACGGTCACGGAAAGTGGCGCTATTAATTCAGAATGCGGAGAAGAAGCACTAAACTTTGCCAAGAAATGGAAAAGGTGTGTAAGCATGAGGGGAACCTTTCGTGTTACCCCGAGTTATATGCATATATGAGATGTTGTTATAGATGGATGTTACTTATTGATTTATTTAATGCGAACACCGTCGGCTAGTGTAGGTACAAGGACTCAGGGCTCATTCAGTCCGGCCCTCTTGAATGGAAATATTATACATGTTTATATGTGTATATGTGATGAATAGCATTTATAGAACTAGGAGGTACTAGTTAAACATCTCGGAAATGTTGAACGGATAAGGCTTCATTTAACTTTGGTCTATGTGGGTAGTAACTAGCTAGAAAGAGAAGAATAGTGGCAAAGTCCCTTCGATCGTATAAAGTACTCGTAGTCAAGTTAGTAATGTTTCCTTTATGCGGAATTGGCCCCGATCATCAATCTTTTCCCTTTTGATAATCAATTCGTTCCAGACCTTGAGAGCTTTACTAATGCAGTTATCAACCCCCTCATTTTGATTGGTTGCCACGAAAGGAGGGGTACTTTTCGGAATTCTACTTATTTATTTCTCATCCCACCCATCTCGTGTGCCATCTTACTTTTCCTTCTTTTATTTCATCAAGCATTAAAAGCTTTCTGTCATCTTAAAGAAATCTTCAAACTATCATCAAAGTTACCTCACATATATCTTTGATACCAAACTGCCAGCTCTCAAACCATCTTATAACCACATTTACTATCCCTGCGCAACAAACAAGCAATATAATAGCAATCATGGTTGCCGACGAGAAGCCCGCGTCTACCTTCAGATACGATGAAGCACCAGTCTACACAACCTCTAATGGATGTCCCGTAAGACACCCGGAGGAATTTCAGAGAATTGGTAACAATGGGCCACTTCTCCTTCAAGATTTCCATTTGATCGATTTGTTGGCTCATTTCGATCGTGAACGTATTCCGGAGCGTGTTGTACATGCTAAGGGTGCCGGAGCTTATGGAGGTAAGTTCTTGTGTTGCGTCTTTTCCTCACTCGCCACCATACTAATATATCACCCGTAGAATTCGAAGTTACACACGATATCAGTGATATCACCACCATCGACATGCTAAGCAAAGTCGGCAAGAAGACTCCTCTTGTCACACGTTTCTCAACTGTTGGTGGTGAAAAGGGATCTCCGGATTCTGCTCGTGACCCAAGAGGTTTTTCCGTCAAATTCTACACTGAAGAGGGTAACTGGGACTGGGTTTACAACAATACACCTGTCTTCTTCCTCAGAGATCCAACCAAATTCCCTCTTTTCATTCACACACAAAAGCGAAACCCACAAACAAACTTGAAGGATGCTACCATGTTTTGGGATTATCTCTCCACTCATCAAGAAGCTGTCCACCAAGTTATGCACCTCTTCAGTGACCGTGGTACTCCATATTCGTACAGACACATGAATGGATATTCTGGTCACACTCACAAGTGGTTCAAGCCAGATGGTACCTTCAACTATGTTCAAGTCCACTTGAAGACAGATCAAGGAAGCAAGACATTTACCAATGAAGAGGCTGGCAAGATGGCTTCAGAGAACCCAGATTGGCACACCCAAGACCTATTCGACGCAATTGAGAAGGGAGACTATCCATCCTGGAGCGTCTATGTTCAAGTCCTTTCCCCAGAACAAGCTGAGAAGTTCCGCTGGAACATTTTCGACTTGACTAAGATCTGGCCACAGGGTGAGGTTCCATTGAGACCATTCGGCAAGATGACTCTCAACAAGAACGTCGAGAACTATTTCGCCGAGATTGAGCAGGTTGCCTTCTCGCCATCTCACTTGGTTCCGGGAGTTGAGCCATCTGCCGACCCTGTCCTTCAATCTCGTCTCTTCTCGTACCCAGATACTCACCGTCATCGTCTTGGTGTTAACTATCAACAAATTCCAGTCAATGCTCCTCTCCGAGCTTTCAACCCATTCCAACGTGATGGTGCTATGGCTGTCAACGGAAACTACGGTGCTAACCCTAACTATCCATCTTCGTACCGAAAGCTCACTCATAAGCCTGTCAAGGCTACCAATGACCATGAGCAGTGGTCTGGTGCCGCATTGAGCTACTTGGCCGAGGTTGGTCCAGAGGACTACGTCCAAGCCAAGGGTTTATGGGATGTCCTTGGCAGACAAGAAGGTCAACAAGACAATTTCATCAACAACGTCGCTGGACATTTGGCAGCTGCCAAGGAGGACACTCGCAAGCGTACATACCAGATGTTTAGCAGAGTCGATTTGAATCTCGGTTCCAAGATTGAAGAGGCAACCGAGAAGTTGGCTCCTGCTCCAAATAGCAAGGCTGCTGGAGCTGCTCAATCTCGCTTGTAAACTGTAACTGTGTTATAGGGAGTAGGGAAGACAGAGTTTTTAAATGACATTTTGCGATGATATCTATGATTATTTTATGAAGAATGAAGGATTCAGGAAAGGTGATAGGACGGGATATTTGCTGGCTTTACAAAATTGGTTTATAATTTGCAATGACATACCCCTTTAATATTTCACAAGTCTGCAATTTCTTCAGCAAATGGTGACATCAAAGTCTTTCTTAAAATTTCCACAAGACAAAATTTTATGGATATGATCAGTTAGTAATAAAAGACTATTGTTTTATCAGGTTGTATTATATTATTCTATTGTTTCGATTGTATATATCAGTAGCATATCTGAATTTCCAGCCCCTTTTCAATTCCTTTGTTTTTTTGTGATATGACAAACCATTAACTAGGAACTCAATATAATATCTTGAAACGATTAGTTCCTCATGATCGACACCAAGGCAATGCGTATACTTTATTTTACATTCCTCTGCACTATGTAACCAGCAACCATCTTCATCAGTACATTGACAGCTTCTATACTGATTCATATCACCGCACTTCTACAGTCTTAACTCCAAATATAACTTAATGAATCGTTATACATTATAATAAGCAGCCGGTCTATATTCTTGACGAGCCTGATTTAGAGATCCCAACCCTAAGTGGCATAGAACACGTTCGAGCTGGAGTGCGAACTGTTGAAGTCATTATGATAGCTATAGACAAACTTTTCTTCAATCTGCGTTTTCTTGTATTATATTATATATGATCAAGTTCTAAAATTTCTAAATCGAACTTGCACTGAGTTATTTCTTGTAGTAATTATTCTGTTTGTTAAGCTACGGATCGCATTTCATGATATCATGGTATCTACTTCGCTGCTCATTTTGCTGTGGCTGTGGCTAATAACGGATGTCTATTTGTTGACTTTGCTCTTGAACTGCCCATTTGGTGCGGGATTCCTACAGAGACTTTTCTTGGGTTCCGGTCAATCTTCATTATTGGCCATCGGTACCATGGCCACTTATCTATCCGGTCTTATGAATGAATGTGTTTATTCGGTTGGCGATTTCATCTCTTTCTGTTATAATTTATGAGTGGAATGTTATATTATCGAAGTTGTTAATGTTATAGAGTAGAATGCCATAGGATGATGTCTAGGAATTATTGTTAAATAAAGAAATGAAGTGGTGGTGTAGTAATGTGGTAATTAGGGTTAATAATTCTAGTTTCGAGGAGGAGTTGTATATAAGTCTAGTACCCTAATATAGACCACCTCTTTATACCAAAAATCGTGATTTTCAGCTATTAATAACTTTGCAATCAATCAATAAAATTTGATGAAATTTGAATCGTAGATTCATTATATAATTGTAACTCAATTCTGAAAATTTTAGATTTTTTGGAATTAATTTCATTGATATCTATAACCTTAAATTTTATGATTTTTAATTTGTGCAGGATTTATATATAAATTTACAAAATCTTTAAAATCTTGAATAACTTTTCAACAAAAATAATTAAAAATAAATTATAAATTTTTTTCGAATATTTATATCATAAATGATCAAATAAATCAATTTATTCTAAAAGAATATTTTATCAAAATCCTTTTAATCAAAATGTTATAATTTTTAATCCTTGTAAAATCCAAAAATATCAATAAAGATTCATTTGTATTATTTAAAATTCAAAATATTAATTTTTTATACGAAATTTAATCTAAAAATCCCCAAAAAAAATTAATACTTTATTTTTAGTTATTTTTGTTGAAAAGTTATTCAAGATTTTCAATATTTTCAATTTTGTATATAAATCCAATACAAATTGAAAATCGTAATTTCAACTTTCAATTTCTCAATCAATAAAATTATGAAAAATCTAAAAATTTCAGAATCCATCAATAACTATATAATAAATCTATAATCAAAATTTCAATTGATTTTATTCATTTGTTGCTGAGTTATTAATAGTTGAAAATGACGATTTTTGGTGTAAAAAGGTGGTCCATATTAGGGGTGGTCCAAAAGTAGGGTACTAGACTTATATAGTTGCTTGGACGAGCCATCACGGGTGATCCATGGGTAGACATTCTTTAACAAAAAAGTGGTATATAATTGATTAGATGCTTGGTAATTATTCAGGAAATTGTATCAAACTTTTTTTATAAATGTAGGTTAATCGATCTCTGAACTTTTGCTTATCCTCACGTATATATACGAAAGTGTATTTACTATCTAGACATCTAGATTAATATTGTATTCTAGACTCTGGACCCATCTAAGCCCCAGCCATAAACATCCATTCATACTTCTGAAATATAAATTATCATGATAACCTTACTCTAAAATATCCAACAATAAATACACATCCAAGAAGAAACCTCGACTTCACAATCCCAAAATCCCAAGATGGAAGATAACCCACCATCATATTCCGGTCCCGGAATCCAACCCACAACCCAACATCCTCCAATACCTGAGTCCGAATCACCATGTCGTCATAACTAGTATATACACATCATCTCTTCCTAGTTCAAGTACTACCACTACAATCACAACACTACACCACTGGCCACCACATCAATCACTCCTAAACACTCTCCTACTACCCCTAGTCTCTCAAGTATTAAAGACTTCCAGGAACTAGGAATATTCCTATTTTCCTATCTCAGTCTAACAGATATAAATAGTCTACATAACTATCTCACATCACTGATGTCCCATAATCACCCACCTCACAAACCTATCCTCACCATCCTCACCATCCTCACCCTCCTCACCCCTCATCCCTCATACCCCTCCCAAAAACTCACCCAGTAAACTTCTACTCCATCCCAATATGGAGCAAACATCCCTGCTCTTGTTCTCCCCTCCTCCTCCTTCCCCCATTCTTCCCATTCATATCCCAACAAAACCACAACCACAACCAACACTCTACATCCCCTATGGAAATTAACAAAGCTAAATAACATCTATACTCAAAAAAAAGGGATACTGGGAAATACACCTAATAGATGCTATTAAGGATGGGATGTATATATGCGGAGTGCTGGGAAGGATTTAGTTTTGTTTGTAAAAGGGGTTGAAGAGGAAAAGTTTGAGGGGGAGGAAGGTGAGGTTTTAGGGGTAAGAGGGTTGGGATGGGGTGGGATGGGGTGGGATTTGTTTTAGAAAGGGGGTGAGGGTTGGTGTTGGGGGGCGAGGGATGAGGACTCTGTTCAGAGTTGCTTGATAGTTTACGCTGAGAGAATTCTGAAATTGTAAATCCTCCACGCAAATCTTTCCACAATAAAAATCACAGAAATACACAAGTAAAAGATAAACATCTCAAAATACCTCACTAAAGCAACTATTTAACTCGCATATTAAACTCACATAAACTACCTAAACCCACCCATATATAAATACACAACATAGTATAACGAGTTAAATATAAACAACATTCCCCATTCCCATTCAAATAACAGAGAAATCTAATAAAATACAAGACTTAATTACCAAAAGTTCTTCTAGAGAAACTTGATTGAAGATAGGGAAAGAAAAATGAATGGAATGTCCGAAGAAATTTTAGAGGTATAAATAAAAGATATTGTGGAAATTTATCCTCAAGGATCATCTAAATAGTATTGAGATAAGATATTAAAACAAGGAATCGAAAAACTGCTTAATAGATATCCAGCTATTTATTGTAGTCGCACTCGCGCTATCGGAATAATGAATACAATGAAGCTGAGCGAGCCACTTGGTAAAAAAAGCTGTATATACCAGCGTCAAAAGTGTCATACAATTAGATAATTAGAGGAAAAGTATTACAGCCAGCCACCTACCTTTCAAGTACATTGTACCCGTAACCTAACCTAACCATCGAATAAATATAATCTCAAGATCTTAGGTACGTTGAGATATCAATGAAATACAAATGAGCCCGGCCACTCTAAACTCTAATTATAATTCCCGTGGCCAACAGTGAGCACACACGCCTCTTAAATAAAATCCTGAATGACGGACGTATTCTACCTATTCGTGCTGTCTACTAACACTTCTTCTACTCATGCCAAGATTTTGTAACTCCATGGCCTCACCTAATCCACCACTTCTTCCTTCTCCCTTCCAACTCTCTTTCCTCCTGGCGGGACCACCGGTTTGAAATTCACCTCGCTCGGCTCGTCCTTCATCACCATCACCTTCGGTTTCTACTATCCTTTTTCCATTTCCGCTGCTCTCATCCGAAGTATTACCCACTAGCATACCCTCACCAACAACATCTGTACTAGTTGAGAGCCCCTCCTCTTCAATCTCTTCCCCATGATTACCCCCTACGCTAATCATCGTAAAAGGACTTGCTGTCGCCCCGTCCAGTGCTCCCAATTCCTCTTTCGTGAACCACCTTGGTAGCATCCATATCCTAACCGGAATCAACGCCAGAATAATTACTGGGAATCCCACCGCCGCGATTGTCTGTGTGATAGCAAACGTGGCACCAAAACCAAAGAGTTGAATTGCTACGAATATCCAGATGGCAGATCTTCGGGGAAGATGCCGTAAGGGCTCGGAAGAAGGGGTTAGCGAGGAATCTTTGAGAAGGAAGAGAATTTTAGTAGTCATTCCATTGCCGAGAAGAGCTTGAATACCCATGACGAAGAAGAGACCCGCCAAGACACCCTGAGGGATGAGGTGAATGACTATAAGTAGAGGACCAGTCATAGTCCCTAGGGTTAATAGACCTTGGGCTAGATTGCTGACTCGTTGTTCAACGACGTGGGATGTAACTGACTTGAGATGACCCTTCGAATCTCCCGATTCATCGGTATCAGCAACAAGTTTAGTAACGCAAAGAGACTCGGTGTGGAATGGGGCTTGTGGAATGAGACCGTTCGGAAAAGGGATTCCCAGCAGGCCGGCAATACCAGTTGTGAATCCGAGGAGGAAAATATCCCAATGGAAACCAGCAGGCTTTCGGAGGGGGTATTCAGTTCCTTGGGCTATCAAAGAAGATACTATGCTCCATTAGTGACTGTATATCTGTACAGAAATGGAAGAGCTATGATTTACCATTATGATCGAAATAAAATAAGATTGTTAGCAAAATAGCAAATGGTATGGCAATAAATACATCTGAAACTCTAACATCCCAAAAATGGACAAACCATCCTCTATCAATTGTTGGAAAGAAAGCTTTACTTGTAGGTAGTGTAGTCAAATGTACTTCTCTCATTTTACCAATGTGTACAAACCCAGTGAAAAAAATGATAGTGAGAGGTGTGCCGTAATCTTTTATAAAAACTCGAACATAATGCCGGAATAATGGACTATCCCCAACAACACCGCACAAAAATGCAACGGCGGTGACTAGTAATGCGATAACGATAGAAAGGTAAAATGGTTCATCTGAGCCTTGACGAGTCAGGACCTGGATACCTTTCTGGAGGTAAATAAATGCTACATAAAATCCAAAAATATCGCAAGAGAAACGAGTGACATAACGAAGTAAGTTGCATGAGTTGGTAATGGCGAGTATCCAATGCATTAATAGAGACCATCTGCTTTAGTCAGTTTTTTCTTTTCAAAATTTTAATAATTGGAGAGTATGTCCTATACATACAATCCAATTAATGCCATAAATGCAAAAAAGTTTGCCCCTGTAGGAACAATAATATCGTAAACAGTACTATTCATATTAGCAGCGAATATGACTTTCACATCACCAAACGTACTAATTGAAAACAGTGATTGGTCCTGTAACTCCTACAATGACCAGTGGTTGAGCGGCAAATACTGCAAAAACCACTGATCCTAGGACCGAAGCAAGGAGGACTTCATTCACTCCGTAACTCATATTCGTCTTTGTAAACCTGTATTTAATCAGAAACTTTTCCTCATATATGTTTGAAAAGAGACTTACATATCCAAAGAAAAAGCTAATGCAGGCAAAATACTGTCATGCAATTAGCTCTTGTGCCCTAAATCCATTTCCACGACTTCCCTTCTCACCACAAGAAAGATTGGCCTCCAAATGAAATGCAACGCACTTTGCAAAATACATATAAATCGTAGCCGGCACAACTCTATAATCCCAAGCATCCGTCCAATCACTCCAGTAAAATGGCGCCCTCCTCTTTACATCATTAATCATGCCTTTAAACCATCTAATTTTATACCATTTCGGGATATGTCTGCTTCTCGTGGAAGCATTTGTGTTCGCTGTCTGCAAACCACTATGCTCATTCATTGCCTCGGTATTATGTGATGTAGGGTTTGTATCACTGGTAACTAACGAATTGAAGCGATTGCGCCAGGTTTTTGCTGCAGAGACATTTTGCGGAGCTCGAGTGGAATTAGAGGTGGCGTTGTGAGGCAAAGGATTGGGGAGCGAATAAGGATTGGAAGATTGAGTCGCCATTAGATGATAATATCGCTGAGGTTAAAGATTTGAGAGTAATAATTGAGGCATCACAATGTCTCTATGAAAGAGGGAGGGATGTCGAGGAGAGCAAGCTGTAGAAAGGTCAGTTGTCGAATTATTTATATTTGTATTTGTATTTGTCTTTTAGGAGGGTGGTCAAGTTGGGAATAAAATTGATGCGTATCCACCCACTTCTTGGCATATTGTGGGGTAACTTAACTTCGGATTGACGCCCAATGACAACATTCTGAAGATTGGATGAAAAAGATCCTGACTCGGCTGCTCACTATAAGCCCGCCAATCATATGCTGCCTATATACGGAGTAGAATGATTTCGATATTCGAGTCAGAAAAATGATGACTCAGAGGAATGATTATCTTGTCATACATTCCAACGTCAATATTCTTGTGTTAAGGTTTGATGAAGCTCTGTGTGTGCTGTCAAATAAATAACGAATTGATGTGTTTGTAAACCTTTTCACCACATATTTTCGCTAAATAGGAGAATATTTCGGCCTAAATGTAACAAACGCTGCTTGAACATTCATAAGTTTTATATGAGCAATTGCCATGTTGACTAGGGTATCTTCATAAATGTGGTTGCCTCGTCAATAAAAGAATAAACATCACATCCGTCTCGTAAAACTTATCGTCCAGAGAGGACTGCTCTCTTCGCTGCATCTTCCTTTACCCATGTCTCAATCCTTTCACCTACATCTCCAACCAAGCTTTCATATTGTGGCCCTGGAAAAAAAAGACCACAATGTGCCCCAATTTCATCTACCCCTTCCATATAAATTCGGGTCCAGCAGGCATCCTCCTGTCCTCCAGACTCCGGAGGCAGCATACAAAACTTCTTGTCCTTTTTTGGCTTCTCTATCTTCTGCTCCGCCTTCGGGGCGTTCTCTTTCCCTTTGGGGGATTTGGAATTCAATGTGGCCTGTCGCTTTTCCTCTCCTCTTTCTTCCTTTAATCTTTGCTTGTCTTGAGCTTTCAATTGTTTCTCCTGATCTTTTCGTGCTTTCTTTTCTCTTTTCTCCATCAATTTGCGACGATCTTTGAGAGCACTTTCTCGATCCTTCAAGGCTTGACTGTAAGCCTTCACAATGCGTTTGTGTTCTTTTTCTGCGACTTTCCGAGAGTCTTTGTCTGTATAAAGATCAAGGTTCATTGGTTGTGGTTCTGTGGGCGTATCGGGAATAGGAGGGAGGGGAGGTTCGGTGGGTGCTTTTTGTGTAGTAGTATCTGAGTTCTCTGTTTCCTCTCCATGTGGTAGACCTGCTATAGGTAGTGGTTCGTCTTCTTCAATGGGAATTGAATCAACCTGTCGCAATTCTGGTGATCGTGGAGCATCTTCCTGAACTCCTGAACTGTCACCTAACTCTTGCATCTGTTCCTCAACCTGCTGCATATGTATACCGTTGGCTGAATCAAGGTTAGTATCCGTCATAGTTTGATTCTCCTCTGATGTTGAGGCCTGAGTTTCGGAATGATCTAGGCTCAAATTACTCATTCCTGCCTCCAACGCAACGTTATCATGAAGGGATTCTTCAACGGCAGAATTTCGTGGCTTCTTGGGCCGACCAGTACTTGCAGTGTAATAATTGATGAATCTTCTCCGGGATTTTTGGTTTTGATTGACAAAATTGCTTCCCCCAGCAAGTTCATCAACATCTTCCAAAGCACGTATTTTGGAATAACGATTCATCAAGCCAGGATAATCTGCAAGACAACTACCAAACTCCAGATGCGATACAAAATACTGTGACGTTGCAGAAGTCAAACCACCTAACTTTGCTGTTATCCCAACACCCTCAGCATGCTTGTTAACGAAATGTAAGAAGTTGTCAAATCCTTTTCGCTCTGGTATTCTGATATCGTTGAAGAAAGGGGCATTGTAATATTTATCGTTTGATGGTAGCGTAGCTAGAGATGTCATGCTTTGCCCATCAATTTCTTGATACATAGTATTCGAGCCTGAGAGTGCGTCTGTGAGGCTTGCTGTAGATGCGAGGCCGTTTATCGACGGCGAACTTGCCCCGGTGGGCGATAATGACCCTGTTCTTGAGCTTGGAGGATCTGGCGCTGGTCTAAAAAGACTTCCAATTCCACTGAGCACAACTCCAGGATGCATACCTAGAAATGGAGTATCAAAGCTAACTGTTCCCAATATCCTATGGCGAAAGGGACGATTTGCTGGAGGAGATGGAGGTTGGAGGACGACCTCCGAAGATAGAATCCCTCCCATACTATGGCCTAGTAGAATAATGTCGGTCAAAGAATCTTCATGGGGCTCCAGCCTGGCACCATCTTTAGCTGGTAATGAGTGATGATGGTAGGGGAGGGGCTTACCAATTGCTAAAATCATCCCGAGCAAAGTTGATGGCTTTTCTGGACTTATATCTAGGATAAATTTTTGTATGGATAATATGCGTTGCTTGGAGCGTGATCGTTAGAAGATTGTGAACGTGAGCAGGAAAACTTTGGAAACTGGTTTCGTTGCCCAGGAAGCCATGAATATAAATGAGTAACAGTTTACGACGGCCATCTCGATTAGATTCTGAAGGAACCAAAGAATGTGTAGAAGATGATCTTGGGTCATTTGAATGCCATTGCTTTGAGATTAATTCGTTCCTCTTCGCATCATCATCTGTGTATGGTGGAGGGGCCTGGACAGACTCTCCTCGTGGTGGTAGCGGGGGCGGGGTATGATGATACCTTATTGTCGGAGCTTCTGGACGATCCTGTCGAGCCTTTTCCTCTAATTGAGCAGGAGTAGCCATGGCTTGTTTTGATTTTCTCAGTTTTGATCTGATTAGAAGTGTTCACGAATTAGATACGAAACAACGTATCATTGATGTTTTGATTTCATGCAGATGCAGCTTTCAATAAATTCAAGGTTCCGTCAGGGGTCGTGCGATAATTCTAACCCGTGATGCGAAAGGATGTATTTATGCGCAACGAATGAATGTGATGCATTTTCACTCTGTAGCTAGACAATTCCACAAATAATTATATTAAAACAACATTCCTGATGTTTGTTATGTACCGTATTAGTTGATAATGGTGTTTCGAATATTCCTCCTGTTGACTTTCATAAGAACGCCCCCAGTAAAAGTATGTTGGGATCTGATGTCCTGGCCAATCAGCTATGAATAGAAAGCATGAGATGGGAAGCTGATTCCGTACTCCGTTACTGAGGACATCGTTCAAAATACTTGAGGTATCCACTAATAGGAATAAGATGCGAATCGAATCGCTCCCAATCCGCTGGGCTCGTTGGTGTGGCTGGGTTGGCTGGGCAAGTCGTACTCCGTGAATTATAACCGCCGCATCAAAGCTCTACCTAACACTTACTAATGCAAGCCAATTATGGCTCATGGCGAGATCTTTGAGAAAAATTGATCTTGCCAATCTTAAATGGTGAACCACAAGTCAGGTACGAGTTGCACTAAACTAAAACTAACTAAAACTAACTAAGTGATCCGTTCTTGCAGTAAACTACTTGCAGTAGTAGGTGCTTAGGTAGTCCTAGGAAGGTAGTCCTAGGTACAGAGTAATTCTTACTTGAAGCAAAGTTACCTACCTACTGGAAAGAGTTACTCGAAGGTTTACTAGTACTTGGGGGATCCTGTGAACATATATCTGATCCCACCTGTTTATGAACAAACCCAAGAAAATTGCTCGGAACATTATTCTTTGTTTTCACTGTACCTAAACCCCCTTCCCTTCCATTTCATTTAATTAAGACGATTGATTCTTGGATATTTCGGTAGCGATGAGTGATCATAATATGACCTATATCTCGGGAATTCAGGAGAAACCCGTACATACAGTAATGCTCATCCTAATGTTACAGAAAGACACTTGTTGAGTTTCCATGGCCGCGTCCCATCGAATTTGCCCAGATGTGATGAGCAAAAACGATGATGTGATTGTCTCTCTTTTCATGCAGTAGAGAACATCTAGTTTCTAGTACCTACCCACATAAAAGGGGCACGTCCTACTTAGGTAGGTAGATAATTAGCATAGCGAGATATATTCTTTGCAGCAACTCCACAAGTTGACGATCAATGTATTTGAATTAAATCCTCAGGAGTCTCGACGACTGTCGACTTTGCTATTTTAAGTAATAGGGATAATGGATAGTCCGGTTACTAGGTCGGTCACCTATTTACTAGTCATCAATTCAAAGTAACACAGTGTTAACAAGTCATCAATCTCGTCCACAGTTCCTTACTATGTAGGTAGGTATTCGCCCTCACCCTCATCCTCATCCTCATCCTATACAGCGCATTCCATATCTAGATCATTTGAAGTATTGACGGGACGAAAAGGAACGGCCCAGAGACAAAATACGTTTCCCTCCATCTCCGTTCTCCATGCCATGCAGTCATGCTTTATCCTTGAAGCCTCGTGCTTATTCGATAACTGCCATGTTAAATTAATTTTCTTCTCATGCCGTTATTGGCCAATTGATTGATACATCCACTTTTAATCCTTGTCGATAAATTTCTATAAAGTGAAATAATTCGTCAGTCCTGACTATTCACGAACCTCTAAAAGGAACCAAAAAAGGCATCTGGTAACTCTAGCGAAATTTGTTCTTGGCCCGTGTTAATCAAAACTAACCAAAAATTGATCTGTTGTACCTGAGCGAAATGCTGTGTGATCCTGCGAATTATCAATAATCACTTTTTATTTTCACCCCCCAAACCCCAAACCCAACCTTCACGAAAACGAACATCCAAAAACCCTCTTTTTCCGCAACGGCAATGAGGGCGACGAAGGAGTTGTAAATATTACGTCCCAAGTTGGCGAAAGTCACTCTTTTGAATTATCAGGTACCCGTGGAGCGCTGTAGACGCAGCTGCAACAAAAAGGGCGCGCCATGAACGACGCTGAGCCATCACTCTTTCTGGCCAGACACGAGTATGCATACGGGCAATCTCACCACAATCATTTAAAACAGCATCAAAAATTACACAAACGACAAACGACGGTAGTTGAAACGGCAACAGCTGAGGCCTCCGCCATTACAGAAGTCATTCAAACGATATCCGTGGTCCAACAGGTTGATGTCGATGCCGATGGATCGACCATTGCGGTCCAGACCCGTCCAGCGACCGACTACTCGTCTTTGACACTACAAGCTGCAACAACAACTACTGCGACCTCTTCGAAAAAAGAAAATTCTTCTGCTGTCTCTACAGTTCTTGGAGCTCAACCTACATCATCGGGCCAAGTCATCCTATCGTTATCGTCGAGCACTGATGTGACTTCGACTTCCACTCCTTCTACTAGCTTTTCTACGCTCATTCCTAATTCTAATTCAACTACATGTAAGCTAACCTAAGTCTTCACGCAAACAATAAATTAATGGTATGGTATTAGTAATTTCTAGCTCATTTCCAAATTCGACCCCAGGCCCAGTATCAATCTCGCTTTCAGGCTCAACGTCAAGCTCGACAACGTTATTTTCCAATGCAACCGCTTCCCCTTCAATCTCCTCCTCATCATCCACAGCTAATACTACCAAACTTTCTTTTACTGATTCGACTTCGACATCCTCATTCGCAACCTTTACATCGACGACAACACCTTCCTTCTTGTCATCACCTGTATTTCTTTCTTCGGCTGCATCGTCGACAACCTTCAGCTCGACCACGCCCTTGTCTTCGTCCTTGTCTTCGTCCCCGTTTTCGTCCTCATTCTCGTCATCTCAAACAGATTCGACTAGCAGTAGCGCTTATGTCGGTGGAGGTACCGAAACTAGTTCGGCATCCGGGAGTAGCAGTGCTACAGGGGCTGCGGTTGGTGGGAGCGGTGGGGATGGCAATGGGACAGCTGAAAGTTCGACACCATCTACATCCACGATAGTTGGGGGTGTAGTTGGTGGGATAGCTGGGCTCGCTGCACTTCTCTTTATTTTGATGTTTGTGTTGAGATGGAAGAAGAAGAATGGCGGGATGTTATCAATTGGAAGTGTACCTCCTTCGACGGTCGCCGGTGGTGGAAGGGGTGCAGGAGTTGGCGGGAATGACGGTAGTGGTTCTGCAGGTCAATCCCAAGGTTTTTCTAATCAAGCTCCTCGTAGCATGACGGAGCGCAGATCACTCGCTATGGCCGTGCCTGCAGCGCTGGCCAGCCTCTCGAAATCTAAGCGATCATCTCAAAACACAGCCACTAATACAGTTTCATCAGCAGGAAGTGAAAGAGGCTTCTATAGGGTATCTGGTAAGAAGCTTCCATCTGTCTTACAACATGGAGGTGACGGATTCGGTGAACCAAATTCAAATACGATGAGCGGATCATCGTTTTACCCCTCTGGTGTACCTGCCATCCCTATCTCGAACACTTTAAGTGGCACCTCATTCTACCGAGATTCTCAGGGATTCTATGGAGGACAGCCAAGCCCACCTCTCGAACCCCCAAATAGAGACTCTGGAGTCCCGGTCATGAGGCCAAGCCCGGCAAGAACCCCGATTACGGAACATGGCCCTTTTACAGAGCCACCTGGGCCTATACCCCCGAGGCCGGATCTTCTGGGTCGTTCACTTCCCTCACAAGATGGTTCCCACGCCTCAAGATTTACAGAAGAAGTCTGAAATAAGACACCTCTGAGATTGTACAGGATTTTGGTTGGAGGATAGCCGGCATTGATATATGTGAAGCTCTTTTTGCTTTTCCGTAGTTATTGTGGGGATCCCGCCTTGGATTGGACCTGCTTAGGGCTGTCCTTGGATATTTAATGCACCTCTGCATTTGGGTTTGGCGTTTTTGTCCTGATATGTAGGACTTTTGATACCAGTGAGCGCTTGAGGATTTATCTGATTCGCTTCTTATGTTACGACGCCTCTCGGCAACAATCAGGAGGGAATAGTGGATTTAGGATAGCCATTTCTCCTGGGATCGGTATTAAACTGATACCTGTTCTTTTTCTCGTGGTAAATTTAATGATCTTGTTGGATAATATAGGCGCCACTTTGTAGCATCAGACGAATGGCTAGGATATAAGATCAGAGAGGGTGGGATAAAAGATAATGTCTTTCTATGTATGAAACTCAACGTGCCAATTGGAGCTTAAGTGCATCGTGCCTGACAAGTTTCTGAAGCCAACTCGGGTTGTACAACAAACACCAGAGTGGCTGTGTATGTATGATGCTGCCTGCAGTGATATGTATGTAGCCTCTCGAGTCCAAGCGAAAGATGCTCGATGTAGGAAGTTCTGGGTTGGGCCTGTAGAATTTCTTCTCTCGTTTCAGCAGTGTAACAGGTCATCTTCGAGAGAACTCATTGGTCCATATTAACAGTACACAAGATCTACATTGGCCGATGGCGTCTAGACTTGTTACCCGTAGTATCGGAATTGAAGAGTTGTGCTCGAGAAGTAAAATGAAGATTGAAGATATCGGATCAATATGGCCATGTGATGAAAGCCCTTGGGTAGGTAATATATTACAACTTGAATGTAGGACGTAGGACAAGAGAAAGGATAGGCCCAAAGATCAGAAGCCATCGAAGATTTATTGGTTTCGTGTACCCCGTATTATTATACGATGATCTATCTACCTGATGATGTACATCGATATCGGTGATACCTTTAACCAATCATTGTTGTACTGTACTGTACTTAGAATATTCCCAGGACAGCTGATTTGGAGCTCTTTTTACCATCTCTGGTAGATGAATCATACCTGGTCTACCTACATTAGGTATCTCAAAATACGCTAGGTATTGTTGATTAGTCAGATTGTAAAATGCCGAGGTGGTGTTGTGTGTGATGGGATTAGTGATGACAAACTCCTCTGATTCCAGATGGCGAGACAATGCTGTTCTTTTTCTATTGGTCCTTTACACATTTCTATTTGTCCTTCGTCGTCTTATTAATATTTGATCATGCCGGCTACAGCTCCAAAAAGCTTAGACATCAATTGATTTACCTGGTTAGTATTTATAGGTACCTTCTAGAAGGCTAAGCTTAACTCCTCCGCCGAAGACGACCCCTCAACCATCGGTAGACACATACGCTATCATCTCCATCTTATTCAATTCACATTCGCTGACTCCTTTAATTCTTTGTTCAATAAACCACCAAATATCATCCCAGCATATAATCCCTTTTAATCGTCATCAGCCTGTGCCTTCAGTATCCACAAGCAGCCACTCGGTCATAGAGAAATCTCGACACCCAATAATACATAAACCCAGACCCTGAAATTAGTACATTCTGCAGCTACGGAGTAAGCCAAGTTCCGCAACTGCTACAGAAGCCGTACGAATACGAAATAAATTTCTACCTGGGTGATTCGGCGCCCAGCTTACGACTTTTAATCACTTACGACTTTTAATCACTTGCGCCTTCGTCAAATCCAGTTATTCTACTATGCGATGATCAACGAAGATGGATTCTATGACCCATGACAATAATACTTTTATGCCCCAGATATCGGTGCCCCCCTTGATGAACCCCCCGCCTCAAATATTCGGGGCTTACAATGCAGAAGGTTTACCGATATCTTCTAAAATACCAGATTTGACGGGTCCGCTTTTCAGTGATGGAACCCTTCTCGATGAAAGCAATGAGGCGAAGCGGAGGAGGATAGCGAGGGTTGGGCTCAAATTTCTGCGAAGGAATCTAGACAGGAAGCTGACGATGGCAGGCTTGTGACATGTGCCGGAAGAAGAAGATCAAGTGCGATGGGAAGTTACCGGCTTGTACGCATTGCATCAACTATAAAACGGAATGTATTTTTACACAGGTCGAGAAGAAGAGAAACCCGCCAAAAGGGTGAGAAATCTAGGTGGACGAGCATTTATTTCGGCCGCTGATTTTTGAGTAGTGCGAAATATATCGAGGGCCTCGAGAATCGTCTAGGTCGCATGGAAAGTTTGTTAAAGTTATCTGGTTTGTCCCATCAATTCAGGCATATTCAGATGTTCAATGATTGACGGATAGTATTTAAGGTCTCCTTAGCGAAGAAGATGGTGGGCGAACGGACTTGGGTACGTTGGAGAAAATATTACAGGAAAAGAACCTTTCACGCAGAGCGTCTGCTGCCCCTGGTTCAATTGCAACTTCGCCAGTGCAAAGTACTCCAGGTGGCCCCGTTGATGTAAATGGTTCGACCCCTCGGAGTACCATAGCATCCCCAGAACCAACCAGAGTCTCCGAGAAGCGTAATAGTAAAGACGGTCGAAATGGGGTGGGCGAGAAAAAAGAGGAGCCAGTAGAGGCGCTTTCAGATATGATGTGCTCCTTAGTCACAAATAACTGCGGAGAAACTCGATATATAGGTATGAAATGTTGCTGGATGAGAAGGACTTTGCTGACAAATTTAGGATCATCTTCTGGATTCTCCATATTCTCGCCTAAAGGTATCTCATGGGTCAACGAGAAGACAGGCGACTCATCGTTTCAGGAAATGATTTCATCCGCTTCTGTGGACGACAATAAGATGATGTATTGGAAAACAGAAGTTTTCTCGGATTTGTTTGCACGTCCGGTATGGAGGCGACTCCCTCCTAAAAACGAGTGCGTGTCTTTACTCAAGGACTTTTTCGAGAATTTTAACTGCATGTTTCCCCTTTTCCACCAACCTACGTTCATGCATCTAGTCGATCGACAATATTCTAGTGACCCCTATGAAGGCTCCGGGTGGTGGGCAAGTCTCAACTGTGCACTGGCCATCGCTCATCGTCTTCGTGTTATGAGCCATCTCGTGCCACAGGAGGAAGATTCAAAAGCTTGGGGCTACCTTAAAAATGCCATGGGTGTTTTCACCGAGCTCACCATGCGGAACACTGACTTACTCAGTGTACAAGCATTGTTGGGAATGGCTTTGTTTATGCAGGGTACGCCTAATCCCCAGCCTTCGTTCTTTCTTGTAGCAGCCGCTATTCGTCTTTCACACAGCATTGGGCTGCACAAACGCGGGTCTGGCTTCAACCTCAATCCGGTGGAGATTGAGCAACGCAAACGTGTATTCTGGATAGCATACATGCTAGACAAAGACATCTGTCTGCGCTCAGGGAGACCTCCTGCACAGGACGACGATGATATGAATGTCGAACTACCTAGTGCCGACCCTGAAGATAACATTGGTAATATTCCTCTCGCCGATGGGAAGGGAAAAGTTAACCTCTTCCGCTTAATGTGTGAATTTTCAACCATCGAGAGCAAGGTATACAAGCAGCTTTATTCGACTAAAGCTTCAAAACAATCTGATGGGGAACTTCTAAACACCATAGGGGAGCTCGATTCTCAACTCGAAGAATGGAAAGATAGTATCCCAGTCGACTTCCGTCCAGAGCACGAAATCAAGGCTTCACATACTCCACTAATTCTTCACGTTGTCGTGCTTCATTTCGCCTACTATAATTGCCTCACTACAATTCATCGAATGTCTGTTCACCACGGATACTGGACCAGCCGTCTTTCTAACTATGCCATCCAAGGACTGAATGCTAGGCCTCTAAATCCACGTGTTTTTTCTTCGGCCGCATTGTGTGTGTCTGCTGCTCGCGCTTCCATACATCTCATCAAATATGTACCTCAAGGCGACTTTGCTTGTGTCTGGTAAGTCAGAGTTGCACGTTACCCCAATTAAAAGCTAAACATATTTAGGCTTATTCTATATTTCCCCGTTTCTGCCCTTGTGACCCTCTTCGGCAATATTTTGCAAAATCCTCAAGATCCTCGGGCACGTTCCGACGTGCGTCTTATGAACCTTGTTGTTAACTTTCTTTCTATGTTGGGCACCGAGGAAGAAAATGGGGGTGTAAAACGTATGCTGGGGGTCTGCTCAGAGTTTGAGAGAATAGCCAAAGTTGTTTTGGACAAAGCAGAAAAGGAAACATCTACGAGGAGAAAGCGCAAGAGTCATGATGATTCGGGTAAATCATCGCATGTACCCAGGACTGGCCCACCACAGACTCCCATGAGCCGTGCTCCTAATTCCATGCCTGGACCGTTTTCTCCTAACTCGACGAACCCTGTGAATCTACAGAACGGCTTTAGTCCTCTGCAAGATGCTTCTCCGAGCTCAAACTGGCAACCAGATTTCGGTGCTTCTGGAAGCGATTTCATGGGACAAAATACTGCGACACCGTTTGGAAGTGTTCAAGGTTTTACAAATGAAAATGAGTTCAACTCCCCACTAAATCCAAATGCTTTCCAACAACCTTTTGTCCCTCAGGATCTCTGGCAGATGCCAATGACGCTGGAGTGGGACTGGGCAGAGATGACGGGAGGCGTGTACCAAAGCTTTGAGAATGGTATCATGGGTGACCCTAATCTTCATATGAATAATAATGCACATCTACAAAATCAAGGTGGGGGCTTGTAAGCTATGATTTGGCGTTCTCATGGGGGAGGAAAATTTGGAGGTAAAGGTGTTTAATTATATTGGGCATGTGAAGGGTTGGGAGAGGCACAGATTATGGACTCATAAAGCAGTTGCTCTCATGGTGATTATGGCGTCTCTCAAGGAGACTCATCTAGCTTGGAGACAAATAACTTTTGTTTTCCAAAATTTCAGTGGGAAGGTGTAAACTTGGTACTCTCCTCCGATTATGTTGTGGCTTTCAATATGCCCAACCAATGTATTAATGACTTACTATGGAACATTATCACAAGATGTACAATAATTTAAATTACAATATTATGGTGGAATGGTAGAAATCAAAATAATAAGTTCAATGTTATTTATGAATTGAATTAGGAAACAGGTCCGAGGTTCCAGATTGAATATATTTTGAGTTTCGATACCAAAGCTGCGCTAGTGTTGTAATCAATCAAGCTTAATCGAGGCATCATCATTATATATATGATTTGCCTCCCGCCTCTAATTTCGTCAACCACGAATCACTTCGAACATACTCTTAAATTCTCTCACATAGTGGTTAAAGTCACGGCAAGTCATCCTTAGTGACTTCAGACCACATTTATCTCCTAATTACGACACGAACAGCTCTAGCCAAGCATGACATCGATATTACGGCAATGCAGCTCTCTTGCTAGAATTTCTCAAACCACCATCCAATCTGCCGCACGAAATTCTCTCCGTACATCATCGACTACACCTTTATTACGGTCGCGGATAGCTGCACAAAGGGCGCGCACATTCGTAACCAAGCCACCAAAGCCAGACAAGGACACGGAGAAGGATGAGTCGGAGGTAGAGTCGAGAAAACAAAAATCGTCGGAGCCACCCAGCAAACCCGCCCCTGGGACGGAAAACCTCTATGATGGGAAAACGCCCTTATCTCCCTCGGAGAATAGCGCGAAGCCAAACGAGGAGCCGCCGCTGGTGGAAGGCTATGTGAGATTGACGGATGAGGAGATACAGCAACTAGAGCAAATAATTGCTTCTATGCAATTTGGCAAAGGCCAGACTCAGGAATTGAGGAGATCTCTGCAGGCGATACAAAAGTCAGGGGTGCCATCCGAACTGAGAGACTTGATGCAAGAGGTGAAGGGTAGACCGATGACTTTGTCGGAGGCTGGAAAATTTACAAAACTGGTGTTGCAAATGGCGTGGGCCGCTGCCAAGGTCCAGTCACAAGGAACAAATTTCAATTCAAACGAACCAAGATCTTCTGCGGATAGTAATAAAGGCGGCCAGGGGCGAGATCAGGGTAGCAAGCAGGGCAACAAGAAGGGCAACCAGCAGGAAGGGTTCAATTTTGGCAACCCATCGGACATGAAGCTTGATACCACAACCTTATTGATTGGGTCTTTTGCAACGTACTTCTTATGGCAGACACTCTTCCCAGGCACTAACAAGAAGGACATTACCTTCCAGGAATTCCGAAACAATTTCCTTGATAAGGGGTTGGTTAAGAGATTGACTGTGGTTAACAAGCAGGAGGTTCGAGTTGACCTCCACACTGAAGCGGCAGCAGCAATGTATCCCGATTCACCAGCCAGTAATCCCAACTTCCATTACTATTTCTCCATAGGTTCTCCGGAAGGGTTTGAGCAGCGAATGGAGCAAGCACAAGATGATCTAGGAATACCTGTTTCGGAAAGGATACCAATTGGTTACGCAAGTGATGGGGATACATGGGCTCTTATCTATTCTTTTGGTCCTACACTCTTATTCATTGGTGCTATTTTCTACATGTCAAGACGAGCTTCAGCAGGTGCTGGAGGTCAAAGTGGCATTTTTGGAATGGGAAAGAGTCGAGCAAAGCAGTTCAATCACGAGACTGATGTAAAGGTAAAGTTTAAGGATGTCGCCGGTATGGATGAAGCGAAGCTAGAGATTATGGAGTTCGTCTCTTTCCTAAAGACACCAGAGCAGTTTCAACGTTTAGGTGCTAAAATTCCTCGCGGTGCTATTTTGTCTGGTCCACCAGGTACTGGTAAAACATTACTAGCAAAGGCAACAGCTGGTGAATCTCAAGTACCATTCTTTAGTGTCAGTGGTTCCGAGTTCGTGGAGATGTTCGTTGGTGTTGGAGCATCGAGAGTTCGGGACCTCTTCGCCATGGCAAGGAAAAGTACTCCATGTATCATATTCATTGACGAGATCGACGCTATTGGAAAGTCTCGTGGCAAGTCTGGCGGATTCTCCGGAGGCGGAAATGATGAACGGGAAGCTACACTCAATCAAATTCTGACTGAGATGGATGGTTTCAACACAACTGAGCAAATTGTTGTCCTCGCTGGTACCAACAGACCCGACGTACTTGACAAGGCTCTTATGCGGCCCGGTCGTTTTGACAGACACATCTCTATCGATAGGCCGACCATGGATGGTAGGAAGCAGATCTTCAAGGTTCACTTAGGCAAGATTGTCACTAATGAAAATATTGAATACCTGACTGGACGATTGTCTGCCTTAACTCCTGGGTTCTCCGGTGCTGACATTGCCAATTGTGTCAATGAAGCTGCTTTGATTGGTAGGTCGATCCCTCTTATATTTTTTTACCACTGCTAACGTAAATAGCTGCCCGAACAAAGGCCACCTCTGTCGCCATGATACATTTTGAACAAGCTATTGAGCGTGTGATTGGTGGTCTTGAGAAGAAGTCTCTTGTTCTATCACCCGAAGAGAAAAAGACAGTCGCCTACCACGAAGCCGGACATGCAATTTGTGGTTGGTACTTCAAGTGGGCTGATCCGCTTCTCAAGGTTTCGATCATCCCTCGTGGTCAAGGCGCCCTTGGATACGCACAATACCTTCCTGCTGGAGATACCTACCTCATGAACGTAAACCAACTTATGGACCGTATGGCTATGACCCTTGGTGGACGTGTATCTGAAGAACTCCACTTCGAAACTGTCACTAGTGGTGCTAGCGACGACTTCAACAAAGTTACTCGTATGGCTACTGCTATGGTAACCAAATGGGGCATGTCCAAAAAGCTCGGTCCTCTCCATTTCGAAACCGATAGAGAAAATCAGCTCATGAAACCTTTTGCCGAGTCCACAGCTCAAACTATCGATCAAGAGGTTCGACGCATTGTCGATGAAGCATATGACAAATGTAGAAATTTGCTGGTGGAGAAGAAGGCGGAGGTGGGAATCATTGCAGAGGAACTCTTAGCTAAGGAGGTTCTTGGTAGAGATGATATGGTGAGGTTGCTGGGACCCAGACCCTTTGATGAGAACAAGGATTTTCTTAAGTACTTTGGTGGAGGATCATTCGGAAAGAGTGCACCACCACCACCAGCCACTGAGAGTACAGATACGCCTACTGAGGATCCTAGTCCTCTTGCCTAAGGATAGCCATGGAGAATAAATCATTACAGGGAAGGAGAGTATTGGGGGATGACCAGAAGGACCAGGGATTTGTACAGGATGGTTCATCCATCAATAAACTATCCTATTTTACGGATAGTGCAAAGGAGTGACCTGGGGACGGAGAGTGGGGATATCAAAGCATACCTGACGAATAGGCGGGTAAAATGCAAGAAAGCTAAGATGAAGGCAAAAAACAACATCACTCCCCTACTCTTTTTTTGTGAAATAGCATTTTGTTGCGAGGATTTATTTAGATGGAATTGGCTGGAATCGGCTGAGATGAATCATGAATTGCATCTGCGCTTTTGAACGTTTTTTTTTGGGTGGGGGGAAGAGGGAAGGGGGAAGAGGTTGATATGAGATGAGGTGATATGAGATGTAATGGGATGAATTGAGGATAGTCGCTGTGTAGGTAGTGTATTATATATATTGTGTTACAATGAATATTATGGATTGTGTTGTACTCTTTGGTTCATCAGTTGTTGTATATTTATTATATATTGTGTATTATGTATTGCATATTATGTGAGAACTTGGGGGATTTAGTTGAGTGAGGAGGTGGGTTGTAAGATTTTATTAATGCTTAGAGTCTTGTATGTTTGTATATCCCTCCAGTCGAAATGAAATCCTATTCCATTCATTCCCTCGGATTGCTACCCCCATATCTCAATAGATTCAAAAGTTCGTATTTACCCCTCAGATCTATCCTCACTCGCCTTTCCGATTCCCACACATCATACAAGCGCCATGTGTACAATTCCCCCTATGCTTTCCGCCACTTATCCTAGAATTTTTCAGGAGATGGAGAGTATCGATTCCTACTTTTATGCCTTACTCCCCTTAACAGTACTAGTACTAGTACCCTTGCCTTTCTTCGAAACACTATGCTCACTTGATGAATATATTGACATACTCGTTCTCGAATAGGTGCGTGAACTTTCAATTAGCGTCTCGGATTTCAACTCTTCATGATGCGTCTTCTCCCATGCTTCTTGTTGTTCATTGCGGAATTGTCTAAAGAGACTTAAAGCATCACGACGATCTTGCTCATCATCTATAAATCCGTAATCGTGCATGAAGTCGTGGAAACCGTTGAGGTAGCCCAAGTCTATTAGCCATTGGATGTCTGATTTTGTATTGGGTGCGGGGGTTGGCTTCCGGGATGTCATGTTGTTTGGGGGAGTTGATGTTGTATATGGAGATATATGGGGATAGGTTGGATTTGTTTGGTTGATGGTTTGCCAACTAGTTGATGAGCTGTGCTTCTGGCCTTTTCTACATTTTCAGAGTTTCTGATGTGGATGTAGCTACTCAAAGCAGAGAAGGGGTTTGTCTTCTGGTTGAAGTTTGCTTACTAAGCATATTGGACAAAGAGCGATGATAGAAACATAGCTAGATGGAGGAATAAAGGGTAATCTCATAATCCACCTGTAATTCTTTTTGTTCCCTCCTAGTTTAAACAACAAAAGAAGCTCAAGTACGGACCCCGCCTCCAATGACATGATGTTGCTGATTTCTTTCCTTATATATATCCTATATTCACATAGTCAGATCAACTGAAAGTATTCAAAACTACCCAACAGTAGCATGATGGTAGTAGAACGATACAGGCCTACTAACAGCAATCTCCACTAATCTAGCCCCTTTTGATACCTCGTTAACGTGAAAGAGGTGATCTTCTTGTTAGGGCTGCAGATCTAAAATGCAGGCAGGTATCCGAAGTCTTTTATTGTACCACTCTAGTCTTATCTTGCAGCACTGCAGCAGGACTCAGGAGAGAGAGATTCATCCAGTGTGTTGGATATCGTGAATTATACTAAAGTAATGATAAGGTTCACCAGTTGATTGATTCTCAGGCCTAAATACCTGGTTCTGTCACACTTATAGTTCGTAACAGCTATATGTATACAATACATAGGATTTCAATGTTAAGTCAAAGACCTAAAACAATGGTAAATCTTGAAAAGGAGGATCATATTATGTATATATATGGATGTTTGCTTTCTTGTTTAATTACCTAAGCATTGTACTTTAAAGTTTAGTTGCAGACAAGCTAAAACCAATGTTGATTGGCTTAAAACTTTAAATCTAAACGAAGTGGCTTGGCTTGACCCCACCAGCCCCGAGCATGGAGCGACCTCTCCCAACTGTTCAAGAGAGCCTTATTATCAAACTTTCATCCTTTAACTTCCAAGGTTATTACTTTTTTCATTCATTTTGAAGATCGAGGTTGAATACTTGATTGTATTCAACACGAAAAATATCAACTTCTTCAAGATGGCTTCTGATAATTCTATGGTGACCATTGACAAGATCTATTTGGAGACTTTGCTGAGAAGGTACAGTGATCTACTTCTTTAACCCTGTACGAAATGTCTTAGCTGCGTGAAGCAATCATTAACCGTTTACCCCACAATAGAGCTCAATTCGTATGTCGATATCGATAGCTATTCGAGAGAAGGGATGAGGTTTCAAAGACTTATTGTTTATGTGTAGCATACTTCGGAGAATAGTGATGGTACTCCTTCCGACGACTCGGACAAGATCATAATCTTGAAGAAGGAACATGATGCGCTGGTAAGCAAGCATCCTATACATTGTGAATTTACATAAATCTTATCTAACACCCATATGCCAGATACAATCCGCTCGTGAATATGGTATGCTACCCGTTTATTACACAGAATATTTACTTTTCATGGATGCGAGAGACTAACTCAACACCACAGAGAACCTGCGACGCAACCTTTACAAAGGTGGTATTGTGGAGGAGACCCTGAATGTGAGTTTTTGGCAGCAACTTAATACCTACCTATTTCTGTTCTCTAATATCGTTTCTTCAGATCTTAATTAAGGACGACACGCTCGCTGATGAAAACGGTGGCTGTGAGAACGGAACATTGAATATTTCTGCGACACATGAAGATCATGATAACAGCACCGCCTTCATGACACAAATTCCTTCTCCGTCAACTCAAGACGCCTATGGCCACCAAGCTTATACATATGGTACACCACGGAATAGCAGCTCACTATTTCCACGTCGTTCTCAGGACTATAAAGGCTTCCAACCTCATAGCTTCCAGTATCAACAGTCCCCGAACCATTTGCATACGGATGGTTATGACGATCATCTTAATAGTCCAGATGGGATTGATACCTTCGATTTTGAGACTGGAGATAACTCACAGACCAGGTCTCAACGTCCAACTTATGAAAAATTTGCCCAACGTACCGTACTATTGTTCAATCTGCCGGATGGTACCACATATGCAGACATTTGTGATGCTGTTAGGGGAGGCATGCTGTTGGATATATACCTTCGTACTCATGATCATGCTGCGAGTGTATCTTTTCTTGAGCAAGCCCATGCAAATGAGTTCCTTCGTCATGTAAAGCGCAATGACTTGTATATTCGTTCAAAAAGAGTAGGTTTATCTAAATCTTTATCAGGACGCAGACAGTTGACGATAGCTAGGTCGATATTCGGTGGAGCGACAGACAATTCATTCTACCTAATCATATCGCGAATAAAGTAGGCACTGGAGCTACTAGAAACCTCATCATTCATAATTGCAGCCCTAAGCATACCGAGAAAGTTATTCGGGATGATCTCGAGCATATCCATAATCTCGTCATAATCAAGGTTGCATTCGATGGTTCCAACGCTTTTATCTCGACAAATTCTGTTCATAACGCAATGTTTGCTCGCACTTGCATGATGAGTCGTGGGTATGTTGGAATTCAACTACCACTTTGGAGCTCGCTAATTCTTCTCTAGCACTTATAAAAGTTCAAAGATTGAATGGGATAATGATGAATGTGCAGCCCCACTGGCGAGACGTCCAACTTCCCAATCCGACAATCCTCCTCACAGCAAGAAGAAGGCTCCTTTGGTAAATCGGTTTCAGATTCTCAATATTGATAGGGAGGATGGATCGGAGTCAGATACTGAAGGTATGGGCGTTTCGGTTATGCGGGCGACTCCTCAAGCCGGACTTGTTACCTAAAATGGTTGATGATACGGAATAATGAGCGAGAAGAGCCCCATCGACAATTTTCCCACGGGGCTGAAGATTGGTCGATACCATCACTTACGTCAAGTTATGTACAAAGATTGGGAGGTGACGCGAGGCGGGTTTTGTTTTTGGCATTTAGGTATGGCGATATTTAGACACCTTTATCTGTGTGTCTTTGTGTATCTTGCTGCTTCGGATAAGCCTGGAGGATGGTTTGTTTGTGCTTCGGATTTGTAATTGACGAGACTACAATGGTGGTTTCCAATGTAAACGTGAATGACTGGAGGGTAACTTACAGTCCTGTAGTATAGATAGTCTCATACTTGCATGGTAAATACTGCAGCAACAGAGTCGGAAAATTTAATTTTTTGTCTACTAAGGGTGATCCACCTATTTACAAGTACTCCACTGGGACGTGAGCTCTTTGAGAGGGGTCATCCTAAAAATAGCCCACCCCTCCTTTGTTTCGGTAACATCACGTGAGGATTAATGCAATCTTATCGCAGTTAGTTCGAACGCGCGGTCGCCCAGTCGCCCTTCCTTGGTTAGGCCTTCCCAGTTTCCAATTGCCAGTTTCATATGCAAAATAGCGAGGAACTACATCAAAGTTGACACTTTAACCGAAATCAAGCTGTATGGAAAAGCTTCTCTTTATACCTCGAGATATCGACATTTATAATGTAAAGATCGATAACGAACCTACCTAAGCGATCAATGCCGATACTTCCAGACGACAAATGTGACGACGCCTGTGTCATGCCAGGTCATCAAAACCGCTCTTTGAGCTCTGCATCACTCTCGACGCTCGCTTTCTCCTCAATTCCCTTAATTCTAACATTCCTCGTTGTTAGTCTCGTCGTTCTCCAGAAGCTGTTCCCGTTAGTAGCTGGCCTACAACAACCCAAGGAAGATCAACTTCATTATCTTCCTAGCAATGCCCCTCCCAGCTTGCGACAATCTCATAAAGAACATGGTCAAAAGACTGGGAGGAGAAAGGCTATCGCTATCTCATTTTCAACCACGATTGCGTTGGCGACTGTTCTCGCCGAATTGATCCTTTGCGAAATCTCGAATTACCTCAATCCCGCAGCAAGGGCGTTTGCGCTCAAGATAACTGTTCCTACACTCCTCTTCTTACTTGTTGTTCTTATACCACTTCTCGAACTACAATCGATTATCACGGGGCTTGGGTGGACATTTACTGCGTCGAAGAAAGGAGGGTTTTCAATAATTGCCTGGCTTCTTCAAGCTGTTGGTTTTACAATATGGTTGATGGGATTCTGGTGGTTGGGAAAAGGAATACCGGGAACATATATCCATACAATGGCATCTGTACCTGGAAAGGGACTTAGCGAAGCTTGCTTGGATAGGGTTGGCATCATTGGTATTTCCCTGATGGCACTTCTTTCTGGTTTCGCGGCTGTCTCTGCTCCTTGGCAAACATTTGGAGCAAAGCCAAAACCTGTTTCGGAAGCTGATATTGCCCGCAAACAAGCAGGTCTAGACGCTACGAATGATATGCTGGCTGCAAAACGAAGTCGGCTAAGGGCTCTTCAGCGCAAAGTTAATGATCATCCAGCTGAAGGATTCATGACGAAGGTTATTGGAAGTATACGGGGAAATGCTGACGTACAAGAGTTGAAGTCTCTGGAGTTGGAAATATCCGGACTTTCATCTATGTCCCTAGGCCTTTCGACTTCACTATCAATGCTGCAAAATCGTTACGCATCAAGACAACGATCCTCTTCACCTCTCGGTAAAATCATCTTCACGCCAATTTCTTATGCCTTTTCACTATATTGTATATATCGCATTGGAACAACCACTTTGGCCGTATTTCGACGTCTTACTTCGCCAGCCGATCCATCTTTCTTCAGTTCATCAACTACGGATCCTGTCAACCGTATTCTTTCTCTATTTGCCAAGCACGTGAATCCAACTATTGATCAACTGGCATGGTCTCGCCAAATATCCTTCATCCTATCAGCCGTAATCCTCTTCGCTTCTTTCAATTCTGTACTTCAGACCTTCCATATGCTCACCAAAATCTGTCCCTCGCTCCTCTACCAGGCTCAAGCTAACATGGCACTCATCCTTGCACAAATCAGCGCGATGTTTGTGATATCCAATGCATTACTTATGAGAAGTAATCTTCCATCTGAGATGAAAAGTGTGGTGAGCGATGCATTGGGTAGTCCATTAGAGCCTGGATTCGTTGATACTTGGTTTGAGGGGTGGTTTTTAGTTGCTAGCCTCGGAACTGCTGTAGGAATTTTCGTGGGCAAAAAGATCGGCGGCGGTTCGGGATCCGATTGGGATGACGAGTATGAAGGTGATTTGGAGTTAGGACAAAAGCAATCTTGAGTTACTCGAATGGTTCTGATCTTGGGTCCAAATTTGAATTAGGTATTAGTCAGGACTAATACTTTGTGGTTGCGGATGTACTGTACTTTTATTGGAGTTTGGACAAGTGAGCGTTCGGTTTAGACGGCTCGGTATACCTAAAGTGGGTGTTTTTTTATTTGATATTCCCCGAATATCTATTAAGAGAAGGCGGTTGGTGCATGTTTCAACGAATGATGGGTGCGGCGAGAAGTGAGGAGTCATATTTATACTTTACTTGCATGGATTAGCGATGATGAGTTTTACAAGGTGATGTACGATCAAGAATTTACTGGATATGGACTGAATGGCGAATATTATTCCCTGCTTGAGCATACCTATCAAGCTTTTCATTAGGAAGTCAGACGTCTTTCTTTCCGTGCAATGCATTCTTCTAGTCTAGATCAACGTTTGCGGAAAGTTTGTGAAGAAAACTCATGGGGAGTAAAAGGCTAGTGCGTGTTGCCCCATCAAATTTAAATGAGGAATTAGTATGAATCTTTACGTTGTTTTTAAGTGGTGAAGGATGCTACGCTTATTCCTAAATTGTGATAGCATAGTTGTTTGGATTAGTTTTGATTATTGGAAGAGGTTATTTAGTATACCATATTGTTAGAATGAATTGAGTTCTTACTGCCTCGAATTTTGATTACTGAGTGTGCATGGCCAAGTTAGATATATCGATATTTGGCTGCTTGGGGATAAAGTAAATCATTATCATCTCGTGCTTATCTCCTCTCAATATCCACAACTTCCTCACGACTTAGAGATCAGTTGTATAAGCTCCTCCGCCATAAACTGAGCAAATTCCTCATCATTGACTGCGCAGTTTTTCTCCAAAACCTCAATTCCAGTCCCATCTAGCCCGTCCTTGATAGCTTTAAATAACATCTTATCTGCCTCAACATCGTGGAACTTCCCTCCCTCTACAGCTAACATACTTGTTCCTTTTTTTGGTAAACATACTTTTACCAGGTCTTTCCTCTTCGCCTTCTCCTTCAATCTTCCCGCTATAAACTTGCCAATCTCAGCACACTCATCCGCATTAGATCGCATCAATGTCATATCTGGATTATGTTGCACCAACACTCTCTCTTTAAATTTCTCGGGTATCGAGTTTCTCGGTCCAAAATTCACACAATCACATGCACCCACACTTACAATCTGAGGAATTCCCATTTCGGCCGCGGCGGATAGTCTTTCGGGTCCTGCTGATAATATGCCCTCGCAAATGTAATCGGCTATTTCGGTGGTGGTTACGTCGAGAACGGCATCGATACGTTTTTCTCGGATTAATCTCTCCATTGCTTTTCCACCGGGTCCCGTGGCGTGGAAAATATATATTTCATACTCCTCCTTACTATTTTTCTCCAAAATATCTTTTACCATTTCCACGCATGGAGTTGTGATTCCAAACATTGTTAATCCTATACCTTTCTTCCTGGGCACATTGTTCGCCTGTTCTTCCTCTGTACATCGTTTCCAATATGCATAAGCTAACCCTGAAATCGCTCCAGCGGCATTGTCTAGGATTCCCTTCAATATCGAATTTGTGCCCGCAATATCAACTACGCTGTACATCATTGTGATATCCGTTTCCCCAACATACGGTCCCGTATTTCCACTTCCCATAGTCGAAACCACCAGCTTAGGAAATCCAATAGGTAACGCGTTGCGCATGATATATGCACATAATGAAGTTCCTCCCGATCCACCTATCCCGATAATCGCATGGATAGACTTCTTTTCGAAGAGCTCACGCACGAGATTGCTCGCACAGACGGATATATGCTCGATGTATTCACCGCGGGAAAGGGTGGAATAATCAATGGGGGACGAGGCATGAGAGAGGATTTCAGATTGGGGAATATCTATTTCGGGATTGGAGGTGGGTTTGCGTCCTACGTCTGCGAGGAGTACTTCGATGGTGGGGTTGGAGTGGGCGAGGATTTGAGCGCGTAGGTAGAGGATTTCTGGGAGCTTGGAATCGAGGGTTCCGAGGAGGAGGATCCTGGGGTTAGACATTTTGGTTATGGTTTTTTTTTGGTGAGGATGGGTGATGGTGGTGAGTATGTGGTTTGTGACAGTGTGGAAGGGCCTGGAACTCGGGTATTCGAGGTTTTGAATGAGGGGGCTGGTATAGGCTATCTTATCATTTACCAAGACTTTTAGTGTGTTTTTACTCTTTCCTGAGTTAAAATCAATACAATCATGAAAAGTCTCCCAAAGCAGAAGACGAGCAGTTAAATTCTCAGTAAACAGCTACATTCATTCATTCATTCATTCATTCATTCACACAAGCTAATATGCGAGCCGGAACTCAAACGGATGTTCGGAGTGTGCCTATTGGAAGTTATCAGTAGCGATCAGAAGCTATTAGAAGCTACTGGCATTCCCTACAATAAATGAGGGGCTCTGGAGGGGCAATATGGTAGGGGTACGTCAATCGACGAGTTTAACCCACCACTATCGTCATTTTTTATACAAAGGAGCTTTGATTTGATACTCGTCTCAATCGTCCGATTTGACAAATTCACATACTCGATTTGGAGTCATTGTTGGAGAATTTATATGTTTCTATTAATTTATTTATTTGGATAGATTCTTTTGCTTGTCTTCATTTCAGTAAATTGTGACTTTCTTATTCCTTGGATAACCTGCAAGTAAGCTTAGGTTACCTGTACTTGACGCAACTATTTCAGTCGGGTTCTATTTTCAAAGTATACTACTTATACAAGAAGTAACTCGCGAGCGTCAATATCTTACACAATGACGAAAGCTACAACACGCGATGTTGTTCTGGGGAGATTGAAGGGTGCGGTTAAGAATAAGAAGATTATTGTTGGAGCTGGAGCAGGTAAACTATCCTCTTACACACACAAACACACACAAACACACACACATATATATATATATGTAGCATCTAGCCTATGGCACTGTGTCCAATAGTCTGAAATACAGCCCGGTTTGAGAATTCTTAAGCTTTGGATCTTTGGATCTGCTTCGGTTATTTCGATAAAGTTCATTGCTCTGAATAGATTTGATAATCAGACAGATTCCAATATTCGAATGGTTTGAATATCTAAAGGCCGTTGGGCTAGACGACTGGGCTATTGGATATACTGCCCCCCTTCCCCAATGAGTCAATGGCTAACAAACACATAGGAATTGGTCTTTCAGCCAAATCGGTAGAGGCTGGTGGTGCAGATCTCATCATCATATACAACTCCGGTCGATTCCGTATGGCAGGACGTGGTTCATTGGCTGGTTTAATGCCATATGGAGATGCCAATCAAGTTGTCGTCGAAATGGTGCGTATACCTACCATACCCCTCCTTCAACCCCTACACTCCAACCTCTCACTCTAAGCAAGGATTGACACACAACACAGGCCTCCGAAATCCTCCCCATAGTAAATGACACTGGCGTTCTTGCAGGCGTCTGCGCAACCGATCCTTTCCGGCACATGCCCACCTTTCTCACACAGCTCAAAAATCTCGGATTCTGCGGCGTGCAAAACTTTCCCACGGTAGGACTTATCGACGGACGATTCCGGGAAAATCTAGAGGAGACAGGAATGGGATATGACAAAGAAGTCGAAATGATCCGATTAGCGCACGAACAAGATTTACTTACCACGCCCTACGTTTTCAACCCCGACGATGCGATCAAGATGACCAAAGCGGGTGCAGATGTATTGGTAGCGCATATGGGATTAACGACCAGTGGAACGATTGGTGCGAAGACGGGAAGTACGTTGGATGAATGCGTGAAGGCTATTCAGGATATTAGGGATGCGGCAGTGGGAGTGCGGGAGGATATTATAGTGCTTTGTCATGGGGGACCAGTGGCCGAGGTGAAGGATGTGGAATATGTGTTGGCGAGGACGAAGGGAATCCATGGGTTTTATGGTGCGAGTAGTATGGAGAGGTTACCGGTGGAAATTGCTATTCGGGATAACATGAACGGGTTTAAGGAGTTGAAGGTTGGAAATTAGTTTGTTGATGCGTAGTATTAGCGTAGCAGGATGGTTCTCAATTTTTCGACGTTGGATACCTAGGTAGTCTATATGGTGAGAATGGCGTCATTACCTACCCCGCGTACTGTGCTACCTTTTGCGTGTGTACAAGTACGTATAACCTTATACACAGCTTCTTCGCCTTCGCTTCTGTCGTGTAAGTCCCGCAACACCTGAGTTTATGTATAATACCTATCGATTAATGTTTCGCTAAGACCGAACGAATGGTGATCTAATGCTCAAACAATTATCTGAATAGTCGTGAAACAAAGTGAATTAATGGAGATGATAATAAGGGCTAGATACTATATAACATATGTAAATGAATATAGTAGATGTTAGATTAGGTTTGTAAATGAAATATATATCTAATAGTGAATTAGAAGAGGCGTATTGATTAATAATAAACGAATTTGCAAATGAAACTTGAAGCTTGAAGTTTGAAGTTGAGGAATTTGATAATAGTAAATTTAATAATAAATCTAATAGTAAATCTAATAATATATTTACAACTTATTCTTTGCAATAATAACTATATGAAAATCTTTCAAAAAACATCTTTAATATTAATCATCCTCCTTTTCCTCCTCCCCTCGTCTTCAAATTTAACCGAGATAATTATATTGAATTGTGTTCCCCTCTCTTATGCTTTATATAATGTTCTTGGTACACTGGAGAAATAATATTGAATGCTGATTTTACATTTGAGTACTCTATATTATCATGCCAAATCTCTTTAGCATGGCAGCGGAAATGTTAAGATTTGAAAGGAGAGATTTATTTCTACCCTTTGGTCTGCGGTTAGAAAAGAAGTAGAAAAAGGTGTAGAGAATCACTGTTCTCAGTAAGCAATGGAGAGAGAACGTTGGAAGTGGTCGTACCTGCAAGTACTGCTACTCTATTGGTGGGTATATATAATGTACAACTATGATAGATCATATAGTGCGAATTCCTACCCCTCAATCGAGGGTATAATTAAACCAAGGAGATATACCTCAACAATGACAAACTAACGCACCACGCTACCACCAAATCCGAGCGGTGGTCTTCTCCCTTCATTCTCCGGCATCATAACCATAACCTTATAAACCTTTCCCATACCATTCTCCCCCATATCAACCAATCTCTTCCAAGCTCCCTCAATCCTCTTCTTCGCCTCGTCATCTTCCCCCTTCAAGCCTTTAATCAGCATCTCTGCACGTTCTTTAATCCCCATACTGCACAACCATTCACCTTGTTCCATAGGCCCATGGATTTCCACCCCTTCACTCGCATTCATAGCTGCTTCGGCCAGAGCGACAAAATCTACATCCGCGCTGAGATCTACGATTCCTGGTTCGCTAAAGGGAGAAACTCGCTGATGTGCTTTGATTCCCCGGAGAGAATTAGTTGGGATGGTATTTATTGGTCCATAATCTAGAATAAGAGCAGCGCCCGAAGGTTTAGTTTTTGGATATGTCTTCGAACCACCGATTCGGCTTGCGAAATCAGCGACGATAGCGTGACTTTCAGGTGATATTTCGATTAACGACTCGGGTATAGATTTTAAATCTCGATAGCGGTCAAGGATTTCGGGAAGATAAAGGGAGTGCGGGGTGGAGGATTTGGAAAGCGTGAGTTGGAATTCGGGGGGAGAGGATTGGTTTTGAAGGGATTCCGGGGTAGAAATATCGGTTTCAGCGGAATTTGGCGGGGAGGGCGACACAACCATTTCTCGCCATTGGGGAGTTTTGGCGGTGGATGATTTGGAGGTAGATGGAGTAAGTGGATGAGTGCCAGTAGGCGTTTCGATTGTGGTAGGCTCCGAAGCATCAGAATTTGGAGCCACGGATTGGAAGACGTGGATTGGAAGAGCATCGAAGAATTCGTGGGCCACGATGAATGGAGTTTTCTCCGCGCCTGTCAAAGTTTTAGTAGGAGATCTTTTCTTTATCGATTTCCGCTTGATCATACCATATGGTACAGATCGCATATTCTCCGTCCAAAATACAGGAATCTTAGCATACTTGCTAGTACTCTTGAATCCCGTTTCCGTCGGAATCATAGGCGCATCCCCGCACAAAAGCTGTTTCTGCGCATCTCTCAAAGCAGGGCTTGCTTCTACCATATACACAGCTTCTATACTCTGAGCCATTGGTTTGAAATTTTTGATTGTCTATACAATATATTAGCGCATATTCAAAACTACATCCAGAATATCTCAACGAGACCCTCAGCATATCATCCATCAAAGTGCCCCTCCCTGGACCTATCTCTATCAACTCAACACCCTTTTTCTTTTTCCCTTGAGCCATCCATTCTGCCACAAACCAAATCCCAACCAGTTCCCCAAAAATTTGCGATATTTCGGGTGAGGTAATAAAATCTCCCTTTTTTCCAAATTGATCTCTTCCATCTTGTTTCGCGGTATAATATCCACCTAAATCGGACGTTAAGCACATTCGCATAAACGACGCCAGAGGAATTGGCCCTGTAGCCTAAACCACATTAGTAAAGCCCCCAGCTTCAGATCCAATAGAAAACTCATACAGTGATAGCTTCAGAAAGCTGTTTTGCAAGGGGCGTAGACCATTGCTTCGTCTCCGTCGAAGACCATCTCAAAGCCGAATATGAAGCCCCATATCTACATTTCACAGCACAACGTAAAGAACTGCGTGTCTGTAATAATAGCCTAGACCTCATTTTAATTTAGTCTCTTGTTATAAGCACATTTCACTACTTCAGAAGGGTCATTGCAAAGGTAGCAAGAAAAGTTGTAAAAAGTGAGAGCCTTGCAACCTCGTCTGGCCTCGTCGTCATTGGCGACCTCAAAACCCTCAGCCTCCTCGACTTTGAAATTCACCATAACCCAAAACTTTGTTTATCACTCCCAAAAGTTTTGCTGCATGTATGAGGAGAAAATCAATTTCCGGGGCTTTTACTAATTTATAACTTTATTGTATATTTGGAAAGAGGAAGATTGCGCGATCTTGAAAAAGCTGTCTCGTCGACTCTGGGAGAGCTGTTGTTGATTCTGGGCGAGGGGCCTATTGAGCTTCAATTGTTTACTTCGTGAAGGTTGAAATTCGATATTCAACACGGTACACTTATGTCGAGTAAAACCAAGTCGCGCTGGGCAGATGATGAAGAAGACGCTGCGTTAGATATACAGCGCAAACGCGAAAAGGAAGCAAAGAAACGGCTGAAGGCAGAGAAACAAAGGAAGCTCGATGAACAAGCTGCGGCTGCCGCGAAATCGCCCGCTCAAGCTCCCCCGGAATCAGAAACTCCTTCCGAGAGGCCCGCAAAGCGTCGCCGTTTATCACACTCTCCCGTGCCTGCCCAAAAGCTCGATTCACCACCTGCCAAATTACTGCGCTTCCCGGCGCCCAATTGGGGAAAATGTCGCAGTGTGGAAGATTATGAGAAATTGAATGATATAGAGGAGGGAGCGTATGGGTGGGTATCACGCGCGAAGGATAGTAGGACGGGGAAAGTTGTTGCGCTGAAGCGGCTGAAGATGGAGAATGCGAATGATGGGGTGCCAGTGACGGGCTTGAGGGAAATACAAACATTGATGGATTGCGAGCATGAAAACATTGTGAGGTTAAGGGAGGTGGTCGTTGGGGAGGATACAAGTAAGATAGAGAAGTACGTTTTTTTCCATCCAATTCTTACATTTTTATTTTTATTTGTCCAGTTTGCATAATCTATAAGAAAGCTATAGCTAACACACACACACTCTAGTATATTCTTGGTTCTCGATTTTCTCGAACACGATCTAAAAACTCTCCTCACATCCCTCTCAGAGCCATTTCTCCCTTCCGAACTCAAGCTCCTACTCCATCAACTCACAACCGGGGTCGCCTACCTCCATAACCACTACATCCTCCACCGGGACCTGAAGACGTCCAACCTCCTCCTCTCCAATCGAGGCGTCCTCAAAATCGCCGATTTCGGCATGGCGCGCTATTGCGGTGATCCAGCACCAAAAATGACCCAATTAGTCGTTACCCTCTGGTACCGCAGTCCCGAGCTCTTACTCGGCGAGGAACGATACGGCAAAAGTGTAGATATGTGGAGCGTGGGTTGCATATTCGGCGAACTACTGAGCAACGACGCCTTGCTCCCGGGGAAGAACGAAGTAGATCAACTATCGAAAATTTTCGAGCTCCTCGGCCTCCCTACCGAATCGACCTGGCCCTCCTTCAAGCGCCTCCCCAACGCACGTTCTCTCCGACTTCCGAAGAACCCCAATCCCGCCACCCAAGGTTCAGTCCTGCGGTCTAAATTCCCCTTTCTGACCTCAGCTGGATCATCTTTACTCTCGTCGCTACTCAGCTTAAACCCTGCGAAACGACCTTCTGCGCAAGATGTTTTGCAACATGAATACTTTAAAGAGGATCCCAAAATGAAGAGTAGAGATATGTTTCCCACATTTCCGAGCAAAGCGGGATTGGAGAAGAAGAGACGGAGAGGGACTCCAGATGCTCCTCAGAGAGGAGAAGCTCCTAAGGGACTGGGAGGTGTGTTGGATTTCAGTGGGGTATTTGGGAGTGCAGGCGGAGAGGAAGTAGAGAAGGGGGGTGGATTTAGCTTGAAGCTTATTTGAAAGCATGTAGATTGCCAGGTTAAACATGGAGAATATGGATGGCCTGGTCTTTACTAAAGATATATCGTGAGAAAGAGACATGGATGTACCACTTTGTGCTCTGGATATTCCGGGATTCCAGCTTCCCATGATTTTATGGGTGTAGATATATTATGCAAAAGTTTACGATCTAGAACCAAAGATTTAATATTGACTATTTTAAAGCAGTTCGCTCTCAATCATTCATTAGGTAGTTATAAACTTCTCCCTGCTATCTATGCATGCATGAAAAGTGCTAAATCCAGAAAATGCACACTCACACCCAAACCCCCGAACACCATTACCCCAAACCAGGATTTTCATTTTCAAATCTTGCCCAAACGGAATGTCCCCCATATGCCATCCAATGTTTCTTCATGTTCTTCTCATCCTCCAGTTGCCTCCAATCCAACACGCCCGAAATTAAGAAGAAGAATTATTGTGTTGGTGTCTTTCCGTTACCAAATAACATCCAATCCAGTCACAAACCAGGTAAAGCTGAGCACAGTAACAAAACCCATGGTAAACATCAACCTCAATGCCTGTCTCTCCATATCGGACAATGCACCGCTGCAAGTAGCACATACCCAATCATTAAGAGGAGCGTATGGCTGCGGCACGTACATTCCAAAAGAATATTGATTGTATGTCGACAGATATCCCGCTTCAGGAGTGGCGCTGATACTGCTCTCCGCATCATAGATGATCAAAGTGTAAGTTTCCGTGAGCAAGGGGTTTGTAACAGCAGTCGCTTGATAGCCACTAGTATCCCAAGTTACTGCTTGTACGGAGTTCGTGACAGTTTGGTTCGTGGCTATCGTGTATAACTGAGCGTTGGCTTTACAAGTGGCCATGATGTTGACAGCAGTAGGAGTAGCTTGGAGAGATGTAAAATTCCAGGCGAAGGTAATATAGTCACCAATTTTGAAGTATGTCGTGGAAGCAGCGGCTGGGGTCATTAGAGAGATACCACCTGCGGCATAAGTTGCATTGTAGGTCGTATGATGAATCGTAGAATTAGAATGAGAAGAACCCGTTTTTGTTGTTTTCGATCCAGATGTGGTGGCTGAATTTGAGCCTGTTTGCGAGCTCGTTTTCGTCGTTGACTTGGAATCGCTTGATTGAGAGCCAGTTTCTGATGCCGTGTTTGTAGGTCTTGATGCTGCGGTGGCTGTGGTAGTAGCAGTGGCAGTGGCAGATGCTGTATTATCTTTTGAAATGTCAGTAGGTAAACACTAGAATATTGATAGTGAGATTCATACCAGCAGCAGAAGACTGCGAAGAAGTGTCGTCTTGTCGCACTACAATTATGGAATCTAATTCTGGTAGCCATTTGGGCCATGGCCATGCAGTTACAAATGTAGAAAGGCATAGTAGGATGACGGAATATAGCTGAAATGATCGTTGAGTCCGCATCGTGTGTGTTGATATTTTCAAACGCTTTTAAATGGCACCAAAATCTCCTATTTGATTTCCTAAATATTCCTTCCAATGTCCGAATAAATTTCGATCAGATCTACCAAAAAGAACTTCTCCAAAAGATGTTGCTTTTCTCGTTGGATGATTGATTGGTGAATATCCAATGGATGTTTCGTTTTGTTTTGTTGATTCGTATCGTCCGCCAATTCAACTTTATGGTTGGCTTGTGTTGTCCGAGTGAAACAAGCAGTTGAATAATATTTATGTACTGTGTGAATTTAAGATTTCCGACCGAACGAGTGAGGTCGTATATCGTTTTTCTAGAAGAATAGAATATTAAAACGAAGGTATTTTAATACTGCAACGATTTCATGGATGAGGAGATTGAATGATGTGAAATGTAGATGTACGGAGTAGATAGATAGTGTTGAAATTGTTGTATTCTGTAGTACTCCGTAAAGGAGTATGGAATGAACGGTATCCACTAGGAATGTCTCGGGTTTTAATCCAATAGCAGCACATTTTGATTGATCAGTCAGCCAGGTACAAGGGTGGGCTGTAAAAGTTTAGGAGGCAAATTGAGGCAATGCATCTCAAATGAGCTTTCCTATTCGCTCGTGTATCTCTTTTCCTGGACCCAAATACGGGATACTATTAATAGACCTTCCCGGCGTAGTTCGTAGAAGGTAAAGGGTAAAAGGTAAAATGTGAAGAGTCAAAAGTACGAGAATTTCACATCGTCACCTCATGACTGTCAGTTACGAATATTCAACTAAAGTCGATGAAGAACTTAGTGGTTGCAATACAATTTTCGGCTTATAACCAATAATCTCTATATACTATATTCTCAAATGCCGTCGTAATTTGTGTAAGGCTACATCTTCCATTGAAGAAGGGACTTTCATCTATTTTGATATGGGACCACCCGGGCCATGGAAAGTATCAGGTGATGATTGGTACGCAGGTTATCTTTCAATCTTCAAATCCGACAGCATACGGGGCAGTACTATGATACCGATCTCTACCACCATCTTGGCCTGAAGCTGACTGTCTTTCACATGTATCTTGAGAAGCATGATCTGAAAAAACTAACCTGCCTTTTCATTCCTATATACCCCTAAATTTCTCAATATATATATCAACAAAGATTTGGTTTTAAACCCTCGATTAGTTCCTTGTATACCTCGTATATGACGAATACTTTCATCCTAATCACAAATACGGATTTTTCTCTATTTGAGTACATCTTTCATCTCTACAATAACAGCCATCGGTTAGCAGTACTATCCTTCTCTAAGCTATACCAGCTCCTAGGGCAAGCTCCTTTTCATTTATCTTCTGAATCCCGTTTGTTTAAACAAACATCAGCGTATTCACATCCCCCTCTCCCCCTACCTCCTCTCCTAGAGCCTAGGAAAAACTACTAAATCCTCCGGGTTTTCTATTTCTCCTTTCCCCTCCTATCCTTTATAAAATAGCCTATCCATCCTCTCCTTGATGAAGGAAAGGAATAAAACGATAATTTGTTCTATTAATGTAGTAAGAATATTAAGTAATTGAATAGACTACACCTCCATAAATCTACAACTTTTATGACTAGAAATAACAATGAGATCGAATCCTAACCTGCCTGTCCTCCAGTTTGAAGCGTTCCTTTCTCTCCTGTGGTTCAGGAGAGGAGAAGAGAGGGTTATGAAAACGCTGAGTGGCACATTCAGCAGATAAGAGCAAGATACTTCTAATAGCTATTATCTCTATTGAAAGAGCCTTGAAAGTTACCAAGTATTCTCATTTGGCTGGTAATAGTCTCTAGACGATAGATAACTTACATCTTAGTATCTGAGTGAAACGAATCCACCATGGCCCATCCATCAAAAGAGAGTCAATCCTCAGTTCCCTCTGTAGGTAAATAGATTTCCATAAGAAAAGTAGCAGTCAGTGTGAATATAGGTAGTGGGGTTCACTATTATTACCAACCTAGCCACATGTAAGATCTAAATCCGGGGAAAAGTTGATGTAAGCTAGTTAGAGATTCAGCCCGCTACTAGGCATTGATTGACGACTTAATACTAGTGATACGTGAGCTATTATTACGCTACTATTGCACTACTCAAACTTACAATAGGGAGGTAATGGGCCCAACGACAGATAATTAATGAGGTAAATGAGGACTCCAAGTCGTAGCCACCAAGATTGTCTAAAAATCTCGTTGTAGATCTAATCTGAGTCAATTTTCCGAAATACTTTGAAACGAGTTCAAAATAGGATTTTTTTTTTTGGATATTTCGTAGACTGTGTTAAGCGTTAAGACTATTTATATATCATGTTCTTTATTTCTGGTGCTGAGCTTCTCCTTGGCAGTTTACATTGTGAGAGTTGAGGACTAGCACTACTTGAGTGTCACTATTCAAACTTCTTGACCATATTCACCCAGGAAAACGCGAATAGAACTTCTTTTTAGGTTCAATCTCTTTCATTTTTGGGCTTGATCTATCTCACGTCATATTATCACCATAACTGTGATAACTACGGCTTCAAGCAGTTTGATGCTATGCTGCAAGGAATGTTGCATGCTGGTAATGTGGATGCGGTAGTATCTCTATTACATTGTCATTTTGCTGAGCTTCTAAAAGTGGAAACGTCGAATTTGAGCCAGCAGCGTGAAGACGGGTTCTGGACTGTTGGACTGTTAGAATTTGATGTCTTACTCACCGATAACCAGGTTATAGGATGCGCAGCCATGTGCAATGTCTCGTACCCAGAGGCAAAGCCAGGGAGTCCTTTAGATAAAGTTCCATTCCCAGGTAGATAAGCATAATCACAATGGAGCAGAGCAAATTTGTAAATCTAACTCAAGTAAACAAAATGGGGAAGTCATTCGATTATATTCTATACTCCTATATTGAGGCAGCAAATGGCTTTGCTGTGGAAAAATATAGGATATGGCTAAGCATCAAAGGGAAGTCCGAAAGTCGCCAAGTCGCAAATTCAATCAATTGAGCGAGAATGGTGATAGTTAGATATTCAGACATGCAACAAAACAAAACAAAACTCTTTATCGTTTACTTTCTTTTATCAGGACTGAGGATGGGATGAAAGTAAATATTGAGGTCAAGAGGCGAAGGACTCGCTTTCTTTTAGCTTCACTACCAACATATTCACCGACACCATTTTCCACTTCGTATGTGGGAAAATAAGGGTAGATACGGAGAGATAGAGGAAATGTGAATACGATTGCAAGTATTAACTCTCGCATAGCCCGGTAGCTGCACAATGCTGGATTCGCCCTCTGGAAGAAGAGTCGTATTTTCATTCAGACCATTAAGTACCTAAGATTAGGATATAACAAGGGCTAGATTCAATACCTAACTACCTAAGTATGTAGTCAATTAAAATCCAAGTCTGCTATAACACGGCCATGATAAATATAATTTTGGAATTATCAAATCTATAGACCTCCGGCAATCTCTCGTCATTGAAACTTGGCCAATCCGTGACTTCATGAATGCTGCACCCGCTCGCTGGACTATTTGTCCCTTTGGCAGACATTGAAAACTTTCCAGACTTAGCGAGCTTGTTATGAGACCAAGGGAAAGAAGATATCGATGTCGGTGTAACGGCATAGCAAAAGGTAAGGTATATATATATATATATATATATGATTCCCAGATTTAAGATTTGTAATCAATGATCAACCTCTGGGCATACTTATTCATGGGATACACAGGAACTATTGCTTTCCTGCTCGATGAGGAAAAGTTTTGGAAGACGACCTTGTCCACTTGGTAAGGTTGATTCTTCAGATATACCTGGCTGTGGTTGCTGTACAGATAGGCGACCATGCACTTCAGTATTCGGAATTCAAGAAGAAAATAATATCTTTGAGATGTTCCTTTCCCCCCGAGAGAGGTGGATCCGGTTTGGTCTTTCAGGAAGCGAGGAAAAACCTAGCGGATGATGGGCGTGCACAGACCACAAGGCTAGGCACGACGCGCAATGTGCATTTTGAACTTCTACAACCACAGCTCCCCTCGTCCAGGACTTACAATCACTTATCCAGAATCCCCGGGATAATCTTATTTAAAATACTAGAAACTCTCTGATCCCGAAAATATCATCAAGTCTCTACTCTTTGCAGTTTTTCAAGAGTTGAAATCTACCTCAGACTTGCGACAAAACTTCCAAAGCCTCACATTAACAAAATGCCGAAAGCAGAAGTTGGATCAACGAAGTTTCTGAATAACAAATTAAAGTCTAAAGGTCTTCAGCGATTACGATGGTATTGTCAAGTGAGCTTATCCTCTTTGATAATAGATATTCGCCGACTAACATCATAAATAGGTATGCGAAAGACAAATGCGGGACGAGAATGGCTTCAAAATGCATACACAATCCGAGTCGCATGTTCGACAGATGCTCCTCATCGGCGAAGATCCTAAAAAATTTATCAATGATTATAGCAATCAATTCCAGCGCGACTTTCTACAATTATTACGAACCTCTCATGGCGAGAAACAAGTCAATTTAAATCATTTTTACCAGGAATATATTAGCAACAAAGAGCATGTCCATATGAATTCAACAAAGTGGCCATCCTTGACAGAATTTGCAAAATTTTTGGGCAGGGAAAGTTTATGCCGAGTGGAGGAAACGGACAAAGGTATACAAGTAGCATGGATTGACAACTCACCTGAGGCGTTAAGACGACAAGATGCGATTAGAAAGAAGGAGAGACAAGACAAGGGCGATGAAGAGCGGGAGCAAATGCTTATCAGAGAGCAGGTACGTCGTGCGAAGCAAGATGCCGAGGCTCGCGGAGAGTCAGAGATGGATGAGCAAGAACGAGGTCTCAAGAGGGAGGAGGGGGAGAAAATAAAGCTTAGCTTCGGCGCTAAGGCTACGATCTCAAACCATGAGAGCAAAGCTGTTGAGCTACTGGATAGCAAGATGCCGGCTGGCAATGCGCTTTCTCTCGAGACAGCAAAAGGTGAGGATGAATCCTCTGGGATACTGGCGAAGGACGACAGTAAAACTGCAGAGTCTACGAATCCCGATGCAGCGGCGCCACCTCCAGCGAAAGTTTCCTTGAAGATCGGATTTCAGAGCAAACCAAAGAACGTTTTTGCAGCGGCCAAGAAGAATGCTCTAGGAGGTAAGAAGGCCCCTGTGTTTGAACAACCGAAAAAGATGAGTGAAGCAGAACGTATTATGAAGGAAGAGATCGAGCGCAAGAGAACCAGGGAGCAATCACATGGAGGGCCTTCTCAAAAACGGCCACGATTTTAATTGTCTATCATGAGAATTTGGCATTGCATGGAGTTAAATATGAAGGCACTTCAAAGATATGGGCGGAATATGGCGTTATGTTTGATACCACTTGCATCTATAGAAGAACTAAGTCAAGAAATTTCTATTTCTCAAGCTGTTCCACGTTCCCACCGTTGACTGTGCCAGTCCGTGATCGTGCTGGGCCCTATTGAAGCCTAATAGTTTGTTCCACAAAATGTTTTGAAATCAATTTTGTTGTAATGTACCAAGCAAGTCATGATGGTCTGATTCGAATAATGCTTCAAAGCTTGGTGCCCTTTCTCTGTAGCTGTTTCCATATCTGAACTCCCTTTAACTCCTTAGCACCTAGGAAATCATGCACCGTGTCGCGACCCAAATTCCCGTCCCATAAAACATAGTAGCTGACCTAATGGTAATTAGTAAAGTTCAGAATGACCACAGCCTTGAAATTGTTCTGTACATGACGAGTTATAGAGACTTCTTTTCAGGGCAGTGGTGTTAGTTGTCTCATGGATTGGTCTCCCAGGCTCTGAAGTAGCAAGTACTTTATAAATTGCAAAACATCATACAGACGTATCATCAACTCGCGGTACCAAGAACAGTAAAAGTATCCTTACCTTCACTTGCATGCCATCGCCCAAAATATTCTCAATCAGCTTCTGTAGCACTCCCATCTCTCCTAATCTTATATTAGCTTCATGGTTTGCCCATCTTTCCCAGCGCAGATCCACTTACGGAATATATTTAACCCTCGCCTCCTCCTCCATCGTCGATACAATCTCTTCCGGTAACTGCCCACTAACCTTCGTCGCGTACACCCCTCTCACATATCCATCCAACCTCTGCCATTTCGCAACCCACGATTTAGATGGATCGGCCAGCGTAATGAGACCCTCGAATACTTGGGATGTGCAGTCGATAATCGCTTCCATGGATCCTTGCAAATGTAGAAAGTCTTCGCAGTTGGGACATCCTTCTCGCATAAAGCGCTGCAAATATGTATGTTAGTCTTTGGCACTGCGTGGATAGATGGCAGGAATATAAAGGCAAGGAAGATGCTGCTGCGTACGTTTTGGGTCATGACGATTGAGCAGACCATGCATGCGCGAAGGTTGCGCTGCTGGTTGGGAGGTACGTAGTTTTCTGTCATTGCGTTCTTTTTTGGCTGATGTTGGAGTTGTAATGAGAAGGCTTTCAAATCTGAGAGGGCTGGATTTAAATACTTGAAAGAGCAATGTCAAAGAAACCTTGCATGCACTATTGCTGCAAGGCTGAGAAAAAGCTTGGACCAAGAGTCCAAAAATACGGCTGAATATTCTATTTTATCTCACCAGTGCTCTCCAGATGTCCATGATAGAAAACTAGGAATAACTCTTTCAAGGGATTCAAAAATGGTTGGGGCTACAGAAATCACCGTAGATACCCAAATGCAAGAAGCGGCTCCCGCATCTAAAACCTCAAAACGCAAACAAACCCATAACGGTCAAGAGCACAAAGCCATCACCATCACAGCACCACTTTTTTCCTACATCCATCTGGAGCTTCAAATCTCATCATTGAAAAAAGCACAGCTAGATGATATTACAGCAAAATCATACATGACTTCAGCACTGACACAATTTCTGGGCCTCCATGGCGCTGCTATCTCGATTGATATTTTGAAGACGGAGGGCAAGGATGTCTGGATTAGAGTCATGAGAGAGGATGCTAGTGCAGTGGTAGCGGCGCTGGGTGGATGGGTTAAGAGGTTGGGAAGTGGGGATGAGCAGGTTGGGTGGAGGATAAAGGGGAGAGCGAATTGGTTGGGGGGTTTGGTGGGGGAGGACGACATCGAGCGGGTGTGGAATGATTGAGAATTGAAGAGGTTTGGATAATTCCTCCTATTTCACACCAGCAATGAACGCTCTTTTTAGTAAGGCACGACTTCTCGGGATAGGAGTACCATTAGATTTCGTGGGCATTGCGTCGTCAGAGAGAAATGGGACAAGAACGAATCGCAAACAGTGTCTAACTTCGCCCTGGTTGCGAAACGAGAAAAGCTTCAATGAGCCACGAAGCCCGATTTACGCCGATGTACGCCTAGAACTAAAAGTTTACGTCCAGACTGCGAGCCTTTCGAAAGAATCTGAACAAAGACATAGTTTTAAACGACGCGACGTCCACCGATGAATTCGTGCCAATTATTTAGGACTGAAGCTTAACAGATGACGTATTAGAAGATTATGGTCATGACTGCTGAGGTAGCCATGTCTCATGTAATATTGGAAATGTACTAGATATGCATTTCACACTAAAGTCTCGGACGGAATTGATTCAAAGGTCAAGCATGCAACAAGATTTAAACATGACACTTGATGTAAATTGCATGCAAGCTGTGTTAATTTGTGCTTGCAAACGACTATGGAAAACAAAATGCTCCTTCTTCGCCCATGAAATATTGCGAGCCGGACTCAAAGGTCACCCACAACATCATAATTGCACCCATCCAGCCTAGAAGAACGAAGAATAAAACAAAGTAAAAACTTTTATGGTATTTCCCAATCATTTCCGTCATTCAATTCAGCCCAACGCCTCGCACTTCATATTATGCCCATCGTGAGAAGTCTAAACGGTCAACCATGAGCTCGTCTCCATTTGTATCCTTTTCTGGCTCCACTGTAGACATCGCCGATGATTTTTGAGAACTAGAGTCAATCGAACTAGAGAGAAAGCTGAAGTTGGCAACCGATGCTCGACGAATACTAGTCATATTCTCACGGCCCTTGGTATCAGAAACCGTACCGTTCGATGTGCTTGGTGGAGAGATATGGATAGAGTTAGATCGCTTCGGGGGTACGTGCTTCACCCTAAGCCGATTGATTTCACGTAGGCGATTGCGCCATGGGGAAACATGTTCTCCACCCTCGCGATTTGCCCAGACTGAGGAGAACACTGAAGCATTCATTGCTAGCAAGCGGATGAATTCCGGTAACTTCCTAAGACTGATGATCTTCATTTCAGCAGCAGGGGAAATCTCCGGAAAACCGGGCTTGCTCATGACCTGAACTTTGTAGTATGGATCTTTTCGCAGTCGTCCTTGCCGTGGATCTCTGGCAGCGGTAAAGGATAGACGAGATTCCGGAGCAATGACAATGTTAACGTAGTTGAAGTCAGATGGAAAGGTGTCGTATTTGAATGGTAAGCCGGAGTTGTTGAAGATAATATTCACATAATCGTTGCCAATATGCTTCTTTTTGTGAGAGCATTGTGGATCGTGCTCGAGATTTGTCGGCATCTGCGTTGTAACATGAAAAACTATTTCAGAAACGCGGTCTCTCCAACAAAATGCAGTCTCTCCATCCATACCATATTCTCTGTCAAGACCTTGAGTGTTGAATTTAGCCCCTTTCAATTCAGTGAGCGTCGCAAGCCCTGCAAGAAATGTATAGTACTCTTCACTACCGGTGATGTTAGAGAGTATCTCAACTTCTTGTGTCTGGTTGTCGCCGATGTAAACAACCCCGACTTTGTGGCCATCCACGGTAGGGTTACGATCAAGAGCCCACACAGCACGTCTAGTCATGTCGTCATCAGGAAGAGCGATTGGACGCGTGAACTCAGTGCCTTGCGGGATTGAAGCAGTTAATTGTAAAAGGAGGTGGCTAGGGAGAACAACGTTGGCATTGGAGTGCTTTGCGTCCCGTAAAGCATCTGTGGTGAGAGAGATTTGATGTGGAGGCGGTGGGCTGAATTTTTCGCGAACCATATAACAAGAAGTACCTGAAGGATGGCGCTTGGTAATTTGGGCCCAACCTTTGTGAGTCGCTTGTTCAATGGTGACAACGCTGTGGCCAATGATCCAGCGCTTCTTCAAAATTTCACCATATAGTTCCGGGGTGAAATCTGGATCAGCTGAAGATTCGTCCACATCGGCATAGGCAACCCTTTGCATAAAATCTAAAGTTACTTGTGCCTGCTCATCAATCTTCTCCTTACCATTCGCATCGGTTGAGACAAGGTTTTTGGCGATCCAGCCGACTTGGCCAGCGCGATCAGTGAGTTTCAAAGACAAGAACCAAAAAGTGATGACATGGTATGCAAGAGCATACACATACTGTGGCAAATCATCCGAGCTGTTAGATTGGGCGCTTGGATCCAATAAATTGTGTTCTGCAGAAAACGGTGCTGAGGAAATTCGAGCTCGAGCAAAGTTGTTCCTTGCATTGGTGTCCTTGGTCGGTTGATCCCGCACATTTTGGAGATATCGGAAACATACAGCAAAAACAGTTCGGTATTCTTCCTCCCGAAAATTGGCATATAGTTCTGGAAGTCTTGAGAGGCAAGCCAAGAATTCCAGAATGTGAATTGCGACATGCTGTTGAGTAATAATCTGCGACATCTTTTGAACAATGGTTACCAGTGCTTTTCTAGTCGAACCAGGCAGCTCATGGCAACAAATCGAAAGGGCGTGAATACAGCATTTGGCGGCCCGCTCCCACGCTCCCACACCTTGTAAGAAGGTCCTTACAATTTCGTCTTCCTCGGCCTTGGAAAATTCCCGATTATAACTTGTGACCATTGTTAAGACATGAAAGAGACAAATGGCAACATCAGCTTTGCGCAGGCCAGATGACACTGGGGGTTCTTGAAAGCTACTATCTCTAATTAGATCACACAACAAAGATCTGAGCTTCTTTATCTGGGGAATTGATGATTTGAAAAGCGCTTGGTTTGTCAATTGAGATGGTAGGTGAACAAGTATGTAGCTGTAAACTTCCCAGTCACATCCGTCATCGAGGAGTTGGCAAAGAACATCGAGATAAAAGTCAATGTTCAGGACAGTCTGAACAACTGGCTGACAGGGTTTGACCTCATTATTGTGGTCAGATCCTTTCTCTTGGGCTTCACTCGTATCTGGACGGACGGACTCGACTGAGGTATGTGAGAAATTATCGGAAGGATCTACTGCGGAGCGTTCTTTATGCTCCTCTACTGCGTTTGTTTCGGAGATGATACTTTGAACATCGGACTGCTGCAAACCTTTTTGGTCAGAAACTGCGCCTGCGCCGTCCAAATCTTGTGCAATAAACTCCCGATCCGCACTTTCGATAACTGAAACTAGACGTAAAGTAGCATTGCCAGTTGTGGTGTCCGGCAAGGCGTCTGCATCTGGAGACATCCACATCTGATGGTTACGCTGTAAAGTTCGATTCATGCCACTGCCTAGCCTGAAAGTCTGCTTAGGAAGAGACTGTGGTTGGCCACCAGAGGTAGTAGTCCGGAAAAGACGAGAGTTAGAATCATCTACCCGAGCTAGACGTGTCTGCTGCGCAGCTTCATCTGCGGCGTGCTTCCTAGCTAGAGATTCCGTCGTCCGAAATAGAGAAGCCGCTAAAGTATCTGATTCGGTGAAGGGGGTAAGGAAAATTCTATTCATCGCATCTGCTCGAAGTCGGAAGAACATTTTTAGAGCAGATATACGGGAGTCAGTAGGGCAGTCGGAAGCCTGCACAATGGCAAGTAATTCTTCGAACACTCGTAATGACTTGGAGACATCGGTAAACATGGTTCGCATAAATATTTGAATAAAACCCTTCACAACGACATTGGAAGGACTGTGCACAATAGGAGGTGTGGCATCAGAAGCTGCAGACTTGCTCGACAATATGCCATGACGAGACCCAGGAGGTGAGCCAAGCGGTGATTGCATCCGGTCACTGGTGACAACACTTCTCATAATGTCTATAGCATGCTGAAACAAGCTTTCATCCGGAGTTTGCTCAGCCATGACAACAGCGAAATCGATAAATTCCTGCAATATTGCAATATCCTTCTCATCTCGGACATATGCCAAGACTGTCACCGCAAAAGCTTCAAAGATCTCAGGCTGATCAGTAACGCTGACGATAACGTATACATCTGTGACAGCTTTCAAAGCGTGTAGTCGAATGTCGGACGGGCGGGACCGATCGGCAAGAAATCCGCCAAGGATCAGGTTAATGTTATTCTTCCATTGTAGATCTGATGGCGAACAACATTTATAGTCGATGAAATGATCAATGACCAATCTTGCGCAAGTGTCTGGAAGATAGGCATGAGATTTGATAAAGAATTTAAAACAGTCGTCTTTTTGAACGAAGTTGAGCGGAGGCGAACTCAACAATTGCTCGACACGCAGAATCAGATCACGAATTAATTCCTCCATATTTGTTATGAACTTCTGCTGCGGAGTTTCATCCTTTAGAGACGGGCTTCTGTTGATAGTATTGTATATCTGAGATCGGTTTGTTACTGGGTCTGTAATACGTCTAGAGCATATAGACACAATCTCAAACATCAGTGACCAGTCTTCGTCCAGCACATTCTGCATGATTCCGCCTTCGTGAGTAAAAAGTGAATGAACCAACTGCAATGTATCGCAGTCGACTGCAGTACGATCAAGCTCAAGGACCTTTCTTAGAGAGGTCATGAGCAGTGTGAATGGGACCAAGGGATAGCCATTCTTTGCGTCCTTAGCAAATAACTTCTCTAATGCTGAGATAGCGCCCCTGACCTCTTTGATATTTTGGCTGTATTGTTTATCGTCGGATTTGTCTAATAGAGGCTTTCCAAGTATCTCCATCAGTATTCTGACCATCGTGAGCCCGTGATGGGATCTGCACAGGTTGCTAATGCATCTCCATGCGTCTTGGTGTACATTCCAGAGAGAACTGTGTATAGAGCAGAGAACCTTCACAATCGGCTGAAGCTCCCTATCTGGAATATCTCCGTATGTTATAACGGCATCGAATACTTGATTACAAGCTTTGAGATCCGCCTCTGTAGCAGAGGAAGTGCAAATCTCAAGAATCTGAGAAAGAAGTTGGGATGATGCTGAATCCGTGACAATATTGGAACTAAACTTGATAACATCTGCAATGAAAACAAACAGCAGAGATAGGTTAGACTCTTCTTCTGAAGGTGTCGGTTCCTTCAGCAAAGGGCTCTGACGGGTGGCCTTCTTGAGCGCATTTCGTTCTGCTGTGGCTGCAGACCAAGTATCCTTCAGCCATGTAGTCAACAAAGGTAGTAGTTCATAATGAAAACCTGAGAGATCTTTGCCGTGCCGTGATAGTTCGATCAATGAGACAAGTTGCAGGTGAAAGTCTTCCCTGTTCGTGGGACGACTCAATACTTGGAAAAAGCTTGCTCTTTCGGGATCGTTTGAGGACGTACATTGAACACAGGCAATCAACAATTCGAAACCCGCAATTCGCGCTTGCTGTGTCTGACTCGTTTCAATCAAATCTTTGCCTGCATTGAATATCATGGATATCTGTCACAATATTAGTAAGCCAACAGGTAGATCTCGATCTAGATTACCTACATTTTCCATGGGGTAGTCAATCACGGCACGACGTAAGTGTTCCGCTGCACGAATGCGATCTGCGAGGCTGTGACCTGCCTGTAGCTGTTCAAGCGTTGGCTCGTGGTTGGGTGTACTACCATGGCTAAGCTTTTGCGGAATGCTTCCATTGTCGAGCTGTAAGGGACCTGTTGCTGGAGATTGCGTACTTGGACTTTTGGTGATTTTGCCGCCGGTCAAGCTTTTAAATACACTCGCAATTCCGCTAGAGCTCCTTGGTTCCGGCGTCTGAGCTGCGTCTCCGACAGGTGGAGGCATAGAAGCTCGAGTATTCGAAGCGCGAGGGGTCGAAGCTCGAGGATTTCGTTGAACTCGAGAGTCTGTTTCAAGATTCCATCTGTTAGTAAATGCAGGATACATATTGGTAGCTTTTCTTGTAGAGATTTGTATTGCAATGTTTGTGTGCAAGTAAAGCAATCGAAGTTGACAAGAGGAAAAGAATAAGGCAACAGGTGTTTGTGAATCGCCGGGACAATTATGTTCCCAGATTCCTAAGGCAACCGACACCTTGCTCTATTTTACATCTTCTCGAACATTGTATGTGGAATTCGCATACGAGTCACATGAAGAAGAATACATCAGCAGAAAATTTGGACTTCTACACTGTAGGCCATTCTAGGTCTAGCTGCATCAAATAGGATGGAATGGATATTGATAATCAGCCGATGACGATATCACAAGCCCATACTTCTATATCTGGGTTCACTGAGCTTGACCTCAATGGTATCAATGTAGTAAAGATCAACAAGGACATCTAGTTGCATGCATGCATGGGAAGTCTAACCACTAACTGTGTTCTCCAAATCATGAAGAGTAGATGTCTTGCTTGTAGAGGTGTGAGGAGTGAATGAAGTGAAGCATTTGCAGGAAACCAAACTTTCGGAAACTATATAAAGAAGTTTGGATTTTGCAATATGAAGCGTGAGGGGTGAATGGAGTGAAGCAGTTACCTAGGCCATGCATAAAAAAATTAAACTTTCAAAAAGCATTATGAAGATGAATAAATATCTAAAATTCAAGCTGACATGGAAACAGTATATGCCTAAGTGTATAAGAGAGGTATACCCTCTATAAATTTTTGACTTCACTTCCGAGGCTACCAAACTATTGTCAAGCCTATAAGGCTACAAGGCTGCCAACTTGACTGATGATGACACTAGTCTTCAGTGAGAGACTTCCTGATAGGTTTCTTCAACAACCAGATCAGATAAGAGTACAAAAAAGTTTTACGATAAAGATATCTGAGTGTGATAGCATGTTTGATGAAACTTCTTGACGGAACAAAACCTTTAACGTACATCTTTCGTTTTGCTTTCAAATAGCTCATAAATTGTTTGTCGCTTTAGCTGGAATCAAGGAATCATTCTTGAAAGACTTTCTTGGCTTGACCCGTTGCATGTTTCTATGAAGTCGGATTTCGGATTATCTCTGCCTCCGAGCTCCATCCTTTTTAGATTCTAGAAAGTTTACAAACAAACATTCTGTGTCAATCACAGCTCTTGATTTCTATTTAGATCTTCACACGGTCTCTTTAGATATGTCTTCAGATATTCAGACAGTTGCAGCTCTGCTACAAGCTACTTTAGACCCTAGGCAGCATAAACAAGGTTTGTAAACTACTCGGGCTCATGTTTGTAAAGTAATTATTGACTGTTTTGTGTAGCTGAGGCAGCTCTGAAGGTTGAGCAGGGCAAACCTGGATTTTCTCTCCTCCTACTCAACATCGTTGCGGCAGATAATCTTCCAGTTAATACCAGGCTTTCGGGAGCTTTATGCTTTAAGAACTTCATCAAGTACAACTATGTGGTAAGTATCTCGCGCTGTTTCCACTTCTTTGCTAACAAATCTCTAGGACGAAGAGAGAAACTACAAGCTTCCACAAAATGAAGTTTTTACGATAAAGACTGAGTTGATTGGGCTCATGGTCTCGGTCCCAAACAGTATACAAGCCCAGCTTGGAGAAGCTATTAGTATAATCGCAGAGTCGGACTTCTGGGATAGATGGGATACATTGGTGGATGTTAGTTACTTTTCTAGCGGATCTATGTTCGTCCTGGAAAATTTACTGACAATATGTAGGATTTGGTCTCGCGCCTCACTCGCGATAATGCTAAAATCAATAATGGTGTACTGGAAGTTGCGCATTCGATATTCAAGAGATGGAGACCGCTGTTTGCCTCGGATGCTCTATACACAGAAGTCAACCACGTACTATCAAAATTTGGACAACCTTTTGTCCAGCTTCTAGCGGTATACTTAACTCGCGCAATGTTATTATAAGCATTAGCTAACTCGTTTTCCATAGAGCACCGACCAGCAAATACAAGCTAATAAGGATAATAAGGAGGTTTTGAAGCAACATTTCGAAACGATGAATCTCTTGATGAAGGTTTTCTTCGATCTTTCGTGCCAAGATCTCCCTCCTATCTTCGAGGATAATATCGAAGACTTATCTAAACTTCTGCACAAGTACCTGACGTATGAAAACCCTCTCTTAGCGACAGACGATGATTCGGAATCAGGACCTCTCGAATTTGTGAAAGCAGGAATATGCGAGGTTTCAACACTTTACATGCAGAAATACGAAGACGCATTCGGTAGTCTTTGTGAGCCCTTCATTACAAGCGCTTGGAGTCTATTGACAACCATTGGCCCCGAAACGAAATTCGACATACTTGTTAGCAAGGCATTGCATTTCCTGACCGCTGTTGCAAGTCTCGACAAGCATGCTCAAAATTTCAACAATGGTGATATCTTGAGTCAGGTGGTCGAAAAGGTCATCTTGCCCAATGTAAGCTTGAGGGAAACCGATATCGAACAATTCGAGGATGAGCCTATCGAGTACATCCGAAGAGATCTGGAAGGCTCAGACGCTGACACCAGACGACGAGCAGCAACAGACTTTTTGCGCAAGCTTTTGGAGAAGTTTGAGCCACTTGTGACTGATGTTGTTGGCCGATACATTAAACACTACCTCGACCAATTCTCGCAAAATGGTAGCGATCATTGGAAATCTAAAGATACTGCTGTATACTTGTTTTCTGCTATCGCAGCAAAAGGTGTCATCACCACTGGACAAGGTGTTAAAACTACTAACCCCTTGGTGGATGTTGTCGACTTTTTCCAGCAAAACATTGCAAATGATCTTCTGGCGGAAACTAACGTGGAGCCAATCTTGAAAGTGGATGCTATCAAGTTCCTTTACACGTTCCGTAGTCAACTAACGAAAGATCAATGGAAAGCGGCATTTGAACCTTTGGTTAAGAATTTAGGATCCTCAAATTATGTGGTATATACTTATGCCGCAATAACGGTGGAAAGAGTTTTGTTCCTCACAAACGATGCAAACCAGCATATCTTTGGGAAGGAAGATGTACTGCCGCTTGCTGAAAGTTTGTTGGATCATTTGTTCCATTTGATCGAAAAGGACGCTGCACCGGAAAAGATCCAAGAGAACGAGTTCCTAATGCGCTGTGTTATGAGGGTGCTCATTGTCATCAAGGACGGCGTTATTCCAATAGCAGATAATGTTTTGCAACACTTGATCAAGATCACTCAGGTTATTGGCCAAAATCCTAGTAACCCCCGCTTCTACTACTATCACTTTGAGGCCTTTGGTGCTTTGATTAGGTATGTACAACTCTTTTATGCATAGCTCATATCTAACATACATAGATGGTCCGCACCTTCACAACCGGATAAGCTTGAGAATGACCTTTATCCAACATTTGCTGGTATTCTCTCCAGTGATGTTCAAGGTATGCTCAATATCCGCTCGGAATATGGACCCTTAAACTAACAATCACCAAGAGTTCATGCCTTACGTCTTCCAGTTATTCGCCGCTCTGCTGGAAGCCAACCCATCCACAACACTTTCTGACTACTACAGAAATTTGATCACCCCTATTCTAAGCCCTACTCTTTGGGAATCCCGTGGAAATGTGCCAGCACTCACCAGGTTACTTTCCGCAATGATCCCTAAATGCGCTGCTGAACTTGTAGCGAACAACCAACTCGAGCCAATTCTTGGTATTTTTCAGAAACTAATGGCCGGGAAATCAAGGACGGAACTACAGAGTTTCGATGTCTTGGAAGCTTTGATTATATCATGCAACGTGTAAGTAATCTCGTTATTTGCACCATTTGTATGCTAACAAGTAATAGCACTGCCATCGAGCAATACTTCCCCACGATTTTGAACATCATGTTCACGCGTCTTAACAGCAACCCTCCGGAAGCTTTCAAGCGTCGCTTCGTCCGCTTCTACCACCTTATCTCATCTAAAGATCAGCAAGGCCTTGGAGCAGATTTCTTCATAAAGCAATCAAACGCCGTGCAAGACACCGTATTTGTGCCTCTTTACCTGACCATCATTCTACCAATTACCCAGCAATTCCCTCGACCACTAGACCGCAAGATAGCCGTCATTTCTTTGACAAAGACCCTGACCGATTCACAAGCATTTGCTGTCACATATAAGAAGGGTTGGTCGAAGACTTGTGAAGCTCTACTCAAGTTGTTGGAAAATCCACCACTACCCGTCACAACGGATGATGTAGTCGCTGAAGCGGACGTTGATGATCTTAGCTTCGGAGTTGGCTTTACACAACTTAACACTTGCAAGAAGGTGGCGGACGACGAATGGCCAGAGATCACGGATGTAAAGCTTTGGGTGGGGTCATATCTGAGAGATGCAAATGCACGACACGACAGAGCAATTTCAGGTTTCGTCAACGAAAGATTAAATTCCGAGGCCAGAAGTCTACTGGTTGAATATATGCAGTAGGATGGAAGATTATTACGCATGACACGAAGGCGACGAAATAATATGGTGTTTTGTACTGATACAGGAGCATTTCAGCGAGGTAGCGAAAAGCAGGTAAATTGGTTTCCATGATTCCCACAGTGAGTAGTATTGAGGAACGAGATGCATCCATGATACAATCTGTCCAATGCATAAGTTATTGCCTGAATTCTGGAATTGCTTGCCATGACCTGGCCTCCGGGGTATGGAGCAATCATTAGATAGAGGTGCTTTGGATCTTGAGATACTGGAAGCGATGCTTTTTATCTTCATATTCCATTTATCCCGTGTTGAACCATGACCATATACATAACAAATACTATTTGAAGATTATTTTGTTTGGTGTCTTTTTGAGAAGCGATATCCTCGGGCAGCGAAAAGATAAACCATTCCATTGTGTTTCCACGTGACCTCGAAATTAAAATTTATCCATCAATTCACCCAGTTACAAACAACAGATTCCCAAATATTTTCGTAGAAGATTTTCCAACTGACAATAAAAAAACAAGTGCACCATTTTCGAATATTTGTACCGAAATTACATTAATAGAAGCCAGGAGCTTGCAAAATAAGTGCTGAATACTTAGGGAGGTGAAATTGTTACTAGCCCTATAATAGATAACCGAACCCGCGATTTTTGATTTTGAATCTATTGGTGGGGTTGAACTATATTTTTTTCGACGGACGACGACTCAGAGCATAATCACAGCATCATGAGCGCCTTTCAAAATGGAGGCATCGCATCGCGAGCCTTGGACGATGACTCCGATATTGAGGAGGAGGCTCTTGCAAACGACTACAAGGAGCAGGTTCAATATGAGGGAATGGAAGAGTTGGAACAAGTCAATTCGATGAGCATGGCACAACAGACGGATGATATTCAGTCGAGGCTTGCTGCTGCTGCACAACCTTTGGACTTTTCCGCTCCTCTGGAAGTCAAGTTTGCAAGCTACGATAATTATTGTAGTTTGTTTCACTTTATTTTGAACTCCGACGGGCCAGTTGACCTCGAACCTCCATCTGTAAGCTCTTTGTTCCTTCATTGACGGTATCATATGCTAATTACTTACAGTACTACTGGGCTTGGGACGTTATCGACGAGTTTATTTACCAATTCAACTCTTTCTGTTCATACAGAAACCGCGTCGCGCGTCAAGGAACAAATGAGGAGGAAATTCAAATCCTTCGTGAAGCGCCAAACACATGGGGATGCTACAGCGTTCTCAACGTCTTATACTCTCTCATCCAGAGATCGCAGATCAACGAGCAGCTAGCTGCCATGAAACGCAACGAAGAGCCCATGGCAGTCGCTGGTGATTACGGTTCAAAGTCCTTGTATAGAATGCTCGGATACTTCTCCATCATTGGATTGTTGCGAGTTCATTGTCTTCTCGGGGATTTTAGTCTTGCTTTGAAAACCCTTGACGATATCGAGCTTAACAAGAAGGCTATGTTTGCACGCGTTATGGCCGCCCATTTCACTACCTATTACTATGTGGGATTCTCATACATGATGATGCGGAGATACGCAGATGCCATCCGCATGTTCAGCCACATCTTGATCTACGTTTCAAGAACCAAGAATTTCCAAAAGAACGCACAGTATGACTCAATCTCAAAGAAGAACGATCAAATGTACGCTCTCATCGCCATCTGTGTCGCTTTCCACCCAACTCGTCTCGATGACACCATACACACTGCTCTCCGCGAGAAGTATGGTGATCAACTCCTAAAGCTTCAACGCGGTGGACCAGAATCTCTTCCAATCTTTGAAGAGCTATTCCGCTCCGCTTGCCCTAAATTCATTTCTCCTACTCCTCCCGACTTCGACAACCCGGAGCTGAACGTTGACCCTCTCGAGCACCATTTATCTATCTTCATGGATGAGGTTAAGACAAATATGTGGAGCCCAACTGTGAAGTCTTATCTCCGATTATACACCACTATGGATTTAAAGAAGTTGGCCGGATTCTTAGAGGTTGAACCAGAGAAGTTGAGGGGATGGTTATTGGTCAACAAGCAACGCAGCAGACAAATCAGATGGACCGATAATGGATTGTTGGACGGAGAGGTAGTCAATTCTAATGATCTTGATTATGCTATGCAAGGGGTAAGTAAAAGCTGTGAATTGATGTGTAATTTTGCTAACCATTTGTTCAGGATCTTATTCATATTTCTGAAGCGAAGGTCGGCCGCAAGTTGGTTGATTGGTATCTCAGAAACCTTGCTCGCACATACTAAAACACCTTTCACGCTTTTCTCTTGACAATATTGCTTTCAACTCTATGGCATTGGTATGGCGTACTGGGTTGGGGGGGTGGAAAAGACAAATCTACGAAATGGTCTGTCAAAAATGGTATGAAGGCGAGGAGCCTCACGAGTAGAATAAAATAAATTATGAAGCAAAATCATGGATCCTCTGTGTACTGGATAACTTTGAAATAATGTGCATGATTTACCACTCCCCCTGTAACCTATGGTAAAGCATTCGCAAGGCTAAAAAGGAAGGCGCGCCTTCCTTGGCATTCAATATGTATCATAAAGGCTAACAATAACGTAACCAATTGCGTACACAATCGTTGATTCATCCATAACTCACTCTGCTTAGGTATTCCAGAAACTTAAAACTTCACCACCTGGGCATGAATAATAAATCTTCAAATAATCCCAGTACGACACCGCCGTTTCTCGCCTGAAGCTACCTAGGACGGACCACTTCCTCCATCCACTTTGACAAATCCCAAACCAACAGTCTCAAGGTTCTTATGCTCACCTCACCTCATTCGGCACAAAAGTATTCGAAAAAATACAATAGAGTCACTTCAAATAGACCAAATGTCTAGCTAATAACTGAACAACAACCTACCATGTCAGCATCTACTTCCCCACATGTTAAAAGTTCGGATTCGCCATCTCCAAAATCTCCTCTTTCACCCAACACTTCTGCGCCGTCGAATGCAGATTATTTTACTTCTCCAAAGCTTAGATCTATCACCGAACATGTCCAGTATGATCATCCACCTAGCCAGCGGCTAAACTCAATGTCAAGCATATCTTTCAGAGGAAGTTCGAAAGGACGGCGTCCCTTAAAAGAAGGAAATGCTAAAGGGAAGCCTCTGACCCGTCCTCGCCTCAGAGGCTCAAGTCCGCCTCCTCCACCGTAAGTCCTTTGTCAGACTCCCTATACTTTGTGGAAAATGATTTGGTACGCCTTAAGGCGAGAAGTAGATGGTACCATCAAATTAGTACTTTGTGACATCTCAAGCTCTCCTTCCCGGATCCTGGCGGCCGAAACCTGGGGCCGGGTGATCAACCCCACTTGGCTTCTACATCGCGGAAAGAAAACTCTCAATGGTTGATTAAGAGCATTCTTACATTACTACCTTATTATTTCTTTGCATTCTTTGGATCTAACGCTAATGGCTCCTTTAAATAGAAAATTTCAAGGAAAAGTCTCCTTTGACAGCATTGGATCATTATCGGAGCCCACAGAGAGGAACACTAGAAGCTACACACAAAACTCCAAACACGAGGGATATCAGTACAAGCGATCCTCAAGGACTTTTATGGTCGGCATAGATGAAAACTCGTATTCGGATATTGCTTTACAGTGGATGCTGGAGGAGCTCGTTGATGATGGGGACCAAATTATCTGTTTGAGGGTTGTTGATAAAGACTCGAAAATGATCACTGACAGGGCCCTGGAGATCAAGCAATATCAGCAGGAGGCAAGAGAGCTACTGGATGCTATACAGAAAAAGAATGATGATAATAGAGCTGTTAGTATTGTACTGGAGTATGCCATAGGAAAAGTCCATACCACATTCCAGAAAATGGTATGTTTGTACTATTCAATCGTTCGCGAAAGCTTGATGGCCACTTGCTAACAATCTTCCGGTCCAGATTCAAATTTACGAACCTGCAATGCTTATCGTCGGAACTCGAGGCCGAAGTCTCGGTGGTTTTCAGGGGTTGGTAGGAAATAGAAATTCATTCTCGAAATGGTGCTTGCAGTATTCGCCTATACCTGTTGTTGTCGTAAGACCTACGGAGAAGAGGTTAAAGAAGAAACAAAAAAGAGATGCCGATCCTGGACGTCAAAGTTACAGTCGTATTTTACTAGAGAGTGGAGTAAATGGCCATGAAACATCAATCGTTGCAAGCAATCTCGAGAGCGCGACAGGCCCTCTTATTGAGGCGCACGCGGTAGCAGCGGCTCTCGGTTTACCGGCGGAGTTCGATCCTACATTGACGCCATTTACTCTTGAGGGTAGTCGACCCCTCAAAAAAATAGATTCCGGCAAAAGCGAAGCAACAAGCTGTACCAGTGGATTTGATTCTCGACCTCAAAGTCCAGAGATGCTTGTGAAGAGTCCCAGTTCTGCACAGCTTGATAGTCCTATCATGAGCGGTGATGATTACAGTGATGGAGAAGGGGACGATGATGAAGGAGAATTCGAGGCTGTACCGGGACACATGCTACTTGGTAACGATAATATAGCTCAGCCAAACCCGGAAATCGAAAAGAAGAAGAAGCTTCATGAGATGGAGCTCGAAGAAGCTAAAGCTCTAGGTAGAAAATCATCTACTGCCTCTACTGAGAGCGTTGATCCGGAGGGTGGAGGAGAGAGTAGTTGACTAGCCGGCCCGGGCGAAACTTTATACGGAACATCCAATGGCGAATACCACTCTTACGAGAATGCTCTGTTATTAATACCTTCCTTCATTTAGCTCATTTATTTTGCTATTTTGGAATGCCTGCACCCGGGCCAGGCTTATATGGAGGGAGAAAAGGTGGGGTTGGGGGGGGGAGAGGGAAGAAGCGGAGAGGAGGAAAGTGGGAGAAGGGGAGAAGGGAGGAGACGTAATAGGATGAGGGGTAATAGGAGGACGGGAGGTATGAGGACGGGATGAATGGACTCTCACGAATGACACGAATGCTATGATTAATGATGACAAAGGTATAAGGTTAAACTCGGTATGGGAATGGGCACAAGGCTGCATCGATACTACGGTACATGCAATTGCGAGATCACACAGCGGGATATGACATAACATGAAGGACACATCGACAAGGGTACCTAGTCTTTTTCTAATTTGAGCGAACATCTTAAAGTTATGGCCCGAGCCTTTACAATGGATTCTATTTGCGCTTCAAAATACTGTGAAAGCGAAGCTGTTCTGTTTAGCGATTGTTTTTCCTTTTGTATTTGAGCAGGACAGAATGACCTACAAGGCTTAGGTAGCTCATGGCACTATCCAATTTGCGAACTTGTCTCCAACAATTAGATTTACCATGACACTCCTCAATACTTAAATTGCTCTTGACATTGATATAGTATCTATGCAATCGGTCTTGTCATTGTATGAAAGTGAAATCTAGCTGTAATTAGCACCCAGGTTATGATCATCGATAGTGTCGAATCAAGTATAGCCACGCCTTAAACTGGCCGCGAGCGCCGCGAACATCATGGTGTTGGTTTTTTCTTTTGTTTTTGGGTCTTCCTAGGGAGGGGTTTAGACTGTTGGGGGTTTCGGTGGGTTCAATCGTATTTAGTGGGTTGGAATACCTACGCTCTGCTATTGGTAAGAAGGGTAGATCGTAAGGATGCGGGGTAGCTATTAGCTATTTGAGAATACTGATCTAGTTTTACACAGAGGGAATTATTTAGGTTTTCATATAAGTGTCTGACTGGTGAGCTTTGACGTTATATAGTCGATTCAGTTCATTTCATTCATGTAATAGATTATCCTTGAGTTTCTCGAGCTTTTCTCATGAGAAATTTCTTTAAAGGTTTTGAAGAAGAAGAATATAAACAGCTAAATCTATCTACGTCATTCGCCTGGTCCAATCCATATCCATGCTCCCATTTATATCTAGAAACCTCCTCTCTCATAACCAAAACCAATTAACTCCCAACCAGGATATTATCCAATACCAGCTATTACCCATCCACCAAAACCACCCATGACATAAACCTCCCAATCACGATCTCCTCCCCAGGCTCCTCGCAGCAGAACTCACGGTCCTCAAACTCTCCCTCCTCTCCTCCCCACCAATCGCCTCTCCAATACCTCCAACCACACACTTCGGAAACGCCATTTCGGGCATCTCCCACGTTCTCTCTCCATGACCACTCGCACTGGGGATCCCTACAATCTCATCCTTCCTCACCGTCACCACATCGTGGCTTCTTGCACTCTTGTGACTTTTCGCTACGCTTCCCCGCGTTTTATGTACCCTCACACTCTCAACCTTGCTTGCCATCTCCTCGGCGTCGAAATCCCATTCCCTCCAAAAATCTCGCTTTCCCCTCGTGGCGCGGCGCACCCAGCCTGGTAGTAGACCTCCTCGGACTTTATATGTCCAGTAATCTTTCAGTTCATAGTCGTGTGGCATGATTCTTCCTCCTGACATCTTTGCTAGAGCCCATGCAGAAGTATTGAGGAGTGTATATGTGACGATTCCTGTGATCAGTCCGTAGGCAATCGAATAGGTAAAAGGCATGATGGCTAGCGTCAAGAAAGCCGGGATAGAATCACCCAGGTATCGCCAATTAATTTCTGTGCACGCGCGCGCCATCATTGCGCCAACGAGGATGAGAGTGCAGCCGGTTGCCCAGGGAGGAATGCTAGCGAAGATCGGGGCGAAGAACAGACTGATGAAGAAACAAAAACCGGTAGTGACGGCCGTGAGACCCGTTACTCCGCCTTCTGAAATTCCGGCGCCGGATTCAATAAATGCAGTGACGGGCGGAGAGCCCATGAAAGAGCCAAGAGATATACCAAAGGCGTCCACTAGGTAGGCCACGGCACTGCCTTCAAAATCCTGTGTATCTTCATCGATGGCTCCACAGAAACGCGCCATCGAATATAATGTACCCGTACAATCAAGGATATCGACGTAAAGAAATGTCACAAGCGCGGAAGCGAATTGCCCTGCGCCAGCTCCAGTGATGTTCCAATCCTGCGCAGCGAGCACTCGAGAAATAGGATGAAAAGTGACGACTTTTTTGAAAAACTCAAAGGCCGCATCGCCGGAAGCGGTGGGAGGGAAATAGGTAACGGAAGTGTTGCGCGGCCATGAAACGACGGAGACGAGGAGGATTCCTGCTATGACAGCACCTTTGACACGGTACATCATCAAGAACGCCGTGAACATTCCCCCACCGAATATGCCAAGCCACATGGTTGGACTTCGCATTTTACCCGACGTGCATGTTCCGTCTGGGGCAATGAATTCAGGGATACAGCCTGTTACTTGAAGAGGTACATCTGCATTACTGCCTGTGATAGCACCGATTCCCGCACTGTAAGTGAGTCCAATGAGAGCGAGGTAGAGCCCGATACCTGCACCGCTGGCGATCTTCAAGCTTCGGGGTATGGCGCGCGCAAGCCATTGCCTCAGTCCGAGTATTGAAAGTGCAACAAAGAGAAGCCCTTCAATGAAGACAGCTGTTAATGCTAGTCTGTATGAGACCGGTCCCTGACCATGAATTCCGACAACTTGGTAGGCAAAATATGCATTAAGTCCCATGCCTGGAGCTAGAGCTATAGGCATATTTGCAAAAACACCCATGCAAAAGCTCGTTAGAGCAGATATCGCTGCCGTACCTGTAACCAGATCTTGATTGACCTCCTGAACGCATATCTGGTAACTGGGATCCGTTGAACTGTCTAGGCAAAATGGATCCGTGGAATCAGGAGGATAATGGCATATACATGTTCCTCCAGTAGCTTGGGAGGTGTCAGCGAAGTTATGGAGATATGTTTCTAAAACTAACCTGATACAATGGAAGCATTGACTGAGATGATATACGCCATAGCAAAAAAAGTGGCGAGACCAGCTCTTACTTCTGTCAGAAACCTGGAGCCTTTCCTCTCATATCTATGCCCAGAAAATTCCAACCTGAATCGTCTTCCAACGGGGCTCTTCGCCACGGTCATATTCGTCTTCTCCACCTAAATTCCAATAAGCATTAGAATCGCCAAAAGACCGTTAACTATAGTTACCCAACCCATGATGGAAAAGTGTATATTCTATCATGCAATAAAGTTGGTGGTTCTCTCTTGGATAAGATGATTGTGATATGAGTCCTTTTATATGGTCGATGCTATATACATGGCCACAGATTATTGTAAAACTTAAATATCTATTATTGACCAACCAGGTAAGATTGTCCAGTTATTGTCCGGCTCCACGGACAAACTCTGCCAAGGTAGAATGAATAAGATTTTTGTTGTGTTTGAGATATGCCCAAAACGTTAATAAACTCGATTGCTCCAACATTCATCCGGTATAGACATGAAACGCAGATATAAAGGCCCAAGAGAATTACGATGTTAAGTCCGTCAAGACTCTAATACCAGAGGCGTTTGGATTGTATAAACTGATCGAAAGCACTGAGAGAAACGGGTTGCGACCGAAAGCGCGGGATCAAATTTTGGGAATCTTTGAGCCAAAAGGAAGAAAAGATAAAAATACGATGAAGGCAAAGTATAGATGGCGGAAATAGTAACAGAACATATGGATGGCACATGCCCGGTAGTCACTGCAGCCGTGTGTAACGTGTAGCATGACAGAATCAGTCAAACAACCTGGATCTGAACTCTCAGATTAATGGACGTAGTTACGGTGGCTCAACTTTCTAAAGGCCTGATTAATCTTGCTACCCCTACACCTTATCTAAGGTTATTTTCCCCGAGCATTTTATAATGAATTTGTCCAATGATGACTGGGAGCAAGAATACAGCAGCCTTGTAGCTTCTATCAATCCGCGTCCAGTATCTTTGCAGCACCTTGCTCGATATATTCGTTCTCAAATCGGGACAATAACCCACTTGGGAATCAAGTCCGCCAAATTCGGAATACTCTACCGAGAGGAGCAGCTGGGCGTTGCCCACATTATCTGATACATTAGAAGTGATTTGTACAGAGTCCAGTTTGACTCGCTATGATCAGACGTAGATAAGTCCGCCTATGTCCACTAGGAACACGAACATCTCTCTCGTGTTACGAGTGATGAACTCCAAATACTCCTAATTGCCGAGCTGATCAGACAGAACATTAGAAGAGACTCAATTTTCTTGGAAAGGAAAATCACCGGACAATACCGATATGTACTGGATACTTTACCAGGAATGTTGTGAAATGAAATTAGCCATCGCGTCCTGAGCCAGTCAAAAAACACTCTTGATGATAACTATCATCGAAGGAGTGATAACGGTCCAGAATCACCATTCCCAACGAAAATTTCCTCAAATTAAAAATGCTCAAGCCTTCAAGTCTGTCTGTATTATAAAAGCCAAACCTGATTCTAAGAATGTGTTCGTTCTTGGAGCTACAAAATCCGAGACAGCCAAACACTCATTTCTCCTGGCTGTGGTGCGAGTAATCTTGTGCCACTTTGTTCTCTTGGATTATTGATACATACATATGTTCCTCATCCCCAATCTTTCAAAGCTCCGTTGTCATGATGGCAACGACTTCTGCAGTGTTTTCTCCTCGTGACACAATACCGGCCGCTGTGGTCAGCGAAGCTGCAGCTACTTCTTAGCTGTGTTTGTTCAGCTTGATATTAGCCAATAGCTTCAGACGTATCACTTATGCGCATCGTGAATTCTTGATATCATGCTTACGGAGTACACTTTGATCCTGGGCTAGTTTTCCAAGCTTGATTGAAGAGGTAGGTGATTGTGGCATGTAAAGATCAGCTTCATTGTATTTTTCGAGTCAATTTTAACAAATCTCTGAGTTCGTTTGCCAATAGTGTAAAGAAGGTAAATAAATAAACTTGCCTACTAATTCCACGCAATCATAAAAAGTAGTTCCACAAAGCTGTAAATTGCCCGATAGAGTTAGCAGCCCATGAACAAGTAGTTAAATGGTCTGATATTGAAGAAGCAGAAAAGCCTTACGGATGCAACATTGACAAACGGGTACTTACTGCTTTTGTCGTAACACCTTTACAGAGAAAGAGGTAATAAACCAACCAACTTAGCTCCTAACCTTGCCAGATTGTCCTTAGATATGATATACGATCTGTACGTATACGTGCGTGCATTTATGTATGTACATATATGCGCTATGGGGATTTAGTTTATGCTGTGGAATTTGGGGTTTTGTATGGTGGACCACACTGGCACGTTATCTGGGGTTAGCTTGTGGAGAGCAGTTCTCTCCAACTACGATGAGAGCCAGTTATCATTCATATCCTAGGAAATTTTCTTACTACAATATTTAGAAAAGATGGTGTATTGTTCCTTACCTCCAAAGTTTTGAAGATCATGTGCATTTGGCAATATTTGAGCAGAGATTGAACAATAGAGATCGGACCATATATCATCCGAAGAGCCCAGCCAATTTTTGATCAATGATGGCTTGATTGATGAAGACGAACGACTGGAAAAGTATCGAATGTGGAAAGAATAACCTTGATAATAGATCCCATCAATCGAAATGATGATGGGATGGGACGGACATACATCGAACGAGATTCTGACATATGCCCAAAAAGGAAAATCGGCGTCTTACACTGTAGCTGGTGAAGTTTTGTGTTAAATGAGGCTCATAATCTTGATCTTCTGACGGTTTGATAATTGTCAGCTTGGTTGTACATTGATTTCGCATTGCACAATCTACTCATAGCAAATGAGACGGAATCAGGCAATACTAGTCTAAATCGTTCGAAGTATCTAGTGCTTGCTTTTTCCTTAGCATGGTACGGAAAGCTACATTGAGCGGGAGGAAGATAATATCATGCAGCGAGGGGAGCCGAAAATAGGTACATAAGCTCCCGCACATGTGATATTGTATTGTCCAACGCCATTTCTAACAGTGTGAAAAGCGGTGCATGAAGGCGATTATCTTCCGGTGCGGCACTAGATAGTCGCATGGCAGTGGCAGTGGCACTTAGCAATGCTTTGGTTGAGATACATATTAGGATAATTGTGGTGTTGCAACCAAGTCCGTTCTGGGAATAGAGTCTCAGATCATCAGCATGTCTCGACTTAAGATCATGCTGTGTGCTTCACTTGAAACGAAATTGGAGTGTCCAAAGAAAGTTATCTGAACTTTTGACCTGAAATCACAATGAGGCTCCATTTCACCGCAGTCATGGTACTGAATTCTCCAAAGGTAGCAGACTAGACTAAGCTTTGAATGTTGAAAAAGCCATAGTCTTCAAGCATGTTTTATTTACTTGTTGTTTTTAGATATATTCGATCCTTCAAGCGAGTTTAAAAATCAAAAACTCTCATTATAGGTCTCCTATCTGGTCTACTAGGTGGCCGACTTCATTGTGGTCCTGAAGAAACGAGAAGGATACCCCTAAAATAGAGTAAAAAAGCTAAAGATGATCGGATAAACCATCGAGTTGGAACGAGGTCAGAACCAATGCCCGAGCGGACGTGTGCAGCAGGGTATGGTTGGGTAATTTGAAGTTCTATACAACGAAAATATAAACATACACATTCTGAATACGTGTACTAATTCATTCCCACAGCTTTTAATGCCGCAAATGCACCATGCCCAATTCCATAAATTCCAAACGCCCACTCCTTCGGAATATTCTCTTTTTATCTATTCTAAAAATGTGAAAAGATTTGTATGCAATATGTTCATCGCGCGTGTGGCTTCATAAGCATCTATGACACAAGATATGTTGATCTCACTCGCCCCTGAATGTCGCTTGTTAGTTGTCGAATCGATGCACGGGACGGAGATTCTAAATTTACCCTGAGATATCATTTCGATATTGACGTTGTTTTCTCCTAGGGTAGAAAACATTTTACCTGCAATTCCAATCATATTCTTCATTTCCGATCCAACCAAACTGAGGATGGCCATTTCACTAAGAATACTTACTTCGCCGCACTCTTGGAGCTCCGCCTTGGTCCGCTGCATATCTTCTGCGGCGATGTGCGCTGAATGAACGGCCATGGAAACGTGGACCTCACTCGTAGAAATAAGATCAACAGAAATCTGTCGATTATCCAGTATAGAAAACACCTTGGCGAAGAACCCGTGCGAAATCGATCTCTTGTTCGAGTGTACGTTGATGACGGATATTTTGTCCTTGATAGTAACGGCTGTAGGGCGCTTGGGCGTCTTTCTCGAGCCTACAGGGCTCCGGCTTCTGCTATGGGTATGCTGTGAAGGTTCTAATATAGGATCGGGTAGAATGATTGTGCCATTTCCTCGCGGGTTCTTAACGTTCTTAATTCGGATCCTGATGGGTGGGGTCGCTCGGATTACTTGGTCCATAGTCAAGTGATGAATGACCTCGGAACCATAGAACGTCAATTCTGCTGCTTCGGATGGTGTTATAGTGGACAAAAGTCGCGCGGTTGGCACTTTCGAGGGATCTGCAGTAAATATACCATCAACTTCTTTCCATACCTGCAATTCTTCCGCCGCGACTCCAACAGCCACCAATGCCGCGCAGAGATCGGTATATCCTCGCCCGATTTCTCCATCCATTAAACCACCTGGGACAGTTCCGAAATATCCAGTAATAATAGGCACTCTGTCCTCACAGGCGTCTATCTTCTCTTTTATTGCCGCAGCCACGTCTCTGTAAAACTCCAAGTTCATTCCCTTCGGCGACTTGAAATGTATTGCGTCTGAGAGGTCTAGGTATTCGGCATCAACTCCCTATAGACTATTGTAAGCACCGGGCAATTTAAAATATTCGAGATAGCCTACCCTATCTTGTAATAAAGCTGCGACAAATCTACAGCTAAGTTTCTCTCCAAAGCTGACAAGGCGATCTTTCGATCTTGAATCGATCTCTAGGTGCCATCGTTCAACGGCTAATCGATATTCTCGTATCTCCTTACACTCCGTCTCAATGTCCTTTGCGAGTTTCGAGGCTATAGATTCATCCTGTATATGTGACTTTGCCGCCGCAATGTGATCGTCACAGATAACATCCACTAGCGCTTCGTATTTGCTGGCCAAGCTCTTGTAGTGTTCTGAATCTGTGTCTTTCAAAGAATTGACTGATTGAAGGACACCGTGGATCTCTAATAATCTGTAAAGACCAGCATTAGTATATCGATCCATGCACAATTCTCCCGGGTTTCAAAGACCCTTACCGACTTGTTGTGCCCTCGACCTTCTTTCCAGTACTCCTCGCAGAGCAGACAACTGCGATTCTATGATCTTTCAAGCTTGCCCTGGAAAACCAATTAGTTTCAGAATCGCTTTGACTGGCGATGTCACACAATGCACCCACCGTACAATATCTTCTGCAATATTCACAGCGAATTTGCCCACACTTGTGCCACCAAACTTCTGTACTACCCAGCTTCGATGACTGTCATTGTGCTTCAAAGAATTGGAAATTAACGGTGAAGCATCAACATGCCCGTTGCACTGAACTTCAGTTGTCATTGTCCAAAACTGCCGGTGGATAATCTCAATTGATTACTGCAAGGTGTATTAGTTTTAAAATTGAAATAACTAAGCTATTCTGAAGAACAATGGAGAATATAAATAAATATATAGAAAAGTTAGGAGAATGATTTGAAAAGAGTCATACCAGGGATATGTATAATTCGTCAGGAGAAACAATTATTTTCGAACCTGCATCGGCATCATATCGGACCCCAGTAATGCGGGACCAAAGTTCTCTCTCTATCATTAGCGAGACGTTAAGGAAAATAAATTGGAGCTAAGATAAGATTTATGGAGAAATTGAAAAAGGGGGAAAGGTTGCATTTTGAATATATACTGACCTGATGTACATCGAGTTATTTAAATAATCTTGAGTATATATAAAGCATTCATTCGTCTGAGTTTATTGAGGTAGAGATGATATTGCGTGATATTATATCTTCATTAGACTGAGATTAGACTTCTGTTTTTCACAGAGAGAATGATTAGTAATCAAGGAGGGGATAAAACGATCAAAGGTTCCCTTCAAATTCATCATGTGACAGAACGCCATTCGGGTCCACTTCCTATTCATTGACTCTATATGTAAAGGCAAGTGATATGAACAAGGACGGGTGTTGATACTTAGATTTTTGAGAAGGTTTTTGTTTTCTTGATGCTAGAAATTACTCAAAAGACACAATGCCACAAGAAAAGCTTTGAAGAACAGGTTGAGCAGTATTGAATCATATATGGAAACTAAATTTTGTGCGTTTCCATTCTTATCACCATTACTCCCCGTTATAGATAATTATAACAGTAGAGCTACCCTTCACACGGGAAACGCCATCCAACCCGATACTCCAATGGCGCTGAGCCAAAATCTTCAATAAATCAGCGAACACATACTCAAGCCGCCCGAGTAAGATAATCAAGACCATCCCAATTTTACACCTTAGGTATCCATCCATTCTACAGCCATTCGTATAATCGTTGGTCGTTAAAAAATCGTCCTTCCCTGTCGCATTATCCAACTCCAAACCCTTGACCATCCATTACGCCTCGCCTTTGACCCAATTACCCAATACGTAGAGTTTCTTCCAAAAACTCAAGACATGGATCCTTGTGATATAGCATGAAGAGAATTAGATTCCATCGATGTATGCCCATCATCTTGGACGAATTCATATTTCCCCATTGAAAATTCATCTTCAGGCGTCCTCATTCCAATCCCACTATCATCATGACCAGCAGCTGCATTCATTGCAGCCTCTCTTGCAAGATCCATTGGCCGAGGACCTGAGACGTTCCGCTCACCGTTCGCCCCACGCCCAAGGAACTCATCATTCCCACTACTGTATCGACCTTCTGGCTGACTGTTTCTTCGACTCGATGATGGGTTCTGAGGCATATCCCCCATCGTTCCTTGACTGAGTTCTCGCTGCATAAAACCTCCTTGCTCTGCCATGAATGCAATCATCTCGTCTAACCAACATTTAGTTACCCACCAAGCACCAAAGCTTTTACCTTGGGCGATAGTAAGATCTCTCATCACAGCTGTGCCAATTTTTTGGACACACCAAACGATTTCTGCGTGTGTAGCATACGGAAATTTGGCAGGTAGCGAGAGAAGCATGTTTACCCAACGATCGAGAACATTTTCCGTAGTTGGGTCGGCATGGACGCTCGCTTGTCGTTGACGGCCCATGCGCGCAACCATTTCTCCAAAAGGGGTTTGTCCTTCTATCGCCCACGATACCTCGCTAGGATCGAGAAGATCACGTAGTTCCGTTATCAACAGATTGACCACGTCATCCATCCCTCTCGTAGGCACGCTTTCCGCAACCTTTCTTATGTTGACCATGGTTATAAAGTCCTCGTACATTGAATCACGATTGAAAGGATTGGACAGCATGTTTGCTGCAGCATGAGCAGTTAGATTAACTCTTAATTCTTTGTCCAAAAGACTAGCAAAAGTTGTAGCTGGTCCGACCTTCGCCTCAATAACATGTGCCGGTTGATCGTGGAATGAGTTTTGAATATGTGTAACTAGACGGTCGGAAATGTTGCGTAAAGTATCCAAAACTACTTTAGGCACAACTTGAAGTGTCAGAGGTGCCACGACACGCATCATACTTTGATACATAATAATATCGCACTGGTTAATCCATGGCGCGAGGGCTTTATCGGCAAACAATTTTTGCACGGGCATCGTTAGAGTGCCTTGAAAAGCCGTGAAAAGATGGAAGAATGTTTTCTCTTTACAGAAACGAACTTGTTCAACGAGGGAAGTGCAATGAGAGCGATAAAGTGCAGATAATGCAAGTGCTGAATCTGAATCCGTGCCCGGCGGCAAATATGGCTGGATTTTGGGGAGTAAAATAGCTCCATATTCTTGCAAAGAAGGCTCTCCTAAAGGCGCAAAATGAAGGACTTGAGGTGTCTTTGTTGTGCATTCGAGATCTGCAAGCTTCGCGACCACTGGGTGGGCGTAGAGACTGTGAGGTCTAATGAATCCTCCCGATCGTTGTTTGCGTTGCTCGGGTTCTTGAGCAATTGCGGGCGATGGAAAAGGAGCTCTATCGATCGGATATTTATCCACGGGGTACTGAATTTGCGATGTCATGCTTTGACTGCTTGATCAATATTGGCAATAAATTTACATAGGAGATGGTGATTAACATACTTAAAGCTTTGCGCAAAATTCGCATCGTTGAAGTTTGTGATGGGTTGCTGAGTTTGAGTCTCATGCAATTGTGGCTGGTCATCCTTGAGACTGAAGTTGACGTAGTGATACTTTGACTCTCCGCGCATACCAAGTCTCCGAGTTTTTAATCCCGGAAAAAGCACACGAACGAGTTTGCCGAAAGAAGCAGGATTCAAGACCGTTACCTTCTCTGTGCCGCATCTTGAAACATAGTTTGCGTAGACACGACCTCTTGGAACGGAGCCTGTACCTTTATCGCAGACTTTGTTGATCCTATAAGGAATTTGTTAGTGTGATCCAAGCTATATAACATGATGGACATACCAGAGCATAGCAAATACTTGTCTCTGTCTTTCCGACTGTGGTCCTCTTTCATTTAACAGAAGTTCCGCAGCAACTTCTGGTAAGGTGCGGTGTTTATTTGAGTGGAATAACTGTCTCATTTCCAACTCATTGGCGGCGCTTGATCTCGAGGCCTTCTTTGTTGTTCCAGTTGTCCCTGCTACGGAGTCTACCTCATCTTGCTCATCACTGCGACCTTCTAAGACTTGACTGTCACCCTCTCCATAATTTTGAGCATAATTATCCATTGGTATAGATTGACGTCCGTTTTCAGGTCTATATTGCACTTCCGAATGATAAGATTGCATGTTGTGATTCGAGACGCCATTGAGGGAATGCTCCATATCATAAGGTCGGGGATTTTGTAGTTGCGAAGCACTATGCATAACCATTTCTTCGGCTGACAATTGAGGAATATTGTTATGTTGTGGATTGGAGTTGTGCTCATACCACTGTGGTGCCGGGTCCATATACTGCTGATCCAATACTGGCTGTGCAAGTCCGCTATGAATACTAGTTGTGGAAGCTCGAGATTGAGGACGTTTGCGTGGTTTGGAGGACATCGCGGTGTTGGATCTAGATCGTTTGACAGGAATTTTTTCGCCGGATGGTTGTTGATCTTCAATATGTTAAAGTAGTTAGAATCTATAAACGCATTTGAAGAATTCGCGCACCGCAGCGCGTCGTATATTAGAGACGGGCATCATTACTCACCCATTACTTCCATGCGAGGTTGTTGTTCGTGAAGTCGAAGAAAATGATCGGAAAAAGTGGCTGGGGCTTTGTTTATTTTGCGATGTGTACCCTTTCTTGACTTGACTATTTGCCTCTATGGACTCCTAATACTCTGATGCCAATCTGCTTCTGGGATATGGATACTTACCGATTGAAAGGAGAGCGAGTCGTTCCTGTTGTCGTCCTTTGTCGTGATATGTATTTTGAAAGGTTGATTTCAATTGTTTACCAAGTCTTGAGGTATTCCGGTTAACGGGGAAGCAGAACCCAGTCTAGATTAGGCTTAGTTCAATGATTGATGATTGGAGGATTCACAACAAAACAAACATCAATCATAATAAAAGTTGGATTGGGAAACTGGTGAAACTTTCAATTCTTCAAATGGGCGAAGGTACTGCACAGATACTTTTCTGAATACTTGGATATGGCATTGAGGAATACATCAATTTGCATTATTTATATCATCATTATTCGCATTCTTTGCATTCTTCCAAATTCTAATTTCCCTTATGTTGGCGGTGAACTCGGAGACTCGACTTTTCACAGCTAGCTCATGCAAAGCAATGAAATGTCTTGAATGAAAGTACCGTATGCATCTCATATTATTGGGAGTTGTCAAAGTTATTCCAGAACTGTATAACAAAGTTCCATTAGCCTTTATCAGCTATTAGACTTTATGGTACCTAGTGATGTACGGAGTACTTCTGCTGCGAATGCTTCAATAATAAGAAAGGCATGGAGGGATGGAGGGATGGAGGGATGGGGAAGAAGGAGGGAGGGAAAGAGGCAGATTGAAATATAAAAACCGCCCTCGACCACTGACAAGTAATAAATATCACATGTTCATTTATGCTTTGCAAATTGCTACTGTGAGCTGAATGTCAAGGTAGTAAGTGCGTAGATTAAGTAGCATCCATGTTTGTCATTACTATTTCCATCTATCTGAATATTTTTTTCAATGTTCTAATCTACTCGTGCTCGCTCTTTCCCAATCTCCGGGTAGGTATATATCTGTTACTCTAATCTCTTCCGGTGTTTACATACCGACGTTTTGCTATCCTAACGTACCTATTTAGATGTTCGAATGTAACCCGTAATTTTGTTCGATGGGATTTGGTATTCTTCATTACCATGAAGAATGTTGGCTAATGTTGGCTGATCTCGTCCTGTTCTTGTCCGACAGCAAGCTATCACTATGTTTAACTCAACCCTCAACTTACGTACAGCTTGAATTTGGTGTACTATGTATAGCTGGATACGATCAAGGATAGCTGGCTCATTGGTAGGTATCTCGACGACTAGATGTTTATGTATATTGAACTCATACATATTCTGGATTATGTAAGAGAAACACTGAAATGAACCAATGCCCTTCATCAACACTGACTATCTGATATCGAGCTTACCATCTTCAATCTTAAACCTTCGTCGGTCTGTTCTGGTCTGCGGCCTTTTCTTCTCTAGGAAGAAGTGCAAAGTTATTATTGATTGATTGTACAGTTGGCATATTCAAATCTTCCCGGTCGCTATCTACCAATAAAAAGTAAACAGAATATAAACCCTAATGCCCCCCACCACTCTTTTCCATATTCCTCCGAGGTTTCCACCACCTTCCGCACTGAAGAAGAGAAAGACAAGAACTTTCAGGAACTTGATACGTTCAACAGATTATTAGAGTAGATCCCTTAAAGTACTTCTAAACAAACGTCTTTGTGGTGAGCCTTGAGTGCATTCATAAATTCCAGTGTATTTCTACCAATTTGCTCTTTGTGCGCAGAGTTTGATGTTGACCCCGCTCCCCGATCGGTTGTCCAAGCTTCTCCGGTTCGTCATAGTAGCGTCAGACAAAGAACACTTTTTGCCCAACCATAGAATCCTCCTTCCTCACAAACCCGTCCCACAAACACAAACAACACAAATATCAATAAGCTCCTCCAAATTTTGCACTTACAAAATCTCTACAACTTACCCAATACAATTTCAACAACCTAACTAGTAGCTTTGCGCAACATACATCTTTCAAAATGTCGTTCCAAGACAAAGTCCAGGGCACCATCGCCCAAATTGATAAGGAAGTAAGTTCCCGCACACTCCGGATCTTGATGCGAATCTCTCCAAGACTGATGCTTTCCTGGCTACGATGGACGTGCCAAACTCTGTTGATGTATGAACCGTTTGGCTGATTGTTGACAAAGCTCTCCAAATACCCAACCTTGAACAACCTCGAAAAGCAAAGCAACGTTCCCAAGGTCTACGCTTTCTTGGGTGTTATTGCATTTTACTTCTTTTTCATCTTCTTCAACATTGGAGGTCAACTTCTTACAAACCTTGCTGGATTTGGTCTTCCGGGGTACTACTCTTTAGAAGCTTTGTTCAGTGTTGGAAAAGCGGACGACACCCAGTGGCTCACGGTAAATAATTCGCAAATGATACTTGATCGGACTAGTGCTGATATATCTAAACCTCCAGTACTGGGTCGTCTTCGGCTTCTTGACTGTGTTTGAGAGTGTGTTCACCGTTGTATATTGGTTCCCCTTCTACTACACCTTCAAGTTCGTGCTCGTTTTGTGGCTCGCACTCCCAGTCACCAGGTAAGATTCATATGACCCTAACCACGCACGCATCCTCGGATAGGGCTAATACTCTTTATTAGCGGTGCCCAAATCGTCTTCCGCTCCTTCATTTCACCAGTCTTTTCCAGATACTTCTCAGGTGCTAGCAAGGTCAACGCTACTGTTGACAAGTCCTTGTAATGGATTAGCAAAGTGTGTACCACTATCGTGCTGCCGAAATCATCCATCTCAGCAATACATGGGCAGAATGGTGGGAACATGCGTAGAGCCATGAATGATAATTGTAGGCGTCAGACTATGAGTGGCCGGGGTCTTGAGCCGTGGGCGTAGTGGGTAGAGCAGAAACTGCCAGGCATGAATGATGTTAGTGGGACATTGCAACGAACTTCTTATCATCTGTGGGACAATTCGGGTGCTTTGTTGATATTGCCTAAAATTCACCAATAGTCTCGTATTTTTTTGGTTCAAATTGATGGGATATGTGGTCGGGGACATTTTGTTGACAATTTATTTAGGTAGTGGTACGTATGATATGACAATAGGAAGGCCGAATTGATAAAATTCGTGCCACAACTACCTCGAAATGCTTAATGAAAAATCTACATTTGATATTTGCACATTTGACTTTGAATACCATCGTAATTGCCATAGTAGGATTGTAAATAAATGGTAAACCAATACAATTATAGGGGTAATTACGGCACCAGCTAAAATTAAAGCTCTAACATTGGTCAAAAGGTCAGTCAGTACACAGTAAGGTTAAGAGGACTGGGAGCTTGAGACTTCACTCAAACACCACAAGTTACTCCAACGGTTTTCAACGAACAACCCACTTTCTTTAAATATTCGGTCGATTGCAGATATGAAATTCGCAGGCCGGATCCACTGTCAACTGAAATAAATAAAACTGATGCTTAAAGTCTCCAGCGACGAGATTTGCGACTTTCCAATGGGCATTTTCCCAATACCGCAATTGCAATGCCTCTGCCAAAGCTCAGCCCGCTGCAATCGCGGCTGGCTGCGTCTCTCATGGGGTCAATCATGCTACTGATATTATATCTGACGTTTTCATCCTCTCACTTCGCATATGCCGGCGATGTTGATTCGATACGACCAGAAGATCATAACCATGAGAGGTTGATGGACATAAATATCTTGGAATTGAATAGTGAACACGAGGTTATAGAACTAGGAGTCGAAGGATATGAGTCCGAATTTGTAGGATTTGATAGGAGCATAATCGGGAGGGTTCCATCGGAGACTGATCCCATTCCATTACTTAACAATCGCGCTGTAACAACAAACATCGAACAAGGACAAACAATATCGTTTTCGTTCCTAAACTCCTCATTATGGGGTGCCCTTTCTCCGCAAGCAAGCGATCTACCCTCTTCTGTTCGGTTTCGGAAAAGGAATGCTGAAAGTGTCGCTGATACGGGTGAAGTGGCTTTCGAGATTTCGGACCACGAGTTTCTTGGAGTAGAAGATGAGGAGCAGAGCCCGCCCGAAGATAAGGGTGCAGATTCTATATTATGGCCTCGACAATCTAGCTCGGCGAGTACTAGGATGCTATACATCACAGTTAATACCTGCACGCAGCCCGAAGCTAAAGGGGCAAACATGGAGGCACCCTCGCAGCTAGAACTCTACATATCAGAGTCAGGGGAGAACAAGAATCCGGGACCTGGACAGGACGACAATCTGCAGCAATCTTACAAATTGGATGGCGGAGCCGCGCTGGTAACTTTGAATGCTACCGGGGATGTTTACATTGGTCTGTCAGGCTCGAATATGAGCGCGGACTACACAGGAATATGGAACGCGCAGATTGCCGCATCGATTGATGCGCCTTACCATTATTACCACAGCGATGAGTCAAATCTCCTCCTTGTAGATAGTGATAGTGGGTCAGCTCTGCTTGTTACCCATGATCTCACCACAGATAATGGCTCAATATACAATGATTGGGTTAATATGACACCTCCCTTTACCATGTTCGCCAGCAAAACGGCCAATTCTTCCATAACAGGCCTGCAATATTCGTATTGTGGGCTGGAGAACAAGGCGGAAATAGCAGGAACCATTAATGGAGGTCAGAGTACTGGCAAAATCCAAGTGTCGATGACTACAAGGGGCGAAGATGACTATCCCAAACAGCAATTATACTTTGACGGGTTAAGTGCTGGCACATCCTACTATGGTATTCTCGCAATGAATGGTAACGCAACCGCTCTTGGGCGCGAGGGAGTAGGCGGTGGTGGACAAGTCTGGAAAGCCATGAGCTTTTCAACAATTTCGGGTATGTTGCTGTGATGATTGTTATTTACTTATTGAGCTAATTCCCTGCATAGCCGAGAATTGCGCCCTCGTGTATAATCTCACATTCTGCGATCAGGTTGCTTGGACGGTTCCGTCAAATCCCAACAACTTTCCAAACACGTCCGCTCTTGCAGAATGGTACGATAAATCTACCTACGAGTCTTACAAGTATTTCAAAAAAGCTTTAGCACAGATTCCTTGTAACACTACTTCGTCTGCTCAGTATTCGCTTGCTCAAAATTGCACTACTTGTGATGCTGCGTATAAAAACTGGCTTTGTTCAGTCACCATACCAAGATGTACCGATTTTTCGAATGATTTTCCATGGTTACAGGAACGAGCTATGGGACAGCCGTTTCCAAACCATACAATGCTTAGTTCCGAGCAACTGACCCTAGCAAACTCCTCATTGGCTATGAACGGTTCTCGAAATGTGGCTATTGATACACAGGTCCAACCCGGGCCTTATAAGGAAATCCTACCCTGCGAGGATCTATGCTATGGGATTGTCCGTGCCTGCCCTGCCATCATGAACTTCGCGTGCCCTACCCCAGGAGATACGGGCTTCGATACAAGTTATGGCGTGCGAAGAACGGCAAATGAAAGCGGGCAAGTTACATGCAATTATCCCGGTGCTGTACATGATCGGTCGGTTGGGAGTATAAGCTCGATTCCACAAACAATGGCATTTGGAGCGGCAATGTTGAGTACGATGTTCATGTTCAGTGGCATCTGAGCAATTTTAAAATCAGGATAAAGTAGCATGGGCGGCGTAAAGGGAAACGGATCTGATCTAAATGGGACTTTTGAAATACCTCTACAAGAGAGGGTCGAATGGCATTCGAGGCTGTTGGACGGCATTGTATGACGCTGCATTTTTTGTATGACGATGAAACTACATAGACTTGTGCGATATATGAAGTGTATGACAATGATCAACCAGTCCTCCTTCTCCACGTGATTGATAGTGAAACAAACGAGCTGCACAAGGGGAACATTCCGTCTCGTACTTCTTGACGGCCTCTCCACGAATCAAAGTCGCGTACAATACATATGCATGAGCATCGGGCGTTGGGGTAGGCTCCATGTTCGCCGAAGATCCAAAGCCTTACAAACTCACCACATACCAACGCTACCCAAGCTAGTAACTTCCAGAACAACTTTTCCAAGCTAAGAAATGAGCCGGAGATAAATGTCTAGATACTTCCCGATCCTTATATAACGCCTAAATCATAAATATTACATCAACCTCGTTTTCCGGAAGAGGAAGGCCGCAATTGGTAACGTCAAGTCGATAAGGATTTTAAGGACGTATGCTCCGGCCAGACCGAACGTTTCCCATCATATTCATCAAAGCCAGCCTTTTCGGTCTTTGCTAGGATTGTGTCGTCATGGTGGTGGTCAGTGATTGATTCACGGGTTGCTCTGATTGCGATATAGGCATAATAGTATAGAGGGACAGGTATTGTGAGGGGTCGCCGCTGATGATCCAGGGATAAAAGGGACAAGGGTATGGATTGTGTGGATGGAATTCGTGAAACAGATCAGCATGTGAGTTGAAAGCGAAAGAGTTAGGGTTGATTAGGGTTGTGCCAATGCTTTTTAGGTCTAGCTTTTAGCCTTTGGGGCGTAACGTCATGATGAGTTGTACTTGATTTAATTTTAAAAGTTGGACAAAAAGGGTTTAGTCTGGGTGTTACAGGCAGGCATCAACCTCGTCTTCAAATTTATCTTTCCTCCCCGTTTGGCATTTGCTGCAAATGATCTGCTTCCTATCAGCGTCAGCGTGGGGTGCAGAAAGGTTTGGGTTGGCTTGCGGTTTTCGGTGATGTGGTGGAATGGTGAAATTGGTGGAATGGAAGTGGAAGAATATTTTTAGATCTTCATGATTGAACCCAGCAGAGGATGGATGTCTACTCTGGATCTTTTTATGAAAAGAATTTTTATTATTAAGGCTCTTAAATGGGAATGGGAAGATATGAAGAGTTTTATTTTATTTATTTTATTTTATTTTATTTTATTTTATTTTATCTTATGGGATATTGATTCTCCAGGAGATTGGTCGATTTATCTTTCATGGCTTCATGGTTTTTTTCAGCTCATTTGGCAAGTTCATACTCCTCCCTGGTGTCCGTACCTATTAGCTGGCATCTATCTACTAGACTACGGGTAGATGTTCGACTAACCCTAGGTTTTCTTCCAAGCTCGATTTTAATTGATTGGCTAAAATGGTACACGCTAAAACGCGGTTTTGAGAAAATGTAAACAGAAACTCTTCTAGGTCGCGAAGCACCTCGATTTCTCTCTTTTCCCCCTCCCTCATCTTCTCCTCCCTCATCTTCCCCTCCTCTTTCTTTGCCTTGCGCTTTATTCATTTTGATACCCTTTCGATCTCCATTCAATTTTTGCGACCGACGATGACCTTCCCTTACCTTGTAATCAATTCTTTCAATATTCTACCCAGAAAGTTGCCTTTTTCGATTGTTACCTGAGCTAGGACGGAAATCAAATTCCACTTTTGACAAAGCCTCAATCCGATCAAATCCAACGAAAATCAAAAATCTACGACTGGATAAGAAAATCATAAGATCAAAATTTGATCCATCCGAAGCGCCAACACCCCAGAAGTTCGAGACGCCCTGGCCATCTTTGAGCCACCTTTAAGTTTGAAGCACCTTTTGAAGAATTACTTCACATCCAATCGATTCCGTGGCAATTCGACTACTACCTACAGTAACACTCTTGGTATACCAAGCTACTGTCAAACCCTTTGCAACTCTCATCATCCATTCTGTACCTACTGCACTGTACTGTGCTGTACGTGCTATCCTTACCATCGGGAAAAGTACAACCAACAAACAACACTCTCCGCATCTTCACCACATTGTTGCACTCAATGCATGCTGGAGGAGGTACCTTGCTGTTCTGTGAAATCATCACTACATCTCTTGCCTTACAACAATTGGAGTAACTTTACGTTTTACCCATACCTGTCATACTACTCTATCAAACTCTGTATGTTGATCAAACGAACTCTGTCAAAAGATCCAACAACTTTTATCTCAAAAGGGGAAAAAAGAAAAGAAGAACCCGACTTGAGCTCAGGGTTTTTCCTTCTTGCTTTCTATCAACTATTCGACTTTTTTTTTTTTACCTGATACATGCCGGTCCACTATAGCTCGAATAGCCAAGGGATACGTACTTTCGGGCCACTTCCTTGCTTCCACACATCCTATTTTCTCGTGCTCGGCATATCGCCGTCTTACAATTCCCATCCTTTTCCTCCCGCTCAGCCTTCATACCGTACATACAGTACGTAAAGTACAAATTCCATCCATCACCTTATTTGCGCTTGCTTTCCGCTCTCTTCCTTCTATTGCTGTGCCACCATCTTTCCCTACGCAACCGCAAGGATATCTCACAATACATCTGGCTTTTTCGTCTTCATCTTGACGCTTTTTCAGTACCATTAAATACTTCAGTCTCAATTTCCAATCGTAACGCTCCACCACATACGGTTCCGATATCATAATTTGATGATAGTGGCAGCAATCCAGACCATTGCCCTTGCGTCCTCGCTTTTCCAAACTTGGAATCCACCGTAATTTCGCTCCACAATCCGATCCGTGGTCGATCCTGGACAGCACACACACACTTGAGCACCCACTCTCGGTATGCATGCCCTTAGATAGTCCTCGCTATCCCATCGAGCGTTTTTCTCCAGAATGACATATTTTCCATAGGGCTAACATCAAATGCTCCAGCTTTTTCACACTTACCAGTACCTATTCAAGATTACCACATCATCATCGGATCACGCGTTGATTGACTAAATCTCATCGATACTTATCAGCGCGTCGTTGACACTCTACAATGTCTTCGTCGCGTTACACGCAGCAGCCGCTGCAAATTTATCAAGATCCCGTCACATCTTATGATAGCGCACCAATGCCGTCGACGAAAAATTCAAGAAATTCAAAAAAACTATCGCCCTTAAGAACAATCAAGAACAACACCTCGAAACGAAATGTGATCTTCAACCCACCTCAAACTGGACCTAGCAAACACTCACCGCTGAAGTCGAATAACAATATCTCAAGTTCGCCTTCGAGAGCACCACTTGGCAATAAACTAAACATGGTACCGATGCCACCACCTTCAGGGTCACGATACACTACCGATTCGATTGCGAAGAAGCAACCCTTTCAACCTAAATATAAAAGTGCCCCGCAGAAAGCACTATTCACCACTTTCATGAACACTCAACCTCAAGGTAAAGAGAACTGTCCACATTCTATATATTCGTCGCATGCGCAACCACATTTTCGCGACGATTTTTCAACCAGCAACTTTTCCTTGGAAGGGTTGTATGGTCGGAGACCTTCACTGAAGCGCTCTTTGATGGAAGCAGCGCCCATTCAGGAAGCGAAAGTTCAAAACAAGTCGAAAGTAGAGGAGGGAAATGACACATCAGGACCTCGAGAACTTCCGGAACCGGATTCATTCCCGCCGATCCACGACGACGGCTTCAAACCTTCTCACAGTTATGCTCAGTTGATCGGCATGTCGATTTTAAGAGCTCCGAACCGACGCCTCACTTTAGCGCAAATCTACAAATGGATATCCGATAACTACACCTTCTACAATGCAGCGGACGCTGGCTGGCAAAACAGTATTCGTCACAATCTTAGTCTTAACAAGGCTTTTGTAAAACAGGAGCGACCAAAGGATGATCCAGGGAAAGGTAATTATTGGGCAATTGTACCAGGGACGGAATATCAATTCATCAAGGAGAAGACTTCACGGAAGCCTGCAGGTCCCAACGAGAATCTTCCGGTATTAAACACAGCCCTGACACCCGTCGACCCACCAGAGCCTACACCACCCACGCCAATGTTTAAGGATTTACCCTCGTCTAGCCAAGATATCTCGTTGCCAAAATCAACGTATACCTTGCCAGACAACGAACTTCCTCCTATTCCAGAGTTATCCTCAGATGCTACAATTCCTGCTTCAGAATTCAATCACGAAGTTGAAGAGGAAGACGCCCCTCCATCTTCCCCGCAAATACAATCATCCCCACCAACAGGATTAATGCATTCTTCTCCTCCTGTGGTTCGCCATGCACCGAGACGTAATCATACCCCACCTGCTGTTCCACGCTTTCCATTTTCATCACAGACTAGATCACACAAACGAAAGTTTGCGTCCATGGATGACAGTGGGTACTTTTCATCACTTGAATCTTCGGCTATGAGACCAAATGGTGTCAGTCGGTTGCTAACATCTGAAGCTGATCGACCAAGGATTAAGCGTGGCCGAGCTGAGGAAGAAATCGCTCGTCTTCGTGGTTCCTCGTACGATAGCCCCAGCAAAGGCAGGTCGATTAGTGGATTCATTCCACCATCATCCTCTCCATTACGTCGAGCTCAACTATATGACAACTATCAAATGCTGCCACCCCTTACTCCTGCTGTCAAGTTAAAGGCTCCCCTGAAACCACCACCATCAATATCTCCAAACACAAACCTCCGCATGCATCGTGATAGGGTTAGAGAACTCGTTGGCTCGCCCATCCGTGGCCTAACTGTTCTTGAAGATAGTGCATGGAGCCCAGCTTTCAATCTTGACAATAACCCCTACATGTTTTCCGGTTATGTGCCAGATTTTGATATATTCCAGGATTCTACAGCATCCTTTCCGAGTACGAGCAACGGATCGCCAGAGAAGAGATCAGCTAAAAGATCTCGTTTGGATCGATCGAGATCTGCAAACATTTTATCTGATGTGACCAATTCCAACTTGAACAAGAGCCTCACCTCTACACCGATTCTCAAACTTACACCCTCGCTAGGTGGACCTTCAGCATATCTATCTCCGACGAAAGGAGGTTTGAACTTTATGGATTCTCCATGTAAACCAAACATCTCACCTTTAAAATTCAATTCCCCAACCTTGAACCTTGGTAACTTCGACCTTCCTCAGGATGATTTTTTCAACTGTGAGTTTCTCACTGAAGATCTATCGGACTATGCAGGTCTCGATATTACACAGCGCTTTCCCAAAATTGGTTCCGGAACTCAACAACAATCAAGGAATACACCCAAAAATCAACCACCTCGACCATCGATGGGCCGAAGTTCTACTTCACGCTTCTAGGCTGCTTGAACAATAGTGTATTAAATGCACCCATGATGACTTAATGAATGTTACGACATTATGAAATTTGAGCCATCAACTTCTACCCTTCTTTATCCATGGGTGGAAGACGTTGATATTTGCTCAGGGGAGTTGATAGGATATTGGTAGAGTTTGGGAAAGCCTCACGGCCTTTTGTTAATGATAATGATGTTTGGGTACATATTGTTTTGATTAACAGGCCTTTTTTATTCGTTTTTGTTTTTTTACTTGATTTGCGTTGTCTTGCGTTTTTGCGTTGCTATCTTCGGAATTGGGAAACAAGTGTGGGTGGACTATTTCTGTGTTTACGTTTGGAGTAGGTACTTAGCAATTAGGGTGGGCGTAACTTCTCGGTCTTTGATTTGTTGTACTCTCTGACTATATTTGGTACTGGACCTGGACATGGATCTGAATTTCACATAATGCATGGCGCTGTAGGGGGAATATCCAGTCATATTTCTGTAATAGGGTTTGCAAATGGGTATGCGTTGGTGGATATCTGGAATGAAGGGCAAACGGACGGATGAATAGGAATGAATCTAGCGATTAAGGAGTTTTACAAATTCTTATAGTGATAAGAATTGATTGATGATTAGGTTACTCTTGACTTGCTCGTTGTTAGACGGGAAAATCATTCATTGAGAGTATTAGGTTGGGAAAGGATAACGATATAAAGAAATCATGAAATGAGGGAATTCCTTTCAATATATAAAATGTTTTAACTTACTCTTAAATCTTTATTGTTTTATTGTTATAATATATATTTATAAATATAATATAAGTGAATGTAGAGTAAATAAATGAATTAATAAATTATAAATGAATAATTGATGTATTAATTAATATATATTTATTTATTTTAATATGATATTTGAAATCTTTTTATTTTTTTGATATTTTTATTATAATTTCGTTTAGATAAAGAGATAAATAAATATATAAATATATAAAATTTTTTTTTTTAATAAATCTTATTAAGAGAGAGTGAAAAATAAAAATAAAATACAAATATAAGGATTTTGATCTTGAAAGAGATTTAATAAATTATTTAATATTTATTAAAGTGTTTATTAAAATATATAAATAAGTTTGAAAGTTGTAATTATAATTGTTTGATTAAAAAAGGATGAATTCGAGATGAAATTGAGATGAGTTGAAATTAAGGTTGAAGATAAAAATAAAAATGAGGATAATGAAATAAAATATAAATTATAATAAAGAGGAAAAAAGAAGATAAGAGATGAGAGATGATAGAAGATGAAAGAAGAAAAAAGAAGAATTAAATGATTAAATAATTAAATAAGTAGATGATTAAAGGATTAGATGATTAAATGATTAGATGATTAGATGATTAGATGATTAAAAATAAATAGATGGATTTAGATATTAATTTTAAGTTTCTAGAGAGGTATATATATATATGTTTATGATTATAATCAATTGAATGATATTTTAATATTTTAATATTTTAATATTTTAATTGAATATTGTTCTACAAGAGATAAAGGAATAGAAATAAAACAGGGGAGGGGAGGGAGAGAAGGAAAGAGAGAGAGAAGTGTTTAAAAAAAGAGGTAGTTGAATGAATATATATAATAAATTGAGTAGAAGATTATTAATATAATTTTTTTTTTAAAGAGAGGTAATCTAAAAATATAATAATAGATATTTATATATATATATATATATATATTTATATAAAATTTACTGAATTATAAATTAATAATAAAATTATTTCAAATTTAATTTTTATAAAATATAATTATTGTAGATAAAGTATATTTATTAATTATATTTTATACTTTATCAAGTATTATATATATTTATTTATATATTCAATTTAATTCTTAACAAATATATTTTTAGATTAAACCAGATCAATTCAATTCAATCTAAGTAAATTCAATCTAATCAATCTCAGTCTATCCTCAAGTCATAACATAACATAATATAATATAATATATCCTCCTCTTACACTCCATAAGACTTAACAAGCTATAAATAAAACATTCGAGAATTCAAGAATTCGAAATCCTATAAGGCTCACCTCACCTCATCTAAGCCATACACCAATAATAAAATACTCTATTTACATCTATCTCACCATAGCAACTACAAAGCAGCGACATATCTACCTAGCTAAAAAGACCGCTGCTGAAAATATATGCCCGGTACCGGATGATCTATCTTATATTGACAGCTGGTATATACATAGACATATGTTACACATGAGAATGTATATTATGCTGTAGCTAGATTTTACACTTGCCAATAGAATGGTGATTCTTGGAATGGTGGCTGAAAGGAAATGGGCATTGTATTTTATTTTGATACTCACATGTCCTTGACCGGGAAATCTAAGAGGAAAAATAGAAAAATATGTTTTGATTTAACAGGGACCAGCTTTCAATATTCTAGAAGGTGATAAATGTTTAAACGTAGTTGAGGATAAATTAGATTCCACATTCCAAAGACATTAATACTTGAAGTGACTTTGGTATCCCAAATGACTTGAATATCCAAATGACTTGAATATCCAAATGACTTCAAAATCTCGAACCGAATAAATACAAATATGTGAAAATGGGGGTCAATATTTAAAATCTCTCATCTTCGGATACAGTCCGGGCTCTTGGAAACTCTCGTAAGGAACAACAAATATTCATTTGAGATAGACCATGGGGGTATTTGCGGTCATGCGCCAGTGACGGTCATACTCGTGTGTATCCAACTTCAATGCCTGAAACGCCTCAACTTGAGACTACTACTGTAAATCCCGTCCTTGTGTAGCATGTAACAACTTGGACGTGGGGGTTTTGTGGTGAATATCCTGCGGTGAGGAATTGAAATGTTGCATATGTGTTTAGTGATATGTATTTGAGGACACAAAGGATGGTTGATAAGTGGTGGGTGGTTGCAACTATGTGAAAATCCCACATGAAAATTAATATACTTCTCATCAATTGAGAGTTTGAATATGCTTGTGTTAGGTGTGGTTGTTGGGAGATGTGGCGTTCAGCGGGGAGCCGGATGCATTGATATTCAGCCATGAAATGATAAGGTGTTATGGTAAGATCTTACTTTCACACGTGTGCTCCGATGAGCTTGCGTTAGGCTAGATGACATGATTTATAAACTCGGGAATGGGAGAAATGTGATATCTTGAAAGGAATGTACTGTCCATCGATGCATTCAAAGTGCTTACTCTGAACTTTTGATATGAAAACGAAAAACATCTTGGATACACATGTGAGAATGACCATAGCAACCTGTTGTCACTCCCATCATGATGATGTGATGGGAGATGCCAAGGTAGCGAGAAATATGAGGAATTGATCTATGAGGGATTTAAATATATATGAAATGTAAATTAAAAAAGCTTATTTTGAGGGACTGTGGAATGGTAACACAACGTCGGAATAACCAGCAGGTTGGAAGAGGAAGGAAAAGGAACGATGAGCTTTAGGATTGTGAGAATGTAAAAGGGTCGACAGTGTGATGGGAGTGACAAGTATGATTGGCTAACCATGGAATGCAGTAAAGAGGTCGGTTTAATGCGGAGAAACAAGGGATAACTACTATGTATTGTATGGCATATATTTGGAAGTGTGAAATGTGAAATGTGAAATGTGAAATGTGAAATGTGAAATGTGAAATATGTACCGAGTACTTCAAAATTCCAATGCACTTGCGGGAGATAATCCTACGAGATAGCATACCCTAGTAGATGTTGAAGAAATGACAGGCCAAGGTCAAGAGGTAGATAGAGAGAAAGGTAGGGAGGGACATAGATAGATAGGGAGGTACTTGTGATAATGCTGCGTGTGTTGGCATAATTCTGGGGTACTTGTACCGTCCGAACCATTTAGGTATAGATGTTTATTTCAAGATGCTTGGCCTGTCTCTTCCCGCATATTTAGGTGATGAAAATGTAGCTGAAATGGAGAAGTTTCCAACGCTGCAGTGCAGCACATACATTAACTCGAGCTACTTTCATGTACATATGTAAGATGCTCCGCGTTGGGTAAAAGAATATCTGGGGTACAAGATAAGGAACCGGAGTAGATTTGGAGTAAAGAAAGGTAAGAAACAGCGAACTATTTGTAAACACATTGCAAAGTAGCTAGTGTGTATGTAAATGGAGTGAGGCTGCGGGAGTTGGGTGATATCTGTGAAGAAAAGAATGAGGTAATTGCAATGGCAGATGGAAGGATGGATCGATGGATAGAAGGATAGTTTAAATGACAGATAGATTGATATCAAGGTTGGCTGGTCGGCTGGTCGGCTGGTTGGTTTGATTGATTGATATTTGATATTTGATATTTGATATTTGGTATTTGGTATTTGACATTGACATTGACATCGACATTGTCATTGACATTGGTATTTTCGGTACAGTAGCGCTAACATAACATATACCACTCAAATTGGCATACTCCGTACAGCTTCTGCCAATATCTGTTTAGGCGGAGGAGGAGTAGCGGGAGCGGGGTAATCAAGACCTTTTTGATTAATGTGACGTCGGTTGAATGCGGTTAAAAAGTTAAAAAGATAAAAAAGAATCCAATTTGTACAGAGTACGAAGTAATTAATTACATACCTTTGCTTTTGCATGGACAAGAAAACCTCGGGTCAAAACTCTTGGTTTCATATAGGGCTGAATCTGAAGAAAGGAGGTTTGTTTTTGCTGGAAGCCTATATTCATGTCTCGTGTTGAAATTATTTTATTTAAAGCGTCCAACTTCTCGTAAGACCAAACAGTCATTCCGTCTTATTAGTCGCCAATTGATAATTTGATGATGGCGGTGATTAACTGAACATTGGTAGGTAGGTCTTCTTTGTTGTTGGGCCAGAGTCAAGTAAATAAATAGATAAATAATAGGATGGTTAGTTACCTGTTGGCGATTGTTTCATGAATTAGACGAATATTGAAATACCCTGCTCCCTTACGGTTTATAGGCCTCGTTGAAAGACCAGAAGGTTCAGGTAGTGAAGTAATAATAGAGTAATGGCCAGGAATCGTGACCACTGGCCTGTCTATACGTATACGGTACGAGCGTAATAAGGGGAGGGGAAAGAGGAAGAGGGAAGCTAACTTGATGCCAGGTGGAACTTGGCGATACAGTTTCTGTGAGTACGGAGTAAGCCTTCACACCAATCACCATTTCAACTATTTCCAATTCATGCACATGCTCATGCTCATGCTCATGCTCATGCTCATGTTCATGTTCATGTTAACATCATCTTTCGGAAGGAGCGCCTATTGCTTACTGCTTATGAAAGACTGTTGTATCCTTCTTTAACCGATGTGGCGAGTGCTGCGGCAACAATATAAAATCCTTTGCTGAAGTTAACGTTCCCTTTGAAGTTCCTTTGGAAGTAAGTTATTATTATGTATGCTTACCAATCTACAACACCTGGGCAAATGCGGGAAACAGGTGAGTCTCAAAATAGCAGTAGACGGAGAAGATTTGGTGCGGCAACTATGACGATAAGTTGAAACTTTCTTTTCATTTCTTTTCTTTCATTTTTGAGATCTCCCATCTCCCATCTTTCCACCATCACATATCCATCAATCAGGTGTTGTAGTCCGGGGACATTTCGAAGTCTCGGGATCTTCTTGAGGGTGGAGTGAAATCTTTGAGTTGGCTAACCTTGGCAAGATGACTTGTTATGAATTGGTCTTTTGACTTGAAGTTAATGGAAATGAATCATGATTGATTCTTGATCTATTGAGTAAGAGTGAGAATTTGATTTATGCATTAGTCTATATATAACCAATGTCTATTCTTGAGAAAGATCAAAAGATTCGTCTTCTTCCAAGAAATTTGGTAAAATATGGCATTGTCGACAAACATGATAGGGGCACATTATCTTGCCGACTTTTGATAACTATGTACTCCTACTCCAGCTCCAGCCGCAGCATGGTGATCTCATTGCACTTTGATACGATAATGCTATACTGCCGCCTTGTGTATAGCTAATCCCACAAATTCGGAATAGTAGAGAGTAATAAAAATCCACACAGAAGAGAAAGACACCAATGGATACATACATGTAAGACTGAGCAATAAGCTCTGCTAACCAACAGAAACCAAAGGTCGGTCAAAAGATAGACCACCACCACCAACCCTGGCTAATCAGATTTCCACATACCGAGTAACGAAACGACCCGTACTCTGTACATAGATAGTATGAAAAACGACCATGAAATTATTCCCCTATGAAGGCTTCAAGACCCGAACCTTGAATTGAAGAAAAAGTCACCCTCCCCTAGTCTAGTATGTTCCAACCGTTCAACGTCAGCATTATGCAACTAATTAATCTGCATGATGCAGCTCTGAAATCGGGAGGATGTTGACCAAAGACTAGGATTATATTACGGAGGACGGTACTCTATTCTCAGCATCCATGGTGTCGAAGGTAGGTAGGTATGAGTATGATGTACTTGAAGCAGGTAAGTACTAAGTATGTACTGTGTACCATGTAGGTCAGAAAGTATGTATGTATGTGTGTGTGTGTGTGTGTGTGTGTGTGTGTGTGTTATTTGTAGGTACGGTAATACATGTATGAATGTATCTAGTATGTACGGAGTATGTGCGGAGAATTGTACGGAACGGAGAATGTACCGAGTAGAGTATATGAGTAAAATGTGCGTAAAATTTATAGTCAGTCAGTCAGTTCAGTCTATGTGTACACAGTATTCACAAACGCAGCCACTGACAATCCAACCGGGATAACTGGGTGAACTTGAGATTAATCCCTCATAGAAACAAACCCCCTTTGCATAGAATTTTTATAGTAAAAGAATTTTCTTCATAGACCTGTATGTAACCTGGTGGACCGAGGAGAGGAACGCTTAATCAAATGTTTTGACATCAGAAAAGAATAAGTAAGATCTTACTATAGTAATAGAGGGGAGCTACTTTTCCATAATTATTCTCGCAACAGATAGACAACCTTGCCACTTGTAGAAATATTTAGATGGAATTTATTCACTAATACGATTGTACTTGCTACACAATTTGATCCAATCCCTGAATTGTATCTACCGTAGAAAACGTGCATCCACAGGTCTCTGTGATAAATAGTGAGGAGGAGTACTGAAAGCGGACCGACCTTCTTTCCCAGTTTGAAAATAAGTCAAAATAAGTTCACCAGTCGGCTACTGTACTAGGCAGTTATTAGGTAGGTAGGTAGGTAGGTAGGTAATATAATTTTGGGATACAATTATAATCACAATCATAATTATTATTATAATTATAATCATAATCATAATCATAATCATAATCATAATACCTATCTAAGGAATCCCTTTTCCCACTCTTCAAATCTTATAACAAAGGTGCGCAATATTAAAGAGGCAAAAGGGTCCTCCTCCTCCTCCTCCTCCTCCTCCTCTTTCACTGAGAATCTTTGAATCGTTTTTCTCGATTCTTCCACCAGCCAGCATCCCTCAGCTACCTACCTGCTTAGGACCTATTCTATCCTATCCTTTCCTATCCTATCACATTATATCATATCTCCATACCCATCATACCTACCTACCTAGTCCCTTATTGTAACCCGACCTTTTACTAATAATTAATTATTTCCAAGCAAGGCTGTGTACTTTTGTGCCTGAACATACTTGTTTGTACCCAAGCCGCAACCATCAACTGCGACTCGCCATCTACTAAACTACAACCTACTTATCATACTTGTTACCGACATAGGTATTCGATATTCGATATCCGATATTCGATACTCGAGGTATTCGTACTCCATACACTACACGACTCTCAGGACAAGGGTAGAGCGCACTACAGACAGAAATTACTACGGAAATTACCACGCCCTCCACCCAGAAATTACAACGGACCTCAAAGCCTACTCCTCCTCCGACTGCATACATATAAAGCCTACCTAAGTATCCCGACAGGATCCATAACTACCATTTTTCAGGTCTGCCGGTGGATTAGTTTCGAAATCACCTAGCACGCACCACACTGCCAAGTTGGAACCGCCCACTATCGATTCGGACATCACATAAGCTTTTTTTGGTGGCAGAGAAATCGAGATAGAAACAATTCCAATTTCTTAATAATTCGAGATTCCCGACTTCTGTTCCAACTTCATTTCCACGTCACCGAAAAGTTTCAATTAATGATTCAATATTTTGTGTGTCAAGGCAACTCAACAACAGTACAAAAGAGTCATCAACAATTCGATTGACTACTCTGATTTATAAGTACCTTATTTAAACGGACTTTCCACTTTCAACCTTTTTCCCGCAGACGTCCCACAAGTCAAAACTTACAAGCCCACACCCACACACCCACACGCCCACACAAAAACACGAAAACACAAATTTCCAACAAAGCACGGGCATTGCCCGCTACCTCCGCCTTTGGCGGACATCTCTTTACTGATTGCAATCGATACGAAGCGCATCTCAAATTCTTCAAGGAAGAGAAATATCATGGCTTCAGTCGCCGTACCAAGAGATCTCGTCGTAGAGAAGGCTCAGCCCTCACCCACGCCCTCTTTACCCTCTTCTTCACATGGATCACCTCAATCTCGCCCTACAACTTCAAATATGAGCGCCATCACAAGTACCGAAAATCTAAGTATGAATGGAACTCTCACGCCACCTCCCCCGGCCGTTCTCAAGGCAGCACCTATGCCCACCACTGCTGAGAAGCCCTCGATGACGAAACGTTTGACAAGAATGTTCTCTACGAAGGATCCGACGAGGTCGGAAAGTAGCGTTTCATCTAGTGCAGCATCTGCCTCGTCGACCCCAAAGCCTGCAGATGGTGCCACATCCCCATCATCGTCGAGGCCTGGCTCTCTGTCTCGAAAAACTTCCTCGCAAGAAAAGAAGAACCCCTCCGATAAACCTAGTCCAGCATCTACTACGAGAGATAAAAACGGTTCGACAAAGGACAAAAAGGCACCGGCAAACCATCAACGATTCCTTGCTATGCCTGATGTGCAAGGCGGTCATGAGCATCATCTGAAGAGTGCCAAGAGACAAGAGAAGCTTTCGGAAATGATACGAGGTTTGATTAGCGGGAAGGCGAAACAATCCGAGGCTCATGAAGGCGAACAGCAACTCTCACTAATGTCAAACTGGGTGGATCAGCTAAAGCGTGAGAAAGAGTCATTGGCCACAGAAAAGAAGGGTGGACCCAACGCGACGGCGAGTTTGGTGGATAAATATGGAAAATGTAATGAAGTTATTGGCCGTGGTGCTTTCGGAATTGTCAGGATATCTCACAAAAGATCTGAGCAGGGAACAGAGCAACTCTATGCCGTGAAGGAATTCCGGAGAAGACCCGAAGAAAATGAAAGAAAATACAGCAAAAGACTTACTTCCGAGTTCTGTATATCGTCCTCATTACGACACCCTAACGTTATTCATACTCTCGACCTCCTCCAAGACTCGAAAGGGGATTATTGTGAGGTTATGGAGTTCTGCGCAGGTGGCGATCTTTATACTCTAGTCCTTGCAGCTGGAAAGCTCGAAGTTGTTGAAGCGGATTGCTACTTTAAACAGATGATGCGCGGAGTCGAATATATGCATGAGATGGGAGTTGCCCATCGAGATTTAAAACCCGAGAATCTTCTTTTGACTACACACGGCTCTTTGAAAATAACAGATTTTGGGAATGGCGAATGCTTTCGAATGGCGTGGGAGAAGGACGCACACATGGTAACTGGGCTTTGTGGTTCCGCTCCTTATATCGCTCCCGAAGAGTACATTGACAAAGAATTCGACGCAAGAGCTGTCGACGTTTGGGCAACAGGTGTGATTTACATGGCAATGCGTACAGGTCGTCACCTGTGGAGAGTCGCGAAGAGAGATGAAGATGAGTTTTATGAGAGGTATTTAGAAGGACGAAGAGATGAGGAGGGATATGCTCCCATCGAGTCATTACATCGGGTATGCCTTTTATTTGCAAATTTTGAGCTACATGAACTAACATCAAGAAAGGCACGCTGTCGTAATGTTATCTATTCGATACTTGATCCTAATCCTCATCGTCGTATCACGGCTTCACAAGTTCTCAAGTCCGAATGGGGCCGTGAAATAAAACTTTGCCAAGCTGGTGAGGAGGGACTCTGACATTATATGCTGGATAGTGGAATTACATGTAGAAAGAGCATGTTCAAGAGTATGATGGAAGAAGCAAATCTCCAAGGAGGTATGAAACCATGTAGGACTGAACATAAATTCCGCTCAACCAGCAACTTCGAATGTCATGAGTGTGGTTTCATTTGTTATTACGACCCAACTGGAATGGGAGTATATAAGGAACTTGAAGACGACACTGGTGTCTCTTCAACAAGCATCGCGCAATGAGGGGTGGCATATTTCACATGAGCATTGCATTACAGCAACAGTTTGGCGTTTCGGGGATTTTTACAAGCAGCATAGCATAGCCTGATTTCGTTTCTTCCAACCCTGGCTTCTTTACCTCTGAGGCTACAATTTTTAAATTTTACTCAATTTTAGCCATGGTCTTTTTGCTTTTCTAGGGCGGATTTGGTGGGGCAGCGATACAGAAGGGGGTCTTTTCTTCTTTTACGAGTACCCATGATACACTAGGACTATGGCATGATACAGTCGTTTTTCTTCTTCTTTTTTGGACAATTACAATTTTTATTCTCTTCTTTCGAGATTACTTGCCTAAAGTATTTTCCTTTGGGCTCGCTCTCTCAGAGTCATACTTTTGGTGGATGGATGAGCTGAAATTAGCTTGCTCTTCATGGTTGTAGCTTTTCGTTACATGTGTGGGAATCTTTTTGGTAGAGGGTGGGATGACTGCACAGCTTGCTTGCTTGCTGGTTAGTTGGTTGGTTGGGTGGGTGGGTGGAGGGAGTTTTGTTTATTTGAGCGCAAGAGAAAGAGGAAGAGCGAAAGGAAGTTTACATTATATGATGAACTGGTATGGATGGATGGGTGGATGGATGGGTGGATGGATGGATAGGTGAAAAGGAAAATGGAATGTTATTGGTTGTGTGTGTGCATCCTCTGTTACTGCTTTACTGCGATGCTGCGATGCTGTAATACTGTAGATAAATGATGAGTGAATGGGATTTGGCTTGATCAGAAGCTGAGGATGGAGATTGGGATTGAGATTGGTAAATCCATGCATGTGTGGGGAATGAATAGGTAGAACTCAACCCCACACTCATAAGTATAGGAAGGAAGGAAGGAATTGTACGGAGTAAAGGAGTCAGATAGGTAGAGAAAAGCATGCGAATAAAGATTAAACAGATTAAGAAGATTAAAAGATTAAAAGATCAAATTGACTTGTTGGTGAATGAAAATATTGGGAATGCGGATGGGGATGTGGTGATACTAGATAATAGTTTATTTTGCCCTCGCTTGGATTCGGACTTTTCATATCTTTCTATATCCATATCGATTTCCACATCCCCTCCCCCATTCACATTCAACCACTCGCCATTTAACTTATTTCAATCCAAACCCCTACGTCCTCGCTGCTACCCTCTTTCCCTTTGAGTCCTGCATGTTTTTATATTCCCGTCCTGTCCTGTTTGTGACCAGCAATATCATCATACTTTACTGTATGTACTGCACTGTACTGTACCGGTAATAATGTAAGATTACTAAAACCAAATCATCACATGCCAAAAACACAACACAACAAACAAGAAGGAGAAAAGTATTAGAGAGTTATTTTATTCGTATGGAAAAGAATAGATTAGAATCCATTCAGTCATTTTCTGAAAATTTCCCATCCCATAACCTTCAACCCTCAGCCCTGCCGGCGACCCTCAACTTTCAAAGGCACCAAAAAAAACCTTCATGGAAATTCATTGTATACCGTTCCTTTTTCCCATCCATCCATTCAACCCCAATTCACCCTGTACCACTTTTCATCAACCCTAGCGAATTAAATAGATTGTGTCCATTATAACCATGAATCAACGTATCAATCCTATGAAGAATGTAAATAAGCCATGAGATCATAATGGCTCAAGAAAGTATACTGACAGGCACGTACAACATGCTCTGCCATCATAAAACGCAAAAGGAGTATTGCCGTTCCAGAAAATAAAAGTGAAGCTCCGGATATAGCATTATTGTTGAATAGACGAAAGAAAGAAAGTTTACGAGAAATTAACTAAGAATGGAAGAGATCCCACGCCTGATTACACAGACGCATGAACTCTTCCTTCTTCTGTTGTGTGGTCATGGGACTGTCTCGTCCTTCACCAAATGGCCCAGTTCTTCTTGAAGTTGGAGGGCCTTGTCCGAGGGGTGGACTAGCTCCCTCCTCATATTCTGCTCTAGGTCTTCTTCTACCACTGCTTCGACTAGCCTCTGAAGTTCTTGAGTTGAGGTTTGTGGGTGAAGGAGGTGTAGGTGGTTGGTGACCTCCATAGTGTACGAGCTTAGGTAAAAGTTCAGCACGGCCACCAGCCAAATCAGCCTGCGCATCCTCAGCAGAACGGTATTCACGAGGACGCTGATGTCCTGCAGATGCAGGTGGATGTGGAGCATGTCCTGGAGATGGGAAGCCTGGCCTCGAGTTGGAATGCGAAGAATTCGAATTTGAGTTGGAGTGTTGGTACATGTTAGCTCGTGGTGATTCACGGTGTGCACCTAGATTTTCAGCCGCGAAGACATCTGCAATTGGCGGTAGTCTGTTGGAAGTTTGAGTAGCAGGGACGTGGTGAATGTGAGATGTATTAGAGAGATTCGAGGGTTGGTTGGCGACGTGACGGGTCAAAGGTTGTGGTTGATGTCTGCCAGGAAAGCTGTGGTGCATAGGAGCGGACTGGATTACTCTTTCGTTTGCGAATTGCTCGTGGGACGGTGCAACAATGCTTAATCCTGGCGGCGCCTTTCTCCTCGATGTACCTGGTGTCTTCGCTGGCAACCCACTCAATTCCCGTTCTTTAGCACTCTCCATTGGCGCATCACCTGGCTTTGCGGTTTGTTGTAATCGCGACTCAATGATATGTCTCTGTTGTTCACGGACAGACAAACTTCGCTGTAACTGTTCTCGCATCGTTGGATCTTGTGTGACGAAGCCTGGCGAGAGACATGCTAATCCGACGTCTTGAATACCGAGTCCACCAGACTCAGCACCTCTACCTGTCAATTGACTAGCTGATGGTCTTCCAGTACCCGGATGGACACTTGAGGTGTTTTTGGTCAGGTCAAGCTTTCGAGGTCTGTGGCGGGAAGAAGCTGTTATTTCAGGCGAGGATGGTTCCTTTTTTACAATTATCTTGGGTGGTGCACCATTTCGAGAACTACTAAAAATATGACGTTAGTATAATTGCATTTTGACAATGAGTTAATTGATAAATAAATCGAGAAAAAAGTACGTACGAAGTAGGTGAAGGTTTGGTTGGAGTTGATTTTGGGCTTCCACTCCCTTTACGTTGTGCTGCCATTGTTGCGTTCGGTGTGGCCGAGGTAGGTATTCTTTGCGCCGGAGGAGAATTTGAAGGTTTCGAGGGTGCGATATCAACATATGATGATCTATCGTGAGGTACAGGTGAAGGAGCCATTGCAATAGCTGTACTCATTTTGATTGAGGTATGAAGTTGTGTGAATGAAGAAAAAAAAAAGAAAGGATTGGTGTGGGAGATGGTGAAACTTGCTGATGTTTGAAGATGAGGGAGCCTTTTCGCTTTCTCGCTCTCTCGCGTTTTCGCTTCCTCTTCTCCAATCAATCGCTTGCAAGTAAATTTAGTAGTCTTGTCTTGTCTTGCTTGAATCACTCTTCACTCTTCGCTCTTCGCTATTTGCAATGCAAAGAGTAAATAAAATGATGCACACTTTGCTTGTTTATGTGGTGTAGTGCAGTAGTAAATGGCTTCTCTTTCCCTCTTACCTCTTCCCTTCCGATTCTTGTACTCTCCCTCTTTCCGTATCTTTCAAGATTCGGATTCGTGCGTCCGTCAGTCGGCGTATTTCCACAAATTCAGCGTAGAATTTGATTACTATACTGTTATCCGATGTACCAAAGTGTACAGTCGCAAACCACAGGGTAAAGTGTAAAAGGTCAAAGAGCTGTTGCAGTTTCGTTCTGTTGACACGGGCGAAGTTGGAGCTGAAGGAGCAAAGTAAAAGTTGAAAGCTGCAGCAATAAAGCGAGGTTTTGCGTATTTTTTTGATGGGGAGTTGAATGGTGATTTGACTCAAGTTTTGACCCTCTACCAGTTACGTAGCGTAGTAGGTAACGAATAACGGCAATGGGTACTTATTTCCAGGTTTACTGTTGTTGTGAATGAGTCGCTGCGAGATGTTTATATATGCGTGCGTACTGAAAAGGAATTCAATTGCCTTTGAGTTTGAGTTTGAGTCCTTTTTGAATGTTTCGACGCGTAAGAGTATCGTACGGATATGGGTGTTGTGAAGATACTGGTGCTGGTTGGGTGCTGGTTGGTGCTGGTTGGTGCTGGTTGGTGCTGGTTGGTGCTGGTTCTGGCTGACTGATAGTGGTAGTCGGAAAAGGAAGGAGGCTTATCGAGTAATGGGTAATGGGTAATGGGTAATGGGAGAGTACACTAGGAGGAGTGATATCGATAGCTTTAATGCGTGTGATGGGTGGAAAGTATCTCTCTCTCTTTAGATGTTGCTATAGAGAGATAATCAACAAAACCACGTCCACGAAACCGTAAAGATGTAAAAAAAAATAGTCGAAGAGAGCAAGGAGAAATAGTAACAGATGCGATTGAAGAGGGGTTACTCCTTCATAAAAGAGGTCGCAGCAGTTTGAGAAAGGTCCCCTTGGGTCAGGATGGGTGGCGGTGAGGTTTTATGAATCAAATTGGAATCGAGGCTTTTTTCAGGCTTTCGAGGTAATCGAGGTTTGTCAAGGTGGGTGTGTTTCAGGTTATTTCGTATACAGCACAAGTTAAGACTTCTTAAGACTCCTAGCGGGAATCCTATGTGCTTTATTACCCAGGTAGTATAGATAGTCGGTTTTAGTTTTTAGTACAAGTAGAAAGAGGTAGGCTAAATCTATCTATGGAGGTATATTGATAACCCAAACAATTCATTCGATATTAATATGCCCTTTTCCTTTTGTAAACTCTACCCGTCCTCAGATAAATTGGATGGTTGGATTAATTGATTGGACTCATAGAACTAATTGCATTGGAGATGTAAAAAGATCATCTCCACCTCTGCAGATGGTCAAGTTATCAAGTAGCCAGGTAGCCAGATACCCAGGTCGATCAAAAGGAAAGAAGAAAGAAAAAAAGAGGTTCAAACACCCGTGCTAGTGCTAAGGAATCGTGTGGTGCACTGGTCTCCGAATATTAGTTAGACTGAGGAGCAGGGTGGGAATGGATTCATTGGTTATCCAGGCTGTGACTCAAGGTTCTTTCGGCCGTATGGTTTGTATGGGCTGTATGGGCTGTATGGGCTGTATGGGCTGTATGGGCTGTATGGGCTGTATGGGCTGTATGATTGTTGGATATAGTTGTTGGTAATGGATCCAATGGGTAATTCGATATTGCAATGGTGATACGAGTTCACATACGTGGGTATTGATTTGTCTGGATATCGAAAGATTGACAGGAACAGGAAGATTGACTTCCCAGGTGAGATCTTGGAATCTGGATACAGGAGCTGAATATGAAAAGCATTGATAGATGTTGGATACTGAATACTGGATACTGGATACTGCGTGTACAGATGGATCCAAACCCTTCTACCGGTATAATAAAGTGGTATTCCGTCCAACTTGAGGCATCGCTGAAGGATCCTTGGTTGAGAGAGTCAATGCGTTACTTCCAACTCATGTAGATTTCAAGATTTCAAGATTTCAAGAGTTTAAGATTCCAATTATATATAGTCCGACAGTTGAAGTTTGGCCTTTTGGGCCTTTTCCTAGGAAAAAGACATGAGAGGGGTTGACGCTTCGATAGAGATTAGGGCAAAGATGGAAAAGGAGGGGAAATGATATGTTCCAGTCAAATCACCCGTCTCATGTATTTTTGAATGCAAAAAAGGTCCTTACGTATGTTTCCGTATGGAGGGATTCGTAGGTATTCGTGTATCCAAAGACGTAACTGTTAGTTGTGATCCATGAAAGTAAATGGATTTGAAGATCACTGATGGAGTTGAATTCCCAAAGGAATAGAAAATTGGAGAAATATGGAGTTTCACTATGGAGGGGAGGGGAGGGGAGGGATTGGGAATTTGATGAAGATCCAAATTATCCATCCATCGACACAACTTTTAACGTTTTTGTTTCTACGGAGTGTGCTGGCTTTAAAACTCATTTGCTCTGATGGGTCAGGATTTCATGAAAGTTGACGATCAATGCTCTTATCGTTAAGCATTGATATCATAATCCAAGATGGGATGAAAGGATAAATCCGCATATACTGTGTACCTAGGTAATATAGACAATGGTTTGCTGATGTGTGAACCATTCGCCCTCCCTTCATTTGATACCTACCAACCTAGCTAACGATGGCCATGGGTTTTACCTACCTAGGTAGCTATGTATGTGTTGCCATCCGAGATTCCCTCCATAAATTGCTTATGCGCAATATATCGTCTCATACTCCCAAGAGAGCAAGAGACTCATCTCAGGAAATGAAGTTCACAGGAAGCTTGGACTTTATCATAAGGAACTATTGTTTTACATCCAACTCGAAAGGCAGAGGGTGCGGTACCTAAATGCCAGGGATAGTACGAGGTAAGTATCTGGCCTGGCGGGATTCGGATAAATAGAGATGTAGTTATCATTATTATTATTACTATTATTATTACTATTACTATCACTATTACTATCACTTTTCATTCTGCTTGGAGAAAACAGCAGATTAGATCTGGGCAGCCGATGTTAAAGTGGTGGATGCGGTTGGCCATGCAAAATAATCAAAACATGAATCCAATCCTAAATGTCTTTGGCCATTACTATTTTCTCTCCCAAATGGATATACTCCGTAAGACATGATCAGAAATTATCAAAAACTATCACTATTTGTATGGATCGCCGTTGAAAAGTCTCAGCTAAGATCTTGAATGGTGAAGACCAAAGCCAAAAGCCAAAAACCAAGGCAAGTTTCAATGTTTGTGTTCTTAAACCGTCCCACCGTCCCATGAATCTAAAGATTTTCATCAAAACTCCAAAAGATCGTTTTTCATGCTTTTGAGTTTCAACCTTTTCTTAACCCCTGCAGGTTCGTGATCTGCAGGATCTAGAAATCAATATTTCATAAGTGCTTTATTATTAGTGAAACCCTTGCTAGGTAGTCCTGCCTCAAGTTTTATCCAAATTGCATATCGAGATGGATGTAGGTACGAAGTATTTGTTGTCCCTTTTGTTTCAATGATCATTTTATGAAATGAGGTACAGTCCTGATCTGGCGAGCACTTAATATACATCACACGAATTCGAAATAATCGTTAGATCTTGCATGCATGTGAGTATTGCAAATAACTGTGCCGACCAAGTAATAAATTACTACTGGATACCTAGGTAATGCTTCGGATAATTGCATCAAACAAATATCTGATTTGTACAGACCTCGTACATACGTACATACGTACATACATACATACATACATACAGTAGCAAGCATGTTTCTCGATGATCAACCTTCTCGCTTGCCGCCCTGACGATCAATCGTGTGTGCACTGAGGATAAGCATGGTCTGTGAACACAAACACAAACACAAACACAAACCCCTCTTCTTCCATACAACACATCGTTGTGAAGAGCTGAACTTGAGCCATGAGAAAGGGCATTCCAGCTTACTAATAAGATGTTTGTGATAAGAACCATCCATTACGCATCGCTCGCATCGCTCGCATCGCCCGCGATTAAGTTCGTATTCCTCCTTAATTGCTGCGAATAAGCACGTACACTGTACAGTACTGATGACGGGCCCCTTCTGACTGACTGCTGACCTTTAGAGCCACCAAAAGTGAACGTGACACAACAAAGCTGACTTGGCTTTTCCAAGCCCAATCGCTGATCAAGAACATGGACATCAAGAATCAACAGCTTCACGTCTGACAGCTCCCATTCGCTGAACAACGAAGTTAACAAAACTCTCCCACAGCCAGTAAAGCCAAGTTAAAAGAACCGAGGCCAGCTTTGGGAAAAAAACAAGCAGCCGAACCCCTCATAATATTGAACGAAGTGTGTGGTCCATGCGGATGTGGCCTAAAAGGATCCCTGTTACAACTGCGACGGTTGCGTTTTACCTAACGACTACCCTAGCTCAAATACAACCAACCAGATGCCTCCATGAATAATCTTCCTTGAAACGCGCCTCACATCCCCCTCCAATCAAACTTCTCCACATGAAGAAGATGCTGTGGAAGAATTGGCCAAGATGATTCCGATGGTGACGGCGCAGATACGCAACCTCTTGCCAGGAGAATGAAACACGAAGAAGAACAATTGCATTTCTTATTTCTACTCGGTATATTAAACAGATTATCCTCTGACTCTCTCTATTGCATACAGCCATCATCTCCAACGGCATGTTCCACCAACGAAGTCTAGCGGTGCTCCGGTGCAAAGGAGTTTTCCCAGGAGTATATCTCGTTTATTGTATACGATCCTTGCACGTTTTTCCGAGAGTAATTTTGTACACATGAGTCTTGGGGGAAGTTTGTCCTTTCAAGAAGCTGCTTTTTCTACGGATATTCAGAGGCTCTTACTTTGCTTCACGGTTATGATTTTGCATTTTTGTCTCGTCGGATACAATTGGGAAGGTGATGGGAGTTTACTAGTTGGGTCCTGATCCATCGATTTTGAGACTTGGATTCTCTGAGTGCTTGGAAGCGCACTCATCCATCCCATCCTTACAGGGTCGCTATAGCCTGACATGGTTTCATTGGTCCGCTTCTGACAACGTCTTAATTCTGAATGGGCGCAATTCTCCTCAGCCCACAAAATGATCAAATAGTTTCTTTCGGGGCGGGTGAATTCCTTCAAAAACTTCGGTGGTACCAGAGTAGTTCTTTGGGATACGACACCGAGAGGCCTTTTGAGATCCTCCGAAGCCGATGGGATACATCTGGCGGTTTAGCCTTTTTGTGCTCATGCTTCATACCAGATTAAATATTGCAAAATGATTAATAAGGGGAAACTGGTTTGGTATCCGTCCTCCTGAATCTTGAGAAAGATGTCATGATGATATCTTAGAACCGTTCGTATGGTTATCCGATATGCTACGGTCCCAGGGATGGGAGGATAATGGTACTCTATCAAAGGAGTTTGATTGAGTGAAGGGTCGAGCATTGATGCCATGAGTGGTATATTTTGATTGACTATAGGTTCTCCTAACATTTGATGTTGCTACCCCCAAGTGCTACAAATCGTTATAGATACCTGCTTCCCATACAACATCTCATTCTATAGAAATTACTCGGGTTTCTCAAAGCATTAGCCAGAAGCAAGTCGATCAATCAATCAATCAAATATAACAATATAACATTAAGAAGTACCAAGAAAATTCCTATGAATTAATCAGAGTTTTGTACGAAAACACGATATCTGCATCTAAACTCTTCTCAATCCATCTGTCCATCCCAACCTTCACTCCAAATACCATATACAAATATAGCTAGGTAGTGAGCAATAACAGTTTCCAAATTTCTCAATTCAAAACATCGAATACTAACTAAGCAACCAATTAAGCAACCGCCATCCTCCCAATCTATAATACTATATATAATTATTCGTCCTCAAATTTTCATCCAGTTGTTACGCCAGGTAACATATTCCGTATCACATAACTAATCACAGGACCAGTATCGCTATGTGACCGGCTCTAAGGGATCCGGACCTTGTATAAAGGACGATCACGTGATTCCAATTGATCGACAATTCCTATTGGTGAGCTGATAGTCTATATATATTTTT